CACTTGTCGAATTGAAAGAGGAGAGTGGATGTGCCAGAGTCCCAGTTGTCGAAGAGAGAGGTCTGTCGAGAGACCGTGACGTCGAACAGAAAGGCTCTCCAAGATCCTGCACCGTCGAAGAGTAAGGCCTGTCGACAGACCGTGCCGTCGAACAGCAAGCCTCTCCGAGACCCTACACCGTCGAAGAGTAGGGCGGGTGTCAATGAGAGTCGCCGAGTGTGTTGAAAGGTATGCTGCTAGTGTTGGAGGTGTCGATGGTCGAATGCAGAAGCTCAAATGCCGCAAATGAAAACTTGTGTGTTTGGTGGTTGTTGTAAGGTGGACGAAGAGTTTTGAATTTGGAGTCGATCTCAGATGCAAAATCAGCGGCTGCATGTGATGAACTCTATGGAAGCGCTCCATGTGACAGTCTCACTTCACTGCCTCACTGTTAGCGCCAAAAGCTCGTCGCGTCTTGTGAGCAGGAAGCATGTGAAAGCCGATCGAAAAGGGACAAATTTGTCCTAAACGAGCAATGAGGATGAGGTGTTGACATAAGTGGGCATGGTGCCAACAACGAAAGAATGCTCCTAAAAAACATCAGACATATGATTGTGCTTTCAAAGTTGCAGATATTTGCCGTCAACTCCGCTCGGTTCGTTTCGTCCAGGTCATCACAATGTACATCATATATATATCCTCTTGCTCCAGCAAATGACAGAGATTGGGAATGTAGATTCCAAAGTAGCACATAACCAGACTCTCCGTGCCACCATGGCTTCTCAATTAGCAACACCAATACTGTGGTTATGCATGGAAGCCTGCATATTCTCTGCGATCAAAGTTCATCAGCCAAGTCTCCGCCCCATTACACGGTTACCACATACCCATAGCAGACTGCATATTCTTCTGCGCATTGATAGCATCATCCAGCTGCGTCTCAAACGTAGCCATCCCATTCGTCTTCATGCCCGGACTGACAAGCGGGCTCTGGTTCCCGCTGCCCAAGTTGGAGTGACTCCTAGACCTGGAGTCGTACCTCGGAGCAGACCTCGCCGCGGGAGCCGTGACCGCCGAAGCGATCGAATGCTGGCTGGTGCCAGACCACGCGCGCGAGAGCTTTGGTCGAGCCCATTCTGACCATGATCGCTTGGGGGCGATTTCGAGGTTGCCTTCGATGCGGGTCTTGCTGGCGACGTCGATGCCTTTGTCGCCTTTCTTCCAGTCGATGGGGCAGCCTTCGCCGAACTCGTCTTTGAAGATGAGGGCGTCGAGGACGCGTTTGGCTTCTTCGACGCTGCGGCCGACGTCCGCGTCGTTGACGGTGATGTTACGGACGTTGCCTTTTGGATCGATGATGAAGAGTGCTCGCTGGGCGACGCCTTCTTCTTCAATCAGGACGCCGTAGTCACGGCTGAGTTTGTGGTTGGTGTCGCTGATAAGTGGGACGTGGACTCCACCGAGGCCTCCTTCCATGTCCGATGTTGCATTCCAGGCTCTGAGGCTGTGCTCGTTGTCGGTGCTTGCGAAGACTACGGCGCAAGCGCGGCTATAGAGGAACTCTTCGAGTCTGGCACTGAATGCTTTGATCTCGGTTGGGCAGACGAAGGACCAGGCCTTGGGTAAGAAGACGAGGATGAGCCAGTGGCTTGCTTCGGAGTATGAAGAAAGCGAGACAGCTGTAGGAGAGCGTCAGTCACCGGTGCAAATAACAGTCTGGGGGCGAGCTATTGTCGTACTCTTGAATCTTCCATCCACCACTGCTGTGCACTCGAAATCGGGCGCTGGTTTGCCGACTTGGACCTTGCCCATAGTCGCCATGTTCTGTGTATAGACAAGAGCTGTTCACGGTTTTCGACAAGTCCGTCCAAACGTCAGAATGTAGGTTGGCTGCAAGTTATAGTGTCTTTCCACCAGACTCCACCGTCACGAAAACGAGAATATGTACTTGACCCATCGAATAGCCTAGATTTCGTCACAGGAGAATGGTGGTGTGGAGGCCACTTTCCGCAAGCAGTCCTTTTGCCACACATACCATTTACGGGGAACGTCTAGCCATTGGAAGTCTCCAGCTATGTGCAAGCCCCTGAACAATGGTCTTTGTACTGGAGTCCGGGGTAGGAATGGCTTCAGCACAAAGGCACTTCATCCCGAGATCCTCCGACCTGCTAATGATCTCTGGCATTACGATGAGATCTGTGTACAACCTGAGGTCCAATTGACCAATATGCTGGGTCCGGGCAGGTTGGGTCATTGACAAGGAGGCATGGCCTGCTGGGCTTGAAAGGATCAAGTGAGGACGTATAGAGCGATTCGATCAGCTTTTCCGTTCACTCTCCAGCTTGTGCTCGAGCAGTTCACGCTTCGCAATCGCAACCATGTGAATTCATGTCGCTTTTGCTTCGGCCGGGCGCTTGAAAAGGAGAGGCGGGTGTCGAGCAGTCTGGACGCGTCTGCAGCATGCAGTATTTTGAGACTGGATTCCCATAGACTGCCTTGCACTGACACATGTCTCGGGCGGCTTCACGGGCATTTCGAGTCCCACGGTAGGTGATGCTATGTTTGTGAAGACGGAGGAAGAGAGATGTGGTCTCGGAAGAAGATAACGCTTCGGCTTCGGCAGTGGGGCAAAACGCTCGCGCTGCCAGCCACGTTCTTGCCCGCCACCGAATTCCAGAGCCATGAAAAAGATCGGGGCAGCCTCGACATCTCCCTGCGAACCCACGTTCCCTCTCCCCGTTCGTTGCTGCGAATCTTGATTTTGTACATATCGCGTTGTTGCTTCCGCCGGGGTCAATTGGAGCGCCAGGATCCACGAGGCGCAAAGCTGTCGCAGACGTGCAGCGAAACCTGGCGAAAGCTTCCTAGCCTGCTGCAGTCCACGCAAGAACATCACCATCCTCGATCCCCCGACTCCGAGCTCACTGCCTCCTCGCACCTTCGTTTCTGTGGTCGCGTAACACCGGCGACGACATCCATCCAGCAATCGCGCTACAACTCCCCATCAGCATCGAATACCTCGCGCCGAGACTGTCGACCGAGCTCCAGCTTCACTTCCAGCCTTAGTCGAGCAACCCGCGAACAGCTATGGCGATCTCAGGTTTCCTCTTCGTCTCATGGCGGATATGGGAGATCGTCACACTCATCCCCATCGTGGGTATGCTGGCCTGGTTCGTCAATGGCTACGTCGACAGCAACTCCCTCACACCCACGTACATCTTGGTGCTGTTCATAGTATCAGTACTAGCACTGGCCTGGGCGTTCTTCACGACGATTAGCTATTTTCGTGCAAGACACGATGCGCTCTTCGTCGCCCTGGTCGATCTGGCATTCGTTGGGGCGCTCATTGCTGGTGTGGTGGTCATGCGATTCATCGCTGGGGCCAACTGCTCCAACTTCGAGGCATACATCAACTTCGACGGGGTTCGCGGTAACTCGAGCTGGGCTTTCCATCTCAACAAGGGCTGTGCGATGCTCAAGGCCAGCTTTGCCTTTGGCATTATCAACATCATCAACTTCTTCGTGACTTTTGTACGTTACCAAAAAGCTCAACGACCGTGAATACCTGCTGACGAATATCATAGCTCCTCGCACTCCTCGTTCATCATCACCACCGCAACGACGACCGAGTCGTAGTCAAGCGCGAATACCACACATCAAGACACAGCCACCGTCGTTCAGCCAGTCGAGACTACAGCCGCAGGAGTCGCGACGACTACAGGCCGAGAAGTGGAAGAGGAAGCACGCATCGGTCGAGCAGTCGACGACAATACTACGTATGAGCAATGAAGTCACGAGATTAGAAGAAATCAGCGATGGGCGTTTGAGGAACTGGGAAAGTGCATAAGGGAACAAGGACACCAGACTGTTCATACTGGACATAAGGCACACGAAGCAATGAGTTCAGGGTTACGGATTCACGAATGTTGTATCGTGCACATAATGCAATTGAATACGTGAGCATGCGAAGCTATCGGAAATGTCTCTCATGTCTCATCCGTCGTTCTGATTGGAAGTCCTATGGGACAGTCGTTCCTTGAGAGGCCAGCTTTGAGCAATGGTCTCTGGGGGTTTTGCGCAGCTCGTCAACCCATCTGACCAGGCCCGATTACTGCTGCAATGATTCACTTCTCCCTCCTGCAAGGCATCTTCTCTCAAACAATGCAGTACTTCAAGGCCGGGGCGAGTCATATTGTTTCCTGTCCGTCGACAAGTCGTCTCTCGTCCCGTCCAGACATACTACAACCACGTAAGTTCCTTGTCCGTACTTCCATCGATCACATCAATCATCTCTGGTGTCTTTCCGGTCAATGTCGAGCTTAAGAAAGTGCCGTCATCTGAAAGTGGAGCTCGGATCACCCGTTCACGCGGATCGAGCCGCTGTTTATCTGTTGACACGGCAACCGCGCCGACCAGGATGAGATCACTCCAAGCACAGGCAATCATCTCGCCAATCTTCCACTTGCCAACGACATCCTTGGACAACTCCCAGCGCACTGACGAGCCTACCCCAAAACCACAATCATGGCTCGCCGCAGCACTCGTCTGAGCAGCCGCAACTCCAGCACGCCTGGGCCCAAGCGCGTCTCGCTGTCCCACGATGCTCCCACACACCGCACTCCGAAGACCGTTCCAGCTAAGCTGGCCTCCCTCGACGAAGGTGACGAGATGCCCGGTGCTTTTCCACAGTCCGCCTCGCCCTCATCGCGTCCAGCAAAGATGAAGAAGCTTGACGCTGCGACTCCGACCCACGCGACGCCCATCAAGCCGACTGAAGAAGTCATGCACCCGCAGCTCCACCATCAGACCACCGCAAAGCCGCGTGACGAGGCCCGCCATTTGGGCTTCTCCAACATGGCTCCCAACACCGAGCCAGCAAAGCAGTCGAGCAAGATCGCCACTCTCCAAGGCACCCCAAGTAGAGCTCGGGACTTGGAGAGCGACGTCAAGTCTCCCAGCTTCCAGTTCACCTTCCACCGGGAGCACTCGCTGGAGCTGAGCCCAGAGGCAAAGAAGCTGATGCACGAGAAGAGAGAAGAGGCGGCTAGAATTCGAGAACAGATGATTGCCAATGGCGAGGGTTTGCCGTCTATTGACGAGTTGATGGCCTCACGGAAGATTGCGAAGCCAACAGGCAGATTCAGTCAGGTGCATATGAAGGAGTTCGAGAAGATGGATTCGATTGCGGCACATCCATCAGCATTTCGGGTGAAGCAGAATGCAGCACCATCCCCAGCAAAGCCATTGCAGAAGGAGGACATGACGGCCAAGTCATTGAAGCGCAGCCCATCCAAGGCGGGCCTCGACAACCCAAGCTCGACTCCATCCCGACCTTCATCTCGCGATACGAACAAGCCTCTGCCAGCAGCCCCTGGCTCACAACTCCCGCGGTCAACGTCTATCAAGGACCTTAGGAAGGCCGCTGCTGAGGCGACATCACCATCAAAGCGTGTCAAGCGCACTGTCACTGAAGATGTCTCCGCTACTCGACCAGCATCCAACCACGAGGACAAACCACTACCTGCTACGCCTAGGAGCAAGCAGCAGGGCGGTAACATCTCGCATCTGGCGACTCCCACGCAAGCCTCACTCGCACGTGCTGCCAGTGTCAAGTCTGTCAAGACCAAGATTCCGGCACCAGCTTCTTTCACACCGGCGAAGCCAGCGGCTGCATTCATGACAAAGAAGCCAGTCAAGCAAGACGAGCATGTAGCGTCCCCAGCCCTTCTCGCCCGCTCGCCGTCCAAGGCGTCCATCTTCCCTAAGAGACCAGATGTGAGCGGCACGACCCAAGGCCCAACGACCGCCAGTCCTCTTCTTGCCCGTTCGCCCACCAAGCCAGCACCTACGAAGAAGCCAAGCGAGGGAAAGCAGCAAGCCGATGATGCCTCGATGGTCAAGGCCGCCCCTCTGCTGGCTCGCTCTCCAGTCAAGGGTGCAATATCGAAGCATCCTGAGACGGGCTCTACTACCGACGAGCCAAGCAAAACCTCTGCCATCCCATTCTTGTCCCGGTCACCTTCCAAGCTGCCGGTATCGAACATCGCTCCAGAACCACAAGAGACGCCTGGCAAGAGCACGGGTAAGAGCCTGCTCGGTCGGTTCAATCTCTTGCGACAGTCACCGATGAAGTCGATCCTTCGTTCACCGCAGCGTCTGTACTCAGACGACCCGTCCAAGGTGGCTGCTGGTACTCACCTTGCGACTCCTCCCAAGTTCACCGCAGACAAGAACAAAGCTCTTCCCCCAGCTCCTCGCTCTCCCACAGCATCGGCCCAGAAGCGTGTTGATTTCACCTCTTCGACCAAGGCTCGCTTTGAGAAGGCTCACAGCAGCACACCTTCCAAGACGCCTACTCCATCTCCAAAGCCGAATGATAATACCGTAATGGCGGAGGACGATGGAACTGTACAGTACCCAGACCTGTCGAACACGACCGATATAGGCAGTCCATCTCCTCAAAAGCGACGTCAGACCGGCGGTCCTGGCGACTTCACGTTCCGCGCTGACACTCAAGGTATCGTCTTCGGTCAGTCGCCCAACGCACCCTCATCAGCAAGCAAGCGGGCCTCCACCATTCGCATGGTCTCGTCGGATATGCTATCAACTCCTGCCCCAGCTACTGGGAGTAAGAAGCGCAAGTTCGAATTCGAGAACAAGACAGCAGCATCTGCCGACGACGTCGATGGTGCAGAGGAGAAGGAGAACACGCCAGTCGTGGAAGAACACGAGGACGAGCATCGACCAGCAAAGCGTACCAAACCGAGCGCTCCAGAACCTCACGCCAAGAAAGGTTCATCTGCCACTGCCCCGATTGCTACGAGCGCGGCACGGCGGACGACTCTCGGTGTCAAGCCCAAGGGAACGAAGAGTGCCAGCCCCGTCAAGCGGGCCAGCACCATCACACAAGCCCGCCTCAATGCGTTGTCTCAGCCCAAGCGTCATTGATGAGGTATGAGCCATGCTGTATCATAATGCGAGGTTTCCCCCCAATCGACCGCTTCGTTCACGGACGAAAGGCCGTTTGTTCGTTGTACTGTACCAGCACCACTACTTTTGAATTGAGATTACGGGGACTTGTTTTGCACACTGATGAGACGGGAAATGAAGGCGTTGCGACTAGACGGAGTGGGACTGGAAAAGGGAATGGGGATATCGACATCCTGGCGTTTTGCGTGTTTAACATGGCCAACGAGCCTCTCTGAATTGATAATGGAGGCTTTTCTCTCTTCTCGTATTCGCACGGTACCGCTGCGATAGGTAACAGCCTTTCTACAGCATGCGGTAGCAGGTGCACGACAGGATGCAGTTGGTTGTACAGTAACTAAGAAAAAATGGCGTTGTAGTTATTCACGATGGCTCATAGTTGCTCAAAGGCGTTCATGTCTGTTCACGTGACCTTGTCCTTCGCGCTCGTTCGGTCTGTGTGGTGAGGGTTTGTATAAGAAGGACCAAGGGACGGTGTTTGGAGAGATTGTTGTTGCTTGTGGGAATGGACTGTTGTCTTTGAGCTCTTGTTCGTCGTTTTGCGGGCTTCGGCCTTGTTGAGTTGGTGGAGATGTTTCGTTGATTCCTTCGATACCCTCCTCTCGTCTCCACCCATATCGAACCTCCTTCCCATCGATCTCCTTTCCATCGAACCTCCTTCCCCTTGACGACCGAACGACCACGACGACCCCGTCTTGCGTATGTCCCACCTCTCTCCTCTGATGATGACCTTCCCCTCCCTCCCTCTCTTGAATGATTAAACCCTATTTTGCCGAGCAGAGAGCCCCAACACATAACGACCCGAACAATGTCGTTTGTGAATTTGCTCCTTGAAGACTCAGTTTTGTCCGACATCGCCTGAAACCTATACCCTCGGTTGTTCCGGTCAAAGTGGAACGTCCTATAATCCGTGATGGAAGTGCCATCTCTCCGAACTTTTCACGAGCGACTGCGCTGCTAGTTGCACTGCAAGCTGAGAAGATGGCTTGGAAGTAATGGGAATGGGTGTGAGACTTTGACCGGAATGAGGAGGGTATAGAGAGAGAAGGGGGAGAGAGATGCAAGAGACGTGGTGTTTTTGCATGATGGTTGTGATTGGCTGACGAGATGTATTCTTCGAACAGGGAAGTCGATTGGGAGAGGTTGGATGGTTGGTGTTGTGGGAGGTGAATAGAAGGAGATGGAGAGGATATTAAAGGAACAGGAAAGATGTTCTTTCAGATGTTGGAAGAGGTTTGTGTGAGTCACTGGGGGAGTAAGAGGAGAGTAGTGTTTGAATATCACGAGAATACAACCTACCTTGACCGGGTTGAGACTTGCCTTTTGCCTGTGCCATGTTCTTACACGGACGGGTATCCTTCAGAATGCTTTTGAATTTGTCTTGTTTGATCGCATTTTGGCGTAGGCCACAGATGGATGCTATACGGGAAGGTTGAGAACGACTTGCCTCCTGTTGTAAGTGTTCTCCTTTACGAGAGCACTCCCTCAGAGACAGGAATCATTCATCCTGGGTTCGAAGGTTGTGCATCGGTCTTGCGGCGAGATCGACGGTCGTTGCAGCCATGGTTTGTACAGTGAGAGCGAGCACAATTGCTAGTGTCGCACAACAGGATTGAACTGCTTCCAGTCGAACCAGTAGAAATCCGGATCGAGCAAAGCGACACTGCGCAGATGACCTTTTCTTAGTGGAAGCGAGAGATGACGAGCGTTTTGTAGCCGACGCACGTAGACGAGCTGCGAAGGCGATCACCCATCACGCTCGCCTAAAAGTACGGTCAGCGTGGGCGAAGAGACGTCTTACCAGACCTGACCGCAACAACTGTCGCGCACAGCATGGAGAGCTGAAAGTTGCCAGCTGCTCATCCCCTCACAGCAGCAAAATAGCGGTGGTGGTGTAGCATGTCAGCATTGGCATTCGCCCCTTATCTTGAGACACACCGACGAAGCCGAAGAGCACACCGAAATGCCCCTGCCATGCCGAAGTATTGGCCGGTGCGGCACATCGATGTCGCCACAGCTCGTGCAACAACCAGCGTCGTGGGAAGGAGCAAGGTGCGACTGTCACATGCTAGCATTGCCAGTGAGCACGCGCGCCGCCGCAGCAATCTGTAACGGCGCTAGAACCGCAGGACTCTCTGGGGTGCTCCTGGGAGCGGAGAGAACCATGCAAAGGAGTGGAGAACTGCGAGAGCTCTTGTGGTCGTTGCTGTCCTCGTCGAGCTTGTTCGTCAGGCGGCTGGTTTTTTCGATAGCGCGGTCGAATGCGGCATGCCGTGTGGGCGTGGGCATGTATATGTTGTCGTGGGCTGGATAGGCGCTGTGTTCGGATTGGACATGAGCTTGGCGAGCTTGTCAGAGTAGCGGGTTGTATCATTGTATGACGAGCTGGCGGTGTAGGTAGCAGTCAATCTACTGTTGTCTGCACACGAGCTGGCAGCCGGTGCTTTCCTCACATACATGACGAATGTGCTGCACGGCATCGAACGGCTGGAGTGCATGAGTCGGTATCACTCCATGGCATCGAAATCTTTTCTCAATAGCCCTCACGGAACGCCATGGCTACGTTCGTCCAGAGGATGTCCAGATTACTTCCTGTGGCCTTGACTGTGGCGGACGTGTTCGCAGCGCGAGGGATTGCTGACCACAGTGTGGCTTACAATCCAGAGCATTCCAAATGGCCACCAGGATCCGCGGATTTTGAACAATACGTACCTTTGCCCATCTCGCAGTCAAATGACCCGCGGAGTATCAGATTTGGAGCCCAGTCTGCGCTGGTCCTGGAGTTGTTGCAGGTCATCCGCCTCGTCCGCAGGTCTCCTGTTGCACGACAGGCATCTCCGGACGATGGCGTGGATTTCGTGGGGGAATTGTGCTACAGCACGAGCATGGTGTCCTGGATCGTTACTACAGGCGATTGGCAATGTGGTGAACCGCGGCAGATGATGGGCATTCGCAGGTGCAATTTGAGTAGCGGGCAAAGGCGGCTAATAAGGGTCGACTGGGTAGATGTTGCCCTGCAGCGTCGATGCTTCGGGCGGGTTGACGGAGGCCGAGTAGTGAAATTGTATGGTCTTTTCTCGAAGAGCGCGTTTCAGGCGACCTGGCAATTTGAACGGCGCCGCAAGTTACAGCGGCGGCGTGAGAGTGTATGCATGCTCGCTGTACTTTCCACGTGAAGCAAGAATCGACTGCGCGGGCAAGTCTCATTGGATATGACAAGGTCGGCGATATTCATGGACGCAGAAGACGCCGATGGGATGCGCCTAGCAGGTAGTGTTCATGTTGGCTCGCGGCTATGGCCCTGCTGGTGTTGCTTTGTTGGCAGCACTGCTCACAGAGGTGTGTGTGGACATACACAGCGCAACGGTGGAGCCGAAGAAGGCAGGTGGATGGATGGAGGTGAGGACAACAAAGAGGTGATGGCACGGAGCCGTGTCGGTGTTCCACAATGCATCCAGTGAGCGTTGTCCACAAGTTGTCGAGGTTTTCTTTGCTGAAGTCCAGCGTTTTCGGATGAGCCACTGTGGATTTGAATGGCCAAAGGGGGCAAGCAGAAAATCGCTCACCTGCATGAGCAGATGACGATACGGGAACAACCTGCAGAGAGAGCCACACGCGGCAGATGGCTCCTCGGACAGCCGCAATGAGGTCGACGTGCTTTTTGGGGACATGTGTGGACAAGAGCTTTGAGTAAAGATTGGCATCTTCTCGTACCTCGAGGGAACAGCAGGATGGCGAGTACGCGTGATTCGCATGAAGGTTACATTTCCAAGCAATACGGGCTACGTCATTGTTGTTGGGTTCAAACTACCGTGTTCGGGTGTCTTGGTGAGACGGAGGGAGAATTCTTCGTGGCTGGACGGGCAACGCTGTGGAAACTGGTTCGTCGTCGTGGAGGTGAGCGACGAGAGCCAGACTCGCATCAAATGCCACGACCATCATCAGCGTGCCCGTGTGTGCAACGGAAACAGAAACAAAGTCTTCTGCCGTGGTGTGGGTGAGTGGGAGTGAGCGACGGCCCGCCAATCAAAGCGTGGGCTATCTTGGCCCATCGGCTTGCCACTTGAGTTTTGCAAGTCCACGCCCACGCCCGCCGTGGTGCTGTGGCTCTTCTCTCAATTTGCTGCCGTCCACCAACACTCTGCTCTCTTCCGCTCCCACCTCGTTCTTCACCACCAGCTTCTCAGCAAACATTCGGCAGAGAGCATTCTTGACGACGTTTGAAAGCAGGCGCTGCTTTCCAGCGTCTTCGTCGCCAGGCGCCCCGTCCGTCGCGCCCGAGCCGAGATTTGGTCATCACCAGTGCCAAGCACCCGCCCGCCCATCAATCATCCATCCTCGCCTCTCCTCCGGCTGTGCTCGATCTTCACCCTCAGCCCTGCGACAACTGCCCTCTCAGCCACGCTCTTGTATGTCCACTTCCCACTTCTAATCCTGGCCACCACAACAACCACATCCCCGACGCCGCGCCGCTTCAGCATCATTCCCCGCTGGCTCTGCTCCAAGTCTGCGACCGTCACCCTCGCATTCACACGCATTCACACGCCTTCCAAACACACCCGCTCTTCCACGACGCGACTTCCCCTCGACATGGCTGCTTCACGGCGATAGCACAGGCGGCCCATTCCATTGGGTCACTCCAGCGCACTTGCGCCCAAAACCTACCAACCACACTTCACGTGTTCGTGAAGCCTTCGAAACCCGACCATAACTACATCCTCACCACAACCCACACCTAACTTTACCGCCATGGACACCCGCAACGTCACCCAGCAGCGTATACCGCCGAACACGAGCGCCGCTATGGATCCCACTGAAAAACTACCTCCCGACGTCGACGAGCCGCCAGACGAACGCGATCCGCGACCACTCTGGACCCCCGGCGAACTACAGTTCGCCACGAGCAAGGTCGACCGTTCTCTGTTCAACCGCAGAGAGTCGCTTCTGACCCGACAGCTGCATTCAGAGACTGAACACACCGATGACGAAGACTCGCGCGCTCCACCGCGAACACTAAGCACTCAATCGACGTGGAGCAACCCAAGTGTTGCCTCGACCGCCGAGCTCACAAGTGACGATGGACACAGCGTCGCCAGTCCCGCCATCAGCCCTCCTCTACCACCTACTGCCGTAAAGGTCACCATTCCCATCATGGAGAAGCCACTAGCACGAGAACCACACATTCTAGGACAAGAGGACAAAGTGCCGGAGACCGGCTCAGAGAAGTCTGTTGAGGCTGGCCTGGGACGGAAGCGATGCATCTCGTTTGCGTGTGGCAACAAAGACAAGAAGCCACCGACGTCTCAACCAGCACCGCAGCCTGCCAAGGTGGAGGAGCATACAAGCTCTGCATCGCCGCCTAAGCGGAAATGCATGCTCAAGTTTGTGTGCCCTTCTCGGCCAAGTGTAGAACGCAAGCCCTCGGAAAAGTCTTTGGCTGCTGGCAAACGCCCAGTGAGCCCACCACCGGAGCGAAAGGCATCGGCTTCTGCCAAGGCGGAGGCGTTCAAGGCACATCGCGGATCTGATAGCACTGTCACGCATGCATCCCCTCAGAACAGCCGCAAGAGCCCGGCAATCGTCACGACAGCTCCTACTCCTACAACTACCATCATGGCAAGACGAAAGCTCTCCAACGACTCGGACGCCAGCACCGAAGCTACCCGATTCCACGAATTCGCTTCTAGCGATGGCGAACCAGAGGAATGGGTGCAAGAATCAACCTGTCACCGAAGCCGCCTCACCGTTTCTGACACGCTCAAGAAGGAAAACATTCTTCGCAAGGCTTGTGAGGAGGTAGAGGAGGAAGTAGTTGAAGAAGAAGAAGAAGAAGACGAAGAGGCTGATTTGGAGGACGAGGAAGATAACGATGACGATGAGGAGGACCAAGACGAGGAAGAAGAGTCCGACGATGGGTTCCGAACCGACGATGAAGATGGCTTCGCCGAGAGTGATTCCGAAGGCGAGGAGAGCGATGGGGATTGGTGGAGACCCGGCGGCATCTCAACCGCGGCCACCTCAGTCGACCATCTCGAACGCCTTACCCTCACTGTCGCCAAGGATGATCCTGCACCATCCTCATCCGTTGCCTCTGTCGACTCCAGCCACATTTCGCCAAGAGCTATCAAGGCAAAGTCTCGCCGCAAGCATCACTCGCACGCTGTGCCTATCAAGCCTCGCTCTGAGCCTATGGACCTTCCGGACTCCACCGACTTCGTGTGCGGTACCTTGGACGAAGATCGTCCATTGGAACAAGCCTTCCTCAACCAGCTGAAATTGAAGGAAGCGGCAAAGCACAAGGCACGGCCACAAGACATCGACCCTACTTTCCCTACTTCTGATCCAGAGATGGACGAGGAGGATGACGAGGACTTGGAGGATTCTGAAGAGAGCGAGAGGGAGAACTTGATGCATGGCGAACTGGACGAGCTGGACGGCGATCTGTCTGCCCGCCACAGGGCTGCTTCGCCTCGAACGCGTACTAGGAGCAACTCTCACCGCTCACCACCTCCACCTCGTCACAGGTCTCCAGCTCCGGCTGCCCTCAAGCGACAAGGCACTGCTCGTTCACCACCTCCGCCAGCTCGACGAGGTACTGCCCGGTCTCCTCCACCACGCAAGCTGTTTGGTCAATCTCCCAAGAGAAGTCGGTCACCAGCACCTGTCAAGACCATGACCTCCCCACCAAACACTCGTCGTGCTTCACCGATCTCCTCTGCGATCAAGATCGACACGCACGTCCTTGCCAGCCGACCACAGTTGACGCACACTGCCTCTCTTCCTCGTGGTGGCTTCAAGCTGGGCAAGATGAGCAAGTTCCAGGTCGACGACAGAGAAGGATCTGACACCGAACACGCTAATACTGGCGACGTTCCCAAGCGTGGAGCAATCGACATCTACAAAGGCCTTGAGAAGAAGCGCCAACGTAGAAAGGAGAAGCTCTACCAAAAGCTGTGCGCCAAGGCCGCCGCCAAAGGCGAGAAGGCGTACAAAGTCAAGCCTGGAAAGGGTGCCGAACGTATGCGTGAACTTGGTCTCGAACTCCAGCGATACCACGGCAAAGGAGAGCACATACTCTCCATGTAAGGAGTCACAGAACTCCTCTTGACAAATTTGACATTTTGCTTTCTGTGCAAGCTTGAGCACAGCGCCGCCGTCACGATAACGGCACTACCGTTGCCATTCCGGCAAAGGTACCACAGACCTGCTGAAGTCAACAGACTCCAAAACTGGTCTGTCTGGTCGCTGCGCTCGCTTTGATTACTTTATTACTGTTTTATTCACCCCAGGCATTGACACCATCTTGGCATTGGGAAAGGAGCAAAGGCGAAGCGAATGAGCGGGGTTTCACAAATGAGCGTTTTACCATGCTCGGCGAGGCATGAAATGATTCCCCCTGGATGAAGGCAGGCAGGCAGGCAGGCAGGCGGCATGGGTATGGGTCTTTCATGATAAGACGAATGGAGATGAGGATGGAGACCTCCTTTTTCTTTGTACATATGCTTCTTGGAGACCTGGAATGGTCTGATTGTGAATATGAAGAATTGGTTTCATGTGAAGCCGTACTGCGTCTTGTGAAGCTTTTCGCCACTGTTCAGTGAAATTTTGAAAAGAAGGGAAGAGGACTCGGAGTATGTGCTCTCTGCTGCTGAATGTATCCCATTCGACGTGTGAACACGTCTCGTTCGTAGTCAAAGATGAGAAAAATTCGTCCACACCTCATCGCCATTACCCGTTTCGGCAACACTACCCCTATCCGCTAAATTTAGGGTTTGACCCGCTCGACTCCACAACTTCCAACATCAACACCACCTGTAAAAAATCGCGCTACTATCACCCTCCCACAACCCAAATGCCCTCAAAACAATGGCACCCTCCATCTGGCATCCCACCATCATCTTCCCCCTCGCCATCCTCCTCCGCGTCGGCCTTCTAATCTACGGCCGCTGGCAAGACACGCACTCCCCCTTCAAATACACCGACATCGACTACCTCGTCTTCACGGACGCCGCGCGGTACGTCGCTGCCTCCCGCTCCCCCTACGACCGCGCGACGTACCGCTACACGCCTCTCCTCGCGTGGATCCTGCTCCCGACGACCTGGCCCGGCGGGTGGTGGTTCGAGTTCGGGAAAGCGCTTTTCGCCGCCGGGGATGTCGTGACGGGCTGGATGATCTTTGTGATTCTGCGCAGGCATTATGGCATGGACGTGCAGCGGGCCGGGAAGTTTGCGGGCGTGCTGTGGTTGGTGAATCCTATGGTTGCGAATATTTCGACTAGGGGGAGTAGTGAGGGACTGTTGGCTGTGCTTGTTGTGGCGTTGTTGTGGGCGGGGTTGGAGAGGAGGGTGTTTGTGGCGGGGGGGTTGTTGGGGTTTGGAGTGCATTTTAAGATTTATCCGTTCGTTTATGCGGTGGGGTTGGGGTGGTGGTTTGGGGAGAGGGGGAGGAGTGTGTGGGAGGAGGTGAGGGATCCTTTGGGGTTGGTTACGAGAGACCGCGTGAAGTTGGTTGGGGCGAGTTTGGCGACGTTTATGGCGTTTAATGGGGTGATGTATCTCTGGTGAGTGAGGTCTTTGCTAGTGTATGGAGGGGAGCGTTGGCTGACGATTTGTTGTAGTTATGGCATGCCGTTCGTGGAGCACAGCTATACCTACCACTTGACCCGGATCGATCATCGACACAACTTCTCGGTTTACAACACGATGCTTCACTTGAGCTCGTTGGCTGGTGGTGATGGAGGTTTCAGGGTTGAATCACTGGCCTTCCTACCGCAACTCTTCCTCTCGGTTGTGGCCATACCGGCTCTACTGGCGAAGACGGATTTGGCATCAATGATGCTTGCACAGACGTTTGCTTTTGTCACGTTCAACAAAGTGTGCACCAGCCAGGTACGTTCAACAATTGAATGAAGTGAGTCTGAAATGAGTTTCTGCTAACTCTGTTCGCAGTACTTCCTATGGTACATGGTGTTTCTGCCTTTCTACCTCCCCTTCTCCACACTGCTGAAGAAGCCCCGGACTGGAATCACGGCTCTCGTCCTCTGGGTCGCTGGTCAAGCCTTCTGGCTGCAGCAGGGGTATGAGCTGGAGTTCAATGGCCAATCGACGTTTGTGCCTGGCTTGTGGTTCGCGAGTGTAGTGTTCTTCCTGGTCAACTGCTGGATTCTCGGCATCGTCGTCGATGACGTGAAGTCGTGGAGGCGAGATGGGGCTTCTGTTGAGCCTGCTGATTCCAAGAAAGATCGATAGTCGTAAAGTTTCTGATCCGGATGGTCGCTCTCATCCTCCAATGGCTTTCACGCATCCCATCGCAGCTCCAGCAGCGAGACCTCCGAGTAAGAGCATCTGGAAAGCGTTCTGGAAGCAGACCCAACTACTGCACTCTCCAACCAGAGCAGTCTTGACCCAGCCAAAGACGAACAACGCCACCGCCATGACAATGATGCTGCAGTAGAGTGCCTCGCGAACATGCTCAAAGAACAGATACGGCAACAACGGCACCAGCCCACCAAGAAAGTACCCCAACGCAATCGTGAAACCAGAAACATACGCCCTCGAAGGCGCATAATCCGCCTCGGTCAACTGATGCTGAAACCGCATAAGGAAATCGACAAAAAGTTCCGGCTGCTCCCTCAAATTACCCGTCATCGCCTTCAACGTCTCCGGCGCAAACGCGTACCGCTCGAACGTCCCCTGCAGCATCGCACACGCCCGGTCGGAATCGTTCGCCACGACCTCCTTGGTCTCCTCCAACGCCGCGTAGTACCCGTCCGCCTCGCCTTTCGCGCCCAGGTACCCGCCGAGGCCCATGGAGATTGCGCCTGCGACGAGCTCCGCGAAGCCCGCGTAGATTACCAGGCGCGTGGTTCCCAGGGCGGAGAGGCCGGCTGTGAGGGCGAAAGGGACTGTGAGGCCGTCTGAGAGGCCGATGGTTGCGTCGGAGATGATGCGGGGGTTGATGCGGCAGCGGAGGAGGGAGGGCTTGTCTGATTGAGAGGCTTTGTCGGTGAAGGTGGTGGTTTCGCTGGAGGAGACGGAGGGGTGTCGTTCGATGTCGAGGAGGCGTTGTCGTTCGCCTGGTAGATCGCTTGGTTGTTGTTGCTGCTGTCGAGGCAGCAAGAGGGATTTGAGTGAGACGAGCGCCATTTTGATGATCTGTCTGTACTGTGTCTCCTCGTCTTGACCGTTGTTTCTAGATACAAAGTGAACCACAAACAGAAAGCAGCACGAGGAGGTCCTCCTTCTATAAAAGTCCCTTCCCTACCTCTACCTCTCGTCAAGCCTGCATTAATCCAGCCAATCACAGCCCAGATGATTACCGCTTACTCACTCCACCCATGCGCGGAAAAGGCAATTTGCGCCATGGAGACTCCCGCAGCTGCACTCGCTCGCTCGCTCCCTTCTGGCCTTTTCCAGTGGCGCTCTGGCGAGATTCTCTCGTGCCTCTCCCGCAATGTCCTTTCGCTCTCCGTCTCGTTTCGTTTCGTCGCTTTCTTTACATCACCGTGCTGCGTTTAGATGCATTTGGTGACGTTTGATGCGTTAGGCAGCGAGGTTTGGATGAGAGGGGGTTTTCCAGGATTGGGGATGTGGTCCGTGGAGGTTATGGATGGGTTGTGTTTGGTGGCCGTGGAGATTCCTTGGATGGTCGCTGGTGGTGCTGCGGGTAGGCAGGCATCAGTTCGAACGACCTACCTTGTAAGGAGGCCGGCTTTCAACCATCGGTCCCGGATGTATTCAGGACGTCTGTTGCTGTCGGTGTCGGAAGATTTTGGTCGGTCAAGTCGGTGTGTGAGGAAAGGAATCAGGCACCATTCAAAGCATTTCATTTCATGACACCTATCCTCTCATCCGATATGTAGATCAACAATCGACAAAAACTTTTCACCCGCACCATCTAGTTCTGCACATCGTTAACAGCATATCCCTTAGGAGGGTGCTGGCCATCAGGGATCTGGACACCAGTGTTATAGTACGCCTGCTTCGAGTTCTGGCTCCTCCACGACCACCCACCACCATACTGGCGCTGGATAGCCGGCAGAACCGTACGACCTGTACGTGGCGAGCGAGCCTGGACGTTGGGGATCGGGTACGAGGCGTTCTGGAAGCCAGTGTTGAACGGGCCGGCGAAGGAGCTGTTCAGGAAGACGCTGGGGTCGCTGCCGGTCACGGCGTCCCAGCCCCGGTAGATGTCGCCCGTGTGCTCGGCGACGAGCTTGAAGACGTTAGCGCCGACGTCCCAGCGGCCGAGGGTGTGCAGGCCCCAGTTGGCTTCGACGGTCGAGATGTCCGAGTAGTGGTTGTACCATTGGTCATCGGTTGTGCCTTGGAGGTTCTCGGGGACGGCGCCGCCGAGCAGGATGCTGTAGACGCGGTTGCCGATGTTGTAGGTGTCTGTGGATGATTGTCAGTATGGGAGTTTCGAATTTTGGGAGAGGAAGGGAAAGCTTACGGTTCTCGTCGAAGGTCAAAAGGACCAAGGTGCGGTCCATGAAGTACCTGTTGGACAGGAGTGGCTCGAGGAAGTTGCGAGACCAAGCACCAGCGACGGTGACGGAGGTGTCATGGCCGTCAGAGGTCATGTTAGGGGTGATGAAGCTCCACTGAGGGAGTCTCTGGGCCTTGAGGTCGCTGAAGAACTCGGTAAGGTTCTTCTGGTAAGAAAGGCGACGGGGGCTGGTGTTGGAGTTGTACAAGACTGTGTTTGAGAAATTAGAGGTTATCACTGGGACGAAAGCATGGTTTTGAACGTACCCGGTGGGTTGTGCTTCCTGACATAGTCGTTGGCGCCAGTCTTCTGGTTCACCCAGGCGAAACCTTCAAAACCAGTGTATGGCATGTCCTCCTGGTATCTGTATCGAGTCGAGTTAGCTCTGGTGCTAACATATGATGGCTCAACAGAGCACGAAGACTCACGATCCCCAAGAGATGCCCCTGTCCTCGAGCAGGTCGGTCACCGTGAAAACATCGTCTTCAATCTGGTTGAAGTTGTCGTTGTCCATTCCGAAGTTGTCACCACTACAACTTATCAACATACAACTTCCCTCTATCGAGCTTTCCATACGTACCCAACAGCGGCAGCGTAATTAGGCTCAGATGGGTGTGTCACGCCGAAGTAGTTGGACAGCGTGATACCCTTTGAAGCGAGCCAGGCGAGGTTTGGGTCACCGGCTGCCTTGTCGTAGTCGGTGTTCTCAAGCCAGATCTCCACGAAACGGTCAAACACTCTGCCACGCTGGTATCGGCTGCGACCCTCATAGTTGGCAGCAGTGGCCTGGGCAGCGTAAACAGCGCTGGGGGCAGTAGCAGTGTTGACGTTGGGCTCGTTCTGTGCCACAACACCAACAGCGGCGAGGGCTAGGAATGCTGCAGTGGTAGCCATTGTTGTCGTCTTCCCTGTGTTCAAACGAATGAAAGGGCGCAAACTATGGTTCTTGAAGTGTCGAGCAGTGCTGATCTTTGGAAAGAATCGGATTCGCCTACCTTTATGTTCGCGCTTGCACTTTGCCTAACGTCTGCAGCCGCTCGACCACGTTTTCGCCCTCCCACGCGTACGCCGCTTGGACGAACATCCAGAGAGGAAGGTCGCCGCCTCCGTGTGGGCTACGATGCCGGACTCCCGGGTCGACGAGGTCGAAGAATGCCACATGCCTGACCTCTGGCAGCGTCCCATTGGCCGAGGAAAAGTCGCAGAGTGACATTGAGGCGCCACCAAGCTTTTTCGAGAAGGTCGATCTGCGTTAGCACGCTGCTTGACGGCCAGTCTAAGCTCCACTGGAAAAGTCTTGAACGGTCCATGTTGCCAGGGAGGAGAGGGAGTGGGAGGAGAGGTCGAAAGCGTGCCTTCAGGGTCCAAGACGATTGGCTGGGGTCGGGACGAAGATTGAACGGAGGATGCAGGGCTCCGGCAGCTGAGCCTCACCTGGGCAAGCGTGATGCAATGCGTTCGGTTCCACGAACACTATTCTACCCAAAATGGGAGATGGATGGGCAGGTCGGTGGCCAGCGGCGACGGCGTGTGTGGCCACGGGCAGGAGCGATTCCGCCGCGTTACATCACGCGAGTTGACGTTCTCAAATCGTGGGTTTGTAGATTTCGTCTGGATCCCAAGCACTTGATCAAATCTTCTTTGCGTTGACGACTCATGGATGCCTTTCAGCCTTGGTGAAAGCTGGAGACAGAATGGCTGAATTCGACGTCCGTTGAATGGTCCCAGTAACGAAGCCTCGCGAACATGGAGTCCGGAAACGCCATGCAAGAATCACGACCTTCGGATGAGAGCAGAGATGTCTCAACACCTCGTACCACCGATTCTGAACAAGAGCAAGGACTGTTGCAGGAGTGGAAGCAACGTAATGGCGAGGCGTTTGATCATTCCAATCGAACGCATAAGAGATGGCGACCATGGAGTGTCTCAGCTTTCATAGCGGTTCTTCTGGCAGCTCTGATCACTCTGGTGGTCGTTACGGCGTCAGCTTTTGGCGTCGAGAAAGAAGAGCACCAGGAACAGCATGAAGAGCAGAACGTCCAAGACACGACGGGAGTCCAGACAAACGACTATATACTTGATGTAAGCTGGGATTACCAAGCTCCTCCCAAGAAGCGAGAGTATAGCTGGACAATCAGAGATCAAGAGCATAATCCTGACGGTATCTACCGACCTATGATGCTCGTCAACAACCAGTTTCCTGGACCTTTGATCGAGGTGAACGAAGGGGACACCATTGTTGTGCATGTGGACAATCAAGCAGTAAATGCTACGTCTATCCACTGGCATGGTATCTACCAGAATGGAACTTCGCATATGGATGGCACTGTCGGGATTTCCCAGTGTCCAATTGCGCCAGGCCAGCAATTCACGTACGAGTTCACGGTCTCAGGCCAGAGCGGATCGTACTGGTGGCACGCTCATCAGGGGCTTCAGTCGGCAGATGGTGTGCATGGACCGTTGATCATTCATGGCCGAGAAGAAAAGAAGCTGCAGCGGATCCAATATGATACCGACAGAGTTCTCTTGATTTCTGATCACTACCACGATCTCTCATCAGCTTTGCTCTGGCAATACCTCAAGCCGGATATGGAGAATACTGAGCCTGTGCCGGTTGGAGGAGTGATCAATGGCCAGTCTATCCGCAATTGCGAAGATTTCCCAGAGCGACGATGTGACAACACGACTGCGAATGTTAGACTACCACGAATTGATCTCGCTCCGAATCAGCACCACAGGTTGCGCTTGATCAACGTTGGTGCCTTTGCCGAGTTTCAAGTGCAAGTCGACGAGCATGAATTGGCCGTCACGGAAGTTGATGGTACGGATGTCGAGCCGTTGAACTATCACCGAGTGAACATCAACCCTGCGCAGAGATACAGCGTTGTTGTGAACACCACGGTCGAAGATTCCGGGACATTTTGGCTGCGCGCTCGAATGATTACTTCCTGCTTCACCGATCCTCCCAAGACATTACAGCCGGACGTCCATGCAGTGGTTCGATATAACGAGAAGACGAAGGAGATGCCAGGCTCGATCGACTGGGAAGAGAGACTTGCATCGCAGTGCAACGACATGAACACGACCGATCTTGTCCCAGCTGTGGTCACGGCCGCCCCAATGGAAGCCGATCACTTCTTCTACCTCCGTTCCAACTTCGAGATTGGCCGATACAGACTCAGCCGTGGCTTCTTCAATGCCAGCTCATTCCGACCGCAGGCCAAGTCTCCAAGTCTTCATCGAGTGATTGACGGGCTTACGGCTCAGAATGAGACATTCAAGGCCGTTGACGATAGTGATGAAGTTTTCATAAACGATGCAGCATTCGACATTTCGAACGAACTCGTCATCCAGACCTCTGGCGTGAAGACGATCGATTTCCTCATCTCCAACTTCGATGACGGGAACCATCCGCTGCATCTACATGGCTACAAGTACTTCGTGCTCGCACAAGGCCACGGCTATCCTCCCCTTACGCACGTCGGTGCGGACATCAATTTCGAGAACCTTTCACCCCTATACGACAGTCTCGATTTATCGAACCCACTCCGTCGAGATACTGCGTCGGTGGAAGCGTTCGGCTGGATCTTGATCCGATTGATCGCGGATAATCCAGGTGCTTGGGCTTTCCACTGTCATATCTCGTGGCACTCTGAGGCTGGTCTTTTGATGCAGCTCTTGACAAGAGCTGACGGATTGGCTGCTGTGCAGATTCCGAAGGCGAATGTGGATCTCTGCGCTGCACCTGGTATTGAGAGGGGCATGGGGCCGGAGGATGAGGATTATAGAGATGTTGGGGAGTGAAGCAAATGGACGATGTGACGAACGACAATGGACGTATGTAAAACGGTACTTCGGTCAGCACGACTGTGCGGTATCTGGAGGCATCCTCTGAGAGGCAGCGGCCTTCGAATCCAAGCACGACTCGAGTCAATCGCAGCCAAGGGTCGAAATGGCAACGATAAGAGTACCCTGCCTGATGCAAGCCAGATCCTGATTGAATCAATCGATGGCGCCTGCACAGCAGCGAGAGTCGCCGAAAAGAAGAGGCAGTCGGGCACGTTGACGACCCTGAAGTAGGAGCAAGGGTGTTGGTGGTGGCTGGATGGGTACAGAGGCTGCAACGACGTAGAGAACTCGAATCAAATGGTTGAACAGTCATGCATGCGTTGTGGAGATGTCTGTTCGTACCTTTATCGCTCGTGTTGGTGACCTACCCTCATCCTTCCGCTCAACGTGGAACGACACGGCACGCACGAGATGGCATCATTATCCCCTCGAACTCTCGACCAACTGAGATCTTAAGCGCATTTGGGAATGCTTTGCGAGCAACTGGGATTGATGTTCCACTCTGAGCGGAAGGAGGAAGGTAGCAAATGGTCCTCACTTTTCGCCCGAAATATGAATTTTGGCTATGCTCCAGCATCATTGAGGTTCTTCGACGAAGCAAATACAACAGTGAACCATAGCGTAGTGATTCAACACCTTCGATAATAGGCAGTTGAACGGGTCGTCGACGAAAATGAACTGAATCGACGAATTCTTCCTTCGTGACCCTTTAGCTTGACCTGGACCAAAAAAGAATTATCAATACCTTTGAACTACTTCAAAAATGTAAAAGAATATGCAGCTTCTGTGGATCGAACACAGTACCTCCAGATACCGCACAGTAGTCGTGCTGACCGAAGTGAACTTCAGTCTGGCGCTCTCCCAAGCTGTGGGGTTGTTAGCGAGTGAACCAAACGAACTTCTCAGAACTTGGAAAACTGACTGAGCTAAAGCTGCCGGTTTGATTGGCTGATTCATGCAATATAGTAGAGCTTTTAATATATATAGCTCACAATGTTGGTGGCTAAACTTCTTCGCGTACCTACGTTTATACAGTTACGAGGCGATGACAGACCTCGATTGCGACGATACAGGAAAATTCTCTACCTCCGATCTATCGAATTTGAGAAGGTGGCGGCTCAGTTGAATGGTTTGCAGAAATTGGGCGTGCGTCCCAGCTCGAGATCGCCGGCTTGATCAATTCCAACGACGCGCAACAACACAATCTGGTCTCAAATATTCGAATAGATCAATTCCGAACCCTCTGACCGTTGTGGTTACGATTGTACTTGTGTAAACATCATTCATCTCAAAAGTCTTGGTTTTTCCCAAAGGGGAAATTTTTCCGCTTACTCATCGATCCAGGGGATCCTTCCTTCCTCCATCCTTCATTGCTATTCCAACGACACCTGCCTACCCTACTTTGGCTCCGCCTCTATAACGCTCTCTTCCTGGCCCGTAGCATCACGATAGATGCGGTTGATCTTAAACCCAGCACGGTCCAGCAGCGAGTACCACTGCGCCTGCGTGCGTTCCGTGCCTACGCAAAGATCAGAGAGGGAACTCGAAAGTGCAGCGCTTTACAGACCTGTAAATGCAGCCATCATGACAACATCAAGCAGTGCTGGATAGTATGGCGGACTCTCGCCGGGCAGGCAAAAGTCATCGATTAAGAGCAGTGAGTAGCCTGGAGTCATGGCCAGCTTCACATTCGCTAGTATCTCCAACGCCTCCCCGTCGCTATAGTTGTGGATGATCTGGCGGAGATAATAGGCTCGGGCTCCTACTCACTCAATATCAGTCTACATCTTACACCTCGGATTGACTTCCGAATGGCGCACCATGCATAGGCTGAGGCGTAAAGAAGTCATGCGGCTGTCTTTCTACAGCGGCGTCCAGTGTTCTGATGTTACCGAGCACAGTCTCGGTATCCTGCAGGATCAATCTTCCAGGACAATCGGGAAAGGCATTTCGAAAAGCCTGGAGGTCATGACCTTCGCCACCACCCACGTCAACAAGCAGGGCATCGCTGTGTGGTTCGCCTCCAACAGATTGAGCGACAAGTCGTTCCTGTACTGGATAGAAGTTAAACCACTCTGGACGGCCGGCTCTCGAACGTGCCATGAACTTGCCAAAGTGGACCATCAGATCGCCATCCTTGGCCATGTACTCATAGATCGAATCCTCTGTCTGGAGCGAATATTGAAAAGGGCCAGGCCCCTCTGTTGGCATTCGATAACCCGCCTTCTGGAGGAAATATGGCAACCCGGCGAATGCCTTCAACTCAAGCGAGTGCCTGTACGGCATGTTATTGTGATATCCTGTATCTTTGCTAAGCACTTGACTTACACGAAAACGTAGCCACCTTTGAACCCAGGGTCACTCAAAAGTCTGGACAGTGGCGTTGCACGATACAAAGACCCTGGCAACTCCTCTACGACTCCCAAAGGGGCCAGGGGTCGGATGAGACGATCTGTCATTCATCAACAACAGCGTGTGCGAGCGTCTCGCACCGACATACAGACGATACGCTCATCAGCCCCACAAGCTTCAGCAAGTACTTTCACCGAGAGAGAGTCTTCGCACGCATTCAACTCGTCGATGGCCCCCATATCCAACAACGCTTTCAATGCCGTGGTGGGAACACATTGGTACAACAAAGCCCAAAGGGCCTCCACGGGCGTCTCGAGTAATTTTCGAGCCTCCTCGAGCTCTGACTTGAGCTGCCTTCGAACATTGTCATCGTCCTGGACTGACGCACGTAGCGATCTTATGGATGCCACCGCCTCCGAGATGTCAAGATTCCCCATGCTTGCACAAAGGACTAAGCGTGGATCGATCGATTGCGGAGGTCACAGATGAAGAGGACTTCAAGAAGCTTTTAGTCACAGGTGAGCCTGCCGTCCTCGTTGTCGGATCCGAACGCATGTGCTCAAATTGTGAACACGACGAACCTTGTCAGTTCCGCACTGAAGATGAAGCTAGGACTGAACAGCTTTTGCGAACCAGATAGATAGCACGGCGGGTTACTCAAGAGAGTCAGAGAAGTGGTAGAAAAATATCGCGAGATCCTCGTATTTCCGTGTCATCATCCGCCCCAGACGTTTGAACACCAGACGCCCAGCGACTTGGTCGGTGGCACTCTGCAGCATCGATATTGGGAGAAACCTGGACAACGGCACGTTTCTTGCACATCCATTGGCAGGAAAGTGCCGCTACCTATTGGCGCTGATATCAAGGCTGAAGGACTGCACATGACCCACACAGCCATTCCCCCTGGCTTCGTAGCGAAGCAGCAGAGTGATCATTCACCTTGACACACCACGCACTGCGACACTCTAATTGCAACCCCAATCGACTGATTGCTCAGATAAGAAGCCCTCCTCAGAGACGCTGTTCAGCCCAGGTACTCGCCAAATGCTGGCGTGCTCGTGTGGTGGAGCTTCAGTCCGATCATCGAGCGTTGCATGAGCAGTCGCTTCCAGACGAGACCTTGATTGCAAGCATTGCCTATCCTGGTGCATGAGGCGATGGAGCACGCTCGCGTTGCTCCCCAGTATGGCGAAGGCCACCTCGACACCGCCAGGCTGCGAGAATGGACCCCGCGCCGAACATGTCCGACCAAGCTGTGATGTTTGTGAGATGGCCGTTATTGGCATGTCTTGCAGCACAGCAGGAGTAGACGATGTAGCCGAGTTATGGGCGATGCTCCACACACGTGGCTCTCAACACCGAACGGTACCATGGGGTCGATTGTGAGTGCACTCGTCAACACGCAAGGTCGATGGAGAGCGGCCGTTGCATCGAAACTTCATGGGAACCAGCGCCGCCGACTGTCTCTCAAACACCGCCTGATATTCACCAGATGCATTCTCGGTGACCGGTTCACAGACTGGCTTATTGCGGGCAGATCCAGCCACCACTTTGGTTGGAGCGGCCCGGCCATGGCACTGGACACCGCATGCTCATCGTCTGGTCCTGCCCTCCATCAAGCATGCCGAGCATTGGCATATGGCGATTGTTCGTCGGCGTTGGCTGGAGCATCATTCGTGATGATAAGACCCCGCCGTCCCTGAATGCGTGCTCGAGAAGCCCATCGCCTTGCCTACTCGATGTAGCCAGTCCAGATATGTGGCTGAGCTGATGCTCGCGGGGACCCTACAGAAGCATGCGGAAGTGGTCGGTGCGACGAGTGTACGTGTCGGCATTCTTGCTGGGTCCCGCTGCACAGGCTGATCGAACCCAGGTGAACATATCCTTTCTGTCATCCGTGGTTCACAGACGCTGGGCTACATGCCAAACCTGGCCGTTGACGTCTCATGGACGCCCGTAGATGACGCTGCTCGAGTGCTGGCTGATCTAGCCGTAACATCTGAACCTCTGCATCCAGTCTACCACCTGAGCAATTACAAGCGACAGCCACGGAGCGCCATCGCTGCTTGGCTGGCAGAGAATTTGAGGGTGTCTCCATCAAGGGTGATTCCAGTGGATGGAGCTTGTGAAGGAACACGAAGGACCATCGCATGAGAATCCAGCTGGACCTTTGGCGGACGTCCTGGAGCAGCACTTCAAGACGTTCTTCGCCGGCGATCTTATCCTAGGCGCCATCTTTTGCCAATCTCATACTCCGTGGATGCAGCATATGACATCAATTGGCCGTGATACTTTTGCGCGATACATGCGTTTCTGGAGGGATACCAATTTTATTGATTCGACTCTTGTATGATGAGGGCAATAATACACTATCCCATCTCTTTCAGCGTCTTTGCGGTGTGGCGAACAAAAGGGGGTTGGTCGCTTTCGTGAGCACGAGGTTGTCGTGTTAGACGAAGTGAAGTGGCAATGTGTCACATGTGTTGCTCGCGAGGTCGGACAGTTGAACCAGGTTGGCCGTCTTCGTGAATTGGGAGGGGGAGGATGTACATTCGAAGGGGTCATGGCAATTGGTCGCCGTTTGCGGGCTCGTGATGAGGCAAGATACCCGTCCGTGGCTGATGGCGCCAGATCAACGATGCGGTCCTCGAGTCAGCACAGAATCATGAGGGGAAAGGGGGAGTACGAGGTGAAGTCTTGTCCTTTACTCATGTGCGACGATCAGCTCCTCCGCCACAATCTCGTTGATAGCGTACTGTTAAGAGTTTTGGTGATGTCAAATTGCGACGAGAGTCAAAGCGAGCCGCGGCGATGCCACGGTAGGTTGTTGAATGCGGTTATCATCATCCTATACCACTCTCGACATCCACGGCGTCAACCGTCTCTCGAAAATGTGTGCGATCATGCTCCATAGCTGCCCTGCTCTTCGCCGTGATTCTGCGTCTTCTGACAGGCCACACGCACTCGAATTTCGACCGTGGGTTGTGGTGGTGGCGGAATGCCGTGAGGGTGGGTGCGGTGGTCACGAGCTTGGTGGCATGATGCGACGGCGGTGCGAAGGCATTGTGATGAGATCGGTGGTGGTAGAGTGAGGTTGGACGAAGTGGTTGCTTCTTCACAAGGCGCCGTGACAATGTTCTGGTGAGACGATGAGGTGGTGGTGATTGTGGTGCACAGGTCTCTTCTGCAGCGCCCAGTCAATGACTGCGACGATGCTGAAAAGTGATTCGCGTCTGCCGGCGATAGTGCAATACCGGCGACACGGTGCCATGCGACATGAGCAAGCTCAGCGGCCGCATGACCAGTGCCAAAAATAAGAATAATCTTGAATGAGTCCGTAGACTCGTTTCAGAGATTAAACTGAAAAGAACAGATACTACACTTGATCTAAGCTGCGAGATTGTCAGTATTTTCTGGAACATAAGAGGAAGTGTAAACATACCCAAAAGGCAAACTGTGATGAGTAGTTAGCAGAAGGCCAAAATGTAGGGGTCAGGATGGTGATCTTACGAGAGCTGAAGAAAGAAAGTCAAGTTGGAAATTTGGAAAATTTTTATATTCTACGTTTTGAGCACGTCCCATTCTTTGGTGGCCTGGACGAACAGATTCTCCATTTCGAACTTATGTAAGCAGTATCTCATGATTGGCCTATTACGCGAGCACGCATCGACTTCGGACGTCGTCCAAACGTGTCACCAACGTCGTTTCCTCATGTAGCTTGTTCTTGTGCCTGCCTGTAAGGTGCCTTCCTGCTGCAGCGATGACCGCGAGCGCGTCACTTCCCAAGCTCATCCGCTCGCTTCACTCCCTTTCTCCTCTTCGCCATGTCACTTCACCTCCACCACCACACCGCAACCAGCCATGGCCGACACCTTCGACTCCTCTGATGTGGAGTACGAGGCACCTGTGCCCAAGCTGAACAAGAGCGCCGGCCAAGCCTCTATTGCTCGCCTTGTACAAGACGGCGAAAACGATCGCCTTACTTCAAAGAAGACCGTCAAACAGCTCACTTTTGGCTCTGGAGCGAAGACAACTCGGTACCAGCAAGCTCTCTGGGTCAACCGCTTCGAGGTCTTTCGCGAGCACACATTAAAGCAAGCACTTGACAAGCCCTTTAAGGCGGATGACTTGATCCGCTTCCTTGACACCATTCTCAGTAAGTACACAGCAGACGCAATACTCGCTCAAGTGCTAATAGGCTTCTAGGTAAGAAGAAACTCAAGCTTCGCCGTGGGAAACCCGCACCAAACGATGATCTTGCCTGGGACGCCGCCAAGATTATCATCTCCTATGGTTCCTTCCGTTGGGCAGAAGAAGAGGGCTTCAAATTCAAAGAGCAGCATCGCCTTCGGCTCAAGACCTTTGTCGACGATTGCGTTCGAAGCGGCCGACTCACAGCCGGCAATTGGTATAAGAGGACATGGATCGGGTTCGTCACGTTGTCACGCATGGTCCGGATGTTTCTCGCCGAGGCCTCAGACAAAGGTACTGCCAGTTGGGATCTCACGATCTCGAGATGCCTAAGTATCGTCATAGTCGGAGCACTTGGTTGCCGTGCCGGCGACGTGGCGATATCGAGAGGTTACGATGGCAACGAGTACCTACAATACCAGCACATTGAGCTCTTCCTCGAGGAGAACGACCAGTCGAGTCCCACCCAGCCAGCGAAATTGGACGACGTCCGAGCTGTGATCACTCTACAGTACACCAAGGGAATGAAGAACCGAGCGGAGAACTCACCTGTCAAGTTCCTCAGCCCGCTCCTTGATCCGAGCTGCTATCACGTCTGCCCAATTACTCTGCTACTCATACATGCTCTCCGTCACGGTATGTTCGAAGGTGGTCAATTCCGATCTATCCAGCAAGTCCTGGATCATGCAGCCCAGCGACCCGACCGGAAGATTGCTTGGAAGTATCCGACACGGCCTCTTCTGCCTATGTTCCTCAATGGTCCTCTCCGGTGCAACTTGGACATGCCTGCGCCGACGAACCAACTCCTTACGACCATCAAGAGTATGGGTCAGGTTTCTGGCATGCTCGATCGCGCGTATACTCACGGGCTTCGTCTGGGTGCTTCTCGCGATCTTGCGCACTTTGAGTCGAAGAAGTCTGCCGAGCTCCTAGGTGCGGGAGTTGCACACGACGAGATCAGACGATCCCTCGGCCATAATTCAACGACCACGGCAAAAGGCACAACTGATCGCTACATTGGTGACACCGGCGCAGACTTTTATCAAGCACGCGCTAGCGCAAAGCCTGTACATCGCCGGGAGCCTCACTTTGCCTTGAATCGAGCGGACGTCATTACTGAGATGCATCGACCTATCTCGGCTGAGGAACGCGAGGCAGATCGAGCAACGTCGGACACTAGCAAGACCACCTAGGGAGTGGCTGGGAGTGTTCGGCGCGGTCGTTTGGACAAGCTTCGCGATAACGTTATGCAAGAACCCACACGCTCCCGTCAGCAGGCGTCTGTTGCCTCTGAGCCGTCACCTCTCCCTCAACAGATGAGAAGAACCGGCAAGACCCTGGCACGTGCTCCACTGGTCGATCTGTCTTCCAATACGCCCGTCAAGCGGAAGACTTTGGACGACGTCCAAGATGCGCCCAGTGCCAACGGCGAGGACATTTCCATTGACCCCGTCTTGCTCGCCTATGATCAGCGCTCACTCAATGTCAGCGACGCTCAGCAAATGAGTGATGAGGTCCCCCAAGACGTCCAGGCACTCTGCAGCATCGTCTTTCCCGAGGGTGGCGATACGATTGAAGCCACTACTGAAGCTCCTCCGATGGTCGATGTCGCCGACCTCGAGCTGCAAGACGAGGTTGCACGCTGCCTTGCTGGCGATGATCTGTCACCCACAAAGAACTCTGGTGTTGCCTTTGTGGACGCCTATTCTTGCATCAACGTCGTCAGCAATATGCATTTCGCGCAGACGTGGAGCAAGTATGAACCAGGCAGCGAGGGCTCCTTCCAGCAGACGATTGGAATGCATAGCACTCGCGGCCATAGCAAGGACGATCCGACGCCTTTCCAATATCGATGCCGTGTCTCCCCGGAATGCGATCATATGGAGCTACTGCTGCACAAACTGGAGAGACATGAAGCACGCTGTACCAAAGAGACGTCGAGTGCTATGAACGATGCCCTCGCCATCGCTGCTGCCAACCAGAGCAAGCTCGAAGCAGGTACCCTCAGCAACGACCGGCGCTGCTCCCAACCCGATTGCTCGTACGTCGTTATTGGCAAACCTGACGACCAGGTAAAGGCTGCCATGAAGAAGCATGTCTACAATGTTCACGATTGGGAGCCCAAACCATGCGAGCACGGCTGTGAACCAGAAAAGACGTATGCATCTCGATCCTCGTACACTGCGCACAAGTCGAATAGCTACAGTGGCCGGTGGCCCACGCATTGTTCGTTCCCAGGCTGCACAGAGACGAAGACATTCAACGGCCCTGCCACCCTTGGAGATCATCTTTCTCGCAAGCATGGCCTTGCTAGTGCAGATGAGCGAAAGCCGTATTATCCGGCGGCAGCCTCTGGCAAACCATCTGGCAGGTTTGCGGCACAGAGCTGCATTGTCACCGGATGCGAGAGCGAGCAGACATTCAAGGCTGTGAAGTCACTCCAGGCGCACTTGGTCTCCGCTCACTCGATGGAGGAGACTGCTGCTACGACGCTGATTCATCAGAATGCGCGGTATGAATCAGCTGCCTCTAGTGGTAAAGGACCCAGTTCGCGACAGGTCATGAAGGCTTTGGAGTCACAGGCACCGCAGCCACCGGCTGCAAAGAAGAGAAAGACTTGAGATGGAGCTCAGATTATGAATTACATTGGAACGGAATCTTGAAAGGCGGGGCATGTTACATGTATGTAGTATAGGCGGTCAGTCGAGGTATTTGGACGACGTCCATTCACATATCACAGCCAGTCGCCGCGGTTTCGCACATCACGATCTCGATCTGGATCACCTTCTTGTGGCTTTATCCGCTCGACCAACGTGGGAAATCCGAGCACCTTAGTATGGCCAATGTTATCGCCATTGAGAAAGCTCGAAAAGATCACATGCAACGATTACGATCAGATGCCGTCGCGGACTTCACTGTCTGCCTGGTGCGCATGTGACAGTCATTGCACACCGAAAGTGAAGAACCATGGCCGGCGTCGCCATTCTCTCACACTCTCTCTCCCGCTCTCTCTTTCTCTACTCATATCCAACAACACATTGAAGCGTGACTACTTGCACCCACTAGAAAGCGAACGTCCGAATCCATGGCGGACGAGACTGTAAGTGCTTCGTCAGATCTCCAACCCGAACAGCTGCTGATATCATGTATAGCAGAGGCCGTCAAAGAAACAAAAAATCAGTCACAAGGACGTGGACACTCTTCCTGGCGAGGTCAGAAACGAGATATGGCGCCAGATGCTCCTCATATCAAAGACCTCGAAGGAAGAAAAAGCGCAGCCGGTCGTGATTTGGCAGCTTCACCTGGATGACCCACAAGTTTGCAACATCCAGGAAGTTGATGCAGGAAATGCCCACAGATCTAAGATCACTCCATCTAAGTCAACACCACTCGATCAGCAGGAGTTGATCAAAGCTGCCACCAAGTCCTTTGCAGAGTTTCTCAGTGAGGTATCGCCTGAGACGATCTTCGCGTTTGCAAACACAGAAGCGCTGCAGAAGTTTGCCGCCCTCATCAACCCCCACCTGCAAGCCAGTGTCGATTACAAGATCAAACTGCGGCTCCTGTTACCCCTATTCGACGAAAGCGAAGAAACATTTGACTCCATGACTGGCTGGAAGAGCATCAAGCAAGCCCATGGGTATGCGGAGGAGGCACGTAGTCACGTCCAGGAGTGGATGGACGTCGTCCAAACGATCGAGTGCCCCTGCGAGGTCTTTCTCGAGTTTGGTCAACATTGGAGAGATTACCGAGCCTTGAGAGGAGTCACTCGAAGCTTGCGCGAGAAGGATGGGTGGACACTCGAAGTGTTGGCCAAGGACAGCGCCTGGAACGGCATTCCCGATGCCGACTTGCACAAAAGCCTCACGGTGGCATCAGTCAAGGGCGTGGAACTCCAGATTCAGAGAGATATGGGACAAGCACAGGCAGCAGATCTGGTCGGTCACGGCTGCCGAGGTCTTCGACCATTTGAGCAGTACGTCAAAGCCTCGAAGACAGTTTCTACAGGATAAGGTAGTGATAGAGAGAAGAACAAGAGGGTTTGAGGTGAGAGTGTGTCATATTGAGGTTAGGTACAAGGTGTAATGAAAATGAGTCCGACTTTCAATGACCCATGGTCACCAACGCGATCTCCATATCATTGAGCCGTTGTCTCTGATGACCTCATGTACACCGTCTCGATCTTCTCCAGCTGGTCGACGAGTTCCTGGATCTCTTTGCCCACGTTCGAGTTGGCAGCAGCGTACTGTGCACCATGGAAGGCACTCATCTCTTCCCAGACCTGCTTCTGACTAGCGACGTCAATTGCATTGCCCAACTTGCCTACTAGCTTGCCGACCGATGGGGTTTGCAGCAGGCCACCATGTTGCTCTGCTAGCTGGGTCATACAGCGTTGAATGTGCTGATGGATGTGCTTGAGGGCATCCTTAGTAGCTGAGATAACCGGCAACGCGTCGTCTTTGGTGAAGATGTCGTCGTTGGACGTCGTCCAAGGTCTGCTATGCTTGACATGCCGGTTTGCAGCCTTCACTATGGTGCGTAGATGATCGATGAGCACTTCGTCGGCCCAAGCCAAGTTGAGCTCTTCGGCACAGGAGTCGAAAAAGAAGGGGAGAGCCGCTCTAGGGGGGTCCTCGAACAGCTCGTGCTTCCTCATCAATGAGAAGACCTTCTCGACGAGCGCAGGCTCGAGCTCTGGCAGATCTGGTCTAGCATGCTATATCGGTCCATCAGTATACTTGTAAGAAATGGTATGGCTTCTGAGACGTACCTTGAGCTCATTTGCACAGGCTGTCGCATTCTCCGTGTCAAAATCTTCTCCCTCAAGAAAGGCACGAATCCCCGAGTCATCAGTCTTCGGACCAAACCTCAGATCTGGAGCTGCTCGCTCAATCCGATCCTTCATCTGCTTGAGATAGGAAGGATCTTTGGTCAACTGGAAGAGACTGTATTCCAGCACCAGCATCGAGACCAAAAGCTCAGACTTTGATACCTGCAACGGATCATTTGCCACCTTCTTCATCAGGTCTGATATGGTGATGTTGACCATGATACGATCTGCTTGAGTCTTGTTGATGGCCGCATGGTGCGCAATCTCCCGTTGCACTTCAGGCTGCAACGTCTTCTTCGGGGCGTTCATGTTGAGGTCCTTGTAGAACTCCGGATAGACGAAGACACAGTCGAAGGACACCACACGTGGAGTCAGTCGTCCTTGTGACCGAAGGCAGCCCACATAGTACTTGATGCCTGTCTGAATGTAGTCCGTTACGGGAGTGAAGACTCTCATTGCGGTAACGGCCCTCTCAAGCGGTCCACGTTGCACTCGAGCTGCATCATTCTCTGAGCTTCTGGATGTACCAGTCTGAAGGTGTTGTTTTGGATTATCGCCAATGATGATGCCGACTTCCAGGTACTCTTTGGTGTGCTCATTGCCGAAAAGTTCCTGAGGTAGAGGTACAGCAGACTCACGAGTGTCTTTCTCATGAGCCGGCTGGAACTGGACGTTGGTGGTCTTGCCGTTGTCACTCCAGAGATGGACTTTCTGAAAGCGACGTCGGCCGGCGGCTGATATCTTCATTTGCTCGCGGTCGGTTCTTATGGCGATGTCGACATCGCTTGCTTGCACAACATCCGACGAAGCGTTGAGTGGCGCTGCGGTTGAGTTGCTATCCATGATCGCCACATGAACTGAGTGCTCAGATCCAAGATGCCGTGTGTCGAGTGTGATTTGGAGTGTTTGTTTGAGAGGGGCGGCAATTCTGGTGACGCTTGGCGCTTGGCGTTCACAAGCCAAACAAACACACGCGCCCCTTTCAGTCATGACCACCTCATTCGTCACTTCACTTGTCCACGTGCACTCTTTTACCGTTGCGCTCACAAAACCTTCAAAACACTTTTCGGACGACGTCCAACACGACACATCAGCGATGGCGACCCCAGAAGACACTACCAACATGAACTTCGACGACCTTGACTCAGCGATAGACGAATTGATTACGGCGTCCAAAAACAGCAACAAGCGGACGAAGAGCAAGAAGTTCGCCCCAAAGTCAGTGCCCGAGGCACAACGTGCCGTAGAAGCTGAGCTTGAAGGTCTCATGTCGCATCCACTGCTGCCTGCCTGGCCTGGCGGCTATCCAGGCATGGATAGGGTTGCGGTTGGACCTTTACGCCAGCTCCATGCCAGTCTGGAGAGGATTCTGTCCGACGACATCACCTTACCAACGGTCGAAGATGACGGTCCTGAGTTTCAAAAGCTCGAGTTATCTCTGAGAGATTTCGTTGCCTCCGTGGTCCCCAAGCACTCGTTTCTGAAGCAGTCAACAAATGAGGAAGCAGTGGATGCTCCCGCCAAAGGTTCGTCACGACATCCTCAATGTCGCCTGATGCAAACACTAATCTTGGTCTTTTGTTCGCGCAGAGACTGAAGGCTTGCGCCGCAGCAGAAGGCTTGCAGCGCAGCGGCCACTCGACTATGCCGCCGGCCAGACTGATGAGACTACACTGTTCGTACTCGATGAGGAAGACGAGGAAGGTGCCAGAACTAGCGGTCAGCAAAGAGATGGAGAGAAGAATAAGGATGATGGAGACGAGAAAGAGGCCGGCGATGGAGACGAGGCAGAGGCCGGCGATCCTTAGGCAGGAGATCCTCAGTCAGGAGGCGGGGAGAAGTGTCTAGGAGGCAGGAGAAGACACTTAGGAGCCGAGAAGAACAGTCAGGAAGCAGAGCAGGAGAATAAGGGGCAGGCTATGCGACGAGGTCTATGTCTACGATATCAGCCACCCGTTGGACCACGTCCAAAAGGACAATCAGTAGAAGAAGGCGAGAAGTATGAGCTTTGACAATGTGTTCCTTGACGAATACAGCACAGTGGTGTCCATCAAGGGTTGAAGGTCCATGATGAATCAGCTATCTACTCCTCCAAAACCTGCCTCCCTCAAACATGTCCGCCCAGAAGGTAAGAGAAGCAGACCTGACGCTATCAGAAGATGGGCCTGTGAACGACAAGCTAATCATCCTCCAGACCCTCCTCATCGTCCTCTAGAGCTTCGTCGTCTTCTGGCACCTCCTCACGTCTTCTCTGAGCCTGCTCTTCGGTCTCATTGGCATCCTCATCACGACCGCCATCCACCTCGCTAATTCTGCCCAGATCCATATCATTATCGCTGAACACATGATCATTTTCATCCTCGTCCTCGTCGTCTTCCTCGTAGTCATCGTCTTCGTCATCGTTGTAGTCACTGTCATCGTCGTCCTGTGGAGCCGTATTCGTTAGTAGAGATCACTGCGGCAAGATGTTCGACGACGCCCAAATGCATACGTACATCATCATCTTCTCCGGCGCGAGCTTCCTGTTTGATTCGTCAGCGTTGCGCCATCAGAGACGACAATGTTTGGCTTGAACACACCCAGTGATTGATCACGGCTGACCACAGCTCGCCTTTCCTGTCTTGCAGTTCGTACGCGTTCTTGACGTGTGCCACCCACTTCTCAGGGGCGAGATAAGGTGGTCCCTTCAAATCCGAGGCAGGGATCACAGTGCCCCGGCTCGTCATGACCACGCCTCCGCCGTCGTCTCCGCCACCGGTGTTGAGGGCGCCTGAGTTGTTGCCCAGGTTGCCTGTGCCGTTGGCATAGGTGTTGGTTTGCATTTCAGTAACCATATGGGCCGGGATCACGATGCCCATGGCAGTGAGTCGAAAGATGAGTCGGGATCTGGGCAAGCAGGTTAACTCAGCGGGAACTCGAATGCAGATACAACAACTCACGGGATGGGCATGCGACGCTCGAGCATCTGCCACAAGCTCAAGCCTGTAGGGATGTCGCCGAGATCGTCTGCGATGTGACGGAGAGCAGGAATTGCAAAGCCGTCTCCGTCGGTGCCGGCAGGTGCAGCATCGAAGAGGGCATCGATGAAGGCTTGGAGAGCTGTGAGTGCTGTCAGCAGGTGGTGGTGTCACACTCTCGTAACGGTTGTCCGGACTCACCGTCGTCGTCGCTGGACATGGTCAGTGTTCGGTGAGTGATTCTTGGTGAGGCTGGAGGACTAGTTCTGGACGCAGCGTGAGGGTGATGACAAGATGGCAAGGGTGACGACGTTGCAGCATGCACACAATTAAACAAGCGACTACTGAAGGTCGGAGTCGCTGTTTGCATGAGAAGGGAAGTCGCGACGCGGCCTGCAGCTGCCGTTTGAGCTGTCACGTGCACCGCCTTTCTTCAGTCAGTGAAGCAAAGCGAAGCGAAGAAACGACGTGAACATCGGAGAACACTGACCACTCGAACAACATACCACCGACCAATCTGAACAGCACCGTCGCATCCACGTGGTCTTGGACGTCGTCCATCTCTTCTGCTATACCCCGTCGCCAGAGAACAATGTCCACGATCGACGACATCTGCCGGCAAATTCAAGCCATTGGGCGCCGCGCCGAGCATGCCGACGCAACCATTAACCTAACCGCCAGCCGTCATCTTTCAAATCTGTTCACATGCGGACCAGGTCTGCTAGAGGAGCTACCGGTCAAGAGAAGAGGCGGTGGCAAGAGCAAGCAGGCGGCCGAAGACAGCGATGACGACGAAGCCGAAGAGGCCAGCGGCATTGAGGAGGATGATGCATCCCAATATGAAGGTCCGGGTGATCCTACTCAGATGATCGATGACGACGACCTCCACATGGCCGGGCGGGTGGGAGAGGAAGTGTCAGAGTTCACTGAAGAGGCTGTGGTGAAGTATCTGGACGACCTTTATGAGGATATTGTATGTGATTGCAAATGAAGTTTGGACGTCGTCCAGATTGGGAACTGATGTGAGCAAACGTGTAGGTAACGAAGCAGCGGATGGCACCGATCTTCCAAGCCCCTGGCCTGAGCCAGACACCACATCCACACCAACTTCGAGCGGCAGCCCTGATGAGGCAGGCAGCGTTGAGGCGTTTCCGGGGCATGATTCTCGCCGATCCCATGGGCGGCGGAAAGACGTTGTCGGCTTTGCTGGCAATTCAGGACTCGCTAGACGATGGGCGCGGTCCATGTCTCATTGTCGTTCCGCCCAGCTGTGCCCGCCAGTGGATGAAGGAGATTGCTGAATGGTTTCCCAAGGTGAGCATCAACACCAAAGCTCTCCGTTTCGATCCAATCACTGACCAAAAGAACGCAGATGCGAGCCTTTCACCTTGATGCACCCGTCGTGTCACCCGCCGAATTGTTCAAGTATGATGTTGTCGTAGTCTCGTACCACTTCGTCATCTCCGAGCTCGCGCGCCCCGTCAAGTTCGTCGCCGATTTGAGTCGTTATGGCAAGGGCGAACTGGAGAGGGCGCCGAAACGACCTAACTGCGCCTTGACGTCGGAAATCTTCGAGTCGACCCACGCACGTCCTTGGGGAAAGCTGATGGTGCTCGATGAAGCCCACACGATCAAAAACTTGAACAGTCGCAGCTACCACGCCATTCAGGGCATCCGGCAGAATTTCCACACCTGCGTCATGCTCACGGGCACGCCGTTGGACAATACGTGGAAAGACTCCTTCAGCTTGCTCTTTCTGCTCCATGGTCACCCATTCTATACGGCCGGCCACATGATGGCGGCGTTCGTCAGTGAATACGACCGCAACAACAGCAAAGGCGCGAAGATGGTGCCCAAAGGGGAGTTCTTCCGGAGATATGCACAGCTCATGGACGCTGTGACTTTGCGTCGCCCCGTCCAGGAGATCTCCGGCAATTTGCAGGGTGCGGTCCACTGCCATGTCAAATTTGCAGTGGAGGAGAGCCTGCGGACCCAGTCGAACGACGACTTCACCAAGTTCAGGAAAAGTTTGGCCATGGCGCGTAACAAGGCGGGTACGCGTGCAAAGGTCAATTGGGGAAGCCTGGTACGAGCCCACCAGTATGTCACTCATCCAAGTCTCGTGGATATCATGGCGTTGTTGCAGAACACTCGGCGAGAAGCCCGCGAGAGGGAGGTGGACGACGATACCCCGATCGAGGATCTCACCTCCGACGACGGAGGAAACCTCACCGCACAGCAACAAGCGCAAGTCCAGCAGTGGCGCCAGAAGCTGAGGAAGCATCGTGCATGGCGATCCCCCCGGGTCGACTGCATCTTGGACCAGCTCAACCAGATCCGCGACGTCTATCCGGATGACAAGGTGCTCATCTTCGACGAGAGCGTCTTTTTCCTCGACGTCCTCTCCGTCATGATGGAGGAGACCGATGATCCTATTCCTTTCCTTCGCTTCGATGGCCGGCAGACGAGTGCTGAGCGACATGTTACGCTCGAGATGTTCAAGGAGATGCCCGGGTTTGCCGTCCTCCTCTGTACTCGCGGCACCGGCGGTCAAGGTCTGAACATGCAGATGGCGAATCATGTCGTCCTCTGCAGCCCATGGTGGAAGGAAGCTTGGGTCGCCCAGGCTATTGCCCGTGCCCACCGCTTCGGCCAGACCAAAGTCGTTCGAGTGTATTACATTAGAGCCAAAGGTGTTCAGATCGAGCGCTACAAGGAGAAGACCTGCAACGCAAAGGAGAAATTCAATGTCAAGGTCATGAATGAGGTGGAGCGGTCTGACTCTGCACAGGAAGTGCAACGTCGGAAGATGACAAGGTAGCGGTCGTAGATAGTTTGGTGAAGACGGCAGGGTTCATCATGTTTTTCTGCTCTCCTCGATGGAATGGACGACGTCCATATAGAGAAGGTCAACGGTGACGAAAGTGGGGCGACTTGAATACCACCAAGGTATTAATAGGGTTAGCGTGGAACAGAAATACCTTTTGGCTTACTTCACAAGCACATGAACTTAGCGGCACGTGAAGTAAGCCCAAAGGCATTTCTGTTCCGCGCTAAACCAAGGTGGCGACTAGGCTTGCGACGAGGATGGTTGCTAACTCGTGGACAGCCGACCACATGTGGACGCCTCATCCTGTTCCTCCTGCCACGTATCCAGTCTTATTCGCCGATGAATATGGCTATCAAGCTGGAAATCTTCTTTGGCGTGGCCGCTTCAATGGAGGGAATGATACTGGACAGCCAGCCTCGGTTCACCTTCGCGTGATCGGAGGAGCTGGCAGTGGCTACTCTGTGTACTTGAATGGCAATTTCTTGGGTGCATATCTCGGCAACCATACCGTCAGGGATGGCAACGTTACCCTTGGCTTCCAAAACGCCACAATCAGATCAGGGGCCGAGAACGTATTGCTCGTTCTTCAAGACACTATGGGCAAGGATCAGAGAGAAGGAGCACTGGATCCCCGTGGCATCCTCAATGCAACTCTCATCTCGTCTTCTGGCGATGCGCTCAGCTTCGACTCATGGAGGATTGCTGGAAATGCTGGAGGAAACAATCTCATCGACTCTGTCCGCGGCACTTGGAATGAGGGTGGTTTGTACGCAGAACGACTCGGTTGGCATTTTCCCGGGTTTGACGACGCCGAGTGGGAATCAGAACATCCCTGGGACGGCTTCAGAGGCAGTGGCATTCGATTCTACCGCACCAATTTGCCCCTAGACATGCCGCGGGATCACGATGTCAGCCTTGCGTTTGAGCTATTGACTGATGGATGAGTTAAGCTTCGTGCCCAGCTGTACGTCAACGGGTATCAATTTGGGAAGATCATTCCTTGGTTTGGCAACCAGATCGAGTTTCCAGGTAAGAAAGCCTTGTTCGTGTACTGGAAATGACACTAACGGTGGTGTGTACAGTCTTTCCAGGTATCTTGAACTACCACGGGGACAATACTATCGGTCTGAGCATCTGGTCTATGTCAGAGGAACATGCCGCTGTCGACGTCAAAGTCAAGGTGCTTGGAGTTCACCGCTCGGCCCTGGATCTATCATTCGACAGTAATTATTTGAGGCCACGTTGGTCCGACAGGTCACAGTACGCTTGAGATGCGAGGAAAGGTACTGCTGAAGACCAGCGCAAGACTTGAGTTGAGCTGCGCTAAATATTTACCTATCCTTAGTTTCCGCCCGTCCACACATCTGCACACGTCTTATCACAGGTATTCCAGCAGCAAGTTCTATAACTTGACAAGTACCTCGCTACATTCAAGAATCGGTCAGATATGCGGCAACCACTCCTCCCCAAGAACCCGGGTTGTTGTTCTGCGTCACCAATACTTGACCGTTGTTGACAACCAGGTTCAAGTTCAAATGCTCGTTGATGCCATACCAGTACAAGTTGCTCACGTCGTTGGTCCAAACAGCATTCGTCTGACAGACACCGGAATTCTGGCAATCTTTCTGGCCGTCATTGAAGAACGTCCAGAAGCCAGCACCGTACAAGAACAGGTTTGAGCCGCCGTTGATGTAAGTGAACCACGCCATTCGACACTGTGCGTCACCGCCATCGCAGTTGGAAAAGTCAGGATCGTAGTACGGCGAACCCGTGATGGAAGACCATGGCGCCGGATCGAGCGATGGCGAGCCATTACCTTGCCAGTAGGGGGTCTCGCTTTGTTGCATGCCAGCGAACACATTTTGGGCGTTCTGGAAAGAGTACTGGTACAGGGTGTTGTGCTCAAAGGCCGTCCCGTGTAGCCACGTTCCAGCTGTAGCTTCAACGAGGATACCACGGCCTGTCGAGATTGTTTGACCGTTTCCTGAATCAAGATCGTGATCCGCCGTCCACCCCCAGATATTCTCGAGATATGCTGACGACGATGAGGTGAGATGAGCAAGCAGGAACGCAGCCTTGCATTGATCGGGGTTACCACCACAGTTGGTTTGGACTTTCGAGCCGGCTGCGCCGCCAACTCTGAAATGGCAGTCCCAGAAAGCAACGTCGCCGGGGCTGTTGCCGGCAATGTTCACTTCGAGGAGCGTGCAGCCTTGCAGAACGTCTGCGACAGTGAAGAGCAGTCCCGAGAATTGAGCCACACCTTTGTCGCCAGGGTTTCCGACCTGAACCATGACGTTGGGTGATTGTGGATTGTAGTAGTTGCTGCCTACGGCTGAGATGGCAGCCCATGCTTCTCCAACCACCCGAGAGCCTGCCGGGAAGAATATGGTGTTGGTCACGATGTATGTACCGGACGGAAAGAAGAGAATCTTGCATCCAGCGTACATTGAGATGATGGCGTTCAAGTTGTTTGTGTCATCGGTGTTTCCATCGCCATAAACTGGGTAGCCTGAGACCTGCTTGACGTTGATGAACTGATCCAAGTCATATTCCTTATAAGATGGAGGTTCAATGACGAGATAGTCCCCGTTACTCGGGGTCAGTACAGATGGACGTGGCGAGTTGTACAAGGTTCCTTCCTGGTGAGAACCATAGTTCGGGCCATTGGGGACGTAAGCGTTGCCCCAAACCCATGCCTGGCCTTGGACGTTGTTGTTCAAAACAGGGTTTCCATTTGCAGTCACAACGTTGGCGACGGAGTTGCCTTGGACAAAGTTCTCGATGACGAGAGAATGATCGCCGGTCGATGGTGCTGCCGCCCGCACAGCAGTGTTGATGTTAGACGCAGTCGAATCCAGCAGAGCCACGAAACCAATGTTTCCTCCACTGACGTCCAGACCATACTCAGCGTTCATGAAGTTGATGTCGATAAATACGCAATCATAGCAGTGTGACACCAGAATGCCGGTCGTGCAGCCATTGAACGTCAAAGACTTGCCCTCGTACTGTTGGTTGTCCATGTTCAAACCAACGAAGCCTCCGTTGAATTGCAAGTTTCCCATGAAAGTCCCGGATCCACCTTCTGGCATAGCTATGCCTGTATGACGAGTCGAGTAGTTGGGCATGTTGAAAACCACGTCGCTGAGCTGCGTGGCCTGGCTGACACTCCAATCGAGCAGAGTAAATGTGGTGTCTTTGTTAATGTTGTTGGAATCCAGTGTCAGGTGTTCGACCTTGATGTAAAAATTGGTGGTACTATCTTGGTTGGAGTCCTTGCCATAGATGAGAGTGTTGCTGTTGAAGCTCGATCCAGCTTTGATCGTTGTTCCTCCGACAGGATCACCCATGAGCACAGTCCCAACGTAAAGCTGGAGTGGCGATTCGATAGTGTAAGTGCCAGCTGGCAGATAGACCACCGCAGGCTGACCTGTCGTACCAAGGGAATTGGTAGTCCTGGAGTAACCGCTGTTGGATCCATCGTTGATTGCATTCTGAATGGCTGATTGTGAATCACTATTACCAGACGAGTCCGCTCTATATGAGACTACGTTGCGGAAAACAACCCAGTTGTTATCGTTGATGAATGGCGAAGTGCCATCATGCGTGATGTGCTCATACCAAAACGTCGATGGATTGCTCGCTACTGGTCCTCCACAGGAAGCTTGAGCTTCCAGTTTATGAGGATTGTAGCTAGTATTGGCGTGAATGGTCTCCCAGGGCTTCTTAGAAACATTGAGCGGCTTTAGGGGAATTCCCGCAAGGTCCGGTGTATAGTGGCGGCCGTTGGTATAGTTGTAAGGAGGATACAAGTCCGTTTCGTTCTTGGGAAGATGTACCGGAACACCTTGGTTGTTGACGGGCCCCTCTGCTGGTACGGGAGTGCCGTACACGCAAGTTATGGAGCTTAACAAAGCTGCGAAGGCGTAGGCACGCATTGTTCAAGAGTCTAAAGTACAAGTTGGATTTGCAAAATCGGTAGGGCGACTTGCTTGTTCTCACCCTACTATGTATACTCGTCGTTCACAGGGACAAGCTACGGCATCCCAAAGCCGATGAAGACCTCAAGCGCCCGACAGAGTGGAAGTCGCTACTCGTTAGAGTGAGCTGGATGTTGATCAGGCCTAAGACGGAAGCTATCGACACCACGTCGCCCTTGTGAATGTTTCGTGGGACCACACTTCAGGCGTGCCAATGCATAACCCTGCATATTGTGATCTCATAGCTCTCGTAGAGGAATACAGAGACAATTGGATAATACTTCTTGAGTGCGGATCCCTTCGAATGTAACATGGAACGTTGTAGAGAAGTAATCAACTACGATAGCTGCATATCAGCCCTGCTGTACGAACAAACTAAGTAAACCTTGTCAGAACGACCGAACGAATTGCCCTGTTCTAAATGATGAGATTACTTTAAACCTTCGGACAAAGCTGCCTATTGTATTTACACCTAAGGTGCATTACCTCCCCAGCTGGAGAAACGTAGCTCTGTAGTACGAGCTGACAGGATAAAGCCCTAACGATGATTACGCTGAACAACTTTCAGCCATGCTTCTAACAAGTCTGCAATGGTATGTTGATCCGAGTGGTTACGTAGATGCCTCGGTGACCGGCGCCTAGCTCTTATAGCATACTCCACACTATCAAAACCACTTACTGTTCTTGTATCTAGTCGGTCAACTGGTCGATTGACAAATTCCGAAAACGAACAAGACCGGAAACGATGCAGCAAGAAGTCGAATGCGAGGCGCCTAATGGCCACGCGTGGGACCCGTGGGTTACCTGTTGAAGGAGCAAGGATCAATATAAATCTTCCAAAGAGAGACAATCCGCCGACCAATAAGAAGGCTAGGGTTAGCACGATGGTTCATTTAAGCTCAGGGCGCTGGAAAGCTTCGTAAAAGCTTGGCGTAAACCTCACTACCATCACATGCAGCCAGTAGACATGATCGACACACGCTAGCCATAGACGTGCTCCCGACCGAGAAGACCCTGACTTAGCGCCAACACAACAACTAGGAATGTTCGGAATGAGGAAGGTAGTGAAGATCGCGTGAAGTCGATCTCGTTGTACGACAAACTCCGTTGAGACTTTCCAAGCGGCCAGCAGACGACATTCCGCATCGGTCCATCTTACCTATGCTAGAAAGACCACGCCTGGTTCAGAAGGTGGTATTGAGGTAGTACGTCAAGTGTCAAATCAGTCGGGACTCGGCATCCATGAGCAGTCTCAGCTCGGAGCATGTTGACATTCGCAGCTCGTTCATGTCACGGTGCTGGGAGACAAGATGCGGCGCCGCGAGAGTGTGCATTTATATCTCCCTAGAATCCCGCTTCATTCACCAAAACCAATCTCAAACTCAAGATGTCCGCAATTGCATTACTCGTCGCTGGTGCGTCGCTGGCTCTGGCTGGTGGCGTGAATCGTTCCTTGCCTTTGCCGCCAGGCTCTCGAACGACACACAAGGGCCCTACTCCACTAGCAACTGATACTGCCGTGACTGGCACCGCAGCTGTCTACGGAATCAACGACAACGAGAACAGCAACGGTGGACTGGGATGCCGAGCATACGTGGGTTCTCGTTTGATCCCTACAAATCAGCTTTGACTGACAAGACCGATCTCTTAGTACGGCGATGGCACCAGTAACGATGGCTGGCCAACGACCAGTCAATGGGTCTCGTTCAACTACATCTGGCAGGTGAACTACAACAACATCCAGAACTCATGCTCTCAGTACGGTGTTCCAAACAACTCTGATGACGAGATGAACGATTTGGTATTCGTTCCGCAACATTTCCAGTAGTGCCATGACTGACGTAAAACACCAGTACAACGCAATCAACAATGTCGCCAATCAATACAACGTTGATCATCGATACATCCTGGCCGAGATCCTTACGGAATCGTCGGGATGCGTTCGTATCATCACCACGGGTGGACCAAGCACTGGGATCTGGAACCCTGGTCTCTTGCAGGACTACGATGGCTATTACACTTGCAACTGCGAGACTGTCAACGGTGTCTACAATGAGGTACAACTTGAGAATGACGAGCCTGACAACCCCATTTCTTACTGACTATTGATAGTACGGAGAGACGTGTGGCGTGGTCACTCCATGTCCGGCAGGTAAGCTTGCCGCTGCAACATTCATGCAAAGCCCAGTGCTAATTACATTACCTAGATACCATCCAGAACATGATACGAGAGGGTGCAGTGGGCACCAGCAATGGTTATGGGCTTGCCTCACTTATAAACTTCGCCGAGGGTCAAGGTGCGAGCGATGCACAGACCTTTTACGTAGCCAGTGAATGGTACAATCAGGGAGCTTGTGAGTACTGATGATGCCTAGTTTTGTCGAACGAATCTGACAAGCTTCACAGACGAGCCAAACGTCGGTGGAAGTCTCGGCGCCAACTGCTACGCATCCAACGTGGCTCAGTGGATCACAGGATGTACAGCTCCTGCAGCATGCTAAGCAGCTCTAAACCTCGTGACCCTTCTACAATACTTGTAGCTGTCTACAATGGCAGTGCTCTGTCGATCATTTGCAAGATTCGGGTGCTGAGTAGTCGAGTAGCTCGATGCCATACATTTGAAATATTGAGTATATCAAGATATGAATCACGCCTAAGATAACAGTAAGCTTCTCCATTTGGTCGAGTAGAGCAGTAGGCCATGCCTCAAGTCTGGCCTGCACTCTCTGGAGCTCCGCCGGAGATTGATTTCATGTTTGAGATATGCTATTAGACAGCATCACATGCCTTTCTTTTGAACTTGCTGCTGTACAAAAACGTATCTATCCACAGGAGAACAGAGATTTGCAACAGGCCGGCAAGACTTCACACTCACGCGTTGTGTTTCGGGATCAAGCTGGATGATAGCTAAACAATGATTGTAACACTGCCTAATCACAAGAAGAATGAACATTTGGTCTTCGGTCCACCGTATGCCCCACAGATCTATCACGACTAGAAGCCAGGTACCAGGCTTCCAATACCCATCTGGTCAGCCCTCTTCAACATAGCTTCACCAATTGCAAGATCCGTTAGACTGACGCCGACGCTCTTGTACACAACAAGATCGTCTCTCAGCCAGTCATCGAGGTCCGTCTTGTAGCTAGCGGTACCCTTTCTACGAAGTTCTACAGCCTTGCCGAGCTCTAGAACCTGTTCTGTGTTCAGACCACTTCGGACACCCTCACCGGTATGACTTTGAAACGCGTTGCGATCATCGACCAGAATGTAGGCCTTCGTAGACGCAGTCGCCGCGCGCACAAGCAACAATGGGTCCAGTTCAATCATCTGGGGTTGCCACGAGCCGATGGCGGAAACATATGGCATATTACGCCTCGACTCAAGATTCAGTGCGTCAACCGTGAATAGGACCTCCTGCGAAGGCACTGTGCAAAATACCGCATCTGCCTCGGCCAGTCTAGCATCCACGCCAGAATTGTCTGTAGCATCATGACTGAATATCTCAGCCTGAGATTTCCAATATGTCCGATTTTCTTCCTTCAAACGATTTACAAGTGCCACGGCATGCCCCAGCGAGCGGTTCACCACAGTAACAGACTTGATCTCATCACCACGCAACGCCAGAGCGAGACGGATATGCCACAGCGCCTGCTTGCCCGCTCCAAATACCAATATATGATCGACACGTTTGCGCCAGGACCAGGGTATGATGGCGCTGAGCGAGGTACGAAAAGCGGTCACTTCCTCGGCGTTCACCAGCCCTCTCGCAATTCCGCTGTTATCACAGATTACGAGGACTCCGTGGAGTGGTGGTCTGTTTCCCGTTGTTGGATCTGTTGCCGGTTCGACGATGATCTTTGTGCCAACTGCCGAGGGTGAGGTGAAGAGGCGGAAAAGGACCTTTTGCCCCTCCGGCCTATTGATAACTGCAGCCTCTGGTTGATGTTCCCGTTCTTTGGCTGTGGAAAATCCGTGAAGTGCCTTTTCGACAACGCCCTGCAACACCAAAATCTCGGACTTGGGAAGTGCAATAAGCAGGCCGTGGACTGCTTCGTCACCGAGAACTCGTAAGCCACTCATGTTTCAGACGAGATGCAATGATGCGACTCGTTCGGCGCCTGAATTTACTTGCAGAGGTGCAAGCTCCACAGGTGCGATGCTTTTTGCACACGTCGGTACCCCTTTCCGGCACGGATAGAAGTCCGAAGCCTGTTCGGAGAACGACTGCGAAGTGTGACAGCACGGCCCGAACACGAATAAGAACACGACACTGACATACTGCTGTGGCCAAGGGGTTTTAGTCATGGCACTTCGCCATTCCTTGAGCATCAAGGCCATTGGTGAAAATGACCATTTGGTATTGCCCTGCTGTGGGGAATTAAACCAAAGACTTTGTCGACACTCGATCTCGAAGTTGTGTACCGCAGAGTGCAAACACTAAAGCCATTGGCGAATGTGGGCGAGACTTGCAAGGCTTCAGCCATGCCAACAGCGGTGCGAAGAGTAGTGGCCTTTGGCATTTCATGGGATATTTTGCTCATTTCAACTTTTGCAGACCCCCGGCTCATCCTCTCCCTGACCGCTTTGCGTCGGCGGCTCGCTCAGAACCCGGAGAATCATGTTAAGCAACCCACGAGAAGTTCACATTTGCAAACGATGTTTTCAATCCCGAAACCGACCACCTGCATATTTGGGAACACGCATGTGCTAAAGTGCACGGTCGCGGTTCATCAAACTCTGTTCCGACCTGGATCGAATCTCTTCGAGAAGTGCAGCAACGAGTGGCATAGTTGAGTGATGTAGAGTGAAACGACAATACATACCAGCAGGCTAAACGTCGAACCTGCGGCGTACCAAGTTGCAGCAGACTCGGAGAAGCGACAAATGCGTAAGGACAACTGCGCGATGTAGTGACAGATGGTGGCAGATATCGCAGGGGGCCTGAAGAGGACGCGGGAATTAGCCAAGTAGGCGAGAACAACATCGCTGGAGCCTCCATCGCCGTCTCAGTTCCACACTAGAAGTAAGAAACCCTCGTTCGACACTTTCTTCCTCCGCGGAAGTCTGACGACCTATCGGATCATGATACTAACCATCTATACCCAAAAGAAAGGCACGCCTTATTCTCTGATTTAAGCCTTAGCCGGCATTCAAAGACTAGCCGAAGTTCGCCTTCGTATTATGCTCACGTAGGGCGGCCCAAGTAGGGCTTTCGAAGACCATACCGCGGTGCACATACTAGTTCTTTAAAACGAGGGCTAAAGACGTGCTAACTCGCCCCAACACTCCAGCAAAGAGTCAGCAAAGTTGCACGCTTCGATCGAAGTCGATTGTTATTGATGGAGAATCATGGCGGCTGCGCACACCGTGTTACGTTACAGTCAACTTGACAACCGTAACAGAACTTCGTTCACCAAGGTTGTCTGCGGACGAATGCCACGCTTGGAACGATTGACGACACCAGACACAAGTCGCAGCACATATAAATGCCGAGAGACTGTACCTTTCAATTTACACCTTGCAACTTCCAATCCCGGCGTCCACATTGAATCATGATGTTTCTCCAAACAACCCTACTCGCCGCCGTGGCCATCCTGGCCCACGCTCAACAAGACACATCCGGCAACACTCTTGCCGAATTCGACTGCTCTGCTGCGACCTTCCCAGGTGTGTCAATACATCATTGAATGGATCCGTCGTTATGGTCCAAACTAACATCATCCACCAGCCGGCATCGACGGCGATCCCCCACCCATCAGCCAATTCAGCAACGCCTCCTCCGTAACCATCGACGGATCCAAAGTCACCAACGTCGACTGCCAACCCGACCCCAAGAACCCCGACAACGGGCAATTGGCATACTGCGTCTTCTCGGACTCTCGGCTCGACGCCGGATCTGTGTCGATCCACTTCACCTAAAATCCGGCAGGAGGAGAGTGCGCTATGAACTTTGGGTACAAAGGGACATCTTACAGCACCGGAGGAAGTGGCCAGCCAGATACTACTCCTAGCTGTGCTACTGACAAGTGCGGTGTAGAGCCGTTTTCTTGCGATGTTCATGCCAAGTGTTATTTCAACTACTAGGGGGGAGGCTTGATTGGAGGCGCTTTTAGTAGAACACTGAAAAGAAAGGGGATCGGACGGGTAGAATCGCATCTTTACTCCAACAATCGATGAGCCGGGGTGCGAAAAGTGGATTTGGTCATATAGAAGCTCGGAAAAGTTGTGTTTCGGCCGAAAACAATTGCGTTCATGTCCTATTCCTTCTCTTGGGCCCCTGTTGATTATCTCAGACGCCGCCATGAGTTGTGTACGGCGGCGGAAGAACACCGTCTACATTCTTCTCAGGCAGCACATCCTTCTCTTCCATATCTCCCTTCCCCACATCAACAGGCCCCGCCGTAATCTTACCAGCCCCCTCACCACTCTCAAGCCCCTTCAGCAACGGCTCAGCCTTCTCCGTAACCCCCGTCTCCTGCTCCGCAACCTTCTCTTCCCCCGTCATCAACGGACTCTCCGACTTAGTCGAGTGCAGACTATCTCTCGACCCCTGTGAATTCGCACTCCTAGCCTCCTTGTCCGGATCAAAGAAGTTGGCATACTGTTCCCTCACGTCTTTATTCGGCTTATACAACACCGCACCATAAGACCTCAGCAAAGCAATCGTGCCGCCATCCCTTCGATTCGCAGCTTTATCCAACGGCGTCTGATTCCTCCCGTTCTTTGCGTTGATGTCGGCGCCCTCGGACAGCAGCATGCGTATGATATCCCCTGAGTTCTGCGAGCTCATATCTTCAGCGTTCCGGGCGACGAGATGGAGGGCGGTGCTGCCATCGTCTGAGGTGGCGAATACATTGGCCTTCTTCGCGAGCAGCATCTCCGTGTTGCGGATGTAGCCGTTGCCTGCTGCAATCATGAGGGCAGTTTGGCCGGAGAGGTCGCGGGCTTCGATGTTAGAGCCTTGCTCGATGAGGAACTCGGCTGCTGCTTTCTTGCCGTTTCGAACCGCCATCATCATTGCTGAGTCCTCGTTGAAAGTCGTCTTGCTCTCCAATTGGGCTCCGTGTTCGATGAGGACTTTGATTGTTGAGTTTTTGGCTCGCTCAGCAGCCATGTGAAGCGCTGTGTCGCCCCATACTTTTGTATCTAGCATCTTCTGCCGCTCGTATCCTTTGACGCTTGTCAAGAGCATTTTGATCAGCTCAGTGCTGCAATCAGCTCGGATCGCAAGATGTAGAGCATTGTATTGTGAATGTCGTTGGGGTAATCGAACGTCGGCGTCGTATTTCAGGAGGCTCTTCGTCACCTCATAGTAATCGGCTTCGGCGGCATAGTGTAAAGGTGTGATCAAGGTGACGTCCAGCGCCATGTTGACGTTTTTGGCACTCTTCTCCAGGATCAATCTCGTAACCTCATTGTTACCACTCATGGCAGCGGCATGGCATCTGGGGATGGCCGTGGGATGTCAGCAGGTTGTTGAAAACCCGGATAGAGCACAAAGCATCACTTACGTTGAGAAGTCCGCCCACCCAAGCAAATCAGCACTCGCCCCATGATCAAGAAGCAACTTCACCATCTCGACGTGCCCGCGAAATGCCGCCCGATACAAAGTTGTCTGGTTTCCAGTCCACAAAGCGTCATGGCTGATGGCCTCACGAGTGTAAGAATTGAACTTTCTCACCAAAGCGAATGACGAGCCCGTCGCCTTCGGCTGAAGAGTAGACAACGTATTGGGATCGGCTCCGGCTGCTAGCAGCACCTTGGCAACATCCAGATGATTCTCCATCGCTGCCCAAGTGAGAGGGGGAACGCTGTAGATGTCGCCATCGTTGACACCAGCGTTCTTCTTGGAGCTTAAAAGATGGCGAACCCATTCTGTTAGACCAAGTCTGGCGTTCATGTGCAGAGGCAGGGGCGTAGCTTTATCCAACAGACGGTGGATGTTCTTTTCCTGCCAAGACATATCCTCGTACATCTTCTTCTCTTCCTTGTGAAGGGTGATGTCTGCACCGTGATAGCCGACGTATGTCTGCCACCAATTGAGTCTAAGATCGGACTTCTCGTCAACCATGAATTCGGCAGCCTTGAACAGGTCTTTTGCGGCGTAGCCAGCAGAGCGTCGAGCATGTTCGCACCAGTGAACCGTTGTATAGCGGAGGCCAGGCCACTGATCGAAGATCGGGTCGTCCGGGGTGAGTATGGCCTTGGTCTGAAGCGGGCTCTGCTTGATGTACTCGATGCAGAAATGTGCCGCTCGGAAATGAGATTCAGCAGCGTCAATGCGGAACTCATCGAGCGGAGGATCTAGTTGACCGAAGAGAAACTGTTTGGCGCTGTCGTTGGCGAAGAAGACGGAGCCGCTTCGAATCTGCAGGAGCGGGCTGCATTGCTCAATATAGTCTTGGATGCTGCTGACTGCTTGGTTTAATGCTTGCTTAGATTTGGTATCCTGCTGCATAGGTGCCTCTCTGCTAGCCGACGATAGAGTCCGAAGCGCTTCAGCCAGCTCGCTGACGGTCAGGGGCCGGACTGCAATGGCTATCAGGCGTAGAATCTGGGTAACTGCCGATAGTCTACCACGTTCGTAGATCTGGGTCAGTACGTATCGGAAGTAGGCGTCGAGTCCGATGGGCATTTCCTTGAGCTTTTCTTCGACGCCAGCAAGCATTTTCTCTCGCGCAAGCTCCTTAAAGACACACTCTATGTAGAAGTATGAGTCTTCTGCCTTTTGTATGATGATGCTTCGAATCCCTGAGTAACGTCAGAAACATCCACAAGGAAACGTATCCCATCGACTTACGTTCTTCGGCGTCGCCTTCGATCTTCGGCTCGCACTCAATGGCTTGCAGCCCAACCGACACTACTTTGTCAAGATCGCTTTGAATGTGTTCCTTGTTCTCAGCGTCACCTAGGCTGATCTCAGCGCAGAGGCCGGCAGTCGCAAGCTCTCGCAGCTCTTTCACCTCTTGGCTGACGATCACGACCTTGAGTTCCATCCCCTTGGAGGCGTTGGGAAGCAGTTTGTATTGTTTCATCAGCCAATCAACTGAATCGTCGTCAAGCTCGTCTAAGCCGTCGAGGACGCAGTAGATCGGACCCATGGCAGGTTCACTCGCGAGAGCCAAGACCACTTTCCAGAGAGCGTCTCGGTTGTGCGAGAAATCGTGGGCCTTGTTCTTGGCTTGCTCTTCTTGTTGCTCAAAATGTCGCCGGAGAGCCTCTTGTGACTCAACTTGCTCAGATTTTCGGACGCCCTCCACGATTTGCCAAAGCGCAGATCGCAACATCGAGATTGCCGTGTTTCGCCTTTCTTCTCCGTCACTACAGCAGTAGTAGCCGACTTCAGTGCCTGCTCCGACGGCCTGCTTCAACCGTTGGAAGAAGAAGCGAGACATGTTAGTGATGCCCTGGTCCGCTTCGCCAACAACCCAGAGCATGCCCGATTTCGCGTTCAGCCACGACTGACACGTCTCGTTCTTAACAATCCATTCGCAAGTTCCTTTCACAGGTTTGCTTGGCTCTGCGCGATCGTCGACTGGATGTGCGTCGTACAACGCTTTTTGCAGTCTTTCAAGATACTGCGGGAGATCCAACTCCGGCGCTTTGCCTTGGATCTTAGCCTGCACCCGCGCCTGCGTCTTGGATAACCACTGGTTCGCGAATTCGCTGGCACGGTCGACATCGTAAGCAACACTCTGCCTTCGAGACCTGACGGGCGTCCTGTCATACCCGCTCGTGACTCGCACCTTCTCGCCTGGCATCTTCCTCGACCTGTACGCCAAAAGAAGCTCCTTTGCGTACGCAGCCGCAGCCACAGCGGCGAAGTTGTGCCATCGATCGTTCTTATGGGAATCGGCGTAATCGCAAACACCACGTATCACTAGGGCGCACGCAGTATCCATCAGGCCAGCGGCTTCCATCTCGAATGCAATCACGCCTTCGCGTTGGGCAATACGGTCTCTATCAGCGGCATGCTTCATCACCTTGTTAGCGGAGGCAATGTTCCCATACCACACTTGAACTGCATCAGGGTCGGGGCGAATAGGCCTTTTCTGGACCAGAGAGAGATCGCACTTGGCGCACGTAGAGCCAGACTGATGTCGATAATGCCATTGGAACAGACGGTCTTCCTCCGTCCCCGGGCGACCGAATTCTGTCAGAAGGTGAGAGTGTTCCGAGAACATCTTAGAGACATGCCTGGGCAGACCAGATCCGTGAAGAGCTGTATCGGCTCTGAGCTTGCTCAAGGTCGTCAGAACTTGTCGCGGTGGCTTTGACAGAGCACCTGTAGGGAGGAACTGGCCGTCCTTGTCAATCTTGCCAAAGTCGTATTGCACAACGCCGCCGTGTCTTCCAGTAGGCTGACTGACGACCACGTCACCCAGTCGGACATCCACAGCTTCGCTCCAGACTCCTCCGCATATGCCGACCATCAAGACCACGCCATATTCCGTGTTGGGGAAGCTGCTCATCATTTTATCGACAGTCCGTGCTGCCTCCACCGTTCCATATGTGCCCGAGGCGAGACAAGTGATGACCACATTATGTTTGCCGATAGCCCCTAGAGTATAAGCGTTGCCGTCCTGTTGTACGATGTCGTCGGTCTCTGTGTATGTTTCGTCCAGCATCGCAGTCATTGCCGTCAGCTCTTCGGGCAAGGCACAACTGTTCCATTTTTAGCATATCAGCCATGATCGAGGACAATGGTCATACATGATTCCGACCCAATACGAATAAACATCTCGTCTGTGGCTCGACATGATTACGATATGTGGTACCGTCTGGCCGAGCAGGCTGCTGCAGAGAAGCTTGAGCAGAGATCATTAGCGACAACACCGTGCCTCCAAGCCATCTTTATGTTGTCGTCGATCAACAAGCCATATCGCGCCAAGGCGCGTCATGGCAAAAGACGGACAGTTCCCACGTTCGGAAGCCTGTTGCAAGCGAACCGGGGTAGGCGTAGACATTGAGTTTAGTCAGTATGCAGACATGCAGCTGGACGGCAAGAAGGAGATGTTGACCAATAGCCGCACGTCGTGATGCACAACACCAACTGCTTAGATGTTTTTCAGTTGCCCTAGCGTACTTCGCTAGTGTTTTGGCCCCAGTGGAGAGACGGGATGGGTTGAGGCGCGGGCCATGTGCTCCCCCGTGTCCGTGACGTCCATTGTACAGTAGACGAGCTAGCTGCAGGTGCCACGAGCATGGAAAGCTTCCGTGAATGGTGGAACGCATGGCGTGCATGAGTTGTAGGAAGAGCATCTGGTCCTGGGATCACCTGTATCGGCCGAGGAGATCCGTTCTCTTGGACTGCTTCGATTGGTCTTTTATCGTGGTATCGCGAGAGATCGATCTGTAGGCAGGGGCACCTGAGAGAAACGGGTCCACGGTAGGAGTTGGATAGCTGCTAGAGCCGCAATGACATACATCGCAAAGAAGAAGCAAAGTCGCCGATTTGGGGGCAAAAAGATCGACAGAAGGACGCTGCGCAGCACTAGCATGACCTCCAACACTCGTCGTCACCCAAAATAGGAATCGTTTTGCGCGAATGCTGGCTATTAAAATCTCCAAGAGCTTGGTTTTCGAAAGGCTGTACGCATCTCCAATGAACGGACCACGGAGTGTTCGATTGCGTGCCCCACGGAGAAGCTGTGTTCAGTCTCCTGAGCGTTGTTTGATGCATTAGGTCGCCTTGTTAGCTTCAAGTTTGACGGGGCGTTATGAGTTTGAAGGGATGAAAGGTGACAACAGAAGGAGAGGAAAGAGATGGCACGTTAGCGATTACCGAAACATGGCAATATGTCCCTGAACCATGACCAAATCATCGAAAGGATGCGCGGGTATCTTGGTGAAAGCGAAGCGACAGACATTCAACCCATCTTCCTGAGAGCCCGCTGAGGGTTCTTGAGCTCAGGCAAAGCCTCTCTCAGCTGTCGTGCAAGGTCAGCGAGACTCTCGTCAGCATTCGTGTGCTCATTCGCGGTGCCATTCTGTTGCGCAAAGGCACTGCTGCTGGTGCTGGGGCACGGAGGATGGTAGCCACTTGGTGCCCCGGCAGGCTGGAGAGACGACGCCGGCACGTCTCCGGGACCGAGTGTTTGCCCAAGGCCTGAAAAGCCTGGGTAGCCAGAGGTGGTGCTCGTTGATGCATATGCTCCTTGACCTGGTATATTTCCATTCCCAGCATGCCAGGCAGGCCGTACCCAGGCGAATAGTACGCTGGTGAGTAGTCTGCGGCTTGAGAATATGTGCCAACAGAATAGCCTTGGTTATTTCCCATCCACGGACCACCAGAACTAGCATGAGGTTGACCGAGTCGTGGCCAATGTTGCTTCCACGCCCCCACAGTCTTGAGAATTTGATCTTTCTGCCTCTTAAAGTGGTTCTGAACCACCTCGGTCCAGATCGACTCTCCAGAATGCTCCAACCACCCAAGCATCGCAACCTCCACTGTCTGTGGGTGAGTCTGACGGTTGTATTGCTTGCTTGCCTCGCTGCCATATTGATTAGCCCAACCAGGCTCGTTGGTGTATGGCTCGCCGTTAAGTATCATGGATTGTATGCTGACGAGAACTTGAAGAATTGTGCTGCCTTGTGCATTCCAGCCTGGACCAGTCCAGGTTCCAAGCAGAGAGAGGCAGACTTTGCCATCAGCGTATAAGTTTGGGTTAAAGCGAGTTGTCCCTTGGCCCGTGGTTTTGAGTTGCATCTTCGGTGGAGATTTTGGATAGTCTCCGGGACACAGAAGGTCGAACTCGAAGAGCCCATCGGCGTATGGAGTGTCCTGAGGTCCAGTCATGAGAATCTTCATGCAATCGGGGCGAGATTCCGCATAGCGAATGAATATTCCGTCTGGAAGGGACGCCCGAAGCGTACTGAGTTCGCTGACGATTCGCTTCATTCGAGTTGGAATGAAGGCGGTCATCTTATTGGCATCGCTCCTGAAGTGGAAGTTGCTCAAGACTACTTGGTCTGGTAGTTCCTGCACACTCAACTTTTTTTGCCATGAATTGGAATCTTTCTGCTTGGGTTGAGTTGCCCCTACGTTCGCCTGTACGTGTTCGGCCATGTTCTGAATCGCCTGGTACAGTTGCAGCGTGATGTCTCCATCCGTATTGAGTTGCGGGGTTTTCAGCATTGTAGTGCACTGCCCTGCCAATTCCTCCATGGACGCGGCAAGTGAAGGCGTGGTATCGGTCTCGTCCGGTGCATCACTGTCATCCTGCTGCAAGATGGCCTCGAGGAGGTTGTGATTTGTCTGGATTCGCTCGTGGTAGACCAGATATCCTGTCGCGAAATGCCCAGCCAAGGCACTTACAAATCGAACGACAGCGTGGTAAAGAGGAGCTCGAGCGGAAATATCATCCAGCGAGTTGTTGCGGAGGAGCTCTGCAGCCTTGTTGAGAATAGAGCTTTCGTGCAAGAATGCCGCCAGAGCTGTCGGTGGATCGGCATCAAAAGAATTCTCGAATCGCTCAAAGGACGGCAGCAAGTTGGCAATGGTTTCCATGATGATGGCAGTAAGCTTGTCATCTTCGTCGGTCATCTCAGCAATGATAATCGGAACCTTCTCGTTAGAGCTTTGCTTGCCGTACCCGGAAGACTCAGGCTCACGGCGCTTTTTGCCATAGTACCTACCCTCGTCCCCGTAGCCAGTGCCTGAGGGCGCAGAAGACCGGCCGCCGTAAATCGAGTGTGACGCCGTTGAGGTACCTTTCTTGAGTTTGGGGGGCTTGTTCTGTTTGGCCTGTGTATCATATCCACAAAGAAGGATGCAAATCAGCGCCAGTCGCTGCTCATTGCAGTGGACAGTCAGGGCTCCAAGCTGAATTGACGAGGTGTGGTCGTTGATATCTGAGCCACATCCAAAACATGTTTTCTTGCTGCACCGAGTTGACCGCGAGGTGTGAATGCCTTCTGTTGCGAGTGAGAGGGTTCCACTACTGAGGCCAGAGTAGATTGACTTGAAGTACTGCTTGATGGCGGAATCTTTTGGCGATAGAAGCGGGTTTCTGCAAGTCTCACACTGCTTGCGTAAGATTCGCTCGAATCCATCTCTAGCAGAGGTCTTCATGACAGTGGCCGCGCCAGTTTCGTCTCCATTGGTCCGCCCTGGATCTAGTTCCTGCTGCGACTGCTCCTCTGCGTCCCACTCGGCTTGCAGAGCGCGGGCCATGGCCTCATCATCGTCGATGGCTTCCATCGGTGCTGATGCTGGTGACGGGTCTGCATTTTCGGCATCGAATTGTCTCTGCAACTCACGAGCATATGCTTCGTCAGGATCAAGTGCAGGCTGGAGAGCTACGTCGTCGGTGAGATCGACGACCTCAACAATTGGAGTTGAGCGCATGCGCTTGCGAGGGCGCTCTGGAGAGCTCGTGCTGTCATCCATGGCGACTGCTTGGAGTGATATGGCTTGTTGGCGAGGCTGAGAAATGTTGCGCGTGATTAAGCCGGACTGGAGATCGAAAGTTGTAGGCAGAGGGCGGCCTCCGCTGTCTCACCAGAGGCCTGCACGACGTCTCGTTTCTCACGGCTTCTCGGGCGCTCGACTCTATCTTCCAATACTTTCTGTCGTAATGTTTGCCCAAATGTCGTAGATCTTGAGAGACTGAGAGTATATCAGCACTGCAAAGATCCTTACAGGCGCTGTGGTTGGGATCTGTGAGGTTTCAGGCAGCAAGTGCACGAAGGTACCTTTCATCAAAGAGAGCCTTTGGCGTGTCTTGAGACGTTCTCGCGGCCCATCACAAGGCGACGAGACATGACATGCTGTCGAAAGGCTCTCACCTGCACGGGGTCAATCAAATGTCTTCGGGCTTCTTAGGCGATCTTGCGACGCCTTTCTATGTGGATAGGTAAAGGTTGTATCCCACGGTCCATTCAACAGGACATTCTCGAGTATGTGACTGGACGAGCACAGAATCTTGTTCACGGGTGTCTTCGCGTCGACGCGTGAGGTGACGGACCGTGAAACAGCGCAGTATGGAAGCTGCTCAACGGTCTCAGCTTTACGCAAGACAGCATCTACCTCCAACTTCAATAGATCATCTTCTGAAGAAACCACTCCACCATGCAATCATGACCACCGCCTTCCCCTACGTGCGATACGCCTGCCCCTGCACCGAAACGGCCGCACCACCACTGCTCGGAAAGCGATCATCCCAAGACGTCGAAGTCGAACAAGATGAAGGCCTCACGTTCAACCCACACGACCAACGCGCCAACTTCTCGCTATATCCGCTCGACCAGCTACTGTTCTGCGACGAGTGCAATCACACACGATGTCCCAAATGTTGGACCGACGAGATGATCTACTGGTACTGTCCGCATTGCCAGTTCGATGTACCGAGCAGCAGCGTCAAGAGCGATGGTAATAGGTAAGGTGAGATCATCATAAGTTGAGATATACTAGGCCATATCTGACCTCTGCCAAAAGATGCGTGAGATCATGCTACAACTGTCCTGTATGTTCGGCGATCCTGCAGCCTTCAGCATACACCCGCCCGTCCTCATCCTCAACCCACCTACGCCCTGACGGAGCATCCAGCTCGAGCGACTCGTACATCCTCCACTGTCAATATTGCGATTGGAGCACGCTTGAGATCGACGTCAAATTTAGCAAGCCAAGCAGGATCACAGAACAGCTGCAAAAGGCGTGGAAGGCGAGATATGGCGCGAAAGAGGACAAGGACGAGGAGGACAAGAAACACCACGAGAGTTCTGCGTCCCAGCATGACGCTACATTTGCGAATCTGCAGAAATTCTACAAGGATCAACTCAGTGAGTCAGGCGACCAGCCGAACATGTATTCGAACAGCCCCTACAGCTCCCCAGCCAATCTGGCTCGGATCATGAACCTGTATGGTGGTTTGTCGTACAACGCTTTGAAGAAGACGAGAGAGAAACCGCAGCCAATGCGGGAGGCTGGTGGCCTACCAGAAGGCCTCGTCACCTATACTGAAGACGGTATACCCGGCGAAGAAGAGATGAAAGACAAGCTCAAGACGCTTGGCCTCGAAGGCACCGCTTCCGAGGAGCAACGGCTCACCACACCCCACAACTACGACACTAGATTTCAAGATGAGCTTTGGCCGATCGCCACACCATTGAGAGTACGAAGAGGCAAGAGATGCAGAACGTGTCGGCAATTCTTGGCACGACCAGAGCATAAGGTGGGAAGCATGCGATACAAGATCCGTCTGCTGGCTCTGAACTACGTCCAACGACTATCGATATCGCCTCTCCAGCCGACTGCCCCACGACAGAATCCCTCATTCCAGCTTCGACCAGAAACCCTACCAGAAGTAAAGGTCCATCCCCACCAAACGCAACAATACGTCCTCACGGTCCGCAACCCTATCTTCGAAACCGTCAAAGTCACCCTCGCCACACCCGCCACGACCCCAGGAAAAGTCGCCTCCAAAGTCACCATCCTCTGCCCATCATTCACTGTCGGCCCAGCAGGTGACATGTGGGACGAAGCACTCTCCGCATCAACCGCCAGCGACGGCAGCAGACGCGCCGCCATGGCGTCCCTGACAGGCTCATCAGCTGAGGGGGACCGCCAACCCGAAGCCGGCAAAGTGTGGGAGCGATCACGAAACACGACTTCAGTGATTCTTGAGGTCGTGCCAGGAGCACTCAAACCGCCGCCGAAGATCGTGCCGGATCCAAAAGACAACGATCAAAAGGACGAAGACCTGGCCGAAGACGACGACATTCTCGAGATCCCCATCTACGTCCGCGCAGAATGGGAAGCCGTTCCCCACGACGCCGCCGGCCACGCCGACCACAAAGGCGAGCGCGAGAGCCGAGAATTCGCATACTGGTGTGTCTTGGGCGTGGCTCGGATTGCGTAGACATGAATGCACGAGGAAGGAAACACATCCCCTACTTGCCAACGACATGAATTTGTGATACCCTTCAACGTACTCCTCGAACGAATAGCCAACTTGAAAGAAAACAAAAGTTCACAGCGAATAGCCCCATCCCTCACACCTTCTCTCTCCAGTACACTTCATTCCATTGCATCGTCGAGACTGCTCCCAAAACCACAGTCTACTACAATCGAACAGAGAAAAGAAAGCGAATGATCACAACAGAACCAGACCAATCTCCAGTCCAGTCCCCTTCCATATATCCTCCAGCAACAGCAACAGCAACAGAACAGCAACAGCCATACCCTCCTAGTCCATCCCAATACCACGGTCCGAGAATAACGGCCCGGGCTCGGGAAGGGCGACATTTAAAGCCAGCCAGTAGCGCCTGCCTCGTTTGTCCCAATCAGCTTTCCCAAACGTCGACGTGAACCATACCCACGGGTCTGTACTAACAAGGATTGGGATAAGTCGAAGAGTTTCTCTCCCTCCAGCATTTTTTTGCGTGCTGTGCAGAGGAAGGAGGCGTTGTCTCTCGAGAAGTTGAGCCTCGTTCGAAGTATCGCGGTCATTCCTGCTATGACTACTACTATGCCTTTCGATATCATCAGAAAGACGTTCGTCGACTACGACGTATAGCAATATCAAGAAAAACAGCCCGCGAGAGATGAATTCTTTCCAATGACCAAGAATATTTCATTGAATTATCATGAATAGCCTCACTAGCTACCCTAGCTAGATAGAAGTTGTTTTTTTCCTGTCCCAACATCAAAGTCTAGAGGACTGTATGCCTTTCAAAAAAACACGTCAATGAGGAGTAGTAGCAGTATTGTGTGTCCGACACCGATTTTTTTGCCAATACAGAAATGCCCTCGTGTCGCCATGATGCCTTCTTTCCGTAGTTCCTGCTTTCCGCAATCAATCAAAACACCAACGCCGCCGCTTTGTGGGAAGTACGATGCCGCCGTTATCCAATTCGTGTTTTCGTGGGGGGTATGTGTGGTTTTTGGGGTAAGTGATCGTGGGACGCGTGGATGCAGGAGAAATTGTTGTTGTTGGGGGCTGTCGTGTCAGGATCGTCGTCGGACTTGCTGTGTAGACCAGTTGATGAGGCGGCTGCACATTTGGAAGAGATGACGAGCCATGGCCGTGTTGACATAGCGGCCTGTGGCAAGCCGGAACGACTGCGCCCATGTCGTTGATTTCAGGCAAACTTGAGGCAATGGTTCCTCGCATTCGTCATCGCTCAGATTGAACAGAACCGTATCAGTCCTGATGCTCTTGACAGGAGACAGAGTAACAGACGGCCAATCTGGGACCACGATGTGCTTGTTCAAATCTTCGCAAATTGCTCCAGCCGTATGAGTATTTGGCAACTCTTTCTAAGAGCGAGTGAGCACCCTCTTGTTCGAGTCGAATGGATTGGTGAATCTAATCTCATTCGTGTTCTCGATACCACGAAGAAGCTCGATGTTCTCGATCGGGTTGCCGTCTCTGGAAGACCAGTTAGGAGCACCTTTGAGGATACCAAAGTCGACAATCAGAATACGACCATCCTGGCTGGTAGCCACGATGCGGCGGTAGTCAGACTTGGCTGCGAGCATCCAGCTTGTGGTCCACTCTTCGCCTCGCCACAACTCCTTGCCAGTCTCAAAGTCGTACACTCGAAGATCGAGATCGTAGCTACCAGACACGACTCGCTTGTTGCCGCTGTCCAGCCATAGAGATCGAACCAGCTGGGTGTGACCAGTGAACTGGAGAACTTCCCGACCAGTCTCCGTCTCGAACTTGTAGGTGATGTTGTCGTTGCCTCCTGCAAGCACATGCTTCATGTCCTCGGAGAACTCGACAGCCGCGAGACCTCGCTCCTTGGCGCTGAATTCCTTGATGAGCTTCATCTGCTTAAGATCCCACAGCCTCGCAATTCCATCACCACTGGCGCTGACCAGTAGATGTCCTCGTAGCTGTACGGCATTCACTGGACCTCGGTGCCCAGTAAGCTCTCCCTTCGGCTCGTACGTGCTACGATCCCACACGATTATGCGAGAGTCCTTTGAGCAGGATACGATGTGCTTCTTGTCAAGAGCAACGTCCAGAACACCGCCGCTGTGCTTCCTCAGGCGTCTGATGGGCTCGTACGTCTTGATATCCCAGACCAGCAAGTCTGAATCCGAAGATCCAGTCACCAGGATCTCATCGTCGTACTGCAAGCAAAGGATGCTGGCGTCGTGCCATTGGGTTGGGATATGGTAGATGCTGTCGCCGTATGTGGTACCATTGACGCTGGCGGTTGCCATGTGGAAAGACGGGTAGTCGACCGTTCGAAGCACCTTAGGTCCGAGCTGTGGCCTTACATTGGGTCCTCCAATCACCCTGAGGCATTGGAAGGTGTTGATGTCCCACACGCGGATGGTGCGATCACGGGATCCAGTGATGATCTTCTCCTCGTCGAACTGCAAGCAGTACACGCTGTCGGTGTGACCCGAGAGGTAGACGGCCTTGCCAGCGTTGTCTTGACCGGCACGCCAGTTCTCCTCCAGCTCGACACGTGCCTTGTACATCTTGCGCCATTCTTGGTTGGGCTTGTTCGGTCTGCCAATGCCCAGCCCACCGACTTGAATTGGAGCAGGGTCAGACATGACCTCGCGCTGGTATTTGGCCAGGAAGATGTTCCTCCACACCGAAGGCTCCTTGATCATGTTGTTCCATTTCTTGCTCACGCTTTCGGCACGGAGGAGATCGCTGGCATCGAGGTACTCAAAGATCTGGAGGGCGATTTCGTCGGGCAAGTAGCGGGTGAAGTCGGTTGTGTAGGACTCCTCCAACGAGGGGACGTCTGCTGACATGTCGACGTCGCCGTCACGGTCACGAATGGATGTGTCTGAACCACTGTAGGTAGATAAGTCTGCTCCAGAATCTGCCGCACTGCTTAACGAGCCGAGGCGGCCTCTGCGTTCATGAATATCGTCGACACCGAATGGGCCCCAGTTGATGTTGCTCCATTGCATGGCGGAAGAGGTGTGGTTGTGTTGTGCGGCTGCCTTTCTCGCGCCTTCTCCTCCTGGTGCGGCAAGAATCGTGGGCGTTACTCGGCTGGAGGCAGGTCTCATTGGGATGCCGTTGGCTGCAGGTGCTGGTGTGTCTTTGCGGTCGCCGAGAAGCCACGGTGCTCGATGTTTCCTGGGGCGATCGTCACCCTGGCGTGCGGTGCGTTTTGAGGGCGACGTGGGTGGTCTGCTGGACGCATCACACTTGGCCTCGGCACCTGCAGCAAACTCGAGCCTATGCGGCGTGCTGGACCGCCTGCTTCGGCCAGAGGATACAACCGGGAGTTGACATGCCTTGACGGTTTCGCGGAGCTCGTGGACACGTTCTCGATAATGCCGGGAGAATCGCCTGCCGAGGGAAGCCGATTTCGTCTCTCCTTGAGCGCTGTCACTGGATCCAGCGATTGAGCTGCCATGGCTCGGAACTCTTGAGAATGGCCTCCTGACCGAGGCTTGTGCACGCTGGGCTATTCGAGTCTCGTCAACAGTGTGTGTACTGTCCTGCATGGAGACATCGCGTGGAGAAACACCGCGTTCGAATTGAGCATCCATTCCCTGGGCGGCCAAGACATGCATGTCGTTGGCAGTGTCATCGCGCGACAATCTCCTCCTCGTGGCCTCGAGATGTGCGTTGGCGAATTGCGCGACGGCAGAGGCACGCGGTGTGATGTCTCCTTCTGAGCCCTCCTCTTCCTCGGCGATGAAGCTGAACCCCGAAGACGGCGCGTGAACGGTATGGGGTCGTGCGGATTCGGAGTGTGAATTGCGGTGGGGATTATTGTAGTCGAAGAGCGAGGACTGCATGGTGGGTGTATTATTCGGGGTGAGGACACCTGGCGGCGTGCCTCAGTGTGCGTACCAGAGCGTTGAGGGCGCGGCCGTGGTGCTGGTGTTGTCCCAATCCGGCGGATCAGGAGGCACGACACCACTCGACGGGCTCAGCTGGGTGCTGACAGCGGAAATCCAAGAACGCAAGACAATCCAAGAGCCAATGCGAGGATGCGGTATAAGCAAAAGATAGAGAGCGTTTGGCGTAGGGAGTGGCGCGGTGGTGGCGATGGGGGCGGGATAAGGAGTGGACGGTTGGTTGGTCGTAGCCGGTGCTGAGGGATGGGCCGAGCGGATTGTCGCAAGCAACGCAGCCGGAGAACAGCAGAAACGGATGTGCAGTGGTTATGACTGGCACTCGGCGGGAGAGGCGTGCGACTATATGGTCGGCGGAGTGGTCAGGGAAGACGAGGGCGAGGGCTGGCGGTGGGAATGGTAAGGGCGGCGGCGAAAGGCTGAAGGTTACTTGGTCGGTGTGGTTGTGGTGCGGATGGATTATTTCGGGCGGCGAGTCCGCGCCAAACCTCGCCAGCAGGGCAGAAACGCGCAGAGGCAAGTCAGTCAGCTGCCGCTCTTCTCCCGACCGCCCAGCAGAACGAGAAGATCAACCATCCCTCACGCACGTCACTGCTGCTCAGTCACAATCCTGCACAGAGATTGTTGATCCGTCTGTTCGTACTGTACGTACACAGTGCTGCTGCTGTCTCCTGCCCTCCCCCAGATTGCCTCCCTCTCCGTCTCCTTCCTCGTCCACCGCCCACGGCAACAGGCCGCTCCGCTGTCGGTCGCACCGCCGTTGGCCTACACCACTACATACTATTCTTACTGATGAATGCATGTCGCTGCACGCTGCCAGCTCACCACCACGCACATAAACGCACCCTGGCCTGCTTCCGTCATCCCTCTCAGCTGACCCTTGAAGAGGCTTGAACTCCGTTTAGGGTATCTCCATCCTGTAACCAACCATCATGCCTTCGTCAACTCCGTCGACCCCTTCAGCCTTCCCTTGGTTCTACACTGCCTTCTTCCTCTACATTGAGCCCGTCGCCACCGCTGTCGGCGCCTACTATGCCTTTCTCGAGCAGCACCAGTACATGGAGTTGACGGTGCCATCTGTCACTGGCCTTGCCGGTGTCTCGACTCGCGAAAACGTTGTCCTCAATCAACTAGCGAATCTGTACTTTGTCTTTGTAAGTCATCAGCTACGGCGATCTCCTCATAGGCTGTGCTCATATCCGCAGGCTCTAAACGAAGCCTTCGTCTTGCGAGTAACCAACGACCACCGAGTCTGGAGCGTCTTCCTGCTCGGCCTGCTGATTGCCGACTTTGGCCATCTGTACAGCGTCAACGCCCTGGGATGGCCCGTCTACTACCAATTCTGGAACTGGAACAAAATGTATTGGGGCAACCTCGGATTCGTCTACCTCGGTGCTACCATGCGCACCGCATTCCTGCTGGGACTCGGCCTCCCCACCACATCGAGCAACCCCAAGAAATTCAAGACCTGAGACTGCCGATGATGAAAGACAAGACATGCACTGCAGCTCACATGCATGCACTCTCGCATCAGTCATCAGCTGAAGGAAGCTGTGCTGGCTGCTGAATCCATGATCCCAGCGCTTCGGATACGTTGAGACCGGCCCGAGTCCTGTCCACAGTTTTCACGCCCGTATGGCGACAACCTTATACCACCGCTCGGTACGCCTGAAGCAACAGCTCAAAATTCTCTCCAAACCCCCATCATTCGGCTAGACATGTTTCCACTCTCTCAACCTAGGCTTGAATGCACACCACATCAGCCCAGCCAATGGCCATGTTCCACCTGTACCAAACATCTCAACTTTTGCTCCCGTGCTCAGCACATCCTCCCAGCACCGCCGGCTCCCAGATGCTCTGTCACGAGCGACTCCACGAACCACTGTATCGGTATCCCAAACGTCCCGGCCTTTGTGGTATTGTATGGAAGCTTTCCACACTTCGACGACACTGCCACGACCCGAAGGAGAAGTGCCGTGTGAGCACATGTTTCCAGAAAAGCGCCAACTGCGATGTCGGCAAGTCTGCAACCGAAGAATCAACCCACTCGACATCATCAGTTCCAGTGAATGCGAGGTCGAGACAACATTGGCGGCGGCATTTGACAACGAACGCCTGCTGGTCTTCGATGTCCTTCTAGAATGCCTGCCTCAATGTTTGAGCCTGGTGACGAAACAAGAGTCAAATCGATCTCTTCGATCCACTACATCGAGCTCAGAGCATCCAGAACTGCCGCAGAAGCAATCTGTAAGTGGTCTCGTGTCAGCATACCGTTTCCGTCACCGCCATCGTTTTCGCCTGCGGTAAGAGATCCGCTGATCGGCATGGTTCTCGCAATACAACGGACAAAACATCAACGGAGATACTCGCCTGAGATGAACACGTTTCGGAGCGAAAACCCTCAGCTGCTTCTCATACAGTGAACCCTCGCGGTGTCATACGCAAAGCAGCACATGAGACTACTTCCAATCCCCAACCCTCTGCAAAGCATGCCCAGATCAGGCAGGGCAACACCGTCCAACCCTCGAAAAAGTCTCCAAGCACGGATCAAATGACACCTGGCCTCATCCAAACATCAAACCGCTCCGGCTATGAACAAGGAAAGCTTCACGGCCAACACAACGTATACCAGGGAGAGCAACAGCCCGCTACGACTCCATCCACAGACTTTCACGAATCCCTTATCATTATGATGGTGGCTGTCGTCAGAATCAAGGGTATCACGAGGCAGTGCAGTTCTACGCCTGTTCGAGAACACCCTGCTCGACCATTCTGTTGCATCTTTCTAGACCTTTCCTTGAGTACCTGAGCAGCTGAGCTGTGTCTCGTCATAATGATCAATCCAAGCTACCTAGAACTTCATCTACATAGTACATACGTAGTTGCTTGTAGGTGCAAGGTAGATGATGGAACCCAAGCCAGTCTGACTGCATCGCGAGTCAGTTGGCAAAGATCCAAAAATTCGCAGTTCATGTACAGGTATGTGACGATCCAGCAATGGAGATGCTGTCAGTAGTATTAGGAGAAAGAGAGAAAGACAGCAAGCAAGCGATTCGATCACACGAGCACTCTCCCTCCCAAAATCCACCACAAACCAAAAACTACCAACCCTTTCCCCCAAACGCACCCATCTCATCTCATCTCCCCCAATCTTCCCCAATCCACGCAAACCCATCCCCCAAAACCTGCCTAAAAGAGCAACCAAACCTCCATGATGCATCGCATCCTTCAAGAAACCTCCTCGCCGAATCTCCGTTCTTCCTGTGACTCTCCCTCTCCATTAGCCCGTCCATCCCCCGTTCTCAAACGCGGATATGATCGTTACTCGTTGATACTGGCGAGGAGGAATTCCTTCTTTCCCTATTCTGCTGTGTGGATGCGGCGAGGTGTTGAATGGCTGGGGAGGGAGAGGTATTTGATGGTATACCTTGGTGGATGGGGGAGGTGGTATATAGCTCTTTCTTTGGGGGTTGATTTGGACAAGTTGATTTGAATATGTGCGAGAATAGTTTCTTTTTTCTCTCTATCATGTACAAAACATGCAAGCAGCAATGCGAAAACGCCCACAAGAGCCTGCCCAAACAAAAAGACACATACATGCGTGATACACATATTGTCGTCGTAAAAAACCACCCATTAACATCAACATCATGATCATCATGTCTCTCTTCTTCTCTTTCTAAATTTTCGAAACCTTCTCACTATCCATACTCAACCACCTCTCAAAAACCCGACTCTCCAAATCCACACTATCCTGCCTGCCCCCATGATTCCCCTTCTTGCCCCGTCGGAAATACACCCTCTTCGCCCACTTCCACCCCTCCACACCGAGGAAGAACAACAAACTCGCCACAAACACAATCCCCCACTCCCAGCTGATTCCCGTATGGCGGAAAACCTGCCGATTGATAACGGGGATGTAGAGGATAGGGAAGATGGTGATGAAGCCCGCCATGATGGCCCAGAAGAGGAATTTGTTGCGCCACACGTCGAGCATCCATTGTGTGAAGTAGCGGTCGGAGTTGGGCTGCATCCGGAAGAAGGAGCGGCGCATGTCGACGACTTCCCAGGCGAGGAAGAGGGAGAACCACGTCAGGCACGCGAAGCAGGTGGCGCGCGCGCGGAAGATGGTGTCGCAGCCGTCGCCGATGGATTCGTTGCAGCGGTAGCCGATTTCGCCGCCGCCCCAGGGGTACAGGACGAGGACGAAGGCGGTGAGGCAGAGGGCGGCCAGCCAGATGCCCATGACGAGCATGTCGATCATGAGTTCGACGCTGAAGATGCCGCGCTTGAGGTTGTGTGGGGGCCGTTGGAGGACGTCGGGGGCTTTTTCTTGGAATCCTAAGCCCATGTCTGGGATGCCCGAGGTGATCATGATGACCCAGAGGATCTCGATGGGGGAGATAGGGAAGACGGAGAGGGACTCGGCATCCTTGAAGGCGAGGCCGATGAGGAGGACGAGCGCTTGGGAGATGTTTTGCGCGAGGAGGTGGAGGACGAATTTTTGGATGTTGTCGAAGGTGCGTCGGCCTTCTTCCACGGCTGCGAGGATCGAGGCGAAGTTGTCGTCCGTGAGGATGATATCTGAGGCGTCCTTTGCAACGTCTGAGCCTGCTTGGCCCATGGCGATGCCGACGTCTGCGCGTTTGAGAGAAGGGCTGTCGTTGACGCCGTCACCGGTCATGGCGCAGAAGCGGTTGCGTCGGTGGAGGGCTTCGATCATGCGGACTTTGGTGTTCGGAGCACATCTCGCAATTACGAGAGGCAGGACAGGGAGGTTGTCAATGTCCGAGTCGCTGAGGGCGTCGAATTGGGAAGCGGTCATGACCATGGAGTCGGTGACATCTTTGCTGAGTTCGTACATTTTGGAGGGTAGGATGCCAACTTGGGAGGCGATTGCTCGCGCTGTGCCTGGGTGGTCGCCCGTGAGCATGTGGACTTCAATGCCGGCTTCGTGGCAGCGGCGGACAGATGGGGCGGTTTCTGGGCGAGGAGGGTCGAAGATGCCCACGAGACCTTTGAAGTCGAGTTCCTTCTCGACGGCGTTGCGGTCAAGTTCTTGGCCTTCCTCGTACGTCTCGTTGTAGTCTTTGCTGGCGAGAGCAAGGACACGCAGACCGTGTGTCGCGAGAGCCTCCATGTTCTGCAGAATCTCATCCCGGAATTCCTCGGTCATTGGGGTGGACTCGCCCTTTTCGTTGACATACGTGACGCAGGAGGCAATGACTCGCTCCACTGCGCCCTTGGTATAGGTGTACATCTTCTCGGTGTGAAGGTCCTTGTAGATGACGCTCATCTTCTTGATGTCGGAATCGAAGGGGAACTCGTGAAGCATTTTCATGGCCGGGTGCTCGCCAGCAACAGAGGCTCGTCTGTTCCATTGGAAACGTGAGGCAAAGACTTGAATGGCGATCTCTGTTGGGTCACCACGTGCATGCCACTCGCCCGCGTCAGTACGATGTACAGTTGCGAGGTTGGCAAGTGATGCTACGCGGAGGTAGTCCTTCAAAGCCTCGTTGTCTTGAAGCAGCGCCGAATAGTCGGCCTTTTCAGCTTTGTCCTGCATCTGGACGCTGCGCGGGTCTTTTGCGATGAACGAGATGTCACCTTTGGTTGGGTTGAAGGGTTCGTCGCTCTCTCCGATGGTGTAAGTGCCTTTGGCTGGAATCCATGTTTTCTTCACAACCATCTTGCCTTGGGTTAGGGTTCCGGTCTTATCAGAGCAGATATCAGTGACACCACCCAACGCTTCGAGCGAACGTAAGTTTCGCACAATAACGTTCCGTTCAACCATGCGCTTAGTACCGGCAGCCATTGTGATCGTGAGCACGACGACGAGCGAGGCTGGAATCATGGACAAGCCTGTAGCCACGGCATAGATGATGACCTCGCGCTGGTTGCGGAAGTCGTTGGCTGCGAGGACGATGATAGCGCAGATGACAGCGATGAGGAAGAGCAAGACTGCTAACCGTGACAGCTTCTTCTGCAGCGGTGTGCCAACGTTGACTCCCAGGAAGTGGCCGACGGCATCGGTGCAGGTCAGGACAGCGGCTTGGATGTAGTGATAAAATGCGGATGTGCCGTCTTCCTTCTGCTTGACCGGCCGGCGTTTGCTATCCTTCTTTCGAAGAGCAGCGGCAATCGAGCCGATCTCAGTGAACATACCCGTGGCAAAGGCAATGCCTGTTGCCCGCCCCTTCGTAACCGTAGACGAGCTGTAGGCAACGTTGAGCCTGTCTCCAGGACCGGTGGACTCTTCGAAGATCTCATTGGCGTTCTTACGGACAGGCAGAGACTCGCCAGTGAGGAGGGCTTCGTCAGTCTCGAAGTTGACGGGATCAATAAGTCGAATGTCGGCGGGAATGGTGTCTCCCGTCTTCAATTCAACCAGATCACCCGGGACCATCTCGACAGTGGGAATGCTCACAGACTGTCCATCGCGAACGGCCTGGGCTGTAGGTGAGCTGAGCGATCGCAGCGAGTCCATAGTTTTGGCAGCCTGATACTCTTGGAAGAAGCCGACGGCAATGTTGACGAAGATGACACCGGCCACGACACCTCCTTCGATCCATGACTGGATGGCAAAGGAGACAACCATGGCAAGGATCAGAACCAGTGTCATGGCATTGGCAATCTGCCTGGTGAGAATCTTTCCAGGATTGACGCCCTCTCCATCACCCAGTTCATTGCGGCCATGCTCCTCGAGTCTCCTCTTTGCCTCGGCCGTAGTCAGACCATCATCGATATCGGTCTGCAGCTCCTCCACCACCTGCTTCCATTGCAGGGAATGAGCTGGCTTCGAAAGTGGCTTGTTGGATTGGCCAGATACGTGATCGCTGGTAATCTCTTTCGGTCCCTCCTTACCCATCTTGGCCTGTCATGTAGTAGGTCGGAAGTGAGGTGTTATTGATCGTGAGCGAGGAATGTGATGTGTTTCTTTCAAGCGAGTGAAGCTTCTTTGACGATTCTCAAACGATCGTCTGTGGCGGAAAGGTTGAATGTGGTGGAATGCCAATACATTGCGGCGTGACAACATACTTATGTATCTGGGCGAGAACCCACCTGGTGGTGAAGGACAAGAAGCGAGTTCTTGGAACCCAAGACCGCTGAAAGGTCGAAGACTTGGCGTCTGCCGACTAACGAACATTCTATCCCGACCCATTGGCAAAGATGGGTGTTCTTTGTGTCACGAGATACGTACTCCAACCTGACCCCCTGGACAGTCGTTCAGCCATTGTCATCATACCGGCAGGCTGTCTCGATGGTCTTCTTGATACGTCCATTCAAGTCGAAACAGCATATCGTGAAAGGCGTGGTGAGGTGGAAGTCGAGCCGGAGAAGGCATTCTTTGCCACCCCTCAGCGGAATTGGAACAACCAGAGGCCCCGCGGAGTGGCCTTGCCAAGAGAGCGGAGCGGAAGGGGGAGTGAGAGTTTGGCGGAGCACGTGCGCCAAGGAAGCATGCGTAGCATTATCGCCACAACGAACGTACGCATTGGCTGAGAGGCGACGCCCAGACGTGCAGAAGCTTGGGAGGGCGGCGGAGGATGACGTGACAAGGCCGAGACAGAGGAGACGACGGCGACATTGCACGGCTAACGGTCCGAACAAGAGATTTCCAAGAACGCTAATCGCGAAGTCTGCCTGGTGGCAAGCGAGGTCGAAAGATCAATGATAGAGAGAGTGGTGGTGTTGTCTGTCGTCGGGAAGCCGCTGACGGCAGCAGATCGGATAATGCGGTCTGCCTGAGGCACAAATATGACATCACGACAGATCTGAGTGAGTGTCTTGGCGGCCAGCGGCGAGACCCCCTTCGACCGAGGGGTACCGATTGTTGATTCCTAAACACTGCATGTGCTCAGGCAAGATTGCGTGCTGCTACTACGTTTGCCCCTCTTACATCAATTCCAACAATCTCTTTCAAACAACCACGTCTCCGGACACAACAGTTGCCCACCATTTCTTCCCTCATCAGAACCTTCCGCAGCTTCTTCAGCAGCACCAGCAACAACCCACAAGCCATCATGGCCGCAAAGACCAAGGCACAGGACATCATTGACAACAATGCAGTTGGTATGGAAGACTTCCATCGAAGTGGATATCAGATGAGATGCTGACTTTTTCCCAGCGGTCTTCTCCAAGTCGTACTGCCCATACTGCAAGGCCACCAAGTCGCTGTTGAGCGAGCTGGGCGCAAAGCCATACATCATCGAGCTCGACCAAGTTGGTACGTACACAAATCTACCTACCCATCATATTGAGGTAGAGGCTAACAAACTTGCCAGATGACGGCGCCGCCATCCAAGATGCCCTCCAGGAGATCACCAACCAGCGCTCCGTCCCAAACATCTTCATCGACCATAAGCACATTGGCGGCAACTCCGAGCTGCAGTCCAAGAAGAGCGAGCTGCCAAACCTGTTGAAGCAGGCCAACGCCGTCTAGATACCCAACGAGACAGAAAGATGAGACAGGACATTGTAGAACGCGAATGAAAGAGCTGCATTGATCCCTGAGATTTCGTACTATATCATTCCCATACCTTTCGTTACAATAATCTGGTCGTGAATGCTCTAGTCCAGCTCTCCAGCAGCTGCCATCTTGCGCATCGCTTCAATGCTGGAGTGTACAGCCATCTTGGCCCCCTCTTTGCGCTGTTGTATGAGCTTCTTGTGCTCTTCGCTGCCCTCTGCAACTTCTTCGCGCCACTCAAACGTATACGTCATGTTCAAATCGTGCTCTTCAAGGCTCGCTCCATCGGAGACAGTATTTGTAATCAAAGCACCGCTCGGTTGCCAGAAATCGACCTGTCCTTAAGTCAGCCTCGAAGTACGATAGCATAGCCAGAACAACACACCTTTGTAGGATAATAGCTCTTGCACACCTCCCTCACAGTCTTCTTCTCGAAGCCCTGGACCGCCTTGAAGTGCGCCTCTCGCACAACTTCGTTCTCCTTCTCTTCAATCACATCGCACGCCTCGATCACAGGCACGAAGTCCTGCGCTTTCCTGATCTTCCTCTGTAGACCCTTCCAGATCTGATCGCGCGTCAGGACTGGCGTGGCTCCAGCTGGGTTGATCGCCTCGGTGTAGGCGCAGTTGATTGTGACCATGGTGACCTGAAAGTGTTGTGATACACACTGTTTGGAGATTCAATGGTGGAACAGCTACTGCGTTGGTAGGCGGGGAGGCTGGGGATCCGTGGACGCTTTGATGGCCAAGGAAACTTTGCTTCCTGATGGCACTCGCCTTCTTAAGTACACAACACTTCCTCAAAACTTCTCGTCTACTCAAGGTACCTGACTAGTGACGACCTTGCCACAATCACGATATCATCGCCAAGGGGCCTCCGGACAGAAGCTGGAATTTGTAACAGACAAGACAAGGCCTACCGGACCTCGCACTCTTTCGGTGTCTCCCCAAGTCCGTCTCGGCACGAGCATCAACCTCATCGAAGGCGAATCAATACCAAGACGGGACGAAGGATACACCGTCTGAGACACAATTGATCGAAGAAGTTTCGTTTGGGAAAGAAATGTTACATCACAAAGGTCGCCGATTTTCCTCGACTCGTCAAACCATCTCGCGTTTTGCAGAACGCCCCGTTTGCGCATGCCTTCACCCTTATCCTTCCAGAAGCATTTCATTTACTTTCCATCAACAGGTGTACTCATGATTCATCTTCAAGTTCATCACAAAGAAACATTTCGTATCGTCGCTTCAGAAATTCCTTCCCAGTTTCCACCTCGCAATCCAATAAACGCCAACTCATCAAGTATTAGGGATCACGAATCAGGAACACACAGGCTTCGACGTCTGCGCCGGCTTCCCATCGCAGGAGTTTTGGTCATAACACCTGCAACAATGTCAGCGCTTTCATGGACCTGGCAATTGGGGCAAGACGACTCACGCGCCATAGCGCTTCATGCACTCGAGGTTTATCATATCCTTGCAAATCGTTGACGGCGTGCAATCTGGCTTCGACACTGCTAAGGCTGGGATGGGTGTGATCTCCGATGAGATGCTGGTGGTAGTTGTCCCATTGGCCGGTATTGAGGCCATCACAGAGGCTGACGGTGCTGGAGCCTGTCTTGCGAGAGCTGCACCGGGTTGTGCGTCGGGGCTCCGTACAATGCTGTCTGGTCTTTGAACGACACCCGCCACCGCTGGACTGAGGAGCAATGCGAAGCAGGAGATCGAGGCACGCATGTCTTGGCTTGGCTTGTTGAAGAGGATAGATCTGGATACCGAGGAAGCGGGTGTAAGAACCCGTTGATCTGAGTTCTTGGTAGATGGTCGATCACGAAAAGATTGTGGGAAACGATCGTGGGAAAAGATTGGGTCTTCCATGGTGTGCCGTCCGCAACTCCATATATGAGCAGGATCTTCAACACCCACGCACGCTCCGATGCACAATTTTCTGACGCAACCCTCCCTCCCCTCGATGTGGTATGTGCGACAACGTGGCAGCCAAGGGCCCTTCATCGCTGATAAGGAACGAGAGCGTATGAGCTCAGGTCGTGCGAGGGCCAAAGATGGCATCTTAAGCGTGTGCGGAATGAGGAGCTTCGTCTGGAATGCAAGATCTCCTGAACCCAATGACCAGGTTTCGCATTCGCCAGGTTCGAGGGCACGACACCATTTCCTTTCGGCACGTTCGGAAGGACGTAGGTCCGCTCGAATACTTCGGACTCGCCGTCGTGTTTGCCGCATGAATGGTGCTACCCATACCAGACGACGGGATAAGGATCGACGGCGTCATGTTCCCTCCTGAGGCGAACAAGAATGCAGGCTGTCCCGAACACCTGGATCATGACAAACCTCTGTCAACAGCTTACGACGACGGCGAGAGAAATCTCAAGAGGGTAAAGTAGTCGACGGAGGGTGGTATTTTGGTCTTGAACCCCGTTCCACGACGTCTGCGACATCGCCGAATGGACCAATTCTTACTTGAGAAGTCTGACCACCTTCAGCACACCGTTCGGCTATGAAGTATGCTTCATCTCCTCGAACTCGCGTTTCGCTTCCTCAAGCAGTCCAGGCCGCATCAAGATATCGACAGCAGCAGCCGACAACGCCTTGGCGACCCGAAGCGCAAGACCATGTGCCTCTTCCGTCCTCGCCGCTCCTTCGAAATCGGGAGTGTGAGGCCCGCCGAGCTGGTTCCCATCCTTATCCTCACTTCGGATCCAGAAATTGGGCTGCAGCAGAGATCTTTGGGTCAGCTTTGAACACACAAATACGGCAAGTGATTCACGGGTAGATTGACTCACGCTGATACTAGGCATCGCATAACTAACGTTGCCCTGATCTGTGCTCGCCATCGTGGTGCCATTGACCCAATCCAGATCCGGGGTTGCGATCTTCCCACCTAGAGAGATGAATGCTTCGCGATATCGAGCTCCTAGGACCTTGTTGGGCATGTGGTCGTCATACGCCCCCTTGGGTGTAACCTTGAGGGTAGCGCCAGTGGCATGAGCGCCTGCTTCGAAGCATTTCAGGACACGCTCGTTGAGGGCGGCTCTTCGGGCGCGGTTACTTGAACGAACGACGAACATGCCTGAGGCGTAGGCGTGGATGATGTTGGGTCGGAGGCCGCCGTTGGTGATGTGTCCTTGGATGATGTCGCCTGGTTGTGTTTGCTGTCGGAGGACGGAGATGGAGTTGTATGCGGTGATCAGGGCGTCTAGTGCGTTGATGCCGTCCCAGGGTCGTGCTGCGGCGTGGGCTTCTTTGCCGAAGTATTCGACTTTGAAGCTTTGGTAGGCTGCTGTTCGCATCAAAGCGCTATCGGGGCCGATGCCAGGATGCGAAATGAGGGATATGTCGACGTTGTGGTCTTTGTAGGCGCCTGCTTCGAGCAGTTTGATCTTGCCACCGCCGCCTGACCATCGATCAGCTGTTGGACACAGGCTGAAGTTCTTTCTTCGATATCATACCTTCTTCTGCGGGCGTGCCGAATAGAACGACTTTACCACCGAGATCGTTCTTCTGCAGCGTATCGGCGGTCGCAAGAGCACCTCCAACCGAAGCAACAGCAATAAGGTTATGCCCACAAGCATGCCCAATACCTTTCAGAGCATCATACTCAGCATTAAACGAAACCTAAAATCACCACATCATTAACCAACCACTCTCACAACAACAAAAAACAATAGGTAACTACTCGCCACAGGCCCCTTCCTCCCACTATTGAAAACCGCCACAAACGCCGTCTCAATCCCATAAGCCGAAGGCGTAACTTTCCATCCAGCCTTCCCGCTCAGATACTTCGTCAGCACCTCATGCGCATGGAACTCCTTGTATTGCAGTTCCGGATGATCGTGGATCTCAAGCGAGACCCTTCTAAGCTCGTCGTGAAGCCCGTCAATGTGGGAGGAGATGGAGCTTAGGTAGGGGTTTTGGGTTTCGGCGTGGGAGACCATTATGAAGTCGTCGTCGTTTGTTTGGTCGGGAATGGTATGGTCGCGCATTGCGATGAGGTGGATTTGTTAGTTGGGTGGTGGTGTAGAGGGGTGATGTTGAGGGCAGCTCGGGACGAGAGGCCGACGCAGGTGGGCGGCGTTGCTGGCTTTGTTGTTCTCTTCTTTCGCCTTCGCATCTTTCGCCTATCGGATATGCATTGTACGCTATCGTGCAGCGAATGCTGGTCGCTTCAACGACACGCCTGCCGAATTGACAAGGAGGTTGAAGTACTTTCGTTGCAAAGACACCAGGTCTAAAAACTCACCGTCGTCATCGCCATCTTACCATTTCTACGCGTTGGTCGCGTCGTCGACGACATCTCGTGGAGGAACGGTACACCGTGACTTACAGACAGGACGACGAGAGATCTCTGGACGTATGCTGGACGAAAAAGGAAAACGGAGAGGTGGATGAAAGGGTCTCGTTCGTCGTGCTACCACCACGGCGAGAGTTTCCTCCTAGCTGGCGGTTCGCCTGACAAACCCCGCCCTCAGCTCGCGAATGCTGAGAGGATGCAGCAAAATAGGGCAGTAGGGTTCCTTGTGGTCGTCCGACGAAGGGCCTGTCAGAAGAGACTACTTGGCGAGTACGGGGTGAGATGTAAGATAGGTGATCGGAGAAGTATTACTTGACCTGCTCTCCCACGCTCTGCCGCATTCTTGGGAAGCAAGATTCAGAAATGGCATTGATAGCACAGGCGACGGCGGCACTCGGTATCTTGTGCATTTTTGTAAGCCTATCGCGATGAAGAGGCGTACGAGCCTGCTGACACGAATAGGCTGCGTTGTATCTCATCGGATCATGTGTCTACAACGTATACTTCCACCCACTATCACGATACCCTGGCCCGCGATTCTGGGCAGCGTCTCAACTGCCTTGGACGTACCACGTATTCAAAGGAGATCTTGCGAAGCCTATCATTCCTCGACTGCACGAGAAGTATGGACGAGTAGTCCGCATAGCGCCTGACAGACTGGTCTATGCCGATGCTTCAGCATGGAGAGGCAAGAAATGAACATATCAGACCACGGCTAGTATCGCTGACGTGAACTAGATCTCTACGTCCAAAAGTCCAGTACAGGACAACAAAACCCACGAGACCCTAGCAAGTTCCTTCCAGCGCCCAAAGGAGGGATCAACAGTATCCTCTTAGCAGACGATCGCAGCCATGCACGTTTCCGCAGCTTCCTGTCACCGGCCTTCAGCACGAAGGCTATGGATGAACAGCGAGATATAGTCAGGGGCTACGTCGACCTGCTCATCAAAGGTGTGGCCACGAGTGCTAAAGAGGGGCCTCATGATATGGTCGCCTGGCTGAATTGGACATCTTTCGACGTGAGTATCAGTCAAGCTTTTCAGCTTGGCGAGGTGTTGCTGAGCACATCTACAGATCATTGGCGACCTATGCTTTGGAGAGTCGTTTGACGGTCTGGTCAAGAGACGAGAACATCCTTGGATATACTTCATTTTCCATCACGTCACAACTGGTCTGATGGTGGCCCACTTGCACTCTACATTCCCTTGGACTAGACGGTTTCTACCTTATCTGTCTTCAAACGAGGTACGTCGGAGTTGCACAATAAACCCAGACCGGTCACTTGTCTTGTTTCTTTAGATCTGCCGAGCTTATGCACGTCATCTAACACACTCGTAGGCCTTGCAAAGTCGCCTTCAACACAGACAGATGACCATCGAGAAGGTCAAGAGTCGAATCGATCGAGGGGAGACAGATAGGCCAGACTTCATCACACTGGCCTTGCGCGATCATGGCAAGCAGCAGCCACTTAGTCTGGCTGAACTTGTTCCAAACATGATGACCCTCATCATAGCCGGTATGTACGGAGCACACATATCACAAGCCAATGACCAATATCTTCTAGGAAGCGAGACGACCGCAGGTGCTCTTGCCGGCGCGTTGTACTTGCTATGCAGAAACAACCAGGTGTACAGACGTCTCGTGGCCGACATCCGGGCCGCATTCGCAACAGACGATGACATTGACATCCACAGACTTAATCAGCTCGAGTACCTGACGGCTGTGCTACGCGAGTCACTTCGTTTGTATCCTCCGGTTCCAACAGAATGGCATCGGCGCATCGCGGATCCAGCAGGACAGCTGGTTGCTGGCGAGTGGGTACCGTACGGGGTAAATGCTTTCCTGTACCATTACATCAACACGCCTCCGCTAACTTGCATGCCTTCTGCGCCTCAGACCTTCTGCGGCGTAGCACAATATGCAGCAAACCGTTACAAACCTGCTTTCCGCGACGCCGACTCCTTCGTGCCCGAACGCTGGCTCGGCGACGCCAAGTATGCCGCGGACGAGCTGGAGCTGGTGCAGCCGTTCGCGATAGGGCCACGCAACTGTCTTGGGCAGAGGTGAGACTTGTTTGTGAGATGGGCTTCTTCCGCCCGTAGTGCTAACGACAAGCACAGCCTGGCGTACATGGAGATGCGGCTGATCCTCGCTCGTCTTCTCTACAACTTCGACTTTACCCTATCGGAACCTGACAGGGATTGGATCGACGATCAAAGTACCTTTGGATTGTGGCAGAAAGTGCCCTTGATGATGAACGTTGTCCCTGTGGGCGTGAGTTAGCGAGCAGGTATCGTGCCGACAAACAGCCGCTGCGCTTCAAACGGAGAAATCGTTGTCCACGCCGAAGCAAGACTTACATTCGAAGAGAGGTCCTCTTGAAGACAACAGCTAGCAGAAGGTTTATGTGTATGAAAAGCTAATTTCGACATAGGACCTGCTTTGAGTGTCCTACGCATAGCAATCTCGCTGCTATGGATGTCTCTCTCATCGACGTATGCACAGCATAAAGACGTCTGACGTTTAGTGAAACGAGAGCGCCAGCTATCACCTCTTATCCTGCTCGATTCCCAATTGCGCAAACGCGTTTTTAGACCGGTGTGAAGTGCGAGCTATCTTCGGCAGAACTGGTGTCATCAACAAGCCCCTCGGCAGCCGATATGGCGGACAGGGGTCGTTCTAACCTACATCGACGTTTGTGGCTTTCCTACTCAACTACCTTGCTTGCTCAGCTTTCGTCTTTGGGCATGTCCTCTCCAATGGCAGCTGTTCAAGCGAAGACAGATTCTGAGCGCTTCTGGAAAATGCTCTGCCACGTGGGGAGTTGTCTTCGGGCAGGTTTTCTGCAGGTCCCGATTGTTCGGGCCGGGATATGCTAGCCGCTTCACGAAGATCGAGTGCCAGAGCGAAAGTACCGATTGCAACTGTCTGGCTTGATCAGCTCACACACCACGGCTCCCCAAGCCAACCAGCCTCTCCACTAACCTGCAGATCTAGACCGCTCTGTCCTGGCTCTTCACACCTCCACGTGACTGCAAGACCCCAAGCGCTGAGCAGCAAGGATGTCCTCGAAGCTGTTCCATGTGCGAGGTTGAACGAAACAGGCCTGGCTATCCATATCCATCCGTAGCTAAACTCTCTGCCGCGGAGGTAGGCCTTTGCTGCTTCTTGAGAGGCTGCTCTACATGCCTATGACTCTCGGTGACACAATCTACCCATCACAAGAGGTGAGGCAGATGAGGCACACGGTGAAGGGTTGTCTACCTTTTAAATCTCGGAGGCCTGCTTCTCGCGCTGCTCGCTGACGTTTCGATCTGCACCCTCTCTCACCACTGCGCAGCACAGTGAAGCAAATCTGCAACCATCTCAGAAGCTATTGCCAAGTCACATGCCACACTCCCCCCAATGGCTGATTCTAGGAGCATCCAGTTCAGTGCTGAACCCCTGTTCGTATCTCCTGAGCGTCTGGTGCTCGACAACGACGTGAACGCTTTTCAGCGTGAGGATGGGCAACAACAGAGCCACCATCATCAGACAGTCTGTACGCGCATCGCCTCCCACGCCGCTCATCGAGCACGAAGCTGACAGCTTGCAGGGGCCTCACAGAACCAGCAGCAGCAGCAAAGATCTGACCTACCCTTGCACAACATGTCGGAGTGGTCATTCCCGACACAACATGCTCTTCGGAACCTCCCGCCCACTCCCATCTCACCCTTCAGACCATTGAGACCACTATCAGAGGACGAGAAGCTCGCCTTCCCATGTCCTGGTGATGCCGATAGTTGCTGGAATCTGGAGCTTTGTCCCAAACATCGACAGTGCTCGCCCAAGTCGCAACACCAGCAGCCACCAGATCATCAGCAACACCAACACCAATCCCTCCCGAAGTTCAACCACGCGAGATCAATGTCCGCAGCCCAAGTCCCCCAGATCCCCAACCCACGTCGACGGAGCGCCCCGACCTCAGACCTCGAGCCACCACCAGCAAAGATGAAGCGCAACGCAACAGAACCAGAAGAAACCGACCCGGAAATCTCAAACTCCCGCCACAACAGCTACCACAGCTCCATAACCCGCGACGCCCTCAATAAAAACCGCGGCCGCGTCCCACACAACCTCGTCGAGCGCCGCTACCGCGACAACCTCAACAACCAAATCGAATCCCTGCGCCTCACGCTCCCCTCCCTCAAAGACGCCCAGCCCTGCACCGACATCACGCTCGAAGACACGTCCTCCCCGCGCATGCCGTCCAAAGCCGTCATCATCTCCACGGCCGCGACGTACATCAAGGACATGGAGAATGAGCGCACGCGGCTGCTGGCGGCGAATAAGGCGTTACAGGAGCAGGTTTGTGGACTGCAGAAGTTGGTGCGGTGTGATGATTGTAATGTGCTGCAGTATTTGAATACGATGAATTTGGCGGTGCAGTTGCCGACGCCGTCGTAGGTGGGCGGTTGGTGGTGTTGTTCTTGATGGGCGATGTTCGTTCGTCTGTTCGTCGGCTGATTTGTGTGTGCGGGTTCTTAAGCGTAGCGTTTCAGGAGAAAAGTCAGGAGTTTGATGATCGATGGGATAGACTGGGTGCGGTTCTGGGTATTTCTGGTTAGTATTGACGGGTTCTTTGGCTTTTGGAGGGAGGAGGGAGACCGTCTCCTTCCCACTACAACGATGACGGCGATGGCGGAAGAGACTTTACCGAGAAAACAAAACGATAATCAAAATAGAAAGAAGAAGAAGGGGCAATCCTCACAAGGCTGTCCAATCAACACCTCTCCACTATCACTGTTCCACAACATCTGCATCGCCGGTCATGCGCCTCGACGACGTGCATGACCAGCCACACACACGCAACAACAACGATATGTGTCGGGCGATATCTCCTTGCGTCAATAAAGCTCGCTCTTAACAAAAGCATCCCTACATAGTATCGCTGCCCTCCTTTCCCTTTGACCAACGAGAAGATGCCACCAAAACCCATCCCCATCACCCTCTGCGCGCAAATGTACTGCTCGAAGAGCGTATCGCACGGGCACAAGTATTGCGCAGATCGTTAGTCCCCTCTTCTTCCACTCGAAACGAGAGATTTTGCCAACTCGACGTTATGTAGATGAATGCAACGAGTCTTCTTGCTTGGTGGATGCTTTGGGGGATACGGGGAAATGCGTTACTCGTGAGTTGCTCCTTATGTTCGCGGTTCGGGGTTGTGTTGTGCAGGCTAGGAATGTGACTTTGTTCTGTAGATGGGCCGTACATGAAGTCGCCGCCGGACAAGAGGTCGAGGAGATGAGGGTGGTTGATGCGGAAGTCGGGACTTGGAGGGTCGAGAGTACGATTAGGAGTTCCGCGAGGCTTTTTTTCTGCTTTGAAAGAGAGATCACTGTAGGGGAGCTGGACTGTTTCGTCACCAGTACGCATGGAGTTAGGTGTTGTTTATCATCTCAAGACTACAGCGAGATTTGTGGTCAGCACTGGAGAGTGTTCGAGTGTGTGGAGTCACGGTAGAGGGTCTGGGAGAGTCGAAACACGGAGAAGTGATCAAGAATGCGAATTGGGTCTATCTGACACCACCACATCTCGAGTTTAGGAAAACGCCATGAACGCCGGCAGACACATGGATTATCTCGCTTAGCCTTGTGGAGCCAGGTCCGCCTATCTTCTAAAGCAACCTCTTTTCAATGCATCCGTCGGTGACGTCCGTCGAGCCGTGACAGCCGCTAAAAGGGTCACTACCACATACCGCCAGGAGCGGCCTCCTCAGTCGGAGCATCGGTAGCGCCCGCCCAGTCACCTGTAACGCCCTCGGTGGTCGTATTCGCGACGTCGGCCCAGTCAGGATCCTCCTTCTAAGAGGAAGCTGGTGGAGCGTCGCCACGGCCACGGCCACGACCAAAGCCACCACGGAACTCTGGGTTGAAGCTGCCTGGAGCACCACCCTCCTTGTTGTCGCCATACTCGCGGCGGCGGTAGCCACCCTCGCGGTCACCACGGCCACGGCCACCACCACGACGCTCGCGGTCATCCCCGCCGAGCATGCCACGCGGGGGAGCGTGCGAACGCTGCTGCTTGACGTGGGTTTGAGGAACGATCTCGGCAGGGAGGTGGAGCCACTCGCGGAGGTAGTCGAGACCCTCTGGGGTGAGGGTGTAGTAGTACCATTGCCAGGAGAACTGGGTCTTGAGGTAGCCGCGGGAGGTGAGGGACTGGCAGGCCTTGATGACCTGGGTGGGAGTTAGATTTGGGAGGTATGCAGACGCTGCAGTGTATACATACGAAGAGGTTCTTGGTGTCAATCTCGCCGTGCTTTGGCTGGTTGAAGTCCTTCTTGGCGACGAGGACACCCTCACGGAAGAGGTACTCGTGGATCTTCTTGCGATCGGCCTTGGGAATCAACCTGGAGCGAGGGTAATCAGCTGACTGGTCGCATCAATGGCAGTGCGGTGCATCTCACATCTTGGCGGTGTTGTTGAGGGTGGTGGAAGATGTTGTTCTGGTGTGATGCGGCGATCGTGAGGAGGAGGAGGTGTTGTCGTCGCTGAAGCTCAAAAGTCCATGTGTGCGCGACGCTAGCGGGGACAGAATTTGATTGGACGCTTAAGCGAGCGCTGATCGCCAGCCTCCACTTCACGTCGTCTCTTCTTCACATGTCACTCAATTCACACCACAGTCTTTGCGCACATTCGCTATCCTTCTCGACATACCACACTCAACTCTTCCCCCAGGAAATTCGCACCACTCGTCTTGCAATCGCCATGGCCTCGGAACACACCATCAACGTCCTTCTGGCCACGTTTGCTGGCCTAGGACTGCCACGTACTCTCTCACTCCCAACCCGCTCTTCAGCATCGGTCAGCGATGTGTACGACTCAGTCTTGAACCGACTCCCGGCCCTTGATGAATCGTTGATCCTCACGACCGTGTCGAACAAGCAACTACTTCCCTCAAACCACGAGTCCATCACCACCCTTCTGAGTTCACCGTCCGACAGTCTCTTGTCTCTCAGACTTAGCAGACAGCTATGCGGTGGAAAAGGTGGCTTCGGATCCCAGCTTCGCGCTGCTGGTGGACGTATGAGCAGTCGCAAGAACAGACAAAACCAGAATGTCAATGGCTCGAACAGAAATCTTGACGGTCGCAGACTGCGCACCGTGGATGAGGCGAAGAAGCTCGCAGAATACCTGGCCGTCAAGCCAGAGATGGAAAAGAAGGAGAGGGAAGAGCGTAAAAAGCGATGGGAGGCTGTGGTGGAAGCGTCTGAACGGAGAGAAGAAGAGATTAGAAGCGGCAAAGGGGGTGCCAATCAGGGAAGATTGAATGCCGAGTACGTGGAGAGTAAAGAAGAGGCTGAGAACAAGACACGAGAGGCCGTCTTGAAAGCCATGAGAGAAGGACTACTTCAGTCGGAGCGCACGGGAAGTGAGAGCTCGGAGAACGTAGAAGAAGACGACAGCGAAGGAGAGGAGGAAGAGAGCTCTGATTCGAGCGACGACCCCAAAGCTGAGGCATCGACCGGGAGCAAATTCTTCGGCTGGGATGAGGATGAGGATGAGGATGATGACGACGACGAGTCAGAAGAAGATGAGCAGGCCGAACCTGTGCCTTCATATGAAGGCAAAGGCAAGGGGCGCGCATAGGTGCCCGAGCTTTGAACACTCCATAGGTATACCCAACGATCGTGTTTGCATGCTAAACCTTTTCAACCTGGTCCCATGGAATCAGACCTGTAGTGCCTCTCGATGAAACTTCCGTCAACACACCACACCATGACCTCCTTGATCAACCGAACTGCACAACAACCGCCCTCGAATAGCATCACGCTCGCTCAAAAGTCTTTGCTCGACTCCTTTGACTTCGCAGCGCCAACCTCCTCGCCCTTCTTGGCGCTCTTCCGCTTCCACCAAGACACCGTCCCGGGGCCCTCGAGGTTGACACGATGCAGCGACTGACCATACTTCTCCAAAGCCTTCACACACCGCTTTCCACGCTCATCGGCATCGAGGTACAGACCGTCGATACGGCCTGCGACAAGTCAGTATACGCAAACAAAGCTCACAGATTGATCTGTACGCACCCGCACACAACGTGGATGGGTTCTGAAAGTCGACGAGCTCTGCCTTGCCGTCGCGACACTCTTGGGAGTCTGGATTCTTGCAGGGGATTTTGAGGTCGGAGAAGGTGAAGTAGTGGTCGCAGATGTCGATGCCTGCGACGCGGCGGAGGCAGGTGACGGTGAGCGGGCGGCACATTTTGGGTGTGTGGATGTCTCTTTGGTGCAGAGATATGTGCTGTGGTATGATGGCTCGTTGGTGCGGCGTAGGAAAAGCTGGTGCGAGATGCGGGCGGGAAGAAGCAGACTAAAAGAGCGCGGTGGTCTGTGCGCTGACCGCGCTAGCGGCGGCGGCGAAGTGAATTGGGTTAATTTCATGTGACCGCGGAGCGTGACGGTTGCCCCTTCACTTGTCGGTTGCCAGGATGACACGACACACGATGAATAGATTCATAATCTTGCTCTGGGTCTTCTTCTCTACTCCATTGAACGCCATCGACCACTCTTCAGAAAACTACTTCCCCACAACGCCTTGAACAGCCCTTGAGTCAACCATCTCGCCTAACAAGAGCCCGTCTATCAAAAAGGCAGAAAAAAGCGCCACCACTCAACCTTCGAAAGCTTCGCCTGACCGAGACGTCTCTGTCAAAGTGCAAGCTTCTAGCGACACAGGCGTGCAGAAGACGGAAGATGACCCTCTCGCCGTAGATAACGCAAATGATTACTATGACCGTGACGATTCGAATTCAGGATACATAATTCGAAGTAGCCCAGATTTCAATGCCCGGACACCCGCAGACGGATATCGCAGGCATCATGAAGAGGCTGCATCTATCTTGCGACCGGGCAATCTCTTCTGGAAGGTGCAGCTGGAGGTTGCTCCAGAGGACTTAGTAGAAAATGAGAACCGCGATTACCTGGTGAGAACCCTTTGGAGCCTGCAGGTCTGAAAGTGTGTGGATATGGTTGGCTTCCGCCAATTTGGCAAGCAGCTGATGGCCTTCGTTGACGATCCTCGTGGAGGCTGGAACATCGCCACACTTGATTCGCACGACTGGGAGCAGTATGGGAGACACTTCAAACTGGTCGGCAAAATTCAACTCGATCAGGGTGGCTTTGAGGGAGACGTCGGCTCATTCGACCCAATCCAACTGCAGACCGGCGAGACTGGCTCGGCTTCGACATTGGAATTGTCACCGGTTCTGGTTTCAAGCTCCAGGGCTTCAGACGCCTCGCTCAGTGAGGACGAACTCGACTATCTGAACGGGGTCATGACGAAGTACTCGGACGAGGATACGTCGGGTGCTCTCACTAATCGTCGACCTGTCCATTTCCAGGTGCGCTAATACTAACAGCGAGATTTAGATGCCTGCCGTCGTCAGGCAGTTTCAGTAAGGGATTAGTCTCGCTCTCCTTAGCGTGATCGTCGCCCGCATTTTCGCACCTATTCTCCACCTCGTCGTTGGCCTGATACTTAGGCATCGGCAATTCAATGGTGGTGCGACCTCGTTAGATATGCTAGAGTGAAGCGATTGCTCGACTGCCGCGGCAAGCTCGTCGTTACCGGTCGTTTGAATGCCGTGGGATCGTTTTTGACAAGATGTCTTGATATTGGGTTCAGATGAACGTGGGCGAAGGTATTGAGAATCTTTGAGACCGATACGGGAGATGTTTTCGATCATCAACGGGATGTGGAATGAACGGAAAGGTGTGCGGGCGTTATCGAGGTGTTATCGACCAGCAAGTTTCTTTTGTACAGACATGAAGAATATCTGGGATTCATGCTACTCGCATTAGTATGAGCATCAGTGCATAACGGAACCGCAGCTCCACTAACTTTACAGTAATCATCTGAACTTCGCTCAAAATATCGAATTTCCGTCTGACTTCATGGTCGTAGCTGTCAATGCAGCATTCAATTAGCCGCAAAGGCACATTGGCTCAACATTTGATGTATTCGTGCTTCAACGGATAACCTTTAGAGCTGTGTTGAGGTCGAGATAGAAAGACTTGTAGTCAAGTGTCATCCAGGGGCGGCGAGACTGGCGGCGGTCCGTGCGCCATGGAAGCTGGACTTCACCTCGTCCTTGGTCTTCACTCCAACATCATTACCACTGTTCCCTTCCTAACGCCTCGAAAAGTCACTGATGACTACTGTGATCGATTCCAAGATGGCTGGTAAACAAGCTACTATGGGTTGCTTCGGTTCGACAGGCCTCGGGGGCAGATCCGAGGCGTTCAAGAAGCTTAGGCACTGTTAATCTACAACTCAGTCTTACGGAATGATCGATGCCATCATCCACCATAAGCGGTCCCCTTACCACTGATCATCAGAGGTTCATGATCTTGGAATGGACCTTGGGTAGTCATGGGGCAAGCGGATGTCTCGACGGGAGAAAGGCCAGATCATGAGTGAATGTGCAGACACTCGTGAAAGCCGTGTCGTGGTCTGGTGATCTCTGGACACCTTGGACTAAGTAACCCATTGGAGAGAATCCAAGGCCGTTTCCCATTCACTTGTCTCTGCGACGCACAGACCCGCTGCCGACGACATGCCTGCCAGCGAAGTTGTTCTTGGCACTCGATTTGAGGACAGAGATTCCTCTCACTCCAATTCCTCGAGGCCAAGCGATTCGACCTCGAAAGAGTCTCAAACTTCACCATCTACCTCCACAACACATCCTCGTACAGACACGCCGACAGCCACTGGAACCAACACCACTCCAGACGCATTCACTGATGGAATTGATCCTGGATCATATCCCCTTCTGGACCAATCTGGCCCACCGTCGGACTTTGTAGACGATGCTTCGAATTCAGATATCGAAGACCTGCCACAGCCCAGCGCATTGGGCGAAGCATACGCGAGAAATGACAAGAAGGCGTACGACGACTCGCTTAAGCTATTGGGATACTCCTATGACGCGAAGACGAATGGCCCGTACATGAAGCCTGGTATGTTCTTTTGGACGCCAGTCTCTACGCCAATAGTGCCCAGTGAAGAGCTAGACGAACTTGAAGCAGATGCTAGAGAGGACTATGTTGTGTACCCAACTGGCCACATGACTCGCAAAGTCAGGCGCTTTCTTGCAGTACAGGACAATGGAAGTCAAGTCTTGTGTCTGAAAGGAACTTCACGCAACAAACGCGGCTTCACGGGGCTGACGCGTGGGTCTCTGATGTATAAGAAGTTGGTTGCTTTGATCCATCGACGAGACTGGGAGAATGGCTTCTGGCAGAGTCTTTGGCGAGATATAGGACGGAACGACCCTATCATCATCGAGACAGGCGAGGCCGGTCCTGGCTCCATGATACTGCTGGAACCCGAACTCGTGAGCAAGAGAGCCCTGGTAATGCCAGCCAGGGAGACCATTTCGTACTCGACCTTTGAACAGGTGGTATACCTTTTCTATGGGCACTACAATCCCGATCATTGCATGACCTCAGCGGTTGAATGGAATCTGGACATGGCTCCGGGAAAAGAAGGAAGCACTAGACGCCCAGGTACCGCCGGTGCGACTGAGGACCGACGAGGCCCCCGTCGTAGACCTAGCGATGACTATGGTCGCCAGCGCTCTCGCTCTCCATTTCGCCACCAGCCAGAACATGGTCGCACTCGGACTCCACCACGTCGGTCGTACTCACCCAGCTATGGGTACGATAGACGGAACCGTGACGAAGGTTACCACCGAGCTATTTCTCCAACTTCACGTTACCAGAATGGTAGCTACAACGAAACCCCGCCGCATTCCCGGCCTCGGCCCCACGAAGAGTCTCGAAATACTTCAAGCGCTGGACCGCAGCATGTCCGTGAAACTCAGCAGCAGAGAGGCAGAACGGGATCAAGAGGTCGTGGTCTCGCGTCCGGCAAAGGTGCCTCGCACAATCAGGACCATCGTCCGCGCTGGACCTCTGCCAACGATACCGTGCATATCATAGAGCCACACAGCGATAGTGCTCCAAACTCCACTGCTTGGGGTGATCATCGTGAGATTCATTCAAGTCAATACATGAGCTTCGCCAATTCGTCAAGTCATCCTGGAGATAGGTACCAGGAAGATGGAGCCGTCAACCGGGGTCGAGCACCCGGCATTGCGTCGCTTGACAAGCATCGTGTGCAGACATCTGCGCAGCAGGCGCCGTCCACGAGAAGTACACGACGCCGGCGTGGCGGTAACGGCTCTCATGCCATCGAGGCTGTTACGCTAGAATTCAATGACGAAGGTGCGCGCGAACCCCGGAATTCTGAGACCACCAACCGGACGCAACCTACCTCGCGAATGAAGCCAGGCGTTACGTCTTTGGCGAATGCTGTCGGCAATACGAAACTGAACAGCATTCAACCTGTGGCACGGGGAGAACAGTCGCACCGATGAAGATGGTATAACAGACACCGGGTTATGTGAAGACTTGTCTGTCGGCGCGTATTGCATAGAGAGTGCATGATTGTTCGGAATCTTCTGGCATTATGTCCTGCAAAGAACGGACTTTGAAGGATGAGGTATTCTTTCCAGCGCTCGCTGTTTCGATGATCAAGGTTTCAGCAGGTCCCAGACTTTGCTATAGGAAGAACCGTGCTGAAGACCTGGCATGTTCGCTTGCCCAAACAGATTGTACTTGACAGACGATGAAGACTAGTTTCAGTAGCGCAAGAAGTGGGTGATCACGGTATTGAGACTCTGTTGATCCTGTCTACGAGGCCACGAGCTTACAACGTTCAGTGCCGCCGTTGCCGACTTTATGCATTCCTCCGCCTGTCCTCCGCATCGAGACGTAGCTCTTCCATTGCTCTACTATGTGCCTCGAGTTGCTGTCGCCTCTTCTTCATATCCTCTTCTCTATCCGCATCGATCCAAGGCCAAGACGGATCCGGTTGCAGACCATTTGAACTCGACGGCTTTGGGAATGCCTCGTCCTGATCAAGCTTCGACTGTCGTCCAATCATGCGATGCCATCGACGTATGTCTCGAGTACGCACATTGGAGGCTCTGCAGACTATCTGCGATGGCGCCTCTGTAGAGCAGTTCCAATCACTCGTGTACGGCTGCAGCTCAGTGTCACTGGGGACTGAACGCTGATCAAAGACCTCATTTATCTTGTCTCTCGAGATTTCATGTTCGTCCCGGCATTGGTTGTATGTATTCAAGAGCTCTCGCTCTGCTTCGCGGTAGGGACGGTTTTTCGTATGTTATGCCCGCATCGCACGAAGCAGATGAGGCTCTTGGTTCCAGAATAAGCCTCCGTGCGACTGCCCTGATGTAATAGTCTTTCATGTGATCAATCTCCCTGCCGCTTTGCACCAAAGGCAACTTTGTCTTATGATAGTCTGCGACAATCTTCCGGAGCTCCTCGTCTGCAGGTGGTAGCATCGATACTCCATTATTGAGAGGCCTGCCTTCAGCATCCCGCTGCGATCGTCTCTCGATATCAGGATCAGTTGACGAGGAGTCGTTTGGCGCAAGCGGCTTTTGTCGAGACATGAATTTAGCCAGGTTGTCTTCCGTGAGATCATGCGGCAGGTCCCCGCTGTCGCCAACAGTTTGTATAGCGTGGCCTTCGAAAAATTTCTGCTCCAAGTGACGGTAGAGCTGGCGAGCAATCGTGAGCTCATGGAAGGTGTTGACGTGTGAGGGTTGCGCATGGGGCTCATTCGGAAGTTGTTCAAGCGCCGCTGCGGTATGGGTTGGTTCCAAAGATCTCTTCGTGGTCTGTGCCATGTGATTGTTCTCGGCGTCTTTCATCCGTCGACAGCTTTCGAAGCAGCTCTGTAGAGCCAGTCCGAAATCAGTCGTCAGGGGAAATGGCTCGCATGTTAACAGGTATTCATTGAGCGTTGCGAATAGACTCTGTATGGCAGTTTCCATTTGTTTTCGGACTTCGACCAACTTCTTTTTGCGTTCGTGGTCGCTCTTCATGCCTTTGCGTTCGAATACATTTAGTATATTGCATGCGAGCCTTGGCCGCCAATGAGGCAAGATAGAGACTTACACTTTTGTATGTCCTCGTGTGAGGTTTTGAGATTTGCTTCGTGCTCCTCGATGATGAATTGAAACTCCTTCATTCTTATTTTTCTCAAGGCTTCGGCATGCATCGAATCTTCAAGTGACTTTGCCCGAATGTCCAGGACAATATTCTCACTCTCTTTGTGCTCTTCTTCCAATCGACTGAGAAGCTTGTACAGCCTCACTGCATCGATCAAGTGCGGCGCAAAGCATTTGTCGTGCTGCAAGTGGCGGTGCTCTTTGCTCAAAAATGGCATGTGCTTCTGGCGTTGAGCTCGCAAGTCCTGGCGGCGATTGATGCCGTTTGACCCATTTCGAGGATTGGGTCGCCTGATGCTAGACTTCGACGAAGCTCGCTTGACGGACTGGTCTTCATTCTGGTGGCGGCGATAGCCCAGCAAACGTAGGATTCTATCGAGTAAACGCTGAGAAATATCCCGCAGAGTGATGTGCAGTTGGGCAGTGGAATCCGTTGCTGGAGGCGTCTTCTCGATATTAGCCATGGTTTTGAATGCGCTCAGATGTAAAGGAAGATGCACGACGATTCTACATACCCGGTGAAGTTTGCTGTCCAACGATTTGGTCTCTATTCATTGTTTCCTATTGTCTCAGTCTTTATTGTCAAACCTCCGGATTGGTGCTCGTCCATGCTGTGTCGCTTATTGTACCAATAGAGTCAGTTGAGGCAGATTGGCCGACCACAATAAGCCAACACAATACTTTGAGAAAGTCCTCACTTCTTGCATCTTCACGAAGCCCGTTGCTAGGCGTCTGAGCCTCGTGCTGTGCAAGACCATGAATCACGCCTTCTTGATGGGGAAACAGAAAATCTAAAGCATATGGTCATCGTCTCCGTATGATATCAGAGACTTTACGTCTCGATAGCAGTATATGTCGAAGGCCTCTATGTGAGAAACGAAGGTTGGGGTGAGCGAGGTCGAGAGATGGCCAAGCTTTGTGGCTTGCCGCCAGTGGTCTGAAACGCGCCAAAAAGACAGGAATTAGTCTAGCGAGACGCTACCTATTTTGGAGCGCGTCGATGCTGATGATGCCACCTCATCACTGCCTTACTACTGCGGAATCTTCGCAGCCTGGCTGACATTTGGATCACGGCGCAGCACACGACTATCGGCATCGTCAGCACCACCGTCCCACAACCGGAGGAGTGTGAGATCGCGCGGCTGATGCCGCAGCAGCTGCTGGACCAGCTCGTGTCCGCACAGTCTAAAGAAGGAAACCCCTTAGAATAGGCGGCCTCCTCTGTCTCGCCAAGCCCACGCGACCTCCCGGTCCTTCGAGCGATTCCACCTCCTCCGCCAACACCGCCCGCCGACTGATGCGCTCGTCGTAGCCACTGCCCCTCCTACCGCCCACCATGGCGGTCTCCCGCTCGCTCCGCCGCAACAACACCATCACCTACGTCCTCGCCGGCGTGCTATGCATCTTTTTCCTGTACTTCTTCTTCGGCGACAGCGCCAGCATACCTTCGATATCCACCGCTCCCCGCCAGCTGCTCAAGAGCAAAGATGCCGCATCGAATGCGCTATCACCACCTTCGCTCCCTTTTCGAAAACCGGCGAACCTGGGCCCGAACGAGGTCGCGCCCCCACCGCCTGTGGTGCATTACCACATGAACAATGTTACCACAACACCGGACCCGGTCGGGAACAGAGAATCCATTCTTATATTGACGCCTTTGGCGCGATTCTACCAAGAGTACTGGGACAACCTATGCAAACTCTCGTATCCACACGACTTGATATCCCTGGGCTTTATTATCCCAAAAGGACGAGAAGGGAACCTGGCAACTCAGCAATTACAAGAGCGGATACAAAAGACTCAGGCACCTACGAACAAGAACAGGTTTGCCTCCATCACAATCCTGCGGCAGGACAGCGAGCCACCAGTGCAGCAGACAGAATCTGAAAGACACAAGATGGCAGCTCAAAAAGAGCGCCGCGCTGCCATGAGCAGAGCCAGGAACAGTTTGCTGTTTACAACTCTCGGGCCCACGACATCGTGGGTGCTGTGGCTTGACAGCGATATCATCGAGACTCCACCAACCTTGATTCAAGACCTCGCGTCCCACGACAAGCCAATCATCGTCCCAAACTGCTTCCAGCGATACTTTAATAAGGATAAAGACGCGATGGATGTGAGGGCCTATGACTTCAACAGCTGGCAAGACTCGCCAACTGCCCAAGGACTGGCGGCGAAGATGGGCCCAGATGAGATCCTACTGGAGGGTTATGCCGAGATGGCGACATACAGATCGCTCATGGCGTATATGACTGGTAAGTACGCCTGATGTCGGTATTGTGTGACCTGGCTGACTCGTCGTAGAGGAGAAAGGCGACCCTAGGAAAGAGGTCGAACTGGATGGCGTGGGTGGCACGGCCTTGCTCGTGAAGGCTGATGTGCACCGGGATGGTGCTATGTTCCCGCCTTTCCCATTTTACCACCTGATTGAGACGGAAGGCTTTGCGAAGATGGCGCAGAGATTGAACTGGAAAGCATATGGACTACCGAACTACTTTGTAAGTCCATCGTCCCGGTCTTAAGCATTGTCGCGGCTAACATGACCAAGGTATACCACTACAACGAGTAGCTGCATCATCGGGATTGGCGTGGCGTTTGAAGGCGCTGTATGGGAGAGGTATAGACACAATAGAGCATAGCCATCCCGAGGTGGGATTCCTTGTATATCATTGTCATCTCGTAAAACTGCAGTGCTCGGCGTAACTTGGGTGTCCAGGTATCGTCAATCAAGGCTAGTGTATTACCATTCAAGTCAATTCTCAGTCCAACTCGCTGCTAATGCTCTGGCATAAGCTGAGAATGGTTTCTTCGCTATCGAGCGCACAAGAATTCACTGTGCACAGACCAATGCGAACATTTCCTTGTGACCAGTGCGCCCATTTGAGTTTTCTTGGCAGGCGACCTCACCTCTCATGTGATGCGACGTGTCCCGCTATCTTGTTCCTCATCATCACAAGGCAACGAGCCCGACCTCGCAAGCACCATCGTTTCTGCATGCTGCAATGCATAATCCAAGTTGTTCTCGAATCTAGTCCATCTGCAGCCCTCTATCTCGTTTGCGGGGTTCCGTCATTGGCGAGGCGCTGGCAGCTGACCACATGCACGCTGCAGGAACTGCAGCATCCGCGAAGTTTCCATGCTGCTGCAGGCGTCGCATGATGGGTGTGAGCGGCCATTGTTGGCTGTTTGGATCATGCAACATGCGCCTCTTCATTTCGGCGATGGACTGGGCCGACTTGATGAGCTGCGATGTCTAAAAGATTGAAGAGGTGATGCAATTCCATGCAGTGAGGGCATGCAGTCGTCGTAACTTGATGACATTTGCGAGACAGTGTGAAGATCTTCTCGGTAGAGCTCGGCTCGCGCGGAAGCGTTTTCTGCAACTCTGCGTTGCCGTGCACAGGCGGCCGGGCGGCCTCTTTTCACCAGAGACTGGGGTCTTGGGTACCGTTGCAGCAAAGTCCCTCCACAACCATGAACTCCGCCAAATCTGATACCACAATGTCAATGCAATTTTGGCACTCGCCCAGCCTTCGCCCATCGTTCCAGCCAGCAAGTCACCGACCTTTCGTGCGAACCATGCGATAAAGGCAACAAAAAGTCAAATCCGAAAGTCAAATCCGAAACAGGCGCGCCAATGCCGCCTATGCCGCCTCTGCGTTTCATGTCTGCATCAAACTGCTCTGACCGGTCTGCAGGTGGTCAGACACATTGCTCAATGCAGCTAAGTTGAACGTGTTCCAGAAGCAACGTTTGCTGCGGTGACGTCTCTCCCGCTTGATGCTTTTCTGTCTTGCGTTTCGGACCTCTTACATCTCGAAGCCACCCTACCAGGCCGCACTCGCCACCATCGTGGCCGGTGTCTACTGCAGGAACAGTGCTCGAACGTCGCCCTCTGTGCCGTCTTCTACGATGGATCCTGGGTCTTATAAACTGAAGCTTCCTTCTTCATGACTGACTCGTTCAAGACTTTCAGTCGACAACATTTTTGTGACCCCAGTATCTATCCTATTGTCAATCATTAATCGTCATTCTTTACATTGGTTCTGCTATTGCTAATAGAAGGCTTATTCCAGCCCAATTACACTCCTTCATCGTCCGCAGGCCCGGCGATTGGCGCAGCAGATCAAGCTTCAAACCGCACACCAATACAATGGAGACTTTCACTCAAGAAATATATGGCCTAGACAAGGGCCAACGCTGTACCAAGACGCAGCTGCCGGCTTCGGTGCTGCGACAGCTCGAACAAATCGCCCACCACGGCATTCACCCTCACTTGATACTTCAACACTATACCGCAGTCTTTGACCAAGGTGAGTCTGAATTGCTCTGCTGATACAATAGCTCTAACATCGCCAGGCCAACACCAAGAACTGAGCGATGTGGCGCCGGCGCCTCCACCAGTTCGAGATGAAACCCCCAACACCACCGACCGTGAGGGTCATTACGGCTGCCCTTGGTGCGGCTCCATGATCAAACTGGAGAAAGACTTCATTCGGCATGTCAAAGAGAAATGCTGCCCCGAAACCGTTCTTCGCTGCCCTGATTGCCCGAAGACTTACACACGCAAGCATCGACTGGCCAACCATCACAAAAACGTCCATCCAACTCGGTGTGGCCCTGGACCCTGTACCCACGTTAGCAGTGCTACCGTGAAACTCACCAATACCGAAACTCTGGGCTGCGGCTTCTGTCCTGAATTGGTCCGTGGCGATCTTCACGTTCACAGATATCTGCGTCACGTCATCGACCACTACCGCGAAGGAGCAGTACTTGCGAACTGGCAGGCTGGACACCATATCCCGTTCCCTCGCAACGCTCGACCATTTTCGCCACCTCCCAAGATCGACCTCAGCGCTTCGCTGGAGAATCAAGGCAGCCTCGGCGACTTTTCAGCGCTTCGCTCTGGCTTTGGTCTCGACGACTCACCTTTACGGAGCCACTCTGCAATCAGCAATGACTCCACCCTCTTCGATGCCGCGGAATATACGACGACCAATGCCGCCGCGAAAGCCAACTGGGACCCTTACTTCAATCCCACTAATATGGCCTTCCTCCACCCCATGCCTCCTAATAACGAGCCGTCAATGCCACAAACCTTTAATATCCAATCTCCCGAAGACGACTTCGGCGATATGATGACCTACATCAACGACTACCCCGACTTCATCAACAACACCTTCATCGACACATCCACAGACGACATCATCCCCCAAAGCCAAGCAGTGACCGGTGCCTGCGCCCAGCTCATGGACATCGGCACCGCTGTAGAAGCGCGCTCCTCGATCTTCAACCCGACACCGCCGCTTCAGCTCACCAGAGATAATCGACGCTCGAAGTCCGAGCGGCTTCTGAGGAAGTTTCAGAGTCTTTCTCCGCTGAGGACGGAGTTTTGATTTTTTGTTTCTTACGATCTGGCATCGTTTATTGCGTTAATGCAGCGATTAATGGTTAGATCCTTCTGTTCTTTTGTAAGATGTGGAATGGCCTCGATGGGGTGTATCACTAGTTCTCCTTGTTCATTCGGCGTGGTGGAGTGGACAGGACAGTGTCTGGTGTTCTAACAGCGAGCGTTGGGCTTTTCACATTCAGATGTACTACTACTATCACCTACAATCACTCAGAACAACAAAATACAACGAAGTAACGGCCGACTCTCCTCTCACATTCCCTTCCCTCTCTTCAGACATCTGAACCCAAGAGTCCTCGTATTGAAGGTGTTGTCGTTTTCCCCCAGAAACGGTCTCGGCACCCACAGCCTCAAGCTCGGAACCGAACACACCATCACCCATCCACCCACCCACCTCTACTCGCATAGACTTGCACCTGCACGCCGCTTTAACTCCCGCGATACGCCAGACGAGGAAGACAAATGTGTTTGATAGGTGGTGAGAGTTGTTCGTGCCTGGCGATCTTGCGCTTGGGTGCATGAGGTTTGGGGTTTAAGCTTTGGGCGTGCGGTTGCGGATGCTTTTGGAGGGAGGTGGGGTGATAGCCAGGTGATGCTGCGCAGTGATTGAGAGGGCTGGAGAGCAGTGTTATGGCGACGGAGGCTTGGTTAAGCGTGGTAGTGTTGCTGGGAGAGAATGTTATGCTTCGCAAAGCTGCGCCTTGCACACCCAATCTAGCCGCGCGACTCGTCCTCCACTCTCACCAACTCATTCCACAAACTACCTTCCCACCACAACGAAGATCCCCGCCGCACCAACAGACTACCTGCCCTCTTCGCCTAGCAGAGGCCCGTCCATACCCACTCCACTCACTGCCACAGCACCCATCCACGCCGCACCACCGCATCCCGGCCCTGCAGATCACACACTCTTGTTGCTCCCTCAGGATGCGTGGCAGAGCGGTACCGAGACATTCTAAACCTCGACCTCACGTCCCGTCGTTCACGGCTTTTGAGTATTAAGGCTTCGGTGTTCGTGCTGAGGTCTGGATGCTGCTGCGTCGGTTCCTGTCGTTGTCGCGATAGCCTTGAGCTCGAAATCTTTCCCTTTACTCTTTCTGGGGTTCCTTTCTTTGCCGAAGGGGTTGTTCATTTCGTTGCCGAGACGGGAGGTGTAGGTTTGATATATTGTGGCTTGGGTTGGCTTCTTTTTCGTTGGTGTTGGTTTGACGGCCGTTTGAGTGTGGACAATATCGAAGTCTGCTTCGAGCGCGGGGATGCAGCGCGCAACATATCTTGCTCAGTTGTACGAGTCCGTGTCGAGCATTCCTCCGGATATCCAGCAGTGTCTCCTGACGATTGCTCAGTATGGCTGCGATGCGGATCAGGTGAAGAGGTGGTATAATCTTGTCCGGAGTCATTTTGGGGTTGGTGAGATGGAATCTCCCACGGCGCTGTCCCATCAAACGCCACGGCCGATCGCTAGGGCGAGAGAGCGGAAGATCGAGCCTTTTGTTGCTGGAGGGCCAAAGACAGAGCTGCCAGTGACACCAGAACTGAGAAACCAAAGCCACTTTCCGGATCCAGCGACATGGACAAGTCCGCCTCTGCAGCTTGCCAACCACGATCATTACGCGGGCCTGAACGATCTTTCCGGAACAATCCCTTCGCAGCAGCCAGGGGGTAATTTATTCGACCCTTCGACTCCCCTGCCGCAGAACGTGGTCTTCACCGGGCACGGATTGATGCCAGCGCCAGAAGGCTTCTCGAGCGACGGCTTCAATTCAGACTTCATGGCCAGAAGCCCATCAATGCCATTACTGGAATCCTTTGATGAGACAGTGCAGACAGCGGCCGCTACCTTGTCGCCACGGCCCAAGACGATTGCTCCCTCCAGCGTTCTGAAGTCCTCACCAGAGCAAGCGAAGCCACCACGGAAACGAAGGAAGCTGGCCCAGAAGGAAACTCCGTCGAAGGTAGAAACAGGCACAATGGAACCACCGCCACGACCAAGAAGACCTTCGGTTCCATATCGATCAAACGAGCAACCAGTCACGCCTCTCCAGATTTCGGAGATTCCAGGTCCAGAAAGCCAACGGACATTGGGATCCGAGTCCAGAACCTCTCACTCGGCGCCACGGTATAGGCCTTTGCCGCAAGTGCCTGTCAATGGCTCACACTCTCCGTTCGAAGATCTGTACATCCCTGGTCAGCTGCATCAGCCTTCGCTGAACTTCCTGCCATCACTCGCTCAGCCGCCAAGGCCAACGAGTCAGCAGAGGGCGAGTTCGACAGCTCAGTCCACAGGGGAAATGAATGAGCAGCCGCCTCCATTATATCAATCTCCATATCGCGACGCTGAGCATGTTGCTTCTTCTTGTTAGATTGAGCTAGCCAGAAGCCTTTTGTCGGTTGATCGCATTCATTCGAGTGTTTCTGTATTGTATGAGTAGCTGCGTTTCGGCTTAGGAGGTGAAGATAGAGCGGAGTTTAATATATAGTGTATAGAGTAGGAATCCGGACCTGTATGATCATCAATTCAGCGCTCTCATAACTCCCTCAAATGCCACAAGCGCCACCGCATTCGCAGGGAAAGCGCGCAAGAAACACGGCACGAAGCCTCGCCAGTAACCCTTGAGACCTGATTCTCGGTAGACGGTAACCGCTGCATCTCGCCAGTGGGGAAACTTTCGATCTGGCCCTAAGGGATCGGTCATAAGACGCTGTTTTATCACATCGCTAGGATATGAAGTTAACCAGAAGACCTGCGCAGACAGACCTCCCGCCCAGAAGTTGATGGCCGGCGCGCTGAGGTTGGTGTTCTTCTGGAACCAGCGTGTGAAGATGTCGTAGGTTCCCCACCAGGCGAAGAAGAAAGTCCTGAAGATGAGGGTTGCGAAGAGGCCGTGATACAGGCCTGAGATGCCATGGCCTTTGAGTATCTTCCGGGCACAGTCGACTGGTCCAGAGTATAATCGCTTGGATTTGTCGGCCTGGTACTGTACTTGGAGGCGAGCCTTCACATGTTCGACAGGCGCGGCGATGAATGAGACAGTCCACCCAGCAAGAGTTCCCGCGATGGCATGTCCGACTGCTGGTAGCTTCTTCCTCTCGTCATCGCTCATCCAGATTGCTGGGTGGTTCGGTCGAGCTCGCAGTGGTTGGAAGACATGCTCGTTGAGAAGTCGGCGGTACAATGTCAGGGAGCCCAACATGAGGGAGTCCATGCACATCCATCCGATGAGAGGAGGCGTGGCGCCCTGAGGTCTCTGTTAGCTAAGAGGCCGTGGCCTTGACAAGAAAATGTACCTTGTATATGCCATTGACGCCTTCTTTCCGAAGTGTCTGGAGCAGGCAGTCCAGGGGTCCTTTGAATTGGGAGTGGTCCGATGTCTGCAGGCGAACTTTGATGGTATCGAATGGATGTCTGCCAATAGTCAGAACCACGTTCCAGCACATTTCCTACTCGAAATACATGTACTCACCCCACCGAAAGCTTTGCAATGCCTGAAAAGACACCCGCAACGAATCCCTTGTAGTTCCCTCCTTTGGCTGGGACTATCGCTTCCTTCTCGCCATGCTGCTGGTCTGCTAGCTTCGGCGAGGACTTGGCATCGCTCACCGTCGCAGACATTGAGGGAAAACGCGCGCCGAGAATATACTGCTCGCTCGGCACATCCTTGACCTTGGTGTACGGCGAGAGAAGACGTTTGTGGTGAGTCAGGCACAATTGTTTCGATAGGAGGACGGAGATAAGTCGCCGTGGTCGATGACGACGTGGATCCTGGTGCGCCGGCCGCACAGACTACCTGTTGCGATTACCGACTAGTATTACAATTCAACCAGAATCTTGAAACAAGATCTCCTGCTCCAAATCTTCGGAATGTAGTTGTCACTCACCATCGCGACCATCAAGGTCGCCCGACTAGAAATTTATACCAAGATAATTGCCCAGCCATGGCGCAGGATCAGATCAACGGCAAGCCGGAGCGCGTGGTCGACAGTCCCAAGGTCTGGACGACCCTCATCACCAACACCAAGTACCTGACAGGTCTCCTCACGCTCGATGCATCGCTCAAGTTCGTCGGGTCCAAGTACCCGCTCGTCGCCCTGTACACGGATACCTTCCCAGCCGAAGGACACGCCGCCCTCGATGCGCGAAACATACCGAAAAAACGCGTCAAATATCTGCTGCCGAAAGTCCACAAAGACTACACCAACGACCCTCGTTTCTACGACTGTTGGTCCAAGTTGACGCCGTTCAGCTTGACGGAATATGAGCGCGTGGTGCAGTTGGACAGCGATATGCTGGTGCGGCATAACATGGACGAGTTGATGGACATCCCGCTAGATGGGGCTGAGCAGGCAGGTAAAGGGCAGCGTGTATTCGCGGCAAGTCATGCTTGTGCCTGCAACCCGCTCAAGAAGCCGCATTACCCAAAGAACTGGATACCGGAGAACTGCGCGTTTACTTGGCAGCATGACAAGCCGGATGAAGCGCAAGAGCAAGGCTCTGGTCCCGCTGATGGGCTGGCTATGCCGAATGGTGGCCTTCAAGTCGTGGTACCCAGCAATGAAGTGTATGAGCTCATCTTGAGTAGACTTCAAGATCCGAGTATCATGGACTACGAGTTTGCGGACCAGAGCTTGCTGGGCGATCTGTTCTATGGACGGTGGGTGGCACTGCCGTATATATACAACGCGCTCAAGACGCTGCGGTGGAAGGGCGTACATGACGCGATATGGAGGGACGATCGGGTCAAGAACGTGCACTACATTCTGTCACCCAAGCCGTGGGATGAGACGGCGGAGGACAAGAAGAAGCCCGGTCGCGACGGCAGCAACCAATGGTGGTGGGACATCAACGACAAGCGGCTAGTCGAGGAGAAGTCGAAGGGCATCGACGACGGATTCTGAGTGTGCCCGTTGGAAGCGCTCGGAGTCGTTTACGACGGGCACTTGGGTTTGCAGATCCCAGTTCGCTCGACTGCGTCTTGGGAGCACTTCCCTGTTATAGTTCCGTAGGCTTGGATCCAGCCAAGGTCTCTCCAGTGCACAGGTAGCCTTCTCCCATGTCTTACGCCCATCGTCGGCGCGTGCCGAATGTGTTCAGTGCGATGGCGCATCTGGCGGAAGGATTCACATGTCTGTGTGCCGGCGGCTAGATGGCAGAGCCGCTGCAGGGACGGTGTATCGTTCAATCTGCCGTCGCGCCTTGGACCAAGATTCGACGGGCGGCGCGAGGCAATGCTAAAGGTAGACTTCTGTTGGCAATAGGGGTATACATGTAGGTCGCACAGGTGTGAAACAGCGTCGGCGGTGATTAGCCGGAAAGTCATCTCCAAGCACCACCAAGCGAACTTGGAGCGTGAAGCTGGAGCTAGACAAGTACGCCTGCCGCCGCCTGCGCCTGCACGTATCAGGAGTTGCTCGCTCACTACACCTTGAACCATCGCCCGCCTGCATACACCCCATTTCGCGGACCAGCGCTCACCACTCCCGCCCACCACGCCCATTCCCGATTCCTGACCGCCTCACTGCGCTCAAGGGGCCTCCAGCGACTCAGGGACTCGCCGCCGGGCAACTTTAGAAAGTTCGCACGCGACCTGACCACGGCCGGCCATCTTTTTCTCTCCTCGCGACTTTGGATCGGCTGCACCTCTTGCTATACCGCCTGCGAACCACACGCGCGAATTGCGTGAAGCCCCACCGACACGCACCTACTGCACCTCGTTGGATTTGTGCGCGCACTGCGGGCGTTCCGTAGAACCCACCGCCTGCCATGGGACAGAACATCTCCAAGTTGATGAACAAGATCTTCGGATCGAAAGAAATGCGTCTATTGATGCTGGGGTTGGATGCCGCGGGGAAGACCAGTACGTGAATGATGCAGTGAAGAGCATGGTCGAGATGATAGAATCAATGGCTGATGATAGTACTTCCACACAGCAATCCTCTACAAGCTCAAACTCGACACGGACGTCACCACGATCCCCACCGTCGGCTTCAACGTCGAGACTGTCACGTATAAGAACACGAAGTTCAATGTGTGGGATGTGGGAGGGCAGGACAAGATCCGGCCGCTGTGGAGACATTACTTCTCGGGTACCCAGGGCCTTATCTTCGTCATTGACAGCAACGACCACGACAGGATAGACGAGGCGAGGAGTGAGCTGGCAAGAATCATTCAGGATCGAGAAATGAAAGATGCGCTGTTGTTGGTGTTTGCGAACAAGCAGGATATCCCAGGAGGTGAGCTTGGATAAAGTACATTGGTTGGGAATCGCTCGCTAACGTTGCGATAGCAATGCGACCCAAAGAAGTCTCAGACGCTTTGGACCTCACACGGATAGCCAAAGACCACACCTGGAAAGTCGAGCCCAGCTGCGCAACGACAGGCGAAGGCATCTTCGAAGGCCTCGCCTGGCTGAGCAGCAACGTCAAGCTGCCCTCCAACAAGTGAGCGGCGGGACATGACTCGTCACACACCGACCACCAACAAGGCCTTGCTGGATCCCAAGCCGCACCTCACGAGACTTCCCACTCACGGGCGGCCCCAACAGCAAAAAAGCCAACCTTCTCCACCCTTTCGACATACGTTTCACCTCGATACCCCAAACCTGCCCCACACGCCCGTCACCAGAAAGCCCGGCGCAACGACGAGCGAACCCTTCAAGAAGCTACCTTGCGCGTTTCATAATCTCAAAGCAACTTTTTACTCTCCTCCTCCCCGTCTCAGAACCGACTCGAACCGAACTGAATCTTGCATTTCCGGGGAATCGATCTTTTTGTTTGTTTCCAAGCGTCCAGCATCATTAGCGGGGATATCAGCGACTTTGTGAGAACCTCAGACTATGTAACGGAAATGGATATGGGAGAACGGATGAAAAGAGGATAGATCACCAATCGACGGATGGGATTAAGGGAAAGAAAGAAAGTTGTACAAGTACGCGCGGCAAGGCTTCTATATTTTTGGTGTGTTAACTTTGTGTTTGTTGTTGTTTTGTTTTGTTGAGATACCAATAAAATCGATTTCTAAGACGGACATCTATGATTTTGTTCATGCGGATCGTGGATCTGTGTCTGCGTCGAGGGGAGAGAGCTGTGCATCTCTCTCTACAAGTTCCCATCCGAGCCATGTGGCAACTCGCAGAACGCCTTGAACGTCACGAGCGGCTCACTGCCCGAACTCTCCAGGATCAACTCGGCCGTCGCACCAACAAAGTAGACATACCCCTCCTTGATCTCCTCACTCTTCGGTCCCACACTTATCTTGCCCTCGCCCTTCGTGCAGATGATAATCGATGGTCCCTCGATCGGCGCGAACGTCGCCTTGCCACCGGAGGCGTTGAGGTCGGTTTTGACGACGCTGAACTCCTCGATCGGGGGGTCGTAGAGGATCGAGGCGGAGTTGGAGCTGTAGGCGGTGGTGTTGAGCTTGACGTAGGCGTAGTCGGTGGGGGTCATCTTTTGCTCGCTGATGGGCGCGTAGGAGTAGGTGAGGGTTGAGGACAGGGTTTCGACGTCTTTGAATTTGGGGGTGAAGCCGGCGCGGATGACGTTGTCGCTCGAGGCCATGCATTCGATGATGTCTGGAGTGTTAGCTTCGTGGAAATGGGATGTAGGAGTGAATCCTTACCTCCTGACAAGTAAGCGTGGATGTCGTCGGCCTTCAGGAACATCGCCTCGCCGACTTCGAGCTTGACATAGTTGAGGAAGAAAGTGACGAAGAGACCAATATCATTGGGGAACTGGTCGTTCAGTCGAACCATGAGATCTGCGAGCTCTTTGCCATCGTTTGAAGGACCGCCTTCGCCGGCGAATTTGGAGCCTTCCGATTTGGCCTGCTTGATGAGCTCTGCTGCGGCCTTTTCGATCTCCTCTGGCTTAGACTGCATCAATCCAGAGAATGCGCTCTGAAGTGCCTTCTTGTTCTCCTGCGCTTTGCTGCTGTCTTCCGTCGTTTCCTGGCCGTTGATGGTCTTCTCGAACTTGCTAGCATTCTCCTCGCCAACGAGCTGGCGCAGAGTGGGAACATGCTGCAAGAAGTGAGCGATCTCGTTGAGTGGCCTGAATCCGCAAAGACCGTCGAATGGAGTGATGGCAATCGTCATCTCAGGCTTGTGATTGTCATCTGGGTAATGCTTTGGGTCCTTGGCGTGCAACTGCTCGGCCAGCTTCTTGTTGGGATGAGCTTGAATGGAGAGAGCCTTGTTGATGCTGAGCACTTTGAAGAGGAAAGGCAGCTTTTGCTCGTAACGTTTCGCAATGGAGGTGGACATCAATGCCTGGTTATCTTGGACCATGTCAAGCAACGTTCGGCCGGTCGTGACGTCTTTGGATGGGTTCGAAGGGTGAGTGCCCATCCACAACTACGATGCGTCAATATGTGAAAGCTGTTGAGATAAACTAAACAAACCTCAGCGTATGGCTTGTCTTGCTGGATGGAAAAGTCGCCGGATGGAGTCGCCGAGGCATAACGAGCAGCTGCTGAGTCCTTGCCGATTTTGCCTGGCCACTCATACGTCAATTGAATGGACATATCTTGTCGTTTTGGATCTTCGACATACCCCATTCGTAGCTGTTGCAGCCTGCATTCCAATCAGCATATGGAACTTCTTGAGCTGCATCCTTGACCTATTCACTCACCGCATTGCAGGCGCAGAAGTGGTACCTGCATCTTGAAGCTTCCAGAGTAGGTAGTCGCTGGTGGCACAAATAAGTTGTCTCGATCGATTTGACGGGCCTGGCAGAAGAGACGTGGAATGTCAAGAAGACAGCTAAGGTTGAAAATACGAATGGCCGTGTGTTCAAGGTGAACGTGGAGCAGCTTTGGTGGCGACGCTAGCCCCGGATCGGCAACAGGCGTGGACGGAAGGACCCGCGCTTGGGCAACCAGTTACCACACCTCCAGCGTTCGTCCCTCCTTCTATTTAAATACACCTCCCACCACACCATCTATTCAGAAAGCACCCTTTTCGGTGCCAGCCATACATATCGCGGCAGTATTCGTTGACCGAGAAGGCACAACATGTCAGGGCGGAGTAGAGGCCGAGCAAATCCTAACCAAGATGCCGACGAGGAGCGACGGTTGTGGAAGGAGATCAAAGATAAGGCCAAGGATGTTGATACTATGGTGGTGAGTGTTTTCGGCAGTGTAAAAAACTTCCCTTAGGATGGTCGATTTACACGCGCTGTCAAGGGAAAGAAAGGTAAAGACAGCTTTTACTGACCCTTTGTGCAGGCTCGATCAAACGAGATCGGGAAGGAGATTCTGCAAGTAGAATCGCAACAAGCAGCGCTTATCGACGCTGGAAAGCTGAGTGACGCTGCCCTTGACGAAAGGCTGGAGAAGCTCTATAGGGAGAACGTCAAGCTCTGCGAGGAGGTCAGCCACACCATTGAAGGAAAATCAAACGAAATGAATCTACTCGACAGCATGAAGATCTTGGCTGGTCTCCGTGAGGCTTCCGAAGAGTCCGCTGCTCAAATGGCTGCAATCAATGGCCCTCGAGCTGTAAGTGGAAAGGCATCTCGTGGCCCGAAGAAGACTGGCAGCAAAAGCGGATCTGCAGTTGCCGCCTCCACAGAAGATGGTGACGACGCGTCTGCTGCCCCATCACCAAGGATCAGCCTCAGCACAGTCAATCGATTATCTGCAAAGGAGAAAACATCCCGATCCGGCAGCATTCCCACTACCCGCGAGGCATCGGTGAAGATTGAGGACGGCGCTGAGTCTGTCGCAAGCAGCGCTGATGGTCTGTCAACGGCAACAGGACCAACCAAGGCTTCCGCAAACAGTCGCCCATCTAACAGATTGGTGCTGAAAATGGGAGAGATTGTGTTCTGCCGCCACGACCTGAAGAACTACGATCCAAAGAAAGGAGATCCACCCGAAGGCGAAGGCATACTATGCCGAGTGACTAATGTCATTGGTGAGGGCAAGCAGCGCCGATACGAAGTACAAGACGCAGACACCTCTGGTGACCCACCTCCACCTCAACGAGCATCCGTCTCCCAGCTGATGCAGATTCCCGAGAGCAACAAAGGCTTGAGTGATCTTCCACAGAGAAAGTCAGTCCTCGCTCAATATCCGGACACCACCACATTCTACAAGGCTGAGGTGAACGAGCCGTGGCGGGCGAAGGATCTGGACAAGGAAAAGGGCGAGCTGGTGCGACTCAACTTCCAGGATGACGATACCGCGAGGGAAGTCGAGCGACGTTTCGTTCTTACGGAGAAGTAGCGTCGATCCTCAATGTATTGGTGTGATGATAATAACCTTGTGTTCTTCAGCGTTGGCGTTGGTGGGAAGGCGCTCGTGTGATGCGAGTTGGATGCTGGAAAGAGCGAGAACTGATGCTGGAAGTGAAGTGCGACTACGAGCTAGCAGTCACTGTGGTGGTGCAGTCACTATGGTGGTGATGGATGCTGTTGCCGATAGTAAGTGCAGCTGTAAACAAGATCTGTTGACTTTCCTCAAGATCGATTCCCCGTCTTTCACTCCATAACAACTCTACGACCACAGGTCTTACGCGCTGCATTTTGGCCACCTTCGATACACAGCTCATTCTCACGTCATATTACACATCACGACATACACAGACCCTCCACTTGCGAGAAAATATGTCTTGCAGAAGCTTGTTAGATGTCATCCAAGCACCGTTCACAAGAAATCGGCATCAGTCTCAATCCGCGCAGCGAGAAGCCCAGCCGCTGTCAGCTTCGAGGCAAAAGGACCAGCGACAAGCGGATGCTGAAGCCACCGAACAAAATCTCAAGGCCGCAAAAGCAAATGCTGTTCGGAACGCCCAGCAAGGACTTCCAGCAAACCCTGAACCATTACCTGGTACTTGGTCTGGGCGACTCCTCGGATCTTTACGAGGTAGTCTGGGCTCAATATGGAATACTCTGACACAAGCGAACGAAGCAGATACAGCAGTCTCCAATGGAAATGCAACTGCCGACAACAAATCTTCTGGACCTGGTGCAACAGTCGCGACGAGTGACGGAGCAATGGAGATACACACACCCCAAATAGCTACACCTTCCAAAATTCGTCAAGCAAGCCGACTTGAATTATACAGCGAAGACTTCCTTCGAAGTCCGCAAGAGTATGAGAACATCTACCCTATCCTCACTGTTTTCGGCTAACGTTGGCAGAGAACGCAGAGCTTCGAAAGTCGCTGCGCAAGGGCCATCCACCGATGGGAAGACAAGCCAGATGCAACGCTCAGTTGCTGAAAGAGGTGATAGCTGTACATTGGAAGAAGACACACAGCATGAGGACACAAAGGATTGTGACGATAATGCGGACAACGCGACAAGTTCCTTGAGTTCCTTGATGATGTCTGGTGCTCTCTCCGGGAGGCCCAGCCAGCAACATTCGGCAGACGAGCAAGTCTCTCATTCAGATGAGCCTCAGAACACGAACTATCATGATGATGTCGTGGACAACACTGGGGGTTCCTCGCCCATGCCTGACGTACACCAGGAGGGATTGAACCAGGAGAAGTCGACAGAGCAAGCACCAGATTCAGATCCACGTCAGAGCTCAAATGACCATGATGACAAGACGGACAAGAGAAGGCGTTCCTCGTCGATGCTCGACGTACCCGCCGAGCCACTGAACCATCACAATGCGACAGACGAGTCAGCAGCAGACCAAGACCTACCTGAGAGTACGGGCGCCTGTGATGACGGCGCAGACAACGCAGCAACTTCTCCACCGACGTCTGGTGCACTTTCCGAGGTATCGAATGGACTCGAGTTGATCGATCAGCTGAATACAGCTTCACGTCGATCTCACGACTCATACGGCAAGTACAGTCTGCGCAATCCCAACGTCTGCGATTGTGACTACTCCTACGCGCACACTGCAGACTGCCCGCTGGATAGCGAAGGCGCTCGTGTTCAAACTGATGACGAGAGGCGACGGACTTTTCCTGGGAGGCTTGGTGTGCCGGATGACCAGGACACTGCACTGGCCTCATCTCCCAGTGAGCAGAACGATGTAGATCCTACTGAAGAGGACGAAATTCAGCAATCAAACAACATCGATGATGCACCAGGCGATACAGGTGCTGCTCAGACCCCGTCGTCGAATGTATACGAACAGAATTTCCAAGTCAACATGGTCCGTGAGATTGTCTACGACCATGATCCATTCCCTCGCTTCACAGAGCCGTCACCATATCGGTCGACACGATCGCTCCACGACAATTGGGCACAAAATGGAGGTGACACTGGCGACCTCGCAAGGGCCACATAGAATGGGGAGCCTGGAGCAACAAGGAGCGATGCCGTGCCACTTCCTAACCCCATGCTGAGGCCGCGCCCTAGCCTTCGAGATCTCCTTACCAATTGGCTTGACGATGTAGGCGAGCAGCTGATGCCAGATCAAAGTTCCAGTGAAGGGGAACAAGAAGCGCCAGAAGAACACACTCTTCAACCTGCCAACGAATCTTCAACAGTCTCTACCGACAGTGTCGAGTCAGGCCCAACTGGCAGTGGCACCCCATTAAACGAGCAAGAACCAGCGATACCTCATCTAGACTCTGCAATTGCGCTGCTCGAAAGCCAGATGTGCAAGGCCGAGGGCGACTCCACACCCTCAAAGCCGCCCAGCAAGCGACGATCCAAGAAGACCATTGCTCTGTGGGACTTGAATGAGTACAAGGACGAACCGTCTCCAACGAAGCTCAACACCAACATACCAGATGTCAATCGCTTGGACAGTCCCAGTTCCTCGACTTGGTCTGGTAGTGGTCGATTCCATGTCATTGATCGATCGTACTCGCCAGAGCCAAGAGATGACGACTGTTACCCTTTCTTTTCGACATTCGCTACAAGATGCGGCAGCAATACCCATCGCTCCGCGCGTGCACAAGACAGCCGGGAGGACGACTATCGAGACGAGAAACACGGAACTGTCGAGAACGAACCTCAGTCGATGGCACACAGCAACCCGCCAGTCTTCGTAATGTCTGCCAGAGTGCCAGACAGTCCCTTGCCACAGGGCGTTCTAGCAGGACTGGGTGACTGGTCCCTCCACAGCGAGATCGAAGGAAATCAGACTCAGCTTCATGTCGAACATCCTCCAGACCTGGATCCTACTTACATGCAGGGGAATATGCCACAGGACAAATTCAACGAAGACTTTGGCAATGCCCTGCAGGAAGCTTATGACTCGAGTGCAATCTTCGCGATGGTACGCCTACCACCAGGAGTTCCGCTTTCCTATCACTTGCGATGGGGTATGGCTCGTATGGCTCCAGAGACACGGTCACTATTCCTTTGCAAATTATGGACACTCGGCCTGAGAGGTCAATATTACACCATGCTTGCATCTGGGCCTCTTCTTTACACGCTGCCACCACCAGGGAGTGATGGATGTCAGCCACAGAAGTTGGGCATCTCCTCTGGTCAACCTGTGCAAGCGACCAGGGTCTGCTCTTCCTCGTCGTCCTCAAGCAGTGGATCATCATCCGTAGCATGGTCATCACCCGTCCTGAAACCACAGAAACGACGATCGATGTCGTTCGGAGGAGTCAGCGCCGTCTCTGACAAACCACCAACCAGACCTCGCACCATCCAGTTCGGAGGTGTCACCGCCGTATCTCAAAGGCCACTGGATCCGCGCAAACATGCAGCCGCAATCGCTTTTTCCAAGCCAACGCCCACGATTTTGCGAAGCCCAGCGATCAAACCATTCGAGGACGAAGACAGCGATGATGATCTCGATCCCGAAGAGTTGGCCAGTTTTCTAGCTGAAGATGAAAAGGAGCCACTCGATCTCATCTCCGCCGATATCTCAGAGATCGATTCCTCTGCGAATTCTGGGATGATTGCCCAGGCTAGATGGCAGATGCAGGCTGAAGCTGATTTCCTAGCAGCACACAGCGTCGGGAAAGGTAAAGGCAGGGCATCACAGGAGGACTATGAAGTTGACACAAGGGATGAACATTCAAACGACGACATGCCGACTATCATGCCGGAGCCTCTCACTCAACAACCTTCACCAGATGCGGCTATGGCAGCCATCAGGGGCCAGGGGCTGGAGCCGCCACCAAGTCCAAGACCAGCAGCTCTCGAGCTTGACGCAGACGATGGAGAGCTGGACCAGGCCAGTATGTTCGCCGACCGGACAAATGAGTCTTGCGGTTCGTCTGAGCAACGCGGGTGGAACAAATCCCACAGTCTCTCAGCGTCAAGCCCGCAAAGCAGCACGACTGGCTCGATCAGGTCATCGAGCTCGAGTTCGACGTCTAGCGCAGGGAAAGAGAAGAAGCTGGCATTCGAGCTGGACGGGACTTCTCAAGGCTGGAAGCCCCACAGCACCAAGTCCGGCGCCAGCATCGGTCTTGAATCTGACAGAGCGTTCAACGGTGGAGGTTTCCAAGCGTTGAAAGATTCGTTGCGAATGACGCAAATCGCAAAGCCGGGGGAGTCGGTCAGTCAGGCGATCAAGCGTGTGAAGCAGCTGCGTGTGCCCCCTAGGCCTAAGGCAGAAGTACGTTGAATAAATCAATCATTCTTTCACTTTCACGCTCCTCTCATGCTCACGTGCTTCAGGACTTGGCTAGAGTGAAGGCGAATCGTCAAGCTCACCTCGCTGATCGCCAGCCAATCGTACGGGACTCTGCGAGTGAGGTTCCTGGAGTGAATGTAGGAGGTGGTATGAGTGAGTTGGGCCATTGCGAGAACGTTTCTCCTACAAATACGTCCGCTCCACCTCTCGATGCTGCTTTCACATCATCTTCTCAACGCAGCGTCGCACCACCATCCCCGTCGAAGATGGATCGACCGAGCCATTCAAGAGGACATCGTCGCAGCCCTGCTGTGGCGTTGACTGGAGAAGAGACTGCGGAGCGTATGTTTCACCTTTGCTTTGCGCTCCTTCCATTTACGGCCATTGTGCGCCGTTTGCACCCCCACCACAAAAAGGCCACAACAACCGCTGTCAACGCCCTTTCTCAACACCACTTCCACCCACCCACCCACCCAAGAATCGTTGGCTGACTTTTTTTACCTTCAAGTGAGTACCGCCCTCAGCATGACCTCCCCGCCGCCCCCGGCGCCGCCCCATCGCGTGCCCGTGTCCGCCGCTCACGGCGAGGAGAGCGTCCCCGCTCTCAACGATCGCAAGGACAGCACGGATGTCCAGTCGTTCCCCGTGGCCACGGCCGCTGGAAGTGCCACGGAGATGGCAGCGCAAACCAAGGGCGCCGATGAGAACCCTGGACGCTGGAGCGAGGCCAGCACCACCGCCGCCCCCAAGGCTCCCAGGACTGGACCGGTCAAGCACGTCCACTTCGAGGATTCCATAGAGCCCGAGATACCAATAGCCAATGTTGATGATGCTGTCGATACCTCGACTGCTGGGGCTGTCATGGAGACAGCTCCACGTGAGACTCCCCCGGAGCCGGTATTAACTCGTCGTCGCAGCATCCCACCAGAGACTCAGCGCCCAGTCCTCCGCCGCAAGGCCAAAGAAGCCGTCGACGAGGGCGAAGAGATGTGTAAGTTGTAAACGTTGACAGTCATTCATTGCACATCAACGCTGACCATGCAAACAGCCGACAACCCCAAGATTCAGCAGTACGCTCGCCACAACCAGCCGTGGCGCAACTGGAACCAGCCAGCTGGACCAATGTCAGTTACAGGTCCATGCTACATCTTTCCATCGTTATGTTTGCTGACCACCGATCGTTCTCCAGGGTGCCAGCCTACCCACCACCGACGAAGGATCCAGAGAAGATCAATCAGTACCTCAAGGTGATGGAAGACAAGTCACGCTTCCCAACCGACGAGAACGAGAGCGGCAAATACGACCGCCACAAGGACATGGAGGAGATGGAGAGAATGGTGCATCGTACTCCCGAGCAGATCGAGGAGTGCAGAAAGAGAGTTGATGGCTGTAAGTGACGACCGAATTGCGAGCGATGAAGCTACTTTGACACTGACGATTTCATAACAGATCTCATTTATGGCCCAGCTGGAGGCAACCCAATTGTGTTGACGCACAAGGGACAAGAGATCGGAGGCCGATTGATGGAGGAAAAGGAGAGACGCAAGCGCGGAGGTACGTGAAGTCGAAGCAAGCGTTGTTTGCCTGAGGCACGCACGCATTCGATGTGGGGCAAACGCTAACGCTCCTGCAGCAACCGCCAACGCGACCAACGCTCAATCGACCAACGCGACTACCACTCAGGCGACCACCACCCAGACGACCACCACGACTCCTGCAGGCTTGGGCATCTTCAACCCGCCGGCCAACGTCGAGACGAAGCGACCACTGCCTCCTCTTCCTACTAAGAAGCCAGAGCCAGAGGGATCGATCTGTGCTCAGGCCGTCCAAGAGGGCTTCTACGACTCGGACACCTTCAGAGAGACGCTTCGTGCCTTCAATCGTCAACGCGCTGACTCAGACTCGTCGGTTCGTACTTCGTACCACATTTCTGAGCAGCTGCCGGCTAGTGCACTTCGCGACCGCTCTGCTCAGAATCAAGACGAGGGTTCCGAGGAGGCTGTTGAGGACAACTCTGACGCTGGGGTCACCTCTGCCGCTGAGGACACTCCTGACGCTGAGGACACCTCTGACGCTCGGTACACCTTTGACGGTGGAGACTCTGACGCTGAGGACACCTCTGACGCTGAGGATACCTCTGACGCCGACTCTGCCGCCGACTCTGCCGCCGACTCTGACGCTGAGCAAGACGCCGACGACAAGTCAGCTCCTGTCCAAGACGACACTCAGCAACACCCCTCTCCACCAGACAACACGCAGCAGTAAAGCACCATGGCCAACCAAAATGGCCTCGGCGCTCAAAACGCAGCAATGTACTCTGGGATGAACGGCTCGATCATGCCATCGGCCGGCCACTACAGCGACATGCAAACACTCATGCAGAACATGGAGTCACTCAGCGGATGGCTCGAACAGAACAGACAGGAATGGGCACAGGTTCAGGAAGGGATCGCACGAGTTGAAAGAATACAAGTAGGGTTTTGAGGCTCATACTCGCTATGGACTGGACACTCATTGTTCTTCTTTCTAGGGTAGACTAGCTCAGCAGGGCCAGTTGCCTTTACTCAATGGAGATACCCAGCGTATGTTTCCTGTTCATTATGACTGACATGAAGCATTTCACCAACGACATTTGATCCGCCTGCTAACGTATCGTCAAAAAGCCGTCGAAGAACCCGCACAACCCACCATCTCCCAACTCCAAACCGCCCTCGCGACCGCCAACAACCGCCTCGCCTCCTTCGAACGCACCTACCAAGAACAAATCCGCCTCCAACAACTGTACGAAGACACCCTCTCCGACACGACCGACCGCATCCGGCAATACTGCTTCGAGCAGCAAAACCACATCATCGCCGTACACCAACACTACACGCAGCTCCTCTCCCAAGCACGCAGCGAGACAATCGAGGCGCAGCTGACGCATCAGGCGTGGCAGTCTAGTCTGCAGCGGTTGAGCGAGGGCGTGAGGTCTGCGTTGAAGAGCAGAGAGGAGGAGGGCCTGCCTTACAAGAGGAGGATTGCGGCGCTGAAGGAGGAGAATCGGATACTGAGGGCGAAGGTCGGATGGGATCCGCCGGCTGAGAGTGAGGATGAGGAGGAGGGTGCTGGTGCTGGTTTGGATGAGGGGAGGGGACGGGTTAGTCAGGGTGGGATGCATGGTCAGGAGTGAGATGATGCTGTTCAGACGCCGATGATGGATATGTCACGAACAGATATGACGGACTGCCACGCTTGAGAACTTGCATTCGCAGGATGGAAAATGCTACCAGGTACGTCCTCTATTGGTCATATTGTCCAAAACCTTCGGCTTGGTCTGATGATATGCAGAGCTCGGCAGCGGCATCCAGGCTTGAAACAGTCAAGGCTTGACGGGAGATCATGAACGGACATTCTTAATATCAAGCATGGAAGCCGTTCGTGGCCACTCGAACGATGCACCTACAAGCGCAGCACTCCTACTACAGACAGTCACAAGCCACGCATGAGATGAATCGATATGAGATTGCCAAGCTTCTTCAGTTCCAGTCTCACTGAATCCCTACATTACATTCTGGCCCCAGCCTTTTGACCGCCCAACAACCCCAAAACGAGAAGCCCCAACAACATATCCTCCCTTGTTGTCGGAAGCGAATATACGTCTTTCTCATTCTCTCATCAAACTCATGCATGCATGCTCTTTCAAAGCTCTCTCTCCGCGTGATCTAGAGCTTCCTCATATCCACCACACACCGAATGCAGTCACCGGCGTGCATGTCGTGGAAGGCTTGGTTGACGCCCGAGAGGTTTTGTCGGTGGGTGATGAACTCGTCGACCTTGAGCTTGCCGGTCATGTAGTCGTCGACGAGGCCGCCCATTTGGCTGCGGCCCTTGACGCCGCCGAAGGCACAGCCTTTCCAGACGCGGCCGGTGACGAGTTGGAATGCTAGTGAAGAGATTAGTAAGAGACAAGGAGGAGTTGAGAGGCGATGAAGACTTACGTCGTGTAGCGATCTCCTGACCAGCAGCCGCAACACCAATGATGATGCTCTCACCCCAACCCTTGTGGCATGCCTCGAGCGCCGAACGCATGACATGCACGTTACCAGTACAATCGAAGGTGTAATCGCAGCCGCCGTCGGTCATATCAATCAGTCTCTGCTGGATCGTCTCGCCATCCTTGAGGTCCTTGGCCGGGTTCACGAAGTCCGTAGCACCGAACTTGCTCGACCACTCCTTCTTCGAATCGTTCACATCCACCGCGATGATCTTGCCTGCACCGTTCCTCTTCGCGCCCTGCATGACGGAGAGACCGACACAGCCCGCACCGAAGACAGCGACATTCGATCCCTTCTCAACACCACCCTTGCCGGCTGTGATGACGGCCGCACCGTAGCCCGTCGTGATACCGCAGCCGAGCAAGCACGTCCTGTCCATAGGCGCCTTTTCCGTGACGGCGACGACGGAGATGTCCGCGACGACGGTGTATTGCGAGAAGGTGGAGCAGCCCATGAAGTGCAGGAGGTCTTTGCCCTTGCACCTGAAGCGAGATGTGCCATCGGGCATGACGCCTTTGCCTTGGGTGGCGCGAATCTTGCCACAGAGGTTCGTCTTGCCGGAGGTGCAGAACTTGCATTCGCCGCATTCTGGGGTGCTATGAAGGTCATTGTCGTTAGCAATGTTGTGTCTTCTTCAGTATAGGTAGAAGTGTTCAACAAGGTGAAGTCCAACCAAGCTCAACAAGGCAATGAACCATCAAGGTCCGCCGCTCAAACACCACACTTCACACACGCCCAATATAAAAGAAAGAAATCTCCACAACTTACTAAAGCGCAACAACCGTATCCCCCTTCTTCACATTCGTCACCCCCTCGCCCACACTCTCCACGATGCCCGCGCCCTCATGTCCCGCAATGACCGGGAACGCGCCCTCCGGGTCCTTCCCACTCAGCATGTACGCATCCGTATGGCACACGCCGGTATAGTACACCTCTATCCGCACCTCGTGGGCGCGGGGCGGCAAGACCTCGACGTCCTCGAGCGAGAGGTCTTTGCCGGCTTCCCAGGCCACGGCGGCTTTGCAGGTGATGGATTTGCCTTCGGTGGAGGAAGACATGGTGGGCAGGGCAACGCGGAACGCTTCGTGGAACTTTTTTGTGTGTGTATGTGGTTGGTGGTGGAGAGAGAAAGACGACCTTGATGGATATGTAGCAAAGAAAGTCGGATCAGCAGCAGCAGCAGTACAGGTAAGAAAAGGAAGCAACGAGCCCGGTCACTTTTACTCCTCACTTGTTACCAGCAAGACTCTGCCAATTTGAGCGAGGTTTTTGCTGGCAGCTGGGCCTGGCGATGATGCATAGTTGCTGGGGGCGTGCGTGGTGGGGTTGTTAGGAGGGGCACACCTCTGAGCGGATCGTTGGCGGCAACGGAAGAGAGAGCTCTCCATGGGCCAAGCAGCGAGAGACGCAGGTTTCCTTCAAAATCGTCGGCTTCAATCGCCGTAGCGTCCCGTCTGGCAGTAAGCCGTAGCGGACTTCCGTATCTAGACCTACAAACCGTGAAGCTCTCGTCGACACATCTGCACGTGCTGATAAGGCTGGAGAGTGGCAAGAGCATTCAGAAAAGTTATCCGACTCCGTCCTTCGCAATTAGAAGTAATGCGCGAGGAGGATCTGAGTGATGGACGCGGAACGGTAGCCTGCTGGCAAAAGTCTGAGGTAATCCCTTACATACAGAGTCTACTCGTCTCAAACGCCTGCTGCTGAACATACAACTACAATCATGCTAGGGGCGGCGCGTCTTCCGCACCATTATTCAGTTGGCGATGCCTTGCCAGTGAAGTCGTAGTAGCTAGCGCCACAGGCCTTGCACTTGGCAGATTCTCATGCCTCCGCTTTTTCCACCGTTCTCCGTCTTGTCATAGCTATGCGCATGGGTTGTCGTTATAGCTTGTCTGCGCGGTGTCTGCTTTCGCCTTAGCTTAGCAGCTCTCTGCAGAGCCAGCACGCGAGTTCATGAGCAGAGCAACAATCAATCCGTAAAGACCTAGATGCTTTCGTCAGCGAAGACGTTCCGGATACTTCCGTCGACAAGGATGGCATACCCAAGACTTCAGCGAAAATGAGAATCAGAATCATTCCGACGAACAACCTTGGCTGTTGTGCGGTACCACGGACACCAGCGTCACCAACGATGCCGATGGCGAAACCTGCGGCGAGACCAGCAAGACCGACAGATAGACCAGCACCGAGTTGGATGAAACCAGCGAAGAGCGAGACCTTTTGTTGCAGGTCGTTGGAGATCAGGACCGACACGACGAGACCGTAGATGGCAATAATACCAGCCATAATGACTGGAATGATGTCTGTTCGATGCATGTTAGCATTGCCAAGTATGCCAACCGGATGCTGCGCCTCAGATCGCGAAGTTCCTCGAGGCCATGTTTGCAGCGCAGGTATTGGAGACACATACTCTTGACGATCAAGTCGGGCCTGAGGACACCCATAGACGAGATACCAACACCAGCCTTTGCGGTTCCGTATGCAGCGCCGAAGCAGGTGAAGACAATGGCGCTAGTGCAGCCCATCGCACCGAAGAAGGGCTATAACCACAAGTCAGCCTCCCATTCTATCCTATCAAGCCTCCTTCCCGTTCTCCTCTTCTTAAAGACGTTCGCCGAGCGTCCCTTCGGATATATGGTGATGGATTCGAGTTCGTTGGTAGGGCGATTCGAAGGCTCGGCAAGCCAGGAGATGGCGCTGTTTTGCGGCGGGTCTGGAGAGTACTTACGGCATACACGGGACTGTGAAGCAGATACTGTTAGCTTCAGACATCATAGAATAGCAATTCGAAGACATCTCAATGATGCTTGATGGCATATTGAAGCTCGAAGGCGCAGCATAGCTGGCACCTTCAACACGAAGGCAAATGCGCTGTTTCCACGTACCAGAGATCGGTCGACATCTTGACTGACGCTAAAGGAGGCTGTAGAGGCTGTAGAAGCTGGAAACTTCGAAATCGAAGATGTCCTGGGGATGTCGCGGTGGCTGTGGGAGTGTTTTGGAGCTGGTTGGTGACGCCGCGAAGCTGGCACCGAAGGAGAGATGATGCTTGACACTCTCGCCAAAGTCACGTGCAGCAAGCCCACATGGCCAATCGGCAGCAACCGAAACCTTGTCGACGACATCTTCAAATTTCTGGACTTTTTACTCACCTGTGCGCCGATCCTCGTCTCTCTCTTCGACACCACACACCAAGGCCGTGAACCCAAGCTTCAATCCGGGCGAGCCTTTCCGAACACACACAGCCACCCTCCCAATCTCACAGTTCAAAACTTCTTCTTACGCGACAATCACCACTTGCGACAAAGTCGAAAAAATGGCCGACCAATCCGCCGCATGGCCCGTCGCCGACCAGGCCCTCACGCAGGAGATCCTCGACCTCGTCCAGCAGGCCTCGCACTACCGCCAGCTCAAGAAGGGTGCCAACGAAGCCACCAAGACCCTCAACCGCGGCATCAGCGAGATCGTCATTCTGGCCGCCGACACCACCCCGCTTGCGATTCTGCTGCATCTGCCACTGTTGTGTGAGGACAAGAACACCCCATACGTATGTTATAATCTCGAGAGAAGGCTTTTATGGATATGTGCTGACTTTGATATCTGCAGGTCTACGTCCCATCCAAGATGGCCCTCGGCCGTGCTTGCGGTGTGAGCAGGGCAGTCATTAGCTGCTCCATCACCACCAACGAGGCCTCCGATCTCATGGGCCAGATCCGCGCGCTGAAGGACAAGGTCGAGCGTCTCATGATCTAAAGAGATATGGCTGGACACCAGAGGCTGGAGTGATGACGTCTTGGAAGGTGCTGCTGTGGCTGTGATACCTTGGTCGATGATCGACAGATCGAAGAGAAAAGGCTGAGGAGGTCGTGGTCGAAAGACTGTCAAAGACATCTGCAGCAATGCAATCAGGATAGTGTGAAAGAATGAAGCAAGTCTGTCGCGAACATTTCTTCACATGTCAATCTGAGAGCAAGGATGAGTCTTGAAAGACGGTCAGTGGTCAAGATCACTGATATCAAGGATGGAAGATAAGAAAGACCAAATTTTTCGCAAGACCCATTCGATTCTGTGTGATACATGTACAAAGCCCATCGTCCATCGTCTGCCCATTCTCATCTATCCCATATCCCATGTCCCAAAATTTCCAAATGGCAGCCAGCACAACCTGGGACGCCCACACAAAAAGGTTCTCAAATCCCAAACGCCGTGATACATGTACAAGTCATTGTGCAGAGAATGGCAGCCAGCTCAACCGAATACGCCAACACAAAAGAAGCTCCCAAATCCCAAACGCCGTGATACATGTACAAGTTGATTTGCGAAAAAATGGCAGCCAGCATGACCTGTTTGCGCCAACAAGGGTCTTTCCAAAGTCGCGGTGTGTAAGTTGTCGGTAAGGACTGGACGGCGGGGCAGGAACCCGCCTGGTTCGCATGATGAGGGCTGGATGTGGTTGCTCACATCCAGAACATCTTGTCGTTGAGGTTCTTGTGCCAAGGGTTGCCGTTGGGTCCCTGGCCGCCCTTCTCCCAGGCTCTCTCGATTGCATCCTGCAGAACTTCGACGGTCTCATCCCAGACCTCCTTGTGGTTGTCAAAGTACTTCCACAGATACAAGCTGGCGCGCTCGCAGAGTTTGTCGGCGAAGTAAGCGGGGGAGGCGTAGGAGACGGCGTTGGTGGAGTGGGCGAAATTGTAGCAGAAGCTGTTGGTGAGATCTTGGAGGTTGTGCTCGCTCAGATTCATGCCGTTCTCCAGGACGACGTAGTGGGTTGGTTTGGCTGATGTGCCTGTGGTGACGACGTCGTGGGATTGAAGGAAGAAGTCGAAGTTCTCCGGAGACGTGATGACTCGATCCACGAGTGGCAGTTGCCCGTCCTGCTTCCGTTCCCACTGTCCGGGTAGAAGCGCGTGTTATGGCGTTTGATGACCATGACCGTGGTCATCTGCAGCGGACGAAGGGTTTTGTCGCGGGTTTCGTTCTCCCATGCAGTCTTGATGGCCTGAATCTCATATGTGTGGACATCTTGGAACTGAGTCTTCCCGGTACCGTCTCGGTAGTAAAGAATGCGAGCAGGTGCTCTGCCGCCATTCTTATTCTTGCAAGCGGCAATACGTTCGGTTGCCATGCTCGTCATGCTGGTGGAGTCGATGTACTCTTTGCCTCTCTCCTGGCGGCGAGCAGATCCGAGGAACGTGGCGAATCTCCCGTCGACACTTCCAACAAGAGCAGCAATCGTCGGCATGGGCTTGACACTGTTCTGCTTTGGGTGGATCAGGTCAGCTCCCAGAACCAATGTGTCGCAATCTGCCCCCGCGAGGAGTGCGTTGAAACCTCCTTGAACAAGGTGGTTCTCGTTGCCAATACGAATATTGACCTTCATGGCATTGCCTGCCATGTAAGGATTCTGATCCTTGTCTTTCATGGTATCCGCATTCAGCACAAGAGATGGCTTTCCGCACTCCTGGTCGACGATAGAACGGAACGATGCGTATGCTTCTCGCGTTGTAGGGCCAGACAACACCATGACAAGGAGGTCTGCTGACTTGCCCTCCGGTCCTTTCAAGAACGCGGCCGTTCCTGCAACTCCCCCTCGGACAACTTGCGGCCTCAAATCAATGCCATTCATTGGTATGACCCTCTTGAAAGCCGCCATGACACCATTCATGTTCGAGGGTCTGGTAGCAGTAGGAGCATAGGTGAAGATGACCCCTTTGTACAGCTTGTTCTGCGTGTTGACGAAGTTCTGATTCCTCGTAGTCCAAGATGATAAGTTCGTGATACGTTGAGACCGGTACTGGATGGTTGGCGACTGAATGCGCCTGAAAGGGACACTCATCATGTTGGACGAAATTGCAATGCCCGAACCACGCAATACGGCCGGCTGTTGCTGGGTTCGTCCAAGACCAAGTGCAGTGAGACCAATCCGCTCTATCGTAGACCGGTTCTCCGCCGGTTTTTTGCTTGCAAATGTGATCATCTCGCCTGTCATGTCACGGTGGACGGTGTCCAACGTTCTGCGATAGATCTGACCAGGCAAGACCTCCAGCTGATCAGGAAGATACCAGCATCCTTTGCCTGGATCGGTGCTTCCAGTGTTGACGCAAATCTGGTTGGGGTTGCTGCGGCTGGCTTCTGCTGGATGGTTCGCATGGAAGAAATCCCAGACACTGACCTGCTGTTTCTTCTCCATGTCTTCGAACTTCGTGGCACGCGCAGACGTCGTTGAGAACCCAGTAATGGTCTTCGTCCGGCGTTTGTCGTCGTCAAGCGACTTGTCCTTGTCACTCGACTTGGCACGATTGTACTTGATGCGCACTCGCAAACCAACGAGATGGTTCGTCGCGTTCTTGTCGCCTGGTATGCTCATGTGGTTCGTGTTGAAGTGAGCAAGGTACGCAGCGACATCTTGGTGTTTGTAGAAGACACTGAAAGCAGTGTTGACATTGAGAAGCAGATTGCCCTGACCAGCCTTGAGGTTGTTTGAAAAGCCTTGAAGAGCGATCATGCCCCATTTATTGAAGTCTCTAGCCGTAGACGCCAAGAAGAAGTGATTGTCGCCAATCTGGAAGATTTGATTCTGACCAGTCGAAGACTTTGCATTTTGAGCAACGCCGTGACTGACAAGCATGTCTATTGCTTGCGCCGTGCCACGCTCTTGGTAGCCTGGATTCTGGCCTTGTGCGTATCGATTGAATTGCTCGAGACTGATCTGGCGTTTGAACAGGATGTCCAGTCGGAGATGGCGAGATACTTGCCCAGATGCCTGTTTCTTGTTGTAGTCGGGCACTTGGATGCTCTCAATCGATTGGTCAACCTGCTGGTTCTGATCAAGCGGAGTCCAAGCAATGATTCTGCCTTCCTTGTTGAATGCAAAGGAGTCTCGATTGTTGTTCAACTTGCCGGACAACTCGATCAATCGCTCCATCAAGACCTTCTTCTTTGGGCTGGAAAGGTTCAGGTCTTTCTCGTGAAGCCCGACGACCTGGTACTCGTAGAGGCTTCGATTTCCGCTGACTGTGACCTTGAAGTGGTTGGTGACCAACGTGCCTGAAGACTGGGCGGTAGCTGTGGTGGCACTCTGCTGGGGCCGAGAAGCACTGTACAAGCTGTTCTCAGGAATCTCCTTTGGAAGAGTGCCGGTGCTGGCAGTGGTCTCGCCGGAGGCAGTCTGATCTCCGTCTGCGGTTGGTGCATTTCCTTGATCTTGCGCACGATGCTGTCCATCTGCACCTCCATCAGACAGCGAGTCGTCAACTGGAGGACCATAGCACGTGTTTGCGGCATGCTCCAGCATCTGCCTTGTGATGAACCGTCCGTCGTGCCTGTGCCGGTCTCGGTCAAGACAAACGGAGTTGATCTGAAGCTCGAGATCTGCAGGGTACTTCTCTCGTGCTTCTTCAATCCACACCTTGTTCTTCTCCTCCACCATGGCTAGGAACTTCTGACAAGATTGCTCTGTGGGGAGCAGCGGCGCAATCTGTGGTGTGGTCTGATCTGGCTCATCTCTGTAGGCCCACCACAGACTACTGGGCTCGTTCTCGTCGCGCCGATAGCCTTTCATGCATTCTTTCAAGTCGCCGCAGTGATGGAGGGTCTGCAGGGCGATCTCTGGCTTGGGCACCGATTGCAAAGCACAACTGGCAAGTCTGTGATGCCGAGACTGGAAATGTCGAGTTTGCCGTCAGTCTCAGAAGCTTGAGTGCTCTCCGAAACACCAGAGTCCTTTGTGGCGCTTGCTTCCGGCACATTCTCTTGAATGGTAAGCTCTTGAAGTGCCTTCGTGGTGCTGGCTTCCGGCTCGTTGCTCTGAGCTGATGGCTTGATCTTCTGTTTGCCAGCGCTCTTGGGCTTGGCCTCATCGTGTGCCGAGCGGTGAACTTGATCGAAGGCATATTCCAGAAGCTGCTTGGAGAGGGGGACCGACGTGCTGTACTCCGCATTTTGCTTTGCGATCTCTGCGGTGACGGCCTCCTCGAAAGCGTCGTCGTCCGCGAAGTTGTCTGGTCCGACGGTGGTTCTGGCAGCGGCGTCGATGCTGACAGCCTGGTCGATGGCAGCTTGGCACTCAGCGTTGGAAGGTAGGATGGTGGAGGGATTGTCGATTGGAGCATCGATGAAGCCGCGCCACATTTCGTTGGTGCTGTTGTCCTTTTGGGCCTGGCATTTGCTGAGGTCCTTCTTGTGCGTGGCATTGCAATAATCAGCAATCGGTCTCGTGGGACACCGAATGCAGGGCTTGGGGGCGTTCTTCTTTCCTTTTCCTTTGGGTGGCATGTTGCTCGTACTCTTCAACACAACTCTTTAACACTCAATTCTTTCTGATTCGTTCTTTCTGATTCTTTCTTCTTTCTTCGGAGTGCTAGACCTTGAGAAAAAGGGGAGTTTGGGGATATCGGATGAGGGAGGAGATAGGGGAGGATGGGTGATGTCCAAGAAATCCAATCCAGAGGGGACGACCGCTGAGCATATATCCTCCTGTTCGCATAAAGCCATCTTGCTCTTCCGTTGAGGCCTAAGACAGATTGCTGGGGAGCAAGCGGTTCGATAAAGCTTGAAGGGTCGTGTGAAAGGAGATAGGCTTGCCATGTCGTTGTTGGAGGTGTGTTCCACGCAGGCAGATAAGCAATGCTGCGAAGATGCATGAAAAACGCCGTTGTCTACTGAGTGGCCTCCAAGGAAAAGATCCTATCATCCTACATGCAAGTCCGCTTTGTGCATCTCGTTAGGCATGCAAGACATACGAGCGGCAGCAAACATCCTTTGTGGCAGGTCTTGTCTGATTCTAATATCTGCGAGGCGTGTCTTGAGAACTTTCGGAAAGGTACATGAGGCGCAAGCAGCTTCTGTAAGGTCGCATTGTTTCGTCAGGCTCCAGTGATATCAAGTCTTCATACTGGCCGAGGTGGTTGTCTCCCGAGTGTCCGAGTAGAGTAGATCGAGAAAAAGAAAACGCCAGAAGGCGGCCACGTTTCTGAACCCTTTCAAGGTACTGTAGAAATCTACATCTAATCTACATCTAAACACAGCTCTTACCATCGCCATCATTCCAGCATCATCATCACCGCAACCAGATCCTACAAGTGCGCTCCCGCCCCATACGGCACGGCCTTCGCACTCTCCACATCCACAAACCCATAATGCACCATGCCCTCATCCCCCTTCATCTTCTCCGACCACGTCCCCATATCCTTCATAAACGCCTGCAAATTCTCCTCCTGGGACATGTCAATCGGCTCGACGTCCTTGCCCGTCTGCTTGATCTGCGAGCCCGCAATGACGTTCGTCAGGCCGAAGTTGTTGTCGTCGACAAGCTGCTTGATCGCTCCCTTGACTTTGCCCGAGAGGATGTCTTTGCAGAGGTGCGGTTCCTGCGTCAGAGGGCGAGCGAGCCCGACGCCGTCGACGGATTGCAGGACGTTGACCATGGCGCCGACGGATTTGAGGCCGCCGGTGATGTACGTCTTCGTCTTCTTCATGGCGGGGGCGATGAGCTCGGCGAATTCGAGGAAGAAGGCTTCGCGTTTCTTGGTGCTCTCGCGTTGGTGGGCGAAGGCGAGTTTTTCGTAAGTACCGCCGCTGAGCTCGACGAAGTCGAAAGTGTTTTGCTCGAGGAGGGCGCAGAGTTGTTTGGCTTCTTCGGGTTGGAAACCTTTGTCTTGAAATTCAACCGAGTTGAGCTTGATGCCGAGGACGAAGTTGGGCTTGGTGCGTTTGCGGACTTCTAGGGCGACTTCGAGGATGAGGCGGGCTCGATTCTCTAGGCTGCCGCCGTACTTGTCCGTTCGTTGGTTGGTAGTTGGGGAGAGGAATTGGGCAAGGAGGTATCCGTGAGCACCATGAAGCTCGATACCATCATACCCAGCCTTCTCGAGATATTCTGCAGTATGAGCCCAACCATCAATGAACCCAGCAATCTCCTTCTCAGAAGCAGCGTGCGGCTTGGCAAAAGTCATGCCCATGATGTTCATGTCCAAATGGACATCCGACGCAGAGACCGGGTCTTTCTGGATGTTCGCCGTGACCTGTCGTCCTGGGTGCGAGACTTGGCCAACGACGAGACTGCCATGTGCCTTCCCCTGCGTGGCCAACTCCTTGAACGCCTCGAATCGCTCGCCCTCGAATGGAGCATCCTTTGGCACAATGGGGTTACCCGCAGCCTCGAGGTGGTCGTATTCGAACATGATGTTGCCTGTGAGTATCACACCAATCTCACCCTCGCCCCATCTCTTGTACGCATTGATCAACTCTTTCGATGGGATGCCTCTCGCCTCGAGGTTCTTCGGGTCCCAGCTCGACAGACGTTCGGTCATAGCTCCCTTCATGAACCGATTTGAAGCAGTCTTGCCGCTGAACTCGAACGCCAATGGCTCTCCCAATGGCTTAGGGTCGACATTGTCGGATTCGTATCTCGTAGAAGGAGCCATTGTTGCTGTGTTAATGATAGATATCTATAGAGGTGAAGAGAGTGACCAGACGGAGACAGTAGTATTACAGAGGAAAGAAGAAATCAACGCATAGGTACTTATCTATCCTTTATACCCCCTTCTCCAACTTCCCCAAGAAAATTGGAGCAAGCAGAAAAGAAGCGCTTAGAAATGCATTGCTTGGTGCAGTGGAGGCGACGGTGATGGTCTGGAGACGTGCTGTCCGGTCGGCAGATCATGCAGATGACGTAAACTCGAATTGATATATGCCTCGACATCCGTCACCACTTTCCGTTCCTGTACAGTCTTCGCAAAAATGAGCCGATGTAGACATGCGAATAGGATCTTGATGAGATGATCTGATGACTTTGGAGTTACAGAAGAAGTAGTAGCAGCCAAGATGTCAGCCCTTCTAATCCTCGTGTCGTCGGATCAAACCCGAGATATACCGAGATACGTCCTACAGTTCGTACAGAATACATGGAGCTGTCGATAAGACCCTTGTGGTCCACAGGCGATGACTTTTCTACATAGAATACTCGTCTCCAGACCAACGCACCCCTGTCTTGCGACATTGGCCTTCTCTACGACTCTCGAACACGTATGGATCGAGCAATCCGTTGGCGTTTGTCGACAACCACCATACGTAGACTGTCGATGCAACTATTCCCTGCCGAGCCTCACAAGGCAGCGGCATGCAAGTAGGACTAAACCCATCATCAGTTTCACCAGTCGCAAGCCTCACTCAAAATCTCCGCCAACTCTTCCAACTTCCTCTGATCCTCCTCCTCGAACCCATTCTCCACCGCACAATCGATATCGATTATTGCCACGGTCTAGAACGCGGTCGATTAGCACATCCCCCCATCCACACACAACAAATCCTCGTATTCCAAACACACCTTTCCCCCTTTCACGACCGGCACAACAACCTCACTTCTGCTCTCAGAATCACACGCAATATGACCCGGGAATTTCTCCACATCCGGAACCAGCTGCGTTTTCTGCTGAGCAGCGGCGGCACCGCAGACACCTTTGCCGAATCTTATAGTCTGGCAGGCAACCTGTACACAAATCAACATGGGGACTTGAGACGAGGAAAGGGTCGGAGTGGTACTTTTCCGTGAAAGGGTCCGAGGATGAGTTGGGAGGGCGTGGAGGCATCGAGGACGTAGAACCCAGCCCAGTTGACTTGGTTGCTGGGAGAGGGGAGAGCGTGGTAGGCGTGCCAGAGCAGGGAGGCGGTGTTGGCTGTGTTACTGAAAAGATAGCGCAATGAGCAGACATCTTTGGGGTAAAGATTTGTGTCGGAGATTTACCAGACCTGTGAACTTTGATTAGCATTCGAGGATGTCTATGACAGGAGCAAGATCCAGAAATCTCACCCAGTTTCTCTGCCCATCAAAAAGTCCCTTGGCCTGCTCGATGACCTGATCGTACGCGGCGGCTTTGCTCACGCCGGTTGCGAAGTTGGAGGAGTCGGCGTGGACCTTGCATTGCGATCAGACTTGCCACCAAGTGAAGCTTCGGGAAAAAGGCGTAGTATCACCATGATGATGTTGTGTTTGGAAAGACAAGGCTGGTATGGAGTTCGTACCTACGTGCGCACCCAAAGGATTCTGGCAGAACGCAGCGGGGTGTTAGGGAGTTTGATATCCACGTCGGTTCCAGTAGCCGCGGGATTTGTAATGTGGCTCTTGATGAGCTTTGGGTGTAGAGCATAAAATCCACATTTTAAACGACGTGGTTACTCCGCGGACTTGTGGGCGAGATCTACACGGCAGGACTACCTTCCGACGCCCAACGAGCGTCGCCGCTGCGACAACGCAGTGAGCTATCGGTCTTAAAACAAATAACATCCGACCTCACCATTCCATTCGATCTCTTCAAAATCGAACGATTCTCGTAGAGAACCCCACCTGCCACTCAATTGTTTGAAGAATATCAATTCCGTGCTCCTCCCACCCAGTGTCCCAACAAGTCCCAGCCTTGCTCCGGCCATCAACAATGTCCACCCTCAAACCCTGCTGTGCCACAGGCTCCCTACACACGGGCGAGCCCAAAGGCCGCATCACCAAAGTCCACGGTCTGGATTGCTACGTCGCCGACGCTCCCAGCGGAACACCCGTGAAGGGCATCATCGTCATCATCCCCGATGCGTTTGGATGGACGTTCCCCAACAACAGAGTGCTTTCGGATGACTATGCGAAGAAGGGGTTTACGGTGTACCTACCCGAATTCATGGACGGTGAGTTCTACGATTTTCACTGCGGAGAGGTGATGGATGTTAATAAGGTATTGCAGGATTCGTGATGCCGCCCGACATTATGGATTCTATGAAGGCGTTCTCGGCGACGGGGTTGTGGGGCAATTTGGCCAAGGTGGGACATTTCCTGTACATGGTCCGCAACTTTTTCCCTTTCCTGTACTATTGCCGGGCTGCTGCTTCTGGTCCGAGGGTGTATGGCTTTTTGAAGGCATTGAAGAAGAATGAGGCGAAGGACCTGCCGATTGGGACGGCGGGGTTTTGCTGTAAGTCTCGCCATCAGGTGGAACGTCGTGGAGATGCTGACGATGGGTGATCAGGGGGCGGCCAATTCGTGACGGCGCTGTGCCATGACGAGATCAAAGCGGATGATGGTAAACGACTGACCGTTGCTGGATTCGTGGCGCATCCGTCGTTCCTGAGGTATCCAGCGGACATTGAGAAGATCGTGCTGCCGTACTCGTGCGCTGCGTCGGAGATTGATCCTCAGATGTCGGCAGACAACGCCAAGCAGACGGAGGAGGTCTTAAAGTCCAAGACGGCCAAGACGAAGGATCAGGGTGTTGAGCATGAGTTTGTGATGTACAAGGGCGTGCATCATGGTTTCGCAGGTAAGTCTCCATTGTCGCGAGCCGTAGAGCAGTTGCTGATCAGCTTCCAGTGCGAGCCGATGAAGACGCGAAGCACGAGGCCGAAGCTGGCAAGAAAGCGGAGGAGCAGGCCGTGAACTGGTTCACGAGGTGGTTCGCCAACCCACCACCATCGTAAACAGATCTTGCAACGACCAGAATCCCACATCAGAAACCAACGACAGAAACGAGACCTACGAAAATAGCACCCCCAAAGGAAAATTTCACCCCATCTTCCCCCTAACATACTCGCCCCTAACCCTCTCCATAAACCCCACAAACTCCTCCGGCCCCGCACCCTCCCCCAACCCGCCCTCCTTCAATACCACCCCCATCCTCCCAAGCAAAACCTTCGCATCCCCCTCCACATCCCCGGGCCGCCTCACAACCGTAATCCACCTCCACTCCTCCTCAACCGCCCACTCACCCCCCTTCCTCGCCCTTCCAATCCCCACCCCAAAAGCCCCCACCCCCGCACTCCCCCTCGCCGGCACGTACCGGATCCAAAACGTCAGTCTCCGCAACAGGGGGAGGTACGCCTCGTTGCAGCGCAGCCAGCGTAGAGCATCATCGGCTTTGGGCGCTTCCGAGTGCAGGATGAAGGGCGTGAGTTCGTAGTAGATGGGCAGGGTTTCCTCGCGGAGTTGCCGGGATACCCGCGTTAGGGGCGGTTGGACGGCGGGCGTGTAGGTGTCGAGTTGGTAGGGGTCGAGGCGGAAGGTTACGGTGGGTTTGGAAGAGGATGTCAAGGCGAATTCGAAGATGAGGGTGCGGATTTCGGCGGGGAGGGTGAGGAGGCGTGAGGGTGGAGGTTTGGAGGTGAACATGTTTTATGTGTGATCGGGTACTATTTGGATGTCCTTGTGGGTTTTTTTGGTTCCTTGATTCTCTTTCGTTTAGGAGTATACAGAAGAGGAATTAGATCTCGATATCCGAAGAAGGGGGCATCCAAGAACGTCGAAAGACTCAAAGCTCCGATCGCGGCCCAGCACGCATCGGCGACCGGAGTATCTTACAAGAAAGACAAGACGAACGGATAGCAGTACACAATCGAAGGAAAGGTCATTGCAATGTCCAAGATTGGGCCTTGGTATTCGAAGTGCATCGATAGTCAGACTCCAGGGATCAGATGACGTCGGGAGGTCGCGCCGAACTCGCTCCGACTCTTCAACCTTGACGCGTGACCACTGCCACTCCCCAGCACTTCGTCGTGAACAACCATCGCGTCGAGAGATGCCCGCAGCGAAATGCCACCCACCGACATCCCCTCCTTCGCGACGAGCCAGCTCTCTCTCCTCGACAATGAGCTGCAAGCCGAACTCCAGGAAACACAACTCCTCACCTCCCTCCACGCTCCCACGACGCTCGCCCGTGCTGGCCTCGCAGTCCTGAACCTCACCGTCGCATCCCAAAGAACAGGCTTCGGCGGCAAGACTCTGCTTGAGCTAGGGCCAGACCCGGCTGTGTCCAGTAATGGGGAGCTGCCGGAGCATGGGCTGCGGGTAGGCGATATCTGCGCTGTGGCGGAGCAGCCGAAGGGCGCGGAGAGGAAGAAGGAGCGGGAGGGGATGGAGAAGAGGGGTGCGGAGGGCGTGGTGACGAAGGTGAATAAGAGTGGAGTGACGGTCGCGCTGGATAAGGAGGATGTCGATGTACCCGGGGGCAAGTTATGGCTGTAGGTTTCAATGTGCAGCACGGTAAGTGGAATTGAACGGTAGGCTGATTTTTGGTGTTCTTTCTCTGCAAATGTAGTGTGAAGCTCGCCAACGATGTCACGTACAAGCGTCTGAACCAGACTATGACGAGGTTGCTGAAGATGCAGCCGGCGGAGCACAGTACCTTGACGCAAGTTCTTTTTGGCCAGACGTCTCCCACGCCGATTTCTGAGGATGAGTTGAAGATGGATGTACAGTGGAGTGATCCTTCGCTGAATGATAGCCAGAAGGAGGCTATTCGGTTTGCGCTTGCTAGCAGGGAGGTTGCTTTGATTCATGGACCGCCTGGGACTGGAAAGACTCATACCTTGATAGAGCTCATTCTGCAGCTGTTGAAGCGGAAGCAGCGGTTACTGGTATGCGGACCGAGCAATATCAGTGTCGACAACATTGTCGAGCGACTGGCGTCGCATAAAGTGTCGATGGTGCGGTTGGGACATCCAGCTCGTTTGCTTCCAAGCGTTCTGAGCCACAGTATGGAAGTCTTGACCCGGACCAGCGATGCTGCGGCTATTGTGACCGATATCCGAAGCGAGATGGACAGCAAGCAGGCATCGATACGCAAGACACGGAACGGACGAGAGCGCAAAGCCATCTATGGTAAGCTGAGAGAATTGCGCAAGGAGTATCGCCAGCGTGAAGGGCGTGTGGTCGGCGACTTGCTCCGTGAGAGTAAAGTGGTGTTGTCGACGCTCCACGGTGCCGGCGGATACCAATTGCGAGACCAGCGTTTCGATGTGGTGATCGTGGACGAAGCAAGCCAGGCTCTCGAAGCCCAATGCTGGATCCCAGTCCTCAGTTCCAGCGCACCAAGGCTCATCCTCGCGGGTGATCACCTGCAACTCCCGCCGACCATCAAATCCTCGAATACAAAAGGGGCGAAGAATCCAACCAAGACCAAGCCCAACACTGATGAGACTGCCGAGAAGGCCTCGAAGGTGACGGTCAAGGAAAAGGAGGAGACTCAGGTGGATGGCAAGAAGAAGGTTAAACAAGATCCTGTTCGACTTGAAACGACGCTTTTTGACCGCTTGCTGTCACTCCACGGCGAGACGATCAAACGCATGCTGACTACGCAATACCGCATGCACGAACGGATCATGCAATTCCCGTCCCGTGCATTGTACGAGGGCAAGTTGATGGCGGCCGATGCGGTGAAGGAGAGATTGTTGAAAGATCTTCCCTACGACGTTGATGAGACGGACAACACGTCCGAACCTCTCGTCTTCTGGGATACCCAAGGCGGGGACTTTCCCGAAAAGACGGAAGACGACGAAGACAAACAGAGCAAGTCCAGCTTGCTGGCTGAGAGCAAGGTCAACGATCTTGAAGCATTGATTGTGCGAGACCATGTTGCGGGTCTGATCGATGCGGGTGTCAAGGCTGAAGACATCGCGGTGAGTGTCCACGAACGGAGAGATCCGAAGATTAACAGCATGGTGCTCATAACGTGTTTTAGGTGGTCACACCGTACAACGGGCAGCTAGCACTCCTCTCACAGATGCTCAAGGATCGATTTCCAGGCCTGGAGCTGGGCAGCGTGGACGGCTTTCAGGGTCGTGAGAAGGAAGCTGTGATTGTCAGTCTTGTGCGAAGCAATCCAGAGCATGAAGTCGGTTTTCTGGGCGAAAAGCGCCGATTGAACGGTAAGTCTTGCAGCTGCAATGACCCGCTGTGCAGGATCCTGCGCGACATGTTGATGAAGAGATGCGATCGTGCTGACTGTGCGACTGTGCAGTGGCCATGACTCGACCCAAGAGACATCTCTGTGTGATTGGGGACTCGGAGACAATCAGCAAGTGAGTGACACAGCCGTTTCTTCCCCTTACGCTGTTGGAGTTTCGAAGGCGTGGTACAGACTCCCAAACTTCAAAGCGTGGTACAGATGCTCCCGGCAATGCGGTTGGGTTTTCTGTCTGCGAGATTGGGTGTGCAACCTGGATGCTGACGCTTGGCGATTTTAGGGGGTCCAAATTCTTGAAAGAGTGGATGGCATTCTTGGAGGAAAACGCGGACCTGAGGTATCCCAACCTGTCCGATCTCTCGCAAGACGGATGAAGCGGTGAAGGAGCATGAAGCTATTGTTGGTGTCCCGCGGAATGGACTTGACTCCGGGGCAGCGTGTTTCGAGCGAGCGTTCTTCCAAGTCATCATCCAGGTGACGTTCAGCAGAGTTCGAGCCGGCTGCAGGTTCACCATGCACCTCCTGCATGCTGCAGGGGAGCTTGTGCGAGCTACCACTCGATGGAGGGCAAACAGCGCGTGTGCGTCTGGTGTTGGAATCCGCGCTGTCATGCGCGAGCCCGGCGAAGGTAGCAAGGGCGGGAGATTGTGCAGTGGTCGTGGTGCTGCGAAGTATGGAGGGAAGGTGAGGTGCGAATCGCGTATAGTCTTCGATAGATCCACCAAATAGATGGCAGCGACGAATCAGAGGCGTGTGTTGCCACTCTCGCCCTCCAGTGTATATTGCAGCTATAGTCGCAACGGGCGGGACTATTGGTTTTCTAGACCCGGATCTGGGACGGTATGGGAGGGAAGATGGCTGCATGTTCGCCGGTCGACGACGGACCCTCGCGCGGCCCTGGACGTCCAATCACATGCTGTGGAGAGGCTTTCCGCAATCGTTGGAGCGTGGACCAGCGTGGTTAGGCGTCGGACTCGAATGGGTTTGCCGGCGCGGTCGCAATCCTCGACATCACCACTTTGATGAACAGCACGTCGTCGCCGGCCGAAGTCAATGCCTTCTTCTCACATCGCCCTGGCAAGCGTCAATGTTAAAGGCTTGGGCGTGGCGGCGGGCAGTTCGTTGACAGGTGCACATGCGGAGGTTGGAGTCGACAGCTACGTGCGACGGCTACGCTACTGCGGTCTGGCGCTCCGCATCCGCCTGAGATTGCAATATGTCCGTTGAGCTTTTCCCTCTCCGGCCAGTGTGCATGGAGTTGTTGCGGTGGTGCTGAGACACCACGCATCCACGCATTCATCCTGATCAGCAAGGAAGCGCTCTCGAGGCCGCGGGCCAGGCTGTGGCCTGAGAGCACCTCTCCGGCACAGTTCAAACACACCGACCTGCTGCAGCAGCAAGCACTTGGTCGCTGCTAGCAAGAGCCCGGCAGTCTAGTACGATATCACGCTGTCTGTCCCTCCCTCCCGCTCATATCCCATCTCTCCCTCTTCTGCTCCTCGTCTCCTACCCTCGCCCCAAGATGATCACCCTGCGCCGTGCCTGAGAGATCCTCCCATACAGCCCCCAGTCGGAACCTTGGGATCCCTCCGCCGCACATCGCGACCATCTCGAGCCAACCGCCCCCCACCCCTCCGGTTTGGCTCTGCAGCCCTGGTCAGCTCATCTGCTTTGGGCAAGAGCGCGTGGCTTGGTATCGCGGCCCAAGCACCCTTCTGTCTCCTTCACATTGGCACGGCGACCCTGACCGACCGATCTACTGCCACCACCTGTCCTCGGACACCTGCCATTCGTTCACCCACTCCCTACCTACTACCACAGTCTGTCCCTACCGCTGAACATACATCGATATCGCATATCTCCCGACCGTCGACGATCATTTAACCAGCCTTCACTAGGGAGATTGGCCTGCATGGATCTAGCCCTGCCTTTCAATGAATCATTCTAATAATGACGACGCGTTCGCCAGTAGTAGCACCCGCATAACTTCCAGCAAGAGCTTCGTACCTGGATCGAACCTCGATGCAGCTGCAGTGCCCTCCTCGCGGCTGCAGAAGCAGAGGTCGAACGCCGGTATGCGCAGCGCGAGCCATGGCCAACCCTTCTCCAGCGCTGGGCAAAGTATCGCGGCAATGCGAGGGGATGGGTCGTCTGTGAGTGGTTTTGGGGATGGGGCAAAGGCGCGGAAAGGATCGATTCGGAATGCGGTCAAGAAGATCTTTGGGAGAAGAGGGAGGGAAGTTGTTTCTCAAGGGCCGGATACTGGCAGTCATCCGCCAGCGTCCAGACATACATATCACAAGTCCGAGCCGACTGGTCTGCCACCACCGCGAGAAGATCCTGAGCCGTTCATTCAAGACACCAACTTGATCGAGCGGACATTCGCGGACCCTTACCAAGCAGCTCCATCTCCTCCTTTCCATCGAACGAGCTCCCCGTATGCGATGCAGTTTCCCAACAGTGTGAGATTGAAACCTATGGATTTGGGGAATCCGTTCATTGCACCTCCCAACCAGCTTCGACGACGCAAGACCCTTCCCAGCTTATTGCTGGAAGAGCGCGAGGAGTCGGCAGCTGATGTACCACCTAGGGAGTCGACGGACATAGCTCAAGCGAGCGATCCCGCGCGCGAGACGCCCACACCTCTACCCAAGCGAACGACGAGCCAAGTGAAGAAGGCAAGGAGGAAGTCGCGAAGTACGGATGATCTGAAGAGTTCATCGACGATTGAGCAAGCGACACCGAGGAAGAAGAGTAAGGAGATACGGCATCTGCGTGAAAGCTTTCAACCAGATGTGTTGCGTGCGAGCGGGTTCACGACGAGGTACAGGCCGAGAGAAGAGGAGCCGGAAGAGCAGCCGAACATCGTGCAGCGCAGGAGTCCAAGAGGGTTTCAAGGTGAAGAGGACGCGACACAAGAGATACGGAGTGGAGACGCATATCAGAATCAGACAGGTCCAGGTTCGGCGTTGCTGAGAAGCAGTCCGCCTGGGCAATACGGGCACCGCCCGTCACCCAGCTTTGGGGATGTTAGACTATCGTCGGGTGCGGGCACGGAGATGTCGAAAGATCTCGAGGATCGAGTCGCGAAGCTCGAGGCCGGCCTGCAGAACTTCCAGAATTCTTTGCAGAGGCTCACTGCAGAAAGGAATCGAAGGACCATCATCATGGGGAGCGTGAACACTCGACGCTCTTCAAACGACATGCGGACTCCCAGCCTGCTGGCAGACACGCTCGCGGATCCCCTGGAGCCTTCATCGTACGAGTATGAGTACGGCCACACGATACGACCGTCTACGTCGCCTCAACCACCCCCTCCAGCTCCCGCACAAACTCAAGGCAGTCTCGAAGACCCGTTTGGCCCCGACCTGCCTCGTCCGTCAGCCTCAGCTCGACAATCTATCCCTCCGCCTGCACAAACAGCACCACCTCCCGCTCGAGGCTCTACAGCAGGAACAAGCCAACCCGATCGCAGCCCAGAGAACTTCCCCATGCCACTGCAATCCCACCCACCAACGCAACACGCTCCAGCGCCCTCCTCCTCAACCGTCGGCACAGCCACCGCCCTCAGCACCCGCACAACACCCACCCAACCGCAACCCTACACCTTCTCCTCCCTCTACCAAATGCTCTCCGACGAACGCTCAGCGCGCCGCAAACTCGAAAACCAACTAAAATCCCTCCAGCGCGAGATCTCCGACCTCCACACCCAAGTCTCCATCAACACCACCGCCTCCTCCGCCGTCCACTCCACGCGCAGCAGCTACATGCTCGCGGGCTCCTCGACCCGGCTGCAGGAACTCCTACGAGAGACCGAGGAAGCAGGCAGTCCGCCCCGCTCCGCGCATGCCAGGGACTCCGGCGCTGGTGCGGGGATGATCAGTCGGTTCAGCGGGAGCGAGAGCGAAGCCGGCGTGGGCGGAGCTGGGGAGTATGGCTACGAGGACTCTTTGGCGACGCCGTATGAGGCTTATCGCACGCCGAGGGAGGGTAGGAGCGCGTATAGTCTTGTCGGAGGAGGCGGGGCGGGGAGTCGAGTCGATGCGGAGATGTTTTGATCTCGCTCGAAGAAGGAGTGAGTGGTTTGATACGTTTCGTTGAGGATTTTAGCATATAGGGACGATTTCACGTGGGTGGGTGTCTCTTGATTCTTGGGATTAGGAGTGGGAGTGGGATTGCGAGTGGGAGAGGCGGTTTTGAGCCAGTTGCATTTTTCTTGTGGCTTTTTTTTTGTTGATTCTTGTAGGATACCCAATTTTCTCTGCCTATCTAGCTTTTGAATGTACTTGAGTACTTTGAGTGGTTTGAATGAGAGATGGGCGCTTTCCGACTTGTTCGTAGCCAGATCTCATTTCTTGGAGTTCTGGTTGTATGCGTGCACAGAAGTTGTTGATAGCTACATTGTACATATTGATAAGTGTGATATGACGAGCCTGGCTTGCGAAGAAAGTCTGCATTGAGTGGACGTTCGAGATGGCCCGCTTGTGAAGTACTGTACATTTGAAAAAAAGACACTATACATTCTCCTAAGGTACTGCACTGATCTGTCTGCTTTCGTGATCGTGGCCGTGACCATGCCGCAACGCCCGCGCCGCTTGAAGAAGAGGATATTAAATCAGAGGTCGATTCTAATGCTGCGACCACTCAATCGTGTTCAAATCAACACCCTCCTGTACAAGCTCCCACAACGGGCTCAGCTCCCGCAGGAACGTCACGCGGTTCTTGACAGCCTCCAAGACGTAGTCCACTTCGGCTTCGGTGGTGAAGCGGCCAATGCCAAATCGGATCGAGCTGTGTGCTGACTCGTCCGAGTTGCCGAGCGCTCGCAGCACGTATGATGGTTCTAGGGATGCTGAGGTGCAGGCTGAGCCGGAGCTGAGAGCAATGTCTTTCAAGGCCATGAGCAGCGACTCGCCCTCAACGTACGCGAAGGAGACGTTGACGCAGCCAGGGTAGTGCTGGATGGCATCGCCGTTTAGGGAGGTGTGTTCCATGGCGAGGAGGCCTTGGCTGAGCTTCTTGGAGAGTTTCGAGATGTATTTCGTGTCGTACTGGTGAATCGTTAGCCTCCGTATACACGATAAGAATGTGTATGTAAAAGCAGGTGGTTTAGTACAAAATCATACAGTTCGCTGTGTATCAGCACAAGAAACGCTTGTCACGGCGTACTCAGAAAGCCATGCATGTTTGAGCATATAATCATTTAGGAGGGGAAAGGGGGTTGTATAAGGAAAATAAGCAGCTTACCTCCATTTCTTCTTTGCACACCCTGGCTGCTTCTCCCATACCAATGATGAGAGGCGGTGCCAGCGTTCCTGACCGTAGACCTCTCTCCTGGCCACCACCAGAGATGATAGGGTCAAGTCGTACACGCGGCCGTCTCCGCACGTAGCAAGCTCCAATGCCCTTGGGGCCGTATATCTTGTGTCCAGAAATCGACATCAAATCGACATTCATCTTGTTGACGTCCAACGGGATCTTGCCAACCGCCTGAGCAGCATCGGTGTGGAAGTAGATCTTCTTGCTCCTGCAAAGCTTTCCAATCTCTTCGATGGGTTGAACAACACCAACCTCGTTGTTGACGGTCATGATGGACACCAGCGCGGTCTCTGGTCGTATCGCCTTCTCCAAGGCTTCCATATCAATCAAGCCATTGTTCTGTACTGGCAAATATGTGACCTCAAACCCTTCGTCTTGCAAATGTCGACAGCTGTCCAGCACACACTTGTGCTCTGTCTGACAGGTGATGATGTGATTCTTCTTGCCACCCTTCTTGAAAAATCTTGCGACACCCTTGATGCTCATATTGTTGCTCTCTGTCGCACCGCTGGTGAAGATGATCTCCTTAGGGTCGGCGCCAATCAGATCAGCGATGTGTGTTCTCGCTTGCTCAACAGCTTTTTCCGTCTCCCAACCATAAGCGTGTGTTCTCGAGTGCGGGTTGCCATATAGACCAGTCCAGTACGGCAGCATTGCGTCCAATACTCGTGGATCTGTAGGGGTAGTGGCTTGCATGTCAAGATATATGGGTCGGACACCCTCGTCCATGACTGTGGCTTGCTTCAAAATCCCGGCGACTGGACTCATGGCGGTATCACCAGAGTGACCGGTGGTTGGGATTTGAGCATCTTTGGGAGCGATGCCAGTCTCGGCTAGGAATGCCTTTTGATCTTGCCTAATTGTGCTTTCGATGTTGACGGTGGCGTTTTTGGGGCTCGACTCGGATACATAACCTCTTCGACCTTTGGCGGCGATGCATGCTCGCGGGAGCTGTGTGGCGAACGAGGAGTGCGAAGTGGAGAGGCGTCGAGTGCATTGGCGAAGCGCCTGACGGGCGGCGTTGGGTGCAAGATGCGACATGATGGGGTGTGGTTGTGATGGATGGCAATCAGAGAGCAGCTCTTTTTGATGGAGAAAGTCTACTACAAGTCGGCCACGCCCTAGCTACAAGCAGACGGGCGGTCCCGTGACGCGCTTCTTGCGATGCAAAAGCCGTGATGGGAATTGCAGTCGGAACAATTCAAAACAACTTGCATATCATTTGCTGGAACGTGTAGCAAGTGGATCTTGTTGTGCAGAGATGTTCGAGTGCAGCCGAAGTCGCCGTGCTGAACGACGCAAGTGGACCACGACGTCTGGTTCTGGCAGTCCAGCAGGCTGGGGCGAGAAGGGATTGGCACATGCAAGCAAGTGACGTCGTGCAAGCATCTTGGAAGAGCCGCCGTCGTCGTCGCCGCTTGCCGTCCAGCACAAAGCACGCCGTCCGTCTTGGGCCGGGCTGTGCGACGACGACGTTTCCCACACAGCCAGGCAGACGGATTGCATACAATTGTTGTTGTTCCCGCAGCGCGGCGCACACTTCGCATCCAGCTCCTTTCGCGCAGCTGAACGGCCGCCGTTGCGAACTCCATCATCGCCGCCGCCGAGCTAAGCCACGGGCCAGCCGTGATCCGGTCCATCCACCTGCCTGCACAAACTGCTCGTCTGACTGCCATTCACCTCCGCTCCTGCGACCGTCAACACCGCTGGCGACACACGACCACCCCTACTTGAACTGCATAACCCATAAACACCGCCATCATGAGTTGGAAAGGATTCACCAAGAGCGCCACGAGGGTGCGACATTTCTGCCTGGCAAGCTATGGCATAGACCGGAAAAGACTGACAGGCATGGCAGGCGCCCCAAATGTTCAAGCAGCGCTTCAACATGGGTGAAATCACAAAAGATGCGATTTACATCGACGCCGAGCGCCGTTTCGCCGAGCTGGAGAAGGAGACCAAGAAGCTGCACGATGAGAGCAAGAAGTACTTTGACGCCATCAATGGCATGCTCGACCACCAGATCGAGTTCTCCAAAGCATGCGCCGAGATATACAGGCCCATTTCAGGCCGGGCGAGTGACCCAGACTCGTACGTCATTGATGGCAATCCAGAAGGAATCAGGGCGTGTGAGGAGTATGAGAGTATCGTGCAGGAGCTCAAAGCGAGCCTGAAGCCTGAGCTGGAGATGATCGAGAGCCGAGTCGTAAAGCCCGCGGATGAGCTGCTCGAAATCATCAAAGTCGTTCGAAAGACGGCTACGAAGCGGGACCACAAACAGTTGGACTTTGATCGACACAACGCAACTCTAAAGAAGCTGCAGAACAAGCCGGACAAGTCGTTAAAAGACGAGAAGGCGCTGTACAAGGCCGAGAACGACGTGGAGATGGCGACTCAAGAGTATGAGTACTTCAACAACCTACTCAAGGAGGAGCTGCCAGAGCTGTTTAGACTGGAGCGGGAGTTTATCCTTCCTCTCTTCCAGAGCTTCTACTACATGCAGCTGAACGTCTTCTACACCCTTCACGACAAGATGCAGAACATCGACATCGGCTACTTCGACTTGACCCTGGACATTGAAGGCGCATTCGAGAAGAAGCGTGGCGATATCCAGCAGCGCGCCGAGGCACTTTCAATCGTCAAGTTCAAGACTACAGGTGGCCCACGACCGAAGCCAGCTCTGAAATACGGCAACAAACTCGCCATTGAGAACGGGAGAAAGGGATCGTCAGACGCCGGTTCGGAATCCCCCAACCGAAGACTTACGATGGACGGATACGACCAAAACCCTCCACCCGCATATTCAGCCGGAGCCTCAGACCTAGGACGAGCAAACAGCACCGGCGGAAACTGGGGAGCAGCAGCGAAAGCCAAAGCCGCACCACCCCCTCCCAAGCCGAAACCCTCAAGATTAAGCGGCCTCCCCGGAGTAGAGACATGTACAGCATTATATGACTACGAAGCGCAAGCCGAGGGCGACCTCTCCTTCACGACAGGCGAAACCATCGAGATCATCTCTCGAACAGACAACACCAACGAATGGTGGACAGGACGTGTCGGCGCTCGACAGGGGCAGTTTCCAGGTACTGTTTTGGAAAACCGCATATCCCTGACTCCATTGAACTGCTAAAAAGCTGACTCTTTGATTTTCAATATAGGCAATTACGTGCAAATGAACTCATAGTACGGGCTCCGCGCGACGAAATCGACTGGCTTTTTATCACCTGCATCATCGTTCAAGTCCAACAATCCATTCAAGCGAGGTGGTTAGAGAAGAGAGAGGTAATCACTCATCGTTGAGCATAATGTGTACATTCGAAGTGTGTTTTTGAAAAAGAAAGAAAGAATACATATGCATCTGTTCAAAGTTTTTGTGACTCGATTCATTTGAATCTGTCTTTCTTCTCTCTATTCGACAAAGGTCTCTTCTCTAACTTCACTCTCTCTCAAGGGCGGACTTCCGCTCCTCGACGCTCTTTCACACTACTCTCCGGGGGTATCTCTTTCTCACATCTTCCAAATGCCATGCCAATCTCCAATCCGATCCGACCGAAACAAAAAATCCAAATGCCGCTTGCGCCGTGCCCGAATGCCTCAACTCCTCACTCACTCATGCATGCTCTATTCCCCCAGAAATATCGCGAATTAAAACATTTTCCAATATCCCACAAATCCACAAAAAAAGCCCATCCATCAGAAAGTCCAACCCCTCCCTCAAACCCCCCAAACTACAACCGCCACCACAACCGCAACCGCCACCCACGACCTCGGCGCCTCACGCCCCCTTCCGGCAGCCGAACTCTCCTCATCATCCCCAGCACCACTCTGGAACCCCGCGGACGAAGTCGCCGAGGGATACATAGACGGCACGGCCTCGCTCGCGGTAACGGTGGACGTCGAGGTCGTCGGCGTCGCGACCTCGCCCGAGGACCAAGCGAAACTGCTCGCGGCGGCGACGACGGTGACGGTCGCGTAGTTCGTGGGGTGGATCCAGGATGGCGAGAAGGTGCTGTTGGTGGGGTCGATGGCGTAGGAGACCGTAGATGTTTCTGTGGTTGTTGCCTCGGGCTCAGGGGTGGGTATGGGGAGGGGCGCGTAGGAGGTGGAGGGGTCGCAGGGGATTGTGGCTGGCGCTGCTGCTGAGGGAGATGCTTGGGGTTGGGATTGGAATTCGGAGGAGGCGAGTTCACCTGGGATGCTGCCTGTTTGCCAGCTGGCGAAGGTGGAGCTTGTTGCGGTGCCGAAGAGCATGGTGCCGTTGCCGCAGTTGGAGAAGACGGTGTGCCAGCGCGTTTGCGTGCCCATTGTTACGGTCGTGACGTATCCTGGCAGGGAGGCTTTTGGCAGGGAGGCGAGACCCGCTGGCGGTGGCGACGGCGGCGCGGGGAAGTGCGGTGTTGGCATCGGGAACGCGGTCAAGTTCGCTGGGGCAGGGAATGCCGTCTCGGCTCCCGCAGAGGCTGTCAATGTCGGGGTTTCTGGGAGGGAGGCGTCGTCTGAGCCGGCTGGTAGAGGGAATGGGTTCCCAGAAAGTGGGTATACAGTCCCTTCCTTCGCGCAGCCTGCGTCGCCGGCAGATGGGGCGGACTCGTAGCACCGGGCGTTGTAGTCGTCGATGGGGGCTTGGGCGGCGGTGTGTTCGATGCAGTTGATGGGGGACGGGTTGCCCATTGTGCATTGCATGAGGAGGTTTTGGGACATCGAGGGCCCGGCGCAGAAGAGGCCGAATGGGGAGGGACAGTGGAAGGGCTGCGTTGAGGTTGTGTTGAAGCTAGAGATTGCGGTCAGTCTTGTGGGTTTGGGGGAGATGGGGGAAAAAGAACGTACAACGGCACCATTGCCGATGCTGAGGATGCTCCGGCGGCGGTCACGATGGCGGTGGTGGATGGCTTCATGTTGAGGTGTTTGCCAGAAGATTGTAGATGAAAGATGTTGTCAAGCGATCGTATCCAGAAAAGAGAGTATAAGGATTCGAAAGGCTTCGAGAATGAATGTAAAGACCGATAATGTATACGCTGCTGTTTCTTCCAGGCAAATGATGCTGGTGGGTTAGTCAAGTGAGGTAGTAGATTGCAGACGTGCTGTGCTGTGCTGGACGAAAGGAGATCAAGACCTACGACTTCCCATCTCTGTAATATAGAGGCCATAGAAAGGCATGATAGCCTCTTGTTTTCAGAGTCTTGCCACCAGAGTGGCGGTGGTAGAGAAAGTGAAGACAACTCCAGCCTCGCAGGGCAAGAAAGACGTGCCAGCATCGAATGGCTCGAACGTTAGGCAGAGACGTGAATCGTAACGTGAATTTCGAATGGTAAATGAGTATTACAGCCTCCCGTCTTTTTGCGCTTCGATGGTGCAGGTGGGATGCCAGCCTTGTACCAAAACTTTGCGGTGTGGTTTTCGAGTGAGACATAATCCCGCCCAGCCAGCTGTACCAACATAACGCGTCTCTTCCGGATAAGAGCAATTAAACCGGTCTGAGATATTCCATTCATGCTGTATTGGAGTATATATTCCATTTTCGAGAGTCTTCGAGGGTTTGGGGCACTGGGCCAAATGGGCCTGCTTTGCCGGGACGAGTGCCATGGTGATGACCGTTGAGCGGCTGTACCACGTTGACGGAGGATGCATGGCGCAACAAAGCCTCCGACACATGAGTTGCCAGTTCAAGATGCCCTTTGGTCTTCCAGAATAATGCTGCATGTTCGACCTAAGTTGCCACTTGTCGTCGCATATCTTTCACTGTACAGCACATGCTCGTGTGTAGCTTGAGGCAGGTCGCCTGTTGCTTTTGCGTGGCGATGACGGCAGGTTCGTTGGACTTGTTAGCCCATTCCCAGTATGCAGATGGCTGTGGAGGGGAAATGAGACGTTCGTCTCGTCCCCAACCGGATCATGTTATTGATTCAGAAGTCCAGCCTTTTCGGAGGACGTCGTCTCAAATCCCAAAAAAGGCTGGCGCAATCGGACCACGGGCCGAACCGCTGTGACCCAGCCTTTCTAAAGGATGTTGTTTGTTGTGTAGTGGATAAAGCTAATCCTTTATAGATGAATGAATCTATCTAGCATGGAATAATATAGCTTTTTTACTACTTGTTCAAGTTTATAGTATAATACTTTCTTTTAGTAAGAGGCGAGCAAATGTAGGCGCAAAGGTAATGGGCACTCTAGTAACGGAACTAGTGGCACGCCTAACGTCTGTCAAAATCGAGTATGGCATCGACTTCGTATCCGCTGCCTCGACTGCAGTAGCGGAACAGAAGCCTGTCGACGTGAATATCGGCAGAAGAGTAATTCGTACGCTCTGCATTTACCATCCAATTTACTGCGGCGAAGCACGCTCGCCTTCACGAGGTGCATTGCGGCATGTGAGCGTTGATGTTAGGTTTACCGCGCTCCAGGATTAATGGGCTCAATACTGGTTTGGCGTCTCCGAGTAGATGAAACCCCCAAAACACATGCATAGCTCACTCGGCCCAAGTCTTTTGTACTGGTCACAAGTACTGCCTCGATTCTCCGCCTGCTGGTGTAGACCAAAAGGGACAGTGCTATCCTACAAGATGGGCCCGACCACATTAGTCGAGAGGTTCAGGTTCAGGCGGCGCCACGATTCGACAGATCGCAAGAGCTCCAAGGCGACAAGAGCATGGCGCTATTGCCAATAGAGCCAATGCAGGTTTGCGGCGCCGGGGAGTCTAATCCGCTGCAGGCGACAAGCTCCCCCTCAGCCTGGGTGCCTGGGTGTGAGCATTGCCAAGACATCTGCGCTCATTCTCTACGTAATCCTATCCAATCGACGCCGCAGATCGATCTTGAAGACGTAACAAAGGCATGCAAAGCTGAGGTATTCCTTCGATCCATGTTGGATGGTAGCGCCACGGGCTAGATATGAGCGGGAGCATCTCGTAACAGCGCCATACTGAGGAGGGCGTCCTTGGATTTGCGAGAGCTGTCTGATGGACGCTTCGAAGAAGTCGTTCTCCTTCGCGGGTAAGGCACGCGCGCGGGAACGTTCGAGTTTGTTGATGAAAGAGGCTCGAATGTGCTCTAAGACGAATTGCGACGTTGGAAGGGGGCCAAGGGGCGCGGTTCGACGGCGGGGAGAGGAGCGTGTTGGATGGGAGGAGTGGGAAAGATTGAGGACGCGATGTCTTCACACGCACCGGCCCGCACGGGACGATTCCCGACCGCAGACAGATCACAACGTCACGCTTTGATGGATCTGAGTGATCCACCGCAACTACATACATGTGCCTTTGTCACGTACTAACTCGCCGCTCACTGCGACTCGCCGCACCAAACGACTCGCTGGCCACACGATTCGCCGCACACCGCGTTTCGAGCATACCGCGGTCCATCACGCAACACGACGCTTCGTGCATTGCGACCCGCCGATCCCCACATTACACGAATCGCCGCATCGCTTCCCTCATATGTCAACAGCGTCTTGCCCAGCGTGCTGCCTGCAAGCTGCTATGCAGGTAGGCACGAAGCTGTGCAGATTGCCTAAAGGCCTCCGCGACACCAAGCAACACACCGCTCGCAATGGCTCGACCACCAAAGACAAGTGCGACAAGCTGCTCTCGTTATGAGGCAGCAGTGCCGAGTGCAAAGTAGCGTCTTTTGTCTAGTTGTACCACGGCTTGGGCTCTTGAAACTGAAGATCTCAGCTATACGAAGAACTCTAATCGTATAACAAAGCTCATATCGATGGTTTTGTTCTTTTCAACAGGAAATGGTTGGCAATTCCAAGCGTGGGCCGCATCAGGGTATTGATTTGCCAGTGCCTGCAAAGCTTGTCGTTCTAACGTCATGGTTCCGGAATCAACGAGGAAGACACTTTGGCACACGCGCATGGCCGATCTAAGATCCCTCGGTGAGGATCTGAAACTATCTACACTTGTTCGATGTAGGCCGGGTGCATCAACCTGCTCGATCCGTGCTGTGAAGTTGAGATGGCGTTGTGCTGCGTGCTAGGCATCCATCACAACCCCTGAGATATCATTTAGCTCCTCCAGACCTCAGACTACAGACAATACTCCTACTACTTGCTGAGGGCTTGGAAACGCCGAAACACGAGTACAATTGCATCGGTTGGCTTTAGCTGTTTGGTGGAGCATGGCATCATTGAGGCGGTAACCACTAACCGGTTCCGGGGCTTGCAATCCAAGCTGTGACATGCAATAGAGGAAATGATCGATGGAAGGCGGAACGAATCGAGCATAACTTAAAGCTAATGGAAGTGCGCGAAAAAGTTCGAGCCGGAAGTAGCAGAGCCAAAGGCAGCGAGCAAATCGAGCTAACGTGATCAGTAGCGCTTGACGCAGGGTCGGCGCAGATATAACTGGCTACATGCAATACGCTCTCTCGCACTGCATAGCGTCAGTGCGTGATGTGGTCGGTTGGAGTCTGCTCTAGTTGCAGAGTGCCAAGGCATATGTGTTCTAAGGTCGCTCATGGGGAAAGTGGCATTGAGTCTGGTCCAAGCCCTGGTAGAGCACTTCTACATATATAAGAAGGCTGTGCAGCCCATTTGCTCACCCATGCCATCGAGACTCTAATCCATTCTTCCTCACGTTAGACCAACTTCTCTCTTGAGTACGCAAACATGTCCGACTTCAACGGTCCGGGTGCCTACCGGCTCATCTACGCCAACAGTCCCTCGGGCTCTCCAGCGGCCGTTGAGATCAAGGACGGCAAGAAGGACGACAAGTCCAAAGCTGTAATGAAGTAAGAGGGCTCCATTCATGGTACGAGAATCGAATGAAGGCTGAAGACTAGCAAGGGGAAAGGAAAAGAGTGATAACCAGATTTGGCACATCGTCGACCGTGGTGACGGCACGGTTTCCAAACACCGTGAATATCTCATCATCAATCGTTTGACTGGTCTCTTCCTCGCCTGTGAAGGTATGTCTGCTGCAAGTTATCACATTCGAGGTGTATGCAACTGAGTGTAGCACAGAGGGCGAGAAAAAGGGCGGACGCGTGACTAGCAATAGGGATAGTCCAAACTACAACCGCGTTGGGTGGAACATCATTCCCACTCGCAACGACTCTGGAACTTATTTGTAGGTGGATCCTGTAATCTTTGAAGAAATCGCTGTTTACCTGATGCACAGGGTTACTCCCTTCAACAACAGCAAGCTGTCTTTGACGCCGGATTACTACAAGCCAGACACTGGCACCGAGCTTACCATCTAGGATGCGGCCGAGAAAGGTCAATGGTACCTCGTGCAGGATAGCTTGCCTAGCAATTACCTAGACGTGGGTAGCCAGCCAAAGCCGAAGCTGTGAGTGGATAGTCGAGAGAAATACACTGTCTACCAAGAAAAGTTGGGAGAGTCTAGAAGGTTGTGATATAGGACGTTCATTAGGATTCCAGGTACAAGCTTGATTCCGAATCTGCACCAAGGTCTTTCTTCCAAATAGGATCTTCTCGTAGGTCATCATCCAGTAAGATCGTATCGAGAGCTTGAAAATGAGGATTACGGCCCCATTTCTGTTCTTGTTGTGCGACAATACCATTTGGCGCATAGATGAAATAATCATGAACAGATACGTCACCGGCAATAAGGAATCACCGAGTCGACGCACCGACTTGGTCGAACGTGGGGAATCCGTCTGGGTAGTATGTGGTGCGGAGGCGGGATGGGTTGGAAAAGAGCATAATGGTGAGGAAGAGGTTCGTCGTTTCGGCAGGATACAATCACTGCAGGTGCACGGATCAGTCCTCGCACGCGACTGGTCAGGCTCCGATGGGAGCACGGGCCGAACCCAATCACGCTCCTTCCCTGCGGCCGAGAGTCATGTGGGGTCCGATTCACGATCTCCCGCTCAAACAACAATGTCCCCGCAGCCCAACGTTCCAAACCCTCTCACAAAATACACAATGACTACCCCCACCAACATCCCCATAAATTTCACCCTCGACACAATCTGCCCCTGGACCTACCTCGCCAAACGGCGCCTAACCAAAGCCCTCTCCCTCCTCCTTCCCACCCCCACAACCTTCACCACAATCTACAAACCCTACCAACTCTACCCCTCCGCCTCCCAAGCCGGCGAGGACAAATACGTCTGGTACAAAACCATGCGCTACGGCGACAGCGACGAGAAAATGAACATGTACACTTCCTTAATGTCGAGCTACGGCGCCGCGGAGGGGATAAAATATAAGTTCGGGGGTGTCGTGGCGAATACGTTGCACGCGCATAGGTGCATAGGGCATTGGCAGGAGGTTAAAGGGGCGGAGGTGGTGGATAGGTTTGTGGAGAGTTTGTATCGGCAGTATTTCGAGGAGGAGAGGCATCCGTCTTCGCATGAGACGTTGGTGCGGGCGGCGGTGGAGGCGGGGGTGGATGAGGGGGAGGCGAGGGCGTTTGTGGAGGATGAGGAGGAGGGGTTGATGGAGACGAAGATGGCGATCAGGGAACAGGCGGGGAATCAGGTGGATTCGGTGCCGTATATTGTGATTGAGGGCAAGAGGAGGGATTATACGATTGAGGGTTGTAGAGAGGTCGATGAGTATGTTGCTACGCTGAAGCGCGTAATCAAAGAGTCTTCATGAAATGAGCATATGTCTCTCTTCATTCGGATAGGTGGGCCTTGTCGTGAAGTTGGAGCGCTCACCGAGCTGTCTCCAGTCCCATTCCTCGTGCACATTTCCGTGCTAGGGCCATCTTGAGGAAGCATTCTCGTCCAAGCCCTCTCATCTGTCGTACGAAGTCATTGCCGCTGACTCTACCTCGATCTACAGCCTTTTGCAGCACATACATGGCTTCTCTCGCAGCAGCTTCTTCGGCACAGAGCGTCCAGAGCTGATTTGATACCATAGTTGGTGCAATGAGAACTTCATCAATAGGCGGTTGTTTCTTTGACTTCGCTGTCGAGATTGTCCTATCACAGTCTTGGATACTGCGATGAAGGATCGACTCGTTGCTGGACAATGCTTGGTCCAGCTGTTCAAGCTGCCTAATCTCGCCGTCTAACCGTTCATATGCAGCTCGCAGCGCATGTTGCTGTGCTTGAAGAGGATGGATGGCATTGAGGTTCTGGTTGACCTTCTGCTGTGCCTGCTGAACCAGTGTGCCGTTGATAGCCTGTAGTAAATGCTCTTTCTCGGGATTGGGAGGTATCGGAGGTGCTGGAAGCTGTGAGCCAGCTGAAGGAGGTAGCGCAACCTCAAATGGGTCGGAGAGCAAATCTGGTGGTGGCTGCTTCTGAGTCTGAAGCTGCTGCTGCGGCAAAGTGTGTTGAGGCTGGTAATGCGTCGGTTGGAAAGGCTGTGGCTGCATATGGGGAGGACCAGCGGGGTATTGTTGTTGCTGTGGGGGATATGGAGCGACTTGAGATACTGGCCTCACATTTTGTTGGAATTGTGGAGGTGGAAGAGGAGCGGGTCGGGAGTATCTTGAGTCGGGAAGCTCTGAATAGCCATTTACTGGCGAGACTGGCGAGACTGGGCTTCTGTCGTGATTTGTCCTCGGTTGGTATTGCGCCTGTGGGGTCTGTTGGTTTGGTATGGGAGGCAGCGGTGGTCCTGGCGGCCTGCCATTCTGATACCCGGGGTTTGATGCTGCGAACGTGTGGGAAGGAGATCGTGAAGCTTGCCCATTGCCGTTTGGCGGCGGCGAGAGAGCATGCTGTCCCTGATGTTTTCCTGCTTCAGGCGGTAGCGGTGGCAGTGGCGGACCGTCTCTATTTACATCACGCCGCGGCTCAGCGTACTCGTCCCCAAGCTTTGGGGGTAAAGGCGGTGGTCCCTGGTCCTGGGGTTGAGCAACCCCAGACGTTTGCTTAGGAGGCGGTTGTGGTGGTCCCGGACTTGCTCCTGGCTGTTGTTGCTGCTGCTGAGGACTAGGCCCCATTGTCCGTTGATACTGTTGCTGTTGTGCTCTGCTAATCACCGGCGGCTCCTTGCTGAAGACCTGTTGCAGGAATTCGAGAAATTCCGCAATGCTGGCCCTATCCCACATTCGTGTCCAGTCTCGTAGGTATGGATGGTATACTCTTCCGTCTACTCCAACATGCTGCCCAGGTCGAACGACCATGTCTTTCCCCGGATCAACGAATACGATGGGTGCTTCGTGAGGATAGGCGCGCGGCACCCATAGCTTGATCGGAAAGCGATATGTTGTTCCTCGAAAGATTACGGGCAGAGTCCCATGTAGCATTAACAGAAGCGCAGAGGCGCCATTCTCAGAGGTGTAGACGTCGGTTCGCGGCGAAAGAGATGGATATGCAGAAAGCGCTCGAGCAGCATCCGAGTAGGTTCGTTGGGAGTCGTGATATTCCTGCATGGTCATTAGTACGCGCTTCATCTTCATTCCTCGCAGAGCTTCAGAGGACGTACATGAAGAACGCTGTACAACCACGAAAGGACCTTGTCCGGGACTTGAGCCGGGATTTGGGCCATTGCTGCGATCTGCTCGAGGTCAAAGACAGCAGTTGCAGTATGAAATCATCTTATCGTGTCATCATGAGTCGTTAGAATTGAGAGGCGTTGATGCACCACTCGAGCACGCGAGTTCGTCGTAGCAGGATGAGCTTGAAGCTGCCTGCCAAGGTGAAGTCAGAGATCGGCGCCACTTTCGGGAGCGAGTCTGGTCGAGGATAAGGAGAATAGCCAGACAGTTTGGAACTTGACCTTTTCAAATTTGATTGCATTACTTGAATGATCAAAGTCTAGTCTGCAACACATATTACAGACATGCTACCTGATATTTTCAATCTTCATTTCCTCGCTACCTCCATCGCTTGTCCAAACGTCATCCGAATGGCAGCAACATCATTCATGGTATTGACCATATTAAACCCCCGATCAGCGTACGACTTCGCCGATTCGCCTCCTACCGTGTATATCGCCGTCCATTTGCCTGCTGCTTGCGTGGCTTGATGTACGGCTTCAATGGCCTCCTCCAGCTTGGGAGGGTACTTTCCGATCGATTCAGCAGGATGACCGATCGAGTTCCCCAAGTCCACGGGCCCGATGAAGCACACATCGATTCCAGGCACTGCGGCGATGTCTTTGATCTGGTCCAGCGCAGATGCCGTTTCGATCTGGACGATGACTACGATGCTGGAGTTGGCCTCCCTGTAGTACTGTTGAAGAGAGATCTCCTTCGGATTCGAAACCTGCTCCGCGAACTTCTCCATCGCGAATGGTGATCCAAGGCCTCTATTGCCTTGAGGTGGGAACTTGCTGAACTTGACCACATTATTCGCGTCTTCGACGGTCTGAAGGAGAGGAACGATGATACCATGTGCACCAGCATCCAGTGCTCTTTTGATCATCCAATGCTGGCCATCTGCCACTCTGACCACGGGACTAACGCCGCAAGCAGCAATAGCAGCAACGCTCTGATGCATTTGATCATCGGAGATGTCACCGTGCTCGCAATCGACACAGATCCAGTCGATGTTCGGGGTTCGAGCGATTGCTCTACTTAGATTCGAGCCTGGAAGCATCTGCTACTTGTAAGCAGTTGTGCAGATGTTGGTGGAAGACATCCTTACCTGCCATCCTCCAAAGCTTGATTTCCCGCTCTTGAGAGCTTTTTGAAGTCTGTTAGCTGCTTGCATCGTTGGAAAAGTTCCAGATCAAACGATGTTGTCGCGAACACTGTCAGGTTGACATCTTCAGTTCCTCTGAGGGGCTCGGCATAGATCGGCCACAGCCCCGCCGTGAGCACAGTTCGAGCACGATTCGAGCTTGATGTTTGTCCTCTTGTCTAGAGTCTAGAGTCATGACTTCTCAACTTCGTCCATGGCCTTTTCAACCTCGGCTTCTGTGAGCCTGTGCTTCAATTTTCGAGCAGCAGCTGTTGTCTCGCCGCCATTGTTGCTCGCCAATGCTGCAGTCCGATCTACATGAACCTAAGCATGTTCATAAGTAACGGTCCAATCGAACAAAACTTTCTGATCCGTACCACTGGAATGTCAAACTCGTAGAGCGATTTCCACTTCGAGTTCTTCGGATCCAGAATGTCCACTTCGCGGTACTCGAAGTGTCTCCTGTCCCAAACACGGCTCATGGCCTCTTTCACAGGAACGCATAGTGAGCAATGGTCATGCGTGAACAGAGTGAGACGCAAAGGCAATTGTGCTAGGCGTGTGGTGGCCCTCATATCAACGTGAAAGAGGAGTGATTCAGGAGCTGGTGGTTGCTGTGAGTGAAGGAAAGTTGAAGCACAAGCCACATGCATGAGCCCCACGTGGGAAAACGTACGCCAAGACTCAGACATGGCAGGAAGGTTCTCGATTGTCTTCTGCGATCGCAAACTTCTACCCACATTTCCCTTGCTACGTTCGACAACCTGATACAATCATCGACGCATCGAGCGTGCGAGATCATGGCGCAAAAGTGCGTGCACAAGGGCTGTGGGAAGGTCTTCTCAGACCCAGACGAGCCATGTGTCTACCATCCGGGGTTGGTCTGCCCACCTTAATGAGCCGCGGAGTGCTACGAGTGCTAACATCAAGTCTCCCTTAGCCCGCCTGTGTTCCACGAAGGACAGAAAGGTTGGTCTGCCTCACAAAGGAAGTCGTGAGCTGAAGCAGCCATGCTGACATACGTTCAGGTTGGAAATGTTGTTCCAAACGTGTCCTCACCTTCGACGAGTTTATGAACATTCCGCCATGCACGACCGGCAAGCATAGCACCGTAGACGACACACCAGCTGAAGAGCCGAAGAAGATCAGCGATGAGGAAGTAGAAGCGAAGATCAAGGCCCAGCAAGAGAAGAAGGAACAGCTACCACCCGCCGTTGCGAGAGCGCCTCTAGCTGCGCAACCACCTCGAGCGTCGCCGAGCCCAGCACCACCAGAAGAAGAGGAAGATGATCCAAACACTCCTGTGCCGGATGGAGCGGCATGCAAGCGTAAGGCATGTGGTGCGACCTACAAAGCAGGCCCGAACCGGGACGAAGAGAAATGCACCCATCATCCTGGACAAGCGCTGTTCCACGAGGGAAGCAAGGGCTGGACCTGCTGTAAGCGGCGAGTGCTGGAGTTTGACGAGTTCATGAAGATACCAGGCTGCAAGACAACCACTCGTCATCTGTTCGTGGGCAAGAAGAAGGACGCGAATACTGAAGAGGACTTGAAGGAGGTACGGAACGATTTCTACCAGACAGCCACGACTGTGATCGCGTCGTTGTACCTCAAGAAGATCGACAACAATCGGTCGAAGGTCATATTTACCGACGATGGCAAGAAGGTTGACCTGGACTTGGTCACCACCGACAAGAAGAGGTACCAGACAGCCATGGAGCTGTTTGGGGCAATCAAACCAGCAGACAGCAAGTTCAAGATCATGGGCACCAAGCTGGAGCTCACCTTGGCCAAGGCAGACTCAGCGGGCTGGCCGGTGTTGAGGGCAGACGATCCTCACACAGGTGAAATCATCCAAGCTGGTAGGGCTGGCAGGGCGTAGAGCTGGCGACAGGGGTATGGTCCAACGACGACTTGAACGAATAATGCTGTATTAGCGTGGCGTTGGAGAAAGGTGTGATTATAGGGCAAGAGGACAGAATCGTGACTACGCATGAAAACCCGGCATAGGTTGGGGCAGGTGACACTGGGCAACCAAAGGCCGCGCAGCATTGCAACGTGGGTAATTGCGCGCTTCTGCCCAAGGTCAGTAGCTACATGCTCGCCGACATCAGGCACTTCGAAAATCGGAAGAACAAATACATCCATCACACACAACTCTCTCTTCACACTCGCTCCGTTCCCATCAATCAACCATCAAGATCACCTCAGCACTTTTCCAGACTGCTCTCACCAAGCCAAAGCACCAAGCCATGTGCTGCTACGACATCGTCCGTTTCATCTGCACAGGCGAGCAATCCACCCTCGTGGAAAGATGCCCCTTAGCAGGAAACTGCGTCGCACACGCCCGCCAAGTGCTGCACTCGACAGCAGTGTGCGACCAGTGCTCTGCAGCTTGGAGTATGAACGCTCTCAGCACCCACGAGTACGAATTCGCTGCGGCGACGGCGTCGACGGAGGAGTCGAATGGTTCCTCTGGATGGGAGTACTTTCCTCCTGTCGGCAGCGGGAATGGAAATGGGAACGTGCCTGCTCCAGACGCAGATGCCGTGGAAGGTGTCTTTCGCAGGGAGATCACGATGGCGATACTTCCGGGGCAGGGGCGGAGTCGAGCGGCGTCTTCTTTGGAGGTGGACGTTCAGCAGACGGTGACGGTCGTTCAGCAGTCGCAGCGTCCCAGGAGTCGAGCAGGTTCGAAAAAGCCAACAACGTTTTTGCCTCGTCGACACAGTTTTTGAGAGTAGGGATTTTTCGGTATCGAGCTGGGTATTTTCGTGCCAGCATGCCGACGGATGGGAGGCCTCCGAATCCTGCACTGCTCAGTGCTTGGGAGAGGCATGTTGCTTCATCGCTATCGGGAGGTGAGTCGTTCGTTGCAAATCAAAGAAAGGTCAAGACCCAAGACTGACAGCAGCATAGCCAGCACAGCCACCACGCGGAAGAAGTCCAAGAAACCGCGACTGATAAAGACACCCAAGTCTGAGAGAAAGGCCTACAGGACGGTGTTCGACGACGTTGGCCTCCTCGTCGAACGACCCACCTCGACACTGTGGTTCGAGCGAGGCGCTCTGGCGAAAGTGAGGGCGGAACAACAAATCGTCATACGCGCGACCAGGACGAACTTCATCTTCATCGACGCGGAAGGCGCTCAGCATGGGGTTATGGAAGATGAGGATATCGAATCCGAGACCTCGGAGGAGAACACAGAACCGGGAGAACCCAAAGAGGAAGAGGCGGAAGGGACCAGAACATCCAGACAAGACTCCGCCGCAGGTGCAATACCGATAGACTGGAACAATCCAGGGACCATCGATTTCAACGACGTCGCAACCCGGCGTGCGTGCGTTGCGGTTCTCATAGACTTCTTCAACAAGAAACGAAACCTCGTCCCTCAGTTGCTCTTCTGGCTTCACTAGTTGGAAGCCAGCGACATCCGCGACCAGTTTCCCCTACACAAATGCATGGTATGCGGGAAGATCGACTTCAAAGCCCGATGGGCACAGCACCGCGCCCAGTGCCTCAAGATCAACTTCCTACACCCGTTCAAAATCCAGCCAGGTGACCCGGAGAATGCGCTGCCATGGATCCGCGGCATCAGCACATTCCTCAGTCCACGGATTCCGCGACTCCCTGAGCCGCGACCTCAATATCTCTCGTGGACGGACGCTGTTGTCCTCAGGTTGATCTTTTGCATGCGCAGGCAGAGGCTTCTCGATCCTGTGGTGATGGGTTTGGTTGAGCTTTATGCAGACTATAATGTCCTCCGGATCATGGGCCGCGGAGAGGTCGGTTGTGGGCTCTGTCATCGGAAGGTGAAGACTCTCGAGTTCATGAAGCATAGGGACGAGTGCGCGGTAAGGAGGGACCAGGAACTCAACGATTGGACTATTAGAAGGACGGCGGGAGTATAGGTGAAAGGTCGTGGTGGATGGCAGAGGCCAATCGGCGTTGTTCTCTTTTTACTTGTGGGAGTGGCTGCGTGGTGTGTTGTTGATCATTCTCGATGCCAGTCTATAGGCTCATGTTGTACTCTTTTCGGGTGTATCAAAGCTCCAACTTTGCGAGCGATGCATTGCTCCGTTCGACTGCAACCACTTCACCCTCGAATCGATGCCTTGCTCCAAACTTTGGATTAATGTCAGCATTGAGAGCAAGGAGAATCTTGAAAGGAGCGGTGCCCTTCTTACCATATTGCAGTGTGACGGAGCCAATAGCACTCAAGTCCTCTTTCGGGTTGGCCAAGAGTGCGTGACACGGCAGCTGTAACTACCCACGCAAGTCATCCACCCTGACAGCGACTGAGATCTCCTTTCAATGCATATAGCATGTGCGTCTGGATTGCCACTCCAGATGAAGCCGCTCCCGGGAGGTCGTTGCCTCTCTCAAGTACACTGGTCTTCGCCCAGTTGTCGAAGGGCGGGTGGTGCCACCACCATAGTCGTTTTCATCAAAGAAGAGTCTGCGTGTTCAGCTCAACTTCTGCAGATAGCCCTGCTGAATCAAGCGCTCCACATCCCCTTGCCTGACATAGAACTGGCTGTTCTTCGTCAAAGTGATGGATCCATACTCGGTCTGAATCTCGCCAGCATCCTTCAACACCCTAACATCAATGAAGATGTCCTTGGGTGGCTCCAAGCTTCCAGTGAGGTCGATGTCGGTCCACTGGCCTTTGTACGCGGCAAGAAGATCACTGTACTGGTGGACAAACTGCTCCTCCTCGGCACTCAGACTACTCGAAGGACCATTCTGAGCTCCTGATTGCGAAGCGCCAGTCGAAGCCTGCGAGAGATCCGACACGTCGAGACCCTCCCAGCACATTTCTTCCAGCTTGTCGGTGCGGGTTTTGTGGTAGGCCAGAAGACAGCGTTTATTCCTTCGCATAGATACATGGTTCACGAAAATCGCACACGCTCTGGCTGGGTCTTCTGCTGGGTTGAAGGAGGATTTGATCTGGCTGCCATCGCTGGATTGTGTACTCGAGGAATTGTAAAGCGTGTTCGCGTCGCGTTCGAGATCTCGGACTTCCTTGGTGGCGGCGCGGACTGTGGTTGTCGCATATGGTGGGAGTTTGTCTAGGCCTTGGATGCGCTTCGCGTCGGTGACGAGTTTGTGGCCGTGCTCGCCGTACATGTTGTTGTCGCGAGTCTTGAGGTTTGAGTTGGCAAAACGCGTGCGTGCAGGGGTGAGGTGAGGTCGCGAGCTAGCCACGATTTTTGGCACAGTCTCGCTTCCTGCCAATTCACGAGTCGTCCTGTCACCAAACTCTTCTGCCCTTCACCACAACCAAGTGTCTCCCGATCAGTAGCCTAGTAAGGCGCATTGCCCAGCTCAGCAGCTGGATGGCATGTGATCTGGCTCAATTTGCTTGGAGCTCCTTCAGACAGCTCTCAACATTCATTGGCTAACAGACTAGGCAGAACATTGGACAAGGGATGTTGCCATACACTACATCTTGACCCTTCATCCCGAGTCTAATCGATGATATATACTCGCCATGGAGGGCGACGGCGAAGATCAGCTCAAGCGGAAGAAGAACTTCTTCGATAGCATTGGCTTGCCAAGCGACGATGATGAGACTCCCGATCCAGGCCGAACAGAAGCTCAATCTGTGTGGACGAAATTGACGATCAAGAAGCCGGTCGATAAGGCCATCGCATCGACTTCGTCAAGACCTCTTGCCCGATCTGTGTCCGACAGCAGAGTCAATGTTGGCGAACGCTTGATGCAAGAAGCCAACAAACCGCCTTCATCGAGTGAGCCACAGAACATTGTAGCGAAGGCAACCATCAACATGCAAAAAAAGCCTCCGACTAGTCTGCGCAAGACTGTCTCGGATGTCATTAGGCCCAAGGAGTCGATCCAAAATACTGGGAAACGGAAGCGCAGCGATCTCGTTCCAGCCGAGCAGCAACTGTTCGAAGGTCTGCACTTCTACTTCTTTCCCAACGATGACAGACATCCGGCGCGGCGACTGAGAATTGCAAAAGCCATGCAATTCGGAGCTGTCTGGGACAAGACCTGGAATTCCAACATCACGCATGTGGTCATGGACAAAGGCATGGACTACCGGCAACTCATAAAGTTCTTGAAGATGGAGAAGCTGCCAGAAAGCGTCATCGTCGTGTCTGAGGACTATGTTGCTCAGTCGATAACGTATCGAACGCTACTCGATCCAAAGCAAGCACGCTTTGCTGTCAAGGGCCTCGAGATGCCGTCTTTCAAGCAGGTCGAGTCAACGGAATCTGACACGTCTTTGCCATTAAAGCCGCCCACGAAGGATACCGTCGCTCGCCAGCCTGAGACTCCACCCGCAGAGGCTGTTGAGGTGGCTGCTACAGCGTTGGATAGAGTCTTCGAGAATCAGCAACTCGATGAAGAAGAGCCTGAACGCATACCAAACAGCTTCGAAGCAACTGAGAGCAACAAAGAGTTGGATGAAGCCATCAGAACGGCAAGAACGCTGAGGGATGTGCCGCTAGACGAAGAAGGCGAGAGCCGACCTGGGACGTCCGAAGGCCCAGACTCGGGTGATGAGGAGCAGGATACTGGTTTGAAGTTATTGAAGCAACGAAAAAGTAAATTCAACCGCCTCCAAGACAAATTCCAATGCATGGAGAAGCATACTGGAGATAAGTCAAACTCGCCGAATCAGGCGACCATCGACGTGTTACAGCAAATGGCCGACTACTATGGCCAGACTGGCGATGAGTGGCGAATCAGGGCTTACCGTAAATGCATCACGAGTCTGCGAAACTATCCTACCAAAATCACGACTCGGGAAGAAGCAGCCAAACTACCCAATGTCGGGCCCCGTCTCGCGGAAAAGATCGAAGAAATTGCGTTCACCAACCACCTGCGACGGCTCGACAACGCGAAAGCAGAACCCAGCGACCAAGTGCTGCAAACATTCATGCAAGTTTACGGCGCCGGAATCGTCCAGGCCAACCGGTGGGTCCGTGATGGCTACAGGACCCTCGACGAACTATTGCAAAAAGCAGACCTCACAGACAACCAACGCATCGGCATCTTGCACTACGAAGACTTCAACTCACGCATCCCGCGAGCTGAAGTCGCTCAGCACGGCACCATCGTCCGCAAATGCCTCCAAGCCATCGATCCCTCATTTGAGGTTATAGTCGGAGGCTCATACCGCCGTGGCTCTAAAGACTCCGGCGACATCGACTGCATCGTCACTCGACCCAACACGGACGCAGATCACCTGCGCAACGTCGTGCTCGGCCAGCTGGTGCCCCAATTGACCGCAAAAGGCTTCCTCGTGGCCAGTCTCGCCATCACGTCCAAAGACGACGGCAGTAAATGGCACGGAGCTTCCCGCCTCGCAGGCTCCAAGACCTGGCGACGACTGGACCTATTGCTGGTGCCTTCAGACGAACTGGGCGCGGCACTAATATATTTCACCGGCAACGACATATTCAACCGTAGTCTAAGGCTACTGGCGAGCTACAAGGGTATGCGATTGAACCAGCGTGGCTTGTATCGAGATGTCATAAGAGGGCCGAAGCGGGTGAAGGTGACGGAAGGGACGTTGGTGGAGGGGAGAGACGAGAAGAAGATTTTCGAGGCATTGGGGGTGCCTTGGCGGCCTCCTGAGCATCGGATTTGTTGATTGATGATGCACGAGGGGCTTGGTATCCTTGATGATACGTGAGATAACATATGTCCTTTTCAACCCTTCACTTTCCATGCCGACGTCGCTTCTAGCTTTAATGAAGATGCCGCTTGTTTCTCATCCATACCACACCCAATGTTGTACATGCACCGCCATCCCATCCCATCCCTTTCTCATGCCGCGATAAGACTATTCAAAAAAGTCGGATCCAAAACCCCATACCCATACGCCTTAAAAACATCCACAACCTCTCCCTCCCCTCCCGCCGGCCGAAATTTCCCCTCCGACCCCGACTGCCCCGTCGCCAGAATCCTTTTCACACCATCACAGACCCTCCTGAGCGACTGCAAAAGCGCCTCATGCCGCGGCGCAAGGGGGTCGTTCGACGGGGCGGAATTCGCGTGGTTCCAGAGCCCGTCGAGCACGACGTCGGGCTGGAGCATGGAGGCCAGAGCGCCGGCTTCCCAGCTGCTGGTGTTGGGGAGGGGTTTGGAGATGCGGGCCATGAGGACGAGGATTTCGAGCAGGTGGGCCCAGTCGACGATGGGGAGTTGGTGGAGGGTGGGCGGGGGGCGGGAGGTGAGGTTTTCGAGGTACTCTTTGATGGCGCAGGCGCATTGGATCAGGATGGGGTAGTCTGGGGTGTCGCTGAGGCGGAGGAGGCGGTGGTAGATGTGGATCTGGGCGGCTTCGAAGGCGAGGGAGCTGGCGAGGGAGGAGTGTTCGCGTTTGAGGGCTTTGAGGCGTTGGCTGGTGGCTTTGGTTTGGAGGTCGACGTAGGGGAGAGGGTTAGCGTATTGGGAGGCGATGTCGTGGCGGATGCTTTCTTCCATTTCGTCCAAGGCGTGGGCGAGTTCGAGGATGGGTACGAGGGAGCGGTCGGAGGAGAGGGTGCCGGATATGGCTGCGTTTTCGGCGCATGTGCGTAGATTACGGGTCCAGCGCAGTGGGCTTGGCTTGTCGAACCCTGCGGCAGAGAGGCTGCTGCAGAGGTAGTAGCAGCCTACGAATGCTCGGTCTCTCTCTAGTGCGCTGGGAGGATCCATGGGATCCAGTCTCGGTCGGTATAGTCCCAAGTCTGCTGCTAGACCGGCTAGCAAGTAGAGTTGGTGGTATACCTGAGGCTGTGTCATGTAATGATGGTGCCAGGCCAAGTACACCAGCAGGCCTGTGAGAAGGTCCATGCTTCGCTCGCTGCCGAGGATGACTTTTGGTGAGAGAGCATACTGAAAGGCCTGGCTGAGCCTCTCTTGCAGTTCTGGGTACGCAGCCGAAGCGACTGTGCATATCGCGAGCGTCAGAAGGGGTCTTTGAGCCACCATGGAAATGATGTCGGCGCCAGGTGATAGCTCAATGAAGGGGAAGTGAGGCGTGAGCTGTCGGAAGATGGTGAATGAACTGCTGACGAAGTTGAAGTCGACGCCATGTAGGAGCTCTTCGAGTGCCTGTGAGACATTGTGAATTAGTAAAGTAGAGCAGAGTTGATGAAGAGACGGAGGCTGAAATCCCCAATATCTCCCTGCACCATCGCAAGCCGTCGACTCCATCGACAGAGCTACGATAGTTCGAGCTACTAATATGCGACGAAGATAGGCTTCCAGGAGGGATCTAAACGAGAAACGAGAACAACCACAACTTACCAGGATATTGCCAAGGCCCTGACGAAAGAGTTGTACAAATGACTTGCTATCGACATGGGACAAGTCATGACGCCCCAGGAGAAAGTTTCTCTCCGCTGCCCCTTTGTCCGCCTGTTTGTGTCGAGCTGCGTCAAACTGTGGAGGAGGACCTGCTGTCGAGGATGAGGAGGGCCCGGCGAATTCCAGCAGCGACATGCCATGTTGCTCCGTTTCCAGCCCGACGGCACTTTCTGTTCGTCGCTTTCGAGGCTTGGGTACTGCAGGAACGCAGTCCCTATCCATACGATTACATCTGCATGCGCGTGGTCAGTCGATGGCAGTCATTGGCTCGGCAAAAGGTCGAGTGAGATACAACGCAGGACGTATCTGCGAAGGCTGCAAGGCACCAAGCTCACGATCAACGCGATAGGGAGCTCGAAACGCGTGGGTGGAAGGAAGATGGTCCTTCGAATTTAGGCTGGGCCGTCAAGGGACGAGGCTGGCATGTGATGATGTCGGGTAGCGTCAACCGTGCCCGGGCGTTGTCGAGCGTTTAGGTGCAACTCAATATCCGAACGAATGGCCTTGAACTCCAATCACGCCTGCAGCGAACTACACTCACCTCTCGCACTTGCCATTGGGGGTCGATATGCACTACATGCGGGCGTGTTAGTGTATGGAGCTGTATGTGTACGGCGAGCAGGGCGCGTCATCTGCACCTTCATCTTGAGAGCGGCGCATCCTTGACAGGCCGAGTTCCTGGGCTGGCGTTTTCTTTTGAGTTCGTGGCTATCTGGCGTGCTGGTCTGCGGCGCGGTCGTCGCCTCTGCCGGCGACTGGGGAATGCTTGTCCCCTCCATGGCTCTGGTTTCCATTCGACGCGGTGTCAGAGAGGACTGGAGAGAACAAGTCGCTGTCGTCAGGCCGATGAGAGTCGGGAACGGCTGGCCCGGGTTCGCGCGGCTCTTCGTGTCCGCGATCCGTCTACTCCGTGCACTCACGCCTAAACGACCATCGCAGAGTGTCGCGCTGCGACACACGCGCGTCAGAAGTCGTCGCCCGGGTAATGGCGAGTAGCCGGGATGCTATGCCACGAGAGCAATCGATCGCAGATGTCGCGTGAGCTGCACACGTGGGAAGTAGGATGCTGTGGCAGTGGGATGATGTTGTTCCTGCTGCGGAGGAGGCTGTCGAATGGTTGATTTGCGATCCCAGAAGTGAGATCGCTTCCTGCCTTTATTGTAGAATTCTTGCCTCCCGCACGGGCCACAGCCATACCACCTCGTGTGGGAGCTCACTGTGGTTTTGAGGACTTTTCTGGCTGGCCGAGGCGTGGCCGTCGTAGGAAGGCGCGTGACATGTGTGGCAAAGCACAGGCAAACATCTAAGCCACATTCCGACCACAGCAAAGACGTGTGGAGAACATCCCTACACACCTGCGCAAAATTCGGGTAAGACAGCAATGGGGGTCGTATTCGACTGATCGAGAAATGGTCTGACGTGGATTCCTTGATATAGCGGTGCGCATCATGGCACAATGGCAGAGCGCTGTGGAATTGACATTGTTATGTTCACGAGGCGAAAGCAACACCAGAGCATAGAGGATGCGGTGTTGTACAGAGTACGTGCTCCTCCAATGCACCAGAGTGAGCGAGACGAAGAGCCGTCCAACTTCTTGAGGACGAGAGAAGGCGTGTATGACTGCCTACAGCCTTTCGAGACACCCAGTCGAATCTGCAGACGTTCAACAGCATGCCAAGCCGATGTTTGATTCTCTCCGGGACCAAGATGATGGGAATCATCCACGCAACGCCTGTATTCTTCTCACTCTCAACTGCGGTCACTTGACCAGAGTAGGTGATGAGTAAAGGCGCCGTACCGACCGTGAACAGGCGCAACTTCACACCTGGACTGATACGACTTCTCTTACCTATGTGGGCAACATCCGCCGCTCGCTTCCTTAGGGATGCTTCACATGGCTAAGCTTCAACAGCTGAGCGCTAAGGATTCTTCTATTCGCGGGAGGAGACCGAGTGTTGCTCCTACGTAGACGTAGACTGCAGCGGTAAATCCGGAAGACATAGCATCTATGTTCTGGAACACTGCTTGAGGAATGGGGACTCGCTCCAAGCATAATGTCCTCTTCCAGAGATCATTCAATAGCTGAGATTGCTAATGCCACAGTCGAATCGTTGTCTCTTGTCACGTCTCGCGCTTCAAGGCCGGCGCGGGCCCTTTCGACAGGATGAAGTTGACAGGCCGACTATAGCCGTCTTGGGGGTTCTCATCTGGTCGGAGACGACAGTTGATCTGCTTCGTATGGCTGTTGGAAGCCTTGAACGGTAGCATCGCCGTTCAAATGCCAACTCCGTGCGAGAGACACGATTCATAGGCCAACATTCGCTCCTCACAACTCGCGAAAGAACCATGCAACTCATATGTTCTCGCGGATATTACCAGAGCCAGCAATGTCCGCGAGGAATGAAGTCCTTGAGGTCATTAGTGCAGGAAGTTGTAAAGACTGCTTGGAGGCCGACTTTACGGCGAGCGGGTACTCGGCGTTGAACTCCTGTCCCATCAAGCAGCACAGACAAGAGGCAACTCGAGCGTTCGGCATCTCGTATACTCCATGTTGACAGTGCTGACTGGCCGTTGCAGATTGTTTGATGAATGCTGTTCGGCGTCGCTGATAAACTCCAGTCTTCTCGGCCGGTACGGCGTGCAACCTACACGCATCAGTATCAGCTTTTGCGGAGTGTCGATGAGCAGTGCCCCAGATCTCTAGATGAGCGAATCGCACCGTATTTGAAGGAGCATCAAGGATACAAGATCCATCAATAGTAGTGCGGCTCGTGGTTCGGCCTCGAGCCCTAGCGAATTGGAGATAGCGTTTTGGATAAACTCCGACTCCAGTCGAGCCGTATATACAACTCCATTCGGCAGAGTAGATAGGGCTACTTGATCAAGACTGGTAGGATGGGTGCCATACTTCAGTGTTTTGCCATCCGTTGTACGCGTTCAGTCGAGTCGAAGAAAGGGGGCATAAACGCGAGTGAGGGCAGGTTGGCGATCTCTCGTCTTTCGGGCTCTTCCCTCTAGAGCGAAAAGTCCGTGCCGACTTCCATTGTTTGTGCAACCATCATCAAACGAGTTTTGCTTCGTCATCGCTGTGCTCTTTCATCATCATCGCCATCCATCTCGGACTGTACGTAGCATCGCATTGGAATTCTGGAGACTGTTCAGTGTGGATGAGAGAAACAGAAGTGGCTGAAGGACAGATCGTGAAGACCTCGGGAGAGCTTTGGCAGGGACGCCCAGAGGCTTGGCGACGCGCCTCCGTTGACACCGAACCACCATCGCAACCATGGCCCTCGATCAACCCGACTGGGCATCAGAAAAGCACAGCAACAACAACGAATCCATCAAGAACAACGATGAAGAAAAAGAATTATCAGCGCCAGCCACCGCCAGCACCCCAGCCGAAGCCGAGAAACTGGACCCTGAAAAACAGCCACCACCTCCAGCAGCAACGATACCACAAGAAGGACCACCCAATGGCGGCACTATGGCATGGCTCCAAGTCCTAGGCTCCTGGATGTTGTTCTTTAACACTTGGGGTACACTCAACACTTTCGGTGTCTATCAGACATACTATGAGTCTGGCCAGCTCTATACCGCGTCCTCGTCAGACATCTCCTGGATTGGGGCGGTGCAGGCTTTCCTCGTCTTGCTCGTGGGAGCATTCGTTGGGCCTGTTTACGACAGAGGATGGTTCCGATCGTTGCTCCTGGCTGGGACCTTCATGATTGTGTTTGGCCATATGATGCTCAGTCTTTGCCATGAGTTCTGGCAGTGTCTTCTCGCGCAGGGCTTCGTTATTGGGATTGGAGGTGAGTCGTGTCAGAATGGTTTCGATTTGAGACGAACAAACGTTTAATGACGATTGTTAGGCGGCTGTCTTTTCGTCCCATCGGTGGCCATCATGCCTACATACTTCACCTCGAAACTCGGTCTGGTCATCGGTATCGCGGCATCTGGCAGTTCCATGGGCGGTATCATATACCCCATCATGTTCTACCGCCTGATCGACGAGGTCGGTTTCGGCTGGAGCGTGCGAATTCTAGGCTTTACCGCACTGGCAACCCTCCTCGTTCCAATTGCAGTCATGAAGATGAGAGTGAAGCCAGCGAAGCCTCGCTCTCTTATCGACTGGTCAGCGTTCACCGACGTACCCTACGTATGTATCACAACGTCAACCCTGCATCGACATGAAGCTTACGCAGACTGTTGCAGATGACGTTCACTTTTGGGTGCTTGATTGGGTTTATCGGCCTCTATGTCGGTTTCTTCTACATCTCGTACTATGGACAAGCAACAGGATACACGGATGCTAGTCTATCATTCTACCTCGTGCCAATCCTCAACGCTGGCTCAGTCTTTGGCCGAACATTGCCCAACTGGCTGGCGGACAAGGTTGGGCCCGCCAACGTAATCATGCCAGGTGAGTGAGATCCCCCGAATGCCCTTCCCTGCAAGAATTGGTATGGCGCTTCACAGGAAGGGTCTCGCAGCATACCCAACAGTCTGGGACACACGTGGAGCCCCCGCAGAAGTTATCACCTTAGCGAGCGCTCCACAGCATTGATGAGATTCAGAGCTGACGTTTGTCACAGGGTCAATGGTGGTGGGAGTCGTCCTCCTCTGCTTCCTCGCGGTGCACAACGCCGCGGGAATGATCGTCGAGTCACTCTTCTACGGCTTCTTCTCCGGGATCTTCATCGCCTTGCCTCCGGTCATCTTCGTCCAACTTACGAAAGACAAGAGCAAAGTGGGGACTAGAATTGGCATGGGTTTCGCCATTATTGGCTTGGGGGTACTAGCAGGTGGGCCTGGAGCTGGGGGGATCATTGGGAGTGACAGTAACAATCTACACTGGACGGGGGCCTGGATTTATGGAGGTGTCTGCGTTCTCGCCGCGAGTGTTGTCTTCGCTGTTGTGAGAGTCATGAAGGGCGGGACCAAACTCATGGTTAAGTCCTAACGAGGGCGAGTGTACGGCAGAAGCATTGGCACAGCATACTGCACAGATTGCAGGTATAGAGAGCGCTTCACAGATGCTCTACACGTGAGCGGCATTGCATATTGTACGCATAATATTATGAAGCAGATGACAGAGTGACATACCTACTCTCACACATCAGTCAGAGTGCAGTGATAGTAAAAGCGCATATGTTGCGCCTTCTCGGCTTTCCACTAGACATACATGTTGCTGACAGGGCAGCACGGAGACGGCACATTGTACATTGTACCTGTAGCTACCTCATCCTGCGCTAGATACACATGAGCATGTCGATGCGGGCAGAGCCAGCGATTTCCACGTGAACCTGAAGAGATCTCACAGACGAGGGGAAATCAGAAAATAGAAGCTCGACGGTCCGCAAAAGGCAGGTCAACGTCGTTACGGGTACGAAATCTGTAAGAGCCATGAATGCCATGGCACGAAGGATGTTGCAGAGCGAGATAGCGACAAAGGGCTTCGCGATGGATTGCTGAAAGGATCAAAAAAGCCTAGCAGCAATCACCAGAAAGGTGCAGCATCGAAACGAGTTGATGGAGACGGCCATGCATGGCCACGTAGTTTGGAGGTCGAGACAGTCATTTGAAAAACGTGCCCTGCACGCAGATTGTCAGACGGATTCCATCCGCTGCCGATCTGGTGTTGTGATGCCGGTTCGTCTACGACCTTTTGGATAATGGTATCTATCCATCCTTAGGGCTCATGTTGTGGACGTGCAGGTAACAAGGCTGGAGGGAGGAAATTCTCCGCGTATGGACTGATTTGGGGGCGGTCTCCGAGACAATTCGTGCTTGCATGAGTTGTACAGACATGTACATACTGCCAGTGAGTTGTGCGGCGCGCATGCATTCTGTATGCAGTGCGTATGTAAGCGCAGGAGGTTGGCGAGAGAGGAGCGGGAAAGGTGGTTCAGGGAAAGAGAGAGGCCGGCCGGGCAGCAGTGAGTGGAGTGGGGCAATCTCAGATTCCAAGTCCGCCGACGGAAGTAGGGCTCACTCAACCTCGCCCTTGCAACAACACCTCGTCACTCCACCACCACAACCTTTGCCGCCGCGTTCTCGTGCGAAACTGTACGCGAGGCACCGGTCTGGTCTGTGTCTTGGCACGTGTGATGCCTCGAACGAAAACGCATCCATTCCGGCACGGTACATGCTTGGCCGGTGCGCTCGTGCGTGCTGCGTGCACATGATGTGAACAACCGTGGTTGCAGCGCAGATTGACAGCAACACCATGGCCCATTTAGATTTCTTCACGATGCAGCCCTACGGGTGTAGACACACGCTTTTGGAAGCATCACCTTCGCCCAGCATGCCGAAACGGGCAACCAGCTATACCGCGAGCAGATGCTGTGCAGCTGGCCCTCGACCGTGGCAGTGGGTTCGGGGTCGTCGATTGCTGTGCAGCGCCTTGCAAGCATGTCTCGGATGGAGTGCTCTCTTTCTCCACTGGGCCGGTCTCGGTCTTGCAGCATGTTAATCTAATCTGACGGCCGGGGTCGGATCACAGACGAAGGCAGTTACGACAAGAATAACACATTAAGTGGAGGCGTTGGGAGAGACAAAGGCGACGACGGTGCTCTTGGTCGCGGGCCGGTGCTTGGACTGGTGTCGATGTCGATGCGTTGTTGTTGGTTCGATATTGCAGTGCACGTTGCCGTGGACCGGTGAAGAAGCAAAGTCTCGCAGTAGCTCGGCTCCTATTTTCGTTTCGGCGGAGAAGGGCACGCCACGAGCGAGCGGCAGGATGCCGTGGTTAGTGGCAGACTGGGATCATGGCCGACCGACTCGTGGCTCGGTTCCCGCGGTTGATGACTGGGAGCGACGAGCGATGTTGGAGATGGCGCGAAGGATGCCAATTCTCGCAAAAACTGGAGAGGGCTTTTTTTGGTGCTCCAAACGCCGTTCGTCACCTTGCTGTTGTTGGTCAAGGGATTGCGTTTGGAACCGGCCCTTTGCCAAGCACATGGTCGCTTTGAGAAGGAAATGGTTGTGACTTGTGCCCTGATATGGCAGCGATTCGCCCTGGCGCCTGCGCAACCACATTTTCGGTTTATGAGACGCCCTAATCGATTGGCGTCGTGGAACATGGAATGACTGGTGCCCAAGGACCTGCCCCTACCACCTGCAGGTCAAGGCGCTACTCCACGATGCGACCTTCATGATCCTCAAAATTCGGGGCCGGGAGTGGCTTGATGAGGAGTGTACGCGAGATAGGAGTGTGATGCGGAGGATCATGGACGGCAAGACTTGAGTGCCGTCTGACGGCAATACAACATCCACGTGTTGGCGAGATCGTCGTTGAAACGAAGAATATCTGGAATCACGGACGAGTAAAATGAGAGGATCAAGCACCTTCCTCGTGGCTCGACGTGAGCCAACGCGCTGATTGGAACAGGAGTCAAGTTTGAGATACCCTCCTATGCAGGAGATGAGGTCGTCGAAGTGTTGGAAATGATCCACTTCGTGTTGGTGGCTGCCCACGTGAACGACACCCATGTGGACGGCGTGATAGCCCGCCGAGCTTACTGCCACTACTGCCATCGGCTTTGTCAGTCCTCAAGGTTGAGCCTATCGCCGTGGATTGGCGGCCAAAACGCAATGCCCGGGTGGTCCTTGCTCGGATGTGCTCGCCGACGATCATTCTTTGACGACGTGGTTTGGGACGAGTCGTTGTCGCGCGGGAGAGGTAGGCGAAGACGCGGCTCAAAGCTACCAGGCTGGTCGTGCTTACGGTAATCTCAACACCGCATGCCGACGAGCATGGTTTGAAACCAACACTGATCATCTCTCGACTTCGCACGAGGTGTTTTGGCCCTCACTGCACTGTGGGCCCGCCAGGCCAGATTGGGCAGACGATTGGGTTCGCTGGCACCGAAGCGTGAACAGACACGCCGGTAGACCGTGAGTCGGGCGACATCAGACAACCAGATTTTGCTGTCCCGCTGGGATGTGGAGATGGTAGAGAAGTCGAATTGACGAGACAAAGAGGCAGGCCCTTGGCTCATATGTCCTGCCCCCATGCCTCACCGCCCGGGGCGGCCTTTAGCTGCGGTGAGAGCGACGGGGCTACCGATGCCTCTGAGCCACAATGCCCATTCAAGCTTTCGGCGAAGGATGCCTCGTGGGGCGACGTGGCTCACGCCTCTCCGCACTAGGCTAGGATATCCAAACCGCCCCCAGAGGCGGCAGGGCGGGTGCTGACTGTGTATTCAAGGTTGCCCGTTGATTGCACTCGACCCGTGGATACGCTCGCTGCTGCTGTTCGCACTCGCGCCAGGTCGATCAAAGACACTCGAAAGATAGTCGCTGGCCGAACGCGCCGTTCGCTTTCGCCTGCTTAGGGTTGTGCGCACCAAACACTTGATCGGCAGCGTGGGCATCCTTCCGGTCGACAGAAGGATTCGGCCCCCATCTGTGCCTATTACTAACGATGTTGGTTTCGCCTAGCGCTGGGGCAGTACGGTGCCGATGTCTACCTTGCGGTTTGTACGGCCAATCAGGGGCACAAAAAGTACTTGAAAACGTCAGCGTCGGCCTTCCTGATTGCGTGCGCCAGTAAGCATTCCATCCTGCCAGCCTTAAGCGGTGCCGGTATCGTGCAATCAAGCACCTTTAATGCTCCGTGTCGCATATGGGCGGCCGGTGTGATTGCAGGCTAGACTCAGGAGAGTCAAGCTCAACCACACATCGCCCTACCCGTGCCATTCCTGCGAGAATCCTGAAGGATCCAACTGCTCGCAAATCCGCATGAATGACGGGCAAGCAATCTCGGGACACGAGTGGGCGTGTGGCATGCTGTTGCTCACCGGTCGGCAGCAGCGCGACCGCACAACAATGGGTCGTCCGCTGGGACCACATGCCTCCACCAGCGAAGCTTATTGTCGCCAGGCAGCGGGCGACGTGCAGTTAATTGAGCGACCAGACCAGCATCCCCGATGATCGCCAGAGAGGTGGTGCATGGAAATGAAACTCTCACCGGAATGACATCAAAGCCCACCGCAGCGAGCGCGGTGAAGAGAGAGGTGCTTCGCCTGGTCTAACGCACCTTATTGCTCATCCCGCAGCACCGCTAAACCGCAAAAGGCGATAGGTGTGCATCCTCCTGCAGAGAGAACCTTGCTCGCGCGTGGTCCTTGGCCTAAGAGGGCATGGCGGGCACCAAAAATGAACTTTGGCGAGAGCAGCAGACCGCTCAGCCACGTCTTCCGCACGCACACGATGTGTATCGCTGTAGATGACGGCCCTGCCGGTGTGCAGCGAATCACTGCGCAGGCGACGTGCAGCGCCGTCCGCCAGCGTGGGTCGTGGCAGAGGTTGGTGTCGTGCTGTGCGGCGTTCTGTCGCACCTCCACCAAGCCCTATCCGTCTCGAAGGGGCATCGCGCAAGATTCGCTTGAGCGATCTCTCGTTGCTTCCGGCAGCGCTGACACTCCCGCGCCCTTGGGCACAGGACTCGGTGGACAGGTTTGACCGTGCTGCTGCCCTCGGCTCACCGTCGTCCCAGGCAGTCCAGTCCGTCCAGTCCAGTCAGCCCACCCGCCCGCGGCGTCACAGTAGTAGCAGCAGCAGGTACAGGAGGCTGCGGTGCGGTACGTCGCTTCTCGGGTGCGACGAGTGGTCCGGCGAAGGCAGAGGGCGGGATGGGCGTGGCACGGTCGTTTGGCCCTCCAACTTGTGGGTTCACCGTTATGACCCATGCGCGCCGGCAGGGCTGCAGGGGCACTAGGCGGAGTGGAAAGAGGTGCTCTGCATCCTCCAGACACTAACAGGGTCCTGGCATGCGTGGCTCGTGCTGCGCATCTGCTGCTCTGTCACTGACCTCTGGGGCCGACGCGGTATTCTTATACATAGCCTCGCGACTTCGCCCCCGATGCACATCTAATCCAAGCCCTCAAAAGTCCCCGTGCCTGGCGACACTACATTACCGCATCCTCACCACGACGTCGTCTCACTCTGCCATCCATCAGGCTGGCTTCGACGACAACGTGCTCGTTGACTGCCTCAGGTACCCGGTGCCCGACCCTACATCCTCGGCGCGAGCAGCAGAGTGTTGGAACTAGTCTCGACTATCAACCGCAATCCGCCAAACCCTCAGACCCATTGACAGACTCGTGGCGTCCGTAAGCTTTCCATTACAAAGCGCAAAGGATCCACCCAACATCAGGATGTAAGTATCGACCCGACCCCATTATTGATCCTCTTGCTCTCCATCCCACGGCCTGACACTCTGACCAGTCTTACTACTCCGCCTTACCTCCACAGCACTCGCAGCAGTAGCAGCTCCTGTTCGTTGCTTCACTGAATGTGCTAAGCCATCGCCATGGCCACCTTTGCAGAGTACCCTCCCAACAACATGGCTTCCAACGATTTCACACTATACCCATACCCCGAGGTGTGGAGTCAAGATCAGACCTACCTGCCCTCGTCGACCTACGCAGACCAATCATACCTCAGCGCAACGACGTTCGACTCATACCAAAGCCAACAAAGCTTCGCGCCTCTCGAGCAGTACGACTTCAACCAGACGATCGATCAGTCGAAGCACCTGCGGGCACCCAGCGCGCACGACTCCCCAGCGTCGCATCACTACGACTACCAGAACCCACCTGCGCTGTCGTCAGTATCCGACTCTGGCGCATCGGTGCAGAGCACAATCTCTTCCGCGATGGGCTCTCCATCTGCGCAGCCACAATCGAGTGAGTGGCCACAACAGAACACGCACCTGTTCCCAAGCATCGTGCAACCGGCAGACGGCATCTACTCCACATCCAGCTTCGACTTCGAGACGAACTACGTGACCGACAAGGGTTGTGTTGGTGAGTTGACAACCATTTCTTCTTCTGAACCAGCACTTTCTTTCGACGATCTTGATTCGTCTTTTCTTTCTCAAACCCCGCAATTCGATGATGTTGGAGCCATTTGGTCGTCGCCTGTCGGATCGCCTGGAAGCTGGACCTCCACCTTGGTTCCCCACGAGTCTAGAAGCGCGAGTCTGGACGCTATCAGCCCGAGTGACACCATTTTCCGATCGCCGACTACACCAGCTTCAGCCAGACAGTCGACCGCAATTGATTCACCAAGAGGTCCACTCTCCAGGTCGATGTCGTACAATGGAACCGACAGCAGCCAGTGCCCACAAGCAACACCAGCAATGCTCCCATCTCCTTTCTTTTCTCAATCCAGTGGTCATTTCGTATTTCCTCTTGAGTCTTCTTGTCCGTCTTCTCTCTTCCTGTCTTCGTTTCAGCTGCAATCACTTCGAGAACATGGCTGACGAGTTCTTCATAGATCCATCGCTCATCCAGCCATATTCACCCACTCAATACACTGGCACACAGTTCCCAGAAGCACAATCGCAAAACCTCCCATACCCAACTCTTCCATCCCCTGCCGTTCACAAGAGCCCAAGACCTCAGAGCACCAAGCCATCGGCATCGCCTTACGTTCGCCAACAATCCTGGCAACCATACCCACAAGGACGACGGCAATCAGTGTCGTCAAACCACTCGCGACACAGCCACCACTCCCTCTCATCCGATGACTCGAACAAGGGTCTCTGCCCGATCGCAACTTGCGGCCGGCATGTCAAGGATTTGAAGGCGCACATGCTCACGCACCAGAACGAGCGTCCAGAGAAGTGCCCAATCCCCACGTGCGAATACCACACCAAGGGTTTCGCACGCAAGTATGACAAGAACCGACACACTTTGACCCATTACAAGGGTACCATGGTGTGCGGTTTCTGCCCTGGCAGTGGAAGTGCGGCCGAGAAGAGCTTCAACCGAGCCGACGTCTTCAAGAGGCACTTGACTTCGGTCCACGGTGTCGAGCAAACTCCACCCAACGCACGGAGGAAGAGCCCAACCACCACCAACAAGAAGCCGTTCGGATCCGCTCGCGAGGTCTCCGGCATGTGTTCCACTTGCGGCAACACTTTCGCCTCTGCTCAAGACTTCTACGAGCATCTCGACGACTGTGTTCTCCGTGTTGTCCAGCAGGCCGATCCTAGCGAGGCCATCAACGAGAAACTTCTCACTGAGGTGTCCGAGGACAAGGACGTCCAGGACACGATGGAGAAGCACATGCTCCCGACCAACCTCGACTACGACGCCCCAACGTCGTTTGATGAGGACGAGGAGGCGGACGAAGACGAGGATGTCGATGAAGATGACGCCAACGACGGCACATACGGTAGTCGGAAGTCGAAGAAGGGACGCAAGGGTGAGGCCGGCCGTGTGTCGAGCAACGGTGCCATCACCAAGCCAACCAAGAAAGGCCTGACACACTCCAAGGGCGGCGTCGCTCTCAGCGGACCCATCACCGGCAAGGGATCCAAGCGAAGAAAGAACTACCCCCTCTCATGGGGAGCTGCTCCAGACAAGATGAGGATGAAGAAGCGGGTGATCTGCGTCTACGACGGTCAGCGACGGTGAGTCCTCTTACACAAACAAACACATCATCGTTCATCCAGCTGATTGTTGAACTCCAGACTGCTCAAAGACGACCTCATGCTGGACAGCGACCATGAAGTTCGCATCCCTCTCAGCGCCGACGAGCGCTCCTGGGTCACCGATCTCGACGTCCAAACACTTCGTCGTGCGGAGGCCTTCCACAACGCCACCGAGGAGGAGAAAGGTCCTTGGATCCAGGATGACGAGGAGCTCGACCAGCTGATGCAGTAAATTCATCAGTCAGACAGAGCTGTCCATCCAGGAAAGCGGGGCTGAGTCCTGTACTTGTACTTCTTTGCGAGGAAAGGACCCCTCGAGATGTTTGTGTTGTTTTTGCTGTTTTTGCAACTGCATGATACCATATGACGAACATGAGGCCTGGCTGATATGATCGCCGTCTCTCATTGGGGATATTGGGATATTGGATGAAACGATTTTTATTAGTACCTTTAACGACGATGCAAAGCGAGAGAGAAGCAGGAAGAAACAGATTCAGCTCTAGGAAAGGAAAGAACTTTTTTAAAAAAGGGTAGTGCTGGACGCACCACATCATCAAATCAAAAAGACAAATCAAGAAATACTTATATTCATCGCTTTTCTTACTACTTCGCAAAAAGCCCTCACGGCTTCTCAGCTCGAGCTGAACTGTTCCTGTTTCCAACGGTCCATCCAGCCAGCTGAATGCCTGTGTCCTCGTAGAATCTTCCTGTTGGGGCTATGTGCTCCGTCTGGGCGTGGGCGTTGTCGTTGACGCTGCAGCGGGAGGATTGACATGTCGGTTTGTTTGGTGGACGGTACGGGAGTTGCTAGTGATCCTACTGTTGCTACAGTTGGGGTTCGCAAGGACGGTAGGCGGCAGATGTTGTGTATGTGTTGTGGCCTGCCGTAGTCTTCGTCTTCCGGGTTTCGCAAGCACGACCGGAGATTGTGCCCCTGTCGCTCGAAGGCATCAACAATCTACCAGCGGAACAACATCATGCCATACATGGGCATCTCTACATGAAAGCGCACTCGCTCGCACATTGACCGTACGAAGCCTACATTGTTTGTCTACTCGCTGCTATACAATCCGTTCAAGCAACGTCGTTCGTGGTGGCTGGGAACGTCTGCCCGTGGAGCTGTCCTTGTGAAGACAAAATCTTGACCGCGTTTGCCAAAGAGCCTTCCTTGAGCTCGGTAAAGTCTACATCCAATCAGTGGCACGTCTTGAAGCACAATCCTCGAACAGAGTACTCACTGAAAGGACTTCCAGTGAAGCAAGAGTTGATCTTCCACGACACGAATGTCTCGGACGTCCCGGTATACGCCGTCTCGAATGTTACCCAGTACCCGCCGAACGTGCCTTGGCCATTTTGAAACGGAATCGGTGCTTTCATGCTGTTAAAACCCTGACACTGGGACCAATTGTGCGAACTCACCATTGCCGAGATCGAAGTACATGGCGAAGGTGCCATCCGGGTATTGATCATAACGAGCGAGCTGTCCGATGGTCATTCTCATCATCTGATACTCGTCCTGTGCCCGCGTACCGTCTCGACCACATCATATGTTCCCTCAGTCGTAGGCACAGTGGTATTCCTAGTCGCGCCGGGTACTGTTTGACGACCCGTGGTCCCAGTGGGCGTCAGACCTTCCCACTCAATCTCGAAGACTGGAAAGGCGATATCAGCCGAGGGCGAAAAGGTCATGAGTCCTTCCCTCCTCACTCACATTGGCCCGAGATATTCTTGAAATCTGCCGCTTTGCTCCCTATGGTCTGAGTCGTGTGAGAGACTGCAAAAGATGTGCCCGCTACGCAGTTGCACAGATCGGCCGAGTAGTAGCATGGGGAAAGGGGAGCACTTGGTTGACCCCAACCCCAAGGCTTTTCCCCAGGGCTGTGCAAGAGCAGTGCCCAAAGTTGCTAATAATATGAGCGCGGAGGTTGCCATGGTGTTTCGATAGCGCTTGATGAGGCGTTGGTGAGTGTGGTTGGATACGCTGCGAAGTCCAGGTTACGACGGCGACGTATTGTTTTTAAAGTCATTTTGACTTGGGCTGTTTGGTCCCGGGAATGCCGCTGTGAAGTCGAGTGTGGTGTTGGTAAGGCTGAGAGGGACGCAAGTGGGATATTACAGCTGCTCTGAGAAGCGGCTCCATCTCCCACATGTATCCGACTAAAGGATCCCACTCGGGAAGGCCAGCAACACAAGGCCGAGCATACACATCATCGTGGAGATGAGTCGGAGAGATATGGCGTTCCAACAGGCCTGTGGCACATCGATCTACATGCTATACTGACGAAGACAAAGATACAGATTCGAAAAGTGTCTTACCTCCATCTCGAAATTGAAACCCGACCAACATACTTGACGGTCACGTAGTTTCAGAAATTTGATTGTTCCGCAAGTTCACCTTCCGCAGCAGGACTTATGACGCCCTCGAGTGGTTTCCAGCGTTTCTTGTTCCTGCCTCGGGAGTAGCACGTTGTAGCGGTAGATGCGGAAGTAACACTCAGCTCGTGTCGATTCATATAACAACCTTCGGGTTCCGTTTTGGGAAACCAGCTGAAGGCGCCAACGAATTGGCCTGGGGAAAGCCATCGCAAACGGACTCTGAACTCGGCCCAAGCGGACAATTTGCCGGTCCTGAAAGAACACTGTTCCTGATCCACCTCGTTCCATCAATCACATCATCACACCAGTAAGGAACCAACAACCAACTTCTCTCGCGTTTGGCCTGCGTCGAATAGAGTCTCTGCTGACGAAGTCCATTGTCCATGTGGCGTCAACGCCATGTGGATTGCATGTGGGATAGAGTGCGAAGGATACAAAAGGTTTTGCCTATGCAAGCTTGAAGTGCTTGGTCAGACCTGCACGCACGATCCTTGCCAATGACCCAGAACTTTCTTTCCGGCATGGGTCTGCGATGCGTCTTGATCACTACTTGTGCTGTGAACATCGCGCATGCACTGGCGAGGCTTGTCCAATTCGAGATCAGTATTTCCCAAGAGGTCCGTTCGCCAGACGGATATGCGCGCCCTCAGATACTCGTCAACGGAACATTCCCAGGCCCGCTGCTTGCGTTGGATCAAGGCGATGATGTGGAAGTGAGCAGTCCTTGAAGAGTCACCGCACTATGTGTGCTGAGATGCTCACTCCACGCCAAGATCGTCGTCTCCAATGGTTTGAACGCGTCGACAGCAGTCCATTTTCACGGTAATACCTACCCCTTAAAAGAGACGTCTGACGGTCGCTGAAGTAGGCAGGTATCGAGCAGTTGGGTACGCCATGGAGCGATGGCATGCCCGGGCTCTCATGCCCGGGCTCTCGCAACGCCCGATCTTGCCGGGGTCCTCATTTGTGTATCGGTGGACCGCGAATGAGTACGGCATGTACTTTTATCATTCACATCTGAAAAGCCAGATCAGCCATGGCCTCTTCGGTCCGCTGTATATTCGTCCTTCAAGTACAGTTGTGAAGCCGTTTGACCGGATCACCACATCGAGTCAAGAGCAGGCGCAGTTGGTAAAGACGGAGAAGACGCCAATTGCGGTAACCATTTCGGACTGGACCCATGTGACATCTCCAGAGTTCACTTCTATTGAGCAGGAAGCCGACCTCGACGTGTACTGCAGCCAGAGCATCTTGATTAACGGCAAGGGCCGAGTGACATGTCTTTCGCCACAGCAGCAAGAGCAGGAGCTCGCAGATCCATTCAAAGCAGCACTCAACGGAAGCAAGCTGCACCCAAGCGGTTGTGCGCCGTTCATTACTCTCGGGCAAGGAACATACAGCCACAACTTCTCCGCAGTGCCGGCAGATCTGATAGATGGCTGCGAAGAGACCCAAGCACCGATCGAACAATTCCTGGTACAAAAGAACGATCGGTGGGCGTCGTTCCATTTCATCAGCGCCGCGTCGGTACAAGCTCCCATTACGTCAATCGATCAGCATCCAATGTGGGTATATGCCGTGGACGGTAGGTATATTGAGCCCGTCCGGGTAGATGGACTCCAGATCTACAATGGCGAGCGCTATTCGGTGATGGTGAAGCTGGACCAGCAGCCAGGCACGTATAGAATAAGAGCAGCCAACTACGCCCTCAATCAGTTGATCATCGGCTTCGCCACACTCACTTATGCCAGTCGATTTTGGCATCGGCCGGATCCTGCGCCGTACTTCACGTACGGAGGAGCGCCGACGTCAACGAATGTGACGTTGCTCAATACAACCACGCAGATTGTACCATTTCCAAATGTTCCACCAGCGAGAACGGCAGATGCGACACATGTCCTGCGTGTGAAGCGCTTTGGAGGGTCCTGGAAGTGGATGTTGTCGGGCACGGCCAGCTATCCAGTCGACTACTCTTCACAGCATCCGCTGCTGTGGTATCCGAATAGTCCGGCCGCGCGAAACCAGAGCCTGGTCATCCGGACAGTCAACGGCACATGGGTGGACATTGTGTTCGTCGTCGAAGCCGATGTCAACGACCCTGTTGCCCCACCTCACGCTATGCACAAGCACAGCAATAAAGCGTACATCTTAGGTGCCGGTGTGGGCGACTGGACGTGGGATACTGTTGCGGAAGCTGCACAGGCTCAGCCAGCTTCCTTCAACTTTGTCAACCCGCCGTATCGGGACGGGTTTGCGACACCAACGGGTACAGGCCAGCACGTATGGCTAGTCATTCGATATAAGGTAGTCAACCCAGGCGCGTTTCTCTTGCATTGCCACATTCAGGACCACTTGGCCGGAGGAATGGCCGTCGCGCTGCTCGATGGCGTAGAGGCGTTTCCTGCGATTCCGAAGGAATATGGCCCTAATTCAGGGCGGCGAGCGTAGCAGCGACAGGTGCAGGTGTGGCGGCATCTTTGTGAATCTGATTTCAAATGCATAACACTGATGGATGCATTGGAGAGTGTGATGGAGGTGGGAGGTGTGGTGAGATGGAATTCTTTCCCCGGACGAGGACACCCAACGTGCGCACGGGTCATCTCGGCGACATGTCTGCTGTGCAGCGGCTACCTCTGACTACTAAAGAAAGAGCTTTATTAGTAAAAGTAAAGAAAAATTTGAAGTACAGCGACAGTGCTCGTATTCCCGAGTTATGAGGAACACATTTTAACGATAATGCTTTGCGTAGGCTTTTGTATAAGTTACAGTTGCGTATGGATACCATCGCCTGATCGCCCAGGACTGCAAAAAGACAAAATATCCCGCACTTTGAGAAAAGAAAAAGAATGTGATGACCGCGCCAGGGCTGTTTCATTGTTAGTTCTTGAACTTCTCATTGAACGATTAATTGAATACTGACGTCGAACCTGGAATCTCTTGATAGACTTAGTAATCGTAGTCAAGCGCCTTGCCATTGGGCCACGCGGCCTTGTTAATAGAAAGACTTGATATGTTCAATTTATAAAGGCTAATTGCCGGTAGGTCGAGAGAGGCCCGACAGCTCCGTCGGCAATCTCGCTTGCCCATCTTGGGCGGCGGAAGCTCTCGCTTCCCAACGTCACCAGAAACCTGCCACCGGGTCTCTCAAGTCCCAATTCTACAAACTATGAGCTTACTGGCTTCTTTCGAGTGCACTGGATGTCATCACAGTCCATCGATATGGCCGTGTTCAGCCTGGCGGTGATTGAAATCAATAGAAGGCCGGCCTTGGCAACAGCTCCTTCAAAGCGGCGACCACAACGGCTCCAAGCTGCGTAGACAGCAACAACTACATACATCGTCAAGGCAAGCGTTACTCAGACCAAGTTACTCCGACATGCACCCGTTCTAACCGCACAAGATAGAGGGACAAGACAAGTCGTCTAGAGACTGCTGACAAATTGCTCGGGCTGTCTTCCAGCAATGACGAGTGACAAGCCATTGGGAAATGTGGCATATCATTGCAACTAAACAGCCAGTCAGGTTTGTAAATTTTCGGAACCCATCTCAACTCATCTGGAAACGACAAAAGAGAACTTAGCCAGAATGTCTTCCAAGAGCCTACCAACGCCTGCTCAAGTCCTTGCGAAGGTATCCAGAGAAATTAAGTCTAATGATCACAAACTAACTCGTCGCTAGTTCTATGAAGCAGAGACTATCTACATGGCTGCTGCACCTAAAGAGAGGGACATAGCAGGCATGGCATCCTGCCTGTCAGAAGATTTTCGTCTCTACCAATCGCCGGATCTGCCATATGGAGGAACGTACGAAGGCCGCTCAGGGTTCAAGGTAAGCTCAAGGATGGAATCTATGCGATCAATTTCGGGGGACTTGCAGCTGACTAGAGTCTCATAGAAATGGTCGGACGACATGGCCTCGTACTTTGACCGACTTGAGGTCATCGATCCGCAGGTCTTCGAGAAGAGCGGCAGTGACAGCGTAGTCGTTTCTTCGACGTTGAAGCTCAGAGTAAGGAAGAATGGAGTGGAATTGGTAGGGCCGCTACTTCAGGTACGTACTTGGCTTACGACCCCTTCAGGCCTCAATGGCTGATTAAGAACAGGCTATGAAGGTCGATCGAGAGAAGGGCTTGCTTACGGAGATTCGGCCTTTCTACTGGAACGTGAAAGGTCTGAATGAGGCCGTCCAGAAGTAGACAAAGAAGATTTGTACGAGGATTCGCCCCGACCCGAGAGGATTAACGTTCCCTCGAGACTACGTCCGAGACCCACTACCACTTTACTGTTCCCAATAGCGGACGATAGCCGCCTCACTGGAATATCAGGCACTCTATCGTCTTATCAGCTCTCGCCCCTCCTCATGAAAAGCACCCGCTAATGTGAAGTCGAATCGATGGGCCCAGAAAGCGGACAGACGATGACGTAAATCTACACCTCGAACGAGGCCATTGTAGCGGTGCGAAATGGCGTGTTGCTGCCTAGACTGCCTCAAGAGCTTCCATGTGAGGTTTCTTCACTGTGAGTGAAAAAGCGCGGCGGCGATGGTGCACGGCCGTTTGCTGAGCACTTTTTAGCATGTGACAGGCTTGGCAACGACATTTTCTCTGCCTAACAGCCCGCGATATGCGTTTGCCAGCGCTTCAGATCGCGTCGATGACGTCGGCGACAGCGTGACTTCTACTTCACTTTTCGACAATAGCGCCTTACAACACGCGAGACGTGTTGCGGTGACTGCCGCTTCCTATTGTGAGACGTCCGTGCGCTAAAGTCGCGATGGCGGCAGCGACGAGCACATGATTTTCCACCTCCGTCTTGCTGCTCTTCTCTTCTCCTCACCACAGCTTACCAGACATCGCACGCACAGCATTTCACGGCAGCTTTCGACTTTCCTTTCAGACATTCAAGACATTCATCGAACAGCGACGCAATATCACCAACAGTCACTACCACCATCATGGCGCTTTTCACCCGCCACGAATGCACCACCTGCTGCGATGCCTGCATCCTCCAAGAACTGGTCTCAATCAAAATCGTACGCGCAATCGAAGGCGATCCCGAAAGCAAAGACGAGCTCGTAATCAGAGCCGCCCTCACAATCCAAGACGACAACGACACCGCCAAAGGCGATCTCGTCTGCCATGGCTGCATCTGCACCATGTTTATCAACGCAATCGAAGACGAGTCCAACTACCCACCTCAATGGGCCGGATTCGAGTTGAAGCTGGCAAACTTCGCATCCATCCTTGGCGGCTTCCTCGCAACCTCGTACAAGATGAAGATCGTCGAGTATAAGATAAAGTGGGATGATCGGGTCTATTGCACTTCTCGAGGAGTCAACGGCATCGTATGCGGCAAATTCATCGGCGAGAAGAGCGCCCACCCTCTCAGAAAGTATTGTTTCGATTGCGGGACATCGGTTTGCATGTGCTGCAAGGACCATATCGTTCCTCTCGTCCCGCACAAATGCGACGGAAATGCCCTCGCGGATGAGAAGGACTTCAAGGGATTGACCAAGGGCAAGGAGTGGCAGAAGTGTCCGAGATGCCACAACAAGTTCGAGCTTCGGGATGGGTGGTGAGTCAACATATCCATCCAACGGTATTTTCACTGCTGCTGACAATCTCCCAGCAACCACATCATCTGTGCCGTGTGCAAGGAATCGTTGTGCTTCATCTGCGGTGCGCCGGCAGCAGCCAACTCGAACCACTGGTGTCGATCGGGTGGCTCTCGCTGCCCTCGCTACAACCAACCTGGTACCCCGAACGCCATGTTCGAAGAGGACGCTATCGCCCTTGCCTTCCCAGAACTTTTCCAGGACATTCCGAGGCCACCAGCTCACATCCCCAACCGCGGTGCATTCCACGCTGAGCAGTTGCGTAGAGAGAGACTGGTCGACGTTGGCGGAGGAGAGCTTCTCACAGCGGAGGATTTTTTCACTGCGCAGGAGTTCCTGACAGCTATGCCAGCACCACCACCACCTCGAGCAATCGAGCGAGCCCACGGAGGTGATGCAACCGCTCAGCCACCAGCTCCTGATCGTGTGCATCGACAGAGGGTTACTGGCCCCGTGCACATCGCTGTCGGCAACGGCGACATCAATGCCGCTGCTCGCAGCGTCAACCCCATCCAGCCGAGACGCAACCGCGTCTTCAACCTTCTAACCAACCGTACAGCCCGAGAGAATGCCATGCCGAATGCCCATGCCAATATGCCATTGCCGCCACGCCATCGCCAAGCCAGTCAACCACAGCCGGCCGTTCAGACTCAGCGTTTCAACGCTCATCCTGCTATTCGACTTGCTAACAGAACGCAGCAGCAGACGCAACTTCGTCGTTCCAATGCCGTTTCAAATGTGGCCGTCGTCAACGAGCCTCTCAACGGACTGGTCCATGGCCATCACCACCGCGGCCAGCACGGTCTATTGGCTCAGGCTCAGACACAGCAGGAGCATACTCACGCTCATCACCGCGTCCAGCAGCAAGCACAAGAGGCACGCACTCACGCCCACCACCGCGGCCGCCACCCTCAACTCACCGAGCCTCAGCTCCAGGCGGAGAACGAGGACACCAACGCCCAACCTCAAGAAGACGTCTATCAACCCCTCCCACGCAACCCAAGCCTCGACTTCACATTCCGCTTCCCACGCCACACCCCGGACTACAGCCAAAACCGCCACTTCACAATCATCGGCGCCGGCACTAACTCCACCCTCACCCCAAACCCCCTTAACACCCCACCACCACCACGCGGCAACAACCTGATGGCCGTCAACCAAACCATCCACTTCCGCCACCCCGACCTCACCGGCGCCTAGCAGCTCCCCGTGAGCTTGAGCTAGTACCGGATCCCATCACCGGTGGTTGTCTGGCTCGGCGAGATGGAGTTTTTCAATGGGGGGAAGTTGGTGTTTTCGGCGAAGTTGGAGGAGGTTGCGGGGAGGGATGACGCGGCGGTGAGCGTCAAGATCAACTGTAATGAGTGGGATGAGAATGGGAGGTTGAGGGAGGCGAGGGCGGTTGGGGTTTGAACGAAAAAAAGGAGACAGGAAAAAACCAAAAACGATTGCAACATATGCAATGGGATGACTTCAGACTTTAAGAGCCAGCTGGACTGGATGGATCACGGGACAGGAAAGGGGTTCTTCTTGGCAATGGAATGGGATCAAAGAAAAGCAGAAAAACCAAAAACGATTGCTATGAATGCAATGGGATGGATTGGGCACACTTCAAGAGCCAGCTGGGCTGGATGGATCACAGGGAAAGGAAGGACTTTCGCCACTCACTCTTGTGAATTAAGGAAACTCGGAATCGAATCGATGGGTATCAGTGACTCTTTTGCAAGATCAAAAATCAACCTCACCTCTCAAGTTCTCACTGCAGTAACTCGTCTTCCTCACAAATCCACACTCGCTTCCTCCCTCTCCCCAACCCAACACCTCCTCACCACTCGCCGAAAGCAAAGCTTTCGAGCGAATGGCCCTTGGCATTTGCGATGACTTCTTTCCATTTCCCCTTCTCTGTTGTCGTCTCGCAACGGACCTCGTTCAAGTCCTCCGTGTCTTCTCGTCTCGGTCGTAAAAGCCAGCTTGTGGTCAGGGGTCGATGCTGAGCAGGCAAATTGCAGTATCCATCAAATCCAATGCAATCTGATCGAAAACCGTCGAGGTCAGAGGTCAGAGGTCGAATCAATCCGTCTCATATCTTTCTATTTCTATTCCTCTCGTCTATCCTGTCAAACGCTTCTATTGCGATCGGCAGTCTTACAATGCAAAAAGTCCTTCAGTGAGCAAACCGGAAGTCCAGTCTCTTATTGCCCTTGTCCGTCGTCGTAGCCTAACACAGAAAAAAATCATTAGCAGGCCGTTACTTGGTGATATACTTCGACTTGAGAGGACTCACCAAATAATGCTCCCTCTCCTCCTTGGACATGACACTCCACTTCCGCTCGCGCGACCGATTCGTCATGACGTAGAAGATCTTGGCTGCTACGAAGAGGAGGATGTCTGCAGCGAAAAGAGTCAGCTTTATGAGCCAAACCATGGTGTCGAATACACATACTCCAACAAACAACCCCAATCAACGCCGCATTCCCCACGCGATACAGCGGCTTATCCCCATTCCGATAAACATTCGTCCCGATAATATTCGACAGCTGAATCGACATATTATATATCGCCGTCGCGACGGTGCGCGTGCGCACGGAGCCCGCGTTCCGCGACGTGATGGCCACGAGCATGGCGTGGACGTAGGGCATGGCGAAGACGAGCACGGCGAGGATCCAGGAGACCCAGGGGCTGCGCGTGCCGGGGAGGACTTCGAGGGCGATGATGCAGGGGAGCACCCACCATTGGCTGAGGGTGGCGAGGAGGAAGCGCTCGTTGATTTTTTCCGAGAGCCAGGTTATGCCGAGGAGGTTGATGATGAAGATTACGTAGGCCGGGATGGTGAGGAGGTTGGTTTCGAAGGCTGGGGGGTTGTTAGTGTGTTGTTCGATGTCGAGTACGGCTTCTTCGACTTACTTCCGAAACCTGCGGACTTGAGCTGAAGCGTGATGTACTGCGTCATAGGAATCGCCGGCAGCCACCAGGAGAGACCCAGAAGGAAGACGGGCCATAGATGGTAGTCACCCAGCGTATCCCAGAACATCTTGAAAGACAGGCCCTGGCGATTGTGCATGTCTCCTTTGGACGGGTCGTCGCGGAGGATACGGTTGACCATGATCTTCTCTTCTCGCTCGCTGAACCATCCCTTCTTCCCGCGGAACCAGCTCGCAGTCTGGGTCGGTGAGGGAGGGAGGTAGAAGTAGGTGATGATCCCGATGATGCCCGTGAGAGTTCCTTCCAAGGCGAAGAGCCATCTACAAGTTACAGTCAGCAGGTTGTGGATTTGGAGTTGGGTTCTCGACTTACCGCCAGCCAGCAAGACCATTGATACCTCGCCTAGCACAACGAATTAGCCAACGTCACACGCACATACCCATCAACCAGGTGTCACCTACATCCGCAACAGCCCAAACGCCAAGAACGCCGAGACGATACTCGTGAACTGATACGACGTCCAGAAGAACGACAATCTCTTCGGCAACTCAGTGGAGGTGTAGAAGTAGCTCAAGTACAGGATATTGTCCGGGATGAAACCACCTTCAATCATTCCCAACAGAGCACGACACGCCCAGAAGGACGACCGACCAGAGATGAAGGCTTGGAAACTGGCAACCAGCGACCACGAGACCATTTGGATCGGAATCCATCGATCTGGGCCTATCTTCTTGCTGATAAGCTGGGAGGGTCTGGAAGGAATTAGTGGATGTTTGGAGAGATATGGGTTGAAGAAGACGAACAGTTCAGCCAGCAGGAAGGTAACGAAGAAGATGGTCTGTCCAGTGTTGTAATCATTCGTTGTAATGCCGATATCATCGAGCATGTTGTCGGACAAGGCTGCCACTGGATCAGCATGAAGCCCCCCGGTTCTGCGATGTCAAGACGAACCCTGCGAGATATTCCCGCGATCCAGCTGCAAAGCGAAGAACGCCAAACAAACCCAGGAACATATTCGGTAATCGATCTTCCAACAATCAGCCAACCAACAAGCCAACATAAGAACCCCCCATCAACATCCAAACATACCTTCCTCACCACCCTCCTCTCCTCCTTCTCCTCCCACTGAAACTCGGGATCCCACCGATGCCGCCCCTCATAAGACTCAATAGGCTCATAAAACGCCCCCAGACTCTCATCGCTGTTATCAAACGTCTTGTTGCCCGTCCGCTTAAACAAGCTCTCCTCGACGATCGCAGCCTCCGGAAAGGCCTTCGGATCCCTTGCCGGGCTGCCGCCGTCAGACGAGCCCTTCTCGGTGGTGAGCATGTCGTGCATCTCGTGCAGATGGCGTCAACCAGGCCGTACGGCTCGCGTGTTCTGGGCGAGCTATGGCGTCAACCAGAGGGACGGCTGTCGCGAGAGGCGCCAAGGATGCAGGAGATGTTGGAGGGAGGGATCGCGGCTTGGGGGTTCTTTCTTCGCGCGTGGATTTTGTTTATCAAGCAATCGCTAGCAGCCAAGACATGGACGGGGTTCTTTTCCCTCGCTGTGACGGCATGGAGGATTGGCCCTGTGCAGGGCAAAAGTCTGGATAAAAGGGCATCCATCATGGGCGACCGCTCTGGAAGGGGAGTGGATCTGCTACCACGCGCAGCGTCTATCATCAAAGTCATCCACTTCCACGGCTTGGGTGAATGGATTACGCTGCTAGTGTTTGGATGCGACGACGGCCCACTGCGACTCGCGCACTCACACGCGGCGAAGAGTCCGTGGTCGTGTCGAAAGCGCAGCGTGCTACGAGAGAGGTGCAGGGGAATGGATGCCATGCGGTGCTATCGACGCGGATGAGCCAATAAAGAGGCAAGCTAAGGCTCGCACGCCATATCCCCTCACTCACAATGCTTGGAGGTTGAGAAAAAGTCGGCGGCATCACCACTAACAAAGGGTGATGCGACAGGCCGGACGACGATGGGCCGAACGACGTGTCGTCCACGTTCCACGTTGTTGCAGCGTCGGTGCACCGGCACATGTGAGGAAAGTCTACCCCACCATCGCTGCTTGCCCGCCGTGTCGGATTGTCTGCGATACGCCATCAGCAGAGCTTTTGCATGGCGAACGCACCTCTCTTTCTTGGTCGTAGTCCTATTCTGGCCTATAGGCGAAGGGTCCGGCTGCATAAGATCTTTGATATGAGTTGCCCGATGCCGGCATGGCGACACTTGGGTGAGTATATGTGTCGTATGCCCCTGTTCTTTGTTCCATCGCCTCTTTAATATCTGATCGATACCCCTCCTCGACTGTTCTCTTTGCTTAGTACTTCAAAATGGCTCCAGCATTGGTCGAGACTCCCATCGCGGACAGGTCTGTAGACAAGACTGCCGAGGAGATTAGGAAGAAGGATGCCAACCAGGGAACTGGATACAAGGAGGCCTTCCAGCAGGGTGCCAAGACAACCAACTACGAGGTCGAACTGAAGGGAAGCGAGAAACACAAACCTGCAAAGTACCCCAACTACCTACCATACTGGGACGATTTCAAGCACCCACCGCTCGAGCCATTCGAGGCCATTGAGCATGGCAAAGACGCCGACCCTACCTTCCCCAACCTCCTCGCCAACGCTACCGTCAAGGACGTGACCGGCAACATCGGTGCTGAAGTGAGGGGTGTTCAACTCAGCAAGTTGACGAACGCTGGCAAGGACGAGCTCGCACGTTTCGTGGCCGAGAAGAAGGTTGTCGCGTTCCGTGACCAGGACTTCGCCGATCTTCCAATTCAAGAGGCGCTCAATGTGGCTGAATACTTTGGTCCTTCGCACGTTCACCCGGCGTCGGGAGCTCCCAAGGGTTTCCCCAAGGTTCATCTCGTCCACCGCAGCGCCAGCGACACCACCGCGCATGACTACTTCCAGGAGCGTACCAACTCGATCACATGGCACTCGGATGTGTGAGTAGTGTCGTCCATAATCGATCAAGACAATATGCTGACCTTCGCAGAACCTACGAGATGCAGCCTCCAGGCACGACTTTCTTGTACCTCCTCGACGGCCCTGTCGCAGGTGGTGACACTCTCTTCGCCAACATGGCCGAGGCATACCGCCGCCTGTCTCCAGAATTCCAGAAGCGTCTGCATGGCCTCAAAGCCGTCCACAGCGGCCACGAACAAGCCGCCGCGGCCCTCGCCCGTGGCTCCATCGTCCGAAGGGAGCCCGTCAGCAACGTCCACCCCATTGTACGCACCCACCCCGTCACCGGCGAGAAGGCTCTGTTCGTCAACCCACAGTTCACCCGCCGCATCGTGGGATTCAAGAAGGAGGAATCCGACTTTCTTCTCGACTTTTTGTACAAGCACATTGCGCTCGGCGCTGATTTCCAGGCACGCATGAAATGGGAGGAGGGGAGTGTGGTGGTGTGGGACAACAGAGTCACTGCCCACTCAGCGATTTTGGACTGGCAGGATGGCCACCGTCGTCATCTGGCGAGATTGACACCGCAGGCTGAGAGGCCTTATGAGACGCCATTTGAAGGGTAGATAGAGATTTGTCTGTATTGATCTTCCTGCTGCCATTATTTTCGTCTCCCAAGCTCTTTTAAACCGTTCGAGAACGTAGTCGTATATAAGGTCGACATTCGAATGAGGGAAGTCGTTTCAACCGTGGGAGTTTACGGGTGGGACTGATCTGTCGTCAATGCGTGCGATGAAGTTGAGAATGTTGCAGAGAGAAAGTCAAAGCGGAAGCTGTTCATGTGGCCGAGAGAATAATGTCATAAAATAATGTAGAGTGTGAGGGGAGGACAAAGTCGTTGTCGTGGCTGCGAGTTTCGAGGCTCGGTGAGGCTCGCTTCCGCACGTGGACTTCCTTGACGTCGCTTCTCAAAGCTCCAGCGCAGCTTGGGAGCTCCCACCAACACCACCGCTGCACGCACAACCCCATACTCACACGGCTAGACGTCGAACACACCAGCCGTCCAGCTCCAGAGACAGCCTCACCGTCGACCGCCGCCTCTCTCGAACCTCGCTGCGCCGGGCCCAGGGCCACCCACCGCAACCATGGCGAAGGATCAAGAAGTCGATCCGCGCATGATGTCTGTGACGCCTCGCATACGATACAACACGATCGGAGGCGTCAATGGCCCGCTGGTCATGCTGGAGAATGTGGGTGAAGAGCATGAGTGATGAGGTGAAGGCGGGATGCTAAGTTGGGGTGATTATAGGTCAAATTCCCACGATACAATGAGATTGTCGCCTTGACTCTCCCTGATGGCACTGAGCGATCTGGTCAGGTCCTTGAGGCGAAGGGTATGTTCATTGGGAAGAGTAGAGTAGTGGATAGAAGGGATACTGATTGGCATGGGCAGGCGACCGCGCAGTCGTGCAGGTGTTTGAGGGCACACCAGGCATTGACGTTAAGAAGGTACCAATATCGTCAGACTTGATATGAGTGCGCCATCTCTGACAATAACCAGACGAGAGTCGAGTTCACTGGCCACAGCTTGAAGCTGGGAGTGTCAGAAGACATGCTTGGCCGTATCTTCGACGGTTCTGGACGAGCAATCGACAAGGGCCCCAAGGTGCTGGCTGAGGACTACCTCGACATCAACGGTTCGCCCATCAACCCCTACTCCCGTGTGTACCCCGAAGAGATGATCTCCACCGGTATCTCCGCCATCGACACCATGAACTCCGTCGCCCGTGGTCAAAAGATCCCCATCTTCTCTGCATCTGGTCTCCCACACAACGAAATCGCCGCCCAGATTTGCAGACAAGCAGGTCTCGTCCACCAGCCCAACAAGGGTGTCCATGACGGCCACGAGGACAATTTCTCCATCGTCTTCGGTGCCATGGGTGTCAACTTGGAAACCAGCCGCTTCTTCACCAAGGACTTCGAAGAGAACGGCAGCATGGAGCGGGTCACGCTGTTCCTGAACTTGGCCAACGATCCCACCATCGAGCGTATCATCACTCCTCGTCTCGCCCTCACCACCGCCGAGTACTATGCCTACCAATTGGAGAAGCACGTCCTAGTCATTCTCACGGATCTTACATCTTACTGTGACGCTCTCCGTGAGGTGTCTGCCGCCAGAGAAGAAGTGCCAGGTCGTCGTGGTTACCCAGGTTACATGTACACTGATTTGTCTACCATCTACGAGCGTGCCGGACGTGTGGAGGGACGAAATGGCTCTATCACCCAGATCCCCATCTTGACCATGCCAAACGAGGGTAAACATACCCCATTCCAACCTATATCACCTCACCAACTAACAAATACTAGACATCACCCACCCGATCCCCGACCTGACAGGCTACATCACCGAAGGCCAAATCTACGTCGACCGCGGCCTCGACAACAAAGGCATCTACCCGCCCATCAACGTCCTCCCCTCCCTCTCCCGCCTGATGAAATCCGCCATCGGCGAAGGCCACACGCGCAAAGACCACTCGGACGTCTCTAACCAGCTCTACGCCAAATACGCCATCGGGCGCGACGCCGCGAGCATGAAAGCCGTCGTCGGCGAGGAAGCCCTCTCCGCCGAAGACAAGCTGTCGCTCGAGTTTTTGGACAAATTCGAAAAGACGTACATCAACCAGGGGCCCTATGAGAAGCGCTCGATTTTCGACGGCTTGGATATGGCGTGGGAGTTGTTGCGCATCTATCCCAAGGAGATGCTGAATCGCATTCCGAAGAAGGTCCTCGATCAGTATTATCAGCGGCAGGCGAAGAAGTCTGGGGGTAAGGATACGTTGGATAATGGGGAAGAGGAGCAGCCGAAGCAGAATGGGGAGGCGGAGAATTTGATTGATGCGTAGGTTGGAAGGAGGGGCATGGGTTTTGGTGTGTATTGTCATCGAGAAGCACAAGTAGACTGTTTAGATTGTACGGTATGCAGTGGGCAGCGAGATTTGAGAAAAAGTATATCGGCAGCAACTTGTTGCAAAAAGGAATTTTTCAGTGAACGTTGAAGTAATGGGTTTCTTCGAGTGTGGTCGATGTCAAAAGGAAGCGGGATGTGAGGGACTGGAAAGCTTCGGGCATGCTCTGGCGGGTATAAGAGGAATGGGATGGGCAGACGAGAATCTCATATGTTACAGATCGGCGACTGATGACAGCGCGGCAAAGACTGAAGTTATTCGATCTGAGTCTCGAAGATTTCGAAAAGCATGGAAATGTGCTGGCATTCAATACGCTATATAACGATAAAAAGAACGAAACCAAACATCTGTAGTGCCTCCCTTCAAAGCGACAAGCTGGGTGAGTGCCTTGATCTGTTCTTTCTTGTCAGCAAATATTCTCATCAAAAGACGACGAGGTAAATATGTGCAAAGGACGAGTAGCTGGTGTCAGACATCCAAGGAAGAAATTGGCCCCCATAACACCGTCTAAGTAGGTTCTTGGCGACGGCTCGAGTGAAAACTGCGAATGTGGAAAAGGTTTTCATCATCCAGCTTGTGGTGGTGGGTAGGACACGCGACGTGATGGCGCGTGTCGTGTAGAGGAAAAGCTGTGTACTGACCTCTTGTCAAGGAGCCTCCTGCTCTCTCTTCAACGTTGAAGAGACGAGCGGGAGACGATGGTGGGTGTTCAGCATCGCAGCATCGCAACATGCGAGTGCCAAGCACATGCCCACATCATAAAAGGATCTTTTATATGCCAAATCTTCCGCCAAATCGGAATCGGATGGATTGAGTTGTAATCTGAGACGTCAGAGAAAAGCTTCTGCCGGTGGAAGGAGTCGCTGGTGGTAGTGATGGTGCTACGGATTTGACCTGTTGGACCCAAACTCGGCAGTCAGTACATGTTTCGGCTGCATGTAGGCGAAGGTGTAAATTTGGAAGGGGTCGAGGAAGTGTCAGACGAAGTACTGGCTAGTTACGTCCGCCGTGCGAGGGCGAACGGGACAGATTGGATTTCTTCAAGGGCGGATCTGACGGGAAAAGAAGTAATTTGAGTAGTTGGCATCATTCGGAGAGGGTGGCGAGGGTTGAGGAAGGCTTCGTACATACCGTGAGGGGTGTGTTGTTGGTGTTGTTTGTGGGTGTAGTGAAGTTGTCTCCAGCTTGAGAGAAATGAAATTTATTGAGCAGGTCGGGAGCTCGGACCAGGCAAGCTTAGCGCGGTGGAAGGTAGTCGTGGGAAACTGGCGCACCTCGAACCATAGCGCTGCACGGAAATGAGAATTCAACATCTGGCTTGAGGCGTCGTAAAGACCAAATCAAGGCGGTTCTTTATTCCACGTCCGCGTATGGGCCCATCACAGGAACGGGCCTTCGTACAGATAGACAAGAACGGTAATGCAGTGCGGGCCGAGTCGAACGGATGGCCGTCAGTCCTGCAGCTTTATTTTGAGTCGGTCCGTCCGCTGTTGCAACTTGCCCTCCCCCGTCGTCGTCGTGACCACCGCCCGCTCGCCCAACCACCGCCGCCAACGCTGAGCCCCCGAATACCACAACCACGCCCGCCGCCCAACTTCCACCTCTTCCCCCGCGACCAGACCCTCGCCCCGCCGAAGTCTGCTGCTACTGTTTTACTGACGGGCTACGCTACTTGCGACGTGCGCTGGTGCGCTCTGACTGCCATACCGACTCCGGCATTCATGCGCGCGATTAATCGCCTCACATAAACACTACTGCTACATCTCGCCGCACTCCTCTCACCACCAACCACGATATCGCGCTCTCCATCCAGCGTCCACGCGGTCTACCCTCTCGCCATCCGCCGACGTGTCGCTCGCCGCTTACCCGCTCGCCGGCAAGAGCACGTGGGATGCCAGTCCACTCGTAGGTGCTTCTTTTGCCCTATGCATCTCGAGTCTGGCCTTGAAACAGCTGCTCGACCGCTCCAAGGCCGGCGGCGAGAGTGCGCGCATTCCACATCGCATAATCTAGCCTCGACTTCATATCGCCTGGCACACGGTAGCCCTGCAAGATGATGGCCGCGTATAATCCAACGCCTGGAGGAGGCCACCCGGGTCTTCCTCATGGCCATCCTGGAATGGGCCCAAACCCAGGACAACACATGGGACAGCCGATGCAAATGCATCCGGGCGTTTCGGGCGCCCCACACGTGAGCCAGCCCGGCGCGATGATGGGCATGCAACCTGGCGCGCAGATGGGCCATGGAGGAATGGGAGGGCAGCATCCAGGTGGTATGATGCAGGCGCAGATGGGAGGACAGAGCGTACCCGGAGGCATGCAAAATGCCCAAGGCATGAACCATATGACACCGCAGCAGCACATGCAGCAACAGCAGGCCATAGCTGCACAACGTAAGACTCCCTTTGTCGCCGGACCTGATACGTGACATTGTACCTGCCTATCATTCGCATTTGCGTGCGCGCATGCGAGAGAGGAAGTGTGCTTTGGGTGTTGTGGGATACGAGCTGACAGTTGATTACAGTTCAGGCAAACCCTGCGCTAGCGCAACAGCACCAGATGATGCGGATGCGACAGCAGCAGATGCTCGCGCAACAACAAAACGGCATGATGAATATGCACGGCGGCAATATGCAGTTGACGCCCCAGCAATTGGCCCAGTTGCAGCACCAGCAACAGGCGCAGCAGAACATGCAAGGCGGCAACCAGCCCGTCCAGCTACCTGCGCATCTTGCTCAGCAAATGGCGTTACGACAACAGCAACTGCAACAGGCGCAGGCTCAACAGCAGCAGCATCAAATGGCCCAGCAGATGGCGATGCAGCAGGCAAATTCGCAGCAGAGCAATCAAGGGCAATCAGCCCCACAAGGCCAGCAGGGTACTCCACAGCAGATGCGACCTCAATCTCGAATGGCCAATCCCAACGAGCAAACTCCAAACCAGCAACAACAACATTCTCAGCAAAGTCAAGGCCAGCAAGGCCAGCAGGCTCAACCACAAGGCCCACAGCAAGGTCAACCGGCTCAACAGGCGAACGCTCAACAAGGCCAACAAGCGCAGGGCATGTCATTACAGAGGCAACAGCAACTTGCCATGCTACAACGCGCTCAACGCCAACAAACGCTAGCTGCACAGAATCAACCTGGCCAGGGCGGCATGTTCATCTTGAGGTTGATGAACTTCAGCGATCATCTGAGTAATTTTGATGAAACGACTGGGAAGAACATCAACCAATGGCACAATCTTGTGGAGCGACATTTTGCACAGGAAGGCCGGCTCATACATGGAATCGACATCAATCACCCTTCGTCGGGTGGGCGCCAAAAGCTTTACGAAGTTTTACGCCCATCAATAGCGCGGTACTTCATGACGTACTTCGAGGCCGGCGCGACCTCTATTCGCCTTCACACCGAGCTTGCTCGTGAGGTTCCTCATCCGACGGGAAGCCATCAAGTGACATGTCAAAACGCCATCTTCTCCGTCTCCTACCCCAATGGCATCCGACTCGAGATGATTGGATCGTTACAGGTCCTGTTCTCTGCCGGCAGCGACCAAATCGAGTGCCTCCAATTCCAGACGCTCAACACTGAAGAAGTTCTGACCAGGACCCAGATCGAAAAGGTCTTCAGCGAATTCTCATCGTCCCTACCGACCAAGTCTCCCAAGATGGCTAAGAACAAACTTCCCAAGGCTCAACAAAAGATGCAGGAACAGCAAGAACGGTTGACGATAGACCACTTCCCCAAGGCATCCAAAGGCACCTACGGCATCACGTCGAGAGTGCAACATTTCCTAGAGGTGAGCGACCAAGACCGAAGAACACTTGATTCATGGCCGATCTAACTGGCTCGTAGATTGGTGAAACGATGAACGTCATGTCCGACCTCATGTGGTACGCGCAGGAAAAGAAGCTTCGACCTGAACAAGCCATGGAAGCCCTTATCGCACAGTACGACTCGCAAGCCAACGGCCAGCAGGGAAACCCGCAAATCAATCTTCCTCCGAATGGTGTGCCTCCGGGGCAAAGAACGCCTAGCATGGGCAACATGCAGATGCCGCAGAATGGACCGGGCGGCAACTTTTCATCACCGAACGTGTCAAATCTCAACCTACCGATGCAACCTAACGGCATGAACGGATCGCCGCATATGGGCAACAATCCTGGAAATCTAGCACCGAACATGAACATGCCAAACTCCCACACGCCGTCACCCCATCAAGGAAACATGGCCGCACCGCAAATGATGCCTCAGCACAGCCAGCAAGGAACCAACAGCAGCGTCGCCAGCGCAAGTACGAGTCCCAACATCAACAACTCCAACAAGCGAAGACGAAGTACCGTCAAACTCGAAGGCGACGACGGCGGGGGCGCGGAAGGAAACGCCAACACCAACCGAGTGAAACCCAGTCCTCGCATGAACAAGAAGGCGAAACCCTGACCTCACGACCCCGGCGTTCTGGTTTGACTCTGCTATAAAGGCTAGTTGCGAGGCGCGGGTTCGGTTCGGGTCGGTGCATCTGGTTCAAACGCTATATTTGTGCGGCGGGCGGGGGAGTTTTTCTCTTGAATATTTTGTTGACTACACCCCCATCTTGATACCTCACCCTTGTTGTTGTTTGCTGTTGCTGCTGCGGTTGCTGTTGCTATTCTGCTTTTTGTGTTCGAGAGCGAGGCGTTCTTGATTACAATGCTTGCTTGCACTGCCTTTTTTGCTGCTCTGCGTCGTTCGTCTATCTCTATCCCCCTCAAAAAGGACACCCCAGGGCTGGCTGGTCGTTGGTCGTTTTGGATTTCACGGGTGATCGCGTTGAATTATTACTATCTACGGCCTTCGCCAGCACGAGGAAGGATGAGGAAGGGCAAGCCGGCGCGAGGCGAGGCAGAGTTGGATATACCGCACAGTTAACGGCGGTAAATGTGGTTGTGTTGTTGTGTGCGAAAGCGGGCGTACTACTTGTTCTTGCGAGGGATTTGTTGCGCACAAGAGAGGGCGAGGAGGAAGTGGAAGATAAGAGAAGAGAGAGAGATATCTAACGTAGAGGGTCACAATCAATTGTACAATAAGGTTGTTTTTTTGTTTGAATCACAGACACGCATTCGCGATTTTATCATGACAACACTGTCGTCGCACTCTTAAGTCCCTCCTTCGATGCTTCGTTTACTCTCGCTTCAAGGAAGAGCTATGAACTTCCTTCTCTTCTTTCGTTCGGGAGACTCGATTCCTTTTTCCTGTCTTCGTTCGGCTGGCTCCTTACTCTGTCCCGTTTCGAGCGAGGTAACTTATACGTTCTTGCGAATGCGACAATTGCGGATGTACCGCGGATGCGCCTCCTCCTCCGGACATAAAACATGATGAGATGTTCTTCGAATCCAGGATTACTTGCTGTGAGGGGAAAAGACCCGGGGTTCGGAGCTGGTGGCACCGACTTTCAGTCTTACTTCTTACTTCTTAAGTTGTCTGTGCGAGCAAATCAACGACACCGACTTGACTCGACTCGACTCGATCTAACGACGGGAACGAGAACGAGACGTGTGGCGAAGGTGAGTTAGTGTGGGACCGGATGTTTGATGAGTGATGGGGTTTGGGGTAGAGAGGACGTAAGCTGATGGAGGCAGACCTCGAGCTGAGAACCTTTATCATCATCGTCGTGGACAGAGGAGAGAGGAGATATACCCTCGATATTCCGCCCATCAAAGTGGAAGATTCGTCTCCATTCCTCCTGAGCCGTCTAAGCAGCTTGGGGTGCAATCAGCAGCACTGTCGCTTGTTGAAAAGTCGGAGAGAGGGCAATCACCGAGAACAACCAACTGAGCCGTAAACCTGGAAAGGCAGCCAAGCAGTGAAAAATGTCTCCCTCCCCAACAACCACCGCCATCAACACCCTCACAGCCGTCCACGCGAAATGGTCATCCCTAGCCCCCACCCATCGCATCCTCGCCCTCCTGACCGTCTCCACCCTCTCCCTCCTCGCGGCGAGTTTCTGGCGAAAATACCTCCGCTGGAAAGCCCTCGGCGCAGGAGGACTTCCCTATAGTTTGAAGGGGTATTTGATGAATTTGGTGGTGGAGTGGAGGTTTGCAGAGGGAGATACGGTGGATTTGGGGGTCTATGAGAGGCCCGAGGGGAGGTTTGAGAAGTGGGGGGAGGTTGAGGAGGAGGAGAGGAGGACGGTGAGTGATTTTTCTTTTCCTTGCTGTTTTTGAGCTGATGCTGACTGTTGCTCTGGTGCAGGTGGCGAAAGGGAGATTTCTGAAAGGAGAGTTGAGGGAAAGAGGGGGCGTGAGAGCGAGGGCGAAGAAGTTTGTGATTCCGCAGAGGGAGAAGAGTTTAGCGGAGGTTGGTGTTGAACCTGCGGATGAGAAACTTCGCCAGGTGAGTTCTCCTTCCTACCTTCCCGCGCAGTCTTGGATCCTCAGTGTGGCTGGCTGATGATGAGGATTAATAATGTCCAGGCCTACCTCGATGCTTTCGATGCCCTCCACTCTGCCAACTCCAATATTACGGAATGGCGAACGTCCGTGCTGGAACGCCGCGGTAAGGCTCTGTTTCTCAAGCCATCCATGCCATTACGCACGCTGGATCAGCAGACGCAACGTGAGATCTGCCATATCCACGGCTCAGATCTCTCCGGACACGTCACGTTGTCTCTCGCAGACGCACAAGAGGTTATTGCCAAGGGGTGGGGCGAGAGGCATCGCCTGAGCGGGACGAAAATTCTGCCGTTGGGCTACACGATGATGTATATTCCGAGGTCTGATGAGGAGGTGGAGGTGTACGGGAGGATCTTTCAGGCAGGTATTGAATATTTGGCGTCTGCGGAGTGAGAGGTATATCGATGGGTTGGGTGTAGATCTCCATCGGTGCGGTGAAAGTTTTCTTACGAACAGTCGAATGCGTTGTTCAGTATCGACGTCTGTGGACGGGATTCCGGCTTTCTAGCCTTGGCGGCGTGTAACAAGTTGCAATTGAGCGGAAGAAGATCCTGTTCGTCCAAAGACCAGAGTGAAGGATGACGATTGCTCGGAAGTCTCAACTTCCATGTGAGCCGTGTTGGGTTTTCCTAGCGGCATCTTCCATTGTATCGGTACCTTCGAGCCAGTTTGGAGCGTATGGAGGAGACTTTCGTGCTGATCTATGCGCGTGGTCTATCGATAGGCAGGAACTTTTCTCACCTGAGATCTTGGCCTTATAGGGCGGCAAGCTAAGCTGTCGAATGTGGAGCTCTAGACGACCCATTCTGGCTTGGCATGCCTTTGTCGGGCTCGATCCCGTCGCAGTGGTGTGCTGAAGTCGTGCGGTCATCTATAAGCCCTGCATGTATTTCTTGGTCGTACTGCCAATAGTGATCCTTTGCGGTATACACAGGGATTAACGGCGACACCTGTTTGGCTCGTCTGCGTCCTGCATGAGTTAGCCCTCTATTTCAAATGTTCCTTGGTCGTACGTGGCCGGATGGGGTTGCAGTCGATCTGATGCAGCGCAGTCAGTGCATCTCCGGTTGGCCACAGTTCGTCGTGCTCTCCAGCACGCATGCATACGCAAGCCGCGATGATCGTCCAGTGAGCCGGTGGCGCACGCCATTTTGGCCTCGAACGGCAAGAATGACAAGAGTCAGCATGCAGCGCATCGAGTATGGATGTCCATCATAGCGACAGTGGAGGTGTGTAGCAGTGTAGGCATCACCAACGATAGAGCCATCTGGTAACTTGTGTGCGCACATTACGGAGATTGGTTGCTGCTTTGCGCTCCACGAAGGAAGACTTTTCTCCATGCGCTAGCACGGCATCCACCCGACCGGGGTAAGCCAAGCTTTTAGCCAAGATTTACCAAGCTTTTGCCAAGCATTGGTGCTCTACCTCACATCAAGCCCGTCAAAACACGGGGACGCTGCGAGGTATTTTCTACCCCGACTACGTACTCTTCACCGGCCAAACTTCAGCATCAATCGCTAACGATACCCGTCGTCCCAGGACACCTGGAATGAGCCGTCATGCTGCCAGCAAAACGGAATCCCCGAAGCCCTTGCAACGGCAAGACAGCGGCCCCGTGTCACGGTGGCATAGCCCTACTAAGCCTCCGTGGAGATGCTACCAAAACGGACACCGCAGCTTTTTATAATGCGCAGCCGTCTCGATGCAAAGGGAACCGTCCACGCCATTGAGTGTACATGTCATACAACGCCGTGTCCCTCCTGCTTGGACGGCGGCTGAGCGTTGGAAGCATGCACGTGGTAAATCTGGCTCGAGCTAAACTCGGCTATTGACGCGTGTGCAAAGTTTCGTATAGGCTCCCGTCAGAACTGTAGCAACTGCAAGATGCATCTCGCATGTTTTCGGTTCATCAGTGCATTGCCATTACCTAACTGCAACACGAACTGGTCGACATCAGACTATGTGGACGCAAGGGCAGCAACACTTCACTGACGACTGAATCCACAATTCTCACATCATGCATGCTGGAATGCAAATTTTGCACTCGTAATGGTGCACTCGTGCTGCAAGCCACGAAGGCGACAGGCCTGGCCGCGGTTATGGTTTGAGATGAACACTAAACAAGTCAGCTCACTGGTCATCTCGCCAGAGGGGAGTGCCTCATCCGGGATAGTACCTTATGACCCTTTGGTTTATGAAACTGCCGGGACACGTAATACGGGGCTACAAAGCCTCAGTCCCCCAGGCGCGCTCACTACAGATGGTTCTTGGTTCCTGAACACTTCCTTGTCTCGTACTGGGTCCACTCTTATCGTGCGTATACATTGATACAACCTGCCTGAGGTCGATTTTCTCCGATACGATACATCACCGAGGATCGCTCCATTTTGCCATTTGATCATTCTACCTCTCTCTGGAGGGGACCATATCAATGATTCCGCCAGTCAGAGCCAGTTCTGATTTGACTCTCGACGACCCTCGAGTACTCAGAGGGACCAGTACTCTTCGGACTGCACCTAATCCACCATCATCGGCAACAACACTCCCACAACTCTTCGCCCACTGGGCAAGGCGACAACCTAACAGTGTCGCCTACTCCTGCCAAACGGACCATGGACGCAAGGAGGTAACATTTGCTGAGGCAGACGCCATCGCCTCGTCGTTAGCAGTCCAACTCGCACAACTCCATCCAGACAGACATGCCAGCGACAAGGCTCCAGTGGTCGCCATCTGGCTCGAGAAGGGTCTCGACCTGATCCTCAGCATACTAGCGACAACATACTCTGGCGCAACATGGCTTCCCTTTGACCCAGATGTTCCGGTCGACCGTGCAGCTGTTTGTGTCCTGGACGCATCAGCGTGTGCCATCATCTGCGATGCAGCGCATTTGGACCGAGTTCGTGAGGTTGAAGAGCGTGTGGCTCCAACTCTTGCAGCCACTGGCAAGACCGCATTACACGTTCGCACCTTCGATGACCTCTCAACCAACGTTGGAGAGTCGTCATCAACACTGTCTCTCACAGCTCTTGCCGGACCAAGCCCACGAGACGCAGCATACTTGATCTACACATCAGGTACGACGGGGACACCCAAAGGTATCGCCATACCGCACTCTGCGGCCCTGACCTTCTCCTTGAGTGAAAGGGAGGTCCTCCAGACCAGCCCCGGCGATATTGTATGGAATGGCTTCAGCCCGGCATTCGATATGTTCGTGGAGGAGATGTGGATCACTGTCGCTGGTGGAGGCCATCTAGCAATCGGGACACGAGAGGAGTGCAGAGACGTGGGTGGTCTACCAAAGATCTGGGAAGCCCGGGGAGTCTCAGTCGTCAATGCTGTTCCCACTTTGATCGGCATCATGTGCATCTCACAAGCCGACAGCGACTCATACCTCATCCCGCCATCGATACGACTCATCAACCTTGGTGGTGAGGCATGCCCGCCTTCGTTAGTCGATCGTCTCTCGAGACCGGGCCTGCGGATCGTGAACACATATGGTCCAACAGAGACCACGGTCACTGCGACCTGGGATGAGCTGCAACCAGGGGTACCAGTCACGATCGGTAGGCCACTGCCATCATACCATGCCTGCATATTACCAATATCGGACGACGGAGTACCGGTACCTCTGGAGCCCTTAGAGTTGGGCGAGGGTGTCGAAGGAGAACTAGCGATCGGTGGTCCATGTGTTGGACTGGGCTACGTGGGCCGGACAGAGCTAACAGCACAAAAGTTCATTCAACACCCTCTCGCACCAAACAGTGGAGAGCGATTATATCAGACAGGAGACAGAGTCAAGCTGCAGGCCGACTTGAAGATTGTCTTCCTTGGCCGTATCGATACTCAAGTCAAGCACCGTGGATTCCGCGTCGAACTCGGCGAGATCGAGTCACGACTGAGCAGCCATCCAGACGTTCAAGCTGCAGCAGTCATATTGGCCAACGCGGGATCGGAGGCAGCTCGTCTGGAAGCCTTTGTGGTGATCAGGCCCGAGACTGTTCAGGACGTAGCCTCGATCAACCAGCTTGCGTCGCAGCATCTACCGTCTTACATGCGACCAGAGGAAGTCTACTTCCTGAATGCCAATGAGATGCCGAGACTACCCAGCGGAAAGATCAACTCGAAGGCATTGCATGAGTTGTCTGTCCGGAAAGCCGCAGAGATCTCGGCTTTGGCGCAAGTCGGAAAGGATGTCTCGGAGTCGATCAGTGGCATTGACGAGAGTAGCGCCCTTGGGATACTATTGACAACGCTGGCATCGGTCCTCAAGCATCCCAGCCACATCGATCCAGAAGCCGACTTCTTCAACGACCTGGGTGGTCATTCACTCGTGGCAGCCATGCTAGTATCACGCCTGCGGAAAGAGCCGATGTTCGCCTCCATGGGTCTACCCGATATCTACGAAGGCCGCACTCCATCCAACATCGCCGCACGGTTCGCCGTCTCGGAAGATGGTCAGAGCAGCACCATCGCAGGCTCTGAAGACTTCGACGAGGGCGAAGACACTGGTCCACAGACTGGAGATTTCTGGACATTCTCACAGACTAGATTCGTTCTCTGCGGCCTCGCACAGCTTATCCCGCTGCTCTTCCTCTTCTTCGTCTACTCCATCGAGATCCTGGTTCCATATCTATTGTTCGACTTCTTCATTCGAGACCGTGAAAGCATTGGCTACGCACTCTTGGCCGCATATGCCGTCTTCGTCGCTCTACCACCGGCAATGGGGTTGATCGCCATCGTCGGCAAGTGGCTGGTGCTTGGCAAGGCCAAAGAAGGAGAGTATCCCCTTTACGGGGTATACTACTTCCGCTGGTGGCTGGCTTCACGATTTGCTGCCCTCGCCAACCCCAAGCTCATTGCGGATTCGCCGCTCTACCCGTTCTTCTTGCGAGCTATGGGAGCCAAGATTGGTCGATACTGTCACCTAGGCGCTATGGGTATTGGTGCCTGCTGCGATCTTGTGGAGATTGGAGACGATGTGATCGTTGGCTCGGATGTCATCCTCTCAGTCAGTGTCGTGGAAAGAGGGAGATTGGTCCTCAAGAAGGTGACCATTGGCAACGAGGCCAGAATCGGCTCCAACACTGTCATCGAAGGCGGTGCTGTTGTGGATGAAGGCGCCGATGTTGGCCCCCTTTCCATGGTCCCAGACGGCATGCGCATACCGAGCTTCCAACGCTTCCACGGCTCTCCAGCACGATTCGACCGCGAGCTCAAGCACGACGAGATCGGCATTGCAAAACCCTCCCGCCCTTCGAAAGCTCGCTCGTTTGCGATGTGTCTTGGCCACACGTTCATCACGGTCTTATTACTTCCGCTGCTCTACCTCGTGCCGCAGATTCCAGGTCTGATGCTCTTCAACGTGGTCGATCTGCGCTCCGTGGGCCAGTGGGGACAGGTCGCCATCTTGTCGCTGCCTATTGCCTTCGCATACCAACTTCTACTCTTCTTCCAGCTGATTATCTTCCGCCGCGTCGTACTCGGGGTCATGCGAGAAGGCACGTACCGCCTTTACAGCCAATGGTACCTGCGGAAGTGGTTCATCGACAGACTCATGGATCTGGCTCTGGACGTGCTGCATCCCGTCTTCGCGACGCTCTATATCGTCCCCTTCCTTCGCGCTCTTGGCGTCAAAATCGGCAATCGCGCTGAGATCTCGACGGCTCGTGGCCTCAACTTCGAGCTCCTCGAAGTGGGCGAAGAGTCTTTCGTCGCCGATGCCGTCCTGCTCGGTGACGTGAAGATCCGAGGCAACGAGCTGACGCTCAAGAAGACGAAGCTTGAATCACGAGCTTTCGCCGGCAACGTCTCTCTGCTCCCAGGAGGCACAACACTAGCGTCAGGAACCCTCGTAGGAGTCCTCTCAATCGCACCACCACCTGAAAAGCCCCTCCCCAGCGGAACCTCTTGCTTTGGGTCACCACCAGTCCTCATGCCCGCCCGTCAGCGCGCCACCGGCCATGCTGACAACCTTCTCTTCCGCCCCTCCAAAGGCCGCATCGCAGCTCGCCTCGCGATCGAAGGAATCCGCATCGTCCTCCCTCGCGCCCTCATCATCTTCGGCCTGGGCTTCTCCCTCCAAGTCGCATACCTCGGCTACAGCGGCATCGGCGCCGTCAACACCCTCCTGATGCTGCCCCTTTTCTACTTCATCATGTTCGCCCTCCCCGCCCTCTTCATCACCGTGGCTTTGAAATGGCTCCTCATCGGCGCCTACAAACCCGCCGAATGGCCCCTCTGGTCCCTCAACGTCTGGCTGAGCGAGTTCATCACCAGCACCTACGAGACAATCACCGTGCCTCTCCTCACGAACATGCTTGTCGGCACGCCCTACCTCGCCATGTGCTTCCGCCTCTTCGGCGTCAAGATCGGCAAGCGCGTCACGATGCTGCACAGCGACATCACCGAGCACGACTGCGTGACCATCGGCGACGAAGCCATCGTCAACCAGCTCTGCGGGGCGCAGACGCATCTCTTCGAAGACCGTATCATGAAGATCGGGAATATCGATTTCGGGAGGAGGAGTTGTATCAAGCCTTACTCCATCTGTCTTCCTGGAAGCTCCCTCTCGGACGGGGCACAGCTTGGCAGTCTGTCCCTAGTCATGAAGGGCGAGACGTTGCCTGATAATACGGCTTGGGAGGGCGCTCCTGTTGTGCCAAGGGCGAAGAGGAGGAGAGGTCCTCTGCCAGCAGTATGCACCAACTCGTCGACCTCGCAAAGAACTTTGAGGGGCGGAAGCGAGTGCTCCGTGGAGGAGGAAAAAGTTGGTTCGAGTAAGGCTTCGACGGTGGTTGAAGGTCGGGCGACTCGGTAATATTGTTTGCTGTTTTACGGAAAAGTAACTTACATTTGACATTTAGCATTGGATTGATGGTCGTTTTGTGAATTGCATAATGGAAAAAGCAACAAAAGATCTGGGCATTTCTGGGTTTGATGGGGTTTTTGAGTACGCAGCAATCGTTGTCGTTTCCCTTGTGTTGTTCATGAGCTTAGGAGATACCAGTCTGAACGAGCATTTCCCTTACCTGTGACTGCATTCCTCTCACATCCAATACAAAGCATTCATATTCCCTCCGCCACGATCCTGAGAAACCATCCATCCGCTCTTCTCGTCCAGCATTTTCGCCCATCTCTTCTCTGCCGCGGACCATGCTTCCAGCGTGTCAATTCTCGCAAAGTACTCGTCAACTTCAAGTCCATCCACCAGGAAAGGTCCCCGCGCTTCGCAAAAATCTACTAGAATGTGGTTTGTGAAGCTCCTCACCGCTTGGCAGGACATCTCCCGATGATAGTTCGTGAGGGCGACGTTCTGGCCGTTTTGATCCACAGCCTCGTCCTCGCCGTCATCGATCCGGTTGTAAGCGCGACAGAAGAATTGCGTACACTGCCGGAACCAATCTTCCTCGCCTCTACCCGTCGGGAGATCCCCCCCTCTGTACTTCGGCAACGTATGCAACACGAAATCCCCCTTCAACGTCGATGTCTTAACCTCCTCAGGAGATCTCAGGACGAGAGACGCCATGGTCTCGACGACCATCAGCACGGATCGCGAAGCGGGGGACCAGACGTCGTAGATATCGCCGCTGAATCGACCGTCTCGCGGGAAGGGACTCAGCAGTGGTGTGTCCCAGTAGACTGAAGGAGGGCGGAAGGGAAAGTCGGAGGGGAAGATGAGGTGCCCCGAATGCTTTCCCGGGTAGAAGGTTGCGTTGGGGGCGATGATGGTCCAGTCGGCGCGGTTGTCGCCTTCAGAGCTGGGAAGGGTGAGGTATAGCTTTGTGGACGGATCGCCTGTGTACTCGGCCATGAAAGTGCCGCCGGCGAAGAGTTTGAGGTTTGCGTCGACGCTGTCTGGTGGACAGTCGAATTCGTCGACTAGAGTCCAGCCGGATTCGGCGCTGCGGTCTTTGATGGATCGTCTCATGAAGCGGAGCGTGTTCGCGTGCATAGACACTCGACGGGGTTCTTCTTGTGGCTTTGGTATTTCGTTGTTCCTCGCGTGGCCCAGCTCTTGAAGTTGAGAGATAGCAGTAAGGAGACGATTTCTTGCTCCAGCCTTTCGCTCCCCGTAATTCGCCCCTGGTGTGACTCCGAAGATCCCGTAGAGAGCGTAGGACATATCCTCCTCTCGCGTGGTGGTCCTTCCTTCCATCCACTTCAATCTCTCATCGATGCTGAAGCCCAGACTTGTCTTGTAGTCCGAAAGCGCCTGCAAGGGAATGCCTGTGATCTGTTCAACGTCTCGATCTAGATTCGGGCCAACGTTCACCGCGTCACTTCGCAACCCCTTGAATCCCAACAGCTCCCACACCCTCGTGACGAAGATAAGCGTTCGAGGCGCAACTAGCTCCTGTAGCGTCCAACCCCTTTTGAACCACTCACTTTCCCCAAGGTCGCCCGCATCGGCGACATCCGCGAGATACGCAATGCAGATATGCGAGTTTCGATACCATTCGAACATCAAGTTCACCGCTTCTGAAAGCTCGGCCGCGCTGTCTTGGTTGATACAGCAGGTATCGATCCATAACCATTCCACATCAGGAACGTGGTTTCGCACATACGTAGCGAAGGCTTCGACTTTTTTGTAACCGACACCATCTCTGTCTCGTTTCTTCATGAAATTTCTGAACGTCGTCTCGCCTCCGTTCATCCACCGGTGAGAGGCTGCTACATATTCTGGTGCTTCATCGTTGGGAAACTCGGTCAGTTCGAGAGTGTTGACGTTGACGAGTCTCATGTCGTTCAAACAGCGCTCTATGTTTCAAAGTCTGCATGATGAGGAGGGAAGACGATCGCTTCGATGCTCTGTGGTGTGATCAGGTGAGGTCTTGGTAAGGGGCTGCGACAGCTGCAGCGCTGCGACCACCGTGGCGTCTAGGCGAAGTGCCACAAGGAGGCCACATCGAAAACAGACATCAATCACCAGCGCAGGGCAGCAAATTATCAGCAAGTGTGCAGCCTGCCAAGGCAATAAAGACACCCAATTCCCTTGAGTAGCAAGGTAAAGTCGAGAAGCTCTTGTCATGAATCCTTCTGAGGCTGGAACGGGAAGCTGAACGATTCTGGTACGATTGTTAGGTAGCATAATGGAGTCGACGCAATTAAGTGGACGCCGCACCTTGCCACAATGCCGGGACCACAAGGCGCGGAAAAGCTGCTTCATTTGTCAGCGCAGAGGGAACAATACCCGAGACCATAGCCTATATCTTCAGTGTTTCATCAGAACATCAACAAAGACTCCTGTTATCTGTCGTTTATTTTCTGGACCCAGTGGGAGGAAAGCAGTCATGTCTCACCTGCAATACTATCACTACAAGGGATGGGGTGAAAAAGCTAGAGAAGTCCACGGCTACAGCCAAGCGGTCAGAGTAGGCGACAGAATCGAATGTGCCGGTCAAGGTAGGCCAAGAGCTTCGAAATGCCGTTCTCGACAAGATGAGTTGGATCTGATAAAGCATCAGGCGGTTGGCACCCGGAGACCTTCAAATTCTACCGCGAAATCAACGCCCAGATCGACCAAGCCTTCGAGAATGTCGAGCGCAACTTGAAGGACGCCGGTGGCAAAGGTTGGGAGCAGGTCTTCAGGGTCAACTCGTATCATGTGCCGATCAATAACGAGGCATTGGAGGCCATGACGAGGAATTTCAAGAAGTGGATGCCCAATCATAAGCCGATTTGGACTTGTGTTGGGGTGACGAGGTTGGGCGAGGATGATATGAGGGTGGAGATTGAGGTTGTTGCGCATGATCCGGAGGGAGCTGCGAAGGCGTCGTCTTCGTAGATGGTCGGGTCGTCTGTGTGTTGTAGCCAAGGAGCCACGTTTCGATGAGTGCGTGTTCCGGAAGAGAATCGCGCATCGCAATGGCATCCAGTGTATGAAATGAGGGCAAAAACATAGCAGCAACTTCTTAGTGAGGTGGATAAGATATTTTCTTCAATATCCGTGCAAATTAAAGAGGTGAAGTGAATGTTTTGCTTTCAGGACAGGAGAAAGGATTCTGGAGTCGTGATCAAATATCTGCGCTCGCTTGCTGAGACTTCTGGCACACACACAAATAGCAAAATGGTGCCGCCAAGCACGAACTTTTGGAGAAGCGGGCATCTTCGTTCCAACACCACCTCGACTGCGCTCTGCACACCTCACGCCGGACTACTAACCAAAGGTAAGACAATGATATTTGGAGAGCACGCTGGACGTTTCTCGCTACTGTTGCTGCTTTTGCCGCGCGATCTCGACTTCAAGAGCTGGGAGCAAGATGATGGATGGGACTGGGCACATGAGAGGGACTCTGGATCCTCTGCAAGCATGCTTTGAGGGAATCAGAACGGCAACATGGGAAACACGAAGAGAGATACGGAGAGGATGGGTCATTGCCATACACCTCATAGATCAACTGCGTGCAGATGCGATCGGCTGGTGGCATGACTGTCTGCAACTGGCAGCGAAGCACGCTTGGACAAAGCATTGGCAGCAACAGCAGCGAGAGGCTTAGTGCCTATCACGACACAAGCACACATGCTGATCCGATTTTACAGAGCTCCAAGCAGTAGCCCAAGATGCAGTCGCAAACCGCCCCGGCTCAGGCCATGAGCGGCCTCAACATCTCCAAGCGCAGAAAGTTCGTCGCCGACGGTGTCTTCTACGCCGAGCTCAACGAGTTCTTCCAGCGCGAGTTGGCTGAGGAGGGTTACTCCGGTGTCGAGGTCCGCGTCACCCCAACCGTCACCGACATCATCATCCGCGCAACGCACACTCAGGAGGTTCTTGGAGAGCAGGGTCGCCGAATCCGTGAGGTATGAGAAGAGACGACGAACCTGGTATGACCCTCGACTGACAACACACAGCTCACCAGCTTGATCACCCACCGTTTCCGCTTCCCTCCGGACTCTGTCTCTCTCTACGCAGCCAAGGTCCAGTCTCGTGGTCTCTCCGCCGTCGCTCAGTGCGAGTCCCTCCGCTACAAGCTCCTCAACGGTCTTGCCGTCCGTCGTGCATGCTACGGTGTGCTCCGCTTCATCATGGAGTCCGGTGCCAAGGGTTGCGAGGTCGTCGTTTCTGGCAAGCTCCGTGCTGCGCGTGCCAAGTCCATGAAGTTCACCGACGGCTTCATGATCCACTCCGGTCAGCCAGCCAAGGACTTCATCGACTCCGCCACTCGCCACGTTCTCCTCCGACAAGGTGTGCTCGGTATCAAGGTCAAGATCATGCGCGCCTCTTCCTCCCCATCAGACCCAGCCGGCGAGAAGTCTGGCGGCAAGGGTCTCCCCGACTCCGTCACCATCATCGAGCCCAAGGAGGAGCAGCCAATCCTCGCACCAAGCTCTCAAGACTACGGCGCCAAGGCCGCTCAGGCCCAGCAATACGCACAGCAACAGGCTGCGCAGGGAGAGGAGGCCGCTGAGGATGGTGCTCCACCAGCGCAGGAGTACTGAGTGTAACGTCATGGTCACGGAAATCGGAGTTGGCACGAAAGGAAGCGTTTTGAAAGGATTTCTATTTGCTTCAGGCCGGACAGCGCTTTTGTAGCGGTTCACGGCAATAACGAAAGCCAAAGTCTTCAATACCCACACATTTCACTTCCTTTGATGAAGTCTGCCTGCATCATGACAACTATAGCTCCTCCCCCAACATCTGCAGTAACTTCGCCAGCACTGTTTGCGGTATAGGCTTTGCAATTGATCACGTCCACAACAGAGCTGTTTGGTGAGAAGCCTCCGCCGATGGTGGTGTATGTCCCTCGTGGTTGACCAACACCCGCGAACGTGAGGATGAATCGCATGACGTCCTTGCGAATGGCGATCTGGGTGTCAGAATAGTTGAGCACGACATTCTTGTAATGTGTATAGCCCTCAGAGTCTGGACAAGCACGTCAGCACAATCGTCTCAAACGCCGCTGTGGCCTTGCCCATGTTCTACTGACGCTGCACCGTCCAAGTCCGGATCTGATTCAGATACGCCGTAGTATTGTGCAATTGGCTTGTGTTGTCGTACGAGCCGTTCTCGGCCAGCCACATCGCCTCTCGAGAGCCCGGGTCATCCCCTCCCGCCAGGTGCTGCTCCTGGCCTTGATAGATGATGGGGATGCCGTCTGTCAGGATCGTCCAGGCGATAGCGTTGGCGGCGACGCTCATGTCGGGGTTGTGACAGGCGATGCGGGGGTTGTCGTCTGATTCAGCATTAGTGTTTGGGGGTTGTAAATGGGTCGAGGGACTTACGGTTCTCGGTGAATGTTCCGTGAAAGTTGCTGTCGATGCTGTTGTTGCGGTCGAGGTAGATGTTATACGCAAGTTTTTCGGTGCTGGAGAAGCCGTTGTAGATGAAGGTTTCGTTGAAGGAGAAGTAGAGGGGGTAGTTGATTATGCCGCCTCCATTCAGGACTTGTTGGTAGGGGTAAGAGTCTGGAGGGTTGTTAGTATGTACTCGTTTCTGAAGGGGTAGGGATGTGCGTACAGTCTGGGTCGTTGTTGCTTAGCTACTTCGTCGTCAGTTGGAGATAGTTTTGTATTTGGAGTGGGTGACTTTCGTACCTCTCCTAGACAGTAGACACCGGCAGCTTCGCAGAATGGTGGCATGGAGGCTTTATTGACATTTTTCACGGAATCAATGCGAAGACCGTCGATACTGTAGTTTGCAACAAGCTGAGAGATCCAAGTAGAATAGGCATCGATGACGTTTTGGTCCTCCGTTCGCACGTCAGGGAGATTGCTATAGAGCCAGCAGATCTCTGCAGATGTTTGATTGTCGTAGTCAATCTCGCTGTTCCATGTCAGTAGGTTTGTTTTGTATATCTGAGATCGTACGCTGTACCAGTATGGATGGAAGTAGGACTCATCATCGAAGGGATAATACTGCGAGTAATCGACGCTTGGGTCATTTTCCACCGAGCCGAAGTGATTCGTCACAATATCCACCATGAGATACATGTCTCGCTCGTGCAAGGCATCAGAAAGGTCTTTGAGATCCTGCTCAGTGCCAAAGTTCTCATTTAGAGCGTAGAGATCGGTCTGATAGTAGCCGTGGTAGCCTGTTGGAATGTTCTTGGTAATCGGCGATATCCAGATGGCGTTGAAGCCCATGTCGTAGATGTATTCGAGCTTCTGCTCGATGCCTTTCCAGGTACCGCCGCAGTACTCGTTCTTGCTCACATCGCAGGGTGATGTGAGGTTGTTGTCTGTTCGGGCGAACCTGTCGGTTAGGATTTGGTAGATTCTGTTGATGTCAGATTACATTGTTTGAGCCCGTGTGAGCTCCGCTTACGATCGGCCTCGCCATTCATCTGGACTTCTGGCAAGAGACGTCGTAATGTGGGCCAAAAGATAACAGAACGCCAAGGGAAGATGCATGACGGTCAAGAAATGGGAAAAGCGTAGTGGTAACTGCCTCTGCTTCCTAAGTCCTCTTTACCTACTGAACATGTACTGTGCATTCGCCATCCTCGGAACTCGAGCTGACGGCGAACATGACGATTATAGAAGGTAGCTCGTCATGGTCGCAGCGCTACAGTCATGTGGCATGCTGGCCTGCAGGTTGCTCTGGAGTCCGCCAGCTCCAGGTGTCAATATTACTGGCCCGTCCACGTAGCTTGGGATAACAAGGGAGTCGTAGCTGTTTGTCAGTCTGCTATGGAAGAATGGAGTTGGCTCGCATGTCTTTCAGGTACGGATGTATCGTCTCAAGAGATCCGAGAGACAGGAGACGGGAGATGGGGTCGCAATAGAGTTCCGAAAAAACGCTAGTCGGGAGCAGCCGTCACAATCCGTGCACCTGCGCCTAGGATCCTCTTCGATTCTTGGACGTCAACAGACACGCGACTTCTACCCAACATCAAAACATCCTCCTCAAAGTCCTCCTCTTGAGCCCATCGACTCGTCATTTCATTCGCGTCAGCTTCTGTGCTGTCACCACAGACTTCACATCTGCTCAACATCCGGTATTATTCGCGAAGTCAAGGAACGCGTACTTGCATGCATTAAGCATGCTGCCCGACGAAATGAACCCAAGTACGGCTTCGCCCGCATCTGCTCGTTTGCACCCCAACAACCAGCATCGTCGTGTGCTGGGAGATGTGTCCCCCAATGTCAGGCCTGCGGCACCGACTGGCACATCCGGAGGCAAAATGTTGTCGGGAAGTCCACTCAAACGCAGCTTTACCGCGGCCATGGAGGGCGGCCAAGGCTTCCGCTATCTCAAGAAGCGAAAGTTCTCTATCGACTCCCCGTTGAGTCAGATGATGACGTCCGAGGAGGCGGCAGTCGCGCAGGATATCAAAATCGAACCAGGCCACGCACATCCACCCAGTACTATCGATCATGTAAGTCTTATGGGATTCCAAATGTCTATGGCTTTGAGCTTATGTCATACGCAAGGACAATGTGCCTATGATACTGCAACTCGATCCTACACGGCCAAACACGCCCGCCAGTTCAGCCAACGGGGACGAAGACGGTCAGGAATCCTCGGCCGACCGCAGATCATTCTCCTCGTTGATCAATTATGATCCATCCTCACAAACAGCACCGAGTTCTCAGCAGCCATCCGGCCTTGTGTTCAACGGGCCATCTTACGCCGAAGTACTTAGGCTACGACTCCGTCTAGCGCATTTCAAAGTCCGAACAAATCAAATCCACGTGCCGTTAAGCGACCTGCACGTGGAGGAGGATGAGCAGGAACCGTCAGCCTCCAAAGATGCAATTGCAGGATTACAGATGGAAGAAGAGCCAACCGCATCACACCATTATGCGCCGAAACTACTACCCGCTCCAATCCTACGCCCAACTCCGTACAGCAGTCGTGTGATCTACGACATTCCTGAGCCGTGCTCTCCACCACCGGCTGACTCACCGGATAAGCTGCCGTATGGCTCAACTCTCTCGACTCCAAACAGCACCAGAAGGACCGGCCCCGACGAACAGGAGCTGACAAGCAGCATTGTCAAAGGGCGCGTGGCTGAGGGACTGCTAGGCCTTAGGAACGCGTTCTAACATGGCATTACCTGAGATTGGGCCGAAAATATTCGCATCATATGCGAGGTCCAATGTCTCGGTCATGCGGCCCGTTTGCTTGTAACGAGAGGCGAAGCCGCCTTCTGCGAGCGCTGCGATCGCCTCTTGCGTGGCCGACATGTCCATGCACTGGGGATGCGCTCTTGCAACATCCATGGTGACGGCTGAGATATCCAGTGCGCTTACGATATCGATCTCAGTGAGCATGGACGGACTTGCTGGCGTCGAAGGGCTACCGCTATCTGCAATGACGTGAGCTACTTGTTCAAAATCGTAGCTCGCGCGAACATTCACGATTGCTCGCAACTGTTCTCACGGATCTGTCACAATCGCACCTGCTCTGATCCGACTCAAGTCTGTCTCATGAAGTCCATATCGCTCGGCGATGGTGTCCAATCTTCCATTCAGCCACTTGCGCTGAAGAATTGAGATGCATCTCATTTGAGCCGAAACGTAGAGCGGCCAGATGAGGAAGTATGCACCGCGTTGTTTTCCTGGGTCGAAAATCAGCCAACGTCGCAGACATGGTAGAAAGACCTACCGGGCGCCTCTGCTCTCTGCTTTGCGCTCGCCGATGCTGGTTTCTGGTTGCTATAGCCTAAGTTGAAAGGCACAGAAGCCGCAATGTCATCCACCAGATACTGGACACGATACACAGCGGCTCTGTACCGTCTGTCTTCCTTGTAATTATCTGGATCCAGCCATCTCAACGCACCGATCACCACGTTGGAACAGAGCAGCTGGCTGACTCTGTTGTTGTTACGAATACTGGCAGTGTGCACATCTCGATAATCATGGACCGGACCCGGCCACAACTCAGTGGCCTTGACATTCTCGTCGCGAGGGACTGCCGTAACATGCATCACTGACTTGTACCCGAATTGAGCCGGCATGTTCATATCCCATCGGTAGAGCTCGTTCTGGAGATCGTACGCCTCTCGGAGCAGCTCGTCCACCTGAACGAATGTCAGCGCGTGCCTACTACAACGCCGTCATCTCCACATACCTGCTGGAATGTGGTAGGAGTGCGCTGAATGTCTTCATCCAACAACGTCTTTGCTCTTGATAGGACGCCCGGCATTTTCATGCTACTCTTTATGCTGCAAATGGAGCCCTTGCTTGAATCGCTCGTCCAGCCCTCAGGACCAGGAAAGTCGCCAATTGATTCTCGTCGCTGGATTGCGTCCATTAGCATCTGGGTCCTCGTCGCACGGAACAAGACCAGAGATTGCGGATCTTCGAATTGAGCTGTGCCTCTCGCCTTTGCGATGCTTACGGCGCCTTGGACGTGTTTGCTCCAATTCTCTATCGAAGGAGAGCTGACGGACTCGTACAGCTTGTACGCAATCAGCATGCGTCGTCAACTACCCTTTTTTTCACTTACCGCAAAGAGCAGAATCGTGAGGAGTGTCTCGTCGGTCAGAGCTTGCTGAGAATCATTGATCGCCTGCTGCGTCGCCTGCAACGCTATGCCGTACAATCGATCTGCATGCTCAAACAAATCCCTGCTCCTCCCAGGCATTGTTGCAACAGTCCTCACCGCAATCGCCTCTGTGGCCATGTGCAATGGAGACCGACTTGGCGACGCTAAAAACAGCGGGATCAAGACATCGAAGAAGCCATTGCTTGACCCCGAGGCGCTGGGGCGCGAGACAACGTTGCTGAAGAAGTATGCGATGGATACATTCTCGACAGATGGATTGAAGTTCACCTCTCTGAGGGCATCCCAAGTCGCTACGGCGGACAGCTGCGTCGGTTCCTCTTGTGTAACCGCTTGCGCTTGAGGATCATTGCTGGAGCCACTCGCTTGTCGAGACAATGTCGGGTCAAGAGTTTCTTGTGTGGGAGACTTCGGCGTTGAGCTTGCCGATTGACGACGCGAACTGCTAGCCTGAGAGCCGCGTTGTTTCTTTCCTCGTGTCGCCTTGCGCGTGACATTCGCTGTTTCGTGTTTGAAGAGGAGGTCGAGTTGATCGGGATAGCCAGGACATTCGCGACCGAGTTTGATGCAGTTCATGCAACTTGGTTTCGTCTCGTCACACTGCCCAAAGGATCAGTCAACAAGGCATTGCACCCATTTCGACCATGCTGTCTCACCTTCTTGCGTCGCTCCCTGCAGCGGGTGCACCCAGACGAAGGCTTGCCACTGTACACCATGTTTCAAGCCTGTGTTACTTGTACTGAACAGCACTATGTTACTGATGACAAGTCAGGAGAAGAAGGATGATATGAGCAAACGCCAAAAACCAAAGACGCGGAAAGGATTTGATACAGCAGAGCAGCCACATCCGAACTTGTCCAGTGAAGCGCACTTGATGGTTATTATACTGACCGGCATGATATCCCAGAGCGGCGCCGACGTGTGCTCTCATGCGAGCCTCAATGGTGGAGAGGATCTGGACCCTCACCAATACCTGTGCATGCACAGATTTGTCTAGGGCTGTACGCGGAATCAAGGCAGCACCAACACTGCAACAACACCAGCCTTAAACCCAATCCATGCGATTATCCGGTCAGAACCGTCCGTGTGTACGTGGTGTCGATTCAACAAGCTGAGGGACACGAATGTGGCAGAGCGAGCGAAGTAGGAACGGCATTAAAGGGCATATCAGCGCTCCGACTTCGTTAGCCAACCTGGACCACCGCCAACCAGCAGCAGCAGGCTGCGCGATGGAAAGACTGGCGTGGTTCAAAGAACTTTTGCCCTTCGGACAAATCGCAAACTCAAAGACGACGGATTGACAGCATTGTGCATACAGGCAGGCAGCATGACTAAGTCCTGGACGGAACGATCTGCCAATGTGCAGCAGCACAGCCCGCCCGGTCGTCCAAAGCGCATGCTCATCCTCCTCGCTTGTCAGGAACTTAATCATCCTTTGGACCCTCATGCAGTCGTCTCGTCCTCTACTGCGCACACCACAAAGAGATAGGGCCTCATTACCGGGTACTTTTGCAGAATTACACATGATGTGGCTGCCTCCTGCCCTCGCATTACTCTGCCGCATCCTTACCGCGTAGAGTGCATACTAGCCGGTACCTGGATGAATCTCCCTCTACCATCTCAATCCGGAAGGACGACACAGACACAAACGCGCCTCAGCTCGTCCGCGTTCCGGCTCAGCCCTACCAAACCACGGCTTTCGAAGTCTAGTCATGCACCCACCCGGTTACTAGCAACAGCCTCACATCAACCAAGCATTCTTGCTAATGTAGTGCACTGGTATCTAAGTAGGGCCATCTCCGCGCTCGAGGCTGAAAGCCGTCCTAGACTTTGTCATCAAACCAAACCAAAGCCCGTCGTCGAGGATCCATCCTCGTGGTATGCTCTGCGACAACGCCTCGACTCGTTCGTTCGTCAACACCGGGTAGATCTATCTTTGCGAACCGGCTTCGTACCGCGTATAGACAGATCACGCCTTCTCCATCCCCACACGACGACGCGACGCGACGCACACACGAACAGGACCCTAATCGCCACCTCTGCGCGGCTACGATGAACCGACACTCATCTCAGCATCAACTTTCAGCATCCGTTCATCCTTCCCAAAACGGAAATCGCTAAAGTTGGTCCTCCGGAATCCCGACTTACTCCGGCGTCTACTACTTCTAGCCCTGGGGGTTTTTGCGAAAGAGGTAATCAGTCAGTCAGTCTGTCTGTCGTATAGACAATTCCAAAAAGATGGAGGCTTTCTTTCTCTGAGAAATTGGAATTGTCGAAACGGGCTCGATTGGGATGCCTACCCGACAGACAGACAGACAGACAGACAGACAGTCTGCAGACTCACCAACTACCATCAGTCATATCCCAGAAATGCAGAAATGTTAGTCACCATCCAAACCACAATCATCCTCCTCAAGGTCCCTATCCCATCTCAAATTCTTCTAATCCCCGTCCCGAACCCTCGCATCTCCATCCCATCCGTCTTCGGCGTCCTATACAAACTGCGCCTCACCACACCTCAACACCTCCACAAAAAGAGACCCAAAATCTCCCTGTAGACAGCCAGACAGACAAAAGCACCCCAAGGCCGCGTGGCGAAACATGCACGCGACCCTCTCTCAATGTTTCTTACAGACACACGCAAAAACGGACATCATCCTGCCCGTCTTTCCGAAGAAAAGGACCCTGACAACTCCCCCTGTGCCCATTCCCGTCCCCATCCGAAGAAAGCGAATCCCCCCAAGCTGTGCAAGGAAAGTAGATCTCGTATACAGTACAGTACAAACGCAGCAAAACAAGGCTGTGGTACTACTGTAGAGAGGCACTGCCACAATCGTCCACGTAACGCCACGCAACCCTTACCACCCGCATACTCACTCTCACTTAACCCTCTTCCTTCCTCTCCTCTCCTCTACTGACTGTAATGACTCGCTTGCATCGATATCGGCTCGCCTCCCCGTTTTTCGGCCCGCCTTGTCGTCTCTTCTGTCCCGTCCACGCAACACACAACCACAAAGACGGAACCTCCATCTTCCGCATCTCATCACAACCACAACACACCAAGAAAGAACCGGCATCGTCGACACCGTCCACGGAAGAGAATCTAGAACTAATCCGACATGCATGCATGCGTGCGTCACCCACGCATCGTCGTCGTCGTCAACAATAAATGATGCGTCGTCTCAAGAAATTTAAAAAAACGTCTTCGTACTCGTTAGGTATGCGCTGCGTTCCGAATTCGGCTCGGATCTAATGCACACGAAGTCCTCTCATCGTCTAGGTCTGTATCGTGTTCTTTCTCTAAAAACCTCTAGGTCATCTAAAGTCCCGTCCGTTCCAAGCCACCACCCTTGTCATCATCATTGTCCATGCCCATGCCCAATGCCCATATCCATAATCTAGCTCTATTCATCACACCTCACAAAACAAACTCCAAGGAATGCAGTATCGTAGGTACAAGAAGTTCGCCGCTCAATGATCATTCGCGCCGTCATTCTGCGAAGCCAACTCATCTGCCATCTCTTGACTCTCATTGCTCTTGATTCTCTGCAGCTGGTCTTGGACGTATCGGTTGATTGGGTCGTCAGGGTCGTCGTGAGGGATGCCGGCCTTGGGGTCGTCTTCCTTGTAGATGGACCACGTGCGAGAGGGCTTGCCGTTTGCGATGGGCTCGTCGTCATCTTCGTCACCGGCACCACCATTCGTCTTGTCGCTGAAGTCGCTGCGTTGGCCAATGGAGCGGGTTCGTGTGAGAGAACGAGCAAAGCCAGTTGGGCGACGTGGACCAAGCGAGGCGCGACGCTGCCGGCTGAACGTGTCGTCGAAATAATGCTCCGCGGCAGTAGACGGCGTGCGTGGCGTTTGGGGGAGACGGCAGTTGGTTCTGGGAGGAAGTCAGTATAGATCTTGCACACAACGATTGATGGATGCACTCACCCAGTATCTTGGATGATCTTGGCCATTAGACCAGTCCAACCGCATTGATGCGTGGCACCAAGACCACGTCCAGTATCGCCATCGAAATACTCGTAGAACCACAAGTAGTCCTTCCAGTTTGGATCAAAGTCGAGAATGTCGTTCCCGTCGTGGATAGCGCGACGTCCGTAGTTGTTGGTGGCCATCAAGTGTTGGAGTCTGTGTTGGAGCTCCTCGGCGACATGACCAAGATGCATGTATTCGCCAGAGCCGGTTGGACACTCAACCTTGAAGGTGTTGCCGTAGAACATGTAGAACCGCAAAAGGGACTCAATAAGTAGGAAGTTCACGGCAATCCAGCAAGGACCTCGCCAGTTGCTGTTGCCGCCAAAGAGACCACTGTCGGAGTCGCCAGGAACGTAGCTGACCTGGTATCTCTGGCCGTTGACATCCATGGAGACAGGATGGTCCTTGTGGTACTTTGACAGCGATCTAATGCCGTGGTCACTCAAAAACTCCTTCGGGTCCAGCATGTACTTCAGAATGGATCGCAGACGGTCCTCGCTGACAAGGGAGAGAAGCAATCGCTGGTCCTTGCCTCTCCGCGTCATGCTGGCTACGTTGCGCTCGGTCATATCGTGCTTGTTCGTCATGAACCATTCAAGACGCTTCTTGAAAGCCGGAAACTTGTTAATGACTTCCGGTTCGAGAGTGAGAGTGGCGTAGCAAGGAATCAGACCGACCAGCGATCTGACGGGCATCTGGTGAGACCATGGACCGCCCCATGAGATCGCATCGTAGTAGAAGCCGTCCTCTTCATTCCACAATGACTTGGCTTCACTGCCATGTCGGTACTGCATGGCGTCGGAGATTGTGATGAAGTGCTCGAAGAACTTGGTGGCGACGTCTTCGTAGATGCGGCGATGCTTGGCGAGCTCAAGGGCGATGTTGAGCATGCTCAGACAGTAGAAGGCCATCCAACCAGTGGCATCGGCTTGTTCAAGGGTACCACCAGTGGGCAATGGATCTGATCTGTTGAACAGGCCAATGTTGTCGAGGCCGAGGAAGCCACCTTCGAAGATGTTCTTGCCGTCGAAGTCCTTGCGATTGCACCACCAGGTAAAGTTCATCAGAAGCTTGTGAAAGACACGCTCGAGGAAGTCAAGATCTTCACGGCCGTGCATCTTGCGCTCAATCTTGAACGTACGGAAAGTCGACCAAGCGTGGACTGGAGGGTTGACGTCGCCAAAGTTCCATTCGTAGGCAGGAAGCTGGCCGTTGGGATGCATGTACCACTCGCGCGTGAAGAGGTCAAGCTGCTTCTTCGCGAAATCCGGGTCGATCATAGCGAGGGGGATGCAGTGGAAGGCGGAATCCCAAGCAGCAAAGAATGGGTACTCCCAGGAGTCAGGCATGGAGAGGATATCATCCAAATGCATGTGCTTCCATTGGGCGTTCCGGACTGACTTCCGCTCTGGTGGAGGCGGAGGCATGGCTGGATCGCCGTTCGCCCATTGATCCCAGATGAAGTGGTAGTATTGTTTGCACCACATCATACCTGACAGAGCTTGTCGCTGGATGTTGCGAAGATCGTCGGACATCGGCATAGGGTTGACCTTGAAGTAGAACTCATCTGCCTCGGCAAGACGCTGCTCCATGACCTCGTCGAAGCGCTCTTCGTCCAGGTAGCCTTCATCGTGCTTGGTTGAAATGCGGAAACGAACAACAGCACACTCGCCAGGAGCGACGCCACGGCCTTGGTCAAACGCATACCAAGCACAGCTCTTCGTGCCGAGCTTGTGGGGGTTGCATGCCTTCTTGTCTCCGTGAACAACACGCTGGTGGAAGGCGTCCTTGACGTAGGGTGTCTTGTTGTGCTTGGAGTCCCAGAGCTCGACAAAGTTGGTGTCGTTGTCTGTGAAGAGAAGCTCAGGCTCGATATCGTGCTCGTTGCCGCAGCTATTTGGAGAGGGAGAGCACTGAAAGTAACGTTGGCCAAGCTCGCGGTGGTCAATCGAAGCAGTCAGAGGGTCGGTCTGCTTGATGGTGGGCTTGTACGAGTCGTGACCCCAAGCCCATGTATTGCGAAACCACACGTGGGGTAGGATGTGCAGTTTGGCATGCTCTGGGCCGCGGTTGTATGCTGTGCAACGGAAGAGCAGCTCATCAGGCTTGTCGGCCTCTTTTGCAGTCTCGATGAAGATGTCCCAGTACCGGTTGTCCTTGAACGCGCCAGTATCGATCAACTGGTATTCCTTCTCTGTCTTCGATCTCCTGGCATTCTCCTTGATAAGGTCTTCGTATGGGAAAGCAGACTGAGGCAGCTTGTAGAGGTACTTCATGTACGAGTGGGTGGGTGTATTGTCGAGGTGGAAATGGCACTCCTTGATGGACTCGCCATGGACACCTTGTGGGTTTGAGAGACCGAAGAGACGTTCTTTGAGGTGGCCACTACGCAAAGTCAGTACTTCGCCAAGGACAGCATCCCAGCAGACGACTCACTCCTTCTCGTTCCAGAAAGCAAAGGCGATGTTCATGCGGCCATGAGTATCCGAGACACCAGCGATACCGTCCTCACCCCACCGGAAAGCTCGAGCACGAGCCATGTCGTAGGTGAAGGAACTCCAGGCGTCGCCATTGGAACTGGCAGACAAGTCAGTGTTTGCACAGAGAGTGAGACAGATCGTTGCGGCACTCACGAGTAGTCTTCTCGGACCGTTGCCCATTGTCGCTCTGCGGTATAGGGACCCCACTGCTTCCAGTACTTGGTCCTCTCACGGTCCTCCTTCAGTCTGTTCTCTTCAGCGCTCACGACTTCCTTGTTGTCGGCGATGACCATGATTGCGGTGTTTGCGTGGATCTGAGGGTGGGTTCGTCAAGAGTCGTTGGTGATGATGGATGAGCTGCAGTGCAGGCTCTCGAGCCGCAAGGAATGCAGCGACTGAGGTAGGTTTCGTCAATGGGGTGGTTGTTTGGTGGGCGTTTGGGTGAGGGGACAATGCAAATAGGCAGGCAAAGATGGTGACGATGCGGGCAAACTATGGTACAAGAGATGGATGTGCGTTTCGAGTGCGGTGGGCGTTGGAGGATGAGGAGGAGTGTGGGAGCGATTGAGGATGTTGACAAGAGAAGGACAAGACGCAGCAGCAGTAGCTCTGAGAGACAGATGCCAGGCACAAGACCTGCCAGCAGTGAGGCTCTCTTGCCGGACGGTTAGCGATTTTCACCAACGCTCGTGGCAGCCACAACTGACTTTCTCGACGCATGCACGCTGCCGACAGTGGCTGCATCGGCCTAGCGCTGCTCAACCGATTTTGTGTCCGTTCCTTCGCCAGTGACCGCAACTTCATCTTCGATCCGGCCCTCTCACTTCCACCCACTCCTCTACACTTACCTCCCGGTGTTCTGCCACTCGTTACGCTGGTATCATCTCTATCCTCGCTCCACTGCTGGTCTCTATGGAGCCCCGCGGAGCAACGACACCCCGCCACACGCCGTTGCCGATCGGCTTCCCGATAACAGAAGCTACGGAACTGGCTCCGCTCAGATCTGGGCAAGAGATATTGACAGGAATAAGAACATCTGCTCCTTCTACGATCTATCCACCTGCAAGATCTACCTTGGCAGGCCTGGCAGCTCCATTCGGGACACCATTTGTCTCCTGACTTTCAAGCCCGCCTTGCTGCTCCTCGTAGTGCAGCTTCTCTGCTTGCTCGATACACCTCATGTTCGCCGCCAGCTTGTTGATTGTCTCCTCGTACTCATCTCCCTCGTCACTGTCGAACACGATTCCGCCGCCTGCTTGCAGATACGCCACACCATCTTTGGTCATCATCGTTCGCAGAGCAATGCACGTGTCCATGGCGCCCTCAGCTTCCTCCCCGTTGGTAGCGTTGACTCTGTTGTATCCGAAATAACCAACAGCACCTGCGTAGATGCCACGCTTCTCGCCTTCCAGCTCACCGATCAGCTCCATCGCTTTCACCTTCGGGGCTCCAGAGACTGTTCCAGCCGGGAAGATTGATCGAAATGCGTCAAAGCGAGTCTGGCCTGGGCGAAGGATGCCTGATACTTCCGACACGAGATGCTGAACGTGACTGAACTTCTGCACAACCATCAACTTGTCCACCCTCGTCGACAGAGGATCGCAAACCCGATTGACATCGTTGCGCGCCAGGTCGACAAGCATCACATGTTCCGCCCGGTCTTTGATGCTGTTGTGGAGGGTATCTGCGAGCTGCTGGTCTTCCTCTGGCGTCGCACCACGCTTGATCGTGCCAGCAATCGGATGCGTGATAATCCTCCCCGCCTCCTCTTTCACAAGCACTTCAGGGCTGGCACCGATGATCTGAAAGTCGTCGCAGTCCAGGTAGAACATATATGGTGAAGGGTTGACAGTTCGAAGATGTCGGTAGATGTTGAAAGGGTGCAAGTTTGTCGGTCGAGCGATGCGCTGTGAAGGCACAGCTTGGATGATGTCTCCTGTCACAATGTGCTTCTTCAGCCGAGTGACATGTGCCTCGTATCCTTTGCGGCCAATGTTGCTGGTATACTCTTGGTCGAGCTTGATGGGATCTTGAGGTGGCAGAGGCAGGTCTGGCTTCTTCAAGATCTTGACCAGTCTCTCAATACTTTCCCTGCTCTTCTGATACGACTCCTCCAGCGAGATCTTGCTACTACTACCTGAACCAGGCACACTCATATATGATATGACAATCACTTTCTGGAAGAAGTGGTCCACAGCAACAATGGTGTCGTACAGCATGAACAAGCTTTCAGGCAGCTCCAAGACGTCTTTCAGCCGTCTCTTCGTCTTCGGCTCAAAGTACTTGATGCAGTCGTATCCAACATACCCAATCGCTCCCGCCGTCAGAGGAGGTAGACGCAGGGAGGGTATGTGTGCTATACGATGTTGTGCAAGCTCTTGATCCAGCTGGGGCAGAGGGTCGGCTTCGAGGCCATGTTTGGGACCGGAAACGAGGGTCTTACGAGGGTCGGCGCCGACGAAGCTGTATCGTCCGATCGTCTCTGAAGTGGCTGCAGACTCGAACAAGAAGGACTGCTTGGAACTTGAGCTGGACTTGGGTCAGCTTTGTTTGAGTCACACCGCTGGATGAAACTCGTACTTTGCTGCAACTTTGAGGTAGATGGAGGACGGCGTCAGGAACTCGGAGGAGATCGAGGTGCAGAGAGGTATGAGGTTAGGCGCATTGGGCCAATCTTTGGTGCGCTCTACAATGTTGTGAACTTCGTCGAATGAGGGCTGCACTGCAATCTGGGAGAATCATTAGTTGGGTGAATGATTTGAGAGATGGTTGAGACCGACAGTGGGAGCCATCTTGTCTGCACTGCTAGGGCACAGGTCGGGGAGAGGTCAAGAACACGAAAGTCCCAACCATGAACAGAATAGTAGTGGGTGAAACCGAGTGGTGTATCTTATTATTGACTGCAAAACCTCGAACTCGGGATATTGGGGATTTGGTAAGCAAGAGACCCACTTCCACGTCGTGAGCGTGAGCGCAAACTCAAATTGCTCTCCTCCACCACCGCAGCCTACCCACGGCTCGCTGCTTGGTGGCTGGTCTGCCGGATTCGTCGTGCATGATACGCCTGAGCGAAGATCCCGCTTCTTCTGCCTGTCGTCATGTCGTCGACCTCTGGTCATTCCTCCCCACCGCCAGCGCAGTTCAATTCCTTCTACTTCCCGGGTCCCTCGTCGCGGTACAACCACACCCGCCCGCGACCCAGCGCTCACCACTCGCGCCCCAAGAGCAGTTACACGCCCATCGGCCCGGTCCTGAGCACAGAGAAACGCGCGCATCGGCGAGCGCATACGCAGAAGAGCAGCATCTCGAGTGTCCCGTCGCCGCCGACAAGTGAATACTCGAGGTCGCCGCTGTCGCGATTTTCCAGCTACTCGGCCAACATGGCGGCCGCCCAAAGCGCCGCCCAAATGCCACACACCCCCGCCAAGAGCTCGCGCCGCAGCTCATCGCTCCAAAACTCGCCCTTCAGCGACTACTTCACCGATGAAGCCCGCTCGATCGACTCCAACATTTCCTCCACCGAGACCAAGCAGCTCCTCGTCAGAATGAACAAGCTGCAGTCGCAACTCATGCGCGACAACTCCGAGTCCGGCCGCGATGCCATCAACATTGTTGGAAGAAAGTTGAATGAGATTGAGTTGGAGTTGAACGCACTGCATTCGCAATCGCGGCTGCCGCTGGAGATCGAGGACTCGGGTGTCTTCATGGACGAAGAGCAATACGGCGGCGCCAAGGACGAAGCCACACCCATTGGACAGCGTGTCTCCGAGCCATATCTTCATGCTCCGAATGCCGGTGTGGACGTTGAGTCAGAGCCCGTGACGATTGAGCAGTACAAAGCCGAGCGCGACTGGTTCATCGTTCGCATGCAAGACCTGATTGAAGATCTTGGCAAAGCCCAAGTCGAGCTCGGCAAGCGATATGCGGAGGTGCGCGAGTTGAACGAGTACCACAACGCTCAGATTGAAGATCGCGACACCCAGATCGAGCAGCTGAGGTCCGAGAATGAGGGCTTGCGGTCCGATTTGGGGTTCGAGCACAGCGAGCTTCTTTTCCTCAAACTCCAAATGAAGTCGCTCGAAGTCGAAGTGGACACTCTCGCCGGCGATGATCTCACCACATCAGCAACCGAAGCGCAACGAGCAAAGTCTGCCAAGAAGAACCGCATACTCTCCGAAATGGACGGCTGGCGATCAGACTGGCAAGATGTCGACGCCAGGTTCAAGCGGCGGAGGAGCAGGTACGGCGTTTCTCTCGATCGACGCGACAGCATGTCCATGAGCGATGCTGTCTCGAACCACGACGAAGGCGACTGGCATTTGGAGACGGTCAAGGAAGGCCGAGGACGAGTCACAAGTCTCACAATCAAGCGGATGGGAAGCAGCGGTGGTCCCCAAGGGGACGTAACCGCGGAAGAAGCCACTCCCACCCGTGATGAAGCAGGCGCAAACCCATCTCAAGGCCTTGATGGCCAAACTAACACCACAACTACCACTACATCGCAAGGCCCCGGCGAGCCACAAATCGCCACACCTTTATCATCACCACAACACACCACGTATCAGGAACACGGCACGCAGACTGAATTTCCCTTACCCCTACAATTTTCTTTGATACCCACATCGCAGGACGACGAAGAGGAGGCGCAAACCCCACAACCATCACACACTCTATTCCCAGAACATGAAGACGAGGAGCAGGACGAAGACGCAGACGAAGAAGAAGCAGAAGACTGCGCCATCACCACATCATCCGAGGAATCCGACCAGGACGATGAAGAAGAAACCATCATCGACGTCGAAGACTCAAGAAAGGACACTCTTTCTCTCGACGCCGATGAACCCAGCAACTCCGTCAAACCTCGCACCGCATGGCAGGAGCTGTGGTCGAGTTTGGCGAATCTTTCTGGGTTGCCGGATGATGATGATGAGTGAATGAAGTTGGAAAAGAAAGACCGGAAGGAGATGGATACACGGACGGACGAATGACATGGATTGAAATACCCCCTTGTTTGCAAAGATGGATTCTTTGAACACACTAACCACACACCACACCAAGACTGGAAACACACACTCACTTGCTTACTTACTTGCTTACTTGTTACATTTTCCTGTTTTGATTCTGGGGGTTTCGAGCTGGAGTAGATACCCGGTTTGATCAGTTTCTCCACTACTACTGCTGGAAAGGAAAGAAGAGAGGGATAGAATAGCCTCGAGTAATTTCTGAAAAAAACTTCAAGAATCAAGAACAAGGATCTTTTCTCTGTTTGTCTGTGAATTGTGCTAGTTTACAAGCTGGTGCTGGAACTGTCCCTTTGGACTGCTCTGCTTGGGTATCGTAGTGTTGTGTAGACTCCTGTCATGTCATGTCGTGTCGTGTGTTGCAAGGTCGGTGAGTGAGTAAATCTCAAGCCCCTCCAATCCGTCAACCCCCGCCATTCTTCAAAGATGATGAGGGCGTGGTCGAGAGGTTTTGCTGCTTCGAACGTCGTATGACCTCGGCCTTAGTCGCTCTCGGTTCCGCTCCCATCGCTGTCGACCGTCACCTCGTCGAGATCGAACGGGCGCGGAGCTTCCTTGCGGAAGGCGTTGCTGTTGCCATTGGGCTTGGCCTGTCATATGATCAGTACCCAACACCATTCCCCTGCTCACATTTTATGAACTCACCGCTCGGACCTTAGCCCACTTGCTCCCGTTCGAAGTCGGAGAAGTCGAGGACGGAGCGCTGCGATGGCTGCCGGCGGTGGTGCTGCCCGGCGAGGAGTAGGCCGACGAGCCGTTGGTGGACATCTTGAGGGACGTGCCACCGGTGCGGACGAAAGTGGTGGGGGCGTCTTGGATCGAGGTGCCGCCTAGGCGGTTGCTGAGGCCCTTGTCCTGAAACAATCTGTCAGCCATAGATTTCAACTTGTGGGCTGTTCCCGAATAACTCACGTCCTCATCGCTCGAGTCGCCGCCGCTGCTACCCGAACCCTCGCTGTCGACGTCGTCCTCGGGGTCTGGGACATAGGTGTCGGTAGGCTCGAAGCTGCGGTGCTCATCGTTGCAGACCTCGCACTTCTAAGCACCAGTCAGTCAAGCCGCACCCATAATCACCCTTGCAAGACACCCACCGCCTCATCGTCGTCCAACTTCCACTGCGTCTTATTGTACGCATCCTTGCCCTTCCAGACCTCGCAATCGGAGCACCGCATCTCCAGCTTCTGGCCCCCGACACACTGGGCGCAAGGGACGTGGGCCGTGACCGCGGCGTTGAAGCCTGGCTTCTTCTGCATGTGAAGCATCAGAACCTGCAGCTTTCGCTCGGAGAAGCTGGTCGTTGGCTTGACGTAGTCGCAGCGGCTGCACATGATCCTGTGCTGGTGTCAGTCGTGGTTCTTGAAGGTGGCGAGTAGGCGTTACTGACTTGGTGGGCTTGTTCGCGTTGCGAACTGGGGCTACGTGCTTGTTATAGTAGCTATGTATCATCAGCCGTCTGTCAATGTCAATGCTCTCGCTGCGTGGAGGCGTACTTCTGGGAAGCGAGGGCGCCTGGAGCCATGATGGTGTCGTAGAGGGTGGTGTCCTGTGTCTGGTGTCTGGTGGTGGTGTTGTGGAGGGTGCTGTCTGAAGTTGGTGTGTCGTAGAAATGGAAGACGTCGCTGTTGAAGGGCAGCTGGAGGTGTTTGTCGGAGAATAAGTGAAGTCGAGTCGAGGTTGAAGTTGTAGGCAACATGAAACGCGTGCAGATGACGAAGGCGACCTGGTCCAAGCTCGTGGTGATTGAAAGGGAAGGCACGATCTTGCCACGCCCGGTTAAGAGGAGATCGGAGGAGTGTCTGGAGCAGCTACTCGATGTCGGTCGTGTTTCTGGAGAAGAAGGCGGTGTTGCTCGCTCGAAGTTTGATGTAGTGCTGAGTTGTGTGAGTCGAAGCACGCACTGCTATTTCACATGCGTTTTAAGTGCTCTCAGCTGCTCGTGGGCTGTAACCTGAGCTGACCTGGATAGACCACTGACACGCGCGAGAAGAGTGTGCAGAAGCACACAATCACAAGGACAACCCCATGGCCACGTAAACAACCCCAGCAGCCACCAAATGAAGTAGGCGCGGAAGCTGAATTCACGCCAATCAGCAAACGTATGGGACAATGCGGAATGAACAGTTTTTGAGGAGAGATGAGCTGATACAAAGGTCGTCTTGGACCTATAACCCCTATGCCAGAAGATACGCAAAAGAAGCGAATCGTCGTCAAACCAGCAGATGCCCCGTCCCTTCGTTTTACGCCATCGCAAACTCAGCACAGGAATCTAAGGTCGGTATATATAGTAGTGTTACAGGTCGAGGAGGTAGGTAGGTAGGAAGGTAGGTATGTAGGTTCAGGGTTTCGCCACGTCTGGTGCTCGCGGTCGGTTACTTCGTCTCTTCCCGGAGGAAAGTGATCAAGTCGTTCCTGTCCTTGCCCTTCTTGAGACCACCGAAGGCCATCTTGGTGCCGGGAATGTATTTCTTGGGGTTCTCGAGGTATTCAAACTGTGGCGACGTTAGTCCAGTTTCCGAATGCTCTTCCTCGCCCATCCGATGGCTTCCTTACCAGAGTGTCCTCTTTCCAGGTGATGCCCTTTTGCTTGTTCGCGTCGGTGTATGAGAAGCCCTCGACCTGTCCAGTCTTACGACCAAAGAGACCGTGGAGGTTCGGGCCGATCTTGTTGCCCTCGCCCTCCTTCAGGGTGTGGCACTGTGCGCATCGGGTCTGTGGGAAGTCAGCGGCTGCTCGCGAAGCTGTAGCTTGAGGTCTCAATTGGCGATTCTGTCGTTGGGACCTCGGGATTCTCAGCGTACCTTGAAGAGGTTGGCACCCTTCTTGGAGTCACCTGTGAATAGAATCAGTCTCGTGCTTCCGGTGGTGTGGCGCATTCGCGAATTCAGCATTCTGCCAGAGCGTGACGGGGAGGCGCGTAGGGTGTCTCCCACACCTCAGAACTGTCGCCAGACCACATGCTGATGTCTGCTCGCGTGTGCCAGTTCGTGGGAGCGCGCACGGCTCTGGGAGGTGCATTGTTGATGGGCAGAGGGAAAAGAAAGCATACCGTCTGAGAAGCCAGCGTCCTTGCCCATTGTGTCTGATGTGTGTGTTGTACTGGTAACAGTGGTAGATGTGGTGTCACAGCAGTGCAGATGAAGGCTGTAGAGGAGTGTGGTGGCGTAGCGGGTGGAATGCAGATGGAAGAGAGAAAGATGATGCTACGATCGAGAGAAGTCGAGCAAAAAGTTGCGGCCGGCAGCTCTCCTTTAGGACGGACCAGGGTCAACGCCCGGCGGCCAATCAGAAGGGGCCAGATGACAGCCGAGAGAGCGGAAAGCGTGCGGAAGATTTCGGAGGAGCGAGGCGACGGTTGGGATGCGGCGGTTGTGGCGAGAAGGCCGAGCACGATTTCTATTTCCGCGTCTTCACAACAACAGTAGGCTCCTCAAGTCGCGGGCAGGCATCGCGCGGAAGCTGCATCATTGCACGTCCAGCCTGAGCTCTGCTATGCTGTGGCGTCCAGTCCCATGTGCGAGTGAACTCAATCTGCCTCTCGCTATCCGTCAGATCACAATGACGTCTGCGCTAGCGACAGTCTAGCAATCCTTGCAGTCTTGCGTGTTGCCATTGACTTTTGCTTCGCGTTCCGGTACAGTCAGCCGAAGTGTCTGCAGAAAGATATGGCAGCGAGCCAGACTCGGGTGGTCGTCGGAGCCTCGCGAGGGCTGGGTCACGAGTTCGTGAAGCAGCTCCTGGCCAGGGGAGACAGTGTTGTTGCCACAGTCAGGAAGCCTGGCCTGGAAAATGCGGCATCGCTGTGGCCAAACAGTGAAGATCGGTGCCAGATCTATGACTGCGATATGCTGAGTGCCGAGAGCATCGATGTGCTTTTGATATCTCCCCTAGCATCCAGGCCACTCGGAGCTGATACTTTTCGATAGGCATTCGCTAAGCAGTTGCAGCAGTCTGGCATTGGACATATACACGATGTCGTAGTCAACGCCGGCGTGCTCAAGTACCCGAATGTAGACACCCATCTCTACAAATCAACTTCAACGGGCTGATCAGTACTACCAGCGAGCCAGCGAGATCAGCTACAAGGACTTGGCCTTCCACCTCCATACAAATACTATTGGACCCATCATCTGCGCTCAGAAGCTCCTTCAAACCGGCATCGCCATCGACAGGATAACATTCATCTCAAGCGACTCAGGTTCTGCACAAGAATTCCGAGACTTTGAGGATGGATTCGCAGCATATGGAGCCTCCAAGGCAGCTCTCAACCAGATGCTCCGCCATATGGCCGCCGAATTGAAACGGAAAGGACGTGATACCACCATCATCGCGCTGCATCCAGGAGAAGTCAAGACGGACATGGCCAACATCGATGTTGGCTGGGACGTAGAAGGGCAAATGACTCCCGCTGAGAGTGTATCTGCTTGCATCAAAGTCATCGAAAGTAAGAATGCTAATGACAGTGGCACGTTCTGGACATGGGAGAACAAGGTACATCAACTCTCCCTCTATTCTTTCCTCACATTATTGATACTTTGAAGGCATATCCATGGTGATGAAGCGCGCTGGATCGATGTCACTCCAAACATTTTCAGTAATCTATGATTTACAAACTACGGAGCGATGCTACATCAAGCTCCTCACAACGAAAAAGGAAAAGTCGTGAAACTCATCACCAGCGTCCAAACGACGCTTCTATATCTTCCCAACCATTCCACGCAGCACCTCCGCCTCAGCTTCCGCACGAGCAAGCTTCAGTCTCAGCTCGTCTCGCTCCTGGGTCATGGATCGCAACGCTTCCTCCACCTCCGTGAGCTTATCGACTTTTCGTTGCCGATATCTCCTTGCAGCCTCGGTGTTGCGTTGTCGTTTGTGGACCTTGTTCGATCGCTCAGGAGAGTCACCGACAGAAGACCCCGAGCGAGGGGTCGCCATCGACCTTGAAGAAGCAGAGGCCGCTTGAGGAATGTTGTCCAGAGAAGGGAACATGGACTGGTCGCTGAAGGTAGGTGATCGTTGCACCGAGCCGGTCTGCATCACGGGCTGGTCGGAGAAGACTTGCTGATAGTCGCCAACCGTCATGGCGCCCAGTTGAGGAGCCGTCGACGCGACGGTCTGGCCACTCCATCCATCGTTCGAGTAAGGAAAAGTCGACGAGTTCGAAACACTGCCGTGTAATGTATGATGCATAGCAGCTAACTCATCATCGGTGGTAGGAACTTTGATGTTGTTCACGTCGTCGGCCGTAGTAGTTGTTGTAACAGTAGTGGTATCCAAGAGAGAAGTCCAGTCGAATTGCGGTAGATCGTGTTGCTCCAGCAGAAACTCATCAGCAAATTGCTGCCAGTCGTAGGGAAGCGCAGCCGAAGCTTGCAACCCGCTGCTTTCTTGCGGTGACGACGGTGACTGTTGCGGCGACCATTGTTGCAAGTTCTTGGACGGCCTCCTACGCCGAGGCCGTGAGCGGCTGGTTTATAAAAAGAGGGAAGTTGGGGTGCCTGAACAAGTAGGCCTTTGATACAGAGGAATATTCCAATGGCCCGCTCCTCAGGCACACGACAGCTTATAACTCATTTCCTCTCGACTACGACGGCCGAAGATTCAAAGTGACTCATTCGCGCTAATGCGCGTCAGCTCCAGCGAATTCGGTTCACCGCAGCCCAGCTCGGGGGCTGAGTCGGCTCGGGTGCACCCCGAGGTTGAGACATTGCCAACACTGCGTAGGGCTGGATCGAATCTGCACAAAGTGCGAGAATCGGCTCTGGCAGTGATTATATTTGACCGGCCTCCGGTTACTCAGCTGAGCGAGATGGCTTTGAGGTTGCAGGTCCGTGAAAGGCTCGAGGTCGTGCCTGCCGGATCAAGCGTTTCTGGGCCAGAGGCTTTTGAAAGCTTCTCGCACGCCGTGTGAGACAACGATGCGGGTGCACCGAAATGGAAGGGCGTTGTATGTACATCGGCGCAAGAGGAGTTGATGGCAAGGCTAGGGCTGGTACGATGGAAACGAGAGCGGCTTGCCGAAGAGATTGGAATTGGTCGGCCACACCGACGGGAGCCTCTTTCCGGATCTCGAAGTCACTCTCCAAGTCCAGGACCTCCAACCCAGGACTATCGGACCAGCACGAAGACATCCATTCTCACGAATCGCAGTGTATACCCATGAGTGTTGCCAAGAAAGCTGACGGCTGTTCTCAATCGGAACAACCCTCCTTCTCTCTAGACATGGCAGGCTTCAAAAACGAGGTTCTCAATATTGATTTCCAACACCCTGCCCCGACTTCGCAAGAACAATAACACAATGCACCTCTGGATGGGTGCAACAACTTTCAATTGGCTGCACCTGCAACACGCATTCCCCATCATCAAGTTTTGACATCACACAGAAAGTCTCAACTTGGTTGGCAGGTAAGTATCTTAGCAAACTTCGCTTTCTTCTCCTCCGACCATATTCCCCTCGACGCAATTTGCAGCGAGAGTTACGGATCCATATTGCTTGTTCTCTACAAACCACGGATGACCTCTCCTCTACAAAACATGCGACTTCTCAACGTGGATACTCTGGAGCTGTGCGAGTTCGGTTTCAATGGACTACCTACACCGCACTATGTGACGGCTTCTCATCGTTGGACACTTGGCTCTGAAACGACCTTTAAAGATGTGCTTAAGCGGCGGAATACCGAGACACCAGGCTACAAGAAGGTCGAGGCCTTCGCAGCATACATTAGGACAAACATACCTTCGATCAAGTGGCTATGGATCGACACCTGCTGTATTGATCAGAAAAGTACGGCGGAATTGTCCGAGGCCGTCAACCTCATGTATGAATGGTTCAAGAACTCGGTGATGTGCCTCGCATACCTCGCCGATGTTGAAGATTCTGAGTTGGGCCAAATCAACGATTCTGACGAAAGTGACATCGCGACCAAGAGCGAATTTGAGCAAAGCGTATGGTTCACAAGAAGAGGTTGGACCCTACAAGAGCTGCTCGCACCCAAAATGGTGATTTTCCTCACGAAAGAGTGGAGGGTCATTGGGCACAAAGGACACAAATTCGGACAGAAATGCGACACGGTTGAGGACACAGAAATTGGTACCAACGTGGAAACGCTCCTTGCGCGGAGAACAGGCATATCTGTGGGTGACCTCGTAGGTCCTTACCCGCGGCTCCATAGAAGGGACGAGCACTTGAAGGAAACGATGAAATGGATGGAGGGGAGGAAAACAACACGACCTGAAGATAAAATCTATGCCCTTTACGGGATTCTCGGTGTCTCGCCAGGCGCAAACTATGGAGAGGGGTACCCGTACGCGTACAGCCGCCTTCTCAAAGCCGTCAAAGATTACCATGCACACGTGCATGAGGTGCTCGCAGAATCTAAGAGAAGAATTATAGCTAGACTTCCGCCCCCATCGAAGGATGATTTTCGCGCCTATGCTAGCGGACCCAAACCAAAGGAGATCCACGATCGGCTTCGAAGACCTCCTTCGCCTGCAGAGCGACAGCCCTCGCTTGCTGGTGAGAAGATAAATAACAGCATTCCGGCCTGATCCATCGAAGGAGGATGTCGTACTCACTGACTGGCATCCTCGCCATACTTCCTCGCCGCATGTGAAGGACCAGGACAAGGCAAGACATGGCTCGTGGAGTTCATCGTCGGCCGCCGATGGACCGAACCGTGATGCTGTGACAAAGAGAAGGTACATGCGAAACCCCTGACGTTCGACACTTGGACAAGAATGGCAATGGACATTGTCCATTTTCGGACGAGCGATGTTCTGGCAGAAATAAAATACCTTGCCAGTTCATATGAGGTCGTCTGAGGGATTTGGAGAAAGACTTGAAGCATTGGGCTCTTCTGATGAGGACTTCGCGGACTTGGGCATCAAGGCTGTGTTACTTTGAAGGCTCCTATCGAAGCTGTGATGAGCACAAGCATACATATCCTGAGTTCCAGCATCACCATGGTTCCTCGACGCCACTCGGTATCGTCATCGGACAATTGAGCTTGATCGAGCGCATCAAGGATGAAGCTTGAGGGCGCCACGTCTTTACAACCTTGTCCCTTCTCCACAAGACTTCACAGAACTAGGCATACATAGTTACTGTGACATTCTATCCTCATCTACCCAAAACAACATCTACGAAGGCGACATCTTCGCCGCCAAAACAGGTAAATCCAATTCCCCCTCAAACGTCTCCATCCCCAGACCCAACCCTTCGCTCACCCGGCTGCGAGTGACATCGCTAGCCACGCAGAGATCCGATTCATGCGCCTCCGCCAACAAGCCAGCGGGAAGTGAAGCCTGAGCCCCTCGATTCACCGCCGCTTTGATATGCGCCACCGCATGCGGCGGAAACGAAGCAATGCGCCGCGCCAGCGATTCGACAAAGGGGCCCAGTTCCTTCGCGTCCATGGCTCGATTGATCCAGCCGAATTGTTCTGCCGTCGTGGCCGAGACGTCCTCGCCGCCGAGGAGGACCTCCATTGCCCTCGCTCGTCCGATCAGCGCGGGAAGTCTCTGCGTCGAGCCTCCGCCGGGGACCAACCCGACCATGATTTCGGGTTGGCCGAAGATCGCCGTGTCCCGCGCGGCGAAACACATATCGGCTGCGAGGACGACTTCGTTCCCACCGCCTCGAGCGCGGCCTTCGACTTTGGCGATGACGACCTTGGGCATGTTGCGGAAGCGTTCGCCGATGATTTGGCTGAGGCGGAAGGTTGGCGTCCCGGAGACATGCGATGTGTCTTTTGGTCCGGCAGCCACGCGGGCGAGGCCAGAGTGTGCGATGAAGTATTCTGGGATTTGGCTTTGTAGAATGACTACGCGGACTTGGGGGTCGCGCTCCAAGTCTCGTGTCAATTGATCCAGCTCCTTGGACATGACATCGTCGAAGAGGTTGATTGGGGGGTGGTTCAATGTTAGGTGTGCTATGCCGGCGTCGACCTGGACTTGGAGGCTCTGGAGATTGTTATACGCCATGCTATAGCTTTTGCGTCCAGCAACAAGACACTGAGTTGAGGTCTGCCGAGAACGTGGTAGAGAGCAATCGATCGAAGGCGGTCTCGTCCAGGTCGTAGTCGACGAGGGCTAGCAATGGCATGTGCTCAACGGTCAGGCTGGAATGCCCTATGCTGCATAATAGGCTTCTCTCGGCCGCGCTAGCATGCTCAAAGTTGAAACTCAATAGGCTAAAGTAACCGCCTAGTTTTCGGCCAGCTGAATCAGCTCAATGGAAAGTCGATAGAATGGGAGAATTGTCTGGCGATGGACAGCTGACTTAGCTCGGCACGTGCAGTTGACAGCTTACATAAGTCGGCATATGCGTCTTTGGCTTGAGAGGTTGCCAAAGTACATGCGGCAGAGAGCTGCAGTGGACTTTTGGTGACAGAACATGACCAATCGGCATGCAGACATTGACCATTCGAAGGGCAGAATGGTACCAGGCGTCGTTGCTCCGAGTTTCCGGAACCAAGTGCAGAAGCCAGCCTATATCAGCGAACGCGACTCCCAGCCCTGAGACAGCAGTGCGACATGTTCGTAACCTAGTCATAGATCAACGTAGACAGAGGAACGACTTTCACGATGGCTCTTCATCAGCATACGCACGCGCAACCGATGCACAGTGCTGCCGGCCATGCGCATCGCGCCGGCTCCACATCGCAGCAACCCCCTCAGATGGAGATGCCTGACATTGGAAAGTACGCTCCAGGATTCCCATCGCCTCCCACTTTCGAAGATCCACACGAGGAGCGCGATTATCTCAAAGGGAGGTTGGCAGCTGCCTTCCGTATCTTTGGTGCCAAAGGATTCGGAAAAGGCGTCTCGGGACACATCTCTTGTCGAGATCCCGTCGAGCCCAATACCTTCTGGCTCAACGCATTCGGACAAAGCTTTGCGACGATTCGCCGGAGCGATCTGGTGAGGGTCGACCACCATGGCAATGTGATTCAAGCCGGCAGATATCGACTGATCAACAGAGCGGCGATCATGATCCACGTAGCCGGTATGTACGAATTGCTCGCGCAAGACGTGTGAAATGTTGTTACAGCGAACTGATCAGTCGTACAGTCCACGAGGCAAGACCGGACGTGGTATGTGTGGCCCATGCGCACTCCCTGTATGGACGTGCTTTCTCGGCTCTGAAAATCGACCTGCCAATTCTGTCGCAAGATGCCTGCATGTTTCATAATGTGAGATGAACACTCATGCACCACTGTGTATTTTGAGAAAAGCGCTGACATGATGCAGGACCTCAGTACACTCCCCTTCGAAGGTATCGTTCTCGAAGGAGACGAAGGGACGCACATTGCGAATGCTCTTGGCCAGAGGAAGGCTATTCTTTTGCAAAACCACGGTCTTTTGACTGTCGCCAACACGGTCGAGGCTACGGTGTTTTGGTACGTCTCGCTAGAGGAGCTGTCCCAAGGAGCCCTGGCTTCCCTTGCCGCGGTTGGAGGAGATCTCAGCAAATTGTCAATCGTCCAGGACGAGTTCGCGCAGGTGTAAGTTGCTTGGGTTGAAGCTACTTGTATGGAGGCTAACATGCTCTGCAGGACGTACAAGTCGGTCGGTCTGCCGTTGTCAGGCTGGTTTTCGGCGAAACCGCTCTTCGATGAGATTGCTGAACAGACACATGAATCGTTCTTGGCATAAGCAGTTGCTGTTATATTATTCACGCCTCGACAACGAATAGTGAGCGGATAGCTGGCCCTGACTGGACAGACTGAGCACCTCAATAGTACTTATTAGTGCCCGACTGGGAAGAGCTCCGTAGACGAGCGGAAAATCGAGCTGCGTCATCCCGTCCTTCTGTTAAAGTTTATGCGACTCACACGTCCTTCCGCCTCAGGTGCTGGGAGGTGGTTTGGTAGAAGCCGGAGAGATTCGATGCATTCTTTTCTTTGAGTAGTGAGTGAAATGGACGACGTGAGGTCTTGAGTGAGACGCGAAATCGCGCGCTAGCGGGATCAGCCGCTCATCCTCCGAGTTTGCTGACACATTTTTCACGTGATATTGCTCCATCAGAAACACGCACAACGTTCTCCCGTTTCTCTTCCACTCTCACACAGCATCCTGAAACTTATTGAGAACTCTGCGACTCACGAGACTTTTGCACGAAGTGCAACAGCGCCACGTCGCAAACCAGACGTGCCGGCACAAAACGTTGGTTGTTTGACCAGGGAAGCCGTGCTACAGCGCAATGTCACCCAGGATCCATGCCTGTCACACACGCCCGCTGAATTGCCCTTTGGAGCAGGCCAAGGCTATGCTGACTCGGATGTCAGACGTTGCTTGATGCACGTCTTCATGTTCATCTCCACGTGTGCGCCGCCGCCTCCCTTTCTCCGCCGGCAGCACGTCGGCGTTGCATGAACCCTCGACTCGAGGGCATGGAGAACCCTTCACGCGCGGAGATGTGTATAGAAGACGCTTGAGGGCTGGCTCGAACGTGACACAAGTGGTCTCGATTGTGGTCATACCGCCGCCTGTACAGATGGACAGCGTCGCCCTTACCGGAATGGCCCACGGCGGCGACAGCGAAATCGCGCTGAGACGGCGGCGATCTCATTAGATTCCAACGCACTGGTTCACCATGCCGAACACCCTGGCGGAGATCGCGACAAGACAACCTCACCACTGCGTCACGCATCGCACTACATACAGACACGAGACGACTATCACGAAAAGGACGTCTGTCTGCCTATAGGTCGTTATGCGCTCTTTCTCTCCTTCGAGTCCTGCCTGCAGAAACGATCCTTGCTTGACAATGAATGTCTTGACGCCGTGTAACCCTTCACAGCAGCTTCAACCCGCGGATTGCCATCTGCCTCACCAAATTAGCCTCGTGAGCTCCCCAACTTCGATGGGCGTTTTCGTAGCATGATCCCGTCCCACCCGCGCAGACGTCGAGTCTGCTTTCCCGTTTTCGCTTGCGTCGTCTTTGGTCCTTGACTCGCTCTGCCGGCATCATCCCAGCCTCGATCCAATGTCCATGCCCTTTTGGCTCTTTCAACCAGGCCTAGCATGGTCCGGACCCGACTTACCCAACATGGGCCCTCTGCTGCCGCACTTTCGTGGGAAGCTTTGCTCATCCAACAAAGTATCTCAACTTTCCTTACTCATCGACTGCATCAGACGCCCGGACTAGACTTTGAGCGACGATTCAAGTTGGGTTGCTCTTTGACTCCTCTCTCGCCACGCTGATGGAGACTGGTCATGTATAGACCGCAACGCTCACTGAAGAAAATCTGGGCGAAGGATAGTCGACAGCATACGTGCAGCGCACAAAGATGCAGTTACCACCATGGAGCGTTATCGTCAGCTGGCCGAAACCCAACTACGTGGATCCGGTGACAAGAGGCGATGCGCTCCTGATTTTGATGATCCTCTTTTCAATACTGGTGTTCCTGGCCGTACTCGGAAGATACTACTCGAGGATTGTGATCAAGCGATGGTTCGGATGGGATGATTCAATGATCACGTTGGCATGGGTGAGAACGGAACGGCATCTCCCAAAAGGATGAGACTGATTATGCCACAGATTTTCACAATTGGAATGAATGCAGCAGTAATACTGGTGAGAAGGTCTACAGCACAGATAAGAAAGACGACGGGCTTACTCTGTTTATAGGCAAATCGCAAATATGGGTGGGACCGCCACCTCTGGGACGTTCAATACGAAATGATTCAAAAGGCGAGCATGATAGCTTTTGCCGCAAAGTTGCTCTTCGTAGGAGCATCCACATTCACCCGACTATCTCTCGTCTGCTTCTATTACAGGCTGGTAGGAGATAGTGGGATCGCCTGGTTTACCTGGGTGCTGCATGCCAGCATGGCGTTCAATATCTCCATTGGCATTGCATTCACTTGCTTAGGGATATGGCTCTGCGTGTGAGTAGATCAGACATTGACATCGTGAGGGGCAATCTACTGACTATGAAAGCAGTCCTGTACAGTCATACTGGGTCTATCCTCCTATGGCGGATCACAAATGCCTGGACGAGGGGACTACAACCTTGATCATCGGCATCATCAACTGTGTCGCCGACCTCCTAACAACACTCCTACCAATCCCACTCGTCATGCGCCTCAAGATGCCCTTAAGGGACCGCATAGGGGTGTGTATCCTCCTCAGCCTAGGCATCATCGTGACCGTAGCAGGCATCGTCCGAACATACTACATCTGGCAATCTCTAATAAACAGCTGGGACGAAACCTGGTTCTCCTACCCGCTCTGGATCTGCGCCGCCGTTGAAATCGACGTAGCAGTTGTAAGCCTTCATTCTGAAACCTCCCAGCGAATACAACAAAGACTAACCATCATCCACCTCCACAGATCTGCGCCTGCGCCCCCGCCCTCAAACCCCTCCTCCACAAACCCTTCACCCGCATGACCAACAGCATAACCTCCAAACTCTCCTCCCTACGCTCCTCCTCGCACAACTCCGCCGCCGCCGCCTCCCAAACCCCGCAAAACAACTCGAACAAATCCACCCGCTCCGCCTTCAAATTCCCCTTCGCCAAACGCTCCGGCGGCGAATCCATCTGGGATGGCGAGGAAGAATACGGCATGCTTCGGTTGGCCGAAAAGGACACCAACACGACGACGACCACCACCACCACCGCGCAGATGACTGATGTCGAAGCGCACCCCCTTCACGGCTTCATGAACGGCCCCACGCGGATGCCGAGTCATCTGGGGATTCTGAAGAGCCAGAGTGTGGATCAGGAGGTGCAATATCTCACCCCGCAGGAAGTCCAGGGAGAAGCGATGCGGACGCCGGAGGCGTTGGAGATTAGGTGAGATGAGATGTTAGATGAGCTATGGCAGGGGACAGACAGAACCTGTTTGGCGCATGACGGTGACGGTGAATCGTCTTTTTTCAGTTCTGCAGCGGTTTGAAAGAGGGTGTGATTGTTTCTCCTCTGCTTTATATGTGCTGGAAAGGGAAGGGCAATGCAAGGACGAGACGAGACGAGATGAAGATGAGATACCCGAACTACAAAGGCGTACACGGCGTTCGATCGATCAAAAGGTCTTGATGGATTGGATTGGATTTGATTATATTGATGATGGCCGGGCTATGAATGAGAATGGGAATATTATCGAAAAGGAAATAGCTAGCTAGAATGTAATCAATGAATAGTATGGTACGAGGAAATTTGATGAGACGAATACGAAAGTGACAGCGACTTGACAATCGATCAACTTCTCACATCTCTCTATCCTCACTCTCCTCAACTACTACCACCACCACACAGAGTAACACACTTCAAAAAGAGGTACCTCATTGTAATTATACATGATCGCATAATACTCCGCACGCGAGCTCGCCCTCGCGTTCATCAGGAGGAATTTCCCCCATTGCGCTCCTTCGTAACAACGCATAGTGTCGCGTCGTCGGTTAAATCTACATGGAATGACACACAGAGGCAGTGTCCGAAGACTCCTATTCTTGCTCCGCCTCGTCCTCGTTCACCTCGAACTCGTCTGGGACGGGTGCCTCCTCGCCATCGTCGTCGTCCTCATCCACGGCGTTCAGAACACCGGCGCCGGCGGCCGCACCGGTGAGAGCGGAGATGGCTGCTTCTGCCATTGTGGCGTCGTTGGATGACTGGGCGCCTGCACCGGTGCCAGGTGCCGGTGCTTGGGAAGCGGTCTTTTTGCGAGCCTTCAGTTCGATGAGTGTCTTGCTCTCGTCGGGTTGGTTGTCGTTTAGGAGAATGACACCTCCAGTAGGCTGGTGATGGTTAGCGTGTGTGATAAACGATGTTGTCAGGAGGGTGGGACTTGCCTTCTTGACTGGCTGATACCGGCCGTCGGCAGGGAAGCTGATGTACTTGATCTGCCCTGGCAAGACACGGCTCATATTCTCCAGCTCGTAGCCGACTTTCTCCTTTTCGAGCTTCTTCTTGCTACTCTCCTTGTCGCCTTCTTTGTCTTTCTCGTCGCCTGATTTGCTGGTGTCGACAACGTTGTCATCAGTCTCCATCTTGTCGCCGTCGACGTCAGGCTTAGGTGTCGTGGGAGTAGGGTCGATGTCCATGCTCTCGCGGCGGTTCTGCCTGTCCTTGGCCAGCTTTCTTCGCTTCGCTTGGGCAGTTGTGGAAAGGACTGCCGTCTTGACCTTCTCGGGAGCCTCCTCAGTCTTGACCTCGACTTCTGGTGGGTAGTCGAACATGCTCGGCCTCGTGTTGCTGTGGAACTTGAAGCTAGGAATGTCCAAATCCGAGTCAACACCGATGATGGAGGTCGGCGAGAAGGACAATGCAAGGAAGTGCGTGAGAGGAAACCAGTACCAGTATTGCGTGAAGACGGCCATGCCGACAATGGCAGCCATGTTGAGGTTGCCGGTTTGTGTTTGCAGGCCAATCGTGCAGTTTCGGCCACCAGCATCGATAATGCCGAGGGCAAGAGCACATCCAAACTTGGCCATGGCATCTTCGTGGCGATCCGCGACAGCTTTTTGTAGTTGCTTTCGGAGAGCGCTGACCTTGGGGTTCATCGCGTCGTTTTGCTGTACCATGATCATGGCCAGCGAGATGAAAGCGCCCTGTCTGACAAAGTCGACGGAGTCCTTCATCATTGGCTCCAGAAGGTCAATTGCCTCATCCAGTCCAGTACCCGCACACGCAATACCCAGTGCCATTGTGGCACCGTAACGAACGTGGGGGTTGTAGCTCTCGGCGAGCAGCTCAACCATTCTGGGTACACTGCCTGGCTTCCTGAAGAGCACAAAGCCCAAGCCCATGACTGCGGCTCTCCTCACATCATCGCTGACATCCGAGACAGCGAGGTGGAGTAATCTTCTCACAGCTTTGTTGCTGCCACTACCTGCATAAGCAAGCGCGACGGTCATGACACCGCCGTAGCGAAGTGCAGGATCGGTCTCGTCGAGAAGAGAGGCGATCAAGGCATCTGCGCCTTCTTGTCGACCGTACATGATGAGGGCCATGCCCAAGGCAAGACCTCGTACGATCTTCTCGTGCTGCGTATCGTGGGCATACTGAAGCATCTCGTCGACTGCACGTGTGTTGCCGGTGCCGAGCATGACCAGACCCATGGCTAAGCCCACAGCTTCACCATTGACAGCTGAGTCTGCGTAGAGCACGTTCTTGAGCTCTTCGTAGATCTCCTCCGATCCAGTGGCCATACCAGCAACACCCAGTCCCAGAGCTCCACCATGCTGTACGACCTCTTCTTGGGTGGCTTTGAATTGACGGCGCAAGTAGTTGAGGACGTGGGTACCGTGGTTGGTGTAGATGAGACCGAGTGCATAAAGCGAACCACCTTGGCTGTAAGTGCTGCCAGCACCCGAGTTGGCGTTCTCCTTGGGCAGGTATGGCTCAAGAAGCTTCTGGCCATTGTTGAGGTTGCCACGATGGATCACACCAAGCGCCGCCGTCGCTGTGAACTTGCTCCAGTTCACGGCCTTGCCCAACCACTCCAAGTTGTCGCGGAAGAATGTGTCTACTGTCGTGCCGGCATTCATGAACGCGTTGGCGAATGTGACAGAGGTGTGGAAAATGGAGTTGCGTGCCTCGAGAGAATCTCGAATCTTGTTCAAGATGGCGCGATCCGTATGTGCTGCCCTGAAGAGGAACTCCAAGTTCAATTCGATGCTCTTTGTGCCACGTAGAATGTCCTTGATCGACGCAAATGCCTTCTTTTGATCTTCAGTCTCTGGCTTCGGTTTTGTTCTCGATGCGACGATGGTCGAAGTCTGAGGTGCGCCAGCGGATTCGTTTAGTTCGCTGAGAAGCTGGTCGGATTCGGTGGCATTGTCGCTTTGGTTCCGATGTGGAGTCGCAGGTCGGACGGCGTTGCCGTTCATCGTTGCCTCTTCAGTCTTCTCGGACTCGTCTTCTGGCAGCTCGTCCATGACCTTCTGCAAGAACTCTTGTGTGCCGTTCTCGTAAAGGTCAAAGGAGAGCTGGTAGGCGATAGCCAACGATTTGCCGTCACCCTTTTGCACCAGCTGACGAAGCATGTTCGAGGCCATGGATTGCTGGTTGAGGTAGACGACGCATCGTGCAATGGCGAAGTAGTCTGGGCTAGGGATCTCGTTCAGCATGTCCAGGATGAGCTTCAAAATCTCGTTTCGCAGTCCACGCTCCTGCACGACGTTCATGCAAATGTCGAGAACATACTCCATGACATCCTGTTCCGTGTCAGCGCTGCAATAACCTCCAATTCCAGTGTAGTTCCATACCTCCGCCTGGCCAGGTCCTGAAGTTGCAGCCTTCTTGCCCTTGCTCTTCTCGTCTTGGGACGATCGAAGGATGGCTTCCTTGAGGACCTCCATGTTTCGAGCTTCAACTGCCAGGCCAACTACCTGCTTGTAAGCGCCGACCTCGTAGCAGCTCTCAAAGATCCTCCTGATGACCGTCTGCAGATTCTTCTTGACCGGGTTTGGCAAAGTCAAAGGATGTGGATGTGCTCCTGGAACCCCAGCGTTGCCTCCACCCGGTGCAGAAGAGTCCCACGCCTTCTCATCCTCTCGCGATAGCAGCGACTTTGATGGTATGGCGGATTGCGAGAAAGGTGTGGTAGGCGAGCTTCCAGCAGCGTTGGCGTTGTCGTAGTCGGCTGAACCTTGGCGAGCATTGCCAGACGCAGGGTTGGGAGGATTGTGTAGCGCGCAAAGCGAGATGTACGTGTCGATGCATTTGGCTACAATGGTCTCCTCATACTCGCCGGCGTTGTCCAAGTTGAACAGCTTGCCCGCACCCAGGGCGAAGACCATCGACTCATCGTACTCTTGCAGCTGGTAGTAGACTTTTGACAAAACCAAAGCGGCGAGCTCGCGGTGTGAAAAGGATTCGTCTTCGTAGAGGGCCTCTCTGTTGATGCTCTGTCAGCTCCTCGTCACACATAAAACGCCACCATTTGCAGCACATGTCATCGTGATGACTGCATAGACAAACAGCAATGGAGATTTGGATCGAACGTACATTTGACCGATGGAACCTGATACCTCTGTCCATACAGCATCAATCTGAGTGTTGAGTCGCTCGAGCGCAAACGCCTGCAAAGCCGGGTCTGGCTCGGACAAGAAGCCCACCAGGCCGGCAGCAGAAGTGAGGCCGACCATTCTGCTGTTGACGAGCTGCCGTCTGCTGCCTCTTTCCCGAGTGGTGTGTTGATGCGGTCGATGGAGGGGGTGTCGGCGAGACGGGTCGGCGAGATAGGGAGCCCAAACAGAGCCGCGCCGGGGATCGAGTCGTCGATGTGTGCTGATGGAAGGAGATGGATTGAATGGCCAGAAAGGACCGTCGGAAGGGGTTGCACTGCCGGAGCTGGCGATGGAGGGGCGATGGCGGTGGTGGTGTTGATGGGGGTGGTGAAGTTGCTCGTGATCATCGGCGAGAGGCCAGCAGCAGCGACAATAGCAGCAGCAGCACAGGCAGCTTCAACGCGCATGTCATCGGGCGCCGGAGAAGCTATTCCCAAAACAGCCGGAAGACGCTTGGCGCTAGACGGCCTTGCGATGCGGCGTAGACTCTCGGGCCACGACACGTAGGGAAGACGACAGGACGTGAATCTCTTCTAGATAGGACAAAACTACCATTTCCTTCATTCCGTCCCCGGTGTTGCTTTGCGACGAGCTATCCCTCCCCTGAGCAATACTTGCGATTGACGTGATTGACCGCGTCTCCACCCGTTTGCCCTTGCCAAGGTCCGCTGGGACGGCCTCGTTCATATCCATATCAACGTCTATCACCAAACACCCTCCTCACAGCCTCGCATCCACCCCGACTGTCGCCAATACATCTCGACGTCCTCCCCCGCCGGCCCAGCGATCGCGACCTCCATCCCACCGCTAAGCGAAGCGGCAGGAACCTGCTCTGGCGATCCCTTTTCACCTCCAATCCTGAGTCCGCCGAGCTCTTGCCTTAAACCGGTGAACCGTCCGCCGCCGACTGTCATCCCTCACATATGGCCGCTCGGTGCGCGCATCCACCGCTCTGCGCGTCCTAATCGCGCGCATATCCAGGACATTCCCGAGCGGAGGAGTGCGAACGGGGTATAGGAGTCAGGGCGGGGCACAGCGCAGGAAACAAGAACAATGGATCTGGCTGGTATGCTGAACGATGGCGATGCGCCGCCCAAGAGACCATCGCAGACATCTCCTCCGGCTTCAAGTCGGGTGAGCGGAGCGCAGGTATCTCCACCTGCGCAGAATGGGTCGTACGCGGCGGGACCAGGAGCATATGCGACGGCCAGGCCAAGCCAGCAGCAAACTCCGTTGTATGGGCCTCCCTCAGCTCCAACCGGTCTGCCAGGTCAGTCGCAGCGTGGAGGTCTGACTCCGCTGCAGACTCCCTCGCAGGCTGGAGGAGGAGGACAGTACCCATTCCCGCAACAACCGCCTTTGCAAAGCCCGGCCACAGCACACCCAGGCCAGCAGCAACAGCAGTATAGAGGATACGAGCCATACTCAGCAACGACGCCTGGTGCGAGACCGCCAAGTCATGGCTACCCTCAGCCCTCGCCCTCCTTGGGCCAGTACCAGAACACCCTCAATGCCGCACACAACGCATCGCTTTCTCCCACTCCGCCTTCGCATCCCAGCCAAACGCCACATGCAATGCGACAGAGCCCACTCGCGACCATGGGACATCCACCGCCTGCACCACCGCACCACTACCACCAGTCGCAACCCAACACCCCGCTTGGGCCACCGCAGCTCCCACAGCGGCATTCCAACCACCAACTGGATATGAGTAGCCCATATCATCAACGAACGTTCTCTGGTGCCTCAAATGGCATGGTCTCTGGCTCGCCGGCACAGCACCATCCCAGTATTGGAAACCTTGTAGATTCGCCCAGTGCCTACAACAGGCCCTCTCCACAGACCCGCCGCACAAGCGACTATCGAAGCTCGGTGGACCGAGAGCGTAGTGTGTCCGTTTCGCCCAAAACCATAGTACAGCCACGCCCGCCATCCCTTGGTTCACGGCACAGTAGTCAGCAAGAGGTGTACAGTACTCGAGGCTCTTTGCCCCCTAGCGCAGGCGTGGCGTCCTCAGGGGCCACACCGGGTCACGTGCCGCCACCGACACCAGCGCAGGCCCAGTCGCATCATTCCTATGCGGCAAGTGAGGTTGCACAAGCGTACGCACAATCGAGTGGTTCGTTGCCCGGCCCGCCCGTGAATGGGAATTCTTTGTCTCAATCGGACAATAAGACGCCGCTGCAGCACCAATCCCAGAAAATGGGCATGAGCCACTTGCTTGCACCTACGCAACACGCACAACCCCAGCAGCAACCGTCAATACCCAACGGCGCTCCCACCATGCCGGCCAAAATGACAGATTCATCGCCATCACAGTCGCAGTCTCACTCACAACCTCCACCACACGCCTCGGCACCACCCCTGTCACATTCACAGCAGGGGCACGTCAAAGCAGAGCCGCCAGAAGCCAAGCCCGAAATCAAATCCGAGCCATCTGCACTTTCGACTTCATTATCCCATTCAGACATCGCCGCGACAATGACGGCCGCCCCTGAGGTCCAGCCACCACCCATCAAGCAATCCACAGTTGACATGTCGGCGTCAGGTACGTATGCAGGTGCTGTTTGCAGCAATGACATTTGTCACGTCACGTGTCACCATTACACGAGCTAACCATTGGTAGCGGCTGCACCGGGCAAAGCGCCACTGAAGCGACCTGCTGAAGAAGAAGCGTCAGCCGAACCAGCCGCCAAGCGAGGACGAGTCCGCAAGTACAGAGAGCGCCCCATCTGGGCCCATCTATCACATCAGAATCCAAAGGCCAGAGAAACCGCTGTCGTGCCGAATGGTAAAAGCATGACGAACCTAAACTCGCAGCCGCCGCCGCGAGCTGCCCAGCAAAACGGCGTCGCAGGACCACAACCAAACGGCGTGAGCAACGCCAGACCACCACAGGCAAACGGCAATCAGGCCAACATCCCACCATGGCAGCAGAACCCGCCACTCGATGACGACCTCATTCACGCTCGACGAGTCTTGGGTCGATGGGAGAAGTCGCTGAAATGGAACGTGCCCAACCCCAGCTTTAACAGAGCGGTTGCCGACTGGCTGTACGAGCAACTAAAGAACAACGTAGACATTGGGACCGATCCTCAGGAGGGCACTATCGAGATCGAGGCCAAGATAGGGACGTTGATTGACGACAATGGACGGAGATGCGAACTGCCGGTCATGAATGCCTGCGTCATTCATCCTGCTGCAGCCAGACGCTTTCGTTTCGAGAGTGAGATGAATGAGGTATGTTTAAGTGTTGCTGCACCCACCGAACCCTCACTGATTCCATCACAGCAAGAGCACAAGTTCATGAATGCCTTCCTCAACGACTGCTTCGTGCAGTCACAGCCCAAGGCCACAAAAGGCCGGGAACCCATCGATTACAAGCACATCTACGAAGTGGACTCCTTCCGCACCCTCAGCAAGGCCGGCATGGCAGCTCTACCCGGAGCTGCACACCGACGGCGACCCGACCGAGACCTCAAGCTACGCACCTCGACCGACACCAAGACCGGCGAAGTCAGAGCACGCATCATCAAGGTCAAACTCGGCGAAGACCTGCACATTTTCGGCGCCGGCGACCCTTACGACGTCCGCATCTCCATGAATCTCGAGATCAACATGGACCGTCCTGGCTTCGACCCGACGCTCCTAACTGAAGAGCCCACCGAGACGAAGCGAGCGCCACCGAACCGACGCAAAGACCGTCTCTCGTACAAACACCTCGCGTACCAAGTCGACCTGACCCGCGTCGACATCGAGGGCATGGCGCACAAGTACGAGCTGGAACTCGAGGTGGATGCGAATGTGCTGCGGGACCAGATTGCGCGGTTGGAGCAGAGACAGCCGCATGCGTATACGGATGTGGTGGATGGGTTTGTGAGTAATATGTTGATGTTGATGAAACAAAACCGAGGATAGTGAAAGGATATCGAAGGAAGAAGGTGAAACAGGCCTTGGTTTTCTTCTTCTTGTTTCGAATAGGACATGGATGATTCGGTGGCATGGCTAAGGGGAGAGCTTCTGTTAATACCTACTTCTAACTCATGGGTAATGTTCTGCCGAGAGTGTCTTACAACCTTCACAGACAGAAGAGACGGCCCTTCCTAAACTTCTATTCAAAGATTAACGACATATTTGTCAACGCATCTCCCTTGAACATTCAACTAACTTACTACTCCCCACCCATTCTCCACCCTCAACCTACCCCCTCGCGGGCCCAACCCTCCCCCTACACTCCCCAAACCCCACCACGACCCTCCCATCCCTCTCACACCACCCCTCCAACACAACCTCATCCCCATCCGCCAAATACTCCCCAGCCCCCTGCGGCATGACATCCGTCTTCGTCCTCTCCGCCTCATACATACACCCCAACTCATTCATCCTCCCCTCGCCATCCCTGCCACTCCCAGAAATCGTGCCAGTCCCGATGAGATCCCCAACGGCCATCCCACACCCAGACGCCGCGTGGTGCGTCAGTTGCTGGTACGGCGTCCAGTACATGTACTTGAGGTTAGAGGTGGACAGGGTCGTTTCGTTCCCGTCTCGCACCAGACGGACGCGCAGCTTGACGTCCAACGCACCTGCATCCCTCTCGCTAGCCGGCCACGTCAAATGCGCAAAAGGCTTCGGATCCTGCACCAGCGTCGGCGCCGTGGCGAAGGGCTCCAGCGCCTCCATCGGCACGATCCAGTTGGAGATACTCGTGCCGAAGCCCTTGGAGTGGAAAGGTCCTAGCGGACGCATTTCGAACATCTGGTGGTCGCGCGCGGACCAGTCGTTCAGGAGGACGAAGCCGAAGATGTGTTGTTTCGCGTCCGCGATCGGGAGCGTGGAGCCGTAGGGGATGGGGCGGGAGACGAAGTAGCCCATTTCGAGCTCGAAGTCGAGTTTCTTGGACGGGCCGTAGACGGGGGCGCTGTCGAGGCCGGCGGTGAAGGAGACGTTGACGGGGCGCGGGATGGTGGAGGGGGTGGGGAGGAGGGAGGAGACGCGGGAGTTGTAGACGGAGGGGGTGATGAACCAGTTGGAGGGGATGTTGGCGGTGGTGAGTTCGCCGGAGCAGTTCTTGCAGTGGTCGAGGGAAGTGTAGAAGTCGGAGAAGCCCGGGATGGACATGGGGAGGTGGGGGCGGACATCTTTGAGGGGGGTGAGGGTGGAGGAGGGGAGTTTGTTGGCTTTGAGGGATTCTTGGATTTGGGAGCGGATGGTGCGGCGGGTGGGCCAGGGGAGGGCGGCGAAGGTGTTTAGGGCAGGCTGTGGGAGGAGGTGTTAGGATTTGGTGGTGGAGGTTGAGGTTGGGGATAGGACGAACTTGAGAGAAGATTTGTTCGAAAGTGAGATCTTGGCCTGTTTCGAGGCTTGAGAAGGCGCCTGTCTTTGCGTATTTGGCCAGGTCAATGGCATGTTCGCCGATGGCTACAGCGCAGCGAGGTGAGGGTTCCGTCGAGGTGGAGATCACGCCGTAGGGAAGCGTGTCGATAGTGTATGGTGTTTGGTCGAGCTTTGGAGACGACATCTTTGCTGGTGATGATACTGTGAAAGCTACGGTGATTGATTATGATGATGGGGTGTTGTTGAAATAGAGAAGTTGTCGGTGAACGGCGAACTATGGGAGAGTCGGCCCCGCAGTGGGGAGTAAGAGCAGCAGATGCAGGCTGAAGTCAATGTCAGTCTTCGGTTCCCGACGAAGGAGCGTACGGGCGTATATATACAGTCTGGGGAGACGTTATTCCGTCTCGTCCTGAATTGTACATTGTGGGCGCCACTGATCCAATACTTCGACACCCGCCTGCACACGCTTGCTCGAGAGGCTTGATCTTCTTCTTCTTCAGTCAAGTCCTGAATGGAGTCCGCATTTAAGGTTCATGCAGGTACAGGTGGTTCCGAGCTGAGTGCGAGACCTGACAGCTTAGCTGGGCAGTTTCCTTCGAAGGGCGTGTGCTTGATCTCACCTAGCTGGTGAATGGCCTGAAGTTTGGTAGTCAGATTGTTCTTCGCATAGACTGATCTCGGTGCAGATTCGAGGCCACGCATCCGATGTGACCGGGAAAGGGTCGATGTTTAACCTGCAGTCATAGTTGGATGCTTTTTCGGCCGCAGTAGGAGAGCGGTCGTGATTCCATGATAGCCTTCATGACTTCCAACTGCTGGCTGAGACCTAGTGGTTGACGCACTTCCGGGATTGCGGGAGCCACACCCTCTTCAGGCGGCCTTCTGTTTTCTCTCGCGTAGTTTCTTCAACTCTTTAATGCCGGACATGATTAGAGGAACAGCCATTGGACCAAGCAATGGCACGTAAACGGCAACTTTGTGCTCCTCAGGGAAGTAGACTTGGCCCACCATGGATGGTTCAAAGAACGCCTTCTCCACCTCAGTCTCAGCAATTCTCGCGTTCTCCAAAGCGAGCTGGAACTGGCCTTCTCGCAAATTGGTACAAGCCTGATCAAGGCGGTGTAGCGTCTCATCCACAGATTTCGCAACAGAGTCAGGGATGGCGATCGAAGTAAGTTTCAGCGTAAGCCTCGACAGAGCTCCTAGTGTCGACGAAGCAGAAAGAATGAGAGCAGTGGCACGCTCTCTTTTAAGGCTGGACATTCGCAGGGACAGTGAAGATGGTGAGGGTGGGACTCCGAGCAAGCCGGCAAGTTGGTCCGCGAAAATGAGCATATCCGGGCGGAGGTCGTCAAGCGTGAGGTTGTTTGGCTGTGTGCTAGGGGCATTGTGAATCTGAACACCACCCCACTGCGGGATAATCCAGCTCGAGCCATCATTTTCGTCGATGAGCAGTGGCCTTTTGTCCGGAGATGGGACGTAGAGAACAAAGTTGATAGTAGGGCCTTCGCCGATACTTGGACTTAGGGGCCACTCGGCGGCGTTGACGAACCCTGTCAAGTCGCCGTAATGAAGCGTCCAGTGATTCTTTTCAGCATTGAAAGCAGGTCCAGCAATAGACGGACTGAAAGATGCAAATAATTGCACTTGAGTGTCGATGGTAAAGTCGCTGATAGAGGAGAGTGGTCGCAGGAGTGGCGATATGTATTCTCCCAGAGCTTGGTCAATGTCCCAGGCTGATGGGGCGGCCCCAGGTGTGAACATCGAGAATGTGAGGTGATATGCAGGAGCGTATTTAAACGCTCTTGTCATGCGCCGGTCCAGAGCCGAAGACTTCTCGGGCGAAAGGGTAAGAGGTCGCACGCCGTTGGCATAAGCCGTGTCTTTAAGCAAGTGCCAGATTGCAGCGCTTTCGTCCTCAAATATGTTCGATATTTGATTTGCTAGGAACGTCGCAGTTTGTTTGAGGTCCTCGGGTCTTCCGACTTGATGTTCTGCGTTCAGGATCGGCCCCCATGATTGCAGAGTTGCCTGAGGCGTTTTCGGAGCAGAAACGGTATTCAAGATCACATTCAGGACCTGCTTCGGCTTAAGTGTACCGTCTGAGTTGTGTTCTGTCTGGATGTGAAATTTGTGAAAGCGGAAGTTCTGCTGTCCGTTCAATAATGTCTCCAAGTCCGATGCAAGACTTGTAGCATGCTCTGGTGCCAAGTCCGGCGCCGTCAAACCAACGTGCAGAGGGTAGTGCAACTGGCATGCCTGTAATTGATCAATACGCATTATCCTACGTTGAGGGTGCATTTACATACCTTGCCCTCTGCCCAGGCGTTCATAGACTCCAATGGTAGATCGGAGCGTTGAATGGAAGTGGTCCATATCCAGTGCGGGAGTCCCAAGCAGACGACAACAAGCCAGAAAGCGGCAATGATGAGACGTCGGGCCCAGACCGTGGCTGGCTTCTCGGGCGAGAGCTCTGCAGCCCCGTTTGAAGGCTCAGCCTTGCCGTCGTTGGGCTCCATCTTGATTGATGTTCTGGTCAAAGTCGCGACGAAGTTGGGATGGACGTGTCAACAGGGAGGTCAACGCCTGTTCACTTCTGATTGGCCCCGCACCTCGCTCTTTCTTCGGCTGAACTCTGACACTTTCACTTTCACGCCTCACTCTTTCAGCAGCATGAGCACACTTTCACGTGCAAGGCCGTGGTTTGACAGACTTGAAGGCCCAGAATCACATGTTTTCCTAAAACTGTAAGTCACTACGTCCAACTCGTCAATTCATGAGCCAGCATCCGTACCCTCCCTGTGAGAGCATGAGACAACGTCTTGCAAGGAGTGCCATTTGAGACTCTCTTCTACACACCTTCTCTCTTCTTCTCGAGACACCATTCCACACCCTTCCATCTCACAGTCATGGCCGACAAAGACGACGCCAATCCTAAGTTCGAGCAGTCACGGCTCGAACGCTTCTTTGCATTCATCGGTGCAGTGCCTGAAGAAAAGCTGCCCGCAAAGCTGCCCGACCCAGAGCCCGTCGAAGGAGAACCCATCGACGGATCAGACGACGAAGTGCCACCGCCTCCTCCCATAGATCCAAACCACAAGCCCATCTACGCCCGAGATCTCATCAAGACTGTCCAGCCGAAGCCTGCAGTTGCGATGGCAAGCGATGCCCTCGACTTCACCTTGGACTCCCGCAAAGGCCAGCCTGCTCCATTCGGCATCTGTTTCTGTCCATTTCTCGCAGTCACCAAGTACTGCTACAAGTTCGTCCCGAAGAAGTTGATGCAGCCACTTGCCACCGCTTTCTTCGATGCCGAGAAGATCTGGAACCGCGAGTGGGATCTGTGCGTAGGCATGAAAGTGCTCGTGAAAGCAGACGCTGACTTGTGAACAGTTACTACATCTCGTCATCCTACGGCGGAGTCTTCACGTTCATCCCCGAACACCAGCTTCGCGCCCTCCTCGACGAAATCAACATCGCATTTCCAGACGCCAAGCTTGACATCACCGACGAGGATCGTGAAGGAGGACTCGTGCTCGACTTTGAGGACTTGCGAAAGGTGAGTCTGACATCTTGTGATTTTCGACTTTTGACACTGACAGCCAAACAGGATCTCCGGCCACGCTTCCTCGGCCACTGCAACTCGCGCGCAAAGCACTCCGCCTGGGTTCAGCAAATCGAGGCACTGCCCAACATGGTCATCCCAGACTCTGCCGACCGCAGCATCGAAGCCTTCAAGGCGAAGATCGACGCAGCAAACGCCATCAACAAGAACAAGAGCAAGGCCGCCAAGTCTAGGAAGCTGCAGGAGAATGTGCTCAAGAGGCATCAGATGGTCCAGCAGGGCTCCAGATCTCAGCGCTACCTCGGCCTTCGTCGCAACAGCGAAGAGACTCTCATCTCTGACATGAACCAACTCAGCATCGACCCTGTCGACACTTCCAAGCCAGTCCCGCATCCCTTCGACAACGAGCCCATCTTCATCTCCATCGACGTTGAGGCGTACGAGAGACCACCTCACCAAATCACCGAAATTGGAGTGGCCACCCTCGACACTCACGATCTCAAGGGCACTGCGCCAAGCAAGAAGGGCCAGGACTGGTTCAAATTCATCCGCGGTCGCCACTTCCGCGTCAGCGAATACGACAAGTTGGTCAACTCCCAGTACGTCCAGGGCTGCCCCGACAGCTTCGAGTTCGGCGAGAGCGAGACAGTTGCCAAGGACAGTATGGCATCCGTCCTCGCTTCCTGTTTCCGCGAGCCTTTCAGCAAGCCCTCTACCCCAGACGAAGACTTCCCACCTCTCGGCAGCAGCAAGATCAACCCGACCGCATCTACTTCCGAGCCCGAGACGCGCAACATCGTCGTTGTCGGCCACGATCTCGGCCAAGACGTCAACTACTGCCGTGAGATTGGCTATAACATCCTCAACCGCGGCAACATCATCGACTCAGCCGATACCGTCCTCATGTACCGCTCCTACACCAAAGATCCCAACGCCCGTTCTCTCGGCAGCATCCTCTACGACTTCGACATCCCTGGCTGGCATCTCCACAATGCAGGCAATGATGCCGTGTACACTCTGCAAGCCATGCTCGCCATCTGTGTGGAGTCTGCGGCGGGTGGTGGAGAGGGTGAGAAGAAGCGAGCGCAGGAGGCGCAGCAGAAGCGTGAGGAGACTTTGATCGAGGGCGCGAAGGAGAGGGCCCAGGAGGATGCTCTCGGATGGGATTCGAGTGGAGACGATGGTGGCATCCCGATCAAGCCTCCGGCAAACTCGTACCTGAAGCCACAGAAGACGTTTGGGCCAGCACGTCCTCAGACCGGGCTCTACACGATGGGTGGTGCGCCGCTCGACGTTTGAAGCCTGCTCTGAGGATTTCAAGGTGGGAGAACTGTAAGATAAGAGGAGTCCAAGCAAATAGACAGCGTGTACCATAGCACTGTAATGTATCCAGCCGTTCACTCATGACCAACTCTTCACCTCCCACTCGCACACCCCAAACAGACCCTCCGATCCCCCTTCACCGCACACATATCACAAACCCTCCTCCTACACTCCCAACAACTCGTCTCCTGGACATACACATCCTCATCAATCTCCATCGCCTCATCATGTCGTAGCGATCCATCACAATCCTCACAGCGCGTATCCCGCTGAACGCCCACGTCACCATGATCGAGAACCATCGGAATCGTCGACGGCGGCGGCTGCTGAGGAATCCGCCAGAAAAAGTGGAGCGTACTCCTCTGCGGCAGCACTGGCGCTGCAACGTTCGGACTCGAAGCGCATATAGGCGAAGCGTTAGGATGTTCGCGTTGCGCGTTGTATAATCGATTCATTGTATGCTCTACAACCCCATTCCATCCACGTTAGCAAAAAGACTCTCTTCCCAATACCCCCCACTCATAGCATCTCCCGTGAGGACATACCGTATACAATCCCCTCCTCAGGCCTGCCATCCCGAAACCTCTTCCTCGTGCGACTGTTCAGGTGGTTCGCGTGGGAGCCTTCGTCGTAGGTCGGGAAGGACCAGGTGGGTTTTTGGTAGAGCGGTTCGAGGGGTTTGGTTTGGGCGTAGAAGTGCGGGAGAGGGCTTGATGTGGAGGCGTCGCTGGAGGAGCTTGAGGAGAAGGGGGAGGAGAGGGTCGGGGTTGAGCGTTTGCGTTTTAGACCCATGATGTGGGTTTAGAGTGTTGTTTTACTGGAAATGCTGTGGTGTCGGATATGGTATTGGAGGGTGGATGTAGATGTGACGTTGCACGACGCGAGTGGACTCGAAAGCACGCGTCACAGCGCGATTGAGCTGGAGCAGGGATAGCACGGGCCATATATGACGATCTCCCGCACCACTTGATTGAGCCTCAATCAACTTCAATCAATTGCTCTCCAGCCTCCAACCTTCCCACTTTAACCTCACCTCTCTCACCCCCACAACCAAACATCAGCCACCAAACATGTCCAACAACGAAACCATCCGTGAAGCCACCCATGCCGGCTCCTGGTACACCGACTCCAAACCCCAACTCAGCTCGCAACTCGAAGGTTGGCTCGATGCCGTCAAGCCGCCGGTGACTTGTATTGGGCCGGAATCTGAGGGCGAGACGGTGGGGGAGGTGCCTGTTCCTGGGGCAAGGGTGATTATTGCGCCGTAGGTGAATTGATCGTGGTTAAGGTTGTGAGGGATTGTGAGGACTGAATGTGTTGTATAGGCATGCTGGTTATTCGTACTCTGGACCGGCTGCTGCATGGGCGTATAAGGCTTGGGATATTTCGAAGGCGTGAGTGGTTTCTTAAATTTCCTTTCGTTTGTTTCTCAAGATCAGAAAAAGAAAACCACTACCTTTCTAGACTTTGTCCCAAGATCTTCTATTCATGACAAGAATACGTCAATCACGATCAACCTCCAAGGTCTTGTCTATAAAAGATTCTTCTCACAACGACCACAGCAAAAGAGTCTTCCTCCTCGGTCCCTCTCACCACTACTACCTCACCAAAGCCGCCCTCTCCCGCTGCACACAATACGAAACTCCCCTTGGCAATCTCCCCATCGACCGCGAAACCACCGCCGCCCTCCACGCCACCGGCCACTTCGAATGGATGAGCCAATCCGTCGACGAAGACGAGCACAGTCTCGAGATGCACCTGCCGTACATCTACAAAATCCTCTCAAAGTATACCATCCACCCCTCCTCCCAACATTCTCCCACAAGCTGACCACTCCTTGGCAGAACCTTCGGCTCCAACCCCTCCACCTTCCCACCCCTAACCCCAATAATGATAGGCAACACCTCCGCCTCCACCGAGTCCGCCCTCGGCCGCCTCGTCGCCCCCTACCTCGCAGACCCCACCACCGCCTTCGTCATCTCCTCCGACTTTGCCCACTGGGGCCTCCGCTTCCGCTACACCCACTACCGCCCCACCCTGACCGACCCCTCAAGCGCCACAAACCTCTCCTCATCCTCGAAATCCCCCTCCTCCCCAGCAATCCACGAGTCGATCAAAACGGTCGATTTCGAGTGCATGGGCGCCTGTGAGGGCGGAAGTCATAGGGAGTGGTTGGGTGTGCTGGAGCGTACGGGGAATACGGTTTGCGGAAGGCATCCGATTGGGGTTGTGATGGCTGCTGTGGAGGAGGTGAGAAAGGAAGGGGGTGGGAAGGAGGATGTGGGGAGGTTTCGGTTTGTGAGGTATGAGCGGAGTAGTGAGGTGAGGCGGGTAGGGGATAGTAGTGTTAGTTATGCGAGTGCTTTTGCCGTGGTGTGAGTTGGGAAAGGGGCAATTCCGAGTCGGCTGGGGTGTGTTAGGAGCTTGAGAGGATTGGCGAGTGTGGCGATAATTAGAGGAATGAAGTAAACGAGATCCAAGAGGAAAGGAGAAGACGACCATGAATGAGTATTGAATATTTTCAATTGTTTCGTGTCTTTTTTTGTACAATTCCTCTCCTCTCAAAAGTAGAAGAACCATAATCTATGCAAAGTTCGTGCCAAAACAACGTTGGCGGGTATGATGATAAGAAAAATCCAGCAGCAGCAGCAGACATTATCAAGCACCAGAATCCCTCTGTCCCATATCTCCAATCCCTAAACCCCAATCCTTTATACAAGCCAGTCGAAACTTTTTTGATACATATATACAAGTAAAAAAAGCTTCTGTCTGTCATCCATCATCTGTGTCGTGGGCATCTATCCATCTGTCGTCCAGGATGAGGCAAAGGAAAACTTGATCATGCACGGAAAGCAACTGCCTCCGGAGCAGGTGTCTCGCGCGAGAAGAGCGCAGTGCTTGTTGGAACCGCGGTCGCAGGGGCGAAACCCACACCTGAGGAGGTAGCGGGCGCGGTGGCCACGGCGGGTGCTGAGGCGTCGCCGTTGTAGCCGGCGGTTTGGTAGTATGCGTTCTCGGCCGCGATGAGGCTGGTCACAGGCGCGTAGGCGTTCAAGGAAGCGAACGACGAGACGGCGGCGTGTTTTGCGGAGTCGGAGAAAGCGTTCGCGTCGTAGTCCTTCGCGGTGAAGCGCGGGTCCAAGGGGTCGCCGAAGCCTTGGGTCGAATTGAAGTCGTAGCCTAGCGATGCGAGGATCGTGGTGTTGAACGCCGCCATCATGGTGTGGTCCTCGTGGATCAGGTTGTGGCAGTGGAACATGTACATGCCGTTCCAGGGGCCGTAGAAGGCGAGGACGTCGACGGTTTCGCCCGGGGCGAGCATCACGACATCTTTGAGACCGGCGGCCTCGTAAGGAGCGAGGCCGCGGAAACCGCCTGTGCGGGAGAGGACCTGCATGTTGACAAGATGGATGTGGACTGGGTGGACGGCTGGTCCGCCGGTGTGGCGGAGCCTCCAGCGCTCGACGGTGCCTTGGGGTGGGCGGGCGAGGACGCGAGAGTTGGGGTCGTTGAAGTTGGCGCCGTTGATGGTCCAGACGTCTGCGCCGCCCATTTGGAAGTTGAATTGGTGGTCGATGGTGCTTCTTTGTGCGGGCCAGGCGATGTTGGTGTTGAGAGAGGATGGGACGGCGTTGTTCGAAGCGTCGCTGACGGTGTTGCCGACGACGAAACGCATGACCTTGTCGGTGTTGGCGAACTCGTTGATCTGGGTAATTTGCATGCCGTTCATCATTGTCACATTCTGGCCCTTGAAGCCGGAGAAGTCGACGATGATCTCGTATCGCTCGCCCATGGACAGGACGACGTCTTTGGCGTTGACTGGAGCGGAGAAAAGACCCGAGTCGGAGGCGATGACTTGGAATTGGATGGGGTTGTTGTTCTGGTCCACCAGGTAAAGATCGTATGAGCGGCTAAGAGACATATCGAAAAGCCTGAAGCGGTACTTGCGAGGCTCGACATTGAGATATGGCCATGGCTGGCTGTTGACCTCGATGGTGTCGCCGAAGAAGTTAATAACGTTGCCATTGGGCGAAGCGAGATCACCGTTGGACTGATAGATCTTGTCAGAAAGTGCGAGGGGAACATCATATTTGCCACTTGGAAGACCAAGAGCGTCCTCAGCCGGGTCGGTGATGATGTAGCAACCTGCTTGGCCGTAGTAGGCATCGGCTGCGGTGTGACCGTGAGCATGGTCGTGGTACCACATTGGACGTGCAGTCTCAGTGTTGGGGTAGTAGTAGTCTTTCCATTGACCTGGTTGCAGCTCATCGAAAGCCCACCCATCCCAGGCGGCGTGGGTGTATGAGCCGTGAAGGTGGACGGACGAGGATTGGGATCCTTTGTTGGTGTAACGAATGACAGTCTCTACACCGCGAGGGATGTAGTATGTAGGACCTGGTGCGGTTCCATCTGATCGAATGTCAGCAACACGTCTTCTACCATCCTGTTGTTGAACTCACTGTAACCGATAAGATTAGCAGGCCCCAAGTTGGGATACACCTGCTGCTGGAAAGGCTGAATAGTCGACTCGTAGTACTGGATCGTCCGGCCGTTGATATTCTCCGTGAAGACAGGCTGGGCGACCGCTGGCACGGGCAGCGGTTTTTGGAAGATCCAAGGATATGCAGGAGACCCGGCACTCTTACCGGCTCCTCTCCAGTTCGGCCTTCCAAGAGGTTTGCTGCCGGGACGTTGAGGAGTTGCCTCGACCAGGGACGCCGAAGCTGCCAGCCCAAGGGCCAACAGGCCTGAAAAGAACGACATTGTGGGTGTTGGTGTACCGCGAGAGGATGTAGGCGTAATGTATGTGGCGAAGGGGTTGAAGATGAAGGTTAGGGGGGGAAAGGTTGAATGCACTCCCCAAGCAAGCGAGCGTGGTAATGCTGGTGATGTAGAGTAATGATCGGCCTGTTGGTGCGCTGTCGGGCTCACATATTATATCTATGATGCGAGAGCAGGAGTAGTGCTCTCAGCACCCTCTGCCTGCCCAGGAGGACGCCGTGGCACCGAGCAGCGAATTGCCAAACTGGTCCAGGCGGCGCCACGGACGGGCGTCCCACAGCAGACGCATCGACATAGATCCATGCGCGGTGCATGCAGCCGTGGTGGTGGTGTTTGAGGCGATGGATGATCGCTTCACATGTCCTCGAGGCAGTGAGGCTTGTCATCGCCTGGAGTTTATTTTCGGCCTTCTGCTTAGCGTAACCTAATCACGCGGACCCACAGACAAGCCTTTTAGCCTGCAGACGTCGTCGAATCATGTCCTTCACTCACCCGGCACGAGCCTCATCTCGACCGGGGTCCATCCTGAATAGGAGGACACAGACTCTTTCGTCTTTGCGCTTCCCACGCGGCTGTGGCATCGTGATTCCGAGACACAATGCCACGGTGGTGATGCCATATCAGATCCGGGCCTCGCATCCTGCTGCTGCTGCTGCTTCGTGCCCGCTGTCTTGGGAGGCGCTTGGCCAGGTCTCGTCGCACGTATCCGTTCAGTCTCAGGAGAGCGCAATGGCCACGACGGTGAGGCTGCCGAATCATCACCACACACCCCTCGCAAACCCCAGACCGCCACGCCTTTTCAGCCCGGCCAACATTAGGAGATGGCCCCAAGAGCCCCAAAGCTGGAGGCCTCGAATGGGATGGATCTCGATTATTACCTACGTGATGGGATAAGCGGACTGGACGCCAGATGGTCAGACTGCTCGCGAGAGCATCCCAACTTGTACCGATCAGTTCACCGGTGACGATACCTCTCGCTCGGAGGTTCCGCAGCGATTATACTGCATCGTATCAATAACCACCATCTCCACGCTCGGCGCCTTGCCGTGATGGTGTGGTGGGATGTGAATCAATAGCTCCAAGCTGCTCTCCACAACCTAATCTGCAGGGTCCGAATGCTATTCATTGCACGACTGGTGTTTGAAGAGGAGAACATCGCTATCCACTTTCGACCCGAATGCCCGTGGAGTCCTAGTCATTGATCGACTACGAGATGAAGACACGAGAATTTCTCGTTTCAGCTTGATCAACAGTCGAAAGTTGCGATTTGCGGTGTACAAGGATGCCGCTATACGAGCTCTCACAAAAAGTGACAGGCACTGATGTTGCAGGGCAGGTAGCCCGGCTGGTGCTGAGAGATGCCATGCGCTGCGATGCAACACTCGTGTTTGGTCTGCGCGCTCTTCAGGCCAGCCGCAACAAATGCAGAACTGAGCCTCAAGGCCACCGACCATTTCCGCAAATGGTGCTCTTCGTGCAGCCGCAAGCCACGGAATAAGCCTCTTCGATGCAGCGGTGGAACAATCCTCCATCGAGAAAACAGTCAGCATCTCGCCATATCGCACCCACGACCTGCCGTTCACCGGCTGTTCGCTCAGGCCTTTTCTTTCTCTCGCTTCTGGTCTTCGCTCAGACCGCGCGCGCGTGCACGCGGCAAGAAACGAGACGGGAAGTCGCTGTTCTCTTCATCTATTCGATATGGCGTATTGGACCGCAGAAACCTTAAAATATCCAGATGCGACCTTTCATGCATGCACGTCGGAGAATTGAAACCTTGATTCTTGCATGCTGCCGCTGCCGCCACATGACGATTCGGCAAGGATTTGTAGCTCGCATGGTGTTCATCCACACAAATCTCCTCTTGGCGCCGGCAGAGCTTCTTGCGAGAGATGGAAATTCATACAGTGAACTTTCTTCACCTGTAGTGTGGTATCTGTTGCGAGCGGAGGCATGTCAAGGCGAGGTCTGCCAAGTTGATGACGGCAGCGTTGCAGTTGACGATGTGATCTCGGAATGTGGTCTGGAGCTGCTGGTACAGTGACGAACTGGTCCAGATTTACGATATCGGTTTGTCAACAGTGGCTGTTGATCGACCGACCGAGTCCGACAGAGCTGTAACGGCAGTTGTTCGCTCGCTGGTACCGAAGCGTAGAAGGTCTCAAACGGACCACGCGAAGGCCATGACACGATGGAAGTTGACAAAGTCATGGCCAACGTCACACCATCGAGCCTCTCTTGAGCCATCAATAGGTATTGTTGTTTGACGCTTTCCTGATGGTATTTCCTCTCCGTTGCTATTCCAGTGTTCAATGAAACAGCGATGAGGGACGCCGTCTGAAATGCGACTCATGCGATGGATAGGGGCTGCACCGTCCGGAAGAGGAAATTCCCCAACCCGTGAAGATTCTTCTTTCTCTCCCATGGAAAGGCAAAGATGCCAGTCTCGTCCATACCGTTCTATCTACCAGATCGAGACCTCGCAGGACATACGCCAGTTGCTGACAGTCATTGTGTGCAGTGGAGACATGCTAGATCAGCCACAGCGCCAGACGAAGTCCCGAAAGAAGCTTCATGCTCCTGCTGACGCCTCTGGGCCGACTTTCGAGGAAGAAGTTCAACCTCAAGCCACAGTCCTGTCCAGGTTATTGGGTGCCGTGCGCCATCGACTAGTACAACGGTGTGGAAGAAGCTTAAACCCGCATACGCCTCGAGATGGTTGTGGGTCAATAACTTGCTCAGACTGAGAATTTTAAGCAAACGAAGCCCCTCCAGTGACTGCCGCTTTCTTCCATCGAACTGGGGCTCTTGTATCGTCCTCGAGTATGATAGTCTGCAAGGCCATGGATACCACGTCGACGATGTTCGATCGCAGGAGATTCTAGCCCGACAAAGCCGTTGCCAATGTCCACCACGTACGCCAACTGCCAACGTTGCAATCTGCACTTCTTTACCACGCGGGCCGATGCAGCGTATCGAACGGGCGAGGATGATCGATTCGCGATCGAAGGTCTGCGCGATGATGACCGTAGTCTGGCCAACCGCCGGCACAGACCTGGGTTCTCGACGTAGGCGCATAGTTCTGGTCTTCGCAGATGAAGGTCTATCGACGAGCAATGAGGAGTCTGGCTCATGAAGCATGCCGTTGCCTTCGGAGTCGCCGTGTGTTGTAACTTGTATCGGGAACGCATCTGGCTTCATGGTCGAGATCATACCGGCTTCGTTAGCCAAGCTGGTCTGGATGGGCGATGTGCCTTGGACTCCCCCTCGATCAGATTTGGATCAGTAGTGGGTTCACAGAGAACGCTGGGTCTTTGGAACAAGATGACAGGTCCCGCATGCCGTCGAGATGGACGCTCCGCAATCGCGTGCTGAATGGTAGGTGGGGAAAGGTTGTTCCGAAGGTGAGTCAAAGATCGAGTTGGAGAGGTGAGGTTAGAGCATGTTTCAGTCGTGATGGAAACTGGAAGGTGCGATGCCGAAAGAAGGCGGTCGCAACTCTCGAAGCTTGCTCCAGATATGGCATCAAGACATGGCGGAAAGAGAGGCAAGTTCATCAAGACCATGAGTTTATTCGTGAGAGAGACTAATGAAGCCAGTGCCGCTGTCCTCCTGCTGTATGAGAGAACATACCGATGAGTGCTCTCCAGAAACCAAGACATCCTCTCTGTCCTCATGTTGGATCTCTCCGTCCTCATGCTCGGTCATTCATACGCCATATCATTGCAGTCTCTTGTTGCCCACGTCTTGCTGGACGCAGCCTCTTCCCATCTTCAGTCGACATCATCCAAAGCACCACCTTCAGCCACCTCGCCATCCTCCCACCATCCCTCCTCGTGATCGTCTTGCGTGTTCGGAGCGTTTGCATTGGAAGCAGTGGTCGTAGGCGCCGCTTGACCTGGATTGGCAGCCGTCGGGCCCAGCGGAAATCCTGGACCTGGAGGGTTCTGAGCTGGTGGCTCCTGTGGAAGAGGGCCACCGAAGAGTGAGAAGATGCCTCCGAGTGCTGGGAGAGGAGGCATGTTGGGCCCCGCAGCTGGTGCAGCTTGTGCACCCGCGCCTGTACCTGGTGGAGCAGGCATAGGCACTGGCATTGCGAACATGCCGCCAACACCACCAGCGCCTGCAGGAAACTGGGCGAGGTTGCCCACAAGTCCATTGAAGTCGAGATCGCCCATTGGACCGCCGCCCAGGTTGTACTCTTTCGCGAATGTCGGCAGTTGCTCTCGAATCTCCTCGCCTTCTACGCAGATGTAATAGCCACGCTCGCCAGACTTGACTCCTGGGGCACGATGATGCTTATCTGTGCGGGCCAGACAGCCACTTGGTGATTTGGTCCCCTGCGTAGAGGAGGCTTGTGCTGCCTTCTTCACTGGTTTCTTAGCCTTGGGCCGTGGCATCGTTGAATCAACGGCCTCTTCTGGAGCCTCCTGAGGAAGTGAGGATCCTGCTGGATCCAGAAGATCTGGCAGGCTCTCTCCATCGTCATCATCATCATCATCTTCATCTTCTTCTTCTTCTTCTTCCTCCCCCTCTTCTTCTTCCTCTTCATCCTCCTCTTTCTCGTCACCCTCCTCGCCCTTCTCATCCTCATCCTCGTCGTCGTCTGCGTCAGACCAACCACTGTCGTCCTCGCCCTCGTCACCACCAGCTCCAAGAATATCTCCAGTGAGGGGATCGAGCCACGACGGTTCGGTCAGATCCTCGTCCTCGTCTGGCTTCTCGAGGAAGAAGCACTTCTGCCCATGAGCTTGAAGGTAGTACATGTGGAGGTGATCGAGACTCGGTAATTTCTCGAGAGCCTTGAGTAGTGGGACCCACGACCCATGACAGATCTCAACCAGCATGAATGTGATCATGTGAGCTGATTTTAGTTGGCAGACGATGGCAGCGAGCGTTTCCATGTCGACCAGAAAGCCGTCGAGCTGAAACTTCGTAAGCTTGCCCAGGTCGATGTTGCTGGCCAGTGATTTGAGGATTTGCCCAGACCATTGTCCGACATCAGCCGCCAACGTAAGACACGTCACGTTCTTCAGTACTCGTGCAAAGCTCTTCACCGAGCGAGCCGCGACTTTCAACTCCTCCTGACTGTCAGTCTTTCCGACACGAAGCGAGCGACTGCGGAGACAGAGGTCGACGGTAGTGAGGTTGCTGAAGGCCTTGGTCAATTGGTCGAGCGTGGTGGACTTGAACTGAAGGTCCGTAGTTGGCGACAGGCCATAGGGCTGGTCGAGGTTGAGATGCGTATGCAAGTCGGTAAGGGTGCTGATTCCGCTCTTGGTCACTGCCAAGATCATCGTTCGAAAGACATGGGTCAACCATGGGTAGTACTCGTCGGCGAACGATGCGTCGACGGGTCGATAAGAAGCTGGAATGCCGGTGGTTCGTGTGAACTTCCTCAGTCCGTAGCACTTCACGGATCTTGGAAGCTGCCGGGGTTGATCGACCAGAGTCAGGCGCTCGAGACGGGGGAGATGCGAGAAGGCCTCGGAGAGAAGCTTCAAGTCACCGCCCTTGTCTTGAAGCTGGCGCTGGTCGTTCTTGTATTCGATGAATGCTTCGTGCTCGCGGACGGTCGGGTTCCAAGCACATCCTCCACGATGGCAGCACTGAACCTGGCGCTCGGTCGCACTGGCGGTTATGATGTAGGCCTTCTGGAAGTAGTGCCGGAGCTTCTCGCTCTTGGCGATGTTTACGAACACCTTGAGACTCTGTATGACATGTCAGCGAGATCGGTCGTCCTCAAGCCGTTGCTGTGATGGCTCATACCTCCGTGGTGAACATGAAGCATTTCGACCCAAAATACTCGGTGGCGAACTCGTGTAACGACTTGTTCTCGAGGTCTCTGCATGTCAAGCGCAGGGCGAACAGGTCATCGGAGCCCAACTTGCAGGCGATGTTGGAGACCAGCTCTTCTGGGAGCTTGAGGAAGCCTTTCTGGACCTCCTGGAGGTTGTCGGTCGTGTTGGCATCTGGTACCATGGTCGGAGCGGCCGCCGATGCCATTGCCACCGACTTGTCGATGTTGGTAGCAGCGTCGGACGCCATGGTGGGTGGGTGGTGGATGTCGCGTTGACAACTGGAGGGTGGCGCTTGTTTACGCGGTGTACGTGCGTGTTCGGTGTCAAACGCTGAGGTTGAGCTGGTCAAGCAGCAACAGTTCAGGGATGTATGCAGCTTGCCGCGTGGTGACCGGGGTTTCTGATGTTGTTTGGTTGGTGACGGCGCTTGGAGCGCGAAGGGGAGGAAGACCAAAAGCTACACGTTGTTGCGCCGGCAGAAACTCGGCGAGGCTAATGGAAGGCCAACGTGAAAGTGAATGAAGATTGAACAGCATGTGAGGTCGTGTGGCTGCCTAGATGGGTCGCTTCCCACCTTTGCTGCGGCACCTGCCAAACAAACAGTGTGACGGCGACCAACTTACCCCTTCTACCACCACCTCTTTCTACGACATAGATCGCATCGTGAGCCTCGCTGTCTGGGACATGCATACCTTTTGCTTTGCGTTTATCAAAGTCGGGTGGACCTTTGATTATTGATTCCACCCATGATCCCAGCAGAACCCAGATGTCGACTGGATACTTCACCCATCTCCTGCGTGAAGCTACAATGAAGAAGCACGTTCATCCGGGGTTTGATGCCAACCAGGGGATGCGCGAAGAGATGGGCGAATAGTCCTGCATACAGCCCACGAGCCAGTTCAACGACAGATCATGCATGAGACATCACCTCGTCAAGAATCCTCCATTGGCCATATTTATACACAAGATACAGCCTCATCGATCTCTGGTAAACGGTCACGCACTCTTGGCTCCTTTCGGCTGGAAGACCTGCTGGCAAGATCCATTCGCGACCTCCTTGGCTGGGACTGAGGGCTTGCGGCCGATTGAGAGGGTGGTTGTCTTGGGCCTACTGTACGCTCGACCGACGGGCGTGAACGCGATCCATTCCATGATATTGCCAGCGTTCACTGGGCATTCCAGCCTGCATTGGGGAGCTGTTAAACCTGGCCGACGTGTCGCAAAATCAGATCGCGATTTCTCGTGGGAGCCTGTCACTTCCAGAGCTGCAGGTTTTCGACACGATGGAAGGGAGATTGATAACGCGGTGCCATGATTGATGGCGATATCTTGCTATAGCCAGGATCACGAGCTGATGTCACGAATAGCACACGCGGCTGAGAGGCAGAGGCAGGGTTCGCCAACCAAAACTGGGCAGGGTGGAAGAGACTCAGCCACGCGCGCAGCGAACGTTTCTCACCACCAGCGCTTCCCCGGACCCAGGATCTGTCTCTGAATCGCGACTCGCATTGCTCTCTTTATTCCACACAACATTCGTCTGGTCTGCGTTGTCCCATTCTACGTATCGCTGTGGTTGTTGTTCTATCGTTGGACTTCACGGTGCCAAGTTGGCACAGTGTCAGCCGCGTCAGCGACAACACGATCCTGCCAAACTCTCCACGCCATCTCCTTGTCGCCAGGGCACTCCGCTGTCTCCGTAACCGTTCTCGAACCCAGAGCCCGTGCACATTGCGCGCACGGCCATCTTCGTCCCAACCTCTTCTGTCAGACGCAACAGACAGTCCATGCGATACCTCTTGTCACATACCAGCGCATAGCTGCAGAAGCCGCCATGCTTCTCCCCCGAGATGTCGAGGCAGAGGGTGTGCTTAAGCGCCGACAGTCAGATCCCAGCAGTGGTTCCGGTGGAGGATCGACCGTGATCGTTGCGGTAATGACAGTAATATCATATACTTCGAGATAGAGTTGCTGATATATTTGCAGGTCGTGGTGGCCGTGGTCGCCGTCGTGTTGGTACTTATAGTATCATGGTATACCCTGAGAAGGTTACGCTTCAAGCACGAGAACCCGCGATACGTACCGACAGAGTTCCTCAAGAAGAGGTGGCGGAATTGGAAACCTCGGAAGCACAGTCTATCGAAGGGCAACTACAGTGCGAGGCTACAAGAGGACTCCGATGTGCCAACATTACAGCTGCGAAGCGAGAACCGAAGCGCCCGAACAAGTCGACAAGACCTGCCGGATCTCGAGCGACAACAGGCTGAGCAGACTACTACACAAGCCGGGGATGGCGTCAACCGTAACACCAGCGTGCGATCAGTCATGACACTGCCAACATACTCGCGATCGGTCCGCGAGAATGAACGAGTGTTGGGGCGAGAAGGTGAAAGAGACGGAATTGATGTTGTCGTCGAAGCACCAGAAGGGGAAGAGGAGGAGGAGGAAAGACGCGAGGAAGAGATGGAGAGTCTGTACCAGATCCGGCTACAACGACGAAGGGAAGTTGAAGAGCGAGAAGATCGAAGAAGACGAAGACGAGAGGCCAGGCAAAGAGGCGACTTCGCAGAGGTCGAGCGAATTCGACAAGAGGGTGTCGCAGCAACGTCGCAGAGAGAAACCGCTGGTGCGTCGGCTATGATCACCGAACACCAAGGGAAGAACAGAGACCGGAGAATCAGCAGTGTCAGCTATGCTGATGTGGGTGTTGCTCGACACGACGGCACCAGGATACGTGCGGGTTCTACAGAATCGGATAGCAGACCTCTCCTGGACTCTGCAGCGAGTATCAGTGGTGGTGCAAGTCTTCGTCCTTGGTCTACGCGGGATTCGCATGGTTTCACCCATCATCGAAACCAGTCGCAGCAGACCTTCAACTCTGCATCGGATGACTCCTCTGAAATAGTTGATATTGGGGATGCACCGCCGTTTGGTCGGGCTGGAAGCGACTACGAGATCGTTACCATGAACCAAGGCGGCCACTCACGCAATGGGTCGGCGATAAGCACTCCTGCGGGTGGTCGAAGTCGGGCATCTACGACAAACACCATGCCGGTGCGGCCCTCTATTGACACAGCAGTCAGCGGAGACCTTGGCGAGTCACAGATACCCAGCGCTGAGCCGCCTTCGTATGATGGCGACGGCTTCGAAGAGGCCCCACCCTATACCTCGCCGATCCAACAACGAGCCCCATCATTGCGTTTGTCGGCTACTCAGCAGCCAGACTCCGAAAGATCATCTTCCCCCAACGGTGCGCCTCTTTTACCTGAAATTGGTCGATTGCCCAGCATACGAATAGCGGAAGCCACTCCAGTGAATCCCGCCGCGCCCACCTTCCCAGCCACCGTCAGGGAAGACACTCATCGTGAGGGGGACTCATGAACAAGAGACGGAAGAATAATTGTTGACAGAGCGAACAAGCGAGCGAGCATTGAAATTTTGAAAGAAGAGAGAGCATCGAGATGTGACGGGAGTTAAAATGGACAAAGATGAGCATGAGACCAAGAATTTACGAGACCCGGGATATGTGTGTGTTTTGTTGCTGTCTTTTTGCATTTGTGTGTGGATAATAGGGAAGTTGAAGACAACTTACTCAATTTATTAGTACCTTATGTACGTGTACATATCGAATGCACAGTCATATCGCACAGCATTCTCACGGATATGGATAACTACTCTTCAACCTTCCCGTCATAGTTCTGCTTAATGGCCTTCTCCAATTCTTGCGCTTTCGCACCCGTCACGCTGCCTTTCAGGTCGCCGTCCTTGAAGATGTGGAAGGAGGGCATGTGCGTCGCGCCGAGTTCTTGGGTTATATCTTGAACCCGCATCCAGCGTTAGATACATGGTCAATTACACGGAGGGCAAGTCGATAGAGACTAACCAAGAGCTGTGTCCGTATCGTATTTGTAAAACCTTGCGTCGGGATACTTGGTGATGAGTTTGTCGACCTTTACCAACTCAGCAAACCGAGACGGAGACGTGTTGGAGTGTGAGAGGATGGCATACGAATGGTGATATCGCTTTACATTGACTGCACCAGACGGCGGTGGCTTCGAGGATGGCGAGGCCGTCGGCGTTGGAGGCTTTGAGGTATTCGGGGAGGGTGGTGAGTTCTTCCATTGTGATCCTCGTCCTGAAAATACTAGAGACGGTAGATGTGGTAGTGTTTCCGGGGATATCGAACCTCTCACATGCCAAACAGCAAGATCAGAAGCACAGATGTCGTGAAGGCGCGGCAACGACGAAACGAACGACGTCAGGTGGGTGAATGGAAAACACCCTTGCACAACTAGCACAACTTTGTGCACACCAGCCCGAAAGAACGAGAGGGCGAACCTGCAGCCTCCCTTTAGCTGCCGCCCACACACCATCAATCACCATTGCCCACTCTCTCGGTTTCGGTTCTGCGTGAAGTACTTTTCGTCCCTACGAATGAGAGGGGCCAGAGGGTGTTGCGCGGAGCGGAGAGGACCAGGAATGCGGCCAGCCGATGGTGGCCTTGGGGTGGAGGCCAATGGCGAGGGGGATGAGAGAGATATGGTTTTGCTGGGAGGTGGGTACGTGATGGGATGAGGAGTACGTACATCCTGAGCATTTATCGATACTGCTAGTAGATGTTGATGCTTAATGGAGGCAATGGCTTCGCTGATAATGAAGAGCCTGGTTACATCTCAAGAATCGCACCTACCGCAGCCTCTCAGTACATCCACTTCTCATCACAAACGATGTACTGTACACACTCCCTCCGACATCCTGATCAACTTAATAAGGACATCGTCAACGAACGCGACCACATCATCCATCGGAGTCAACAGCGGGCAAAAGCGAACATCCAGTAGTCGCCGACGTGTTTCAGCGAATTGAAGGTGCTCGTCGGACGTACCTCCTGTGCCGAGACTGCCGCGACTTGATGGAAGTTTGGCGAGAAAGGAGTCCACTCCGAAGGGGTTCGTGTCGGTTGTTGACGAGTTGATAAGTGCCGCGGGATGGGGGGTACAATTTGACGTCGGGGTCGTAAGGACTCTGGATCTGCTGTGAGATTTCTATGTCTGACGATGTCCATCATCGCGGTTGTATGGAGGATAATCTATCTCTGTCGATAATGCGGTGCAGACTGGATCACAGGGTTCGTCGAGACAAACGCAGAACGTACGCGGTATCGTGAGGGCGTGACAAGATGGACGTCGGCTGTGCACTTGTTGAACAGTTTCCTATCTTTCCGGTCCACTGAGACGGCGACTGTGCACCGATTATTCACATGCTTGCTTGTGTTAATCTCAACACTCTCGATTAGACGACGGTTCCAGCAGATCGAACAATGACCCATCCTCACCTGGACGAAGATGCGAGAGACGACTCCATGGATCCAGTATCAATCTAAACTCCCGGCCTAATTAGCCACATTCCCCTAGGCCGATGAACGAGTACAGATCGACAGGCGTATACCCTGAATGGTAAATCGGAAGAGGATGGCGACGAAGCAGCGTTGAAAGATCAGCCTGCCGAGACAGACTCCCTAGCCGAAGTCCAAATAACCTCTGAACAATCAGCATGTAGGCCGAAGACGCCGGAGAATGGGACCCGACTTTCTCGAGCTACAACGGCGCTGTCAAGATACAAGCTAATCCAGCAATTCCCTTTGGTGGCAGAGTAGACTTAACACGCAGGTACCAATATCCTCCCGACATGCGTCTCCCATACGAACCTGCAGCCCGTCCATACTCCCTGTCCCTGAACGAAGAAAGACCGTGTCATGCAAGGACGCAGCGCATGCAAAGAATCAAACCCCAAGCGACGACAAGACGATGGAACAAGTCACCTTGGCTTAAGTAAGATCTGGTTGTCCTCATGCACTCCCTGCGGCCACCCTCTAGCACCCGTGCCGAACGAAGCAAATCACCCGAAAGGCAGTAGTGGAGAAACACAAAGCGGACGACGCTCGAAAATCTCATCAACCACATGTGCGTGTATCACCTCCGTCGTAGCGGGGATCAGGTTGTCCTCATGCACTGCCTGCGGCCACCCTCTAGAACCCGTGCCAAAAGAGGCGAATAGCACGGAGGCGGTGGAGACAGATGATGGATGAGGCTCGAATGTGGCGTTTCTTTTTGATAGTGGGTGCCCCGGCGGGCTGGTTACCGCGCATGCGGATGTGCTAGAACGGTGACGGTGCCAGGGACGCGGGGGAATAGGGGGTTGTGAGTGGTTGAGTAGCGGGTCGTTCATGCGTGAGGACGGAAAGGTGGTAGAGGATGCGCGGTACTGACTCGTTGGCGTTGCTGAGAGCGGCCTGATGAGAGATCCTCCTCGCCTCCTTTGCTGCTTTCACCATCTCTCTCTCCCTAAGTACCCCAATCTAACGAACTACGTCCCCCAAAGCGAAAGCGACGTACTGTACAACCCCTAATCCCAATCCCATCACATCACATCACATCACATCAGCCCACGGTCACATGACAGCACTAGCTACAGCTACATGTGATCGTGGCTTGCATGCATACATGCATGCCGAACCCGCAGCGTCATCCACTCTGTCGGGAACTCGAAAGAGCCAGAACGACATCCGAACCAGGTGGCATGCAGTGGGAGTTTGGGCAAGAGCTGTTGCTGATCTCATGCACTCTCAGTTTGAGGGGAAGACGTTTTCCGGAATTGTGTTCGATGTCGAGTAGACAGGACAGGATAGGAAAGGGGAATTTTTAGGGCTTCAGCTCTTGGTAGGATGCAGAGCGACTAATGGGTTCGTGGCAGAAAAGGTTCTGGTCTTACCATCTGTATCTTCTTCTGTTCTTTGATGTTCGAAGTATTCCCTTCTTTCGCGAATTTACCGCGCTAGAGTACAGCACAGCTCCATCTAATAAGCTCGACATTCAATAACCGGATCGACGACCAGTGTCCGCGCTCGTAAGCATCGCGGATGATATGCACAGCAGCAGGTGAAGTTCAGGAAGTCATAGGCTATAGCGGCTGAGACCGAAAAAGCCCCCACGAGGAAATGGGCGGCAGGATTCGTAGGATTTATGCCTTGCAGTCTAAAAAACCACCTGCAGCAGGGCGTCCCTTTCCACTACTTCATGACTGTAGCTCTATCTATCTATCCTGTCGCAAGCGCGTGTCTAAACTTCTCCGCGAAGCACTTCAACGTCGTCTCTGACTGGGGTGGTACGGGCATCTTGTCGCCCACGGCCTTTTGTGCTTGGTCTTCGCTGAGACCGCCTTCTCCGCCGTCGACGTCCTTTCTGCTCTCTTCTTTGACGGATTTGTTCGCGCCGCTTCGCACAGGGCCGTGGGCGGACGCGGGTGTTATGGGCGTTTTGTCCATGAGATGTTGCCATCTTGCTAGGTACGCTCCTGGACCGAAAGGTGTGGCATGGTTGCGCTTGATGACAGCGCTTATTCGTGCTGCGGAGGCGGCGTGGAGGTCGTCGATGTATTTGCCGTGGGCTTCTAGTTCTTGCTTGACGACTTCCTTTTCTTTCTCCGGTAGTTCGGCGAAGGTCTTGGTCAGTTCGGCTTGGAGACCGCCTGTCACTATCTTATCGGAGACGACAGACTCGCTGGGAGGTGGCTTCTCGTGGTTTCTGAACATCGAGGCAGCTGTGTGTGAGTATTCTTTGAACCACGATGTGACCTCCTTCCCGTTCTTCGCCACTTGATGTAGGAATTTGTGTAGGCTTCCCTGATGTCGATGCAACAGATCCACGAATGCTTCCACTGATGGCGTCTTCTCCTGTCCCTTAGGTCCGCTTGGCTTCGATATCTTGAGCATGTCTGTAAGGAACTGCTCCAAGTCCCATAGGCTGTCGCTGAGGTTGACTGCTTGATGTATGTGTCTTATTATGGGAGTGTACGCATCGACGGCGTCTCGGATTGCAGCAGTCAGAATGTCTGGGTTGCGTTTGCAAAGCACTCGGACGATCTCCTGTCGATCTCGAACGGCCAGATGGAGTGACAGATATTCCAAAGCTTTCGAATGTTGCTGCTCTGTCATCTCCACGGAAACAGAAGACAGAGACAAGATCACGGCGACGATCGACATGTTCTGTTCTTGGCTCTGTCTTCGAGTTTCATCGTGCTCGGCTCGACTTCGCTGGATCCAGCTCTTCAGCTCTTCCCGTACTTCTTTCGGTGGTGCATGATGCTCCTTTTCGATTTTGTCGGCACGTTTCCTAAGATCGCGCTTGTCCCAGCTTAGCACTTGAGATATGATCCTACAATAAGGTCAGAAACCGTCATATGTTCGTCTGGGGCGTTTGACGTACTGTTGCAGTAAGTTCATGCCCTCGTCAGCTCCACTCGAAAGTCCGATCCAATTCGTGACAGAGGCCACGCTCGCCTTGGCCAGCACGATTCTCATAATCCCGCTCAGCATGGTGGCGACGTTGCCAACTTTCAGAGTCTGTCGAACCAACATGTATGGAATGAGATGATGCACACTCTCAATCATCCTGAGCAACGTCGGCCCCTCAGGAGAGAGCACCAGCGTGTAATGCATGATCGACGCAAGACTATTCTCGTCAGCTCATTCTCGCACCAGGACGACGCCAGGGTCAAAGCTGACTTGAAAAGGCCTACTTTACAACAAGAAACTCATGCATAGCCTGCACAACGGGCGGATGCGAATCGAGATTGTCCGTCTCGGCGGCCTTCGCGAACAACTCATCGATCAAATCGCCGTAAACAATCTGCTGTATGCAGTCCCGCCACGACTGCAACACATCGTCTGGATTCGCCACATCGTACGTTCGGTCGTGGTCGATATTCGGCTGCTTCGGAAAGCCACCCAACGCCCCTCGAGCAGGATATTCAATCAGGGCAGCGATGGCCGTCGCGAGCGTCTTGCGGATGCCCAAAATCCCCTTGTCGTAGCTCTCGCTCAGTTCCGCGTCCGCCAGGTCCTGGATGAGGTTCTCGACACGACCTCGCCAGAATTCCTCGGATACGTCCCTCAGACCGGGCAATTTGAGGATGAACTTGGCGAGGAGGGATTGCAAGATGGGGGACTGGGAGGAGTTGACATCGTCTTGGAAGGGTGGACCATAGCTGTAGATGGCGCCTGGGAATTTGAAGTCTTGGATTTCTTTGTAGGTTTCGTGGTGCGTGAGGATGTCGAACAGCGCGCGGCTCTGCTCGGGCGTGAGCGGAGCGGCGCTGCTGGTGGTTTCGGCCATGATTGTTGTGATGTCTAGGGAGTCTCATGCGGCGGGGTCGATTGGTAGGTCTTCTTAAGGCTGCTTTGATATGCTTTGGTGTGGTTTAAGGGAAGCCTCGGAGTTCCATGTGATGGAGTCTCTGCCTAAAGCGTAAAGGGAAAGCTTCATCAATGACGTGGGCGGGGAAGTGAAGGCGAAACTCGAGCTCCCTCTGTTCTTACCTCACCATCAATATCTACGGCATGTCATGTTCTATCTTTGCTCCCTCGGCGATACGAAGCACATGCATGTGTCTGGATGAAAGAATATGATGAAGAAAACCGATTCTATCTAAACGAATCTAACAACCCCTGACCACAACCTCTCGGCAAGTTCCGAAGTCACGACGATGAAGTGAAATTTCCGGGGGCTGGCTGGTAGTCGAAAACGAAAACGGCCGTCCGTCGCCATGGACACCACCTCGACTTCACCCCCTCATCAAGAAGGCCGCAAGCTGCTCGATCCAAGTGAGCTGGGGACCAAAGAATAGTACATCTCAAAATATCCTTCACCACAAGATCATCGATATTGACATTCTTTCCAGCTGGGAAGCAGCCTACACCCGCGAACTGCACAACAACACCGAAGACGCCGACGATGAAGGCATCATCTGGTTCGACGAGAGCAATGCCGAAGATACCGTCCTGAAGAAATTGGCCTCATACGTCGAGTCTGAAGAATCTGACGGACGAGGTATTCTCGTTCCCAACCAAACGAGTTTCCTCGACTTAGGCACCGGAAATGGCCACATGCTCTTCGCTCTCCGCGAAGACGAGGACGAGGATGGCGAGGTGAGATGGCCAGGGGCGAGGCTGGTGGGCGTGGATTATAGTCCGAAGAGTGTGGAGTTGGCGAGGCAGTTGGATGTTCAGCGGCGCGGAGACGATGAGGCGACTGAGATCCTGTTTGAGCAGTGGGATTTACTCGGCGAGGAGCCTGGCGATTGGCTTGACGGAGGCTTTGACGTCTTGCTCGACAAGGGCACCTTTGATGCCATCTCGTTGATGCCGCATGATGGGGCTTCGCCACATCCTTGTGAGGTGTATCGCGAGAAGGTGGTGCCGCTGATCAAGCCTGGAAGGTTTCTGCTTATCACTTCGTGTAACTGGACCAAGGATGAGCTGGTATCGTGGTTGGCGCCGAAAGGGGGAGCGCTTGAGTTGTTCGATGAGGCGAAGTACCCGACTTTTACGTTTGGTGGACAGACAGGGCAGAGTGTCGTTACGCTGGTGTTCTGTAGAAATGCCTGAGAGAACTTCACAACGCTACACGCCAATGCATCACGATCTATATATGACTCTCCCTCATCCCTCCCCCTTGCCTTCCGAACTGATACCCATCCGCCTCCTTAATCGCATCATATCCCTCTGTAAACGCATAACTCTGCTCCGTACTCCACTTCGCATTCCCCCGATACGGGCCCTTCCTTCCTGCAACTTCATCATTCACCATCGAAAACCCCTTCTTCCCAATATTTCGATCCCGCTCCGCCTGCTTCTCCCCATCCGCCAAGCTAAAAATCGCGACATTCGCTTTGACGATCTGTCGGATGCCGTTGACTCGTGGTCGTCGTATCGTCTCATACGCCGTTAAGATGTCGTTGAGGCTTATGGAGGGATCTCGAGATGCGCGGGCGATCAGTCGAGAGAGGACCGTGGCGTCTTCGATGGCCATGGCAGCGCCTTGACCCGCGAAGGGCTCGAAGGTGTGTGCTGCGTCGCCAATGAGGACGATGCGGTTGGTGGGGCTCCACCAGGGCATAGATAAGGGTGTTTCGGCGATTCGCCACTTGGTGCAGACATTCGTCTCGTTTAAGAGCGTTCTGATGGCTTCGTCGAAATCCGACCATCGCTCGCGGAACGCGGGCATGTTTGTGAAGGTGCTCACGAAAGGCGATTCATCCTTCTCGGAAAGACCGTACGCTTTGCCGTCTCCGTACTGGAAGTCGCAGAGTTGGAGGTGGTAGAGCTCGCGGGTGGTTATGGTCCAGGAGACGATGCATCGTCCGGGGCCGACGGTGAAATGGAAGGGATCCTCGCCAGACTTGTAGAGGGCTGCGGTACTGGGGCTTTTGTCCATGATGGATTTGGGGACGTCGACCAGGAAGCAGCAGTCGCCGGTAGGTTGGGCGTTGGCGTTCCTTGCTGAAGGGATGAATTTGCGGACTTTGGAGTGGATGCCTTGCCATGCTTGTCAGTGAAGTGTCTATGCTGAGTGGCTTGGGAAAAAGACCGTACCATCAGCTCCAACGACTAGGTCTGCTTGCAACGTTCTACCGCCGCGAAACTGTATGTTGACCTGCTGCGTCGTGTCCTCTAGCGATTCGAAAGTCTCGCCCGTGATAATCTCGACCCCAACTTCGACAGCACGTTGATAGAGAATCCGAAGCAAATCCTCTCGATGGACCATTGAAAAGCTGAAGACAGAAATCAGCGTCCCAACATCTTCAAGCTCAACAGAAGCATCGACACTCACCTCCTCTTCTTGGTGATCGCATTGATCGTTTGTCCATCTGAGTACCGCTTCACCTTGACATCGTAGCTCGAGTCTGCGATCTTGTGAAAGGCTTCCTCGAGACCCAAAGCATAGAGACAGATCTTCGAGTTGGCGGTCTGGTTCAGGCCTTGTCTGACGCTGCCAGTTTCGCCTAAGTATTTCGCTCTCTGTTCTACGACTGTGACCTGTTGTCCGGAGAGTCTGAGGCCTATGGCTGCTGCCAGGCCGCCTATCCCTCCTCCAATCACGACGACTGAGAATCGTCTCTTTGGTTCTGTTACTGGTGTGTTTGCCATGGTGGGTGATGAAGTCTTCTAGGACAGTGACGACCACCGGGTCCTTCACAGTAGAGCTTGGTGTTTGATTCAAGTGTTCTCCGGTGGTATTCCTCAGGTGTGAGCGTTTTCTAAATGGGAGCAGTCGGGGCCGCAAAGGATGCACCGAATAAACCCTCGCCCGTATCATACAGTAGTAGGGCTCGACTCATTAGATCCGCTGCTTACTGTTGTCAAACTCTACCACCACCGCAATCGTTTAAACCCGGAACCCTTGCCATTGTTCTCGGCTTAATAAATTCCTCCTCTACGCGTTCGAGGAGTACTTTCTCTGCCCAATAGTATACATCTACAGCTTCTCGCTGTAGTCCTTGATTTGGCTAGGGACAAGTTCCACGGGAATCTCTTCTTTCAATCCGAGTCTGCGACATTGCAACTCAACTGCGCGGCGCTCGTTCCATGCCTTGCCCATGACAAGGATGAACGGAAACCCGATGAGGTCAGCGTCGTTCAGTTTCCAGCCAAATGGTCTTTGTCGATCATCGATGACCACGTCCAGGCCACTTTCGTGCAACGCGCCCAGACTGTCATACACCGACACAACATCTTCCTTGGGCGTGCTGCCCGCGCCGACCAGCACGACTCCAAATGGCGCAATAACCTTCGGCCAGTTCAGACCCTTGTCATCTGCTATCAGCGAGGCCGCAGCAGCAATAAGTCTGGACACGCCAATGCCATGGCAACCCATCTCGATTTCGACCTGCTTGCTCTTCTCGTCCATGACCGTCGCTTGCAAAGGTTTGCTGTAACGTCTTCCGAGATGGAAGGTGTGCCCAATCTCGACTGCTTTCTCGAAGTGAAGGCTTCCTTCAGCACCACACTTTGGGCAAGGGTCATCTTGTCGTGCCTGGGTTAGAAGGAAGGGCGCTTTCTCGATTTTTCCCGGTAGCCCAGTAAACAAGGGATGCTTTGCCCAGTACTCTGCACTGGATTCGACGGATTGCACGGACAACCTCGGATCTAGAAGAGTGACTCTTTCGGGTTGTAGGTGACCATTTGACATCCCTTGTGCCGCCTCCTTGTTGAGGAGTTGCTTCAAGTCCGCAATATCCGAAGACTGGCTGGTATCTATTCCCGGCACCAGATCCTTGATGGCGTGAATGTTCGGCTCGAAGGGCCCTTTGGGAAGGAAGACCTCCACAATCGTGGGGGCCGCTGTGACATTTGCTTCGGTCTCGCTTGTCTCGGTAGGCTCCTGATCATCGCTCTTGGCTACTTCGCGAAGCCGTTGGGGAGCCTTTTCTACTGGCTTATATCCATGCCAGACCTGGAAAGGAATTTGGGCATTCTGGTCGATCCGAGAATCCACATGATCTGGATTGTATTGGCCTCGGAACAACTCCTCGTTGATAGTCATTCTACAGCTGGCACAGCTGATTACCGTGTCTTCGCCCTTTGGTGATGGAAAGTGATATTCGTGGCTATGATTGCCACCCATGTTGCCAGAGTCTGCAGTGGCAACCAGATAGGGCAGGTTCAGCTCGTCCAAGAAAGCTCTATAAGCAGCGCGGACGCTCTCATACGTCTCCAGCGCTTGCGCCTCGTTCACATCAAATGTGTAAAGGTCTTTCATGACAAATTCCCTTCCACGCAGTAGGCCTTGTCTTGGTCGCGCCTCATCCCGATACTTTCGAGAGACTTGATAGAGCCGCAGTGGGAGATCTTTGTACGAATGGACAGCGTTCTTGACGATCATCGTAATCTCTTCTTCATGAGTTGGTGCCAGTAGATACCCAGCCTCCTTTCTGTCTTCAATGTGGAACAGTTCAGCGTTGCGGCCATCGAGACGTCCAGACCTCTGCCATAGCTCCTGTGATGACAGGGAAGATAAGGAGACCTTCGATGCGCCGACGCTTTGCATGTGCTTGTCGATCAGACGCTCGATCTTGTCCTGTACGCGAAGTCCCAGGGGCAATAGATGGAAAATCCCACTGTGAGCTTGGCGGAGGAAGCCAGCCCGCAGGAGCAAGTCGTGGCCATGATCGCTGGTATCTTCTGCGTTTGCCTTTCGGGTTTGAGTAGGAGTCCAAAATGTGCTTAGACGATTTCGGCCATCAGACTGGAGAAAATATCAGCAGACTCCTTTGGTGTAGCTCTGATATCCTCGTACGTGTAGCGAGCGTGATTGAGACCGCAGAGCGAGAGTATGAGTCCTACCACACCGCCATAATGTGGTCAAGCTGCTGCTTGATGGCATTGATGAAGAAAAGAAATGACATGGAAGCCAAAGTGAGCACTTCGTTCGCATCCCAGGTCAATTGTGGTGACGGCTGAAATGGCAGGTGGGACGAGCCGCAACTTTAATTGGTTCTCGGTCTGAAATTTAGAGAAGTTGCACTGCTCCACGCCAGAATAACGACTGCATGCGCCAAAGAGCGTCCAGCAACAACCATGGGCGCCAAACGGAAATCTGTCGACCACGACAGCAGACCGCAGAAGAAGGCCAAGCAGGACACTGGCAAGAAGTTCGAAAAGCCAGCCCTCATATTCGAAGCGCGACCCGACTGGCACGCCGCCCAATTACCCTCAGTTGAGACGAAAGACGTGAAGACTCTCCCACCGCAGCGATCGATCGACGAGCTGTATCGATATGCGACGGCCCTTCTCGACGAGGAGAATAAATCCTACAATGACTCTCATCTCTCCGGCTCTGCACAGCACAAATTCTTGTCGACGATTATGTCCTCTGGAACGCTCGAAGATAAAGTTTCCGCCCTGACCTTGCTTGTACAAGAGTCGCCGCTGCATACCATGAAAGCATTCGAGAATCTCTTAGGGTTGGCGAAGAAAAAGAGCAGGAATCAAGCGCTCATGGCTGTGGCTGCGCTGAAAGACTTGTTGGGCCAAGGTGTGGTACTACCAGATCGGAAACTGCGTGCGTTTGGCAAGCAGACCATCCTTCTGGGCGCTCTGCAAGGAAAAGCTGGGAATTGGACATCCGGCGACGCTCTTCCTGGCGGACTGGCAAAGATTCACATGGTTGTCTGGGCATTCGAGGATTGGCTAAAGAAGAAGTACTTCGAGCTTCTGCAGACTCTAGAGGCTTGGTGCAACGACGAAATTGAATACTCGAGAAGCAGAGCGATAACATACGTGTGGGAGCTGCTCAAGGACAAGCCTGAACAGGAGGAGAATCTCTTGCGGCTACTGGTCAACAAATTAGGCGACACCGATCGAAAGATTGCATCCCGAGCATCATACCTGCTTCTACAACTTGAAGAATCTCATCCTGCGATGAAGATCATAATTACGAACAGTGTGGAATCAGACTGCCTGTTCAGACCTGGACAAAGCAACCACGCCAAATACTATGCGATCATCACATTGAATCAGACTATCCTGTCGCAGAAGGACCAAGTGCTTGCCAACCGATTACTGGACATTTATTTCAGCCTCTTCGTTCAGCTTCTGAGGCCCAACGAGAAGATCGAGTCTGTTGACCGCCCGGCCAAACCGATGCCAGCGCAGCGAACTCAAGGGGGTGGAGGCAAAGCAGGGAAAATGGCGGCAAAGAAGAGGAAAGCTGAAGAGCGTGACGAGGAAGCTGTGGTGCAGTTACACGACAAGATGATTGCTCAAGTGCTGGCCGGCGTCAATCGTGCGTTTCCATATGCTGACACGGACGATCCAACGTTTGAGAAACAGCTCGACACCATCTTCAGGGTGGCACATTCTGCCAACTTCAACACTATCATCCAGGCCCTCATGCTCCTACAGCAAATATCGTCGCGGAAGCACTTTGGCGCAGAGAGATTCTACCGGACATTGTACGAGTCACTGCTGGATCCGCGTCTGTTCACATCCAGCAAGCAAGTCATGTACCTGAACTTGTTGTACAAGAGCTTGAAGGCGGATCTTAACGCGAAACGTGTGCAAGCTTTCGTCAAGCGACTACTTCAAATCATCACAATGCACGAACCACCATTCGCGTGCGGAGTACTCTACTTGATCAGCGAGTTGGAGAGCTCCTTCCCAAGCATTCGGAACATGCTGAAAGAAGCCGAAGTCAATGAGGAAGATGAGGAAGAGCACTTTGTGGATGTGCCTGAGGACGGCGAGTCGACGACGAATGTCCAACAACCTGACAAACGCAGATCATCATACGACCCCAGGAAACGAGAGCCCGAGTACGCCCATGCTGAGCGTACATGCCTTTGGGAGATACTGCCCCTCCTGCAGCACTTCCATCCCTCGGTGGGTTTGTTCGCAGAAGCTGTCTACGGCACGAAAGAGATGCCGCCCAAGCCAGATCCGACACAACATACCCTTATGCACTTCCTGGACCGCTTCGTCTACCGCAACCCAAGCACCAAACCGGTCAAGACGCACGGAAGCTCCATCATGCAGCCTCTTGCAGGTAGCAGCGCTGCGGATCTGCTCGTTAAGCCCCGTGCAGGTGGTGCTCGAAGCGCACCTCTTAACACGGAGCAATTTTGGGCGAGGAAGGTCGAAAATGTGGCAGCTGATGAGGTATTCTTCCACAACTACTTCAACGCCGCTGGCAACCAGAAGAAGAAGGCTGCAGATAAGAAAGAGAAGAAGGCACGCGGGGAAGACGAAGACAGCGAAGAGGAGGCTGAGCAGGAGATCTGGCAAGCCATCGCCGCCTCGAGACCAGAAGTCGAGGGCCCAGAATCAGATGATGATCTCAGCATGGGTGACTTGGAGAGCGCATACGATCGCAGCGATGACGACGAATCAGAAGCTGGAATCGATCTTGGTGGCGGTGAAGGCGATGACGATGGAGAGGATGCGTTTGGTGACCTCGACGGACTGGACGACAACGACGCTGACGAGATGGATGAGCTTCCGGAGCTCGAGAGCGACGAGGATGCAATGCTGGGTGATGAAGATGAAGTGGCTGTTGAGGAGTCCGACGACGAGGAGGAAGAGGAGGTGGAGGAGAGCAACGCCGCACGCAACAAGAAGAAACGCAAAGAGAAGAAGAAGCTCAAGTCGCTCCCGACATTTGCATCTGCCGAGGATTACGCCAAGTTATTGGACAATGAGCCCGACAATGTATAGTTCTGGTTTACATACTGCAGTGCGAGGGCACGAAGCTGCAGGAGACAATCGCCTCCTCATCTTTGACCAACCATTGAAGCTGGGGCTGAACTTCACTTACAACTTCCTTGACTGCCACACATGGCTAGCTCCAATCCTTTGGCTCTAGCTGCGAGGGCAGGCTCGGCTACAGCACAAGTCTTTGCCAACACGTTCCACAGCACTCACTGGTCGCGGCGCAGTACAAGCTCGTTAATCAACGTGCCCAGGCCTGCCCGGGCGTAACACATCCTGTTCGCAGCCGATCGCTCATCCCTGCCGCAGAGCTTACGAGATGAGCGGACTTATTATATACTGGGTATCACAACATCGTCGACACTACACCTACCTATCAGAGGCGATTGCTTTGTCGCTTCAAATCTAGGGTCGGGGGCATCAGCAACATCTGGCAGCAGCCTGTTGGGGGCTGAACCCACCCCTAGACGAGCCCTATCACATGGTTAGTTGGCCTCGCGACCTGCCCAAGTCACTGCTTGGAATATATGCACTGCAGACGCCTTCTGTGAAGACTTGCCAGAGACCCTCTCTACTATCAGCGCTCTGCCAACATGCTTTTCCTCGTTCTCATCCCCCTCCTCCTAATCTCGTACCTCTTCGTCTCCTTCGCCCGCAATTACTTTCGCCTCCCACGGTCCTTCCACGGCCCCTTCTTGGCCAGCGTATCCGATCTCTGGCTCTTCAAACAATGCATCACGGCGAATCTCCACTACGCAGAGGAAGCTCTACTCAATAGAAATGCATCGAAACTGGGAACCACTCCAAACATCGCGAGGATCGGGCCTAACGTTGTTGTTACCAACGATCCTGACTTGCTTAGACATATGAGTCTGCCGAAGAGTCGATGGACTCGGAGTGGGTGGTACAGCGGCTTCGAGATGGGCGGGAAGACGCCGCATGTTTTGGCTGAAAGGGACGAGGCGAAGCATAAGGATTTGAGGGGGAAGTTGGGGAATGGGGCACGCTGTCCTCTTGTGCTACAGAAGCAGATTTAAGTTGCTGACTGGGGATATATAGTACTCCGGCAAAGGCGTCGACAGCCTCGAGCCGTGCATCGACACGGAAACGACCAACTTCATCACTCTTCTCAGAGAACAATACGCCCGACCTCGCAAGACGCTGGATATGACCCGCCTCTCGCAATTCTTCACCCTCGACGTCCTTTCATCCATCGCCTTCGGCGAGGCCTTCGGTTTCATGGCCTCCAATACGGATAAATGGTCTTTCGTCGCGGGCAATGAGACCTTCATGCCCATCCTCCAACTCATAACAGACGTCACCTTCGTCCGAAGACTCTTCCACAACCCCCTCGTCTCAAAACTCTTATCGCCCAAAGAAACCGACGAAGTAGGCCAAGGCCGCGTCCGACGTTTCGCAGCAGAGGCCATCGCTCGTCGCTTCGAAAGCGGCAAGGAAGGACGCAACGATATGTTGGGGAGTTTCAAAGAGCATGGCCTGGGGTTGGAGGAGTGTAAAAGCGAGAGTCTGATCCAAGTCATCGCAGGCACAGACTCCACGAGCACAGTCCTACGAATGACCATGCTGTACATCGCCTCCAACCCCCTCGTCTACCGCCGTCTCCAGGCTGAGGTCGACGCCACTGACACATTCGAAGACGGCGTCATCACCGATGCTGCCGCGCGCCAACTCCCCTACCTGAACGCTGTCATTTGGGAGGGCCTCCGCAAGACCCCGCCGCTTTTCGGACTCAAGGCGAAAGTCGCTCCTCCAGAGGGAGAGACTGTCCATGGTGTTTTCTTCCCCCCTGGTGTTGAAGTTGCGACTTGTCTTCATGCTGTCACGCATCGGAAGGATATCTTTGGGGAGGACGCGAATGTGTTCCGTCCGGAACGATGGCTTGAGGCGGATGGGGAGACGAGGAAGAGGCTTGAGTGGGTGACGGAGCTGGTGAGTCTTGGGAATTCAGACTTGTTTGTGAGGGCTATCTAACGGTTCTGAATAGGTCTTCGGAACCGGACGTTTTGGATGCCTAGGGAGGAATATCGCTTGGATTGAGCTGAGGAAAGTGTTTTTTGAGGTACGCACATCTAGTCCCTTGATGTGGTATTGGTTCGCTAACGATAGTGTTCTATAGCTTATGCGACATTTCGACTGGGAGATTGTGAATCCTTTACAGCCGATTGAGCGGAGCAAGGGGCATGGTATGTTCATAAGTATCAGGACCGGTCGCGTATGGAGACACTTGCTGACTTTGTCCGGTTTGGGATCAGGCTCATGGGTTCAGAAGGGAATGTATATGATTGTTCATGAGAGGGAAATCGTTGGTTGACGTGAGGGAACCGGTACCTGGAAGTTACGAGCGTTTCGCCCCTTTGCAAGCGGTTTCCTTACTCGTGTTGCAAGCAATGATTCAACTGTCACTACTTCGCAGGGCGTTGGCAGTGAGATCATTGCATGAGCCATACCAATAAGCCATAGGCCACAAAACAAGTCCGCGTTCGTGGAGTTGTGCTGCGCAAGCAGGACAGATGTTGCTCTTCTTTTGCGGAGAGTCTGATGGGAGATAGCGCGCATCAAGGAGGGCAACGGCACGCACGTTGCACAAGGAGGCTATGTTGTGCTTCACTACGGCCACCTGTCTTGCAGCATTGTTCTCAAGGCAGCCTCGTGGGTCAGAGCAGAGTAAGACATCTCTAAAGACCTGGCGGAAAGCACTCTCAGAACGCGACCCGATTTGACCCGAACTCGGCACAAGATTTGCCGAGGAGAAGGTGGCTAACTTCACCTCATGCCTGAGCCTCGACTGTCTCCTTGGTCAACCGAGAACCTTTTACGATCCTCATGCATGGCTGACGACTCACAGCCTCGTCCTCAAGTGTGGTATGACCTGGCTGCTTCAACCCATGCACGAAGCGCTGGCTGAATGTCCTCGACAGTGACCGATGCAGACAGTTCGCCATCTCGCTGTCGAAACTGCTCGACCGGGGGTTGACAGAGTTATAGGAAGAAAGTTGGATGTGATGGCAATCGGCCTTCTGTAAGTCAACTATTCAATGTCCTCGGACTTGTCAATTGACGAAGTGCGTTAGTGTGCTAGATGCTCTGCTGCCAATGTGGAATGCATGGTCTCGGCTCAGCTGTCTAGGAGGACCAAACCGAGGAGGTGGGATCCACCAGACTTCGTTCATGTGCTAAAGTAAAAGATCTGACGAGGACTCGGCTACTTTTACAGATTTGCGAGAGCTGAGGTGACCGAGATCGAGTGCCTTCGGAAGGAGAACGAAAGGCTCCGCAAGGCCTTGGAAACAAGTCGACAACAGTCAAGTGCGTGCCCGCCCTTGACTGAGGCGATGAACAGGGAAGCTACTGGCGCTCCAACCCGAGATCGTGTGGACATTTCGAGACACAATGATCCGGTCATCAAGCACGTCGGACGACTAGTCTCTACAGGCCCGGGAGAAGATGTTTTCGCAGGCTCTACGACCGGCGTGCACTTCATTCGCTCTGCTGAGCTCAAGTACCAACAAGTCTTCGGCTCGAGCGAGGCTTTTGGAGAGGTCTTTTTCCGCACGAATCTTCTTCCACATCCTGGATCTCCGAAGAACAATTTAGCTAGCGGTTTAGGCACACAGATCGACTATGCGGCCCTATTAAGTCGACCCAAAGAACACTATATGGAGAGACTGGAGAGATATCTAATGAAATGGAATCAGATGTTTCCTATCTTCTGCCGTCGTCAAGTGAAGGAGATGTTGGCAGAGGTTCTCGACGCAGTCTCGCGGCAACAGCATGACAAGTTGTCTGGCTTGTACCAAGTCCTCCTGATACTGGCTGTGGAATCATGGAGCTCCGATAACACCGAGAATGGTGACTGTGCTCCATACTATACCGCAGCAGTCCAGCTGGAAAACCATGCTGCCGCGCAGACAAACCTGCAGACCATGCAATCTTTGCTCCTCAAAGCCATATTTGTACAGCTCTCAGGCCAGCACGCTGATATGGTGCAGGCCGTTGGACGCCTCATTCGCCTTGCACAAGCATTGGGCCTTCATCGAAAGTCGAGACGCTTTAACTTCTGTGCTGGGGAGAAGGAATTGCGAACCCGGCTGTGGTGGTGTGTGTCCATGCTTGAGATGTGAGTCCCACAAATCCTCTTAGAATTCCAGTGACTGACCTGAGACTGCTAGAACATCTAGCATATCACACGGCCTTCCAAAGCTCATTCGAAGCGTGGATGTTGATGTTGGATTTCCTATCGACTGTGACCTGGACGACTCTACCCTCTTGGACTTACCCGTCCCCCTTCCAGGCGAAAGTAGCGGTTCGGCCTTGTTCATCGTCATGTGCCAACTAGTGACTATCATGCAACGGACCACCGAGGTCTTGTTTACCACCACTGACCGACGGAACGGAGAACGGAAGATTCGCGAGTTGAGCGACCAGCTACGATCTTGGACAAACAGCTTCACCATTCTCATGGACGCTTCGCCAAGTCTCCGGCGAGACAATGTCTTCTTCATCGGCTACCTCCGACTTCTGAACCTGTTCAGCATCATCCTCATACATCAGCCTGGACTTACATTCGACGAGCATGATTCTCAATTCAACAAAAGCCTGTCGGCTAGTACAGAGGCAGCTATTGCAACCTTGCAGCTATTACAAGATCTCACAGATCAGCGACGAACGTTCTATCTACCACCAGAGGGTACCAAAATTGTCTTCCAGAGCTTACTGATTTGCTTCTTCTACGCTTGGCATAGTGGTAGCTTGCAGATGCCGAGCTCTGGGTTATTACGTGAGGACGGCTTCTCCAATTCCGGCTCTACTACCCTTCAGGACGTTGTAGAGGTGGGCCTTCGCCTCATTGCCAATCTTACTTCGGAGTGCCCATCTCTCGAGGTTCGTGGCGAACTTGAAGGTGCTGCGCATACCTTCATTTCGATGTCAAGAAGAACGTATGACCTCTACAGTCAGCGTTTCGGAGACGCCGCATCATCTACAGAGCCTGGATCGGCAGCCTTTGGCGATGAATTGCTGGCAGATCACTTCCTTCCGGACTGGCCTAGTACTCTGTGGGATCTGAACGATTCTGACTTCATAGAGTGGTCCGAGACGTACGCTCACACTTTGTTCCCAGTGGAAGAGGCTTCGTAAGAAGGACAGATTGAATGTAAGTACCATTGTGATGTGGATGAGAAACGTGGAGTGTACTGAGACTGCATCAGTGCTAACTCGATGCCTAGAGATATCGGCACCGTACACTAATGGAGCCCATTGGTCTGACCGTTCGAAGATTTATCAGTTGCAGCACCATTTACAAGCACCTTATCTGAACGGTCTCTTTCATGCTCTTGTAGCGAGGCTGTCGTTCCCCATTGCAACACCCGATCTGCCATCTGCCTGCAGCAGCCCATGTAATTCAATGGATCGCAGAGCTTCTCAAGTTCAGCCTTGGGTATGTTCTCAATGACAGCTTTATCTGAGAGGAGCGAATCAATTAGGGGCCGTGAAGTATCGATGGAGTCGTGGCAAGCTCGGTATACAATGTCGTGTGCTGGCTGACGACCAAGAGAAGGAGCCAGTCCCATCATTACAGCCTCAGCGACGATCAATCCACGGCTGGAAGCCAGATTCTCCTTCATGGCGTCAACGTTCACAACGAGACCTCCCAGAGCAAAAGCTGTCTGATGCAGCGCGCCGCAGCAATAGATGAAGCTCTCTGGAATACAGACCCACTCCAAGTGCCACGGCCCTGAGGCTCGCTCGAAGTCTGATACCATGGCGTCCATGGCAAGTCCAGCATTGGCTCTTAGCAGTTTCGAGGCCGCTAGGATCACTTCACTTGAGATTGGATTTCTCTTTTGCGGCATCGTTGACGAGGCTCCTCTATGAGGCACAAAGGGTTCCGATACCTCGCTCAGCTCGTTCGAAGACATGATGATCACATCCAAGGCAATCTTGCCCAGCGAGCCACCGATGAGACCAAGGAAATTGACAATCTCAGCGATGTGGTCGCGGGCAACATGCCATGTGATGGATGGGTCTTTCAGACCAAGCTCTTCTGCAAGAAGTCTTCGTACCTCCAACCCAGTCGTGTCGGATCCGAGAGAAGCCAGTGTTCCCGCAGCACCTCCGAACTGCACCAACAAGCAACGCTGCTCGATCTCCTGCAGTCTTTCGAAGTGGCGTTGGAAGCCTGAGAGATACACTGCGGCCTTGTATCCGAATGTTACTGGGAGTGCGTGTTGCAGATGCGTTCGTCCCGCCATCGGTCTGTAGTATGTTCAGCAAGTCGACTTCAACTTGGGGGAAAGAGCCGGTGTCTTACGTATTCCTGTGGGTTTCAACAAGTTTCTCCAGGACCTGGATCACCTCCAGCAGCTGCCTACGCACGAGCTCTAATGCTTCTTTCATCTGGCACATCGAAGCGCAGTCCATGATATCCTGCGTGGTGGCACCCCAATGGATGTACTTGGCATGCTCTTGCGAGATCATGGTGTTCATCTGCTCTACGAGGGGGAAGACCGGATAACCGACTATGTCCGTGTCGCTAGCTAGTTTGTCGAAACTGGTGTCTTGTCAGTCACCTGCCATGTTGCACGGCTCTTCGCACTGCTCACTTGATCCTATCGGTCTTGCAGCCTTCGGTGATGGCCACTGCTGCCTCCTTAGGAATCACTCCAGCTTTCGCCTCTGCCCTCGCCAGCGCTCCTTCTACGGCGATCATCTGCGACACGAAAGAGGTGTCTGAGAAGATCTTACGAGCATCCTCTGTACCGAAGAGATTGCGAAAAATGTTGGAGTCGATGGCGGTGGAATTCATCTTGGCGGAAAAGTTGTGTCAACAAGTCGACTTGTCGAAGAAGTTTTGAGAAATTAAAGACGACGGGAACAAATGGCGACGGGAAATCAAAAATGTTAATCCTTCTCGTCCTGAATATATTCTCCACCCACATGGCGCGGCCGAAGACGCCGCGCAGCCTCGCCTCCCTATCCCGGCCGGGATAGCTTATCCCGAACTCCCACATGGCCTCCATGTTTTCCCCCAAAGGTTCCTACTCCACCTCCACGGGGAACTTGCATTGGTGCGAGCACTCGGTACGGGTGGGTCGTAGAGCGGCACGACTCGTGCCATCTCGCCATGCTAAGGATTTGCCATGTTTGCCTGCGATCGCTCGAGCGGGCTGCGTTCGGGATAGGGGCTATTCCGAGTCAGACGTACTTCAATGTCTGGAGACAGCCTTGCTACATAAAAGCGATGATCACAGCGACGATTCTGACAGACTTAGCAAGCGAAAGTAAAATTCTGTCCCACCAAGTCTTCAATCGTCTGGACCCGTTGGTCAACCCCAATTCATCCAGGCCAACATGTTACGCGGAAAGCATGTCGGTCTTCTTCAACTCGTTCTAGTCGTTGCGCCCGCTTTTATTCTCTTCGGCTACAACCAAAGCAATGTCGGCGGCCTGCTCTCAGTTCACGACTGGGCACAAACCTTCCCCGAGATCGATACGCTTATGACCAAAGGCGCACAGAAGAAACATAACAGCACGATCCAAGGTGTCGTTGTAGCTTCATTCGTCCTAGGAGCCTTGGTCGGCGCTCTTAGTTGCTCGTGGATCGGCGACAAGCTTGGAAGACGGAGGACTATCTTCTTGGGAGCTACGTTGACTCTGCTGGGCGAGGTCCTGGAGTGCAGCTCGTTCCAGCTGGCACAACTCGTCGTCGGTCGGACGATTTTGGGCTGTGGAGTCGGGGCTCTCAGTGCCGTCGTGCCTGTCTGGCAGTCGGAGACATCCTCTTCGTCAAAGAGAGGACAGCATGTCGTCCTCGACGGCCTCTTCATCTGCATAGGCTATGTCTTGCAGGCGTGGATCAACCTAGGATTCTACCAGATCAAGCATGGACCACTTTCATGGCGTCTACCTCTGGCGCTGCCGTCCATCGTGTCGATCCTGCTTATGGGCTCCATCTGGCTGTTCCCAGAATCACCTCGCTGGCTCGCTGCCAAGGGCCGGACACAAGAAGCTCGACGCAATTTAGCCATCTCACGGAACGCCGTCGAAGACGACCCACAAGTTGTCTCTGAGATGCACGCTATCGAGCACTCGCTCGAGCTGAATAGCAAACACGCCTCCCGTCTTCGAGACATCTTCACCAGCCGCGAGGACAAGCTCTTCTATCGCTTCATGCTCTGCATAGTGCTTCAGTTCTTCCAGCAGATGACTGGTGGGAATCTCATCTCAGTATACAGCACCGTCATCTTTCAGCAAGGTCTCCAGCTCGATAGCCAGACATCTCGAATCCTATCTGGGGGCACCTTGACATGGAAGTTCGTCTCGTCGTTTGTGGCTTTCTTCACGGTCGAGCGATTCGGTCGGAGGAAACTTTTCATGTTCAGTGGCGGCGGCATGGCACTCTGCATGATGGCTTTGGCTACTGCGACAAGTTTCCCCAAGACAAATCAATCGGCGCAGATTGCTTCGGTATTCTTCGTGTACTTGTTCAACTTCTTCATCCCGATTGGTGAGTGGGACAGACAAGGCAAGAGGTGAGATGTACGATCGCTGACATTGAATTCTATAGGTTTCCTAGGCGCCAACTTCCTCTACTGCACAGAAGTCGCTCCTACGCATCTCCGAGTTAAGATGGCTTCCATATCCACCGCAAACCATTGGCTTTGGTACGTGCATCTACTTCGCATGCCGTCCAGCACGACCTTTTCGAGACCTTGACTGACACATCTAGGAACTTCGTCGTCACAATGATAACCCCTGTCGCGATTGAGAGCATTGGCTATCAATACTACATCGTTTTCACCTGTATCGGCATCTGTGTCCCGCTGTCAGTTTACTGGTTCTACCCAGAGACGCAGGGCAGAACGCTTGAGGAGATGGATGTGTTGTTTCGAGACCAGGGGAGCATGAGGGCAGTTGTGAGGGCTTCGTTGACGAAGCCTGCGAGGGTTGGAGATGACGAGTCCGTAGGGAGTGTTATGGATGAGAAGAGGAGGTTGAGCGTGGAGGAAGTTGAGGATGTCTAGAGAGAAATGCGAAGGATATGGTGATACGATCCTGCACCCCGCCATTGAAAGAAAACAAGAGTACAGTTCTGTGATGCACAATGGCTCTCGACTCAACATAATGTTCATTTTGCAGAAGTATCCGCGGACCCTCCGAATTCAGGCGTGCAACATACATAAAATGGTAACACAGATCTTCGACACCGAATCTCTAATTGAATTCGGAGCCGAGGAACTGACAGTAAGTGCCTTGTGACGGCTATATAAGGGCGTGGCAACTATGGACAAGACGCTTTCCCCGTGTCTACATATCTCGAATCTGCGGTTCTTTCTGCCCAGCCTATCGTCCAACGCGAGCCTTTCGACGGCCTGTACACATTGACAATGGCTTTGATACGTCTTTCTCCTCGCTCGCAAGGGCCCCTAGAGCCTTCCACCGTTGAAGCTCTCAAGGCCCGCATAGCCTCATTCGACAAAGATGCCCGTTCTCACGGTCTGTGGTATCAAGAGATCGAGGATCCAACGAACTTCTAGTATGAATCGCCCAAAACTGTTGACCATACCCTGAGTAGGGATACTTACAATGATTCGTCAGCTACTTCCAGTTTGCGGTAGCAGGCGATAAAACCGACAAAGCGTCGAATACGCTTGAGCTGCAGGCAGGCTCCGAACTCATCTCTACTCTTACCAAGGAATTCGACTTCGTCGCCGAGACCATCATCTTCTCCCCCTCCTCGACCCACATCCACGCCGCGGCCCTCCCCTCCTCCTCCCCAGTCATAGCAATCGGGCACTGCCACATCGCCCCTCCCGACAGACAGGCCTTCCAACGGACATTCGACGAAGTCGTGCACGTCCTCGAGGACTTCACTGACAAGCCTGTCGGCAGGGCGTGGGTCGATGGAAAGCCGGAGTTCTTCATGTTCTCGGGATGGGAGAGCGTCGAGCAGCATGTGAAGGAGTTTGCGGAGAGCGAGGGGTTCAAGAGGGATTGGGTTAGATTGAGGGACGTGGTGGAGGGATTTGGAGTGAAGCACGTTATGAAGGTGTAGATGGGAGAAAGGCATGTTTGGGGTTGGACGTCGGTTGTAGGTGAGATAGGTATCTCAGACAGGAACAGTTGTTCATGCATGTGTCATGCTTCTGCAGCAAGCTTTTGTCAACACAGTGTAAGCATTTCTTAGCGAGGTGTTGTATTCCAATTAGGGGCCGATGATAGGTTGACTGCTATATGCGGACAGCCTGATGCACGAGAATCCTGGACCAACTTCCTTAGCGAGATGGGTGTGGTTACACAGATTGTTCAGCGTGGCGTATTCACGAACGACGAACAGGGTAGACTTCTAATGTGCATCGTTGTGGATGTCGATGCGGGAGTATGTAACCCTCGTGGCTGCTCGACTTTGAGTTGTCCATCGTGGGTATCCGAGGTTCCTAACGATCTTCGAGATGCCTCACCAATCTGCTCACCATCAAGGCTACATCAGCCACCCAGGACCAGTGTACGCTCCACACACAAGAGGAGGCCACTCTCACTCGGGAGCAAGAGGAAACCAACAGGCGTTCCACATGCAACAGATGTCCAGGGGTCATCATCCTACAAGAGGACATCCTCAACACCCCCCTCATGGATCAAACCACCATCAGCACGCTTCCCACCAGCACGCTTCGCACCCCCACCATCAATCTGCTCCGCAGAGCCACCATGGTTCCACAACTCATCAGCAGCATCACACTGGAGGCTCTCACACCGACCACGTTGCAGGCGCCGCAGCTTTGGGAGTAGGAGCTGCTGCGGCGGGCATGTGGGCGGGATATCAGTACTCTGAGAATAACAACAGTATCACAAACGTGACGTATGAGGAACAGAATAACGAGTATGAGCCGGGGTGGACGGGCGAGAATTGGTATGGCGACGATCAGAACCAGGGGCAGGAGGATCGATGGTCTGAGGGAAGGGTCGAGGAGGGTCAGGGGTCGAATGAATAGAGACCTCATAAGACTTGGGAGGATCAGAGTGTTGAACAGGATGATGATGGATGTTGCTGCTGTGGAGATGGGGATTGTTGCGGTGACTGCTGCGACTGCGGTTACTCTGGAGTGTGTTCTGGGGCAAAGGGGGATAATGACGATGGCTGTTGCTGTTGTTAGTCTTTGCTCTCTTACCCAGATGATGATACAAAGTGGAACGCCAAGTGGCGTAGACAAGAGTGCATCGAGTTGTCATTCCATCTGAATCAACTGCTCCTGATGTAAGTCCATCTCCTTGATGCTTCCTTGCCTTTGTGACCCCTAGCCCAAGTCGGGTCTTACAAGAGTCTTTCTTTGTAGAGTCTTTCTTTGTGTGCCACAAGAATTAAGCTTCTTGCTACTCGAGATCTTAGCCTTAATCCATGCTCTTCACCATCGACTCCGTCGCCACCTCGAACCAGTCCTCGTTAGCCTCCTCCTTGCAGACCAACACATAGTCCTCGTCATCACCCTCATCCGAATTCTCGTGTCCATTCTCCTCTGGAAGGTCCTCGTCTTCCTTGTTGATGAACTCAAGATCGAGCACACGCGACTCGATCTGCATGAGCTCTTTCTGAAATTGGCTCCATTTGTCCCCCACCGAATCCATCAACTCTTCGATCTTGCGAGAGCCGGAATCTCGAAGCAACATCTCGTTCGCCATCGCCTCGTCGGTCTTGCGAGAGCCGTCATCTCGGACCAAGATATCGTTCCCCATCGCCTCAGCGATCTGCTCCTCCAGCCAAGACTGGGTGACAGCATCCTTTGAATCCTGGTCCTCGAGGTTCTGCAGGCGAGAATGGAGCGAATCTTGCTGCAAGTTCTCGTCGTTGGTGGGACTGAACTTAATAGACATCTCTGGTGGCTGACTCGGATCGGAGAATGAGCCCGTGGACTCCTCCTCGATGCGCGCCAGGGGATGTCCACTGGACGCGATGGGGCTCGAGTTGCCGTCGTTGCCGTACGAGAGAGTGGGCATGACGAACGACATCTGAGCCGCAGGTGCGTAGCGTGGAACAGAGCCCAAGATGCCATCGCTGCTGAGGGTCGGCTGGCTATCGACCAGGACGTATGATCCAGTGGCGCCGTCAGAGTGTGCTGCTTGCGACGAGGTGATGCGGTGACTCGAAGTCGGATTGAGGGCATCAAACGCCTCGAGCTCGCTCGTGGTCATGGTCTGCGGCGTGTAGTGCTCATCGTCGTCGATGTCGCTCAGAATGTCGTCGAAGTTGAGCTTAGGCTTCGGTGCCGTTGCATACTCAAGCACAGCTAGAGAGAGACGATCCAAGCGAACAGCGTACTCGTGCTCGGCTCTGGTGACTGCAGCAAGATGGCGGAGGCTCTCGTGGTCGGACTTCTGGCGATACTGGTCGTAGGCGGCGATGCGTGCATGATCTTGCATCTCCTTGATCTCCTCGGACAAGCTGTTCGAGCTCGAGTCGGTCGATGCGGCGGTTTCGAAGTCGTCGTCGCGAGATGGTGGTGGTTGGATGACCTTGTGTTGGTTAGTTTGTGGGTGGTAGCCGCGACTCAGTCGATCGTTACTTACGAGCTGGTGATTTGGCAGCAGGACTCGGGGCCGTGGGCGAGCCTTGACGTTGCGAGTTGGACGATGTTGGCGCTTTGCTGCTTGCGGTGGCATACGCGCGGCGAGGTTGGACGTCAGGAGGAGGTCGAGGCGGAAGTGTATGCCGTCCGAAGGGGAAGGAGCGGCCATGTTGGGAGGGCGGCTCCTCGGAGTGTTGGCGACTGGCATAGAAGCCTTCGACGAGGTTGTGCGACAACGAGAGGAGGTGTGTAGCAAAGCGCGACGAGGTGACAAGTTGGTGTAGGTCGATGTTGGCAGACGTCGAAGGCGTCAAAGTAAATTAAGGCGCACGGCTTCTCCCGCTTCCACCCTTCACATGCATCGCGCGAGTCATTCTCGGCAGGTGAATCTTGCGCTTCTTCCCCTTTTACAAGTCTTTGATCCTCGCCTACTAGCAAACACCACCCGCCTAAGACTTAACAATGACCTTGTTCATCTGCCTCCTCTCAAACCCCCTGTACGATCCCCCTCTGCCTCCTCTCAAACCTCCTTAACGACTCCTCCGCCTTCTCAACCGCAACGTCCTCCTCCACGAAATCTCCCGGCCTCGCCCTCTAGGGGACTCTACGACCTCGCCCTCCCCTCGACCATCAAGCTCACAAGCGACAGAGCCAGCTTAATACCACGTCAACGCAGAACCGAAGAAACTCGACAAGTCGAAGGCTGCCTGGTCCGTGAAGCGTGTCCGCACGAGGGACAAAGGGAGTTGAGTTCATGAGGGATGGTTGACGCCTAGGACCCCAGCTGCACCCTCCGAGCGAGTTGATGCGGAGAATTTTGTGAACGAGTAGATTGCCAGCCTGCGGTTCGTACCCTACGGCGTCGTCACTTCATCTTACACCGTTGACTTCTTTGGGGAAGATTCGGGTCGACGAGGTCGTGGTGGAGAAGCTGATGGGGGCGGCGCTCATCGACTTCGTCAGGTGGGGACAATGGGCGACATGATCGACCGAGTGTACCTTGACAGCCTCACGGAGGATGGTGAAGCAGGCTGCCATAAGATCTATTGAACCTGCGCAACAGTGGCTCCAGCGTGGAAACCGTCCAGAGCTACCCAGCCTGCAGCGAAGCAGTCCGAGACCATAACACATTTTTACTCGAGGGAAGGGGTTTCATCGGTCTCGGGGTCGTTGAGGGTTGGACGAGGCGGCACTTGAATCAAGGCTTCATCGATGAGAAAGAGGCGGACATACTGTATCGAAAGGGACAACATCAACATCAACATCAAAAGCAAAGGCACAGCAGTGTTTCACTCACCCTGCGACCCATCCACCTCCCACACCCTGCTCGAAACTTGTATCCAACGACCGCAAATGCCCCCAGGCTTCTTTCGTTTGGTGGCGGTTCGATGGCATTCCTACATCTGTTCTGTGATCAATTCGCCCTTTTCTCGCAATCGTCGTATACTGAGCCTGATTGAGCACAACGGCGCCAGTGGAGACTGTGTAGTATCCCAAAGGGCAATACGATTAGCAGCATACATCTTTACTATGTCCAGTATGTCCGTCAAAGCTTTCCTGTCGTCTATACATCGCCCTCTCATCTGTACAATCGCCTCGTGACTCGTGCGTGTTCTTCGTCCTGTATGACCGACGCCGTGGATCTCGCGCTCGCTGCAAAGGTCATCATTCCCTCCTTCTGGGCTCCTCAGACCATATGTATCACAAACCCCAAGCCAGCTCTTTTTCAAAACCACCCAATATCCAACGCCTCGCCATAAATCACAACAATAAATCCTTCTCCCGAATCTCTTAACCCCCAGTATCCACGCAAAGCCCGCCCAGGAACTCGCATACACTGTCGTCGTCCAACATCCAATATCCTCCGATTTCTCTGAAGGTGTCTTGGAAACCTGGAGCGATCTCCTCCAGCGGTCGTGGCTCGACGTCCCTGAAATGCACACATGATGCGGGAACAAGGTTCTCGGGCTTGTTCGGCATGTAGTCAAAGTTATCCCATCCAATTTCCACGTGCGTGCTCTTGGTGTGATCTTCTTCATAAGGACTTCGTTTGTATGCCTGGTAGATGCCTCCACTTTGCTCGAGATGCCATCTGACAACAGGTTTGCGCAGGGTTTTGAGGAGGCCGCCGTGCATGAAGGCTACGTAGCCATCGGGGTGGTATTGGGCAAAGGTGTGGCCGCAGTACGTATCGCCAACAAGTGTGCCTACGCTGGAGAGCCATTTCGAGGGGAAACCGTACTTCGTCTTGAGCGCGTGCCACGCGAAGCGGAAGCAGTCTTTGTCGCCCAGCATGTAGTTCTTGAACTGGCCGGTGTTGTCGGGAGCATCGATGAACCAGGCGGCCAGCTGAAGGTGGTAGAAGAACTTCCTCTTGTTGACTAGAACTTGTCCACTTTCTTGCTCATACTCATTCATGCGACATTGGGTGTTGGTGATGGGCCAGATAGGGTTGTTAGGGCGGGTTCGAGCAATATCGGGCCAGAAGATGGAGCCGTACTCTTTATATACGTCGCTCTCGTACAGGGTCTCGGGATTCACCAGGGGGACGTTGTCGGAGTCGAGCAGAAGGGGCTCTTCGAATCGAGAGTTGACCATAGCTGCAGTCTTGAGCTGGTAGTGGATACCGACGTTTGTGTTATATGCGGACTCTTTGATGTTGTGGGTCGAGGCCAGATCGTTAAAGAAGATGACGGGCCATAGAGCTGCAACTTCGTCCTGCACGCTGTTGGACATCTCGTGGCCAAAGTAGTGCATCTCGACGGGCAGTGTGCAACCGAGCTTGGCAAGCTGCTTGAAGATGACCTTCAGTCGTTTTAAACTTCTCCCATCGCCACTGACTACCACGATACCGCGTCCATGAAATCTGTCCGCCACCTTCTCGTAAGGCACCAAGCCGTTCATGACCTTCTTTTGCCACTTGGCTCTAATAGGATCAATCTCTCGATCCTTTTTGGTCTTGGTGACCCAGCTCAGATCAAGAAACCAGCCCGACTTTTCGCCGAAAGTGAAGTTGACATCGTCGTCGTCCTTGGCCCAGTTGCACGTCGATTTGGCCTGCTCTATGCTCATGGGTGGGAGTCGCGTGACGTTGGTGAAATGAGGCCAAAACTCATCAGCGTCATGTAATTTGTGTGCGTTGTCGTAAACTACGACTGGAGGACCGCGATATCTGGTCACGCGAATGGTTTGTTGCTCTATCCATCCCGTATGCCAGCTAAATATGGTGATTGTGGCAAGTAGGAGGACCGCGAAAGCTCCAACTCGGTAGGTTCGTTTGGGTAGAGAAGGCAGCGCTGGGAGCTGCATCTTCTCCATCACCTGATCCATGATGGCCGTTACGGACGCGCTGGCCCTAGTATTCGGAATATCTGGTATATCAGCAAGGCATCGATTAAGGATGAAGAGACAAAGATTGGGGAACGTGGAGAGGCACAGAGGGAGGTGGAGTGTGGCAGGGGAGTCGAATCTCCGCCGATCTATTCCACATTTCGGCTGTCTGCAATGAACTCTATTGCGGAGAGGTAAGTAAAGTCAATCTTCCTCCACCGTTGCCGAGAACGAGCGATTAACCAACTCCATATCAATCATGCTCTCTTTCTTCTGGCGAGATCTGGGACAATGTGCGTCTTTGGGCTGGTGTTGCTTTGTTCGCTCCCAAAATGTGTTCATTGTCGGCTTGTTATTATCGATGAAAGGCAGAAGAAGAGGACTTCAAGATTAATCGTTCATGCAGGGTGCCAGCGGCATCCTCCGCGGCACTAACGCCGGTAGACCTTGGCCTCGAAATGCCCCATCCTCCTTCAATACCACCGAGGACAACTTCTTGCATCTTGTCCGTCATCGTTGACATGCATCAGCGGAAGATCTGTCTCTTTGCGAGTACCGGGGACCACCGGCTACTACGCTCGTTAACGTGCTGTGAACAGTCCATTTGAAAAGAAGGGGTTAGACGCGTCGCGAGACATGGAATACTTACGAGAGGCATGCCCTCGTTTCTCAAGCCTCACAGTTCATGCATATCGAACGAGTGAACTGGAGTGGCTTTCGACAGCTTTCGTAGACTCTGACGAGAGGGAGAGCGAGAGAATTTACCGCGACTCGATAGTGAGCCCCTGCTTCAATTCGCAACTCGAGACTCGCGACGCGGTCTCGGTCCCACAAGTCAACATCTAGCGCCACGAGCCTCACGACGAACATGCTCTTCGGATCAGAGTACCTACGCATCTTCCGGGCTCACCGTCAAAACGACGACAGCGGACGGCTTATCCTCGAGAGCCCGAATTCTGCCACGGATTCCGAGGACTGCGATATCGTTGAACTCGAATCACGATATGTGCCAGGTTCAGGCCAGCAAGAGATGATCAATAGAGATTCGTTCGCGCGTATGGGCATAGTGCTGGTGACTGCGGTGCGTGAACAGTTTGTGCAAAGAGCAAGACAAGGGGGTATCAATGTACGGACGAATGCTGGACAACAGCCGCTTTCATCCGTTACTACACGAACGAGACGGTCGGTATCCCTAGGTTGAGTGGCTAATGCGGATACGAATGGACTCATGACACCAGATCCAGAGTCGACTAATCATCCCAGACTCACTCGATGCCTTGGCTTTGGCATATTCCTGGACAGTGTCCTTTCATGCGGACAAACAGGTGGACGAACCAGAGAGTAGCAGCCAGTCGCGGGTAATGCCCTCTCGCTGACCACATCATCGTCGCGTTCGCGATTCCATGGCCGATCTATTCTCAAGGCGAGCCCAACATCTCATGGTCGAGCACAACGTCTGCTAGGCCTCTTATACCTCGACGGATATCGAGTTGTCGAAATCCAGTACAATGTACATCTGAGCAGATTCAAAACGGATCATGGAACAATCGGGTTTCCGAGGATCCCAAGGCAAAAGTGAACGACCACACCTGCACGGCAAAGTCGATCCCCCGGAGCGGGCCGTCCGACTTTCCACGTCCTCTTTGCAGGGCACGCCCTCTACCGTAAGAATCCGGTTCGCTGTTGGTCTTGACCGTTCTTATGTCACTTTGGGATCACACGCCTTCTTCGCAGTCGACAGCCTTCGCCATGACCGAAACCTGGTTTGGGGTCGCGTCAGCTGCTCCTGCTCGTGAGTCTTCGCAATGATGAAGTGTTGGTCTTGTAATGTCCGGCGAAGGCGATGGACGTAATGTAGGTGTACGTGGTGAGTATTACTACCTACCGTTCTTACCCTGCTCTCGTCTTTTTCACCTATCATGCTTCATTTAATACTGTCTGCCTAATCTCACGGTCTCGTTCTTTCGTACCTCAGCCTCTCTCAGCCGGACCTGGTCGTGGAGATGGCCTGCGGCCTGCCAGGAACCAAACGACGCCGAAATGGCAACAAACACACGCACGAGAGACCGAGTCTTCGTATCTTGATCACGAATGGACGATTTCCCGTCTCCCTGGACCTAGCTCGCCAACTCTACACTGCCGGCCATGTCGTCTTCTGCGTCGACCCGATGGAGTACCACGTGTGCAAGTTCTCCATATCCGTCTCACAATCGCAACAAGTCCCAGCACCGCACGATGACCCCGCGGGATACATCGAAGCCGTGAAAGATGCGATTTCAAGATGGGACATCGACATGGTGATACCCATCCACGAGGAGATCTTCCACTTAGCCGGCAGCAAAGAACCACAAATCCTCTCCCGACTCTTCGCGCCGCCCTTCGACCTCCTCGTGCGTCTGCATCACAAATTCGAGTTCTCGAGGTTGATGAGAGAGGTCGGCCTCGATGTCCCCGAGTCGTATTTGTGTAAGGATATGCACGACGTAATGAACCTCCCCGTCGACAAATATCCCCACGGCATGGCTTTGAAGCCCTGCTTCGGTCGCGCTTCGTCCGGCGTGTACCATCTTCGACCTGGCGAGCCGATTCCGGATGATATCGATATTAGCGAGGACCGCCAGCACGTTGCGCAGGAGTGGTTGATTGGGAACCGGTATTGCAGCTATAGCGTTGTGCAGCAGGGGAGGGTGGAAGCTACGGGGCTGTATCCTGTGCTGGACACGATCGATGGGAGTAGCAGTGTGTTTTTCGTGCAGCGGTATCATGAGGGGGTGTATAGGTACATCGAGGATTTCGTGAAGAGGGTGCCGAGTTTTAGTGGACAGGTATGCGTCCTCCCTCCCTTGTGCCTATACATTGGCGATGACTGACGATGATGCTTTAGATCGCCTTCGACTTCATCGAAACCTCCACCCGCCTCGTCGCCATCGAATGCAACCCCCGCTCCACCTCCGGCCTGCATCTCTGGTCCAACACGCCGCACCTCGCCCACGCCATAACCCACCACCTCCCCAAAGAAGAACTCATCCGCCCCATCCTGCCACCCAAAACCCGGGCCCTAGGCCGCGAATCCCACTTCCAAGTCGCCGCCGGCATGCTCATGTGGGAACACAAAAACGCCACCCTGTCCGTCTGGGCATCGCACATGCGGAGGTTAGTACTCGCACGGGATGTAGTCTGGCGATGGCTGGATCCCATGCCGACGGTTGCGCAGCCGTTTTTGTTGACGGAGTATTATCGGATTTGTCGACGGGAGGGGTTGCAGTTGCCGGAGATGTTTCAGAGGGAGTTGGTTTGGGAGCCGAGGGGGGCGGAGTGGGCGGGTGTGAGGAGTATGTTGGAGGGGAAAATGGAAGATACCAGGCCTAGGGATAGTCATCAGGAGGATGAGAAGGTCGAGGTGTGGCAGGTGGGATTTGTTTGATACCCTTGCTGTTTTTTCCGGCGGATGGGATTCGAGCACGATTCGTGGCGTCGGTGGCGATTCTTTGGATTTCTTTCAACACTTCAGGGTTTCGTTGACGATTCTGATTTCCCGGCTGCGATAGCAGCCATGGCGGCCGCGAGAGTCGTTCCCTTGAAGACGGTTTCGTATTGCTCGGCTTTCATCGCTGTGTTGAACGGTTGGCGGCGGATTCGCCAGAAAGCGAGACTTGTCGCGGTGGCGTAGATTGTGAAGATGATGTGGTACTTGTATGCTCGGAATAGTGATGACTGATTGATTTCGTCCATTTCGGGCCCCTCTTGAGAATATTGTCCACTGGGAGGAGTTCTGGCTGTTGGACCATGAGATGTTGTTAGTGACGTTGAAGACATATCGTCACGCCAAGCGCAAACCTGAGCATGTGCTGCTTCTATTTTTGGTCCTCCTGCCTCTTTGGACCTCCTCACCCTTTCGCGGACGGCCAGCAGCCTTTCTCATTGGGATCGCAAGGTGTTTAACGAAGACATCGTTGCGAAGTGGCGAAAGGAGGCGTTTAGCTCCAAGCCTGACCTGGATTATGTCAGGAACAGCTGAGGGCGAGATTCCATAGGGACCTTTCAAACCTCAAAGGAGAGAAAATTTGAACGTGGATGGATCATGCTGGTAAATGCTAAACCAACCAAGCACGCACAAATAAATCAGTGTCCAAATCTCTCAGGTATCCATCAATCCCAGGCGCCGTGCCCGCTTCGCGCGTGAACGCTTCCAAAATCCCAAAATTCCTCATGCAATGCCCCGAACCCCCAATGATGGTAATCATGCAAGTGTCCTCTATTCATGTCCCTCGTCGCTCATGCCCAAAATTTATCAAAATGCAAATCATGACGCTTTCCTGCTGCCGAGTAATCGCGTTCTCGACGAGTTCTGTCGGTCCTCACCATGCTCCTCGTCATCGTCTTCGTCTTCTCCTTGTGTGCTCATCAATCTCGTAGACGACGGGCCTGCGAACGGCTCCGTTTCCCCATGGTCGACCCTTTCTTGTGTACCACCAATCACGACTCCCTTCACGCCCTGGTCTATCTCATCAAGCTTGTAGTCTGTCATCAACAAGCTCAGTACTATACATGGGAGCGCCACGCAGACAGCCACCGTCAGGATCATGGTCATCGTCTCCTGATATGCTTGGTTGATTGCCATGCGAGTTGGGCTTCCCATGGGCCATCCTGTCGACGCAAGTGTGATGTTGCCGAATATTTCACTCGCTTGGTCTTTCGTCTCTTCTGGCAGATACATGGCCAGCTTTTTGGGCACGTTCGATGTCCAGATCGCGCCCGAGATCCCTGAACCGACCGCGCCACCGATCTCTAGGAATGTAAGGAACAGTGCAGTAGCTGCTGCAACCTCTGAATGGCTCGCAGATGCCTGCACGCCAAGCTGCGCAGGAACGTGGGTCAAGCTGCCGCCGACGCCGAGGAAGATCTGTGTCCCAACGATAACGGTTGGCGACGAGTCTTCGGTTCGATAACGTATCATGAGTCCCAAGCCAATGACATAGAGGATAGTCCCTGCCACCATGTACTTCTTGTAGTGCTTCGTGTACTTGATCGCAAAGGAGATGACGATCGAGGTGATGGTTGAGGTGAAGGTGAACGTCTGTACGATACGACCAGCTTTCGTGAGGGGGAGATTTTGCACAACCAGTAGATATGACTGGAAGTACGGATAGACCGAAAGGTAGAAAGCCACTGCGACGAGTCAGCATACGATCCATGAACAGACGTGTGCAGCTATGGCATACTAAAGTAGAAGAACGAAAGTGCAAGCCCAGCCATGATCGTCTTGTTCTTCCAGAATGCGCGAGGAAAGAAGGCATGGGGTGCCAGCGTTTTGCTTCTCTCCCAGAAAGGTATGGCGACTAGGCAGGCAGCACCAACGACCAGCATCGTGACCAGGTTCGGGTTGTTCCAGCCAGCTTTCGATCCTAGCGTGAGAGGTATCAAAATCAATGTAAAGGCCACGCAGATAAGAAGCAGGCCGAAGAAGTCGAGCTCAAACCACAGGGTCTTCACCATCTCCCACCAGGACTCGCCATCAAAAGGCGAAGACGGTAAGATACCGCGCATGGCGGCCTTGCGTTGGTTGATGACGAGCGCCAGTGCGAGTGGCAAGAACGCAATTGGCAGTATGATCGACCAGATACCATATCCCCATCTCCAGTTGAGTTTGGTAAGGATAGTCTCTGCCAAAGCGGGCCCAAGCCATACGTTGGCCAGGAAAGGGATGTCAGGAATGGTCGAGCAGAGCGCTCGATTGACCAGATCGCTGGTGTCGGCAATGAAGATCTGAATAAGAATTTGCAGACCCGTCTGACCTGCAGAATAGAAGATTTGAGCCGCCGCATAGGTGTTGACACTGTTGGAGGCCGCTTGTTGAATGAATCCAATGACGTAAAAGAGGACTGAGAGACCGAATGCTTCGAACCGCCCGAAGACATCCGCAATCTTGGACATTGGCGGTTTAACGACCGAGAGCACGACTCCTTGGACGACGAGGACGGTCGATACTAGGGAGTGTGCTTTGAAAGCACTCGTGGCGAAGATGGTGAGGTTGGTCGTCGTTTGACCCTCCAGCGACGTGGCGTAGGCCAGCAATCCGATGCCGATGTACGCGACGTAGAGGCCAGTCTTTGACCATGTCGACGAGATGGCCTCGAGGCGCTTGACACCAGCCTGGGCGGACTCGTGGCTGCGCTCCGACATGACGGATCTCCGGTCGTCGTCCAGCAGCGGACGCAGGTCGTTGTTGTGCTCGCGTTTGTCGCAGCTCGCGGGGGTGCCTATGCCGGAGTCGGCGGCCCTCTCGACGTCTGGGCCAGCATCAGTGTCGGCGACAGAAGGCAGAGTGCCGTACGATGGCATGGTCGATTCAGAATCATAGGGTGAGGTGGGAAAAAGAAGCCAAAGAAGGTTTGGGAGTTATCTGATCCGCGCGCAGAGATCTTATCAATAGAGAGAGAAGAGGGGCATCGGTCATAGTGCCTTGGAAGGGCGCTGCTGCTGCGAGCCGGCGGGTTTTGAAGCTCGCGAGAATGGAATGGCCCCTTGCACGGTGGATCGAGGGACGCTGGTGACTCTTAAAGAGGAAGGCTGCAGCGCTCGGCGCACAGCCCGCGTGGGAAGTAGGCCGCAGCCACGGGGGGTTGTGTCAGTCAGTCGTTGTGCGAGAGGATGGGACGATCGCGGTGGGCGCTGTCCTAGTTTCCTGCGACACAGAGGGCAGCGTGGGCAGGTCACGTTCCATTCGACGGGCGACGGGCGCTGGCGGGCGTGCAGGCGGCGAGGAAGACGAATCGCTGATGGCAGAGGGATGCGATGCGGCAGCCCGACACCGGATGCCTGCAGCGTCCACCCAAAAATGTCCTCCTGTCGCGTTACCTAATCGTGGATGGGGGTCCGTCCGTGATAAGCGCGAGAGCCGTGCCACCGTGGCTTTCCGATGCCTCGCTTCCCTGCAAGATGATCAGATGGTCGCGTGCAAGGGAAAATTGCTGGAAAACGAGATCAGATAACGGTCACCACAAGCAGTCGCGTCCGTTTTTCAAGGAATAGTGGGAAGCACACTCAGACTTTTGGCTAGGTCTCTGACCATCTGTTCCCAAAATTAAACTCCATTAGCAGCGCGGGATCACGGGATCCGGCACATGCCTGGATAGATCCGCGCGGAACACCCTGATTTAACACAGCGAAAAGATCTCGTCCTGTTCAATGCTCCCTAGCCCGTGCAACGCAACGTGGGCGATCTATAAACCAAGCCGAACCCTTCAAACACCCTCTTCTCCGCCTCCTCCATCGACTTTGCGCGATTTTCCACCCCCTCCCACCCCTTCCAACTGTAGTAGCCTTCAATATCGACCACCTCGCCATTCCGACGATCCCTGACTCCGGATGAATCGAACTTCCAGCCCTTCACGTTCTTAGCGTAACGGCGCAAGTCCCTCTCAAACGTGGTCCCTCCAGACCAGCCCACGACAGCGCATCCAACAGTCCGCCACGGACTCACGATGATGTCGACCCGCCTGTGGACGTTGGGATTCTTCGCCTTGGGATTCTCGGCTCGGTCGCGGGTCTTTGTCGGCCAAGATGGGTCCTGCCAGACAACAAGAGCCTTGTCCAAGGTGTCGAATCCGTGACCTCCACCTCCTGCGCGGAAGGGCAGTGTCTGCTGGTCACGCTCTGAGTTGTTCAGTGACAACACCAACGTGTGCGTTATCCAATCGTCCGCCTCGAGGCTGCTGACCACGTCTTCGACGAGATTCTTCGTGGCACGCTCGTCTGGATGCGACAGGATAACATCCACATCTCCACTTGCCTCTTTGCCGCGCCGATACCCACCGACGATCATTAGCTGGATTCCTTCATCACGCACTTTGACTGCGTGCTGTCGTACGACTTCACCTATCTTCTCCACTTCTGTGCGCGGTATGAGCTCCTTGAACTCGTCATAGTACTTCACACCAATCTGCTGTACGCGGGTAATCTCCTTCCAACCAAACTCAACAACGTCGTCAAGCTCTCGCCAACCTTTATCGTAATAGAACTCTCTGGCAGTTGTAGCTCCAACACCCCAAATGTCGTAGAAGAGTCGAAGGACCTTCATATCTTCATCGGCTTCCAAGTCTTCAACCGCCTTGATCTTGCCAGTGTTCTTGTACTCAATCCATAGGTTGGCAATCTTGAAGTCGCACCCAGGCAAGGCCAGTATTTCCTTTGGATTGCCGATCTTGTACGTGTACGCAGCGATGGCGGCAATGGATGTACTGTAAGCCCTCACTCCAATTTCATCGTTGGTCAACAGCCGGGCGAGCTTGATTCGTTTCAATAGTTCCAGAAAGGGGTCATTGGGATTGTCTTTTGGCGTCGCCCGTTGACAAGCATACTTGACGCTCTTCTTCACCCATTCTGGCATCTCCGGCAGATCGCTTGATGAGCCGCCATCGTGCTCCGTCGTCGTCTCCTGGAGTAGATGTGCATACTGCGCATTGGCACCATGTCCAGCCTCCCAACTGGAGGGATTGACCGAAGGAGTGTTTAGACCGAACTTGCGTCTTCCGAATCGATCGTGCTTCGAACCCGACTTCGGAGAATCTTCTTCGGCGCGCTGTAGTATGTCGCTACTGGTGGTGGGTTTTGAAGGAATGGGCGTGGTGGTGCTGCGGAGAGTAGCGGTGTGGTTGTTTGAACCATGGATTGACTGCGTTTTCTGTGGCGCCTCTGCAGAAGGCTGTCTCTCCACACATCTGCCTTGATACGAGATGTAGTCATCCAACGGCCGCACGCGACCAGCCGTCCTCGAGTCGGTGAACCACTCAATCTTCACCACCTTGACAATTCTTTCAGAGACTTGCTCTGGAGACGCTGAATCTGTCGGGCGATGAGCCTCTCTGCTTTGAGCGGCCATTCGTGAGTTGTTCCGTGAGGACTTCTTAGACTTGTTGCGAGAGACGGCCTCACTCTCAGATTCAGTACTCGAATCCACCAGGTTGATCACCGCATTCTCATCGATTGGCGCTTGTTGGGCATTCTCAAGCCGTCGTTTCTTCGCCGGACGCTCAGGCAACTCATATGAAGTATCGCGATCGTTGCGAATCTCATCTGGCTTCAGTTCCCTCGTCCAAAGCCCTTTGCTTCGAAGATCGAACTGGATCCTGGGCTTCTTGACCGACTTGCTGAGGACGATCTCCGCTTCCTGAATATCATATGTCAGACTCGCGCCGGCGTTGGCCAGGTCTTCTTCCAGTTCGTGAAGATCGTCCGTGTCGAAATGGGTGCTGAAGACATATATAGGAGGCAAAGTCGACAGATCCAATGAAGCCGGAGAACCATGTTGAATCTGTGATGTTCCATTCTGATCTTCAGCCATGGCTATGTCCAAGATGTTTTTGTTCCAAGTGGTTATGTGATCGGTCGACTCTCAAGTCATCTCCAAGGTGATTAATGGAAGGTGCCAGCCAGAACTTCGGCGTTGATGCTCCCTTCGCGGCTGCGCGACACCACGGATAGACATGATCATGTCGCTACAATCACAAGCAGAGACGGTGCGAACCTCGTGAAGCCAAGCGAGTCTTTGTATTATGACAGAAGCATCTCGCCCTCGTGACGCAAAGAAGACGCCCTCGGACTCGCAAGAAAGCTCAGACCATCGTCCAAGCTTGAGCCCCAGATCTCCAAAAACATTCACCTCACTTCTCTCTCCCACCGTAATCCCTCTACGTGCCAGGGGAGAACAATGTCTCCCTCCCGAGGCCACCCTCACCACCAACGCAACCCAACAACAAAATGAAACTCCCAACCTTCCTCCCCCGCACCATCTTCCCAACCCTCGAATCCCTTCCCCGCTCCTACTACCTAGGCCACCATGCCGCAGGCCTCTCCAAAATGCGCACCATGCTCTCGCAGATTGACTTGATCATCGAATGCCGCGACTACAGAATCCCGCTGACGTCGCGGAATCCGTTGTTCGAGGAGAGTCTAGCGGGGAGGGAGAGGGTGGTGGTGTACACGAAGAGGGATTTGGGTGGGGGTGGGGAGGATGTTTCGAAGGTATGGACACTACACAACTAAGAACATTTGAAAACAGGGCAAGCTAAGAATGGTATCTGTCTATACAGCGCCACGCCACAATCCGCGCCTGGCACCACCCCACCCCCACAATCTTCTCCTCGCACCGCTCCCAAAAAGACATCCGCCAGATCCTCTCCCACATCAAAGACGCTAGCACCGCCCGCAACGCCCTAACAGGCTCGCACCTCATGGTCGTCGGCATGCCCAACGTCGGCAAATCCTCCTTGCTCAACGCCCTCCGCCGCGAAGGCGTCAACAAAGGCAAGGTCGCCCACACCGGCGCCCAACCTGGCATCACGCGCAAGATCGGGACGGGCGTCAAGATCGTCGAGGCGGACGAGACGGGTTCGGGAGGTGTGTATTTGCTGGATACGCCGGGGGTGTTCATGCCGTATGTGCCGGACGCGGAGGCCATGTTGAAGTTGGCGCTGTGTGGGAGTGTGAAGGACACGGTTGTGCCGCCGTTCAATCTGGCGGATTACTTACTGTTTCATGTCAATTTGCATGATCCGTCGTTGTATGGAGAATATTGTCCTCCGACCAATGATGCGATGGAGTTGTTGGAGGCGATGGCGAGGAAGACGGGGCGGTTGCAGAGAGGGGGGACACCTGTTTTGGAGGCTACGGCGTTGTGGATGATACAAAGATGGCGGAACGGTCATCTGGGGACATTTCTTCTGGATGATGTCTCCGAAGAGGCGATCGAGAGGTACACATCTGGGAAGAACTCGCAAAACAGCAGTCTCAGCCAAGCGCGTAAAGCGGGAAAGGAGGCTGCTCGCATTCGTCAAAGAGCAAGGAGATCGGGAACAACGGCGGAGTGATGTTGCAGGATTTGGTATGTGTTGCATGATACCCCTTGGCTTTTAGTGTACAGACATGCACGAAGCATGTGCAGTTAGTAGATTACGTCGTCCTCGTCTCCCTCGACCACGTGGTCGCCATCGTCTTCGTTGTCCTCCTTCTTTTCTTCCTCGATAGGCTCACCTGGAGTGGGGTCTTCTGATTTTGCTCCTTCTGGCTTGGGCTCCTCTGCTCCCGTTGAAGCTGGCTTAGGCTCATCGCCATTAGTGTGCTCACCTGGGTCAGATTCCGGTACCTCTGAGCGCCTCTCTGTGGGGTTATTAGTTGGCGCATCTTGAACATGCTTGTCGGCGCTGTCACCAGAAGCATCTTGTTCAGGTGCAGCCGTGTCCTTGGAACCCTCATCAGGGGCCGTCTCTGCCTCGGGCTTCGAGTCTGGGGCCTTGTTCGCGGGGTCTCCTATTCTTCATTAGTGTCTGGACGAATATAGGTCTTCTTGTGTTTGCTCTTACCTTCGGGACCGTTGAGCGACTCTAACCGCTTCTTCTTCTCATCCTCCCAGTCGGCTAGCTCCTTGTCGATCTGATCTTCGGTGTCTTTGATCTGGTCGTCGATACGATCTTCTTCGTCGGTCAAGAGCTCCCATGGCTTGTAGTACTGTCACAAGTCAGCAAGTGGTACAACTTTGTCTCGAACACTTTCTGACCTACCAATCTGGGCTCTGCTTTGGTCTGCAGGAAGTTGGCGTTCTTCAGCATATTCTTGTGCCGTATGTGCATCTGCCCTCAGTGTCAGTACAGCGCTCTCCCACTTCCTCTCTGCCACTTATCTCTTACATTCTGCTCATCGACATTGATCTGCTCCTTCTTCCGCTGCACAGCAAGCTTCTCCAGTCGTTTCTGGCGATCCTCGAGGCGTTCGTCATCCTGCTTCTGGAGCTCAGCCTTTCTTCGTTGCTCAATTTCCGACCGCCGCCTCGAAACTCTGTCGCCTGGTTGGTTCAAGTTGCCCAGTAATGCGCCGAACAGTCTCTTGCTGCGCTGCTTCTCGTCGGTGACGCCGCTCTTTCGTCGTGCTTCCCGGGCGTCTTGGGGCTTTTGCGCGGGCTTGACGGCCAGGTCGTCTTCCGGTTGCGGTCGCGCCTTCTCTTGCTCTTGCTCATGCTCATGCTCATGCTCTTGCTCTTGTTCTCGTTCATCCTTGGGAGCTGTGGTTGTTGGTGAATTCTTACCCGGACTTGTGCGCTGCCTCTTGCTATCTTGCTCCTGCTCCGATGCCTCTGAATGCCGCCGCTTCAAGCCATTATTCGTGGTTGGCGACTGCTCGCCCGAGTCCTCGGGCAATTCCACCGCGGATGCCACCCTATTCAGCGGCGTCAGCTCGTTGTTCGGTGAGTTGGTGATATTCGAGGTAACCGACGATTTCGTTTCCGCCATCGTAGCTGCACGGCGGTGGTGCAGTGGCCCCACGTGGAAGTTGTTGTTGTAAAGTAGAGGTTGAAGCTCGCGTGCTGAGGTCCAATGTCTTTGGCTTCGGTAGCGGCAGTGCCAAGCACTGAGTTGCTTTAAGGACTCAATTGGTCTCCCTTCTTCCTATTCACCCAAAAAATGATGAACTTAACAGACATATGCAAGACACTAAAACTGCAAAAAGAAAACGGCGTTTTTATGCCCTGCGATTCTGTCCCGACAAGCATTCCATGATGTCCCATCACGACGGTTTTCCAAGACTCTCCTCCCGCTCCAAGGCTCGAGTCCCGATTGTACGACCATCCCAACGACCATTCTGGCCTTGATGAGCCTTGCATGGAGGATACCGACTTAGGGCAGCTCGCACACTTGGCTTGCCTCGTACCATCCATGTCATGTCAGCGACGAACCCATAGCAGCTTCAAAGCGAAGCCGAGGTTTGAGCTTTTGATCCCTCGCAAGCTCTTACAACTACGCTCTGTCTATCACTCATCTTGATATCTCTCTCCTCCCGGGAGTAATCTAAAATACCACTATTCTTACCAGACATCTCCTATAAATTTGACCTGCATCTCTCATTTTCCCGCGTACATCCTTCAAAGATGGTGGCCAACGTGCCGAAGCTGTCCGTCAAGGACGTCCAATCCCAGAAACGATACACCGAAGTAAACGGACGGAAATGGTGTAAGTAGAGCCAACAAGACGAGCCAAAAGCCTCGCAATGGGTCTACTCTAATCTCTCGCCCTAGACTACATCGACTCCCCACCCAGCACCACCTCCCAAAAAGGCACCATCGTCCTCGTCCACGGCTTCCCGTACGCAGAAGACGTGTCCAATGCAAGACGTAAATGCTGACCCTCACCTCAAGAGACATCTCCTTCGGCTGGCGGTACCAAATCCCCCTCCTGAACCGCCTCGGGTTCCGCACCATAGCCCTCGACAGCATGGGCTACAGCGACACAGGCTACAGCGACACAGGCACCTCCCCCAACCTCTCCCTCTTCGGCTTCAAATCCCACGCCGATGCCATCGCCGGAATCGCCAAAGCCATCGGCGCGCATAAAATCATCATCGGCGGCCACGACTGGGGCGGTGCGGTGGTGTACCGCGTCGCGCAGTGGTATCCCGACCTTGTGACGCATGTGTTTACGGTTTGCACGCCTTATACGCCGCCGGTGGACAGGTATATCTCCACCGAGCAGTTGTCGAAGACGACGTTGCCGCAGGTGAGTAAATGCTGGGATGGGGATGTATCTGCATTGTCCGAGTTGTCAGTTGTTAGAGGGACATGTGCTAATGCGGTGGTTTTAGTTTGGCTACCAGCTGCAGTTTGGGAGTGAGGACGGGAAGATCGAGAGGGTGGTGAAGGATGAGAAGACGATGCGGAAGTTTTTGTTGGGAATGTATGGCGGGAGGCCGAGTAGTGGGAAGAAGTTCATGTCACCAATCACGGGAATCGATCTCAAGCAGGTGGAGGAGGGCGAGTTCAAGATGACGCCGTTGTTTGATCAAGAAGTGAGTCTGAACGCATCTAGTACAATGGCTTGTGAGGGGCTGCTGACAATGGACTCGCAGGAGTTCGATTTTTACGTCCAGGAATTCCTCAAAAACGGCATCAGCGGACCGTGCAATTGGTACCGCACCAGGAAAGTCAACTGGGAGGAAGAACTGTCTCTCCCGGCAGCCAGCAAAACAATCGTCAAGCAGCCGACTCTGTACGTCCTCGCGACGAAAGATGAAGTCCTCACTCGGAAGATGAGCAAGCACATGGAGAAGGCGGTGCCGAACTTGACCAGAGGTGAAGTTCCCGCGGGCCACTGGGCTCTATGGCAGACGCCTGAGCAGGTGAATGGGATCTTGAAAGACTGGATCCAAGGGGTGGTGTTGGGTGGGAAGAGTAAGCTGTAGTCTACCTACACAACCTCGATCTTCGCTGCCTGAGCCCACAAGCCTGGGCCATTTGTGCTCTGCTGTCTCACGCCGTACAGCTCGTCGATGAAAGCAGGTACGAATGTGCCCGGCCCCTTGACGTCTGCTCGCTCGGCGGCCCGCTCGGCCGCGATCTCGTACATGAGGATGCCGGCGACGGCGGCTAGTAATTTGTCTTCCCGCTCCACGGCCATGACGCTCGCGATAGTAGTTCCTAGCGTGCACCCACTGCCCGTGATTTCACCCAGATACTCGTGACCGTTGCTAATGGTCACAGTCCGCTCCCCGTCGGAGATGATATCTGTGCCGCCGGTCATGAGGATGATGTTGTGTTCTCGCGAGGCTATGCTCTTGACGAGAGCGGTTCGTTGGTCTAACGAAAGCTGGGAAACACCCGAATCAACGCCATGCTGCTTGACCCCTGATGCGCCCGAGACTTGTCGGATCTCGCCTTCGTTGCCCTTGATCACGTCGAAGTAGCCGCCTGCCATGAGTGCCTTGACGCCTGCTCGTCTTTGCTCCGTTGCGCCGGCGCCGACTGGGTCCAGCAAAGTTGGGCCACCGACGGCGTTGTATGCTGCGAGGGCTTTGAGATGGTTGTCTCTGATCTCCGGGGTCGTCGTGCCCATGTTGATAACTAGACTTCCACCTAGAGACGCGAGGTCTGCGGCTTCGAGTCCGTTGTTGGACATGATGGGCGACGAGCCTATGGCTAAGGCTACGTTGGCAGCGAAGTTCTGTACGACGAGGTTGGTCATGTCTGCCCACGCAGAGGGGTATCAGCCATCTGGTCCTGCATGTCTCACATATGCACTCTACCCTTCAGACTTACTGTGGCAGAGAGGCTTCTTGCTTGCCATTCGTTTGATGATGCCTGGGACTTTGCTGACGATGTCCTGCCGTGAAAGTGGATTTTTGGAAGATGATGTCGCGAACGGCGGAGGCTGCTTGACGAGTGATTGTAACTTGGAAGCCGCTTCTTTGGGCCGTTCAGATGCCATGATCGCGCTCACAACGGCGACTCCATCCAGCTTCTTCTGTGGCGAGGCTGTTTGGAAGAGGACGCGTTGGGTGTTTCCAGCATTGATGCCACCGATGCAGACAGTCTTCACATCATGGCCTTGGCTTGCAAGTGACGATAGAATGTGTTGGACTCCCACAGTGCCGATGATGGATTTGGTGTTCTCCTTCGTTGGTGTGGCGAAGACAGTTCCAAGACCCAGATAATCTGCCCCATCTCTCGCAGCCACGAGAGCTTCTTCCTCGCTATTAGCCGTGACTCCAATGATGGCATTTGGTCCAAGAATCTGCCGCGCAGACTTCAAATCGAGATCGTCTTGGCCGACATGAACGCCTTCCACGCCAGCAGCCAAAGCAACATCTACGCGGTCGTTGATGAGCAGCGGCACATTCGCAGGCTTGGTGACACTGTGCAGTTCCTTTGCGATTCGTACGAGGTCGGCTGTGTCAGATGTCTTGTCACGGTACTGCACAATGGTCGCTCCTGTCACCGGATGAGTGCTGCGTCAAAATTGGTACTAGTTGCGTGGCCTCACCTCCTTCGACGGCGGCCTTGACCACAGCCACAAGGTCTTTGTCTCCCAGAATAGCCGGAGTGGAGTCTGTGACGAGGTACAGCGAGTAGTCGACTGACTTTGCCATGGTGTTTGTCGAGGCTAGGAGAGTGAAGTTGCTTTCGACCTACAGCTAGGCTTGATCTGGATCGGAGTTGGAGTCATTAGTGACTGGACTTGGTGACGCCAACGCTTGGAGCTACGGTGATGAACCGACTTCGATGCATCTGAGAGAGGTAGACGTCTCATACAAGCAATCTGGCAGTGCTCATCACTGTTTCGGCAGTCTGCAGTGGTTGATACAGAGCTACAAGGAGCGGACTCGGGATATTCTGAGACCGTGTCACCTTCTAGAAGGGCGGGAGAAGCGTGTTTGCGTCCGGCGTAAAACCCGGCGTCATCATATTGGCGTGCTCGAGCGGGCCACGGCATTCATGGGCGCCTCGTACGAACGGTGTTTGTCTGCCATCAGGTGACGAACACGGGGGAAGACGGTGCATCTGACGGGCGGCGCATGTGTTATGTAGTAAACAGATCGTGGCATGGCTCGAGTCGGCTGATTCAAGGAAGGGTCTCCGGCACAGCGGTTGCGCTAGCTGCAGCCCGTGCACGTTGAAAAGGCAGTCTCTCTCGCGCCTCGCACTCTTTCTCCTGCCAACAGCCACCACGCACGCTCAGCACCACGCCTCAGCGCCATCACCACCAAGCATCTCGCTACCTGCGGCAGCAGCCCCCGTCAAACAGCATCCCACCAGCCTCACAGTCAACATACTACCTACCGCCGGCGACCCTCCCTCGCCCGCCGCCACCGCACCCATCCCCGAGGCCCCTCACCCGACCCAGCACCTCTCCGTCGACCAGAGCGCAGGGTTTATGTATTCGCATTCGAACGCCATCCCAGATCCGCCGCCTGTGCAGCAACCATTCCGCATATCTCGGAAACCCCGTAGTAGCGGCCACGAACGCAACAACGGCTGACTCTCTGCCTAAGACCATCCACCCCGGTCAAAGAGAATATCCACCCAAAACGCCTTCCACAAAGCCAACATTGCTAGATACGCAGCATCAGCAAACGCTGGCTCGTGTCTACTGCATGTCTCTGCAAACTTTGTAGAGTCTGTCGCCTGTTAAATTCGCACCTCTCTCGCTTGCCAAGTCCAATCATCCAAACACCAGCTATACCGCAGCCATGGCCAACATCAACATTCGCCGGGATGTCGCTGACCCCTTCTACCGCTACAAGATGGAGCGTCTCCAGTCCAAGGTCGAGGGCAAGGGAAACGGCATCAAGACTGTCATCGTCAACTTGAGCAATGTCGCCCACCAGCTCGCCCGTCCTCCAAACTATGTCATCAAGTTCTTCGGATTCGAGCTCGGCGCTCAGACCAATATGGACCCCAAGGACGACCGTTGGATCATCAACGGCGCTCATGAAGCCAGCAAGCTTCAGGACTACCTTGACGGTTTCATCAACAAGTTCGTCTTGTGCAAGGACTGCAAGAACCCCGAGACCGTGGTCAACGTCAAAGACCAGGAGATCCTCCTCGACTGCAAGGCATGCGGCAAGATCACCAAGGCTGATACCCGCCACAAGCTGGGCTCCTTCATCTTGAAGAGTCAGCCGAAGAAGGGCAAGAAGGACAAGTCTACCAAGAAGGCTGACCGCAAGGCACGCAAGGAAGCGGAGAGGAACGGCACTGCCGGTGACGATGAGGCTAATGGCAACGGTCACAGCCCAGGCGACAGTGGCTCAGACCAGGCCGAGGATGGTGATGGTGACGGCGCGCTCGATGCCGGTAGTGACGACGAGCTCACCCGTAAGATCAACGCCGAGGCCAAGGAACTCAACGCCCCAGAGCAAGAGAAGGAGGTTGAGTGGTCTGTCGACATGTCCGAGGAGGCCATCAAGGCTCGCGCCAAGGCCCTCCCAGAGGACCTCAAGCAGAGCTTGGTCATCGAGAACGGCGATGACGAGGATGGCGAAGGCAATGTCTACGACGAGCTCGGCAAGTGGATCGAGCAGTCCGCCAAGGACGAAGGCGATGTCACCAAGGTCAAAGATGTCGACATCTACCTCAAGGCCAAGGAACTCGGTATCGAGAGCAAGCACAAGACTCCTGCCGTCCTCGCTCAGTGCATTTTCGACGACCAGATCGTCAAAGAGATTACCCCTCGCGCTGCCATGCTCAAGAAGATCATCACTTCGGAGCGCCACGAGAAGGCTTTCCTTGGTGGTATCGAGCGCTTCGTAGGCATCGACAAGCCCAACCTCATCCCACTTGTGTCTGGCATCTTGATGAAGATCTACGAGGCCGACATTGTCTCTGAGGAGACACTGAAGTCGTGGGGTAGCAAGGCTAGCAAGAAATACGTCGACCTGCCGACTTCTCGCAAGGTTCGCAAGAGCGCCGAGAAGTTCATCGAATGGCTCAACACCGCCGACAGCGAGGAGGATTCTGACGAGGACGAGTAGGCTATGGCACCTACGTCGACAAGTCTTGCCACAACCTAGCTGGCTGCCTCAACCTGCGAGAGACTACATCAGATTGTGATTCTTGTTACTGCTTGTTCTGTGGGTCTGCTTTCACATAAAAGTGTTTCAAAAGGCGTATTCAGTTCTACTCCACTTAATACAATGCCCCTATGCTGCTCTAGCTGATGCCCCCATCTTTCTATTATGTCTGCCGCATGTCCATACCGATGCTCCTAACCCTCATGGCCTCAGATTCGTCTTCCTGCGGGGTAAGGTGATGGACGAATGGATGACAACGCCGTCGTATCCGCCTTTCATCCTTCCCTGGCTCTCGTCTCTTACCTTTGTTGCTTGCGGTCAGTTTCACGAAACACTGACTTTCACGACCGACTTCCTCGGGTACTCGGCCCCAAATCAAGTACGTACATCCGATCGACCTCACTTGACTTCATCAAGCTACTCCTCAATATACCTCAACTCTACCTTGACAAAGCCCTCTCTCTTATCACAACCCAAGAATCTACCCAAAGACCTATTCTTCCATCCAGTCTCTTTTTTCCTGACCATGGGCTCCATCACCCCAACAACAACATCATCATCCGAAGAAGACCTCACCTTCCCCAACCTCCCACCTTTTCCCACGGACGTCCCCACCGTCCCCCTCCTACGCATCTCTCTCAAGAACCTCCTGGCCGGTGACCCTGCAGAAGAAGAGAAACTCTGGCGGGCGTGCTGCGATCTGGGATTCTTCTACTTCGATCTCCGCGGGGGCAAAGGTGGCGATGAGGATGATGAGAGCGTCGATGGGGATGCATTGCTAAGCGTGGCGGATCGGATGTTTGGGCTTGGGGAGGAGGTTTTTGCGTTGGATGGGGAGGTCAAGGAGGGGTTTAGTATGGTGAGTGACTCTTTTCCCGCTTCCTTGAATTGTTGAGGGGTGGGTAGGCTGATGTATGATGCTCGATGTAGATGGGTCAAAACTCGTACTTCGGGTATAAAGGCTACGGGGCCTTCGTGGATCGCGGAGGAAACAAAGATCGGAATGAGTTTTGGAATATCAGTAAGGATGATATTTTGGGGATTCGCAAGGAGCCGCTGCCGAATCCGGAGGTTTTGATGAGAGGGGAGAGTAGGGGGTTGGTGAAGAGGTATATGCTGGGGAGTCATGCGCTCGTGAGCTTGATTTTGGGGGTGTTGAATCGGAGGTTGGGATTACCTGAAGGTATGTTCTCGCTTTTTCCCTTTTATCGAACTTTCAGTCAAGACTAATGTACTTGATGCTCCTAGGGACCCTCCCCTCCCTTCACGACCTCCACACCATCTCCGGCGACCAAGTCCGCTGGGTACGCTCCCCGCCCCAACCGCCCTCAGACCGCCGCAGCGCCCTTGGGGAACACACCGACTACGGCAGCGTCACAATACTTTTCAACCGCCTCGGCGGCCTGCAGGTGCTGCCCCCTTCCGATCCACCAACCTGGGCCTACGTGAAACCCCTCCGCGGCCACTGCATCGTCAACCTCGGCGACGCCATGGTCAAGTTCACCGCGGGCGTTTTGAGGAGTAATATCCATCGTGTAGCCAATCCGCCCGGCGCACAGGCCGGGGAGACGAGGTTGAGTTTGGTGTATTTCAATCGGCCTGGGGATGAGGTGATTTTGAAGGTGCTAGAGGGGAGTGAGGTGATTGAGGAGAGGAGGAGGGAGAGCGGGATTGATGGGGAGGAAGGGGAGGGGGTTACGGCGAAGGCGTGGATTTTGAACCGGGCGTTTGGACGCGCGAAGGGGACGGAAGGGGATCGATTGGAGAAGAGGGATAGTGGTGTTGCGGCATCGTAGCGGGTGGGTTTTGTAAATGGAACTTTTGAAAAGGTTGTGACGGAAACTTCCTTAACATGCCTCGAGATCTGGAAACCACGGTGCAGGTTTTCTAGGCGTTCACTGCCTTCGAATGAGAGAGATGATGGCCCGTAGCATAGGTTCCGCTCCCTCGTTCAACTCTCGCAGGGCAACTGTAGACACCGCTGCGGCTCCTAGATTCCCTGTCAGCTTCCTCTCCACAACCACTGGTGATCCTGTAACTCACGCATCGCGCAACAGTACCACCAGGGCAGAGGTATCTCTCTCCGCAAGCGCGCCAAAGAATCGACTACCTCCCTCGTTAGCCCAGTGACGGCCACCAAGTCCCCTCCCTACAAGGCCACCTACACCACCAGGACACGTCGCTTTCCCCCGACATCCTGCTTGAGCCTACCAACGAACGCATCTGTCAAGTTTCCGTACACGCATCAAAGCAATCGATACCTCTCTCTCGAAAACCTCACCCGCTCCCATCTGCTGCGCGGAAACCCCGAGAATCGAGCCGAGCAGCGTGAACGCCGCGATGGAGAAGAACTTCATGATGGAGGTCGTGAGGCCAGATGGAGAAGGGAAACAAGAGACTCTGGCTGGGCAGCCTTATATAGCCTTTCAGGGCATTACTCCTAGACGGCAGCCGTGTGTTCGCCGGCACTTTCGGCGCGCTCTGGTGTAGTGGAATACCAAGAGGGCTATGTACTGATCAGACAAGTCATTTATGTTGAACCCCTTGTTAATAAGCCATACCTAGGCCCAAGGACAACGCCCCAAGAATCCGGCCTGAGACCCCGAGGACCGAGCGGAGTGGTAGCGCAAAGACAGCGATTGTGGAGGTAGGGGGTTACTCATAGTAGAATTTCCAGTACAGGCTTGTTACCTTGAGGGAATGCAAGTGCCCCTGTAAAAGGGCTGGGAGGCAATAGTGTCTGTTCGTTCGGATTAAAGCGAGTGGCAGTGCTTGCATGTGGCAGAGCGGGCGGCTCGAGAGACAGCCTGGCTTCGAGCACCTACCATTGGCACCTGCTATAGCCTCTCTGGACCATTCAATCTCATGATCGTGTGGGAGACTTCGTCGGGGTTCGATTATCCTCCGACGCTTTACTGCGTCAAAGGGATGGCCATGTTCACTTCTCTTGTCGAGGTCGCTCGACACCTGGATCACAACGCCGCAGACTCGCTCGTTGTCTAAGACTATGCGTTCCCCAGTGGCTGAGCTGCATAGTGGTCGATCGGGCACAACATACGTGTTTCAAGTGTCTTGAGATGCGTGTGTCTAGAATAGCTTCTCGGAGGCGATACATATGTGTTGACTGCTGATCATAATACGACTCTCAAAGAGTTCATTAGTCACCTTCATCATATTTTCAAGTCCTTCAATCAGCACATTGTTGTCTTGACAACATGCCTCGATCAAATCATCAGCCCCCTACCCAATGTGATCGCTTGGAGAAGAGGTATTGTGGTCGTATGGGATCGAGAGGCTCTCATGCCAGCGAAGGGGAAATGACAGCCAGTCGACGTTTTGATCCCAAAAGAAAGCGATGTTTGACACTTACTCTCTTCATTCAGCAACGAGCATATGCTGGCAAAAAGGCTCCGGAGTGGCGTGATCAGCCTCATGTCTCAGGGGTTCTCCGTGGCTCAGGAACGCACTTCTCTCTGCCTGTAATCAGCAGCGTGGCTGTCCAACGCTACGCTTGCGTCTTTTTCTGGCGTCGTGATTGTAGTTGAAGGTTTGAGACACTGGTGTCTACTCGCTTAGGACGAAGCGAGTGCTCGTGCGCAGCGTCGATGCATGTATGCGGCACAGCGGGCGGCTCGAGAGACGGCCTGGCTTCTCTCGCACATACCATTGGCAACTCCTCGACGATTCGACTTCGTGGGTATTCTGCAAGATGTGGTGACGAGAGATGATGTCTCAAGATGTCGTCTTCGATGTCTCTTCCTTCGGGCCTCGAGCATCTTGCTCTGAACCGCAGTGGCGTAGACTCGCCCATTGTCTGAGACTATGCACCTCCTCGTGGCTGAGCTGCACTGCAGCCGGCCAGGCGCAGCATGCGTGTTTCGAGTACCTTGCAGCATCGATGTCTCCCTGACGAGGATGTCTTATATCTTCTCTCCGTTGCACAGAGCGAACCTGACCAGCTTGTCCACACTTTCATCTCTAGCAAATCAACCATACTCCCAAATTGTCAGGGAAAGATGCCGCGACCTCACCAACAATCCACCAACCATTCCGGCCCAGCATGGGACCCATTCAAATTACTCGACCTGGAGATGGTTGCAAACCAAGACAAGAGCTTCAACTGCGTCGGTACGAACACCAAAGGCTATCGCTGCGGACAGCCAATCTCCAAGGCAGATAGACAAGCGGCTACGATCATTCTGGAACGTCTACCGAGTCGCTCCCAGGATCCCAAGACTCTGCGTCAAGATCTCAAAGTACTCGCGAATCTCCTCTTGTGCAATGGCTATCATCGAGAGAAGCTTCGACCTGCAGGTAGACCTTGTAGGCCTCAGATGCGAGAAACCGTTGCAAACTGGGAGTTGATCATTCGGGAAGAGAACTTGAGAGCGAGTGCCAGAGCTTTCCATGGGCGGTCGTCGAACGCAAGACCGAAGGAGGAGAAGAGACCCGGTTCTGAGGAACGCAAGTTCAAGCGAGAGGACGAAGAGCAGAATCAGAGCTTCACCGAGCCAGAAGACGCCAGCGAAACCGACTACGAAGACGATGACTATCCCGACTTCAGCAGCGGTGCCAGAAGGAACTTTTCTGAGCACGAGGACTTCCTCAGGCGTGAGAAGGAGCGCTGCGAAGAAGCCCGCCGTCAGTCGCAGCGTGAACGTGCCGAGCAAAAGGAGTCCAAGGCACGAGCCGAGCGAGAGCGGGCCAAACGAGAGCAGGAGGAAGAGGCCAAACACCGGCAGCGGGCGGAGACTCCTCCCCAGTCTCAACCCAGACGAACAAGCACCGAAGACTGGGATAGTTCTTGGGCCACCTATCGCAAACGTTGGAACGCCACTGAGATCCTTGCGCGAGACGCAAACGCCACCCTCGCAGATCTCGAGAAAGTCTTCCCCTGGCCATTGAGGAACATCCAGCAGCTCGGTCTCTGCAAATGCAAGCTTGATGCCTTGTTCGAGAAGGAGGTCGAGGCGTTCTTTCGCCACATTGTCCCGCAGCAGCAGACGGCTGGCGTAGCTGTGGATGATAAGAAGGTGATTCTGAAGGCTCTGAGAAAAGAGGCAGTGAATTGGCATCCAGATAAGGTGCTCGTGCGGTTTCCTGTGGGTGCTGTTCCGAAGGCTTTGTGGGAGTTGGCGACGAAGGTTACGCAGGTGTTGACGAAGTTGATGGTGTTGTTTCGGGGTTGAGTAATGTTTTACAAAGGTTGTGGTTCTCGGCGCCTGTTGGACGGATCCAGGGGGTCTTGCTTTGTGGTTGTGTTAGAGTTTGATATCCCCTTCGCGATGTATTCCTTGCATTTCTATCCAGTTACAGGGAGGCGGCCTGCTTCATAGCTCTCATGATATCTTTGGCACATTACTCATGGATATAATAAGCCTCTCGCCTTTTCGAATGGACTCATATTCCAGTGGTCTTCGCAGCCAAAATATCGCGATTCGTTCAAGAAGAGGTACACTCGGCCAGCTATGAGGGACCTGTGAGAACTGTTCCGTCTCATCACGAAGATAAGTTGTGTCCCTGGTAGGTGCCACATAGTATCGTTCTCCTCTAGGCGACAAGCAGCAAGGCCATCGAATACACTGCTCTTGATGTGGAAGCAGGTCATGTAAAGTTGATAGACTCGTTCGTCTGGGTGGTTGGCTTCTTATACAAGACCGTTTCCAACGCAAGTGCGAAGGTAGGCGTTGGATCTACTGCGACGACCTATCCAGCCGAGTGTTGGGCTTGGGACATAGGTCGAAATCGAGCGTGGCGGAACTGACATCGGATGTCGAAGACCTTTTTAGCCGACTTTCGGACTTGGGCAATGGGGACTGCGAGTAGGTATAGTGGCAGCGGCTACCAAAGCGGTGCTGGCGAGAAAGCAGGACCAGGAGGGGGTTTGGGGTTCGATAGCAGACGAAGTCGTGGTCGGAACGCTTGTCTGAGCTGCAGATATCAGAGCCTGGCGACAAGTATTGCTTGAGCAGACCTGGCACGCAAGAGATCAGTGCGAGTGGCCGTGCGTCCTTTCGGGGCACGGATATGTGAATTGGGCAAAGTCGGCTGGTAATGGTCACCTGAGGCTTCGTAAGCTTATATCATTGAAGCGCGGATGGGCGAAGCTTGATTTGAAGCACTCCATGACACCTATTCCGAAATGATAGCGCGGAATTTGCCATTCAAGAGAGTTCAAATATTTCCTTGTGCCTGTTCCCTTTTCTCTTGCAAGAGCCTCGAGACAAGTCCAACAACTTCAACCACATTCGCAGCCATACACCATACCCACTGAACATGGCCGCCTTTGAGTCGACTGTCTGGAATCTTCGCCGAATCCTAGGAATCGGGAGAAATCACCCAGATTGGGTCCCTTGCGTCGCTTCGGGAACACTAGAGGCTCGCTGCAACAATTGGATCTTGCGCCAGGATGCCGAAGAAGGAATGCGACTGCTAGGGCAGCTGCCGGAGCATCTGGACAGACTTGCTCTGAAGCCTCGTCTTGAGGAGGTGGCGGCCAAGCTTCTCTGCAGGAGTCAGCACCAGATCCAATGTCACCGAACAGCTGAGATGTGGCTTGACCAAATTGCAGATTGGAAAGAGGACAAACAAAAGCAGGTCGAAGTCAACGACGAGCAGGCAGCAACTTCACCTCCGGCTTCTCGTATGTCGAACATGGTCTCAGCATCAACTCCTGCGACTCCTCAAAGGGCTACAGCATCCCTGAGAAGTGCGAGAAGACGCACAGCAGCGATTACGATAGATTCTTTTGGAACGCGGCAAGCTTCTCCACGGCGACTTGGAAGATCTCGACCGTCGGTTCTCGCCAGCACTGCATCAGATGCTCCCAATCTCTCTGTGGAAAGGTCTACACTTTCCTCGACCGTTACTGATACTCGCCCGGTGATGCCTCTACATGAGGCCGCACTGGATGGAGATTTCAGCCCACCAAGAAGCCTTCGCATGCCTGATCACCCACGAATCAGCCATCGCCGCGTTAGAGATGATCGTGTGACCCCAACTGCGATGCCTCATAAATCCGACGCAGGACACCGTTCGCCACCACCGCTCATACATCCGGGGTCTGAAGCTCAACGGAATCCAGGTGACTCCTCGTTCTGGACGTCTGTCCAATCAAGCATGACCAATCAAGACACGGAATATCCCGCGAACATGCTCGACGCTTATCCGGTGCGCGAAAATATTGGGATTGAAGCACCAGACCCGTATCATTTCTCATCGTATCGGGAACGGCATCCACATGCCGATTTGATTGTTGGGTGGAGGGCCATGCTAAGGATGAGAGCTGCGGAGCAGATGCAGCCACGACCAGATTCGGCATCGCGAGCAGCCCCTTCCAACGCCGACAGAGTTCGAGACAGAATATTTCTGGTTGCGTCCATGCGTAGAATACGGGAAGATCATCCGGATTTGTGGCAATCCGTGGCACCAGACGATCATCAAGCGAGCTCCGTCAACGACATAGAGATCGCATGGCCTCGGACGCTGAGCTCCCGACGCGAGGCTGACATCTCACACAATCGACTGTTAGTCAGATCAGAAGGAAATCGAGCTGAGCACTACAGAGTACAGCTCGAGGATGGAAATTGTTCAATCTGCTGGGAAGCCTTCAATGATCCGTGCGTGACGCCATGTGGACATGTCTTCTGTCGTGGGTGTGTCGGGGGCTGGATCAACTGGAAGTTGACCTGCCCAACTTGTCGTCGGAGTACATTCTCCAGCGAGCTTCTCAGGGTAAATTCTTGACCGAGGAGTTCGCTCATTTAGCTGGAAAGCCGCAGAGTTGGAACAGTGGCGTTTCTGGATGGCCTCATGATTGGCATAGGCGAGATCGATGACAGTCCAGTATGGCTTAGTCCGGGTGGCGACGCGGGATGGGAGCAGACGCTCGGGGTGAAACCTGGAATTCGTGGAAAAGCATTTGTTGTTTGAATCGAACAGTGGCACTGGCCTGTCTTAATGTGCTAGCCGTGGTCTTGATGCTGAAAGAATCGGTTTGGAACCTATTCTAGAGCCTCGATGTTTCAGTAATTCAGCCTAGATCACGTCTGGAGAGGTAAAAGAGAATTGTAAGTAGTGGTAATCACAAATCTCGTGCTGGAGATTGAGGTGAAGTCGATTAGACTTTCGGGACTCGGGCCGAACGGCGAGCGACAAAGCAGGTGGATCGCAAACGTGCTGCCAACTTGGACCTCGACCTCGACCTCTTCTGAAGTCGACAACTGCAGACGCAGACCATCGTGACTGATCATGGACCGCTCCCTTGACGAGATCATCGACGCCCGCCCTGTTCGAGGAGTAAGAATTATCTGCGACTGGCACTGGAGGACAAGACTGACGACAGACACAGCGCGGCGGTGGTGGCAGACGAGGTCGCGGCGACAGACGACCAGCTCCAGCGAGAGCACCCCGTCGGGAGGAATACCCCAGAGACGGCGTTCGAAAGGTCGGCACATTCATTGAGCACTGAGAGAGCTGTGCTAACATCTTGAACAGGTGCCTCTTCCTCCCTGTTCCTGAATGATGCCGTGATCCCATTCGATCCTGTCGACGGAAACCTGTTCCTCCTACGAACTCGGCGACCAATCAATGGCGATCGGCGGTGCGACACTGAGACCGGAATGAGCTGACCAGCGCGTGACTGCCGTACAGTATCGACGCGACGAGCCCGCAAACATCGACTCGTAGGACAACCACGGCAGCAAAGAGTTGGGGATGGGCGCTGACAGGATGTAGCGACTGGGTGCACGACCGATTCGAAGACGACCACTATGGTGAGAAAATACCATACTAGACGGACTTCGGCATTCTCTAATGCGAGATAGATCGCATGAACAGACGACCACCCATTGATGACGACCGCGCACCACGAGGTGGCCAACAGTAAGCACAGCACCTGTCGCGAATGAAACTCGAAAGCTCACTACGACAAGGAACGGCGCCCGACTCAAGGTCGACAACATCCACTATGAGTTGACCGAGGACGACTTACGTGTAAGTGAGCCAACATGGGATCCCTGAACACCGCGCTCACGCAAACCCCAGGAACTCTTTGAACGAATTGGCCCCGTCGCATCTGTTCGCCTGCTATACGACCGCGCGGACCGGTCCCAGGGAACCGCATTCGTCATCTACGAGGACTACGCCGATGCCCGTCAAGCAATCCGCCAATTCGATGGATGCAACGCCAACGAGCAGCCAATTCGCATCACCATGATGCCCAGCGGACCAGCTCCTTCAGCACCAAAGGTGTCACTGTTTGACCGGATCGAGAAGCCACCACGTAGCTTGTTCGAGCGGATTGAGGCTAGCAGAGACGACGGTGGCCCGCGTAGGGGTGGAAGGAGAGCAAGAAGCGACAGCCCACGCGGCGGTGGCACTTTGGCGCCACCAGATGTCGACCGCTATGTGCCTGGCCGCGCTTCTCGCTCGCCGATTAGACGTCGTGGCACACCGCGCGAGGGTGGACGTCGCCCTGGCCAGAGGAGAGAGGAGGGTGGTGGTGGAAGAGGAGGCCGTCGTCCCCGTACAGATGACGAGGGTCGACCGCTTGTCGGAGGACGACCCAGGAAGACAGCCGAGGAGCTCGATGCTGAGATGGCAGACTACTTTGGAGGCAAGGGTGAAGCAGCGGCTGGTAATGGCGCTGCTGCAAACGAGACGAATGGCGGTGGTGACATTGACATGGATATCTGAAGGAGGCATGATTGATATCCTGCTGAGAGCCTTCTCCACCTCCAAGATATGTACAAGAATGGTGGCTCATAGGTTTCCAGAACGCCTCGCTATGCAAAATCAAAATGAGGGAGGCCCAAGCCAATTCGTATGCAAAACGCTCGCGCAAAATGCAATCCTTCATTCAAGCCTTCACCGCAACTCTAATCCCTCCAACTGGCTCACCAAAGCCGACTCATCCCCCTCAGCATGCCCAATGACATCCTGCGCATCCAACCACCCCTCACACAATGCCAGCAAGACCAAATCCCCCGCCGACCAAATCTCATTCGTACAAATAGCCCCGGGATCCAACAACTCCTGCACCTTCAAAAGCACATGCTCCAGATCATTCGCCCTCTTCCAAGCCCTCCACTCCACCTTCCTCGTCTTCTTACTCGGCGCCTTCATCGCCGAAGGCCACTCGAGCTGTTCCAGCAGTTTGTACAGCACGAGGTGCAGCCAGACGAGGTTCGTTTGCGGGTGGTACTGTTCCCATGTTCGGCCTGTGGCGGCGAGGTCTTTGGGGCTGTAGTGGTGGATCTCGGCGAAGGCGTTGTCGCCGTAGAGCACGCCGCGCATGTAGCGGTAGATGTCGTATTGGTATTCGTCGGTGCTGTCGCCTTCGAAGAGGGCGGGGTCGGTGGAGAGGTCTGTGTAGGCGATTGATGGGTTGGAGGGGGAGGTCATGAGGCAGCGGGAGATTGTGTAGTCGATTATGGTCGTTTCTTGGGCGCTGAAGCCGAGTTTGCGGGCGGGGTCGAGGGGGTCTTTAGTGGTGGTGGTGGGTGGAGAGGAGCGCACGCAGATGTTTCCGAGATGCAGGTCGCGGTGCTCGAATTCGGCGCCTTCCTCGCCCTTGGCGAGCGAGAGGACGACTTGCCAGAAGATGTCCCAGACTGTCCAGATGGATGTGCATTCGCCGCTTTCGACCATGAGTTCGAGATCGTTGCCTGCGTCTTGCATTTCGATGACGGCCCAGAGTTGGTCTTCTGAGTAGCTGGCTTTCTTGCTTGGGTCGGGGAAGTGGCTGAGGTCCTTCTTTTTGGTCTTCTGCTCTGCGTTCCAGGCTTTGAATGCTGTGGAGAAGGCTTCTGGCGGTCGGCCTTGCAATACTCTCATATCTCTGAAGTTTGTGAAGCCTGGGATGGCGCTCATGCGTTGTAACAGCTTGACTTCGTTCGCTACGTCTTCGGGCTTGCTCATCATCTCCTGTTTTGTGAGAGCGGCTTTGCGTTTCCGCTTGTCTGTTGGTAAAGTACTTGATGGCGCTCGAAGCGGGATGATTTTGAACACAGACTCATCTGACCGACATATGTCTGGAATTGCCTCTAGTAGGGATAGTCGGTAGACTTCTCCAAAGGAAGCTTCTGCAATTTTGTTGATCGAGAAGTGCGAGGAGAGTTGCGTTGACCAGCTCTCGAAGCATCCGATGGGATGTATTGTGAGGTCCAAAAGCGGTGAACAGTGTTGATCGAACGAATTCGCTGACTTTTGCTGTGTCTGCTCGTCCTGTGCTTGTTTTTCCTTTTCTGCAACATGCTCCCTTGCTGGAGGATTGCGCTGCCCGCATTGCTGAGTGCCCCTATCGTCTACTAATCTCTCTTTGACAGCCTTCTTCGGCGACCTGGAATCACAGACTTTCACTTCAGTATGCTGGAGTGCTTGTTTCCGACGCGGACTTCTTCGTGGTGTGAAGGTCTCATTTTCTTCGTCGCTATCCAAGACGACTCTGTTATTTCGCTTCGCTCGTGGTATTCGCTTCGGCGTCGCATCTGCTTCTGCATATCTCAAGACCTCCAGCGGTAACACGACTTCATTGTTTTGGCGCTCCCCTAACGCTGGTCTTTCACTCTTCTTCTCCCTCTTCCTCGCTTCGTTGGCTCGGACGGGGACGTCTATTTGTTTGACCGTGGTCGTCTTCGTGGTGGGTTTCTCGCAGGGCTGATCAGGACTCGAAATGTTCGCGCCGTTAAGGTCGTATATTGCTCGTGAGCGCTTTCCGTACACCTTCTGACGAGGCATCTTGGAAATGCTCGTGCGCACAAATATTGCATTGAAGTGAAGTTCTCTGGTGAAATCATTGTTTACATGGGAGGGTCTCCACAGCAACCGACCGTATCGATTAGAGGACGACGAGCTTTCAAACTTCGGGATCGCCCGAGACTGCATGCTTCGGTTTCTTCTACAAAATCATTATTGCTTCAACGACCGATGCCTCATCATCACCGCCACTCACCCGCTCGAGCATCTGTCACGCTTGACCCGTACTCCCACGCTCTCGTGTAGCTTCCAAGGTACTTGTCGCACTCGTGCAAGGCCTTACCGTATCTGAACCAGTAACAATCGAAGGAGGGAGATGCCTACACGAGCTCAGCGATCGGCTACATCACGAAGAAAGCGTAGACTATAAAAGACGAGTTTAGCAGTACAGCCAATTCTTGAGGCCAACCAAGTCTTCTGCCATTCTCCTTGCCCCGAAATCTACAAGCACCAGCACGATGCCATGATTTCCTCATCAATCATGCGATCTTTGACTTTGATCGGCAGAAAGTGGAAGCCTCTAATATTCCCGCAAAAACCTTTCGCCCAGATTGCTTCCTCAGAAAGAATCGAGGAAGAGACCTTTCGAGACTACGTAGCCTCACGCTACTATCCGACCCATATTGGCGAGGTCTTGCGAGACCGCTATCAAGTAGTCGGGAAATTGGGTTACGGTGCATCGTCGACGGTATGGCTCGCGCGAGATCTGAGGTAGAGCTGTCCACAGACGAATGCGACGCCTCCAACTGACACCTGTGCAGCGGCAAGCGACACGTCGTACTGAAGCTATTCATCACGTCTTCTTCTCTCGGTAAACACTTAGACGATGAAATCAACATCTACAGACGCCTCAAGAAACAAACCCAAGTTCACCCTGGCCGCGACGCTGTACGGCAGCTATTGGACACGTTCGATATTGAAGGGCCAGATGGCCAACACCGCTGTCTCGTACACCCGCCTCTGTGGGAGAGTGCACTGTCTTTTCTGCACCGCAACCCGATCGGTAGACTTCCCGTGCCAGTGTTAGCATTCACGCTGCGACGACTCTTTCAAGCACTAGACTTTCTGCACAGCGAATGTCGTGTCATACACACAGGTAAACAATAATTAACCATATCTCTGATGCTCGAGAGTTGCGTTAATCGAGCGTTTCCATGACCAGATATCAAAGCCGACAACATCATGTTTGGCATCCAAGATTACGATGTCTTTCGAAAGTACGAACAACTCGAGCTCCAGGAGCCCAGCCCGAGAAAGGTCTTGGACGACCGGACGAGTTATACCTCCCGGGACCTGAGCCCGCCGAAGCAATGGGGAGCGCCTGTCCTTTGCGACTTTGGCTCTGCGGCCTTGGGAGACGCCGAGCATACGGAAGATATACAGCCAGATATATACCGTGCGCCCGAGGTCATACTAGGAATTCCCTGGTCATATGAGGTTGACATCTGGAATACTGGCTGCATGGCGAGTGCAATTTCCTCAACTTCGTTGGGACTCTGCTAACGCATATTGTGTGCAGGTCTGGGATCTCTTCGAGGGTGGACATCTCTTTACCGGCCACGATCCAGAAGTCCATCGCTACAGAAGTCGGTCGCACCTAGCAGAGATGATTGCGCTGCTGGGATCGCCACCGCTGGAGCTACTCGCGCAAGGCGCTGTGAGTGACCATTTCTTCGCGAAGGACGGTGAGAGGACCAATTGGAAGACTTCGTTTGAGCAGCACACTGACACATACGCCCTGCAGGAACACTTCACGCGGATATTCCACGGCCAGATGCGGTCTCTCTGGAGCACAGAGAGGACTCACTGATTGGCTCGGAGGATCGACAGCTTTTCCTACGCTTCATGAGCAAAATGCTACAGTGGGAGCCATCGAAACGTCACTCGGCCAAAGCGCTAGCGGAAGATGAGTGGATTCGAAAAAACACGTAAAATCATCGTGGATAGCCACTCCGCACTTTATCGCTGCTAGGTCGGACAAAGTGGCCGATAGTGCGTCAACCTGACACTTAGGACACCTCGAAGTTATGCAGCAGCTTGGACGGTTGTCACCACAAAGCAAGGCTTTGTCGAGTCAACTATGCAACGAGAGTCTGTTTTCGAAGCAGAGTCGGCACTGCGACGAGGCAGAGCCGTTGTTGAGAAGTATTTTGGCAACTAGGGTTCAAATCAGCGAGCCCACCAGTATACGAAGACCAATAGATGATACGCACCGTCAGTGTGGTGACTCGAAGACCTGCATGATGGTGAGATGAATGGCATTGGTCACGGTGGGGTTGCATGCATCAAAGATGTCGATAGCATATGTTCGACAATATCTCTGCAACTACTACGAGGTCTTTCAAACGCAAATGTTGTTCTTAGAGTTCACCAGACAAGTGGCCGAAGTACAATTGGACTCAGCTAGGTTAAGCCCATAACCTCCCTCTCCAATCGCATCTGCTATCCAAGTTGCGCCTCTTTTGCATTAGTGAGACAGGGGAAGAAGTACAATGTTTACGGGGTGGCATCTCTACAGCAACCTTATCGATTGGCCTTTAGACTTCGCGCTTGCCCCGAGACGAGCCTTTCAGTTCCAATCACACCTCCAGACTTCGGACATCTTGAAGAGATTCAAAACACTTCGCTGTGTCCTGAACGCGCTTCCGGATCACTCAAAATTCTGTCCAATACAAGAATGATGTGTAGCGAGGTGCTCTGGAGGGAGCGCCCAGCTCGATCGCTGTCTCGTTTCGAGTAGATCATTTCTGTGGAGCATCGCTGAACCTCGTTCGTCTCACGACTCTTCTCATCACTTCATCTCTTTCACATCTCCAACAATGACCTCCATTGGCTAGTGTATCGTTGGGAGCCTACACACAAAGACTCTCCTCGTCGCTGGACCTAATCTCGTACGATTCCAGCGAGTCACAAGACGATATGCCTCCCAGAAACGCCCAGCGGCAGAGGCAGAACCCACAAGATGCTTCTACCGCTCCAGAAGTACCGAACACCAAGAAACTTTTCCAAGGGTTGGGAAGATCCTTCGTTCTCCTGGATCTGGCCGCAGCAGCGTCTCCCATCTGGCGACTGAGTCTGACTCCCGCATTCGGCGCCATTCCAACAACAAGCAACTCCCACGACAATTTCATGATCGCGCTCACTTTTGCTATGGGAATCTTCCTATCAAAAGGGAACGAAATGTTTTCAGATCTCATAAGCTTGCTTCCATTAGCAGTAGCCTGGATGCCGGCGATCCAGTCGAAGCTCTTACCTTGGACTGCTGCTACGTGGGGACCAGAAACAGGGCCCAGGACGAGCAGCTTGTTCACTGTCCATATGATCGTGGCATTTACAGCGATTGCGATACCTGATGCGCTGGCCTGGGGAGGTCTCAAGCCCTACATGGAGAAATGGGCGCTGCCGAAAATGTTCCTCCTCGCGGTGTTGACGTTCATGTATTTGTCGGTGGAAGGCTTGGTGTCCAATGGATGCACGACGTTGCTTACAACTTTTGACTTCCTGACGCCAGTGCATCTATGGTTTCTACTGGCATTCGTGTACTGCATAGCATTTCCATCGCGGCTTGTGCTGCTTGCTATCCCAGCGGTACTCCACGCACAGTTCTCGAACCCACACTTCAGTCACGCCGCGGTGGACGCCTCCCTTCGGCCCCACAACTGGACTTTGCTGGAGAGACAGTGGTCCACCACGGGATATATCTCCGTCCTCGACAGCTTCGACATGCAGTACCGGGTCATGCGTTGCGACCACTCGCTCCTCGGCGGCGAATGGCTCCTGACCGAAGACCGCAAACAGAGAGAAGGCTGGCAAGTCCGCGAACCGATCTACGCCGTCTTCCAAATGCTCGAAGCAGTCCGCTTGATTGAACTCGAGCCGGTGATACCAGACTCCGAAGCGCAGGCGCTCGTCATAGGTCTTGGTATAGGAACCGCACCAAAAGCCCTCGTAGCACACGGCATCCAAACCACCGTTGTGGAGCTAGATCCCGTCGTACACGACTTTGCCACGAAATACTTCGACCTACCTGCGAACCACACGGCCGTGATACAAGACGCCGTCTCTTGGGTCCAGGACGAAGTCACAGCGAACGATAGCATGAAGAAGTACGACTACATCATCCACGACGTTTTCACTGGTGGTACAGAGCCTCTCGCCCTCTTCAACGCTCACTTCCTGTCCAACCTCCACGCCCTCCTCACCCCCAACGGCGTCATCGCAATCAACTACGCCGGCGACCTCTCCCTCCCCCTCACCAACACCATCCTCAACACCATCTCGCACGTTTTCGCCTCCCAATGCAAACTATACCGCGACTCACCCCGCGAGAAAGACGCCCTCCCCAACGAAGTCGACCAGGACTCCGACTTCCTCAACCTCGTCATCTTCTGCCGCAACGCCCCCGGCCCCATCACGTTCCGCAACCCGCGCCGCGCAGACTACCTAGGCAGCAAAAGCCGGCAGTACTACATGCTGCCCAAACCCGAGCACGAAATCCCGTTTCCGTCGCAGCAGCAGCAGCAGCAAACGGGTGCTCGCAGCAGTGACGCGTCGTACAGCGCACCGCAGCAGCAGCAGGAGGGACAGCCGCGGATCCTGGCGCTTGGCGACGAGGGCAGGTTTGCTAAGGAGCAGGGCAGGAGTGCGGTGAGGCACTGGCGGATTATGCGTAAGGTGGTGCCGGATGGGGTTTGGGATAATTGGTGATGAAAGATGGGGGAGTGTGAGAGGGAGAGAGAATTGTGTTGCCTACAGCGACTCGAGGCGGATATGTGAGGGTTGCAGGGGTGGCGGATTTTGACGGTCGAGCTGGCTGCCGGCATATGGATGGATACATGTGTGCGCAGGGGCGGCGGGACTGCGAGGAGTGTATCACAGCAGCGTCACTGTACGTCCCAAAGTCGAGAAGGATCTCTCTTCCGAAATGGATATCAGCGGGTGAGTGATGTTGAATGTCCGCGCAACACCACATCTCACCGTCGCCGATACATACGTGTACGTACCCCTCGACCGACGAACGGACACTTCGCGACTCGGAGAATCAGTCAACTCACGGAGACTTGGCGAACGAAGAGTCTTTTTTCTCACCGATCGATCCTGTACAGTTGCACGTACAGTACGTAGATGATGAAACATGAGGATGAAGATGTTGCAGAATGATCCACAAAGATTTTCATTGATCTTCTCTGCTTTCCAAGAAAGATATGCGTTTCGCTAATGGAAAAATTGGGTAGACAGCAACAGCTGCTCACGTCTTCACGTCTGTCTGTTGTATGTCCGTTGGATTATGTACAACACAAACAAAAATCGTGCATGCGTGCCTTTTCTATCCGTCATGAGGATTCGAGGGACCAAGGAGATCGTCCAAGTGTCAAGGGATCGACCGTATGAAGAGGTTGTTGGAGGTTTCAAGGAGATGTAGTAGTCGTGTAGGGCTGCTATGACTTGCCCTTCAAGTGTGACTTCTGCTTCGGCGGGACGTGGTTATGCAACGCCTTCTTCTGTCGTTTCTTGATGTCGTCGCTGTATCCTTCCTGCTGGCAGCACGCGTACTCGATGACCGTCTTGCAGTCGAGCACGTCGTGGATCGTCCACCGGTTGTTGGGATCCGGGTGCAGCATGCCGAACACCATCCGCTTGGTTCCGACGTCGTCGAGCATCATGAATTGCTTCGTGTAGACGAATGCCGGCAACTCGCGGTTGTTCCGGATCTGGCCGTCGGGGTACTTGTCCAGCCATTGATCCCACGTGTCGCAGTAGATGTTGAAGTTCTTGCAATCCGGACTGGCGTGATCCCAGGGGTTGCCGCCGAAGCAAAGCGTCAGGTAGACGATTGCGCACGACCAGACGTCCACTGCACGTGGATCGTAGTCTCCTTTCCGTTGGTAAATTTCAGGCGCCATATAAGGTCTGCTGCCGACCCAGCCGGGCTCGCAAAGTCTGATGGGTTCTTCGGGGTCGATGATGCTCTGTCTTCTACAGTTGCGAAGTCCTGGATGTTGGCCGACGAAGACTTCTGCTGTGCCAAAGTCTGCAATCTTCAGACAACCATTCTTGTCCACCAGCAGATTCTCCGACTTCAAATCTCGATGCGCAATTCCTCGTTGATGCAAGTAGTCCACTCCTCTGACCAGCTGCTTGAACATGCAATTTCGATCTTCCCGTGAAAAGTAATTCCGGTTGATCAGGTCGTTCAAATCTCCCAATTCGCAGTACTCCATAACGTGATACCACTTCTCCCCTGAGTGGCACAAATGGTAGGTCTCCACGATGTTCGGATGTTGTAACGATTTGGAAATGGCGTATTCGGATTTGATTTTGCGTTCATAGTCACGCTGTTCTTCTTCCTCGGGGTCACGCGGTCGGAATTCTTTCACGGCGAAGACCTTGTCGTGCTTTTCACTGTTTCCAGCGGTTTTGCTCTTCATGAGCTTTACGATTGCTGCGCCGCCCTCGCCAATGTCTTTTTGAGTTTTGCGCGCAATCAGATTGAAATGCTCCTCCAACTTGCACTCATCCACCTGCAATTCGTCCGGAAGATGTACGGACAGTCGCCGCGCCTTGGATCCAGCACCTCTGTCTACACCTTCAAGATAATCGCCACCTTCGGCTGCTCGTGAATATATTGACGATCGCCGGCCATGTGTCGCTGCGGAGCTCGCCCGTCGCGGCCGTGATGCCATTTGAGAGGCGTCGCCGAAATTCTCGGCCCATCTGACGCCACCTTTGGAACCTGTCGAAGGGAGTCGAGCATCGGTTTCGGTGTCGAGTTGGTCCTGGTCCTGGTCCTGGTCGTGGGTTCCGTTTCCATTGACAGCGATTTGTGGGACGGGGTCATTACTATGCGATTTCAGGCCGTTGGTGAGCGCTGGTCGTGGCGGAGGTTTTCCATTTGCGGCCGGCTGAGCCCTGGGGTCTCGCGTGTGCTGCGGTTGTGGCGAAGTTTGGGAGGGATGCTGGGCGTTCAGCTGGTCCGTGGTGGGGATTTTGTTAACGCTGCTGTTGTTGCGCTTGTGGAAGTGCTTGAAGATGGACTTTTTCTCGCCATGTGCGGGCGAGTGCGATAAGAAAGAAGACAGCCGCTTGACGGGTTTGACGTCCTGGGCGCTTTCGATAGACATGGTGGTGGTCGGGGTGGTAGATGAAGAGCTCTGGTCTGACGTATCCGGTGTTGGCAGGTGGGTGCGATTGTTGGCGGGGCGCTGTTGCGGCTGCGGTTGCTGCTGCTGGTGCTGGTGCTTGCGGCGGCTGAGAGGCGACACGAGGGTTTTCTTCCAGCCCGGCGTGCGCACGCTGTCGCCGCCGTTGAGGGCGTGTATCAGATCCTTGTTGGTCGAGAGGTGGTCGCGGTCGGCGACATGGAGGTCCCGCAGCGAGCCAGCTGTGAATTGCAGGACTTCGCCGGCGCCACTTTCGTCAGGCCTCACCCACAGCTCGCACTGGAGGGTGCCTGTGTTGGACCACTGCCTGTAGCCGTACCTGGTCGCCATGATGGTCAGAGAGAGCGGTTGCTGGACGGCGGCCGTCATGGGACGTGGACTATGGGATCGGCGGATATGCTGCTGCTCACTCACCTGTGCCCGGGGGCGTGTGCGTTTTAAGTCGGGCCCTGTACGATGACCTATGGCGTCGCCCGGCCACTCTGCCAGCTCTCCGAAACTCACTCGAGGCCACAGCACATTGGGAGCAACAAGCCAAGGTGCAGGCCAAGTCCGCAGCCAAGTCGTGCGGTTGCCAAGTCGTCGCCGCCGAGCGCGCTGAGAGATTACCGTAATCGCGTCTAGAGGGGGGACAGCCGCGGGGAGAGGGCGCGGCGGATGGGAGAGTGTGGAACTGGACGCAGGGCGAGCAGAGGCGCTGCAGATGCGATGCTGGTGGATGCACAGGGAAAAAGACAACAATAATTGCGAAGAGGACGGAGATGCGACTGGAGGCGCCTTTTGCGATGACATGCCCACCACCCTTCGGCACTGCTTTCCGTGCCACAGCGGCCTCATAACGTCAACGTACTAGCCTGTCACTTCGGCTCGGCGTCTGAAGGCCTACCATCTCCCATTACTATTGCTTGAATTCCTAGTGGTCTGACATCTGCTATCTATTCTCACAGCTACACCATCTCCATCGATGCTTCCACCACTGCCAATGCTAAGCCCGCACGAGCACAGCACAGACACAGGCCCGCCATAATCTAAACCCACCCGAGTTATCACCTCGACCGTTACCCCAGCCCGCCTCTCACATTCGGCCGCTGAGTTTCGCGCTAAAGTTGGGATACAGCTTCTTGCGACATCGTAAGGAGCTTGGCCGTCTTGGACGTCCTCTCGGCGGTCCCAGAAAGTGCTACACAATGCAAAGGAGATCACCGGTGCGGGAAGTTTGGAGCGCATTCCACACTTTCCACTCTCCCAGGGATCTCTCGTCCAAAAGCAACCGCTGCTTGTGAGGAGTGAAAAAAGGACAACTCGACACGTAAGGGGCTCTTGTCCGATCTACTTTTGCTGCTGCTGCTGCTGCTGCTGCTGCTGCACCTCGCCCGTCAAGATGTCTTGACTGACGACAGCGTGCGCAACCCCGTCGTCCCCGTCCATCCACACGCCCCCCGACTCTGGTCCTTTGAATTGCTTATGTCCTGTCGTGATCCAGGTGATCAGGGCAATCAGCATGATGCCGCCGACCGCCGCCGAGGTGTAATTCACTGCAGCACGGGGATCGTTCAATTAGTTTCTCGCATGTCCGACTGCCAAGATCGGTCGGGGAACAGAGCAAGCAAACTTACTATTCTCGCTGTCGACCGGGCTGACGGTAGGGAAGTTAAAGGTTATCGTCGTGAAAAGCAAATATACCAAGCCAATGATGTTGAAGGGGATGCTGAACACGCCGAGAGAGTATAACCCGCCTTCGATTTTCTTCGCTTTCTGTCGAGTGCTGGGGATGGCCAGGCTGGCTAGTCGGGCCATGAGTGGCATTGCATACGAAACATCTGCAGGAGGTCATCAGTCAAGAAACCATCTTTGATTACTCGTCAGAAGCTTGACACATACAGAACCCTTCCGTGGCGATGGAAACTACCGTGTTGAAACCAGTCAGCGTGCCAAAATATATGCTGTTCAGAGCAATCTGGACCAGCACCGTCAGGCATAAAGCAAAAACTGGTATTTGCTTTCTTGGCTCAACTTTACTCCAGACGTCTGAGAACGGAAGACCGCGGTCTCGAGCAAAAGCATACACCGCGCGGCCTCCTTCGGCTGTCAGAGCGTTCGAGGCTCCAAAGCCTATAACGATCAGGAGAACCGTCAACACGCTGGCTCCCGCCCTGTTGGTGCTGTTGAAAAATATCTCCACGATAGGGACGCCAGTCGCACTCTCGGCAGTCGTCTCGACGTCACCGATGCAGAAGCAGGCGGCGAGAAGGAACGCAAAACCGGTAACCGCGCCGATGTAGACGGACAGGACGATGGCCCTCGGCGCCTGCTTTCTTGCATCGTGGATCTCTTCGGTCATATGCGCGGCTGCATCGTAGCAACACATGCCAAATGCCGACTCGATTAAACCAATTATTGCCGCATAGCCATTGCTGAAACCTGTAAGGTTGACTAAGTCCTTGAACACGAAGGACGGTGACTGCTTATGGTCGTTGACAGCCAAGATGGTAACCAGGATTGTTATGAACGAGACGACGTTCCAGATGAGCAGTCCTTTGGAAAGTCTCTCCAAAATCCACGGACCGAATACGTTAATGCAGAGACTGACTGCCCCAACTCCATACGCAACCAAGACCGTCTGCCAGCGTTGAATGGTATAGTCGGGACTGTTCAAGTTGGAGATACCCAGTATCCAATTGGCGGTAATGAAGTTGTTGGTCGCACCCATGGCCAGGATCCCGATGATCATGAACCACCCACAGATGTAGCTGAATCCTCTGGCAGTTTTCTTGGGAGCCAAGAGCGCAACCCACGAATACTGCCCCCCAGCAACCGGATATGCACTGCACATCTCAGCCATGCTGTAGGCCACCGTCAACGAGACTATGCAGACTCCCAGCCACGACCAGACCATTACTGGTGGACCGCCGGATTCTGCGCCGATGATGAGGACTCCGGATAAGGCTGACCAGCAGGTTACGATGGAGAAGGAGAACCCTATGATGCCGATCAGGGAGAAGGAGCGCTTAAGTTGCTGTTCGTAGCCGAGATTCTTGAGGGCAATTTCTTCGGCGGCATCTTGGTCGAAGACCTGGAGAGGTTGCTCGTATTCTGTCTCTTTCTCGTCCATTGCGGATGTATCAAGTACGGCAGATCCTGGTTGGATGGCTGGGTCGGTCAACGATCAACGGAGAAAGATGGTGTATCCAAATGAGCTTGAAGACTTCAAAGTTGAAATGTACAATGCAGTACTTGGATTGAGCCCTAATAAACAGACGCGTGGTATATCATCGCATGGCAAGAGTTGCGCTACGCAGCGAGGCTCCATGATTGACTACCTTCCGCCGATCGCAACGCGGCCCATCCTCAGAGATAGGCGTAGATACGTGCATATCATCAGTAAGCGACACAACTCAGAGATGGCATGCGGCAGTCTCGAGGTACTCGTAGGTGTATGTCAAGCAGATAAGGCCAGCGTCCTCGGCCAGTGGCAGGAATTTGGGATTTGCCGGTCGTCGATGCAGGGCACGCGCCAGGATGTGACCCTTCCCCTCCCACAGACACTTTCAGCCTGCGTCGACGGTGACGAGATCATCCCTCGAACCAGACTCAATCACCACGAAAAAGCAGATTCGACTGTCAGCGCACATCACCAAACCGACTCGCGCACAGCAGGACTGTGATGGCAGCGATGACTCTGCCTCTCAATCCTGGTCTTCTTCCTCTTTGCTTTGCACGTCGACTTTGCTGATTTATCCGCCTTCTCCCTGTCGCGAGCTGCAGTGGCCGCCGCCTACTGCCGAGCTCCCTACCAGCTGCTACCATTTCGATTTGCCAGGAACAACCAACTTACTCTTCCGTCATGAACACCATCTTCAGCAAAAAGCCGACGATACCATACAAGCAGCACGATTTTCGGGTTCGAACGCCTTCATCTTTCAACAAGATGGGTGCATATCATTTTCGCCTTCCACAGCAGAGAGCATGATTGACGTCGAGGCGGGAAGCCCGCACGCGCTAAGCTCGGACCCTCACAGACAGGCATTCCCTCATGCAAATCGCATACTCCTCCCACTCCGATCCCCATTCACGCACACCTCCACCACCTCGTCCTTGAGTTATGCTATTCCACTATCTCACTGCACCATACCACGAGAAGGATGCCGTGAGAATTTCTTTCTAACCCTCCAGAACACGCCTACAACCACACAGAGCTGCCCCCAGTTCGTGTGACCGACGCACTCGCCGCCCACCACGACAACGACTACCTTCACCAATCAAGCCGGCCTAGAGGGCATTTTGATTACAAACGCATCACAGCGCTCTCCGATCATACACAACTTCTGACATCGCTACAATTGCGACCATGCCGTCGCCAGTCCGCCGCTCCGCCCGCGGGCAGCCCGCGGTCGCCTCCAGCACCACCTCCTCTCTCTCATCGCGACAGGATCGCAGTACGCGCGCTAATAACAATCAGAAGGCCGGCACTCCTAGATCGCTGTCCAGCGAAGACGCCAGTGAGCCACCTGTCGCTCGTAGGAGCCAGCGGCAACCGGCTCACAAAGAGGAGAGCGTCACCAAAGAGATGGAAGTTACAGTTGACAACGACGAAGAGGCCATAGACGAGGAGGAGATTACACGCTGCATTTGCGGACAGCAGGAGTATCCTGGACCACCCCTTAGTGAGGCGTTCGCTGGCATCCCAGACGCGCAGTCTGAGGATGCTGGTGGACTGTTCATCCTATGCGATGGCTGTACTGTATGGCAGCACGGTGGTTGCGTTGGGATCGTGGAAGAGAGTCAGAGTCCGGACAAATACTTCTGCGAGGAATGCCGACCTAAACAGCACGCGGTGCACACGGACAGCAGAGGGTACGTAAGCACTTTCCTTACATGTGATGCTCGATGAGACTGCAGAAGTGATCGTGTCGATTGGTCAGAGAAGCTGCGATGCCTTGCGGCAAGCGTCGGTTATGGCAGGCTTCATCTGCTCTCACTCGAGCGTGCGCGCCGCATGTGAAAGCGACGCTTGAATCATTCTCGGCAGCCTCTCTACCATGACACCACGATATCTCTTCTTGCAGTCTATCAATCATGGCTCGCTACCACGACACCCCCACGAGACACGCAGCAGCTAAGGCAGAAGACAACAGGCAAAAGTATTCACTCTACCTCCCACTCCACCCGAAAGCGAACCGCAAAGGCTCGGTGAGCAAACATGACGACAAAGCGAAGAAGGACCGCGAGAGTGTCAATCGGGCGAGCGTTGACCCCTCGACCGGCAAGCGGCGGGGTACGATGCGAAGTAAAGAGCATGACGACGAAGAGGAGCAGCTACAGAGAGCCATTGAAGAGAGCCGGCGTGACGCTGAGCCTGTAGGCGGCACTGGTCGGCGTGGTGGGAAGCGTGGTCGTGATGACAGTAGCGAGGAGTGAGTGATGTGCTGTTGTCGAGAGGTTCCAAATCTGACCACGCTACAGCAGCAAGCAAACCACCAAGCGACAACGAAGACAATCCGAGTCAGCGCAGACACTCAATGCGACCGCCTCTATTGAAGACGAGTCCGACGACGGCAAGAATGGAGCTGTCAGCAAATACAAGAAAGCGAAAGCCGAGGCGGCGTTGACGGCACGTCAAGCTGAGCAAGAGAAGAAGGAAAAGGAACGAGAAGCGGCTCGTGCAGAGGCTGCAGGCCGTCGACAAGAGCGTGCTAGGAGCCGCCGTGGTGCTGAAGGTGGGTTGGTTGTGTCAAGATCTGAGGTGCGAGGACTGACAAATGCAGCAGAAGTCGACGTCAACGACGAGGACACCCCAAAACCGTCCAGCAACAAGACGTCACCTCCAGCACCTTCATCGCAACCGCCGACCCCACCACCCGCAGACAAAGCTCCGCCTAAACGAGGCCCGGGCAAGAAGCCGCCCAAGAAATTGGGCAATAACCAATACACGAAGCGAAACTTCGAGCAGGCAGCCTCTTCACCACATGGTAGGAAACGTCAACTACAGAGTCATGCCACAGCAAGCGGTGATGAAGGCTCAGAGGTCGCAGTGAATGCAGAGACGAACGGTAGTAACAAGGATACAGGAAAGACAAGTCCAGGAGCGCCAGAGAATGGGAACGGTGTGGGCAAGGGCAAATACGGCCGAGGCAAGAAAGCTTTCGCGAATGGCAACGGTACCAAGGGCGCAGAGGCCGGACAAGAGGTTGAGAAGACGTTTGTCAACATGCACGCCGCTCTCACGAACATCAGCAGCTATGTGACGAAGCAACAGGAGGAGCTGGTGATGTTGGGAGGATCGACAACAACAAGTCCGCTGAGCGGCGAGGATGGTACTCTGATGGTTGGAGCAGCGGTCCAAATATCGAGTGCTGCGTCGGAGAGTTCGGCTGGGGAGCGCAAGTTTGAAGAGTTGAGCTGTGCCGAGATGGCAGCGCAGATTCAGAAGAATATTGCCGAGTGGCAGCGAATGTGGGGACATCATGCAACGACGACATGAAGATGAAGCGTGCAGTTGAGTTGCATAGCGAAGGGGGTTTTGCTTGGTACGGCGTTTTGAGGACTATGAAAATGGGCTTCTGGGATGAGCTACATACGGAACGTCTCTCCACTGAGAGGGGAGCTCACATATGGGACGGCAAAGGACGGGGTTTGAGGAGTTACTGGATGGGAATGGGACAGCATCGCGCCCAGGACGGCGGCGGATTATGAGATTACCAGCTTCTCTAAAATGAAATGCACAAAATGCGTGTGACGATGGCCACGCTCTATTCTCCAGCTCTGCAGAACCACCTCATCTATTTTCTTTACCATCTACGTCTATAAATCCTTCCGCTCGGTCCACCTCTCCACCAACTCCCTCGGCGCATCCCTCACCAAAACATGCACATGATCCACCCCCCTCACACTCTGCAAACTAACCCAATTCTTAAACCACAACACCCTCCCCTCCCCGCCCTCCCCCAACGGCACCACAAACGTCCTCCGAACAAACCCCTCAATCACCCCCCGACTCTCCGCCGTCACGTCCCCGCCCCCGCCGCTCTCCAGATCCGTCGCGATGGGCGTCTTGCTCCACACCAGCAGGTGCATGATGTCGGTCGTGAAGCCGTAGGGCCAGTCGTTGGGGAGGATGGCGTAGTCCCGCGGGTCGGAGAAGGGGGTGCTGGATTGGTGCGGGAAAGTTGGGGGCGAGGGAGGGGGGTGCAGGGGGGTCCAGAAGAGGCGGTGCGAGAGGACGTAGGGGGTTATGCCGCCGTGGACGCGTTTGATGGTGTGGGACCAGGCGAGGTATTTGCGCAGGTCGGAGGGGAGGCGTTTGAGGAGTTCGAGGGTGTTGTTTGCTGTTGGGAGGGGGAGGGAGTGTTAGTCGTGTGTAGCTTTGTGTGTATGTAGGAGGAGCTTGATTTCAAGACGCACCAATAATCTCTTTCAGATCTTCCCAGGTTATGCAGTGGTAGTCTTCATCCTTGGTCGCCAGGATCTCTCGATCGATGGCTGTGAGAGGGAAGGGCGGGTCGTTGTAGTCGATTTCGTCTGGGTTGACGATGAGATCGTCCTTTTCAGCCATTGGAGTCTGGGTTGCTTCGTCCGGAGACAGTTGCTCGTTGAGCTGGTGTTGCCATATTGTAGACGAGTGTAAGGGGATGTTTTGGGAAAGGACGGTGTCTGCAGAGGATGCGGAATTGAGAAAGGGTCGGGACTTCTTGACCAATTCCGACGGGAATCAGACGAGACCCGCCCCCACTTTGATTAAGGCCAACGGCAGAGGGACAGCTTGACTTTTTGGCTGAGAAGGGGAAAATGGCACCGAGAGCGATCGCGGAACGAGCCTTCATCTGCCCACCCCATTGGACTTGGACTCGAGCTTGCTATAACAATTTCACGGACTCCGTCTGTGTCTGCTTCACTTGACACTCGACCTCTTTACTGTCGAGAGACGCGGCAGCAGCAGTCAAGATGGCCTCCCAAGACTTGTTCGCCCCCAACTACATCTTCGGCGTCTACATCCCCTCCGCCCTGCTCATCGGCGGCGCTGCTGTCTTCAAGGCCGAATGGATCCCCTTTGCAGTCGCCGCGGCGGCAGCATTGGGTGGTCTGCAGTTCTTGCTCGGTCGTACGATCATATCAGTCCCCACCAAGTGAACTCTCACATCTGACATTCAAACAGAAGGACCCAAGCACATCCCAGTCCTCAAGCCTGACGAATTCCAAGAATTCCCCATCTCGGAGAAGAAACAAATCTCCCACAACACCGCCATCTACCGCTTCAAGCTGCCCACCGAGACCAGCATCCTCGGCCTCCCCATCGGCCAGCACATCTCCCTCGCCGCGACCCTCGACGTCACCGACCCCAAGACCAGCAACGTCGAGCGCAAGGAAGTCGTGCGATCCTACACGCCCATCTCCTCCGATGTCGAACCGGGCTACTTCGACCTCATCGTCAAGAGCTATCCCACCGGCAACATCTCGCGTCACCTGGCAACTCTCAATGTCGGCGATAACATGAAGGTCAGAGGCCCCAAGGGCGCCATGGTGTACACCCCCAACATGGTGCGCCATTTCGGCATGATTGCCGGTGGGACTGGTATCACTCCCATGCTGCAGGTTGCGCGTGCGATTCAGAGAGGACGCAAGAGTGGGGATAGGACCAAGGTCGATCTCATCTTCGCCAACGTCAACCCGGAGGATATCTTGCTCAAGGACGATTTGGACCAGTTGGCCAAGGAGGATCCGGATTTCAATGTTTACTATGTGCTGAACAACCCGCCGGAGAACTGGAAGGGTGGTGTTGGGTTCGTTACGGGTGACATGATTAAGGTGAGGGTTTTCATAAGGGTGTATTTCTGTGAGTACTGACTTTGTATAGGAACGCCTTCCATTGCCTGCCAAGGATGTCAAGATTCTCATTTGCGGTCCTCCTCCTATGGTGTCGGCTATCAAGAAGGCCACTGAGGCATTGGGCTTCGAGAAGGCGAGAGCTGTCAGCAAACTCGACGACCAGGTCTTTGCCTTCTAAAGAGCCAGCAGATCATATCTCGACTTTTGATGATCAGCTTCACAAGTTTGAGGAGCCGGGGTCGACACAACAACAACATCCTCCGCAAAAGTTGCTGCGTTCAAGCGTTTTCTTAACGATCTAGCTTGGGAGGAGGTGGGATCGAATCAAGCAAGATTTCGCATTCTGGAGGCTTGGAATCACGATCGACGCAACCCATTTGACCAAAACCAGGAACACGGTCACACCAACCCCCCACCATGAAGCTGCTCAAGCTCGAGCTGAACGCGCCGGTCCCTGTGTAGATCCGTACTACACTCCATACGAATACGTAGGTACATAATAATGCCAATTGGAATTCACGATTTGGTCACTCAAGGAGGTGGGTCAATCTTTCTCGTCTCGCATTAGAAGCTACGACGGCTTGTGTGCTTGTTTCAGCTCGCACACCATTCCGTAAACGACTGCTGTCGCGCGACTATATATCGAAAGGTGATGGAGAGGTAGGGAGTTTGTTCCTTCCTTCCAACTTTGGTGAGTGAGTTCAGCGAGCTCTTATTCATCTTGCGGGAAGGAACGATTTTTGGTCTGGACTCTTTCTTTCGTTGTCTTTAATCTGTCTTCTTGCAAGAACCCACGGCAGCACTACTACTCTAGCCATGGAATCCGACGATGCGAGCTTCGAAGAATTGGAAGACGTCGAGGTCGGCGACCCCGCCAACAACAAATGGCCTCGAAGGGATATGCGTGCACAGGCAGTAAGACCACATCCCCTAATCGACTTTTCCCCACAAAGGACATTTCCAAGCTAACCACCCCAAAAAACCAGGCCTTATACATCCAAAAACACTGCCCCACCATCTCCATCCACCTCTCCGGCCAACAAGGCTACACCGCCCTGCAATCCGGCTACTGGTCCTCCTTCCAACGCGACGTCGAACCCTTCTGCTTCCTCGAACCCACGACGCCCCAAGACGTCGCGCAAATCCTCAAAATCCTCAAGGGGTTGGGATGTCCCTTCGCCGTGAAGTCTGGGGGACATGCGGCGTTCGCGGGGGCTTCGAGCGCGGCTGAGGGGTTTACGGTTTCGTTGAGGAGGTTCAGGGAGGTGAGTGTTGGTGAGGATCGCAGGACGACGAGGGTCGGGACGGGGAATACGTGGGGGGAGGTTTATGAGGAGCTCAGGCCGAGGGGGTTGGGTGTTGTTGGGGGACGGGTGAAGAATATCGGCGTTGGGGGGTTGGTTCTCGGGGGTGGGATATCGTTTTTTTCGGGCAGGTATGGCTGGGCGTGTGATGGGGTGAGGAACTATGAGCTGGTGACTGCCGAAGGGGAGGTTCTGCAGGTTTCGCAGGAGAGTCAGCCGGATTTGTATTGGGCGTTGAGGGGCGGGGGGAATCAGTTTGGGGTGGTTACAAGGGTGGATTTGGAGACGTTCGAGCAGGGCGATCTGTGGGGTGGGACGAGGGTGTTGTTGTGGGAGCACACGGAGGCTTTGCTGGATGCGTTTTATGAGTTCGCGCAGGTGGGTGCGGAGGCAGATGTCGATGCGAGTATGTACCTCGCTTTTGCGTATGCCCCCAAGCCGAGGGATATCTTCGTCGCGTCGCCGTTCTTCACGCATGCGAAGGGGGTGGAGGAGCCGCGTGTGTTCAGGGAGTTTCTCAAACTACCGCATGTGCGGAGTACGTTGCGGAAAGCGAATCTGGTCGACCTCGCAGACGAGTTGGATAAGACGAACCCCAACGGCCTGAGGGAAAGCTACTGGACGCACAACTTCCTGCTCACACGAGAGATGCTCAGCGAAGTAACTCAAATCTGGAAGGATGAAGTCGAAACCCTCAAAGACGTCGCCGGCGTCCTCCCCGCCCTCGTCCTCCAACCCCTCACGCGGAACATCCTCGCGCACTTCTCCCGCAACGGCGGCAATTGCCTGGGCCTGTCCCCCTCCCCTTCAACCCCCTCAGAACCTCTCCTTTTGATGTCCGTCCCGACGATGTGGACCGACACCAGCAAGGACGAGCTCGTCATCAGCACGTTGCGGCGGATGGTGGAGCGGTGCGTGGCGAGGAGTCGGGAGGTGGGGGCGTTTCAGAGGTTTATCTATATGAATTATGCGGCGAGGGAGCAGCGGGTTTTTGAGGGGTATGGGGAGGGGTGCTTGGGGAGGTTGAGGGGGGTTGCGAGGAAGTGGGATCCTGAGGGGGTTTTGAGGGGACAGGGCGGGTTTGGGTTGTGGGATGGGGTGGGGAAGGCGGAGGGGGAGGGATGATGGGGAGGCGGTATGATGAGTATTTGAAGGGTACGTGCTGAGGAAAGGGGGTTGGAGTTGGAGCGTTTCGTTGATGGGATCGAATATCTGTCTATCCAAATCAGGTGCTGAGAGTGAGATGGCTATGGGCAGCATATGGCTACAGTGACGGTCGAATGCAAATAAAAGAGATTTCGGGCATCCCTTCAACGCATTCAAGGGAGTCGATGGTCTGTTTTGATTTATTGTGAGCTCGGAATGTTTGCTGTCGTTTACGTCGAGTAGTATTCGCTTGACATAAGGTTGGTGGGCAGACTGAGCCATATCTGAGCCATATCTGAATTGAGCGCTGCCGTTGACAAAATTTCTTTCATTCCTTCTTGGATCACAAATACAGCCTCTCCATGCATCAAAATGATAATCTGAAATCCACTCTTTTCGCCAGTCAGGGTTTGGGACAAATGGCACCAGTCGAAACGCTGGCAAGCTTACGTCGATGATCATTCCGATGCACGGAGGGGCTGTCTTGATGGTCGACCTTCATGCTCCGAGAAGACAGACTATCGCCGCTTTCGAGATTGGAAAGCCTTGGTATCGTCGCTGGTCGTATATAGCGTGGACATGATTGCTAGGATCGATCCGGGCTCACCTCTACTTGGACGCCACATCTGTTAATGGTTGATATCACTTTCTTCGTTTAACAATCACTTATCATCAGTAGGTAGGATTGAATATGGCATGATAGTACCATTACTGATGCCGTGAGAGTTCAAAGCCGGTCGTTTACGGGGGCAAATTTGCAACGACGGCCATAGCCACCTATATCTTGCCATAGAGTAGCAGTAAAATAGTAATAACAGCGCTCTTGACTTCTATACTGGCTGCAACACTCGTCCAGTTTCGACAGGGACATCACCGTCGTTTTTTCAAATCGATAATAATCGATCCAAAGACGAAGAAGCACGACGACAAGGAAAATCGACGTTCGTCGTCGATGTCGATGAACATGGATTTTAACCACGACTGAGCCTGGGAACGGCATGTCAGTTGTATGTGTCCAAATCGTAGCAGTTCGACATCGACCATCGAAGGCCGGAGACTCGCAACGATTGTAACGGCCATTTCCCACCGTACCGTAGCAGCAAAAAGTCAAATATAGCATTCGTGGCATCTGCCTTGGTTGTAAGAATTCTCTGGTTACGATTCAGGACGTCGCTGTCGGTCCTCGATCGATTGAAATCGATAGACATCGATCCAAAGGTGAAGAAGCCCGAAGACAACGACGAATATTGATATTTCGATCATTCCTTGACGGTAAACCCCCAAACAAAAAATATGTGGCCCTCGAGTTGGCCTAGCGGAGGGTGTAGAGCAAAGATCTCACGTCGTCGCCGCTTCCCAATGGGGTAATATCGATTTGTGGGTGAAATTTCGGAATGGGCTTCATATCATTATTCTTTCGTCCACAGACGTGCAGTGCTCAAATGAAGGGCATGAGGTTGTTGAGAGAGACGTAGAGCTGGTTAGAGGCCAAAAACAATGTCGCTGTCGCTACCCATTCAGGCCGTAGACGGGTAGTTGTTGCAAAAATCAAAAAATTCAATTAGGAGTTGAGTTGCACTGCGACGAAGGTTAGCTAATGTCACAGACGTGTTATCCTTAGATATACATACTCAGCCGGGAATTGAACCCGAACCTGCCGCTTGGAAGGCGGCAATCCTAACCATTAGACCTGTGTAGAAGGTTAGTATAGAATAGTTGGTGGACGGGTGGCCTCCAATAGACCAAGCGAGGCTACTAACCACTAATGCTTTTGATTGGCTGAATTTGATGACGAGGGAACACCCACATAGCTGATAAAGGTTTAAAAAAGGCCTCCACGAGCATCCTTGTTCGGGACCTCGAAATATTCGATTTGTGCGATCAGGCTGAGATGGCAACGTATGGAGCCGGAAGGCGGTATGAGGCTTGCTTCAATGATCAACTGGCTTGTGCCAATGTCTGAGACGATGCGGGCATGGCAAATAGTCCAACGAAGCTCTGTTTGAAGGTTGTGGTGCAGGGAACAGATCTCCACCCAAAGACTGCCAAGCCATGTAGTCGGGAGCACCCGTAGTCCACGTGACCCAGCCCGATACAGCCTTCCTCCGCCAGAAATCTTCAATGCCACTACCAAACTCCCGCAACAGATAACACCGTCTTTCCAACACTTCATCGAGCATTCTTGACCAGCGGCTGCACGGCACCAGACCTTCGGCTTGCCCGAGGAGCTGTACCGAAGGTACTGCACACCATACCGTTTCAGTAATCGCTCGAGTGCCATTAGCGCCAACTTACCTGCATGCTCTAGCGCGCTGTAACGATCCTGTACAACAGTTTCTCGCCCGCCATGAGTTCTTGGCGCTGCTTGCCCTTTCCCAAACGACGCTGGTCCCCGGTCTTATCGACTGCGCGGCGAATGCATATGCGCGCGCGTCCAAACAGCTTGCGCGCCCGCCAGCCCGGGTTGATAGCTGGCGTGCGCCGAGGTCTGCCGTGAAGCGTCCTCCAAGAACACCTCACGCAAGTGAGAAAACGCCCACGTGTTGAAATCAGCAAAGCGCAAACTCTGTGTAGATCGCACTATCTGGAGAGGCGGGCGACCGCGTGACCGCTAATCTCTAGCTAGCGCGTACAAAAGGACAAAGACCCTGTCCTCCCACCCACGCGACTCGGCACGCGAGCTCTCTACTACCTCTTTACCACATTCCTGTGTTTGGTTCCCGCCGTTCTGGAAGGCGAACAGAGCCAACGTCTCCTCTCGCACAACAACCGCAACAGCTAAGACGAAGATCTCGAGATGGACGACTTCGACGATAAGAACAAGAGCCCCCCTACCTTCCAGACGCAACCCGAGCACGATGTCGACGAGTTGTCAATGGGCAAGGGCGACCTTCTGGGCAAGGAAGGCGTGGATCCAGTCCTCGAAGCAAAGATGCACTTGATCAACAATGCCATTGACGAGATTGGTATGACGGGATACCAGTGGAAGCTGTTCATCTTGAACGGGTTTGGATACGCCGTGGATTCATTGATTCTGCTCATTCAGTCGATCATCGCAGGGTATGCACAATACGAATTCAATCCTTCGTACGACAATGGTCTGACCATCGCCGTTTACGTGGGCATGCTTGTTGGTGCGCTCTTCTGGGGTCTCTCTGCCGATGTCATTGGCCGCAAGTACGCCTTCAATGTGTCTCTAATGATATCCTCGGTATTCTGCATCGTCGCTGGTGCTTCCCCCAACTGGATCGTGCTGGGCCTGTTCACCTGTCTGTCTGCGTTTGGTGCCGGCGGAAACCTCGTGCTTGACACAGCAGTCTTCCTGGAGTACCTTCCGTCCAAGGATCAATGGCTGTTGACCCTCATGGCCGCATGGTGGGGTTTGGGCCAATTGATTGCGGGTCTCTTCGCCTGGGCTTTCTTGCCGAACTACTCGTGTCCGGGCTATCCATCAGAGACTGGCGTTCCGTGCAATTGGAATACCAACCCAGGATGGCGATACGTGTGGTTCGCCAACGGTGCTCTGGTTCTTGTCATGAGCATTCTCCGAATCACTGTCATCAGACTGAAGGAGACCCCAAAGTTCTTGGTTGGCGAGGGCAAAGACGCCGAGGTTGTGGAGACTCTGCAGTTCATCGCAAAGAAGTACAATAAACCATGCGGCCTGACTCTGGACCAGATGGAAGCATGCGGCGTCACTGGTGTTGCCAACACGGAGCGTCGCGGCTCTGTCACCGCACATGCTAAGAGCCGATTTTCCTTCGCCGAAGTCTGGGTGCATCTCAAAGGCCTGTTCATTACGAAGAGACTGGGACTATCGACCTCACTCATCTGGTTCTCGTGGCTCCTGATCGGTCTCGCCTATCCTCTGTACAACGTCTTCTTGCCAGTCTACCTCAAGACTCGTGGTGCAGCTCTCGGTGGTCTGACCCCGAGTGAGACATGGCGCAACTACGCCATTGCCAACGCGTGCGGCATCCCTAGTCCGATCCTTGCTGGGTTCATGTGTCGATCCAAGTGGTTCTGGGGCAGACGAGGAACTATGGTAAGCATTGCAAGACGTCACTTTGTAGTCAAAAGCTAATCGACCTCCAGATCATTGGTGCATTGGTGACCATGGCCTTCTTCTTTGCGTACACACAAGTTCGTAACAACGCCGAGAACTTGGGCTTCACAGCGGCCATCGGCTTCTGCTTGGTAAGTTCTTCCATCCCAATATCCTTCCTATTCAATCCCATAGCCAAACCATGGACTTGTTATATTACCCAGTCGAAACGGCACTTCTACCTGGAATTTCTGTGGACAACCGCCAAGTGACTGCAGCCATGTCAGGGTGAGGGGCCTATCCTCACATCTTGCGCTCGACGCGAGTTGTCCATACATCTAGAAAACAACTGGACCTGCGAAGCGATCTCATCTGGAGCTCGAAAGTGATTTCTACCATGTCTGGGTGAGGGGCCTATCCTCCATTCTGCGCTCGGCGCAGGGTGTCTAAGACTTCCGGATTCTGGATAGCTTCTTGTAGCCAAGATGGTGATATGTCTGGGTGGCGAGCCTTCGCTGTACTTGTGCTTTGCGCAGAGTGCCCAAAACATAGCGAACAACCCAGGAGTGGTTGCACGACAGGTCGTGGCGTCTTTTCCAGCCTCATCTATGATGAGTCGCGGGGACCGGCGAGCATGACACAGCAGAGCGGCTGCATCCAGACGACATGTCATCATCAAGCCGCGAATCGTGCTTCCATCCGGCGAGCTTGTTCATCCTGCTTGGTGTGAAGAAAAGTGCCGGGGTCATCATTCCACGTGTTTCCCGGTCGGACGTGGTTGGCGACAAGCGAAGCGTGTGCAGCCACATGCGCCAATATCCCCAAGGCCAGCAGACACGCAATGTGGAACCATTTGAACTCCGACGATTCAGTCTTAGGCTGTGACAACGAGGAGACCGTCCATGGAAGCTTCTCCGTCGTAGCATGATTGTGTTGATTCAATTTGCGGTCACTGACATATCTGACGTAGAACATCTACTACGGAACACTGTATGCGTACACACCCGAGGTGCTTCCCTCCGCGCATCGTGGCACCGGCAACGGCGTTTCCATTGGCCTAAATCGTTTCATGGGTATCATGAGCGCTGTGATTGCAACGTGAGTACATTCAATCTACTGCTACAACGACTATGTTTCTGACAGTCATTCAGATACGCCGACACCTCGACCCCGGTACCAATCTACATCTGCGCCGCTTTGTACATTGCCATGGCTATCACTGCGGCATGCTTCCCATTCGAACCCAGGGGCAATCGTAGCTCGTAGTTTCGATTTAGGACGTGGCACACAAAAGGGGGACGTGATCAGTCAGTGCTAGCAGTGAGAATAGCTTAAAAATGAGAGCAAGAGTTGACGAACGAAAGTATGAATCACGTTACTGATACCTTTTCAATCATCGTGCATGTCCACGTGATGTTTCTAATGATATGTTCAATTCTCGACGGCTATCACATCGCCCGTGGTACATCATCCGAAGGAGGTCTATAGTGCGCAAAGGAGGCCAAACATGTACTAGCGCTGTAATCATCACTCCCGGGACGCGCGCTTCTAAACGGTATGGCCTCACTTCCTGAGAAAGAGGACGCGCAACTATCACTATCCACATGCTATGTGGATTTCATAGGATGACTGTCCGGCGTCTATAGCATGGTATACGCGGTCTATGATCCGGTCGAAACAGTCTCACTAGCTCCGGCAAAACTGAGGTCATCTTCTTCAACACCGCTGGATCCACGACAAACGCCACAAGGCCAGTCCAAACACAATGCCAGGCTGCAGCCGAGCACTTAACCCATCCGATCAGCATTATTGAAAAGCCACAGTTATTAGACGATGCCCTACAGAGGCAAACCGTCGCCAGGATGCGCAACCTGCAGACAGAGGAAGATCAAGGTACGCTTTGCTTGCTTCGTTTCCATTCTCCGCCTCCTCATTGGCTGTCTCGCTCACGTTTCCTCTTTCTTTCCGCACAGTGTGACCTCCGGCCAGGGGGCTGCGAGAAATGCGAGAAGTCCGGGTGGAAGTGCGAGGGGTATAGGGATGTTGGGTTGTTGATGTTTCATGATGAGAGCGAGGGGGTCAGGACGAAGGTGAGGAGTTCGCAGCAGAGGAGCAGGAGGGCAGCTGAACGGAGTAGTCCCGCTGGGAAGGGGGTTGTTGTTGTGGCGGCGCCGAGGGCGATTGTGCCCAAGGCTGAGAAGAGGGTGTGGTCGTTGAGTGATTCCGAGGATACCAACACCGAGTCGAGTTCTGAGACGAGTCCGCCGGAGATTGTGACGATTTCGCCGAGTCTGGATGATTTGGCGGTGAATTATTTTCTGGATAAGTATGTGTTCAAGTACACGGATCGCAGGGAGTTGTGGGATATTAATGAGGGAAATGGGTGTTTGCATTCGAGTATTCTGGCGTTGGGTCTGGCGGGGGCGACGAGGCAGACTGGTCAGGGGGATACATTTACGCATCCAGCGGCGCGGAAGCATTATCTCACGGCTATACAGCAGACGAATCAGGCTCTGCGATCTCCAGATGAGGTGAAGAAGGACAGCACCCTTCAGGCGATCAATATCTTGGCCATCTTCGAGATCCTATCCGGGTATGAGCGTAGTCTGGACGCTTGGAGAGACCATATCAAAGGGGCTGCATCACTATTACAGCTACGGGGTCCAGAGCAATTCAAAACACACACTGGATGCCGCCTATTCATGCAGACGACCGCCAACCTGGCCATCGCCTGCCTAGCCCGCAGACTGCCAATGCCACCACACGTCCTCGCCATGCAAAAAGTCGCCGCACAATTCGTGCCCAACCCCAACGACTCCGTCTGGCGCTTCCACTGCAACTCGATCCGCACCGTCGACCTCCACGCTCGTCTCCTCCCGGGCAACAGACCCCGAACCCCCCTCGAAGCCAAAGAAATCCTCACGCACGCCCTGGACATCTTCCAGGAATTCACCCACACCCTCGACACGGCCCCGGAGGACTTCAAACCCACTCTCGTCCACGACAAGGGCCCCACCATCTACGCCGGATACTACTACGTCTTCCGCACGTCTCTCGTCACGCAAATGTTCTGCGCCATGTGCTCCTACCGCATCCTCCTCATCGACATCATCCGCAAGGCCCTCACGGCTGGCTCCGCAGACCCGGACTTCTCCCTCCGCCACGAGGAATTCGAACAGATCCAGGAATCGCTCAATTTCAAGGAACACCTCCAACTCGCCGTCCTGGCGTCCATCCCGCAACACTTCCATGCCCCCTCGAACAACCACCCTCCGGACTCGCCCTCCCAGAAAGATGCTCTCTGGAGTAACTTCTCCTCGGCGGATTACATCCCCTTCAAAACCGCCGAACGACGCGCTCCGGATCTGCCGTTCGTGCGGATGGCGGGTGGGTATATGATTCAATTTCCCCTGTTCACGGCCGGGGCGGCGGATCCTCCAGGGGGAGCGATACGGGGCTGGACGGTGGGCATGTTGAGATTGCTGGGGCAGACGATGGGAATGAGGCATGCTTTTGTGCTGGCGGATTTGCTGGAGGAGGGGAACGGTGGGGCCTTGGTGCCTTGATTGATCGCGCACACGACAATCTCAAGGCTCGATAGGACTTGGCTGAGCTGTGGGGAGGCAGAAGGCCTGATCCCGTACGTTCCAAGGGGGCCGGGATGCTTTTGTCGGTTGACAGACTTACAGGACAACAGAGAGACGCCCATCTAGATGCGGTTGTGGACGCCCGCCTGAGGGACTGTGGATTCGATACAGTCTCAATACCCGTCCCTCACCTTTGCGGCAGGCCGTACAGGACGAGTGGCCGTCACATTTGAGCTCTACGGCACATTGCTCATGCCGCAATCCACCCACACAAGGCTGTTCCCGAGGCCGAGCCTACGAAACCACAGAGACAGCCCAAGCCTCAGTCAGGGACCGATCCAATCCGATCGTCTGGTGCGACTGATGGCTGGCTGGCTCTGACAAGATCTGATGAACATGATGGTCGTTGGGGTCGCAAGATATACCTATGACACAACACCCCCTGGTACAGAGAGCGATATCCGTCGATAGGTTTACTCGATTTATCTCTAACCACGAAAATTCGAGAATCGAGACGCCGGCTGACGAAGTTGAATACCATGTCCTTCACCTCGAATCCAGGCCCCATCCCCTCGTTGACGATGCAAGATGCAAGAGACCTATGAATGAACCAGCTTACCTCCGCTCCCCAACCATCTTTTCACGGGCACCGAGACAGCAAACTCATTCACACAAGCGACAGCAACTTCCATCATAACGTTCGCCTGTCTACCCGTCCGTCCATCTCATCTATCGATACAAAAGAGTCTCGGCCAAATCACAGCCCCCTCGTCCCGTCCAGCGGCAGTAAAGAGAAGAACCCCTTCTCCGGGCCCATCTTCAACCAAAATCAATCCCATCTAACTTATCTCGTCTTGACAGCCCTCAAACTCGCGCTCATCAACCTCAACTCCTCATCAGAGATGGGATTGACAAACCCTCTCTCATCCTCCTCAACATCATCAACATCGACATCCGCCGAAGAAGAAGCCGCTCCGGCGGATGCGGAACCCCTGGAATGAATCTCGCGGTGAGAAGTAGACGCCTCCGCTGAAGAAGAAGCCGCAATATTTTCCCTTCCTTTTCCTTTTCCGTTCTCGCTAACGCCATTCCATAACCCATCTGTGGAAATCTCGACCTGGGTGGTAGGGCCGATGACAGTTTGTCGCTTCGCCTTGCTTCTCCTCTTCGACTTGGACGACGTAGGACTGTGTGCCTCGTCGTCGTCCGAGTCATCATGGTCGACAATCTCGACGTTGCCGTCTTCGCCCTTTTCAAGACTGCTGTAGCGTCTGTGTCGCAGCATGTTCTTCGCGCTGGCATTTTGCAATATGGGCTCGGAGGAGGGTCCTATGATGGTGGTTCGGCGCCCTTGGTCAGGGTCCCAGGTGGACAAATCGAAATACTCTGAATCTGTGGTCACGCCGTCGTCGTCTCCGGAGGACATTCGCATGGGCGATGCCGAAGGTCCTCCCTCGGCTGCCGACGAGTATGCTGCAGCGGCTTCGGCGTCTTCCCTAAAGCTGCGCGTGCCCTCTGACACCACACTCGCGATATCGTCGTCATCTTCGGTGATGCTGCCGTGGCGTTGGAATTCCTGCACCACTGGAGATGTCATGCCAGCTCGGAGGAGTTCGTGCTGCTCAGATCGGCGACGCTCGTAAGCGGCATCTCTCTGTTCCTGGGATGGCGAAGATGGGTGCTGTTGCCCGTACTGTTCTCGCCGGAGCTTCATCCTTTCCCAGTCACCTCCAAATTGCACCACAGACGCCTGCTTTCCATGCAAAATGAAGCGTGGCTTCTCGCGTTGAAGGCCAGGTGTGGCATCGTCCAAGTCTCGATCATCGAAACCGCCAGACCGAACCGTACTGTCACTGTCCTTGTTACGACGGTGCTTGTGCGTGCTGTGGTGATGGTGGCCGTGTGCCTCGCGAAGAGTCTTCTGCAAGCTTCGCCTGACGCCTTTGTGCTTGCTCTCGGGCGACCTGTTTGCTGCAGGACCTGCAGGACCCTCAATTGCTCTTGGCGTCATTTCCGTCTGCGCAGGGCCCATGGTTGCTGTGGCGAGTAGTCGCAGCTCTCGTTCGTCAACAGCAGGCTCGGATGCAGTGTCTGGTCGCTGTACTGTACTATCCGGTTGGAGGCTCGAATGAGTGCGTTGAACCTGGAGGATGCTCGACGCAGACGACGAGTGTGTCAAGCTACCTCCACCAACACGCGGCGAAGCAGACAAAAGCGTGCTCGTCACCGATGGGCGATGCTCGTTTTGAGCACTCGTGTCCAGACTCAGCGGAGGCAGACGGAACGGGTCTTCTCTCTGCGGAGTGACAGACTCAGGTGGCGTGCGGAAGACATCGTTGCCTTTGAACGTGTCGCCTGTGGAAGGTCTACCCGGTGTTTGGAAGATCGTCGGGCTTTGCGGCGGACTCTTCACAATATTGGCCTTCGAAGAGCTCAGTCTTGACAGAACCTTCGGCTTCTCCTTCTTGGCCGACTCAGGCTCGTTCGGCGTCGCCTGCTCTTGTGCGAGCTTCTCCAAATCACTCGCGCTTAGTCCATCCAGCCTGACATCCATGGCCAGAATGTCGCGATGACATTTCATGCGCCAGATGTCCCGCCTCAGCCACTTGATCATGGCGTCCGCTCGGGCTGCCGCATGGATGACGTCCTCTCTCGTCTTCTGAGCAAGAGGCGCCAGTACCAGCAGATGTCGTGCGTTCCGGAGCATGTTTTCCAGCTGTCTGTTAGCATCTGTAATGTCCTTCTCGATCTCTGCAATCTTATGCACCATGATCTGCCTTCTTGCCGCCATGACCTGTCTCTGTAGTTGTGGAGTCAGTCCACGATTCTGTATTGTGATCTCGCCTGTTTGCGTCTGAATCGACCTGGTGGAGGCTGTGGACTCCAACCGTCGAACGTCTTTGTTCCGCAAGTCCTCTTCATTTCCGCCTACCATGCCTCGAATCCTGACACCGGCTGCACGAAATGCGGCTGCATAGTTGATCAGACCCAACCAATCCGTCAGTTCATGCTCATTATCGGCCAGCAAGACCTCTTCCTGGCCGCCTGGTCTAACGAAAGTGAAAGCATTCTTGTGTCGTGTGTAGGTAGAGTCCACAAGCGCAACTGCATTGTCTGTTTTGATGAGCGCGTCCGGCTTGAAGTCCTGTAGCGGAGGCTTGAAGACTACTGGTGTTCGAGGTTGCCCAGGTCGTTGATGCTGCATGAACTGATGCATGAGTCCTTTCGCCCAATGCGAGTTCTTGAACAAGTACAGCTGCGAGCCTGTGAGGATAGCACCCCATTCTTGCCATGGACTCCTCGCCTTCTTCTTTCTGGCAGACTTTCGCCACAATGTGCCTACTTTTGTGATCTTCAAATCCACAATGCCCTGCTGCGTCTCCATCGCAGTCGGGTTACCGTTGGCAAATTGGCTCTCGTAGGCAGCCGGTCTGGATCTCGCAGAAACGATTTGGAGAATGCCCGTATGCGTGAATGCCCTATTAAGGTATTGCGCATCCAGGTCACCCTGGCTTCCACGGTAGTCGTACGGATCATCGAGAAGAATGGTGTCCTTTAAAGCTGGTCTGAGAGTGTCAAGCTTCGACTCTACCAAGAGATTGTAGGGATCGAGCGGTCCTGAAGGTTTCTTGGTCACCACATCTGCGCCAGGGATGGCCGTCTTGAGTTTGTGGCCTGACTTCTTCGGCTTGAACGGCAGAACTTTCTGCCCGTTGATATCGACGTCCTCGTCAAAGTGTATGAAGGGAGTATAGCAGATGTTGTCGAAGAAGCAACTCAATATATCGTCGGAGAGCCCTTGGCCAGAAGTGTTCTTGATGTAGTCCTGCTTCTGCATCTTGTGCTTGTTGTTCTTGTTGAAGGCGTCCGTATGCAGCATCATGATGGAGAACGCAATAACATAAGCCTGATCTGAGTTGAGGAAGACGCCAGGGTTGCACTCGTGGTACCGATCTGCAAAGGCCTGGATCACGCGATCCACCTGTTGGGTCTCCTTGGGCAGCTCGGCTTCCAGCAGGAACTTTCTCAAAGACATGTCTATCGGTTCGCCAAAGAAGGCGAATCTTCTGGTATAGCTTCTGAGCACTGCGATCGCAAAAGAATCTCCAGACTTGGAAAGAATGCCAGCAATCACACTACGAGACACTGCCGATTCCAGTCGCTCCAGGTACTTGCCAGGGGTGTCGCCTTCTTCTCGTTCCGGTATCACGAGCGCCTCACGACTAATGGCAAACGAATTGGACTTGCTGTTGGTTCCAGGAGATCCATGACGAGGAGAATGAGGTTCAGAACCCTGGCGAAAGCGCGACAGTGTAAGGAATCCACCAAAGCTCGATCTTCCGGTCGTGGATGTGGAATTCCTCCCGCTGGCCGAAAGGGCTGGGGGTGTCTCGACATCGTGGGAACTTCTCCATGAGCTGTTGGTGGACGATCTGCCGCGCGTGCCTCGCCGCATTGGCGGCTGCAGTGGTGACGACGTGCAGGAATTCAGCGATCGTTCTGAGCTGGCGCGGAACAGATTCATGCCAGGCTCTGCAAAAGATAGCGAGCTCTTCGCCAACGCAGCATTTGGTGAAGGGGCTGATTGCGAATGGCCTCGAAACTTAACGGGGCTTGTTGCGGTATGCCGTCTTTGTAACGTGCCCTGAGGCCCCTGCTCATTCGTCGGCGTGCCCTGCTCCTCAGGCCTATTGGATTGTGTAGATGCGCGTGGTGTCGCCGGGCTTTGTTGGGCTTGCTGCTGCGATTGCTCGGGAGGTGGAAGCTTCACTGGCAGGGGGAATAGCGAGTTGCGGTTCTTATTGCGCCGGGGTAGTCTGAAGAAGGTAGTATGCGTGGATACGGTATGCGTCGTGGTGGTTGTTGAGCCGTAGATGTGGCCGTCCCCAGAACTGCCGTTGCTGCCATCTGAGCGGGACGATTCTGAAAAGCGAGGGTCAGCCAGCTGACCTACGGGAACAGCAAGTGCAGAGTTGGATTCGTCGCCGTATGAGGGAGGCGCCGACTGATTCTGGTTGGACTGGTTCTGGATGTGGTAGGTGGACATGCGATGCAAGTCTTCAAGCCCACTGTTCTTCCCTCTCCTCCATCGCAAAGACGTACTGCTCTTCTTTTCGGCCCTCTTCTCGTCGCTGCTCTTCCTGGGATCCTTGTGAGGCGACACGCGACCTCTAGATGACCCCCTCTTGAACAGGCCTGGGCGCGGCGTTCTCTGCTCCTCCACCTCGACATGTTGCGCCGGTGCATCTGCTGCATGGTCCATGGTGGGTGCTGTCTTGACAATGGTCGGCACCACGCCCTCTGCCGTCACCGCTGGTATGGGCGGCAGCTCCTCTTGGATCGGCTGGTCGTCCATTCGAGCCCTGGCAGCGAGGTGACTTTCACTGAAATTGCGGCGCAGGTTCATGAGGCTGAATCGCTTGGGCTGGGGAGCGGCATGGTGGTGATTTGGCGGGTCGTCAGGGATGTCGTCCGGGTGGAGCTCGTGCGAGAGGCGCGAAATGGAACGTGACGAAGGGCCATGTTCGCTCACGGGCCTGTGGTCGATATTTGGGTCGGCAGGCGCCAAATTGCTGGCGCTCTTGGGCCTCAAGGATGCGGTGTCGTGGTGATGCCTGCTGCTACTGTCGGGGGGTTTGGCGGGCGTGAGGTGCTGCATGCTCCGACGCTTCGACAGCAGCAAAGGCATGTCCTCCGCGTGCCGGGGGCATTGGGAGCAGAGGCGCGGGCGGCGATATAACCAGGACAGACAGGCGGGAGGGGTGGGTTGAGCGGTCTGGTCGAGTCGCAGGTGGGCGGACCCGGGAGAATGGTTGGACCTGTTGCGGACCCAAACGCGGTGGAGCAGCGAGTGTGGCTAACAATATGATGGTCCGCTGCCAGCCGATAAGGCGTGTAAGGCTGGCTGTGGCTGAAAGCAGCCAAGTGGTATCCGCAGGCAGGTTGTGGTCGAAACGCTCTCGGCCGTCCCGATCCAACACAGCAGCAACACGTTCACAAACAGCGGAGGGAGCAGTGAGGAAGATTCAAAACGTGTTTGACAGCCTCTCCTGACGGCCGCTGCTGTAGCGCTACCGAGGCGCTGCGTGAGAAAAGCTCAGGCTGGCTGGACTTGTGCCTGCGACGATCGCCTTCCTGACCGCACTCCCGTCCTTATACTGCACCCACAACAACCTACCCTCCGGCTCTCCGCAGCGACGAAAGCAATCCTGCCATCACAGCCATATCCTCTGCTTCCTACAGGCGCAGCGCTGGCCCGATGACGAGTCGAGGATCAAGTAAGACGGTCTCCAAAGCACCTCTTCCTTGTTCCTCTGCACAGCTGGAGTCTGCCCTCCGCGCGTCGCCAAGACGGGTCAGAAGAGAGTGGAGGAGAAAGTCTTCCGCGCATATACCCCAGGGCCATGATGGTTGAGCTTCGCCGGCATGCTGAGCCTAGATTCATCACGGTACTTGTCTACTTCCACAACCTGCGCGGGGCGTTTCATGTGAAAGAGTTCGAAAGGCAGACCGTTAGCGCCGAAGTTAGCTAAGCGGTCAATCATTTTGACCTCATCTCAATCAAAATGCGGCTGCCTCGACGAGTGATGGGATGCGTCTTCGCACGTCCATGTCCACCAGCGCCATCACATCAACCGCGTAAATCGTATGGAATCGCTATGGGGAGGAAGTGAATGGGAGTAGCAGAGATTTTGCACCTCCTTCTACAACACCCAGTGGCCAAACCTTTGACTCCAGCTACTGCAGCCAATCGTAGAGACGGACTGCTGCTGTCGTGTGCTCAAGCAGAGCTTGTGAAGGTCCCGTACCTTAGGCAGCACATTTCCTCCTCTTGCTCACTTCCACTTGCACAGCTTGCCTTCTCACAGTCAACCGGGCCAGACGGCCATAATGAAGTACCATTCTGCACTCCTGGCGCTGCCCTGCGCGCTCGTCGCCGCCGTTCCTTCACCAGCCCAGCAATCACCCCTCCAGAACTTTATCGCCGACCAACAACCCCAATCCTCGCGATGGCGCCTCTTCGATAATCTGGTCGACTCGGTCTGGCCATCTCGGAAACACAAATGCCACGACTCGACGCGTCCCAAGATTGATCTCCCGCCCCCAGCACATACGTTTGCAAGATATGGCGAGGATTTGGTACTGCGGTTCAACATCAGTGCGCACAATGAGGCGGCGAGTCTGGCAGAGGCGGCGGATACTTTGATGCTGGACATCTGGGAGTTCTCGCAAGACTGGGTCGACATCAGGTTATCGAAGGAAACTGTGCCCCTTCTGCTCGGCCTGCTGCCTGCAAGCCTTCAACATTCACATGCCCCACTGCTGCAAGAAAAGGCGCTCGCACAAGCTATACATGACAACTATCCTCATCGAACGGGCGAGCAGAGCAAGACACAATCTCCTGCACATCTTCCCACGCGCAAGCCATTCGGCCCAGACCTCGAGCCAGCCGTGACCGGTGCCGAGACCAACATATTCTTCGCGGACTACCAGCCATTGACGGTGATTGAACCATGGCTGCGTCTGCTCTCTTCTCTCTTCACTACACATGTCCGGCACATCAATATCGGCCTGTCATATGAGGGACGAAACATCCCAGGACTTCGCGTCGGCGTACATCCCACCAACGCCGAAGACCCCAACCCACCCAAACGCAAGACGATCGTCGTAGTCGGCTCCCTCCATGCTCGCGAATGGATCAGCACGACTACAGTCAACTACATTGCCTACTCCCTGATCACAGGCTACGGTAAAGTCACTGGCATAGAAAGCCTCCTCCGAACCTTTGACTTCGTCTTCATCCCGACCTTGAACCCAGATGGTTACGTATACACATGGGAAACCGACCGTCTCTGGCGCAAGAATCGCCAACGGACCGGCAACCGCTTCTGCAACGGCATCGACCTCGACCGCGGCTTCGGCTTCGAATGGACCTCCAGCGAAAGCCCCTGCTCAGAGTCGTACTCGGGCGACGAACCCTTCGAAGCCGTCGAAGCACGCGCCTTCGCCGACTGGGCCAAAAACGAGACGGAAAACAACAACGTCGACTTTGTCGGCTTCCTCGACCTCCACTCCTACTCCCAGGAGATCCTCTACCCGTACAGCTACTCCTGCAGCGACACGCCCCCCGGCCTCGAGAACTTGGAAGAAGTCGCCTTCGGCCTCGGCAAAGCCATCCGCACCTCGAGCGTCCACGGCCACGCCTACGAAATCATGCCCGCGTGCGAAGGCAACGTCGCATACACATCCAACAAGAAGCACCAGCTCACGCCGCGCCTCGAGCCCTCAGGCGGCTCGGCGCTCGACTACTTCTACCACGAAATGGGCGTCCGATACGCTTACCAGCTCAAACTCCGCGATCGTGGAACGTATGGGTTCTTGCTCCCCAAGGAGAACATCATCCCCACCGGCAAGGAGATCTTGAATGCAGTCCTGTACTTTGGCGCGTTTCTGGGCGAGTTGTACGATCGGGATGCCAAGGAGGTCAAGCTCACCAAGCCTGAGATGGAGGAGGACGAGGCAGTGAATGTACCTCCAAAGCTCGATGTGCTGGACGACTACGAACACGAGGGTCTTGAAGACGACGAGGACGACTGGGTCACAGTCAAAGACTTAGACCCCGACGACGTGAACTGGGAGCTAAGGCGGCGGAGAAGGAGGTGATCGACTTTCAACCACATCCCTATCTTCTTGTGATGCTTCTATTTCCTTCTTGACGATATGTCGGCCTTTGTTTTTCTTCTTCTTCTTCTTCTTCTTCTTCTTCAGTGTCCTTTAGCGTTCTTAGCCAGCTAGATTGAATCCCAATGAATGAGCGAAAAGCTTTTTTTCGAAGAACTTGACAAGAACGCTAGGTAGACAATCTCGATATTCGGCTGCTCTCAGCTGGGGAAAGTGAGCACATCATAGCGTATTGAAGACCAGTTGTTGTCGAGAGCATGGGAGGAGACAATGTGGGCGGCTTCGGCGAGTCACATCTCAATATCATCATATTCTCCTGGTCTTGACAACTCGAGACCTTCCTTTCTTCAGTGCCATCAATTGTTCGGCCCCTGAAGTCCTGGCTGTTGAGTGAGTTGATTCATTTGCAACCTTCGAAAGCTTCAACAATTCCCCACGTGACGATGTGACGTATCCTGCTGCAGAGATGAAACTTGAAGCCGTCAGAAAAATGCTGGACAGACGTGCGTGACTGGTGCAACAAAAAGAAGAAATGACACCCGTTAAAGCTCAGTGCTGTCCTATTTCGAAATGCCCTCCCATTTCCTGCCGGATAGGAAAAAGGTAATAGGAAAACCCCTCAAAAGACACACACGCTCATCATCAAAACTGCTGGCTTCTCGCTTGCTCGCTCGTCTCGTGGAGCACAGAAACATGGTGTATCATCCGCATGACTCGCCCGTAATGGTGCCCCGGGAGAAAGATCTCATCGTGTTGCTCGTGATGATGTGTAGTTGCTGCTGCCGCTTGATCACCACTTCTGTCTTGCTGCAGAAGGTCCGCTCTTGCGCTGGCGCTCATTCTCGTCATAGCGGCGCAAGGCTGCCTCTGCATCGACGCTGCAATTTTTCTACTTTTGCATCATCAATTGCACGAACTCGTTGTCTGTAAGAAATGGTTAGCGAGGTAGAAGAGGTAGGGCAGCATAGCCCACATACAATCAATCCTTCCGTCACCATCCTGGTCAGCCTCCCGAATCATCTCATCGACCTCATCGTCCGTCAACTTCTCGCCAATGCTGGTCATGACGTGTCTCAGCTCAGCGGCGGAGATGAAGCCGTTGTTGTCGCGGTCGAAGACCTTGAAGGCCTCGCGAATCTCCTCTTCAGAGTCCGTGTCCTTCATCTTGCGAGCCATCATGGTGAGGAACTCGGGGAAGTCGATGGTGCCGTTGTTGTCCGCATCGACCTCATTGATCATGTCCTGAAGCTCAGATTCGGAGGGGTTCTGACCGAGCGAGCGCATTACGGTGCCGAGCTCTTTCGTGGTGATTTGGCCTGTGATGGACAGGTCAGTCGCGTTCATGAGCGCAGTATCCTAAGGGTCAAATCGCACCATCGCCGTCCTTGTCCTGTAGTCTTTCGTCAGCCTTGCGAGGGCGTAAGGAGTTAGGCAGCACTTACGAAGAGGGAGAATGCCTCCTTGAACTCAGAGACTTGCTCCTCGGTCAATGAGTCTGCCTGTGATCGGTATCAGCCAGTGCCGTGATTTGGTCGCGACACCAATGTGGTCGGCATGGAATGTTTCGCGGAAACAAGTAGTCAAGTAGGCGGGGTATAGGCAATCAGTCGTACCATGGTTGCTGTGAGTTGGTGCGGTAGTCAAAGGGTTGTCGTAGGTGGGCGACCGCGGTGGGTGGTAGTCCAAGATATGCCGGTCGGCAGTGGTGATTTTCAGAGGATTGTGGTGTGGTGGTGTAGGCAGAGTGAGGTCAACAAGCCGTGCAGAGCAGTGGCAGCTGAAGGGGAAAGTGGGCGAGTTCCGCAGAAACAAGCCTCGCAACTCGTTTGGCGGAAGGGTCTACCCGACGCGTGCTGCGTTTAGTGGTGGTCACGCTGGCCACGCACATGTCTGCGACGTACGTCAATAGCTTCACCCTGCCATCTGCCACGCTTCCGCCTACTGAGTCGCGCTCGTCACGCCTTATTCGATTGACACGACAGCAATTACCACCGCAATTAAAGCTACCTTCCGCGAGGGCCTTTTGTCCGCTTATTACCCTCAATAGCGCATATCAAGGACCTCACCTTCCACGAGCCACAGTCACGCGCGAGACATGAAGGCCGCGAGGCTTAGTGGAAGACAGCTATAGCATGAGCGTCGCTGGGAGGCGGGAAAATGTCCAGCGCGGTCGCTCTGGGCGCATGGAGAGACAGGACTAATCTGTATGTACCACTCCTCCTTACAACAACCAATATCACGGTGCTAATCTACCGCAGCTTCATATCATATCGTCAAAGCTACACCCACCATCCAGCAAAGCGCACGCGATTCACCGGTCCCAGCAATGGCCGCTTTACAGATGAGCCCACCGACTCGGAGCGGGCGGGGCTCATGTCGAACGTCGAGGCTGATGGCGATGCGGTAATAGAGATGGATGTGCTGCCTCCACGGTGGCTGGATATCCAGGACGAGATTGATCAACACTTGGCGGATATTGCAAGCAAGATGAAGAAGCTGGACCAGATGCATGCGAAACACGTGTTACCTGGCTTCGACGACGAAAGTGTAAAGGCCAGGGAAGAGAGGGAGATTGAGGCACTGACACAGGACATCACCAAGAGCTTTACTATGTGCCAAAAGGCTATACGAAGGATCGATCATTTGGTACGAGAACAGCAGCAGCATAGCGGTGGGAATATATCGCAGGCGGACGAGACCATGGCGAGGAATTTGAAGATGAGCTTGGCATCAAGGGTGGGAGACGTGAGCACGTTGTTCAGGAAGAAGCAGTCCGCATACATGAAAAAGCTGCGACAGTTAGGAGGCATGTCGAGCCCGCTTGACCGGTCTGGCACGCCAATGGCGCAGAACCCATACACGGACCCGGCCATGATGGATTCAGAAACCGATCGTTCATCCGCCCAATCCACGCTCCTGCAGACCGCGCAAGTACGACAACGGCAAAGGGGTGTCATGGATTCTGCAATCGAGCAACGAGAACGAGAGATTGAGAAGATTGCACAAGGTGTCATCGATCTGTCCAATATGTTCCAGGAACTGCAGACCATGGTGATCGATCAGGGCACAGTACTGGACCGAATCGACTACAACGTTGAACGAACACACGAGCACGTCAAGGAAGCCGACAAGGAGCTCAAAGTTGCCACTGGTTACCAACGCAGAAGCACGAAGCGCAAGATACTATTCTTGCTATTCTTGATCGTCATTGGCATGTTCATTCTTCTATTGGTGAAGCCGAAGCGAAGCAGCCAGCCAGCTCCAGCCCAACCGCCTGTAGAGGCGCCCATCCCAAACGATCCAGGGGCAGCTCTACCACCACAGCTTAGGAAAACACTCAACTTGCCAGATGCAGCTCCTCGCGAAGGAATGGAAAGGAGGCATGTCGAATGGAAGAAAAGACGGAGGCGAGCAAATACCCCGTGTGCGATGTCGTAGTCGTGACTTCTACCATTCTATAGATACCCATTTACTGCCAAGTTTGAGGCCTTGCCAACAGTGTATACCATCCCACTAATGCCCGTCTATTCGCCTCACATGTTCGAGAAGCCAGTGGCGTGGTCAATATGGCAATGGATCCACATGGTGCCAGCGATTCGGAGACTTCGGGAGCGCGAAGCTGTTCGCCAGCTCGACGTCACTCTGCACCCTGACCAAACCATTGACAAACTGCACGTACTGCGACGACAGGTCGAGGCAAAAAAACGTAGGTCTCTCATTTTGAACAGCTTTCTTCTCCCTTCATTCATATTCTCGTCCACGGAAAGCCCTCCTCTCAAATTCTCTGACCTCCACTTCGTCCTCCAAGATGCCCCGAATCATCCTCGCCATCAACGCGGGCAGCTCCTCAGTCAAAGTCTCTGTATACGATGCATCTGCGTCAGAAGAACCCAAAGAACTGGCCGGCATCCAAGTCTCCGGCCTCACCGCGCCTCCCGCAACGCTCAAATACGACCGCGGCGACGAACACATCAAATCCCAAGAACTGCAGGACGTCAAAGGCCAAGAAGGCGCCTTCGACTACATCCTCAAACACCTAACCGAAGACTCCGGCCTCGACGCCTTGAACCACCCCGACGACATCGAATTCGCCTGCCACCGCATCGTCCACGGCGGCAACTACGACAAACCCGTCCGCATCGACCGCGACACCTACCACCACCTAGAGAAACTCTCAGACCTCGCCCCACTGCACAACGCCGGCGCCCTCACCATCGTCAAAGCCGTCCACGACAAGTGCCCCAAAGCCTCCAACATCGCCTTCTTCGACTCCGCCTTCCACGCCACCATCTCCGTGCCCGCACGAACCTACGCCATCGACCAAACCATCGCGACCCGCAACGGCCTGCGCAAATATGGCTTCCACGGCCTCTCCTACGCCTTCATCACCCGCTCCGTCGCCGCACAACTCGCCAAACCGACCTCCCAAACCAACATCATCGCCCTGCACCTCGGCTCCGGCGCCTCCGCCTGCTGCATCCAAAACGGCGAGTCCGAGGACACATCCATGGGCCTGACGCCCCTCGCGGGCCTCCCAGGCGCCACGCGCTCCGGCGACGTCGACCCCTCCCTCATCTTCCACTTCACGCACGACGCCGGGAAACTCTCCCCGTCCTCCACCAAGGACATGTCCATCACGACCGCCGAAGAAATCCTCAACAAGAAATCCGGCTGGCAGGTCCTGACGGGGACCACCGACTTCGGCGTCATCTCCTCCAAAGCGGCGCAGGGCGATGAGAAGTGCAAACTCGCCTTCGACATCCTCGTCGATCGCCTTATAGGTTTCGTCGGCAGCTATTATCTGAAACTAGGCGGGGACGTCGACGCGCTGGTTTTCGCGGGCGGGATGGGCGAGAAGGGCGCGGCGTTGCGGAGGGCGGTGGTGGAGAAGGCGAGGTGTTTGGGGTTTGAGCTGGATGAGGGGAAGAATGAGAAGCCGGGGGAGGGGGTTGTGGTGAGTATCGGGAAGGAAGGGAGTAGGCATGGGATTCTGGTGTGTGCGACGGATGAGCAGGTGGAGATGGCGACGCAGTGTGCGAGGGATGCGGAGCAGCTCAAGGGGTCGGAGTGAGGATCTGGGAGAAGTTCGAGGTGGGAGTTGGGGAGTATATCGGTGGGCAGTTGGTCGAGGCGGGACGCGATCTTCTTTCTCAGAAAGGGGGTATATTTGCCTCGGAGAACAGAATCACGAGCACAGAACATCACGACAGATACGAAAAGAACCAGTTCCAAACGTTTCAGACATTATCAATAACCGAGACCTCTCTCATTGCCCCAAAAGCTACCTCTACCACACCCCAACCCCGACAATCAAGACCTACTAAACCTCTTCTTAACCGCAATCCCCGGACTCCCCATCATCTCAAACGTCTCCGTCCACCGCTGCCGACTCAACCGCGGACTCTCCACATTCACCATATTATTCTCCTGTCCACGGCCCTGCCCCTCTTGCGGCTCCATATAATAATGCCCGTCATCATTATTTAGCTTCCAGTTCAGTGCGAACTGCTCCCCGGCAGGACCGCATCCACAACTGCCGGAAAGACCCGCGGAAGGGGGACTGTTCACCGCGAGGGCGAAGAGGCTTGTGGGCTCGCTGAAGTCCGAGTACCAGTCCTTGTGCCAGAGGAAGTAGACGAGGATCATGACGTTCATGATGCAGACGCCGAAGAGGACGACGAAGAAGGCCTTTTCGTAGGGCTGCACGCCGCCGCTGGCGTATTGCTGGGAGCGGATGGTGGCGTTGAACCATTGCGGTTGCGAGTCGATGTTGGGGAGGGTGTAGTTCCAGGCTCGGCCGACGAAGGGGGAGTCTTTGATGCTTTGGATGAGAGTGTCTCCTGCTTGCACGGCGATGGCCTCAGCGAGGGAGGGAAGTCCGTAGCTCAAGTTTGCCGATGTGAGGATCAGCTGGGTGAGGGTTCGGGCGTTGGCTGAGTCTCCGTCTCGCATTCCGTCGTTGTAGCTTAGGCCTGTCATGTTCGGTCAATTGTCTGCTGGTGTCTGTAATACGGGCTGAATACTCACTTCTGGCCCACTCCCCTCCAATGTTGGGCCATTCCTTACTGAAAGCGGCGCGACCTTGAAGCTTCAAATCCTCCTCGCCCGCATGAAGTAGGTACCGCATCTGATCATTATCATCCTCACAATGAGCTTCCAATGCTCCGCCGCTCGAGCTGGCGTTGTAGCTCGTGGAGCAATTCATCGTCAGCCCAACTTGAAGTTGGCACATGGCATAGTTGAATGCGTTTCCGTCAGAATCCTCCATTGCATTTCCGAGAGAGTCGGTAGGGCCTCCCTTACCCAAAACGTAAATGGATGTCCGACCCCATGGCATGCCGTCTGTGCCGTTGAGAATGATGTTGTAATCCTTGGGTAGCCTTGGAAATACCGGAGGAACGTTGTACTTGCCATAAGCCAGGCCCCAACCAAAGGTGTCGTCAAATTGTGTGCCGTTCGGGTAATCCGTACTATTAAGATACGGATAGGCAAACTCATCCGTATAGATCAGATGGTCGTTCCAGTTCGTATCATTGCTATTGAAGGCTTTTGACTTGTTCTCCCAAAGATCGTACACAAAAGGCTTCAGGTCTGCGTTGGTCATGGTCACACAGAGGCTGGAGTTTGATGTCAGCAACGAAGAAAGTATGGCAACAAGTCAGCAATTGCTACACGTACACATTGAGCATGGGACTGGGGACCGACGCGCGAATGTTGTAGATGGCTCCTTCCACTTCCGAGGGTTGCACAATCTGGTTGACGGTATCCTGCGCTGCTTGGATGACACCAACATGTGGCATGGCCATGGTGACATTGTTGATCCACCGCGTACTGTTGACTGCGGTCACATTTTGTCTTTCAATCCACGGTGCCGCAATCGTGGTGTTGTCGGCGTAGAGAGCATACCCTGGTGGCCTGTCGCCAAGATCGATGCTGCTATTACCAATTCCCAATACTGTTGTCCATGTCTGTAGCCAGCTGAAGTAGTTGTGGTATGCAGCCGAAGCATGTTCAATTTGAAGACAGGTCAAGCTGGCGTTAGTATCATCCTTGTAGATCAGGTTATTGGGTAGAACGCATTCGTTCTTCACCTCAACAGAGTTGGCAAAACTCATCTTGACTATTCCCTGCATCACTTGATGCTGCCAGTCCGGAAATCTGAGCTGGGGCTGAACTAAAGCCGTTGCTGCCGTCGTGTATAGGAGGGCGAAAAGGGCGGCCAAAAGAGATGTGGCGCCGAGGAAAGTGATGCCAGCATATCGTACGCTCTCCCATTGTGTGAACAGTGTGCCGGGCTGCATGACCCAGGTTCGCATGCTCAGTTCTGCCAAGGTGATGCCGCGTATAGTCTCGAGTTTGAAGGCCCTCCGAGCGAGAGCCTGTCCGATAAAGGACACTATCACCGTCACGAAGGACAGTTCTATCAGTCTCGCGAACAGCGACGTCAAGAAAGCTGCAGACGCAGGAGTTAATGAACCACCCTCTGCTCGAATTCTTCTTCCGTAGAATGGGCCGTACAACGCGATTCCGAGAAAGATGCCCGAAAAAGCGGTAGAGAAGATGGCCAGGGTCAAGATCGTGACCGAAACACAATTGCCCAGTCGTCGGTGTTTCACGGCTCTCGCACTCTGACAGTTATGGTGAGGTTCGAAGTCTTCGTATCTTGACTTCACTGAGAGCAGTCCTGCATCAGATCTGGCATATAGCGACGGCGGCAGAGTCGATTGCAGTGATGTCCGGGAGTCTTTGTGCTTTGCTCCTCGGTATGTCGTATCAAAGTCGCCAAACGACGTGTCAGCTCTCGTGCTGCCGGAGAGACCGCCAGTGGATGGTGGCGATGCCATTGGTCTTCTTTCGTCCGTTCCGGACTTTTGGTTTGGAGTCGAAAAATCATTCGATAAGGGTGAACTGACTCGTGGAGATCTTGAGTTTGTTCCTGGGGGCAGAGCGATGCCTAAGCCATGGCTGCGGCCGACACCTTCATGTGAAGATGCCGGCGCAGTCTCGTCTTCTCCCGGACTATCCGTGATGTCTCGCGCCAGAGACTCTTCGTTGAAAGACACCGATACTGATGGCACTCGCGCGTATCCAGGCCGATGTCGAGTGGTGAATTGCTGTGCCGGACTTGGGGTGCTCGTTGATGGGGCCGTCATTGGAGAATCATCTTTCAGAAGGCCTCTCCTCTCAGGAGTAGACATTGTTTGTCTTGATAGCGATCGTGTGATAGGCCGTGCCACTGATTGCGTCAACGCATGCAAGTATCCGAGTTGACCACAAGGCGACTTGCGGATAGGTGCAGATCAGTGGAACGCGAACAAGTGAAGTGACGGTTGATGCGAAACGCAAGGGTAAAGGCGACGTTCAGCGTTAGGAAAGGCTGTCGGATGAGTAGCAGAAACGCTACCAGCTATCTGTCGCGCAATTGGCGATATCTCAGAGCCTCACGCACACCACTGCACATGTAGTGGCGTGGATGCTTGCAGCTCCAAGAAGGCCAGATCGACAGCCCGAGGACAGATCCAGTAGAATTGTGGCTCCAGTGGTACTCGAAAGAGAGACACTTGGCCAGCGCGGGTCGGAATTTCACTCTATGTTGGCGGCGATTGAACCACGCATGCTTTCACTGCAACACACCTGGCCAGTCCAATGGCGGTGGTGCCACAGCTGCACGAGGAGCAGAAAGGCTGCAGCTCGCTTCAAGGTCCTCGATCTGGGTGATTGCCCGGCTCGACGAGAGTTTTGTAATTGTTCTCAGAGTATGTCGTACGAGGCCGCGAAACTGCTTCAGGATAAAATATCGAAGGGGAAGCAGCCTGAAACACAAGTACGATATCGTGAAGACATGATGCGACTTGACCGCCGCAGACAACACCGCTCCGAGTTGGGGGCTGGGCAGCTGAAAGGCACTAAAAGCGCCACCGCCAATAACTTCATCTTGCGAGGAGCGCTCGTGCAGCTGGTCCTGGGGCCAAATCGCAGGGAGGTGAAGTGATGTGCGGCTGTAGTCCGGATAGCGTCGATTGATGTAGGGTTTGAGTGAAAGGAGTTGGAGACAATGTGGGCCTCCCGGCTGACGATTGCGGAAGGAACTTCGGCAGCTCCCAGCCACAAGATTTACAACATCCTCGCTTGCTATTTCTATCTCATGTCTAACCAGATCCATCCTTCCTTTTGCATACTGAAGACATTGGCACGACTCCACAAGCTGTGAACAGCACGCTGCATTCTTACAATGATCAAAACCCAGACTTGAGCTCTTCCACGCCAGGACGAATGCTGCTTCTCCAACTCATAGTGCTTGCTTCCCTATCGCATGACAAGATACGTCTTTCCTGAACTCCACTCACGGCAACGACGACATCGCTACAGGTAGGAGCCGGCCATGTGCCAACTTTCCACCGATCTTTCATCGCCACGTTTTGTTCTCTCCTCAACACACCAAACAAACAGCAACACATCACAGATCTCCCCTCCAAACAAGGCCTAAAAGCCATCAGTTCTCAAACTCAAACCCCTCATACCAACCAAACCCACCCAAAAGATCAACCCTCACAAACCCACAATGGGCCACCTAATCGACACCCTCAAAGAAAAAATCCACCACCACTCCGACCCAGCAGCCCACACGACCAAACCCCCCATCACCCAACACAACGCCACCTCCTCCCCGCAAGACTCCGCCATCGCGACCCACAACTTCGCCCGCAACACCAAATCCCTCCCCGCCGTCACCTGGGACGACGGCCTCGCGGCCGATGCCACCGCCTACGCCCAGAAACTCGCCGACGAGGACAACATGCACCACTCGGGCGTGGAGGGCCAGGGCGAGAATCTGTATTGGAGCTCGGAGGGGAATGCGGAGCTTGCGGATGCGGTGCAGATGTGGTTGAAGGAGGGGGATAAGTATCATGGGGAGAAGATTGGGGAGGGGAATTTGAGTGATTGGGGCCATTATAGTGAGTTCCTTTCTGCTTTCTTTCTCTTATTTTGCCCTCTAGAGTGGTGCTGATGGGTTTTTGTTTCTCGTAGCTCAGGTCATGTGGAGTGGCTCGACGCATCTCGGTATGGGCAAGGCTCAGTCTAAGGCTGGAGGGACGTACATCGTCGCCAGGTATACGCCTCAAGGTCTGTTCTGCCCTGACCGATGCTGCTCACTATCATATTGACACATTCTCCAGGAAATATGTATGGAGAGAAGCCATACAGCTGAGTGGAAAGATTAAGCGCCCTGAGCAAACGAGGAGGACTGGTCGGATTTTTGAAGCCCTACAAAATCATCATCTCTATCCATCATGACCAAGGCCATGCAAGTCGAATCTACAACTCTAACCTATAGATAAAGAACACCTCACAACCTCCCCAGTCACTTCTCCCCCTTCAAATTCCTCCTCAACGCCTCAACCACCTCGCCGCTCAACCCACACTGCTTCCTCAAATACCCCTCCGCCCCACCAAACTCCCCCTCAATCATCTCCACCGTCGCCACCATATTCTCCCGCTTACTACTAACCATATTCCTCACCCCGTCCTCATTCCCCTCCAACGCCGGATTCTTCAACAACCGCTCGATGAACAGCGGTTTGAGATGTTCGAGCCCCAGATCCGTCAGGCTGTACTCGTCCGCGATGGCTTCCGTGTCCACCCCGGCGAGGAGGAAGAGCAAGGCGACGAGCACCCCCGTGCGGTCTTTGCCCGCTGTGCAGTGGATCAAGCAGGGCGTGGGGTTCGGTTGCGCGAGGTGCTTGAGAATCGCCGTGTACGCCGAGGGAGCCGCGAGGAGGATATCGTTGTATGCTTTGACGAACCCTTCACTGCCTGTCTTGGTGTAATGCTGGTACCTATCACGCACGCATCTCTCATTAATTTGCCCTCTCAAACACACAAGCACGATGGGCTAGGATAGTTTGATGAATCACTCACCTCAACCCCACCTGCTCCGGCCCATAATCACTCGCAGCAAAAACAGGAACCCACTTCCTCGTAATCCCATACTCGACATAAGGATCCTCCTTATCGACCTCCACGCCCGCCCATTCGGGCCCATCCCTCTGGATCTCCGGGGTGGATCTCAGATCAAAAATCACTTTGATTCCTGTTTAATCCCCAACCACGATTATCAGCCCGATACAATCTCCCAACATTGACAAAGGGGTGTGTATTGTTTTTGCAAGGGCGTCATAGACAGACCTTACCTAATCCCTCGCTCATCTTTTTCAGGCCGGCGGGCGTGGCTTTGGAGGGGTCGGCGGAGCGGTAGACGAGGCCGCGGCGGACGTGGGTGGTGTCGCCGATGTCGCGGAAGTTGGAGATGCCTTCGACGGGGATGAAGGGTGGAGAGGGGAGGGAGGAGGCCATTGTGAAGGATGTTGGGTTCGATGGGTAGAGTTGGGAGTGGTGTTGTTGGACTGCTTTTAAGAAGTGAAGTCGGCCGGCATTGGAGGAACCGAGGTCGCCGAACGAATGCCTCAGAGTGATCGATCCTACACGCGAGATTCTGGTGAATTAGATGATAACGATGAATCCGAAGAAGAAAAAGAGAGTCGTCATCAAGGGCCTAACTCTACAGTCTCATGAAGTGTAATGTACAACCCAATTTCCCCATTGTTCATCAAAGCCGTAGCAAGCGCCTAACAGCGACTCAGCTCAGTAGTCGTAGCGCTCACAGGCTATTTAGGTATCTCAGTCCCATCGGAAAACCCCCAAAGAAAATTCGTTTGTGACCATGCCTGAATCCTGTCGTACCCAGTGTCATGGTCTTCTCTCGTGAAATCGATTAGCAAAGCTTGGTATCGGTGAAAAGGTGTGGTTGCGGATGGAAGTGAAGGTTGCAGGATTTACCGCCATGGTCGCCTTGCTGTGGAGACGGCTTCTCTAAGGCTACCTCGACGCTTTGTCAGGCCCCTGGCGCTTTGAGTGTCGCTGTTGGCTTCAGCCGACTTCTTCACGCTGTTGCTGCGCGTGAAGATGGACCTCTTCTCCTTATCGGTCCTATCTGTCGCGGCGGGCGAGCGAGATCGGGCGGTGGCAGGCTCTGTCTTGGTCCTCGTTTGCAACGAAGGTCGTCGGGCTTCACGAGCGCTAGGTGGACGAGCGACAGTTGTGCCTGCGGAGCTTTTGAGGGGCCGATCAGCGCTATGGCTAGTCTTGGGTCTCCTGAGTTCAGCAGGCGGATTGTTGGCGAAAGTGGATGACGGTGCCGAAGTCAACGTTGGTAATGGAGGCTTCTCCCCTTGACTGTTGCTCAGTCGTCGGAATAGTCCTGCAGTCCTCTGGCTCAGAGACCTGCCTGGTGAAGGAGACGCACGAGAGCGCGTTGGTGACGCCAAGCCACTTGTCAGCCGAGCACCTTCCCGCGGCACTTCTGCCATTTCTTGAATAGGCTCGTTGGCGACGACTGTGCGGTTGCTGGACGATCCTGAATGAACGGAATGTGGGCTCGTGACGCTTTCATCGGACGCTCTTGCTGCTGGCGCCTTCTTCCCGCCGCTGACAATCCGACCGAGCGAGCTAAAGATGGTTGGACTCGTTTCAACTCGTCCAAGTCGGGGCTTCGTAGGGCTGCTGATAATTTGGTCGCTCGAACGTCGACGTTGCGGTGGTGAATGTGCGGTGACCGTTGGCGAAGTGTCATTCCCACCGAATGGCATTTCACCCACAGGCGGTCGTGCGTGTTTGAGGAACCTACTAGGTGTCCCCATAACGATCGACTTGCCGTCTGGGTAGCCATCATAGTCGAGAGATATATCCCTGATGATCTCTGACTGAGCATCTGCATCGTAGTCTTCGTCGGAATCGTCATCGTCATGAAGCTGACCGTCAAGGTTACCGTTGCGGTAGTGCAAGTTACTCGCAAACGCATGCCTTAATTCAACAGACGATCGCATCTGACGTGGTGCAGTGCGAAGCCCTGACTCTGGTCCACGCACAAGAGCTTCTTGTTTGATCGGTGCTGGGGTGGTGTCCAGCAGACTACGATCATCCGCGATATTGCTAGACCTAGATGCTCGTAACATGCGTGTACTTGCACTATCAGGGGTCGGTGGGAGCATCGGCTCGCCAAATATAGGCCCTGCGAAGCTTGTTGGTCGATGCTGTTGAACCGGCCGTTGCTTGCGAGCACGTGTTGCTGATTGTTTGCTCGTGCCTGGGTCTTGGAGTAGGTTGGGCGACTTCGCGGCTGCTGACACCAGAGCATCGTTCAACGATTGAGAATGATCATCTTGAACAGCAGTCCTGGAGGGTTGTGCACGGTCATCGACACCGTCGGCGAGGGGCGTGGAAAGATTGTTAGACTTTGACGGGGTCGCCTCTGTTGTGCCGTGCTCGGATATCCACTGGCTGACTCGTTTGATGCTGTGATGTCGACGGCGGTCTCGCGAATCCACAGCAGAATCTGGTGCAGCGTCATCGGCGGTGTCTTCCCATGGATAACGATCTGGGCTGGCCTGCTTTGGGCTGTAGATTGACGGAAAGCTGCTCTCGCTCAACACGCTGAGTCTTGGGGAGTTGAGAATGTCGTCGCCATCGTCCGTCCTCGCCTCTTGCTTTGACAGGAGCGACTGGAAGCTTTTCACGGGATGCAGCTTCTGGGCGCTTTCCATGTATACACTTCGAAGAGCGTTTGTGCTAGGTTTCTGTTGGCTCAGAATCGACGGCTCCCTCCTAGGCTTGGCCGGCGTCTGTCCATTCAGTAAACCTTGTAGCTTATGGGAAGCAGCAGAGGCCTGTACTGCAGGCCGGATATGTGGTGTCTTTGGATGCGCATTCAATTCTGGGGGTGAAGATGGTGGTTCGTGCTCCTGAGTCTCGGTGCCAGCATATCCAGAGTCGGCGTTGGCAGTAGAGGGCCTGGTCTGGCTGGTCCTCTCGTCGTATTCGGCCACTCGATCCTCCAAATCGCATATTATGTCCATAGCCTCCTCGACAGCCCTATCCCTTTTCTCCAGCTCCTCTACCAACTGCGAGTTGATGCGCAGCAACTCCTTGTGCTCGTGCTCAACCATCTGCGCCCGCTCCACCTGCTCCACCATCGATTCGATCTGTTGTTGCATGCGCAGTGTCTGTTGGCGACGGTGATCCAGCTCCATCTTGAGGTCAAAGTTCTGCTTGCTCAACTGGTCCATCTGATCGTCCATGTCCCTCAACCCAAGTGTGCGCCGCCTGCTAGCACTACCCGCATCCGAGGCGCGCGAACTGGCGACGACGGGTGAACTGTCGAACATCCTGTCCTTTCGACTCGCCTCTGCCTCGTTGAGGAAGATGTCATCGTCGCGACGCTTTTGGGGACCAAAGTCGGTGTGTCGGGCACGTTTGGGACGCGTGTTTCGCGCACGGCGTTCGTTCAAGCGGGCCTGCAAGTACTGCGACGCAGGCAAGACATTCTGCGGGCCACCGAGCGGGCTACGCTCGTCGTGGGTGGACATGTCTTTTCAGGAGCATGAGTGTTGCGGTGAAGGTGCGTCGCGGGCTGGCCAAGGCATTGGAGGAGGCGGCGCAGTTGGATAAACACGAGTGAATGCGGCGTTGGTGACGAAGTCGGCGATGTACAGTGATTGGCTTGGTGGGCGGTCGTGATTGTGCGACCCGGCCTTTGCGTGTTGATTCGTCGCGGGAGGAGCGGTGTTTCCACGCGTGCAGCCGGATTTCGTGTTGTGCACCAGCGTTTGCCGCCAGAACGCCCCCCCGCAGGTTCGTCGTCGCACAGGAGTGTGAGAGGGTCTTGGAGTGGGCGTCTGAAAGGAGAAGGCCAGGTGAAGTCGGCCAGGCGCCCGAAACACAGACAGCAGCAGCGACAAAGAACGAGGCAGGCCAACCCACGCAGCACGGCGCTCGCTCGCTCTTGTGCATGGCACGAGCCACAAGGTTGTTCAGACAACACCCCTGCAACCGTCCGGCATTAGCGCGTGGCCCACGGCGTCGGGACTCTCCCCACAACTCTAAAGTCCACTCCCACTCCTTGACTGCCGTCATGCTCGCCCTGAGATGAAACACCCTTTTGCTCGCTTTCATTCACTCACCATGCCGGCCACTCTCCTGGTCAAAGAACCAGATCCATCATATGACTAGGTCTCACCGGGCTGGCATCGGCACAGCACCCGGCTGCCTGCTGCTGGCCTGCTGCTGGCGGCCCAACACGACAGCGATGCCCGGCCTCTGCTGCAGCGGTGGAGAGCTAGCACAATGCCATCACACGGCCTGCAGCATTGGTGCTGTTCCTGCAGAGCCTGCTCACCTCTGGAAACGCCGGCCGCCTGCACCTGTCTGCCTCCGAGCAATGAAATCACTCCCTCCTGCGTGCTGCATACGCGCTTGTGCACCTTCGACTTCTCTTCTGCTTCTGCTTCCACCGCTCGCTTGCGCAACAAGCATGCATCGCAACTCTCAACTCTGCCGCCGCTCGATCGCTCGTGTCACCCGATAAATCGAGAGTTTGGTAGACGGTGATTGGTACTGCTCATACATCAGCGTCATCATAAGTGCAGTTTCAAAGTCAGCTTAGTTACGCCAACGACCACACCGCCATTCAGCGGATGGATAAGAATACATTGGCATGTGCAAAGCCGTTGAAGGACCGCATACTCGTGAAGTCACGTTGTTAGTCCAGGGGAAAGTCCTTTAAAGCTGGCTAAAGAGTAGGCATATCCCTGCTGTCAAAAACTTTCACTTGCTTCTTCCTTCACATGCCTACTCGCGGCCAACGGGACTCAACGATGCCTGAACTGCGGTGGGAGAAGTCAACACAGCAAGCCGTCTATCCTCCGCCGTTGACAAGAACCCAGACCTGGAATCAAAAGACGAGAAGACAAATCTGGAGGACTTCGAATTCGACCGTGGTACACCTCCCACGGACCGACCCAGCTCCCTTCGCAGTAGCTGCAACAGCACGAGCCGTCGAGCCCTCGCTGCCGAACCTACCAAACACCAGTTGGGCATTAATGGAAACCAATGTCGACTGACTTCATCGTAGCTAAATGCCGCCTCCTGCCTACACGCTATTGGACGTTTCGAAAAATGACCGCGTGCCGGCACTTAGCACATGGATAGCGCGTGTGATGCGTGTCTGCAACTCTGGTCGACATCATCTCCCTATATTGAATGGCGCTCTCACACGCGCTTTGTCACGCGTCTCTCTGGATGTATCCTCCGCCGTCGAGACCAACAAACACATGTCGTCGAAAGACGTATGCAAGTCGCTGACTCGCCTGCCGAAAGAACCGCTCCATCCCAATCTCCGCATTTGGGCGAACGACATCTCCTGCGCCTCAACAGCAGGAAAGCAATATATTCGTACCCAAGTTGGGATGGACAGGTACCGCCTGCAGGACGCGTTTCGAGGAAGTCCCTCCTACTGCCCACTCCCTGTCGGTGGCTTCCACCCAGCGATAACTTGGTCAAAGTTGATGATGTTCTGCGTACGAGTCAGTCTGACCCATTATTCAACCCACAACGGGCAAGTCCTTGCCACAGCATGTCAAATATGTCATGCCTTGGTTGACATGACCTAACTCACCCCATCGAGATCTACAAGGATAATCGTAAGTCTTGCGCCATAAATTTCCCAACAACTTCATTTAACGTTATACGGGCGGAGGGTCTTCTCTCACCTGTGACGGCGAAGTGCTTCAGACCCCACGCCTTGTGTGTCACTTCCGTCACGACTTTGGCGCCTTTCGTCTGGAGCACTTCAAAAAGCTTCTCGAGCTCATCTTCGTCGCCCGCGATCCGGATGTGAACTTTGCCAAAAGCCACATCGTCAGGAATATCTGGAAATGTCCTTCCTATAAGCAGGGTTTCAAACACCCTCTCGTCAGCATTCGACCCTTAAAATCACCTTCAAGCACGAGATGATACCCACTCCGCAAATAACAATTCACCTCCTCACTCAACCGCACCCAGCAATGATCATCTCCATCCCTCCCCGCCACGCGGAAACCTAGAATCTCGGTATAGTACTCGATGGCTCGCGGGACGGACGAGACGGGTAGCGAGGGCGTGATTTTGCGGAACGTCGGTGCCATTGGGTCGAGTGAGACAGCTGTCGAATTTCCGGGTTCGTGGGCCTTGTTCTGGACTTATAAGGTCGTTCGGTGCGTTTGGATGGTGCGTCGCTGGAGCAACGAGCCAGAGTGGGTGATGTGAGATCTCAGATGAGATGGGATGGGATGCGAGGTTTGATGTGTGGACTGTTGTCGTTAGGTCGGAAGATCTGGTCATCCGAGCGTCCGAGCTGGCCAGCACATGATGTTTTTCTTATGTGTTGGCTTGATTGTTGTTCTCGGGGTTTACGCGGAGCTGAAGCATGTATCCGCGACGAACAGGCGCGTGTAGCAGGAAAAGGCAGGTGTGATGGTGATTGTGCTTACTTGCGAGCTTGCTTGCTCGCCAGGGTTGTTCCGTACTAGGAGCTGAGTGCTTCGGAAGGTTATAGATTATGATTTGTACTGCTACATTCGAAAAATTCCTAGGTCAGGCGATTAAGTAGGGATCCTTAATACAGGTTTGGATTCTGCGTCCTGCAGTCCGGCGACCGCTTGAGTTGGAGTTGATCACTTGAAAAGATCGAGAGAGGTGTTCACATATCCGCACACAACCAGCAGCTCTACAATGTGTCCTCGCAATCCAGCGAATCCAGCAGCTACTCGATCAACAGAATAAACAGTAGCCCCGTCGACGACAACCCTCGGCCCTCTAAAAGAGACAATATGCCCTTCAGCAACAACCCACCCCAACAAATCAAAGCCGACTCCCCTTCACATTCTTCTCCCGATTCTCCTGCGCCGCCTTCAGAAGCGCATACATAGTCTGCAACCTAGGCATCTCCAACCCCTTCTCCCTCGCAATCCGAATCGGATTCCCCAAAATCACCTCCAACTCCATCCTCGCCCCCTTCTCCCAATCCAACCACATACTTGGCTTGCTCCCGCTGGAATTCCGCCTCGTCGAATTGAGGATCTGTTCGGCCGTCGCGAGTTTCGGGGGCAGTGGTTTGCCCAGGACTCTAGGGGCGGTTTCCAAAACCTCCTTCATCACGCCTGCGAGATGTCGCGAGAGCTCCGCGTCGAGCGACATTTCTTGGTTCCCTGAGCCTCCTGAGAGGACTGAGCTGGGGTTCATCGCGGCGTTGATGGCAATCTTATGCCACCGCACAAACTGCAACCCAGCATGATCATACGTCTCCGCGTCCTTAATCCCCACCTCGCGCAACAACCCCACAAGCTTCTCATTCCTCTCAACAACCCCCCGATCCCCAGCCTTCGCCCCCTCGCCCCCTCGATCCAAATGCGGCAAGTACGGCCCGATCGATATCCTCGTCCAGCGATTATGTGTGATGACCCCATGGCTCGGCTGCGCCGCACTGGCGATGGTGACGGCGCTCAACACTGCCGCGTGCGGGAACCGCTTCGCGTAGGGCTCCTCCACGCCGAGTCCGTTTTGCACCAGCACGATGCTCGTCCCCTCGCTGACCAGGCCCTCGAGAAGCGCACTATCGTCGCTCACGTCCGGGAGAGCTTTCGTCGCGACGAGGAGATAGTCCCATTTAATGCCCGCTTTGCGCGCGTCGTCCGGTGAGCTGAAGACGTACTCGGGCTTGAAGACTTGCTCGCCGTAGGTCGGCGATGTCACTTTGAAGCCATTGGCCTGCACGGCGCGGAAGTTGGAGCGGCAGAGGGCTGAGACGAGGGTGTTGGTTGCGAGGGAGAGGCGGGAGCCGTAGAAGGCTCCTATGGCGCCTGCGCCGACGATGAGGATTCGCGTGGGCATTTGTTGTTGATGCGGAAGGGCATTGTTTGTTGGAAAGTGTAGGTGGTGGTGTCGTGTGAGGTGGCGTTGGAGGGCTGGCCTCGGCAATTGTCGGGATGGACGACGGGCATCCTTGCGACTGTTACTCCCTTTCGACCTACGTTACGAGTATCTTTCTCTGAGAACAGAACATTGCACGAGGTCTAAACGACGACGCTTCGATCACATTACTAATCGTCGTATGAAGCGTTCCCTTAAATCTCGCTGGCGCCATATCTGTCGTCAACAAGGCCGGATAATCATTCAGGCACAAGCTCTCCCGTCGATCGCCAGAAATCGCATCGAATACCACGACCGCCCTCCCAACTATACGCATTGACTAATCTAAAGTCGTTGTTCGTCCCAGGTCCAGAACAGTAATATAAACCAGACGACTCATCTCCATCCGGTATCCTGTCACTCCCACAAGTCGTGTTGAAGTCCACCTGATAAGGGGCATGGATACTGAAAGGCGGCCATTCGACAGCCGGTCCAGCAGTGCTCGTAGATAAATTCTGTGATATGCTAACACCGATGTCCTCCTGTTGCGAGATGGACGGATTCGAATGCGTGATGAAGTTTCCGATCATTCTCTGGAAGGCGACTCTGAAATCGGACGTGTATGGCGGGTCGTCGAGAGGCAGGAAGATCGCACGCAAGTCATCTCCATGCAGTGCGGGCGCCACTGAGAACTGATACTTGTATGCTTGTCCACACATCTCGTTCTCGGAGAATGCCTCCGCCAGCCAGTAGCTGGGACAGACGAATGTTGTCTCTGCGTAAATATTCGCCGCACGTTGTTGTTGGCCTGTGGCAGCGGAAGATTGATTCAAGGCCGTCGTTCCATTGTTGCCGCTGGTTGCCCAGAGTGCGGCGTCTGGGTTGGTGGAGGCATTACTACTTGGGTAGTAATACAGCACCTTGGCGATGTCAATATTGCTGAAAAGCGGGAAAGCCGATCTCAGCCAGGCAACAAGGTTATCCTCAGTGAGTATATTCTGAGGCACAAAACCGGCTCCTTCGTTTGCATTATTACCCAAGAGGGCATTGACACCGTTAACATTACCACGTCCAAGTTGTCGACTGGGTAGGTCCTGGATGAAGACGCCATCGGTGACAGGCAGGAATGACCTTCGTATCGATCAGCTGTACGTTCCTGATGCAGCTCACGTTGACTTACCAAGACCCATACGCGCCAGACTGCGATATAGTAGCACTGGCGTTTATGAGTCGCTCCGAAGTAGCATTTTGCAAGCACTCAAAGATGGGCACACTGCCGTTCGCGCCGTAAGGCCTCTTCGCAGCGCAGCCAGCCTCGGCGGCAAAGGCGTAGTAAGTCTGTGACGGCTGCCAGTCTTTGTACCCATATTGCATCTACTCGATAGTTAGCTGGATGAGCCAGTGTACAGAGGGTTGATACTCACAGGCAGATATGGACTCGCCGCAATGCTGTTTCTGAACAATATTGTTCCTAACGTGCCACCGTATGCCATGGTCTGGAGCATGACAGATCCTGCGCCTGCACTTTCGCCCATGATGGTGACTTTGTCGGGGTCACCACCAAAAACATGGATACTGCGATCAGTCGTCAACATTCTGGTCAAAATCGTGAATACGCTTTGACGTACTACTGCTGCACCCATTGGAGCGCCATTGTCTGATCGAGTATGCCAGCATTGACAACACCATTTCGAAATACTTCGTCCGATGAGAGGAACCCAAAAGCACCCAGCTGAGCATGGTGAGCAGTCGCTTCTTGTGAGGCTGATCGGCAAGATACTCACTCGATACTGTATCGCTACGGCGACAAACGTGTTGTTGTTAGTGCTCACAATTGTATCCAGTGAAACCGTAGCAGCACTGCCTTCGCCATAACCTGGGCGCTTTTAGTGACTTAAGCCTCAAATGACTGAATACCTGACTGACCCCCTCCATGGATCCAAACCAACACCGGTAGACGGTCCAAGACAGTATTCGGACTCCACACGTTCAGGAATAGACAGTCCTCTGACGATCCAGTCTGATCGGTTGACAGGATGTTATAGCTTCCAGCATAACCTTGTGGGCACTGTGACGGAGGTTCCAAAGCTTCAATCGTATCGCTGCGGTTCACGAGGGGTGCACGAGGGGCTTGCCACCGCAGCTTGCCCACAGGTGCTTGTGCATATCGAATGCTGTATATGTATGTCAGTGAAGAGTGAAACTCAAGTAGCTCCCGACACTCACCCGAGGAAGACATTATGATTTGTGGTGGAGTTGAATATGCCTCGATAAATACTGTACCATAAGTCGACCTCGATCGGAGAAGTATCGTTGCCTCGGGCGCCATTGTCCTGTCTCGAGCGGATACCGTAGGAATATGGAGCCGCGTTGTACGCTGGCGGGTTCCCAGCCACCAAGGACGCGGCGAACAGAAGACTGAACAACATCGAGAGCATGCAGAATCGCACTTACATGCCAATTTCCTCGAGAATATGAGCAGGACAACTCATATACAACAAGCTCCAGGGAGCAGAGGCAGCGGGTTGCCGTGCCGTACAGGACGCCAAAACCTCTCTGGACCGGTTGTGATTCGCGCGGGATGGCTTCCTGAGGCCGTCTCTGGCTGCATAAACCATAAAACGGTCGCCAACGGGGCCGCCACTCGTAGAGTAGTGCATTCCGAGTCCGACTCAGGACTCGCGGCGCATATTGCCAGCACGATCATGTTGTTGATTCAATCTGATAGTAAAAGAGGGAGGATCTTGTGTTGATGGAAGGACGCTGACGGTTTTGTGCAAGAGACGGAGAACGGAAGGCGGGAAATGAACGGCAAGGGCGAACAGACCAGCTTGTGATCCTGGCTCTCGTTGTCTTTCTGACCTCCCGTCGTCTGGACTTCACAGCACAACAAATCTTCGTACCCCTCAATCGTTTCCGAACTGGCACAAATGCAAGGTCACCGCAGCTGTAACGTGAACGCCGCGACGGCACTCAATCCTGACCCGATACTTGCGAATCAGGCTCCTTCTGCATCATAACAAACTGCCACCGACAGTCCAAGATCCAGAAAAGTAAATATTCATCGCGAGAGTGGCTGAGACCATTAACTAATTGTAGACCTTCGCCTTGAGCCCCGGAATAATCTCCAATGCCTTATCCGTATACTCATACTTGGACCCATCAATCTTCGGCGCCTCCGTCCGACGCTGCTGCTGAGACTGGCGCACCTTGACCCACTCCTCCATGGTGAGATGCTGGCCGAGTTTGGTGAAGTCATTCTCCTCGAGACCAAGACGCTTCAAGAGAGGGCTGTTATTGATCGGGTCCAGGACCACGTGGTTGTTGGGTCTGGCGAAGTACAAAACACCCAAGCGATCAATGTGTGCCTGGTCATCTGGCGGGCTCCTCACGCGGTGGACGCTCGACTTCAAGTACCCGCCCGTCAACGCCGCCAACGCATCGCAGATGTTGATCGTGATTGTCTCGTCCTGAGGCTTCACCCACTTCCACTCCTCCTTGGAGTTCAAGATCTGCAACGCAGCGACGGGTTGACGGAATAGGAGAGTGATCGAACCGAGATCCGTGTGGCCTGGCGTATACAGCTCGCCGACCAGACGGTTCTCCTCGGGTGAGCGAGCCTTGTAGTGCATGTACCGGAGGTGGTCTTCGCCATTGTCGTCGTAGACGTGGTCTTTGACGAGCTGCTCCTCGTCAGGTAGCTCGAGCATGATGGCGAAGAGCCGGAGGAGCTTGTTCACGACGAGGTCGTGGCATTTACGGCTGAAAGCTTCGATTTCCTTGATGTGGCCTTTGAGCACTGGTGGCTGGGCGCGCTCATGGTGGCCGTCGACTGCGATTGAGAAGGTCAGTATCTGCAATTTGAATGAGACGATGTGTAGACTTACACTTTGGCAGATTGTAGACTTGGATGTTATCCTTGATATCAGCAGTAAGCCTACGCCTGAGTTAGCCACCCCTCGCCCACAGTCAACAAAGTTCTGATCGCCACTCACTGTCTCAACCCGGCTGGCCTGTACCCATTGTATTCCCCGCGATGCAAGTCCTCCAAGTTGTGATACTTCAACTTCTCCTCCAACGGCAACTCATAGAACTCCCGCCCGAGCGCAAACTGACGATCAACCTCCTCCTGGGGGATGCCAAAGTTCTTCACATAGAAGAAGCCAACATGTTGCGCCGCGTAGGTCAACTGATCCGCGAGGGTTTGCTTGCCGCCCGGCGTGTCGAACGTAGACAGATCGAGAGTGACGAGCTCAGCCCAGTCGAGGTCGGCCTTGGTCTCTGGGACCTGCTTGTACGGTGAGAGGACTTTGCCAGGCATGGTTGCAGTCGTACGAAGAAGGGCAGCGTGAAATGAGGTTTCAAGAAGAAGAAATTAAGCTTGTAGGTGCCAATGCTAATCTATATACATAAGCCGTTCTTGTACCTGGGGCACGCGTGCGGTGCCTTTGGATACTACCCTTCTATTGCCGATCAGCCGTGCGGACGTATGAGGTCGAGAGTGACCATGTGTACGTCCCCACATGGAACTCCACAAAAGTGAATTGTGTCAAGGAGCTTAGCTAGCACACCATTTGGACTGCGGCCGGCCGAGCAACTTCACACGGCGGAGGACTGCAGATGAATGATACTCGTTCGGTGATAAGTGATCAAGTTGTTGAATACTTATGAGGTTGACATCGACACTAAAGTGGGAAGCTTCGTCCGCGAGAGCAGACAGCGAGGACTGGAGTCAAACATTGTTACAGGATCTAGTTGGCAAACTGAGGTACTTTCATGGACTCATCGATTTATCTCTCTCGTGGCAAAAACTTCAATGATCAAAAACGCTCACAATGCTCCGTTCTCAGCTCAATGTCCTTCCAAACCCCCCAATTCCATGCTTAATAATGCTGCCCCTTATGCGCGTTCAAAAAGTTATCGATATGCGGATGCCTCACGGTCATCTCATCTCCATCCAAACTCGCATCCCTCGCAGAGCCGCCTTCCTTCGTCTGTCGCTCTCCTCTAGCAAAGAAGTTCCTCTCGCCGATAAAGCACAGAATCGCCCAAAGCCCCATGTTCACTAGCAGTAGGATGGTCGTAGCCCACGTCAACGCCATGAACTTCCCGCCTGCGTAGCCGGCGATACCGATGCCTTTGCCGACGAAGTTGACGAGACCTGCTGCACCGGCGGAGATGCCGTGAGTGGCGGCAGAGGCAATGCCGATGAAGCAGAGGGCTGGGAGGGTGACGAGCATGTTGAGCAGGGCGACCTTGCGGCTGAAGCGGACGAGGCCGAGGATGGCTGTGAGGAATGCGCACCCGGTGAAGAATATGCCGATTTCGTAGAGGACGCGGACCAGGGAGACGGGGTTGATGAAGGAGTTGCTGTCGCAGTCATTGATGCGTTGGACGGTGTTGTTGGTGGAGAAGCCGCTCTCGCCGACGGTGAGGTTGGTGCCGTTGGGCCAGGCATATTCTCCAGAGCAGGTAGTTAGGAGATGGATAGCGTAGAAACCGGACAGATGGAGTTCGTCCATGAAGTCATCGTAGGTCTCGTTGACGGCTTTGACCACGGCTGTTTGCGCGGATTCGAATGCCTCGGAGACAGCACTGGCGACCATGCCTCCGACAGATGTGGCTTTACTTTCGACGGCGGATGCTACGGAGCTGACCTTGCCACCGACGTCTGACTTAACCTCTCCAAACTTGCTCGTGGCTTCTCCAACGAGATCGTCAATGCCACGAGGCGCGACTGTAATCATGGTCGTGGGCGCTAGGATCACCGTCGTAGGGACGAGCTCCGGGCCCGAACGCTTCATGATGTCACTCACGTTGAAGTCGAGAGACAAAATCTTGCCGTCGAGTTCCTGGATGAGGTTCTGTCCCATGCGCGTGACGTTGAGCGTGAAAATCGGGTAGTTGTCCATGAATCCGGGCTTATGGCCAGCGAAAACGCAGAGAAACGAAAGAATGAAGGCGGTCATCAAGACCAGAAGCGGCAGGATCGCCAGCGGTTGGAATCGTCCATGTTTGTGGAAGTCGGAGAAAGGCATATTGAATAAGCGTGTGCGAAGCGAGGGCTAGGTAGTGTTCTGGTTCTTGTTGAAGTATCAGTTGCGTCGCCAGCGACGTCTTAGAAAGATGCCCTGTTGAATAAATAGAATAAGCAAGTAAGAGAATTGTAGTATAGAGAATGTCGCAGACACGCAGAAACGCTGGAAGAAGGGGAGAGACAGCAGTGAATAAACCCTACGAGACACGCCAAACACTTCTCTTTGTGCTCCATTGTCGTTCTGAGAATAGACTTGAAGACAAACGAGGAATCAATCTCAAACCTCACGTGGACCGGTCTTCTTTGTGATCGCCTTTGATGCTTGGGCTGGTCGTTCTCATGTAGCGGTGGTGTCAGGCCATTGACTGGACACGAAGCGCTGCCTCTGATACGCGCGCGGGTTTGGCAAAAACCCTGTCGGCGGCTACCGTGCCTGGCGACAACGCCGTCGTGTATTCATATAGCATTGTTCTCGTACTACCGGTGAGTCTGTAGTACGGATCTTGGAGGTCTCGTAGAGCATTAATAAGTTTGTAGAGGAGGCGATGGAAGTGAGACAGGGTGAGCTGCGCGTGTTGAAGTCAGGAACCTGGATCCGGAGCACGAGCCACGAGCGTCACGTGATCTAAGCGAGCTTCGCGCCACCAGCAGACGCGATGCCTTCACTACTTCAATTAAAACAACAACAACAATCTTCACTCTGAACTATATCGTCATCACAGGCCGCCGTGGAGCTCACTGCTAGCTCTTACGCTTTAAGGTCGAAATCGAGATGGTCCTTCTCAGGTGACGGCGAACTGGGGAATATTCAAAATGCCTCCCTTATTGACCAGCGACATCGAGAAGCCTGTGGACAGATCACCACACCGCATGGTACCGGTAATCAAAGTGCCACCACATCCGCCTGTCTCTAAGCCAGCCCCTCAGCCAAGAACTTATTCGGATGAGCCATTACCAGTCCGACCCTCAGATCATGCACCTCGCAAAGCGGCAATCAAGGAGCGCATCGCCTTGCCGGACAGGGTCGCCTATACGCTTGACATAGGCGGAGTCGAGATTGAGGATGTTGGAATCCATGAGGTTCTGGACTATGTCTCGGCCTACGATCTGGAGACGTTCGAACACCGGCAATTCGAAGAGGAGCGCGAGATTATGCGCATTGCTAACCTGGAACAAGAAGCTGAGCGAGAACGACGCAAACAGCGTGCTAAGACCAAAGGCCAAGTCATCTATCAGACTGATAGCGGTACCGTATCTCAAGAAGATGAGGACGTGGAGACTGGCAAGCACGGACGAGCTCGGCCGACTTACAAGCATCTTTTCAAGGCGCCAGAAATGAGGCAGCGTAAACGACGCAGAAAGCGAGACCCTTTCACGGGTGAGCTCATGCCTTTGAGTGACGAAGAAGATGCGGCATTCAATGCGCCAGCGAAGGCGACGGCGGCATCTTCACGAGCTCCTGCGCCAGCGACCGAACTTCCCAAGCGAAGACGAAGAAAGCGTAATAAGATCACAGGAGAGTTGCTACCGCTATCACCAGACGGGGAGACCGCTCAGCCCAGCATTGAGAAAGGTAAAAGACCGCGACGCAGACGGCATCCCATCACCGGAGAATTGATGCCACTGGGTTGGCGGTATGATCCAAACACCGAGCAGCAGAGCTACGAGCAAAGACGAGATGGTGCAGGTGCTCATAGCACGCCGTCAATCAAGCGACTCAGCATTACTCGAGAGCACGATGCTAAGCGCATGAAGCTCACTTCGGAAGAGCCTTCTTCGGACGACGAGCTTGGCACGAGACAGCCGGTCGTGCAGTCACGAGGCAAACTTGGCATCTTTGCAAGTGACGACTCGCGGGAGTCTTCTTCAAGCCGAGATCCACCACCGATGTCGAGCTCGAAGTCAAGGCCAGCTCCCAAAACTTCGATCATGAATCCAGTGTCGCAGCGTATATCTCGGCTTGGACCCCCTCCCTCAGCCACTGATAGCTCCTCTGAGCCAAAGATAACTTTGGCATCATTTTTGAAACCTAATCAGCCCGAGGAAGACGATGAGTCCTCAGACGACTCCTCTTCTCTTCCAAAGCAAAAGGTCAACACTCCAGGAGAACGCGGGAAGACGAGTATAATGAATCCAATGGCGGCTCAGACGGTGGAGGAGAGTGACGACGCTGAAGATGAAGAGCTCGAAGAGGGAGAATGGTTTGTCGAAGCCATCCTTGGTCATCATCTGTCCGACCCACGCACCCATCCTGGTAAGAAACAAGTCATGCTTTATAAAACCAAGTGGGAAGGCTGGAACAATCCTACTTGGGAGCCCGAAGATAGTTTCGTCGACCAAGGCGTGCTCGAAGATTATCGACAACGGGCTGGGCTCAATGGTGCGAAGACACAGATAGTCGCAGGATCAAAGAAAAAGTCAGTCACTCCGGCACCAAAGCCAAAGGCAACCGCGGTCAACGATGAGAGCGATGATGAAAGCGACGAAGAGGAAGGCTACGAGGTTGAGTCTATCCTTGGCCATCACATGAGCGACCCAAGAACGCATCCCGGTAAACCGGCCACGATGCTATACAAAGTGAAGTGGCTGGGTTGGCCTGAACCAACTTGGGAGCCAAGACGGAGTTTTACTGACAAGACCATTGTGCGGAAGTATGAGAAGAGGGTGGGTCTGAAACCAGAGCGGAGCGAAGATAGCAACGGAGACATGAGGATGAAGACATAAAGGTGCCACACGGTGCAGGTCTTAGCTGGCGTTCGTCCCACCGACGTACCTCACCCATTCCGTAGGGTGAGCCTTGCGTTCAGCCCAGCGCAATGCCACGACTGGAACACCGTCTTTCATGACTGGACATGGGACATCAAAAGCAACACGAAGTCACTTGACCTTCTCTCACCAAGCTATCCGTAAATGGTAACAATGTCCTTCGTGGCCCGTGCACCTGGCCGAGGGTGTCGCTGTGTACCTGACTTCGAGAGCTTCTCCCACTCTCTTATCGCCCTTTGATTTGTGGCTGATTGGGCGACATGTAGAGCTACGTTTCCTTGCAGGATGCGAAGATAGGTCGAAGAAGGCAGAAATGTCCTGGTCAATTGGCCGAGCGAGGATCGGCCTACATCATCAGATCTACTGAAGGTGTATGTTATTTGCTTCCGTGAGTTGAGCTATTTCCACACTACTTCTCTCCAACTGTCCAAGGATCTCTAGAAGGCCTGCGAGACAGAGGAATTCATATTCCGTGTCGAGGAGAAAGCAGAATCTCTGCAATTCCATATCAGCCTTACCACCTCACGAGATGTTAGTGCTGTTCGCATATGCCTTTGCAGTTGCTCTCCCCGGCCTCGCGCTATTCCTTGCCGCAGACGTGAAGCAACGAAACGGTCTCTTAAGCAAATTCGGTATAGGACGGCGGCGACTTCAAAGTTCATTCACTCCACCACAAGATCTGTCGGCACAGGCGCAAGGTCTTCCACCAAATGAGAAGCCTTCGTCCTCCCCAAGCTATAAGGAAACTTTTCCGCCGAGTAGAAGACATGTTCTAGCAGAGCTTCCTAATGGGTCCTTGAAAGGCCCTGGGAAGTCAGGAGAAGAGCTTGGTCAACTGCCTCCGGATTATAGCAAGCTTACACCAGACAAGGAGACGGCCACAGTAACTCAACATAAAGATCATGTCACAGCGACTGGATTTACTGTTGAGGAGATTGAACGATTGGGCGATTTCCCGGACTACGCAACACTCAGCGGGGTGCCAGCTCCAGAACCGTATGAAGACTTTGATATCAACAAGGCTCTGCCAAGGCCATATCGTCCGTTCAGATGGGCGTATCATCAGACTATGTGTATGCATGCCTGTTGACAACGTAGCTCGTCGAGCGCTACTGACTGAGGAGCAGCACTCACCAAGCTCGAACCAGATTGGTGGCTCGAACTTTACAAAGACTATGCGGATGTGATACGACAACGAGAAGAGCTGTTTGAGACATGGGGCCCTCGCGTCATCCAGACTTTGCCAGGATCTGAGATTGCAGCAAAAGAGTTGATGGAGATGTGCCTTCAGTTCTTGTGTGCCCGATACCCTCAATGCTTCAGGCTGGATTTGGAGAGCATGGTCTTTCACAACAGTATCCTGAATACGCAGACCGATCTGAAATCGACACCACCGATGCATGTGCTCCTACACAACGTGCCAGAGGATTTCGCCATGATGATTCGAGACCCAGAGACTGGCATATACTCCTTCCGCGGCGGCATTATCATGAGCAGTCTAGGCTGGGATCTTGGCTCGAAAATCGGCTTGAAGCTTCACGAGATCCACGAACCAATCCCTGACTACAAAGAGAAGATGCAGTTCAGCATGGACAGATACTTCGCCAAGAAACCAACCGACAAGGCGATCCAGCGAGGCTCCTGGGGACTGGAAATCGACAGACCACTCTACATGCCGCCAGGAGACTCGCACGAGCAACACCGCGAGCAGCAAAATCCAAGCCACACTCTCGACCAAATCCACCTGCGAGTCGACTGGCAGACTCTCCGAAGACTCCCTCTCTCAGGCGCTGTGGTTTTCAACTTCAAAGGCCTGTTTACGCCCATCACCGAATTCCGCGATGAGCCTTACATTCCCACGTTGATACTGAAGGTCTTGCGAGAGGGCAAGAAGAACTTAATGGAGTACAAGTCCACATGGCATACCGAGCATGTTGCGATTCCTGCGCTGGAGGAGTATGAGAAGGAGCAGATTGAGAAAGGGTTGATGGAGAGGGATTGGGAGCCGCATACGTTGGATGAGTCGCCGCTTTATCCTGGTTGGGAGGAGAAGTGGCATCGGCAGCAGGGGTTTTGATTCGTCTGTTGTTTGGTATGTCTGGGGTGTCTTCACTGGACGGTCCTGACACGAAAGTTAGCATTCACCACCGACAATGGTATAATGCTTTAATGGGTGATGTCCCATATGCTGCTGTAGCATTCATCCAGGGCCCAGGCACAGATTTGAAACGACTTCGATAATTTCTCGAATTCGCCTGTCCTTGAGAAAATGGGTAACGACTTGATTTCCATCCCCAGCAGAGCTCACGATCCTGCCAGGGCTTTGTCCTTTACTCCTTCGCCATGTCAGCCTTTGTAATGACACTTTGTCCTCAGTTCCATCAACCTCCGTATCCCTAAAAGAGCAGTTTTCATAGTCGGATAGTCGGATTAGTATACCGGGATGAGGACCATGTGATCAGCACCTGCCACTACATGAGCCGTGCGCTAGCCCCAGCCAACATCGTCGCTTCCCCGCCTCCAGCCCTGCACCATCCTCTTCCCCGATTTCTGTGTCTCGCGATCATCTGTCTCTAGGCGAACGTGTCACCGCATTGCTTGGTGTGAGGGCAGACATGTGTCTCTACCCGAGGATAGCCTCATCGACCCACCTGCCTTGACATTAGCTCTGCTAGTAAGTCGCTCGCTTTGCTTCCCTTCTTTCCTAGATCTGCTTTCAGGCCCTCCATTCTCTTATTGGTATCTTGATCAACGAGTTGCGCAAACATTCGTACCTGGTGTTCGTACAAAAAGCTGGAGAGATCGTGAACAATGGCGGGTTTCGAAGACACAGGAACGGAGCCGTGGCCAGAGATTCCCATTGGAAACAAGAACCATGGCAATGCAGCTGTGGTCATCATTGGAGGAGGGATCTCTGGCATATGTGTTGCCATTGACCTGTTGAAGAGGAACAAGTGCCGGAACTTCATTATCATCGAGAAGAGCTCAAGTTTGGGTGGTACATGGTATGTCTTCCTTCGACATCATGAATTCAATCCTATCCTCATACTAACTACGATGTGTCAATAGGCTAGACAACAAATACCCAGGTTGCTGCTGCGATGTCTGGAGTATGCTCTACAGCTACAGCTTCGCACAGAACCCAGACTGGTCGCGCGAATACCCTGGCCAAGAAGAGATCCTCTCCTACCTGATTAAAGTTGCCCAAGAGTACAAGCTGCTCCAGCACTTTAGATTTAACACTTCAGTTCAAGATGCGACTTGGGATGATGAGGCGAAGAAGTGGAAGATCAACGTCAAGACCGCTCCGGGGAGCAAAGAGGCGGAATACAACCCAGAATACGAGATCAAGGCAGACTTCCTTGTCAGTGCTGTTGGACAGCTGAACGTTCCGCAGTGGCCCAGCATTGATGGCATCGATACTTTCCCTGGCAAGAAGATGCACTCTGCGAGATGGGATTGGTCGTATGACCTGAAAGACAAGAAGATTGCTCTAGTTGGAAATGGTAAGCGTCAACAAGATGAGGGTTGGATATCGGACAAGAACGGCTAACATCCATCAGGCTGCACCGCTGTTCAGATCCTCCCTGAAATCGCCAAAGTCGCCAAGCACGTCACGATCTTCCAGAGGACTCCCAACTGGGTCGTTCCCCGTCTGGATGGGCCAGTGTCGCCCTTCTGGCGTGGCATGTACAAATACGTGCCTGGTGTCATGGCTCGCAAACGAGCGGCTTTGATGGATTTCCGAGAGTGGACTTGGGGATTTGTGAGTGAGGCAGGCGGTCAGACGGCGCAGTTGTTTGCGGATCAGTCGAAGCAGATGATGGAGCGGCAGGTATGTTACAGCATCTTACGGCCTTGAGTTGTTGGAGCGGACGACTGACACTTCTCTCAATAGCTTCCCGACCGTCCTGACCTTTGGGAAAAACTCACTCCAAAGTACAACGTCGGCTGTAAACGCATCATTATCTCAGACGACTACTTCCCAGCCATCGCCCAAGAGAACGTCTCCCTCGAAACTCGAAACATCCACAGCGTACAAGGAAGCAGCGTCAAGGTCGCCGGTTCAGATGGCAACCCCGTGTCCACCTCAGCCGACGATTACGACCTTCTCGTCTGCGCAACAGGATTCAAGACCGTCGACTTCATGCACCCCATCAAGCTAAAGGGAAAATCCGGCCGCCCAATCGACTCAGTCTGGCAAGACGGCGCCCGCGCTCTCTACGGCATGACCGTCGAAGACATGCCCAACTTCGGCATGCTCTACGGTCCGAACACGAACCTCGGACATAACAGCATCATCCTCATGATCGAAGCGCAGAGTCGATACATCAACGGGCTGATCAAACCTGTTCTGGAAGCCCGCAAGCAAGGCAAAGCGCTCAGTCTGACGCCGACGAAAGAGCGGATGGAGGAGTTCAACGCTCAGTTACAGAAAGAGCTCGCGAATAGTGCTTTCAACGATCCGAATTGCAATTCGTGGTATAAGAATGAGAAGGGTGTGATTACGAATAACTGGAGCGGGACGGTGGTGGCGTATCAGAAGATGGTGGAGGACGTTAGGTTTGGCGAGTATGTCGCCGAAGGGAGCGGGAAGGATGTGGTGGAGGGCAAGGGCACGTTGCATGTAGGAAGAGTGAAGGAAGAGACGAGTGTGAGCGATAAGACGCTGGTGCTGATGGGAGCCGCGAGCACGGCGGCGTTGGTGGGTGGGTGGTTGCTGAGGAATTCGAGATATCTCCAGAGTGTGAGGGCTAGGTAAGGGGGTTGGTTTCAAGCAGCACGATCGGTGTATTTGTATGTGTATGTAACGAGGTCAACGAAGATGCCATCCTTCCAGCGGCAAATATCGATCTCCGTTCCGTGTAGTGGTTTTGATCCCCGTTCCGAGCATCATCATCATCAGGCGGCTCCGTCAAGATCCGCAGGTGTCGCCACCGCACAACTCGACCTTTTGGTGTCTCCCGCCTTACATACACAGAAGCCCAAGAATACAATAGAGTTGGGCGTCCACGTCACGGACGGCGCGAGCGAAGGAAGCGGTGGTCGCTTAGCCATCCCACGTGGAAGCCACGGGCGGGCCAAAAAGCATGGGTGCCTCGTGGCCGACCGGGGTCCCGTACCACAGAACCAAAAACTCGACACGGAGTTTAAAAAGCTGTGTGGGCGCTGCTGCTTGTTTGAGAGCTCTGTGCGTGTGCCTCGGCGGATGTCGCTCGCACAGCGATCCTCTTCCTCGTCGCTCGCTCGCGCAGCCAGCAAGCCAGGCGAGCGGTACCCGCCAACCGGGTCTTTCGTCCTCAACGGATTGACTGGTCTGGCGAAAAAAAGAAAAAAGGCTAATTCGCTAAACGGACCAGGGCAGTAGCTCCAGCAACATGCAGGCAGGGCTCAGCCACGGGAAGGAATCTGGTTGTCTATATGACGAAGACGCCGACGTGCGATCAGCAGACAGGCAGCGCTCTCTCTTTCCTGTCCCACCATGTCTTCTTCGTTCCGTCCTTCATATGCCTGTTGTACCACACCGCGGATTATCGGGCCGCCGTATGAGCCGAAAGGCCAGTTTGTAGAAGTCGATGGATTCAAAATATGTAGGCTCTCGCGTCGTTTCGGTTTTGGTGGCTTCTGACCATAGCCTGTCCAGATTGCAGCGGGCTGGAGACCGCGACGAAAGCCCTCTTCATCATCTACGATGTCTTTGGCTACTCGTATCAAATACTTCAAGGCGCCGACTTTCTCGCATCGCAAGGATACAAAGTCTTCATGCCTGATTTCTTCGGTGAAAATCCTGCGCCGATGACATGGATGCCGATGCCGGATGCTTCTGGCAAGGAGCCTCCGGTCAACGATAAAGCCTTGGATGACTTCTGCGAGGGGCCTGGCAACACCGAGCAGACAGTCGAGAAGGTGCTTCGCCTTCGTCAAAGATTACAAGCCGATGATAGCAGGATACAGCAGTGGGGCCTGCTTGGGTATTGTTGGGGCGGTTATGTCGCGAACTTCTTGCTTGACTTGAAGTCACCGTTCGGGGCCTGCGTGGAGCTGCATCCTGGGTTTCCAGCGAAGGAAGTGGCGGAAAAGGTCGCGAGGCCCATTCTCGCGCTCTGTTCCAAAGACGAGCCTAAAGAAACGTACGCACACTTCAAGCCACACGTGCGCACCGAATTCAAGGTCGTCCATTTCTCGAATATGGTGCACGGGTGGTTGAGTGCACGAGGCGATTTGTATAGGCCTGAAGTCCAGAAAGAGTACCAAAGAGGGTACGAGATGGTAGCCGAATTTCTCACACAGCGGTTGGCGTAAAGATCTGGTTGCGAGCATTCTCTCAGTCCGCATCGTTCATCTCATCATCCTCGCCGGATTGTCGCCCGTCCGAATCTTGGTGCCCATTGCCATTGATCTCCACCTCCTCGACCTCCCCTTCACTACGTTCGCCCTGATCCTCGTCATCTCGATCCAACTCCTCGAGTTCTTCGCCCAGAGGACTGATCCGCTCCTCAAGCCTGCCCTCGTCTTCCAAATATGTCCTGGGATTGATCTTTGGCAACGTAGTCGCACACACTCTACTCTTCACCAGCAAGTCGTCGATGAACTCGTCCATGTGTGTGAGAGTCCAGGATTCTCTGGTCCTCCTCTTCAGCTTCCTGAAGTCGGCCAAGTAAGGCTCCAACGTTGTGTAGACCTCTTCGTCTTTCTCCCACGCCAGTCGAATGTAGAACGCGGCCAGAGCGCGCAAGTACTTGAACTCCTCGCCCGCGTGCTCGAGGTAGAACAGAATGATTTCGCGGTCGGGAGTGATCTGAAGCAGCTTGAAGGCCAAGCAGAGGAACGGTGTGGGTTTCTGCGCGATGCCGTATGTACCTCCTATGAAGGTGAGCTCGACGGCGCGATCGAGTAGAGTGGCGGCGTTGAGGCCGAAGCATTGCTCCTTCCAGTAGTACGAGTCGACGATGCGGTCGCGAACGGGTTTCTCGAAGAGCTTCAGTGGGTTGTCGCCACGGATTAGGACGCCTTGGTAGCCGCGCTCGTCGAGGGCGCGCTTCGCGTCTGCTTGATGGGCCATGTTGCGCGTGCAGTTGTGCAGATGGATGTCTTCATAACGATGTTTGAGAGGAAATCTTCACGAGTCATGAGCGCGAGATTGTTGCTGTGGCGACGCTTTATCGGCTGGAAGTCAACATCAATTCGGTTTGCCACATGCAAATCACATGCAGCATTCCAAGACAGTATATTACATACCAGCATGCCTCCAAGGATACTACTATCGCAATCGCAACTCTCAGTGGTGGTGTCATCGGCAGTCGTGTTCGTCTTCACGGCTTTGCTCTTCCTCTCCGGCTATGTGATCCAGCAACAGACGGTCAAAGGACTCAAGGTCGCAATACAACCTCGAATACCACAAGCTCCACCTTCACTAGGAAATCCAGATGATCAAAAACCTACACAGCAAGAATTCCAACCATCGAGGCTATTCGGCAGGAATGGAGGGCGAGTTGCGTACACAGACTTCGACCGGGACGTGCACAGCGCCGGCACGAACATCAACTGGCGGAGACTGGCTCATGTCCAACTCGTGAGCAACCATCACGATGTCTGCAACGCGATCATGGTTTTGGCGGACCTACATATCATGAAGTCTCCGGCCAGGAGGGTATTGCTCTTCCCTAAAGCATGGGCTCAAGAAAAGAAGGCCGAGACGGACGCAGATCCCTACTTGGGGAGCACACGAAGGCTTCTGAAGCTCGCAGCGAGAAGATACCACGTTGAACTGCACCCAATTGAACCCATCCTCAACCAGGCTGGGGAGGAGACGTACTCTCTTACTAGTGCATACGCCCTGCAAAGCGACTTTGATCGCCTCCTCGCAGTTGAAACGCCAGGCTTGCTCCTCGATTCCGAGCCACTGGATGCTATCCTCGGATTCACGGAAAGTGCGCCGTTCGTTATGCTCCATGACACTCATTTGAATGACGGAGTCCATTCAGAGGACATTTTCCTACTTGCGCCCTCGAAAGCCACGTACGCCGACCTGACGAAGCGACTCGCAACACCTGAGATGAGTGGATTCAACGATACGTACCTGGCATCCATGTTCAACGACACGATACTTCTCGCGTCGTCAGATGAAAAGAGCGCTCTAATCCGTTCTGTGGGCACACTCCACGATGTTGGACACAAATTCAACAAGGAAGCTTTCGTATCGGACGTGGCGTACATCCGCTTCTCAGACCCAAAGCTGCCTGGACCAGAGTATGAGGTGCCTTGGCCGGACAAGGTGGCTGCGCGGCCCAAGAACAAGGACGCAGATTGGATCTGGACGGATCTATACGGGCAGTTTGCACAGAAGCGTATGGACACTTGTGGCCTTGATTTGGAAAGCTGGCGGCCGTAGATGATGGTCGTCGTAGAATGTTGGCGTTTTGGGGAGGGTTTGAGGGACTTAGCGTTGGGCTTTCAGGAAACGGGATGTATGTTAGATTGTACGAATGACGAACACAGACGATGGATTGATAGAAGCAGTACTTCTCACTCGATTTCAGGCACTCGAGTCGTTTGATAGCTTCGCCGCCGGGCAAGCACGCCGATCAACAAGCGGGGACATCTTACTGATAATCGATCGCGCGGGCGGACTATCGACAACATGATACAGATCAAGTATCGTATTTCAGAAGATCCTAAACATCACGACTCCGGCGAATCATTACCTGGCACAAACCCCTTTATTCTGACGACATGGGCAAGAAGAGAGTCCTTGTAGGATATGGCATCGACGTCGACGCCGTGGCAAACTGGATCAACACTTGTGACGGCTCGCCACAGAATCCAACAAACGTGTCTCGTGGAGTATTCGGTGCGACCGTGGGAATCGATCGCCTCCTCAAGCTATACGAGAAGTACAACATCAAGGTTAGCCACACTCTGTCGGCATCGACATGCACCACTCATCTAACCATTCTCATCGACAGGCAACTTTCTTCACGCCAGCCCATAGCATCGAGTCTTTCCCTCGCCAACTGGCCAAAGTCAGAGACGCAGGCCATGAGCTCGCCCTGCATGGCTATACGCACGAATTTGTCTCTCAGCTTTCTGCCGATCAGCAACAGGACGTCCTCACCAAGTCGATCGATGTCCTGACGAAGTTCTGCGGCAAGAAGCCTATCGGGTATACGGCACCAGCGTGGTCGACCTCGAAGGAGTTGATTCCTCAACTGCAGGAGGCCGGTATTCTGTAAGTTCCTTCGGGCAGTAAGAATATAGGTGAGATTCGAGGCTAATCTGTACTTCAAGTTACGACCACTCCTTCATGCACCATGATCTCCAGCCCTACTTTACACCGGACAGCTCTGAGAATTGGGTCGAGACGAATGCGAAGGATTCGGCGGATGCGTGGATGACACCTATGACGAAGCTGAGACCCAGTAAAGTCGTTGAGATCCCGGCGAGTTGGTGAGGCAATGCCGTCTATGGCAGGTGATAGCGTGCTGACTGCAGTCTGGTAGGCATCTTGACGACTGGCCTCCTCTCCAACCCATCCCTGGCAGACCAGGAGCGCAAGGCTTCGTTGACCCCCATGTCGTCGAGAAGCTTTGGATAGAGCAATTCGACTTTGGCTATCGAGAGTATGATACTTTTATCTTTCCCATGAGTATACACCCTCAAGTTAGTGGGAAGCCTCAGAATATCCTGATGCATGAGAGGTGAGTAACTCAATCATTCTCTTTATCTATATGAGCTGGATAGCTGAAACTTTGACAGGATCATCGAGCACATCAACAAACACGAAGGTGTCGAATGGATGCCACTTTGTGAAATGGCGAGAGAGTTTCTCGAAGGACGCATGCCCGGCGTTGAAGTTGAAGGGGGCGTCGATCTTTGATACAAAGACAACGGAGTAGTATTCGTACACTCAGCCTAGCCAAAACGTCCCCTCAACCTCAACAATATCGTCGTCGTTCAATCTCTGTGATTCGATGATCGTCCTTGGTGGGAACTGCAATTTGCCAGTACTATTCAACTCCGCCCAGAGTTCCTGCTGGACCTGGTTGACGATGGGACGATAGCGATACATGTCTGATACGTATACCACCAGTCGTACGCACGAGTCCTTACAAGGTCAGCGGTCTGGCAGTAGATTCTTCAGCATGTAACTGCGCTCACCAAATCACTACCCGCCGATCGAGCCAAAGACGCCATATTCTCATACGCAAGTCGGATCCTAGAGTATCCGGTCTCCGCGAGTGTGCTATTCGAGGGATGAATACCGCGAACCCCCGCGATGTAAAGTGTTGGGCCAGCTATTGATAAGAGGCTGTAGGGGCCCGTGACGTCGTAGCTCTCTGATGGGTTGATGTACTGTACGCCTAGAGGAGAAGTGTAGTTTGCTTGCAAAGCATCTTCGTGATGCTGCGGCTTAGTCGATGAAGGGGTCTGTCCGGCACTTGCTGCTGCGAATGTGTATAGCATCAATGCTGTCGCTGCGGCGAGTCTCATTTTGGGCTGCGTAACGATAGTCTAATTTTCGATTGAGAGGTTGAGATAGCAAAAGCACGAAAACGCGTGATACCAGTCAACATCCCTCGTCTTGCATATCGCGCTGAGCCAAGGCTCTTGGTCCACTTCGTGATGTCACGCAAGCCCGGTTGTTGTGCTGATCAGTCGAGCGAGGTCGTACAAGCCTAAACGAGTACGAATCATTCTTTTTTGTCTTGAGCTGGATATCTGTCACCAATTTTACTTGCCAATTGAGAGCTCTTGTTAGCCAATTGGACTATGCCTGAAGGAGTTGGACCTCTGCTCGTGGGCTGAACATGCTCAGATGTCGAAGAGGTTGACATGTTGACACTCTGATATGGACAACCCTGGGTAGAGGGACAACGGGGAGCTTATCGTTTTGCTACAAAGGTAGAGGATTAATAGACGACTGTCAAGCGTAGAGCATTGAGAGCAACGGTGAATCATGAATGCCTTCCGCCCCTCGTTTGGACTCAAATTTTTCTGCAGTGTTTCGAGCGACTTCACCCTGACCTTTGCGTTGCCGCCACGAAGCTCAGTGTGACTCGTTAGCGCTCGACATAGTAGTGTTCGATCGATGACAGAGTGAAGTCGCGAAAAGCAGCTCGCTTTCGACTTCCATACAAACCCATTTTGGACTAGTCTCAGCCTAACCTCATACAGGAAGTCCAATGCCGATCGCAATCTGGCCCCGTCGACTTCACCTGCTCAGCTGCTTCTTGCTCTCACTGGGAGTCTCATCAGATTCAATCCAAACTTGGTATGATGGCTCGCTACACCTGGACATGAGGAGTAGGACATTGACCGTTCGTTGCCTTCACGCCCAGTCTCATGAGAGAAAGCTAATCTGATCGAACAGGGGTGCTGGACGTGGTATGTGTGACGTCGCAGTGATATACCAGACATGTTGCCGTGACCGCACAGTCTGATTAATCCTTAGCCGTGCTCGCCGGGTCAAGTGTGACGGCTCGCGGCCAACATGCCGCAAATGCTCAAGACTCGGCGTTTCCTGTCGTGGCTATGCACCTTGCTGGGTATGGGTAAAGCCAAACTCACCTGAGGCAGGGGCATTGGTCGGGCGTAGCACGATAGACTGCAGTAGTGTCTCGCCAACAGTAGCCCGTTGTCTACTCCGAGCTGACGCACGAGCAGGACTCACCTGGAAAGATCATGGACCTCTAGAAGGAGAACTGGTGGACCACTTGATCGAACAGGTTGACAACAACCAAGCAGACCTTATGCCAGCATGGATTAAGAAAGTCCACAGCCCCTTTGCGGCTTTCTCTGTCGTCCAAGCATCGCCCACAATATCGTTACGAAGTCCGGAAACGCCAGAGACTTCCATGGAACGTTTTCTCTTTCATCATTACACCACGCATGTCGCAAAGATCATGATGCCCTATGACCACCCATTCAACCCATGGATACAGCAGTACCCAGCAGCTGCTCTCGTCTGCCGGGGTTCGACGGACCATGCACTGTACGATGCGTTACTGGCTCATGCGGCGTATAATCTGTCCGAGTTGTACGGTAAAGATGGCAAAATGCTCTATCAAGCAACGCGGTACTACGAAAAGGCTATCCAAAAGATATTAGCACGGATTGGGGGCAAGAGCTCGGGGTTTGCTACGACTTTTGCATCCATTCTTACGCTCGTGTTGGTCGAAGTTTACAGCGGGAATGCCTCGAAATGGAGACAGCATCTACACGGCGCCAATACGCTGGTCAGACAACTCGAAGCGATATGGAGGGACTTGAGTCCGTCAAAACATCGGTGCAGAGTATGCATATAATCCATATCATCGGTCAGACGTCGAAACAGTTGCCCAGCGAATCTCACAAGACCTTGCTGGGTTCATGCGACATTCCCGACGCGCCAGATTTCGGCTTCACGATCGGTGCCTCGAAGGAAGTGCTGCAATGTATCTCGCGAATCACATACCTCGGTCACAAGATCGCAGGCGGAGAACCCATCGATCACATAATGCCAGAGTTGAGATCAATCACTGGGTTCTTGGATGACTATCATGCCAGCCAATCGAAAACAGATGGCCGTGCAGAAAACATGCCGCAGCATTACCAGACACTGGCGTTCGTCTCTGCCTCGAAGATTTATTTGCACAGAAACATATTCAACGCTCCACCCAAAAGCGTTCAATCATTGGTGTCTCTCACGCTGGAACAGGTCATGAAATTTCGCAAAGTAGACAGCCAAAACAATTTCTCTATTTGGCCCGCCTTTATCGCCGCGGTCGAGGCGTATACAGAGCAAAATATGAAGGACGCCGAGAAATGGCTGGACTGGTCTTCCACGTTTGGCATGGGAAACCGAACATCGATCGCGAGCGTGGTCCGAGAAGTGTGGCAGCGCAGAGAAGAGAAGTCTCGACGGCTCGAACTAGATAGTGGCCTTGTCTGCGTGGATTGGCGAGATGTCATGGATGAGCTGGGTCACGACGTCCTGCTGGTCTGACTGTCATCCATCAAAGCACCTTCGACATGCTTACAGCCCATCTCGGCTGAACAAAATGTCCGGTCGCCTTGACGTAGACGACACCGGTGTCAGGATCTTCGATCGTGGCTTCAGTCCAAGCCTTACGGCCCTCCACCTTCTCCGTGTGGGCTCTGATCAAGACAATGCTGTCAAGCGGTATTGGAGCCTGATAGTTGATCTCCATTCGGACCGTCACCCCGACCTGTTCCGGCAGCAAGGGAAAGCAGGCACGTCCCATGGCTTCGTCGAGGAGCATTGAAGCCACGCCGCCGTGCAGCAGCCCTGCGTGACCTGCTAGCTTTCGGCCGACATGGTGGACAATCAGGAGAGAGCCGTCCTCGTTGTCAGTTAAGACCAGCGGCGAGGCGTGGAGAAGACCAGATCCCACAAGTGTTGATTGCGTGAGGCTGTCTGCGGCGTGCTGAGCATCGATGTTGAGAATCTTTCTTCCCTCTTGGACTCCTGGACGGGAGCAGAAGTTCCTAATCACTTCGTTGCGTTCGGTGAGACGTCTCATTACTTCTTCGAGAGCTAGAACAGCGGGCGTATGTGGAAGTTCGCGGTTGAGGGATGGTAGAGCCATGGTGGCCGACAGAAGATTTGCTAGGAGGAGCTCAATAGAGAATCACATCAGACTTCAGACTTAAGAGCAGAGTGTTGGCCATATGAACGACTCGCGAGTCTCCGTCTCTGTGACACTATCGACCTCCTCGCTATCGTCTTCCCCAAAACATTTAATTGGCAAGCGTGGTTGGGCGAAAAATCTCACGTGAGAGCCCCATCGTCACTAGTCCATTTTCCATGCCGCTCGTTACGATGCTCTCCTGCTTCCAAAACTGGATTAGAACAAAGACGTATGCCGGCCCATCCTTTGAACACAATTCATCACGCACGTAGCTTAAGTACTTCTCGTTTGAGATCTTCATGAGCTCACGTCGAACGTTCCTCTGCCGAGACATCACCTTGGATCTCACCTATACTTAGCGAGATACAGAAGCATTAAGATGGACTCCGCCAACACCACTGTTCTTGTTGAAGCGGTCGCCCCTGGCATCGTCGAGATTAGACTCAATCGACCCTACGCCTTGAACGCTATCAATGTCGACCTCCTGAATCGACTAGTGGATACCCTTCGACAACAGGTCGCTGAGTCCCGAATCATCGTACTCACTGCGGCGGGTGAGCGCTCATTCTGTGCTGGAGAAGACCTCAAGGAGACCCTCGCCCCTGCCACGGGATCAGCGGCAGAACTGAGACGGGCCTTCGACAAGCTGCAGGACATCACTCGCTTGACATCCTCATCATCGGCTATTGTGATAGCGGCGGTCCAAGGGTATGCGGTTGGAGGCGGAGCAGAAATTGCCCTCGCTGCCGATTTTGTCATCGGAGGTCCAGCAGCAAAATTCCGCTTTCCTGAAGTCACTATCGGGCATGCTGTAACAGGCGGCATTTCTGCAAGACTTGGACAACTTGTCGGCTTGCTGAGAGCAAAGGAGTTGCTGTTCACTGGAAGATATGTCGGCGCTGAGGAAGCACTCAAGCTGGGTTTGCTTACGGAACTGGCAGACGATGCGAGGAGTAGAGCGATGGAGTTGGCACACGAGCTGGTCAAGCGTCCTGAAGTCTCGCTGAGGGCGAACAAGAGCAGTGTCGAACGAGCGACCTTCCCGCACATGGAAGCCGTGCTCCAAGACGAGATCTTCGTAGCCAGCGTCTGTTTCGCCGAAGACGAGGCTGCGAATGCATTCCGCAACTTCGCACAACGCAGGACTCCGAAAACAGAATCTGCTGGAAGAAGCATCCGAGACATCAATACAGCCTTTTCGGACGCCCTTGCTCGAAGCCCTGATGGAGTGTTCTTGCGATTTGGTGAATCCGATACAACGTTCAAGGAGTTCGATCATTCTGTTGCTCAACTCGCTGGGGGCCTTCGATCCATCGGCATCGGTCCAGGAGATCGCGTATTGGTCATGATGCGTAACAGCTTCGAAATGATCTGCAGCTGGTTCGCCACAAACAGACTCGCCGCTACCTGGGTTCCCGTCGACACAGAGCTGAAGTCCAAGACTCTGGCACATGTTCTCGCATCAGCCAAGGCATCTGTAGCGTTGGTCGACGAAGAGTTCCTTCACGACGTTCAAGAAAGCGGCGTCGTGGAGCTGGGCCAGATCTACACGAATGGTGCCTCGACGCATAAGCCGCTGTCTGCGCTCTTCAACACATCCTCGCCGGTCACTGTGGCAATGGCAGCACCAGTCTTACCCTCGACTACGGCAGCGTTCCTTTACACCTCGGGAACCACCGGGCGCAGTAAGCCCTGCATACTCTCCCATGAGTACTTCATCCTACAGGCCTCCACGCTCATAGAAGGGCGCAATCTCGCCGCTCAAGATGTCCTGTATTGTCCTTTCCCATTGTTTCATGCAGACGCTACAGCACTCACTGTCATTCCCGCAGTACTTCTCAGCTGCACCGCTGCCATTGCCGCTCGCTTTTCCGCGAGCAGGTTCTGGGACGACATCCGAGAGACCAAAGCGACGGTATACGACTTCATGGGAGCGACATTGGCTCTCACATACAAACAGCCGCCAACGTCCCGAGACCAAGACCATAATGTCCGTATAGCGTGGGGAGTGCCTTTGCATCCATCATTTGGCAAGGATTACGAGAAGAGGTTTGGCCACAAGCTCGTCACCCTGTATGGCAGCGTCGAGGCAAGTCTGCCCATTTTTCAGCAAGGCGACCTGGTACCTGGGTCTTGTGGAAAGGTAGTGAAGGGATGGGAGATCCGTATTACTAACGATGAAGGTGATCCACTGTCTTCGAACACGGCCGGCAATCTACTAGTCAGGAGCGATCGGCCAAACAGGTTGTTCTCAGGATACTTTGACAACCCTGAGAGCACCCTGGCAGCAATTCAGGGCCAATGGCTGCATACTGGGGATCTCGCCAAGGTCGACCAAGATGGAAATGTCTTCTTTCTCGGCCGGGTCAAAGACATCATTCGTCGGAGAGGGGAGAACATCAATGCCAGCGAAGTGGAAGAAGAGTTTTTGGCGCACCCGGAAGTGGTCCTTGCAGCGGCTCATGGTGTTCCTTCTGGACTTGGCGAAGAGGCCGAAGAAGACCTCAAGGTGACAGTCAAGCTAAGGGATGGGAGCAAGTTGCAGGAGGAGGAGTTGTGGGAATGGGCCACTCAGAACCTGGCGAGGTTCCAAGTCCCGTCGGTGATTGAGTTTGTGGCGGAAATCCAGAGGACGCCCACTGGCAAGGTTGAAAAGCGTGCATTGAGTGTGGAGGGTGGCCGAAGATTTGACATTCGACGGAAGGCAGAAGAGCGGTCTGTGCAAAGCTCAGTCTAGATTTGAACAAGGTGTAACAAGCAGGGAAGATTTTGATATCCATACAAATGCAGACGGCGCGGCCATATCATTCACTCGGCTTCCCGCAGACTCTTGTACCCTCTCTCAGTCGTTGGATTCAAGTATCGAGGTTACGACGGAGAGGAATGCACAGCTTGCTCGCGTCTGGCCCACCTCGGCGGATGTCAAATCTTTCTTCCTTGGAAGCAGACACGGTAGGCCGAAAGGTGTCGACATCAGCTCCCGCAATGGCGAGGCGAAGGCGATGCCGCTTTCTGATCAAAGCGGCAGTTGCAAACAACCTCAAAGAGACCGTCATCTCACTTCCAGGTACGACAGGCATTGCATCCTCTCTGCAGAATGTGTGAGGAAACGGGCCTTGGACGAACGGCAAGGCGTCTGCTGGAGCAATTTTTCGATGGATGAGTCGAATGATACCTTCCGTGATGTATGTGACCTTGCCTCGTGGCGAAACGTCCTCAAGATATGCGAACACGACGGGATCCTCAGTCTGTGCGGACATCTGCAGCATCAGGGTTGGCCATCCCACAATCTCAACGTCAGAGTCCATCGGAGCTGTCTCGTAGCATAAAAGCTTTTCATCTTGAAGGCGTCGGTCGCCATAGGATGTGTTCACGGACTGGTTCCACCGACTCTGCGTGCCTGCTGTTGCTGTCGAATCAACCAAATAGCTATCCACGCCAGCGACAGGATGATCCAACACAAGTTGGTTGATCTCGCTCAGCCAGAAGCAAGAGTTCTCCGCATCTACAGGCGGCCACGTTGTCGACTCGCGGAAGATGCCTGAGCCTAGAACATAGTACTTGATCGATCTGGGAGGCGATCGCCCGTTTAATATCTCTTCTGCAAAACGTATTTGGTCTTGAGTTTGATGCACGACAGAGGGCGTCGGGTCGGTCTGGCCTGGGGAAAATGGATCCACAAGTTCAAGGCCGCCATGGTTGTTCGCAGTGATGATAATGACGCTGGGAATGTCTGGCGTCGAGAGAAATCGGCTGATTCCCTCATCTGCCGTATTACCATCCGTCCAAGATGCCCACCACTGCACTGGCTTGCCTTGTCGGATGACGCCTGGAATCTGACTCGCAGCAGAGCTTTCGAAGTAGCAATGCCCATTCGTGCCTCGGTCATCTCTATACAACACAGCAGCGTAATCATCGGCGGTCCAATGTCTGCCACCGTCTTCACGGCTTTGCAAAGCCATTTGCAGAAGTGAGCAATCCGCATCCTCATCGACGGGTTGCAACGTAGGGAACAGCTTGAGAGAGTCCTCCGCTCGAGTGCGGCCATCTAGGCTGACGGACTGTCCAGCTTCGTCACTGGCCCTCGTGACACCTTCATATACAAAGGGTCTTCCAAAGTCGATATCGTAGACGGTATGAGCCCAGGCTCGAAAGAAGGCGTCGTTGGCAATTCCACCAGGCCAGAAAAGCTCCCACCAGTTGAAGTCTGTTGCACAGGGGATCGCAGCGACCAAAGCGGGCGCATTACGAGTTGTGGCCAAGTCGGCAGTGTTACCAGAATACGATGTCCCGTAGACAATCACTTTGCCGTCGCACCATGTCTGAGCAGCAATGTGGGCGATAATTTCCTCGGCATCTGCTTGCTCCTCCAAGCCCAACTCGTCTCGGCGAGCACCGAACGAAGATGTCGTACCTCGCACATCGACGACACATGCGACGTAGCCTCCCGTAAGCCAGTGATCGATTGATCGAGGACCTGAGCGTGTTTTGACGGCTGCTCGACCGTAACGAGTCAGAACGAGAACGACCGGACGAGGACTTGTAGAAATCGTGTGATCCGGAGAATAGATGCTCAGAGCCAGTCGTACGCCATCTCGCATAGCCAGGTAGTAAGAGCGGTCACTCCATCCAAGAGGGCGTGTATCTTGGCTTGTCGTAGAGGCCATGTTTGCAGTTGCTACGACCTTCTCCTGCTCCTGATGCGGTTCTAGCGATGAGGTTGGTGGTTTTCAACATATCTTCGAGCCAAGTCCAATGACTCATTCCTGATGGATCCACTCAAGCTTGGATACCGTCAGGTGGTTTGAACATGTTGCTGCTACTTCATCAAGGCGATCTCGCTACGAGGACCTGTTTTGTCCCATTGCGGACAAGCGTCGCGAATCCTTCGAGGGGAGGTCAAAGGCCGGGCCAACATTGTAGTCCTAAGAATGCCTCGATCATATCCGTATAGCTGGTGGCTTGATACAGATAGACTGTAAAGTGTTGAGTGTGGCACTGATGATAATCTGCGACTTTGAAGGGATAGTGTTCAAGAAGTGACGTCCCCTCGAAGGGAGGCCCGTGCTCTGAGCTCGGACCAGACCTCCAAACATTCACTTACCTCCAACGCTCTTCTTAGCTCCAACCACCACAGTTCACCCAAGATGGCCGAAGTACCGTCCTTCATCAGTACAACCACCGTCCTCTCCCTCCTCTCAACCGTAATAATCCTGCTCGCCGCGTACATCGCCTCCGTCCAACTCCTCCCCACCACTGCCTCCACAAAAACGCGCATCCTCTTCGTCTGGCACGCGTTCGACGCGTTGATCCATTTCTTCCTAGAAGGAGGATACCTGTACAACTGCTTCTTCTCATATACGACCAACACTGGCCTGTGGAATAACAAGGAGCCACCTTTCGTCTCCGCTTACCTGCCCCCGAACGTGTACTTCCTCGGCCACAAGAACCGCATCTATGGCTCAGAGTATGGGACGAACCCGCTGGCGAAGCTGTGGATGGAGTACGCAAAGGCAGATAAGAGATGGGCGGGTAGCGATTTGGGCATCATCAGCTTGGAGCTCTTGACAGTCTTCATTGCTGGGCCAATGGCTGTGTGGATATGCAACTGCCTCAGGAAGCAGAGGAGCGACGTGTGGTTTTGGATGGTCGTATTGGCTACTGGGGAGCTGTATGGGGGTTTCATGACCTTTGCGCCTGAGTGGTTGTCGGGGAACACCAATTTGGACGGAAGCAATTTCATGTACCTCTGGGTAGGTCAAACAAAAGCTATCTTATGGCGCACCTTACTGACCATAGGTCGTTCTAGATCTACCTCGTTTTCTTCAACGCAGCGCTGTGGGTCGCAATTCCGTTGTGGATTCTCTTTGAAGCCTACAACAGGATTACGAACGCCCTGCAATACCAGAGCCAGGTGGAGTCTGGAAAGAAGGCGAAGTGAGCTTCATTCAGTACGACAAGAAAAGTCTCGTGGGGCTGCGAACGTGCAACGAACTGCAAGATCTATTGCTCTGGCTCTATGACTGCTTGTAATGAGGAGAACTTCTCGCCCTATACTTCCTCATGGTGCGCTGCCACAACCTTCTCTTCCAGCACCCTGCCCTTCAAATCGCCTTCTGTGGCAATCGATAACGCAACGCTGGCGGATCGATGTGCCTCCGTCTCGGCCACAGGACCATCAAACACCTCCGCGATCTCTTCCAAGGACCGGCCTTTCGTCTCTGGAAATAACAGGTAAATGAGCACGATGAACACCACGAGACAGCCGATGTACACAAAGTAGAACTTCCAGGCCAACTTTTCGAGTGCGATGGGATTCACGTATTGGTTGAAGAAGCCAGCGCCGAAGACCGTCGTGAGTGTAACGCTCAAGCCGCGGGTGCGCAGCTTGTATGGGAGGATTTCCACTGGATAGGCGAAGCTGAGCGGTGTGACTGCGATCGGTGTTAGTAGAGTCAAAAAAGCAGCACAGCTTTGTGGGAACTTACAGGCAATGTCGTAGAAGCCAAAGAAGATGAAGAGCATGGCAATGACCGCTTTGCCTGCAGCTTGATCTCCCTTTTCAGCATAGACAGCAGAGAGTGCTGTCAGAATGGAGAACGCGAACAGCATTCCGATCGCACTGATGAGCCAGAGCGGCCTTCGACCGAATCTTTCAGCCGCCATAGCACCTCCAAGCGCCATGATGGCGTTCCAGATCTGCAGACCAAGATTGATGAGAGCTTGTTGACTTGGATCTGTGATGCCGACCGACTTTAGGATCGGGGCTAAATAGTAGGACACAATGCCATTTCCAGCCCACTGGATCATGATACCGACCAGGAAGCAAATCAACAGCCGATGTCGATTACCGGGAGTTGCGAAGAACATCTTCCAGGAGCTGCCGGTAGTTGCGTCCTGTTCGCGCTGGATAGCCTCGCAAATCTCATCGAATTCGTATGCAACCAATGCATCAGAGTCATCGCCGTTGGCATGGAACTTGGATAATATCTTGAATGCCTGCTCTTTCTTGCCCTTGGCCACGAGGAAACGGGGAGACTCCGGGATGAGGATCAAGCCAATGATCTGGAGGCCTGGGAAGAAGATCTGAAGCATGATGGGCATTCGCCATGACCAGCTCGATGAGATGTAGAGACCGCCGAGGGTCGCGGCTGCGGATACGATAGCTCCCCAGTAGAAGGCCGTCTGGAAACATGCTGTCACTGCTCCTCTGCTTCGCGGGTGTGCCGTCTCGGTCGTGAGGGCTGGCGCTGGGATGAGGATAAAGGCGATGCCAACACCCAGAATCAGTTTCGTGGCGAGGAAAGCCCAAGGACCGGTCGTCAAAGCCTGTGTAATGCTCGCGATAATCATTATTGCTGTTCCTATCGCGAGACAGATCTTGCGGCCAAGCGTGTCGCTGACATAGCCAGCTGGGACTAACGCCGCAAGCCCACCGAGCGAGATAGCCGCGATCATGAGGCCGAGTACATTGGTGCTGGAGTCTTGGACTACATCCGTAGTGAATTGAGGAATAGCAAGTACTGGACAAGGTCAGCGACTCGAAGGATATGAAATGGATCTTGCGATACTCACGGCCATTCATCAACGATGCATCGAATCCATTGGCGGTAGCAGACGCGAACGTCAGAAAGATCCCAATGTTCAGTCGTCGGAGTCCTGGGTCACGAAACCATTGTCGACGGCAGTTGTTTGGCAACGACTTGTAGATTTCGTCTCCTCCTCCCGAATTTGCAGCTGGACCGGCAACCATGGCGGCGAGATGTCTAGATGATGTCCAAGAAGCTCAAAGTTTGTCGTCGTCAAGTGCTTGGATTAACTTCTTGTCGTGGCTGATGGCGCAAACATACCATGACTGCGGTCTCACGGTCGACTTATATCCACAGATGACGGTGTCATTGAGTTCGAAAGTACTGGGGTCTCCACGCACCATCTCCACGCACTTTAGAAGCGAAGGATTCGGTTTGAGCGAGCGATTCAGCGATATTTGTCTGCGATTGGCCGTCTTGTAGAGATTCACCGACAGCCCCGTCAGACGCCGCTAGTCTGCAGCACTAGCGTATGGAGTTTGGGCGATTCGTGCCTGCACGCGCAAACCATCTGAACCAAGTGGACATACATTCTCTGGGGTAGTGCGGAGCCCCAACGCTCCACGAGAATACCATGTGCATTGGCAATGTTCGTTGAACTTTGCTTGGCATCATCTACGGGCCGATGCTAGGACTGCAGTTGATTGTCTCCTCGATGTCTGCCGACTGCCGCTATCGTCTCGCAGCAACTGGACTCCAGCGAGGCTGCGGTACTTTCTAGGCTCTGCTGATCCTCCCATCTTCTTCTCCAGCGTCCTGACATATATTTGTCGCGAGCTGGGATCCGCGGACAAACTCAGGAGCAGATATCGCAAGTTTTCGTGGTGCTCGATGCCGTGAGCGGTATTTGAAAACGTCAATGTGTCTAAAAGGGAGTATGCGATCTCGAACTCCTTTTCAAACTATTACTCCAAGTCAGCTCTGGGGTCTTCATGCCCGGGTCACACTTGTACTCACGATGCCGAGACCATGGACCTGAATGGCGATTGGGGGTAAGCTCTTCACGATATCACAGAGAGTCGAGGCTATTGTCAACGGATAGTCATACGAGAACGCTGGATGCGTGTTGGAAGTCGTGATCAACCCTTTCTTCAGAGCAGCCTGCCAGAAGACAAGTCTGAGCCACTGCTGGGTTATCAGCACGTCGGCCCGCTGGATGTCCGACACGCCATGCAAATCCATGGGCTCCCTGAGATGATCTTGAAGCGCAGCCAACTCTGGATAGCCCTTGTCCGTTGATGCAAATCTAGCGGGGTCGTTCCAAAGCTTGACGAAATTGTAGTCCAGCATGGCGAAGAGATTATAGAGACTCTGAAGGCCGGATGCGATCAACGGATCCTCGTCCGCGCAGGAATCATGCGGAAGGTCTGGAGTGTTGAGCGTGCTGACTGGAAACTCGTCCAGCACACATGCCCCTCTCTCTGTGATGAAGAGCAGTACATACGCTCGTTGTTGCCTCAGACGTTCGTCATGTGTCAGAGACACATTCTGACCGACCTCCTCCAACCCTGCGGCATGAGCCAGAGTAATCGCCTCGCGCACATGAAACCAAGATGCTTTGCGACACTTGAGCTCAAATAATGCTATGCCAACGAAGAGCGACGTCAGCACATCGTTGTACGTAGCAGACTCGGCCAGGTCCACTTCCAATCGCGCTTCAAGACATTTTCTGATGAAATGGCGACTCGCAGAAACTCGTTGTTCTGAACTCAAGCCAGGCCACCTATCGACGTGCATGATCGTCATCGCACAGATGGACCACATGAGACACGACTCTGATCTGGTCGCCGAAGAAGGATCTTCCATCAGCGTTTCGACCTTTCTCCGCTCCACGATGGAATAGATTGGATACATATGCGTGAAGAAAAGCTCTACACTCCTCTGCGCAAGCTCGCTGGCTTCAAAGTTGGCCGAGGCATGTTGTTGCAAAGACACAGTGGTGAGGTGTGACAGCGGCGAGGCGTATTGATCTGTCGCTGAAGGAGTACCGACCGAGCTCAACCCGTGAGGGCCAGGCAGTTGGCGCCACGGCTCGCTGCCTTGAGGCAACGGCCAGTTCGAGGAAGCCAGCACATTCTGAGCGAAGTCATCGAACGAGAAGTAGTCGTTGCCGATGGCATCACCTGGTGTGCTCCATTCCGCTTGAAGCGCTGTACTCGATGGCGGCAATAGTGGATCAAGCGTGGCCGGCGTGATTGGCGTCGAGGGAGGCAATGGACCAGGCTGAGTTGTATAAGAAGCACTGCCCACCGCTGCTGTCTCTGCATAGCCTTGTGCTCTCAACTGCTCCACGATAGATCCCCGTCCACGCTTCGGTCCTCGTTTCTTGCGGACAGAAGTGTACGTGCATGCAAGACTAGAGGTCTGACATCGCTCGCACGGATTGGAATAATCGCAGCGTACTTTCCGTTTGCGGCATTGATCGCACGGGATAGGGGTTTTCCTGCGCTCTCTTGCAGACTCCATCTTGACGACATCGGCGAAATACGCGCACAGTTTGAGCGCTCGCTGCGAGTGCAAGCTCCGCCCGCCTCCTCGATTGGAGCTATGGGCTATCGGCAATAGAAGGTCCTGGTTCCGGTTTGGTGTATTTGCAATCGGGCCTTCTGAAACTTTGTTTCTACGAAGGAGTAGCACGAGATTGTCACGGGCATTTTTGCTTTCACAATGCAAAGTAAACTACAATGCAGATTAGCTTCATCTAGCACAATATCATTATGCTAAGCAGCAGCAGCGACGCCTGTCTCGCTGGTTGCCATGGACGTTTGATCTTCGATGGCCAACTCGTCCCACTTTCGCAGCATCTGCTCCATATTGCTTTCGCTACGATTCCCCATGCCCCAGTTTGGATACGTCGAACTCAGCTGTTCAGAGTCAGTGATCCATCGGTCACATGAAAAGATTGAATGAATACCTGGTGCAAGTCTGAAGGCTGCCACGCCGACTCTGCCACGAGGCTGATCATTTGCTGAACAGAATCGGGGAGTCTGACCTTGAGCTCCATTGCAGTGCAGTAGACCATTCGCGCAGTGCCTCTTGCATGCATTTCCTGTAGTCCTGCTGCTAGGAGACATCGGAAGCACTCTGCGAAGCTCGTGTTGACATCTTCGTGCTCAGTATCTGACATTCGGCTGCCAAGGTGTGGTATCGACGACGAGGCCATAGTCGGCATCACTTCCATAGACTGAAGCAGCGTCAATGTCGCAACAGTGGCCATATGGATGAGAAACGGTGGAACGATCTTGTACCCGTATGCTTCTGTGAAATCGTGTGCGATGGTCCCTGACCTGAGCCCCCAAGTGACACCCCGGCTTTTGAGCTGGTCCTCGTAGCCGGTCAGCCCTGCAAGACCATCGCTGGCATCGGACAGTCGCTTGACCGCTCTATTGTACAGACCCATGTTCAGGTCGACAAAGTGGCAGCTAGTAGCATCGAATTTTAGTCGCTGGTCGTGGGCATGGTTGGAAGTGCTCACTGAAACTCAAGAAGAGGCGAAGGCATCCGTTTTGAATAGACCAGATCGTCTGGTAGAGCCTCGTGCCACTCGTGAAGTCTCCATGCCACGGCACTGGCGTCGTCGAGAATCTGCTTGTTGGTTCTCGTAGATCCATAGGGACGAACGAGATCCGCTATTATCGGCACAAGCTTGGTCCTTTGATGTAGCAGAAGGTTGATTCTGAGCGGCAGAGGTTCTCGATTCAATGAAAATCCTGTCCAGTGAGCTGTCACATCTGGCAAGAGTCTTGGAATATCGATCATTCCGTCTTGTACTTTGAACGAGATTGTATCCGAATCGCGACACAGCGCGTGTATGAAGGCCAAGTTCAACCAGACCACGGAAGAGACCAGACATGATCTGACTCTGGTAGCCAGTAGCTCAGCGACAGGGTCAGAATTGCTGACAGGCTCTGGCAAAGACTTGACTAAAGCACCTGCGCGGTAGACTAGATCCAGCCCAATTTTGTCTTTGCCGCGTCTGGCTGATTCCACTCCAATGATCAGCATGGACTGGAGGTTGGTGATCGTTGCTTTCTGGTCTTCGAGCTCCAACAAGCGTAAGGCTTCCCGATGGAAGTGCTCCCCACGAGAAAGCATCTTGCCAGGGACTGCGAACGCTTCGTCAATCTCCGAGAACAGTGACGCTCAGGCTGAGATCGAATGAACCAACAATGGTGAGCAATAGACAGAATGCTTTCGGCTTCGCATCGCGCGAAGGAACGCATCTTCTTCAACAAGCCTCCAGAAAGGGTTTATAAAGCACAAGAATAAGGATACCAGGTGTGATACCGCCTCGTCGTTGTCAGTCATCGATGTCCAGGGCGAGGCTGGCACCCAATAGATTGGACCAGCGTTCTACACCCATTCACGCGATCAGTCTCAGGGGACGGGGCAACATGGGCGAACGTACCGTGCCGTCGGCAATTCGATTTGTCAATCCATGGCTTGGGGCGCCAGGGAGAATCTTGTGCAGGTCCCCCATTGTGACAAGGGTATTCTTCAGGTGCTCATACTTCGGCGATAGGGGTAGATTGACCCTTGTTGACACGTCCATCAAGACTGACGAGGCCACATTGACTATGTCGTCAAGTGCTGCAGTCGATTGAGCGAGTGCTGTAAGAAAAAGACGTCGATGCCTCTCCATTTCAGGTTCATCGTGCCGTTGCGAAACGTGCCGCAGAATGGACTCGACCTGGTGTCCGGCTCGTATACGGCGCAGCGTCTCGATCGCTTGATCCTCATCTTGGCTTGCTAGCCCCTCATAGATCTGTGATAGATCGTCGTATTTCCACTTCAGAGCTTGTTGTGGAGTTTCATTCTCTTGAGCAATGTATTCGCATGCGATGCCCCGCCGACTGCAATCGCTACATGGACGTCTACCATCGCACTGTACTCACCTTTGTCGGGCATGTACCACCATTCCTTGTTCGTGCATATGTACTCGTAACGCAGACGTGCAGTAACAAAACCGTCCTACCCTGTCGGGTCTCATGGCTCTTCGGTCTCAATGCTAACATACCGAGTGCTCGACCACATGTACCTCTGGCATATGATCTTTTCCGCCCTTCACCTTCGCGTGCTTGACTCGTCTAGAGGTAGCACTCGGCTTAGACTGGATACTCGGGTCGACTTCTGCAAGCGCATGTTTGTTTTGGGCCATCTTCAAAACTAGTAGATCAACGCGGCCATGAGTTGAGAAGAAGAAAGACAGATGGGGAGCAAGTTGTGTTGTTATCGAGGGTAAGAAGTCTAAAGCACGCGTCTTCCCTGCCACGACAGACACGTGGCACTGAACACAGTCCCATACAGATAGACGTCGCCCCTCAAATCGATAAATTGCAGTGTCATGATGTATCACGTAGCACAGCCGTCGCCTCTGACGACGGCCTTGCACTGAGCTCGTCTTGATCGACCGGCGAATACTGCTCGTGGTTGCTGATGCTGTCTTGCTTCAGAATTTCTGAGTCTGAGTTGGTGTGTTGTTGTAGTACGATACTTTGACCATCCACACTGGACGGCCAGGCAAAGCAGCCATTGTCTGCCAATCCACGATCGTGCTGGTGCCGTTGTTGACGTATGTGACGAGGGTGGACTCTACGGGAGTAAAGTACTGGCAGCTTGCAAGGACTAGGAATAGCTTTGCGGTGGTGGAAGTCTTCATGCTTGTGTGGTTGTGTTGCAAGGGATGGGAGGCGATGGTAGGTTTGAAGTCTGTTGATCCGGAGCAAGAGGACATAGACAGGCTGGAGGGGCAGCAGAGACAGTCGACAAAGCGAAAGTAGAACATACCAGGTAGCGCTGGCTAGTCTTGTCTTATTGCCCTGTGAATGTATCGGGCCTTCGAGAAGTTCCGGTGTCTTGAAGACATGAGCCGTAGGGGAAAAGGGTGCACAAGAGTGTGCCATTCGCGAATCACCCACTCCAGCCGTACTTACTGCCGCCTTCACCTCTTGCTCGCCTTCCTTCTCCCCACTTGTCCTCCAGTGCTTCTTGTTGTGTGCGGGCATTGTTGACCAGTTGCTGAAGGCTATGCTTGCCTGGCGCCACAGCCTTGACCGCACGATGTTCGATAACCTCGCCAGCCTGTCGCATCTGTTCATTTGCAGCGTACTCAGAGTCCAAGTTGAAGTGCGCGACATTGAAATCTTTGCCACCATGCCTACCGAATAGCTGACGTCGTTGCGCTGGGGTGAGGTTCATATCGGCCGCAACGGCTTCGAGCGAGTTGGGGTTTGACGATGCTGGATTTGCAGGTGATTGAGTGTTCGCGGTCTGTTGCACTTCCTCGGGCAGGTAGCCACGGCCTTCCTCTGCTATTAGGGGCTTATAATCGCCCGTGCTAGAGGATACGGGGAGAGCTTGTTCTTCCTGATTCATCGCGAACAGAGACCTCTTCGGCTTCGGAGCAGGTTCGGGGTCTTTCTCCTTCGCCACATTCGTTGCTGCCGCTCTTGCCATATCTGAATGCTTCCCATTACTCGCGCTTTCAGTTCGCTCGGTGACTGGGGGTGGCTTGTTCGCTGGCTTCTTTTTCTTCTTGCTCGACACACTGAGAGGTAGAAAACGAGTGTTCTTCCGCACCAACTTTGGCTCTTCCGCAGATTCTGTCTTTTCTGGCAACGAATTCTCCCCGTTGCCACTGCTCATAGACACATCTTCTTCGATCGGCGCTTGAGGAGGCGGGTTACGACTGAATGCGGCTTCGCTGCTCGTCTTTAGACTGATCCCAGGTTTTGGGGCATTGGCGCCTGATTTCTTGGGTGCTGGCAGGAAGCTGTTGATCCCACTGAAGGCCCCACCGGTACGCGCTCTCTTCGCAGGAGGTCCATCGGCGCTTTCGTCCTTTTTCTGGCCCGGCTCAGGCTTGAGTGATGGCAAAGAGACTGCAATCTTGCCAGGCGCTGCTTTTTGGAAAGCTGGCTTTGCTGCTGCTGTCTGCTTCGGCGCCTCAGCCCTCGATTCTGTCTCGCTTTCGCTGTCCGAGTAGTCGACCAGTGCCATGTTGATGGTTTGAGAAGGAAAGCGTGATGTGTTCGAAGGTTGAAGCTCGAAGAGGGCTGCATGACTCGCGCCTCAAACGACGACTCCCGCCGGCTCCGTATCCGCCCCGCCCTCTTCCACGTGTAGCCCCTGCACATCACCCACCATTCACTTCAAGACTGCATGTGATAGTAGAATCGCCAGCTGGTCTGGCGCACGGTTCAGTGCCCTTTCCTCACGACCTTGACGACCGCGACGACCATGTCTCTCCTCATGAACGAAGAGTGCGTCTATATGTCCCTCACGCAAGTCCCTTGCTGACATTACCAGGTTCTCCATCTACCAGCTTCGACTCGGATACCTAAACCAGATCCACGACGGCGTTGGCGAACGATTGATCAACCTCAATCCCGCGATCTTGAACAATCCAGCTTTTCGAACCGCAGGATGGGTGCCAGACATCGCCGCGATCAAGCGATGCTACTCTCCTCCGATTCCTACTGGCGGCGGGCCTGAGATCAGTAACGAGTACTTTCAGAGGCCAAGGCGGCCAACTGGGCGACCACTAGAGGAGGAAGATGGCGGCGAAGGCGGTGGAATGGTAACCGGACATCAAGGGAGCGAGGATACACTTGGCCCAGCTGGGCTACATGCAAATGAGAGGAAGCGGGAGAGAAGACGCAGGAAAGAGCAGCTGGAAGAAGATGACAGTTCAGATTTGAGTGATGATAGCGATGAAGATGATTTGGCCAAGGGACCTGCGCAGAGCATCAAGTTCAGCAAGATGCCAATTCGAAATCGGGCAAAATCGTCACCCCCAACACAGGCCAGTACGCTCAAAGCTGGATTTGAAGATGGGCCCGCGGTGATGATCACTAGCCCTTCCCGGCCGCCAGAAGGAAGCGCGTTTGGTAGGCTACGGAGCGGCAGCGTGGGACAAGTAGAGGCTGTGAAACAGAGGGCGAGGAGAGACACCACGACTAGCTCAGAAGTATCCAGTGAGAACGACACAGCACCTGCTCAGTTCAAGAAGAAGCTTCCAAGTCGACCTGGTAAAGGCCCCAGCGTGCTGACAATGGACGACGACATTCAAGAGGAGGAACACGACGGCGATGGTACCGCTGGCTCTGAGCTAGATGATGAAGACGACGATGACATCGATGTAGGCGAGGCTTCGGATCTCAGCGATGAATTTGAAGGAACGGCAGACTCGCCTTCGATGCTCGGATTACCTGGAGCGAGCGACGGAATGTCCACTTCTCCGCTCAAACCACCTCCAGATATGCTGCCCGCGATAACACCTGCAAACAGTTCTCCAAAGAAGCAAGCCAGGGAAGCGTTACCTCGCCTGCCGAAGTTACCACCTGGCCAAAGACCGAAGAGCATGGCACCGCAGAATGTTGGGATGATCAGCATGATGATTAAAGGCAGTGGCGGTGTCAGTGACAAGCCTTTCCAAAAGTTCGCCGAGTTTTCAGGCAAGGATGAGCCAAATCCCCTCTGGATCAAGATCTATGCCCCGTTCTCTGAGAAACCAAGCGACCCCATACAAGTCCCATTGCGCAGGATTAAAGAAGATCGTCCAGTGACGGTTGCAGACTTGATCGGACTGGCCTTGTGGAGATACGTGGAGGAGGAGTACAAGCCTGAAATACAACCAGACGAAAGCAGCATCAATCGATGGACTCTTCGAATAGTAGAGGATGAGGAAATCGACTATGATTTTCCGGCTTTGACACGCACTCGACCGATTATTGACTTTACATCCAATAACAACAATCCACCTCGACGCTCTCGCGACAAGCCTTGGGATGAGTTTGGGCTAGTCAAGGCGACCGAAGAGCAGTTCAAGGAGAACGAGGAACTGACTCCTCAGATTGGAGATATGGGAAGCACAGGACCTGCTCCTCTGGCTACGCCGAAACTGGAGGCCCCAAGAGCTCCTACACCAGCGCCTCTGTCAAGGAACGGAACTGAGGCTCCCCCGACTCCAGCTTTCCCATCCTTCAATCCAGCACGAAATCCCATCACCGGTCCGTCTTTCGCACCCAATGCATTGCGCAAGGACTCGACGGCCCCTGCAGACATGCCACAGCGCGAGACTCGATCCGGAGCCGCAAAGACCGGTGCACCGCGCAAAGTTATGGTCACATTCACCGACCCGTCGACATTCGCTACTCGCAACGAGTCCTACGACACCACCACCGACAGCTACATCGCCGAGATCTTCGAGAAAGCATGTGCTCGTCTCGGCCTAGACAAAGCCCTCTTCGTCTTCAAAGTCCACGGCACGCAAGTCGTCGCACCACCCGACCGCACCATCGAAGCCCTCAATGACAAACTCCACCTCGACCTCGTCCGCCGCCGCTTCGCAGGCTCAGGAATGGGCGGCGGAGACGGCATGTTCGGCATGGGCCTCTCAGGCTCGCCCGGCAGCTCCTCACCAAACGCCCCTCTAGACCTCACACCCGCCAACGCCACACCGGGCCACTCGAAAAAGAAAGGCATGAAAGGCTTCACGCTGCACCCCCTGGCCGCGCAACAAAAATCCGAACTCAAATCCACCGGCCCCTCGATGCTCGACCTGACAACAGGAGGCTTCGGCACCGAAGGCAAACGCTACAACGTCCTGCGCAAACAACCCCTCTCCTTCGCCGCGACGCACCCGCGCACCCTCATCATCACGCCGGAATACATGACCATCATGCCCGCCGCGCCGGACAGTCTGGCCGCGCCGACGGGCAAGGTGACGAACGTCCCCATGACGAGCATCATCGGCGCGAAGGTGAGCAGGAAGCATCCGCGGATGGTGAGGATCTATGTGTTCCGGGAGAAGGAGCAGAAGAGGTATGATTTCGAGGCGGCGAATCATCGCGAGGCGGAGGAGATTGTGGGTGATGTGAGGAAGGGGATGGAGAATTTTGGGGCGATGGGTGGGGAGGAGTAAAGGATATGGGAGGCGTTTTTGGGAAGCGAGTAGAGGAAGAGATACCCAGGGTAGTATATTTTCGAACGGAATTGATGCAACGACAAACTTTCTATCTCAACTAACACCTGCAAATCTAGTACCCAAACACCACCCCCTGAAAAGCCCCCAACACGACGTTCTCCCCACTCCCCACGAACCCCTTCGCCCCCTCCCCACCATACGTATCATCCAGCACGAAAAACTTCAAGGCCTCCCCACCATTCATCCCCTTCGGCATCTTAAACTCCACTCCCTCCCCATTCCCCAAATTCAACACCACCAAAATATCCCGCACGCACACCGCGTCCTTTCCCCTCGCCTTCCCCTCCTCCTCCACGAGCGGTTTCCGCCAATACGCGAACACACCCCCGTCCCCCAGCGTCCCCTCCACGGCCTCGAAGTCCCCGAAAATCACCGTCTCGCCGAATTTCTTGCGCAGGGAGAGCCGGTGACGGTAGTAGTTGAGGACAGAGGAGGGCGAGGAGAGTTGGGAGGTTATATTGCAGGTTGCGGAGTCGGTGTTCATGGGCGACCAGGTCTTTGCCTTCGGTGGGGCGGAGGAGAAGCCTGCGTGGGGTTCGGAGGGCGACGAGGCTGTCCAGGGGAGGGGCGCGCGAGCGTGGTCGCGGGCTTTGAGGTGGACTTGTGTGAGGAAGGGAGCCATGTCGACGTCTTCAATGGAAACGCCATGTTGCGCTGCTCGAGCGGCACGCATGGAAGCCCAGGTCTGGTGCGTCTCGAGGTCTTTGTACTCGCTCAGGGGAATGCTGGGATCGAGGTTGATCATGCCGATTTCCTGGCCTTGGTAGAGGAAGAAAGTGCCGCTGAAGGTGCTTTGCAGGAGGGCGAGCATTTTGGCGACTTTGGTGCGGTTCTTGGGGTCTTTGTCCCCGAAACGTGTTACGCAGCGAGCGGAGTCGTGGGATTCGAGCCAGGTTGTTTGCCAGGCGCCTTTGGAGTACGCGAGGGCGTTCTGCCATTTGATGATGTCGTGCTTGAACTCGGATAGTGTCCATGGTCGTGGGTCGAACTTCCCGCCCGAGCCCATGTCGATGCCGAAGAGGTCGTAGGTGTACACCATGTTCAGCTCTTGTCGGTCGGGGTCGGTGAATGCGCGGACGTCTGCTGGTTTGTCTGTGCAGATGACTTCTCCCACGGTCATGACTTGATCGCCATAAGGATCCAGAGCCTCCTTTCTCATCTCCTTCAAGAACTCATGCACCCGAGGTCCATTGCAACACAAGGCCGTAGCATTCTGCCATGGCGTCTTCGAATCCTTCACAGGAGCATCAGGAAGACCATCCGGCTTGGAGATCATATTGATGACATCCATCCTGAATCCCGCAACCCCTTTCTCCAACCAGAACCTCATATCGCTGTAGACCGCCTTCCTCACTTTCGGATTGTCCCAGTTGAGGTCAGGCTGCTGCTTGCTGAAGATGCGGAGGTAGTACTCATCCGTACGCTCATCATACTCCCACGCCGAGCCCCTGAAGATACTCTCCCAGTTGTTCGGTGGGTGACGCTCAACAGTACCGTCAGGAAGCCGCATCGTAATGCCCTTCCGCCAGAAGTACCAGTCACGCTTGGGATTCTTCAAACTAGACCTGCTCTCCTTGAACCAAGCATGCTCATCACTCGTGTGATTGACGACCAGATCCATGATCAACTTCATGCCGTGCTCTTTGAGCTTCGCAATCAGCTTCTCGATGTCTTCCACGGTACCGTACTGTGGATCAACGTCCCGGTAGTCGACGACATCGTAGCCCATATCGACACCGCTGCTTCGGTAGCATGCTGCGAGCCAGACGGCGTCCACGCCCAGGTTGGCAAGATATTCGACTTTGGAGATGAGGCCTGGGATGTCGCCGATGCCATCGCCGTTGGAGTCTTTGAAGGAAGCTGGGTAGGCTTCGTAGATGGCGGCGTTGTGCCACCAGTGGCGCTTGGAAGACATTATGCCACGAGTTCGTCCGGGTGTGCTGCTTGATGGGTATTGAAGTCCTCTGATGATCCGAGGAAGTTGTGATGCTAGTTGGCGAAGTCGCAGCGAAGGCACGTTGGGCATCCCTGCTAATAAGACAGTCGAGCGCCACTCGTGAACAAAGTCAAGAACACGTCGACGATGTATTTACGGAAGGATCTCATCACCGTTGCCGTTCATGCCGTGCGACACAGCCTGATGTCGTAGCTCATGCACGCCCACATGTATTCAATACACAAGAAGAAGACTCACACGTTGTTGTTGTCGTGAACACCTCTGTCCACCTTCCCATAAGATCAGCAAACATATCTACCATCCCAACGATCAATCCTCTTCTCAACAACCACTCCTACCAAAGCCCCACCATCCCTCCCTCTCCTTAAACCCCAACACTAACCCTACCCACCTCCTCAACCCCCTCCATAGCCACCCGAATCTCCCTAACAACCTCCTCCTCCTCCATCCTTTCCTCACTCCTAACCAACCTCCCATCCCTCACCGCAAACCCCCTCCCCCCATCCAAAACGCAACACCTCACCACCGCCTTAAATTCCACAAACCCAAACACCTCCCTCTCCCTGCCCCTCGCCTGCAGCAGTCGATTCGTGAGGACGAAGAGCTGTCCGATGGGGATGGGTAAATGGGTTCCCTCATTGGTCAGGTGCGTGATGCAGTCGACGAGGAGGTCGATACGTTGGGGGGGTTCGATGGAGCGTTGGTTGTCAGGTGGTCGAGGCGCGTCTTCGGTGAGGAAGGCTGGGTAGTGTACTGTGAGAGGGGTGCCGTTGATGCCGTTCGGTGCTGTCATCCCCGGGCTGTGGCGAAAGGGGTCGATCAGAAGACGAGGTGTATGGCGACAGCTGAGAGTCCTCTCTTTGTTTAGTGTTCTTGCTTAACCTCGAAAGTGGTCTTTTCCCTTCATGCCAGCAACCCCATTCTTGTCCGTTGAATCCCTATGCTTTTATACCACGACCCAATCCGTCTAATTCGCATTAACAACGGTACACTTCTCCGCCTCACTCTATCCATCGATATAAACCGCACTCAATAGACACCTGCTCATCCAGTTGGTAACAATTCGATACTATCCCGGCTCCACAATAAAGTGGCGACAGAAAAGGTAGATAGATTAGATTAACATCATCGCCGCACTGCTTCGCTTATTAGCTTTCGACATCATACAATTTGCCACATCCTCTACTTGCTTCTTCTGCTGGTCGTTGCCGCATCTTTATTGCATCGTGGAGATACCTGGTCGAAGAATCATCTGTCACTACAGCTTGAGATCATGAAAGAGCACGCCACGGACAATCCAGAACCTCATGCCATCTTTATCTCTTTACTTGCCTGCCTGCCTGCCAGTGGGACACCCCCGCCAGACAAATCAATACAACTGATGCCCTCCCTAACGGGAATCGAGCGCGCGCACACATCCAATGAATCCCATGAATTACTCATCGTCGTATCTCTCAGACTTCGCCTGCGCCCTCATACAAAGAGAGAAAAAGAAGAAACCAACCCCGCCCCTTTGCCTGTGTGAACAACGCCGGACAGAATGCTGGTTCTCAAAATGTGGAAATGTTTTCGCTCGCTTGCTTCGCTCAATACTTGCACACTGAAATGCTCAAAACACTGCTTGGTCGGTTTGATACCCGGTTTGCCCAGCATCCAGGATCGGAGGAGGTACTGAAGAAGGCCTTGTATCCCAAAGGGTATGATGATGATGATGATGATGATGATGATGATGATGACGGACGTAGAATGGTCAAGTCTTCAGACCTTTAAAGACGACGGCTGGCTGAGCATGCTATCGGTCTTGCCAGATGCGTCGCCATTGCTGATTTCCAGACACCGTCGAGCCAGAGCCACGACTTCGCCCTCTCCGTCCTCGCTCTCGTCACCTTCATCCTCCGACTCTACAGTCTTTTCGCTGATTTCGCGGACCATTCGCATGACGTCTTCTGACTTGTTGATGGTTTCGACGAGTTTCTGATCACCGGATTCCAGAAGCTGCAAAAGAGTCCAAATGGCGATATGTTGGAACGTGGGGTCTCCTGATGCAAGGAAGCGATTGAGGTAGCCGTGAATGCCACCTGAGGGTTGGTTCCATGAGGTCAAGAAGAGGGAGTAGTCGCCCACTGATCTGCGTTAGCCATCAGAAAGGTAAATATTTGGTGCTATGCTCACCTTTGCTGCTCAAGTTGCCCAGAGCAGCAGCACTGTTCCCTTGGACTTCTATGCTTTCACTCTCTGTCAATGGGATGAGCACGTCAAAGACACCAAGATCCAATAGTTGTGGCTTCAAATCGTCGGACAGTGCCAAGACAGCTATCGCAGCCGTCATCTCCGATTGTACACTGAGCGGTACGTCGAGAACAAGCTCTTTGCACTTTTGCACTGCGCCTGCTTGTAGTACCAGTTGCTTGTTCTTGTCGGACGAAGCCGCCAGATTTCGTAGCGTTGAGATTGCGTGGCATTGGATTTCTTCATTGTCTGTCGAGCCGAGGAGATCGACGAGCGGTTTCAAGAATCCAGCATCGATGATTGGTGACTCGTTCATGGGATGTATGCTGATGTTGCGAATACATGCAACTGCTGAAAGGATTAAAGGCAGGTAGCTGCTTTGTAGCAACTGCAATAATGGTGGAAGGCCTCCGGCTCGTACGATCTCCAGTTGATACTTCTCGTCGCTGGCAAGGTTTCTGAGAGCCAAGGCGGCCTGGCATTGCACTTTTGGTGCCTGGCCTTTCATCAGGTGGACTAAGCTCTGCACCAGTTTGTTCTCTGTTTGTGATAGCCTCTTTCGATTGGTGCTGTCCACGGCGATGTTGCTGAGAGCAGTGGTACAGTAGTACTGTACGTCTGTGTCTGGACTGCTGAGCAAGCTCACAAGCACTGGGATCGCGCCTGCGGAGACAAGTTGCTGTCTGTTGTCGTCCGAGTGTGTCATATTCAACAGCGCGCCTGTAGCGTTTCGCTGTACCCGCATATCTTTGCTCTTGGCCAGACGAGTCAGTGGCGCCAGGGCGCCTGATCGGGCTATTCTTGCTTTATTTTCTTCATGTGTGGCCAGGTTCGTTATGCAGCCGACGGCGTTGCACTGGACTTCGACGTTGGGGCTGTTCATTTGGCGGATGAGGGGAGTGAGTCCGCCCAGGGAGACAATCAAAGTTTTGTTCTGGCCTGCATCGCTGTCAGCGCTGCTACACATCCAAAGCATGTTATATTGGTGGGTGGTACCATCTACGGCAAGGTTACCCAACGCAGCCGAGGCGGCGCGCTGTACCTCAATGTCTGGGCTTTCGAGGAGGTATAGGATAGGCTCGAGGGTCGCCCTGTCTACCGGTCTGACATCTGCGGTGCACTGTGTCAGTTGTATCTTTCCTGCATGTGCCGGATCTCTCAAACATGCCTCTTTCTGTGATTTCGGCAAAGGTCAAGCTGGCGCTTCGCTGCAGGTCGATGTTTTGGCTGTAGACGAGGGTGGAGAGCGCGGCGAGCGGTTCGCCGGAGAAGAAGTCGGTCTCGCCTCTCTGTGTGGCAGTCTCATTAGCAGGCGCATACAAGTTGGGGCGCCGTCGAACGTCTTGCAGCAGGGCAAGACAGGCTTCGAGGCGTTGGGCGTACAGTACATTCTCGAGGTAGTTGAGGAGGTCGGCGACTGCTTCCCTTTCCGAGTCGGCCAGGACATTATCGTAGTCGACCTTGGAGCGGCCTGCAATAAGAATGACGTGCGGTTAGCATCTGAGACATGCGCGGTGTGCATAGCAGCTGGGAACGCAGCAGGGAGAGGCGTACTTCCGCAGCAGGAGAAGATCTTGCGACACAGGTCGGCCATGCTTATGTGGATGTTGCTCGCATGCGCGGCCGCGGCGGGCCTGGAGAGGAGGTGGTGGGTTGTTTGCTGGCAGCTATGGAGCGCAGCGGCGCGTCATGTGAATGTATCGAGGTGGTGTATGATGCTTGCTATTGGCCCGGGTGCAGCAAGCAGAGCCTCACGGAGCGCAGACGAGATATTGGAGTATGGGCGAGCGAGGGTGCAGCGGTGAGGAGCTGTCTACATGCTGCGCAGTCGCTATCAACCGTCACGGCAGTCGCTGTGTTGCTTGCTGAGCTTCCAAGTTCATCGCTAGACGACCGTTTGTGATGGCACGTGCGCTCCGTGCCTGAGGCAGCAATCCCAACGCATACGTCTTCGACATCGCAACTCCACCACCACCTCACCTCTTCACCATCTCGAGCATGGAGAGGCAGACCATCAACTTATCAGCATCAACATCATCACGAGAGCTTGGTGGAAATGAGCACGTGACGACTACTCGTGTCAACGCCGCTTGCTCGAGGATCTCACTACTCAGGCAGGGCATCGAGCTCCGATGTCTGACAGATGATCAAGCTTGTAGGCGAGAGTCTACACCATTATGTCAATCACAGCCAATGGCCACCCGTTGAAGCTATCGCTACTTGTTGAAGGAGCAATTGGCCTTTGACCCTGCTGATGCTGCCGTCTGACTACTGTAGCTCCGAGTTGACTGTCTTCTCCACTGCGGCATTAATATCCAAGTGTCCTGGATGGCGTCGTATGGGCGTCTTGGCCTTGCACCACTCGCGCATTGCATTGATGCCGGTATGTGAGGTACCACTCTCGCGAGGTGGTGCCGCCGTGAGCGTGACCTGAGTCCTGACAGGCCCCGAGCTAATCGAGCATGCGGCTCTGGAGAATGAGCCATTTTCTGCTCGAGAGATGCAGGCCATCGATGGCCTATGCGAGCAACAACGTACAGGCCGTTCATTAGCCGCGTTTATTTGCACCTCACTTCATGTCCCAAGAGTGCAATCATACTTATCTGCTCACCCGAGTCCTCTGTCTTGGCCACTCCTTCGTCGTCTTGGCTCGCTGCACAAGCTGCCAGCTCAGCTGCAAATCGCCAGCACCACCTCTCTCCATCCGGCAGGCGCCTGGCATGTGATCATCCGCGTCTGGCCGAGCGCCGCCGTGTATGGATGCTGCTCTGGCCTGCTATGGGGAGGCCGAACGAGCAGACACACTGCACAGCACGCACCTCGACCGATCTCGACATCAACAGCCCCCGTGGCATCTACAGCCTCTCGGCCGCATCGTGCTATGCACAGTGCCGGCGACCAGGCAAGCATCGACCAGCTGTTGCGGCACGTTGGCGTCGCTTGGTCGCGGGAGGGGCTGCTAGCAGGCGAGCATGACCCCGGCACATTGAAGAGTGATCTACGCATCCCCGCGAAAGGTGCAGGCTAAGGAGGACGTTCAGTGCTTACTAGAGCGCCGTTTAACGATGACGTGAAGCCAGAGCAGCTTAGGCTGCGACGAGGTGCAGTTTGGCTGTGGGCGAGGACAGAGGCAGCGGCGGGGAAGGGCGGGCCATGGCCAGACTGTGGTGTCGAGCAAGCTACGTCTCCACCCAGCGTTGCGCTGCTCTCAAATCGGCTTTGTTCTCAGACCTGTAAGAAATCCAAGCAATGACGGACGCTGCTGAGGAGGCTGTGTTTACTTGGCGCACGTCTATACGTTCCCTTGTACCGCCGGTTTGAGTTGCGCATTGCTCATAAAGCAGGCAAGGGCAGCTCGTGTGCCCCTCACCATTGCCTGACGCTCAATCTCCAGAAATCAACCTTCTTGTGCGCGCTCCCAGAGTCGGCTCGCCGCTGTCTGGAACCGGTACCGCCCCTACGACTGCCCCATGTACTAGCCCTGCTATTACGTCTGCACCGCCGTTGCTGCTGTCCGCGGCGACGTCTTATTATTGCCTCCTGCCTGCTGCGCGACGCCCGCTGATGTTGTTTCTGCTGCCGCCGCCGCCCAACATCTCCAGCCCAAGCACCCCTTCGCCCCAATAACAGCAGTGGATAGGCTTATATGGCCGCCTACGACATCCAGCGACATTTCAGTGGTCTCCGCGTACAGACCGCCCGCCGGCGCCGCGACCCCTTTGCCGAGACGTTTGATGATGACAGTGAGGACGAAGGCAGGAAGAGCAGGACCAAGACCAAGGCTCCGGCCGCAGCCAAGACACCGGCAACCGCCCCGGCCAAAACGAGCGTCGCCTCACCCTTTGCATCTCTCGACGCCCTGCGAGACAGCGACGATGACTTCCTAGACGTCCCGACGCAGAAGAAGAGAACCGACCGCCGTCCCAGCCCGGCGCCTGCGAAACTTGCAGCGCAGCGCGTGATCGACGGAGCTGGCCGACGAGGCTCGCTGCCTGGTGCCCTCCCCAGCACCGACCCCAAGAAGGCTGCTGTGCTCGCGGCTGGTCCGTTGGCATATCTCGACGAGAGCAGCGACGACGAACCTCTTGTGCGCCTCTCCCGTAGCGACAGCCCGGCATCCCGCAAGGGCTCCAACGACCCCAGTGCCCGCTCTCAGACCCCCCGAGGCGACACGCTCGCAGCGAAAGAGCAGTCTCCAAAAAACATAATCGCACCTCCCAAACACACCGTCGCGTCGCCCTTTGCCGGCACGGTATGAAACACTGCTGCAATCACGTGACTCGTATAACCCGACGCTAACCCCAGATTCCAGAAATACCTGCAGGACAGCGACAGTGACGAGGAAGCCGTCTCCTCTCGCAAGAACAGCGCCGACAGCGGCAACTCTCCGGAACGCAAAGCAAACAGCACCAACGGCGAACCCAGCAAGCACCTCGATGTCAAGCGCGTCGACAAGCCCAAGCAGAATGGCTCAGGCGTCTCATGGCGCGCCTTCTCCGCCAGCCGCGCAGAGCAGCGCTACGCCGAGGTCGAGGCTCTCCAGGCAAGCCTTAGGCAGCGTGGAAGGACCATATCCTTCTGCCCGCACGTTACAACCGACGACGGGAAGCGAATCCCTCTTAGTTCAACATCTGAACGCGGACCCGGCCCAAAGGGAAGAGCAAGAGGAAAGTCTCCGCCGAGACGAGCTGAGGACACGAAGCCCCACAGCGATGAGGTGGCTAATCGGACAGGAGGAGGACCAGTGGGAATCTACAACCCGGTCGAGTTCAAGACGAACCCATTCACCGGTACATAGCGCCCGGACTGAGCGTCGTGGGAATATCTCGCTTACTTTGGGTGCGCAGGAGATCCTGTCCGGCGATCGAATAGCGACGACCGAGGCAGCGATATCAAACGACCTGGACCGGTCAATAACAGCCTCCCTGACATCCGCATCGACGATATCTCCCAGCAATGATCGCGAGCTGCAGACTCCTGTGTCACCTACAAGCACCAGCGCCCTTACCGACTCGATCGAATCAATAGCCGCCAAATTAACAGTCTCGCCGCAAACAATACCTGAATCGCAGCGGGTCGATCATTCTGTGTACTCGCCTGTTCTGATGTCGCCGACCGCAGAATTCGACCGTGATCAGCTCAGCAGAAATTCGAGCACACGGTCCATACGTATGCCACGCCCCTCGAGGATACCTAACTCTGGATCCAGACGCAACTCGCGGCGATCTACATCTGCTAACACTTCAGTCAGTCCTGCGCATGCTTTCCTCTCAAACTGGGCCAAGGCAGAAGCCGAGGAAGCGGCTGCCGAGCCCAAGCCTGATGATGAAGGTCAGTCCATTGGTCTCAACAACGAATACGTTATAGGTCGGACCATCAATCGCGGAGGCTTTGGCGTTGTCAAAGAAGTCCATTCGCTTGAAGAAAATGGCCATCGAGTCGTTCGCGCTGTCAAAATCGTCCGCAGAAATATCGGTGGGGTCAACGAAGCCGACAACGACAAGGCACAGCAAGAAGTGGAGCATGAAGTATCGATCTGGCGATATCTCAAACATCGGCACATACTGAGCCTGCACGCCGTGTATGAGACCGATTTCGCAACCTTCTGTGTTATGGACCTCAACGTTGGCGGTACACTCTTCGATCTGGTACGAAAGTGCAGGCAGAACGCATCAGCCAACAACGGGCGAAAAGGTCTTCCTGCGCATCTTGCCAAAAGCTACGCATACCAACTGGCGTGCGCTTTGAGATACTTGCATGAAGACATCCGGGTCTGTCATCGCGATGTCAAACTGGAGAACTGTCTGGTTGACTTGACAGTGCCTAATGCTGATGTCGAAGGTGGTAACCTCAGACTCTGCGATTTTGGTCTGGCGGATTTCCTCCACAGTGAGAGCATCGATGAGACGACAGCGCCAGACAGATACTCAGAGCATTTGTCGCTTTCGACTGAAATACCCGTTACTACTGCCTCGTCAATCATTGGTACGCTGGAATACGCCTCTCCGAAAGGTCTCTCCGTCAATCGCAAGCTATTCGAGACAGCTGGCGATGTCTGGGCTTTCGGTGTCATCGTCTACGCACTTTGTACAGGCGACCTGCCATTCAAACATGCGATGCCCAGCAAAACGGCCGAACTGATCCTCAGAGCAGACTGGGACGAGACCGCACTTCGCGAAGTCGCAGCAGGAGGCGGAGACGTCATCGACCTGGTCAAAGGCTGCCTGGAGAAAGAGATTGACATCAGATTTACGATCAGCGACGCTCTCCGATCCCCATGGTTCGAGGGATGTCGCGAGGAAAGCGAGGAATCTTTACGAGGGAATGGATGGAACTGAACGACACTTGCAGACACCAAAAAACACACCCACGACTTTGATGACAGGTTAACCAAGGAAAAAAACGGGACAGGAGTGAGGCGCTTTGAGATATTGGGTTCGGATTGTGCAAAATTGGGCACACACGACGGGCGCACAACCTTTGAGACTGGGATACCCCCTGCGCTGCGATTTTTGGTCTATTCAACTCCATCCGATTACTATTATTACTACGACTGTAAGCAAAATACCCATAGCGTGAATTGATGAAAATTTGTCTTTTTAGATTGATCACGTACAGTGCTTCCTTATAGTATTCGTGGTACGTTGCTCAATCGATGCAGTGAGATCTTCTTCTCGTTGGCCTCAGCATAATCGTATGTGAGCCATCAAAAACTGAACTTTCACCCGACCTCCTCATCCCCTCGCTCAAATCACTCTCTCTATCAATCAACTCACCAACTCACTCAATCATGCAAATCCCTCTCCAACGTCACCTCCGGCCGATCAATCCGATAAATCACCTTAGCCGCATTCAAATACGCCTCATACTCAACCTCCTCTCCCCCCTCCTCCCCCTCATCCAAATCATAATGATAATGCCCACCACTCCCCCCACCCCCGGCCTCGAAACAATGCGTATGCTCCATCCTCAACCCCATTTTCTTCTCCGGATCCGCAGAGTGGAAAACCGTCAGACACACGATGGGCCCGGGGAAGTCGTGGTAGGTGAGCCAGTCGTTGAGGTGTTTGGCGTCTTTGAAGGGCAGCTGGGAGGCTGGGGGGAAGTCGGGCATGACGTGGAATTTGGCCTTGCCGGACTTGAGCAGGAAGACGCCGCCGAGGGAGATGGGGCGCGCGTCGCCGTAGTGGGCGTGCAGGGCGTGGCGGAGGAGGTCGGTGAAGGATTTCTGAGAGCCGCGGCGGCCTTTGGCGGTGATTTTGAGGACGGGGCCCGGGAGCCCCGCGCTGCCGTAGAGGTTGATCATGAGGGCGCAGTCGGGGGTTGGGGAGGGTTCGCAGGAGGGTTCCCCCGGGGGGTCTTCGTATTTGGTGTAGTAGGTCTGGTTGTCGAGGTTATCGAAGGAGTCTCTCCAGCTGAGGTTCGGGGCGAGTTCTGAGTTCATGCCGATGATGTGGAAGGGTCCGGCGCCGGCGCCGAGGAGGTGGCCGCCTGTGGGGGACATTTGCATTTCGCGGGCGAGGTTGAGGAGGGACCATTTGCAGTCGAGGCGCGGTGTGGGGAAGAGGTTCGGTTGGCCGCCGATGTCTGCTATGCTTTCGTTTCCTGTGAGGCCTGAGGTGGCGAGGTGGTAGGGGGGTTGGCGGAGGTCTGGACAGGGGGAGACGGTGATGGAGGAGGTTTTGTAGTTGGATTCGAGGGCGGGTTTGAGGACTTGGGCGAGTTCGTCTAGGGAGGGTGGAGAGAGGGGGTATTGTTGGGTCGGCATGGTTTTGACTTGTAGGTGTTGGTCGTGCCAGTAAGATGGTAGTCTTTCTCCTGGCGGATGTAATAAGAAGATGGCAGGTTCAAGAGATGTTGGAATGAAACGAGATGGGAGACAAGGGAACGGAAGGGACTCGGAGCTCTGTCTTATTAACCAATTGATCTTACGGAAGCGTTTGGCGGAGTCATAGGAGCATCAATTGGTGTTTCTTATGCAATTTGGACAGAATGTAGAAGAAAGAGAAGAGGAAGAGCATCGAGTTGAAGTGAGGATCGTCATCCGCTGGACCGTGCGCTTGAGGTGAGGTTCGACTCCCACTTCACCTCATCGGCCTTTGACCGTCTTCAAAACAACATCATCGCAAAAATATTCCGCCGACATCGCAGATTGGTATAGAGAGCATTCAGAACTCAGTTGCTACACAATAAATTTCTCGCCTGGGCGCGATTGCTCAAACAAGGCTGGAATCTCGAACCCTCGGTCCTCCACTTCAAGGCTCCATCTACCCCTCGTGGCAGTGGAAATGGTTAGGATGACGACTTCGGAGCACTTTCCAATGCTGATATCCCTTGTTTGGGATGCATGTCACTCGTCTCGAGGCAAGTGATAGCCGTTGTCCTTGCCATTCTCAGTATTTCTCAAAAGAACATCCGTTCGTCTTCAAGATCTTCCAGCCTTTTACCTCACCCTGTAATTTCGTACCGGTGTTCCGTCATGACTTCTAAATTCCCTATATATCCTGACCTGAAAGGCAAAGTCGCACTGATCACAGGAATCGGCCAAGTCGGTATCCCTGATTCACCCACCTGGGGCAATGGAGCAGCAACAGCGAGGTTGCTCGCAGCTAACGGCGTCAAGATCTTTGGCTGTGACCTAAAGATCGAAGCAGCCGAGTATACCAAACAACGACTCCTGAAGGACAAACCCGAAGCCATCTGCGATGTAGTAGCCGCCGACATGACCAACATCAACGACATCGAGAAATTCGTCAATGGAGCATTGGACAAGCACGGCCGGATACACATCCTATACAACAACGTCGGGATGACCGCTCCTGGAGACCCAGGAACTATCTCCGAAGAACTCTGGCAAAAGCAATTCGACCTAAACCTCAACAGCGTCTTCCGGTGCTGCCGTCTGGTCCTCCCCATCATGGAACGACAAGGCTCCGGCTCGATCGTCAACAACGCCTCCATAACAGCCTTACGCTACATCGGCAAGCCGCAAATCGCTTACGCCACCGCAAAAGCCGCCGTGATTCAATACACCAAAGCGACCGGATGCATGTACGCCTCCAAAGGCGTCCGGATGAACTGCGTTGTTCCTGGATTGATGTACACTCCGCTGGTCGAGAATATGGAGAGGAGTGATAGGGAAGAGGATCGAGAGGTCGCGAGGAAGATCACCCAGCATAATGTTCCTATGGGCAGGATGGGCGGTAGTGTCGATGTGGCGAATGCGGTGGTATTTCTCGCGAGTGATGCGGCGAAGTATATTACTAGTCATCCGCTTGTGGTGGATGGGGGGATTACAGAGTCGACGGGGACTGGTGGGGTTTGAAGGGTTTGTGAAGGGGACTGGCCATGCTGAGGTACTTGAGGCTGCATTGGAGTCCTCGAATGGCGGACGCGGTAACTAGGTCATAAGGATTCGAAAGGGGTACTATGCTGTTGTTTCTTCCAAGCATGCTTCATTAGCGGCCATTTTTGGAAGCTCATATGTCGGAGAGAGCTTGAACTAGCGTAGACGCAGTCGGCAAGATTCAGCTTTATAGATCCTATATCTGTGAGATTGCAGGTGGCTGTCCATTAGGAAGCCCAAGGAGAGCAATGCAGGCGAAAAAACGTTTTAAACATTTGATAACAAGTACGGCCAGACAGGAGACTTGACAATGTAGGCAGCAAAGCAAAGCTTTCCATTTTCTGATCAACGACTGTGCCCACGAGAAACATCAAGCACCAAGGAGACTAGTTCTACAAAACCGACGTTCCACCAGCAACACTTTCCAGCAACTCGCTGTCAAGGCTCGTCGACAGACACCCTCGACTAGCACGTGGCGAGTGGCCTAGAATTGACCACCCTGATAGCCACCCTGCTGCCAGATCGGGCACTGCTGAGCACCACCACCGTATTGTCCAGGACGGTTTACATTGCCAGGAATGACCGCTGGTCCAGGACCAAACCCAGGGGCGATGCGATCGATAGTCTGACGCTTCTGGAAACCACTCTGACCGAAGTTCTGGCCGAAGCCGCCCTGGTTCCAGCCACCGTTGTTGTTCTAAAGTTGGTCCCAGATGGAGCAGAAGGCTTGCTCGGGGTCGCCTTCTTGGCCGGGTTTGTAACCGCCGTTGCCTTGGGAGCAGGCCTGGGGGCACCAATTCTCGCATTGCTGCTCTTGCCAGTCCTGGTATTGCAGTCAGCATGCAGAGCCTGTGACTCGTTTGGGATTGTGGGTGTGGCTTACCTGACCGTCGAAGTACTGGTCGCAGTAATCTTCGCATTGCTCGCTGCAATCGTCGTCGTCTTGGCCATTCTGCGCCTTTTGCTCTTCTCGCTTCAAGAGGCCACCGAGGCCGCCACCAGAGCCACCTCCGAGTGGACTTGTCACAGAAGTTAGCAGAAAGATGAGTTCGGCTGCTGCGATCTCACTTACAGGACGTTGCTCACACTGGAGAACAAGCCGCCGCCAGGACCGCCACCGCTGCCGCCGCCGAATGGACTGTGCGAGTCGTTGAGTCAGCTAACGAATTGACGGGTTTGGAATTCAGTCACTTACAGGATGCCACCTCCCTGACCACCGCCTCCGCCAAGGCCATTGAGAATCGAGAAGGGGAACCCTCCTCCTTGTCCGCCTGGCTGTCCGCCGCCTTGGTAGCCGCCACCTTGGTAGCCACCACCTTGGTACTTGCTCGCACCATAGTTGTTACCACCACTGAAGCCATCCTGCTGCAACTGAGGGCTACGGCGACCCACAGCAGGCATGCAGTTGGCGATGCCAGCAGCGCCAACAGCAACGGTGATGATGATGGATTGGGTATGCATTGTGTCTGTGAAGGAATGTGTGTTGTTCAAGGAATGACAATGTGCTTGATGTCAAATGAGAGTGACCGATGCTGGAACGAAAGTGCGTTCTTGGGGACGATTTGCGGGTTTATATACGCTCGTTTCAAGACACTTGAGAAGGAGACGTCGAGTCTGTCGACCTCGGGTTGACTGCCGTTTCATCGATGATGAGGATCCAGACGATTGAAGCTGGCGATCAATGTTGCAGCACAAGCCTACTGACCAGCGACGAAATTGCGGTGACCTTGAGCATGAACCTTGGTTCGATAGTTGGATTGTTTGAGCCGTTTGAAGTGGTGGCCAATTCCGCAGGCAGGTGGCGAAAGTCGCGATACGATGAGGTTCAAGAACATTTGCAGGAGGATCCTGACTGTCTGTTTGACTTCGTGGAGTCTTCGAAGGCTGGAAGGTTCGTGCGGACCGGCATTGCTAGGCGTAAGTTGTGGTTGCCAGTCATGGTATGTCGCAAGACAGTGTCGATGAAACGCTTAACCTTCGCAGGGAACCTGGTGGACCTGATGCAAAGTCTGTGTTCGCAAGCTTCGCGAATGTTGTGGAGACAGACGTGTTTGCTCAGAACGTGATCGAGAAATGCATTCCTAAACCCCAGTGGAGGGCTGAGGTCTGGCTGAAACAAATGTGGAGTTCGCATCCTCGAGAGCAACCTGGAGAGGTCCAGGCCGTATGTTGATGACCTATGTGAACCGAAGATTGAGCGTCATTGTCACCTGTGGAGACATGTTGAATCAGTCCAGAGTGACAGTCACGTTCCATCACATGGTGCCCCATATATTCTCATGTAGTAGAAAACGTGTTCAATCCATCACCTCGTGGAATGTGGGATGTCAAATCTCATCGCAAGGTCTGTGATACATGGACTCTGACTATTGTGATGTTGGCCAAGACAGGCGGTAAGATCGTAGCCGCCGGGCATGAGATAACCGCATCGTTGAAACTTGGGCTCGAGCGGGCGTAGGGCGTCATTGTTGTGCAAAATGGCAGCTGTCGGCAAGGGCTCAGTTCTGTTCAAGCAGCTCAATGGTGAGTAGAACTTTCTGGACATATGTGGCATGAACATTGCTCGGTGCTTTTCCTCTCGTGGTATTTCTATTCCGGTAGTCCATGATGATATCGGTTGCCACTCGATATGCTCGACTTCTGCCGCTCATTGTTCAATTTTATCGGCATGTGCTCTCATCGACCTTGGAATTAAACCTTCGATTGCCCTTCGCAATATTGGAACGTCAGCTTAACGGAGCAAATGAACACGGACATGCTGCAACTATGGCAGTATAACTTAGACCAGGTATAAGCGAACGTGGTGATGTCGTTATTTTGACTTGGCCTTCGTTACTAACCTTAGAAGGACGAACGACTCCACACAAGGATCCTGTAAAGCAGAATTCCACTCAAGCTTAAGCTTCTCCCCTCAGCGTTCCAAAGAAGATCATAAATCTTCGCTGACACCGGAAACAGGCTGGGTTCGTTGACTGACTTGGTTTGACACATGAACAGGACTGGTCCCAAAGGTAAGGTGCTATTGCTTGGCGCATCTTTGATATGGATATCGTTTGAGCGTTGAAAGCCTTGTGTCGGAATCGTCTGAAGCGGGTTGACCACTACCCGAGAAAAGTATGTGGAGCTACAGGACAATTGATCGGAATCAATGGTCTGAACGGAGCTGAGTATCCGACAGAGTTCCAAATATTCCTGCAATGGTGGAACTCGTCTTGAGATGTCTTGGATTGGGGAATCGGACAAGCCTTCTTCAGTTTCGAGAGAAACGCAAAGTAGTCGACAGACCAGACAGCAAAGGCGCAATTTCCCTCCTCAGCGCCGTTGCTCAGAAAGTGGTCGGCTCGTCCTGTATTGCGTAGCTGCTACTGAAACTCCAGGTCTAAAGTGCAAAATCAGTCGACGCCTCTGCTCTGGCATGTATCTATCGTTCATGTCTTTCGCGAACGAAAAGTAGGATATTGTTGTTGTTGGTGGAAGAAGGTGATGTCCAAGGGGAGAGGACGAGGTTTGGTAGGATCGCGTTAGTCATTCACCTCCGCGGCAGAGATCTCTTGGCGTGAAGTTTAATCCGAGAGCTAGTCGTGAGATCATCCACTTGAGATCTTGACATTGAACGCGGTTTTCATCTCCATCCACAAGACACCATATTTCACAATGGCAACCAACACGGTCTGCTCATCGTGCCTGCGGGCTATACGTCAACAGTCTCGCTTCAATATCCAGAAAGCACCTTCCAGATCAGCCAGAGTCTACCAGCCAGCACAACGGAGCTTCACCATAAATACACGCAGTCAGGCTGAGGAGAAACCATCCAAGAGACCACCACCTCCACCACAGCCGGCACACGAAAAGAACATCGACACACCTGCCTTCCAAAACTTCGCCGCCCAACTCCGCAAGACCAATGCCCTCCGTTCCACGACTGAACCCTACATTGCCTACGGTGGAACCGAAGACCTCTTCCAAGAATGCAGTCGACAATGCAGCTACACGATACCCTCAGCGCTCGAGAACCCACCCGCAACGCCACTCATGAATGAATCAGGCGACCACTTAGGTCAAGGTAGCGGATGGTGGCTAGAGTCCAAAACGAAGAACGGCCTGGGTCTAGAAGTAACTTTCAACTCCTGGGCACAAGTCCTCTTCCTACACATGTGGATGCTCACCGTGAGATTTCGATGTTTCCCGGAGAAGTATGTCAAGGATTGGCACCAAAATCTGCTCGACCACTTCTTCTACGCGGCGGAAGATCGCATGGCGACGTGGCATGGCATGGCAGCAAGAGGTGTGAGGAACAAGAACTTGAAAGATTTGTGGCTGCAGTGGAGGGGTGTTCAGTTGGGATACGACGAAGGGTTGATCAAGGGTGATGCGGTGCTGGCCGCGGCCATATGGCGGAATGTTTTCAAAGCCAATGAGAATGTTGATATTGGCGATGTGGCCACGGTGACTGCGTATGTCATGCGCGAGCTACAACGGCTTGGGGCTATGGATGATACGAGAATCACTGAGGGGCAAGTTAAATTCAGTGACCCGAAGACGCTTGCGACATCATTGGCGAAGGAGAGCCCGTCAATGCGAGACCATCTGACGGCCGAAGAGCTCAAGGCGCCGCAGCGAGTAAAGGAGTAGACGTGGAACGAGGTTGTTAAAATTGCCAACAATCATTGTAGAGTAGCTGTATGAAACTCCAACGGAGATCAAATGGGTATCATGCTGTGTCCCTTATCCAGTCAAACGCCTTTTCCCTTACCCAGTTCTCAATCCTCGTATCTTGGCTGGTCATCATCTTCTTCCGCCTTGGCCTCATTGCCAATCTTTGTAGCCGATGCTCGTTGCGCCGCTTCTTGAGCCTGTTGCGCTTTCAACGCCTCCTGCCGCTTCTTTTGTTCGTGCTCTTTTCGGGCGGTTTGAACGGCTGCGCGCTCTTTCCACGCAGCCTTGATGCGACCCGCAGAATCAATAAGATCCTGCTCACTCACAGCGTCCTCGATACTTTCAAGAACGCTGTCCACGGTGGAAATATGATTCGCGTGCTCTTTGTCGTCTCGGAAACGTGGTCTTCCATCATCGAGCTTCGGCCTCCACCGCCCAGTGTCCGCCTCGCGCCAGCATTCGATGATCCGCCAATCGAAAGCCTCATTCATGCTTTTCATCGCTTCCCACTCTTCGTCTGCCAGGTAAAGATCCGCAAATTTCTTGTAATAATCACGATCGCCATGATAGACCAAGAGTTCTATTTCAGGCTTCTGGTCGAAGTCTTCGTATGTGCCTTCATCGTCTTCTTCGAGTGGGAAAGATCCAAGCTGGAGTCGGAAATCGATCGTGTTTTCGTGCGGCGGTTTCCATTTGAGGATGTGAGGGTCGGTGCCGGCAACGTAGGGTGTAGACCGGCACGTGTAGATCAGGCCATCGTTTCCGTGTGTCAACTTTGGGATGACATCTTTGAACATCATCTCCGCAGCGTATCCCAGTTGTGGATCCTTTCTACGCAACTGGAAACGCATCTCGTTGGCGTCGGCTGGATAGTCACGCATGAAGGCCTTCAGCGGATCGAGTACGACTCCAATCTTGCCAACACGCGTATCGAATGTGCGGTGAGTGATACATTCGTTGTCCAAGGCCAGCATATCGAACACGAGGAACGTGAGCTCCTCCTTGCCATTCGGGTATCGATCTCGTACCAGCTCTCCGTCCAAGATGGTGCCAATGTGCCAGTTGTATAGCATATACGGCTTTTCGCCCGCGGCAGGCTTCATGTTTACTGGAGGGATGTGCAGGTACCCCGGCTCGACATAGTAATAGTCATTCTTGCGATCGATCAAGAACTGTGCCTCTATTTCCTTGCCTGTTCCGTCCAGGATTGTAGTCAGGTAGAGGAGACATCTGATGCCGTCGGTCTTCTCGGCAACGAAGTAGTCGGCTCCCTCAAGCTCGAGCAAGTGTTTCCGGGCGAAGGAGACCGGCTGCGCGCCTGGGAAGCCGATGTGTGGTCGTTTGAGGAGGTCAGCTACGGTGTCCTGATGAAAACGCGCAACGTCTCGCGGTATCTTTTTCGCGACCGCGTCAAGAGTGACTGAGGATCCCATGGTTAGCAATGGTGGTGCATAGTTTGGACAATGAGGTGTGCGACAAGAGACGAAGTGAAGTGCAAGTCGGAGACCAAAGCCGTGCGGGGCGAGCCGGATGGTCCGTGCTTCTCTTGTGACAACGACTGCCTTCTTCACGTCTCACTTCCATCCTCTCAGCACGTGAACGACAGAACACGCCGAGATTCGGACAGAGTGACAAGCGACGGCGGCATGTCTTCACCGTGTCGCCGAACAAGATACTGTCGTGGCACCTGGTGGCGGGCCGCCAAGACAATGGTCTTCCTGCAGAGGAGAGAATGTGGGCCTCTGTTGGCCCTTTATTACAAAAGCAAAAAATACGCCGACGCATGGGCTCACCTTGGTGGCACAGCCTTTATCTATCGCTGTTGAAGACGAGATTCTACGGATTCTGTCGACCAGGAATAGCTACAACGTGGACAAAACCTTCAACATCAGCCCGATATCAGTCAGGTACATATGCATGGGCTGTGGATACACCTCTTCTTGGCACATTCTAGTGCGCCTCAAAGGTGTCGATGAGGTACAGACCGTGACGTTGTCGACCCATCCTATGCGGTTCTTTTCGACGCTCCTCGCAATGCGAAGCTGTTGTATAAAGTCCACGAGCGAACCCCAAACCAATCTGTTCGCGCATTTACGCTCAAACCTCTCATCGCCTCTGCTCCAGCAACAGTGATGGGTTCCGAGCAATATCCTCTTCGCCAATCTGGCATCTACAGAAATCTACCAAACTTTGACACATCTATCAAGGACTTGACAGCAATCATCGTCGGAGCCACTGGGATTTCCGGCTTCAACACCTTGCGTTGTCTTCTGGACTCGCCACAACGATGGAAGACCATCTACGCCCTCTCACGCAAGCCTCCGACTGAGGAGATGTGGTCGCTCATGACGCCGGAGCAACAAGCACGAGTCCAGCACGTCCCAATAGACCTGTCCAAGTCCGCTGACGAAACATCCACGACTCTCGAACAGGCTGGCGTTCGCAGTGTGGACCATGTGTTCTTCTATGGATACATTCATCCAAAGGGCAAGTCTGCCATGGATCCTTCCATGGCTGACGCCCTGATCGAGACCAATGTACCCATCTTTGAAAAGTTCCTCCAGGCACTCGAGATCAGGAACATCGCACCAAAGCGCATCCTTCTCCAGACTGGTGGGAAACACTACGGCGTCCACGTTGGCCGCGCACGAACGCCATTTATCGAGTCTGACCCGCGGCCAACTCATGTGACAAAAAACTTCTACTACCCACAAGAGGACGCTCTTTTGAAATTTTGCGAACAGCATCCAACCACCAAGTGGAACGTCATTCGACCCTTTGGCATTATCGGTGCTACAGCGAACTCCGGTATAAATTTCTTCCTGCCATTTGCCATCTTTGCTGCAGTGCAAGCTGCCAACAATGAACCGATCTTTTTTGGTGGAGATATCGACGAGTGGCAACATCAATACACTCAGTCCAGCGCTAAACTTACTGGATACCTCTCGGAGTGGGCAGTCCTAGAAGAAACGTGCGCCAACCAAGCTTTCAACTCCCAGGATGGCAGTGCAATCAGTTGGGACAGGTTTTGGGAGGAGCTTGCCCGCTGGTACGGCGTCCAGAAAGGAGTCGAGGGCCCGGAGCTGGACGAAGCGAAATTCAAGAGCATCGAACTGGCCGGCGGCAAAGAATCTCCACTCGGATATGGGCCGCCACTCGCAATCAAGCTATCGCGTACCATTGTGGACTGGTCGAAGGACCCAAAGAATCACGCAGCATGGGAGAAGATCATGCAAGCATCGAAGGGAAAGATCACGGCGAACCCATTCGACGATGCTGGCGGCGACCTGTTTGAGCAGGGCGACTTCCTGTACGCAAACCCACAGCCGTCTATCGCCAAAACGCGCAGATTTGGGTTCTGTGGGTTCGTGGATACCATGGAGAGTGTGTTTGAGATGTATCAGGAGATGGCTCAATTGGGTGTGATACCTCCTCCCCTGGTGGATGCTGCGAGACCGATGGTATAGAAAGGTAGGTATGTATCGTCTCAATGAGCCGAAAGCCTACATCAAATTGACCTCAAATATCAGGCAAGGCCACCAGAAGTTAGGTATCACGGTGTCGACCATAACGATATATAATGGTGTCAGCCAGCTTCTCAGGAATTCGACATGTCTATTGAGTTCCCAGCTAATGGACGCAAGTTCAGCTTTCATCATCCCATCTGTGCGATCGAAGACCCTGGTGTCAAAGCGCGATCCCACAAGATGCTCTCCGCGGCGCTAGAGTGAGGCTGAACTCTATTCACTCGATCTACGACTACGTCATATCGATCGATCGTTTCTCGATGTCAAAGTACATGCCTGCACTTTCGAATTCCTCGCGGGATGTGAGACGCGCGATTTTAGCAGTCTGAATACACCTTGCGAATCTCGTTGAACAATCCTGTCAGGGTGCAACGAGCGAAGCCTGACAAACACGTTCGCCAACCACGGGCATAGACTAGAGCACCGAAAGTGCGAACTCTCTTCGTACGACGTTTTATCGGATACAAGCCGCATGACGGTAGGCTCAGGAACTTCGGTGACGCATCTACACTCTCTCCATGATTTGGTGGACCTATAAGATGCAGTCTAAGAGCGAAACTTCGCAACCGGGTCTGCCGAGTCGCCCGAGCCAGCCTTTCTGTCTGCTGTCTGCCGTCTGCCACGCTAAAAGTTGTCTCCAGAAAAGGACCTGCACATGTCGTCACCATTCGAGTTCATAAGAGCACCTCGGGCGAGAAGGTTTAGTATGAGCCCGTGTTGACGATGCGTCTATGAAGACGTAATGTATATGTACAAAAGCCAAGCCATCCCCAGTAGTACTTGAAGAGGTACTTCACACCATCTCAATGACACCGACTTGAAGTAGCCTATTGCCTGGTCATAAAGACCATTTATCTGCTTTGATTGCTTGCACATGGCCTCGTCAGGAGTCATGGCATCCCAGAGTGCACCTCGGCCAGACACGCAACGCAGTTCACAACTCTCAGAAACGAGCACGTTACATCGAAAAGGAAGCGAGGATCTTGAAAAGGACGCAGAGAAGGATGGCGAAGTAACAGATGAGAATGAAGACGCCGATGTAGAAAGACAGCAACCGAGTCAAGCTGCTGGCAAGGAGGATGAGAATGACCAAGACCCCAACGTCGTTGGCTGGGATGGACCCGATGATAAACTGGTATGTGCAGGAAACGGACAGCGATATTTGATCAGGATACTCGCTAACATCTTATCCAGAATCCCATGAACTGGAACCCGAAACGAAAATGGGCTATTGCTGTCTGCATGGGCATGATGACCCTTGTCGTTACCTTCGCCTCGTCAGTACTCAGCTCCGCCGTCCAACCGCTCTCCAAGGAGTTCCACGTTGGAACAGAAGTCGTCACGCTCAGCACCGCCCTCTTCGTTCTGGGCTTCGCTTTTGGACCTATCGTGTGGGGACCCTTTAGTGAGCTCTTCGGCCGCAAGACACCGCTCTTCGTAGGCTACATTATCTTCGCGATCTTCCAGATTCCGGTGGCTGTGGCCCAGAACCTGCAGACGATCATGATCTGTCGATTCTTTGGAGGTTTCTTTGCTAGCGCTCCGTTGGCGATCGTGGGTGGTGCGCTGGCGGATTTCTTCGATCCTATCAATCGGGGCGTTGCTATGAGCATTTTCGGTGCAAGCACGTTCTGTGGACCTGTATGTTCCCATCGATCTCGTATCATGCCAATCTAACACGCTAGGCGCTTGGTCCCATCACCGGCGGCTTTATCACCATGAGCCATCTCGGCTGGCGATGGACGCAATGGATCACCTTGATTATGGCAGCCTTGTTCGGTAGTATTGGTTTCATCGTCATTCCAGAGACGTTCGCTCCTGTCCTTCTCCAACGCAAGGCCAAGAAGCTGCGCTATCAAACACGTAACTGGGCGCTTCATGCCCCAGCCGACGAGAAGGAAGTCAACTTGCACGAGATCGCTGAGAAGTACTTGCTCCGACCTTTCAAGATGCTACTCCTCGAGCCAATCCTCGTCCTCGTCACGATTTACATCGCTTTAATCTACGGTGAGCTCCATCCCTCCCTCGGCCCCCGCTTTGCCATATCATCGCAACCACAACTAACATGTCCTCCTAGGCCTCATCTACGGCTTCTTCGAAGCTTTCCCTGTCTCCTTCCAAATGGAACGCGGCTGGAACCTCGGCGTCGGCGCTCTCCCCTTCCTCAGCGTCCTCATCGGCGTAATCATCGGCTGCCTCCTCATCGCCCTCATCTCCAAAACCCGCCTCAAACGCGTCATGGAACAGGAAAGCCACATTGTTCCCGAAGAGCGCCTCATCCCCATGATCATCGGTGGAGGCATCCTACCCATAGGGCTGTTCTGGTTCGGCTGGACGAGCTTCCCGAGCATCACCCCCTGGCCACAAATCATTGCCGCTGCCCCTATTGGCATGGGCCTCATGATGGTTTTCCTGCAAGGGCTAAATTATCTGATAGATGTGTACAAGATGAACGCCAACAGCGCCATCGCGGCGAATACGTTGTTCAGATCGTGGGTTGGGGCCGGCTTCCCCCTTTTCGCCACGCAGATGTTCAAGAATTTGGGAGTGCCTTGGGCGATGAGCTTGCTTGGGTTTCTATGTCTAGCACTATTTCCAGTGCCGATTGTGTACTTCATCTATGGAGCGAGGATCCGGAAGCTGAGCAAATTTTCACCTGAATAGGGGGAGATGTTGGAGGATTTGCATGTGACAACAGCGAGCTGCATTGCATGACTACGGAGTGCCTGGAAGCCTTAATGGACGAAAGATATAGATTTCATGACTGTATTATAGTATTAATTTGTACGACATCAACTTTAAGAGCAGAGATTTACATCCAAGCCCCTGATGCCACACTTGACACCCACCCTCGTCAAGCCAATCATGGTTTGATCTTACAGTGTCATCCCTCCGATTAACAAATCGACTAGGCCTTGAACGTCCGTTCCACTCTCGCGGCCAGTCGTTGACCTCCCTTTGCTGAGCTTGAGAGTGACGGCCTAGTTCATCGTAATAGTGGCCTACGTCGGATGGATCTTCTTCTCGAACTCGGCCTCCAAATCGGGGAAGGGAGTCGAAGGCAAGATATCCGGCTCCGTCTTACTGGTGTTGAGATCAGAGGCCTCTTCGTCGCCAACCAACTCGTCTTCTCTAGGCCCAAGCTGTCGAAGGAGAGCCAGGAGCCTGCTCGTGAGCAGTGAAAGACTCGATCGAAAGCATCAAACGTACGTACATATGGGTATAGCTCCTATCGACAATCTCCATTCCTTCGCTCGTCCCACAAGCAAGTATCTACACCCTAAACCTCCATCTCGGATCATTATCCCCCTGCCATTCTCCCTCAAGCACCTCAGGGGTCTGCGCAGCCTTCTCATCTCTCTGCTTGTTGATTTTGGTCAAATACACCCAGATGATACTAACGACCACAATATTGCCAACGAGGTATCCCAAAGCGACAGCATGTCCAACCACATATCGCGGTCCATCGTTATCACGATACAACTGCGTTCCAATCACAGCACCAAGGTTACCAATCGTGATTTGCATGCCGTTGGCCGCTGCACGCTTCGTCTGGCCACTGACGTTCATGGCTGGCCAGCTGAGTCCGAGGGCGACGGATGGGTAGATTCCTGCGGCGGCGAAGAAGACACCAACGTAGCTCACGCCAGGCTTCTTGGTGGGATCGGTGTTGCCGAGGAGGATGCAGTAGCCAATGATTGCGATGAGGGATGAGGCGATGATAAAAGGGGAGCGGATACCGACTCGTTCGGAGACGATTGCGTAGCCGACAGTCAGGATCGTGGCGAGGGCGTACGGTGGGACGCTGAGCAGTTGGGCTTCCCAGGACGAGTAGCCTAGAGCCTTGATGATGGATGGCTAGGTCTTGGTGTTAGTAACGTCGCCCATTCGCCGCTTGAGAATTTGTTTGAACTCACCAAGAACAGTGACAGGGTGTACAGGGGCAAACTCAGCGTGTGGAACACCAAGTTGTACAGCCAAACCTTTGGATCCTTAATAGCCTCCAAGACGTTGGCCCAAGTGAAACCCTCATGCTGAGTAGCATCGCTGTCGTCTTTCAGACGGTGATTGACCGCAGCCCTCTCGTCCTCGCTGAGGAATTTCGCCTTGGAGGGCCAGTCGGCAGTGTACCAAAAGGCCGCCACAGCAAGGACGCAAGTCAGAAGTCCTTCAATAATGAAGATCCATCGCTGTTAGAATGTCAGTAAGAAACCATCAGATCAGGGAAATGGGCAACGCACCCATCCGCTGTATCCACCAACGCCCCTCATAAATCCAATGCCATAGGCTAAGATTCCGCCAAAAGCACCAGCCAACGACGCCATGGCAAAGAACAACGCAACGCGGTACTGTCTCTCTGCTCGTTTGTACCACATAGACAGATAGAAGACGACTCCAGGAAAGAGTCCGCCTTCCGCAATACCAAGGAAGAATCTCACGACCAAGAAACCTGCAACACCGGACGAGCCCCCGTAGTACTGCACCACACCTTGCAATGTGGACACGATGCCGAATGCGAGAGTCACGATGGGTAACCAGAGCTTGGGGCCGATCCTCTTGAGTATGACGTTCCAGATGACTTCGAGGAGGATGTAGCCGACGAAGAACATGGTCAGGCCGGTATTGTATTGATTCCCGGTCATATGGAGGTCGTCAGTGAGGCCTTCTAAACGTGCGTTCGCCGTATTTGAGCGATCAAGGAAGCTTTCTACTCGTCAGTTTAAGGACTGGTCGTGTTTGAGGGTCGATCATGGGGGTCCATTGAGTCTCAGGAGGGGACAACTTGAAGCCAAAGAGGACCTCTGAACGCTCCTGAGAGCACACAACGAGTACGACGAGCGCAGAATCACTTACGAGAGAAGGTAAAGGACGCAGACTCCGGGCAAAAGGTGTAGGTCCAGCTTGCGGAGCAGTTTGTTCTCGTTGACGCCGTAGGTCTCCTCGAACTGCTCGCTTCCAGCCTTAGGCGAGTCCGTGGCGGAGGGAAGGCCATTCTTCTCGTCGCTGATGTCTTTTTCGTTGGACAGAGTGCCCCCCGTTACGTCTATACTCTCGTTAGCTGGAGGTCCACTGCCCACGTCCCAGGGACACCGCCATCATACCTGTATTATTGAGAGCCATGGCGACCGCAAGGCTTCAATCTAGAGCAGCGTCGAAAGGGAACAAAAACGCGCTCTCAAACGTGTTACAAAAAGGAAAAGACCCCAGCTCTATATCTACATCGACATGACGTTCCGAGGAAGTGCTTTGCCGCAGCGCACGAGCGAGCGAGCGCGCGCACGCAAGATCCATCGCCAATCACCCCAGCCAACGCGACCAGCACCAACGATCCCGCTGGGGCCATCGTTGCTGCACACGAGTTCCTGGGGCCGGATGTCGTGATTGTCACAGGCGCGCTATTTCCGTATTGGGAAGGAGGCTCGGGGCGTGCCGTAACTTTCTTTGCGATAGTCCGGCTTGTCACGATGGTAGAGGCGGCAATTATGGGATATTGGATGTCGTTGAGGATGAAGGAGCTGATGGGTGTGAGCTAGAGGATGGATCACAGGACGAGAGAGTGGAGGAGAGTTTCGGTGGTGGATGTTTTGAGGATAGAGAGTTGTTATGGACTTGCCGATGTGGAAGCGAGAGGCCGAAGTGTGCTTTAGCCAAAGCAAACATCAGCACACCGTCCATGTCGATCTGTCGCGGGTACCGCAGAATCCCACGTGCAATGATCTGGTGTGCACGAGGGATCGAGGGTTCGGTTCCATGATAGTCCCTGTATCGATGATTTCGCCATGCTGTGAGTGGTGAGTCCCCCTGTCTTACCATTCTCACGTGTGTAGCTCAAAGCAGGCGAGATCAATTAGCCTGTATGCCACCACTGGCCCTGACGCACTGCATCGATCTCCCGTTGGAGAGCAGCTTCTTTTGCTTTGCCATCGTTGACCTCTTCTTTCAACGAAGCGATCTCTGCAGCTTGCTGGGATGTCTTCTGCTCGTTTCTGGCGACTTGTGCCTTGAGCCTTTTGTTCTCAGCCTTCAAAGCGCTCTCATTTGGATCCACGGCCAGGGCTCCTTTGAGGTGCTCGAGTTCGTGAGTCTGTTGTCTGATCTTGACGTGAGCCTTTGACAGTTCGCCTGCAACCTTCTTCACATCGTCCTCCGTCTGAGTGCCACTTAGGATTTGAGCCGCGAGCTTTTGCTCGAAGGTTCGACGTTCGATGTAGCCCATGTTCGGTGGGACCTGTATGAACGTCAGCACAATGAATGAACCGCTCGATTGGATGCTATCCCTACCTCGCTCGGGTCGAATGGGCCCAGAGACTCACTGTCGCGTGGCGTGCCGTTCTCTAGACTCATACCCATCGACGGCTCCGCGGGCGACATCCCGAATGGCGATGTTGACCCTGTGGAAAAGGGATTGCTTGGGCGTGGCAAATGCGTCTTCTTCTCCTTCAGACTGAATGACGTTGCGCCATTCTTGACCAGCATGTCTTTCGGCGTGTACTGGTTGTGTCCGTGGCCTCTTGGGTTGTACTCTTCTGAAGTTGAAGACGGCATGCGTTTGCGTTTGAACTTCGACCCATCCAATCCAGGAGGCTCGTAACGATAGAGCACAGGCTGGTAGTCCCTCTCACCGGACAGAATATATGGCTCTCTGCCGCCTCCTGTGGCACCAGTGTGATACTTGGCATTTCCTTCGGCGTTTGAATCCTTGATGGCAGGTCGGCCACGATGAATACGTCGAGTGCGGATTTTGGCTGGACCACCGAACTCGTGTGGCCAGTTCTGTGAGAGCTTCGCGCGTGGGAGGTCTGATTCGAGGACCTCGTGGACTGCTCGATCGTCGAGCATAACAAACCTGGGCGGTTGGTTCTTGACAGTGATGGTGCCGATGTCGCTCTGTTTGGGATGTCAGTATTACAACACATGCCACGATCATCCCCACAATTCATTATGCTGCCGGCTGGCCGACGTCCAAAGCGGTGGGGTGGGAGCTAATCATGCCGTCGAGATGTTGTACCTACCTGGAATAGTCGCCAGCGCTTCTCAAGTGGAAGTGGAGGGCCCGGCCGATCGAAGTAGTCGGTGCCTTGGTCACCGTCGCCATCTCCAGGGCGCCATATCTCGCGCTCGAGGCCGGTGCTACGCTCTATGTAGATCTTGCGCTCAGTGGTGGCTGGATCGAGGAGGTCTTCGTCTCGAGGCTCGGAGTTCATGTTGTTGAAGGCCATGTAGTGCCTGTACTTGTGCGGGCGAAGAGGGGGTTGTTCACTTTTGGAACCTGTGCAATCTCGACGCCGTTTGTGTTGTCCGTGTCGCTCGTGCGGTGGCTGTTGCAAGAGTCGCGTGTGAGATTTGCGGAGAAAGTTTAGTTTCGCTTAGCGCAGGAAATATATGTTGCGTCAAGTGAATGACGCGGGCAGCTTCACTTCGCAACCCATGCAGCGCTCTATGGAGTGTCTTTGTGCTTGCTGACCGAAAGTGCTGGATGTTAGACTATCGACGAGGATCATGCTAGACGACTCAAGCACGCTCGAACATTCGAATTGTAGATTCTGAAGAAGGAGAGTGACTCGTCACAACGTTCGGACTGCGGATGTATTTGAAGGTCCTACGGCGTACGCGGCAATAAGCGCTCCATCACAAGAAGCCATGCTAAGAGTTCGTTTCCGCATATGGGCCTCAGAATGTTGCAGGGACTTCATTCCACTACTTTAGTACACGTAGAGACAAGAAGACGCCTTCTAGATCCGATTGTCACAGGAGGCCAAGCTTGTTGTTCGGATGGTACAGGTATTCCACGTTTCGCGTTTGCGACGCCGCTGATTGATTTTGGAGAGAGCTTCCGCGATTTAATTGGGTAGTCGATAGTAATGCCATGAAGAACAGTTGACCCGGATCGCATTATGCGGTTTACATGAGTGTGAAAGAGGAGGATAGGAGGCGACGTGAAGACAGGACTTCCAGATTGAGTTCGGCGAAATCGAGAAAGTCAAGCGAGCCAATCAGACGGCAAAGTAAGTCAGCATCATCGACTTGCTTCACCTCGAAACGCTTCCTCTTCGCCGCCATCAACCTCACAGACACGCCCAGAGCGTTCAACGTCCAGGCGACGAAGCCGCACACGATCAATTCCCCTCTGACAGCGCCAATTGACATCTACCACCATGCTGTCTACCCCCGCCGGCAAGGCCGCCCTGCGCTCCTCCGCCACAACCTCCTCTCTCCCAAAAGCCTCCGTACGCGCACTCTCTACCACTGCTTCGGCACAGGCAGTCTCACAGGATGGCCAGCAAAAGCGAGGAATGGCCACTGTCCAAGACGCACCTCCAGTCCACCGACATGGCGGTCTCAAGGACCAGGACCGCATCTTCACCAACCTGTACGGCCACCACGGTGCCGACCTCAAGAGCGCGATGAAGTATGGTGACTGGTACAAGACGAAGGAGATTCTCGATAAAGGTCACGACTGGATCATCTCTGAGATCAAGACGTCTGGTCTAAGAGGGCGTGGTGGTGCCGGTTTCCCGTCTGGCATGAAGTGGAGTTTCATGAACTTCAAGGGATGGGACGAGGACACCAAGCCACGATATCTCGTCGTCAACGCTGACGAGGGAGAGCCTGGAACGTGCAAGGACAGAGAAATCATGCGCAAGGACCCCCACAAACTTATTGAGGGATGTCTTGTTGCTGGACGTGCTATGAACGTACGTTGAAGATATAATGATATTGGACTGAGCCATTGGCTAACCTGCATCATTCAGTGCACGGCAGCATACATATACATCCGTGGTGAGTTCTATCACGAAGCTACAGTACTGCAGCGCGCCATCCAAGAGGCCTACAAAGCTGGTTTCCTTGGCAAGAACGCCTGCGGCTCTGGCTACGACTTTGACGTATTCGTCCACCGCGGTATGGGCGCCTACGTCTGCGGTGAGGAGACGTCTTTGATTGAATCTCTCGAGGGCAAGCCAGGCAAGCCCCGCCTAAAGCCGCCGTTCCCGGCCGCTGTTGGTCTTTTCGGCTGCCCGTCCACTGTTGCCAACGTCGAAACTATCGCGGTCGCCCCAACTATTGTCAGGAGAGGAGGCGAATGGTTCAACTCTTTCGGTCGCGAGCGAAACTCTGGTACCAAGCTTTTCTGTATCTCTGGACATGTCAACAACCCCTGCACTGTCGAGGAGGAGATGTCGATTCCTCTGCGGGAGCTCATCGACAAGCACTGCGGCGGCGTACAAGGTGGATGGGACAACCTCAAGGCTGTCATCCCTGGTGGTTCATCTACCCCAATCCTGCCCAAGAAGATTTGCGACGACCAGATTATGGACTTTGATGGCCTCAAGGACAACCAATCTGGTCTTGGAACGGCCGCCGTCATCGTCATGGACCAGTCAACAGACGTCGTCCGCGCCATCTCTCGTCTCTCCAAGTTCTATCACCACGAATCTTGCGGTCAATGCACACCCTGCCGTGAAGGCTCGAAGTGGACCGACCAAATCATGAAGCGTTTCGAGGCCGGCACAGCCCGTGCACGAGAAATCGACATGATGCAGGAACTTACCAAGCAAGTCGAAGGCCACACCATCTGCGCTCTGGGCGAGGCTTTCGCATGGCCTATTCAGGGTCTCATCAGACATTTCCGACCAGAGCTCGAGGCAAGAATAGCGGAGAACACGAGAAGACAGGGTGGTGAGGCACTGGCCGGTGGATGGGAGCACGACGCAACAAAGAAGGGCATGCTCATCTCGCCTGGTCAATAGATGGAAGGACGGCATGCAAAAGACGTTTAAACCAATTTTGGGCTCCTGTACAGCTCAGCGTGAGGTGCTCTTCTCCAAGCGGCATGTATGTACATATCCAATTCTCCTTTGTTGCAACAAGCACGGCGGCGCGAAGAGGAGCAGTAGCACGAAAGAATACTTTGTGAGAATGGAGATCAATCTTCTGACACCCAATTCCCCATCACCATCTCATATGGGATGTGATCGCAAGCACCGAATCCCAAGAGGACGCCTGCAGGACCAGCACTCTGTCCAGCACAAAGGTCTAGCAAGCGCTACCACGCCCCCGATAAGCTTTCCCTCCTGATGCGCGTCCAGAGTAGACACAGATCATACTTTGATTTTCTCCCACTCCTACAAATTAAACGGACTCAAAGTCTCGCGTCTTATTAGCATCGACGCCCAAACTTATATTAGGAGGGATATAATAGCGTTTTGTGATTGGGGATTTGTTGGTGTTGGCGCTTGGTGGTGGTGTTTGAAGATCTTGGAGGTCGTGGGGATCGGGGAGGATGGTTGGGAGGAGATGTTGGGGGATGTGATTCTGAATGGAGGTCGTTTATCTGATGGAGATGGAGATGTGATTTCGGTGTGTTATCGGAAGCGTGGGTATCAGGAGCGTTGAAGGGCGATGTGAAGTATCCGTGTCTCTCTCGGACGGATGCCACTTGCTCTGAAGGCACGAATCGAAGAGTACGTGATCACGGGAACTCGATGACAATAGCCTTTCCCGCAGGGTGTATCATCTCCTTATTATTGGCCTTTGGAATATGAAAAATCAGATTGTTAGAAGTGAAACGAGGAACAGATAGCATGCCCTTCCCTATGAGATAGTTTTATTCAAGGATGGAATCTCCTTCCCTTGCGGACGTTTGTACGTGCTGACAGAAGCCGTACGAAGAACCCATCAAGACATCGAATAGGGATTGACGTGTTCGACCTACAAGAAGCACATCTGATGAACGTAGACCCTTGTTTCTTATTTTCCATCACGTGCGGGGCAGCGAATGACGTCCGAGGTGCGAGGCTCATGTCCCGTCTCAATTCCTCTCTAACAAAATACGAGTCAGTGGACCATTTCTTATATTGCTACCTCAGACCCTGATATCACAATCCTTCACAAGAACCTCACCTATAGTGGGAAGCAACACTGTTTCTTGACAGCTGCCACCCTCCCCAACCTGCATGAAGATCGACCTCCGATCCCGAGCATCCTCCCTGTATCTGTTCATTGCGAGTGGCTTTAAGCTTAATGATGTCGGGCACCAACGAGGCTCCTTCGGCACCTAATGTGATTGCTCTGTTTTGGTATCCGGCGTCTCCTTATGGCAGTGTGTACAGTATTGCAGATGATGATGAATGAGAGTACTGCTGATGAGTGTAATGCACAGGACGCGTGAAGGCCTACCTGACACTCCGCAATATCGACCACGCAGAATGTGTATGTTGCATCTGGGATGGTGCTCGTCATATAGGGCATCAATATGTCCACGAAAATGCTGACGCCGCTCGCACCGCTAGATCCAGCCACCAATCCTCCCACGGCCTGACCTCGATGCTTTGGGCGTGAAGTATCGACGCTCGCCGGTCATGGCGATTGGTCGGGATGTCTACTTGGACACCCGTCTGATGATATCAAAGCTTGAGGAGATGTTTCCGGCGTCGTCGCAACATCCTGGGCTTTCGAGTCCGGAGACGAATGGACTGGCACAGCTGTTGCAGAAGCTCTCGATTGACGGGAGCATTTTTCAACATGCTGTGAGACAGATCCCTCGAGATTCAGCTCTGATGAAGTCACCAGCGTTTCAAAAGGACCGGGCGGGCTTCTTTGGACCGCAGTGGGACTTGGACGATGCGAGACTTTGGCGACCTGAGGCCATCATCCATATGCAGCAGTGTTTCGATATCATCGAGTCCTTGTTCATAGATGGCAGGAGTTGGGTAGCCGGCACCGAGACAATATCACTAGCTGACCTGGAAGGTAAGTTTGCAAATCACCACGAAGATTTGAAAGACTGGGAGAGCCCATCTTAACGCGAACCCAGGCGTCTGGGTTTTGAATTGGTTCCTCAACGATCTTAACCCGACAAAGGAGGTCTTCTCGGAAGATCGATACCCAAAGGTCCATGCGTGGGTCAGACGCTACCGGAACGAGCTTGACGTAGCCAAAGCACGTGTGCGGAAAAGTATATCGCTCGGTGGTGCAAATGCCGTGAGGTTGATCGTTTCGTCCGAGTTCTCCGACAAGGATACCTTGGTCGATGAGAATGACCCTCTGGACTTGAAAGCAGGCGTGGAAGTAGACTTGTTTCCAACTGATGGCGGTGGATTCACACATCAGGTAGGCCATAGCCAGCAGGATCTGGTCGAGCAGCACATGCTAACGCTGGTTCACAGGATCGCGGAAGTCTGATCAAACTGACCAAGGAGGAAGTCGCGATCGCGGTGCAAGCGCAGACTGGCGAAGAGATCCGCATCCACGCTCCCAGATGGCAATTCCGCGTCCGCGCAATCAATAATGCGGCCAGACTTTGAGGAGACGTCCGGAACGGAATTCTGCCAGCGGGCGGTGCGTGTCGGAATGATGAGCACCAACGAGTGGTGAGGATATTGATTGGAGTCGTTGGATGTAGTCGAGCAATGAATGCCTAAGGAAGACCGGGCTTCCTTGCTGTCAGATAGCGCGGCGAGCTGCAATGCAGAATCAGATGCAGAGGGCCGAAAGTGCTTTCTCGCACCGCTAAAATAGTCCCCAATCGCAGGCTTACACGACACACTGCTCGGTGCTACAGTGAGGCGAATGGGCGGCGAGCCATGAGCTGCGACGTGTGTCTCAAAGGCCCACCGCTGCACAGGATACAGTAGTAATATGTAGTGGGCGAGAGGTGGTGCTTGAGGAGACGCAAGCTGTATGTACTCCCATCAGCAGCTGAGCGGCCTCACAGCGTCGGTCTTGGCTTCACGACGGTGATCGTAGGTCTCGTGATCAGGACATACCGGGTGGAACAATAACAACAATACTCGTCCTAGAAGGGGTTACTGTATGGGAGGGAGTAATGCAGTCAGGGCGTTGATGGCAGCGGTGATTAGCTGACGAGATGGGCAGCAAACACACGCTTAGCGCGAGCTGTAAAGCATCGATGCCCAACCATGCCTGCTTGTAGCCTCATCCGCAAAATAGCTGGGATGTCGCGAGACTGTCGAAACCTAATAGTATTGTGAAACTGTCTGCGTAAATCATGTACTATCGTGTCCCAGCTGTTTTGAGGGTGAAGACGCCGTCTCATGCGGACCACTCACCACCCCCAGCGCGGTCGAATGCAGTCGCCACCAGGCCGTCATCACCACCACCGCATGCTGCACCCGCGCTGCTGTGTGCCGTCATCTCGTGCAGCGCTATACCTCGTCTACAAAGGCGGCCGTCGTCGTGCCAGACTGCCGCCGACGCTGCAGCTCTTCCTCAAAACCTCTGGTCCTCGGCCCACTCGCAACTGGACCGACTGGCAAGCCACCGACACAGCCCGTCGTCGCCGGTGAAAGCGTGCCTCTGCAGACAGGTGGACACTCTGGCTGGACGTGTCGGATCCACAAATCGGGAGGCCACAAACATCGCCTTGTGATAGGGCACAGGCCACTTTGGCGCCCAAACCGAACCTGCTGCCACTGCCTGCCCTGCCCCTCGCGCGCCCGCCCGCCCTTTCCACCACCCACTCACTCTCACACACTCGTCCTGATTCTCTTCAGCCTCGCTCCGCCGCCGCCTTGCTGAATATCACCCGCGAGCCCGCCGCCTGGCCTGCCCATCTGCTCTTTTCCTCTTCCCTCTCCCACCATCCGGATCTGCGAACCTTGCCGCTTTTTGGGTTACCACTTGTGCCCGATCCGTGCTGCCACAAGACCGGGATCGCTGGACTTTTCAAAGCCTCCAGGCTCTACTGTCTCGGCCACACTTTGGCTTTCATTGTTGACCGCCCACCACCGCGTGGCCCGTATTATACCACAGGACTCTGCGGCCCAAACCTTCACCCTTTCTCCCACAGGAGTGCACCGGTTGCTTTCTCTTCATATAGGCTGCCACGCCTAGGATTGGATTTCCGCCGGATCACTTCTCCCCCAACCCGTGGATAGGACTGCCCGCCATGCCTCAGGAGATAGCACGGCAGTGGTTCGTGCCAGGCGATGGTATTGACCGTCATGTCATTTCTGCAGACATCCAACGATACTTGGGCAACGATGCGACCGTACGGCCTGGACTGGGCACCGGCGAAAACCAGGTCAGCGCGAAACCGCCCATCGTAGGGCTGTCGACGGTGATGCTTACCGTGTATTAGGGTGTCCAAGGCTACTGGATCAAGGCTTATAGGAATTTGACCTCTGTATGGTGTATCGTCACTACAGTCTTGGCGCGCGCTAACATTCTTCGCAGGCCATGATTGCAGATTTGCGTGCAGACTCTGCGCGCTGGAGACAAGAACAGCGCCAGACCGGCACTCGAGGTAGTCACAGCCCTCTTTCGATTGATGCGTCAGGGTATACAGGACCTGACCCATTCTTAGAACCTTACGTGGGCTCGTCGACGTACCACGCATCCAGCGCGAGCCGCACTTCGCACAACCGCCGTGATGGAGACTCCCCTTCAGTAGATGGACCATATGGGCTGCCAGCCTCGCGGGAAGCAAGGATACCAGTCGAGAGGATGCAGGACAGAATGCAGATTGATCCACCACCACAAGTGTCCCGTGGAGGCTTCCAGCCGGACAGTCGTGCTCCATACCCGCCGGACGGCAGAGCATTTCCATCTGATGGCAGAGGCTATGCGCCGGACGGTAGGTCATCATTCCCCTCGGATGCACCCATGTCCTCAGGAGGATTCAACGGACGCCCTCCAGTATCTGCTCCATATGGCGGCCAAGAACCTCGGTATGCCCCAAGCTACCCACAGTCCAATGATGGTGCTCCACCAGGCTATGTGAGGCAAGGCAACTACTATGTGCCGGTTTCTTCCTTTGAGCAGACCCCATCTGTGCCCAGCAGAGCGGACAATTATGGCCCCGGATCATTTGGACAGCCACCGCAGGGACGCGAGCCAAGAGATGCGAGATACCAACAGCCCGAGTATGCGGATCCCAGGTATGCCTACCCTAGTCCGGCGGCCACCGTGTCCTCCGTCTCTGCACGAGACCGGGAGCCGATATCCAGCCCGGCGCAGCCAAGGTTCGCACTGAGCAGGTAACCCTACTCTATCGCATGATCGCTGACCCCTACCAGTAGTTATGGCGCTGTGCCGCCGAGTCAATATGACCAATACGGCGGCAGGAGTAAGTACCGCTGATTGTCGACTTTGTGTGCGATGTACGGGAACTGATGCATCCGCGTCAGCTGCGCCAAGTTCAGGCTCCACTGGTGGTTCATCTGCAAGCAATCCAAGCCGGCAGAGTGTCTTTGGCCGTGTTGGTGGTTCCTCTGGTCGATCAGGCCGAAGATAGAGCGTTCGTCGTTGAGGCCAAACGCAGCGCTCGGACGGATCGCTACTTTCCAGCCACATTGGAGAGGATGTTCATACCATTATGGTCTTCCATCAGGATCTCATCTCCACGCATTGCATGTCGGCCGACCGGCCTCTACGGACTGCCCCGGATAGCGTTACCATCTCCTTTGGGCACAGGACATTCTTGACATCAATTGGGCTGGATACAAACGTGACCATGACATGAAACGCTTCCACCTGGAGTTACACCTTACACTTCTTGTTACGCGACTGCATGATAGCGAGGATGCCAATTACCAGAGTTTGGCGTTTCGGGGATGACATGAAAGAGAAAGGAAATACACGGACTGCTTCTTCGCTTCGGAATATCACGGTCTTGGCATCACGCTTTCAGGATACCCAAACTGCTGGATTTATCCTCCAGGAGGTTGCTCTAATTCTGGTCTGCGTTGTTTTTGGCTTTTGACGATTTGAGATATAGCATTTGGGTGGCGTTATTTGTCCGCGAGCATTTTCAGAGATTTGGAGTATCACTCTCGCAGCAGGATAGCGTGCGTGCGTTCATGTTTTGGAACTACGGGCATGTGGCTTTGAGGCCATTGCAGCGAAAAGGGAATTGAGGTGATGTTGCATGCTGAAGCGATGAATCCATATGAAGCTTACTCCTCTACATCGCACCCATCCACCATGCCTTTGGACTGCTGACCTTTCCTTTGCGCTTCGGCGTCGTCTCAATCCGGAAAACCAAGACTTGCCTGCTCCTACTCAATTGATAGCCGGAATCATCCAACGTGGCATGCTACGGTGCAGTCCTACAAACTCTTCAGCCCAAGCGACATCCAGCTGCGATGCTTCCCAAGCATCAAGTTGGAGAGGACCTCGCTTCAAGCAGACATCCTGTCCACGCCTCCCTCCTTACGTGTCTCGCCATGATACGCTGCTCGACAGTGCATGAACGCGGAGAGTGTTTCGTTTTTCTATTCCATCATCCATGATTGTCGCTCGTGCATTGCATGTGCGTGAAATGCATCCAACGCGGCCACGTGTTTCCATCGGCACTCACTTCATCTGCACGTAGGCGAGAGCAGGGCGTGAACCTCACACCGTCAAGACAGAGAGAAAGACAGCACAACAGCACATGCACCATCCCATCTACCGTACGTTACCACTCTACCGCTCAATCATCATTCAACATTTCCCTCGCCCCAATCATCGCCGCCGTGCCCATCACCCCCTGCCTCTCCTCCGCATCCAACAAAACCCCAAAATACATCTCCAAAGCCTGCACCCTCTCCTCCTCGCTCTTCAACCACCACTCCAACACCTTCTCCCCCTTCCGTCGCCACTTGACCACGTCGTGATTTAGTATTATCGCCCCGTCAATCTCGCCTTCCAAACTCGCTTCCGAGGGCGAGCCCGGTCCCTGCGATCCGTTGATTTCCAAAGACGTAGTGAAGCGCACCGCGACGACTTTGTGCGTGAAGAAGGTATGGCGATTCGTGCCCGGCTCGAGGTTCAGGCCCACGAGGTCCTGGGGCGTGAATTCTAAATCCGGGAAGCAGTAGTGCGGCGTCCATTCGCCGTGCGCGTCGAAGCGGTGCTGGAAGATCCAGAAGTTGTGGCTTTGGTTCAGGTTCTGGGGGAGGGGCGCGTAGATGAGACGCATTTCCGCAGGGGCGATCTGGGGCTGCGTGAGGCCGTCGTGGAGCGGCATGGGGTTGTGCGGGCCCGCGGCTCCATAACCCCCATCGAGGAGGTATTTGACGCCGTCGATGGTGACGAGGTTCACGACGTGCGTCCAGCCCCCGAAGACGCCGGGCCCGCGCCGGAAGATCCTGCTGCCGCACATGTAGACGTCGAAATCCAGCGCGTAGAGGATCAGGTGGAAGAAGTAGTTGATTTCCATGCAGTAGCCGCCGCGACCTTCGTTGCGGACGACTTTGGTGAGGAGGTGGGCGGGCGAGAGGTGGATCGTGTGGTGCCAGGAGTAGTGCTGGGAGATGTTTTCCCAGGGGCATTTGACGAGGTGGTGTTTTTGGAGGAGGTTGAGGAAGGAGAGTTTTTCCGCTGGGGTGAGGTGGGTTACGGAGTGGACTCTTTTGCGGTGGGGGAGTTGGATGCGGTTGAAGTAGGCTTCGAGGTCGTCGTCGGTGTATTTGTGGCGCGGGTGGGGGATTATTGTTGTTGTTGTTGGTTGGGGCATTGTGGCGTGTTTTGTTGGTCGAGGTCGTGTGTTTTTCTTGATTGTGATGGTGTGTCTCTCTCTGTGTGTATATAGTATATGTTCAAGGGAAGAAGGGTTGAGTTTTAAGAGCTGAGGTCTGTTTTAGCGAGAGAGGTAGCTGGTAAGCAGAGATACGAGTATTGGACGATAGCGAGGAGTAGTGTTTACTTTAGGTCGCTATCTGCGCCCTTTTAGGAACCTATTTGGAGTTTGTTGCTGGATTTGGCAGGTCGTCACGAGGCGCTCATGGTGGCAGCACAAGAGATAGCATTCGATGCAGCGACCTGATGGAGATGGAGATTGAAGGAATCGATAAAGTAAAGACACGAAGAAGAATGAGCGTTGTTGTAGAGAAGTGAAGGGACGTTGTTGACGCTTTGCCTGTTCCTGATGATGCCGAGTGACCGTGTCCAAGCTCCAAGCTCATATCCCGGTCCTTCATGACGAGCACATCGGCTCCCCTTCGACCGTCTCGAATCCTGTCACGAAAGAAAGCCATTGTGCAAAAGTTTCACGACCTCATCATCGTTCTCGACAGCTTGCTCTGACAAGCTCCAACGACCTCAAACCCTCCGCCCAACCATCGAAACCCTCCCTCACCTCAAACCCCGAACAAGCAGCAACATGTCCACAACCCGCCTCCCCTCCCTCACCAACACCACCCTCTTCTCCAACCTCCCCCCACCAAGCGAATGCCTCGCCATCCTCCTCGGCCTCGCCGAACTCACCGCCTTCGGCCTAACAGGCCTCACCGACCCAACCACCTTCTCCACAAACCACGGCCTGCCCATCCAAACCACGCAACAACCACAACAACACACCTCAGAAACGACCACGAAACGCGCCCTGGTCCAAGCCATCGCCGCACGGAACGTCCAGAACGGCGCCCTGTTGCTGACGCTGGCGTTGTACACGCGGGATCGCACGGCGCTGGGGATTGCGGTGGGGTTGGGCGTCGTTACGACGTTGGCGGATACGTTGATTGTGAGGGCGAATGGGGTCAAGGATACGGTGGCGTTTCATGCGGTGGGGATTGTGAATTCGGTGTTGCTTGGGGGGAGTTTGTTGTGGTGGGGTAGGGAGGATAGGTTTTTTAAGTGAGGAGGTGGAGAAGAAGGAGGGTGTGGGTGTGGTGGGATATGGATATGACAGACATGTGAGACATCGACAGAAAGAATTGCCAAGGAATGCTTTTGGGATTATGGGTTCGTTATTACGGATAGGACATATGTACATGGAGTTAGTTACGGCTTGGTGCTCCAAAGACGGATAGCGAGTCCAAGATCTTCATTTGGGACGAAGTCTCGCGACCATCTTTTCTACACGCTCAGCTCGGCGACTTGAGCGTTCTTCAGATCCTCCGAGTAAGGCTCGAGTGCGGACTTAACCTTGGTCGCCACGAGCTTGTGCACGATCTCCGGGCATCTGCCGATGAATGTAGCTGGGTCGAGAAGACTCTCCAGTTCGGGGATGACGGGCTCGAAGTAGGCGTTGTTTCGTATCCGTTCGATGAGGTCGTTGGGTTTGCCTTCTTGCTTGACGACGGCGCCGGCTTGGTGGGAGAGAACACTAGAAATATGTCAGTGATAGGCAAAGACACGATACGCAACGCTGTGATACTCACCGAATCTCCTCGTGGACTTCTTGTCGAGACTTGCCCTTGTCTACCATTGCCATGATGACGTTCTCGGTAGCCATGAAGGGAAGCTCTTGCTCGATACGCTGGTTGATGACGGCCTTGTTGACGACCAAGCCGTTGGAGATGTTGTTCAGCTTTGGTTGTGTTAGCACGTTGACATCATTCGTGGCAATGATTTTGACTTACCAGAATGAGACACGCATCGGCACACAGGAAGGACTCAGGCAGGGATATACGACGGATAGCCGAGTCATCCAAGCTTCGCTCCAGCCATTGCGAAGCATACGTCTGCTCAGCATCCGCGCTGAAGTTGTGGAGCTTCCTCCCCAACGAGCACAATCTCTCCGAACGCATGGGGTTGCGCTTGTAGGCCATGGCACTTGATCCGATCTGGTCAGCCTCGAAGGGTTCCTCGACTTCCTTGAACATGGCCAGATGTCTGATGTCGCCACCTATCCGTTCGCAGGCACAGCCGAACGAGCTCAACGCGTGAAGGACATCGACGTCAATCAGACGGGAGTATGTCTGGCTAGTGGATATCTCGGCCTCTGCGAATCCAGCCTTCTTGGTGACAAGTTCATCGAGCTCATCCACCAGCTCGTGCTTGCCCTTGAAGATGGCAAGAAAGCTGGCTTGGGTTCCAGTCGTTCCCTTGACACCGCGGAACGAATGAAGAACCTCATCGCGCTGCTTCTCGAGGTTGCGGAGGTTGCGAAGGAGATCCGTAATCCACAGACTGGCACGCTTGCCGACCGTGACAAGCTGAGCAGGCTGGCCGTGGGTATACCCAAGACAAGGCAAGTCCTTGTACTCAATCGCAAATGCCGCCAACCGCTGAATCACCGCCGCCAGTTTCGGCAGCACGATGTTCAGCGCATCCCGCAGGAAGATCAAATCCGCGTTGTCGGTCACATAGCATGAAGTCGCACCCCAATGGATAATACCCGCCGCCTCCGGCGCAACAATGCCGTACGTGTGGACGTGGGCCATGACATCGTGACGACGGCGCTTCTCCTCGGTGGCGGCGGCACCGAACTCGTCGTCTTCAATGCGGACGTGGTCTTTGAGTTGTTGGATTGCTGAGTCGGAGATGGGCAGACCGAGTTCCTTTTCTGACTCTGCCAGGTGGACCCATAGCTGTCGCCAAGTGCTGAAGCGGTTTCGTGGAGAGAAGATGAACTTCATCTCCGGGGAGCAGTACCTCGAATTGAGGGGGCTGTGGATATGTCAGTCATGATCCTTTCATGTGAGCACTTCATATCGAGTCGCTACAATCATTGCATGTGGGTTCCATGCTCAGATGTTGTGATCGCACAATCAAATTTGCTAGTGTGATTCGACTTTCTACATTTCCTCCAAAGAAACACCAAGACACTGTCGTCTTGCTGAAAGAGCACGTAAACTCACTTTTGGTACGTATCATGGTCGCCGGTCAACAAAGAGGTAGGCATGCCGCTGAGGCTCGATTCCGGATGTGGTGGTCTCGAAGGACGTGCTGCCATGGCGGCCATGCTTTTTGGCTTTCCCTGAGAGTGAGGAGGTGTTGCAGCGGGAAGAAGCGAGAAAATCCTAAGCTTGACGTGACGACGACCGAAGAAAGGGGACCGGAGTTCACGACATGGAAAGGGTTAATTGGTTTTGTTGCGAAATCTATTGCTTTTCAGAATCACTCGAGAGACGCACGGATTCACTCCATGGGAATTTTGACCCACGGAGAACCTGACCTTCACATGACAGTCCATTTTTCGGTGGAGAAAAGTGTGGGCTTTTTCGGCATGTGGATGAACCTTGAACCAGAGCACAGAGCACAAGCAGGAGAAAACTTCATTTGACTAAGCGTTAAACTCGTGAGATTCGTAGTCCAGAACAACCAGCTGGTCTTGTTTGATCCACCCTGCTTCGCTTCCTCCATCTTTTCCAAACTCATTTGATCGTTTTCGTAGCCGGGTTTCCAACCACACCGCCTTGGCTTTGCTGGTTTCGGTTAAAGATTCCGCCTCAGCTTGCATGGTATCCACCACGAACGTCAACTGACTTTTCAAGAGCCTGCTCTTTCAAAGGCCTGCGTCGGCTCGGGCTTTGATGCCATGCGTAAGGGTGCGACCAATTCCTGCGCAAATCTGTGTAAGATCTCAATAATGTACACCTCTACACCACGATTTCGTTCCATCGTTCAATCTTCATTTTCGTCCTCATCTCCTGGCCGATGGCTTCGGCACACCACCGAAAATTCGTCTCATTCGTTCACCTGGGCCAACCTTGCGCTGAGCAGCCGGTGTCGTCGAATAGCTGGTATTCGTACTGGCAGTATACCCGCTGCTCGAGCTGGCTGCCGTAAAGGTAGTTTCACCAGATGCTGTCGTAGATTCCGTCAAGGATCTGCCAGTCTCTCGTGACAAGGGTTTGATGTTGTCCTCATCATCGTTAGGAGTGGTTGTCGGTTTTGGTCCTGCAACCACCGTTGGCTGTATTTCTGCCGGTTGAGGCTCCGTGATCCTTGACTTTGAAGGTCGTTGTTCTTCCATGCGCGATGACCCAGAGTTGTTACGCTTCCGTTGATGACCTTCATGGTCATCGCGCACTTCTCATTTCTCAAACAGACTCTTGACCGAGTCTGTTATGCTCACGTTGCCGAAGAGCCATTGATTGCTGTGTCGGCCACAGTCCGAGAAGGTGGTGCTCTGTGCTCGGGCCTTGGGTTTGCTGGTCTTGGACGAGGTCGATGATGATGAAGGCTTGGGAGAGGACCTTGGGGGAGACCTGCTCCTCACAGATTCGGCCGAGGTGCGCATGTTCTTCATTTCGAAGCTCTCGGAGGAGCTTGAAGTGCTCGAACGGCTGAGGGAATGCATCTTTTCTTGGACCTTGACGCTGATGCTGGATTTCTTCTCTTGGTATTCCTTCTCTGAAAGGCCGGCGGTGTGATTTGAAGGGGAGTTCGTCATTCGAAGAGAAGAAGCGGGACGAGTTGCGGGTTTAAGAGCTGCTTGAATGATCGACAGGAGCTTAGTGAGCGTAGTCGGGGAAGGTTGGTAGCGTATGCGAGAGTCGGACAGGACCGAATAGATGGATTCTTCAAAAAATAACCACAGAGGGTCCAGTGGTCCTTTATGCTCGGACCTGAGCCCAGCTCTGTGTCACGATCCTGCTTCTCGTAGCTGCCCCAGTGTTCATGTGAGGCCCATGAGCGGGTCCCGCCAAGGCATATCCAAGACGGTGACTACGCGGTGCATGATCACGCTGGTGCCGTGTCCGTCCTCAGGCTGCTGCGAGACTGACGGCAGTCATTGGCTGGCGACAAGTCCCTGAACAGGGCACCGACAGAACATGAGAGCAAATGCCGTAAGCGAAGGGAAATCCGACCCGGTCGCCAAGCAGCTGAGGAGAATGAGGGGCGGTGATTGGAGTGCTTTACGATAGCGCGCCCGTAAGGCTGGACCGAGGGGACCGAGTTTGCCGTCTTTCGTCAGTAGTGCCTGGCGATTCTCTTGGTGCCATTGGCTTCGTTACGTGAACCCGTCTGGGCGAGGCACTCGTGACATGCTCAACGAGCAGCATTACGTAGGGCATGCAGCGGGTGTTTGAGATGGTTTGCAGATGCATCTGGTTGTTGCTATTCTCGTTGGGCGACGTTGTGTTTGGTGTGACGCCATTTGCTCGCTTGAGCCGGCCCGCAAGCCGTTTAGATTCCTTGGTCTTGGTCTTGGAGTCCACGACGACGTTCACAACATCAACACATTACACCATTCGCCAACCTAAGAGTACATGTCTTGCGACCATTCCACGGCATGCGTGGCACTTCCATCTATAGAGCAAGATGTACAACCTCGCTCTCGGCGCCACCGCGGATTCTTACAGGCTGGCCCTATTGCACAAAACCTCGACGCAACAAATGCTCTTGACTCCCGGCCATCGATATGCAGGAAGTCCTGAGTCACAACAGTGAGCCGCTTGCGCGTCCAGCTAAGAAAAAGGTTCGTTCGAAGAAGGACACCGTACAGCGAACGAGTTTGCGTCGCCTGGCTTGGCTGAATGCGAATATCGCTCAATCACCTGAACGGCGATTGATAATCGACGTTCGAGCAACGAACTTCCATCTCTGGACTGCTAGCAGAAGCAACAAATCTCACAGACCTCGAGACCTGCAGTTGCGCTGGTGGGATTCGGCAGGATTCGTTCCATAAAGGAGTGGAGGATGCTGCCCTGAAAGGACCCTTTGACACCAAGCTACTTTTTTGTCCGTCCGGTCACTAGATCATACGAAATACGCTGGATGCCCGGCACATGGCAAGGCAGCAGCATCGCATCAATTGACTGTCGCGGCCCTTGCGAAAGTCAGCGGCTCTTGCGATTGTCGCTCTCCAGAAACATGGTCCAGGTCGAATTCACAGGCACATCGTTCATCCAGTCTTGCTTAAACCGCTCTGCAAAATCGGGATGCTTTCGTGGGACGATAGTTTCCACTGACTTGTCTCATGAGCTTGCGAACGATGAGGTCGAGTCCCAGCTTTCGCAGGCTAGCTATTGTGTTCGCAAAGTGGTCTCACGTGCATCAGGCCCAACGATCGACAATCTCCATCTCGCCTATCGCCAGGTCGGGCGAAGGATGGCTTCGACTGCCTATCTCCAGCAATATACACACATTTACACGCGACGCACGCGATGTCTTATCGCTATCCAACCAATGCACCTAGAGCGTGGACATATCAAGTTGATGGCGACGTTACGATTGTGCCGCGATAGCATCATAATATCAAGCCAAGCTTTCCCAAAGGTAGGTGAAAGTACGTCTTTGATTCCACCTCATCACTTTCATCGAAGCCCGGATCCACAATGGCTGGCAACGACGGCCTCCAAGTTCTACCAGCAGGAGCCGGCTATGGAATCGTCATTGGCATCGGCGGACTCTTCGCCCTCATCATGCTGTTCCTCACCTGGCTACAAAATCGCTACACCTCCTTTTCCACCAAATCATCCGAAGAATTCAATATCGCATCTCGTTCGGTCAAGCCGGGGTTGATAGCATCCGGCATCGTGTCCTCCTGGACCTGGAGTGCGACCCTCCTCACCAGCTCGACCTTCGCATACTCCTATGGCGTCTGCGGCCCCATGTGGTATGCTGCGATGGGGACGATTCAAATTCTGATGTTCGCATTGATCGCCATCAAGATCAAGGCCAATGCTCCAGGCGCACATACATTTCCGGAGATCCTTCTAGCCAAGCACGGCAAAATCGCTCACGCGACGTACCTCTTCAACGGACTGGCTACGAACATGCTCGTGGGTGCGTGTTTGGTCCTCGGAGGCTCGCAGGTCGTGGCGGCGATTTCTGGAATGAATGTTTACGCCGCATGCTTCCTGATCCCAATCGTTGTGGCCGCGTACGTGATAGCCGGCGGACTACGATCGACCTTCATTGCAGACTACATCCACACAGTCATCCTCTTCATCGCCATCTTCGTGTTTGGGTTCTGCATGTACGCCACGAGCGACTTCGTTGGGTCGCCGAGCAAGTTCTACTATCTTCTCGTTGAAGCTTCAGAGAACATGCCCATTGCCAAGAATGCTGGCGATGGCTCGTACTTGACGTTTCGGTCTGTCGAAGGCCTGGTCTTTGCTATCGATCTCTTCGCTGCGGGATTCAGCACTGTCTGGTATGAAAATTAATTACGGAGAGCCTCAGACTCTCCTAAGACCTATCCGACTGAGCTTTTTACATAGGTTGGATCAAGCGTACTGGCAACGAGCCATCGCCTCACGGCCGGAGACGAGCGTGAAGGCGTACATACTGGGAGGGATAGCTTGGTACGGTGAGCATTCAAGACCCCTTCCTCATCATACACCCGAAGATACCAGCTAACATCCCTCAAGGCATCCCCTACGGCTTCGCAACAGCCATGGGCCTAGGCTGTGCAGCCCTCACCTCCTCACCTCACTTCCCAACCTACCCCGATCCCCTCACCGCCGCCCAAACCAGCGCCGGCCTCTCCTCCCCGGCAACAGCCATAACCCTCCTAGGCCAAGGCGGCGCAGTCCTAATGCTCATCCTCCTGTTCATGGCCGTCACCAGTTCCACCTCCGCCGAACTCATCGCCGTCTCCTCCCTCCTCACCTTCGACATCTACAAAACGTACATCCACCCAGACGCGGACTCCAAACGCCTCGTCACGGTGAGCCATTACGGGATTGTGATCTACGCGCTCGTCCTCGCGGTCTTTTGCTGTATTTTGAATGTAGCAGGCATAAACCTCACCTGGCTCCTCACGGTCCTCGCCATCATCGTCGGAGGCGGCGCCGTCCCCGTCGGGCTCGTCCTCCTCTGGAGACGCACCTCGACTCTCGCCGCCATCGCCGCGCCATGGGTGGGCCTCGCATGCGGCTTGATCGCCTGGTTCGTCACGGCGTGGAAGCGTTCGGGCGAGATCTCCATCGCGAGCACGGGGAACACGACGAATGCCGTGGCGGGGAATGTCACGAGTTTCGGCGTCGGGTGGTTGACGTGCGTGGTGTTGTCGTTGGCCTTTCCGGCGAAGTTCACGAGTGAAGACGCGAGGGATGTGGAGAGGCGGAATAAGATCCAGGGGATTGCTATGCCGAGGGCGAGGGGGGTCGTATCGGATGAGGGGATTGTTGGTACTGGAGACGAAGAGAAGAACCTCTCTTCTTCGAGCGAGGATAAAGTCGCCCACCCCACGGAATCTACCTCCTCGCAACAACAACAGCAAGATCTCACGACCAAACCCACCGGCAACGACCTCGTCGATTTTCTCGAGACGAGCAATATGGAACCCATGGACCCGGTCTTAGTCCGCAAAGGCGAACGCCTCGCGGTGGGCGCCAATGTGACCTTCATCCTTGTGGCCATCATACTCGTGCCATTTACTCTGTTCGGGACGAGCTACGTCTACAACCGGGCTTTCTTTGAGGGATGGGTGGTTGTTAGTTTCATCTGGGTGTGGTGTTCGATGGTGATCTGTGTGGTGTATCCTGTTGTTGAGAGCACGGGGGCTTTGAAGACGATTGCGAAGGGATCGTGGAGGGATGTTAGGGGGTTGTTTGGTGGGAAGGGCGAGAAGGGGAGGGGTGGAGGCGGAGGAGACAAAGCTTGAGATTAGCAGTCATAGATGCAGAATTCAAGCAGGTCCTTGATCAACATCCAAATTCTTGTGCATTGCTGCTTTATGCCTCGCCGTTGTTGGAGATCGAGATGCTGTCTATTTTTCTTCGAGGCATATTTCTCTGTGAACATGGCCTCCCGCAGTGCAGCATATCGCGTAATTGTCGAGAACAAGACGACCGACGTCGAGACCATCTTTTCCCAATGTATTTCGTCATGGCAGTCAGCATGATCGTCATCGATAGCATCCTTTTAAGCTGATCGACAAGACACCATGCATAGAATGATGGAATGATGGAAGCAGAGAAGCATGTGTGCATGACATCTGGAGAAAGTGGGGACCCCGAAGTGCAGCGATCGGCAATACCGCATTCGAAAGTCTATCGTCTATTGCACGTGTAGGTCGTCTTGCTGTCCAGCGGTGAGTCGTTTAGCAGTCTGTCGGTATCTCCAGAAGATACTGGAGGATCGGCCTGACCGACTCGTGGTGGGACTGCGGGAACTGACGGATTTCGTCGTACTTTTCGTTGGTCGTATCTGCCCTCAGTCTCACCCGATACGCTCGGACTTGAGTCTCACAACCTCAGTCAACCACCAAGCGTGGATGCGTTCATCTCCAGTCAATTCCGGATGGAAGGCAGTGCCAAACACATTCCCTTGCTTGACGGCTACGATGTCGCCATCTTCCCCGAGCTCCTCAGCCGTGGTCGTCTTATCCCGGATGGCTCGTGCTCTCCCCGGCAGACGGCCAAGAATCTCAACAGGAGCATTCGTCGCTTGTCTCGGTGGAGCGAGGACCGTGTCTGGAGATTTCTCTGCCGACACGGCATTTGTGGGCGGCAAGACCTTCTCAACGACTGGCGCTCTGATGAAGACGGAGTGGAAAGGCGACTCCAAGAACGGCAGATCCAGATCCGCCTCGAAGCTTTCGACTTGACGGCCAAAGTAGTTCCTCTGCACCCTCACATCCAATCCTCCGATGAGTTCCTGCCCAGACTGCTTGGACTTGTTGGCGCTCTCTGCCAGTAAGATCAGGCCTGCGCAGGTTCCCCAGACAGGCTTCCTCTGGACCTTGACAAAATCCCGAAGCGGGTCCAGCAGGGCGGTGCGCTCTGCAATGAGTGAGATGGAGGTGCTTTCGCCGCCCGGCAAGATGAGAGCATCACATGCCTGCAGCTCATCCGCGTTCCTCACTTCGAGAAAGGTGAAGTGGGGCGGCTGGTGAAGGGCTTTCCGGGGGCCATTGGCGATGGACTGCGCAGCGCGGTGCAGTAGCTGGATGTGCTCGACGAAGGCGCCTTGCAGGGCGAGGACGCCGACGGTGATGGCGGTCATGGCAGGAGTATCATGGCGAGGTGATGATATATCCAACACGCCATCAAATCAAATACCCCGAGGGCGAATTGGGAGTTGGTCGGGAATTTTCGCGCTAGTGAGTCAGTGAAGGGCGCGCCGTCCGGATGACGGGCCCGACATAGGGCCTGATAAGGCAGGCGCAGACATAGCTAGTCGAAGATATGTTCGGAAACCGAAGTGGTCGTGATGAGGGTGTTGCAAGTGGCTATGACGAAACGGGGGCTGTGTGTGATACAGTGATGAGGTGACAGGCTGCCTCTGCTCTCACGCTCGACACACACGTGGCGCGCCATTGCCGGTAGGAGGTCCGGGATGGCGGACAAGACCACACAGCGCTCGTGGGACGGTGGATGGAGGAGGCGGCGGTGGAGAAGCAGGCTGGTGGTACGTTGCTAGGCATTCTTATTATTCGTCGCACCCACAACAACAGAACTCTGGGACCGGATGGCAGGATGCGAGCGTTGCATGTCGTCAGGACGTTCTGCTGTTCGTGGTGTGCGTCCGGATTGGGAAGGGCCGCGGGCGTTAGAGTTTCGCTTCGGAACCCCCCACCATCGATAGCCGGCGACGGGAGGCGGCTGTACACGAGCTTAGCCTTGTCGGGCCTCTCATCATTCATAAACTTAGAAACGGCGGGTGCTGCGTCGGCGGTCGCTGATCGCCATATCAAGCCCTCAACACCAACGCCCGCAACAAAACCCGCCCGCTCCCATTCCCCTCTCTCCTGACCACCAAACTCTACCCTCCCGTCGCTCCTGCCTCACCGATAACGTGACATACAACCACTCCACACCCACGCTGCCTCTCCGTCGACCGCCCTGTTTTGCCGCGACTCATTTAATGTATAATCCCCTTGCGAGGGACCCCCGGAACACTCCTCCGTCGACATCATGACTTCAGGCCTCGTGGTTTCCGCGCGGAAGAGGGCGCTCTCCCAGCGCCTGCCGCTGAGCATCTCCACCAACTTCCCCGACATCTCCAGCTTGATGAACGGCATCGCCAGCAGCTTCTCCCAGACCACCATCCCGCTCCCCGAGCCTGACGGCGGCGAAATCACCTGCTGGCTGCTCGACACCAGGAGCCTATGGCCCGGCCAGAACATCTGGTCAGCTCCCGGAGCTGCAGAGGCCATGGCTCTCGTGTCCATGGCCGAGCAGAAGACCATCTCCACCAAGATGTTCATCCAGGACGCACGAATGAGTCTCGGCAGTGCCCTTCTCAAACGACTCTTCATCTCCAAGACTCTGGACATTCCGTGGAAGGACGTGGGACTGGCGAGGAAGGGTGATCCAAAGCACGGCAAGCCCTGTGCGGTGGACGTCGTTGGTCGGCCTATCGAGGGTATCGACTTCAACGTCTCCCACCAGGCCGGACTTGTCGCTTTGATCGGCTGGAACGGAAAGAAAAGACACAGATACCACCCCAACGGTGGCATTGAAGGATACATCAGCCCCAGCACCAACTTCGAACCCGACGTCATGGTCGGCGTGGACATTGTCTGCGTGAATGAGCGAGACGACTACCGCACAATCGATGCTGAAGGCTTGGACGGTTGGGTCGATATCTACGACTTTGTCTTTAGCGACGAAGAGCGGTGGAGCATGAAGTACGACGTCGACTACATCACCCTCCTCGACGGCACGATCCTTGGCAGGGACGAGATTGGACGACACGACAGGTGTATAACACGAAACAAGCAGATTGCACTCACCACGCCAACTGGACGGGACGTCAAGTTCAATTCCGACTTGCTGGTTGACGCCAAGCTTCGCCGGTTCTACACATACTTCTGCTACAAGGAGGCTTACATCAAGCTTGCGGGTGAGGCTCTGTTGGCACCATGGCTCAAGCAACTGGAATTCTTCAACGTACGAAGTCCCAAGCCTGGAACTGTTGCTCGCTGCAGCACAATCGGCCAATGGGGCGAGGAAGTCGACGACGTGGAAGTGCACATGAATGGACAGGAAGTGTCGGACGTAAAGATGAAGATCCAGTCCTACGAGGAGAGCTTCATGATTTCGACGGCTATCCAAGGCGAGATCAATGGCTTGAGGGTGCCTTCATTCAAGAAGCTTGATCTGCGCAGCGACATTCTCGCATACGCACACAAGCATCTCTGCACCTCACCCTCGGACTACAGGTGAGCCTCCCATCCACCAACGAGCAAGGCCACTATCGAGAACATCCCCATCGCTCCACGAAAGATGGAGGCTTACAAGCATTGCAGCCATCCACGGCTCTGAGAACGTCACTACCAGATCGAAGACATCGACAGACGATTCAGACCGGACTTTCCCGAGTCGCGCACCACCAACCTGCGCAGACAAGGATGACAGAGCGACAGAGCGATAAGGAATTGTCAAGGCTCGCGCACGCTGGATCCGTGCGTTTTCTGGAAGGGGAAAGAAACGGTGCCTCGGAGAGCCGTTGTGTTTTTGGCAAAAGCCCGTTCTCCAACGGCTAATCAAACGTTCGATAAAGCTAGGGAAGCACTGTTTCCCGCGAACGGGATCGCCATCGGTCATCGACACGTGGTGTGACAGGAGGCTTCCAGACTCGAATCGACGTCGACCGAATTGTCGTACACACCTGCACATGTTCCTTGGCGGATGCAGCGCTTCGACGACGCCACTCGGCTTGTTTTTGATCAAGGGGCGGCGTCTTCATCGGAGTAATGGGTCACGCCCGCGGCGAATTACCCACACACCCATGGACGCTGGATTCCATCACGGCGTCGAAGGAATTGTTCATTCTTCATTCATCGAGATTACATTTGAGCGTCAGCGGCGGGCACGGCGTAAGAGGATACGGATTGGTTGGGCGGGACAGGGCAGGACAGGGCAGGATAGAGCAAGGCGCTATGGATGGGGTCAAACACCCAGTGGAATCACTCCCTCGACGAAGGGACATGTGGAGGGTTCCACAACGATACGGACGTCATTCCCTTTTTGCTTATGTTCAGATAATTTCTAATCTCATCAGTGTGAGAGAGCGTACGACGCGAGGAAGCCGCGTGCCGTCGGTCAGCGAAACCCAGAAGACCATTTCTACCGATCCATCGCTTCGAAGCACAAGACTTTCTTTCTTTTGTATCGTTCCTACTTCGCGCCATATACGCCGGACACCGAGAGGTCAGATGACGTGGATAGAGCGGAGCGTCGTGGTGCGAAGTGAAGGGCATGGCATCGAGCTGCTGTCACGGAGTGAGTGAGTTGGCATGTAATCCGGACCGATGTTCAAACATGATCCAGATGTCCAAGGCTCTCCTTCCCCCCTCTTTCAAACAATAATACCCAAACCCGACCGTCCTTCAGAACAAGACATATCCATATCTCCCTCTCGGAACACCAGAAATGTTCTTCATATCTCAAAAGGATGGACAACCCAGACCCTCTCGTTATGGCTGACTGACTGTACATCCACCTCTGTCGCATCTTTGCCACGCTGATCCGAGATGAGTGGAGCATTTCGATTATCTACACCTTATGTTATAAGCGTGCGATCCCATATCATGAGAACACCTACCGTCTTGATGTTCAAACCCACGGGCACGGGACAAACTTCCAGCCTTTCAAGATATCTCCCGGCTTTAGGTCAACCAGGCCCTGAACATCACTTGATACATTTAAGAACAACAGAAACTGAAAAATAGGGACATCGGTAGAGGTAAAGCGGAGGTAAACCCCTTCTCTCATTTCGCAACATCACCAAAAGGGTGATACGTGAAAAGTCTCTTCATATGCTTTCATGTCCAACACGTGTAGAACTTTTTCCTGCTCCCTAATCCGCCCCCGCCCGTGACTATTCAAATGCAGGCAACGAAAGGATCCATGCCTTCACGCGTGCACGACTCGGATCGGAGGCCTTCTAATCCTCAGTCAAATCACCATACTCCCACATTCCTCTCCGCTCCGCCTTGGCTTCGGCCTCTCTCTTCTTCAGATCCGCCACGACGTTCGGGGCGCTGCGCTCGAAAGGCCGCAGCTTGCTCGGCACCATCGCGAGACCCTCGGTGATGACATCGGCGTTGATGCTCTGGTTGAGATCAGGCGCCTTCTCGTCCAGGAGCGTCACCCATAGCAAGTTGTCGCGCGAGTCGGAGTAATCGATGTTAGCAATCAGGTTCCGGTCCAGGCAGACGTGGTTGAGCATGTTGACAGACTCCGAGAGGTATTCAGGCGAGGTGGGAAATTGGACGAAGGAGAACGCGGCGTCGACGGCTTGGGCTTTGAGGCGCTGAGTACCAAACTTCGAGGACTCGAGTGGTCGGAGTGCGCTCCACGGCTGCGTCTCCGAGTTGCCGTAGTCGATGTAGACAACCTCTGACGTCTTGGCATCACGGTCGTTGCGTCGAACGCGAGCACGATACCATACGCCGTCTTGCGTGAACTTGGCAGAAACGATGTCACCAGTCTTTGGAGGTTGCGCAAGTGGCTGTCCGTTACCAGGAGAGATATGGAAAGACGCGAACTCCTTCATGAGCGAATCGAGGTTTGCCTTGCCAGAACCACCTAGTTGGACCTTCAGACGTGCATTGGAGGGATCGACATAGGTGATGGCGACATCCTTGTAGTTCTTCTCGCGCTGGATAGTGGGACCCTCGCCATTGCCGTTGACGCCGTTCGTTGGAGCAGAGTATTCGTAGTCGCCGCCGTTCTCTGCAGCCTCCTGTGCTGGATCGTAGTCATGCCACATGCCGCGTCTCATATCCTTTGCCTTTTGCTCGGCGGCGAAGAGCTCAGCGCCATTGGCAGACTTCTCTGCACTGTAAGCATGGACGGATGCGAAACCTTCCTCAACGAGCAACTTGGCAAAGCTCTCGCGGTTGACGTATAGTGTACCGATAAAGCCACCTTGCTTGTCGCAGTCATCCACATCGATCTCGACATCCCGCTGCATGCAACGCTTGACCGCGAATTCATGGGCCTCCTGTCCAAAGGGTTCGGCAGTGTCGTTGGCTCCACGAGCACTTCGGGGAGCACGAATACCACCGAGGACAAAGGTGAGCTTGGCGTTTTCGCGAGGGACGAGGACAGTGAATCGACTGCCGGACTTGACAAAGTCGACAACAGCAGGTACCTTCTTTTGCCGCGATAGAAGGGTGAGTTGACGCTTCGCTTTCTCGAGTGATTCGCTGTAGTCGACGTATGTTGGCACCTTTGGTGGCTTGGCCGACCACATACCCTTCTGCTCAGACTGGGCCGCCTCCTCGGCCGCGAGCAACTCATCGTATAGCGGGCTGCGGTCAGTATCGTCCATTCGATGCCGAATGACAGATGCGTATCCATTCTCGACAAGCAGCAAAGCGACGTTCTTACCGTTCTGTGTGACGGTAGCCATCTCCCGCTCGTCGTAACCTTCGGTGGCAGGTCGCTTGCCATCGATTGTCACCTTGACATGCTTGCCTATAAGCTTCTTACGTGCGAATTCCTTTGCTTCGGCGCCGAATGGCGATTGCTTGGGGTCGGTGGGCTTCGGCTGTCGCACACTGCTGAGGTTGATTCGCTTCTCCTGGCCAGCCTTATTGCGAATGAAGATGGTGTCCGCAGAGAAGACTCTACTGACGACGGCTTCTTGCTCGCTACCAGCTGTCCGCTTCGGTGCAACGCTCTGGAACAGACCGAGCTGCTTCTCCTTTGCGAATCGCTCTGCCTGACGAAGTTTGCCCATCTCGGCGCCAAGCCATGTCGAATGGTGGTCAACACATCGTGCAAGGCCCTCCTTCAGCAGGAACTCGGCGATGTTGCCAACAGGGTGCCGTACTTCACCAACAAGCAGGTTGTTCGGCGACACACCCAGTATCCGCACCTGCACACCTCTTTGAAGCAGTCTCTCTTCCACGAATGCCTGCGCTTCGTTTCCGTATGGTTCCGCAGCCTGCGTGCTGCCATCGCTGGGGTTCGTCCTCGCAGTCGTAGGTGCTCGTAGACCAGCAACAAGTACAGTCGTTTGCACATGCTGCGTGGGCGAGATCATGAGCCGGGCTATCAATCGATCTCCGCTAAGGACTCGCTCCACGACAGTCTCGATTGACCTGCCCTTCTGCTCTTCTGCGAATGCCTTGGGATCAGGTATCTCTCGGATGTTCTGCACAAAGAGCGCCTTTGGCTTCCACATTCCCTTCTCGTCTGCTTTTGCATGTGCCTCGAGTGCCGCCAATCGCTCAAGTAGCTCTGCTGCTGCTGGTGTTTCTGCCTTCCGCTCCGCATCGTCTCGCAGTTTCGCCCATCCCTCCTGGACAATCAAATCGGGAAGCTGCTTACCGTCGGGTAGAAGGACAACGCCATACTCGCGTGACGAGCCACCGACCTTTTGAGGGATCGAATAGAGCACGCTGAAGCGGATGACCTTGCCAACGGTGAGCTTCCGAATGAAGTCGCGAGATTCGAAGCTGCAAGGCTCGTCGGATTGCAGGCGAGGCGCATTGATGAAGGCCAGAGAAAGAGTGCGTTCCTGCTTGGCCTTGTTTTGCAGAATCAAGGTGTCGCCAGAGAGGACGCTCTTGACCTTGCCTTCTTGCAGTGCGGACATGGTGGCGGCGGTGGAGAGGTAGTCGGTGTTTGATAGAGGGTGATGCGGAAATGTTTCTATGCAGTGGGTGGTGTGGTGTTAGAAGTGGAAGTGGAAGTGGTGATGTCGTGTGCCATATTTTCGACACAGCTGGCTTCATGTGGGGAACTGGAAGGAGCTTGGAGACCCCTGTCACAGCAATGCAGGGCCCGCTACTCCACACGTGATGGCCGTAAATAGCAACGACGATGAGGTCAGTTCGCCATTCATGTGATGAAGCGTGTGGAGAGCATGAGACACGTGGGAAATATGAGACGGAGGTCATCGCTCTTGTAACATGTGATTGAAGTAGCTTTCACTCACAAGCACTCATATCGTACATTACGGAGGCTACCCAAAAACCGGCCCAGACACAGCACTGTCATCCTGTGCCGCGAAATGTCTGGTCTGATCATCATACAGTAGCAACCTGTAACTTCTCCAACCTCTCGCTTACAGCATCCACCAACGCTGTTTCACGCTCCAGCAATTGAAACACCTGTGCCAGTTTCTGCTGGCGAATCCCCTCACCCCCAGTCGACGATCGTACATCAGTCTTGACCTCATCTCTCCCTTCAAGTTCCTTCTGCACCATCATAGCCTGATCTAGGAGCTGCTTGTACACATCCTCGACAGCCCTGAATCGACCAGCCAAAGTGTCTTCATCTTCGAGGCCGCTTGGTTGAGAGTCTGTCGACACGGTAAGATGGCTGTTCTCCATCCTGATGACACCTGCCGGGCTCGATGGGGTAGCAGAGATGCTTTGCTCGATCCTAGCCACTTCCTCCGCGAATGCCTTCTCCTTCCTTGACATCTCTTTCCCACCCAACCCTCTCACCTTCCTCTGCAGGGCTTGCACTCTCTCGCTGATGTCTTGCGCCTTGTCTTTCGATGCTTGAATGCGGTTCTCGATCTTCTTGCGCCCACCACGTACCAGCTCCGGTGCTCCATCAGCCTGCTCTGGGAACTCATCCTCTCCAGTAACACTGTTCACGCGATTCGAAAGGTCCTTCGTCTTCTCGATCTGCGCCTTGAGCTCGCTCATCAACCTCTCGCATCTCCTAAATAGCTCACCCGTAGCTAGACCGATGGCATGTGTCTCGCTGCTGAAGACTCGGTGTGCCTCTGCAAATTTCGACAAAGTATAGGGCGAGAAGCTGACCTGACCTTTGATATCGCCGGCTGCTCCAGTTGCTGACTCCCGTCGCCAGCCTTCCAGCACCGCTGGAAACGCTGATTGTTGAAAGAAAACTTCGTCTGGCTGGTAGGGCGCTCTCGATTCGGGCGCTGGGAGAGCTTCGGGTGGAGCGAATGAGTCTGGTGCAAAGGGGTGAGCGGTTGAAGAGGGTATATCCAGCAGAGTGGCAACAGGCTTGTTCTTGTCAGATTTAGTCAACACCATGTAGCCGACATCTGTGACAGTGTTGTCCAGAACTGCAATGGCGGCGGTCAGAGGAGCCGCTGCGTCATCGAGCTCAGTCAGAGGATCAACGAGCGTGCTGAGAGACTCCATCAGGACATCAAGTCGGAAGCCGATGCCTTCAACGTCCGCTCCAGGCGCGGATAGTTCGTTCTCCAGGCTCTCGATCCAAGGTCTGAACGATACGCTGTAGATGCCAGTTGACTGCGTCAAGAAAAGCTCGTAACGATCCACGGGCGAAGTAGTAAATGTGGACCAGTGTCCAGCTCCTTGTCCGCCTCGCTGGAGGTCCAAAGTCTCGAGTAGCAGAAGGTCCTTGGTGGCTTCCAACTCGTCGAGATACTGTATTCGACCGCGCTTCAATGGCAGCCACTCGGCCTCGACACCCTCCAAATCCAGACAGACATGTACTTGGTTGCTGTTCGTTGCGAGACAAATGATGCCCACGCTCAAGCCATCGTCCAACCCTATATCTTGGAAGTCGTCCTCGCTGTCGAACAGAGCTTCCTCGTTGACCTTGGGCGCAATGACGTGAACATCTGTAATCTCGCCAAAGTCGGGCTCAGGTAAGAGCTGGAAAGGACCTTGCAGCCTTGGAATTGCGCTCAGTCGCTCTGGTCGTGAGTAGACTTCCATGTCGTATGTGCCGCTAGGTCCTGGCACGGCTGTAGGGTCTTGTGAGTCGACGTCAGCGAGCCATGTGCTCTGCTGATGAGCAACCAGTCGCTGCATCTCGGAGCCTTGAGCACCCGCGTCGAGGATTCTTTGTTTCGAGACCACACTGGTGCTGAGACTGGGCAGAAGAGTCGAGGGTGTCCAGAATTTCGAGGGAAGGAATGGACACAGTGCGTAGACATCGCCTTCGTCCATGGCCACCCAGAGCGTCATGCTTGACCACCCATCCTCATCGTCTCTTCCACTTCCACCAAAACAGCTGGCTGCCACCTGCATCTCCACATCGTCCGGGGAGAAGGTATTGGTCATCTCCCTTCGCTTACTGGCACTGAAGTCTTCCCTCTGCGTAGCCGCATTGGCTAGTTTCTTCAAATCCACCGCCAGAGCTGGCTCATTGAATGTGCTCCTGTCGTTCTGATCCAACTCCCACAGCCGGACCGATGCATCCTTGGTCACCGTGACCAAGCAGTTGCCAGAGGGCGAGAGTGGATGCCATATGCCGCTGACGAGCGAAGGTGCCTCAACGACGTGCACAAGAGGTCCAACCTGGAATGAGCGAGGCTTGATTGGTTGACTGTCCTGGAAGTTGAGATGCTCTCTCGGCGGCAAAACACAGACATGACAGGTATGGCTGGTCAGGACCGCGAGGAAATCACCCGACGGAGAGACCGTCAGTTGGGTGATTGGCAGGTATCCCGGTGTCTTCAGCACTTTGAATGTCGACTGCGAGCGTTGTCCTCTCGAGCCCTCCCCAGCATCTTTCAAAATTGCCAGATCGCTCCATCGCACCTCATTTCGCACTGCTGTAAACACCTCTGTACCTCTATGTGCTATCTTCCTCGACGGTCCGACTAATTTAGCATCTGTCTGCCTCGACTTGTCATTGTCGGAGGGCTGAAAGAAGTCGAATCCAGGCGTGCCATAGTCCAGCCACTGCGGGCTTCGGGCGAGGATTTTCGGCATGGCTTTGGAGATCTTGGGAGTGTGAAGTGCTATCTCGAGCACATGGCAGGTCGAGGTGCGCTTCTGAAGGTGCCGACGGTGGTTGACGTAGTGAGGTGGTCGATTGAAAGAAGCTTCGAATGTTTTGGCGCGTGCTTCTGATCTTCACAAGCTGCCGCACGCGTGAAGGTCCGTGCGCCGCGGCTTGAAACAGCTCTCTTCCAATCCATCCACTCTTCAATCCTCTTGCAACTATCAACAACGCAAAGATGGTAGCACCATTCCGTTTCCAGAACACGGTCGATAGGCTAGACAAGCCGTCGTCGTACACAGTGGGAAAGGTACGCTTGCTAATTGTTCACAGCATGGGACGTTCACTAACCCCCCCTCCAGCACAAGAAGCGGAAGCGAAACGCCAACGAAGAAGAACCCAACCGCGCGCCGTCGCCAGAGCTCGAAGACAAGCTCGCTAATGCGACCACCCTCTACGTCGGCAACCTCTCCTTCTACACCACCGAGGAGCAGATCCACTCGCTGTTCAGCACATGCGGCGAGATCAAGCGACTGGTCATGGGCCTCGACCGCTTCAGCAAGACGCCCTGCGGCTTCTGCTTCGTCGAGTACTACACGCACGAGGACGCGCTGGATTGCTTGAAATACGTGGGAGGCACGAAGCTCGACGAGCGTATCATCCGTGCTGATTTGGACGAGGGATTCAGCGAGGGCAGACAATACGGACGAGGCAGAAGCGGTGGGCAGGTAAGAGACGAGTATCGGGAAGAATACGATCCAGGCCGTGGTGGGTTCGGTAGAATGGTTGCAGAAGAGCGTGGTGCGATGTACGACGACTACCAGTAGGATGGGCTACGGAAACGATGGGGACCTGGGCATGGTACCGGCGTTGGGAGCCTGAGGCACTTGGCCGTGATCTCGGTACTGGACACGGCGAAGGACTTTACGATACCCTGCTATATTGCTTGCAAATGAGTCTTTCACAAGACGGACGGCGCAAGATGTTGAGATGTCAAACTTGAGCATCTGGCTGTATTGGGTTTGCCGCTGAAACTGCATTGTTTTGGTCCCTGCCTATGACCTTCATCCCTGAATCAGCACATGGTCTGAGAAATCGGCTCGAAGACCACAGTGCGAGCAGATGCGGTATCTGGCTCCTTCCATTCTACTCGCACCACTTCAGCTCAAGAATCGTCGACTCCTCAATAAGACCTCGCCGACGCCTGTGTCGCATCCTGAGCATGTGCAACCTTCCAGCCGCCAGGCATCAAGTCAGTATAGACCCGCTCAGGATCATACTTCTCCCTGATCTCCTGAAGACGGCGCAAATTGCTCGCTCCGTAGCTCTCAAACACGTTCTGGCCCTTATCGGCGTCGTTGAGATAGATGTAACTCGAATAGCCGTCCACCTCTTGGAGTTTCTGTTCAATCTTGGTGTCGACCTCAGCAAGGAACTGTTCGATGACAGAGTCATCTTCATCTGAGGCCCACGTCACGCTCTGCTCTACCCAAAACGCCGGCTCAACTGGAATTCCGTATGGCGACCCTTTGCTTGCTTCAGCCATCCTGGTCGTGACAGGATTGAACGCAAGGCCAGTGAAGAAGTCACCAACGGTATTCGCGATACCAGTGGAGTTGAGGACGTCAAAATATGTGTCATGGATAATCTGAATGGTGGCCTTGGTGGCCTTGGAACTGATGACGCGGAATTTTTGACGACGACCATACGATTCACCGCCAGCTCGGAAAGCTGGAAGGTAACCTGCTCCGTACGATGCGAGCGGCAATTTACTTAAAACCGAGGATCCATCATCAGCGGGAAGACCAGTCGTAGTGCTGTTGACAAATTCCGCGAACGGACCTGATGTTGGAGCCGCAGTCCCGTTGTAGAAGAGCGTCGAGAAATATGCAGGCTGTGTGTAGTTCGGACCCCAACGTGCAATTGGTGTGATGGCAGCGAAAGGATCGGCATCCTCATCTGCTGTGAAGGCCAATACAGCAGCCAGGAATGCTTCTCGAACAGGGTCGCCACTGCCGTAAGAAGCTTCTGCAATCAACGGCGTGGGGTCGTAAAAGGTCTGGAGGTCGAAACGAGTGACGATGGCAAAGGAGTTTCCACCTCCTTGCAGAGCCCACCACAGGTCAGAATGTTCGTTATCCGAAGTTGCAGTAACAATGGATCCGTCAGCCAATACACACTGCACAAGACGTCAGCCTTTGAGCGTTCAGGTTCGCCGATTACGCGGCACTTACTTCGTACGCTCGAATTTTGCCGCCTGCAGAAGCCATCCCCTGGTTGAAACTGTAGAACGAAAGCCCTCCACCAAGAAGCAAGCCTGGCACTCCAACAGGACCCAAGCGTCCTCCCACGACGATCAAGCCCGTGCCATTGAGAGACTCGTAAACGTTTGCCCATCTCGGACCGGGGCCCACTGAAAAGTAAGATCGGTCCTCAGACAGTCGAAGAGTCTGGAGATTGGTGCTGGAGATGAGCACGCCCGTGGCATTGATATTCGCAGCGTCCGCGATGGGCATGTGGCCACCGCCTCTCATCGCGAACGGCACATGCGATGCCGTTAGTTGCTTGACGAAGCTGGAAACCTCGGAAGCATCGTGAGGCACTACGACGCACGCGGGACGTTCCCAAGCCGAAGCACTCCATGAGACTGTGAGCAAGAAGGTGGAAGTCAGTGGATGCCAAATGCGACAGATACAAGCGGTGGCACACCTTTGGTTTCGTTCAAATAGCCGGGATCATCAGGCAATAGTGTGATGTTTGGGAAATCGCTCTTGAGCTGTTGACATGTTGTTGGAACCGTGCCGACATTGCAGAACGACGATCCTGAGCCGTGTAGTAGGGCCGAGGCACTGGCAGCGAAGATGTTGTAGATGGAGAGCCGCATTGTTGGCTGGATGCTTGGTGGTGAAGGCGAGAAGGGCGGAATGGTTGAAGGCAGAAGTGTCGAGGCATGGCTCCGTATCTAGTTATATGCGTCTTTTCAAGTGGCAACGTCTTCTTCCAGACAAGCCCCTATGTCGCCGGTATATTCATTGTTCGCATTTCTCGTACCAGTCCATTGTGACGAAAGCAGTGCCTAGAAGTAGTACGAGGACCCGCAACGCGGTCTCTTGAACAGCCTACTATACCAGCGGCTCTAGTCTGCCGCTGAGCCACACAGACCTCGCAACTTGCGCACTGATGGCTGCTTCATGACGGTATCGCCGTCGGCAAGGACAGTGACGCAGTGACGGTGCCGGCCAAATGGAGCCTTGTCGAGAACAAGATCTGTTGCAGCCGGGTCTTCAGCGTTACGGATTGGAATTGATAGCATGCCGCCTAACAGTTCCACAGCGATGTCAAAGTGGGCAATTTCTGGTTTCATTTCATGGACGATCATTGTTTGAGCACGTTCGATGTAGAGGTGAAGTCCAGACTGCAGTGGCAAGCCAAGCCAAGCCGCTGGTGGCGGTTGGGGAGAGCGAGGGGAGCGAGGGGAACGAGGAAAACGAGGAAAGCGAGATGAACGAGCGCGCCATCCAGCAGGACCAAGAACATGCAATTTGCCGTGGCGGAAGCATCTTTCAAACACAATGGGACTGTGAAAGTACGTATCTGTGCAACTCCAGATCCTGATCATTCCTCTCGAATTGCGCCACACTGGCCATATACCTGACGCTGGCAGCAGTCCAGTACGATGGGAGCGACGAGGACGCGAACAACGAAGCGAACGCCGCACACGAAATCGAGGAAAGGCTGTGTGCAGTGCAAGGGGCGTCGCGTCAAATGCGATGAGGTGCGTCCTGTGTGCTCGGGATGCGAACGGATGGGTCTCGCATGCTCCTATCGCCTGCCCCTTCCCCATGCCTTTTATCAAAGCAGCGCGCAAAGCACGTCTGCCAGCCCCCAAGAAGCACCACCAACAGATCATACGACATGGACCACGACCGATATGATGCTGCTGCAGCACTACGTGAGCTGCAGTTGCCTCAGTTTCTCTCCGGGCACGACTCGGCACGAGTGCTGGACTATGCAGGTGTCCAAGATTGCGCTTCACAACAGCTATTTGCTCCACCAACTCTTGGCCGTCGCTGCTCTTCACATGATGAGCACAGGGGCGAGCGACTCGAGTCTGTTCGAGTCCGCTTCTTTGCATCGAAGACTGGCTCTGGAAGGCGTTGGTCCTGTCATGACGAGCTGGGCCCCTAATTCCAGTATCTCACTGTTCGCTTTTGCTGGCCTCACGACCATCTACAGCTATGGCGAAGTATCCCTGCGGCCCAGAACGACGGACGAAGTGGATTTCATAGGCCGCATCATATCATGCTTCCATCTTGCGCGAGGCATATCAACCGTCTTGAGCGCACACAACAGCGAGATACAAAAAACATGGGCCGCAGGCATGACCAACTTCGATGCCGCCGACGAGCTGTCGTTGCTACGATCTTCCGGCCTCGGCCTCAAGCAAATAGACAATCTCTCAGTCTTGATCAGAACGCACGCAAAAGCGCCCGATGTTGTTGATGCATATCTCGACGCGGCCCGTCGTTGTCTCGAAAACATCACCCTGCTGCTTCGCAATCAAGACGCTGAAGATGACATCTCCTACTTGATCATGTCTTGGCCTAACGATGTCCACGAGGTCTACATGGAACAGTTGGAAAGTAGAGATCCTGTGGCACTGGTCATCCTCGCGCACTACGCGGTGCTGATGAAAATGCGGACTCGATATTGGTGGTTGAAAGGCTTGCCTCTCATGGTTCTGCAGGACGTCGAGCGAGTGATCCCGCAAGATTTTCGATATCATCTGGAATGGCCCTCACAAATGATCAGACCGGTTTGATCGAGTTCAAAGTCGTCGCCAGCTGTGGCCTGCGAGGACCAGACGTGCCTTAGGCTGAAACAATCCCAGCCAGGTTTCATCCCAAAACCAAGCACTATTTCTCTGCTCATGACATTCGACGCACAGAAATCGACGGTGACGGGCTTTCGATAATCTCTCCTCGCGATGGTACATGTAGCTGGTAGGTGGCCTCCCAACTGCCAAGCCAAGCGTTCAGAAGCCAACGACGAACATCCTGGAACTTCACGTACACAGTGCTAAACACGGCACCGGATTGCTTCCTCCGCTGCCATGTTTTGTAACGATAAGCCCATCACAAACTCACAAAGTGCAGAGATCGGGACCGACTGCCGCCATCTGGACGATGCCTCTGTGGGGTCGGCGTGTCGCGAGTCAGAAGATGCGATCAACCACAAACTGCTGCAGGCACTGATTCAGGGATCGCCGCCCACAACAACAGACATTGGCGTAACCTGCACCGCAGCCCAAGGCATGGTGTAATTCCTGTAAGCTGCCATGTCAGGTACACGAGCAGGACAAGGGCCAAGAGGAGGTTCTCGCTGCAAAGCGTCCCAAAAGCAACCCGACGAGGACGTGGCTGGTGTGTGATCTTTGAATCATGAGCCTACATATGGTAAACGGCGATGACGCTGATGTTGTAGCGCGATGCTGGGTTGACTTGTATGCCATCTTCCCTCGAGCCCGTACCTGAGAGCTTCGTTCGTCCACTCCTCCCATTTTGCTGGAGGCTATGAGGTCCAAGTCAAGACTCCTCCTACCTCTCCTTATTACCGGGGTTGCCAGCGATATGGTACACTCACCTCGACAGGCTGTGGACCTCAGCCAAGCAGAGGCATTGCCTTCTTGCGTGGTAAACAACCCTCATGCCGTGTAGAAACTTGGGCGTCAGCTAACCCTTCAGACAACATGCTCAACCCAGCTGTCACCCACCTACGGGTGCCAGCCCAACACAGCTTGTTTCTGTACAAACTCACAGCTATCCACCGCGTTGGAAGCATGCATCACCGCAAACTGCACAATCCCAGAAGGCATTGCAGCAAAGAAGTTCCAGGCCGAGACTTGTGGCTATTCCGTTCGAAGTCAAGTTGATACCGGTGAGGCTGTTCTGTGGGCCTTCTTCACGATCGCCATCATCTTCAGCATCCTGCGATGTGTTTCGCGCTGCCGGATGCTCGGTGGTGCTGGGTACTGGTGGGACGACTGGACCTGTCTCGTGTGCGTCTTACCGATGATCGGCATCACGATCACGGGATACCTGGGCTACCAGCATGGAATGGGACGAGACTATTGGGAAGTGGGCGCCAGTGGCATTGAAGAGTCAACAAAGGTAAGATCATCTCAAGATTTATAAACCTGTCTCTCCTGACTTTTCGCCCCAGGTCTTCTACGCCGGCGAGCCGCTCTATGTCGCTGTAGTGTTTGGCACAAAAATCAGCTTGGTCCTGCTATACCTGCGGATCTGGTCAAAGGACTCTCGAAACCTCAACATGGCTTGCTGGATTGTCATTGGTCTACTCGCCGCACTTTTTGTCTCGTTCGAGTTTGCCACCATCTTTCAGTGCATTCCGATCAGCTACAACTGGACATCTGTCGTCGACCGCACAGTCACCGGATCATGTACCGATAGACTAGCTCAAGTCTACACAGCAGCCGCCTTCAACATCTTCTTTGATGTTCTTGTCCTGCTCTTACCGGTGCCGAGCCTCCTCAAGTTGAACATTAGCTGGATGAAGAAGCTCGGTGTTGGCATTGTCTTCCTAGTCGGGATCCTTGTCACGATTTGTTCCATCGTACGCCTCAGCTACCTCTCCAAGTATGGAAACTCCACCAACATCACTTGGAATTATGCGTACATCGGCATGTGGAGCTTGCTCGAGGTTCATCTGAGCGTAGTATGTGTCTGCGTCCCTGCTGCCGCCGGTCTCTTTTACCGAACATGGAGGCACGTCAGGCATGGCAGCCCTGCCGAGAGCATGGACCTCGATGAGCATAGCAACAGAGGAGGAGATGAGAAGCAAATTCTTGGTGGCAACACCGACACCATGCCTCCTCGAACTCTGCAGACCACTGCTCAAGTGTCTGGACTTGGACTGTCGAACTTGGACCTCGAGTCTGGGGCATCCGCCAAGTCAGATGATGCCTCTTCATCGCCACCTGGGTTTGATGAGATGTGGACCAATCTTGGTGACAAAGACAAGGACAAGCAACGACCTCCTTATGAACTGCACGGCAATTCAGAGAACAGCCATGAGACATCCACCAGCCGGCCTGCCCTTCACTCTCAGGAGAAGTCGAGCGAGAACCGAGGATCAGGTAGCGCCAGTCGACCTGCACTGCCGTCGCAGTCACAATCGAATGAGAGTCATGTTCTCGGCAACGATCGGCCTATTCTACTTTCGCCAACTGAATCTAAGGAACGGCAGGAGAAGTATCGTGCTTTCCAGACACAGCCTGACACCAGGGAGAGTCAGTTCCGCCCTGCCATGCAGTCACCAGGAAGTTCTGAGGAGAGCATTGATCGGTCTGCACCTCTGTCTCCTGCCGAAGATCAGCATGGCGAAAAGCAACCTGACCTGACATCAGAAGAGGCTTCGAAGGACGGTCAACAGCGGCCTGCTCTGAAATCGAACGGAGGTTCTAAGGACAGCCAGCAACGTCCTTCGCTCCACTCTCGTGTCCAGTCCAAAGACAGTCAAGGTCGACCATCTCCGTTGTCTCCAGGCCAGCTAGATGAGACCATGGTCGCTGGAACAGCCCGTCCTTCATTCTACGAGCACCGGCCGTCAGAAGAGTTCCAGCAGCCGAGAGATCAGCACCCTGCCTTCCGCTCAGACGAGCAGTCACAATGGGACGGTCAAAGTGTGGATGGCGACCGCCCGAGTCTTTTCAACTTTGGCCAGTCGAAGGATGGTCAGAGCATCTACAGCGGTCGGCCTGCATTCTTCTCGCCGCCGTCCAAAGACAACCAGAGCTTCTACAGTGACCGTCCGGTCCTCCACTCTTCTCAGTCGACTGAAGGCTCCATGATGGCAAGCCGACCAAGCTTTGACTCTCGCCGTTACTCTCGAGAGAATCAGCTCTTCCAAGTTCTTCCTACCCTCTTCACCCAAGGCGGCCCTTCGTCTACCAATCAGTGGCAGTCTAACATGTCGTCGCGAGGTCATTCAAGGGACGGATCCATGGCACGTCCAGCGCTCTTCTCGCAGTTTCAGTCAAAGGACAGTCAAAGTCGTCGTCCATTCCTGTCACAGGGACAATCGAAAGATACCGGCATCACAGATATCTCACGCCCTGCGCTTTACTCCACTGGCAATTCCAGGCAAGGCTACAATGATGAAGATATTCAAGATAATATCGCCGCAGCCGAAGCCATGGTCGGTGTCGGTGCCCTCGAGCAGCAAGATCAACGGTTTCAGGCACCGCCCGCCAAGTCGCCAGCTCGCCACTCCTATACCAAGTCACCCCAAGCTCAATCTCCAAGTGTGAACGAACATGATCAGAATGCTGACTTAGCTGCCACCATTGCTGATGCCTTGGTCGGCGTCCGTCAGATGCAGCAGCAGTTATCCATGAAGAGCGAAGAGCCAGAGCCAGAGCCAAAGAGCCCGTCTAAATCTTCCCAAGACACAAGGAACGACTCCGCTACAGAGACCACCGAGAAGCCAATGTCTTCTCCATGGTCTTTTGACGGACGCGCCAAGTCTTTCAGAGACCCAGCGGACACTGCTTCGCCTGTTGGTTCGCCTCTTGCTTCACCGTTCTCGTCTCTGGGCTCGCCAAACACAATGGCAGGTCGGGAGCACCCACTTCGATCGCAAGGAAGACAGGCTTCTTCCGAAGGTGAACAGCTGAGACAAAGGGCTGCCACAATTGAGTCAGAGGCTCGCGAGCGACCCCTTGAATCAGCGCAATCTCCCAAGACTCCAAAGGCCCCCAAATCTACCAGGTTTGAGACTCGTGCCGCCGAAGAAGAGCAGCGTCGTCTCGACGCTACAGAAGTTGCCGCACCTGAAGCTGTTACTGCTGCCGCTACCGTTGCTGCCACGGCTACTGTGCCCGCCGCTGCCGCTGCTGCCCTTGGAGAGAAGCGCGAGTTGACACGTCGTTCTCGCAGCGAGTCTGAGTTAAAAGACGACATCGAGGAACGCAAACGGGCTGAAGCCTGGCGGCCAGTAACACCCAGCGTCAGTCGAAGCGCTTCCCGCGAAGAGCATCCACTCAACTCTACTCCAGCCCGTAACCCGTACGAGGACGAGCAGATGAGAAAAGGCGCTGGCACTCAGACAGACTTCCCTTACGAGTCTGAGGAGAACTTGAACGAGCCACAACAACGCATGAGCCCAGAGTTGCAGCACTACAAGAGACAACGCGCAGCTGAGTCTGAAGCCGCGCTGGCGGATGCATACTACGAGCACATGGAACGCAAGTACTCTCAAGATGAGCCGCGTGGCCCGTTCGAGGAAGAACACAAAGCGACTAGACGTGCCGAGAGAGCTGCTCGCCGTGCTGCCAGTGCCGCTAGCGTTGCTGAAAGGACAACGTCTCGCAATAGTAATGACATTGGCGATATGCTTTCCGCCATGGCATCTGCTGTTGGCGAAGTAGGTGACCAGCCAGCCGAGGAAGATCGCAACCGTTCCAACATGGATGAAGTTGCTCAGCCTGAGGCTGTCTTGGCCGATCACCCTCTGGAAGGACTACGAACCTCTCAACCCATCGAAACCGAGTTCGAGGCCCAACAAGCCGCCGAGCTTGCCATCGCTGACGCCGCACCACCACCAACGATCCACCGCTCTCGCAGCAACTCTCGTTCCTCCCGCCCAGACCCATCCCCAATCCAACGACGCAGCCGTCCCTCCAACGAAAACCACAAAGTCTACGAGCTCGAAGGCGGCTCCGCCCCACCCCCAACCATCCACCGCTCCCGCAGCAACTCCACCACCGCCTCCAACAGACACTACTCCCACAACCCCCGCCGCGCAGGCGAAGACAGCGGCGCCGAATCCGCGACCGAGAACGACCACCCCCTGCGCTCCCAAGGAAAGTCCGGCCTCTACTCCCACCCCAACTCCCGCCCCACATCCTTCACCTTTCGCCGTCGAACCACCCAATCCGACTCCGCCGCCGAGTCCGCCAACGAGGACGACCACCCCTTGCGTTCCCAAGGCCGCTCAGGTCTCTACCACAACGACTCAACCGAGTCCCTCGACGCCGCGCAACAAACCCGCAACGCCTCCGTCGTCGCCATCAAAGCCGCCGCAGAACAACGTCGCGCGCGCCAGAAACGCCGACAGAGCGGGAATAGCGTGCAGAGCGCGAAGAGCGATAGCTCGACGGAGATTCTTTACGAGGGGAGAGCGAATGCCAAGAAGGAGAAGACGTATAAGAGTTTTGTGACGGAGCCGGCGAAGCCGCTTGGACGGGGGGCGAGTCCGAGGGGGTTTGCTAATGGTGCTGGTAGGGGAGGCGATGGGTATGGGTATGGGTACGGAAATGCGAATGGTGGCGGGAGGGGGTATTATCGGGAGCCATCGCCGATGAGTAGCAGTGAGGAGTATCGGGTGAGGGTCACGGAGCGGCGGGGGAGTCATGGAAGTAGGGAGTTGAGGATGCCGTGGAGGGAGTGGGAGGGGGATGAGGAGGGGTGGTGAGTGAGGGTTGTATGTAATGATTTTCTTCTCTTTCATATGTAATGATTGAGGCAGTTAGTGGGCTGTGAGGCGTTAGAGAGGAATCCTGTATAACAGTAACGAGACCCACGAAATCCAGAGCCTCTTAAACCCCATCGCCACCGCCTGCCCTCTAAACGATCAAATGCCCCCCAGTCGTCACAACCTGCGTCCCGGTGGTATTCCGATCCTTCATCAAATACAGATAACTCTCCGCCACCTCCTCGATCGTGCCCACCTTCCCCACGGGCAACTTCTCCTCAATCTGCTTGAAAAACCCCGCCTTCCGCTCGGGACTCATCCCCGCCCAGAGTTCCGTGTCGACGGCCCCTGGACACACGAGGTTCACGCGGATGGGCTTCAGGTCGAGGGCTAGGCCGCGCACCATACCTTGCAGGCCTGTGGCATAGGAGTTGACGACGGTCCAGTTGCTAACATCCAATATCAGCATACACACGTATGCTGGGCGAAGGGGGTGGGGGGCAAAAAGTTAGGGACTACTTACGGATTCGGCCTCTCCGCCACACCCCCCGTCGTCAACGTAATCGAACTCTTCGGCCCCGGATTCATCCTCGGCGGCGCATACTTGCCAATAAACAACGGCGCATAAAACCTCACGAGCCCGGCCTTCTTGATAAACTCCATATCGATCTCCGGCAGCGCCTTCACCGCCAGGCTGTCGCCGGCCGTGTGGATGACGTGGTCGATGCCGTCGCCGACGGCTTCGAAGAGCGCCGCGATGTTCGACTCGAGCGTCGCCTCGTCGCCGAGGTCGCAGGCGTGGCCGGTGATGCGGGATGCGGCGGACGGGTAGGTTTTTTGGAGGGAGGTGATGGCTTTTTCCACGCGGGACGGGTTCGAGGAGGAGATTATTACCGTGCAGCCGTTTTCGAGGGAGGCTTCGGCGGCGCCGTAGCCGATGCCTAGAATGTGTTGTTAGGGAACGGGTCTAGAGGATGGACGCTAAGTTGTGTAGCCTGATTGTACCTGCTGAGCCGCCGATGATGAGGACTTTGTCGCCCTTGAGCTTTTGCGTGTACTTGACTTGGTCGGCCATGTTGTCTTGTTGTCTCGTTGACGAGATTGTTGCTTGGTAATGGAGGGAGTTCGAGCCTTGTGTCCTCAGCGAAGCGGTGTGCACCTTGGCGATCCTTTCGAAGAATCTCTTTTGGCAGTCGTCAACAATCCGTGCCAATGGCTTGGTTTATAACATGCCCATATCTTGTCAGTGTCCTCGAAGATTAAGACGGAAAGAAGTTCAACCCCAAGTGCGGACTTTAGAGATAGCTCCACCGTTGATGTCATCAATTGGAAGAGCTCGGGGACTGCAGCTCAAACGTACAGTACATGATCTGGTTTTATTCAAATCTTCTACATACCTATGTTCGTGCTCTTGCTGGGGTATCGTCGAGACTGGATTAGCGCGCCCACGATGCAGGGCCACATGTGATTTTCCGCCCTCTTTACGCTTAGCATAGGGTTGCCTGCTGACGTATCTCCTTAACGCCGTGTATCAGCCGCCAGTACTATGCCTTAAAGGTCCAAAATGGAATGGCAGCGAGGAATTGAGGCGTGTCTCCATGCGGTGCGAACTAGTAAGGGATCTGTGATTCTTCGACGACTTCAAGGTAGATTCAGCCGCCAGATATCGTCGTATATGAGCTCAGGCGAATTGCCACCTGGCATTGACCTGTTTGCGGGTGACCTGGGAGCCGTTAGCATTGCTCAACGTGTAGTAGAGAGGGTCGACTCACCAAAGGTCCAACAACAAAAGTGGCCACAGCTAGCGCAGCAACAGTAGCCAGCATCTGGAACTTGTTGAAGTCCTTCCCCAAGATGTCGAAGCTGAAACTTGGGCTGAGCCTTGTTCCAAACACATCATGACCGTATGCAAACACCAGACTGGTACTCTCGATCAAGGCCGGACTGGTAATGATATTGCTGATGCCTAGCACTTCTCTCTGATGATTGAGGTACCACTTTGGGTCGAATTCGATCGTGGGAGTGTATCTCATCAAGCCTTCACCTTGCTCATCCTTCGTGGGATCCCGTCCAACAGGGCGACGAGGGTCAAGGATGCCGTACGGAATACCAACAATGGCACTCGAATCGGAGAGCACTGCCAACAGTTGGCGTGACGTGATGCCTTGACGAGTTTGAGTCACGGCGAGCTTCGAGATAGATTCTGGGATCTGATATGACCTGAGCATAACGAACGGCTCAGCCGGCGCCTGCAGACTGGAAGAATTGACCTTGCCGGTCAGAGGTCCTCGATCGTTGGGGACCAGCGACTCAAACATCTCGCCGACGACGAGGTAGTGTCCCTTTGGTGAATCATCTGAAGCCTCCACAGTGTAGGAGTAAGCGAACCAGTTCTCTGACAAAGTCGATGATATCGGGGCCTGCAAGTCAACGTTGCTGTGCGAATCGGCGTAAAGCGTGGCTCCAGAGACAGTATCCAGCACATAGAACGAGACCGTCTGAGTCTGGTCGTTCACGGTTGCCAACAACGCCAAATTGGGACTGAGGTACTTGTAAAGCACTCTTCGGTCGCCAAGAACCTTGCCTATCGACGCGACTGGGTCGTTCACTGGTCTTGGAACGAGGCTCAGGATGCGTTCGCCCGTACCGGGTATGAAACGCCAAATAGCGCCTGAAGCCGCACTGCCGACTTTGTTGGCTTCCAATTCGCCGTCATGTAGAGAGAATCGCACGGTGCCGACGGAAGGATTGACCACGAGAACAGCGGCGGAGGAAGGAACTTCACCAGTGGATGCGTCAAACTGCAATTGTTGCAAGCCGACACCATGTTCAAGAACCAGAACACCGTCAGAAGCTGATTTGAAAGTAGGATCCCAGCTTTCTCCAGGCTTGAGCTCCACGGCCTGCTTGCTCCAGAGGATCTTGTATGGGTTGGCAGCGTCAAGGGCAACCACTCTGCCGTTCTTGGTAGCGCATGCAATGACCTTGTGGAAGCCAAATACATCGCCTGTTAGACCACTGTCTGCTGTTGTGCCAAAAAGCTGGTTTCTGACCTTCTGTGGCAAGGAACTCAGCACGGCTGGCAATCGCTGCCAGTCCTGGATGTGACGCTTGACTCGATGAATGTAAGCCGAAATTGGGTTGCTGTGCGCCTCCACTTCAAGTTCGTGGGCGAAGGCCTCGACTTCAGGAGGGGAGGCAAAGATGGCTGACTGGGTCGTTGCCAGTAGTTCCGGTCGCTGCCAGACAGGGCTTCCCTCTCTGATCAAGATCCAGTCACCAGTAGACAGGAAGACGGCGGAGCGCACAGCTGAGACACTGTCGTCTTTAACAGAGACCTCGGAGACCGCGTGCACCGGCTCTGCTTCTTCACCCTTGGCGACTGGGATGCCCAAGTCTGCCAGCGGCCATCTGCCTAGCGAACCATGCGAAGCAGATGACACAGTCATCACCTGACCACGTGAAATTCTCGTGAAGTAGACATTTGCATCAGATGTGCTGGTCGAAAAGGCGCCCTTTCCACTGATCTTAGGCAGTGAATATGCCTTCTCCACTTTACTCTTCTTCAAATCAATGTGGTACACCTCACCCCAGTGAGAAATGTCCGTCTCATAATGCACGAGGAAGTGTGCAAGAGAGTTGGTGTGGAATGGAGCATGCAGTCGAACGTTTGTGATGGCATGTTCGTTGTGCTTCTCAATGTTGAAGGAAGCAACCGCTTTGGAACCGATGATGTTGACTTTAAGCACACTTCGAGCGGCGTCTGTCCAAGCAATGATAGGCGAAGCTGAATTTGCACCGACTGAGATGATAGTATCAGTCGACGCAAGCTCACTGTCCGAACTGAGCGTGTACTCGTCATTCTTCCGGCCGGTAACTGGGTCCAAGCTGATGACTTTGATCTTGATGTTGCCCAGCAGAGTTTTGTGTAGCACAATGCCAAAAATTTCCGTGGCCGAGGCGGACACCTGGTATGGAATATCTCCACTGTCGATGCTATGCGTCCACTTCGTAGTTCCTGAAGCACCGTCCACCCGTAATATCGATGGGCTGTTTCCACTGGTCAAAACAACAGTATCCTTCACACCAGGAGTTTGACTGGCATCCTGAAGCTCCAGAATCTCGAGGTCCTCAATTCTGCCAGGCGTGTCAATAGTCCAGACTAGCCTACCATCGGCTGCACTCCATGCTGTCGTCTTGTTTCCGATGCCGCCCACGACCACATCCTGGCCCTCGCCAGCGCGCAAAAAACCCGCATTGGAGGAAATACCAGCAGAACGCAGCGACTGACGCCAGACTAGCGCGCCATCTCTGGGATTAACAGCTCCCACGACACCTTCCTCGGAGAGGGTGTAGATGAGGGAAGCTCTGGAGCTTGGGTTTGGCTGGTGGAAGAAGGTCGTCTCCTCTTTCGGGGCTCCCAGAAGGGCGTAGTGATAGTCGATCGTCCAGGCTTCGTCGGCAAAGACTGCAGTGGTGGAATGGAGCAGTAAAGCTACCGCTCCGAGCAGCGGGAGATGCATTGTTGGCGGGTTCAAGGCACCTGATGTTCAAGCACGTTTGAGGCGAGGTCGACTGCTGGGCTTGGCGGAGGTAAACGGCGGCCAGCCTGACTCGTGGGGAGAGGGCCGTCAAGAGATACGGAGGCGACCGCGTCTATGTATCTACTTAGGGCTCGCTTCACTCGCGTCGATACTTTAACACGTACATACACCCAACGTCACGACGCGCCCTTCCACGTCCTTCGGCCTCGCGCTTCCTCGCATCGTGCATGTCGATGAGGCCACTGACCGGCATTTGGACGACAGACTTTCGGGCTGGAGGGTCGGGCTGGCAGGCGGAAGTGGTGTGCCGCCGGGGATTTAAAGGCAGAGCGACTGCAGGCTGCATGATGATGGCTGGACGCTCGCTAGGCGCATATCGGCTGCACAGCGCTGCATATCGCGGCGGGCAGCGAATGGCTTGAGGGTGTAGGAACCGCGCCGGCGGCTTCGCCAGAGCAATCAGCAGTAGGAGACGGCGGGTGGTGTTCCCGGTTGGGCGAGTACACCCCTCCATATCCGACCTCTGAGCTCGATCGGCGAGAGATAGAGTGCGCCGACGCCGTAACTCTGGGCTCTTCTCGTGCAGCTTTGACGGCGCGTGGGCCAGTCGCCCGGCAGCCGTAGTCCCCAACCACCCAATGCAGCTCTGCAGTGGTTGAGGCGTGAGGTGCGTTTTTCCCATCAAGCGGCGAATGGCAAAAACGCTGCTGCAAAGCGCTGCCAGCACTGGCTGCTCGGGACCGCAGGCCCAGCGAATGGCAGGACGCGCATCCTCACCATTTTCTTCCACCAGCAGAGCTCTCGACTACGTCCGCTGCTCGACTCGCGTGTTCGACAGGCATCGTCGGGCCTGGCACCCAATGCGTCGTCACGGCTTTTAGCCCGCGAAAAAAGTCTGGGTCTGGATGATGGGCACTTCTGTGCTGGGACTTGCTGCTGTGCACAAAAACCCTCTAACTTAATACACCTAGGCCCTCCTGCCCATGGGACGCGACTCGATGGCACCCAGAGCTACTGCACTCGTCGCTGTAGGCAGTTGTAAGGATAGCTTTTCTTCAACTACTACTACTGCTCCTACCACACCACCACCTCCTCCTCTACCTTCATCCCTACTTCCTCTTCCCCCGTTTGCGACCTATCACGCTGGGCCCTTCCGCTTTCCGCGCCGTGTCACCCAAGACCTCTCCACCACCGGCGCGACTCGTCTACATCTGGCAGCGAACGCACTGCATGTACCTCTGAATGGACCTGCTTGTGCCACTGCTACGCGTTCGAAAAGCGAAAGCCCATATCCCTTCCTCCTCGCTCTCCCACAGTCCCCTTCCCACACTGAGATTTAGGCGAACGTCGAAATTCCAAGTTCTTGGCTGAAGAAAAGTGGAAGAGGAAAGATCATAATAACTTCTTGGTAAAGTCAATCACCACGTCTGGCACATGGTTGATCAGATCGCATTCGACGCTTTGTGGGAGGATGTCTCGTTCAGGGTACCAGCGCGAGTATCACATCGCAGTACTAGGCTCCGGCGGGGTTGGCAAGAGTTGTTTAACCAGTAAGAGCCAGAACAATCGAATCCAAGATCCTCACTGACATTTCACAGTGCAATTCGTTCAAGGAGTGTTTGTAGAACGCTATGACCCAACCATAGAAGACTCCTATCGAAAACACATCGACGTTGATGTTGGCTCCCCCCGAAAATCTCAAATAAGCGAGAGCTAAAAGATAGCCGTACAGGGCAGACATGTAGTCCTCGAGATCATGGATACGGCAGGAACCGAACAATTCAGTAGGTCGAAAGCAAATACGAACAGCCGTTGAGAACACGACCAAAGCTAATAAAACCTCCCAGCGGCTATGAGGTACCGAGGCACTCACTCCAACAACCCAACACCACCACCATCTCACTCACAACGTCTTGCTTTTAGGGATATGTACATGCGCCTCGGCCAAGGCTTCCTCCTCGTCTTCAGCATCACCTCCGCCTCCTCCCTACGCGAACTAATCGAACTGCGCGAACAAATCGTGCGCACGAAAAACGACCCCACCTTCCCCATCGTGCTCGTAGGCAACAAATCCGACCTCGAGGAAGACCGCGCCGTCTCGCGCGCCAAGGCCTTCCAGCTCTCGCAGAGTTGGGGAAACATCCCGTATTACGAGACGAGCGCGCGGAGAGCGACGAACATTAATGAGGTGTTTATTGATGTTTGTCGCCAGATTATTCGGAAGGATTTGGCCAAGGCGAGGCCGGAGGGGGAGGGCGGGAGTGGGGGGACGAGGCATCGGCGGAGGAGGAAGAGGAGGGGCCAAGGGGGTGGTGGGGGGAGGCATGAGGATGAGGGGGGGAGTCGGTGTGTTATATTGTGAAAGAGGTGAAATGGGATATATTCTTTCAAAAGGCGCATAATTTTCTTGGGACGTGCGGTAGGTTTGCGTGAGGCTATGGTAGGAGGAGGATGTCGGGATTGGATACTTGGGTCATGGTCTTGGAAGATCAGGTAGGGGTGATTTGCGGGCAGTAGAGATCAACGACAATGCAGGGCTTGGTAGGGTATGAAGGGAACGACACGCAGAGGATAGGCGAGAAGAGATACGTATCGGAGAGTGCATGCAAGAAAGAGCTCAGACCCAGAAAGTGCAGGGACGTTGGGTACTGAAGCCTCAGAGGAGATCAGCAGTGGACATTGTGATATTGAAGGAATCAATCGGACAAGAGGCTCGATCGTCAGGATGCGAACGCACGAGGTCGGATAACAACTTGTAAATGCCATTGAATCATGACGATCAACAGAATGCAAATGCCCCAGGGGAAGGCTGTGTGAATGTTGACGTACTTCGATACAATTCATCTTTGGTCGCTACCTTCTGCCACATTCTCCTATGAAGCAAGTGACGCTCGATCTGTAAGAATGCAGGAAAGTGATTCAAAACAGTAGCAACCCCGGGACTGGTAACTGGGTTTTCTCAACCCCTTGTCACACTAATCCTTCTCCTAATGCTTTTCGCAACCCGCCAGAAGCCATCTCTCATGTCCCTCGTAGACGTTTTATCCCCTCACCAGCCAAAATCGTAATCGCTGTCAAAGTCCGCATCACTCAGCTCTGTCAGGCTGTCGTCATCGCTTGTGTTCCCGTCACCACCCTTGCCCTCGGCCTCTTCCTCTTCATCCACAATCTTGAGCGGCGGAAAGGTCTCCTTGGTGTGCCAGTCCTTGCTCGTAAGCACCTCGTCGTTGAAATCGCCACTTTGGGCGGCCGCCAACGCCAGATTGAAATGCTCAAAGACGCGAGACAGCTGCATGACCACCCAGTGGTCGGTGTTTTCCCAGAAGTCAGGGTAGCTGGGCTGCTTCTCTGTCTCTGCCACCTTCTTCTCCAGCTCGACATCGCGGATCTTGATATCGGTGACACCACGTAGATTGAACAGGTGCTTGATTCCAGGGATGAGGTTCGGATTGGCATCTCCCAGCCTCAAGTTGCTTCGCGCCATCCACCCGCCAGATGTCTTCGGCCAGCCCTGGCGCAGGGTGGTCTCATGTAATTGACTCTTCATGACCACGTGGAGTCGACGCAAGCCGGTGAGTTGGTGAAGGAGCGGAAAAGTTATGTCGATTAAGTCGACTCCACCACACTTCAAGTTGTAATAGTCGATGGTTAGATCACGCAGCAACGATTTACGCTGGTCTCCGATACCGAGCAGAAAAGCGTGCAGCTGGATGGGGTAATAGAAGATGAAGGCGTTGCAATTGTAAAACAAGCCAATCGACTCGTCGTGAATCTGCTTGTTGACGAGGAGCAGGTTGAGTGCAGATTCCGACTGCTTCGACTCGTTGGCCTTGGGGCGGTCTGGATTCTTTGCTGCTGTTGTGGGTGCCTCGGTTGAGAGATGGATTGGACCAGGGATACGCAAGATACAGTCGTAAATGCGATTGCGAAGTTCTGCTGGCAGATCGAGGAGTCGGAAAGGTCGCTTCTTTCTAAAGCCAAAGTCAGCACGGGTCGTGGGGGGTTAGCAAAGGGACAACGTACAGGAAGCGCTTTGGCTGGAGTTGGGACGCCCTCAATCGAGGCAGAATGTGTGTCTCGAGTGGGCCACCGGCGAATGGTCCTCCGTACTTCTCGCCCATGTCATTCTCAAGTTGAATGAAGTTGGCATTCTCGACCCCTGAAATCGAGAGAAGCCCAGCGATACTTGGAAAGCGGAAGATGGCCAACGACTGTTGAGGCGTCAAGACCTCCTCCTTAACATGCGATTGTTGACGCACTCCACGACCGATACTCATGCTCTTGATGATGTCGGCTTCGTCAACACGAATGTTCAGCTCCACCAAAGATTTGAGATTCGAAAGTCTTCGCCAGTTTTCTCCAACCTGCCCGTACCCTCCATAGCGCCCAGGCCCGTACCAGGTGTCTGGGACCGTATTCGCCCAGGTGCAGGTGACTGATCGCAAGTGCTTCAAGTGCCGGAGTGGAGTACAATCGAAGAACTTGCATTCGCGGTGGACGTCACCGATGTGTCCGATATCGAAATGATTCTCGCCATAGTAAATCGATGCGGCTTCCTTCTCGATCTTCGGGGAGACGGTGCAGATCGGGGGCATCGAATGCTTTCTCTTGGCGCGACGCCGTCTGGAATTGTGCTTCACGATCCGGTGGTGCTTTTTGTTGGTAATAGGCTCATCATAGACGAGATGAAGTCGGTAAATTCTCTCACGCAGTTCCTTGGGCAAGTCCAGGAAAGTCGCCATGGTCGAGGATGTTTTGTCGGCGGCTGTGGTTGTTGGAGTGAGTGAGTGATTTCCAAGGTGTCGAGAAAGAAGGTGTATTTTAAAGTAGGAGCACGTGGAACCCACTTTTCTGCCTGTGACGCGCCGCGCTAGTGAATACTTTGAAGAGGAAGGAGCGAGTGACCTGCCAGCATAAGGTAACTGCGCCTGTTCTCCGGACTTCTGAGAGCGACTGAGCTGGCAGTTACATCTAGGACCAACTAGATAGCTGTCACTTAATGGGGAACAAATACAAACTTGTCTCAGTCAGATTTTCGCCTTTCTTGTTCACCTGGACCTCAACAGAATAACTGCCCCGACGACACATCCCCATCCTTCAAAACAGCGAACGATCTTCTCTCTACACACACAGCGTCCCCCAATACATCATCCAAACACAATCTTCGAACATGGTCGGCACCGAGGACAGCGTCGCCACTGGCGAATTTTCACCAGTATCAGTGGTCTACCAACACTACGAAGACGACAACTTGGAAGACTTCGTCGCAGGCGCTGTGGCTATCCTCGACTACGACCCCGAAATAACTCGCTACGACACAATCCAGCTCCTCCTGATGCTCGCAAACTCCGTCGAGTGTGACGCCGACACACTCTGCTACATCGTGGAGGCCGAGCGGCTCTACAAGACGGCTCGTGCTTCTTCTTATCTGCAACCACATGAGATCGCCAGCCTCGACAACCTCGGCGAGAAGCTCGATCAGGTCATGACGCTCGTGTACAACCCCCCGGACCCAAAGGCGCTTGAGATGGAGGATAGCGAAGTGGAGGGAAGTGATCTGTCGGATTCGCCGTCTGCGCGGTCGTCGTCCCTCGGTGAGGATGGTATTGGTGAAGAAAGAAGAGAAGAAGGCGAGGATTCGACCTGAGCTGCATCGGACCCGACTATGCCAGAGAAGATGGAAGTTCGCGTGAGTAAAACTTAAACACCGGGAAATAGATTCAACTATGGCCCATGGAAGACTAACAGCATTCCAGCCAAAGCCGTCCAAGTTCGATAATCAGCTGAAGCTCCGTGGCCGCTGTCCTACAGCTTGACAAGTACGAGCAGGAGTCATGGGACGGCGAAATCAGATTCAATTCCCGCGGGATGCTAACTGATATTCACCAAGGTCGACCTTCGCAAGCGATCCGGGATGTTCAAGATGGACACATCCGACCCCGAGCCTGAGCCGGACAAGCCCAAAAGGCCCATTTCAAGTACGACGAGGATGAGCGTGGTATGGGTGTTGAATGACGTTGTTCTCGCGGCGATTCAGCATTGCGCTCAGGGGGTTCGCTTCAGGGTAAATGAGGATAGATATCGGATAGTGTGAAATGACGGAAGTAAAGCCACTTTCAAGACCATCACCTTGAATTGAGAGACATACGTACCAATTCTATGCTGAAAATCTATCTCGTCTGATCGCTTGCCAATCTTGTCACTGAGATCGTACCATCTTCTGTCGTTCACTTCTTCTCGGGCAGGCAGTTCCACCTAGATTGGGCGTTAGCGTCAATCGAAAAGGGATGTGGTCAAACGTACTTCTTGAGAATCCTCTCAAAGCCGTCCATGCCTGCCTTGAGCACGTCCATCTTGGGTCCGTATGAAACTCGCACGAAGTGATGGCAGGGGCTGTCGAACAGATCACGTCTGCGGCTCGGGTTCAGGTCGAAGAAAATTCCCGGTACCACAATGACCTTCTCCTTAAGACAGGCTTGGAAGAAGTTCAGGCCATCGTTAATGCCCTTGGGAAGCTTGTGGAGGTCCAGCCAGAGGTAGAACGTGCTGTCTGGTCTGTACTGCAGCTCAAAGCCCATGGCCTCTAGGCGGCCGCAGACGTAGTCCCGCTTCATGCGGAAGTGGCTTTGGAGGGCTTTCATCTCGTGGCGCACCTTGTTGGGCTCAAGCATGGAAATTGCGGCGTCCTGGAAACCAACGTTCGTTCTTTGCACAGAGAAGAATGTTAGCCATCATTGTATCCCAGGCGCGGAGAATATTCCTGTACACTTACCCGCCGTCCAGGTAAGAGCCACACGACCCAAGAGCCTTAACAAACTCCTTTGGGCCAACAATCCATGCAACACGCCATCCTGTACAATATATTAGCAGTTGAATGGCAACGGGACGGGCAAAACGGGCCTGGTAGCCTGAACCTCTTGGTGAGTCCATCGATGATGAGCACGTCGTCCTCGTCTACGTCTTCGATATTGTCTGCCGCACTGACCACAGTGCCATCACAATCCGTGGTATAGTTGTAGCCGCAGTAGAACTCGTCCATAATCAACGTAGCACGATCACGGCAGATGTCCTGAATGCGAGCGAGCTCAGGGTTGGCTACCATCCTGCCAGTTGGGTTGCGAGGGTTGGACGTGAGCAGCACCGACGTTCCGCGCTGGATTTCTTCCTCGACCTTGTCGGCGTGGATGTGGTAATGGTCGTCCTTGTTGAGCGGGATTGGGATCGCACTGAAGTTCTTAAAGAGCGACAACATCTCGTTGTAGGCCGTGTAGTCGGGCACGAAGAAGCCGAGATAGGCATTACCCAAGACGGCGGCAATTCGGATGAGGCCAGCGCGACCACCGGGGACAATGCACACGTTCTCGTACGTGTACTTGCTTTCATTGCCCTTGCGGTGGTGCTCGTTGTAGAGGTTGGCTACGGCTTCACGGAGTGGCTTGATTCCGGCGGTTGGGCCATACTCGCGACTCGCAACGGAGATATCGATGGTGTGAGGTCGCTCAAAGCAGCCCTCGATCTCTGTGTTGAAATCAACGTACGAACCGCAAAACCTGCTGAGCCTGACTTACCGTCGTCGACCTCAGGAGCACCTTGGCCAAGGTTCGCCCTACGTCGATCAGCATGTGACACTCGGCGAAGTGAAGGTTTATTACTCACCAGCTCGATGGATCCTCAGCAAAGCCATGCTCGTAGGCCCGCTCCGTCGTCCACACCACGCCAGTAGAAGCACGTGAGGGATCTAGCCCAGCGTGAGGCTTGTGACCCTCATGAGCCTGCCGGAATTGAAGGTGGATCGCGGAGTTGATCTCTGCAGGAGGAAAACAAGGTCAGTGTCAGAATACATATGCAGCCAAGCCATATGATGAGAAGAGCCGTGGCGCCGAGTGATGCTGCATTACCGTCCTGGTGAAGCTTGTTTTCGGACATGATGGTGATTTTTGGGTGGGATCATGGCTGTGGGAAGCGAATCGACTTTTTCCTTCTCTCGCTTGTGGGTCGCTATCCCCTGCTTGGCCGCTCACTTTCACTCACCTTGGTCTGAAGGTCCCTTTGAGGTCGAGAAGCGTCGGTTCTTGAATGAGGTATCGAGACCTGCAAGGATGGCCTTTGAGGCCCTCTGTGGCGCGGCTGCCATTGTACCTGTAGGTGGAGAAGGGTTTTCTGTTTCGCTTTTAGGAGCTCAGGGGTCTGAATGGATGTAAATGTAATAGGGATGTCGTCGCCAGTCTTGGCAATGTGTAGGACAGCAGCTTATCGCATCCGCTGAGATGAGAGAAAAGCAGGAAATGTTGGCCCAGCAATGATTGCTGCATCCAGGAAGGTGCTCCCACGTCTTCCGTGCCACGTTGTTCCACATGCCTTCTTTCGCAACAAATGGCGCATCCTGGCGTGGAGAAGTCGTGGGCTGCACGAGTCCGCTACTGTTTGTGTCCACGCGTCTGACGACACCAGCGCCCGGCGAGATTGTGCCGTGGTGAAGGTGTTGGGCTGACGGGAGAGAGGTGATTGAGGCGGTGCGTTGTGCCTGACGTGTACAAGGATCCTTCATACCAGATCGGAGACTTGGAATCGTTGGATATTGGGACACTACGCGCATGGCATCAAGATCCGACCGGACCGGATTGTGCGAGTACGGACGGCGGTGAGACAGATGAAGCATCATTGGTGCATTGGCAACACGTCGTCGTTCTGTTCTTGACGACGGAGCCTCGCCAAGTAGAAATGGAAGAGGACGGAGAAGCTGTGCATGTTCGGACAAGCAACGAGCACATGTAATGCCTGTATAACGCGCGCAATTGGGGGACAGACGGCAAAAACGGCCAAGATCTAACCGGCCATCCCCTGATGATCGCCGCGATCCCCCAATCAGTCTTCTCCAAACGACTGCGGCCCGAGGGCTCATCACCCCGTTTTGGCGCGTCGTCTGTGGCTTCCACTTCTCCACAAGCCTCTTGGAGATTCGCTGGTCCTTCAAGCTCACAAGGTCAGGTGCGCGGTGCAAGACGGTACACTCTTTTGTTTCTCCAGCCGCTAGACTTTGGGTCAGACGACACTCGTTTGCGACCTCTTGCTTTTCCCGCCGACATCTCCTCGCAACTCCACATTGGACGGCGTTCGCATCTGATGGAAGTTCGGACTTTACAAACCTATCCCTGAACCAGCATTTTTCTACAGATTGGACAGTATGGGTGTTGACACCGCCCGACGGCAGGCCACTGTGGCCGGAGTACCCATCAGACATGCTGTGCTTGTGGGAGTGAGTATGGATGATATCGAAGAAGATGCCAGGCTGACAGGAAACAGCTCGTTGTTCAGAATGCTGCCTTGGTCCTCCTGATGCACTACTCCCGGGTCATGCCCTTGGTGAATGGCGATCGATACTACGCTTCAACGGCAGTTTTCCTCTCCGAAGTCGTTAAGTGCTCCTTCTTTCTATCGATGGCACTATACGAGATCGCAACGAACCCCCAGACCCCCGAAACCTCGACCGTCAGCGAACTATCGAACGCGTTGTCAAAAGCTGTGCTTACGGGGGATAGTTGGAAGTTGGCGATTCCAGCAATGCTTTTTACACTACAAAACTCACTGCAATACGTTGCGGCAAGCAACTTGGATGCGGCGACTTTCTCGGTCACATTCCAGCTGAAGATTGTGAGCACGGCTATCTTTGGGACGGTCTTTCTGGGCAAAATACTGTCTCTCCGGAAGTGGGCCAGCCTAGGTCTCATGGCACTTGGGGTGGTTATAGTGCAGATGTCATGCGTCTCGCGAGAAGGCCGCGTGTTGTCGATCAAAGATTTGAGGGATGGCGTTTCTTTCAACGCACCACGAAGCATTTGGGATATGGAGGCAGAAGGCAACGAAGCTGCTGGCCGGCTGAACAAGCGATCTGCCACTTACGAGGGAATTGACGAAGATTTCGCCGCGGCATACCCCAAGATGAATGGATCTGTTGGTCTTGCGGCTGCGGTGTTGGCTTGTGTACTGTCTGGCATTGCATGCGTTTACTTCGAGAGGATCTTGAAGGCGAAGGACAGCTCGAAGGCGTCTGTCTGGGTGCGTAATGTGCAACTCTCATTCTACTCCATTTGGCCGGCGTTGTTCCTAGGCGTACTGTTCACGGACGGCGAACACATTTCCAAGACTGGATTCTTTACTGGATACAACTGGGTCGTTTGGCTGGTTATTCTTTTGCAGGCGGCAGGAGGTGTACTGGTGGCGTTGGCATTGAGCTATGCGGACAGTATGACGAAGTCTCTGTCTACCAGTGTGGCTGCAGTCATCACATTCTTGGCCAGTGCTCTTTTCCTCGAGTTCCAAACAACATTACTGGTAAGTTGGACGCAGTCCCAAGTATTGACATTACTGACGTTCACTCAGTACCTGCTTGGCACGCTGGCTACCACGGCTGCTGCCTTCATCTACGATTCCACACCAGAGGACAGGAGGTCACGACCACCACCTATCAACATAACTCAGTACGAAAAAAGTGGAGGCGGAGATCCAGGATACTTTGACTTGGAAGCCGTTGCAACGGCCGGCAAGTCGCCGCTCCGCGACCCCCTTCGAGATGCGTTATCGACCAGCAGGCCTGGCACACCAGTTAGCGAAAGACGACACCTTCGAAGCAAGAGCTCTGAGGTGCGATTCGCAAAGCGTTAAAAGGACGGCAGAATGCTTTTGGATTGGCGTTGAGGGAAAGGGCATGCACGATACCAGGGGTCTGATACCAGCGATGAGTTCATGTACATGGGTTGCATAGGGTCTTGGAACGGAAAATGACTGGCTTGCAGCGTGTGAGAATCATTGATGTTGGAGTCGATTTGATGGAACGCTTTGGGACGTGTTCAGGACTTGAGGTTGGCGCGGTTGACATTGGGAAGGTGCGATCCAGCGAAGCTGCCTTGCCACGTGAGAGCACCATGTCGCCACACGCTAACTCTCATTTCCCTTCTCGATTCTTCTCTTTCATCTTCCTCTCTCATTGTCTTTCCCCGCCAGGCTCACTGAGCGCGGCAATGGACGACGACGGCATCTTCAGCCGGATGGACGAGCTGGCGGCAGGCCAGCGACGCCAAGCATACCATAACTACACTCACAACGGCAACAGCAACGGCGGCTTCTATGCCTCTGGCAGCTACCCACAACTTGACGAGTACGATGACCGTTATCCTCCGGCTTATGGCTTCCAGAATGACTATGTGCAGGAGCCTTTGCAGCTTGACGACTTTGGTGAGTCACGTGTCGTGATTGAGATGAGTTTCACTCACAAAGTGCAGACCAGAGACTCCTTCATCAACCCGATCTCGACTCCCGCCATGGCCAGGCTGCTTTGGGTCGAGCTCGACTGTCACTTCCACCTGCAAGAGGTGGCATCTCTCAACCTCAAGATCTGTACCAGCCACCATCACTCAACCCGCCTCGTTCCACGCAGCAACCCAACTTTTCTCGCTTTGCATTCAATTCCGGCCAAACCGCTCAATCCACTTCGCCATCGTATCGACCTTCAAGCCCGACACGTCGTTTGTCTCAGCAACATCCGGCACCTGTGAGCCGTCTGCCAGAACCCACGTTCAATCATGGTCCAGCGAGCACGAGGCCAAAGTACCTACAATCCGAAGCGATTGAGGAGGTGCCTACATCGGATGAGCAGGAGCTACCAAGTAACCCTTTCGATTCTCGATCAGCATCCAGGCCGGCACACCCACCAAGAACATCGCATGTTCCCAAGACTGTGACACCCATTGTCCAGGGCATCAACCTCATCTCGACTCATGAGCTGCCAGACCGCTTCCGAGCCATGTTCCCATTCCCGTTATTCAATGCTGTACAGTCGAAATGCTTCAGTGTGGTATACCGGACAAATGACAACTTCGTCGTTTCTGCCCCCACCGGCAGTGGCAAGACGGCCATTCTCGAGCTGGCCATTTGTCGCCTCATCAATGGTTTCGCCAATGGCTCCTTCAAAGTTGTGTACCAAGCTCCAACGAAGTCGCTCTGCTCTGAGCGAAAGAAAGATTGGCAGGCCAAGTTTGGGCCTCTTGATCTGCAGTGTGCCGAGTTGACCGGAGACACTGACAATGCCCAGCTACGCAGCGTTCAGCATGCCAGCATCATCATCACGACTCCAGAGAAATGGGACAGCATCACTCGCAAGTGGAAAGATCACCAGAAGCTCATGCAGACCGTCAAGTTATTTCTGATCGATGAAGTGCATATTCTCAAGGAAGACCGGGGTGCCACCCTCGAAGCAGTTGTCTCGCGGATGAAGTCTGTCGGCTCGAACGTTCGATTCGTGGCCTTGAGTGCTACGGTACCCAATTCGCACGACATCGCGACCTGGTTGGGCAAAGATCCGGTAACAGAGCAAGTGCCCGCTCCTCGTGAGAAGTTTGGAGAGGAGTTCCGGCCAGTGCGATTGCAGAAGCATGTCTGCGGCTACCATTCGACCAGCAACGACTTCGCCTTTGAGAAGACGCTGAACAGCAAGCTCACAGATGTGATCGCAAAGCGGTCGCAGCGCAAGCCCATCATGGTATTCTGTGCCACACGCAAGTCATGCGCTGACACTGCGAAGCTTCTTGCAAATTGGTGGTCGACCAAAGGCCCGCGCGACAGACATTGGTCTGCTCCTCGACAGCGAGTGGTGGTTGCAGAGCAACAGCTGAAGGGTGAGTGATGAATGTACATATCGATCCGGAGACGGCCATAATTGACTTGACATGAACAGAGACCGTTGTTGCCGGCGTGGCCTTTCATCACGCTGGACTCAGCAGTGACGACCGCACTGCCATTGAGGATGCCTACAAGAGGGGCGATATCAATGTCATCTGCTGCACGTCAACTTTAGCAGTTGGTGTCAATCTGCCCTGCCACATGGTCATACTCAAAAACACGGTCTCGTACCAAAATGGCTCCCTCAAGGAGTACTCAGACCTTGAGGTCATGCAAATGCTTGGCCGTGCCGGTAGACCTCAATTCGACAACAGCGCGGTGGCGATCATCATGACTCGACTCGAGAGGATGAAGACTTACGAGCAGATGATAGCTGGGCAGGAGATTTTGGAGAGCTGGTAAGTTTCCATCTATCTCATTTAAAAGCATGACCTTGACACTCAGCAGCCTGCACAACAACCTCACCGAGCACCTGAACTCAGAGATTGGACTCGGAACCGTCACCAATCTCTCGAGCGCAAAGAAGTGGCTGAAGGGAACGTTCCTATACGTCAGATTGAAAGAGAACCCGGATCACTACCACATTGAACAACAAGCCCTTGGACGAGACCTCGACGAGCGACTTGAGAACATTTGTCGCAACGGCCTTGCCTCCTTGGAAGAACACGACCTCGTTCGAGGAACCACGAAGCTTCAAAGCACCGAATTTGGCGATGCTATGGCTCGCTACTATCTCAAATTCGATACCATGAAAGATCTCCTCGCCCTCCCCGAGCAAGCAAAGCTGTCAGAGATCTTGTCGACTGTCGCTCAGGCCGCCGAGTTCAAGGACATCCGTTTTCGTGCAGGAGAGAAGCCTGTCTACAAAGAGCTCAACAAGAATCCATCGATCAGATTTCAGATTCCAGGCGACATCGACTCGACGGCTCACAAGGTCTCACTGGTCATTCAGTCAACGTTGGGGGCGATCGAGCTTCCAACTGAAGAGAGCAAGCATCAAATGGAATATTCCACAGCTAAGAACACCATCTTTCAACACGCTCACCGGCTCATCAGGTGCATCATTGACTGCCAGCTATACCTCAAGGATGCTACTTCGGCACGACATGCATTGATGCTAGCACGAAGCCTTGGCTCTGGTTCTTGGGACGATTCGCCGCTTCATATGATGCAGCTCGACACTCTTGGTATTGTGGGAACTCGCAAGCTCGTCACAGCCGGATTCAAGTCGATTGAGGATATTGAAGGCGGTGATCCTCGTCGTATCGAGATGATCCTATCGCGCAACCCTCCTCACGGAGATCGACTGCGAGAGCAAGCAAAGATCTTCCCACGGCTGCGCATATCGATGAAGACGATTGATCGGCCGACCATCAAAGGCGATGAGAGAGTCACGGTCAAGGTCAAAGCCGAAATCGGGTTCTTGAACGACAAGCCGCCAGAGATGCTCCTTCGAAAGATGGTCTACGTTTGCTTGCTCGTGGAGACTTCGGATGGCCGTTTAGCACACTTCGCTCGCGTCAGTGGAAAGAAGCTGGGAAACGGCCAGGCGCTACTGTTCACAGCTGACTTGACCTCGCATACCCAGACGATACGGGGATATGTCATGTGCGATGAGTTCGCCGGCACACAGAGGACGGCGACGCTGAAGCCTGAGGTGCCAGCGTTCATGTTTCCAGCACCAAAGGCGGCGGCAGAAGAAGCTGCCAAGAAGCAGACTGCCAATATCAACGCGCCAAACACGGCACAGCGACGTGCTGCTGCGACTGCTGCCGCCGCTGCCAATCCTAATCGACAGGATGAGGACGAGTTCGGAGATGCTGGCATTGACGATGATGCCCTGGTCGCCGCAGAAGGCAATGGGTTCACGAACATCGACGACTTTGACGACGACGGCAACCAGAAACGCAAGTTGACGACAAAGGCCTCGACCGCATCGAAGGTTAACCCGGCTACAACTGAGAGATGGGAGCCTCAACAGCTTGCCAGTGGCAAGTGGGCATGCAACCACAAATGTATCGACAAGGTCAATTGCAAACACATATGTTGCCACGAGGGGCTGGATCGTCCACCCAAACCACCCAAGCCGAAAGAGCCGAAGAAGGAAGCATCTGATCCAAAGCAAACGAAGTTGGATGCCAGCATGAAGAACAAAAAGCCAACAGCAGGGGGTTCGAAAGACACTGTCCTTCCAGCATCCACGGCTCCAGCCCGCAAGAAGTCTGAGCCAAAGGAGGCGCGCGATCTGGATCGCCTTCACAACAGCGTACCAAGTTCAGTTTCCAATCTGCCACTGCTGAAGGACAGGCCGAACGCCAAAGCCAAAGCCACCACTCAATCCCGTCTGAATTCGATTGGATCTGTTCACAAGTACAACTCCAGTGATTACGGCCTCGATACCCTCGACGACGAAGACCTACCAGCAGACTTCGACTTTGACCTCAATGGCACGCAGCCAGGTACGCGTATGAGTCCACCTCAGAACACCTTTAACTCGAATGACGACGATGAGGACCTATTAAGTGGTCTCTACAACTTCGCCAACGACGTCCTTCCTACCAACGCGCCCGCACCCAAAGATGACGCCCTCTCCACCATGGACAAAGACACTCCAGCCTTCCTCCGCAAGCCATATACAATGCAATCATCACCACAGAAAGGCCACTCAATCTTCCTTACCGGTGACACAAGCAGCTCCTCCCTCCACGCCACCCCCTTTCAACCCCTCCCAAAACGCAAGCACTCAGCCGACGTCGACGAGTCTAACCACCTGAGCGCATCCTACCCACCACCCTCAAAGAAACACAAACCCAACACCCCAGGAGCAGAAGAAGAAGACGACGACTTCAAAGACGAAGAAATGCTCCTCAGCGACTCCTACCAACCTGAGCAGGAGAACAGCGATCTGATCATGCGAGATGCCGCACCGACTGGAGATGGGGATGTCAAAGACCAGCAGCAGGTGAAGGATGAGGAAGAAATCAAAGAGGAAGATAGCAAGCCCGAGGACGTGCATTTAAGGGAATGGTTCGAGAAGGAATTTGGGACGGAGATGTTCACTTTTGTGGACTGACATGTTACTCATCACGCACGGGGAGATTGAACGGGTCGATGTGTTGGGCGAAAGAAGATCTGCTTGGAATTGATCTCCTTACTTGCTCTGCATGGCTGCATTTACGACCGAATTGATCGATCACGACATGATAGGAAGAAGAGAGGGAAAACATATAGCTAGCTAGCCACGAGTCCAACTTGCTCATTTTTGCCCTCAGTAGGCAATACTACTACATAAAACATACTTCGAATGCAAAGAAAACGCCTCTTCAGCAAATGCTCGCTCGCTCACTTGCTCGCATCCATTTCCCATTTTCTTTCATTGTACGAGCGATGCACTCGTTCCAAAAACCATTGAACTCCATGCTTCGCTTCACTCGATCCTTCAGTCAAACGCCTCGAGGTGTCATGCTAACAAAAACTTCAAGTCGGTCTACCTTCCATGTCGTCCATACTATGAAGCGCCACCGGGTCCACCGCCTCTCGTCCTCTTCACATCACCATTCTCGCCATTACCGTCATGCGTGCGCTTCTGACCGGCGTTAGCAGTCGTGCCGCCTCGCAGACCACCACGTCCTCTGAAGCTGCCACCACGGCCGATGCCTGACGTAGCTCCACCGCGGCTCGACGCTGCTCCTTGGATCGACATGCCTGGACCACCGCTGCTGCTGGTACTACGGTTTCCTGGTGCTCGTGGGAGCTTGCTAGCACCGGCCGCGCCTGGTTGTGGAATGCCCGATGGGCCGGACTGCGAATTGCCACGCAATGTGGCCGGGCCTGTGCCTGCGTTTGGTCCAGCAGGCGGTGGCGCCGCAGTGTTGGGAGCTGCGCTGCTTGCGGGAGCGAAAACCGGAGCTTCAGGGTTTGGCGATGCTGCGACTGGTTGAGATGGCTGCGCAGAAGGTGTGGCGGGAGTGCCTGGTGGTACCGCAGAGCCAGGCTTTTGTGCCGAAGACGGCACTGCAGAGGCTGGAGAAGGTGTACCTGCAGCTGGGGCGGCTGCCTTTGGTGCTGGCTTCCACTTCATGACCTCCTCGTGGACCTCTTTGATCGGTTTCGTCGGCGTCTCCTCTGCAGCCTTCTTCACGATGGCGATCTTGGCCTGCAGATTCACCAGCTGATTCTTTTGGAGTTTGTCCTTCATCTCAGCTTGCGCGTGAGCTTGGCGGACGGCCTTCTCCTTGGCTTCTTGCGCTGCCGCAAGCTGTTTCTCAAGTTCCTCACGGGTCACTAAATTGTTTGGCGTTTCCCCAGCTTCACCCGAGGGACCCTTTTGAAGTTGCTCCTTGAGTTTGGCGATCTCCTCGTCCTTCGCAGCAATGGTCAGCCTTAGCTTCTCCGTCTGCTTATCCACCTGAGCACGGAGGTTGGTTTGGAGAAGGCTCATCACCGCAGCATTGCTCTTGACCAATTCACGGGCCTGAGCATCTGTCAGTTCCAAGGTCGCGACATCCAGTTCGCCGGTGGGAGCCTCCGTCTTCACTGTGTCGACAACCTTTGTTTGATCAGCTGCCGCTCCGCCTTCCTTGGAAAGCTTTTCCAGCTCCGCCTTGTGCGCTTCCTTCAACTGCTCCAAGGCGGCGTTGTGCTCGTCTTTGATGCGCTGTATTTCCGCAGCGTGCTGCTCGAGTAGCTCCTTTTCTGCCTCTGCCCGTATCTTGACGCGCTCGTCACTCAATTGACGGGCAAGATTAGACTTCAATTTCTTCTCCTTGGCAGCGTGCTCTTCCTCCAGCTGCTTCTTGGCAAGTTCATGCTGTTGCTCGATCTCGGCTTGAAGCTTAGCAACCTCGTCTTTCACTTGCTCTGCGACTGATCTCTCGCCAGGAGCTGGCTCAGCATTAGGAGCTGGTGGCGCGGATGCTGTCGAGGTCGTAGCGCGGAGAGTCTCAACTTCTTGCTGTGCTGTGGCGAGATCTTGCTTCAACTTTTCCAACGTCTCGGTATTCTCGACAGACGTCACCATCTGCTCGCCAGCGGGATTGGCTTGGGCCTGCGCAGCCTGAAGCTGTTGCTGAAGACCGGCGACTTGACCCTCCAGCTCCTGCACACGAGCTCGCAGAGTCTGCACCTCAGCATCGAGTACTTGCGCCCTGCTAGAATGCTCGCCCGCCTGCTGCTCGGCTTCAGCAATCCTAGCGTTGAGTGCCGCATGCTCCTCACCACCGACTGCGGTGCCATCTTCCTGGACCTGACCTTCCTCGGCGTCGTCTGCGTTGGACTTTCGGGCACGTTCTTCTTCAAGCGCAGTCTTGGTCTGTTGAAGTTCGGCGTTCGCTGTGTCGAGGTCGGCTTTGGCTTTCTCGAGTTCCGCATTTAAAGCCTCTATCTTTTCATTGCCGTCCTTGATCTGAGCAGTCCGCTTGCGATCTTGCTCTTTGGCCTGCTCACGGAATCTGTCCAACCGATCCTTCATAGTCTGATTGAGTTCGTTCTTCTGTTGCTCGAGGCGATCATCAAAGCCATCGATCTGTTCGCGCAACGGCGCCTGCTCAGACTCAAGTCGCTCTTTCTCGGCCTTGAGCTCCTCGAGCTGCTTCTTCATGTCCTCGAGCTCGGTCGGGTCGACGCGATCGTACTTGCTGATGATGTTTTGCGTTCGCTCGCGCCAATGGTCTCGGTCATCTTGGAGCAGCTTCATTTCGCGTTGCTTGCTCTCCAGTTCACCCTCAAGTTCGCCAATGCGGCCCTTCAGTGGTTCCAGCTCGCTGGCCAGGCGGTCGATCTCCTTGGTCTTCTCCTCCAACTTCTCGCGCGCTTGTCTTGCCTCGTTACGGAGAGTCGTCGCTGACTCCCGGAAGAGATTGAGTTCGTTGATGGTTTGCATGAGTTTGTTGGTGCTGCCTTCAGTGGCTGCTTGATCGGACGATTTACGTCTCTCATCCGCCAACTTCTGTCGCGTCTCCTCAAGCTGGCTGTTCGCATAGTCGAGTTGTTGCTGTAGACGCTTGGCTTCTTGGATCGACAACTCGTACTGCACGTCCACAATCTCTTTCTCGCGACGAAGGAATCTAATCACTTCTTGGAAGTTGCCGTCGCCCGATACCGAAGGACTGCCTTCGCGTGCCTCACCTTCAGCACGGCCTTGACGTAGGGCGGCGAGTTCGCTGGAAAAGGTCTCCAAGTTCTGGTGCAGGATCCTGTTCTGCTCGTCCACGTCTTGGCGCTTGCGCTTGGCTTCTTCCAGTTCACGTTCGAAGCGATCACGCTGCTCGGACCAGCTCTCTTCACCGCGCTCCAAGCTTGCCTTCGCTGCATCTGCTTCGGCTTTGAGTCCGGCAACTTCAGTGCGAAGGTCATTGTACTCCTTGCGGACGGTCTGCAATGACTTGGCTGCTTCGGCGTGCTTGACAAGCTCTGCCTCGTAGCTCTGCTGTGCCTGTTGGGCAATCTCTGCCTGCGCCTTGATATCTTCTTGGAACAATTTCTTCTCCTCGGCGTGGCGGTCAACATCGTCACGAAGGCGAGTCAATTCAGACTCGAAGGAAGCTTTCTGTTCGGCAAGCACGCGGTTGTTGTCGTCTGCCTTCGTACGAAGCTCGGAGAGCTCGCTGTTAGACGTCGTGAGCTCAAAAGTTAGGTCTTCAATGCGCTGCTCGAGCTGCTTGATCTTCTCGTCCTTCTCAGCAATCACACGATCAGTGTCCTCCTTGTACTGATCCGCCGTCTGGTTGAAGTTGGCCAGCTCTTCTTCGGTGGCCTGAGCGATGGACCGGTATTGCTCGATCTGCTGCTTGCTGTTCTCGAGCTCCGTCTTGGACAGTTCCAGGTCCCGACGAAGTTCGGAGATCTCAAGAGCAAGACGCTGCTCAGCCGGGAGCTCCTGATTGTCGCCGTTGGACTGTTGCTCGCTAATCTGAGTTGGTACTGTACGAGGTGTAGGACGAGGCTGTAGAGCCACCACCTTCTCTTCGGCAGAGCGCAACTCGATCCTCATCTCATCTACTCTCGACTGGAGACCGTCTCGGGCAGTCTTGGCAGCGACAAGCTCTTCTCGCACGGTGCTGAGACTCTTCACCAGATCATCGATTCGAGTGCGACTCTGACCCTCCTCGTACTCTCGACGAAGTGATGCCTTCCTACTCTCATCGACTTCTGCCTCCAGCTTCTTCTTGGCGTCGGCCAGCTCAGACTCAAGCTGCTCCGCACGTCCTTGCAGACGACGACGATTCTCCGACTCTGAAAGCTCGCGCTCGTTCTGAAGATTCTGCAGGTCGGTGACAAGCTTGTTCAGTCGAGAGCGCTCTTCCATGAGGTTCTTGTTGTCCTCGGTCAAGCGCGCTTCGATTCTCTTCCACAAGTCTTTCTCAGCCTTCGTATTTGCATTCTCGTTGCGCAGAGACTCGGCCATCGATCGAGCCTCGACCAACTCCTCGGCAACTTGTTGAGTACGGAGGTCTTGCTTTGCAGCCTGCTCGGCCATGTGTTGCGAGCGCTTCTGAAGCTCGCCGTTCTCGTTGCGCAGTGCACTGTAATTGGACTGGAGCATTTCGAAGCGTTCTGTAGCGAGAGTGAGTTGCGATTGCACTCGAGCAAGGTCGCCCTGTAGAGTGCTCTTTTCACGCGCAAGAGCATCCACTTGCTCTCTCAGCATGCGGCGATCCTCGCTTGACTCGTTGCGGTACTGGTCGAAGAACGTCTGCTGCTCCTTGAGCAGCTTGTTCAAGTCTTCCACGTCTTTGCTCCTTGGAGTCGCTGGCGGGCCGACGCTGTTACGCATTGGTGTGGCAGGTGCCACACTCTGTTCAAACATCGACTGCAAGTCTGCATCGGCCGGCAGTTGTCCGCGGTGGTTGAGCATGCGACGGAACATATCACGCTCTTTCATGTAGCTGTCAATCTGCGTGGCAGTGGCCTGCAACTCGTCTTTGTAACGCTCAAGTTGATGCCGCAAATCTTCCACTTCTTGTGCGTCCGTTGCAGCCTTCTTCGACTTCGCCCGCGCCTCTTCATTCTCAATCTGGTCCCACGCCACGCGACAAGACCGTAGCAAGTCGGCATTCTTCTCTTGTAGCTCACTCACTCCGCGGAAGATGACTAGACGCTCTGAGATGAGGCGTCCAGTCTCAGTCATACCATCGAGAGCGCCATCTTCCAACTCTCCGCGAGCAGCACGCTCCAGCTCCAGACGCTCATCCGCAGACATCTCGCCAATACCCTCCTCGCGACTCCGCTGCTCAACGAGCAACATTCTAATCTGAGTGGATAGATCGCGAAGCTGTTGACGTAGAAGTTCGGACTCGCCGCTTGCTGATTGGGCTTGGCCATAGTACTCATCGGCCTTCTGAGCTGCTTCGTCACGAGCTCGGTGGGCCTCCTCGAGAAGTTGCGAGTAGTTGAGCACCTGCTCCTCCAATCGATTTGTTTGGTCATAAAGCTCTTCAAGATGCGGCTTCTTGCTCTCAAGGTCTGTGATGAGACCGTCGATTGCCGTGGAAAGCTTAGCATTGCGATTTCTCTCGCCCTCCAAATCCTCGACCGCTTGGTTGTATTGAGAGTAGAGTTGCGTGAAGCTCAAGCCACCAACGACCTTGCGCATCGAACCAGGCATGGCGGATGGTGAGCCAGCTCTGCCTGGTGTTTGTGGACCGCCGCCATTCTCTCGAGGCGTGGCGGGCCGAGATCGCTCTTCCAGGCTCTGTACTTTGAGTTCAAGCTCAGCCAGCTTCTTCTCGGCGTCCTCCTTATCCAAACGTTCAGTCTCGACGTCGGTTTGGAGTCGACCGATCTCTGCGTGTGACTCGTCTCGGATGTCATCAAGCTCTGTCTGAACTTCTTGGAGACGCATCTTGTGGGTTGCAGCATTCTGGCCTTGCAATTCTGCTAATCGCTTGCTGCTTGCAAGCTCAGTTCTGAAGTCTTGCTCCTTTCTTGCAGCCTCTTCCTGTAGACCTGCTACACGAGCGAAGGCCTCGTCTGCCTTGGCCTGCAGCTCCTCCAAACGCTGCCTCAATGTTGTCTCGGTGCGCTTGAGCGTCTGCACGTTTGCATTGCTTTCTTCAAGTTCGCGTTCAAGGTTGGAAATGCGTGCATTTCGTTCCTTGCGGAACTTGGCATGCTCCTTGCTGCGGGTCTGAAGCTCGTTCGAGTGCCATTCGTTGTTGCGTTTGAGGAGGTCGATCTCCTGTTGTAGTGACTGCTCCTTGAATTTCTGCGAGGAGGCGGCATTTTCCAGTGCTTGATTGCGCTCCTCGAGCTGACCAACCTCACGGCGTAGAGCCAGAAGTTTCGAGTGCTGCTCGGACAGCTCGTTGGCGACTCGATCCTTCTCGCTCTGTTTGCTCTCCACAAGAGCCAACGCATCGCGATTAGATGCTTGGAGGGTTTCAATGCGTTGGCGAAGCTCCTGAGTGTCTGCAGATGACACAGAGCTTGATGAACGCAGCTGCTCCAGCTCACTCGCCAGACTCTCACGAGCAGCCTCCGACTCATTCAGTTTAGTCCTCAGCTGCTCCACCTCTTTCTGATGTCGGGTGACAGCGGCCTTCTGAGCCTTCACTTTGGTGTCTGAAGTCCTAACGGTGTTCTCCAGTTCAACCTCAATTCTCAGCTTCTCCGCCTTCAAAGCGTCAAATTCTTGTCCCTTGGTCGTCAACGATTGCAGCAAATCGGCTGCCAATTCAACGGTTGGCGCCTCGAGGAGGGCGCGCAGGTCGGTGTCGGACACATCGTAGGTGGACGCAAGGTAGGCGACGTCGATTGTTGACGGGTCGGCCGCCTGTGCGCGTGTCCGCATCTTGATGATGGTGTCTGGGGTGTATCAGACCATTGCAGACTTTGGCGCGTCGGCCTGCTCTTGTCGCGGACAAAAGGAAGGGCGGTGGGTGGATGTCGCGTTGTTCGTGTGTTTTGTCCATCTTCAAAGCGCCGCTTTTGGAAGCAACCAGCCGCTGGAGCACGGGCCACTTCCGCTGACGTTCTCGGCACGCGCGCCGCTGGCACCTGCCTTTGTCCTCCACTGTGCCTTCCTCTTCACCTTGCGCTCTTCACGGAAGGTGCACCGCAAGCATCGCATGTCGCACCCAGCACCAACAATCACAAGCCCCCTGCAGTCGGACATATAGTCCTCGCCCGTCTCTTGGCTCGGAACTCTTCGCTGAATCCTCTGGGCCTCGATCCCCCCATTCATTCCTCGACATCCAGCGAACATCCAACGAGTCACTCGCCCGCGCTATCATGTCGCTCAACGCACAACTAGCTGCTTTTAAGAAAGAGCAGGCCACGGTCGCTTCTCGCAATGTCGCCTACTCTCGACCAGCGTCCAGCACTCCCGCCCGTACCTCCACCCCCCAACCCACCGCATCGAACGACACCGCGAAGCGCACGCACGGAGACGCATTCAGCCAAGGCGCGGCTCCCGCTGGTAGGAGCGAGATGCTTTCGCAGGTCAACTTTGCCCGTGGCAGGCTGAAGGAGAAGATCACGGAAACGAAGTCATTTGACGAAATCATATCCTTCCTGTCCCTACCCAACGACGCCAAAAAGAGCATTCCGCTGATCAAAGAGGCGCTCAAGGGTGATCAATATATCGAGTGGATACCTGCAACGACGACAACCAAGGAGACGTTCAAGTACAGGCCAATTCATCCCGTGTCGAATGCCGAGGAGCTGAAAGACTACCTTGCGAAACGGACCTCTGCTCAGGGAATTTTAGTCAAAGAACTCAAAGATGGCTGGCCAGACTGCGTTGCTACTATCGACGAGCTGGAGAAGGAGCGCTTTGTTTTGGTGACGCGCAACAAGAAAGACAACTCCCCGAAGATGGTTTATCCGGACTCTCCGCTATTCCATCTCAAAGTCGACCAGGACTTCAAGGACTACTGGTTAAAGACGAAAGTGCCGACTACAGATATCGAAATTCGAAACGAGCTCGAGAAGGCCGGCATCACACCCACCAGTCAAGTGAAGGAGAACACCAAGGGTAACATGAAGAAGGGTCCTCGCAAGCGGCCAAATCGCAGGGGCGGCAAGACCACGAACCAGCACATGGCTGGAATTCTCAAGGACTACTCGAAGAGATGAAGCATCCTCGACATGGTTTTGGTACGACTATAAAAGCGTCATTTGCAGCCCACAGAAGAGGCCCGGTCACAGAAATCAGCAAACGATCAGTGCCTGACAGATTTGCATTCCCATAATGGCATAAAACTACCAGCTTCGCGAGATCATGGCATTCCGGCGGCTTTGAAGCTCGAGGTAAACCATTCCGGCGTTCAGCAAGTAGCGTTGTCGCAGCAGCCAAGCCATGCTAGGCAGTACTGAGCAGTTGAAATAGAGGACACAATGCTCGATCATGGCTCCTCGAAGATGCATAAAGTGCTCCCTGGTAGTTCGCGAAGATGTGCCAGCGCGGTGGATTCAGTGGAGCGAAGGGTGCTGGGCTGGGTCCTTCAGTTGCACACACTCTTTAGTACATTCAGAGGGCTCAATGTATTGAAGGCTCAACGAGCATCCTTTCAGGCAACATCAAGGCTTTCCATGATTGTCGTAGACTTCCCAGAGATGTAACGTGACGAGCGCCTTCTTCCCGCGTGCCCCGCGCTAGTGGCTAGTGCCTTGCTCCCAAGTCGCATGTGATTACAGGTCCATCCTTCTTCTCTTTTCAAACAACCCGTCCTGTCTTCCACTCACCACAACATCACCAAACATGGCGTCCGACACCTCCATCCGCGAGGATCTCCTCTCGCGCCTCGCAGACCAACCACGCTACATCATGACCGGCATGATCAAAATCTCGAACCCTGCCACTTCCTCGACCATCGCCCGCACCTCAGATCCCTCCAGTTCTCTAGGAAGACTCGATGTGCTTCCACTCGAAATACTGCACTACACTTTCTCGATGCTGGACCTCAGGACACTGTCGAGCATCTCGCAGACCTGTCTTCGTGGGCGAGGAGTCATCAAGTCGATGCCGGAATATCGCGACCTCATTCGCTACGCACCAAGCACCATGACGGCTTTGGGCTTGACCAGACTCATCGAGTACCATTCGGCCTACGACCTTCACACCCCGCTTTTGGCCAGCGAATGCGCCTCCTGCGGGGAGTTTGGGCCCTTCCTGTTCCTTCTCGCTTGCGAGAGATGCTGCTATGGATGTCTTTGGAGCAACAAGCCTTGTGGGTTGTTCCCATCGCACTAGCGAGAGACTGCTTCGAACTATCGGCAGCGTCGGTCAAGAAGCTGCCCACGATGCGCAGTCTTCCTGGCACGTACTGGGCCCGTCACGAAATCACGCGCATACGACGACTTCGTCTTGTAAGCGTCAAAGCCGCAAAGGAACTTGCTCTGGGCGAAGGAAAGACTGTGAGAGCTCTGACACAGAATCTGGAAGACAAGAGAGCCGGTGGAGGCTTAAAGGACTACTACATGCGTGCATGATTGCAAAATGCACCGCTCGTACCACCTGGCCAAGCCATTATCGAGAAGCGACTAGGTGTTCCCTGTATACCTAACGACAAAATTTGTGGCATGGCATCGGTCCCGTTTTCGTCGCTTCTGGTCCGTGGTCAACCGGAGATGGGCCTTTGGTGCCTTGGCTGCGCAAAAGTTCAGAGGGAATACTCTAGTCTCAGACGATACAAGGTATCGGTTGACCTAGAAGCTCGTGGGTACCATGCATCAAACGCACTTTACAATATGACACAGATCGCAAGATCGGAGGCCGAGTTCTTCGAGCATATTGCGATATGCGAGGGGGCCAAGGAGCTGGTACCGGATCTGGAAGAGAAGCTGAGACAGAGACAGATGACGCTTGTATAGTCTAGTGTAACACTCTCACAAATGAAGATCAAGGTTCGAAATCATCGTTCACGCCCCATGTCAAACTCCAGACCATCGCCATGATCGCCTGGGCGCCGCCCATCTCCAGCAGACTTGTGGGCGGTCTCTGCTTGCAGATCTCGAGAAGTTGGAAGGAAGACACGCTTCCATTGAATTCTTGCAAAGCTGTGGAGATACTCTTCACCAGAGACTCATTAATTTCGAGCATGTGGAGGACTTCGATGAAGACACAGCTCGAAGACAGCTACATACCGACTCGAGTCTCGGGTGGTGTTTCGAGTAGGCTTCGCGTTGAGAGTTAGGAGTGGGCTGGCATCGAGTCCTCCGCGAGTAGAAAACTTCGAGAATAGAGACTGAAGGTGAGTAGCAAGACACCAATTGCTGGTGTTACATAGGTCACTTTCAGAAGGAGTAATATATCTCTCCTTGCAGACTTATATGCGAAGTAGGGGTATCGTTTTCATGCAAAGCCGTCTTGTGATCCCATGTGCGGGTGTTTTTTTTGTCAACCGTCAGTTAACAACTGATATATTCAGTTAAGGAGGACTTGGGATTAGCTACATGCTGCAGCCCAAATAATCTGTGACAGCTTCGTGCAAGACGAGGCTCAAGTGAATGTCGATTGATTCAAGATATGGAATGCTTGCGGCCTGTCAAAAAAAAAAAGGCTCAAGCACATTCGGGGAGCTGTGGAATAGGAAAGCGCTTTAAAGAAGTAAGCACATAAATTTTTATGAGTTTCGTGTCGTGAAATGTCGTGTTTGAAGATCGAAGGGCAAAGGTGAGGTCAAGATTCACCCTTGCTAGCGCGAACTTAGGGCTCCACTTTCACAAGTTCACATGCCCAAGCACATCTTCCGTGCTACAAAAGTTCGAGCCTTATATTGTAGCTCCATGCGAAGAGAACTCAAGAATGCTGGGAGCAGATATCATCGTTCAGAGCCACGCGTTGCTTCGAATTTTAGAGACTAGGCGTGAGTCGAAAGCAGCAATCGACCAGTCTTATACAAGCTTCGCACATTCTCTCTATCATCTATTTAACAAAGCTGTGCAGATATTCGGGACGCCGAGTAAAGCGGTTCAATTACGGCTGAGAGGGCTGTGCATCCGATCAGACACCGCCTGAGGACGTATGAAGACGAACAGTGGCCCGAGGAGGGTAAGTGTTGTGACCGATTGGAGGACAAGACTGTTGATGAGAGAATATGGCTTTTTGCATGTCGTTTCATTCCGCTGTGAGGGTATTCTGCGCTGAATAGTATGCTGGTAATATCGGTATGTAATGCAAACTTTTGTTTGATGTCAGTTTAGTCCATTTCCTCAACCTCCACAACTTTGTCCTTGCCAGGCATCTGGTGCGTGCGCTCAATCTCTTCAATCTGCTTCTTGCCCTCATCGGTCGTGCCGTCGATCACGCCTTCTTCCAGACTGAGCATTCCGCCATCTCCAAGTTGTTCAACAATCTGCTCAGCTTCGTCAACGCTCATCTTACCCAGTACCTCGTTGACCTTGTCCAGGCTGCCACTTTCGAGAGCTCTCTGCAAGCCAGGCGGGAAGGTGTCGAAGATCTGTCTGCTGGCCCTCTCGTCATCTGATTGACATTGATCGAGAGGCGGAGGAGTGACGATGTTAATGGTCGTGTTCGGATCGACGGCATGCAGCTGAATCTGCTCCTTATCGCCACTCTCCTCCTGTGCCTCTCTGGAAAGTTCCGCCGTCCTCGTCCGTATCCGATCGTAGGTGGAATTCACATCGTCCAGGAAGAGCTTGCGGGCTTGGTGATTGGGCGTCTGCACCCTCTGGAAGAAGAGACCAACGCCGTCCTTCCCAAGCTGACGACAGTATTGCAACAACAGTGCTTGATGCACACATTGCCGAGCGTATTCCGTCTCCTTCTTGGTCTTCGCCTTCATCTGCGCGTTGAAAGCTTCAGCCAACAGACCATCGGTCTCTCGCTCAGAAAGAATTTCGGGGTGTTGACCGATGAACTGCAGGCTGGTTCTGTAGTCTCCAAACGCAATCCTGCCGAAAGCTTTTCCGGTCGCAGAAGCCTCCATATCTTCATCATCCTCGCCGGGTGCTGGGTCCAAAGCGTCGTCTTCGATGTCTGCCTCAGATCCTGGAGTCGGACCTCCAATCTGCTCGACCGATGACGCATTGAGCAATTCGGGTTGAGTCGTTTTGCCCTTCTTAGTAGCGGCTGCCTCTGGCTGTACAGCTTTGGCCTTGCTCACGTGCGACGTGTCGAAACCGGTGTGTATCGATTCGCTCGTGATCTTGCTGCCCTCTTCCTTCTCCAACCTCGTGAGCTCGACGCTGAGATCCTTCTGCAGCTGCTTCACTTTCTGGTTGTGACTCTCGACTTCCCTGATGTACGCCGTGTAGCGTGCTGGGCCTTCGGCATGTGTTTTCTCGACCTGCTCTTTGACCTGATCCACAAGTGCACCCATCATCTTGCTATAGCTTGGCTGCTGCTCTTTCGAATGTACACCTGGAGGTGCGCCCGGTGGCTGGTCCTCTCCAAGGCTCGTGTTGCCTGCCACATCCGATAGACAATCGAACACCACCTCGTCGATGCTGTCGGCATCTTTCTTACCCTCAATCTCGGTCTTGTGGATGTCCAAAGCTTTCAGCAAAGCATCGATTCGCGACAGAAGCCCGTCGTTCACCACCCGCTCGTACTGCAGTGTCGTGATCCGGTGCTTCCTGTCCAGGCGTTGTTGGTGGATCTGATTCTGTTTGGCTCGGATGAAGGAGCGTTTGTCGACATTTGGGTGTACTTCGATGTCGCTGTCGTCACTCAGTTCGAGCGCGTCCCATTTGCTGTAGTCCACAGGCATTCTGCCGAAGTTGAAATGAAGAGATCTGCCCGAAAACTCCGGTTGTGTTGTTTGTTGATATCTTTCTTCAGGCCGTACCTTCTCGAAACTCAAGCTCTTGCCCCACTGTCCGTGCGGTCGCCACACCTTCCTCGAGAGACGAGATCATTCACCTACACCCCCACCTATGTGGCAGGTGCCGTTCAGCGTCGATTCAGACTATATATATTTACACGACACACGGAGAGAGTGTACCTGTCTGAGATTAGGATCATATATGCCATGTAAAGAGTTCGCAAATACATGTATCATACTGTCTTGAACTGAACTAGGCTAACGATCGATTAAATTGGTAGCGCTTGCGAAGGATCACGCTGCGTATAATAGTTTCCCAGAAGTCTTTAAAACTGGTAGCTACATTCATTCAGTCACGAGCCCCCATATCAAATACCGTCTATTGCAGATATGAAGCTCGTTCTGCAACCCGCACTTCCTCAAGATCTCGAACAAGCAAAATCAATCTATGGCACCGACAGAGGCGATCTGGTAGCGCCAGCACACTTAGCCTTCTGGCATGTCGACAACAACGAAGATGCGAAGAAGAGAGCCGAGTGGTCCCTTCAACAACAGAAGGACCAACTGGAGAACGACCCGTTCGTGCGCTTTGTCAAGGTCGTGGACGAAGAGAGAGACAACGAAATCATCGCCATGGGCAGATGGCATGACTTTCCCAATGGTAACGAGCAAGTTGGCGACTTAGAGTATTCGGGCTCGAAGAGTCGAGACGATCCAACGGCGTGGCCTGATGGTTTTCCGAAGGAAGCATATTTGAAGTTTTACGATGAGTGTTTGGCTGCGCGGAAGGAGTGGCAGGGCAATGTGCACTGTTGGAGTAGGCGTCGAGTTCCGTGTCAGTCTGGTTAGAAGCTGACTTTGTCGTAGTCTTGTTCAGCATCGTCACTCGAGAACCACTTCGCAAGCACGGCGCTGGCTCGATGATCGTCAAATGGGGCGTTGAGCAAGCACACACAGCTGGCGCGGTGGCCTTTCTAGAGGCTTTCCCCGAAGCGAAGAGCCTCTACGAGAAACATGGATTCAAGGAAGTTGGAAGACAATCCTTTGACCTTGGCGCTGGAGCGACCGTGGAGGTGAGCCGGATGCGAGCTGATCCCTAACGAACAGGAGATCAATTGGAACGTCCAAATGTCAATCCTGCATTCTCATTCATCAGCCGGCTACTTGATATCGCTGCTCTGCACAATAGTGGCAAAAGCATCGCCAAGCTCATGCATGACCATCTTCGTGACTTCGGCGCCCGAGGCACCCGGGATGTCTCTGTCACCAACAGCGTCTTCGGCAATGATAACATCATAGCCCAGACGTGCTCCGTCTCGGGCAGTCGTCGACACGCAAACGTGTGCCTGGTAGTTCGTCAGTCAAGGAAATACATCGTGTGCCAACCTTCTCACCATGTAACCTGTCAAGACAATCTTCAATCCGCCAACACCTCGCAGGTAGTCATGAAGTGTGGTATCCGCGAACGATGATGGATGGATCTTCTCAATAACCTTCTCGCCATCTTTTGGAGTGAGCTCGTCGAACTCCTCTGCCAACTTCGTGTTTGGTGTGAAGACTGGCGCGCCCTCGGGTACGGTATGCTTAACGTGTACGATCTTCCCTCCGGCGTCTCGGTACTTGTTCAAGAGACCTGCGATGGCCTTGCGTGTTTCGGGGGCATTCGTAACCTTCAGCTTGCCTTCGGCATATTCGTTCTGCGCGTCGATGATCACTAGAGTCGAGTCGCTTGGCGAGGCAGTCGAGGGGGTCGCCCCAATCATCTCTCGGAAAGATTGAGCTCCCATGGTTGCTGTTGCTGATAAAACTGAAGGAATGATCAAGTCGAGGAATAGAAGAAAAGTATACTTGCGGTTTGTGTTGACCTTGAAGATACTATTCCGAGAACACCTCCTCTCGAACTCTTGGAGCTAGAAGCGTGCGAGCAGGCAGGCCTGCGAGCTTTGCCAAAGAATGACGATGGCGGGGCAGATGGTTTCGATGTGCCGATGCCGTGCGTCGAGGCGACCTCGGGCGACAGCCAAACAATTGTCACTCCCCGTTCGTCCTTTCTTGCTCTTTCATGCAGTCCATATATTCGATATCTTGAGGGGAACATGATGATGTCTGGCGATTCGACGGACGGCGCTCCGCCACAATGGACGCTCTTCGGATAGTCCATATCCCCTTATCGCGAGCTGGTGTTGGCGGCTTGGTATTCTCTGTGTGGTTAACCTCACGTGGCAAGTACACGCACAATGACCAGGATCTGGCGAGATCTAGATGCTGACGAGGGAACAATTATGCGATTCGCGTTGTTGTACCTCCGAGAGTGGATGGGGCATGCGGCGAACGAGTGGAGCGGAGCAATGGCTTGTTGCTTTCACTCACGCGAGGCCCACGTGACTGTGAGGAAGCTTTTGCGCTAGGTGAGTTTCGACTTCCGCATTTCTTCTCGAACGACAAGCCTTCACGTTGTCTTTCTTCTGGCTGCACTTCGTCTCGTCAGAGATATTCAACAGCTACTTCCACTTTCTTCTTTATCTCCATTGTCAAGACTGTCAAAATGCCGCAGCGTCAGCACCTTTCGCGTCGTCGATTCCTTTATCTTTGGAGGCTTGGCCGAAGATAAGGCGCTCATCCTGTCGCCAACCAGCTCCCCTCAGAAGTCTCACAGATGCTGTGATCCCTGCGGCGGAGACTTGTATGGAAGGAGATGCCCGAGTTCTTAGCCACAGCTTGGCCGAGCAGCCAAGAAGTATCACGGTAAGAATGGTGAGCAGTGTCGCAGGAGGATGGTGCTCGAGGTCTTCCTATATCTCTCTTGCGCACGTCCATCTCTCAAGCCAGGTTTTGGCTTGATCTTTTCCACATTTCGTATCCATAGTTGACCCAGGCTTGGATCACCTTTCTAGCGATCATGGCGGCTCCAGCAGATATTGAGAAAAGCCCTCCTGAATATAAACGCGGCTCGTATGAGATAAACCCCACGAATTCACTGGAAGATGCCACCCATTGGCGAAAGAGCAGTGCCGTGGACAGAGATGTTCTTACAGGCGAGATTTTTGACGACCGCTATGAGTCCACTCAGCGAGGCCTGAAGAGCAGGCATGCTCAGATGATCGGTAGGTCGAGGCGCAGAAGCTGTTATAGCACAGAGATGGAGCAATCTACTGACACGATACAGCCCTCGGCGGAACCATTGGTACTGGATTGTTCGTGGGTTCTGGACAGACGCTTGCTCGCGGTGGCCCGGCCTTCATTCTGGGGTCTTACATGTTCATGTCCTTTCTCATCTGGTGCATCGTGACTGGTATGACCGAACTATCAGCATGGATACCCACCAAAGGCTGCTCGATGAATTTGTTCGGCTGGAGATATGTCAGCCGTTCCCTCGGATTTGCCATGGGCTGGCTGTACTTCTACAGTTTGGGAATCTTGGTGCCGTACGAGATCACTGCTGCTGGTCTGGTCATCGAGTATTGGAATGCACCGGTCAACATTGCTGTCTGGATATCGATCATGATTGTCGTGATTGTTGGTCTTAACGCATTGCCAGTAAAGTTCTATGGCGAGACAGAATTCTGGTAAGCAGATTTCAACGTCTAGACGGCAAGGTGCTAACGTATCTTGACCAGGTTCGCTGGACTGAAGGTTATCATGATGATTGGCTTGCTTATTATGTCTGTGGTGCTGTTCTGTGAGTTCTTTCAGAGAGTATGCGAGGCCACTCAACTGATGGTGTTGCAGTCGGAGGTGGCCCTGATAAAGATCGTCTTGGTTTCCGCTGTAAGTATCGCAACCAACAACGTTGACTCGACGTACTGATAAGTCCACAGATTGGAAGAATCCAGGAGCAGCCAATACGTACCTCGCGGATGGCAACACTGGGAGATTTATCGCGCTGCTGTCGACGCTCGTTCTTTCGGCATTTCCATTCTCTTTTGCCCCTGAGCTGCTGGTAGCAACAGTAAGTCACTTTGACTGCCTGACCATCAAACCTATCAACGAAAGGACAGGGCGGTGAAATGGAGTCACCCAGACGTAATTTGCCAACTGCTGGCCGTCGATACATCTGGCGTTTGATCGTAAGTACCGACATGATTCGAATTGCAGTGACCCTTATACTAACTTCCACTTCAGATTTTCTACGTCGGCTCAGTGCTTGCAATCGGCGTCATTTGTCCATCAAATGACCCTGCCCTTACGAGCGGTGGAGCTGGTGCCGGCTCGTCACCTTTCGTGGTCGCCATCAAGAACGCCGGCATTCCAGCACTGGATTCCGTCATCAACGCCGGTATCATTATCAGTGCCTGGAGCTCAGGGAATTCGTTCCTATTCCTCTCCTCCCGATCGCTCTACGCCCTTGCGCTCAGCGGCAACGCTCCGAAGTACTTCAAAGCGTGTACCAAAAGTGGTGTTCCCTACATGGCCGTCATTGCCAGTTCGCTCTTCTGTGCACTGGCCTACCTAAACGTCGCCAACAACAGCGCCGTAGTCTTCAACTGGTTCGTCAACTTGACCAACACCTCCGGATTCATCAGCTGGATCTGCTGCGCCATCGTCTACATTCGATTCCGCAAGGCTTGCAAGGCTCAGGGTATCACCTACTCAATGCTGCCCTACCACTCCAAGATCCAGCCTTTCGGAAGCTGGTTCGCGATGGTCTGCTTCTTCTTTTTGCTCCTTATCAACGGTTTCACAGTCTTCTGGCCTCAGAACTGGTCAGCTTCGGCGTTCTTGACGGCCTACGTGGGGATTCCTCTCTTCTTGGTCTTCTACGTCGGTCACAGAATCTACACCTGGAGCGACCCGTGGGCACATCCTCCTGAGGAAGTTGACCTCCATACTGGTTTGGAAGAGGTCATCGCAGAGGAAACACCCGGAAGAGAATTCAAGGGATGGCGAAAGATCAGGCATATCTGGGAGTAGAAGCAATATATTCGTCTTGCGACGTACCATATATCTATACGACTAGCACTTTCTCACCTAGCAGGCGTGCTTCAGACTCGGCATTCTTATGCCTTTCCTTCCGAATACAATACACCAACTAATCATCCATCCTACAGCTGCCCGAAGCCACAATACCTGTAACTCGCCCCAAGGATCAGCCCCACTTTGGGAAGCCCCTCAATCGACTCCACTATGGCGAGACCGATAACACTCTCACAGACGATCCTTCACTGCAAAGACTGCAGCACAAGATTCTGCAAGTACCGGACTCGGTACTACTACCTCACAATCACAGCAGGACAACAGTCATGGCATCAAGTTCCGATCACGACCACCATCATCATGACCTCGAGCACCCACCACCGGACGACTGGAAGAACTCAGGCGTACGAGTCATACCTTCGGACTCTCTCGATGGCAACACGCCTCAGACGCCTGGTATGGATCGAAAAGCGGCGATCAACTTCGCCAGAGGTGAGCACCTTAAGATACAGATCCTCCATAAAGCTCAGCGATTGACATGTGTCTCGCTTTCTAGTCGGCGCCCAGAAACTCTGGGCCGGCACCGTACACATCCACGCCAACGCCAAAACCGGAGCACATCATCATGGACATCTCGAATCGGTCATCTACGTCTTGAAGGGCAAGGCACGAATGCGATGGGGCGATAAGCTGCAGTTTACCGCAGAGGCTGGACCAGGCGACTTTATCTACGTTCCCCCATGGGTGCCGCACCAGGAGATCAACGCGAGCGAGGACGAGAAGCTGGAGTGTGTTTTGATGAGGTCGGATAGCGAGGCTGTGGCTGTCAATCTGCCGGATGTGGAACCTATCGAGGCGCCCGAGACGGTCAAGTGGATTGATCCGACGCATCCTGAGTAGGCAATGGAGGAGGATGGAGGCCGCGCGGGCTGTTTAGACGGGTCATTGTTTTGTGTTGTCGACGTGGAAAATCGAAGCCGTACTGCTGCTCGCTACGTGGCTAGGGGTCAATGTCAGGTAAGCCTCTTCTGCACCTACGGGAGCTTTGTATTGCAGCAGAAGGTCACATAATGCAACACGTTGTCAAGTCTTCCATCCCGTCCGCGCACGAGCCCCCTCTTATGCATGTAGGTCTCGAGCGCCCACAAGGCTGTGGATTGGTCAAGGACAGCTTGGCGCAAGCCACGACGTGGTCTGACATTTGATGACCCCGAGTGTGATGAGATTGGCTGTAGAGGTCGACGTAGAGAGCTTCAATACTTGATTAACATCAAGCGTGGTGTGAGCATTGGAGCTGAAGTGCTCGGGCTGAAGATACGTATAGCCACCCAAGGCTGGCTGGACGTCGAATGGCCTCAGCTGAGACGTGAGGTTGGATAGCAACGTGAAGTGACGAGGGGGTTGTCGAAGGCATAAGTAGTTCCTCGTTTGTCGCTTCGTAGTCTTCCATTTCGACCAAAATTCTCGCCATTCGATCACTTTCGTAAAAACCACAATACAGTAGTCAGCTCAACCCCAACCACCACCACCAAAATGTCTTACCCAACCCAACCCACCTTCATCCACACCGGCACATGGGACGACAAAACCCGCGCCCACCCCTGCATGGCCTTCATGGAGAGATACACCCGCTCCATAATCGACACCCGTTCCTGGGACACGCCACCGCTCGACTGGCACACGCCGGACTTCGCCTTCCAGAAATCCACGGGGCAAGTCGTCGAGAGCGCCGAGGCGGCGTTTAAGAGCGTCGCGGAGGTCTATGGACCTTTTAGTGAGCAGTGAGCTATCTCTCTCCCCCGTAGAAGACTGGGGGCATTGTTGATGTGGGTTGATAGATGCCATGACCCGAGTTTCCTCATCTGCTGGGAGACGTCCAAGGGTTGGGGGATGTTTGGCATCGCGAGTCTCTGGTGGACGCTCGCCGTGCCGGGGGGTTCTGCTAAAGTGAAGGACACAAACGGTAAGGAGTGGGATGGCGTTGGGCCTGGGGCTTTCAGGTTCGAGTATGTGAAGGATGGTGAGGAGATCAAGTTGGCGAGGACGGAGATTTTCAGTGATCCGAGTCAGGCGTTGGTGGAGATGTTGAAGAGGGGGATGATCAAGGCGGAGGATTTGATGGCGTGAGGGTGTAGTCAGGGGTTGTGGGTGGGGGATATAGGTCTCTTTTTTGTTGATTTGTGCGAAGCGTGACGTTCTCGTGTCTGTATCTTGAGTAGTTGTTAGTGGTTCTCATCGGTATACGAACGAAGATCATGCACAGTTTCTCGAGAGATCCGGAAATTCAGGAGACGATCGGAAAAAAACACTCGATACATTTTTGCTCAAACAACTATGATTACAACGTCAGCCAAACGCATAAAAACACTTTCATCGCGCCATACGTCGATCCGTCCCGTATTCCCTCGTCTGTACAATTTTCTGCCGAATGTGGTATCTTCGTAAACATGTTCGAAAGATCTGTTCATCGTCATCGCTCAACGACACGCTCACTCCGCCGCAGCCTGAGGCTTGGCCAGCTTTTTGGGTGCCTTCTTGACTGGTGCAGCGCCTCCGTTAGGGGTGCCGTTTGCGGTCGGTGGCGTAGGCTTCTTTGGTGGCGCTGCTGGCGCCTTTGCAGGCTGGGCGGGGGCTGCTTTCTTGACTGGTGCCGGGGCCTTCTTTGCTGGTTGTGCAGCCTTCTGTGCGGGCTGAGCAGGTGTACCGCCGCTTTGCACAGCGTTCGCGGGCTTCTTGGCCGGAGGCGTCTTCGATGGGATGGGCTTTTTCTTGGGCTGTGCGGAAGCCGTAGAGCCTGCCTGGGAGGGCGCTGCAGAAGGTCTACGTGCAGGGACCTTCTTCTTGGGTGCGGTCCTCTTGACAGCCTTGGCTGCGTCTTCACTCTCCTCAACCACGAAGCTGGCGTCTGTTGGGTTCTTGTTGTTGATATCGAGAATGTCTTGCGGACAGGCGCTCATGACCACGACAACGTCGCGCTCTGCTCTCAAACGAATGAAGTCGCCCTTCTTCGACTTTGGTGCCTTGAAGCCGAGATCGCCTTCGTCGTCCCAGGGAATGTTCATGAACAGGTTCAGGGGGGCTGGCACATTGTTGATCGTCACATCAGCACCGACGGCCTTGGCCCCCTTCAATCCAGCACGTTCGTTCAACTCCTTCAATGCCAGAACAAGATTCTCTGCGCAAGATCCATGCTCTTCCCACTTCGGAACTCCCAGATTCTTGTATCGCTTCGGATCACAAGCAGCAATGAGAGTATCGTGAACGCCAGGCGAAGAGTCCTCCACAACCGTGAGAATCGGCTCACGCACATTAGACACCAGCGTATCGTTAACCTTTGGCGAGAGATGAAGCGTAGCAGCGCGAGTGTGGGTCATGCTCATGAACTCCATCGAAGCTGCATCGGCCGCATTCTTCGCGTTCCATCTAGCAAGCTGGAATTAGTAGTGTCCGAGTATATTCGTAATTCAAAGAGCATACGCGTTGTAGCCGGCATAAAGACTTCCACCGTATCCAGATCCAGTCACAGCTGCCATGCCTGTGTAAGCAGAGTTAGTGTACGAGTCCTCGTACAGCGAACGTTACCTTTCACACCTGCTGCTCCCACTGGTGTCTTTGAGAAGTCCTGGAGTTGTTCAAGATAGGACTTGCTCGTGTCTCTTTGGTGCTGTGAGAATCGTCAGTAAACGGTCATAGTTGTGAGCGGCGTTGTTGCGCCCCGGCCAGCCGCACGGGAAATCTTGTCTGTGGTTTTTGTTTTTTGAGGTTTGGGGGCCCGGGGGGCGGGGGGCCTGGCTTGACACTCACTTGCGATGCAAATTGGGACACTGTGTCCGTTGCTTGCTTGGGGATATACGAGCTAAAACCCTGGCCAACTGCGAAATAGCTGCTCCATGTGCGGCTGTTCTTCTGCTGTTCAGTCTCGCCCTTCTTACCACCATCACCCTTGTCATCCCCCTTCTTCCCTCCCAGCCCAAGGGTCGGGACATACGACGTCGCGTACGAGGTCCATGTCTTCTTTTGCGTCTCGTCAGTAGCCTCGTCACCCTTAGCTTGAGCCTCTTGCGTAGCCTTCTCAGCGTCCTCTTGACTCGGTAGCTCGCCGGACTTCTTGACCTGTGTAGGGGAGAGTTTCTTCGCCTGCTGGCCCTTCTGCTCTTCTTTCTTCTGCTCCTGCTCCTCGCCGCCGCCGCCGCTCGGTTTGGGTTCAGGCTTTGGTAAGGCAAAGGCCCAGGTGTCGATGACCTGGGTTCCTGAGGTGTTGATGATCTTGATCACGGAGCCGCTGGGCACGAAAGTCGCAACGCCATGGCGGTGGGGATGTCAGCATATTGTTTATCAAAGGAAGTGAAGTGCTAGATCCATAGCCTGGGTCCTTAAGGTACTCACCGGGCTTCGATAGTCTGGAGATCCTGGGCACCCATCGCGCGACGCCGACCTTGATGGAACTACCAAATAGTAGCACAACTCAAATAACACGAAACAATGAATATAGCACAAGAATTCTCTCTTTCACAGTGTGATCTAGCAGTGTTTGAAGGAGGCAGGTAGAGACTTGAGAGAATGCGACGTGGAAAAGTGGCTGAAGACACCCAAGACCAGATGATCCCTCGCCAACTCACGCGTCACAGAAGCGATCGAGTTGGATCGGGGGGCTTGCACCAGGTCGCAAAGAAGGTTTTGATATTATATCACATTGCATAAAGCTCAGCCCAAGCTGTGGCTGGAGCTTCGGACTAGTCCTCCGAACGCATTCGACTATTTGGTCTGGCGTCCTTGCATCAATCTTGTTTTTGAGTTCTCGTGGCCAATTAGTAGGTCGTCGTCATGTCTTGTTCTTCTCTGCTCTGTACAGATGCTCTTAGTTGTTGTGCTATGCCATACCATCATTCAAAAATCGTCAGTCGCTTCAACCGTTCCGCAGCCCGTCTGGACCAGGAATCCCGATCCCGGTTCTAGAGATTGTCCACCATCCGAGTACTGGAAACCAATGCCACACGATGACGGCGTGGTGTACCACAAGAAGCAGTTCTTCGCATCGGTGTCATCTTCTGATGCCGCACACTCATCATCGTTCACACAAAGCTGGCAGCATGCACTGGCGTCGCTTCCTGGTGCCAGTCCATATGTGCTGCCCGAGTGCGACCCTGTCTGGCCAATTCCGTAACCGTTAACCTCTCCGACCAAGTTGGTGGGCGCACATTTGATGTGTTGGGTGGTCGTACTTGATGCTGCCGTGACAGTGCAAGTTCCAGCGCTGGTGGCGTTGCCCGCTCCTGCGGTGATGGTAGTGGTGATCGAAACCGTCGATGTGGGAGCAGACACTGCCTTGATTGCTGGTGTAACATAGACCGTGGGCGTACTGGCTGTCACAATGACCGTCGTTGGCTCCTCTTGTATTGTGGAAGTGCTCAACACATAGGTCGTAACCTCATCGAAGCAGTCGATTGCAACAGCCTTTCGTCCTGCGTTGACTGCTTTTTGGCCGACGTAGTGGAACAAGTTGGCCTTGAAGGCACTGCGGCGTTGCTTCGCGATCGGGTACCTGCGATCAAGTGGACTTGCTGTACGTTTCGCGGCAGTGCCATTGTACGTGCCCGTGTAGACTGTGGTCTTGCCGACTCTCCTACAAGAGATCAGTATCGGTTCGATCGTTCGTGAGAGAATGCGATCGCTTACAGGGTGGTGGTAGTCGAGCAATCTGCGCGCTTCGCAGGCTTCGTTACGAGCGTTGGCTCATAGATAAAAGAACCATTCGCCGTAGCAGTGACCGGATCTGGCGTGATAGTTGTAGTCACCGTCAATTCCGTCCCACAGGTTGTAATGACCGAGCTGACGGTCTGCGAGGAGCATTTCGTCCGCGTAGGTAGAGATGAGGGCTGGTTGTGCGCTGGTCGGTACTTGGTGATGCAGGTCTGAGTGCTTGCAACAGATGTCGAAACGTCTGATCCATTAGAAGCGGCATAGGCTAGAGCAGCTAGGACAGCAGGAATAGTGAACGCGATGCGCATCTTGTCGATAGTGGAAAGCGGATAGGAAGTTGAGAGGGTGTGGAAGTAAAGGCAGGACGTTGCGAAAAAGGAAACGCACTGTACCTACCGTCCCTTCCATGCGGCCTGCATTGTCGCGCCGTCCACTGAGAGCGGTCGTCCAGACCCTTGTCCTACCGACGCATTCTGATATCTTTGGAAACCTCGTGCCAGACGGTCGGGGGAGGTTAGCATCGGAATGCAAAACATACCACTGCACGCCCGCCGCCTGCATGACATCGCGTAGTGTGTTTGAGAGGGCAGTCGCCGGCGGACGGCATCCCTCTGATATTCGAATTAATCTGCGACTCACGCTACCTTCAATGGCGAGTCGCAGCACGACGAGGATGAGGAGGAAGGGAGACGGGTGTGCCTGAAGATCCTCTGCGAGAAGAGCTGGGCTCGGGCCATGATCCCAGCCGTGAAACTTTGCCAAGTTCCGACGGCATTCTTCGCTGCAAGGGTTGCCGTCGTAGCGAGCTCGACACGCTGCTCCCGACGAGAATGCACATTGGCCATGTCTCGTGGCCATCATCAATCTCTCACCGGCGACGACATCTTTGAGTGAACCTGCTATATCGCGGAAAATACAGGCCGACAAAGACACCCCGACGCAAGCCGCCAAGAAGAGCCGCGTACTCAGAACACCCGCAACGTTGTACGAGCAGAGTTATAGGGACGGGCACCTGCCGACACGGGGCATAGATTCGAAATAGTTGGCTGGATATGGCATTCGAGGAGGTCAAGAAAGAATGATGTAAAACCAGCATTCACGTACCACGACGGCTAGCACGTGGAGACGGCGTTTCATCAACCCAAGCCCTTGCCTTGTTTCCCGGCCGATGAGAACATTTTGTGGCCCATGGCGTCTGCAGTGGACACACAGGGCGGGAGTGCGCCACAGCACCAAGAGTCGCCGCTCGCGACGAAGAAGCCCGACCGGGCATCTGAGAAGATGCTGAAGGAATTGACCGAGTTGTTCATCACGGATGTGTCTGCATACGACGACGCTGAATTCCTTCAACATGTGAGCCCCGACTTCCAATGGAACATCGTCGGGTCCTTTTTGGGACGCGGTAGAAAAGCACACTTCGAAAAGATGAAAGAGATTCGACAAGCCCACCCCGATTATCACGTCAACATCTTGAACATCTCTGCCGAAGTGCAGATTGGCAAGGCCAAGACGTGGGCTCTGATGAAGATCAGCGGCTTTCCAGAAGGTGTGGAGAGGGAGAGCATTCTGATGTTCTCCTGGCGTCGCGATGTTCAGGGAACATGGGTCTGTTATAGGCACGACGGCATACGTGGAGTTGCACCTATGCCTTTCCTCGTTTCGAAATCTACGCCACTGGATGATGGATGAACTCGGACGAACGTATGGTTGGATTTGAAGACAACACTGCCCAACTCCTAGTCTTTCTAGACGGATGCGGTGGAACAGGTTACTTCCACGGGAGGTTTTCCCAATGACAACCTCATCCGGTCTCGAAAAGCAGTCGACCGTACATTTTGCAGCACTCATGGCATCGTGAACGTATTGCATCGTCGTGCTTCATGTGGACCAACAGCTTCTATCTTTGGGCACAGGAGACGCTTCACGCTTGTCAAAGTTCTGCAATGACACAGCATATCGACCAGAGCACCCAACAACTGCTTACGAGAACGTGGCAGCAAGATCTCTGATGTAAGATACTATGGCTGTCAAGCCGCATACAGAATCATGCATGACCTCGCAGATGGTCTGCATGCCACGGATGGCCACAGGGCAAGCTACGCAAACATTTTCCATTCCAGATAAGCAAACTCAGCTCACTCATTACTTAAACCTGCCTTTGGATCTAGGAGAATTCCAAGACGCGTATGGTCCCTTCGATTCACAGGGCGCATCACAGCAAGATGTCATCCATCATCCCAATGACGAGAACAGTACACCAGCAGCAGAACAGCAGGCTCATGCAACTACCTCAAGAGCTTCGAGACCAGATCTATGACTATACCTTTTCTTCTACCTCTCCCTCCTTTGGAAGGGATTTTCCCGGCCAACTTGTCCATGCATCTGGACCATCTCGCTCCGCACTTGCTCTCTTACGCTCTTGTCATCGAGTCCGAGATGAGGTTGACGGTGACTGGCTCGGTCAGGTTACATTCCAGTTCGGCGACCCAAAAGACATGCTGGACAAGCTGACCGACTTACCTGCCGGCATTCGCAGCCAGATCCGTCACCTGCGTATCTATGGTGCATCGCTGAAGCTCACTATCGAGGACGACGAGTGCTACTTCCGTACCGCACAAGCACTCAAGCTTCTTCCAAATCTGCAGCTGGACGTTCTGACAGTCATCGGCGACAACTTGTCCAACTGCGCCTATGATACCTTGAACATGCTGGTACGCTTTGGAGGCGGTTGGAAAGAGCTGCACTTCTTCAGCTTCGATTCGAAGCTTCTTGGGTATGCGGACAAGATGAGATACTTCGGCGCACATGATGACATGAACAACCGCTACATGCGCCTACCCCAGCCAGCCGACTGGCAAGAAACCATGAACGAGCGTGATGGAGAGGCATCGAAGCCATCTGTCACAGTCTATCGTAGCAAGGACAGCTCCACACTTGGTTCGGTCTTCCAGCCCGACAAACGTGAAGTGATGGTTCAAGCTTTCGGACCGGATCAAGACGCCCAGACGTACGGCCGAGCTGAGGATTCGGACCTCATGCGGCCTGGCGAAGTCGAGAAGGAGATTCTGGTTGTGGTGAAGCGGGGCAAAGGTGTCGACTATGCGGAGAAGGATGTGCCCACATATGTTGGCGTCGACGATATTCGATGGTCTTTCGACATGCGCACGTGGAAGGAGATCAAGGCCTATCAGGAAGAGCTCTTCGATGATTCGGACGATGAAGGAAGTGTTGAATAACCTACTGGACGCGACGAACAGAAGTTCGGGATCCTAAGCCACGAGGGAACGTTCAACTGCGTTTTGTGATGGGGAAAGAGACGGGTTTATGATCTGTGTGAGACACTGTTTTATGATCAAGAATCTTATTCGATCTCTGATGTGGAATAAGCATATGCAAGTCACATTGTATTCTCAGTCTGGCTACCAATCTGATTGGCATGTGGTCTTTCGGCAGAAATAACAATGCTTCACGGCATGTGACCTTATCAGTGAGATCCACCTCCAGGATGCTTTGAACGCATGCATACCGACCTGCATGGTTGAGCCTCAGGGTCAACCTCCCACTCGTGTAACCTGCCAACGGACTTGACACATCACAAGCACTTTGTTGGCAGATCGGGACGGGTTGTCTGTTTCCAGCCAACTTCAAGCCTCTCAACGGCTCCCCTCAAACCATGTGATCGTTCGTAATAGTCTCAGAGGCCTCGGAATGCCTCACCGTCTGCCTGCAATATCCAGAAGGGACGCTCACCGCCGCAGCGTGCACATGGCTTGGCGCAGGTCTCTGGGGTCTGGCTGAGCGGAGAGACTTTCGCTGGGGGAGCGGGATGGCACGTTTGGATCCATTCTAACGGCAGGCTTCCCATCCGTTTCGCTCTGGCCGTGGAACGAGGGTTGACACGTGCAGGTGGTTATTCCTGTTCCTCGATCTCCAGACGTGCCCCACGCCGCTAGTCACTGACCGCTGTGCCCACTCGCGGTCCGAGCGCCCACCTGCCCCACCGCAGTGAAGTCAATGGTGGAAGCTGGCAGCTGCGAGCCGCCTTCAAACAAGACGGCCTTCTTCTTTCTTCCGGCTTCAACTCTTCTTCTTTCCTCACAACAACAACACACCACTCCACCACACTCTCACTCACAAACACCTCTTCCATCTTCCACCACTACCACACACTCAACCACCTCATCCACTCACATCACCGTCACAATGGGCAAGGTAAGCGCTCGTTCCTGTTCCTTCCGAAACCCCTCCAACTTTCCTAACCTTAGAACTTGGATCCCTTTGACCTGGTCACACATGCTTCCTCACTTACAATACTAACACCACAACAGGTCAAGTATATCCTCCTCGACTGCGACAACACCCTCTGCCAGTCTGAGCGTCTCGCCTTCGAAGCTTGTGCCGACCTCACCAACGAAGTCCTCGAGAAGTATGGCATCGATGCCCGCTACACCACCGACTCTCTGCTCGAGGACTTCGTCGGCCACAACTTCCGTAACATGCTCATCGGCCTCCAGAAGAAGCACAACTTCTCCATGGGCCAGGAGGAGGTCGACAAGTACGTCGACATGGAGCTCGGCCGTGTCACGGCCAAGCTGAGCGAGAAGTGCGTCGAGTGCCCTGGTGTCACCGAGCAGCTCGAGTGGGCCAAGGCTCAAGGCTACCCCATGTCCGTCGTCTCTACCTCCGCCAAGCCACGTGTCGTTGCCTCTCTCAAGAAGACCAACCTCATGCGCTTCTTCACCGACGAGCACGTCTACTCGGCTGCCACGTCGCTCAACCCACCATCCAGCAAGCCCGACCCCGCCATCTACCTCCACGCCTGCAAGGAGCTCGGTGTCAAGCCAGAGGAGTGCTTGACCGTCGAGGACAGCAAGTCAGGAGCCACCGCCGGCATGCGCGCAGGCATCCCACTCATTGCCTACGTCGGCATCTACGGCCTCGAGGAGGGCAAGGCCAAGGAGGAGCAGATGGCCAAGACGCTCACCGAGACTTGCAACGCCAAGGTCGTCATGTACGACTGGAAGGAGTTCCCAGAGGCCGTCAAGAAGATTGAGGCTTCTCTGTAAAGCAAGTCACGGTGACGACCTTGCTTTGACGGAGTCACGAGAGTACGAGACATGAGATAATGCACTGAGGCACAGTTGCCAACTTCTTTTTGATGCTGCAGCCGGATTCGGGCAGCGAAGCGAGACTCGAGACACATAGACTTGAGACTAGAAAAAGCGAGCCAGGTGCTCTGTTCTGTTCACCATGTCAACTCCACTTCCCAATGCTCTCTCGAGTATCCCCCGTGTCTCCTGACATCTCATGAGCTGACGTGACGTCTAGGCAGGTCCGACCCACCCACGAACAAGGAACTTGATGTCACTGGGAAAGCACGGTCCAAGTCCACGATGAGAAATTTGGAGATCGTATCGACAGATCGGGTAGAATCGTTCATCGATTCACTGATCCTTGCGTACGCCATGAGAAGTGGAGGGGTGGAGTGTGTGACGCTGTTGTGAGGTGGTAGTGATGTTGGATGAGGTTCAGGGACTTTTCATGTCAACGGGAGGGAAGCGACTGGAAGGTCTGATGATGGCATGGCATGCTCGACGATGATGTGTATGTATGTGATCCGGACTGGACAGCATGTGTTTTGACGTTGACTTGGATGGTGTGATGGATTTCTAGCTCGACGAATTTTTGTCGGAGAACCTCCGGGAGAGAAATCTTGAGCGCTGCAACGCATACGACTCCAAACTCCAACACGACCAAGGGTCTGGTTTCTCCCTACGCGTTGTTCTGAAGAAGGGAAGAAAGCTGCATCCTCGACAGCAACGTAAATTTCGATCTCTTAACAGAGAAGCCTATCAAGTCAAAACCACAATCTTCCCCCCAGCCTCATTCCCCTCCATCACGCGATGCGCCTCCACAATCTCCTCCAGCTTGAACGTCCTCCCGACCTTGACCTCCAACTCCCCAGCTTCAATGCGCTCAACCAGCTCCTGCAGTGGCGTCTCCATGAACTCCTCCGGTCCGCCGCCGTACTTGGTCAGGCAGACCGCATTCGGGATCGCGCCCATGGGTTCGAAGTTCTGCAAAGTCCAGGAGTCGCCCACGATACCCGTCATGCAGACGATGCCGTGGGGTCGGGCGCACTGCAGGGAGTCGAGGAGGGTGGTGGTGCCGATGAGTTCGAGGACTTTGTGGACGCCGCCGTACGTGCGGGTTTGGACGTCGGTGGCGATGGCGCCGTTGTCGAGGAAGACATCGCTGGCGCCGTGCTGTTTCAGGAGGGCGGTGCGGGAGGGGTTTCGCGTGGTGCTGTAGACTTTTATGCCGTGGGTTTTGGCGATGGCGGCGGCGGCGAGGCCGACGCTGGTGGTGCCGCCGCGGATTAGGAGGGTTTCGCCTTTGTGGAGTTGCAGGGCGTTGAAGAGGCTGCCGTAGGCGGTTTGCAGCATTTCGGGCAAGGCTCCTAGGACGTCCCATGGTAGTTTCGTCTTCAGCTTCTGGACTTGGGTGGCTGGGACGCAGGTATATTCTGCGTAGCCACCGTCGAAGACTCGACCCATACCGCCCATGGCTGTGGCTACGATGTCGCCCTGTTCGAACTCGCCGTTGGGGGCGTGTTCGACCAGGCCAGTGGCTTCGATGCCGAGGATGCGCGGGAATTGGACTGGGCTGTGGCCTTGACGGGTGAACATCTCGGATCGATTGAGACCAAATGCCTTTACGTGTATGAGGGCCCAGCCTGGTTTTGGAGTGGGCATGGGTCTTTCTTCGACCTTGAGGACTTCTGGGCCGCCGGCTTCGTAGATGACTACTGCTTTCATCTGGGACTTGTCAGTGATAGGCATGTCAGAGGAAGACATCGAAGGCTTACTGTTGCTGCCATGCTGGAGTATCGATGAAAGTGATTCGCGTAGGTCTTTTGTGCGTGTACTGTGAGGGTGTGACAATTCCTAAGAGTGTTTTGAAGTATGCCTCTGGATCTGGGCGGCATTTGTTCATGGTCGAGTTCTTGGCAAATATATGTACTTATACCCTGACACGAACCCGAACCCGAACAATGGACTTAGCGTCGTCTACCGCAAAGAGCCGAAGGTTGCCTACATCCGGCTTATTAAAAACCCAGGGCCTATAATGAATCTTCCTTATTGACAGGACAGGCAAACGTGAGTATTGTTGGTAAATTGTCTTGAAGAAGGACGTTTATGTGCCTTCGGACACGTCCTGGTGTGCCAGGGTATCGTCTCCCATTTTCGCACATGCGGCAGCAACATGGCCGGCTGATTCAGGGGTGATGTGGATGTCGTCGAAGGGCATCTCTGCAGAGAAGGTCGTGCATCGGGAGGTCCTGCCTGTGTCCCTGCTCAAGTGAAAGTCTGGACCCCACGTCTCCGCGTTGAGAGGTTGATATGCAAGTCTTCCCTCATGGGCCCATGGGGAGATGCTGCAGAAATGCATTGCCCAACGTCAGGCGTCGCGCTTTAGGGGCAAGATTGGCATTGAAGGAGGACTTCAATGACTTGAGGCGGCGTGATTGGGCGGGAAGTGCGATTTGATTGATGGAGTGATGGAAAAGCAAGGAATCGCAGAAGAAACACTCGATGGTCTCGTCTTGGCGTGACATTTGAAGGAGCGGGGCAGAAGGGACAGGCGAAGCTCTCCGACTCGCATCAACTTTTTGTTGGAAGTCGCCTCGTCAACCTCAACCGCTCCACCACTTGCCCACGCCTTGCACCGTACACCCCACGCCGGCCGAGTCTTTGCGCACGGCAGGTCCGTTCGTTCAGACACACCACCGCGATCCATTCTGCCAACCTACGAACTTGCGACACACCACACGCCCGACGCGACTCCATGTCCTCGAATCCGAATCCCCGTTCTTGACCTGAGACAATTGCCGATTCTACCCCCTCGCAGCCACAATGGCGGGCAAGGCGAAGAACACGACCAACAACCTAGTATATGATATCTTCCTCTGGATTTTCACCATCGTCGTCGACCTCTTCTTCCGCGAAATCCATCCCCGAAGCTCATGGCGAATCCCAAAGAAAGGTCCCGTCATTTTCGTGGCCGCGCCGCACGCGAACCAGTTTATTGACCCGTTGATTCTCATGCGCGTCGTTCGGCACGATGCGAAACGGAGGATTGCGTTCTTGATCGCCGAGAAGAGCATGCGAAGGGCGTTTATTGGGGCGGCGGCGGGCTTGGTCGGATCAGTGCCGGTTGGAAGAGCGCTAGATTTGAAGAAGCCTGCGCCTGGTAAGATATACCTGCCAGACCCGGAGGGCGATCCGACCTTGATCAAAGGCACTGGCACCAACTTCAAGACGGACCAGTTCATGGTTGGAGGATTGGTCGTTCTGCCAAGTGTGAACAATGCGGCGGCCAATGCTGAGATTCAAGAGATTATTTCAGAGACTGAACTGAGATTGAAGAAACCTTTCAAAGGTGAAGTTGCCTATAAACAGCTCACTGGCAAGCCACTGGACGAAGAGAATGGACACCTTGCGAACGGAGATGCGGACCAAAAGAGCTTTGAGGGGACGAAATTCCAGGTGGCACCGCACGTCGACCAGGGGCAAGTGTACGAGGCCGTCTTCGATAGAATCAAGAGCGGGGGCTGCATTGGCATCTTCCCTGAAGGAGGTAGTCATGACCGGACAGAACTTCTCCCTCTCAAGGCTGGACTTGCAATCATGGCTCTTGGAGCATTGGCAGAGGATCCTAGCTGCGGCGTGACAATCGTGCCCGTCGGCATGAACTACTTCCATGCACACAAGTTCCGCTCAAGGGCAGTCATCGAATTCGGCCCACCTATCGAGATTGAGCACGAATTGGTGGAGCAGTATACAAAGGGTTCTAAGAGGGATGCTGTCGGCAGTGTCCTGCAACGAGTTCACGAAGCCCTCGGCCAGGTCACTGTCCAAGCACCCGACTACGACACGCTCATGCTGATCCAAGCCGTGCGTCGACTATACAACCCCAAAGGCAAAAAGCTTCCGCTTCCATTCATCATCGAGCTCAACCGACGACTTCTCAAAGGCTACACAACATACAAGGACGACCCACGAATCATTCAACTCCGTAATGAGGTCTTGGATTATAACAGGCAACTCTTCAGACTGAACATTCGAGACCACCAAGTCTCGTACGCGAAATTTGCGTGGTACAGAGTCATCTTCACTCTGGTTTACAGGACGTTGAAGTTGCTGGTACTCTTGATGGCCTCGCTTCCCGGCGTCATCTTATTCTCGCCGGTCTTCATAGCAGGTAAGCTCATCTCGAGACAGAAGGCGAAGGAGGCCCTGGCAGCGTCTACAGTCAAGGTTAAGGCCCGAGACGTCGTCGCTACCTGGAAAATCCTCGTCTCATTGGCACTGGCTCCGGCTCTCGACATCTTCTACACCATATTTCTGCTGTCCTGGACTTGGTCGAATAGGATCCGAGGATTGGTGCCAGAATGGATTCCGCTTTGGTTCACAGCCATCTTTGGGTTGATCTTCTTTCCGGCACTGTGCTTCGGTGCTCTGAGATTTGGCGAGATTGGCATGGACATCTTCAAGAGCTTGCGTCCACTTGTGCTATCTCTCAACCCCACGCAAGGCAATACCTTGGTGAAGTTGCGTAAGAAGCGCGAGTGGCTATCAACCAGGATCAACGAGATTATCAACGAGCTCGGTCCAGAACTCTTCCCCGACTTCGACCAACAACGCATCATCAATGACCCGGAACATCCTCTTCACTCGCCCGAACGCTCGAGACCTGGCACGCCAACTCATCGTCGCGATGGAAGCGAGATCGACTCGCTCACTTTCACACCTGCCACCCCTCCAGCTCACTCTGCGCCTTCTGCGGCAAGTCACTCGTATCTCAGTACCAACTTGCCACGCAACGAGAGTTTCAAGAACATTGGCTCGATTGGTCTCTTTGCTTCGCGACCGGGTACACCGAACCGTAGCAGAAGCCGTTCCAACAGCCACGACTTCAAGGCCCCCAGCTTTGGCTTCACCGCAATCGATTCGAGCTCACCGGTCGATCAGAAAGCCAAGCTGAACGAAGTCAGCAAGAACTTGCACGAGGCTATGCGGGAGAGGGGAAGGCGGAGGAAGAGTGACGATGCTGAGTGGGAATTTGGCGCGGATGAGGATGAAGACGAGCAGGAAGACAAGAAGGTTGTCTGAAGTGGTAATTGGTCTGCTTGGTGCTTTGCATTTGAGCGTTCAGTTTGTGAAATTCCCACGGCAGGGGTGGTCTGATGCTCTGTCTTTTTCAACTTATGTAGTTACCAACAACTACACCTTGCAAGATCACATTCTCTGCAACCAGGTCACTCTGCACGATCAGTTTCTTAAGCCACTTAACAGTCACGTGTTTTCGCGTCAGCTCGCTCCTCGCACCAACCACTCAATCCCAGTATCTCTTCCACCTCCAACACATCACCAAACAATGCACCCTCACCACAACCCACCATGACCACCCGCCCAGCAGCACCGTCATCCAGGCCCTCCGAATCTATCCCCCGCCCACCCCTCAAAATCCACTCTCTCGCCATCGTCGCCGACCGCGCTCAAATCACCGGCACCCACCCCATCACCATCGGCGAAAACACCATAATCCACCCACACGCACGCCTTCGCGCCGAGACCGCGCCTATAACCATCGGCAAAAACTGCAGCGTCAGCGAGAAAGCCTTGGTCTCCGCTTCTGAGGGACCAGAAGAATGTGTTATCGGTGACGGCGTAGATGTGCAGGGAGACGCGGTTGTGGAGAACGCGAAGGTGGGCGATTGGACGGTCATCGAGGTTGGAGCGAAGGTGGGACGGTTGAGTGAAGTGGGGAAGTACTGTAAGATTACGCCGCTGAGTGTGGTTTTGCCTGGGGAGGGGGTGGAGGATTTTACGGTGGTGTTTGGGGATGGAGGTGGGAGGAGGGTTGACGTGAGTTTGAAGGGGAGTGAGGAGATGAGGGCGGCGAGGGAGCGGGGGCAGGCGATGATGTTGGAGGTGCTGGGCAAGTTGATTCTGGATGGGGGTGCGAAGTGGAGAGGGACTTGAGATGGGGAAAGAGTGGTGATGATGATCCAAGATTATGAGTTATGAGGGTTGCTTTTAAGGTATGCCCAAGACTTCCAACGATTGGCGATTGCCTGATCAGCCCCATGGCTCAGGACGATGGTACAACTCCATCCCCCAATCGAAGCCATACCGATTCCAATACTCTGGAATTCCCGCCCCTTCAACCTCTGCTGGGTTCCAATTCAGGACCTTGTCACCAGTGCTCAACCGGACCTTATCAACGAAACCGCGCCAGACGCCAGTATTCACAATCTGACCAACAATACTTCCCAGCGAATACAGCGTCGTCTCAGCGTTCTGGTTCCGAAGTCGATAGTGCGAGTTCCCTTCTTCCCGCGCCGGTATCCCTCGCTCCTCCACCACGACTCGAAGTTCCTTGATATGCATCGTCTGCGGCAATGGTCTCTCCATGTCGAACATTGGGCCGCAGTGGATGAGGTGGTTCAGCGTCTGATACAACCCGCTAGTGATGCCGTGTGGCCCGCCATCTCCCCAAGTGTTCAAGCCGCAGGAGGCGTTATAGTACGCCTCAAGATACCTCGCCTGGCCGGGAGCACAAGGCAACTGCCTCCACGTCGCCGCACCCAGCGCCATCCCACCGCGTGTCGCCTCAAGGTCCAGGACATATGTTGTATTCTGCTCGCCGGCCAAGAATGAGGGCTCCTTCATCACGGCGCGGAGCTCGACGGCTAGAGCTTTGCAGGTGCGAATCAGACTGAGCCAAGGAATGATGAGTTTCTCGTCCTTGATGAGGTCCGGGACGCTTTTGAAGCCGTACTGCGAGGAGTGCGTGTGGCGCCATTCGTTGAGGATTGTGTGCCGGAGATCTGTTGTGCAGACGTACGAATAGATCTCGAGGCGCAGCTCTGCTGGCAGGCCGAGGAGGGAGGCTCGCTTGATTTCTCTTTGTGGAGTCGACATTCTTCTGATCTAGATAGTGGACGTCGTTCGAATTGTGTGTGTCGGTATTGATCAAAATGCTCGACGGCGTCTCGGCATTCTTAAAGTACTTCGTTACCTGGCAGGCACCTCGAAACTTTATGACGCAGATGCCTACGCGCGGGGTCTAGAAGTGACCTGCAGGTGGTACCGAATCGCCAGCAACGAAGATAAGTGTCTCCCTGTTTCATCAACTTCAAGGAACACGCTCGGCCTTTGACTCACTGGAGCAGACCGGTGGAACTATCTCCACGCATGGCACCGGACTCACTTGCCCGCAGGACGACTTCGGAAGCAACATGGAGCTCGAACGTCGACCATTGCGATCGATACCGATACACGAGGGTACTGTCTACCACTCATGATGCCAGCGACGTAACGGTGGTGCAAGAAAAGTTTGCATGCTGGTGATAACTTTCTAGCCATGCGGTCGTCGAACAAACCCGAGACCCGTTCAACGACTTAGCCTCGTGGCTACGTCTTGATGACCCGAATCAACTGGTGGACTGGAGGGACCACAGACCGAGTGACGAAGTGGGCAGCCGTGTGCTACGGGCGTTGAACATGACTCCATGTGTTGGCGCTCACGATGTTGTGCCTCGCCAGGTGTCCGCGAACGCATGCTTCATGGCCACGCTTGAGGAAGGGCAGTTGACCCAGGAAACACGTCAATGGTGTCTTTATGAAGAGCGTTCTTTGTGTATATGGTTGAGAATGCAACTCGCCGAGCAAGATTTCGAGACCTCAAGACTCAACACGTACAACAGACTCTCAGACTGGCAAAACTCGCCATGCGGCTTTCCAACCTCTTTTATCTCATGGTTGCCTCGACCTCGGTGCATCTTGGTCGTGCTCACGGTCAGAACACTTCGACGGACGCTTCTCAATTGACGTACGAAGCCCCACGGAATGGTCACCTTTCCAAGCGAGTTTTCTCCATACCAAACGAGAACACGCTTGAAGCATACACCCAGTGGATGGCAAATGTAGGTCACGTTGATTTGGGTGGGATCTTCTGAAGCCTGAATACGATAGGAAGCAACCAAGCCAACCACACACCGTCTACGTGATGCAAACGAGCCCGAATTTGCAGACCATCCTGTCGACATTGGATCCACATCTGAGGTTCACGTCTTCGGTAGAGAAGTTATATCTGCGTCCGTGACTGACCTCAATGGCTGCACTTCTGTCATTGTCGTGTCCAAGTGAGTTTTTCCGTACGATCATGCGAATCCCGACTGATGATATGCTATCAGGCGCGGACTGTACATCAGCCACTTGTTCGAAGTTCCAAGCTTCAAGGCAAAGACGGAGGGAGGGCGCGTCATCGTGCCGGAGTCATTTGACAAGGACGTCAAACACGACCTCATCAAAGGAGGCACGGCCAAGGATCCTAATACTGGAAAGGCACTCATGAGAGGTATATTCTGACATATCCGAGCATTCGCACTCACTGACCTTACTTTATCACAGGCCTAGCAGCGCTCAAGTCAACTGGCTTACCGTTCCATGAGAAGACTGCTGATGGCGGCGAAAATCTCATTGCGTTCTTCATTGTGACGCCGCGTCACATTTCGAGGACAACCCCGAATCACAGACCACCGCGCCCGATGGAGCACCCCGACGATCTGCAGTATAGTGACAAAGTGCAATGGATACACAAGGCCCTCGCAGACTTGTTCCCCCAAAGTAGACGCCGCGAGGTACGTAGCCATCCATTCCTGCACATGAAATCATGGACTGATTTCGACAGGTTATCCAGTACGAGAAAAGGCTTCCTCCAGAGCTGAACAACCCGAATGATCAAAATCGAGCTGCGTGTGGCAAGATCTTGTTCCAATACGGTACGTATAAACCCGTCCTCATGACTGCAGACACGGACACTGACATGTCTCCCCAACAGACCCCTACGCCAAGGACGTCACAGTCCCCGACAGGAGAGATGAAAGCGGCAGGCCATGCAAAGTCCAAGCCGCTGGCTTTCGATTGTGGTTCATGGAGCGACCCAGACCGGCAGACGTGATGTGGGCCGCTGAGCTCGATCAGCGGACGTTTGGGAAGCAGACCAAATTTCCGCGACGATGGCTGTGGGAGCGGGGACAGAAGAACGATGTGTGTGATATGAAGGGGAAGACTCTTGAGGAATCGGGTTTCAACTAGGCAGGCGAGAAGGATTGTCGAGAGATCGAGATGGTGAATGGTTTCTGCGAGACTGCGATTGGTACAGTGTGATTTTGCCAGGCGACGTGAAAACACCACGCTGCTAGATCTGAGCGGCTGAAGTAATACTAGAGCAGCTCCCAAGACATAGCAGCCCTAACAACAAAACACTCCCAGGAAGCTTTCACGCCTCTACGGCCGTGCCAGGCGCGCATAGGCTGACAACCCCCTCCAAGACCAATAACAACCATCCACCAAGACCTCCTCCCTCGAGCCCTCTAACCCTTCCAGAACCAATGTAACACGTCCCTTACGAAAGCGAAACTGCGAGGTGCGTCATTTATTCGGTGGAATAAACATCCCGCCTCTTGGCTGAGGTCTTGGCTGGAGGGCTTTCTTTGTAGCATGGCTATTTTGCTTTGTCAAGATGGAGGTCAATCCGGGCTGGTGGCTTCGCGTGGTACTTCGCGTTGCGGGATGGGGTTCGTAGGGGCTTACCAAGAGGGGATTGGGGTTTGTCTTGGGAGAGGTTGGCGAGGGAGGTATATAGAGAGGGCGGCGCGATGGCTCGAGAAGAAGAGAATATAGCAGCACACAACAGTCTTGTCCTGGATTCGACGAAGAGTTCTTAGAATAGCACAGCCCTGCTGAACATCATGCCTCAACAACAGAAAGCCGTTTTCGTGAGGGAGATCAAAAAGCCCGTCGAGCTCGGAGCGAGGGATGTTCCCACACCCAAAGATGGCCAGGTCCTGGTCAAAGTCACGGCGACGATGTGTATGTCCTCCTCCCATTCTTTGACATGATAGAAGACTGATTATTGTGCCAGTACTCCCCCACGACGCCTACGGCCGCGACATGGGCCTCTTCATGGACGACAAACTCCCCTACATCCCCGGAGCGAACGTCGCTGGGATCGTCGAACAGGTCCAAGGATCTTCGGTCTTCGAGAAAGGCAACCACGTCTTCGGCATGAGTGATTTCATGGCGCCTCTTCCGGATCAACAGGGACTTCAAGAATACGCTGTCCTGAACGTGGATGATATTGCCAGGGTTCCTGAGGGCTTCAGTGATGACCAGGCGGTCTCGCTTCCGGTCAATATCATCACTTCCTTCTTGGCGTTGTTCGATGCGAAGTATGGCCTTGGGTTTCCGGCGCCGTGGGATTCTGTTGCAGGACAGAGTGTCAAGGATCAGACTCTCGTCATTGTTGGAGGCGGCTCGTCCACCGGCAAGCTGGCGATTCAGCTAGCCAAGATTGCTGGTTTCGGGAAGATCACGACGGTCGCAGGATCGAAGAACAAAGACGAGCTCGAGAAGATGGGTGCAACTCATGTCGTCGACCGCCACGGCACCGTCGAAGAGGTCACCAGTCGCGTACACGCCATCACCGGTCCAGACGTAACCCTCATCTTGGACACCGTCAACCAATCCTTCGAACTGTCCACAACCCTCCTCTCCAAAGACAAAGAAAGCAAGCTAGTCACCTTCTTACCAAACCACCAGCCCGAAGCCCTAGCGGAGCAGCGTCCAAATTGCAAGAGCGTGTTCGTCGAGGGCGGCAACGAGAACCTAGCGCCGCACAGGGAGGCCTTTTGGAAGCATGTCCCTGAGTGGTTGAAGGCTGGCAAGATCCTGCCGACGTCTTACTGGACTTTGGAGGGCTTGGAGAATGTTGACAAGATCAATGCTGTGCTGGATGGGTATATGGCGGGTGCTGGAGGGGCGCAGTTGATTGTGCATCCTTGAGTTAGGGTATACAGTGTCTTGCTTTGGATGTCGAATCGATGGCATACCTCTAGCCCTTCAATATTTGTTTTGATGCAGCCGCTGGTAAAATAGCGTCTTACTCATTGTCGTGACGTTTGAAGTGTTGTAGTCGTCACGCCAAGAAGTCGTCGTTTGCTCGCCGGGGGCATTTCGGTCTCGCCACGTCCACGACGAACATTCGAAGCCATGACGCGGCATATTGCAAGTCGATTGCAAGTATGTCGACCGCGCCACAACACGAGCTTTGTATAAGTCTTCAGACCCTTTGCTTGTCCACAAGTCACCCCTCTCACAGCGATTCCGACTTCTCAATACGACAAACACAAACCACCATTCTTGAAATCGTCCAGAATGGGTCTTCTCGAGAAGATCGAGCAAAAGGTCGAGGAAAAGCTATTGCATAAGAAGCAACACAACAACCAGCAAATGCCACCACAGCAACAATATCAGCCGCAACAACAACAGCAATATTCGCAACCCTCTTTCCAACACCCACAACACCATAGTGGAGGCCCGGGCTTTGGACAGCAACCTCATCACAGCCATCAAAACACTGCATTCGGTCAAGGCGAGTATCATCATGGCGGAGGGTTCGGTGGACCAGGAGGTTTTGGAAACAATGGCGGACCAGGAGATATGCACCACGGAGGACATCATGGCCATCATGGAGGTTACCAAGGCCCTGGAGGTATGGGACCTGGGGGTGAATTTGGAGGTCCACCAACCGGTTTCCAGGATGGGCCTCATCATGGTGGTGGCGGGATGGGAGGCGGACCAGGCGGACCGAATGGAGGAGGGCCAGGACGACCGTGGTAGGCGATTGAAGGCTGATGTTTGCGGCGGGCGCATCTGAAATGGTCGTCGGTTCCTTGTATACCACTTTTGCGAGAGCAATGAGCAATGTGAGATCGAATGATTCGAGTCTGAAGGGTGTCTTTGTCTTTGCATGTCTGGCCAGCGGTGCAGGGATCCAGAGATTCAGCAAGTTGGATTCGTATTCCTAGGTTTCGACCATCATCCCAGCCGCAGCGATTCTGTGTCTCCAGTAACAAAGGTCTCAATTATACCGAGTGTAGCGAGGGGCTCGTAGCACTCGATGATTGTCCGTAAGCTTCAGTTGAACCAGAACCGTATACATTCACTCAAGAACGCCACCCTCCCCAGGCAGACTCGTCGTTGCCTTAAGCCACCAGCGACCCTCACATTTCTGAAACTCAAAAACCATTACCACATTTCTAGACATCCCAATCGGCACTCCATGCCCTCCAGCCACGAGGACATTGGCATAAACGTGTCCGGTGATAAGTCGAGAATTGAGCGTCGTAGTCATGCTCTCGATCTCGAGGCGATGGTCCGGAAACTGCTCGCGGTAAACGACATAGTCGTCCTCCAGAGCCTTCTTCGACGTCGCGGCGAAACCCATGCCGCTGGATGTGAAGTCATCGGCGACGAAGGACCAGAGATGGGATGTGGATAGAGTGCGTGTGTTTAGGCCGTCGATGCTGGCTGTGACGAGTGATTCGAGGTATTCGGTTAATGAGGATAGATCGGAAGGAGGCTTGTCTGTTGGAGACACTTGCACTATCGTTGCTTTCGACATGATCTTGTCGTTGCAAATGCTCAGGAGAAGTAGAAGTTGACGTAGGATGGAAGTTCACTTCTCTTCGCTTAGTCAACCAATCACATGCAAGGTCTGTGTCCTCCAAGCTAACACTTATATGTTTTTCGAAAATACCTCCTATTTGCTCCTCTCAATCTCTGATGCTCCAGCCCATTGGTTGTCAATATCAATTGAACTACACTCAACATTCGAAGCAATACGGACGAGTCGATAGCCAAGACGACCTGCTCATTACCTTGATGAAAGCCACATGATCTAGGCCGTAAGACCCGACTGCGTTTCCACCGTCGCCTGCATATACTTCGGCCACCCCAACAATCCAATCCTCAAATCCCCATCCTTCAAAATCTCCTCCTTTCGCTCAATCAACTCATCGACATCCCACTGAGCCCACACGAACTTCCCACCCAGCCACGCAGCCGCTGGACTACTCAACCACACCGCGAAAGCTGCCGGGAGCGTAGGACTATCCAAATGTGTACCCGTCCCTTTGACTATCTCTCGGCTCATATCTGTCTCAACGACACCTGGGTGGAATGATACAACATGGAGATCCGGATTTTCAGCCTGCGCAATTGCCAGCATGGTGGCGAGACCAGATTTCGACGCCGCGTACGCGCTGTAAGTGGCGAGGACCATGAGGTGAGCGACAGAGGTGTTCACTGAAATGAATGCGGGTTTGTGTGTCCCGTCCCCTTTACTGCGATATGGCAGCCAGGCTCGGAAGAGGACCGCGGTGCCATAGATGTTGATCTCGAAGCCCTTCCACCAATTCTCCAGATCGACCTCGGCAAGTGGTGCGGCCTTGGGCATGTAGCCTGCATTGGCAACAACGATATCGACCGGGCCAACCTGCTGAACTGTCGAGTCGAAGGCCTTGTCCAGAGCGACAGCATCCGTGACGTCCGCAGGGAAGGTCAAGACCTTGGCGTTGCTGTGCTTTGCCTTGAGCGACTCCGCTGCTTCCTTGAGGATGTTTTCTCTTCGACCTAGGAGAACAACGGCTTTGGCATGAGCTCTGAGGAAGGCTTCTGCGATGGTCAAGCCGATGCCTGCTCCGCCGCCTGTGATGAGGGCGACTCGCCCTTCGACTGAGTTTGCTGGGTTGTCGGGGCTGATGGCTGGGTATTCTGATCGATGGACCTGTTGTGGACATGTCAATGACCATATGAGGATTGGTGTAGAGCCAATGTACCTTGCTGGTGTAGGACGGATATCCGAAAGCCATGGCCGCGAAACGGATACGATTTCTTTCAAATCGCTTTTGCTTGTCCGATACTTGTAGGACGCCATCACTGGAGTGCAAAAACGGTCTTTAAATATCTGATTTCCATTGTAGGACTGTCGTTGTATTTCAAAGCATTCTCGACGTCCTTAATCGGCAAGCTCGACCGTATGGTTTGAGGCTTCGGACCTGTACGAAGAATGGATCTTGTGGGTCATCCTCAATCGCATTTGGAGCTTCCAGGGGTCAATCAGACAAAATTCCACGTTCTGCTTTGATGCGAATGGAACGGGCGACTCTTCGTGGCATTTTCTGCGGTAGGGTTTAATGATAAATCAGACGAGCAATGTTGATTCATGTGAAGACCTTCTTGCCGTTCCTGCGCTCCCAAGTGGTTATAGTACGACCAGATCCTGGCCGCGTAGCCAAGAATGACCAATCCCGTAGTCATTGCCACCCCGAAGAAATGACACCGACGTTTCCAGTTCCATATCGCCAAGTAGACGAGTAGCAGGACAGAGAAACAGACCAAGCGAGCGATGTTCGCAGCGAGATTGATCCGGTAGATGTATAAGGTTGTGTAGACACTGCAGGTGCTAGCGGTGCAGTTGGTGAGCGTCGCTGGGTCGGCATAGCCCAGCGGCATGATGATGGTTTCAATGCCACTTCATCGAGCAGGCTGGCATGTTCTCTTGAGTTGGGGCTTGTCGCCAAAGACTCCATCAATACAGCTCTACGGTGACCACTACTGTCGAAGTTCTAGCTCGATCAGCCACCGCCGCGGAACCCGCATCCTCCGCTGCAACATGCTTGATGATGTGGGCATGCCAAAGCTAGATACCGCGGCCTCGACATTATACTTTGCTCACGCAGCAGACTAGTCGCAGGATGTGACCAAATCCGTCCAAGGTACACACACTGCTTGCTAGTCTTCGCCTCAACTTGGTCGTCTCAATTTGTGTCGTCCAGACTCCACCTCGTCAATTGAACTGAGGCATCATATCTGGTCCATGGAGCCACTTCTGAAGTGAGTCGACAATGTCGTCCAATTCCTCTGGCACTTTGTACCAGTGTCCTTCGTCATACTCCTTCCAGGTCACATTGGGCACCCCGATTGTCTTCAAGATTTCTGCCACTTGCTGCCCCTTCGCCACTTTGACTTTGCTGTCGTGAATTCCGTGTCCAAGAAAGACCGGCGTCGCAAGAAACAATGGCTGATGTTCATCTGGTAGGGCAGGCAAGTCCATGTTGTCTCTGATGAAGTTGCAGACCTGGACTGCGGTGGAGGCGTCTGACCTGGAACCGCTAGCGCCGAACGGGTCGTCGTCGTCATCGCTCGAATCTTCGGGGTTGAGAATAAGCCGAACATCTTTGGCGAAAGGAAGCCACCCGCTCATGCCTACGAAACCGCCAAGAGGTTTCCGACTCCCCTGATCGCCACTTCCACCTTCGTAGCTCAACAAGAGATGCAAGCTCGCGGCACATCCTTGACTCAATCCTCCGATGATCACGTTTTTGGAACCCACAAGCTTGACTTCGTCTTCCACCATTGCATCGAGAAACTGTGTGGACTCCCTAAGCCCTTCGAGTTGCCATTCTTCTTGCTCTCGGCTCATATTGTGGTGGTCCTGTTTATCAATCGGCACACCGTCGAACCATTGATTGATGACAGCACGATTGTACCATCGCGCACGGCGCTTCTTTGCCGTTGGAAAGATGAATTTCATGTGAGGAAAAGTCGTCTGGACCGTTGAGAATGAATGGCCGCCGCTGCCGACTCTCGATATTGGACCTTTGAGCAACTCTAGACCAAACTTCTCCCCGTCACTCCCACGACCGTGTAGCAGTATCATGGTCTGCTTGTGTTCGGCGCTTGCTGCAATAACGAACGGGTCTGGGTAGGACGACGTCCTGCTGCCGCTCTTCGCGGGCATCGTTTGATCTTGAAGCCCCTTGGATCAGTGGTTCAGGATTGCTTTGCAGATTGTAGTCTGTCGTACCTGAAGGAGTACATACAGGCAATGGGAAGAGAAAGTGATCGAGTGCAAAGGAGTGGCAGTTGAGGTTGATGAAAGTCGCTCGGACTCATTCTTCGAAATAGGCGCCTGCGAGACCCCACTTCGAATGATCAGTGACACTTGATTGGCCACATGCACATACTTGCTGGAGTCCGTTCCTGGAAATCAGAGAGCGCTACATGCAACACTGTGATGCAGCAACTGGCGTCCGGACTCCGCTTGGCGGTCGTGGCTTCAGAACGGGCGGCATGCTGCAGTGAGTAAACAAGCGAGGGAAACAGACGCATCTGGCGCTACACTCGCACGTATATGCCGATTCGGATCTGATTCTCGGATCAAGTCGAGGCGCATCGAAGCCTTGAGTGAAGCGCCTGATTGTTGTTTCTCCTTCCATAGCCTTTCACTTGGAATATCGGCATAAGTTGAACGATTCCTCTGGAAGCAAAGCGACTCCAGAACACTTAAGCTGCAAGACGGGCCGAAAGATATACTATGGGTGGCGGATGCATTGTCATTGGCGTGGAAAGGCCTGTGGACAGATAGAGCAATGGATCAATCGACGCCCACTTGAAGGAATGTATCGAGCTGTTGGGGGGTCACGTGTCAACAGTCGGATCCGTTGGTAAGTCTGGGGTCGATGGGCTTCGATGTTTCGAGTCGAGCGTTTCGACGTCTATTCTGGAGTGCTGTGCCATATTAAACGCCCTCAAGGCACTGCCTCGAAGATTGAGTCGGTCAAATCTGGTGATATATTAGTGGTATAACTCATGCTGTCAGAACAGTAGCAACTCACGTTACACCCCTTTCTTGTCTTTTGAGCCCATACTACCAGCCCACTTAAACTTTGTTGTATCGTTTTCAGCATTCATAACATGACTCTAGACCTCCATGTTGGATTCTGTGTTCGGAGACGTCCAAACGATACACGGCACTGGATTATCATTTTGGTAAAGCCCGGAGACCCAAAGTGCACCTGGTACCACGTCAAGGGAGGTCCCCAAGGAGATCCACCAGCAAATGCGTACGAGGTGTTCATCGAGGACGGCAAGCGATTGAACAGCCAAGGCATTGAACATCTTTCGGAAAAGATTGCAACCATCAGTGACGCAGACAGGGCCAAGGTCAAAGCCGCTGTGCAGTCGGTCGAACGGCAACGATGCCAGCTTTTCACCGTTGCGGTTCTGGCCAAACTTGAGAAGAAAGGGCTCGTCCCTATCGGCACCAGCGCATCTTTCGCCGCGAGAGTCGAGCCTGTGAGGTCCGCAGCTGCGACCACCGGCAGCGGATCGAAGTCTGGAAGCAGTAGTAGGATTGCTAGCAGCAGCAAATCCACTATCGGCACCAGCAGCGTCTCGAAAACGGTATCCAGTGGATCGACTGCAACATCTTCCTCGTCCAGGTCTCGCAGGTGGTGATATTCGGCATCGAATTAATGCTCTGGTTGACGAGAACATGTCCGGCAATGCAGGGATTCCGATATGGCAAAGTTTCTCGCGGGTCGAGTACGTTCATTTGAGGCACTGTTCTGTCCTCCTTGGCTGACCAACCTGAGAGGAAAGAACAGGTCGAATTGCACTTTCACGGGCATGAAGAATGTAGCGAAGTGGCTTCTCAACGCAGTTAATGTAAATGGAGTTCCGGGTTAGGGAAGAGGCGCAATGCACTTTATGCTGTTGCCGGCAAAGCTTACTCTGGACGAGTCAGATATCATAAACCTTCCATAACCTTCGTTACCAAATGATATCTCTGGTGTGAAGCATTACAGCGTGCTCAAGAGGATAAGGCTCCAGGATATCGTCCAGCACGCGATCTTTGATCCAATCGCTTGACCAGTTCGGGCGGTAATAAGCTTTGACGTATTCCCAGTAGGCAGGATAATATCCAGTCAACTCCCAATCCAAAATAGCGACGACTTTGTCGTCCTGCACAATAATGTTGCGAGGGGCAAAATCGGAGTGTGTAAGGACAATGTTGTGCGGCGGCATAGATTTGATGAAACCTACTACCATCTCGACGAACGCGTTCTGATCGGACGCTCTGAGCACATCTGCCAGAGCGTCATGGAACGCTGCTTCGGTATCAAATGGACCATACTCATCGTCTTGTTGGTGAAAGAATTGGTCCTCGCACTGAGTCCCGTCTACGGCCCCGATGAAGTCGCCCTTGATATTCCGCAGCTCTTCCATGTAGCCTTTCAATTGCGATATGATTGACTGTTTCCATTCGTTTGGTATATCTTCCCAGACGTCTTGGAGTACATCACCTTCTGCGTACTCCATCAAGATGCACCACTTTTGCGTGTCCTCGACCAGGTAACAATTGTAAATCTTCGGCACCGGTATTGCGGTCCTCTCGCGTACTAGATTCATCGCGGCTACCTCAGCTTTAGCACGAGTCTCATCGAGTCCTGACTTTGCGACCGTGTTGGCATCGATTCGATAGACATGAGGTGCTCGTTCCGGGGCTAATGGCTTTGCGAGTTCCCATTCTTGTGGACTTAGCACTCGCGTCCATTTCGGACTTTGGGTGAGTGCTGTGTTACGAAGCATTGAGCAGCGGATGCGTGACGAGGGCGAGCGTGTATAATGTAGCCAGATAAGTTGGGACTGCGTGTAGGTGGAACGTGAATAGCCTCAGAGCTCAGACCATCTCGCTCATTTCGCCAATCACAGCAAGCAGCGCGGACCATCGGGAGGTGGACAAATGTCCTAATCGGGTCTAGTTCAAAAAAAAATTGACAGTCTGTGCGCTGAGGCTAGAACGTGAGGCGCTAAATTAAGGTTTCGACACATGGCTTGCCGTCACTAGCGCCATGAAGATACGAGGAATTCGAGATAAAAGCCAAGACAAAGGTGCGATGGAGACGAATGGGAATCCTTATAGACGGACGGACGGACGATCTCTAGAGCCTACACTTTCTGCGACTATGCGTAGCCTGACATAGGCATCTCGGCCCTCTTACCACGTTCCATCTCCGCCCAATCTCTCGACCCTACGTCCTCAAGGAGCATCGCTGCTTCGATCCGGTCTTTGCTGATATAGTACGACTTCGGAAGTCCCGTTTCATCGCTGGCAGCACTGATTGCCGCCTCCGAATGTGCTCTTGCCAGGTTCTTCGCAACCATCACCGCCACTGCTTTCCCACTGAGCCACGTGTTGGGCATGCCGTGGCCTGTGAAACCCGCGGCAATGTACAGAGAGTCGTTGTCAGGAATTGGGCCAACCCATGGCTTGTCATCGCGAGAGAAGCCCATGATTCCGGTCCACATGTGTGTGGCGTTCATTTCTTTCCAGCTCGTGGTATCTGTGGGTGTGGCGGTCGCAGTGGTGTTACTGCACGGTTGGCAGAACCGCTGGCAGTTGGTGCAAGGTTTCCAGCCAGCTGTGCGCAAGCATTTTATCTGCAGAAGTCAGCATGTTAATACCACTAGAATCGGTTCCACCTACACTGCGCGTCTTGCAGTAGTTGCATGCAACGTCAAGAACGGCCCTCTGGCCACCTTCTGGCAGGTTCAAAGCTTCCACAAGTCGCCCTCGAAGGTAATGCGCCGTCTTATCATCGATAACGCTGTCATCAGTGACGCCGATCGAGCGCCCATGCTGTCGACCGCCTCCAAACATCAAGTGGCCGCCTCGCTCATTCGGACGTTGAATCAGGTAATCATCAACGCCATCGCCCATGAAGCCAAGGGACGTCTTCAAACGATCTTCGCCAGCAACAGAAGGGAATGGGATCAAAGCAGACATCTGTCCTCGGCAAGGCACGATCAGGTCGGCGAACTCGTGTAGCAGATGCGAGGTATAAGCGTTAGTGGCCAAGACGACTTTCTTAGCCTTGATGTTTCCTCGCTCGGTCTTGACAATGACGTGGTCAGAGCTGTCACTCTTCGAGATTTTATCAACAGGCGTTAGAGTCTGAAGGTTGAAGGTGCCTCTGAGCTTGGTCGAGGTGATAAGATCTTCCAAGATTCTGGACACGAATTTGTATGGCCACATTCTGGCTGCAATGTCAGTCACGACGGCGCCCAAGGCTGAGGGTATCCGAAGACTGTTCAGTTCGTCTCTGTTGTTGACAAGGCGCATCATAGAGGCCAGCTCTGGGGCGGTGTCTTTCATGATTGAAAGTGCCAGTTCTGTATCGTTGAAATGTCCTCGCGAGTAAATCGCACGCACACCAGGCTGGGCAACGAACTCGCAGTCGATGTTTTTCTCCTTGATGAGATCTTGCAGAGTGTGGAAGTTCCTCAGCTCAAAGTGACCAATGCTGGGATCATGTGGATGTTCGAAGAGGATTGGCTGGCAATGTCCTCCATTCTGCGGCGTATCAGCATAGTCGAGGCATATCATCGGTGTATCGGCTTACACGTCCTGTTGCTCCCCAGCATGCTTCCCTTGCTTCAAGCATGACCACATCTAGATTCTCCTTGCCCTCCGTAAGAAGATGATGGGCCACGCTGGCACCAGTCATACCACTGCCGATAACCACTACATCGGCCGTCTCCGGAAGGTTTCGAGTCGACCGATGTGCCAGTAGCAAAGCCGATGGCTCCGAATGCCAAAAACTGGCAGTAGACTTTGCATTTGGTAAATCACATGGCTCCCTGTTTCGAGGCAGCTCAGGCCTTTCGCGGGGCAAATCCATATCAGCGACTTGGGCAGGCGTCAGTCAGGCCTGTTTTCTCCTTTTCCAAGGGTCGGTAGTCGAGGGATCAGATGGTTTGTTGGAGGTTTGACGTGATGTTTGAGTAGATAAAGAACCAAATTATAGTAGGAACAGGTTTGGAGGGGCGATTACGAGGAGGATTCATGTTGCACAAAGCAAAACCAGGTGGAGAGCAGCTACCAGGTAGCTTCCTCATAGGAGCAGTGCCTAGCCAAATCGACACCGACGGTCATGACCGAATTGATGCGCAAGGGTACAGATCATTCTGGACATAGTTGGAGGTCGAAAAGGCCGTCCTGTTGAAGTTCGGGGACATTGGTATTCTGGCGTCGATATTGTCCATCTCGTGAAGAGAGGCCAATCTCCCAGCCCCCACTCGGCGGACAACGGCGAATTTAAAGCCGAGCAAACCGACTTCACTTCAAATGCCCAGCACAGGCCGCCTGTTCGTCTACTCGCACGTGGCCTGAAACATCGACACCCCCAACACACACCATGGCGGCTCTGGCCTTGTTGAAGCCGCTCCAGGACTTCCTGGGCGGCGCGAAGTCTGATGCACCTGCTGCTGCAGCGCCCTCCGACGGTATGGATAGCCTCTGAAATGCGCAATGCGATCGAGACACCTGACACTTTCAAGACTTCGCCGACTTCGCGACTGCAGCATCGCCTCAGCCTCCGAGCCACGCTGCCTCATCTGCCTTCCCAGGCGCCTCGACAACCGCCAAAGCAGCTGCGGGAGGCCTTTTCAGCGCAGGGACAGGCATTGCTGGCCGACCTTACACGAAATGGTACCGAGTCTGGGAGCGCGTGACCATCGCCGACTTCTACCAGGAGCTGGTCATCATCCCGATCATTGTCGTCATCATTATCGTCAACATCATTGGCGCGAGTCTCAACAAGAAGCGCGCAAGGCAATGGGCGCAGACGAATCTGCCATTGCTCGAGTCCGAGTTCGCAAGAGTTGGTTACAACAACTACACGAAAGAGGCGATCGCCAAGGATCCTGAGAAGATGTACAAGCAGAAGAGCAAGAACGAATACACGACATATGCCACTGGACGACAGAACGTGGCCTTCGTCGACGTCAAGCTCACGCTGTACAAGCGCTACAATCCTTTGATACTGTTTGGAGAGGCTGCGCTTTCCTTTTTCATGGACAGCATAGCACCTCCGGTTGAGAAGCTCGAGGCGACAGCGTATTGTTTCGATGGCAAGGAGAAAAGCTTGGTGCCTGCCAAGACTCAAGCTGTCGCATCTCCTGCACCCGCAAGCAAAGACAGCACGTTCGATGGGTTCGTCTGGGCAGTCGTGCACAAGGATAAGATGAAGCAGCTGCGTGATGATCGCTACGATCTGAGCTTGACATCGACCAAAGATCACCCAAAGCTTCCTCAGTGGGCGACCGTCATGTCTGAGAGTGCTGAAATCACGGAGGCCATGCTCACACCTGAGCTGCTCAAGGCTCTCAACGAGGCTGGCGAGGATCTGGAGGCACTGGTGATCTCTGATCAGCCAATCGATGCCCCGAAGAAGTAGGTTCTCAAAAATATCATCTCTGTCGAAGCGCGAAGCTAACAATATCCAGGCTCAACGACATCGTCTCCAAGAAGCGTGTTTATCTTTCAACACGTCTCAACAACTCGTCGAACAGCTCAGCGCTCTTCACATACTTCCTGCGCCTCCCAGATCATCTTGTCAACAGCGCACATTTCCGATCGGAGGCGTTGCGCAAGATCAAGGCCACTCGCGAGGAGGAGATGCGCAAGCTGCGCAAGATCGACGAGGATGAGAAGGCTGAGGAAAGGAGAACGCAATCCGAGAAGCTCAAGAAGGAGGAGCGCGACCGCAAGCTGAGCAAGATGTCCGCGGACGAGCAGAAAAAATTCTTGGAAAAGGAGAAGGAGAAGTCCCAGCGGAAGGGAATGAAAAAGCAGACGATGAGGGGATGAGTTGGCGACGAGTGCATTTGGAGCTCCGCCGTCTTATCTAGTAAGTGTACATGCTTGAATACAGTGATCCGAATACAGCTGCAACAGGAAAGTTCTATCACATGAATCGCCGCGACAAGCTTTACGCTAGTCTCGCTAGCATCAATCGCAGCTGCCTCCAAACGAATGCACCTGCGGGCATGCACGACTTGCAACTTCCAGTCATTCCCAAGCGACGCACTACTTCCCATTCGCTTCAACCACCCCTCCCACGCAACGACCTTCATCTTGCATCCAGAGCTCATTGCATGATCAAACCCACACCACTGCAGCGCACAGCAACGCAGTCAATCCGGCCGCAAACATGGCCGTCTCCAGACCCATCACGAACTTGGCTCTCCCACAAGAAGTGAAAGACAAAATCTGGTCCTACTTCCTTGATGGAGAAGTAGTCCGAGAACCTCACCCATACAAATACCAGCCAGCGGGAGACTTCTACACGAAGGACATGCGGAACCGCGACTGGCCTCGGCCTGAGCGAGGCTGTCTGCAGCTCCTCGAGGGCACTAACTCTACATATGACTTCCAGATGGGGCTACTGCGCGTCAACAAGGCCATCCGTGGTGACGCTTTGAACTTCCTGGCTCAACGTAACCCCTTCGTCTTGGTGCGCTACAACTGTCCGGCTTTACGAGCTTACCTCGACCAGCTGCACGTCCCTGTTGTCGCACACGGTGGATCGCGACATTCATCGTATCATAATTTCGAAGTTGACATCGACTGGCCGTGTCCGTTCTTACAAGCAGCCTCAGTCCACTCAGCTCCCAACCCGCCGGGAGTGCTACTCATGCTGGAAAAGGACATGCCTGACTTCTGGCTGGTCTTGCGGCTTTTGTGTCAAAAAGTCAAGCCATCTGCCATTGTCTATCACGCTACACCAGGAAGAATGTCTTCGATATACAACTTGCATCACGACGAGCTTGACCACTGGGTCGGCATTCCAGCCGTCAAAATCTCTGGACGCAGTATCGAGCACCGCAGACTGACGCAAGAGGTATGCCACCGCTTCCTGGACCCGATCCAATCTGTGGTCGGCTTTGGCTACAACATACACTTCCACGGACTCGGCGTGGAAGCTCCTCGCCTCCTCCGATTACGGCAGGTCATCGCGCCAAGCATCATTTGCTCGACTGCACGCGAGTCTTTCGACCTCGATACGTTACTTCAACTCAAGGAGCGAGCCGACGTTCTCGCCGTTGCCGGAAATTACGAGGCAGCTGAGGCAATGTTTGGCTGCATTGAGACTCCATGTCATTCCGCTTCGCTGCACGCCGATTCTGAACATAAAGAGTCGCTTGACCATCTGCGGTAAGTCTTATTTCGCCCTGAGCGCCAAGTATCCTGACATGTTCCAGGGCAAGCGTCTTACTTTCCATGGCATGGTTGTGTTGTAGACGCGGCGCTACTGGATTGGCATCGAGACTCAGTGCAAGTGGCTGCTCACGTGTGCCCCGGAATTCCTCTAACGCTGCCTTGGGTACCTTTCACCATATGGACCATGTCATTTCTGCAGTGACCCTGCCGTACGATCTGCCATTCTGGATGGTCACTCCAGAAATGATCTTGGCAGACATGGAGGCACTCCCACGCAACGAACGCATCACGAATGACATTCTCTGGCTGAGGCGGATGCTGCTGCAGGCTCCAATCGTATGCTGCCGTTACAAACGTCTGAGATGTGCCAGAGATTTGCTGACCTCATGGCGCAGTCTCAAAGCATAATTCATCTCGAGGATACGAGCGTGTGCAAGTTCCCCTTTCCGGTCTTCGACTCTGGCTCCAGGCCATCTTTGCAGAACATCGTTGGCTGGCAGGACATGAAGCAGCTGCGAGAGCTCTCGAATCGCCAAAAGGACGCTGCTCGTGCGTTGCAGAAAGAACATGGTTTGCCCATCAGCGACCTTTGATCGGCGAGATGGTGGACGACGATGAGCGCTCCGCGGGTAAGAAAGCTGCAGTATCTCTTGGGCATGTCGTACGCATCAGTCCATGACGTTGGAGCATGAAGGAACCGAAGCGCATTCTACCTACCCCGTAATAATAAGCGCCCGAAGGAACAGATGTCTCAGTGTATGCAACGTAGCTAAAAATCCCACCAATCTGCATCATCACGTACACCTATCGTTGTGGCTGGTGATGTGCAGTTCTTCTTTGTTGCTGTCCTTATCGTCGCACGGAGGCTGACGAACGCGAGTCCCTTCGTTCCACCACCTCCTCCCCTCCTGCTCCTGCTCCTGCTGCTGCTGCAGGGTCATCAAAGGGTCCTTGATCGGACGGCAAGGAAGCTGCTAGATCTCGTCCATCAGCTAGCCGTGCCCGGGAGACCCTTTGCGTAAACATCCATCGGAAAGCCGGCGAGAAGGACATACAAGGCAATCAGGGTCTCATCGAGGCGTGGTGGTTCAACGTGGCACTACAGTCTCTGGCATAAACGTTAGCAACCCCTGCTAGCGTCTTGCAAACAAATCCTGTCTGTGCGATTGAGCACTGACAGCGTGTGCGTGTCGACCTTTCACCGTTAGGCTAGCAGGGGTTGCTAACGTTTGTGCTGGGGACTGTACAACCACCTACATCTTGTGAGACCTCAGCTTAGAACGAGGGAGGCGAGGGTGGGAGAGTAGTGATAAATAAATTTTTGGGGTTTCAAATTTCCCGTCAGAAGTACAGGACCGATCTCTGTGACCGACAGAAAAAAAAAAAGACGCCTCCCTCCAGCCTCCTTCTGTCTGTCATGCACTACATAGCCAAGAAAATCCCAATCCCAATCCCAATCCCAATCCCAATCCCAATCCCAAAGGCGACACTCGACGCTGCGAGTTTTTCCTTCCTTCCAACACCAACGCTCGAATTACACAGACATACATCGCTGAAAAGCCCAAACCCCCTTTCAAAAACAAACAATACGCCATCCCCATTCCCTGATGGAATACATAGTTACGCCGGCCCCTGAAACATCCTCGCGTCCAACTCCATGCTCGGCCGCGCGCTCGCCGGCCTCCTCACGGGCTCGGTCGACGCCGCGGCGTCCTTCATGCTCAGCCGCGCGAACCCCGCCGCCATGGGCGCGTACGAGGAATCCACGAGGCGGATCTCGGGGGTTGAGGAGCGGGGGGTTCGTGGGCCTGTGGAGTCGGTGGAGGGGACGAGGGGCCTTGATAAGGGGCTTGAGGGGGAGTCGGAAGGCCGCCGCGAGGAGGTTGTGGAGCTGGTGCGCGAGCTGGAGCGGATGGGGTGCCGGTAGAGGGCGGAGGGGAAGAGGTGCCCGCCGTCGGAGTCGGAGGAGAAGGCGCGCGTGATGGCTTCGCTGGCGTCTGAGGGGCGACCTGTGCGGATTGGGAGGGTCATGGTGGGTGCTTGCAGATTCCCTCCTTGCGTGGGTGGTGGCGGAGCGCAGTCTTTTGACGGCCGCGGGGAGAGCGAGTAGCGGTGGTAGAGCTTCTGCTGTGCTTGAAGGCAGGGCAGACAGGAGACGCAGTTTTCGTAGACCGGTTTGCCGCAGGTGCAGAGGGCGAAGCGGAGTTCTTTGGAAGGCATTACTGGGTGGAGAGTCTAGAACGAACGGCGACGTGGTGTCCTGGAGGGTAGATCTGGCGATGGGCTTCTCACGGCGAGATATAGTTGTCGTAGGGGAGGATCTTGTGCTTGTGTTGCATTCGACGGAGTTCGGTCAAGGCTGCCGATGCGTGGCCAAGGGGTGTGGTAGTATTGGGCTCTCACGCAGTGCTCGAGGTGGTGGTGGTGGTACACTGCTGAGCTAGCTGTACGGCTGATATGTGCGGGCGTACCCAAGGCGTGCAGGAGAGTTTCTTTGCCCGACGTGAAGTCCTGCCCGATATGGAACTCGTCCAAGTGGTGTTCGACTCGTTGGTAAATGCCGATCGACTTTCCTCACGACTCAAGCTGAATGGGTCGTTAGTTTTGGGCAGTCTTGTCCAAGTCAAGCAAGACAGGACGAATGCTGTCTTCGGAATAAGTCTGAAGAAGAAAGCAGCCCAACACCAAGCCACCATGTAGGGACCTACCGCACCTATATCGTCAAGGGCAACACGGCGTCCCGCGGAGCAGCGCATCGACTGCCCGTACCACACATGTCGACCGCGTGCGTTCGAGCTATAAACGAGTACGTATGCTCGCCTCGCTGCGAGTCTGCTGGATCCATCACAAGCGTCCAGCCCCGGAGGCCCTCGCATGTGCAAGAAACGCAGCCCGATGCACTGCACTTGCAATGAGCGCACGCAGCGTCAGGGTCGCCGCCCACCATGGCGCAAAGTCTCGCTGCTGGTGGTCTGCACATTTGCCTTCGTCTAGAATTGACTATTTGGCAGGTTTACGCTCAAGGTTGGGGTTGCTCGGATGACGCCAACGCCAAAGCAGCCACGTGTGTCTCGTAGTGGGCCGTCAAACTGGGAGGCCACCGATCCCGTGAAGTCGGAGTTGGAGATGGATTGGCTGGACCGACATGTGGTAATCGATCCTCGGCGCCTGTGTTGCGAGATGCACTGATCGAGCGATGCACAGGCAACTCGCGCACAGTCGCACCAGCAACGTCAATGTGCGTGCTGCTTTCTCATTGACTGTCCAGTCTCCTGCTGCTGCTGCACACCTCTCCTGAGAGAAAAAAAAAGTGCCGGCAGAGGCGGATTCAGCCATGCAGCGTTGACTTCGCAAGCTCGACGCCTGTGGCGTCCAGGCCCTGGACAGCCAGAGACGTCATGGTGTCGCCGTGGATCGAGAATTTGCCTGTCGAGGCTAGATTGCAGAACTCACTCCTGGCGGAACCGTGACACGGCGTATCGGCGACGAGTCTCCATTTGGGCAGTGCCTGCTCAATCCAATGTGTCCGGTCACGGCCTAAGTCACGCCTGCAGCGAGTTTATTGCAGCCAAACTCGCGTCTAAGACATCTGTTGGTAGCCAAACGGCAGCATCGGTCGGTTCCCGGCAATCGCGGTTGCTCGCTGACGGTTAGAACACTGGGGAGTGCAGTGATGATAGGTTGAAGAAGATTCCAATGTCATAAGAAAAGTTGCCGCGTGTGGTATTCTTTAGTTTACAAAAAGACGGTCAAATTCCGCGCCGATTCCTTGAAAATCCCCGTTACCCGCATTCATCCATTTACCGCATCACGCCGGAACAATCGCGATCCATCTGCTTTCACTTCTGCACCTGCACTGCTTCCTCATACGCCGGGGCATCTTCGTAGACTGGAGGTGGCTCGATAGCCTCCTCACCCAGCATGACTTCCTTCTCAGTATCGGCCTTGTCAGCAGACGACTCATCGAGAGCAACACTGGCATATCCACGACGACCACCCCGGTAGAACTTGATCCAGAGGAAGCCGATGAGTCGTCCCACCATGAGTCCAAGGAGACTGACGGTCATTCCCACGGCGATACCCGCCATGGTGGGAATAAGAACAGCAGCGAGACCGCGAGTGAAGGCATGCATGAAGTGATGTCTGTGGTGACCGTGGTGGCCATATGGCCTCATGTGGTGAGGACGTCCGTGATGATGTGGTCTGCCGTTGGGGCGAGGGAAGTGGGGTGGTCTAATATGGCCTGGAAGCTTGCCCATGTGTGGTCGGCCTCCCTTGCGGCCGTGGCAACCACCCTTCTTCATTCCCATAATCTTGTCCTCGACAATGTTGCGGAACTTGCAAAGGGGAGCAGGAAGGTTCTTGCACTCCTTGTGCTTACCGAAGTCGGCTGGGGGTGGGCCTGGAGGACCATCCTTGGATGGTGGGAAGGGGAAAAGGAAGTCTTCGGGCATGTCCTCTGGTGGGGGCCCGAAGAAGTCATCAGGTCTTGGTGAGGGTGGTGCCGCAGACTCGGCGTGTACGATTAGAAGCTCGCCCTTGTGGGTCTTCAAAAGTTGGATTGTGACTTCGTCAAGCGAGACAGGCTGGTTCTCCAGTTCAAAGATAGTGTGCCTAATAGGGATAAGAGTATCTCCTTCGGGCGAGACAACGTTCTCCTCCATGATAGACACGCCGTGTCCCGTCACCTGAAGAGGTGTGGTCTTGGCATTGCCAGACTCGATGTCTTCCCATGATGCTGACGATGGAATCTGGTTGACGTAAATCTTGGGGGAATGGAACATGTCCTGAAGACCAAGTGGATAGACAGGCTCGCCATTGACCTTAAGGTGCTGGCCATCCTCCGAGACGGTGATGTTGACCAAGACGTTGTTGGCGCCGCCTTGGATCCACACGAAGCCGTCGTCCTCCGCGTCCACGTCTTCAATCTTCTCTTGCTTGCCGGAGAACGCGCACTCGGAGCATGGGAGTTGGAGAGCGACGCTCTTGGTGTTGACAGGCGGGACGTCGATCGCAAGTCCGCCAGCCTCAGTCGCCGGGGTGTTTGGAGGTAAAAGGAAGGCGCTGGTGCTCAGCACACAGGCGAGAGTCGTGCCGACCGCGCGGCGTAGCATGTTGATGTTGTCAAACCGATCGAGGATGTCGAGTAACCGGTGGTGGCAGTGTGATGGTGAAGAGAAAAGGCGTCGTCAGAGTTGTCAGAGCAGCCTTGGGGTGGGTGTCGTAAGCCCGCGACGTCCCCTTGTGCCTCTGCGCCTCGACGACAAAGACCCTCGTCGTCTCTCGGCCAATCACATCACAGCGCCAATCTCGATATAGCGCGACACCTCTCACTTGAGACACCGCAGCCTTCTCCTTCACATGCGTCGACGACATACAATCTCATCCAGTCACGTGTAGATTATACCTTACTTCCTTTTCGACAGCACTGCGATATGTTCTTGAATTCTTGCGATGCACTGCAAGGCTCGTCGTGGCAGAAGGGTCCAGCTCATCCTCAGGAACGCGCGCGTCTCAATCCATGTCTTCCACCTCTCCGGCCTTCCGCGCAATACTTGACAGGGACGAAAAGGGACTGCAATACTGTAACAATCAGATGGGCTATCCTGGCGCTGAATCTCCCAGGCCTCGTTACAGTCGGTCACCTCAGGAGCGAAAGACATCATCCAACGCTCAACTTCATGTTGTCCCCCGCTCCTGCTCCGAAGATCATGCTGCTAGTCGCGTCTGCTGTGCACTGGTCTGGCGATGCGACACGGAGAGACTTTTGACTCGGGACCTCAAGACCAGCCTACGCAAAGAAGCGCATAGCTGGTGAGACACCAAAGTAAAGGCCCTGAACGCTCACGTGAGATAGCGATTAAACAGCAACTTGACCAGAGTGCGACCACGTCCTCCACGCGTCGAAACGTGGGCTTCGCGTGCCACAAAACCCCCGCAAGAGCACAGAAGATGGCAGATCTACTATCCTCTATAGAAGTGCGACCTTCCAGATGCGAACATCAGCAATCCATGTCCCTTGGCGGCGTGGACTAATCCCAAGGATCTTATTCGACAATCCCTACATGGCCAAGATATTGCCCAGAGCCGGCATGCAGACAAGCACTAGAAGCGAAGACAACATGCGATGAGCATGCTCAGGAACACCTCCATCATTTGCTGCAAGGAAGGCCTTCTTGTCGTTGCACAGCCGGTCCACCTTGGCGCTGTACAACAACGTCAACGATTTGCACATCGGTAGTGTTATAAACCAGCCCAGACGCCCTCAAAGGTAGGTGCTACGCTCTTTGTTTACTGTAAACCGGTCAAGCTTTCACAATATGTTGGGCAGGGCTGCTTTCTTGACGTTGCTTGTTGGCGCTTTCGCGGACTGGACTGGCAACATTAACTATGGCAGTCCATCTCACAACCACAATCTGGGAATTTCGATACCCAAGGTTAGGAAGAGGCAGGCCGGAGCTTCGTATATGGACCCACGAAGCCTGAACTTCACGCATGGCGTAGCTTCTGGAGACCCATTTGCTGATAGTGTTATTCTCTGGGTGAGCAGGACTTTCATGATGAAGCAAGTCTACGCTGACTCCTGGACAGACTCGTGCGAGCCCTATGACGGATAACGACGATAGCAATGTGACTGTCTCAGGAACCGCCGACTTATACAACCACGATACGCTCCAATATGTAGAAGCTAGCTCCAACCCCATTTGCGTAGAATGGGCCATTTCAACAGAGAAGAACCTTCGCAGGCCAGCCGATCGCGGTCGAGCGTACACGTCTTCTGACATCGACTACACCATCAAGGTCGAGGCGAAGAGGTTGAGACCCTTCACTTGGTATTACTACCAGTTCACGCTTTGCAACAGCGACAAGAAGAGTCCCATAGGTCGTACAAAGACGGCACCTCGCCCTGGACAAGACGTTGGCGACGTTGGAGTTGCAGTGTTCAGTTGCTCGAACTTCCCATCTGGGTACTTTAATGCATATGGCAATTCGGCCAGGAAGGACAACGTTGACTATGTCGTTCATGTAAGCTTTGCAAGACTTCGATGTTACGCCTCCATTGACTCTTTGACAGCTCGGTGATTACATCTACGAGTATGCTACTAGCTCGCCGAACTATGGCCGTGCTGTTCGTCCTGCCCGCGAGATCTTCACTCTTTACGACTATCGAGCTCGTCTTGGAACTTATCGTACCGATGAGGATCTCTTGCTCTCGCATAGACAGTTCCCCTGGATCCCGACTTGGGTATTAAATTGAGATTTTGGAGCATTGGATATATTTGCTGACCCATATCTGATAGGATGACCATGAGGTCTCCAACAACGGCTACCGCGATGGAGCTTCTGGTCTCAACAACACCGAAGAATCTTTCGAGGAGAACGGCAGAGTCAGTGTTGATCAGAGGAAGATGAACGCTGTTCGAGCCTACTTCGAGTGGATGCCTATTCGTCAGGTAAGTCTAGTAGAGATCACGAGGTACCCTGTGTCGCCCTTTTACATGTACTGACTTCCACCTCTGATCGACATGGACAACAACCTACGTATCTGGCGAAGCTTCAGCATCGGTAACCTATTCGATCTGATCATTCTCGACACTCGCAACTACGACCGAAGTATTACTGATCTGTCCTGGAACACAGAGTGTACGTCTCTTGCGAGAATGATTCCAACCCATACTAATAACTTGCAGACATCCCCGAAATCATGAATGATGCGGGTCGTACAATGATGGGCAGCATCCAGGAGAACTGGTTCTACAACACCCTGAAGCGCAGCCGCGCAACATGGCGAGTCATCGGCTCCCAAGTCGTCTTCAGCACCATCAACTCAACCTCATGGTTCGGAGACGCCTACAACTACGACGCTTGGGACGGTTACATGGCCAACAAGAACCGCACGCTCAAGACGCTGTACGACAACAACATTGGCAACAACATCGTTCTGGCCGGCGACACGCACGCCAACTGGGTCTCCGATCTCGTATGGCTGGAAGAAAAGCCATACGACTCCGACTCTGGAAGTGGAGCACTGGGTGTCGAATTCGCCGGCACCGCCGTATCTTCTACCTCCTCCTTCGGCGCCAGCTCCAGCATCAACCAGTGCAACAACCAATCCCGCCTCCTCATCGCCGACAACCCCGAGCTGCAGTGGCAGGAAGGCTACTACCGTGGGTACTTCGAGATGCAGATCTCCCCTCGCAGCGTGCGGACTTCGTACTTTGGTACACCCAATCTGCAGAACAGGAACGGCTATGAAGTCCCTCTGGCGAATTTCACGGTTGAGAACAGGGCCAACAGTCTTTCAAGACCGGTTGCTGGTGGTGCGGTGGAGAATGGGGCTTTGCAGAATGATGGCACGGTGAGGGTGTCGAACCTTACGCTCGATACTAACACCGGGCGATGGTTCGTGCATAACTTCACAAGGGTGTCGATTCCGAGTCAGTAGGTGAGACGGGTTAGAGGAAATGATTTTACGAATGTCTATACACAAATTTCAACGACGCGGCTTCACTACGCAGACAATGAATGGCAGGGAGCCCCTTGCAGACTCCGAAATATCGGCCACATCGGCTTTGTCCCTTTCTCAGTACAATAGTAGAAACGGAGACATGCGAGGAAGAGTAACAGTAGAAGTCTGCATTTACGCCGAGCTACGCCAGGCTTCGTGCATCCAGACCCGCCTGCATCCACATCGGAGGCCACCGACGGCTGTATTCTCGACCACAGGAAAAGATAAGCTGACCATGAGCATCACATATATACCCATCTCCGTCTCCACGTATACTTACTTATCACCAACGCTCAAGTATCCCTAAGCAACGACAGACCAGCCCACATCAAGATGGCCATCCAAAGCAAAATCACCATCCACAAAATCGCCCCACCCACGAAGACCTCCACCATCGACTTCGGCGCCGAAATCCGCCACGCAGACCTCCAAAACCTCACCCCGTCCGACTTCCAAGTCATCCGCCGCGCCCTGTACGAAAACCAAGTCATAATCTTCAAAAACCAACAACACCTCCCGCCCTCAGCGCAATACGAACTCACCCGCCTCTTCGACCCCACCGTGCAAGCCTACGGCCACGGCAAAACCCTCGACGCGAAGAAGAGCATCCTCCACCCGGACCTGAAGACGATCCCGCATCAGCCGCAGGTGCAGGTGATCGGGAACGGCCCCGTGGCGGAGTTTGAGGGGTTGAGGGATATCACGCTCAAGCATCCGCATCATCGGACTTTCCATAGGGATGTTATCTCGGAGGGAGATGATCGTGAGAATACGCGGTTCTATCGCTGGCATATTGATGCTGCGCTGTATGATCTCAATCCGCCCCGTGTGACGTCCCTTTTGGCAGTAAGGGTTCCGAAGACGGAGTATCAGAACCTGCGGTATGATGATGGTTCGGAGGAGGAGTTGAGGGTGCCGAGGGGGAGTACGGTTTTCGTGTCCTCGTATAGGATGTTCGAGCTTTTGTCGGAAGAGGATCGGGAGTTTGCGCGTACGACTAGGGTGCAGTACGCGCCGCATCCGTATGTTTGGATGAGCCTGGCGAAATCCAAGACGGATGGGTTGGGGCTTGTGTCTGAAGGGAAGGAGTTGGCTTATGAGGAATTGCCACCCATCGAGGAGGAGAAAATCAAGATTCTGCCCATGTGTTGGCGGAACCCGGTCACAGGCAAGCTCGCATTGCAGGTGCATCCATCTGCGGTAGAGAAATTACACCTCAAAGACGGGACCGTTATCGATGACCTCGAGGAAGTCAGAAGGATCGTGCATCGACTTCAGAGGCCTGGGATCGCGCCTGAGCTCGTCTACGCGGTGGATTGGGAAGAAGGCGACCTGGCTCTGTTCAACAACCACGGCGTGCTGCACTCCGTGACCGGGTCTTTCAAGCCGGAGGAAGTCAGGATTTTCAGGCAGTGTAATCTGGCTGCGAGTGAGGGGCCTTTGGGGCTGGAGGAGGAGGAGGTTGTTTGAAGGAAGGACTCTTGTGTGTTGGAAAGAGGTGCTGTCTGGGTGTTTGATTTTTTGCAAGGCGCTGGATGGAATACCCCTACTTACGGATGGATCTGATGGGACAGATCTACCTGCTTGAGCAAGGCGCTGTTTTTGATGATACCCCACAATAGGTCTACCAGATCTACCTGCAGTTTGATGGTTTTAGATTTAGTCCTTGGATTCAGTATTCATCTCGAGTTTCTCATTTGCTGAACCATTGATAGTCGGCTATTGGACTATTACTCGAAGCTCGTGACTGTGTACCAGATCTCTAGGCCTATGTCCAGGATCTGAGCTCAGTGCGCTGTCTCGTTAAATCATTGTGACGTCCAAGTAGCCGACGTGCAGCGACTTCATTGTCGGTCTGATGTCGCTGCCAAGTCGAGATGATGAAATTGTTCGGGTTGACAACATCACATGCTGTTGAGGGAGGTCCACAAGATACATCATCGACAGGGGCGGCACGTGGTCGAGGCCAGGGAGTCAACTCAGTCCAGCTACGATCAAACAGGACTATACTGCCACCGCTGTTGATGCCTCTGTCGATGGTGTTGAAATGTCTTGTGGGATCAAGAAGCAGAAGGAATGAAAGGATGTCGTTGCTACCGATTGATTACTGCCGACCCAATCAAAACATTCGGCGGGATCAAGCAAAATCCTGCCCGATTTCGCGCGATCGCCGTCGTTACGGACTTCGGCGAGTTCATTCGTTTTTCCCATCCTTGTCCTTGAATTGATTGAAATTGAACAGACATAAGTAGTATGCCAAGTCAAGGAGCAGAGCCAATATGGCATAAGCGGTAGGAAGAGATACGATGCTGACTGAAGACTTGCCGCAACTATTCCACGGCTGACTCAATGCTGCTCCACCGGGCCATGCAGCCCTGCTTTGCGTCGCGGTAGGGAGCAGTGTTGACTGATGTCATGCAGAGAAAATCGAGACAGCTCCAGTCCAGTGCATGCCCTCATCTCCGTAGCTCAGGCGAGTGCAGGCCTCTGGTCTCGCGCTGCCCCGCGACGAGCATCACTTGCGAGCATTGCTTCCCATTCACTGGTCGTCCTTCCAATCGTCCAACTCTCTCCCACCAATTCGTTCTGCTCCCCAATCAATTCCTTGCTGCCATCTCCCTCGTCCACTTGCCGCCGCGAAGTCTGGGACGCCAGGGTGCGGCTGATCCAGCTGGCTGACCTTCACTGCCGACGCGATTGCTGCAGAAAAGAAGAAACGCCCGCCGCTGCCAGCAGCGCCCGAGTCCGATGCCCTGCGCGTAGAGCACCACCGCCCCCGCGACACCGCAGCGCCCCGAGCCCCCACGCCCACCATTGAGTCTCCTCGCAAGCAGCCCACTTACCGGGTCTCCAAGACTGCCCGCCCGCCGCCGCCCACCATGGCCCCGGCCGTCGTGCAGAACATCGCCTCGCGCTTCCACCGCATGAGCCAGAGCGCCGGAGACAAGGACTACAGCGCGCGCGAGGAGGAGAAGCAGAAGCTGGCCGACTGGGAGGCCAACAAGCAGCCCCTGGAGCCCGAGGAGATCCACGTCGATCCCCAGAAAAAGCCGGTCGGACACTCGAGCAAAGTCTTGCGCAAGGAGGACTTCGAGTTGATCAAGACCCTTGGCACGGGCACTTTTGCGCGAGTGTGGCTGACCAAGTTGGCCAATCGAAGGAACAGGGACAACGATAAGAAGGTGTTTGCGCTGAAGATTCTGCGAAAAGTGGACGTGATCCGCCTGAAGCAAGTCGAGCATGTCCGCAACGAGCGCAATGTCCTGGCCGCGGTCGCTGGGCACCCTTTCATAACCACCATGGTCGCCAGTTTTCAGGACACCGAGACTTTGTACATGCTGCTCGATTACTGCCCCGGCGGCGAAGTTTTCTCTTACCTACGACGAGCGCGACGATTCAACGAGCCCACTTCACAATTCTACGCCGCCGAGATTGTTCTGATATTAGAGTTCTTGCACGAGCAGGAGGGCGTCGCATATCGTGACTTGAAGCCGGAAAATATACTTATTGATGCCGAGGGGCATCTCAAGCTGGTGGACTTTGGCTTCGCGAAGAAGATAGATAATAGTGGGTGGAAAGCAACTTCTGAGGTGGAGGAGAGGACTGACAATTGAACAGGAGAAACGTACACGCTTTGTGGCACGCCCGAGTACCTCGCACCCGAAGTCATTCGAAACACCGGACATGGCACAGCAGTGGACTGGTGGGCTTTTGGGATCCTGATCTATGAGTTCCTGGTTGGCCAACCGCCCTTTTGGGATCAAAACCCCATGAAGATTTACGAGCAGATTGTTGAAGGCAAAGTGCGATACCCCAGCGCCATGTCAAAAGATGCAAGAGATATCATTGGCGGGCTATGTACAGTCGACGTGACGAAGCGACTGGGCAATGTCAAAGGAGGCGCGTCGACCGTGAAGAAGCACCCGTGGTTCAAGAACATCAACTGGGACGAGCTATACCACCGGAAGATGCAAGGGCCAATAGTACCGCATTTGAAGGCACCCGATGATACGAGGAATTTCGACGAGTATGATGCTGAGCCTCAGCAGAAAGAGCCGTACACGAAGGTAAACCAAGTCCAGATCGTAGCGTTCGCTCGTACAAATCTGACTGATTTCTCTAGGAAATGCAAGAAAAGTACGACCGCATGTTCGCCGACTTTTGAACCACGGCCACAACGGCCCCTTCCTCCAACACGACAGATATAACAGATCTTACTGCATTGTAATTGACGAACTGCATGAGACCAGAGAGCACGGCGCACGGAGTTTCGACCAGGCGAATGAAAAAGAGAAAGTGGGCTTATGATTGATTGCAAGCATTGGGGAAACAGGGTTGTCTTGACGAAACGGACTCCTGGAGTGAAAAGACTTGATTGATGAGGCTCAAGATTGGGGAGCCTGTGATATTCGCATATTCAACAGATACGTAGGTGGACGACGGAAATCGATCTACTTGTGGATTGGTACAGGCCGAAGTCTTGATTTGGCCTGCCTTCTCTCACAACACTCTTGGATCGTAGCCATCCTAGCCAAAGACACGACTGTCATTCTTTCGACAATGGCTTCAGTCAATCCATACCGGACTCCGCCCTGCATCAGTGCACCCTCGAGGCGGCGGTAAGTTTGGCCAAGGGCTGCACTCCCCACCTTCTCCACAACTCCAACGACGCAACCGTCTCCATTCGAGCGGATTGACCCTCGTCTGTACCTCGCGGCCCGCATTGACGGCAAGCGAAGGCACATCTAACTACACGAGCATCCTCTTTCCTTACTCCACACACTCATTGCTATTGTATTTATGAATACTCACACCAGGTCATGACCCTCTTCCTCGGCACACTGAGGTGTTGCCGGAGAGGGTTCGAGAGCTTCAGACCCAGCTCCAGCTTCACGCGGGGTCTGCTCACGCAGGCACACGATCGAGGGCCTTCCGAGGTATGCAAGCACGCGATGCAGCGTTGACACCACTTCCAACCCAATGGTACTGACGAGGACTGTCGCAGCCGCCGTTACTCGAGCAGACTGTTCCCGAGCACTTCGCGGAGATTGTGTCGAAATATGGGGATCGCAATGCGTAGGTCTACCTTCTGAAGAGCTGAGCGAAAGAGAATGGTTGAAAGAGCACTGCTGAGATTGGGTCAAGGGTTATATCACGACACCAGCGGACGGAGTTGACATACGATGCTCTCGATCGAAAGTCGAACGCCCTCGCGAGGGGACTGCAAAGCATAGGAGTGAAGAAGGGCGATAGAGTATCCGTGTCGCTGGGAAACAACATCGAGTTTGCAGTCGCAACATACGCGATCTTCAAACTCGGTGCCATCCTCAACCCATTGAATCCCAGCTTCAATGCCGGCCAGGTCGTCAGCGCGCTGAACCATCTCGAATCGTCACATTTAATCATCGGCACGGAGACACATTTGATACGGAAGGATCCGAGGGATAATTCGGAGATTCTGAAGCACATCGCTCCAGGTATTGGAGGGAGGAAACTAGAGGCCGATCTGGTTCCTTCACTAAAAGAAATCGTCTTGGTGGATAACTCTCGAGGGAGAGTCGATCCGACTCAACTGAGCGCGGCGGTCCCTTTTCAGGATATCCACGATGGATCTTCGCTGGAAACTCTCCCTAAGCAAGACCTGGACAAGAATGATGTCGTCAATATCCAGTTCACGAGCGGCACGACGTCCATGCCTAAAGCGGCCTGTCTGACGCACCGCAACATCCTCAACAACGGCGCGCAGATTGGTGATCGAATGCTCCTCACACCAGACGATGTCGTCGTCTGCCCTCCACCGCTCTTCCACTGCTTCGGCTGTATCCTAGGCTACATGGCGACCGCAACACACGGCTCCTCCATCGTCTTCCCTTCCGAAGCCTTCGACCCGGAAGCCTCCCTGCGTGCGGTGCAGGAGTATAAAGGCACAGCGCTGTACGGCGTGGCGACGATGTTCCTCGCCGAATTGGAGCTCATCGCTAATGGCGTCGTTCCACACGAAGGCTTCCAACACTTGAGGACCGGGATAGCAGCGGGGAGTAGCGTCCCCGCGGAACTCATGAGGAAGTTGCATAAGATTCTGAATTTGGAGGAGTTGACGATTTGCTATGGCATGACGGAGACGAGTCCGGTTAGTTGTATGACGAGGACAGATGATCCTTTGCAGAAGCGAATCGTAAGTCTCCATCAGATCACCATGCCTCACACACGTCCACTGACACCTGATGACACTCAGGACACCGTCGGCCGCCTCCTCCCGCACGTCGAATGCAAAGTCGTCGACCCCTCGGACCACACGCAAACCCTCCCCATCAACACCCGCGGCGAACTCGCCACCTCGGGCTACCTGGTCATGAAAGAATACTTCGCCGCGCCCACCAAAACCTCCGAAGCCCTCATCCCGGACCCTCACGACCCCGCCAAAATCTGGATGCTCACCGGCGACGAAGCGAGCATGGACGCCAAAGGCTACGTCTCCATCACAGGCCGCATCAAAGACCTGATCATCCGCGGCGGCGAGAACATCCACCCGCTCGAGATCGAAAACTGCCTCCTCGGCCACGAGGGCGTGCGGGAGGTCAGCGTCGTCGGACTCCCCGATGAGCGGTACGGCGAGGTCGTCGCGGCGTTTGTGGTGCGGAGTCGGGATGCGAAGGGGGAGGCGTTGGACGCTGCGGAGGTAAGGGAGTGGGTGAGGGAGAGGTTGAGTGGGCATTTGGTTCCGAAGTATGTGTTTTGGGTGCAGGATTATCCTAAGACGGCGAGTGGGAAGATTCAGAAGTTTCGGTTGAGGGAGGAGGGGGTGGGGTTGGTGAGGGAGGGGAGGGGGGAGTGATTTATTGATGTGAGTGGTGAAGGCTTTTGGGACCGGTCGTCAACAGACGACTTTGGCGGGGTTCGGTTGAGTAGGCAGAAGATCTCTTGAGCAGATGATGTGGACTGAATGAATGATAGGATTGAAGATGGCAGATATCCCTCCAATGATCTCTGAGAGGGAACTGAGAGGATGGCATCATCTTCGACCAACGCCTCTAGCACTATAGACAGTGTTTGACAGAAGAGAATCTTGGATGATTCTCCCCGACCCTTCGAGACTATGGACGCAGTCGGGTGGAGATGATCTCAAACATCCACACGACTTTCGGTCAGGTTTTCCACGCGGCAGATGAGCAGTCCATATCATAAAACGAGTTCAGTCAGGAGACGGAGTCTTACAGTATTCACCAAAATTGCAAAGCGAGACTCTTATCAAAAGGAAAACTTTTCATTCATGATACAACTACTCGACGGTACCATCTCAGAGATCGATACATGGCTGAGCTCCAGAAGGAACACCCTCCGGCCCGCGCCCACTCTCATCGAAAGAGCCGTCCCTCAGTCGCCAGGTCGGGGAGAACGAGCTCCAGGTGTAACCACCCGGCCCATATCAACCCTCCCCAAACGACCGAAGGAGTCTCTCTCGCGAGAAACGAAAGCTGAGCTCCAGAGGTTGAACCTCCGGCCCTTGCCACATGCCAATCCCCTCGACCGACCGCCCTTCGCTGATTTTGTTGTTATTATTACTTTTTTCGTGTTCATGCATCCCATCTGTCCGTTGCTCATTCATCATGCCGCCCATAAAGTTGCAAACGCCGCGCAGGCCTCGCGGCTGGGGGTATCGTCGTCGTCGCTCCAAATCAGAAAACCCAAAAACGCCGGTCCCGTGCTGTGCTATCCTCGTCATCTGTCGATTTTCTTGCGTGTTGCTATCCTGGCAGAACCCTCAGGTAGCCGAGTACTTCGTATTCGATCCAGTCGATCCATGGACCCTCTGGGTTGAAGCTGAAGAGTGGGAAGATCGACTCGGCTTGACGGGCCATGTACTCGTGGTAGAGCCAAGGCTTCTCGTTGGCGTCGAGCCACATGCGTCGCTCGGTCCACGTCAAGTAGAAATTGTACACGAAGCCGATGAGCATCAACAGCCAGACGAGCTTGAGGTGCCATGGTGCGTTGACGAAGATGTCAAAGAAGCTGGTGGGATGCCGCGCTGGCTCCGTTACCAAACGCTCGACCGGCTTCTCCACGATCTTGGTGATCGTCTTGACCTTCTGTCCGTTGTCTGTGGACTCAGCGCCCGTGGTGGTTTTCTTGGTCTGTCCGGCGTTGGCCTGTTCAGCAACGATCTCAGATGCCTCTTTCATCGGCGTGAGGGTGGGTGGTGTGTCGAGCTGCTTGCTGTCCTTGCGCTCTGCTTGCAGCTTTGCGTTCTCTGACTGCTGCTTCTGGAGGTCCGCCTGCAGTGTCTTGGTGTTTGCTCGCAATTCTTCCATGTTCGCCTGCAATGCCTCTACCTCCGATAGCAGATTCGCGTAATCTTCCCGGAGCGTCTTATTGATGCCCTCCAGATCATCGATGTACCCTGCGTCATCTTGATATCCATCGTCGTCTACCGAGTCTTCGGCCTTGTCTAGCTCATCACCCATGGAGACCTTGCGAGCACCGCCCTTAGCGCGTGCACCAGTCTGCCATTCTGAATTGAGGCTGAGGTTCGAGGGTGCCTTCGGGAGCCGCGACTCTTCAATGGTATCGTCAATGTAGTTAAGGATTGCTTCGGGGGTCAGATCTCTGTTCATTTGCTGTGTGGCATATCAGTATCAGAATCACAATGACGGATGCAGCAATAGCACGTACCTCGAAGGTTCCTGCGAGCTTCTCCTTTATGAGCTCGAGCGTTGCGTGCTCATTTTCGGCGATCGCTAGCTCTTCTTTCTTCTCCTCGCGCTCCTGCCTAAGTTCCTCCTCCGCAGCGCGCAGACGGCCTTCGAGCTCGCCTGCCGCGCCTCGTTCCTTTCGATGCTCCTGTACCTTCTCTTTGAGCTCGCTATCGTAGTTCTTGACAAGCTCATCCAAAGCCGTGACTTTCGCCTTCTCTTGCTGGAGCTGCGTTTGGAGCTTCTTGATCTCCTCGGCTGCATCGCGTTCCCGGCCAGCTGCTTGCTTCGCTTCTTCAGCAGCACCTGTGGAAATCTTCTTCACGCGATTCGCCTCGGCCTCGAGATTCTTGACTCTTTCTTGTTCCTCCACTAACTTCTGCTGGAATTCGGCGGCCTCGTTGTGGAGCAGATTGCCCTCGCTGCTCAATTGGTCGTTCTTGGTCTTCTCGGCATGAAGCTCTGCTCTTGCGTTGTCGGTGCGCTCTTTCGCAGCCTCAAGCTCTGCTCTCGCTTTCTCGGCCGCTTTTCTCGCGTCTCTAATTTCTGCTCTCGCTCCCTCTTTCGCAGCTTCAAGCTCCGCGCTCGCTCTCTCGGTCTCATTCCTGAGCTCTGCTCTTACGTTGTCGGTGTCCTTCTTCGCGGCCTCGAGCTCTGCTCTCACGTTGTCGATGTCCTTCTTCGCGGCCTCGAGCTCTGCCTTCGCTTCCGCGGTCTCCGTGTTCGCAGCATCGAGCTTTGCTATTGCTTCCTCGGCATTCTTCTTCGCGGTCTCGATCTGACCCTGCAGGTTCACGACGTCTGCCATGATGGTTAGTGGGCTGCATGGAGTGCTTGCGACGCTGGGATAGCGCAATGAAGAGGGAGTCGGAATGTGGGAGGCGGGGTGGCCCGGTGAGGATCATCAAGCTTCTATCAAGCTTTCCACCGGTCGCGCAGATCATTCGAGGTAGGTGCGGGTGCGGGTGGTGGGGAACTTACGGCCTCTCTGGCCTCCTGCGCGAGGCATCTTGTCTACTTCTTCCGTGTTGGTGTCAGCGTGTGCTGAGAGTAGAAGGTGAGCGCCCTTTGACTTACCCTCTGCGTGTTCGTTGTTTGTCGAGGAATGGAAGAAAGAAAGGTCGGATGCGGAAAGTGCAGCTTGAGCCCCGCTAGCGGCAGCAACGCTGTCCGGCCCGCGGGCGGGAAGAAACTCAATGGCATGTGCGCCCGCCCCAAGTTCGTTCTAATCTTTACTTGGAGCTTTACTCAAATTTTCATTCGAACTTCACTTGGTGCCTCACTTTGAATGTCACTTCATGCTTTACCATCTTCTCATTTGCTACTTCACTTAATACTTTACTCGCTCCTTCACTTGGTCCTTTACTTGTTCCCTCATTTGCCCTCCTATTCGCCACGTTACCCGGCACATCACTTACTTTGTAGGATACCTCACTTACTTTGTAGGATACCTCACTTACTTTGTAGGATACCTCACTTCCGGTGCTTTCCATGGTATCTTACTTGCTCGGCGCCTTTTAAGATACCTCATTTGGGTCACCTCACAAGACACCTCTCTCCCCTTACTACGTACATCGCTTGACTTAACATCCACCTCACTCTACATCCACCTCACTCTGAACCTCATCTCCCTTACTATGTCACTCCTCAATTTCCATCAGATCATCTCGGAAACTCTGTATCGAGCTTCACTTCACTCTATCGCTGTCTTCATCCCCAGACTCAGTGCGTCATCCATCACAGGGTACCTGAGGGTGTCAAGAACATTCATTTCCAACATGACAGTTCGAACAAGTTAGTCTCTGGGCCCAAGCGCCATCAGCATCCTCAACCTCACTCGAAGACGTCTCTATGTGGACATGACCAAGGAGCGGCTTCGATAAACAACTCTCGCAGATCGCTGCGAAACTCCCAATACATCACCTCACATCGAAAATACACTACGTCTTCTCACAGCTATAAAGAGAACACCGGTTGCACGAGGAAAGAAGGCCGCCAAAGAAGCAATGCTACAAGTGATTGCTTTTGGATCTGCTTTCATACACACATATCATAGAGCTCTGTACACATCATTTGCCACATACAGCAAGCCATCAAATCATTGAAGTGAATTCGTTTATATCATCGATCGGTCAAACCAAGATTACCAACCTCCTTGAAGCATGTTGCCGAAGATTGACCTACAACCTCGCTCGGCGACGCTTGGTGGTGGTGCTGTAAGCATCAATACCGCGCTGGATCGAGGCATTGATGCGGTCAGCCAGGGCCTGGGCCTGAGCCTTCTGCGCATCAGGGACGATGTTGATCAGAGCGGTAGAGAAGGCTTGGGAGTTCGTCTGGATCTGCTGGAGCGTGATCGGGATGGCAGGGCTGAGACCTTGGGAGTCGAAGACGGGCTTCTTGTTGATGGTAGCGTCGATGGACTCATCGGTCGCGTCGGCCAGCGCGGTGACCGGGTCGACGAGCGAGTTCGCCTGGTCCGCGGTCAGTTCGCCGCCGGAGTTCTGGGCGTCTGTGGTCGCCTGTTGCAGATCTGCGTTCAACTTGTTGCTCGCGTCCAGCAGGCCGTTGAGGTCATCGGTGGTTTGGTAGTTATTCACGGTAGTGGTGAGGTTGTCAGTGTCGCCTTGGATCGTGGCGAGGTCAGCCTGGATAGTTGGAAAGTTGGTGGCGGTAGGTCCAGCTGAGGTCGATGAAGTACTTGTCGTCGAGGTGCTTGAGGTACTCGTGTCTGTAGTCGTCGTCGATGTGGAGGTAGAGGTGCTGCTGGTGGTGCTGGTGCTGCTGGTGGTTGCTAAATAACGTTAGTTAGCAATGGGGTCTCTAGAAAGCCTGATCTCGGAGGTGAACCAACTGGTAGGAGTCGTAGTAGAAGATGTCGTTGTAGTAGTAGTAGTAGTGGGAGTCGTCGTCTGTAAATCATCAGCATGCAATTATCAAATCGCTGGAGACTCTCAACGCACCGGTGTTGTTGTTGGCGTCGTCGTCGTTGGCGTTGTAGTTGGCGTTGTATTGGGGAAGCTCGAACCGCCTGTTGGCGATGTGTTGCCGCCTGTGGGAGAAGTGGTCTGGCCGGGGGTAGTCGTGGGCACCGAGTTGGGGAAGGATGAACCTCCAGGGCCAGTCGGGTAAGTCATAGACAGGGGCAGAGACCCTGGTCCGCCTGATCCGCCTGGTCCTCCATTGCCCCCGTTGCCTCCATTTCCGCCATTACCCCCATTTCCTCCGTTTCCTCCGTTTCCACCATTCCCTCCATTGCCTCCGCTGCCTCCGCTGCCTCCACTGCCTGGGAGGCCTGATGCGCCTGGGAGGCCTGAGGCGCCTGGACTGCCTGGACTGCCAGGGCTGCCTGAACCGCCTGGACTTCCCGGGCTGCCAGAACTGCCTGGGCTGCCGCCAGATCCGCTGCCGCCAGATCCGCTGCCAGAGCCGCCTCCAACAGTCTTCGTGATTGTCACAGTGACGGTCTGGGCGCTTCCTCCCGAACCAGCTGGGCATTCAGGAGCTGAAGTCGTGACTGGAGGAGCCGCACCAGGGCAGCCGCATTGAGTTGCAACGGCCTGTGCGATGTATGACTGAATCATCGACGAGACCTCCGGTGGGATGGTTGCCGATGGTGATGGTGCTGGAGCCGGGGCTGGTGCCACAGATGGCTGTACAGAGGGCTGCACCGAAGGCTGCACCGAACCCGCGCCGCTGGCCTGGGAAGCTGGCCAGTCATGCTGGCCCCAGCCGTTTTGGGACCACCAGTCATTTTGTGCTCCGTGATTCCAGCCCTCACCCCAGTTACGTGGCTTGAGTGGTGCCTCTGCGAGAGACAGCCCACTTTGGAGAAGCACGAGAAGAGCGGCGGATTTGGCTGCCATTGTGTCCAGAAGTTGATGAGAGAGACAGGTGAAGATCGAAGGAAGATGACAGGAGAAGCTAGAAAGCTTTATAACCTACCTCGACAACGTTTCTCGCAACGTGATAGAAATTGGGCATTGGTGAGCAAACGACATACAGCCTCGTATCCGGGACCCCGTTTTCAAGCCACCATGCAGCATGAAATGCTCAAGAAGCCGCGGTATCTCACCCAAAGCTGTTCGTTCTGACCGCGGAGGGCGTTGAGGTTCGCCTTGGCACTCCGTCAATGCATGGAAACAGAGCGGAGAGCGCATCGATGGATTCACGATGGATGTGGTTGCTTGACTAGCTCCCCTCCTCGTGTGGAGTGTGCACCCAGAGAGGAAAGAAGTGGAGAAGTTCTGGACGGCAGAATTGAGACATCGAGACCTCAACGCCGCCTCGTCCTTCCAAAGCAGAGGTTGCAATGACGATCTTCTGCGAACTGGGCCGCCACGGCTTCATGTACGGGCGCATGCTACCTCGTACTCAGGCCGTGCGGCGCAACGTGGCAAGCAAGCATCGAAGAAAGCTTTCGGTCTGGGGAACGACGGCAGGTTCGTGGGCGAGGCGCGCCTAGCTGCGGAGGTAGGTACCAGGTACGGCGCGCTCTCTGCGAGACCATTGAATTCGAAGTTCGTCTACTGCAGGTCAGCATACTGCACTGGTACAGTTGGGAAGCGAGAATGCATTAGATCCGTGGAAGGATGCGCTTGTCTCATGGAATCAATATTAGAGTTGCAAGGTGCTCTTCGTCTGTCCGTTCGAAAGGGCTCGTCTGTGGTCCTCGATCATTTGAATTCGCCGCGATGGAAGCGGTTTTGCTGCTTCCACTGACTGCATCAAGCATACGGGACTGAGTTGTGTGTCAAAATCGTGACTGCAAACTGCACAGCATCATTTCAAAGAACTTGCATGAAGCGAATGTGGCACAATAGTCACAAAGTCTGATTTCACAGCGGATGCCGCCGAGGAGGTGAAGTCTGAACTCTGAACATACCGAGGTGCCGAAGATAGGCTAGCTAATGCAGGCACGCCCACGTGATAATTGGCGGAGGTTGCGAGGTTGCGGGGAACGGGTCTGGGGTCGGCCCAGCATGTGGCATGTGAAAACGATATCGATAGCATGGCGTCGCTCCATTTTGGTACCTTCTCCCATTATTGCTGTCCTTCTGGGCAAGCTTGACGCCTTCCCGCCTATTTTATCCTTGAGGGCGACTAGTATGGAACCACCTCGCTCTTTAGACAAGAGCCACGTGAGTCCGTAAGAGTCGAAGGAGATACCCTGGGCATCATCCCATAGCGGAACATCAATGCCCCGTACTCGAAGGGCACCAGAATTGCCTGACGTGTGAACAGAAGCGTAGTCGCATCAAAAGCACCAGAGAGATGATAGTCCCATGCGTTCCAATTTCTATAGCGGAACGACAAAGGTAGCAAGTTCTGACTGCTCCTCTCACGATCTCATCAGTCATCAGCGCTCAAAAGGAGGCCTGATGTTGCGAGAAGCCGACTCATCATCTTCGTTAAGCAAGCGACGTTTCCTCCCAGGCTGCGAATGCGAAGCCATCAAGTCGCCTGATCCTCCACCGTCAACACCATTCTCGACTGCTCTGATGAACTCTTACTCTTCTTCCTCTTCCTCATCCACCTCCTCCTCATTCTGTTCGTCGTCCTCAACGTCACTCCACAAGCGTTTCGGCTTTCTCCATTGAATCTCACAGTTGTACTCCTCTGAACCATCTTCGCTTGAATCGGGGAGCTCGACGACACTTCTCTCTTCGTGCTCTTCATCCTCTTCATACTGATCAATCTCATCTTCATCCTCATCCTCATCGTCGTCGTCGATCGATCGGCTCCATCCTCAAACAGAAACGCTTCAACCTCGACATTCAACTGAAACTCCTCGATCCTCCTTGGACGAATCGCACACGCATACTCCGTTCTCGCATCAAAACGCTCCGAAGTCCCGCCCACGCGCTCCAACTCTTCTCTCACATGTTGTTTTGCGCGCTTGATTGCTGCTTTGCGTGTGGCGAAGACGCCGATGATGTGATAGCGGCCTTCCTCGTCGGTGTGGTGGATTAGATCGCGGCGGGTCACGATGTAGGCTTGAAATGGCGGCATGTCGCCGGATATGTTGTTAAGTCCTGTGGCGTGTAGAGTGACAGAGGCCAAAGGTATGACGAAGTGAATCTATTTTGTGAGACGCGACTGGGAAGACGCGTAGGGCGTGATGAGCTGACAGGGGTCTGAAGTTTAAAGTGGAACGGTTGATGGAGTCGGGTGCGGCCAGGTTAACGACTGATGCGACATCACAAGATCTCCATGTTCATTTTGGGAAAGTACAGTGGACAACTGCTTCTCATGCTAACGCAAACACCGCCGCTGAAGAAGGTCCGACGTACTTGAGAGACAATCGAACGGTGTCTTTCTGAGGACCATAGGCCAGCTCCATATCTTCTCCAACCACAACTTCGTGTATATTGACGCTTTCAATGTTCTCGAGGTCTCCCAAGATGCTGTGGAGGTACTGCGCTTCGTCTGGCGAGGCTGGGGTGGATGACACCTGGAAACCGAGTTTGGCTTGAAGGCTGAGAATGTGCAGACCTCCATGATACACCTTACAGTCCTCGATCGCTAGCCGTGCAACAACGGTCATGAATCTGATGACATCGCCAAGTGTGTCAGCTGCCAACTCGCCCATGTCGACAGCATCTGGCGCACCGGTTTCGTCTCTGGGGTCGTCGCCATTGAGCATGTCCAAAGCTATGCTGCAGATGGAGCCTAGAAAGAGTTCTGGGTCCGCTTGAAATGCCAGGGTGAGCGACAGGATGGCGAGAGCTCCGAAGATAATGTCCATAGATGGATTGGTCGTGGGATAAGGACGTCTTGCGCACTCCTGACTTGCCGACGTGGGAGCATGCAGTTGACGTTTGCTACTGCGACTCTTAACATGGGATTGGTAAACAATGAGACGATGGCATGTGGAATGGCGTATGGGGCTGCCCGTGAGCTGATCATGCACCGACATTGTCCGAAGCGAGAGCGCCACCGAGTAGAACGAAACGCGAGCTCAGCCAACGAAGCAGGCCGCAGTGGTGGAACAATGGAAGTGTTCGCTCCACGGTGATGACAAGAGAGGCCTTAGAGTGTCCGTAAGATAGACCAGGAAGCTGCATGGGACTGGTTCAGTTCAAGTATGTCGATCCAGGAACTATTTTCGACCAGCGATCATTAGGATCGTACTTGCGCTTCGTTGCAGCGAGCATGCGCATTGTTACGGGGTCCAGCGTTGCAAATGGATTTTGCTCTCGTGAAGCATAGTTCGGGTAAATAAATGGATGAAAAGCGTCCAACTTCTTGAGTGTCGCTTCCAGATCATGCTGGAGCTTGTTGGCCTTGCCGCTGAAATAGATGTCGCGATCCGCATCGTTCCACCACAGCTCGACTGAAATCAGGAGCAGAGGTCCATGGGAGGGAATGAGGTTGAAGATATTCTTCTGAGCTTTGAGATGGCTCGAAGTCAGCGGTTGGAAGGTGACACCAACAACTCCGGTCGGGTCGAATTTCGTGTTTTCGGTGAAGGTCTTGACGACGTCGTGCACGGCAGTCATCGCGCTTGGGCTGAGTGTGCTGGTCAGAGTGAATTTGAATCGACGAAACCCAAGAGGGTTGCTTCTGTCGATGTCATCTGCGCTCTTGCCGATCGTAGTTGTGCTAAGTTGGCCACCCAGGTGTGGGATAGCCTCGAACGCTGCCAGTGCTTCGTGGGAAGATTGACCTTCGGTATTGATGAGGTAGACGTCGTACTCGAACCGCTTCTCTGCTTGCAACCAAGCAAACGAGAGGTAGCCCTGCGTCGTCAGGTCGTCCTCAGCCCTGGCCGCCAGGTTCTTCAAGGCGTTGCAAACGAGCGGAAAGTGTGGCTGCTCGTAAGAAAGTGCGCCTCCATAGACCACTGTGTTTGGGAGCGTCGGCATTTTGATCTTAGTCACAATGCCAAAGGCGCCAAGTGAGCCTTTCAATGCCCAGAACAGATCTTCGTGATGGCCAGCGTTCACCCACAAAATCTCACCCTGGGGTGTGACTACTTCAAACTCGATGATAGTGTCACATGTCCAGCCATATTGGTTAGCAAACCAAGAAAACCCGCCACCGAGCACGTAGCCACCCACTCCGACACTGCCAACTCTGCCGCCAGACACAGTCAAGTTTTGCTTCTGAAGGGTTCGATAGACGTCTCTCCAACGGGCTCCAGGGCCCAGAACGACGGTCTCCTCCATGTCGCCCACATTGACGCCGGACATGTCTGACAGGTCAAACGTGATACCATCATCGATATTCGACGCGCCAGTCACGGACGAATGTCCACCAGAAGAAATGGCAATGCTGGCATTGGAGGGATGAATCACATCAGCCAGGGCAATCTGAATGTCGCGAGCGCCCCGTGGGAGAAAGCGGCATGCTGGTATCAGTTCCGCCTGTTGAATCGACCAGTACTTTTCTTGTGCGTGGGCGTAACCTTCTTCTCCGGGATTAACAACCTGCTCAGGGAACAAAGCTGCAAGTAGAGCGCACTGTAACGGTCAGTCCCGTGGGGAGTGGCCCCTTGTTGAGGAGTATCAACTCACTGGTGTTGAGTATTGCAACGGAGTTTGAGCTTGCTGTTGGTACAATTGGGCGGCGGCGAGGCTTGCCTCCAGAAAGAGGTGCCAGAGCCGCATACTAGGTCGCTGCTGTGCCTCGATATCGCGCTCGGTCCTCTTATCTCCAGTGCTGCCGAGGGATGGAGGTAAAGGAGGTCATCGAGCACGTCTTCAGTGCGATCTGGGAGAAGTGCTGCCCTCGACCGCCACGGGACGTCGTCGGTGATGGAGGTATTGGAGAGAGACACGACTTACCTATGGCAGTCTAACAGCAAACATCATGGGGGATATTTGCAAGGTACACGCGTCCGGCATCTTGCTCGCCCTGAAGTGGTCGCGGTTACCCGAAGATAGAGCACTGACTTGGAAAGGTTCGGGCCGCGCCTCGAGCTAGCTTAGCGGGGCGCGTCGGCGCGCCAACTCAAACACAAAGCGCCGAACTTCGTGCTCCTTCATCAATTGAAGCTCAACCTCATCGCTACACGGGTCGCCCAAGATGGATTGGAACAACCCAATGGCGGTGTTTGGCTTTCCCGACGACCCCCAGCCAAGTGGTGGTGAAGTAGACGACGAAAATGATAACTTCTATGATGACGCCAACCCCAACGACGACGCTCACCCAGGAGTATGTTTTCGGCCGTGTTTGCATGTGAACAGACTGACTCTCGACATTTCACGCAGGCACCTCAACCGTCGAACCATGACCAAAACGTGACCACCAACATGACCCCCAAACCAATCTCGCAAGCAGAAAAGGATAGGAACCAGAAGCGAGCCGAGATGCTGCGGGCCAAGCTGCTCGCACAGCGCCAAAACACGCCCTCCAAAGCAGCATCTCGATCCGGTACGCCAGCTCAGATGAACCCACAACCTGTCGAAGCAGTGTCGTCAGTTCCAATCGCGCCTAGTCAACCCATTCAGACACAATCACAAACAAACAACCCAATCAAGGAGGAGGTCAAAGAGCAGCCCAAGCCATCGAGCAACATTAGCCCTCTCGAAGCTCTGCTCGACCATGGCAAGGCGTTGGCAGACGAAAAGGCAGCCGCGCTTGCTGCGAGCGAGAACACCAGTTCTGCTACTGCGGATGATCTGACGAAGTCAGCGGCTCCAGCGGAGAACCATCAGAAACCAACCAACACGAACGCCACGCAAGAGGCAGCACAATGGCCTTATGAGCACTCCGAGCGTTCTACCAATCTCTCAGACTCCTATTATGCTGATCTGCCAGCTTGGCTGGAGATAACAGGGTTCCACGATGTCGAGTTCCGAACCTCCAAGCTGTCCACATACAAGGAGCGAAAGGCGCTAGAAGAAGAGGCTGCCCGCATCGCCGAGAAGCTGGAGAAACTCAAGCAAGCCGAGCAGGAAGCGATGCAATCGCTCAGGATGGCTACGCCCAAGCCATCAGCCACTACCATGGCCCCACCGCCACTCCCTGCCACCATGCCGAAAGAGATGGCAACTCCCAAGGTCAACGGTACCAACGGTACAAAGCGCGGACATTCTCCAGCGTCATTGCCGCCAGAGAAGATGCGTCGTCTCGAAGACAACAGTGGCTTTCGCATTCGTGGGGCCAATGACTCGCCTCTCGATTCTCGGCCACCACCACTTCGTCGTCCACGTACGCCCAGTCCGGCAGATCTTGAGCGTCGTATCTCCTACCCTGACGCCCGCCGTCCGTCTGTCAGCGAGCGTAAAGGTGGTTACAGACCTCCTGGAAGCAGAGGCGAGAGCGTAGATGCTTTTCTCGAGCGCAAGGGCACATACAGGCCTCCTGGAAGCAGACGCGAGAGCCGAGACTCTTCTCTTGAGCGCAGGCAGTCCTACTATCGCGAGGAGGGAGAGATCGCCTACGACAGCTACACCCCGTATGATCCTCCTCCACGTCTCCCCTTCAGCAACACCCGCAACAACTCGAACACCAAGGCACCACAGTACCGAGGCAGTGTACTTCTGGATCTTCGCAAAGGCGGTCAGTCACCCTTCTGTCGTGCATAGAATAACGAAGACCCTTCTCATTGGATTACTGGGTTGGGAAATGACTATCACGAGTACTGTATTTGCAGAAAGAACACATTCGAACATCATAACAATTGCGCTTACTTTCTTCTGTTCGTCTTCTGATCTAGATACAGGTGTACGATACTTTTTGATCAAGTCTTGGAATCACGAGAATGTGATCGCTGCGCAACGTGAGAACTTATGGGCTACACAAGAGAAGAATGAGGATCTGCTTGCAGAGGCCTGCAAAACCTCTCGTCATGTTATACTACTCTTCAGCGTCAACAAGAGCATGGCATTTCAAGGATATGTACGTCTCACCTACCATGATGCGTGATCACATCAATGCTAACGACTTCAGGCACTCATGACCTCACCACCAGATCCCAAGATGCCCAAGCCTGCGTTCGCCTCAAAGCTCAACTGGGGGACCAGTGCAGCCTTCAGCCTGCGTTGGCTCGGTACTACGTCGATCCATTTCCGACTCATAGGTCATCTGAAAAACACGTTGAACAAAGACGAGAAAGGCGAATCAAGAGCTGTGCTTATTGGCAAAGACGGACAGGAGGTCAGTGCCGATGCGGGCATGGGAGTGGTCTGGGCATTGGACGAGGCAGAGGCTACTGCGAATGAGAAGGAGAATCGTCGTTGATACTGTGGTGTTTCTGATCGCAGAAGATGCCCAGTTGCTTTGCTAGCCACTGGACGATAGTAGAAGAGCAACAGTATGAAGCTTTTGACATTCCAGCCCCTTCACCTCGCTTTCGACACGCAATACTAGTTGGCAGAGATCTTGGAGGTGCCATCGATTCACTTACTCAATCGCAAGCCATCTAGCCAGCTTGAAATGCCAGCGGAAGCGAGGTCGCTCTTAAGTCGTCGGAGAAATGACGGTCCTATGCGTCCCACTTTGACCGGGTGGATAAAAACCTGCGATGAGCTTGAAGCCAGAACGTCTGTCGCTTACAGGCGATGATTTGCATGGCTAGGACGCCAACAGGCGAGAGTTTGCTGAGCTCGAATTCTTCCGAAATGAGAGCGAGCGTCACAGAGTTTCGTGTCTCAAATAGACAGCGTACGACAAGCGAGAAATCGGCCATGGACACAAGAGTCACAAGACACCTTCAATTGCAACGACACGGGCATCTGCTTTCGGAATCCGACTCCTGCCCATTGACACAAAGCCATGAAGACGCTTCACCTCCTACCTGTACTGGCGACTGGCACAAGCGCAGCTCTCACGTACAAAGGCGTCGACTGGTCCTCCCTGATCGTCGAAGAGGATGCTGGCACTTCTTATAGCCCAACAGATGGCACCGTTCAACCGCTCGAGACAATCATTTTCAACTCCGGCGTCAACATCGTCCGACAACGGGTCTGGGTAAACCCATCCGATGGCAACTACAATCTCGATTATAACCTCCAACTCGCCCAACGCGCACAAGCCGCAGGCCTAGATATCTACCTCGACTTCCACTACAGCGACACATGGGCCGATCCTACGCACCAGACGACACCGTCAGCGTGGGCGGATTATGGTATCGATGATCTTGCCTGGGCGGTGTACAACTACACGCTATCGACCATGAATAGTTTCCAATCCGCCGGCATCCCCTTGACGCTCGTCTCCATCGGCAACGAAATCACCGCGGGCATGCTCTGGCCTCTAGGCGACATCGACGAAACAGACGGGCCATACAGCCTCGCTCGTCTGCTGCATTCTGCTTCGGCGGGGATTAAGGACTCGAACGTATCGCCTCAGCCGAAGATCCTGATTCATCTGGATAATGGCTGGAACTTCGATACGCAGGAGTGGTGGTACGATACTGTTCTCTCGCAAGGCCCTTTCACGGCGGATGATTATGATGTTCAGGCTGTGTCGTATTATCCGTTTTACAACTCCGCCGCGACGTTGGCTTCCCTGTCCTCTAGCCTTACCTCTCTGGCATCGAAATATAGCAAGGATATCATGGTTGTCGAGACGAATTGGCCGGTCGAATGTCCGAATCCAAGTTACGCTTTCCCGGACAATACGACTGATATCCCGTTTTCGGCGGAGGGTCAGGCTACATGGCTGAGGGATGTCGCGGAGGTGGTTGAGGGTGCGGGTGGGACGGGCGTGTTCTATTGGGAGCCGGCTTGGTTGAGCAACGCGGGTTTGGGAAGTAGTTGTGAGGACAACTTGTTGTTTTCGTGGGAGGACGGAGTGGCGAGAGCGAGTTTGGATGTATTTGCGGAGTTGTAGGTTGATGGCGACGTTGAAGGCCTTCAACCGCAATCGATATCTGGTCGTTCAAACTTCAAACACGATGAAGATGAACTCAGTTGGTGTGGTGCTCGATCTTATTTAGGCGTCTGGCGTTGTCTTGTCAGTGAAACGAAATCCCAGAATAGCTTGCGATGGCGCCTGAGTTCAGCCATTGTAGCACAAAGGTCTCGCTTGTTTTTTCAGCTCAGGAGACGGCGGCTGGTGTACTTCACCTCGATCCCAGTACGATGAAGCGAAATCGCAACTCAACTCGACGACGCTTTCATAATTCTCGAATATCGTCATGTCGGCAATCCTGGAAGACCAGTCAGTCTGGGACCATTTCTTCCCACCGCTTCCACCTAACCATCCTCCCGTTGAGGAAGGCCTCGCCGTCGATGTATTGGAGTGGTATTCAGATGCAACTGCCAATGCACGAGTCGAGCCACCTATCAAGACAGCAAAAGCACTGATCGCCTGTGACGAAGACCCCAATTCAACCTGCAGTCTCCGCATCGTCTTCTTACCCCGAGACCCCCCAGACCTATCGGCAGATCTAGCTTTGAAAGCGATATACCAGCACTACGCCTTCCCCTCAGCCTGGCTGACAGAACGACTCCGCAACGTGACGCATTCTTTCGGTGGCCACAAAGTCCTCAACAACCCGAATGTCGATGTAGCGTGGATGCGGCTTGTGTGTAAGGACGTCCAGGTCAGGGCGACGGTCGAAGTCGACAACTTGCAGTTCTACGACATCGTCGACGGTACAGCGAAGAATCCTCGCGGAGGCAGCCAGGATAGTTCGGCGTGGTGGCATCTCGATGCGTTGGTTCATACGAGGGAGAGGGCTGATGGGTCGAAGTGTGTTACACTGGTGTGTTTTAGTCAGAGGCAGGATATTGTGAGGAGGTTTGAGCAGTTGTTGGGTAGTGATTCTTGGGAGGACGCTGTTCAGGATCCCTACCTGCTGTTTAGTATACTGTTGGAGAAGTGGTATCTTACCTTGGATCGAGTTGCTTGGGGTTTGGCGGATGTGTTTCGACCGATTGAGATTTTGACGTTGCGGAGGAGTGATCGCAAGCAGGCAGTTCGTCCTAACAAAGAGGAGGGCCACGACGACGACGATGGAACAGTCATCCCCGACCTCGACTTCGCCGGCCTACACAACCTTTCGAAACACTGCACCTATCTTCTTGAAGCAGCCTCCGCAACCCTCCTCGTCCTCGAAAACATGACCCACCACCACCGCTTCCTCCACACAAACAACACAACATCTTTATCGACCGCAACGGCAACATCACTCACCTACCGTAAATCGACCCTCGAATCGACTCAACTCCGGCTCCAGAGCCTCCAACAACGCATGTCGAACCTTATCAGCCTCTCCTTCAACCTCGTCACACAGGAGGATAGTCAGACGATGAAGAACGATAGTCATGCGATAAAGGCTATCGCGATCCTCACGCTCATCTTCCTCCCACTCACCGGCATCGGATCTGTCTTCAGCACGCCCTTCTTCGACGTTGACTTCGACTCGGAGAGCAGGATGCTACGAGTCGCAAGGAGCTTCTGGATTTTCTGGGCGATTACTATCCCGCTTACGGGATTGCTGCTTGGGTCCTGGGGGGTGTGGTACTATCAAACGAAGAGTGGTAGTGACACACAGCACCGTCGTCAGCACCGGGGTTCCTCCGCGGCGGAACAGGGAAGGGGCGGAGGAGGAGGTGATGAAGAGGTCGTCCTCCTGCGGCGACTTCGTCCACGCGAGCGTCATGCTGGCGGCGCACCTGCATCTTCCTTACGCATGATTGAGTTGAGGAGGCTTTTCTCTCGGTCCCGAGCGTTGAAGTGAGGGATGCGGTACGCATTCCTTGAGGAAGACGCTATTGTCTCATCCCATCCTCGTGAGAGCCGCGTGCGTGCCGGGCATGCCGTCCGTGCATGTGGGTGTGCGGCCGTGTCTGGGTTCGGGTTCTCGGTCTCGCACGTTCTGAAGTTGCCGATAAGGTGTTGGGTGGACCTACGTGTGAAGGATTGGAGGATTGAAGAGGCTTCTCTCGTACGAATACGTAGAAGATGAGAGGCTCGATGTACGAAGAGAAGTTAGCGTACTGCTCTCCCGCCTACAAGCGGTCGATTGCTAAGCATAGCGAGTCCTCGGAATGTTAGCGATGGCGGTGGTATGGTAGGATTCCGGTTGCCTCCATGTAGAGAGGCGCAACAAGCAACAAGGTTAACTTGTACTGTGCATTGTTGGAGTTGTACGTACTGAATGTAGTCTGATGAGGTGCGGGAAGGATTGCACGTACTCGAACTCCCACAGCATTCACCACGCCAGCGAGAACTTACGTGTGATGTTCTCATGCGGCGCAGGCGGCAGCAACAATACACGTCGTCCAGAACTTCCCATCGTCATCTCATCAAAGATCCACCCGTCTGTCAGGGCACTCCTATCGCAAAACAGCGTTTCTCGGAGTCCCCGATGATCGTACTGACGTGAAGTTTCGAATCTGATGCCAATTTGCGAGGCCCGCTTTCAGGAAAAAGCGAAAGTGAGACGGGAGTCGCTCTGGACTTGGCAATTGCTCTGGACTTGGTAATTGCATCCCAGAAGGCATTGATGAGTCGACAGGCTGTGTGATCCTCCCTGTGGAGCCGAGGAGCGGCGCGGACTCTGTCGAGTGTCGATGACATGACGTTGGTGACGACTTTCCCTTGATGGGCATTAGTTCGGTTTCGAAGGCTGGACAACCACCAACTGCATCGGACGTTGTTGTCGATTCTTGCTTCTTCGCAGCATTCCACCGCTGTGGTTGGCGGCAAAGCAAGCGACAGCGGGATGTGTGCCTTGGCCGCGCAGGAGCAAAGCTATGAGCCCTCGATGAAGCCCCAGACAGGGCCCCAGCACCCCAAAATCAGAAGGTCACTATAGGGCTCCTTCCGTAGGGCGAAAGGATCGTCGGAGTCGCCGTCGAGTGAGAGCCGCCCAGATCCTCAAGTGATCGTTAAGCAAGCAGAGTTTGCCGTTGCAGGAGCCCAGATGGAAGGAACGAAGGAGAAGGAGGATTGCAGGATTCTTTCTAGGGGTCGCCTTTCATCATCACTCTCAGTGGTCAGACCGCTCCCGTCATCCTTCTCGCACAGCTGTACTAGCAGAGTTGGGAAGTAGCCACAATCCTGTGCGAGGCTCGGAGCGCGTGGAGTCCTGATCGGACTCCTCCCGAAGGCGTCTCTGGCAGTTTTGCAGCAGAAACGAAAAGGACATCCGTTAGCTGCATATGTGCATGTGTTGCATCTCAGTGATTCTAGCAGCCGAGCTTCGGTATGCGAAGTTCCGCAGCACAGCAGTGCGTCTGCTCGTCCATCGGCGACCAACCGTGTTGGCATTGTTGCTTGTGCAGGATGCTCTAGGAGGCAGCTTCCTGTTCCCTCAGGCAACAGCGAGATTTGGTATTACAGGTCAGAAATCGAGATTTCGCTTCCGAATTGCTCGACGTTCCTCGGTGCGGCTCGCCATCGTGGTTGGAAAAAGTCATCCGTGGGTGTGCCCTACATGAGCAAAAACGGCTTCTCGCACTGGTTTGAGTAATGCATGCGAAGACTGTAAGCCGCTGTTATTTGCTTCATCGTTGACCGGTCAAGTCTGGGCATCATGGAGCGCTGATGTTGGGAGCATTGTCCATTGTTGGTGATTCGGTACCCTGCGTCAACACCCTATGCACTGCTAACCGCGTTTCATCCCTCGGTTTGCTGCCCACGTCAAATGTCTAGGAGGCATGAGGAGTGCATAGCCACGAACATCTTCCACGACAAGCAGCCATCGCCAACCAATCTGTTCGTGCTCGCCGAGAACAATAAGACAGTGAGTGCTACTGGCCATCGTTGGTACGATTGCATGTCGTCGGGATAGAAGGCCCAAGTGAATGCACCTAACCTAGAGCATACCGGGCTACTCGTTAGTCTGTATGCAGGTGCTTACCAAAGCAACATGACAAAAGTCTGGCGCACCATCAAAGCTTGTGAAGGCATTTGCTGTCGCTGTGTGGTGGACTTTTGTTACTGAGTGCGCAGCTTGTATGGCTCCTTCAATAAGTTCCCAGGACCTGCATGTGTATGCGCTTGGCAGATGCTTGATCCGAGTGTCGCCTGCGGTATCCGGCAAGATTTTCGTAGGATGCCACGGCTGGACTGATCGTGTTTTCGTTTGGTCGACGAGCTACTGTATGATGTCTTTGGGTATACAAGAGCGATGTGACTCGTGCATACTTGCTCTCAACCCATAGTGGGACTCTGAACCGCTACCTGACGGGCCAAGTGGTAGCATCCGCACGATTGGAGGACTTTCTCTGCAATACGTGAGCGGTGCTTGCCTTGATCAGCATCGTCAAGCTGGACTTGGTTTGACAACGTCGCCCTAATAACGAGGCAGAGGCATTTGGGAAGAAGGAACGAGGTCTGCATCCTGAGGTACTTCTTTTCACAAGGATCTTTCACGGTTGCAGATTGTAGTCGCACCATCACGAATACCCGGGAAAGAGCCGATTGAGGACCGCACGCGCAGGGCCAGCTTGTGGCAGTCATGATAACGGCACAGATACTGCGTCTGCTCCAAGCCACACGCTGCACCTCTTCTAATGTCTTTACTGGAAGTGTGCTGCTTCAGCCCCGAAAGCGCAATCATCGCGAGTGAAGCAGGGGCCGATCGAATCGAACTGTGTGACTCTCAGCATGCTGGAGGAACAACGCCAGCAGCAGAATGGTTGGCCCGTGTCAAGTCCAAGGTGACGATTCCTGTCTTCGTCATGATCCGTCCTCGAGGCGGACATTTCAACTTTTCCGATGCCGAGTTCCAGCGCATGAAGGCTGACATTGACGAATTGAAACCCGCGGCCGACGGCTTCGTTTTTGGCATCTTGGACGACAAGCGGGAGATCGATGTTGGCAGGACTGCCCAATTGGTACGAAGAGCAGCCCCATTGCCCTGTACATTCCACAAAGCCTTCGATGAGACTCCAGATCCTCTCCAAGCCCTTGAGGACGTCATCGCCACTGGTTGCCACTCTCTACTGAGCTCTGGGGGCGCATCAGCAGGAGTCGGTGAGGGCTTGACTGTCCTAAGGGCCATGGTTCAGCGGGCTCAAGAACGGATCATGGTCATGCCTGGGGGAGGGGTGCGGTCTAGCAATCTTGCGCGTGTCCAAGCGGCCACTGGGGCGTTCCACTTCCACTCGTCCGCAATGCACAAAGACAGCAGTTCGCCCGATGCTGAGGAGATCCGGTTGATGAAACAGGTGCTCCATCAACACGCGTCAGGAGTCGCATCACGATCTGGGTCACTGGGAGAGGAAAACTTTTCTCAAGACGCCACCGGGTCGACTTTAGACCTGCCAGCGGTCTCAATTGGAGCAACACCTGTGGAGGAGCGGCAGATGAGCTTTTGAGGTGGTTGAACACAGACACTGCCTTGCGTGCGTGTCCTCTGTCTTGGCGGCTGGTGAGGCTGAGCAGAAGCGGCGGCTGATCATGTTGGCGGACATGTCAGTCGGCCCGAGGAAGGACGACCAGCCGGCTCTTTGACAGTGGTTTCGGCTGATACCAAGGCAACCGGCATGACGGAGGCAGATGAACGTTTAGGCTGAAGCAGGGGCGAGTACTTGGCTCTAGCTGCTGGCGCAAAGTAAGCGTGTTGCGGCGACTATTCCAAGTATAGGCAGAGCAGAAATGCCTGAAGCGTCCTAGTTATCGGTAGCAGAACCGTTGATGCATCAGGGAGAACCTGCAGCGGATGGCGTTATAGTTAGTTGGGGCATGCGACCAAGCGAGGTTGACCAAGATGGGGTTGTTATTAGAGAAGGATTTCGAACTTTGTGATATAGGAGGGCGGCCGAGGACAGCGCACAGACCAACTTGAAGCCGTAATGATCACTATTCTATACATTTGAATCGAAGACTGCCGACATGGAGGTTGGTACTCTTTTGGGACACGGAGACGATGTCTCTGCAGTCCTGTCGAAATCCCATCGCGTTTCTGTTACATCATGATCGAACTCCAACCACAATCTACTCAGCGACCCACACAGCTGCCATGCCCATTCCTGTACCAACACACATGCTGGTCACGCCGACCTGCTTGTTCGTCCTCTTGAGTTCGTAAAGCAAAGTGCTGACTTGTCGTGCGCCGGTGCATCCCAGAGGGTGACCGAATGCAATTGCTCTGTAAGCAGTGTTAGTTCCATGTATTCTTAGGAGAAGGAGCACAATCGATGTGTGGACTTACCCTCCCTTAGGGTTGATCTTCTCGTGAGGCAGGCCAAGCTCATTTGCACACCACAAGCACTGCGATGCAAACGCCTCGTTGATCTCGAAGATATCCACATCGTCCGTGGAGATTCCGGATTTCTCGAGCGCAACTGGGATGGCTTTCCAAGGTCCGATACCCATGAGAAGCGGGGGCACACCGACGATGGATGCCTGAACGAACTTGCCAATGATTTGCTGGCCTAGTCGCTCGGCCGTGCTCCTCTTCATCAACAGGACGGCAGCTGCTCCATCGGAGACTTGGGATGCGTTACCGGCGTGAATCGTGCCATCCTTGGCGAATGCAGCGCGAATCTTGCCCAGCGACTCAGCAGTGACTTCACGAACTCCGTCGTCACGGGAGACGGTGATCTCCTTGGTCTCCTCGGTCTTTGGGTCCTCCCACTTGACCTTCAACGGGGCAATCTCCTGGTCGAACAGGCCCTTTTTCTGAGCTTCGATTGCCTTCTTGTAGCTGTTGGCCGCGAATGCATCCTGGTCTTTCCTTGAAATGCCCTTGTCCTTGGCCATTTGTTCGGACAATTGACCCATAGGCACCTTGCACTCTGCAGCGGACTTGTGGTTCTCAAGGAGCTCGCTGAATTCAGTGACAGCTCCTGGGCCATACTGGGTCGACATGCTCTCGACACCAGCACCAACACCGATCTCGATCATACCAGACTTGATAGCATTGGCAATGTCCGTAACGGCCATCAGACCGGAGCTACACTGTCGGTTCAAACTCTTGACACCAGTAGAGTCTGGGAAACCGGCTGCCAAAGCAGCAGCACGGAACTCAGTGGCGCCACCGCCTGGTGCGAGCACACATCCCACTGCGATATCCTCTACAAGCTTTGGGTCAATACCTGATCGCTGGATCAGATTGACAAAGGCGCCATGCAGCAGATCCGCTCCTGCTGTGTCCTTGAAGCCACCTTTTCCTCCTTTTGTGATGGGGGTTCGGAGAGCAGCAGTCACAACCACATCGTCGGGGTGTTTCTCGAGTAGCGATGGCCGGCCAGACGGCTGCATGTGAGAGGCGACTTGCGAAACGCGGGACTGCGCTGCGGACGTGGTACCTGCTTGGTTGGCCATTTTGCGAGACTGAATATGAGATGTTGTGATATGGTGAGGAACAGAGATTGAGGACAGTTTTGTTCACCTTGTGATGAGAAAACACCTGCTCCTCATGACCTTGTTGTTTGTCCTGGTGAGCAGCAAAGAAGCGAAAATTGGCCGAGGCGCCGAGGCAACATGTGATGAATGGAAGATGACGGCCATCACGTGATATTGGTAGACCTCACATGCAAATTTTGAATGTCTCGACTTTGTCGTGGTACAACGTCCATCTCGAACACAGCGTCAACTGCAGTGCGGTATGAACGGCCATGGCAGCGATGCACAACTGTGAAGGAGTGGCAGGGGACAGGCGCTTGTCCTGCCCGCTGCAGAGGTACCGATCCCTTGTCCGGCGGAGAACTCTATGGCATCATGTAAGCGGAAGCGAGCGCTCTGCCAAGCGCCAGGCTCATCCTCGAATGCAACGCCAAGAGCCCAACCGATTCCTGCGTGAAGCTGTCGTAGTACGTACTTGTGCACGCCTGCTGGGAAGGCTTCGGCTGGCATCCTGCGATCCTGTCGCGCGTGGCGAGACCAGGTCGTTTGGCCCAACCCTCGCAATCCCTTCCTCACTCTACCGCCCACCGTCCTCACGCGGCTGCTGTGGCTGTCCATGGGAATGCGTCAGGAGCCAGCCACCGACCTATTTCTTGCCCATGCTGACCTCAGTGGCCTTGAATTACGCTCTGCTCGGTGCCGAGCGTCCGCAGCTTGCAGCATCAGGCTCTTCAGCAGCAATGGGAGCAGCAGCGTAATCGCCGGCCCTGAGTTGGTGGTGTCTTGCTGGGCGCCTAAATATCGTGCGGATGAGTGACAGCTGGATTGTCGTGCGTAGTGCCGTGTGAGGCATGCCGGAACGGCAGCATAGCAGTGGCAACGTAACGGCGAGCGGTGCATTTCGCAGCACTTGTGCTTGCCTGTGAAAGGCAGGTCACTCGATGACATACGTACTCCTACCCTACAGAACTGTACCTCCTATGCGGGCACCGAGATTTTCGCTCAGCTGGCGCCACTGGTCGCCAATCCAAGAATACACCATCTGCTCGGACCGTCGTGGCAGAACCAAGAACACGCTGCGGATTACTACTCAGAGCCGGCCCTGACTTCAGCCCTATTCTCAGTCTTCGCAACACGGCGCCCGCTGAAGTGCGAAGGCACAACTCCGTGCGGATGGCGGGAATCGTTTCTCCAGGAATCAGGGCCACCATCGATCGGCACCGACCCGGAGTTGGTGTCCTGCTTTGATCATGCGGCTGAGGCATCGACTGACGCCTCCAACCAACAAGACAACGGCTGCGACACTCGCACCAACTGTGGTTGTCGAACCGCCAGCAGAAAAGACTTGAGGCGTATAACCTGGCACAAGTCTATTGCACATGCATTAGGGCGAACAGGATGCCGCTGTTCCAATCCACATGGCCTCTCAATCCGCGAGGCTCGTTATACTGGGCGCGAGCGTCATGATTGAGTGTAGTAGCGCAAAGGAGCGCATTGCATGCTGCAGGTTGCACATCCTTTGCCCAACACGAGCGGCAAAAGACTCGTGCTCAGGATTCTCTCCCCATGTCACTCGGCACGTACCAAGATGACAAGGCTGCTCGTGGGAAGGCAGGAAGCCACGACAAGGTGTCTAGCAGCTTGACGCCAAGGCATGGAAGTTTTGCTGCTCCGGGAACTGTTAAGCGACGCCGCAATCCTCCAAAGACAAGTGAGCTCGAGCCTTCGCCTTTTGATCCTACAGGATCTAGCGAACGACTGTCTTCTGCATCCTGGTGTTTATCCGAGTGCACACCCGTGTGTAAAGCAGCGGCAACCTTATCAAGCAAGCCACCAGAGACTGGCACCTGCTGAGAGGAGCCCGTCATCAGCCTCGCGATGACCCTTTGATGCTTTAACTGAATTTCGTAAACGACCCGGACGAGCTTGTCTCAGCTTGCGGCGCTTCGACTTTTGTTGACCTCATACATACATACTCCTTGCATCCCATATACCGCCAGCTATACGATCTCCCAGCATTCTGGCTACACACCCTCCTGCACTGCTACTTTAGGTTACCGAGTGGCTTGCCCACTTAAGCATCCTCATCCACGTGGGCCTCCAAGCCTGAAGAAATACGGCGATACGCCTAGGGTACCAATCCGCTGTGCCTCTTAAGTACAGCCCTTGCCCTCTTACAACCCGGGCGCAAGACCATCAGAAGAAGCCTTGCGCGCCTGAACACGGACGAATCAACCCGACTAGCACCTTCGTCTCCTTCAGCTTGGACCAACCGGCTCGACTAAAAAGTCTCGGTCTGCGAGACATTCTTCTCTCTACATGACCATGACGACTGCCACCAGAGACCTTTACCATGCGAGCGTCAAGCTGCCCAAGATCCACACGTCATACCAAATAACAGTCTCGCGGCCCTCAGCGTCACCACTATCCACATCGACTCGACCCTCCGCGATGCCGGTTGGCACTTCTCGAGAGCTTCCCATGCCGACGGTGACCCGTATCACCAGCCTTGGTCAAGCACAAGCGACACTACAACACTGCTCGACCAAACTTTCCAAGTCATGGCAGAACAACCCTGCGAGGAACTCGCCGCCAGGCTCTCCTCTGGATGCCAGCGACAAGCGCCACTTCCAACAGTGGCTCGATCAGTGGGAGCAAGCATTCACGGCATACCTTTCATATGCGATGCCGACAATGAAAGGGGACGAAATATCTCGTTCGCGGATCCTCAAGGCAAATCATCTGTCTTGCGCCATCCTCGCATCAGATCGTGGCCCACATCCATCTGCCTATCAGGTCTTCGACGCCGAGTTCCAAGCAATCGTCGAGCTTGCCGGTGCAGTGGTTCAGTCAAGACCGCAAAAGTCCGATCGGTCGTCCACCGAGTCTCCAACAGAAGCAGGTCCAGCTTCCAGCTCGCTCGATGTCCGAGAGCCGCTCTATGTTGTTGTAGCTCGCTGCGATCGTGCTTCAACCCGGAACCAGGCCTTGGAATTGTTGCGAAGGATTAGTGCTCGCTGAGTCTGCCTCGTGGACATGTCTATTTCTCAGGCGAATACCGTCCTCGGCCCGACGGTGTATTCGACGTTCGATACTACCAACGAAACAGTCCGCTGCACCGGGACGCCTAACTGGCCACTTGCCGGATCCGGTATGTGTGCTTATGGCGGTGGCCTGAGGTTTCGCAGGATGCGCTCGAAGTCCACGGCGGGAGATCATCCTAGGGTTGCAAATTCGCTTGGGAGCTGGAATCCTTCAGGTCCTTCCCGTGCCACGACACCACATGCCATGTGGGCCGCGCTTCTACTTCGGGTAAAGTCGGCGGCTGCAGTCTCAACGCTTACGCAAAATCTGGGTTTGGAACGGATTCCCTGAACCAGTCTATTCCTCTTTTAAGGCTGAGTCGATCACTACTCCAGCCCTCCTGACCGCCGAGCTCTACAACGCTACATGAACATCAAGTGGAGGGATGCAACAACACGACGCGGCTAAGGGTGCTGCTTGAGACATGCCAAGTCGACTCTCGGTCTGTACGATGATGGCAAAGCAGAAGACATGCAAACGGCTGGCTAAATGAGCCTGTGCCGCATTCCTTTGCAGATTCCGCAATTCTGCCGCAAGACGACGCTCGTATATGAGCGTCGTACAACGAAACGCCGGCCGGGGTTCCGTGGCATATCCGCGACAGCGTGTGAAGAACAAGCCGTGTGGCTTGTTCGTTCAGCTGTTCAGTACGCAGCAGTTGTGGGGATATGTTGCACGTATAGCGGAGTTGGACGCAAGAAGTCGGGGCAGAATGAATTCAATTCATGTCTGGGGTTTTGGAAGACGGCAAATAGCGTTGTTACTACATTTCGGAAAAGTTTCTGCCAATCATACTCAAAGGTTGTTCTCGAAAAGCGTTCATTCCACGACCTTTCATCTGACAGGCTGGATGACACTGTCGGAACGGAACAATTTGTACTATCCGATTGAGGAAGGCATATACCCCGGATGAAAACAGACATTCACTTCACTTTTCCAAGACCCACATAGCGCAGAGGGCATCGGTACACGCACTCGAAGTACGCTTTTTCTTACATGTCAGATATGTAATCCAGGTTGCATTCAGGAGAAGAATCGACCAGTGTCGTCAAAGCAAATTATAGCACTGCCCCATTGTGCCGAAGAAGCCGTATAGCGAAAGTAGGTACAGGAGTTTCAGGTCCACTCTGCGACCCCCCAATGCAACACCTTCTCGGCATCTCCCATCCATCTCATTTCAAGAGTGACCTATAGGCAGTCTGCCAGTCCGAAGCATTATGCACAAGAAGAACTTTCAATCGTTACACACCTAAAGGTCTGGCCCGCCCTGAAGCCTATTCGCTGGACCCTCGAGATCCTACTCATTCCTTCCCGGAGGTGGAGGGTCGGGTGGCTCGCGCGATGAGCCTCTTGTGATGTCTGCCTGTGATGTCGGCTTTAAGGACTGTACGACTTCTTGTTTGCTGTTCTCAGATTCCATAACATTTTTGCCATCGTTGCCGTGTCATACTGCGGTTGCAGTCAGGAGCACATCTTCGCCACAGCCCAGCGTCATCAGGACAACAAGAATAGATGCGGCACAGCATTTCGGGCACCGAAGCACCAACAAGTTGACATCATCCAAGCAACAACAAGAAACCAATAGCGACCAACACATCGGCTGCGTCCGAGGAGGATCGATTCAACCCGACGACAATGCCATCAGGACCATTGAGAGTGTAAAATTTTGCGAAATCTTCCTTGGGCTAGGCCATACCATCGGACCAACGTCCTGTCCTCTCACCGTCTTACTGTACTCCGGTCACAGCCTAATGATCTCACATGTACGATAGGAGTCCGCGTACAATCCTTTACGAGCGAGCGAATCGTCCCACAAAGCCACAGCCTACGTACCGCAAGCTCCTTCGAGAAGCATGCAGCGAACAACCATGTAAGAAAGCGAAACCCCGAGATGGCATTGTAATCAAAGGACATGAAGGAGCTTGCACGATCCATGGAGGCTGATGGCAGGACCGAGTCTCACGCATACGCATCCTGTCCATCGCGATGTTCGCTCCGTGCTACGAGCTCCGTGTTTCGTCGAGGATCAAGTCAGTCGTCCAGGGCAAGATGTCGGTAAAACAAAAGCAGAAGACAATCCGAAACAATTCGCATAGAGTATGACACGGGATGACGATGACATATCGTCGTCCTTCAGCCCTATGAGAGATCAATCCTCTTCCCGTGAAGACAAGCCTCTCGTAGGGTCGGTGTACGAGTTCCATCAGTGAACGGAGTATGCCGTGAACATTTCTTTGATGACTTCCACAAACGGAAATGAGTATGAGATTGCGGATGACAGCAGGGCCTTGCCATCCTCCTTCCTTTCGGATCCCGGACGTATCGAAATACCGAAGTGACTTTTATGCTGTTATCTCGAAGATATTGGCACGCCTGAGTCGCCGCTAATTCTTTCATTGTAGTCGTGACGATCACAGCCGTATCCCCATCCAAAGACAGCAATTCTTGCGACAAAGTCGACGCCAGAGCTCCAATGCCCATTCTCTCGGCGCCAACGCCCAACGCCCAGGCCCAGGCCGTTGATCTGCGGAACGAGCAAAGAAGGAAGGAGGAGGATCACTTTTGACACATGGCGCAAGTCGTGCATGTACTGTACCCGCTCCTCCTCTCCTTGCTGCATGCAGGAACGAAGCACCCAGAGCGTATGCGCATTTCTTGCTCGATCAGGCAAGTAGTCGGCTGGTTAGTGCCCGTCTCACCTGCGTTGACGAGATGAGGTTGGCCGCAGTTATCCGCTTGCGTGCCTTTGGATGACAAAACTTCCCGAGGAGATGCGAGGTCGAGGAGGGAGCTCGTCGTCAGCTCGTGCATGGATTTGTGCGGAAAGTGAGTGTATATATTGATTAGTAAAGCATTTTCTGTACATACGGCCACAGGCAGATGAATATAGACCATCCCGTCCGCTCTGGTGTACTCAAGCATCTGACCGCCTGATTAGTACTACGGTGGGTGACCACGTGGGAATACCGGGTGCTGTATGTTTTTGTCTTTTCTTTTGCAATTTCTTTGGGCGGTGGATATTTTTTTGCATGGGCTTTGAATTTCGCATTTATCGGAGATACAATTATCCGTGACTACTTGGCCCTTTTGGGCTAGATTGAACTATAAATCTCCAACGTCAGGTCTCGAGCTTTACCGTCAAGACTGCAGCATGTGTTTTTGTTCTTTGCAACGACGCCAGGGATCTTTCTCATCATCTTCAAGTCATTTTCAAGTCACCTTCAAGTCTTCTACTCTCCAGAAAACTTGGAGCATCATGTAGTCACAATCCTCTCCAACAGACGAGTTCCGGCCATGGCATACACACTTTGACGCAGAAACTTGAGAAGTGTGGATTGCTCGAGATGAGGTGACGCCTCAAAGATCATTACGGTCCGCACCAAATGAGTATACAGCGCATGCATCATTGTGGCTGAAGTAAGATTGGCTTTCATCTAGATTAAGTCGTCTAGATTCATGATGTTTTCATTCCGGCATTCTTGGCACATATTGGACTCTGATCACAACAGCTATGGCTCAATGGGTTGATGAGCCTATCAAGTGAACCTAAAGAGCAACTGCTGTGTCTCGTTGCACTCCGATAGTGGTCATCTGCAATATCTTATTGCCGTTGAGCATGGGACCTCCAACGTGATGCCGATAACATGTGACAACAAGTGAGAGAGAGTGCATTCTCTTCTCTCCTTCTCTTCTCACAACTACCAACGATCTCGATACGACCTCCTACAGCACCTGAACTAAGCTCAGAACATGGCGGATATGACTGTGAACAGGCTTCGTCGCGATGGTATGACCAGACAACCGATACTGTGAACACCGGCTAACTTCAACGACGGTCACCACCTGCGCCAACGAGTGTTGGCAGGCCACCAACTCCAGCAGGCAGTTGGTCCACTCTCACTGCCAAATGTCAACCCATTCCTGCGCCCTTTCGACAAGCGCGTGGAAGTTCGCACGACCGACTGGACAGTGACGAGTGTGGATATGGACCCTATGACAAAAACAAGCACATCATGGTCAGAGGCGAGGATGGCAGTGGCGAAGAAAATCCCGAGGGCTTCTTTTTTCACTTCCGCAATGATTACGGGTCGCCCGTATACCAAGCTTTGAAGTTGGACTTTTCGAAGGTTCGATGCTTTGCAGGTTGCTGCGTAGGAGAGGAAAACTGTCCACCTGCGCCTTGTTGATTTCAAGCTACAATTCAAAATCCCGAGGTCGTTCTTAGTCTACGATCCAGCAGTGTTCACTGTCGAAAGTTTCGTCAAACAGTTAGCATCTTCCCAGAGAAGTGCATCATGATGTACCCCATAATTCCTTCGTGGCTTCCTTTCATACTTTCGAGTGCTAGGACTCTTCGAAGTTTTTGTGCTGTATTGCTAAATAGCAAGTAGAGAAAAGGGAAGGAGCACTTGAGGCGTTCTTGACATGTGATGCGCGCGGGCTCGGTTTATTACCGATGCGATGGCCGACCTTATTATGTCTGTTCTTGACATCAAACCTCTATCATCTTCTTCATCAAACCATCATTGTTGCAACGACTGTGATATCGCCTCCATCGCCGCCACCTGCTTGTTCATCGCGCCCATCAAGAGAGCGATATCCCGCCCTGCCATTGCAAACCGTATGCAAGGATGCCGCTGCGCCAGCTTCTCCAGGAGATCCGGTCTAGGCTCAAGCCCTCCAAGCCCAACGAAGACTTTCCGGCCATCTATCGACGCCTTCTCAGCTGCATCAGCAATGCGTGCAACTGTATTCTGGAAGAGGTCGGTATCGTATTGTCCAGGGATTCCAAGCCTGTTCAAGAAGTGTCAGTCATGAACGGGCACCTGGCGTGCATAGGCAAGTTTCGACGAAACATACTCCATGCAAAGATCCGCGCAGCCTATGAATAGTGCATCAATTCCTGGCACAGCAGCTATTTGCTCAACATTCTCGACGCCCGTTGTGGTCTCGATCATGGGCATGATCATGACAGCATCGTTGACCACGGTCGAGATTGTCGAGTAGGATAGCCTAGTCTCGTACTGGGTCATTGCTGAGACCATCGTCACCGAACGATGTCCCTGGTGAATTCTCTTAGCTCTGTGTTTTGTCTACTTTCAAGTTGGAAGAGAACACTTACCAATGGCGGAAACTTCGCTGCATCAACGCACATATTTGCTTGCTCCACGGTGTTCACATGGGGCACAATAATGGTCTGGGCACCTGAATCGAGACATCGAGATATCCATTCTGGCGAACAGGTGGGGACAACCACGGTCGGGGAGATTCTGAGAAAAAACGGAAATGTTAGTACTACTGATACCGAGGCTTGGGACTGAGGTGCGACCTACCCAATGTTTAAACAAGCAACAGCGATGTCCTTCATGGTCTCGATGCTCATAGCCATGTGCTCCAAGTTCATCAAGACAGCCGAGTAGCCGGCCCGTCTCGCGATCAGGGGCATCTCCGTGGAGAAGGCTATCCTCAGGCCGAACGAATACGCCAACTTATTTTCAAGCATGAGCTTCTTGACCAGGTTCGGGCGACATACTTCTCTGGCCAAGACGATCTTTTCGATGGAATCTCCGTTTGCTGTCGCCATGCTTGGAAGAAGATCTCAGGATACAGGCAGGCGATGGGGTAGATTGCGGAACGAGTTGGAAGTTGGAAGTTGGAAGTTCGAAGTTTCCCCCTTTTGGCAACTTGTCCTCGTCTTCAAGCTCTTTTGGTCCCTCTCACTCACTTTCCTTGATTACTGTTGAGTGTGTACTTGTTGAAGTACTAGTTTTTACATGGCCGACTTGCCCTATCCGAGATAGGCAAAATAGGGGCAACGCAGCGCGGCCAACGACGATATCACGGCATATGATTTCAAGACTCGGCCAGCGGCCAAGGTGTCTTCAAAGATACCCGTAAACTCGCCATACAAACCCCGTGTGCGCTGCATCGATAACAAGGAGCAGGGCCGTCCACAGGCGACTATGGTCTTGGCACTAGATAAGATGTCTATGTCTCAGCGCTTGTGCTCAACAAAGCCGTTCCTGTTCTGGTCTCATCTTCTTCAAGAACTTCAGCTCTTACCATGGATGACGACAAGAAGACCGCAACGGTCAGCGCAGATGCTGTGCCTGACATAGCAGTTGGACATCAAGAACCACAGAATGTGTCTTTCTGGACGAAGTTGGTTAGCCACATTTGGGACTCAGACCAGCATTTGAAGAGCCCGGAGGTCTGTCTGTTCAAAGTAAAGATCTCAAAGCATAGCTCACCCTCTGCTAGGAACGAGCCCTTGTAAGAAAGCTGGACTTTGGCATCCTGATATGTGCCACACTGGGCTGGGTCAGTATCGTCCACCACCCTCACGCTACCGATGTCTTCGCTGACGAACATGTTCTGTAGTGGATCAAATGTAGGTGTTCACGAAAGACCAACGAGGAACCAATGGCAAGCTCCCGCTCACCACAATATCTGCAGATATTGATCAGGGTAACCTCGCGAATGCTTGTACGCTCTCCAACACAAACACCTCCACTGACGTACAGTCCGATGCTAACGTGCCATAGACGTGAGCGGAATGAAAGAAGACCTCAACATCCAAGGAAACGAGTACACCTACATGCAAAGTGAGTCCGCTGCATCCTTCCTCCTTTCATCGACTGACAATACCAGTGTGCTACACCATCTCGTTTGCGATCATGCAGATACCAGCGAACATAATCGCCCTGAAGGTCCGCCCTCGCATCTGCATTGTCATCTGCGAGCTGGGCTGGACAGTCTTCACGTGCGTACAGTGAAAATTCGTGCCCCAACAGCAATCTCGACTGATGTTATGACAGGTTCGCTCAAGCTGGAGCAACGAGCTCTTCTCAAATGTATGCTTTTCGGTTTCTGGTAGGACTTTTCGAGTCCGGCTTCTCCCCGATCATCATCTTCTTGCTTGGGTCATGGTACACGAAGACCGAGCTCGCCAAACGAGTTGCCATCTGGCACGTAACGGGCTTCTTTGGGCAGGCTACAAGTGGTATGGATCTCTTTGTCTTTATCGCTGAGAGGAGGACAAGGAGACTGACTTTGGCAGGTTTCCTACAGGCTGGCATATATGCTTCACTGGACGGACACCTTGGCTTGCCCGGTTGGAGGTGGCTTTATATCAGTGAGCTGAATCATTTCATAGTGATTTGCTGGAAAGTAGTACTTACCACTCATAGTTTGCGGCTGCATGTCGTTACCAGTCGCCATATCAGTGTGGTTCTTGCTTCCAGACTATCCCCACAACACCAAAGCATGGTACATCACAGAAGACGACAGACGGCTCGCGATGCACCGTGCGGCAAAGCAAAACAAATCTGAGATCACCGGTGTCCTGGATCTTAACCTGGTCAAGCGAATGTTTGGTAGCTGGCGTTGGTGGGTTCTGTGCCTGATGTACATCTTTGTAAGTGTGAGCCCCTGAGATTGTTCGCGCGGCTGCTGACCAGGCTTTCTCCAGTATGGCAACTCATGCCAGTCCAACCAGTATTTCTCAATCTATCTCAGTAGGTCCAAGTGCAGACGAAACGGAAATCAGAATTCGCTGACCGGAAACAGAGAGCGCCGGGTACAGCGTGTCACAACGCAACGTTATACCAGCTTCGCCAACCTAGTCACAATGGTCAGTGACTTTGGCTGGGGCTTCGGCTCAGGCATGACCGGGAATCGAGTCTGGTGGATCATTGGTCCGCTCCTCATCACGACCCTGCCTGGTGCTTCGATACTTACCGCTTGGCCCGGTGAGGATGCGGCTCGAGTCGCTGCGTTCTTCCTGGTGGCGTGCGGCTATGTCACCGCCGTGACATGGAGGTGGGCGAACGAAGTCAACTCTGGAAACGCCGAAGAGCGTGCTTTGACCATCTCCAGTATGAACGGGCTGTTCTACGCTACTAGTCAGTGATTGAGTGTTCTGTCCGAGGCATTGGTGAGGAGATACTGATCCTGCGTTCCTAGACTCCTTCCTGCCGATCTTGATCTTCCCACAGACTACGGGGCCCAGATTCCCTCGAGGATTTCCATCAATCATTGCGTTCACGGTAGCAGCTATCGCGTTGACGTGTAAGTGCCACAATCGCAGCCCCCGTACAGTGTGATCTTCGCTGTTAACCCTTCCAATCCAGTGCTCGCCGACTTCCTCCATAAACGGCAGCTGAGACAAGAAGCAGCAGCCTCTACAGCTTCTGAGTTACAGGAGAGTGATCCTCAAGATGCTGTTGCTATGGACACAGATTTGGACAAGGGCAAGGCTGGGGACGCAAGTCGACTCTCGACATCCTCGATCGTTTGAAACATGAGAGGAGGATTAGAAGGTCGCATCCCACAGGATTCGGTGCGGATATCTGCAGTCATTTGGTCTATCAGCCTGTGCTTTGTGGAGCGCCATAAGTTTGAGGCAAAGGTCAAGATGTAGACTGTGGATGGCGTTCCCAAGGCATCGACCAAATATGTCTCTGTAGTGAAGGTCTGGGGATGTCCGTCGTGATGCTGCTTTTCTCCACAATAACCTCAACTCAGACGATATTCGATGAATGGACTCACCGGTATGATACTCCTTCTGCATTTACCAAATCCTTTGCACTATGTCGTACAGCCAGACTTCTTTGTCTGTTATGAAACGCTCACCGGTATTGCTCGAAGTTCAACGACAACTTCCCTTCAGCTGGCACAGCGACGCTTGTTCTGGCGGTGTTGGTGTCCTAACACGAGGTTTCGTGCTTCAATGTTGAGTTGTGCACAGTCGAGCAAATGGAGCAATGAAAGTCCGACGATAAGGTCGCTGGTCTTCGTCAGGGGTATAAAGGAGCAAGACAATCTTCTCAGAGTGATCTAATTCTTACCGGCATATCATCGTCACTGATTCCAAAGTCACCATCAAACGTTCCAAGATATCTGTCAACCTCGTCAACTCTAAAATGCAAAACAATCTCAATCTTGCCAGCCTCGCCGCTTTGGCGGGCCTTCATGCCTCAACCCAAGCCATCAGCATCGGCTTCGGCCAACAAATCATCGAGCATGGCGGCAACAAGTGCCTCGAGTGGACCACCTGGGTGCACGGCGAGAGCGCATGCCCGGAAGCTCACGATCTCACGGCTCAGCAAAACGATCCATGTAACATCGAATTCTCGCACTGGGGCACCACCTTCAAGTTCTTGGACTGCAGCAGCGATAACATCCCTGGCGCGGTTATTGATGTTACGCATCCTGATGTCGAGGTGAGCTGCAGTAGCAGCAATGACAAGAAGGTCCATTGCCATGGGGATCAGCATGATATTATCCAGAAGGTGCAGTGTGTGGACTGATAAGGATGAGATGAGCGCGGCGGCCATGCAACGGGACGCTTGTATCGGACATGGACGAGGATGGCAAGGCGATTGCTCTCGAGTGGTGAAGCGATGCGAAAGCAAAGGGTTGATGTATTTGGAAGTCTGTCGTTTCTATGAATGATGATGTGAACTATATGGTGCGCTTAGCAGCAAGGGGACATACGATAGTCGATTTCTCACCTTATCGCCCTCCCCAACAGCCGTGACAGGGTGTGTCATGTGAATCAAACGATTTGTGAAGATAAATAAAACCAGGACGCACATGTGGTATCGATGCTCAGTCTGTCTTTAGAGTGAGCAGTGTACTCTTCATTGTGTCTGAAGTTACTCCGATGTCGTGTGTTTAGTTCTCTGACGCATTCTCCCATACTGTGGTCTTGCACGAGAAGACCTATTCGAACTGACTGCGAAACCGGAGTACCCTGCCTGCCGTTGGCGATAACATCTCCAGTCTGTCTGGAATATCCGCGTGTTCCATTCGAGGAAGAATGTCGGAGTTTTCTGAGCCGAAGCCGACGGTAGCCGTCCTTCGCCGCCTGGTTTGTGAAAGTGTCGAAAATCGCAAATGTTGCTTGATGATCATCGCTGGTTGATTGCTTTCATGGTTCATGGAGTCTTGTGGCACACTCCGGCGAGATCAGGATGTGAACTCATTGGGCCAGCACTTCTCCTTCGTCCAGGCGGCAGAATGAGTGTCGGCATGCTGCTCCAGAATCTTGAGATTCGTGTTGTCCTGGAAATTCGGTCAAATCACATTACGGCTTAGTATGCACTCGTACAATACTCACAAGCTCCTTGCGACAGAAAGCGCAGATGGACTTTGGCTTTGCAGCCTTCACAGGCGTGCCATTTGGAAGCACGGCAGCGCGAGTACCGGCGGCGTCGCCCTTCTTGTGCTCCTTCTTGATGCGGTCTTTCTTGGTGATGGGCATTTTTGGCTACTGTCGGATGTGTTGTGTTGTCGTGGAGGGAGATGTGAGAACTGGTCGTGTGTGTTGAGAGATGAAGTGGAATCACGGTGGACGTGTCGTGGCGCGTGAAGAAAGAAGACGGTAGATAGCGGATTTCTCGATGAGATTATTCGCGGTCTCTCAGGGGGAGAGAAAAAGTTTTTTACTGTTACAGTCACGTGCAAGTCTTGGCGAGATCGTTGCCTCGAATCTGCAACCGACTCCATCCGAACTTCACTCCCTTCACTCACTCAGTTCCACTTCGCTTTCACGTGCTTGAAAGCCGTTCATTGGCAACAACATCGAACGTCACACCTGTGGCGGCAACAGTGGTACATGGCTTCGTGATGCGGATCAATTCTCAGTCTTCACGTAAATCGCGCAGCGCAGCCACGCGTCGGGGCATGTCGGACAGTTTTGGATTGTTCGGGTTCCTTGAGGCCTGGTGGTCAGCTCCAAGAACAGCCTGGATCTTCATCAAGTTTCGAAGCCATTCAAACAAGCGGCCTTCCTCGGTCGTATCCAAGTGTCCCACATCTGGAGAGACTTCTGACACGAGCGTGATGCTGGTACCTGACACATGGACCCTCTCACAGTCGGCCATCTGGCTGTTCTCTTGGCAAAGATAAGGACCTCACATTGCTTCTCCCACAAGTTCCAAATAACCTCTCTCTAAGAAGCTCGAGGCGCCACTTTTATGAGCAACTCGTTAGTATCTTTACGGATCGGCCTATTGCGTGTTCCTGTCAGCCCTGGGCGCTGCCGGTCAGTCTTATGCTTTTTCATCCCTGCGTCGATCGATCGTTGTGTCCCCCGACGATTCAAGCGCCGTTCAGCCATCACATCATGCTCGGCATCCGTAGTTAAATCAGATGTAGGGACCTGTGTTTGTTTGAACTCAAAAGATCCTCTTTACTTTTACAATACTTCATAGCTCTTCGTGGTCGTTTTCTGAGAAGTAGATCAGAATCCACCCTTTTCAGTTCGAAGGCTGTCAACGACAAACCAGAAAAGATGGCACAAGCAGAAACATACCTCGGGATCAGCCCAATCCAAAGCCCAGCCGAACTCCCCAACGACAATCCGTACGACAACGACATCTTAGTGGAAAATACCCGTCGTAACTCGTTACAAGCGCAAGACATCGTTCCAGAAGGCATCAAACAGACAATACTGGACAGATCGACTGATGCACAATCGTCATGTCGACGGTGCTCGGGCGATGGCACCGTCGCAAAGCCTTGCCGATTCTGTAACGCGACAGGCAAGGTCCGAAAAAGAAGTAGCTGCGTAGACTGCGAAGCCGAGAAGAATGGCTGTGGGAATACGAATTGCAAGTCCTGTTTGGGGTGTGTACACACTGTAGGACATGCCTGTGCACGGAGCATGGCTGACCATTCAACAGAGTTGGACGGGTCATGTCGTCGAATGACTGCGAGACCTGCGATGGTAGTGGCAAAGGACTCTCCCTAACCTGCGGAGACTGTGGTGGTTGTGGTCATGGAAGCCCTTCGAATAGTGCTCGATCTAGTGTCGACTCCAAGTGCGACTCGATCCCAGAGGAGAATTAGTCCGCCTTGTGGCTATAGCCGGGAGAGATTGGACTATGTATGGCTTTTTGTATTAGTACGAAACCATTCTTTGGAGAAAATTTCTCGCAACAACATGATCATATTTGTTCCTGTCGTCGAATCGATCTATAATACCCCTGCTCTTAAATCATCGGGTTGACATTCAATCTACCCTCGTCTTTCCACTTCAAGCAGAATGAAGACGGTATTCGCTCACTTGAACTCCTCAGCGACGTTCTCCACGGCGTCCTGCCACTCTTTAAGACCGTATTTCTCCACAAATTTCTCGCTGGCCATCTCCATCAAGTCCTTAACAAACCCCTCGTTGACAGTTTGCCCTTCCAGTCTGTAGTCCTTGCCCCTGGAAAACCACAGGCGTTAGTACCAGTATATTAATCATGACGGCGAACCACAGTGTGCATAACTCACCCAATACCAACAACATTATGCTTCGAACAACCCTTCGAAGTTGCCGTCTCGGTGCCGTTGACCTCTGGCATCTTCTCAACGTCACGCTTGCCAGCACCAGGGTCTGCAGAACCAATGACCTGGCAGACACTACCGATTCCCAAGATCGTAGCCGTGCGGAATGGGCTATTGTAGACACAATCGTTGATGGCGTACGTATTCTTGCAGCCACCCCACTCGCCACCCGCGAGAAGTTCGTGGAGGTTGAGGGTACCTGCCGGTCCAGCACTCAAGCCTTGGGCGTACTTGAAGACGGATGATGCAGGAGGCTCTTCACAGCAGATGGCTTGGCCGATATTCTTGCACGCGAGGGATGGGCGTGTGCCGCTGTTCTATGAGAAGAGATGGATGTGATTAGGGTGTAGTCCTGCCGACCAAGTTTTGGAGCTGCTTACGGTGTTGCAAGAGGGATTATCCTGAGCATAGTAGCGGATAGTGAATCCGGATGCTGCCTGGGCGAGGGGTGAGCAAGCTAACGCGAGCAATGCGAGGCTCTGTAGCGAGGATTGTGCGAGAGGCATTGGGCTTGAGTGGAGGAGTCGAGAGGAGGTATTTGATGTGATCGTGCTGGATACATGTCTACACACATACTTATGTACTCACTTCAGACTTCTCCTTCTCAGAACCGTGAAGCCCCTTTCACCTCAACAACTACGTAAGCTATCCTGCCAGGTGGCTGCTTGTGCCCGCCTCTAGAAAGGCTTTTCGTAGTTAGTATCCTTTGAAGTCGTCGCCTGGTGTTGCAAATTGGAGAGTTCAAGGTTCTCTTTCGGACCGTTGGCTGGACGTTCTCATCTTGCATGCTAAATCCAGAGAAGTATCCTCACCGGCATGAGAATAGGCTCCATGTGGAGAGGTCTATTCGGCAAGGATAACAGTGCTTAGGCCATCAGTGGGCACGTTGGATCCTTTGTCTGCGGTTATAATAGAGGAGAACCATGAAGTCATGCAGGATGTGTTCGAGGCTGACTTTGGCATGGGGAGGCGTGCAGCAATACGGTCGCGGGGGTTTTGCAGACTATGATTGAATGTGAGCGATAAGGCGGATACAGGAGGATCAGACGTACACTCATACACTTGCGTTGAACTCATTCTCTCGACCTCTTTCCTTCCACTCATAGCCGACCAAACTCAGGTCTGCGTCCTTGCTACTCCTGTCAATGACAAACACTATTGTGCGGATTTCGCCGTGCTCTTGCGCTAGACTAAGACAACCACGGTGCTCTTGGTGGTCTGCAGCCGTTGAATGACCTTCTCGTACTTATAAGTGCCTGAGAAGCTCATCCCTATTCTGCACCACGTCCCACCCTCGCATTTAGACAAGACGATCCCTACCACGAATGATATTCGTCTCGGCTCCTCGTCAATTTCCAGGAATATTGAGAAGAATGCCAGATCCATCTTTCGAATGACTGCTTCTGGCACATCGGGTTCATCAAGGGGACAAGACAGTGTTCCTTCGAGACCTGCGATCTGGAGCCTCACTTGTGAACCGCTTTCTCTCGAAGACCAAGTCAAGGGCAGGAGTTTGCCAACACAAGCCAGAAAGCGCCGGCCCTCGTTCTCGCCACGGCATACCACCGCGGCGAGGAGTTCGCCAGCCTTAGAGCGATTCATTGATTCGTCGAAGTAAAGCTGGCAATCCATCGAGACCCAACTCCAGCTTGGGGCGCGATACTCGCTCGCACGGCCCAGTTGTCTTGCCTCGTAAGTTACCTGCCAACACAAGGCTTTAGGCAGCTGGCGCCAAAAGAATCCTTCAACGAAGTCATCCCCAGTGAGTCTGGCGATCCTGTTGCCGATACCTTGAATGGCACGCGGTTTGTCTGTTTGCGGCTTTGTCAGACCGCATCCTGAGTACACGGTCATAATGCCGTTCCAAAGCTCGTTCAGATTGCCCTGATACTCTTCAAGTCCGGCCGGACGCAAGCTATTGATTGAAGGGCATGTGAGTTTCCAGCCGGAACCGGGGTACTGCTCACACAAGAGCGGTGCTTCCGCGCACTGCCACCACAACTGGTCTTTCCCGTAGTGCAGCATTCGAGGCGACAGTAATCGCTCCTGCACGACCCAGGCTCGAGAAAAGAGATGCAGGTTATTGAATGCGGTGTTCCGGTCCCGGTAGAAGTCGGTCAGAGCATACATCTGACTGGGCTCATTCTTGGCCGCCTTCCAATGCAGAAAGTGCGTTCGAATGAATTCAGATCGGGGCTGGAAACAGCCTTCTTGCGAGGATGATGCGTGGGAAGCGCCGATGTTGAGCAGACTGTTGGCATAGACGGTCTCCATGAGAAGCGATTCCCGCTCCCAATCCTGGACACTCTCCGGTGAGGACCCTTGCAAGATGCAAAAACTGTCGATCCACACGTATCGAATGCCAAGATGTTGGCAGACCTCGCAGAAGTCTCTGAATGAAGGTGGTAGCTCTTGGATGGGTCTTCCGACCATGAATTCGTTGATGTTGCTCGGTGTGAGGACGTCGATCGGATGGGTGCCCCAGCAGTGACTGAGTGTAGCGAAGGGTCCTTCGGGCATCTCATCTCTCGTCTTCACCAACCTAACTCGATTGCCGTCTATCACAAGCAGTCTCGTCGGGTATTGCTCAGGGGTCCTGCTGACTCGACAACTTTGATGTTGACCACAACATTCATCCAACCAATACTTTGCAAGATCGAGACAGTGGCGTCCGCCAGTGGTAGGTTCCATCAAGGACAAATTGCTCAACTCGAACACTTTTGACGCTTCATTCACACGCTCCAAATGGAACATCGCTACTCTGCTTCGATCTTTCATCCCTAGGGGCATAACCTCCAGCCTGTTGAAAGCCTGTCTTGTGGTGAGGACCGACATCGTGTAGATGGTGCCTTGGTCAAGGTCTGGGAATCTGTGCAGTGTGCCGGAGCAGATGAAACAGCCGGCAGCGGCTGCCTCTCGCAGTGCGGGTGCTGTGAGGTGGTGTTCGAGCCATTTCTCGCCGGATACGACCACGAATCCGATCCTGATTGATGTTTTCGATAGCCAGTGGTCGAGAGCGTTGTCACCGAAGATGGATGTGCAGCGTCCGCAGAGCATCGTGGATATCAACCTCAATCTAATTGCAGGAGATCATCAATATGAGTATATTAAAGCCATCATTGTTCAGTGGAGGACGTGTTAACTTCAATGTTTGGTCCTCTGGAGCTCAGCTGGGCTGGAATCTAAATTTAGCCTGCATGCATGTGGTGAGTTGCTAGCAGTCGAAGACTGTGTAATGGCGACCACATTGGCCGTCACCCTCCAAAAGCTACAATACTGCCCTCGTCGTCCCGCTCAAAGTGCAACGCATGGAACCGTAATCTCTCAGTGCTCAGAAGCAACTGATCGCTACATGGCAGCCTCGGTGGCTTAGACAGCTTGCGGACGACGGGGATATGTAGATGCTTCACACTAACCGAAACAACCACTCTTGAGGGATGATATACTGCGATGAAGAACCGTTGTGTTGCTTCCTCTGACAGGTGAGGTTGGAGGTGGAAAGGACGCAAAGCAGGGGTCACCATGTATTTGGCTTTAGCGCTAGAGCTGAGCTAGACCGAATCGGGACGTGGGGGCACATATCTGATCTCCTGTTAAAAACGAGCGGCAGGTGGACTACACAGCTATGTAAAGACCGACATTGGATACCAAGACGACATTCTGGCGCAACCTCATGTTCACTCAACCTCGCGTGTGCTACCGATTTAGCCCCTTTGCTCCTGGTCGACTAACACTGTCTCTTGCCGAGGAACATCCTCTTCCACGCAGAACGGGTGCTGTAGCAATCGGGCTAGGCAGGGAATCAGTCATAGATCCACGATTGGTCTCTAGCTCGTGTACCTACAGATGGCTCGATTATGTCGGACTCGGTATCACTGCGCTCCTCAACAGCAGTGCCATCAGTCTCTGGAGCGGCTCCAGGCTTCGACCAGCTCGAACGAGTCGAGTAAGAATCAACTCCATTGGGCTGTTCCAGTCGTTAGAAGATGTTTGAGAGGAACGTTACTGCTTGGACTTACGAGCTTCTCGACAGGAGACGCAGCAACGAGGCTGGTGGTGAGGCCGAGAGCGAGAGTGAGGAGAGTGAACTTCATCTTGCTTGACTGTTGGAAGTGATCGTGTGTGGTGTTGGGTTCTGGGAAGGGCCGAGATGCCTTACTTTATGTGAAGGCGATCATTGTGTCTGATAAGCCCAGGTCTATTGGCATACTCATTGGGAAGAATATGCCGATGCATCGACAAGAGGAGAGTCACATTGTTCGCCTTCGTGCGGCGTAATGTAACCTCGTAAGTTCAATATTCGATAAGGCGGTCAGCTTATGAGTAAAGAAGTTACAGAATGTACGATATGACGACTTCGACGCTATCGAAAGGATGCATGAGCTCAACTTGTGACCATCCTATACCGCGGCCTGCGCATACAGGGGCTGGGCGACTTCTCTCTGTAATTTCAGACACTCCAAAGAAGCGGCAATGTTTTCAGCATCATCTCCAAAATACTCCTCTGTGGCGGATAACGAGCTATGCGACTACGATGACCGCAAGATCCCGAGGTCCCATTCAACGCACATTCTGCCAGCTCTCTTGATACTTTCTCTGGTCGCCAACGTCTTTCTTTCGGCGAAGCTCCTCTATCAAAGCCCTTCATGCCGGGCGGTGTCAGACATGGGACAACTTCTTTACTGTAAAGTCTCAACGAAAAGGGCACGTTGCCGCAGTTGCTGACCATCCAAAGCCCCAGCAGCCAAAGCTCTACAACATGAGCCACTCGTCTTCCGAGGAGACTTCGGCCTGGACTCCTCTCCCTATTCCGGCGTCCCCGACGAGGCGTCCAATTCACATTGGCAGGCCTTGTACGATTGTACGTGTCAGAGATGGCAAACGATATCTTGATCTGACCTGCAGCAGTTGGCATATCCCGCATCAGCACAGACGAGGCGAGGGACTTGGTGAACAAGACACTTCCAATCCCGGACGACCACGGCTACTACATCACGTCGCTATCAGTCTTCCATCAGCTGCATTGTTTGGTCAGTTTCCGGTGTGGCTTGTGAGCATCAAGCCTGGCTGACACTAGCAGAACAACGTCCGACTAGCAGTCTACAACGGCACGGACTGGACAGATCAAGACGAGCTCATGGCCATCACCCATGTTGATCATTGCATCAACGCGATTCGACAGAGCCTTATGGTGGGTCAATGAACCGTGAAGCGTATGCATATGCTGATCGACCATGCTTCACAGTGTAGTGCTGATATCACGCCGCTGGTATGGGGTCGACGCTCGCTCGACGAACGTGCGAAAGAAGTCATGGAAGTGGAGCACTCATGTCGCAATTTTGAGGCTGTCAAACGTTGGGCGGCTGACAGGCAATTGCGGACCAATTTTGACTTTACTGCCATTGTCGAGGACGACCCTCTACAGTGGGGTGCGTGGACGCTATAGGACATACTCGTTTTCAGGAGCTGAGGTCGAACATCAACTTTCAAGTGGACTTTGTACGACGGCTTCGTGGATTGAAGTGACCAACAACCATGGCAGATGGAGCAAGCCTGTCCGAAGCCCGACATAAACCACACAGGACACTGTTGGAACTGATTGCCATCTGCGACCTGCCTCATGGGGACATGCTGGACAAGGTACCTCTTTCAGAAAGCCTCGATTGGAAATGGTTGAGCGGACGCTGACGCCCCAAGTCAAACCCCATGTCCTGGTAACCGCAACTATCCCTAATACCTGCCATCTTGTCTTCTCCCAAATTGACTGCCTTTTTCCAGCCCCAACATGGCGGACCAAGCCTACAAAAAGCTGCTCGGCGATGATGTTGATTCAGTCGAACTCGCTGCGAGCAGGAGAGACATCGCAGACAGGCGATCTCTAATGCTCACTGTGTGCAATCTCGTCCTGTTTTGCTGCTCCGCCCTGCTCTTTATTCTATCGATGCGTTCAGTGAACGTATCCTCGGACGCAAAGTCTTCAACAACGGTTACGCATGCCGATGACCTCGGATACCAGCGATTGTACTGTAAGTTTGCCATCGCGGTAAAGACCTGCTATGATAACCATGCTAATTCTCCATCAGCACCACTATGGGACGCCGTCGAATATCAGACGAAGATCTTCTACGCCAACGTCGAAGAGAACGAGAAGTTCACCGGTCCTCCACGACCAGAGCTGGACGAAGCTTGGGCGAATGTCACCGAAGGTGAGGATATCACGCTGAAACTGTCACCGCTGATACCTGATCCATCTTCCCCTGACAGGACATCTTATACTGCTCAACGAGACCGGCGTAGGGCAGCTAGGCCAGTCATTGGAAGAAGCCGTCAATCTCGGCGGCGCATACTTTGCACTACCAGAATACTACCACCAGATGCATTGCCTGGACATCGTCCGAAGATTCATCTGGCGTGAGCACTACTCCGACTTCGTCTTTTTCCAAACGAGCGAAGAAGCCATTAAAGGGCATTTGGGTGAGTATCGACCGTCTTCTGTGCTAGTACCTAGCTGGTGACTGACCCGTGGCAAAGAGACCATTGCTTGGACCTGCTACGCCAGGTCGTAATGTGCACGGCCGATGTTGGCCTGATTGTGTATTATTGGGAGGGAGTCGACCGTCTGCCTCAAGCAAAGTTTGCCACGGAACACATGTGCCGGAATCTGGACCGCATCAATGATTGGGTTTTGGAGAACAAATGGGAAGACGAGCAAGCGATCGACCCCCTTGCTCCGCACATGGCTATGTCGTCTAGAAAGTAGCTTGTGGATGTGGCGGGTTCAAGAATCAACAGATATTATCAGCTACATCCGGACTTTGCTCAAGGAGACCTCTGTAGTCGTCTTGCCCCTTGTCCATGTCTGCTTGAACTGCAAATCGCGAAGACGTGAAGTTGTACCCTCTTCATTCCGCACGTTGAACGCATGAAACCACAAAAGAAATCAAACCCTTGATCGCACTTCAACTTGCTTAAACAGCCCACGAATAATGGGGATAGATGCTCCACTTTGAGCATAACGAGGAGCGTAGGCCAATGCACTTGATGACGCAGATAAGCTTCTCCAACGGAGGTCTGATAAGTCTTTAGTGGCCCTCCAGCATCGCCGGTACGATGTCAGCTGACTGTCAATCGATGTTTACGAGCGTAGTCCGATGAGGAAGGAGCATCGGCCTTCGATACGACATTAGTAGTCAGCCTGATCTGGATTCTGTTAGTGTAGGGGGCCTCACATGGCGTTACATTCAAGTGGAGAGTACTGTATGATCGGTGAAAAGTCTATGCAAAGGCTGTTGTACGTCGGTCGAATGTGTCCCTTCAGTACTGTCGATGCTCCGGGCGTTTCGGGCGTCTAAGCTGGTGGCCAACTTGCACACTCGACCTGTTCACGATACCTCAACCATCCATGGATGTCACAGAGCCATTCCTTGCCGACTTGAACTCCAAGCACACACGCTATGGTCTGCTTGAAAGATCCCCTGTATCGTCGTGGATCAAACACGCCCTCTGCGGCTTCGCTCTCCTCAACATTTTGATCTTTTGCCTGAACTTGTTCCTCATCTTCAATACCAACAGTGTTGCGGCTCGCTTGATACCAGGGCCAGATGGAAGCTTTCGAGATCTTAACGATCCCGACGATGGTACGCACGCCATTGAAGATCTCAAGAGCTCGCTAACAGACGACGCAGTGCTTTCGTTCGTGCCGCACGCAGACAATGCTCGAAAGGTGATCGACGGACGTCTCTTCACGCTGAACACAACATCAGCCTGGGATCTCGTGGGCCCCCCATCCCCCACCACCGACGCCCTCTGGGACGAGCTATCCGCCGAAGGCCACGAGATCATCCTCGTCAACGCCTCAACCCTCAGACAAGCAGGCTACGACCCAGCAAAATACTTTTCGGCTCCGCTCTCATGGAACTTCGGGCCAGACATGTATCCCGTCCAGATCGACGTATTCCACCAGATCCACTGTCTCGATGTGCTGCGAAAGCACGCACACTTTGATCGTTACTTCCCGGACGGAAAGACGGATTGGCAGCATTTTGGACACTGCCTGCATATCTTGCTGCAGAATATACAGTGTCATGCTGATCTGGAATTGATTCCGCATCGATGGGTTGAGAAGGATCCTGTGCCGTTTGCACAGTTTAGTATTGGAAAGCGGTGTCGTGATTTTGGAGCCATCAAGGAGTGGAATCTGGTCCACAGCAGAAATGTGACACATGCCATGTGGCAGTCGTCTCGTCCGTTAGAAGAGTCGGTGATATGGCCTGGCTATGGGGAGGGTTCATAACGTGATGGCGCAGATAGGAGCAGTGATATAGAGGGATTTGATATTGCAGTCGTGGCACAGCCGGTCCCACCACAGCCAACTACCCTACTCACAAACGACCTAGAACCCGAAGTATCCCATCAAGAAATGCAACATCGAAGAGCAAAAACCTCGCTAGAAGTAGTCATATCCCACAGACCCAATCTCGCTACATGACCAAGCCCAAGCGACTCGGCGGATCAGCTATGCGTAAATCTCATACCTCCCGTAAATTTCGTACTCAGGCTCGCACGTGACAAGAAAGTCCGTGCGTACTGACTAACTTTTAGCCGAGTGAATCTTAGCGACATCATGCTGCTGCTGCTGCTAAGTATGGAGCCCAGGGTATAGTTGGGGGCAGTAAAAGCCCTATCGCAAGAAGTCAACTTATTTTTTCTTGTAGACGAACAAGCCCGCACTGACCAACCTGACACTTCAGTCTGCGGCTATTCTTCCATGTCAGCCTCCTCCTCCATAACAGTCTCGGTAGCAGCAATGCCACGATGATTGATGTTCCACATCAAAACAAACGACAGAGTCGCAAGGGCTGAAAGCACCCTACAAAATGGCCACGAACCACACACATCCCCTTTCTCCCAACAACACATCACCAACCCAACCATCACCATGTCCCTCCACACCCTCACACTAGCCCTTCTCCTGGGCGCCGTCTCGGCCACCTCCCCCAGCAGCCCCAGCAACCGCAAAGCCTACACCGCACCCCTCAAACACATCTCCTTCGAAGGCCTCCCCGAATACGCCCTCGACGTCCAGCTAGGCAACAAATCCTACCCTCTCCTCTTCGATCTCGGCTCCCCAGTCCAATGGCTCGTCGGCTCTTCCTTCCAATGCTTCGACGCATCGAACAAAAGCCTCCCACAGAGCCAATGTAAATTCGCCGCGACCTTCCCGGGCAACTTCAGCGAGGGCATGCGCTCCGGCCCCGGCGCGAACTTCTCGATCGGATATCTCGACCCCAACGGCCCCGGGAGAGCACAGGGTGTGTTCGGCTTCGAAGCCCTGAGCATCGCAGGCCTCTCCGTCGACCACCAACAGCTCGGCCGCGTCGACACTGTCGCCAACATCCAAGGCGCGAACGGAGCCATCAGCGGGATCCTCGGGGTGGGAGGCTCCGACATCGCGAACCAGACACTATTCTTCTTCGAAGCCGCGCGAAAGGGCCTCGTCGACCCCATCATGAGCGTCATGCTGCAGCGCCAGAGCGCCTGCAGTGCCGGGGAGGTCGTCTTCGGCGGGTTGCCGCATACATACCAGGGACAGGAGGGCTTCACGACGGTGCCCTTCGTCACGAAAAGCGGCTCCTGGCAAACCTACCGCTTCCACCTCGACGCCGTCAAAGTCGGCGACGAAGTATTCCCAGAACAAGGCAACGCCACAGCGGGAATCGATTCAGGCCTCCCGCTCATCCTCGTTGCGAACGAGACCGCCGCGAGGATCAACGCGCAGTTCAGCCCGCCCGCGCAGTTCGATCCCCATGCGGTGTTCTACGCCAAACAGTGGAAAGTCGATTGCGACGCCAAGACGCCCGATTTCGCGGCCACGATCAACGGGACGGATTTCAGAATGAACGCCTTGGATCAGATCATCACTTTCGAGGACGATCCACATGCGTGCTATTCGGTGTTTACCAATACCTCCGTCTCGAGCACCACGTTGTTGGGGAATGCGTTTTTGAGAAATGTCTTGCTGGCGATTGATGTCGAGAAGCATGAGTTGCACTGGGCACCGCATGTCGACTATCATTGAGATTTGTATGTGGTTTCTATAGTTTTAGACACCGTTTTTACTCGTCTTATTCTTTTGGTATATTGGGTCTGGTCACGTCATCAGCGATCGTAATACATTATTGTACAGAGCTACTAAGAATGCAGGCCTGCTTATCCGAGCAGGCGCCGTGATATGCTGACCCAATGCCGACGTGCATTCTTGCATTGTCCATTATAAGCCAGGCCCTTCATCGATGCATAATGAGATTGAAAAGTCCCTCTTAGGAATCTCTGATTCGCACAGTGCCATCGACGAAGTCGGGGAAAGCCTTCGAGAATTGTGTTCCCAAACTCCAGTTGACCAGATCGCGCAGGTGGTGCTCGAAAGCTGGGTTTAGAGTCAGTTGAGGGGGCTCGTCTTGATTGTTTGACTTTTGCGGTATGAGAATGCTTTCGTTTGGTAGATCCCAGTTGAGAGATAGCGTGGTAGTGTAAGGGACGAACCAGTCCTCAAATTTGACTTGAGTGTCGTTGATAGAGTGCTGTCGGCGCTGGTGCGGCCTGTGAAACAAGTAAGCATAACATTTCCGATCCTCTCGATATGTTGAAACTTACCACGGCAGGTAGTCAGCCCACGCCACGTGCGGACGCTCGAGCTGCTCTGCAACAGGCCGGCAAAACTCTGGCAGTCGTTCGTAGCATTGCGCACATGGACATATGAGCCACCGCATGACCAGAAACATGATGTACAGGACGGCCACTTTCTCTGGCAGTTTGGCGATGTCTGGAAACTTCGAGAGGATGTCGATAAGTAATGCAGACACTGGATGTGGCCTCGGGTGAGAGGCTGGGTCGAGCATGGCAGCGAAGGCAGGGTAGTCAGGTCCAATGGCATCAAGCTGAGACGAGCCTTCCCGCAGCATCTTACGCCGGCTTTTGTGGAAGTCGATGAGCAGCGAGTCAAGAGGACAAGACGATGGGCCGACGTGAGTTAGTCGAGCATACATTGGCTGGTTAGGGTCTTGGCCCGGCGGCGAGTGGTACGGCGAGACACTTGATTGATCCTTTGACGTGTCCAACAAGAAGTTCACCCCTAGCCGCTCTCCGTTCTGCGGCTGGCCGGGCATCTGAACCGAAGGCGCACGTTGATGTGACGGTTCGAAGTGGCCATCACTGTTGTAGCGATCTTGGTTTGGTGGATGGTCCAAGCTAGGTGACCATTTCCTGAGGGTGCCTGCTCCAGACTGATACGCAGCGGCATTCGAGGAATTGGTCGTCGGGCTTGCTTGCGAGTTTGCTGATGACGGGGACCTAAGATCCGGGTGAATGTGATGCGCAGAACTCTGTTCATACTGCTGAGGCTGGCCGGGGTGAGAGTGAGATGGTAGTGGGCTCTGTTGTGCGGTCAAGGCGGCCAGGTCTGGCTCAATTTCTGTGAGCGATCCGATATCAATCCATTCCTCCAGTGTCAACTCACCATTCAGGCTGGGATTTTGTCCTCCTACAATCCCAGCAACTGCTGCCAATCGTCTCTTCAACTCTTCGCATTCTGCCAATGCACGGTCCCTCTCTTGCACCACTCGCTGAAGTTCCTGAAACGGCTGCTGGCTCTCCAACTCCCTGATCCTCTGCTCGAGTGATTCGATGGTATGTCGCGTCCGCTCTCTTATAGCTCGCTGCGCTTCCCTATCGTTTGCACGCTTCTTGGCTAGTTGTTCCGGGGTCAAGTTGGCGACGCCTCTGCTGCCCGGCGCACCAGGCGGTCTTCGTTTCCTCCCACCCGCACCTGTCGCATTCGGCGTTGGCGTATGTTCTTGAGAAAGAGCGGCGGTGGCAGTCGCTGCTGCTGCCGTCTGGGCGTGCTGGTAGTCCAGCATGGCATTCCCGCCATCTTGCTGGTATTGCGGAGGATGTGAGGGGTTGGCGGCGGAGGGAGGATTCATGGTGTCCGCCAGCACGTGAAAGTTGGGCGTTTGAATCGCGAGCGGTGCTAGAGCGCGTCGTCTGGAGTCATGAAGCAGTCCCGCTAAATTTGAGGTCCGTGCGCTGTCCGTGTGGGTCAACCGTTGGACAGCGAAGGCTTGTGTCGTCTTCACTTCTCATCAAACATTCCCTCGCCTCGTCCATCGACATGTCCGGTCCATCTTTTAAACAACATTGCCATGCCCTCAGGTATCAGCAGCAGCGTTTGGTCCCGAAATCATTGACTTCGTCACCTGGCGATCAGGGCCGAATATCTCCACGTCGCCATGACTCGTCGTCCTTGGTCCTCTGGCGTAGGGCCCGGAGTTTCGCGACTCCAACAAACTCGGCAGAATGAATGCATGCACTCGTGGAGAAGGCTTCACAAATCGCAGAAAGAACATTGGCGACACGAGTCGCTATATGAACGACCTGCATCTACCGATATCAGCACCACGTTGATCGCCACCTCTATCGATGTTTGAGCTGTACAACAGCGCCTGGTCACCTATTCCTTCGCTTAGCCTGAACGGCACATTCTCTTGGGATGACGACGTTTCTCGGTGGCCATGACTCGCCCAATACCAACACACGAGTCTACCATCGAGAAATACCACTACAAGACGACAATTATTGCGGCCCGACTTGCTGACATTTTCAAGACTGAACGAAACGACATTTCCAGAAAGTAGTGTCTTGAATCAAGTATGAAACGACCTTGGACCGGCGCTCCATGAAGACCGCGACAGTCATCTATGCTGCAATTTACTGAAGGCCGCCATCGCATCCTGAAGCGCGAAATTTCATTGCAGTGATCGGTTTCGTGTTCTAGAGTGTGGGAAATGCATGCAGCGAGCAGCATCGGCTCTGAACCTCGGTATGATCGCTAATATGAGCCTTCGAGAAAGTACTCTCTTCCATTCTCGGCTGCTGAAAAGCGAGTAAGTACCGAACAGCAGTTCGCCATCACCAAAACGCCAACAACGGCCTCCGCTCCACCAATTCACTTACCAACACCCCAATCTCGAGTCACGCAATGCACCCATCCAGCACTGATCGTCTGCTGTCAAACATCTCGCTGCATTGCGGCCTTAGCGAGAGTCTTCCAGAACTTCTTCCATGACAGCATGGCATCCAATGACGTCGAATCCGCCTCGTCTGTCTCTCTCCGCGACAGATCTTGAGGGCCTTCGCTGTGGTTGCACCTTTTCTGGTAAGGTTCTCCATTCAGACTCATACAGCGCAAGACGTGAAATTGCCTTTCTGAGTACATACAAGGGAGCATCCACCTACCGCGAGACAACATCCGTTGATATGCGCTGCAAACAAGACAAGTTGTTCGTACTGATCAACCCCATTAGAGCCCTGGCAAGCCGACGCTCTACGATTGCCCTCTCACGGGGTCACGGAGTTGTCACCTGCATGCACTATCCCAGATTTTTTTCAAAACGCCGCGCCATCCTAAAGAGATCGAGGTCGAACCCTGTTCGTCCAAATGTCAGCAGATAGGCTACCCATGAAACAGCACTTCGAAAGTGAAGAAGCACCTGCCTCCCATCTATCAGGCGCACGAACGGACCTCCTTGTTGTATAGTTGTAGGGCGAGGCAGTAGGCTGCAAAATGTGCATCACCAACACAATATTGGCTGCTGATTACTTAAAAGAGCTGGTAGCCCTTGTGCTATTTCACCAAAGAGACTCAAACGGTGAAGCTGCCTACTGCGGCCCATCAGAACTGCATTCAAAATTTTATTGGCCTTCTTCGTCTGTAGTATAGTGCGATCGAAATAACTGAGATGGGTGGTCTTCAGATCGACATGAACAGAACTGTAACTCATCCAGAAGTCCAGGCGCAAATGGGCAACACCGGTCAACGAGTGCAGTATTGAACGAGAGGGCCACTCATCGAAATTCATCTGCTAGATTCTGGCATAGGAGGCAGTTGAAAAAGCCTTTATCATTTCATCTCTATCATCATCAAAGCTTGCTTCGTGGCTTCTTCGCTTTGGGCGTCCTAAGACACAAGCCGTGAGCTGTGTTCCGCCCAATGGCACCTTCACCTCCGAGACTGCATAGTCTCATCGAGGTTGGTAATCCTAACAAGTCTAGGATACAAGCGCTCACCTCTTGCGGCCATACGAAGGTGCCTCAGCGGGCTTGTTGTCGAGAATCTTCTCAATCTCCTCCATCACCTCCGGGGTCAACTTGGGCAGAAGCTTCAGAGCCTTGATGTTGTCCTCGATCTGGCTGACCTTGGTGGCACCCAGAATGACCGTGCTGACGTTGGGGTTCTTCGCCGCCCATGCCAGAGACAACTGAGCGACGTTGCCGCCCAACTTCTCGGCAATCTCAGTGAGCTTTCGCACTTTGGCGATCTTGGCCTTGCCCTCGTCGCTTTGCAGTGACTTGACGCTGCCCTCGAAGAATGACTTGTTGGTGGCGAAGCGAGAGTCCTCTGGAATGCCGTCGTTGTACTTGCCGGTCAGGAGACCTGATGCAAGTGGGGACCAGATGGTGGTGCCGTACTGGAACTGCTCGTAGAGTGGAGCGTACTCGACCTCGAATCGCTGGCGGTGGAAGGCGTTGTACTGTGGCTGTTCGGCGATAGGAGCAATGAGGTTGTACCTCTCTGCGATCTGGGTCGCTTCCTGAATCTGTGAACAGCATTAGCATCTGAATATTCCCCCGAATATGTACGAATATCTCTGTCTGCCCGCTACTGACCTGCACCGCGGACCATTCTGATGTGCCCCAGTAGTATGCCAAGTTCAAGTTGCGGATGACCTGAGTAAAGCCCTCGACAATCTCTTTCATTGGCGTGCCAACATCCGGTCGGTGTGCAAGGACAATATCGACGTATGGCTGCTGCAGGCGCTGGAGCGAGCTCTTGAGACCCTCCACAACGTGCTTCCTGGAGAGACCACGAGTGTTGGGCTCCTTCCTGCCAGTACCAAAGAAGACCTTTGTAGACAGCACATATTCATCTCTTGGCCAGGCAAGCTCCTTGAGAGCTTGACCCATCTCGATCTCGCATTGACCGTTGGAGTAGACTTCGGCGGTGTCGAAGAAGTTGATACCGTGGTTCTGGTGGACGGAATTAGCTCTGCTAAGTCTCTCAAGCTCGGTTACATACCCAAGCTGTCTCCAAGATCTCCTTGACAATGTTACCCTTCTGGGTGCCGCCGTAGGTCAACCAGCCTCCAAGGGAGAAGACCGAGACCTTGAGACCGGAGGGGCCAAGGTGGCGGAATTCCTGCGAGCATGTCAGTATTGGTTGAGTGTTTGCCCCTCAAGCAGACGTACCATTTCCTTGGGATCGAACTTGCTCTCGACTGCCATGGTTGCGGTTTGGGGATGTGTCTGGTGAAGGTTGATGTGTGATTAGTGAGGATGTTGGTGGGAAGTGGGAAGGGAAGGAAGGGGAGAAGATGGAGAAGTGAAGAAGTGAAGAAGTGAAGAAGGCGAACTGGTCTATTAGAAATGTTTGTCACTTAGGACCGCGTAACGCCGCGAGTGCCTGCCAGTGGCCTGGTGGCCACCTTCCCGACTTTTTGCGACCTTCTCGATGCGGTGTGGCCAAACAAATCATGACGAGAGATCAATGATGGCGGCTCATCGATGCGGGGCACTTCGAAGTGCAGCATTCAACGTGCACCGTGGTGTCTTTGGCCGTGGTCTTCGCTCCAATCTTTGATCAATCGCTGGACGAGCAGGCGAGATAGGGCCACAGCCCGCCAGGGGGACACGATAGGCCATGCAATCGCGCCATCGAGGTCCTCACTGATCAAATGCGTGTTGCTGTGCGCATGGGACGGAGGAGAGGCCGGCCCACGCGAGCGAAAAGAGCTACCCCTGGGTAACGAGACTCGAGCAGAGAAGTCCTGGTCGTGACGCTCCAAAGTTTCGCTCTGGCAAGGGAACAACAACTGACAATCACAACGCGTAGGAATACCACCTCTCTAACAACTGTGAGACCAAAGGGCGACGAGCACATGCGCCGGCAAAATCTTCTTCATGATGACATTTGATTTACGCGCTGAGATGGAAAGACACTGAGGACTTCTTTCCAGGAAGAATCGAATACCTCAGCCTCAATGACCTGAGGCAGTGCAACGAAGACTATGTCCAGCTTGGTCTCACGATCTTGGGTATTTGTTGCGCCAGCTTCATGAAGCGGGCATACTTCTACCACATATTCATTGGCACGGTAGGAATCTTACCCAGAGAGATGTGACTCAACTTGCATTGTGTTCACGACAAGCAATCCACACTCACGCCTCTCATGCGCCACACTCGGATCTGCAGGATCTAGCTACATGCACTTGGGATCATGTTCAATCTTTCTTCCCCCCAACTCGACCTGGAATACCATTCCGATGGACAGGCGGAAGTGAGGGCCACCAACGAAGATGCGGACCATCGCATGACTGAAGCCTTTCGGACCTGGAGTCTCGGTTCGACGGGATATCCTGATTATGAGCTTCAAGGAGACCACAAACCACTGGCAGGTTCGCCCGATCCGAACAAGAGTCGCCGGAAGAAAAGACAGAGCGAAACCCAGGATCTTGACAGTGCTCCCGAATTCCACTACGACACCGTCGCAGATGGAGATGCTTTCCGTGTTGCTGTCCTCCAACCAGGGTCAGGCTCGAAGCCCGTGTCCTGCAGTCTCATCTGGCAGGATTCCAAGAAACCGCAGAAGCCGTATCGCTGTTTGAGCTATGCCTGGGAGTCGACCGAACGGACCGAAGCCATCTTTCTCAATGGGTTCCAGCGATTCCCCGTCACTCAGAATCTGCTGCGCGCTCTGCAAAGCCTGCGCGATTCGAGAAGTACCACGCTTATATGGGTTGACCAGATCTGCATCGATCAGAGCAACGACAAGGAACGAGGCCATCAAGTCAACATCATGAAGCACATCTTTAACCAGGCGCGCATGGTTTACGTCTGGCTGGGGGAAGCTGGTAGCGGGACACAGCAGCTGTTTGCGTTTGCGAAGAGGATTGCGCCAGGTGACGATAGTCTGAAGAAACCATTGAAGCAGCTCATCAGCCAGAAGAAGCTCAAGGATGCGCTGGAAGATCTCTTGCAACGACCCTGGTTCCAAAGGGTTTGGGTAATTCCCGAGGTCGCTCTCTCTCGGTACACTCAAGTGATGTGCGGCGAATACATAATGACATGGTAAGATCCCAAGAAAATGACTTTGACCAGAGCGCTGATGCAGAGGACAGGGACAGTCTTGTCAAACTCATCAGATATGTTCAAATCCGGCTGCCCACCACACCCGGCTTCGCCAAACAAGAATCATTGCTTGGGAATCGACGACAACGCATAGCAATCATCACCCAGATGATTGCCAGCCAGAAGGAATGTCGCGACCACACGGATATTGCCCAGCTACTCATACTAGCAAAGAGCAGTCGAGCCACTGACGTCCACGACATGGTCTATGCCTTCCAGGGCCTGACATACTTGACGACCTTCCCCGATTACTCTCGAGGACCAGTCTCGCTGTTTGGCGATACTGTGCAGATGTATGCGAACAGCATACAGTGGACACCTCCGTACGCAAAATGCCATCAGTTGAGCGAAGAGCAAAAAATCTTTCAGTTGATGAGCATCATCTACAGTGCCGGCGCATTGCAGCAAGACTTATCATTGCCCTCATTCGTGCCCGACTGGAGCTGTCCGTGGAGACTGGCACCCATCTGGTGCAAGCCGGAGCCTAACTTCGTCAACGCGAGCAAGGACGAATGGAGCCTGGGCATCCGCACCGACTATCGTGCTGGAGGAGACCATCAGGGAGATTTCGAAGTCATTGAACGACCAAAGGGCCGACATTTGTTGCGAATATCAGCACTCATCCTCGACGAGATCTTGCTGGTCACAGAGCACCCAACGCCTGACACCAGCCAGATTCTATCAACCTCGCCTGTGTTGGAAGATCCAGAGACCCCGGACTCATCATTGGAATACGGCAGAAACTACTTCACTTCGGCCAAAGGTTACAACGGCTTAGCTACGGAGGGCGTCGCTCCCGGCGACCAGATCGCTATCCTCCCAGGTGGTGATGTTCCAATTATCATACGACCTAATCCAGAAAACGATCGAACGTACAGAGCATACAGACTGCTATGCGAATGCTATGTTCAGTCGTCGACCATCATGTATGGTGACTACCTGAGAAGCAATTGGACGCTTTGTGAGGACATCATCTTCATCTGAAATTAAAAGCAAGGACCCTGGATGAGTCTCCGAAGGGCTGGACACCCAGGGCATCACGGCAGTAATCGGAGAGCAGCATCGACGGCATAATGTGCCTGGACTTGACGATCTGGCCATGCCAACATCTTTTCCATCAACCAGCCTCCGGGTTGTGTCACTCGTCCAGACCTCATCAACACCTCAAATGTGAGGCTCGACCGAAACACCACACCGGGAGAAGTTGGATCTCATTGACTTCGGAATAAGATGATGCCAGGCACGATCCCAGGCGATCGAAGGTGCATGCATTCTGCGGTGACGGGGAAGCAGGTACAGGTTCCCGAGAAGGACGACGTCAAACCACCACCAGCCTCTGTGGACCACGTTTGCGTTGCAGGCGGATGACGAGCGGATTGACAACCGCAGGCCATGCTGCCTTATCGATTATGTATCTACGAATAATGAATGAATGACCGGAGTAAAGATTCCATCACTGTGCTGGTGGATGTCTCTTCTGTCCATGTCGTGGCATATAGCTCGTCCCTCAGTCGCCCGGACCTTGGAGGAATTGAAGCTAAGAGGGTGCGGCTCTGGCCGCGTGTTCCCGCCGGGAGCTCGATTGGCTGTGGCTGTCTCCGACGGCAGGGATTTTGGGTTTAGCGGGACGACCTTGCAGCAACCCCAGCCATCACCTTTAACCGCACGCTGGCCAGGTCGTGCAACAGCGCATGCGGCAGTCGAGGGGTCGACGAGTTGAACCACTCTCCCTCCCGCCTATTCTGTACCTGCGCCGCCATTGATCGCATCTTGCTGCTTGTCCTGTAGGCTCCAGTTCTCTTTTCGCGTCTGCCCCGTAGAAGTCAGGTGCTCAAACACCGCGTGCAAGACATCGCCGAACAACGCAGCGACACGGTCCACGAGACGAGACGAGACAGCGACGATACGCCGGACCGCCATTCACGAGCGCGGCGCAAACGACATCGAAATCGCTTTCAATATCCCAAGACACGACCACGCTGTCTCAAACCGCCTTGACTCACTCACCGCGCCGCAGCGCTTCACCTTATATACCCCCGCCCTTCACTCGCGCGTTTGCGCCGGTGAAGGACCTCCAACCCACGACGCAGCCCGAACCACCTTCATGATACTCCCAACCATGACATCCCGACAGCAACTCCTCGACTCACATCCGAGCCTCAACGCGAGCATGGGCGACTTCGAAGCGCACGACTTCTCCCCCACTGTCCCCGAATACCCCTCCCAACACTCCGGCTTCATGGATCGCCAAAGCGTGCAGACCTCCGATTACAGCGAAGCAACCTCGTCGCGGCGCAGCTACTCGCCACCTGCCTGGCGAAAAGCTGGGAGCGGGTGGTTCAAGAATGGACAGTTGCCTTATCAGCCTAGTCGAAAGAACAGCAAGGAAGCCAGCCCGCAACAACACCGCCAGTACTACCGCGAGGCATCAGAGGAGGACTACAATGTCGGCGACGACGGCGACGTGACCGCATATCGGACTGCTAGGCGCATTCCCTTACCCGAGTCACCCGTCAAGGGTCGCAGCCCCAGTGTTAGTCCTGACCCTGTCAAGTGTGGCGCGCAAGAGGGCGATAAGGGCGGTGGTGATGGGGGAAGCTTGCAGACTGTGAAGCATATCAAGGAAGAGGAGCAAGATGACGGAGAGGTCGATACGCCGACAATGCGCACTCCCACACAAAACAACTGTAAGTTCAAGTCGCACGACGGTGAAGTCGTGGGAAAGTGGCTAACAGGATGTCTAGACATCCGTTTCCAGACGTCACTTGATGTCGTTCAGCGAACAGAGCCGATCGAAGCTGTGGTCGGCGGTGTTCGGAGAGCAATACGGAACATCACCCATTCCCCTTATCACACTTTCCTCTACGCGATAGGCTCCATCGTCCTTTACTGGATCTGCATAAGTCTATTCTCAACACCAGCCAACGGACCCTCCCCAGACCTGATCAAAGTCGCAGGCCTTGTGAGGTCGTTTGAACCGGTCATCTACTACTCAGAGCATGGCCATGCGCAGATTGAGCAGTTACAGGAGACTGGTGTGGCTGTGTGGGATTTGGGCGAGAGTGTCCGAAGCACAAACATGACCTCGGCGCCGTTGATTGTCAACCAATTGGACGACCTTTCAGACAGCCTGAAGACGCTCGCTATCGAATTGACTCGATTCTTCGCATCCGTCGATGCGGACGTGGACTCCATCCTCTTGGTCATGGAGTGGGCACAGCGAGAACTGTCAACCATCTCAATGGAACCGCCCAGCACGATCAGCTCCGTGTGGTCGAATGCTCACACCATGCTCACCAGGGTTGGTCTGATGAGTGACAGCAAGCTGGCGCAGGCTGTTCTGGGGCAAACCTACCAACAGCGCACCAAAGCCACAATGGAGCGCACCTTCTTCGAGTTTCTCGGCGTGCTGGAGGAGAGCATTAACAATGAACTCACCTACTCCACGTCGCTCTTCCAACTCTTCGAGGCGATCGACAAGCAGTTCCTCAACCTCCAGCGCACTGTCATCCGCGAGCAAGACACTCAGGAGCGGGCAGAGAATGACTTCCTCGGCAGCCTCTGGACGAAAGTGATTGGAGTCAACGCCTCGAAACTGCGCAAGTATGAGAAGAACAAGAATCTCTTACACTCGGTGCGGGATCGGACGGTGCGTAACAAGCACGTCCTCGTTGAGCACAACCACCGCCTGTACCAAGTCAAGGAGAACCTCGAAATCCTGCGTCGCAAGCTCGTGAGCCCTCTCGTACGAAGCAGCAACTCCAGCACCATCTCCATCGACGACCAGATCCGCGGACTGGCGACGACGTACCAGCAGCTGAAGAGCAGTCGCGACGCTCAGAAGCACAAGATGATGGAGAAACTGTTCGGCGATGTGCCTCGTCGGGTCAGCTTACCAGGCGGAGCAGACCATGGCCGGTCGATTGAAGGCAGTGTCACGTCCTCGGCAACGTACTATTCATGATGGTGAGAAGTATTTTTCATTGCTTGGCAGGGGCGTTGTTTGTTGGGAGGGTTTTGTTACTGCTGCGGATTCTTGGCGTCGGGGTTGGGATTGGGATGGGATACCACATGATACCTACTACACTTTTTGTGATGGATTGTCGGATACAGGCGGCAACGCGAGGAAATGAATTGACACGGACTTCTTGTCGGATGACGGGAGGAGATCGGATTATCGGTTATTAGCATAGCGACAGATGAAGGAATTGAATCAACCTGATGATGAGAAGTCTTCCAAAGGATCACAATCGCAATTGAGCACTACTCCTTTCGGAAGCATAGGTGCCTCAGTCTGGCCAAGAGTGCGCTAATGGTGATGACGGCACGCCCACTGCGGTGTCACGAACGACAGCGCCTTACTTTCCGTCTTCGTCCAAGTGGTATAGAGGCGGAAGATACGGTGAGATGAGGTTGGGCAACATCTAGAAGATCTAAGCCACCGCCGTCATGTCTTGTGCATCTCGTCTCTCGTGTGATGCGTGCTTGGCACATGTGATCCCTCTTCGTCAAAGTCTTGAGATTTGTTGACTTGACTTTGGGAGATCGTGGGTTGCACGTGGCTGATCGAGATGTGGCGATTTGATTCACTGTTATCGTCAAAACTCTGAAATTCAATGTACATGTACTGTAGTAGTATGAACGGATGGTTTTCATCGGATGGCTTCAACATCCGGCACGACGTCGTCTGGCCTTGGTTTCTTGAAACACGGTTGCTTGGCACATGGGGGCAGTGCAATTGGAGCTAGCTGATTGGACGGCGGCGGGGGAGAACCGTCGTCATTCCTGGGTCGAGCTCTGTGCTGCGCTGGCTGGACTTTGCAGTCTGCGGTCTGCTTCTTGTTCTCCCTCCAAACAGAGCAGACAGAATCGACAGAGACTGCTGCTGCTGCTGTTGCTGCGCCTCGATCACCACTCCTCAACTCGCATCAATTGCACCGTCCCTTGCCTTTACCCCTCTCGACATACGTCCGGGCAGCGCCAAACAGACTTCTACGGCGATACTTGTCCATTGCTTGGCTCTTCTGCCCAAGCCCATCGAGAAGCCGCCGCGTGGGAAAGTCAGCAGCAGGGAGGAGAGGGCCGCATCAATCGAATCAAATGAGTGAGTCGTCTGGCCTGTCCGTTTCTGCCTCGTCGCCTCATCAATCTTCTTCTCTACACTGCCCTCCCCATCCATCCACGGCATCCGAACACACTCGGCTGCTGTTCTCGTCATCATCGCCCGGCCGGCCGCCAAGCAAAACACCGCCCTCGCTCTTCTTCTGCTTCTTTGTTCGCGCCACACCAAGACCGTCTTGGCTGGCTATCCGACTCCTCGTCCGCGCCCGGAACGCAGCCTACGGTGCTCTGCGCCCCCGGTGTCACATACGCAACTCATTTCACTTCACATCATTACCCGCCTACCTTTATATGCGCACACGCCCGGCGGCCTCTTACCTGGGTCCTACCCTTTGTGTAACTACAAGCTAATCACGCACCTTGCGACTCGACACAGGCGCCATCAAACGAGCCTTTTCCCGGCACGGCCGCACCAGCAGTGGCTTTAGCTATACCAACACCACCACCACACAATCCGGCACGATGACTTCGGGAGAAGATGGAAGACCTAATGGCAGGCCGGCCGACGAGAACACACCTCTTGTGACCCGCGGGGCTAGCAGCCTGGGCAACATGGGGAGCACGTTGACCACCAACAGCCATGGACAAAAGTTCTCTGAAGACGAGCGCGCGTGGGTGCGGTGGCCGGCCAACTTCGTGCGCCTCACGTGGTTGACACTGGCGAGCAACTACGTCAATGTCCTACTGGTCTGCGTGCCTGCGGGTATCGTCCTGGGAGCGCTGGATGTCAACCCAACCGCCATCTTCGTCGTCAACTTCTTCGCCATCGTACCTCTCGCGGCTTTGCTGAGCTTTGCGACGGAAGAGCTGAGTGTGAAATTGGGACAGACCATCGGTGGATTGATGAATGCGACGTTTGGAAATGCAGTCGAGTTGATTGTAAGTCCTGGAATACGTCATCAGGGATTTGGCGATACAGCAAGACTAACCCTGTGCGCCTCAGGTATCCATTGTTGCGCTCAACAAGGGAGAGATTCGAATCGTCCAGGCTAGCATGCTTGGCTCGATCTTGTCGAACATCTTGCTTGTCCTTGGCTGTTGCTTCATCTCATCCGGTATGCGCCGTGGGGAGTCTCGCTTCAATGAGACGGTTGCTTCGACCATGTCATCGCTCATGGCGGTCGCTGCGACGTCTCTGATCATCCCAGCGACCATGTATGCGGCGTTGAAGCCCAGTGACAAGGATTCCGACTCGAACATCTTGGTCCTCTCGCGCGGTACGGCCATCATCATGCTGATCCTATACTGCTTGTATCTGTACTTCCAGCTTAAGACGCACGCCAGCCTGTTCGACGCCGAAGCTCAAGAGGGAGGCGAAGATGGCGAGGAGAAGGAGCCGGAGATCCTGGGTCCTGTCGCTGCCACAGTTGCGCTTGTCCTCGTCACTGTCCTGGTCGCAATCTGCGCCGAATACCTCGTGGACAGTATCGATTCCATCGTCGCTTCTTCCGGCATCAGCAAGACATTCATCGGTCTGATTCTACTCCCGATCGTCGGCAACGCAGCCGAACACGTCACGGCCGTGGTCGTCGCTTACAAGGACAAGATGGATCTCGCCATTGGCGTGGCCATCGGCAGCTCCATGCAAATCGCCCTCTTCGTCACTCCATTCCTCGTCATGCTCGGCTGGATCATGGGACAGCCCATGAGTCTCCATTTCCAGGGCTTCGAGACGGTGGTCTTCTTCCTCAGTGTCCTGGTCGTCAACTACCTGATCCAAGACGGCAAGAGCAACTGGCTCGAGGGGTGCATGTGCTTAGGCACGTACACTATTATCGCCATTGCCTTCTGGGTGTACCCTGAGGATGCGGGCGATATCTCGGATTTGGTGTCGAACTTCTTTGGCAACTAAAAAGATGCGTTGATCGTTGTTTTTTTTCTGCTGTTTCACTTGCACAGATACCTCTGCCTTTTTCCCTTTCTTGTTTGTGTTTGTTTGTTCTTACAGCCCTCGAGGCTGAGAGGAGGGAGGGGAGCTTGGCTATCCCCTCGAAAATGAAATGCAGGGCGTTCGAGGGAGCCATCTTGGAGAAGTTCGGTGGTTGAAGGAGGAAGCAACAAAAGGGAGGAGCGTCGAGGGAGGCTTCCTATGTATAGTAGTAGTAGTCGTAGTGCACCGATTCGAAAAGTCGGGAAGAAAGAATGAAAAGTGTCCAAAAGCAGTCGTTCTTCCTGGGTTTCAGGTCCGATGGGTGTCAAGACGGCTCCTGGGTATGCGCCCTCCTGGATTTCTTTGGTGCTTTGGGAAAGGCCACGTCCTGCCCTGGATCTTGGGAGTCCTCGGTGGCCTTGGGAGGGAGGGGAGCGAGATCTCTTCAGGCTCCTCAACTGGCGACACCCTGGATCTTGCAGGCTGAAAGCTTTCTTTTCGTCACCGGCCGGCCTAGGAAGGGATCAAGAGTGACACAAGCCTCAATGGCAGTGCTTCTTCGATCCGGTACTGCTTCTAGGATTTTTGAGGGCGGGTACGCGGTGGCTTATTTCGAAAGGGGGGAGGAAAGGAAAGGAAGAGCTGAAGGTGTTGCGGTGGTCTGAAGGGGGATGGCGTCGTCCGTCGAACTGCAAAAGCATAGTAATCGGATCCAAGGCGATGCGGTACTTCGTTTGGTATTTTCTTGTCTTTAGGGCGCTCCCGTCCCTTCGAAGGCTCTTGTTTCGAGGGTGTTCCCTGGGAGGAAGATCAAATGCAAGGGTTCCATAGAGTTGTTGGGTTGCTATGATGATGATGTGGAGAGAAAGGGGGAAGGCGACGGTACTTCTTTCGGTTGGCTTGGAGGTGGCCAGTTCAATTCGAAAGAAAACATCCGTCTTGTTCGTTTCCAGGGTCAGGCAGGCCTCACATGATGCTTTCGCTCGTCGGGGTCTCCGAGGCTTCGCAGCGTAATAATCTTCTTGGCGATGATGGAAGATATATAGGAAAAAGTGCACCTGCAACTGAACGATCCAACCGTGACCTCACGAGCTTGCGCGTCCTTTGCCTTTGCCAAACGACCAAAGTGTCAACAATGCAAACAAGGCTAACGGATATGCAAGACATCATCTTAGTCTCTTCCCAAGACCCGCGCGCAGCGTGCAGCGCAGCGTATGATTATTTTCCTCCCAGAAGCGGACAACCGCCACTTTTTGAGGCCCTGCGAAGCTTGTCGGCGCCCGCGGCGTGCGTCATAGGGCTGAAAGGAACAACACCGATTGGATGCTTTACGACGGATGGACCCTTGCCGGGGCTTAGCTTTCGTCTTCACGCGATCAGAACCACCTTGGAACTACTATGGGAGTTGTTATGGGCCCTACTGTTTGGCTGCGGTGGGAGACCGCTGCTGCTGCGGCGGCGAATTCGAGAGTTGTGTTGAGGTGAAAGCGGTTTGTGGACTTTCCGTGTGGCCATTCCTTTAACTTTTTGTTTCGCCATTTTTCTAATCTCATCATCAGCCTCTGCCTGCCTGCCTGAAGGGAAGATTATTTTGTTCGGCAAGGAGCGCGAGATCCATTCGTGAAGGCTACGCTTTTCGGGCAGGGGCGCTTCTTTTACTTATCTGAGGACTTGGTCTTATATCTATACGATACTTCTGCTCTTCCGATCTTGAGACACCACAATACTACCGGCCACTTGTTGGATTGCTAAACGAGCCTACCCTCTAACTCACTATCAAGCCACTTTTTGGGGATCGAAAGAACAGCCTCGTCGCTCAAAGGCCACCCTTCTTCAGCCACAGCACCCAACGTCCATACGCAGTGTGCCCTCGCGCGCCATTGCGGCTCTGCCAGAGATAGGACGCTCACCAGCCACGGAGGGTCCATCCATCCTGTCCCCGCGACCTGACTTGTCGACTATACGAGAGGCACAACGTGCTACCGCACACCACACACACTGTCACACTCCACATCCGACTACCCTCACCTACTACGTACACGCTCTGCCGTACGAGACGAGACAAGCCCCTCCTTTCCCCGGCCCTGCTAGGCCTGGGTCGTCGTCGGATTTCCTTTATTGAGGCAGGCTGCTGCCATGACGATCCCGTACGTATTATCCTTATCTTCTTCTATACCGCCTCCTTTTACTGCTTCTATGTGTTGTGGTTGTTGGTGGCTGATGGCTGATCTCTGCTATCTAGTGTCGTCAGGAAGAGAGCCAAGCGGCCGAAGACTCGGACTGGGTGCCGCACGTGTCGACAGAGGCATATTAAGGTATGTGTGGTCTCTCTGTTTGCTTTTGACTAGTGCTAGAGAAGCTTCTCGAGGGCGTGTCTTGTCTTGGACTATCTCCCTTTCGAGCCATGCTATGCTGCCTTACAAACTTTGCTTCACCATGCTTGAGATGACAATATCCTGACCAGTCTGTCAGTGCGATGAGGGCCGGCCAGCATGTCGGAAATGCATCGCCAGCAATCGCGAGTGTGCTGGCTACGACTATGTCCGCCCGGAATGCAAGAGCCAAGCTGTCATTCTGCCGAAAGGCTCCCAGGTGGGATCTGTCAAGCTACCGACGATGTATCCTGTCCACCGAGGACCTTCATCAATCACGCTGGATGAGATGACGCCCGTGGAGACCTACGCATTCGACTTCTTCCGGTTACAGACCGTGAGGCAATTACCAGGAAGCTCGTGGACGTTGAGCTGGGAGAGATTGGCGCTGCAGATGGGTCATCACGAACCCGCAGTCACACACGCAGCCATTGCTTTAGGAAGCATACACCGCGCCTTGACGTTCGAAGCGTACAAAGGACCAGCAGGCATCGATCCCGAACAGCACCAATTCGCCCTCAGCCAGTACAACAAAGCCATGGGCTATATCCGGACTTACATCGAGACACTCGACGAATCCTGCTCCGACTCGGACGTCGAAGTCGTCCTTCTCGTCTCGCTCCTCTTCTTCTGCTTCGAAGTGCTCCACAGCGAAGACGCCCGCGCGACCATGCATCTCCGGACCGGCCTCAGAATCCTGTACGAACGAATACGAGGCTCGAATCCTCCGGCGACGCAGTACGGTGACGGGGAGATGAAGAGGACCGTCATTATGAAAGTCACACCTCGCAATAACATGGACGTCATCCTCCAGACGTTCGTGCGGCTCGATGGCGACTTGACGATTGTAGGGGAGGATGAGCCGTATCTCTTCCCGGTATGCACGGAGAAGATGCCGTCATCATTCTACAATCTGGACGAGGCGATGGTACACTTGGATGCGATTGCTTCCAAAACACACGACTTTTGCCGCGATATTGTGTGTCTCGCGGATCGGGAGGTTGTCGCGAAGAGGAGGGATTTTGAACTACTGGACGATGATATGAGGAATTGCTTGGCCTGTGCGGCGTCGAGGACGATTTCGTTGGAGGGGGAGCCGCAGATCTTGAAGAGAATGTGAGTGAATGAAAGAAGAGGAAGGGAGGATGCTCAACGTGACTGTTCTCACAGAGTGCGGTGATGCTGATGATGAATGTCTAGGGATGAAATCAAGACAGACCTCGCCGCCTGGATGGCCGCCCTCGCCTGCCTCTCCCCAGCAACCCAACGCGAATCCCAACACCTCCTCACGCAAATCCACTTCTTCTACATCTGGTTTGTCGTCAGCACCTGGCGCGACTCGACCGAAATGGCCGTCGACCGCTTCGACGCCCAATTCCACCACATTCTCTCCCTCGCCGAGCAATACGTCGACCTTCACTACGACGTCACAACATCCCCTCACACCAAAAGCACCGCCGAACACCAAGCAAACTTCACCCGGCAGGCCTTCACACTCGGCACGGATCTCGTGCCCTGCGTCGCCATGATCGCCTTCAAAACCCGAACCAGCAGCATCCGCCGACGATGCGTGGAACTGCTCAGAAAGATCAACCTCCAAGGCGTCTTCGACTCCTACTTCCTCGCCTCCTTCGTCCAGCTCATCTGGGAACTCGAAGAGAAACGCGCGCGAGACCTCACCGGCCACGCATTCGGCCAGGATTTCCAGTGCCATGAAGTCCCCGAGGAGGCGCGGTTCGTGGAGATCGAGCTGAGTCCCATGCAGTATAAACACGACTTCTACAAAGCCGACGTAGGCAGACTGGTCTACGCAACAGTAGGAGAGGAGGGGGAGCTCGTGGCGAACGAGGAGATGTTCAACGTCAGCCGCCCACCACCACAGGAACACGCCCCGGGCAGCCACCATCACGTCTGCAAAGGCGAACAATACGAGGGCGCGCGCCTGTGGGCGCTGGAAAACGCTCGTCGGAGCGAGACACTCTCACGGTGTGTGGATGAACTTTCTTCTCTCAAACCCCATGTCGTTTCTCGCGTGCTGCAGATGTGAGCCAACGAGCAAGTACTCAAGGGCGGAAGGCTTATTACTGTTTTCTTTGGCAGGAATTCCATGACGACTATTACCACCGTTACGACGGGGTCTTCTTCTTCTCCGCCGGAGGAGGAGATGCTGGATGCCGGGGAGAGGGATTCGGTCATGGAGGGGTGTGGGGAGGATTTGGCGGCGACGAGTTGGGGGTTTCCTGTCGTGGGTGCGGATGGGGAGGTGGGGACGGGGCGGGCGATACAGGCTTGAGGATCACGGTGACAATGAACGTCTTGCGCCACTTCGACACACAGGGGCGTGGCGAGACTTGTGGAGTTTGAGAGGCGAGGACCCTGGAAGGTTCAGTCTTGTGCTGGCGAGGAGCATCTATATGCGAGTCTGAGTCGTTGGGTCTTGCGCAAGTCCAAAATTTGCTTGCCCCTTTGATCGAAGGTGCAGTGTGGTACATATAGAGGCATGACCGGTTACCCACCTAGGATTGAGAAGCAGATAGAGACCCCAGATTAAATCTTCACGAATATCGCAGGTCCCGTTAAATTTCTTCGAGCGTGACCGCGTTTGGTCGCCGATGATGAGTTCAAGGATGTCCGTTCATATCAAACCTCCATTTGCCACGTTTGTTTGGGACTTGTGTAGACGAGTTCGTCAAAATCTGAAGTGGAGGACGGAGAAGAATGGATGACAGCGAAGACTCCTGACGAGGAGTTGGAGATGGTCGGAGAGTGTGAGGGACTTGACGCTGCCGGATCTCAGGGGTCTACGAATATTCAGCTGGGTCGCTGAACAGTGGTGTTCGTTTGGACGATGGGAAGATGTCATGGTGAAATGCAAAGACGAAAAGACACTGAACAGGGAGAAAAAGGAGGTCACAGTAAACATCACAAAATTCCCAAAAAGTACGACCACAGAAGTCAACAACCCCCCATCCCAATCCCAACCACCCCCAAACTCTCCCGCGCAAGCACTTCCACCTAACAAATCGTCACCGCCGCATCCCCCGTAATAACAATATTGCTATTCTCCCCACAAGGCTCCTCCCTCACCGTATTCCCATTAACCTCCAAACTCAACGACACATCCCGATTATTCGCAAACTCCGCCCGCGCCGCCAGACGCACCTCCCCGCCGCCCGTCACCGTCCCGGCGAGGATGGCGAGGTTGTAGCAGTTCTCGATGAGGATGGCGTTGTTGCCGTTATTGGAGAGGTTGATGTTTCCGATCTCCGCGCCGCCGGATTCCGACACGCAGAAGATCCCCCGCCCGCCGCCGCTGGACACGACGCGGTCGATGTAGACGTTCGTATCGTAGCTCCCGTCCGCCAGGAGGCCGTTCGTGTTGGCGAAGCGGAGGGTCGCGTACCCAGACGTCCCGCCGACGTTGTCACCGTCGACGAGCCCGACTTGGGCGTTGCGGGTGTTTTGCAGGAGCAGGCCGCACTCGCCGCAGTCCCGCGCGACGACGGAGTCGATGGTCAGGCCATCGATGTTCCAGGTTTCGACGGCGTGGCTGCTGGCGCCCGTGACGCTGATGGTGCCCATCGAGACGTCCACGTTGGCGGCCTCGTCGCGGTCGAAGCGAATCCCGATGCCGCCGCTCAGGTTCATCGTTATGTCGCCCAGACTGAGGCCCGTGACGCCATAGAAGCGCAGGCCGAAGTAGGGGGCGCCTGTCAGGGTCAGGGTGGGGATGCTCACGTCTGCGGCGTTGAGGACTTCGATGGCTCCGTGGCCGGCGTTGTAGCCGACGTCGATCGTGCCGCAGCCTTCGAAGGTCTTGCCGCTGTCGATGGTGATGGTGGCGTCGCCGATGGAGCCGTCTGCCAGGACTGCGACGGTTTGGCCGGTGGTGATGCCGTCGATGGCGGCTTGGATGGCGGCGAGGTAGGAGGCGCCGGAGTAGAGTTCTGTTGAGCCTGCGGTGGCAGTGTAGGCGCCTGAGGAGCCATCGACGGTGGCATCTGCGGTGCCGCCGCACTGGGCGGAGACGAGGGATGCGAGGAGGGAGAGCGCTGTGAGGAGGGACAAGCGCGCCATGGTGGAGTCTTCTCGCCTGCGAAAAGGGAAGTCAGAAGGGTATATCGTATTTCTCCCAATACAAACCAATCCCACCAGCTCTTTTATATCCTCTCCAGATCTCCCCAGCCAAGTCCCTCCACCTCATCTATACAACCCCCATCAGCGCACCACCTTCACAAGTGGGCCTCATTAGTGGAATATCGCCGCGACTCCTCCGTCCAAGAAAGCTTATACTGCGCATTGGTACTTGCCTATATTGGACTTTCCCTCGCCTATAGGAAGAGACCAGGTCGAGGATTGGATGAAACGGCTCGGCATGTTTCGGTGTCACATGTACCGAGCATTGCAGTGGAGGAGGAAATAGATGGCCAAGATGGGACAACTCCTCACAGTAGCCTCTTGATTGTCTTGTTCTCTCTGGTCGATTGAGTTTGGTGTACTTGTTGCAGAAGGTTGTTTCTTCAAGCAGGACTGAAGCCGGTGCAGCCGCCCTTGGGTGACAGGGATTCGAACGGAGCTGGCTTGGCTGAGGTGGAATGCCAAGGTGTTGTGGATAGTCAATGTTAAGTGCGACAGATAGCGGCTTGAACTGCATGAGTTAGATGTGAAGTTTCAGGGAGGTCAAAAACGATTTACAGGGGCGCTGTGGCCACGTTTTGTCGTCATCTACCTATCGAAGGCTAGCATCAGCGCTAACGAACTTTTGCATGTGATCGCACTCAATAGCATTCCCATCACCAGGGCACTCAAGGTCCTTCTTTAGTCCCGCTCATACTCCAAGCAGCCAATACCCTCCAGCAACCTCCAGATCTGGGAGCTCTTTGCCTCCTTCCGCCACTCCTTCTCAACGTCCACGTTGGCCAAGTTGAGACCCCAAGCCGCTGCAGCGTGGAACTGCTTCTCCGACAACAAGCTGCGCTCCCTCTCCGAAATCGTGAACCCAGCAATCCGCTCCATCAAGTGATTTGGAAGCTGAGAAGGCATGTCAACGTCGCGGAACGCACTTGCGCCGTGACTAGACACATGCTTCTCCTGCCAACGCACGAACCGCTGTGGGTTGTCGTCTCTCACAACGAGAGCATCCAGCTTCTTGGTGACAGCGTGGAGGTCGCTGCCGTGGCTTGAAGTCGGCTTGTGCGTCGTGGCCTGCCCATCTCCGCCTTCACTAAAGGCGCCCTTGCGATGAGGCTTGAATACCAGCTTTGGTGTAGTGGGGCTGTTGGTCACCTCAGTAATGACCAGCTCTGGCTCGCCTGCCGTAGCACCGGAGTTAGCAGTGAGAGTTGCGGCGTAGCTTCCTTGCTTTTGCGTGGTGCTTGAAACAGACAATCCTCGACCGCTTCCAGACGCACGCTTGTTCTCATCATTCGCGCAGCCCAGAGGTGTGATGGGCCGTCTATTCTCATCCTGACCGCGGCGCTTGACAGGTGTGAGGGATCGCATGTTCTCGTTGTGGGATCGATTGCCTGGCGTGACTGGGCGGCCGATTGGGCTCCGCTTCTGGCTCATGTACTTGGTGAAGTCGAAGAGAGGAGCGCCAGTGTAGATCTCGAATGGGCTGTGAGATAGGGGTCCAACTCGCACAGCAGTCCGGGAGTAGATGAAGACCTTCAGAGCTGTGTGCCACAACTCAACACTCTCTGCCCCGTGCTTGTTGATGACAGATCGCTGAAGTCTCTTGCGAGCACCCTCAAGCTCTGTCGTCTCATACTCGCCGTCAGTGCTGCGGATCGACCGAATGCTTGTGCGACGGTCTCCTCGAGCAGCTCGAGAGTGACGGCGATCGAGAGATCTCCTAGTCATAGCTTCGGCTTCAGCATCCTGTGCATCGATGCCAACTTCTCCAAGGATCTCAGAACTAGCAACGGTAACTTGATCAGCCAACATGGTCTGTTGTCGGAATGCCTCAGCCTTCTTCAGAATCTGAAGACCATCTTTACACAGTGTTGATTCACGCTCATCCCAGTCAACACCTCTGGAGTTCGCGTCTTGTTGGTAGGCATTGATGGCGGTGGTAGCGTGGGCTGCATTCAGGGCGTCGATCAATTGGCTTGGCAGGTGGTGGTCGGCAATGACATACGACAGCCATAAAGCACCTGCCTCAGTGAGTCCGATGTTTGTCAGCGAGATGTAAGGGATTGATCGCAGGCCACAACGACGCTTGAGAACCTTGCCAGCTGCCATGGAGTCCATGAGCCCAAATTCAGCGGTCTTAGGCGTGGGCTGGTCGCTGGTGTCAAATCCTTCTGGCAGGGACAGGACTGATGCGTCACCACTGGCAGAAATAGGGTCGATGGGTTCTTCCAGCAGATGCACTCGAGAGAGGATCTCAAGCCCCTTCGCTCCCAGAGCGGGATTGCCACTCAAGTCCAGTCTTCTCAGCTTGAGGCAATCCTGGAAAGCGAACAGGAATTCCTCCCACTCTTCTGCTTCTTGAGTGGTTCCCACCTTGATTGCGTTGTTGGAAAGGTTTAGGGTCGTCAGATCGTGCTTCGCAAGCTCGATGATGGGCGCCAATCGTGCCAGCGACTTGGTCGTGAGTTCATTGCCCGTCAAGTTGAGGTCCTCGAGCAAGACCGCCGCCTCGTTTGTGCCCCTCCGTAACACATTCAACAGACCCTTTGCAACCTCTTGTGCTCCCTCATCACCGAGCTGCTTTCCAGGTACTTTGATATCGAGTGTGTGCGTCACAGCATCTTGAGTCTCCGCCGAACTGGCTGCACTGGCAGCACTGCTAATGCTCGACTTGCGCGCCTTGGTGGTCTGCTTGTCTGCATCCTTCACAACCTTGTCCGCTTCCTTCTCGAGTTGGGTGCGGATGAAGGCGCCCAGCTTGATGCCGGTGCTGGGCTTGTTGGTGAAGTCGAACTTATTGGACTTCCCCATGTCTGAGACGGTATCGGCGATGCTGATGATGTCGTCGTCCTCGTGGTAGGCGTAGGGGCCAAAGGAAGAGACGCTTCCAGGGGCGCGTGGTAGAGTGCAGCGTGTCTTGGGCTCGCTGGCGCGGGTGACGAAGGCGATTGCAGTGCGAAGTTTGCCAAATCCGCGGCGAATGCGGGAGTCAGACCGCATCGAATGTTCTCTGAGGTGGGTGTTGGGTGTTGTGGTGTTGTTGGCGGGGTGACTGGTTCTTGCAAACGAACGTGGCAGGGGCGCGGTGCGGCTAGCCGTCCTCCGTTTGCATGTGCGGAAGGCGCGTCGAGTCTAATGCCGTAGATTACCGAAGGCATTCACATGCTACAAGTGAATGGAGATCGTGGAGCATGCCGATGCCGATGGTGTCAATGAGTCGGTTCACCTAGGGTATTAGCGTCTCTGCAATCAGTGGATGGATCTAGGCGAACTCTTTCAGCCCACTTGTGATTCCTATTGGGAACAGAACGATACATAGATGGTATCATCGAAAGCAAAGATACCTACTGTGAATGTCTTTGTAACAGTTGCCTTGCCATCCTTGAGCCTTACCATTGTGGAAAAGCCATCGTCTTGTCAGCCTTGACCTACGTCAATCCTCATCTTGCTCCTCATCTTCGCTACCGTCTTCTTCTTCTTCTTCTTCTTCTTCCTCTTCTTCTTCTGAATCCGTATCCTCTTCCACATACTCATCCTTCCGCACGCTCCCAAATCGGCCAGCCCTATCACCCGCCCTCCTGGTGACATACTTCCTCAAGTAGTCGTCCTTTTTAATCATCGAATAGAGAAAGTCGGTCTCATCGGTCGACATGCGGCAAGAAAAGGCTTCGGCTTCATCCATAGGTGGCGACTCTTGTATTCCGGCGATGCTGAAGGTGAGCCCCCACGATGTCACGGCTGAACCAATGTCCTGGTAGAACTGGATGCTTGTCTTGAGAACTTTATATGGGTCGTCAACCTCGTCTGCAACACCTCCTAAGCGGATCGAGCGAATTCCTCGGAAAGCTTTGGAAGTGAGGAATTTCAGATATCCCAGAGTGCTCACTCTCAAGACCTTTGACGCGAAAGTAACAAAGGAGATGAACGACTCCTTTCCCTCCTCTGGTTGGCGTGATGACCAAAGCGTCTCCACGTACTCCGCGATGCCTTCCTCTCTAGGAAAGCGAATGAACCTCGTTGCTGTGTTGTCGAGAATCATTGTCAACTCAGTGACGTTCTGAAGGAAGGTTGACAGCATCGACCACCTGGAACTCTGGAGTACCCAGTTCTTGGAGTATCGCGTTGCTGCATCTCTCTCATTCCCATAGATCCAGGTCAATCTTCTGATCTTCCGCTGCGACTCTGGCGATCGGACAGCGACACGCACATACCAGGCAGAATTGTTGTCGAGGTGCGTTGCATTAGTGGCGTCTCCACGGGTCGTAAAGTTCATGAGCCCTTGAAAGGGCAGAGCTTGCAACAAAAAAGTATTCCCACCCCAAAAAACCGGCGCCGCCTCCTCGTAAACCTGCCGGCAAGTCCGCATGAAAGTGAAGCAGGCGGTAATCCGATCGCGGCGTTTCCGGTCATTCTTGTACGAGACATCATCATTCCGGATGACAAAAGGAACAACCACTGCGAAATGGTAGATCAAGTTGCGAAGCTCGGCCGGAAAGTCAAGGAAAGAGAAGTGCGGTGGCTTGTTGAAAGGCAGCCGCTTGAGAGGTCCGTTTTTGAAGGAGAAGAGAGGTGGGCGGAAGACTTCTTTGCTGGAGGTGGTTTGAGACATGGTGGGTGTATGTGTTGATTGTCAGTGGGGTTTGTTTGGCATTGTGCTGCTGGGAGGTGGTGCGTTGATGGGGTGGAAGAGAGAGGAGTGAAAGGGAAGGATGAAGTGAGGTGTTCTTCCAGGTTCCACGCGGGAGGAAGCTTCGGCTACGGAGGACCATATTGAAGAAAGTGCGAAGCAATTGAAATTCGCCTCACTTCACGCCTTCTCCCCCTCACATCAATGATGATGAGATTGTCAGAGTCAATCCTCAAACTTCAGAAGAGAGTCCTCAGCCTTCCATCGCTCCTCAAACTTTTTCGCCTCAATATCTGCAAAAGCCTTCAAGAACTGCATTCGCCTCTCCTGCTCCGTCAACTCGGCCATGTCCATCTCGTCTTTTCTGACGAGATAGTTTCCAAAAGGAAACTGTCGTCTCTGCCATCCGCCCTGCAGTAAGTGCAGTCGCACTGTGTGTGTGATCATCCTTGGCGGCCGTGGTGCTCTTCTGAGGCCTCTCGACTGTAGATGAGCCCAGTAATCAATCCCTTGTGCAGGCTGGCTAGAGTTTTCTCCGTCAGGTGCAGTCGTCCGCACGGCTTTCCACGTGAGTATGATAACGTGGTAATCCAGCTTTTCCATGCCTTCGTGTGCCTCTTCAATATGGTCATTGATGTTGGGCGGACCAGTCCACTCCCACACTTGAGGCTCGTCCACCACCTTCATTCGCATTACGAGGTTTTTGTCAGATTCTGATCGAATAGGCGAGCCTTCGAGCTTTGAAATCCGATCCACAATCGCTTCAAGCTGTGCTCTGTTCTTTGTGAGAGTCTCCAGCTCCAGCTCGAATCTCTGCACGCCTTGCATCAGCTGAGAACTCAGTGTACGCTCGATCCAGCGCTCGTCCAATTCGAGAGGCAGCGGATCTTCCCACCGATACCAGTCAGTATGCCGCCAAGTCACGCGAAGTACCTTTGGCCTCAGTTCGTACATGATAGCGGCAATGCTGTCTGCACTTGTGAACAGCCTGTCCGCCTTGTGCTTTTGCGTGAACAGATGCAGGGTATTATAATTCTTCTTGTTCAGCGAAGTCCAGTCGCTGGCAAAGTCATACCTCGACTGGTTGGGAGGACCACGATGAGTCTCGAGCCAGAATGTCTTCTTAGATTGTTGCATTGGTAGAACATTTGCTTCCAGCCAGATACGTCTGCACGTCCTCAGCAAAGCAGTCGAAGTCTTGAGCGGTCCTCTGTGGCCAGGTCGATAGTGAAACGCGTTTGTCTTGTATTCATGATCGAGGTCTTCGTATTGCGCCGTCGCGAATTCGAAAATCAGGTCTCGTATCTCTTTTGGCAACTTGCTGTAAAGTGGCGACCCGTCTTGAGCATGGCATTTGTCCAGGTTGTCGCTCAACGAGGTTTCCATAGTCAATCTACGTAGAGTGACTCGCTCAATACTCTGCACGAATGTCTCGCATCCCTGCAACTCATGGCCATTCAGGCTCTTGATGAAGATGTCCTGATAGTCTGGGCGGACGCTGAACCGCATTGTGAACTGAGATGGGAGTTGAAGTAATTCTTCCGGAGCAGTTATTGAAGCAGGAAATTGTTCAGATTCAAACCTTCTGTCGCTGGTGCTGTGATCCGTTCAGGCGACTGCGCCCGATCATGTGTCACTTTCGAAAGGTTGGAAGCTGCCGCATGCTCGCAAGAATTGCACAGCTGCCGCTGCTGTGTAGCGAAGACGCTTGTTTCGCACTGCGTCGGGGCTGTTCAGTTGACTGGACAGCATTCGCGACACGTTCTTGTATACATGTAACGGCAAGCTCACGAGTTGACGGTGACCAGAAGCGAGAAACACATGCTGACGACAAGTGGAAGGCACAAGGCGAAGATTAGAGTTTGAGACCCACGCCCGTCTCAATCAAGCGGGCCATCAAATATTGATTCACTACTCCTTCATCGACCTCTCCTCTCTCAATCCACTCACAACCATGCGATAGAATGTACTAGATCGCCAGTTGCGACCATCTGCTACCGGCAGTCAGGATGGCCCATGGATGCATCCAAATTCTCCTGTTTCGGCCGTAAAAAGAGTTTGCACACATCCTCGTGGGCGGCATATTGACCAAGGGATAGACGCTGAGTGCAGAACAAGATATTCCTTGACTGGCACGCGAGCAACGATCGGTCATACCCGACTCTCCTACACGGAGCAGCCTTCGTCCTCTGGTTCTTGCCGGGTAAAGGGATGCACACTGCCGGCGGTGCTTCGATCAAAAAATTGTTGGTCGAGCGCTTCGTTCCTCACGGCGATTCTTTCGTGGATTTCATCTTCGTGCAATGGACCCCTCGTCATGAGGACTCGCATGATCCTAGCCAGGAGGACTGCAAGGTCGACGAAAAGTATCGTGTTTGCGCTTCTGCGGAGTCGGAGCTCGCCCGGATCGTGATTTGGGTCGAAGAAATCGTCTTGGAGTAACTGGGCGCGCAGAGCATTCAACGCTTGGACGCTATGAGGTCGTTGTCGACGGCCGGCGGCTGCGATGCTGTTCTCCAACACCATATGAAGGATCCTAGCCACAAGCAGGGAGCTGGATGGTTGGTTATTGACAAGCTGCAGGCTCATGAAGTGAAACTCTGCGTGAGACTTGTCTCTCCTGTCTCTTTCCGGGTAATACCATCATTACGATGTGAGGACGTCATCTGTCATATACTCATCCAATGGCCATTGACGTGGAAGTCCAGTGTGGTTTGCAAACGAGCGCCGCATTGTTGACCTGGCCTTGTCTATGACGACTAACAATCACGAATCTTTCTTTTCGACCCTTTACCAGAGACGTCCATGACCAGCGTCAACAGCCACTTCGTTTGCTTCAACGCGTCGGCATGATCTTTCCGCACCGGTGTGCTGTTCGGGCAGCCTTGTCGAATGTTCCGCGCGACACCACCTCTCGATTCCGTACCATCATGATGGACAGAGCCCGGCAACTTGGTCGACCGTGTCACTTCAGGTTGCACTGCCAATTCGGTCTCGCGCGGGACAAGCAATCGCTGTCGAGCAGAACGTCAGTCGACGTCCAAGCCGAGTAGAGTTGAGGCTTGATGGGCGTGCGAGGTCACTGAAACTCCGAGACGTGGCCCCCAACTGCCGGGCCGAGCTCAATCTTGCTGGGCAATTCCTTCGTCTTAAGACGCCAAGCGAGGTCCTCGGAAATCCGAACTGTCAGACGCCCGCTAGAGATGATAGCGAAAGGCCAATGGCAGAAGGTCTGCAGACAGATCTGTGATCTGCCAATGCTACATTGTAGAAGGACGGATATCATACAGCGTCGTCTTGACTATTGTTCTTCGCATATACCATGAGTCTCTGCTATCACCACCAATTTCGTCTTCAGCGAAGTTCGCGATTTGCTAACGCAGGGGCTTGATTTTGGTCAAGCCACCCGCAGCGGCAGTGAAGGAGGCGGACAGGGGCGGTGATCATCCCCACGGGAGCGTGCGGGCCAAGACGCACGCGAGGCACGATGGGACGAGCAACACTTCTCTCTCCCAGCTCCGACGTTTGACTTCATGGCACAACAGAGCAACCCTAACGCCGCTGAACCTCCAATCGCTGCTGACGAAGCTGGAGAGCAGCGATCATGGGTCTTATACTTCGCGTCTCTTTCAGCTCCGGACGATCACTCTCCGCGTGAACGGGCAGCTGCTCGAGTTCGCTGTCTGCTCGCATCAATCACGGGGACCTTGTGCATCATGGATGGTGGTGCAAATCACGGAAGATGATCATCCTGTAGGATTGCGGACGCACGCCCACACATTTCTGCAGCCTTTCGACCACTTGCACTTGACAGAGATCACAGCTCGTTGTGCTCGGTCTCCGCTATTTTCGATGACCGTTGAGCTTTACCGTTCAACCTAACGACATACCAGTCCTCTTGGAGTCACAGGCGAGCACAAGATCATCGCCCAAAGCAGAGAGCGTTGTCAGGCCCATCGCTGCAAAGGGCACCGTGTTGTCGGTAACGCATGCATGGGCTTTCATTAGGAGAGCGTGCTTCTTTCGTCTACACTTTCAATATCTCAAAGTGTACACGCAAACGAAAAGTCCAGCGTCGACGAAACTCGTTTGCTCCTGCAACCTGTGAGAACACCAACCGAAGCCATACGTCTCATCTTGAGAGCCCCCAGTTTCTCGTACCGGACCGCGCAAACTGACTTGCTAGGGGGCGCCGGATCCCTGCCTGGCGCCATTAAAATGCGATTCAGCAACCGACAGGGAACAAGTGAGCAGGAGCTCAATGCTACCACGGCCGATGTCGTGTTGCAACTTGGAGAGGCAAAGATCCCAATCAAGGCGGAGAAGTTGCTGGGAGCCACAGTGAGGGTCAGTCGAAGCCATCAGAATCTCGCTGCCGAGCAGTACAAGCCTCGAAGTCCGCATGAGCGCGCATCGAACGACGAAGACAAAGCGATCGAGGCGCTGTCGCGAATGCAGGAGGAGTTGTCATGGACTCATGCGGGCGCTGCAGCGGGCGGTGGGAAATATCCATGGTCTCCCGATGACCTGTATCCCAGTGACAGCAAACTCTATCAACCAACACAACATGGCAACCACCATACCCCGGATCGACTACGCCGGGAACCGTCTGATGCGAACCTACCGGCTTATTACGACCCGACAGAGCAGCCTTATTATGTGTCGCAACAGACTTCCGCCTCTGCCGTACGTGATATGGCCCTTCACAAGGGAGCGCCCACCATTTTCGACAACATTGGCGAGACTCCACAACGACGACTGTCACTGACAGCCATGAAGCAACACGAGGTGTCACGACGCAGTAAGACGACAGGCCACGGCCCAAGACCACGAAAACTCGACCTTGTACAGCTTTTCCCTCAACCACGACCGTCCACTGGACGCCTACTATCCCCCTCACGACTGCAGCACTCGCCGTCTGCAATGACCGACCGTGCCGATTACCCATTACCGCCTCTGCCCAACGAGTTGCACAGTAAGAAGTCGGGAACATTAGATACATCTTCAGTCAGACCGTCGACCGCTGCGTCGGGCGTTGCTGGCAAGAGTCGAACGTTCGATGAGGATATCTTCGATCAACACAAGACCAACGTGCGAAGGCCGCCGAAGGGTATTCAGAATTGGTTTGATGCCTTTCTTGACACCGATGAGGATGAGGACGAAGATGAAGAGCCTGTCGATGACGGACCTGAACCGCAAGAGCTCCCAGCCGACGAGATCCAGCCTCCAGCATATCAATCGCCGAGCAGAGAAGTGTCGCGTGCAAGTCACAAGTCGATCCAGCCCCAGATGCAACCTCAGTTGCCACAACCCGTCCAGCAAACACGTTCGTTAGATCCTATCCGCGACGAGCGACAAGCATTGGAAAGAATGCAAGAACACGAAGATTTGAGCAGATATCGCAGTACAAGTGAATGCCATTCTTGGGACAGCATTCAATCATCGCATCTAGGCCAACCGCAACCCGCTCCGGCGGAGAGTCACATAGGGAGCAACTCACGTGCGGGACAAAGTGTCCTGTCGCTATCAGATTCCGGCTATGGCGAAGACGGCGAGGACAATTCATCAGGCAGTCACGTCAAGGATCGTCCGACTATACGAGACAGTATCATGGACTACCGCAACGTTACCGTCGGCGCAGCATCGCGGATGGATGTGCAAAAGTTACACCAAAGACCTCAGCAATTGCAAGCCATCCGAAGTCTCAGCCACGAGAGTAAAGAAATGGAGACGAAGCGCAGTTCATCCAGGACGTCCGTGTCAAATACCACTCCACACCAGGCACAGAAGCCGCTTCCCATGGCGCCGCAAGAGGAGATGCATCCCACAGCAGAGCAGGTGGCATTACGACGATTGAACGGACTCAGTCTTGAATCAAGCGCAACCAGCAACAGCAACAGCAACAGCGAGCAAGCGCTTAGAAGTCAGGATTCGAGCGAGCTTCCATCAGATGCTGCACACATGATAGCAGTTACTGAGGAGGAAATGATGCTGCTCGATCTGATGCGACGCAAACGTGCAATGATGCAGCAGATGTCGTTCACCGAGGGGTATCAACTGGCGTTGCAGACAGAGCAGCAGCGTTTGGCCAAATGTACTGAGTCGGCACAGAAGAGCGCAATGAAGGCTTTGCAGCGCAAGGAGAACGAGCGTCGAGACAGCCAAATTTCGTCTTCGCGAGGCTCTCCCACCGTCACGCAAAGCGACTCTGACATGCGACGACATCTGAGTGCCATTCGAAAGGAGCAAGTCGACGAGCGTTTTCAAATCGAGCGTTTTCTCGGCATGTCACAACCACAACCGCTCTCGTCCCATCCACCAGACCTCGCCATGCCCACCGAACTGCCCAGATCCAAAAAGTCGAGCTCCACCAAATCACGAGAACCCAGTGGTGAGCTCCTCCCAGCTACCGTCTACTCACCAGCAAACACTCCCACTGGCCACAGCCCAGCCGTCACGCAAGGTTCACTTCCATCCTCAGACGACAACGATTCTGATTCCGTCAAGCGACGAGTCGACCACTTCATCGCAACGAACGGTGCGGTCCCACCGTTGAATACCGCCCTCAAGACGATGCGGAAGAAGTCGAGCCGCACTCCGGCCAGCATGCCACCTTCGCCGGTTATTGAGGAAGACCACGCACCCCCAGCCGTTCCTGTACGCAGCCCGGCCCGCACGAAGAAGCATCAGCGAGACGCTTCTGATCAATCGTGGCAATTAAGTCACAAAGTTTCCTCTGTATCAATGGACACCGACGCCGAACCACGGGATAAGTCTCCTGTCCATCCCTTCTTTTCTCGAAAAGACTCTACAAACGAGGGAGAGCAAGCTCGCTCGCCGGAAGAAGAACATTACACGCCGCTCTTGCCCAGCAGACCTGGCGCTGAATTTGCCGATCCCAACTCGCTGCAGAGGACGCAGACCATTGTCTCGGCCATGACCAGCTCACCGTCGATGTCCACCATGTCGCCCATATCTCCTTTCTCCTCGATCATCAGCGCAGCCGCCGCTGCCCCTAAGCCTTTGACACCACAAAGCCGTCAAGCCAGCGCTTATACCCCAGACACCGAATACTCCCAATACTCGCGCTCCACACCTTCCACCGTCGGCGCCACCGCCCAAATCGCACATGTCATCAACCTCAGCGGCCCACCGATGGCCAAAGGTACCAACGTCGAGCGAAAGAGACCCCTTCCTCCACCCCTCTCACAGCTCAACACCATCGAAGCCGCCATGGAAAGCCACGTCGTCAACAAGCACGGGAGCTTGATGTCCATCACGAGCGCAGGCGAGGATGTCCTCGCTGCGTGGAAGGATCTCGGCGGAGGAAGTGATTGTTTGAAGACGAAGAAGAGAATCGCTGCCAGACCAAGCGGAGGGCTGAGCGAAGTGACGCATTAAGGTCTTGTAAAGAAAAATGGTTGTTTCTTAGCGTTTTTTTGTTTCGCTTTGGAAAGCGAAGGTGGCCGCTCCTTTTGGAGGAAGAAGCCCTCTTGATTTTCGAAAGCCATGCAAAACATCATTAATGATACCCCGTGTACTATAGTCATCTTGAAGAAAAGCGAAATTGAGGAGCAAGAAAGGAACGCTCTGTATCCTCGACGAAATGTTTCTGGTGAAGACGAGAGCAATCTCTCCTGATTCGAACTTACCACCATGACACTCCTTGCCCCAATTCTTGGAGTGGTTCCATGGTCTTGCTCGCTCGCCACCACCGCGCACGCCTTCGAAGCGTCCAGAAAATGGCAAAACGTGGGAAAAATGTTCTTGACCGTTGACATCGAAGAAAAGAAAAAAAAACCTACTCGGCCTCACAGCATATCAAAAATCTAATCAAGAAAACTATACCGAAAACCCACACCTCGGTCGTCCGAAACGAGGTCGAAGCTTCATTTACTCAACAAAGCAAAGAAAGTTGACTGAACTCCAGAGACACACCGAGGAGACGACAACGACGGCGACCGAAAGAAAAATTGGACCCTCGAGAGAAAGAGAGGTGAAGGGAAGTGGGCTGAGATATGGAATCTCACCCAACCCACAGACAGTGAGTTAGGGAGTGGCAAATAGAATAGGCAGCACGAATGACTTGCATGCACGAATTGCTTGCCTATAGAGAGGCCGTAAACGAACATCGCCACACTTCTTCCCTCCTGCGTCTCTGCCCTCATGCATCTCGCATAGGATCATAATTATTCACTCCAGAATTCTGCAGACCATTCTATTCTTGCTCCTGTCATCTAGACCACCTACTCGGGCTGGCATGGTATGGACATGTCTCTCCTCCCTTTACCTCCTAATTCCGCATGCATGCATGCATGCACACTCCCACATCCACATCCATCGAGAGGAAGACTCAGGGCTTTTCGCTTCCCTCCATCCTCCATTCCACTATACCCTGCCTGACGAGAGCTCTGGAAACGCACGTATCGTGTTCTTGTGCTGCAAGGGACGAGGGAAAAATAGAAAGTCACTTCGTGTTGATGAAAGGCGAGAATCAGACGTGTGGTACTACTACTACTACTACTACTGTAGAGGTACAGTGATGATGATGATTACTACGGAGGCGGCGGCGGATGCGAGCGCAGTGCAGTGCAGTACGGTGCGCGGAACGCAGGCGACCACCATCTCTCGCTCGCTTATAGCGCATTTCTTCTGCAGGTTGGGTGGAAATCCTTCTCAGGTACAGCAGTACAGACGGATTATTCAGCCGCCCTTCGCATTATGCAATAGAGAACCGTGTTCGAGAATCTCGTTTTCCGTTGATCGCCCCAAGTATACGGGTCTGTGGGCTAGATAAGAACATTTACCGAGAAGAGGTTTCCGTGCGAGAGAGTGGAGTTGTCTTTTGTCTCATCATCACTCTCGGAGTATGTGAGGTATGATGGTTCGAGCGGGCCGGAGTGGTCGGCCGTAGGGGTCCCACTCGATGATCCGTCGCACCGCACGCGCCTGCATACCGGAAGCTGTGTGCGATTTTGAGCCGCAAGACGGCCAGCGGGCTGAGGCTCTGCCCTGGAATCATACGTAATGATCGCCAGGCACGCGCGCGACAGCATGCCACTTTGAAGGTTGGCGCGTTGGCCAAGCGGTGCGTGTGCGCGGACAAGCTGATGGGGTTTCTTGCGAGAAAGCAGATCCAGGCGGATGGTGCTCACGAGGCCTTGCCGTTCCAAATTCTCACATGCGTAATGCATCGAGGCTGCGAAGGGCTTGGCCTGCTTGTGTTGCGAAAGCAGGCCGGAATCATAGGTCCCATGGCCAGCCGGTCGTCGGTGTCCTGGGCCTTCCATCTTGCGGACTAGGCCACAGTTGTTCTTGTTGCTGCTGCTCTGATCCGGACCGTTCGATGCAGAGTGCCTTCTAGCCATTCTCGCACCGCTGAGCCTCGCCGAGAGCTGGGTAAAGTAATCGTATTTGTATCGAGGCCTGCCCCGAGCGAGGTGCGGCAAAATGCTGAGAAACCCAGTAAGTACTCCACTCGGTTTGAGTTTGACTGTCGAGAGAAGGTTCTACACAGATTCTTCGCCTGGTATATCAAAGCGTCGTGCGGCGACCTCGAAGATGGCCAACAAAGAGAGAAAGGCCAGCAAGGCGAAGATGGATACCAGACCCAGATACAGGCCCCCAGGCCGGCTGGGCGACTCCAAGATGGAGTTGTTCCAAGATCCGCGAGCGAATACGAAATTGATCGAGGCGATGGCAGAGTTCGGGATAGAACGAAATCGAGCACCTCCTTCGCTGGCGACCTTGAGTCCAAACTCATCGGAGGAAGAGTTCTCGAGAAGCATGGCCGAAGCAGAATCTGGATTCGAGCAGCTGTACGAGACTTTGCCGAACGACTTGCCACAGGACGCGCTAGAGTTAGAAGTTGTTGAAGAGGAGGAATCGATAGATGGGCCGGCGAACAGCAAGATACAGCTCCACATATTCCGACCCAGGCTGAGAGGCGGGCCCCTTCCAGGAGTGATATATCTTCACTCAGGCCACATGACGATGCTCAAGACAATGAACAAGGTTCACAGGCGGTGGTGCATTTCCTTGGCCGCGCAGGGCATGGTAGCAATCGCAGTGGACTTTCGAAATGCGTGGTCAGAGGCTGGAATGAATCCTTTCCCAGCTGGGCTGGATGACTGCTGTGCGGCGGTGCAATGGGTACACTCGAATAAGGACCGTCTGAACATTCGAAACATGGTGGTCCAGGGCGAAGGGGGTGGTGCAAATCTGGCACTTGCAGCAGCCTTGAAAGGCAACCGCGAAGGCTGGGGCTACAAGTTGGACGGAGTGTACGCAAGCTCTCCAGAGATCAGCGGGGCATATAGCTGGTCTGAGGACAGGAAGTTGCTCGAACTGCCAAGTCTGATTGAGTGTCATGGATACTTCGTGAACGTCGATTTCCAGGCCTATGTGGCGCATGTGTATACTCCAAGGTCGGCCGACTTGACAAATCCACTGGCTTGGCCATATCATGCAACGAAGAGGGATATGGATGGTCTTCCGCCGCACGTTCTGGCAATGAACGAGCTGGATCCACTGAGGGACGAAGGTATGGCCTATTACCGAAAGTTGAGTGCAGCTGGAGTCAAGTGTACTGCTCATGTGAATCTGGGTCATACTCACAGTGCGAGTCTCATCTTCCGCCGGGCACTGCCAGAAGATCACATGGCTGCGATCAAAAGCATCGCTGCATTTGCAAAGTCGGTGTGAGGGGAGGATCGATGGATTCGAATGATTTTAGCGTTTTGGGAGGTCGACAGCAGCATTTCGAATGTTTGAGCGACAGTGTTAGAGAACAACGCAGAGTCAAGATCGGGTAGACAGCATTGCATATCGACTTCAGACGCCGGCGTCTGATACTTCGATCTCTGTACGCGGCCGTGCTTTATTAAGTCCGTCCAGCAGAACGCAGGCTTTGCACACCGCTTGAGATGAAAGATAGCCACAGCGCTCGCATTGGCCGAGCTTCTGCTTCGGAGGAGCCGTGTTTCGTGCCTGTCTGCGGCCAGATCGCTTCTCCTGCTTCGTCCGGATTGGTATGGTGTTCTTGCTGGCGTCGAACTCAAGGGCATGGCCAGTCCCGTTTGCTGCATTCTGCGAGAGGAGTTTGAATTTACTTTTGACCTCAGTCTCGAGGCCGTTGGCAGCAGCAGCTTCATCTTGGCGCAGCCGCTCCTCCATTTCAGCCATCTCTCCGCCGCTCGATTTTCCGTTGGCAGTACCACAGCCTTCGGCGGCCTCGTCTTCTGCACCTTCTGCAGCTACGTCTTGGTCACTCCCACACGCTCCTTTACAGTTGCCATTTGCATCAGGCACCAGTTTGGCCATGTCGATCCCAGAGCGAACGACGTCCAGTATACTTTCAGGCCGGATGCGCTCCAGATTCTTGATGAGCGTTCTCGCGGATCCCCGGAATGCCTCTGGGCTGTAGATACATTCGGTACTGAAATAGTCGAGCTTCTTGTGATGAGCATATAATACAATCTCTTTCTCGTAGGCGTACATCAACGGCTTGGAGCGCTTGACGTTTGTGAATGACACTTCGCCGTCTGCAGACTTCGTGGCTTTCGCTGAGGGCGTACTAGTGACGATGCTCGTTGCTCTGCTCAGTCTAGGCAGATCTCCTCTCAGCAGGTTCATGAGCACCGTCTCTGCGACATCGTCGGCGTTGTGTCCAGTCACCACATGCCCCACTCCAAGCATCGCGGCACCTCGATCCAGCGCCTGTCTCCGGAATACGCCACAGTATGTGCAGTTGCCCTTCTTGCCGACTTGAGCCACGACTTGGTCCATCGACCAGCCGTAAAGCTCTGCGTAGCTGACGATCTTCAGCGGTAGTCCATATTGTTCGCTATGCCTCTTGACGGCCTCCAAGCTGTGATCTCTGTAGCCTTGAATTCCTTCATCCACTGAAAGCAATACCAAGTCTAGGCCCCATCCATGGCGATCATTCAAAGTCTTGAGCACGGAGGCGAGGACTGTGCTATCTTTGCCGCCCGATGCGCCTATTGCGACTCTTTCACCAGGCTGGAATAGGTTCGTGGAGTGGACGGTCTCGGCGACTTCATCCTCGAAGATTGAAGTGAAGCACGGTGCACAAATGCGGGCGTGGTTCTTTGGGCGGAGGATCTGCGCGCGAGCTGTCTTGCAGATCTCGCAGGTGGACGGTGGCATTATCGCGACGGTGATGGAGGCATTGATTTGTAGATGACATCAATTGTGTGTTGAAAGGCAGTTGGGAATTGTGACACAGCTTTGACAAGTCGAACTCGTAGCGCGGAATTTGGCCGCAGATTGTGATTTCGCGTCAAAGATAGAATACAGTCATGTAGAATACACATTTGCAGCGAAGTCGCACTCTGCGATCTCATACTCAAAGACCATCTCATCAAGCTCATCGACCAAACGCACCCAGCAAGCAATCTCCTTCCAAATCACACAGCCCAGCAGCGATCTTTTCAACCATTCCTCTTGACTTCTTCACGATCCCGTATTCGTCAGCATGGTGAGGCGTGGCCAATCCCTCTTGCATTGCCCATCCTTGTACGCTGCACCGTCCTGCACTTCGTCCAGGCCTGCAGCACGACCTTCTTGACCACCAGACACATAAGGCTTCAAGTCGAGAATCCTCATAGCACGGTTGAAGAGGGTTTCGACGTCTTTCGGGCGAGACACATGCTCCGTCACATCCATACCACACCCGGTCTGGAGTGAGCGGGGCATATCAAACATGTCGGTTTCGTAATCTGAGAAGGCCATGGTGGTTTGGACGGTCGGGGCGTTTGGAAGGCTCAGGTAAGCCATCGTCATGTCCGCGGCATAGAATGGGTCGGATTTCGATGCTCTGTTCAACCTGACGGTCGAAGTCCATACAGTGAGGCCGAAGAACTTGGTCAGGAGCGGTCCTCGATCCGAGATTTGCTCCATTCTGTCTAGCCACGAGTTCCTGCGCTCGTGATGGACCTCAAACGTCGTGTCACTCTCTTCCAACAGGTCGACAAATGACTCGTCGGGATCATGTCTGCCAGATTCGCCACATTCGTCACATTCACAGATACCCATGACGCCCCGGATTTCGTCTATATCTTCCTCGGTGTAGTGATCCAGTGTAGAACATGCCTGGCGGAAGCATTGGTAATCTTCCTGCCATTGCTCGCGCTGCTTCTCCCGCTCCGCTTTCAGCAAGACCTCCTCAATGTTGTTAAGAAGCTCAACTGGCAGCCGCGTGATTGGTGCACCAGAGTTGCCAAAGCGGTGGCAGAGGCGCAAAGCGTTGATGATAGGCTGAAGCTTGATGAACGCCTCCACGTTGGGCCCGACGACCTCGATGTCGACAGGCACAGCCCACGCGAGCCTGGCGTCGAGAGACGGCATGTTGAAGCAGCCGCTCCGATGTTCTTCGAGTGAGTGAAGTGGTGACGGCTGATTTTGTTGGTATTGTGCAAGTCGAAGAAAAAAAAAGCAAACAGTACCGACAGTCCTGACTTCCCAGGCTGTGACCTCAGACGCGCCTCAGATACGCGTGCTTGCTTGATGTGACAAAGGAAAGCGCACCCTGGCCGATGACAAGACCAGGGTCGGCGATGATGAAAGCTTGATACTTGACCTTGACCTCAAACCTGTCGTTGCGCTCGATGACTTGCGTCGACGTTCTGCTCGAAAGTGGTGATGGTGGTGGTCAGAAGCAGGGAGGAAAGAAGTTGAAGAGGTCGAGTTGACGGTTGGCTTTCGCTTGCGGCAAAATTCCGGCTTCCTCTTGTGACAACGTCTCTTGGCAGGAGCAACACCTCGAGAAGTCTACCACATCCACAACTCGTACCATCTCATGGATGCATTGCTTGCGATACGTGTCACCAAGCAACATCCTCACACCATCGCATTGCGTTGAGGACTGGACCGGCGGCGCCGACTTATCGAGCCTGTCGAGCATTTTCTGCTCAAGCTGCCATGCCTTCAGAGCCAACGGACCGGAGACGGCAGCATATTCCAAGTACTCTTCTTTGGTTGCTCGTAAAGAGTGATTGCCAAAGAACCCCTTTGATGATTTCGCGACAATACCGGCATGTCGAATGAAACCTAGAATATATGGAGACCGACCCGTGTCCGGCGTGCGGGCAACTGGGGACCCTTCACCACTCGACACATCCACTTGTACACTGGATGATCGGCCACTGCTAGACTCCAACAAGAAGCTCCAGCGCGGGATACTGTGTCAAATGCCCAGTGATGTCGAGTATGCGAATGCGAAAACTCCACGGGCGGTGCCAGCGACACAGAACGTTGTGTCCTTCAAGAATTGCCGTCACATGTCGACCATCCGGCTGCCGCTGAAGGTAAACAGCACCGTGGCTGACCGCCATTGCTGAGAAGCTGGAAATGAGCATTCGAACGTTGGTTGCAACAGTCACGTGCCTCGAGAATGCGACCAATGCGAACCTCAAGGCACATGGAAACACCACGCATCGCAAGGCCTATCGCTTGTGCTGTCCTCAGTCAAGCAAGGCCGTCGACGAGCCCGAGCCCGAGCCCAGGACCAGCCTGCGTGAAGTGTCGCCAATAACATTCGACAGAAAACCGAACTACACATGGATTCACGCCAGCTCTTCCATACCCTGGAACTCCGCGGTTGTCGCACGAGCCACCTCCCGTGTTGGCTCGTATATACCGCCAATCCCGCAGGATACCTTTCCGCTTCCAACGAGTCCCTCTGCCGCCTCTCAAGCACCTCATCGAAGAGTCAGAGACTCGGAGTACTTGTTGCGGGGTTCTTGGATGATCTTGTTCGTTTATTCAAGAACGCTTGCAGCTGCTTCGAAAGTCTTATGCAAAACCCTATTTCCTGGCCCTGCATTGGACATCCCTCATTGGACGTTCTCAGCGCTGAGTTCATGTGGCTGGCCTAGTGGCAAGATCCGCCCAATCTTATTAATCTGATAAGATCGCATGATCAGGCTAACATTCACTTAGCGTTACTACACGACAGCGCCTGAGACCGGTCTGGCTCTCGTGATCGCGAAAATCCGTTTCCAAATTCTCGCGTTTGCCGAAGGGCCTGCTGTTCTCGGTGTAGCTTCTTCAGCCTTTTCACCCGTCTGGAGAAAGCTCGATCCTGCCGGTGCGTGGGTCGCTGCTGGTAGTACTAGCCCAGTACCACTCCCACATGGCCGCCAGCATGGCTAGATCCGAGTTGCTTCTAACGAAGGCCATGACCCTGATCAGATAAGATCTCGGTTCGCGACGTTGCTGCTACAGTGTCAAGCATTTGTCCTTCATCGCTATGGCGCTTAGTCTCTTTTCGGTGTTGGCTCTCGCCTCCTTCTTCGCTTCTACCATTGCGGACCACGAGGCCGTCCAAGAGTACAGCTGGTACAAGGACTACTATCCTTTGCCAGAAGACTACTGCTTCAATGGCTGCTACACGGCTGCCGACTATGTCACCTTTGATGTCACTCCGGCAGAGGACGCAGACAACTACTACTTCAGCTTGTGCTCCAACGATCTCAAGATCAAGTCGATCTTCTACTGCGCTCAGAAATATTGCACTTATGAGCAGGCAGTCGCCGGGCGCAACAAAATGAGTCCTGAATGTGAAGGCAATGCCGGGTTCCCACTGCCAACTGTCGATTCCATGCGCCTCTCTCAACAGGCACTCGATCAGATCTCCGTCATCAACTCTACTACCGGTCTTGCAACCGCCCCGCCCGAGGGTCTACCGCTCACCACACCGATCGTCCCTGATCAGGAGTGGGTTGATCTCTCCATTCGCACTGTGGTAAGTATTGTCGATACCGCAAGGCGTCACATTGATCTGACATAGACTGCAGAAAGAATTCTACTTCAACTGGGATGTGAGCTTTGACTTCTCTTTCGCCTTGATCGGGTTCTGGTAAGCACGCCAATCGAAAAAGCTCTTCGACAAGGCACTGACGATACTATGCAGGGGCTTGGTGCTGCTCATTGGCATAGCTCACCGCGCTACAGTCTTCCTGGGCAAAGCACCTGGTTCAGGAGAAAGCAGCTGGTGGCTCTGGGCTCGAAAGAATCTCATTCTCCCTGCAACCTTCAGCAAACACCAGGCTGAGGCTGTCGCTTGGACATACACCATCCCGCCACGGTTGGAGAGCATCATCCTCTTCCTCTACGTGATCATGAACTTCGTCATGTGCTTCCCAGCGTACAATCTGTTTGTCGGCAATCAGTACTACGCTGCGAAGAAACTACAATTGGCCCGCTATATCGCTGACCGCACTGGTTTCCTCTCGATCGCCCAGCTGCCGATGGTCTGGGTATTCGCAGCTCGTAATGACCCCTTCATGTGGCTTACTGGTTGGTCTTTCGCAACTTACAACAGATTCCATCGATGGATTGCCAGGATCTCGGTCGTTCACGCCATCGTCCACTCCATTGCGTACACAGTCTTCGAGTTCTACAAGTATGGTGACGCCTCTGGGTACAACCTTTCCTGGACAGCTGAGTATTGGTACTGCGGAGGGATTGTGAGTACTTTTCAGTATATGATCTCGGTGATTCAGACTAACATGAACACCAGGCCACAATCATCATGTCTCTCATGCTACTCTTCTCGAGCTACTTCTTCCGTGAGAAGTTTTACGATCTCTTTTTGATGGTCCATATCGCCATGTCAATTATCTTTTTCGTCACGCTATGGTACCACGTGAAAATATTTAGCGGCGAGTTCAACTACTTCCTCTATCCGTAAGTCATTGCCTAGACTGCTTTCATCGGCACAACTGATGTCCTTCAAGATGCATTGCCATATGGTCCATCGACAGACTCCTCCGCATTGGTCGCACAGCATTCATCTCTGTGATGCCACGCTTCACCAAGGGCGTCAAGGCCACTGCCACATACCATTGCACGACTGAGATGGTTCGCCTTGACATCACCGACTTCATGCCAGATAAGAAGATCGTGCCAGGTCTCTACTACTACCTTTACATGCCGGCCGGTCTTCGCGGGTACGAGAGCCATCCATTCACGCTTTGCTCATGGCGCCGCTCTGTCTCAAATGCGACCTCGCCTACGCACTCTATCAACGATAAGGAGGTGGAGACTTCAGATCGTCTCATCTCGAGCGAGTATTCTCCTGGCGAGATTGCACACACTGTGAGCACATTCAACTTCATTCGATGTACCCTCTTTCACTGACATCGAACCAGATGCTCGTCCGTCCCTACGCAGGCATGACCGGCCGCCTGCAGAAGAAACTTATCTCCTCCCACACCTCCGTAACTTCATCCCAAGAAACCGTCTTCCTCGAAGGCCCCTATGGCGAGAAACTCGACCTCTCCAACTACTCCGACGTCCTAGTTATCTGCGGAGGCTCAGGAATCACTGCTGCTATCTCGCACACCCACTTCCTCATGGCTGAGAACCCCGACACCAGAATCCGTATCGCCTGGGCTGTCCCCCAACGCCACCTCCCCGACGACATCTGCGCGAATGAACTCGCCTCCGCCATTCACACCAATCGGGTTAAGATGACTGTCTACCTCACCTCGGCGGCTGAAGAGGAAGCCCACGATCCTGCTAAACTGCCTGTCCATCCGCCTTACGATATCAAATTCGGTCGACCGCATATCGAGGGCATTATGAGGCAGCATCGACAGATTGCTACGAAGAGTCTGGCGATCGTCACCTGTGGTACGCCCCAGATGTCGGATGTTTGCCGCAAGGCTGTTGGGAATGTGCTCGGCGAGGAGGGCGTTGAGGTGGGGTATTATAATGAGACGATGGTGTGGTAGAGCATTTCCCATGGTTTTTACTGTGCGAGTGTTTACTTGTCGAGATATATGAGGAGATGTTTTGGGATGATACCAATGTCAGAATGCCTTCATGATCTAAGTTCATCGTTATCTCGCCTTGAGTCCATGGATGTAATGCTTGATCCAAGACGTTCACCAGATGGATTCCTCGACGAGGACCCTGCTGCATGTCCAAACGCGAAAGCGTAACTGGACATGACTCACAACAGTCGGCTCAGGCTTGAACAAGAGCATCGAATACCACATTACAATTCGCATCCCCACCTCAAACTAATCACAACCTAGTCCTCACCTTCCCTTTCCCTCCACTCCACTCCACCCACTCTTCCCATGACCTCGATCCAAGTACAAGAAGCCTCCAACCCAGACCTCCCCCACCTCTTCACCATAACCTCCCTCGCCTTCCAGCACACCGAACCCTTCTGGGACCTAACCTTCCCCTCCCACGACACGCCCCAAGGCCGCTCTCACGGCGCCCACCGCTTCCTCCTCAAAAGACTCTCCGACCCCACGATCGTGTACACCAAAGCCAGCATCAACACCCCATCATCCTCGAGCAACGACAAGATCGTCGGCATGGCGCGCTGGCACATCTGCGAGGGAGAGGCTCCGCCGGAAAGGGAGTATGAGCTGCCAGGCGGGAATCCGGGGTACGCAGGAGAGGAATGGGAGGCGTACAAACGCTTAAGCGATGCGTTTATGGCGAAGCGGAATCGAGCGATTCGGGATAGTGGGGGGAGGATTGTGGTGTTGGATGTTTTGGCTGTGGAGCCGGGGTTTCAGGGGATGGGGGTGGGGAGGAGGGTGGTGGAGTGGGGGGTTAAGAGGGCGGGGGAGTTGGGGACGGAGGTTGTGGTGGAGAGTAGTGTTGAGGGGAGGGGGTTTTATGAGAGGTGTGGGTTTGAGGGGAGGGGGCGTGTTGTTGTTGAGGCGGGGGTGGAGGGATGGGGGAGGCAGGAGAGTGTGTGGATGGTTTGGTCGGGGAAAGGGGAATGATGACGATCAGGGTGTAGGTGAGTGTACTTGTACATTTGTGAATAGTCGAGAGTTTGTGGTTATTTTAATCCAACTGTCCTCCCAGCGTCAAGCACACCCTCCTGACAGCCTCATGCGTCCACAGATTCTCCTCCCAAGTCCCGCCTTGAACATCGTTCAGCAAATCCACAATCCATTCCCTCTCCGCGTCACTCTGCGCGCTATCGTACGTCGCCGCCAGAACGCCCGGGTAGAAGTAAAACTGAATCAAACCTTTCTGTCGCGCTTCTTCGGACAACATCCAGACCCTTCGACTGACGCTCAAAGCATGATTTCGGAGTTCTTCTAGAGTACGAGCACGTTCGGAAACTTCGCCATCTTCCGCCATTTGCACGAGCGCAATGAGGACTTTATCCACAATGTTGCTCAGAACGGCGTGCCAAGCGATGAGGCGCACGACGTCGCTGCCGGGGAGGACGTACACTAGCTGTACCGGTGCTTTGACGTCTTCGTCCGCGACCGAGCCGATGTCTAGGTTCGAGAGGATATCCTTTTCCATGACGCTGCCTATCGCTCTCAATTCCATGGATATCAACGCCGCGAGATCCATTGTCCGTGCGAAATCTCCTTGCCGTCTACCTCTCCTGAAGACGCGGAAGTATTTCAGCAGAGTTGGCAGATGTGCCAACTGGGCGAAGACTCGATAGAGCAAGTCATCCACAGGCGCCACCTTCCTCTTCCGCGACGAGGGGAAGAGCGAATCCTGCCATTCCGGCGCTGCGAGGAAACAGTCCTGATCACGGACGATGTGGTGTGCGACGATGGGACCAAAATTCTCGAGCACGGCGTGGAAGACTGTATCGTCGGAAGGGTCGAAGACGCCGCGGTAGCGCAGCAAGGCACTGATGCCGGCTGCGTGGACGGACCAGCAGGGGATTCGAGCGAGCTGGCGCGTTGCCAGGACTGTTTCGAGACGGCCGAGGAGGACGACGGAGAGGAAGGTCGATATACACGTCCTCTGGGCGGGGGACTCTAGGGCGTTGTGGATGGCGGCGAGAGCTTTGCCGTAGAGTTTTGCGTCGAGTTTGCGGGCTGTTCGAGGAAGGAGCTCTTTCTTTGTGCAGGCGTCCAGAGCGCAGGCGACGGTGGCGGTTAGGGCGGGGCTATGATCGAGCATAGAGGGGACGTCTTTGATGAAGGAGCCCAGGAAAGAGGGGTTGTGAGCGGCGCCTTCGACTTGGAGGGTTTTGACCAATTCAGTAGCGACGAGGTTCGCTGGGCTGGCGTTCAGCGGGCGGGAGAGGATCGATGGAATGTCCATGAGTGAAGAGTCCTCTAACACGAAGTCGCTTTCGCCGCTTGACGTGTATGTTGAGGCAGGGTGTAGAGGCTCATCTTGACCAGTCCACTGGATCGGCGCGACACTACCGCTATTATCTTGTGACAGCACAATCGCAGTTGCCGGTGAAGTGGGCTTGGAAGTCTCCGGAGGCAAGAACTTGATCGTCGTAGGAGGTCCGGGACATTCACGCTTCGATTTCGTGCATGGTCCACAGCGAGGCCAGCGTTGATCACACTGCCAGATCGATCAGTCCTGCAAATTCCGATGATGGTTCAACTGGACTGACTGACCTTAATCTTCCTCGCCCTGCACATCAAACATCGTGAAGTTTTGGCCACCATTGAGGATCTCTCTTAGCTCGGCGAGATGTGGAAGAATCTGTCTTGTCTTGTACAGCGGATATAGCTCTCGAAGGACATTGCCACTCAGCAGCTCTTTCGAATGCTCCAGACAATGTCGTCGATCGGTACTTCAGATGGATCGCGGAGTCCAGGTCAGATCAGACGCTCTTATAGCATTCGCTCGTCAGCTTGTCGAAAAGCAGTCTCTCGCGGACATTAGTACTCGTTCAGCTTTTGTGAGAACAGGAAGAAGAGAAATGGCATCGAATAAAAGTGTCATATGATTGATGACCCGACGTCAGCGAGTAAGCTTGAGCACGAAGTCGAAGCGTTTTCAAGCTAGTCTCGATTAAGAAGGCATGGACGTGGCCAATCATGTGCTTAGACATGGCCTGGAGTGGACATAGGCGGCAGGGTTCGTTCAGCAGGTTAATAAGTTTGTTAGAATAGAATGGAATGGAATACTTAACTCATGATCGCTGGAGTATCGACGTTGTCGAGAAGTTCACTCGTTTCGCGAAGTCTTCGTTCCTGTCTATATGTATAGCTCAACTCTGCTTGAGCAACCGAACGATTCGCTTGCTGAATGCATGTCGTCTGTCGTCTTATTCAAACTTCCAGCCTCATCAAGGCCTTAGTAGCCACCCGATACCATCGACAGTATCCCTCTCCCAACGCTTCCCTTCTGGGAGAGACTTCAGTCCTATCCAGAAGCAATGTGGCAGCCCCAGATACAGATCCGTCTTCGTCTCCACGCCCAAACCCTTGAGGATATCTTCGAAGATGAAGACTTCGTCACGGCCAGGATCTCGTCCACAGACTTGTTGATATATCCTGGGAAACCCTTTGTGCCCTTCGCCGTCCGGCCACATCAGGGGTGCGTACAGCTTCGATTTTGTGTCGGCTTGGTAGCAGGCAGCCATGAAGTCTGACATTTCTTTGGAGAGGACGGGGTTGTATATGCACTCCTTTTGGTCTCGACTCAGGTATCGCTCGCGGTATTTGGGCTCCATGTCGTTGATATCCCGCGGTCGAATCGATCCGCATGCTGAGTAGACGCCGGTGATCTTTGGCTCGACTTTGTTGTCCCGAGCAAGATGGGCAATGATAATGGACATGGTGGCTCCAGCTGAGACTCCGCCAATGATGAAGCCTTTCGATGGATCACTTCGCAGAGTCGTGGTGGCGTTCTTGGCAACCCAGGAGAAGGTATCCCAAGCGTCGTTTCCTGAAGTCGGAAAGACATGCTCAGGGGCTAGACGATATGCCGGCGCCGCAACGACGGCGTTGTACTTCTTCACCAGCCACCTGGCAACATCGGCAACCATCGTCGGGCTTCCTAGAATGCAGCCTCCACCTATAGACCTAACGTCAGTATCTGTAGAATAAAGTGTTTTGCTAACATACCATGATACAGCACAATCAACGGTCCAGGAGTCGAAGCTTTCGCCGACCTAAACACACGAAGTTCATTCTCATACCCATCCTTCGCAGGAACCTTCAAAGACTCTTCGGAGACTGCTACATCCTTCTCATCTTGCTCTTCCGCCATTTCGGTAAGCATCCGTAGTCGACTGAGCGCCTCATCTCGATTCGACCAGTCCACCTTCATCGGCGGCCAGATGGAAAGGAGCTGCGGCGATTAGCAGGCGAATGTTGAAGGCTTCGACGATAGCTTGTATACCTCTTCATATTCCTTTGTGGGTTTAGCAAGATCCTTGATTTGGCTGGGCGTCAATTGCATGAAATCCATGTTGAGTAGGAAACGCCCTTTTTGATCTGGTGTTCGTAGTAAAGTATATCGCCGTGTGCGTTGATTCCCGGCCCGATCGGGGTCAAGAATGTAGACTATGGTGCTGTGAGAGTTCCGGGTATCAACCTAGCCTCTCATCCAGGCTTCAGCGTCGTGTTCAAAAATATCGATGACCGAGGACTGAGCTGATGCTTGCATCGGACAGCTATGCCAGAAGAAGCTGTTAGTGAAGCACTATTTCGGGCCGAGATCGGCATGGGAACACCCCAGATGGACAAGGATATCTTCATGCTATTGATGAGGTTGCTGGAAGAAGTTCCAAATACTCTAATTTCATATCCTGCATATGTTACAAGTTTCGTCTACGGGCCTCTAAATCAACTCGCAACGTCCACTTCTTGATCAACATTTATTTTGTCCCACTTTAGTTCTTCACATTCCTGGCCAGGAAGTTGTTGATGACTTGGTACGCTCCAGTGGAGTTGTAATGCAGGTTAATGCCATGGCCGGTGTTCGGTTGGACATACGTCTCAAAGGGAGTGGCTCCTGAGAATGTCGTACGAGCTTGCGGTAAGACGCCGGTGCAATTGAAGCCGCAGAAGACGCCGTCGTACTGGCCTGAGATGATCTGGTGCTCAATGTCAGTCAAGTTCTCGTGAACAGAAAGTGCTTGGCTTACCAAGGCAGGGTTCGAGAAGTTGGTGGCATTATGCACGCTTGTACTCAATAGCTCACTGATCGAAAGTGGCCACTTGTTCTGCTCTCCTTCCGCGAGGACTTGCGGTGAGAAGTTTGGCCAGTGTAGGAACAGATATTGATTCTGGGACTGCTGGTCCCAGATAAGGTAGCCGGTGCTGAGGTTGCCGTAGATCTGGGGCAGGACGTCTTTGGCGAGGAAGAAGTTGGTGCCGATGGCGAAGTCGACGCTGGCTGGCAGAGTGGAGTATCCGGTCAGAACGATGCCATCAGACACGTTTGGATAAGTAGAGACGAGTTGATTCGTAATTTGGCTGCCGAAGCCTAAACGGAAGGTCAGTGAATGAAGCCTCAGGAGAAGAGTGCCTACTTACTGTGACCAACATGGGTGACCTTCGTCGGGGCATGCAAGTGCGAGAGGCAAGGAATGTCCCAACTGCGCACATGGTCTGTAAGCCTTTTCAGGACCTCAGTCTCGATCGTCGCTTGGTTGAGAGTGTACGCATCGCCCTTCGTCGACCCGCCATTGCCAAGACGATCGTAGGAAAGGGTTGAGTATCCGGCCGCAGTAGCTGCTTTGACGTAGTTGTACTCGCTGTTCTGCCCACCAAACGACCAGTACACATGATCGAATCCAAGACCGTGAGAGAGGATCTGCACTGTAGTAGGCGATCTTCCTGGTGGGAAGCAGAACTGGGCTGCGATTGTAACGTTCACGTCGATGGTGCTCTGACCCTTGTATGGCGATGGGCCGTCGCTTGAGGTTCGGGAGCTCAAGCTCTGGAGGAAGGCCACAGAATCGTAGTGGCTCTTGAAGGGGAGGAAGGCTGGTTCGAGGGAGGGAGCTTGGAATGATAGAGGCACGTCGAAGTCGATGCATTGGTAGGCATGCTTCGTAGGATGTGTGAGAACCAACGGAAGGATGCTGAGGAATGCGAGTGATTGCCGCATGATGTTGGTGATTGAAGGAGAAAGGCTTGGCGAGAAGGGTGAGGTTTTTGGATATAGTGCTGACGAGAGTATTCTGCGAGCGCTGGAAGAAGTTTTATAGAGACAAGATCACTTACTGTATGATGCCATCCTGCTGTCTCCAATTGTTAATACAACCGTGCCTGGCCATCACGCCAAGGGGATGCCGGTGACGAAGGGGCAATACGAAGCATAGTGAACGATTTGTGAGTTGGGCTAGTCTCCAGTAGGAAGTAGATTCGGCGTGAAAACTCCCTGTTGTGGATAGTCGAGCAGCCACTGATTTGATAAGGCTGCAGAGGGTAGAGCGGGTAACCAGTGCGCATTGCGGCTGAAGCCACGGTATGAGCAAGGCCACGCCCAAATTCCAAATTGGCGTGCTGTATAATGGAGCACAGCCCCAATGGCAGAGTCGACGGTCAACTGCCCGGTCACCGTTGCCGGCCGCTGAGATGAAGAAGTCAAGACGTCCAGGAACAGGAGAGGTTGACAGTCGAGTCGTGTACGGCTTCCACATCAACGCCGACTGGCTTGTGCACGCTGCTGACCGACTTCAAACTCAAATCGGCGGCTACAAGTAGGAATTTGTCACGTCCAAACGACAACCCCATTCGTATATTGTACGTCGTGCTTATGTTGCATACGAGTTGGTTGTTCTAATCGTTGCAATGCGGGTGATGACCCATTCAACGAAGAGATGACTATAGGTACAGATTCTTTTTCACGATGGATGGATACAATGGAAAGCACGGACACAAACTCTAAATTCGCGCGACGACAGCCGAGAATCGAACCGACAGCGGTGACAATGCCGAGCCTTCAAACATCACGACTCATCTCGAGACAACGATCGCCCATACATTGCCATAATTCCGTACGGAAGCCATGGATGTAACGGAGGAGGCCGCCAGAGTGGCAAAACAACACGAATACATCTCCAAGGGCTTGGGATTCGTCCTGCACCCCACGATTGAACACGACCTTGGCAGCAGAAAAGAACACATCAAGATCGCAAACGTATCTGGAGCCTATGATTTTCCCGGAGCAGAGGATACAGATGTCGCTGCGAAGTTGACGTACAGTCACCCGATCCACTTCGATTTCAAGGACATCATATCTCCAGACAGCAGCATCTTGAAGGAGCACCAAGGCCAATTCGACATCGTGGCTGTCCGGCTTCTGCACGCATCTCTTAGCACCGGAGAATGGGAGCAGACTATAAAAGGCCTTATGGCCCTGTTGCGCCCCGGAGGTTGGCTGCAGTGGACAGACTGGGACCCATTGACACCTCGCATTGCCGCCATCAACCCAGCCGCGTCCGACAAGGCATTGCGAGATGTTTTGACACGCTACGTCGACCTCCTCAAAGCAAAGAAGATTGGCACCACGTACCGGATCCCGACGTCGATGACCAACCTTGGCCTGGAGGAGGACGACTCTGATATGTACCCGCTCAATCCGGAAGTGGAGTTCACCAGAAACATTACGACTGGGGTGATCAACTTCTTGCAGGACTTCGGAGGCTTGAGCGCAGCTGAGACTGAGGACATCAGAGCGAAAGTCGGCGAGGAGATCGATGTTGGCAAGCCGCTGCTGTGGTATGACCTGTGGTGCCATATCGGCCGAAAGCCAATGTGAAGATGGGAAACTCCATCATGACGCCTTATATTGAGAAGAGAAAGCAGTCGCTGTGTGGTGTTTCCGGTTACTCCAACAGGCCGCGAGAACAAACTGCTGACCGAGCCCATTGATCAGGCGTCCGGCCACGAAGTACAAATACTCGATCTTTGAAGGAAACGCAAAGACGTTCACGATCAACACGAGCTTCAGAAGGCTTGGAAGACCATCAAGCTCAACCCTGGATGAAGAAGGAGCATTTCACTTACTTCGCCCATACATTATCAGCCATAGCTGCTTGGCTACGAGACCGACACCGCCAACAGCTCGTCAGACTCCCAAATTCAGCCTCGACCAAGCCATGGCTGTTTCTAAAGCAGAAACTTACAAATGAAATAGGGTGGTTAGGGTCCACGGTCCACGGAGGCAACCCAGACCTATGGCTTAGTGAATGATAACTAATCACGCAACTCAACCCTCGCCACCTTGGTATTTCACACAACCTTGCCCGCATGTATCATGCATCCATCGCATAACTCCTGCTGATCGGACGAGATCTGTCATCTGCATCCTATCTCTTACGTCCGTTAACATCCCCCAAAGCCGAGATCCAAAATCACAATGCCTGAGTCTGTCGAAAGACGCCGAGAACGGGCCCGCGTCGCGCAGAGGAGGTCGCGGGCGCAGCGCAAAGCGACATTGGAGACGCTGCAGGCGAGAGTGCAGGTCCTGACCAAAGCATTGGAGGATATGACAGAGCATTGCCTGGGTTTTAGCGATGTGGTGATTTCGGCTGTGCGGAAGGATAATTTCGACTTCTTGCGGCATAATGCCCAGCCATTTATGAAGAAGATTCTGAGCATTGCGAGTACGGTTCTGGATGAGGACTCTGACGAGGAAGGGGCCGACCGGACAGGAGATATCGACAATGGTGAAAATATGAAGGAATCGACTTCTCAGCGGTATGGGATCGCAACACCGCCGGATGAGCAAGTTCAGGATTTGACAGCGGCAGATGCTACTACGCCGACGCAGCTTGACTTTCTGCCGCAGCAGTCAATATCGCCTCAACACGACCTTGTAACGGCAGAGGTGGCAAGTCGACGGCCTGTCAGTCCATGCTTAGGCTATGGGATGTGGCCGAGCATGACCACGCTGCAACTCGACGAAGACATGCCGCCATTGGACCTCGCCAAATATACCGACATTCAAGGCGTCGAAGTATCATTCTCGACCGCATTGTTCTGGAACAGCATTAGCTTGGCACATGCAGTGCTTCTCGAACCGTCAACGGATCTGGTCAAGAAATTCTTCTGCTACGCAATGCGATCCGAACCATTGGACCTCATCCTCTCACGGATACATCGCAGGATTGCATTCAAGCCGGCACAAATGTCGATGTACATGGTGGACGAGATCCAGTCTCGCCAGGAGCAAATCACGCATGATCTGAGCTCTGTCTTGAGAGATCCTTCAACGATCGGAGGCACAATCTACGAAGCCAATATGATGGACCAACATCATCGAATGATCGTCGACAACATGAATCACGAAAACGATGACATCCAATCGTACATCGACGCTGCTGGGGTGGAGAAACGGCTGGCTTCATACTGGGGCATGTCTTCTGTTTCGTCGCTGTCGCCTGCTCCAGCGTGGGTCACCCAACCCGGCAAGGGTAATTCTGACTTTCCCACTCCGCCATCTACACCGTGGTATCACAGCTTCATCTCGCAACTTTCATTGAGCAGTCGGTGCATCGGCAACGGGATCGGCTTCCCGATCAATGTCGTCGACGATCTGGCTTTGCAGCTCCGCAATGCTTCGATCGTAGCTTGAGGGTACCAGCACTTCAGATGATCAAAATCTCATCTCCATGACACTCCCCGGCCAGTCCTTCTCAGTCGGGACAAAATCAGCAACAAGCGTAAATCCCTGGCTTTCGTAGTACCTAGCAAACACGTTAGCCTGAAATCCCAACCCACTCATCAAGAACAACAATACTCACTTCACCAACTTCCTCTCATTCCCCCTATAGCAATCCAAACACAACCTCCGCACCCCAACCTTCCTCGCCTCCTCCCTCGCAAACGCAATCAACGCCCGCCCCACCCCCTTCGCCTTCTGCCCGGCCTCGCGATTCGAAATCAAATACGTCAAATACACAAACGGATCCCCCTCAACCTGCCCCGGCAACACAGCCTTCACGTACCCCGCCGCTCTATCCTCCAGCACCAACCCGGCCACGGGCGTCCCGTCGCTGGTGGATTCCGCGATGAAGGCCCGACACCAGTCGCCGCTGGACCAGGGGGATTGGCGTTGCGATTTCTCGACCCACGCTTTCGTCTTCGCGGAGGACTCTGGGCGGGCGGTGCGGATCGATTCGGTGCCCCATTGGCCGGCGCCGCCGTTGGCGGAGAGCCAGGGGATTTGGGATTCTTGGAAGTCGATAAGGAGGGCGTCGTCGGAGGTGGAGAGGGTGGCGGGGCGGATTGTGAAGGGGGATGACATTTTCTGATATGTGGTTCTTGAGGAGATGGGAGGGTGAGGTGCTTAGAAGAGACTGTAGCTTCGAGAAAGGGGAAGAGAAAGAGATAGAGAGAGATCTTGGAGCCTGGAAGAAGTTGCTCGCGTGTCCTTCGGATTCTTGTTATCGTGCTGTGACTAGTTCGTGCCAGTTCCGTTCAAATGTTGTCGGAGTTCGGAGTTCCCATGGAGTTCGCGTGCCTCAGGCGTGTTTCTGGACCACGCGTGACGAACTCTGATGAGAAGCGGTCAGACTTCGATCACCACAGGTGCAGTCCCACCTTGATGGCGATGACATTACGTGAGATACAGAGCCCCGCCGGCTCCAGATTACTTGGCATCATGTCTGGCCAATGAGATAAACTAGAGTCAGACAATCTGCCGTTGCGTCGTTTGGCCAGGCCGTTGCAATCAAGCAACTGCCAAAGAGCTTGGTTTCATTCACTTCACCACCACCTCTTCTTGGCAATGGCATCGGTATCGATATAGACCTTGCAGGTGCAGAGAGACGCAGCCATCACGGTCATCCATCAATCGTCCACGCTGCCGTGTCACTGATCGCTTCGAACAGTCAGCGCGGGGCAGGACTAATGGCATCGAATCTGGCCTTTTTCGCATCGGGTAGTCTCGGGCAGGCGTGCCAAATCGCAGCCCGCCTCCGCCATCGACTGCACCTCACACTTCTTTTACCTCGTCCATCCAGTGCCATTGGCTGTCATACGCCCTCGGTACGACGCCGCTCACCTCTCACATTGCAATAATAATATCATCTCCCCTGTGAGCCTGTTTCTCTCCACTACTACACCTGAGAGAATTGCAGAGGAAGAACGAGGAAGACATTCGGCCTTTCCACCGACATCAACATGAACTGCCCTTCGCGGACAGACCCCGAGGTCCCAGACGACTTCAATCAAAACCCCAACCCATTGGCCGCCGACACCACCACCAGAAGTGACCTGGGCAAGGTCGCCAGCGCCCGCGTCCAGCACGACCACAAGGTCGACAAACAAGACGGACCCAACGTCGAGCTACGCCAAATCGGCGGCCCCAGCGACACAGACGGAGCCCGTCGCCGCAACTTCTCGAGCGATGGACCCAGGGACAACGATTCCTCCATCGCTCGCCCGCGGTTTGGAGACCGGATGTTTGGGCGCATCAAGCTGCTCAACAAATCCGCCCCGGCGAGACGCACCATGCACGGCACCATCGAAGAAGATGACCTGTCGCCCTCTCGCCCGCCTCCAAGCCACGCCCCGCTGCCACCCCGCTGGCAGCAACCCTTCCTCCGCCTCAGACGCGCCGTCTGGAAATACATTCGCTTCATCGGGCCTGGCTTCATGATTGCCGTCGCCTACATCGATCCGGGAAACTACGCCACCGATGCCGCTGCTGGAGCCTCGTACCGCTTCCGTCTGCTCTTCATGGTCCTGCTGTCCAACATCTTTGCCATCTTTCTGCAGTCGCTATGCATCAAGATGAGCACCGTCACGGGACTGAACTTGGCGGAGATGAACAAGGCGCACTGTCCCCGCTGGTTGAACTACGTCTTGTACTTCTTCGGCGAGGCCGCCGTGATTGCTACGGATATTGCTGAGGTTATCGGCTTTGCCATTGCGTTGACGTTGTTGGCGCCCAAGCTTCCTATCGTTGCGGGCTGTGCCATTTCGATTGTGGATGTCATGTTCATCCTCATCTTTTATCGACCGGATGGGTCGATGAAGGCGTTGAGGTTGTTTGAGTGTTTCGTTATGATGCTGGTGCTAGGCGTGGCGATTTGCTTCTGTTATCAGTTAACTTTGATCAAGAACGCCACTGTTGGGGAGGTCTTCAAAGGATACCTTCCTTCCAACGCAATCGTCGAGAGCCCAGGGTGAGTCACTCGTAATGCACGTGGAGCTGCGACTTCTAACGTACTTCACAGTCTGTACCAAGCATGCGGTATCCTAGGGGCCACCGTCATGCCGCACTCACTGTATCTTGGCAGTGCTCTGAACCAGCCTCGCCTCATGCACTACGACATCAAGCACGGCAACTACCACCAACCAGAAGACGACGACGATTCGGTAGTCCACGACAAATACCGTCCATCCCTCCAAGCCATCCGATCCTGCATGAACACATCCATCATCGAACTAGGCGTCTCTCTCTTCACATTCGCCCTCTTCATCAACAGCGCCATCTTGATCGTCTGCGGAGCCTCCCTGTATTCTGTCGACGGCGCCGCCGACGCAGACCTCTTCGGCATCTACGACCTCCTCCGCGAACAACTCAGCCATGGCGCCGCAACCGTCTTTGCCGTCGCCCTGCTCCTGTCAGGCTGCTCCGCCGGAATCGTCTGCACCATGGCCGGCCAAATGATCAGCGAGGGCCAACTAAACTGGAAGCTCAAACCCTGGATCACTCGTCTCCTCACACGATCCATCTCCATCGTGCCCGCCATCATCGTCGCCGGCACGATCGGCAAGCAAGGCCTGTCACAAGCCCTCGTGGGCTCCCAGGTCGCGCTGAGCGTTATCCTGCCCTTCGTCTCCGCGCCTCTGATCTACTACACCAGCCGCAACAAGTACATGACTGTAGTAACCTCGGCGAGCAACATCCGCATGGGCGACCTAGATGATTACGATCAGCAAGGCGGGACGCATTCTATTGTAAAGATGAAGAACCACTGGGTCACATCGGGTTTTGGATTCGTGATTTGGCTGTTGATTGTGGTCATGAATGTGGCGAATATTGTTTTGACTGGATTGGGCAAGAACTGAGTGAAAGAATGAGGTGGAAAGGAAAGGAAGGGGAACGCTCGACTGATCCCTGATTCTCGTGGTGAGACGGGATTGGGCTGATGTCGGGTGATTGTTATGAGATTATGAGAAGATGCGAGTATTTTTTGCTTTTCACGAGATGGAGTTTATTGGCTTTGAAGAAAGCACAGCTGAGCTGACATCGACGACATTATTATCAAGACAGAAAGACGATCCTTATCCTGGAAGAAAATACTACCAACACTCTCTCCAAAAAAGAACCCCATCTCAATCCCCATCAATCCTCCCCAGCGGTCCAGGGTGCTGGTCGATGTCAGTGTTTTCTTAACTGATCAGTTCAATGTTCAACTGCCTGGATGGCTCATACAAAGTCTTCTCGAGCACTTCCAAGCTTTACTATCCTGCACGCTCTGATTTTATATCCACAGAAAAGCACTCGAGGCTAATCCAAGGCTAAGTTTCGCTCTCGTGTCCGTGTACTCTGCATTGAAGCTCGGACTTGGATCTCCCCCTTTCGACATCGCAATCAGCAGTCCAATCCGAGTGGATCAGCTCATCAAGCTCCATGTCCTTATCGGAAGGTAGTCGGCAGCTCCTTCCTGCAGAAGCTGACCGCCAGGGTGCACCCGCCTTCAACAGCATTCCCTCAACAGTCCACTTGCAAAGGGATGACTTTGACAGACTCCTCATCGACCGTAACTTCAGCCTTCTTCACACTGCCGACAAGCCCAAGCCGTCCACTCATGATACCTAGGCTCGAGCTGCGCCTGCACAGCATCAAGCGTCCACCTCGCCCACCCACGCATCCACCACGAATTCTCCTGCAAACGAAAGAGAACCGCAAAGTGCGCGAGGATGACGAGAGCCAGCTGGTCGCGGTTGTAGAGTAGGTCAAGAAACGCCGGGCGAACGGTAGCGACCCAGCTTAGCGTGTGGTTGACGGCGGAAATCTCTTGCTGGCGGATATAGTGGTGGACGTTGACGAAGACGGTGTGCAACTCATCAACCGCTTGGAGGTATGCTTCGTGCAGGTCGTCATCTTCGGGGACTTCCTGGCGGATAAGGTCTTGGATTTGAAGAACCTCGGCGACGCCACGGCCGGGATCCTTCTTCCTATCTACGCTCGTGAGAATCGGGGCGAGTTCAGAGGAAAGAAGACGGATCCAGTTGCCTGCGACGCACGCCTGAGTGCCCTTGACGAGCCGGAACCAGTGGCAGAGGTCGCCGATGGGGTCGGATGGGGGATGGATCTGAGCCATGCCGAGGCTGTGGATGACCAGGACCCCGGACAAGGCGAAGACGGCGGTCGCGGCGGCGGGATCTGGGTGTTCGATCTGGTAGCGGAGGCCGCTGATGGCGACATCCATGTGCGATGAGCTCTGCATGGTGAGTTCCTCGCTCTCGGCGGGATAGATGCCCGCTAATAAAGCAGACATATCATCAACACGTTGGACGAGAAGACGGTTCTTGGAGGCGGGAGAAGTACTTACCACGATGAATCGCCGCAACCGCCAGAATCCCATGCAGCACGAACGGATGGCGGAACCCCATCTCCACCATCTTCACCTGCCAGATATCGCCATGAGCGGGAACCTGCACCGTATTGGCGGTGTTCGTCGTCCAGAAATGCAAGAGTCTCAAGTCGGGGATGTCCAGCTGTGCGGAAGCAGAAGAAGAGGCCCCATTATTGCTACCGCCAGTCTGCAGCGTGCTGGGTGTGCTTGGAGATGGTGAGGGGGCATTGGGACCCGGCGCCCAGGTGCAGTCCAGTTCGAGTCTGCTGCATGCCCTGCATCGCGGGCGAGTTTCGTCGCACTGGAGATTGTACTTAGTCGTGTTGCTGGTGGGATGTTGGGAGAAGAGGCGTAACATTACCTTCACGTGACGCTTCTTGCACTGCAGACACCCCTTTCGCGACTTGGTATGCGTTTTGCGGACCATTGTCGCTGGCAGCGGCGAGTTTGCGTCCAAGTAATCTGGCGGCGAAGGATCCATATACGACCGATACGAGTGGGTGTCGAGGTGGACTAAATGTGGATTTGGGTGGCTCCGTGGGAGTGAGAAATCTTTGTTCAATGCCGTTGAACTCCGTTCAATGTTTGGATGTCAGCAGCAGCAAGGTACCTGTTGAATATCAGTGCCAAGTGGCTTAAAGAGAGTCACAGATGGTCGCACTTCCTTTCCATTCACCTGATGAGGAAAATGAAAGCCAAAAAGTCTAATTCTGCTGCCTGGCTGCGAGACCCAACCCGTCGGGCGAGAGCGACGGCAAGGGGCATCATGTCTTCACTAACCACACATATCAACTCCACAGCCTCAAAATAAGTAAACAGGTCTTCGTATTCTGCACATACAATGTACCTATTTCTATCTCTCCCCAAAATTCACAATATCCACAAAGAATGCAATTCTCGTCCCTTCATCATCGTCATGTGTCGATCTTGCTTTCGCCGCTGGTGTAAAGTGCCTCTTGTCCTCTCTTTGTGTGCCGTACTCCTCAAGATTGTATTGAACATGAAGTGAAATTGTGCTTCGCAAGCTCTAAGCCGCCATATCCACAAGGAAAAGAGATCTTGCGTGACCATAAAGTATGGCATCTACAAGCGGTGCCCACGCCCCTTGAGATGCTTGAGAGCATGACCGTGGCGAGCCTCCAGGGCAGCGGCACGAGCAGCAGGTGTTGGGAGGTCTCGAGCCGTGACGGTGACGTACTGAGTCTCGTAGACGACGTTGTTATTGGCGTTCTTGTCGCCATATGCAGTCGCGGTGATGGCGACAGGTGAGGTAGCAAGAGTCGTGGGTGAGGCTGAGGAAGATGGGGCTTCGTACGCTGGTGCAGATCCGGCAGAGCTCTCTGGGGCTGAGGAAGCTGAGGAAGCTGGTGCGGAAGAGGCAGAGTATGCTGGAGCAGAAGAGCCGCTGCTACCACTACCGCCACTAGATGCCGAACACTTATCCGTAGCCTCTCCCAAAGCAGCAACCGCCATCTTCACCGCGGGGTTCGTGGTCTGAACCGGGTTGCAGCCAGGGAGGTCATTGCCAGGGGTATCGACATTCTCGTCGAAAGTGACCTTCAACTTGCAGTCGGCGGCCTTGGTGTCGAACTTCTTGAATGTCGGGCAGGTGCCAATATCTGCATTGCCGTAGTAAGGGGCGGGGCAGGACTTCATGAGTTCAGGGATGGCCCCCTCGTCCCAGCCGTTGAAGAAGTCCATGTGCCAGCCGAAGCCAGTAGAATCACCTTGGGCGAGGACGAAGGTGTTGGGCTTGACTTGGTCCACGACTGAGTGAAGGTCGAACTGGTTCTCGATGAAGATGTGTGGAAGGCGGATGGGATGAGAGCTTGGGCAGGGACCACTCTGGACATCGCCTTCTGGGTAAGAGTAGTGCGCCGACGGGTTGGACTGGTCGAAGTCCTCGCCGTTCCAGCAGTGTGGATAGTGGATTGCGCCATTGAAGCCCGGGTAGGCATCGCAGTCGCTGACATCGGTTGGGAAGCCGCCCTTGTCGCCTTCACTAGAGCCGCTGGAAGAGTGGCACATCCATTGAGTGATACCCTGAGATCCAGCGTCGCTGCCGGCGGCACGCTGGAATGGGTTTCCAGCGACCATTCGGTATCCCTTGGGGAACTCGAACGGGTCGGCCTTCTTGTCGGCATCGTTGCCGACGTCACGGTAGTAGAGCTTGTGGCCACTGGTTGGGACTCGAACGTATCCAGTACCGTTGGCAGACTCCATGTAGAGTGCTGGATGCCAGTAGGAGCTCTTGTCGGCGCCGTTCCCATCACCGCTAGCATCGCCGACGGTGGTACATTCAGATGCCTGAAGAGCGTCGTAGCTGAGCTCAGAAGTAAAAGCCGAGGCACCAAAGATCTGGTGCACGTGGGCACTGATGGTATCAGGAAAGAGGATAGGGTCGGCTCGCTCCACGGCAGTGTCGTCTCCTCCTGGAGTGTACATCACAAATTGGGCAGCAAACGCCGTTGATAGCATGGCCGCCGAAGCGGCGAGAGTCGTAATCTTCGCCATTGCGCGCAGCGCTGTTGTTGGATCGATTCTTGGTAGAAGATGCTCTCGGTGCTTGGAGAGTTGTCGTCCTTCGAGAATGGCTGTCGAGCCTATGTAGCCGCACGTGTGCGTAGTGAACGTAGGGTAAAGATCGTGTTATGCGTCACAAGCGCAAAAAAGGGGGTGGCTGTCGACCTTGCGACGTTGAAGATGGCGAGTTGGGGAGAAGTCGTAAGCGATTGCAGGGAATGGAGGGTATATGAGGAGAAACGAATGTAGTCTAGCCGGCCAAGCGACTCGATGATGAAAGTTGTTGGGTAAGAAATGAAGAAGAGACAAAGACAACAAAGCTGAACCGCGTGGCGAGACCTTCAACCGATGCCCACAAAGCAGGGAAGATTGGAGGCATTATAGGCCAAGACCATAGCCTCTCGGACAAAGACTACCCAAGGAGGACCTCCTCCACTAGGGAGTGGTCTGGGAAATTTAGGAGGCTAGGCAATGGTGTAGGCGAGTGCTTGCATCGATCGACGGCCGGTAGTGCTAGATTGGTGTCATTCTGATGTAAAATGGCGCCCAGGACATGCGCTTGGAAAGATCAGGTTCGTCTGCGTCTGCGGCCAGAGTTTCAACCTGCAGCGCGACAGCGGGTCTTGCAATAGCCGTCCAGTAGGGAAGGAGGTCCGCCGCCACATAAGGAAATTTTGATTAAGAGGATGTGTTCTTGCAGTGGCTGCCGAGAATGTGAGTGAGCGCTAATGCAAGACCTTGGCTGGGTAAGTGGTGAATAGGTACCCGCACCCCTGACAAGGCTGAGCTGTGGTGCTTCGTGAAACGCTGGGCGAGAGCATATACACGTGGTCGCGACAATGGGCGGCGGTTCTCTGTATCACCTGTCGCCCGCTATAATAAGGACATAGACAATCCGTTTGACAGTGCGACAATGTCTTCCTCGTAGTGGTGTCCTCACTGACATTTTATGTCGCGATGAAAATGCATTCCGTCGTCAATGGCGCGTACAAAGCGAGGAGACGCGGTCGAATCAAGGTTCAGGAGTGGTGTGGCTTTGGCGTGTGGAGGATCGCCAAGATCCACCCGTTCTGGTTTCAAATCCACATGGTCTGTCACGCAAGATCTTTTCCAGCCGTCTGGTTGGCGGGTTGCCACGGAACGGAGCGGCAATGGCGAACGACGTGGTCATCGAAGATAATATGTATCCCGTCTTTGTCCAAGGGAAAAGGAGAATGTGAAATTTCTGATCCATCTTTTATCATGGCCGTGGCAAGAGGCTGTCGATAAGAAAGTCCGCATGACTTGATGCACCGGCACGCATCGTCGTGTCCGAGACGCTGTGGCACAGCAAAGGCTGACAGAGGACCGCTTTTTCAGACACGCCTCCAACGGCTTTCTGGTCCTGTCACCACATGTCTGTCGCAGAGCGAATCCTTCAGAGCCGCTGATCAAAGCACACGTCTGAAAGACTAAAGGCCCACTCTCTGGGTGATTTGCGGGCCTAAACAACGATCGAGACTCTTTCGAACTGCTGAACAGTGCAACTTGGGGCAAGAGAAACAGGGCATGTCTCCGAACTTGGTTGAGGCTCCGAAAATGCACCGTCTTGGACAAGAGCCACCATGCACGTACTGCGTGCGTACTGGTTCGTGGCGAAGTTGTCCAAGAGAACTTGGCAGCTCGTCGCGTTCTCCACATGGCATCGGCTGGCATCCACGGCCCGAACTTCATCTCGCCGCCAGCGAAGCGGTCGTGAAAGGAAGAGAATTCCTTACTCTTGAACGCAAGAAAATTTGATTGGGAATGCTCGCAAGACAAGATGGTCATTATTCGGCTGAGTAGCGTTGCCTGTATCTGCGTCCATCCAATCATCAGTGCATTTCATTCCAACACACTCAACTGTCCGAAGTGGAGGGTATCATCATGTACTGTCGTTCCCACTTCTCGCTCGAGCCCCTCAAGGCATAGGTAGTGGTTCTGGGTTCTGCATGAGCATCTGGTCCCAAAACAGCCAGTCAATGTCCGCATTCATGTTTTCCATTGGCCCCAAGTTCATATTGTTGTAGCCAAGTACAGGGTTGTAGTTAATGTAGTTGGCCGCAGGCATGTCGGAGGATGCGTCCAAGGAAGGGTCGAACACATTGACGGATTGCTTTGGAGTTTCCGTATTCTGTCTCGAAGCTTCTCGTCGAGTGATGGCTTCTCTGAGACTCGTGACGAAGGCAGGCTCCGGAGTCGGGTACAAGTTGTTGGCCTGCATTGCATCCCATGACTTGATCGTCAACCGGTTGAGTGCGATGTCGATCGAGCGCTTTTGCACAAAGAGCTCAGGATGTACGCTGTAAACGAGCTCGACTTTCGACCACAACGCTTCTGGCTCTATTACACAATCAAGCTGTCGCGCCTCTTGCAACATGGTGATTAATGGATCCCATTGGAAGAATTGTCTCATGTGCCAGTTGAAGCGGTCCAACGAAGCGTTTTGTTGCACGGCTAGGTCGTGACCAAGTACTTTCTCAGCCATGGCATACAGCTCTTTCCTCTCCTCGATGCTGATGCCTTCTGAGGTTTTGCCACGAGGACGACGGATTCTCAAACGTGCAGAATTGATGGCGCCTCTAGCCATAGCGATGCAAAGGACCTGGATTGGAATGGAGATGTCGCAGTAGCGGACATACTTTTCTTCCAACATGTTCTCCAAGTCTCGTAATGCCTCCTGAATTTCGGGTATGTCCCTTGCATCCCACACGACTCCCCAGTTGCCGTTGTTAGGGCCTAGTGCTGGTCGAATCTTCTGATGGAACCTGCCGATTTCAGTACGAGCAAGAATGAAGATCATGCTAGTTGCGCCTTTTCTCTCCACGGGAGGTGTCTCCATGCCGGGCCAGATATCTTCATCCTCGAGGTTGAGAGGCTGCTTGGTGTCCCATGAGTCTGCTGCGATGGCTATACCGGTGCCTGAAAGTTGTCCAGAGAGACCGTCCAAAGGTAGAAGTTGCCAGAAGACCCTTCTACGCATCTGGACGTCGAACGGGTTGAGGCCTAGTTCTTCGCCGTCTCGATGTAGGCCCATCCGCTGTGCGATTCGCACTGCAATTCCCGTCAATATCCAGAATGTGTGCGGGTCGTAGTCGTTGCGCATCGACAAAAGTAGCAACATGTACGCTTGTAAAACCGCAAGCTCAGTAGTTCGCAAGAAGTGTACTCCCACTAATGCCTGTCGCGTGGCATCATGGTACGTCTTTTTCATATATCGCTGAAGTTTGTTAGCATCTAAACCGTATTTCTCGAAAGCAGTCATTTCCACGCACCCATTGAGGTCCAAAAAGCGCCACACACTCCTTTTCTGAGCTGGCGGAGATGGCAAAGTGGTAAATTGAAAACAGTAAACATTCGTTCACTTTCGACATAGTGCTCGGATTCGCAGAAGAGCGTTGCAACATCTCCAAAGTGGTAGGCACATGGACGATCTTGACAATCGGATCGATGTTCTTGAGGTACTGCTTCCAGAGCTTCATTGCGATATCGTAAGTCGGGTGGAGGTCCAGCAAGCTTGGGCAGTGCGCCGACTGTCCCAGAAAAGCAGCAGATACCGGATCGACAGCCTCGACAGTCGTGGTGACGGGCGCTTGCTGTTCATAGTTGTCTTCTTCGTCGGACGAAGGGTGGAGATCCTCGCCTAGTGTTCTCCAGATATTGCTGTCGATATACCTGGTCTTGCCAGCGCCTTTGAGCAAAGTTCCAGTGCTCTTCTTCGGTTTCACAGTAGCAGAAGATTTATCTGTCGCAGTGCCAGTCCCAGGTGACGCCTCAGAAGGCGAGTTCTCCAGATCGCTAGGCGGCAAGATGCCATTCTGCTTGAGCAACTTCTCGTACTTATCCACGCGTTCCTGGAGCTCATCGACAGGTTTTCGCTTGCGCTTCCTGGGGGGTGGTTCCTGGTAGTAGCATTCTTGCCTGGCTTTCTTGCAGGTTGAACATGGAGGCCCGGTCTTGTCGCATTTCACCTTTCTCCTGGCGCAAGTCACACAGGTAAACTGCATGTGAGGTTCCTCTTCGGCGCCATTTTGCAGGGCGGGAGAGGCATTTGCGCTCGCCGCCGGGGCGATGGGTACCAGACGGGGAGGCTGCTGCTGCTGCTGTTGAGGTGGTTGTGTGGTGGTCATGGTGTCCTCCGTTCGGTTGTGGGACAGAAACATCATCCTAGCAGAACGCCAAGTCTTCTAGGATTCTTGGTTTGGGGCGTTCACTTCGAGCGAGGCTTTAGCGCTGATTTTGGGCCATTTCTGGGCATTTGAGTGACATGTGATAGGCCTTCAGGATCTGTTGCGACAGCTGTTCAGCTGAAGAAAGAGGTCCATTGCGCGTTTCCTCTCGTCGCCCGCACGAGGTTCATTGAAGGAACGACAAGGTTGAGTCGGACCGAGCCGCGAGCTTATCCACTTCTCATTCGCGTCGGTCGGCATCCAGACGACATCCCGTCTCGTAGTCGTGACGTTACCACTACGTGAAGTATCAAAACACCACCATCGCGTAAGGTATGATCGATGGTTAGACGACAGGTAAAGGTAGTAGAGCCTGAGCTCTTCCAATGCTTTTCAGCGCCATGCTCTCTCGACGAGCTCTTGTAATTTCTACTCGCATTCTCGCAAAGACGAGCCATCAACAACGAGCTCTATTACGACCCTTTTCGACGACTCCAACGATCATGGGCAAGGACTCCAACATGTCGAAGGACCCGCCGAAGCACCAGATGTACTACTTCAAGGACCTGGCTTCGGAAGTAAGGTCTTTTAAGCAGTTCAGGAAGGTTTTGCATACCGGACTCTACAGTCAATTGGTAGCGATGGAGATCCCGGTTGGAGGTGACATTGGCGATGAAGTACATACCGTGGATCAGGTCTTATTGTTCACGAGTGGCGAGGCGAAGGCAATTGTTGCTGGGAAGGAGCAGGTGAGGATCGCCAACATGCGTCAGTGTAGAACAATGCTGAGAATTTCCAGAACGTCAAAGCGTCCGACGTGGTTGTTGTTCCTGCCGGTACCCAGCATCAGTTCATCAACACTTCAAAGACACAGCCACTGGAAGTCGTCACGATTTATAGCCCCGCGGAACACGATCCCCAAACCGTCCACAAGACAAAAGAAGAAGGAGATGAAGAGGAGGAGAGCGGCAAAGACGAGGCTCCAGAATGGTCGCAAAAGCCAAAGGACTACAATGAGCAGAACGAATTGGTCAAGGAGAGTGGAGGACCATACAAAGATGGTGATGATGGAAGACATGAGAAGTCAGGATGAAAGTCCCTGTACAACACGTCAATGAGAAAATACATCACAATTCACGAGACATGATGTGGAAGAAGTTATTCAGACAGCCTTTCCCATTTTGTGTTACTCTACAAACCATGAATCTCATCCAATCCCAAAACAGAACGCAGCAGAACAGATGCCAGTGGCTCTCAGCATGTGTGAGATGAGCATGACACGGCCATGTCGACGGCCGGCCCAATTCTCAGAAGGGGACTTGTTGTAAGAATTGTCGAAAGAGTGTCAGAAGCGAAAAAGGTGGTGGTGGTGGTGGTGGTACAGGGTCGATGGTGATGCTCTACAAGAAGTAGAGAGTGTCCTTGACATCGTCATGGATAGGGTCCAAGGCGCAAGGTGCAGCGTCATCCGCATCGTCGTCGAAGTTGTCGTAGCGCATGTGAAGTTGAGCACGCTTTGCCGCAAGGTAAGCCAGATGCGTCGGAATGGGCAATTTGGTGTTGTACAGCTCCAGTCGGTCGTCGTACCATAACTTCGCAAGGCGAGTGAGCTCGGCGTTCTTGATGTTGGAGGGCAGCGCGTTCTTCTGTATCGTGATTGTGTCGTTCTGCTTTGGCGACGGGGTTGCGAGGAAAGGCTTTGGCGATGGAGACTTCTGTCCGTCATTGTACCCATCAAAGCTGAAATTCTCCTGGTTCGTCGACGATTTGAGGTTTTCTGCCTCTCGGAAAGAACGCGATGGAGGACCCAGTGGGCTTAGTAGAGACTGGCTTGAAGCTCTCAAGCTACCGCTGAACGACGAATTGCCAAAAGGCGATTGACTGACCGGAGCACGCTGAGGTGTCCCCTTTCTGTTTTCAGGGTTGCTGCCTGTGCTCTGTCTGGTGGCTTTCTTTGGAACGTTTGCCGCTTTCTCAGTCCGCGGGGTCTTCGCAGAAGCCTCCGGGAAGTCGAACTTCTGAATGTCTTGCTTCCCAGAAACAGGATCGGACTCGTCATCGGCCAGGGGTTCGCCAAGCAACGTAAGCGTGACCACAGAAGCGTTGTTCTTAACATGAACGCTTCGGTGAGTGCCGATGCTGTTCCGGCTTGGATTCACCCGCGTGTCGGTGATGAAGAAAGATTCTTTGAGCGCCTTTGTGCCCTCAGCTTCAGCCATCTGCGCCACTGCGTGTTCGATGGTTTTCTTGGTGGATTCGGTGAATTCAAAGCTCTTATCCTGGGAGACGAGCACGTAGGAGACCAAGGTGTGAGATCCCACGACAGCTGTGATAATATCCCTGAACGTCGAGACTTCGCTGTTGATCGCTTGGTTCATGTTGAACACCTTCACAAGGGTACGGTTGGCTTCAGTGTCGTCATCATCAACCGTGTAGATGTCCTTGTTGTTCACATCAGTCGTCGAAGGGAAAGTGTAGATCTGTTGAACGGGAAGGCGCCTGCCTGCTGGAACGTCTCGGGCTTCAGATCGAGGCATATATCCAGACCGTAAGATCACGACGCGGTGTTGCAAAGCTGGGTTGAGCTTCGACTTCGTCACAATCTCCTGCACGAAGTCCTTGACACGGTCTTCCAGCGGAAAGTCTTGAATATTCTCAGGCCCAACCAGCTCAGTCTTGGTGCAATATCTGTCCGACTTCTCAGTGTCCCTGGACGAGAGGACCACGACGTAGACGGTCTTGGCGGCTTGCGAGCCTCTGGCAAGAGTGCCATCTGGCTTTGGCTTTGGCGCATTGACGGTCACTCGCTCGATGTGAATTGCGACTGACAAGTTGAGAGCCTCGTCTCCTTCCAGCGCCTTCGGCTCTTTCGGATTGCGGACAGCAACTTTCTTTGCTATCACCTTCGCAGTCATTTCTGCAGCTCTGTTGTCGTCGTTGACCTTGACTTTCTTCTGCTCCAGCGTGCTCACCTTTATGAAGAAGCACTGAAGGCCCACATCAGTGTCGCACAGAGTCTTGATGACTTTGTACAGATAGGCGTGGTACATGTCGTCTCTCAAGATCACAACAGCGATCGGATGTTTTCCGCCCTGAGACTTTGCATTGTTCTTTGCGTTCGTGAGCTGTCTCTTCCAAAAGCTGACCACATCTTGTCCTGGCTTGTGTTGTAGGAAGACGGTTCGGGCGGATTTGGCCTCATCCTTGTCGTCTGGATTCAAAGCCTTGCGAAGATAACTTTGGAACTTTGTCCACAGTGGCATTTCAACGCTCTCAATTCCAGCCGTGATGTACATGAGCTGAGTTTGGTTGCCAACGCTTTCTTGAATGAGCTCAGCGAGCTGCACGTTGCGCTTCTTGGGCGTAGGCTGTTCCATTCTCGAGACCATTCCGACTTCACTGAGGCGCATCTCCCCTACCTTGTTGTCCGCATTCCGTTGGCGCAAGTCGACGATTTCTCGGCGCAGACTTGGAGTAATTGGTCGCTTGAATGACTGACCTGGGACAAGCATGACCATCTCAGGCGGCAGAAGAGCAGGCCGGTACTTCGTGCCAACATTGATGCATGGGAGGTTGCGGTGCTGTAGCGTAAGGCCGATCTTGCCACGCCAGCTGGGATGCATCTCATGGTTTTCGACATTTGCACCAGTGCTTGAGGAGACGGACTCGATGGCCTTGGTGATCTTGCTGCCATCCGCCTTGAAGCGTACCAGTTTGCCGCGAAGTGCTTCCTGCAGCAATGCAAGTTGACGTGCTATTTGTTTGTCGCTGCCGGTACCAAAGTGCTCTACCATGAAGTCGGCCACAGAGCCTGGCATGAAAAAGAGTTTCGGACACACCCCTTCTTCCAGCATGGGCTCATGTGCAGCATTCAGGAACACGTTCCGGTGCTTGCCAACACAGTGCAGTAGGCCTTGCAACCTCTTGTTAGTGTTCTTGTTCTTGCCAAGATCATAGAATTTCTCGCCGTGGATTGCCGAGTTCTCCTGGTCGCCAAACTCAGCCTTCAAAAGGGCGTGCACAATGTCGTACCAGTAGCCTTGATCGACAAGATTGGCGCCGGGCGCCCATTGCATCTGCAGTAGAGCATCTCTCATGCTGAGTTCTTGTTTGTAGACTTTGCACGGAACATGGTGCAGTGTAAATTCCGAAGTGTTGGTCTTCTCACGCAGTACGTTCCACAGGTTTTGCAATACTTGCGGTGCATCCAGATCGTCGTTGCGCTTGAAGAGCACCACTTTCGTCCAGTGAAAACGCAGCTGCGTTGTACTGTCTCTGCCATGATTCCAGACACGCTCAAATAAGTGATCCTGAAGTGGCTTCGAAAGCTTGATCGATTCGGATTTCGCAGCGGCAGTGAAATGACCGAGCTGTTCCGGAGGACTTCCTCGGCCGTTCCAGGTGATGACAATGGCACTGAACTTGATATCTGACTTTGGGACTTCATTTTGATCTTGACCAACGTTGGCAGGGTCGATGAGTCTCTTGCCTGGAGCGTTGTCTGTGGTATTGCGGAGTGGATAGGACTGGTCAGACTGATGTGGTGTTTGCGTTGTCGTAGAATGAGGTCGAACCAGGAACCTGGCGTTGTTGACGGGTATGATTTGCTGGCCATACTTGTCGGCAGCTTGCTTGACGAGGATACGCTCAATGAGTTTGCGCTCGGCCTTGTAGAGCCTAGCATCATCCTTCAACTTCTCTGTATTCTCGCCAGCGATCTTGATGCGACGAGTCTGGTCATCGCTGGCAACGCAATAGATGTGCTTTTCGTCGACTTTGATGCGAAGTGGCTTGAAATTCTGGATTCCAGCTTCAATGTCGATGTCCGCGTACTTGAAGTTTCCGGTGTTTGAAGACATTGCAGTGATTCTGACTCTTTCTGTAGGTTCTTGAAAAGGTAGTTCTTGTCTTTGGAAAATGAGAAAACGGGGGAATAGCTTTGGCAACTCTGGTTGTGAACTGCGAAAGCTTGATGAGAAGAAAGGTCCTGAGCAGCAGGTACTGCGTCTGAATATATCCTCCTGGGCTCAAAGACCACAAGTTTGCCGAGCAAGAAGATGCCAGACCATACTTGCTTTGAGAACCTAGGCAGCTTTAGGCAGTTCGAGATTGTGCCTTGTTGTGAGTTTGTGGCATGGAAGGAAGAGGATCGATGGAAAAGGTTGGTCCTTGTTCAGATGACAACTGTGAAAGGGCACACCAGGCTACAGAATCAGCAAGCAGCTCGTTACAATTAGAGTGAAAGGAGGAGCACTTCCCTTTCTTGACACCAGTGAATGCGTGCCGGAATCGTCCTGGGGAACGCAGAGATCAATGAGTGGGAAAAAGCGAGGGAAAGATTGTGATTTCGGCGATACAGCAGCGTCGATTTCGAGGTCGCAGATGCTGGACGTGTCGATTCCATTCGACTACGAGGCATCGGCGCGAATCTCGTTCTCTATTTCTTGGCCCTCCCCTTCGCATTCAGGCTCTTTAGCGGGTCCAATCCTCGGCCCTTCGACAGTCTTCCTTTGCCTCTACTCTTGTTGAATGCCCTCGCCTTGCGGATGCGATTCTCTCTATCACGCTTTAGCCCCACAAACCCAACGTCTTTGCTCACGGCGGCCTTGCCACCAGTTGGCAGCAGGTAGTCTGGCACGTGTCGCAAATGTGCCTGCTGTCGGACAGCGTGCGATTCGTTATCGTGGCGTAAGTGTCGCAGGTCTTCGGGATTCTCCTCGAAATGTCGCTTGAGCTTTTCTGACTTGATCAACTCGTTGCGCAACTCTTTGGTCCGAGCCTCTCGCACCGCAATGCGGGTCACAGCTCGCAAAGCGTCGGCAAGACGATACCTGAAGCCTTCTAGCTTGCTCCAGTCTAGAGCCCATTCCTTGATCTCGGTGCCTTTCTCAGTTTGTTTCTTCGTGATCTTGCTGAGTACTATCTCGTCATCCTCGCACTGCGGTATGCTGGTTGGCTTGTGCTTTCGATAGAGCTCCTTCGGTACGTAGAACGAGAGTGCCATGCCTGATTGCCCTGCGCGGGCAGTTCGTCCGATTCGATGTGTGTATGACTTCGACGTCGTCGGTAGGTCGAAGTTTAGAACACAGGTGACATGACGGAAGTCGATTCCTCGAGAGACACCATATTCCTTGTCCGAGCGTGATCTGCGCTGCCTCTTGGCAGCTCGTGGTGCCGCGGGCTTCTCGTCTCCTTCTTCATTCTCATCGCGTGCTTCTGCCAGGACAGTATCACCTGTCTGTTCCTCATCCTCACCCTCCTCTTCTACGTTGTCCTCTTGCTCCGCCCTTCTCTTCTTCCTCTTTCCACCTTCATTGCCGATCACCTCCCCTTCGTCGGCCGCAATGATAATGTCGTACACCCCACGATTAAACTCTTCCACCACGTGTAGCCTGCTGTTTACTGGCAGCTCAGAGTTTAGCACGCAGCTTCGGATGCCAAATTGCTCGAGGAAGAGTTTGACTCGATAGCATCTATCGATGTCCGCCACGAAGACGATGACCTTGCCTTTGATGAGCTGGAGCTTGAAAATAGCGTATATCAGCAGAAACTTCTCATCCTCAGCTGTGCGCACGGTGTACTGGGCCAGGGTAGACTTTTCTGCAGCTTCCTCTGCAGACAGATCCAGTATCGTAGGTGCAACTGCTGCTGTGGATGAGAAGAACAGAGCAGATAGAGTGTCCAACTCCGTTCTCAAGGTAGCAGACATCATCAGCTTCTGCACGCCAGTTGGGAGCGAATTGGCAATGCTCTGCAGATCCTCCTCATATCCGTAGCTCAGCACCAGGTCTGCCTCGTCAATAACCAGATGCTTGAGCTCGTCGATCTTGAGAGCCTCACTGTTGCCCCACTGTACAGCCCGCCCAGGTGTAGCGATCACAATGTCAGGGCTATCAGTCAAGCGGGCCTTTGTGACAGCAGCGTCTTCCTTGCGAGTGATGTTCTCGCATCGCACTTCCTGTGCACAAAATGATGTAAAGCTCTTGACCGCTGCCGTCACCTGAGTCGCAAGCTCTTTCGTCGGGACCAAAATGAGCGTACTCGTCGTCTTGACTCGTTTATTGGAGGATTTGCGCTGGAGGATGGAATGTATCGTTGGTAGGAGGTACGCCAACGTCTTCCCGGATCCAGTCTTTGCTCTTGCAAGAACATCCTTCCCCTCGAGCGCAAGTGGGATTGCTTTGGCCTGAACAGGCGTCGGTGCGGGAAACTTTTCGCGGTTCACGGCCTGCAGTAATCGAGAGTCGAGTCCGAGGCTGGCAAATGTCGATTTCGCTTGGGCCGCTTTGCTCGAATCACCTTCGTTTGTCGGCTCCGGAACGTCGTGTTCGTTCAATTTTCGCTTCATTTTGGCGAGTGTTGGTTGCTTCGGGCGATGGTGTGGACTGGAAGTTTTCAACTCAAGAAATCTGAGAAAGTCTGGAAAGAGCAGCGGTCGGCGGAGGCGGGAGCGGCCCGAACTTCTAGCGTCGGCCGTGCTAAACTCTCCAATCCGACCTCACGTCTTCGCGACATGGTAAATCTTCCACACCTGCAGTGTTGCTCAGCTGTCAAGCTGGAATGACACTTGCAACTGACTGCTGACAATGTGGAAATGATGAAGATGTCATCATGTCCCGATCAGTGAGTGGAAGAAGCTCGAAGCGTGGAGCACCAAGATGATTCTGTCGCCGGATCCTGCGGCAAGCGTGAGGACAGAACTCACGAGCACAACACGCCATAGCGGATGATTGTAGCTGCTCCACAATCCAGCGGGCTCACGTAGGGCACAAACTCCTTTACAGGGTCAAATGCAGTTTATGTCAGCTTTGAACAGCACATAGCGTTTCAAAGAAGCATCCCTCTTAGACAAAGGTGTAAAACGCGAGGCTGCGAGCTGACCCGGGCCAAGACACAGACAAGCGCCGCGCAGCAGATGGTGTCCTTGTGCGGCTGAAACCCCGTTGCTGTAAGCAAGTGGTTGGTAAACTGAACGGACTAGCGTTCCTGCTGCGACTTTCGCATACCAGGCACCACCAGTCTAAGTACCGGCTCCTGATCCGCTGCGTTCCTCGTACTCGGGAGAGCTCTTTATGCGAGACTTGGCTTTGAGGATTCGAGCATAGAAGCTGTTCACGACCAATCATGCTAAGCTGAAGTTGTAGGAGTCCTGCTCGAGCCTTCCTTCCGCCGCGTTTGGCCTGAACAGGTAAATGTTGGCTTCTCCTCAGCTGCGAGCCTTGCCTGAACTTACTTATCGATACATCCTTCTCACTGCTCTCTATTTAACACCATGCGATTCCCCACACATGTTCCAACACCATTACCTTGAAACACCGGCAATATGGCGAAAGATTCACCAGAAGAAATGATCCGAGAGCTCATCGCAATGGGCATAGACCCACTGCAGAGACGCAACACAATTGGAGCCGACATAGTGCCGACTGATCGCCACGATACGTACGACTTCATCAAGCCTACCCAGTTCGATTTGAACGGTCGCACGATAGTAGTCACTGGAGCATCAAAGGGCTGTGGCAGAGCCTTTGCTCTTGCATATTCCAGAGCTGGAGCATCAAACATTTGCATCACTGGACGAGCTTCCCTTGATGGCGTCGAAAAAGAGATCCAAGAAGCGGCAAAAGCTGCTGGACGTTCTACTCCCAAAGTGCTGAAACTGAAAGTCGAGGTGACCAGTCAACAGGACGTCGAAAAGGCGGCTGAAGAGGTACATTCTCCCATGCCTGTGCTGATTCGATGAACTAAAGTTTGTTCTAGGTAAGATCCGCCTTCGGTGGCATCGACATCCTCGTCAACAACGCCGGCTACATGGAGTCCGAAGCATCGCTGCTCGAAATCGACCCCAAAGACTTTTGGCAAACATGGCACGTCAACATCTTCGGCACCTTTCTCGTCACTCGAGCTTTCGTCCCACTTCTCCTCAACCACAACCACCCATCGCCCCTCAAAACCTGCGTGACCATCTCCTCAGCCTGGGCCCACACCAAATACGCCGGAAACTTCGGATACCAAACGACAAAGTTCGCCCAATTACGCTTCACGGAGTTTTTGAGCGTGCAGTTTCCACCACCGACTCCCTCCAAGACCCCTGGTGGGAGCGATGATGGCTTGCTGTGCTACTCACTACATCCTGGCGGTGTCTCGACGGAGCTCTCTATGAAGCTTTCGCCTAGGATGCACTGGTTTCTAAACGATACTCCAGAGCTGAGTGGTGATACCATCGTTTGGCTGACATCGCAGAGGAGAGAGTGGCTCCGCGATCGATACATTAGCTCGCAGTGGGATATGGAAGAGTTCAGCAACATGAAGGATGAGATTGTTCGGAATGATCTACTGAAGGTGAGGATGAGTGTTGGGGGCTTGGAAGGGGAGAGTCAAAATAATTCATACAGGGGTATCGGCATAGGGCTGTGAGACCTCTCATTCAAGTTGTACGCACATTGCCCAGGGACTCATGATGTCGATCTTGTAATCTCGGCCAATGAAAGGGACACCTTATTGTACACGCAGAAGCGGCATACACTTCTGGTCTCTGGCGGGATGATACTTCGCCTTCTGCGCTCTCTGAATGTTGTCTTCGATGAAAACAGCAACCGTCTCTTATCGTACAAATGTGCACGTCCTCGGTAGGCATTAGGACTTCGTCGAGCTTCAATGCCGCGTACCCTCGCCAGCTCCCAGACCAGAGACGTCGGCTTGCCTCCAGCCTGCATCGGCAGGCGATGATTGCGGGAGTGCTCGATCCGTGCCTTGACTTCCAGCGATGTTTTCTTCTCGTCTCGCCAAGACATCCCTCGTTCATGAAGCATTCGGATCTTGTGGACTCGTCGTACCTGCATTCGCGCCGTCTCGTAACCTCCCTGCCGCGATCTCACTTTGGATCTTCTGCATCACTGGCCCTGAACCTCCTTCTTCGCTCCTTTGCCGTTGACTCCTCTGCGCCTTTGTCGAGTTGTCGCCCTCGTTCTTCGGTACATGGGTAGGAAATCGCACTTGCTTCAGCGTCTGCGGTCCCGAAGGTAGGTATTTTGGTTCCAACAATCCGATCTACGGCCCCAAACGATCAGCCCCCATGCCACTTCTGCTCAAGTTCGTTTTCTCTACTCACCATAGCCAACAGCCTCCACACAGTATCACTCGGTTGTGCGCCCACTCCTAGCCAATACTTCGCTCTGCTCACGTCCACCTTGATATCCTTGATCTTCCTTGCCCCCGGCTCGGCACCCACTGGAAGTTTCGGGATCGGATCATATGTCCCCAGGACTTCCATTGGCTTTGAATCTCGAGCCGATCGTGCTTGGGCGAGGACGATGTTGTAGAAGGGCTTGTGTCGTTTTGCGCCGCCCGGCGTGGAGACGCGCGCGAGGCGGAGTTTGAGGACCATGATCCAGTACACTACCTAGATATGTTCGAAAGTCCTTAGATGCGGTCGAGCAAAAACAGGAGTGTCGTTTGATGTCAATGGCTACGGGTTGTGGGAACGAAGTCGTTGGCCTTCACTCACTCACCTCCGGCTTGGCGCTCCGCAGTTTTGTGTCAAACTGAAGCTTAGGCCACCGTAATCCCTGTCCAACAGGACATCAACCTGGACCTGATCCTCTCAACATCCTTCAGACATGGCCACAACGACAATGTCCCGTCAGACCGTTGACCGCCCTGTCAAGCGCAAAAAGGAACAACGTACTGATATCTGGTCTGGCCTTCTTCGACAAACACGGGAAGCCCAAGCTCGAAGCAGAACGCAGGCTATTCAACACCGAGAGCTCGTAGTCTGCGGCGGCTCACCTGACGATCAACGAGCCTTTGTGCAATCACTTACCCGACCGCCGCCCGCTCAGCCACCAGCACGAAATCAGGAGCGCAAGCAGCAGAGACCGAAAGGAGAGTTACGATTGAGCAATCGATATGCATACGGATATGGCCACGTGAAGCTGTTCTCCCCGCCGCCGCAGGGCGGCGCTGGTGTACAGGTCCTGGGAGCAGAGGCGGAGGAAGTCGCGCAGGTGGAGGTGCACACTCTACCCGAGCCGACTGAGGAGTATGTTGGAACGTTGCGGAGATTGCTGGCGCAAAAAGAGACGGGAGACCATAACAATGCGGATGGAGAGATGCTAGAAGAGGCAGATGGTGAGGCAAGACGACCCGGGGTGTGTGTGCTGTTGAGCTGGAAAGAGCCGTGGAAGTTTTTGGACCAGCTGCGAAGATGGTTACAGGTGCTTGCGAAAGCCTTGTTACAACCCGATGTCCCTGCGACCGATCCCATGGATGTCATCAAAGATGCGCAACTTCAAATAACGGTTGTGGTACAGCATACCGAATCGCAGGAGGATCTTTTCAAGGAAGGCTATAAAGAGGATGACTTCGACTACATTTCGCAATGCTTGCGCACGGCGATACTTCCACTGCATCCCTTGAGCTCTTTAGTGTATACCAGCTCAAGTACGCCTCCTCAACAGCCTGGTAGTGCCTTGTCTGAAGGGCAGAAAGTCGTCTACAGCTCGCTCGGTCTTGACCTGGCAGGACTTAGTCCGAAGGCTGCGCGTTCAGGAGACAGCTCGAAGAAGGAGGATCTGGGACCGAAGCATGAATTCATGGATCGCATGGCAATAGTCATTCCTGCTGGCTGGGACAGCGTGGCCTTCATACGAACTCTGAGTGAGACCTTTGCTCCAGAGGATTTGCTAGGGGCATGGCTGGCAGACTTACAGCCTCCACCTGAACCTCAAAAGCTCGAACCTACATCTGAAGAGCCCAAGCCAGAGCAGGCGAATGGGGGGGCGGAGGTGTACGAGAGTTCCCCAGTCGATGACGATTTGCCAGACGAGCCACTTTCACCATCGAAACTTGCCCCATCAGCAGTGCGAACCTACGAAACGCGTGTGGAAGATCCCCAAGCTCACAAAGCTACGAAGCCACCTCAGGTCGAGGTCACCACCAAGCCAGATCAGAAGTTCCTCGGAGAGATGCGTGAACATCTCCAGCAACTCGAAGCCCAGGATCGGGAACGGGAGGCCAGCGGTCGGTCGACAGGCGTGTCTACTACAAGCGTCTCATCCACTGGCCGCTCAGTCGGTATGCCGACAGGCGAGACCACTGGCGCATTGAATGAGTTGGGCGATGTGTCTTTCAACGTCGGAGGCGTCAGCTACGACACAGTAAGTGCCGAAGCAGCCATTGAGCGACTAAAGCGACCTCCCACCACGCAGTCCCTTAAATCTCCTCTGTCGCCAACTGGAGCGAGAGCCTCCACGCCCAAGCCACCTCGTAGTAATAGGGACTACAACGAAGATCGCTGGCCTTCTGCGGATCGTGGGACGCCGAAAGAGCCATCCAGTACCAGCACCAAAGCGTCGTCATCGGAGAGTAAGGAGTTGCCGATCGACAAGCTGGAGGAGTACTTCCAGAGTCTGATGAGGAAAGGCGGTGGAGCGAGTCGAGACGCGACGCCAACGAAGGGAACTCAAGGGTAGAGTAATGAATCAACGTTTTCTCGAATGGAGCCAATTCTGATACATTTCAGAAATAATAAGGTAGACCTCTCCGACCGGATTTGATCCGTAAGTCGTGGAGGGCCAGGGCGGGTAAGTAGCGATAGCCAGTCTGGATCGGGCCATGGTAAGAAAGACCTCAACTTGATCGAGTGCCCGTAGAGGTGCAAGTCTTCTGTTTACCAGCCTCACGGTACGATTGACACATCTAGGTTGAAACGATGCAGGACAGCGTTGCTAGTGAACGAGAAGGAAGATAGGATGGCTCTCGGAGAGAAATACACACTTACTACTGCAGCCGCATCAGCGTTCAGTCACGCTGCCAGAGTAAACGAAAATAGGATAGCATTTCACTTGCATTCTTGCTCGTACATAGTAATGGCTGCTGATGAATTGGGATGCATGAAATGGTGATGATCGGTGAATGCTGTCAACTGGCAAGCTGGAGTGAGGTTGAACAACCTGGGTGAGCTCGGCAAAAGTTGCCTCACTCCAACGTCACATGAACAGTTCAAGCGCTGCCAAAAAACATCCTCTGCAACGACCCCATCAAAATGGCGTCCAATACGCTTGCCCACCGAATCCTCACCCTCCCGACCCAATTGCGTTGTCTTGCCCTCGAGAGATGCCTCGCTACGCCGACTCTACGAGTACATCCCACACAGCGAACGTACGCGACGTACAACGCGAACATCAACACCACCTCCTCCACCCAAAGCTCCGTCAACCATGAAGAAGTCTCCCATTTCAACGCCCTTGCCTCATCCTGGTGGGATCCCCACGGCTCAAGTCGCCTCCTCCATCTCATGAACCCTCTACGACACGATTTCATCCGCAAATGCGCGAACAGCCACGGAGGTTTCCAGCAAGAGAAGCTCAAGTTCTTGGACATTGGCTGCGGAGGAGGCATATTCGCAGAGTCTGCTGCCAGACTACCCAATGCGGCTTCTGTCACTGCTATTGATCCCACGCCAGAGGTCATTGCGGTTGCGAAGAAACACCAGCGAACCGATCCGCTTTTGCTCGAGCCGAATCGCCTCACGTATTTGAATATCCCGATCGAGCAGCTTCCTCTGCCTGCTTCGCCGGAGCACAGATTCGATATCATTTCCATCTTCGAGGTCATCGAGCATATCCAGAGTCCATCTGCCTTCCTCGAAAGCATACTGCCTCATCTCAAGCCTGGAGGATGGCTTGTGGGATCCACCATTGCGAGGACGGGTGTATCGTGGTTTACGACAAAGTTCATGGCGGAAGAGGTGTTGAAGATGGTGCCCAGGGGGACGCATGAGTGGAATCAGTACATCCAACCGCAAGAGTTGCGCGAGTGGGCGAGGAGAAGACAGGATTTGGACGTGACGGTTGGCGGGAATGGATGGCAGATGATGGGTGTAGTCTATGTACCTGGCTTGGGATGGGGGGAGGTTGCTGGGAGCGAAGACTGGGGTAACTACTTCTTCGGCATGAGGAAGCTTGAGTGAATGAGTGAATGGTCGTTCCTTCCATGTGGGCTAAGCGAGCGGCATGTGAAGCGCTAAGCTTCCGTAGAAAGGTCGCGCTGAGAGAAGACTTCACCTCTCCTCACTATAACCCCTACAGATCATCTCTGAGAATCCTAAGCTCTTTTCCCCCCGAAAGAAGCAAGTTTGAGTGCATCAGCTCCAGACATACCGTGACTGCTTCGACCGGCAGCGCGCCACATCATCCGCAACGACTCGAGGGCACCTCGCACCGCTCTTCACCCCATCAAACTCCAGAAATGGCCACCAACACCAAACGCACAGCGCGCGCCTTTGCGAGCTCCTACCTCCGACCAGCCTCAACCCGCACCTTCCTCAACATCCACACCCAGCAGCAACAACGCCCCTCATCCGCCGCAACCATCGCCCTCAAAGCCAGCACCAAGTACCCAGCCCACAAACTCCTCAAGAAACCACGCACATCCGTCGGCACCTTTCTCACCGGACAAGAAACCGCCCAAGTCTCCCGCATCCTTCACGCCATCGACCAGCGCAAGCAGCTCAGGGCACTGCGGCGTGAGAGGGTTTGGACGGGGGCCAAGTACGTCTGGAAGTTCGTCGAGGCGACGTACCTCAGCTTCACGCTGTTTGTGATGTACATGGCGACGTTGGACTATGTGACTGGTGGGGAGGTGTCGAAGGGTGGTGGGGATGAGGGGAAGTGACTGCACCGGGGTCTGAGACCTGGATCGTAAGGAGGTTGTGATGGATCTTGAGGAGGACGAGGCAAGGTGCAGGCGCGTAAGCGCCAAAAGTGGAGGTATCCATTGCAGCGAGTACAGGCTTGTTTCTTCTCATCCTGATCAAACAAACTGCCTCTTCAAGTATTTCCTGAACCCTTTGTTGTTCAGAGCCCATCCTCCTATACGCTCTCCATCAGCAGTCGTGATAGGAGACAACTCAAACATCTCCCATCTGGCATCACTTCCACCGCCGACCACATAGACAATCGCTCCATCCCCATCCTTCACCTCCCTCTCGAACGTGATGATTCCCTTCGACGGTCTCCCAGCAGGGTCATTCGGCAGCGGTAGGACAAGATTCTTGATTCGCTTCTTCGTGCCGTTCGGTGCTGTCGTCCAACTATACGGAGGCCCACTCTGCCAATGTTGGGTATCTTCTCCCGTGTAGAAAGGCGCTGATGCGATGCTTCGGATGTCTTTGAAGACTTTGGGGGCGAAGGGGCTGGCTTTTAGTGTAGCCATGGCTGAGACGGCGGCATCTCTCGCTGGGGGTGATGCGGAGACAGGTGGTGGTCGCAGTCCGTAGTACTCTTGCACGCTGCCTTGATAACCCGTCCCTGCACCGCCACCAACCGCGCTCGAAGGTGCTGGCGATGAGCGACCGGCTGACATGCCAGACGATGAGTCTTTGTAGTAGTCTGGACCAGACAGCCTGTGCTCGGCGTAGGATCGAGATTTACGATGCTGTCTCTCCTTCGCCATCGACGCCACTTCAGCAGCATCTGGTGGTCGCAGATCGAAAATGTGAAGAGTGCCCTTGTCGCTTGTGGAGGCTAGCCATCTGTTGCCGGGGCTGAACGCCATGCTATGCACGATTGCTTGATCTACGCCACGTCGGAAGTTAGCGAGCTGATCCAGAGTCGTGGTGTTGTACACGTGATTGAGTGTTCCCTGTTCGCTGGCGGTGGCGAGAAGAGATCCATCATCGGACAAGGCAAGGCATCGAAGTGGGTGGCTGTGGGCTTTGACCACTCTTTTGCTGCTCGAAGCACCTGTTTTGAGCGATATTAGTTGGATCTGGCCTAATGTCTTGGCAGGTAGAACAAGCAAGTCGTTAGACAGGCATGCAAGGGCGTAGGTGTTGGCGGTGGTTTGATAGATCGAATGGACCAGATTCGGGGCTCGAACAGGCTGGTCCTCGGCTGGCGTTCGCTCTTCTTCGCCTGCGTCTTCTGCTGGCGGCGTCGGCAGCCTTGGAAGGTGGATTCGCTGATACTGAAACAGCACCGTGCGCTCCTCCAAAACAACGGCCATCCACTTCGAAGTCAACCTGATGCCAAGAACAGGCTCATGAAAATCGAATCTGCTCAACTCTCGATCCAACAAAGCATCCCAGAAAACCACCACATTCGGTCCACCGCTTCGGTTCTTGTGGTTGTAAACGTAGGCACAGTAGCGATCGTCAAGCACCTCTGCAATGGAGATGCCCAGTTCGTAGGGTGTAGTCGGTTCGTGGGTTGCAAGACAGTTGTCTGTTCGGAAGATGCGAATACCATCGCTGAGTCCGGTGATGAAGCGCTTGCCGGAGGTGGAATACGATATGGACAAGACGTTGGTTGTCGCCGCGGGTTGTATTGGCTTGCGTGTATTCATGGTCGCGTTGAAGTCGGACTTCCAGAGTCCGGAAAATGTTAAATGCCCAGGCTAGCCTGCTGGCAAATAGGGTGTAGGTGCGATGCGATCTGATGCTTGCTTTGTCCTCCTCGTAGTCGCTTAGCTTATCATCGAGGTGTCGTGGGAGCAATCATGGTGACCTGGCTGCCAAGAGCAGTAGCCTTGAGATGTGTGGTGCCGGCGGATGGTCTTTCGTGAAGCATGTAGCTGCAGTCAGGTGAAATGACATCCAGCCACCCTTTTGGTCATAGGTGTGTCGATGAAGATTGGATTAGCATGTGACAAAGTCACTCGCCATCGCAAGACATGTGGTCGTCAGGCGCACAGAGCCCTTCCCCACGAAGAGCGGCCCGTCTTCGGCAGCAACCGAAAGCAAATCCAGGGTCCAGATCGCGCTCCCATTTTCACCACTTCAGCTGAAAAACAACAACCCTCGCACCGTCGTGATAGAGGCGCACAACGCGTCTCCATTCTATGGCGCAAGGCCGTCGGGCGACGGTTCTGATCCGGCAACGCCTCCTCGCTCGGTGGAAGCCGAACAGCTCCATCTGGCCTTCTGTGGCTGCCGCCATGCCCGAACTTGTGTTCTTGCACCCCACGTGGCACAACGAGCGATACCGTGCCGCTGGGATACAGTAACAGCTGTGTGCCACACAAGATCTTGTCTGACGATGATGGCGCGGAATAAGGTGTTGTTCTAGAATTGAGAAGGTTTGTTAATGTCGACACGTGGAGTTGTTGCACGAGAAGATGCTTTGATGGTCTGAGGAATAGGCGAAGAGAACGAATGGAAGGTCTTGTATGGCGATAGGATATCAAGGAAATTCGTTGATGGAAGTAAAAGCTATGAGCCCGACATCAAGCCAAGCCTTGGGTCAGGTATTCTGGCCCTCCAAAGATGAAAGAAGTCGATAATGACACAATGTTCATGTCCTCCGAATGTATTCGTCGTGACCTCTGTCGTCAACGACGCTACCCAACGCCTCGCTGAACGCTGCAACCCAATACATAGGAAAGATGGTCATCCAAGAGTACAGTCAACCACATTCGACAACATTTACTTCTTCTCCTTCTCCTTCTTGTCTTTCTTGCCAAAGCCAACACTGAACCTCTTCTTCTTCTCCGGTTGCTTCTCCTCCTCCTTGTGAGCTTCCTCGGCTTTCTCCGCAGCCTTCTCGGGCTTAGGGGCGTTGGGGTCGACAGTGACCTTGCCACCGTGCGTGAAGTAAGTACGGGGCTTGTTGCTGTTGCCAGCGGCAGAGTGCATAGAGTTTGCACGAGAGTGAGCAATGGGTGGGCGGCCACCTTCCATTTGGTCAAAGCCAGCGTCGCTTCGGAGAGGGCTAGACTCTGTATGGATGTTAGCAACAGTACATGATTCGAAGGCGAGAAGAGGTACATACCATGACTGCTCAATGGACTTTGGGCTGGTCGGTGTTGGGGGAACCTGGGTGCTGAGAGTCCACCATGCATAGAGCCATATCCAGCGAACTGTGTAGTAGCACGACGGGGACCCATCCTTCCTCCTGGGTAGACTTGGCTTGACATCATCGGAGCATACATCTGGCTGTAAGGATGGCCACCAGCAAGCGCAGGCCGGTTGGCTGGGTGGACTTGCGTGGGCGGCGAACGAGATCTCATGCGGGCATCTTCCTGAGGCTTGTCATCGGCCGGAAGCTCACCCTTGAAGGCGTAAAGGCCAGGGCTGTCAGGAACGGCATCTTCTTCGGGGACATTGTTCTCAGGCACCGAGGTCATGGTTGGTCGAGCATAAGGCTTCGACAGCTCAGCCAGGCTTCTCTCACTGGCAGTGCGAGGTGCAGAACGTTTTGGTTGTTCAGCGAAGTCCCGTGAGACAGACTCAGAACCGGCCTCCTCTGGCATCACCTCAGGCCGGGCCTGCGTGCTCTTGCGTTGTGATTGCCGGGGGACAGCAGACTCGCTTTGGGTGTGGTATACGAGTTGTGGGCGTCCATTCTGGGCACGAGCTTGGCCAGCGTGGTGAGATGTATTTGGACGGGAGGCGACGACAGGAGAGATGTCGGCACCCGCAGGGATGGTCCTGACAGTGCCAACCACACGGCCGTACTCATCAAGAACCTCTCCGTTTCCATTGGCCTTCTGTCGAACACAGTCCAAGAGCTCACCGTCGATGAGTTGTCCAATTGGGTCTCCCTCCTCGTCCAAGATCAATCCCTTCTTGTTGACCTTAAGTCCTTCCAAGATGGTAAGGGGAGGCAGCGTCATACGTCGGGTGCTAGGGGCGGATGACATCCTTTGCAGGTTCGGTCGATCGTTAGAGACGGAGGCACGAGAGGTTCCAGCAATGGTCTGAGTCGATGGTCTTGGTTCGGTTTGGTCCGCTTGCTGCTTCACCTCGGCAGGGCTTGCAGTGACCTCTGTGCTTTCATCTACAGCCTTGACAGGCGATGGCTCATTCTGCTCAGACTCGGCGTCGGACTCGACTGGTGAGCCTCTGGCAGAGTCGACTGGAGACTCGGTGGGTTCTTCAGGCTTGACGGTGACAGGCTTGCTTTCGGATACAGGAGCTTGTTCAACGACTGGAGACGAAGTATTACGATGTTGCTCCAGCTGGTCCAGCTCGGGCATTGGTTCTGGGTCGTCTTCGAACCTTGTCCTTTTGCTGACTGAAGTGGTCGACTTGGTAGACCGAGAGTCGGCATCGAGATCCAGAGGCGAGACGTTGCCAGAGTTCTTGGGCGCACTTTCTTTCGCAGCGACCACCGCATCGGCAACCCCAAGTTGATCTGTGTCGATAGACATGTTGGCGAAGTCTTCGCTGAACCTAGGCTCTGGTAGAAGCAAGCCCTTGTTGTCACGGCTCATGTACTGTCTTTCGAGGTCCTGGAGATTCTGCAGACTGGGGTCTCGGGACGGCAGACCAGATGGTGGACCAGCAGACTCATAGCCAGAGTCTGAGTAGTAAGGAGTTCCGTAGCCGTGTTCTTTGCCCTTGCCGCGGCTTTCGTAAGATCGTCCTCTGTGCATAGACTGAGCGAAGTAGTCGCCCGATTGTCGTGACATCCTCATGTGGCCAGGCGTCATTGGATGTCCAGCCATCTGAGGCGAGTCGAATTCGCCATAGTACATATCATCCTGGTAGCGTGGCTGAGACCCATATGGGGTCATTGGAGAAGGCGTTCCGTGAGCCAGTTCGTGGGCAATCGATTGCTGGAACGAGGCGTTGCCCAAGGTGCTATCGTACATGGAGTTGGCTGCTCGTCTCCGACTGGCAATGGCGATGTGGTTTCGATCCTGCTTGTCCTCCAGTCTGCTGCCTTGACCCACAGAGTCTGAAGCTGCGTGTGTTGGTACATGCTTGTAAGTAGGCTTGGGGGGAGCTTCTTCGGCAGGCTTCTCGCTGTCCTTCTTCTCTGCCTCCTTGGCTGCCTTGCCCTTGCGTTTGAAGATGGCGACCATTGTGAAGCAGCTTCAAGCTTCTGTTCTAGAAGCAATCGCTGATGGGGTATCTCTAAACGGTGAAGTTGAACAACATGAAGACAATGGTACGGAAAGATGTGGTGGATAGAAATGCTGGGGAGTGTGAGACCACAGGAAAAGTTTCTGGGAGAGAGGATAGGGTACTTGTGTCTCGAGGGAGCTCCCAGCATCCACGCGACAAACATGCACCTGAAATCCTCCGAACGGTCTCGGTAGCTCGTCCGGGCAGCCTGCCAGCGACGGTCAAGACTCGATCGCTTGCATATGAGAGCGTGGCATAAAGTCCAAAGGCTAATAGCTCATGGCGGCTAGGAGTCTCGCGGCCGCGCGAGATATGGCGAGTCACACACGAGGCCGGAAGCATATCGGTCATGGGTGACTGCAGGAGGCGCAACTCAAAATAGTGAGCATCTCGTCTCAAGAAGCGGTCTATAGTCCGGGTTCTTGTTAATCGTTCCGTTGCTCTCGACTCTCAATCTTCAGCGGACCAGGCACGTCTTTCCAGCCCGTAGGCTCGACTCGGAGAGCGGCCTGTACATGCCAGTGTAAGGAGACGACTACGCCGGACTCTGCACTGCTGCACAGCATTCGCCGGCGTGTGTTGACCGGTGCATCCAGCAGAAAGCAGGCGTCGTTGCGAGCTTGCCACGCACGAAGTCAAAACGGTCGTCAAGAGCGGCGGTACGCCTGTAACGCCTCCGGCGCGCCGTCGCGCCACAGAACCGTTTAGGAAACCAGGGGTGCCGGATTGGGCCAAGCACTGACGGATAGAGTTGTTGCTGGAGTCTGATCGGGTCTGGAACCGAGCTCACCTTGAAGCTTTCTTCCTGCGCCTTCGACGCACGTGTTTCACCTGCTCATGCGCCATCACCGACGATTTGACAGGAAAGCAAATCTCGCCCTGGTGATCCATCTGTGCTGATCTCCTGCATGACGACAGATTTGTGTACATGTTTCCCGTAAGCCTCTGACCTGCCAGGCAATAGAGCTGATGCGACTATTACTGTGACATCAATTGATCTTCCCTTTTCGGAGCGTGAGACGACTTCCGTAGCACATTCGCCAGGCGGGCGAGCTACCGAATTCCATGATGGCGCTAGAAAGGTCGATGCACCGCAAGCCCATAATCCTGCGCCGCCGCCAATTGGCACAAGCCGCGGAGCCGCAAAGGGCTTTGGCGCCTTCGTGTGGCTTTCTTCTTGGAAGCCTACAGGAAAACCTGCTGTCTCGACGAGGGCAGCTCGAAGGGCCCCGGCCTCAACATCAAACTCAGTGAGCCACCGCGGCTGGGCTTCCTGAGACGCAGAGTCGCGGAGGTGCAGCTGCATCCCTCTCTCACGAGTCGAAGGCGAGTTCCTTTCCCTCGTCCGAAACGGTCGATACCTCGAGACACGGTATGCCCGATGCAGCGCTTCAGCAATCCTGCAACATTTTGACCTGCCGTTCCTGGTAACTTGTCGCATCCAGCTGTCGACTTTCTCATCGCTTGTGCCGGACTCTGCCCTTTGTCCAGCCAAGTGTAAACTCTTGACGAGACCACTTTGCTGGATCTTGCCGATCTCCACGTGCTGAAGCGATCAGCCGTCGTGCCGTTGCATGATGTGCTATGCTGCGAGAAGTATTGATTTTCACACGCTGTACAAGTGATTGGTCTTGTCTCAGACGTTCACACGTGCTCTTGCATGCTTGCGTGTTCCATTCGACTGGAACCACCCGGACGGTAGCTGTAGCCATTTGGAACCTCTGCAAGACTGCGTAGGTGTATAAACTCTCGTTCAGTTAATCTGCGCGTGCCTCAGGAGATGACACTTGATCGGGGCACAATCGCAGGAAGCTGATTCCAAGCCCCCAGCGGCCTTGCTGTAGGAAGATGACGAGACGTGGGACGAGCAAAGTTGAGTGTTGTCCCCTCGCAGTCTCGGTGGTGGCTCAGTGCACATGACTCCATACCGTATGCACTTCGAAGTCCATAGATCTACTCAGTATCGTGTCAGCTTGGAGACCGTGCCAATATTTTCAAAAGCCGGCATTGTCCTGTTGAAACTCGCTTATCTTCCAAGGCACCATTACCAAGGTCAGCCGCATCAGACCCCATAAACCACGAGCCAGGATTAGTATAGAGTGGTTGACAGCTGCCGACCCACTGTTTCCGTCGATAGCGTCAAGCTATCCAGCTGTCCAGCTTCCCAACCATTCTTTAAAGTGTAGGGCAACGAAACGACGGAGAAGAGCTCCTTCGTATTCCCATCACAAGCGATGAGCAAGCGAGATACCAAGCATTCGAAGGAGTATCAGGCTGCATCGGAAGGATCGTTGGTGTATCTTTCCCAATGACCTGTCAATGTCCAGACTGGCGCCATGTGCTCGACCAAGAAGCCATGCATCGGAGAATTATTCGAATTGGCGTTCGTATTCGAAACAAGCGGATGGCGGTCGCCGTAAACGTCTGCGTATAGTCCTCCCTGGTATTCAGATAAGAAGGGCCGGGTCCTGCCACTGCTGCGGCGTTGATGCACGCTGGTGGATGCCAGTCGCCTATCAATGGGGCTCGCAGCTCGTTGAATGGTGAGTTGTCGGCGGCTTGATGTTCGTCCGTCTCGACAAAGTCGTGATGGTTCTGCTCGCTTTGGACATGGTCGTCTCAAATGTCGAGACCTGGCATCGGCCCGTCTCATGCTCGTGGTGCCGAGACGAAGTGTCAAGAGACTCGGTACTTGCTTACTTTTCCGTTGCAATTCCGCACCTCTCTCGGAAATCCACTGATGAACTTCGATCTTCCCTGGCCGACGTGCAATTCTGCCAATAGCAGCGTCTCGAGGAGCTTGCTCGGCCTAAAGCTCGCCATGAAGCACGTTATGTCGATGCGGGGCAGCGAGGTCGGTGGCCTTGCCACAAGAGTTGTGAGCAAGAATGTCATCCTCTTTGGCGGCTTTCTGAGTAGTCAATTGCCTTCGAAATAGCATCTCTCGGGCAACCAGCAAAATGGCACCAAGCGCGACAACACTCGTGTCCGAATCAAAGGACAACGCCAGCGTAGGAGCACTAGGCAAGACCAACAAGTCTGGCAAACCTTTGAAGATTCGCTCGTACCCGAAGTTCGAGTCTCTGGAAGAAGAGAGGCTGTATAGAAAACAACATCTGGCCGCTGCGTATCGTGTATTCGCCGAGAGAGGTTGGTAGTGGAGTGAAGGTGTCATGTCCAGCAATGCTGACGCCGTTTCAGGCTTTGACGAAGGCGTAGCTGGTCATATTTCTGTCCGGGACCCAATCTTGACTGACCACTTCTGGCTGAATCCTCTGTCGAAGCACTTCTCTCAGATTTGCGTGTCGGATCTGATTCTCGTCAATGAAGATGGTGATATTGTGATTGGGGAGGAACCGATCAATGCGGCCGCCTTCGCAATCCACTCTGAAATCCACAAAGCTAGGCCGGATGTCGATGCAGCGTGTATGTCGAGATTCTCACGATGCTGAGGCGATGTATTTGACTCACGGTTCTCAGGCCACGCACACAGCGTCTATGGAAAGGCCTTCAGCGTCTTCGGCAGAGAGCTCGACATGATCACGCAGGATAGCTTGCGGTTCTACAAGAACCATGCTGTTTATCCCCAATTCGGAGGCGTTGTCCTGGACCGCGAGGAGGGCAAGCGCATCGCAGAACACCTCGGAGAGGGGAAGGCCATCATCTTGCAGAATCATGGACTACTCACCGTAAGCATTTCCCCCAAACGGTCAGAGGCCCAGGCTGATGATGATTGCAGGTCGGTAAAACGATTGATGCGGCTGCCTTCTGGTTCTTGTCACTGGATAAGACGTGCCATGCCCAGCTGTTGGTAGATGCGGCTGCCCAAGGTAGTGGCCACAAGAAGACGTTCATTCCGGAAGAGGAAGCGACGTACAGCTATTCGCAAGTTGGAACTCCAGAGAAGGGGTGGCTCGCTTTCCAGCCTTACTATGACGATATTCTGGCCAAGACGAACGGTCATTTCTTGAAGTAGATCAATAGTATCAGAAAGAGGATGATGCCGCTTCGTAGTTGAGTCTGCGCAGAGAACGGCTTCCTGCGAGCATCGTGACTGTGACCCTGTTCAGTACATGTTGGACTTTGCTTTCGTCTCTCTGGATCTTGTTGTATCACAAGGGTGCTGCAATGCGATGGATGTGGCGAGGAAGAAAGTCGAACATCGGACAAGAAGTAAAGACAAGACAACGCGTCTGCCGCGTACCAAAAGTCGTGGGAATGCATCACGTGTCGTCGTCAATTCATCAAACTATTCTGCGGTCTGCCTTGTCCAACTCTAAGGTCTACAGCCTCTGTAAAGCCCGAGCGTTCTTAGAATCAAGAGCTGGAAGAGCTCAGAGTCGACGCCCTCTGCGTACATCCGAACTGCTTGTTCCCCTGGTCGAAGATCGCATAGACCGACCGCAAGAAAACATCACCAAAGATGTCAAAGTCTTGATCGCCGCGAGACTGGATGCCACCATAATATGTGCCATCGCCTAGGTCCTGGAATGGAAGCTCCTCCGGGTTCACGGTGAAGAGGTTGTCGCCAACGGCGAATTGGATCTTGGGGAGGGAGGAGAGGTCGGTGCTGGTTGGGAACACCCAAGCTTGCTGCTGTGTGTTCTGCTTCGCGCCGGGGATGGCACCGTACACCGCCTCACACAAGTCATCGCCAACGAGGGCAAGCGTCGTACCAGTGTCAGCGATGGCGGTGTTGCCGCTACGAGTCACGGTCTTCTCGCCGACTTTCGCAGAAGTAGAGTCGAACATCCAGAAGCCTTGCGAGCTATCAACCGGAGTGTACGTTGGTGTCTGGCCATTGGTAGCCTGCTGGTCGATGTAGCCAAAGGTGTAGAAGCTCTCAGCATCACCACTGCTGCTGGTAGTGCCGGAGCCGGACGAGCTGCTGCTTGGAGGGGTGCTGCCCAGGTACGCAGTGAAAAGCTCTGTGTTTTGCTGAATGTCCTGTTGCGCAATCATGTTCTCCACAAGCGTATTGACTGGGGTGGGCTGGACGGTGTTGATGCTGCCCTGATGAGCATTAGCAGAGTACACACGCACCAAACTTCGGTACACCTACGAATGCAAGACCAAGCAGTCCATCGCCGGGTCCTTGTTCGAATTGAGCGCTCAAAGTCTTTGCCAACTCGATGGCTTGATTCTCAACGACTAATCCGCCAGCGTTGACATTGTCTGTTGTCATGGTCAGTATTGGCTGTGAGTGCGATCAACGTTCGCCGGATAGAGATTGAGTATACCTGTCCCAACATCACCCGATGCCGTGGACCCATCACCGTACTGAATCTGCCACGTAGAGCCCGACGACTTTTTGAACGTAGAACTCTTAGATGAGTCGAAAATAGTGTGCTGGCTCCCGTATTGACTTCTCGTAGATGATGGGAGCTCTGTTGACCAAACCCAGAGGTCTGCAGAGCCAGTATCGAAATCGAGGGCAAGGTTCTGGGCTGGGGTGCCGATGCCAACAGTGGCAAGATACTCAGCATTACTTTCGACGTCTTGAGCCTTTTCGCGGTCATTAGCAGGGACTTTGTCAAGACATGAGGATTTCTACGCACAGGAACATTTCCAGTCTGGCCAGAGCTGTCTTTCTTCGCAAGGACATGTCCTTTGATATGAGCTCTGCCTCCACTATCGAACAGCCATGTCAGCTGGAGTGGAGTACGTTCGAAGGTGTGAGTACTAACATCTTCTTTCCGAACTTCTTGAAGATAGCCTGCTGACCTTGCTGCTCGATCTGGTTGACCATGCAGTAAGGACCATCGACTGTTGGGCCGATGTTCCATTTCTGAAGAGCGTGAACGTAAGACTTCAGACCGTTCCTAGAGTAGTGAGGATTGAGCTTGAGTGCTCCGCGCACAAGGCTGACGTTGCTCGTCATGTTGTTGTCTGTAGTGGTCGACAATTGATAGAATTCGAAGGACGACCAAAATTCAGGGGCAAGGAAACAAAGTGAGAAGAATGTGGCTAGGCAGACGAACACTGATATACTTGCCTTGTAGAGATATATGAGCGTACGTCATCATGCTCTGAGGCATGAGATCGCACGTCACAAGCTCATCTATTCAAGTCCAATAGCCTGTTCCTGAACACGCCTTGTCAGGCGATTCGAAACCTAGATTCGCCAACGATAGGCGCCGGTACCTGCAGTCACAGGCACAATGTGGACCGCTCGGAGGTCACACCAGTGCATGTCCTTATCGAGTGGTAGATAGACACTTGCATCATACCACCTTGTTCTGCGCAAGACGCTGCCACACTGCCACGCTCTTGTCCACGCGTTCATTATAGATGATCATGCTCGAAGGGGAAAGGCTGGATGTCGCTGTCACGTCTACAGGCTCTGGCAAGAATGATATGAACCCCTGCTAGTTTCTCAGCCTTTATCTAGCTATATATGGAAGAATAAGTGGGTCACCACTTTGTATGGCCTCCTTTAGTATCGATTACTGCCTAACATCTTTCCCTAATACTCTAGTAGATTCTTAATATATTAGATATCGATAGCCTTATCTATTTAGTCTATATAGCCTAAATAACCTCTACCCTTATTATAGGGAAATAAAGCCTAACCCTATACTTTAAAAGACTCTAAAGATTCTTAATTAGATTAAGATCTAGTAAGTTTACTAGCTATATAAGGAGCTGTATATAACAGTCCTTAAATAAAGCTAATATAGCCTTAGCCTTATAAATAGATACGTTATCTTATATTACTAAAGACTACTATTAGAAGATATCCTTTTATTACTACTTTTAGTAAGTAGCCTATATTAATAGAACGATCTTCTAACGGTAGATATCCCTATTAATTAATCTAGTATCGAATATAGTATATTCTTTCGGTCTATCTACTAATATATAGCCCTAAATTATATAGGCTAAGTACTTATGGAAGTGTAGTATAATATAGTCTATATAATAGGCTTTATTAACCGTTCTTATTATATAGACCTATCCGAAGTAGCTATAGCGAATTAAGGCTTTATTAGTCTATAAAACCCTTAACTACTACCTATCTATCTAGTCGACGTACTCTTTTACCTATTATAGCCATACTACCTTATATTTGTCCGTAAGCTATAGCTTCTTCCTTACTATATATTATTAATAGCCTTCTTTTATAAGTACTACTCGAATCGTCCGTAAGTTATAAAAAAGGTCCTTAAAGCGCGTAATTTAATTTAGTCTAAGTCGCCTATAATAGGTATTAGTAGTTAGTCTGTTTACAAGACGACGTCGTTTACGGGTTATAATTATAGGAGGGCGTCCTCGTTAGGGTAGTATACGTAGTTCGCGTTCTAGGCGTATAATAACCTAAGATATAGCATGTTTTAAAGTATCTAGTTTCTTAGCAATCCGCTAAAGTAGCTAGTATACGTGCTTATAAAGGGCCTATATCTAGCCCTTCTTAAAGGCTGAGAATATCCTCTTTAGTATTGCTGTATCGAAGAATGTAGGAATCAAGACGCGTACAGCGTGTTTTGAAGCAGGCCCACAATAACAACTATATATAGTTAGCAGAAGGAATGCCACTAGCAGGGGTTCATATCATTCTTGCCAGAGCCTGTATGTCCGAGGCAGATGCAGAAGGGTTTCGTCGTGGATCATGCGGCAGTTGGGATTGGTGCTGATCCGGCAGGGCTCGTGGTGGAGGTGTTGGCAGAAAGAACTGGGTCGCACGACGAGTCAAGCAGCAGCGTCAAGCTTGGTCAAGCTCAACGGATAGCGGGAACAGATACTTGGCGCGACATGAGTGAATAGAAGTCGGGGTAAGTCACGTGGAAGCAGAACTGTACCAGACGTTTTGGCAGCGAGACTCTGAAACTCTATTCCCTCGCGACTTCAACTTCACCAAACTTCTGGTAGACTAGCCGCAAAGACATCACCAGCATCATCGAAAGAAACGACCCTGCATGTGTGGATTGGACCGGATCCAGGACTGAGACTTCTCGCTCGAATTTTTGTGCAGAAGAACAGGCCCGCAATCAGACAAATTGAACCTCAATACGGACATCTGTAAGGGCTGAAGTAACACAACATCATCAACCGCCGCCATGGATCGCGAATATCAAGATCATGGCGGCTTTGACCATGCCCCCCGAAGTCGTGGACGACCAAGCAGACGTGAGTGCAGCGGACCCCGTCCATAGCCTATGAATAGCTTTGAGGAATGCAAGCGGAATGTGACCCTTTCACCTCTTTCACAATGCATCTTCTCAAGGTCGCACATCTGGACGCGCCTCTCGCATTGCTGTATATGCACCATGAATCGCGTAGACAATGCTAACCCAGGTTTCGTGCTAGGTAATGCGACTGACATCGGCAACACATACGTGCACTGGCTGCCCGACCGCCGGCCAAGGGGCAGTGGACTACGAGGCTTTGAAGCGGAGAGACCGACTCTGAGCTATGTGGCGTCTATGCTTCCGCCCGCTGCACGCAAAGGCAAAGCAGTCGACTCGATCCCTGCTAAACATCTACACTCTTCCTTCAACAAGGTGCGGCATCCTGTCAATGTCGTAAAATGGACTCCAGAAGGTCGACGGCTCCTCACTGGCTCTACAAGCGGCGAATTTACCCTCTGGAATGGAACTGGCTTCAACTTCGAGACTATCATGCAAGCGCACGATTCGGCAGTCCGAGCAGTGCAGTATGCCCACAACGACGAGTGGCTCATATCTGCAGACCAGGATGGATTCGTCAAGTACTGGCAGACCAACTTCAACAACGTCAAAGCGATCCAAGCCCACGAAGATCCTGTGAGGGACCTTTCATTCGCTCCGAATGATACCAAATTCGTGACCGCATCGGACGACGCCTCATTAAAGATCTTTGACTTCGCCAGTGGCGAGGAAGAATCGCAACTGACTGGACACCAATGGGACGCGAAATGCGTAGACTGGCATCCGAGCAAGGGTCTACTCGTCTCTGGCTCCAAGGACCACCAAGTCAAGCTCTGGGATCCTCGAACTGGTCGGTGTCTCACAACTCTTCAAGGCCACAAAAACACCGTCAACATGACCAAATTCGAACCAAGTCGCGGCTCCCTCCTGGCATCTTGCGCCAGAGACAATACTGTCCGTATCTTCGACATCCACATGATGCGAGACGTCTTCCTCCTCAAGGGTCACGACAAAGAGATCAACTCCATCGTTTGGCACCCCATCCACTCCAACTATCTCACCTCAGGCAGCTCCAGCGGCGAAATGTTCCACTACCTCCTCGACGAGCAAAATCCGCCACCAGGCACCGCCCTCGCCATCTCTCCTTACGACTCCCCAAATCCCGCCGACGCCCCCGCACAAACTCTCTATCCCGCCCACAAAATCACCTTCGCTCACGAGTACAACATCTGGAGCATGGATTGGCACCCCATGGGCCACATCCTCGCATCTGGCTCCAACGACCGTGCCACGCGTTTCTGGACACGTCCGCGGCCGGGTGAGAATACCTACATCAACGACAAATGGCACATTGGCCAAGAAGCTGCTGAGAAGCAAGGCACTTGGCGGAAATCCGAGGCCCAGAGCCGACGCGAGGAAGAAGAAGCCGAAGCAGATGATGAAGCGGATGGATTGGAGGATCAAAAGGTTCCAGGACAATCCTTTCTCCCTGGCTTACCCGGTCTGGCATCTGCTGCACCCCAAGCACCGCCTGGCTTACCAGACTTCCACGCCCACGACCCTCAAAACTTCCCACCACCTCCTCCCTTCTCCATGCCACCAAACGGCGCACCACCGGACCTCTCAGCTCTATTCAACCCGCAATACAACCAATCCCCACCTGGCCAGTCACCTATGCCACCGCCTAACTTCCCTCCACCGATGATTCCAGGCATGATGCCGCCGGGCTTCCCTCCGCCAGCAAGTTTGATGCAAGGCATGAATGGTCAAGGCAGCGGCGCGGGCGGCAGTGTGAGAAAGAGAGGACCGTTGCCTAGTCAGAGCGACAGCTTGAGGGAGGAGATGAGGCAGGGACGGTATCTGAAGCCCAGGTAGCATGGCAATTCAGCTGCGGAGTGTTTTTGATTCTTGAGGGAAAATGGAAGACAGAATGGTGTATTGGTATAGCGCGAGGTATGTACTATTTGAGCGATGGCAGCGCTTTGGCTGTACGTCTAGCAATTGTAGCTAATCCGGCAGAAGAGCCACACGTATCCTTGTCTCCCATCCCGACACTACTACAACTCACAAACCCATTCAATGAATCCAAATCCCCTCGGTCCCAATATCCGGCTCCCGCTCACCCCCCAAACTATTCAACAAATCCCCCACATAATTCCCCGCCTCAACCCCCTTCCTATAACCCCCTTTCTCCCACTCCCCAACAACATCCCTCACAATCTCCACGCCCGCAAGATACAGATTCCTCAAACTCGGCCCATACCCCCCTTGCTCCGCATACAGCAAATGGAACACCTCCGTCTCATCCGGCGGCGCTCGATCGAAGTCGGACGCGGTGCGCATGATGATGATGCGGTGGAAGTCGAGTTTTCCCGCGAGGTGGCCGCGCAGCAGGGCTTCGAGCGTGGCGTTGTCTTCTTGTTGCGTGGTGCAGTAGGTTCCTGAGCCGTTGGTCAGGAGTTTGGTGTAGGCGGCGAAGGCGTTGCCGAGGACGCTGCCGGAGAAGAAGTTATTGGATGTGCCGGTGTCGCATGCGACGACTGTGGGTGGGAGGTTTGCTGGGCCATAGGGATATTTGGAGCGGTAGGTCTGCGCTGCGGAGGTGTCGTTCAAGGTTGCTCGTTTCGCGAGTGCGACGGCGCGTTTCTTGAGGTTGTCGTTCAGTTCGAAGGCTTCGGTGCCGTAGATCTCGCCGGGGTAGTCGCGAGGGTTTTCTTCGTCTGGATATTCGGCTGCTTGGGGGTAGTAGCCACTTGATGCGTTGGCGGGGACTTGGGATTGAGCGAATTCGTACTGGAGATCGAATTGGACGGCGTAGCGGGCGAATGTAACGGAGCCTGTTGCGGCGATATGTGGGTTGACGCCGCCGACGCCGGCTATGAGGAAGTAGGTGGACCGTAAGTGGAAACAGTCGGACATCCACAAAGCGGTCATGGACGCGGCGGCGTTAATCTCGCCTTGCCCGGTTGTCATTTGGCAGACGGAGCCATCGACGGTGCAGTGTGCGTCTGGGAAGAGAGGGGAGAAGCCGGGGATGGTGAGGTTCTGGTCGAGGATGTTGAAGTCTGGAATGTTGCACCATGCATCTTCTTCGCTGTCGAACATGCTGATGATGAAGACTTTTGGTTTGATTCCATAGTCGCAGGGTGGTGAATTGAGAGGGTTCTGTGTCGGTGTGATACGTTTTGCTAACGCGTGTCCTTTGGGCTTGATACCGGATCGAATGACGGGAATTGAAGATGAAGATACAACTGAAAGGAGCAGCAAAAAAGGGAGAGCCGCCAACATCTTGTCCTGAACGTTTTTGCGGATCGGCGAGGCAAGCTGCTGCCACTCGCACTTACATACTGTATCGACATCCATTTAGGTCTCACAGCGCTCAGACCTCAAGGCCAGTCGCCAGAGATAAGACCCATTGCTCGTCGCCAACGTGGCTCACCTGTATCGGCACGCCGGTCCGATACAGTTCTCGTGGTGTTCGTGTTTCTGGCCAAGGTCAAGCTTGTAAGCGGTGAAGGTTGTCACCAGCAATCCCGGTTGCACGAAATTGTGTAGAGGTGGGTGCTCAAGTTTGGTTGACCTTCGGTGTGGAGCACGTTCGGTAACAACTTCATGTTGTACCATGACAGCAGTGTCTTGAGCTGCGCGATGTTTGACTAGCTCAGCGTCAGAGATGCGTCGAAGAAGAGGTGAGAAAAAGAAGTGGAACAACAGCACTTGTGTAACCATCTGTTACACACAAGGTTCCTGGGAAGTTAACATGGGTGCTGTACCACACACCTAGTCCTCATCGATACTCGTCCTCGTCCATGTCATCGAACACCCAGTGATCTCGAACAGCAGCTTCGTCTATCTCGTATTCGGCCCGCTCGAGGCAGTCTGCCTTCATCTGGTCGACGGCTGCTTTCGTAGCGTCGAAGTGGTCACATGGGACCCATCCTGCGGGGCCAACACCCAGCATCACATTGATCGCGTGCATTTCGTCTTCAGCTTCTCGCACAAGCTTATCGAGACGTAAGTATTTCTCTTGCTCTTCTTCTGTGAAAGTAAAGGGGCAATTTAGTTGTGGGCTCAAGCGGCACATTGTCGCCTTGCCAACAATCGCCGGACAAGCGGTGGAGCCTCCGCCGAAAAGAAGCGTACGGGTATTTCAATGCTTTGAAATGAGTTGCGTTGATCTGTGCGGTCTGCGCGATGTAGTCGCAGTGCAATTGCCGATCGCGGAAGATTCCTAGCTGCTCGGTCTTCTCCTCCTTTGACATATCATCTAAATCGCTGGGCAAACGTAGTGTTTCCCACGACCTAGATGCTGCATCATGAGAGTTGTTGAACATGCTCGGAATGCCGGCTTGTAAGAACAACGGCTGCACGGTGCTGTGTTGCCAATCGATGAGAGACGCAATGCTGAAGTCGTCGAATACGAAGATGTTGCTCGGTCGAAGATCAGGGTGGCGCACGACAGGCTGGAGCAGTCCCTGGGAATCCTTTGGAATGAGATGTTCGGCGATCTGCAGATATCTTCCCAGGCTGTCGATATGAGTGCCAGGGTCTTGTCTCTCAAGGCTGAAAGTCTCTCTTCGCATCCTACTGAAAGGAAGTAATGGACGACCGAATTTGGTCAAGTACTCAATCTCCTTTCTGGCACCTGCTGTGAGCAGCGCTCCACACTCTGTAACTGCGTGATTGTCAGTTTGTTGCCTGTGACTAGAAAGCCTTGGTACTTACAGGGCCCACGATTTACTGAGAGCTCGCCTCAGCTTCCAAACCAGAGGTGTGTACTTGCATCCGGGCCAACATGCAGGGAGCAAGGTCTCTCTGCATCAAGATGGTCTATAGGCACGCCTCGAGCTCCCTGTGGCATATCTTTCGAGAAATAAATGCTTCCACTGGCTGGCAGGCGAATGCTGAAAAGGCGGTTCTCCACTTCGATAATGTTCGAGAGAGTTTTCGGTCGGTCTTGCTGGTTCATATCGTCCCAAATCTCACTGAGGATTCGGCCAGAGCCATACTCCATGAGAATATACTCTACCCCGGCAGGATTGTTGGTCGATGTCGAATACCCGTACACCTTCGGTACAGGAATGCCTTTGGAAGGGAGGAACTCCATTGTTGCGACCTCGCTGGCCACCACAAAGCCTCTAGGTACTGTGGCCATATAGGGTATGCGGGCCACAAGCGAGGGCCCGTCGCGCATGCGTACAATGAAGGCTCGATTGGATGCACCCTCGCCCAGCTTTTGGAACTGGACTATGTCTTCGGAATTCTTCGATACCGCTTGCACAGTCAGGCACTGCAGAGCGGACACGTTAAAAGGTCGTACTCTTCCTTCCAGGCGCCTCTGCTCGTTGTACCTGTTATTCTAGGTCAACAGAAATGCTGTCGTGGAAGGCACAAAAGTACTTACAGCCATCGTCCTGAGGTGTAATTGAATAGGTGGTGCAACCTATACATCTCGTATGCAACCTGCTTCGGAATAGCATTGCTTGTGCAGAGTCGAGGGGAGTATAGTGGTCCGCAGATTTTCGAGAACCTCGCTCTCGCAAGATTGCTATTTGGCAACAGCCTTTGACATTCTTGCAGAGCCTTTGTCCGCGGCATTGTATTATCCTTGCCAGGCCACTGAAGAGACTGTGAAATGAAGAGAATAGTATCGCAGGTAGGGACATCTTCGTGCCGTATGGAGATGTCCTACGAACACTTACTGAAACGTTTGGCAATATTGCCTGACCGCAGCGACTTACCCGTTTGTGCATATCACATTTGCCTCCAAATCAAAAGTCAAGGACATGACATCGATGACCGCGTAGTGCATTGAAAGAGTGATGGAGCGTCGCTAAAATTCAGAACGTTTGCTACATGTACCCGAGACACTTTCGGGAAAGAGTTAACACGTGATAGGCGTGCTAGCGTGTCAAGCTAGCAGGGGTCCAGCGCTCTGTGAAAGTTAACGAGCTTTCCGTGACTGGAGTCTCTTCTTTCTGTTCGTTCATCACACGTAAAGCTGCACAGCGCACGCTGTTGCTCGGAGGTGTCACCATACGCCGGTGTCCCTCGCACTCGCTATCAAGACTCAATCCCTCCACGGTCGCCCTCTCCCAACACACTCCTCTGAACCCGCACGCGTCACGCCAACATGAAGCACGACCACGTTCTGGGAGTCTCGGCGTACATCAATGTCGGAGGCGTTCGGCTGGAAGAATTGAGGAAGATGAGGATGTGGATCAGCATGGCAATACCAACGCCACGAGATACGTGGAAGCTACACCTGGTGCAACTTTCACTGCAAGCGTGGTCTTCGATTACAAGAGTTTCCCTTACCCAAACGACGACATCGACTGCGCGATGTATCTTGATGGAGAAAACGCCGTCAGCTATATCCGAAAGGTCAGAAGCAAATCGACTGTGACCCCCTTTGATGGATGTACAGAAGTCACCCCATCGGGCACATACATGCGCAAATTCAAGTTCCAAGAACTTGCTACAAGTAAGCTGGATGAACCAGCATCTGCCGATCTAGTTCACTGACGACATTTAGACGATGGTTTCGTTCAGGAAGGACTCAGGGAGAAATTGAAGTCGCTCGGAACTATCTCCATCAAACTGCGCCGCTGTCGAGCTATATCCTCCAAAGCACCACTATACACTGAGATCGAGGATGTCGGCAAAGACAGTGTGCCAGAGAAAGGTCTCAAGGGGCGAGCTATCTCCACACAGGCAACGTAGGTATTCCAACCCGTGATTTTCATTGTCGCTCACTATCTTGCAGCCTTGGAACACGAGAAAAGGTCCAGGACGTAGCCATCCAAGATGTCGCTTTTCCATACGGCACTCGCCCTTTTGCAGAGTTTACATTCAAGTATCGCTCGCGGAGTAAGAGGTTGCGACACATTGCTATACCAGTACTTCACTGACGATATATCAAGAGGACCTTCAAGTCGAGGGTATTATACCGCGTAGCCCATCTCCGGTGCCACTAGAGGATCGGGACCCAGCGACACTCAATGCCGATGAGTTGCGGCAGCTACTTGAGCGCCGCAACGAGGAGCTGAAGAAATTCTCGAATATCAAGACCGAGAAACGCGAGCGACCTACTCCGACTCTTAACGATAACGACGACGACGAGCTCATCATTACTGAGCACAGCTCGAAGCGACGCCGCACGTCTCACGACTCCGGCATCGAAGTCGTCGACCTTACGGACGATTGATCGGCTGACGCAGCTTTATTCTTTTCTTGCACTGTTCTACTGCTTTTATGATACCCCAGTCTCTTTCTACGATTGAGCAAATTGCTTGGAACATGGAATGTAATGGAAGTGGAGTCTGGTTGGACTTGCTAGCAGCGTAATAATTCAACTGTCGTTGGAGTCAGGCTTCTCTGTAGGAGACCGATGTCGTAAAATAGCAATTCAGTGATCCATCTGCAAATGCATGTGCTCCCCAATGCCACTGCGTCCCCAGCTGTCATGCATCTGAACCCTGGCTCGATCCTTGGTAGACGTCAGCGGAGAGGCGGGCGAGGTCCCAACGCCTGCACTTCTCCCAAACAACGGGAGCAGATCGTCTTCTTCGCTCTCATCATGGCCCTTTCCTCCTTCTTCACTCCATCTGGGGTCCCCGCAAACCACGCGCGATCAAGATTGATGCGACCGTGAAGAAAGTCTAATTGGAGCAGATAACTTTTACCTCTCAACTTCAGCTCCCCAACCTCTCGATCTCCTACCGCGGCACCATGAGCACGGCCACCACCACGTCGATACACGTGCCCAATGGGCATCCCCGTGGTGCCCAGAGCATGAACGGCACTCCTCAACCAAATGGCACTCCCACGACTCCCATCACACCACCGCCCCGCTCCGACGCTCGAGCATCAAAGAAATACAAACACACCTTCGCCGTCCACTTCGAGACCCGTCCCTCGCAGCTCAGTCACGATGCCAAATCGGCGCCTTCGTCGCTCGGCTTTCGAAACCTTATGGGCTTAATCATTGTGATTTCGAACTTGAGGCTGATGCTCGATAACTTTAAGAAGTATGGAATTCTGGTCACGATATCGGGGAGTAAAGTCTCCACGGGGGATTGGAGATGGTTCTGGATACTGTATGCCTTGACACCGTGCCACTTGTTCGTGGCGTATCTGATTGAGCTGGCGGCGTCGAGGTATGCTGTTGCGTTGGTGTCGAAGAGTAAGAAGGAAGAGCGTGGGGAAGGCAATAAGGTGAAGGAGGGAGAGCAGAAGAAGGCGAAGAGCTGGTTCTCAACTTGGAGAGTGATTGCATGGTGTCACGCGGCCAATGCGACTTTCATGCTGGCGTTTGCGACGTATGTCGTGTACTACTGGATTCACAACCCGGGATTGGGCACGATTACGGAGCTGCATGCCGTGGTGGTGTGGTTGAAGGTGTGCTCGTATGCCTTTACGAACCGGGATCTGCGACATGCGTATCTCAGGCCGGATCCGAGTGAGGCTGCTCAGCTGCCGGCACTCTACAAGAGCTGCCCGTATCCGCAGAATATACGCATGGCGAACCTCTGCTACTTCTGGTGGGCTCCCACGCTCGTCTACCAACCAGTCTATCCACGCTCCCCAAAGATTCGCTGGGACTTTGTGGCTCGCCGTGTATGCGAGTTCTTCCTGCTTTGCATCCTCATATGGATCACCTCCGCTCAGTACGCTGTGCCTCTTCTGCAGAATAGTCTCGAGGATATCTCCAAGTTACACGGCTTCAACATCCTCGAGCGGGTCATGAAGTTGAGCACCATCAGCCTCGTCTGCTGGCTCGCAGGCTTCTTTGCCCTCTTCCAGTCCTTCCTCAATGCTCTTGCCGAAGTGATGAGGTTTGGAGATCGGGAGTTCTACGGAGACTGGTGGAACAGCAGCGACTTGCGGACATACTGGACAAGCTGGAACAAGCCAGTCACGCATTTCATGAAGCGCCACATCTACGCACCCATGGTCGGCCGCGGCGTGCACCCCATCGTGGCACAGCTCCTCACCTTCCTCTTCAGCGGTGTGCTACATGAAGCTCTCGTGGGTGTTCCAACACACAACATCCTCGGGGTCGCTTTCATGGGCATGTTGGGACAGATCCCCCTCATCTTCATGACGGACATGCTGAGGAGGTATGGAGGAGGCGGACACAACGCGAAGCTCGCTGGGAATTTGGTCTTCTGGCTGAGCTTCTGCATCTTCGGACAGCCCATTGCGGCGCTGATGTATTTCTTCGCCTGGCAAGCGAAGTATGGCAACCCGGAGAGTCGACCGGAGTGGCCTGAGCTGCAGCTGCATTGGAATGCTACGAAATCATGAGGGATGAATTTGATGAAGTTCAATAAGGATCAGTATTTGTGGCGTTCTTCAGGTACTTTTAGTCTCGTTCGTGTTCGTAGATCCCGTGGGAGTGAAGGCCAAGGATCAGCGGTGCGTCAGGACAGCTAGGACTAAAGATGTTGGTGATTGCCCGAATCTCTGCCACCCCATCTCATCACTGTCAGCACAGAACAATGCGGTGAAGATGCAGGTCGAATGATGTGTGTTCGAACATGGATGTTGTAGGTACATCAGCTGGCAGATCCCTAGTTCAGGGCGAGTGAGTGAAGCTAAATTAGGCCGGGTGACGCAAGAGCGGCTGACTTTCCGCTTGGAGCTTGGATGGCACGAATAGTGGGCTCCTGCTGCACGTCCAGGTGATCGCAGAGTTCTGGACGCTCTTTTCCAACGTCATCCCTCCCAGACCTCACCTCCGGACTACTGTGCTATTGTTGACCCTTTTGATTGAATATTGATTGCCGCATTCTTGGGGACAACGAGCTGCGGCGAGCAACGGAGGTGTCCTGTCTGCCGCGTGGCCGCCATCTGAAACATCCTCCGACCGACGCTTGGGCCTGCTGGTCGACCAAACACTACGACGCGACAACACTCTGCCCGCCTGCGCAAGTGAAGCTCCCAAACATTCACCGCGGCCGCATTCTAGCCCGCATCGCCAGCGACATCCTCACCGCGCGACACCCTCTGCGCGCGCCCCGGTCAGCGACTGCGACGTCGGCAGAGATTTACTCGTCGGCCTCACCACCATCGGCTCGCCACCCCGGCCTTCTGCATATCGTGCATCCGCCGCGCAAACACCACCACCTCGCCCGGTAAACACCTCTCCCACAGGACGCGCGCGCCCGCGACAAGCGATACACTGCGCTCCCGGCCCAACTCGACTGTATCCGTGTCGGCGCATCCATTCGCGACACGATTCGGATGAGTCGGCGGGGCCTTCACCAGCAGTGCGACCATGGCGCTCGCTCCTGCTAATGACAAAAGGAGGGTGAAAGTATACGAGCTGAAGAACAACGACTGGTATGATCGCGGCACCGGCTTCTGCGTGGGCAGCATCGTCAGCAACCCCAACGCGCCGCCCGAACACCTCGATGCGCGCATCGTCGTCACCAGCGAGGACGATCCCGGTCGCACGTTGCTTGAGACCCGCGTCTCTAAGGACGATGGCTACCAGAAGCAGCAGGACACCCTGATAGTGTGGACCGAGAGCAATGGCGTGGACATGGCGCTGAGTTTCCAAGAGGCCGACGGCTGCACAATCATATGGGACTTCGTGAGCGACGTCCAGTCGCGGCTGGTCCCCGAGGATGGGATATCGGACGAACTGCTGGATGTCGTGCATCCTATAACTCTCCCAGAGCCTACGCTGGGGAAGCTGGAAGAGGTCGTCGAGTCGATACGGAATGCGTCGACCACACCCGCAGGCCGTGATGCGCTGGCCAAGTTTGTCATGAGCCCCGAGCAAATGTATATTTTGAGACTGGCGCCGCTGGTGGACGAAGCGGAAAAGCTGGAGCAAACACAGGAGCTGCATCGTTTGTGCACGATCATGAAGCACCTCATCCTGCTCAACGACACCTCCATAATCGAGTTCATAGTGACGGACCAGGCGATTATGGGTGTCGTTGGCGCATTAGAGTGTGAGTTGTGGAGGACAAGGTATGCTTGGATTATATGAAGGCTGACTCCGCTACAGATGACCCAGACTTTCCTTCACATCGGGCCAACCACCGCCAGTACCTCTCTGATACGTCAAAGTTCAAAGAAGTTGTCAAGATCGAACATCAAGACATCAAGAAGAAGATCCACTACACTTATCGTCTTCTGTACCTGAAAGATGTTGTCCTGGCGCGAATCCTCGACGATCCTACGTTCTCAGTCCTGAACTCCCTCATTTTCTTCCACCAGGTGGACATTGTCAACCACCTTCAATCCAATCAAGCCTTTCTCAAACAACTGTTCGGCATCTTTGGGGACGAGGAGCAAGATGAAGAGAGGAAGAAGCAGGGGGTTTTATTCATCCAAAACTGCTGTGCTGTGTCCAAGAACATTCAAGCACAGTCGCGGGCGCAGCTCTACCAGAACTTCATCAACCACGGCCTTTTCACAGTCATTACTTTTGCGCTCCGTCATCACGATGCGAGCGTGCGGGTAGCGGGCACGGACGTACTGGTATCACTGATCGATCATGACGCACATCTGGTCAGGGGTCACATCTTCAAGGCTATCAGCGAGAAGACTGTACCGCTGACAGACACATTGATTGAGCTTCTTCTCGTAGAGGTCGACCTGGGTGTGAAGAGTCAAATGGCAGATGCGATCAAGATATTGCTGGATCCATCTAGCAGTGCAGCGGGAATGGAGGCTATGAATCGACAGGGCAACTCCGATTTCGCGGCTAAGCAGCGCGGCGGACCAGACCATCATCACGGACCTCGAATACCACCGCAGACCCAGGCATTCATTCAGAACTTCTACGAGGAAGGCGCGAGACGACTATTCCAACCGCTCAAGGATCTCGAGGGTCGACAATCGATGATTGGATTGAGTGTGCAGGAGACGAGTCTATATACGCATTTGGTTGAGGTGCTTTGCTTCTTCGTGAGGCAGCACGCTTACCAATCGAAGCTGTTCATTCTGGCAGAGAATCTCCACTCCCGAATAGCGCAATTGCTTCTATGTCCGCAAAAGTACATGAAGCTGATTGCGCTGAAGTGGTTTCGAACATGCATCGGGCTGCAGGATGAGTTCCATAACAGGCAGCTCATCCAGCACCGTCTGTTCGAGCCCATACTCAACATCGTGTACGAGACGATGCCACGGGACAATCTCCTCAACAGCTGCTGTCTAGAGCTGTTTGAGTACGTGAAGCGCGAGAATATCAAGCAGCTGATCTATCACCTCACCGAAAACTACCGAGAGCGACTGAACGGCATCACGTACGTCAACACTTTCCAAAACATCGTGCAAAAGTACGAGCAATTCCAGCATCCGTACCTGCCTGGCAATGCTGAAGGCGACACGAGTTTCACCACCGAGCCGGATACACCGGATGCCCTGAGAGGACGCATGATCAACGGACGGCAGCCGTTCAGTGGATTGAAGGAGCCTGATGCGGACGAAGATGCGTACTTTAACACGGACGATGATATGGAGGGTGATCTTGGCGACGACGACGAGTTGTCACTTCCGACGCCGGCAAACACGAGAACACCGAATGGACGGATGAAACCGTTGGTCGACTACCCTGATGATGACGATGACGATGATATGGATCTTACCGCCAGCTCACCAGACACTTTCAAGGAGAAGAAGGATGGCGATGAGTCGGCGGATGCTGGCGAGGACACACCGCAGCGAGGTCGCGATCGCACGCCAAAGGACGCTTCACCGGTCCAGCATAGCCCCCCAGAGACCATGCTTGCGAAGCGTAGAAGAGATGACGACGATGATGGCGACGAGCTAGGCAAGATGATGGGCGGTGGCGGCGTAAAGCGAAGAAATAGCTCAGCTTCTGTGGGCGGGAAGAGCGGTGTTCTCGGTTCATCGCCTCAGATCGATGGTGCTTCGCCCCATGCGCAGCCAGTTGGTAGTCCGATGAGCGTGACTGAAGAGCCACCTTCACCTAGTGCGCATGCGCATAGTGGGCCCATGCTCAGGAGGAAGGGCAGTCTGAAGGTGAAGAATGAGGGTCCCGCGAATCCAGGGAGGTTTTCGATCAAGCCGATTGATGTTTCGGTGCAGAAGGAGAACGAGAAAGTCAGTGGTGGTGAGGTGAAGAAGGAAGAGGGCGAGAGTAATGGCGGTGGGGAGTGAAAGCATTGAATGAGGGTCATTGACCGTGTCGATGACCTTTTGCTTGCCTACCTCGTTCCTGGCTGCTGGCTTCGCTGCCATGGTCGACATGCCTTCTTGGCCAGACAATTCAAGTCGAGTCGCGAAGACATGGGAAGAAGCTCCGGATGCAGTGACGGACTACCAAACACCACACCTTGCCGGCCTCTTCAAACACTTCCAAAAAGCCAACGACACCTCGGCTGCGAAGTACTTTCACTTCGCCGAACTGCTTCAATGGCCATCGTTCGGGAGATGAGAAAAAGACACCTTGCTGAGGGCGGCTTGTTGCTGATTCGAAGCATAAGATATCCAAGTATTGTTCGTTGTGCAGCGCGGTCGTAGCGAGGAAATCATCCTTGCGCTTTCGACATCACTTGATTCTTGCATGGAAGTGTATCATATAGCCCAAGACAAAAATCCAAGCGTGATGAATAATGGTTCGATGCTGTCCTTTCAAATTGGTTCTGTTGTATAGGTGAAGTCTCCTTTCAACCCCAAATGCGTCCACCGGGATTTCCCACGTGGCTCTGCGGCTAACCACGCGAACCCTTGCGGCTCAGCTTCACATGCCGCTTAGGCTACGCTTCCGCCCCAGCATCAATACCATGCCAATCCGATAGACGACCACCAGCGAATGCCCCATGTCAAGTTCGTCGTCTAATCACTCTCCCCATGCGCCCGCCATAGCTTCGTCTAGCCGCAGTCCGCCGAACGACGAGGACGACGCCTCCGACAATGGACTCGACATTGGTGAACAGGAGCTGCTAGCGGATGATCCGTTACACGGGGACGGAGGGCTGGACGGAGGGTATGTTTCCTTCAGTAACGATGGGTATATGCTGCGAGACTGATGAAGAGTATAGGATCTCGTTCAAACGGAAGCAGAAGTCCACGAAACCCTCCTTCGCATCGCGTTTCCTCTCGTCGCCTTTCACCTCGAGCCGCGATGGCACGCCTCCTCCCTCGAGCAACGCCCCCATCCTCAGCTCTCCGCCCCGACGCGGTCGCGCAGGGATATCAAGGCAGCCGACGCCGAATACCATCCTCTCCTACCTGAACGCGCCGACAGACGCAGGGACGAACCTCCAAGACCCCAAGGACCCAGCCACGTTAGATTGGTATGTGGAAGGACCGGGCAGGAGAGTCGGATACGACGATCTCACGGCGATCGATTGGATCTACGAGTACAGTAAAGAGCGCACGCGACTGAGGCAATTGTCGGCGAATACACCGGGGTTGCTGGGACACCTCCGAACCGTCGCGGACGCGAGCCAGATCTGGTGGATTTTGGTCGCGACGGGGGTCGCGGTGGGGAGTATCGCGGCGGGCATCGATGTCGCGAGTGACTGGTTGGGGGATCTCAAGACTGGGCTTTGCAGTAATGTGGAGGATGGCGGGAGGTTTTATCTCAATAAGGTGTTTTGCTGCTGGGGACTCAACAGCTATGCGGAATGCCCGGACTGGAGACCTTGGAGCACGGTGATGGGCGTCGCGAATAAAGGCGGGAGCTACATCATTGAGTATATCACTTTTGTGGTGTTCTCGGTGCTGTTTGCGAGTTGTGCGAGTTTGCTGGTGAACAGGTACTCGATCTATGCGAAGCAGAGCGGGATTCCGGAGATCAAGACTGTGCTGGGAGGGTTCGTTATCAGGCGGTTCCTCGGGGGATGGACGCTGATTGTGAAGTCGCTGGGACTGTGTCTGGCTGTGGCTTCTGGGATGTGGGCTGGGAAAGAGGGACCGCTGGTGCATGTTGCCTGCTGCTGCGCCAATGTCTTCATGAAGCTCTTCGATGGCATCAATGGAAACGAGGCGAGGAAGAGAGAGACACTGTCTGCTGCGGCGGCTAGTGGCATTTCTGTTGCTTTTGGCTCCCCAATTGGAGGGGTGCTGTTTTCCCTGGAGCAGCTCTCCTACTACTTTCCGGACAAGACGATGTGGGCTTCTTTCGTATGCGCCATGGTCGCTGCTGTGACACTTCAGGCTTTCGATCCCTTCAGGACTGGGCAGCTCGTTCTGTACCAGGTCACCTACCACAGCGGCTGGCATGCTTTCGAACTGGTACCCTTCGCGCTTATCGGTGTTGTCGGCGGACTCTACGGTGCCATGTTCATCAAGCTGAACATGTGGGTGGCCAGCTGGCGAGCCTCAACCCGAAATCCTTTCCTCAAACGACCAGTGCTCGAGGTGGTTGTTGTGGCATTGATAACAGCACTCATCAGCTTCCCAATCACCTTCCTCCGAGCTCAATCCAGCGAGCTGGTCGAGTATCTCTTCGCGGAGTGCAGGGACATCACGGACGACTTCCTGGGGTTGTGCAAGTCCGGCGTCGCTAATACCGGCGTCATCTTCATACTCTTGATTTCGTCCTTGCTGGGATTCATTCTGGCTACTGTCACTTTCGGACTGCAAATTCCTGCTGGCATCTTGCTGCCTTCGATGGCTGTTGGTGCGCTGTACGGCCGTGTCGTGGGTCTGATCATGGAAGTCTGGCAGCAAGAGCATCCCAACTTTATTGCATTCGCCAGCTGCGAGCCGGATATTCCCTGCGTTACGCCTGGTACATATGCCGTTATCGGGGCTGCTTCTGCACTCGCTGGGGCGACGCGCATGACCGTTTCGATCGTCGTCATCATGTTTGAACTGACGGGAGCGTTGACGTACGTGCTGCCCATCATGATTGCGGTCATGCTTTCGAAATGGATTGCAGACGCTTTTGGTAAGAGAGGGATCTATGAAGCTTGGATCCACTTCCAGGGCTACCCTTTCCTGGACAATAAGGACGATTCTCCGATCCCAGACGTGCCTGTGAGCCAGGTCATGACGAGATACGACGATCTCGTGTTCATCACCGCTATCGGCCACACCATCGAGTCTCTGCGCGAACTACTGCACGATCATCGATTCCGTGGCTTCCCTGTCATCCATGATATGCGAGAGCCGACACTTCTTGGCTACATCTCCCGCACAGAGCTCCAGTATGCTCTCGACTCCGCCTCCTCAAGCCGCTCCCTCCCACCATCAACCGAATGCTACTTCCAACACCAACCCCTCGCAGACCCCACCGTAACACTCGATCTCCGCCCCTGGATGGACCAGACGCCCATCACCCTCAACTTCCGCTCAAGTCTCCAGCTCACGCACGAGATGTTCCAGAAACTCGGTCTGCGTTATGTGGTGTTCACTGACCGCGGACTCCTTTCTGGACTGCTCACCAAGAAGGATCTTTGGTATGTGCTGAATGAGGGCGAGGAGGGGAGGGTTGGAAACGGGGCTGGTGCGCTTAGGGAGGCGGTAACTGAGCGGGAGGATGAGAGGGGACTGTTGAGTCGGGAGAGAGGGGATAGTTTGGGGGGATTGGATGAGAGGGGGGGGGATGGATGATAGATAGTACGTTGAGTAAAGAGATTTGAATTTATTACTGTCTGTTGATCGATCGATCGATTGTAAGTTGAGGTGAGTTCGAGTAAGACGTCAGAAGTGCAAAAAGTTGAGGATGTGAGAGGTAATGTGTATGGCGAAGTCTCCGATATGAACGTCCACTCGCTCACGGACAGACAACACCAGACAAAAAGCCAAACGAAAAACAAAAAGGAATTCCCATCGAAGCTGTTCGCAACGACACACCTTTTTGTCCCACCGAGCCCGCCACACAAGAAGAACTCACCGTAGTTAGAGAGAAGACAGTGAGGCTCATCCATTCTGAGTTATGTTTTTGTCTTCTCTTTTGTTTTCACCCAAACCCCACGGACGGAGAGGGGAGTCGAACATCAGTCATTTTTGGATGATGGATCTTTTTGCAGAGTGTTGTTACCCGCTAGACCACTCTGATGTGACTGGAAGATTGAACTCTCAAAAGATATATATTTACTTGAACGAGGCAAGCGAGGTCATGTTTTGGGAGGGAAGTTGGTGTTTGATTGGCTGGAATTCAGCGGAGTCATGTCCGGTAAGGCTAACCCGGACGTGGTTGCTCGCGACAACACCTCGAACTCTCTTGGGTGTTCAAGTACGCGTCTAGAAAACATCACGACTTCCTGCCCAAACAGCTTTCTACACCTAGTGATATGCAACGACCATGTCCGCAGTCCGCCTCTCTTTCGGCTCCCGCGCCGGCGGAACGGGCGACTACCAGCAAAACACCACCAATGGCTTCTTCTCTGGCGGCCCCTACGACTCACTGGAAGCCCTCGCGGACGCCCTTAAGAACGAGATCAGAGGCAGTGCTGAGAGTACTGTGCCCGAATGTACGACTGTCGAGCTCTCCTTGGCATACACTGCGCTCATCCCCCTCGTGCGACCGACGATAGGCCCCTACGCGGACGGGCAGGCGAACGATCTGCCGCAGGAGTTCAAGACGAATATGCAGGATGTGGATAATGGGTCTGGGACGTCAAAAGCAGAGCCAGTGGCTACGGCCGGGTTGGTGATCAATATCGCGGATCCTGCACAGCGGGCGATCGTGCAGCGCGCGGCTTCACGAGGGTTGATCTCGACGATCGAGGCGGCGGATGGGTTTAAATACTGCTTCAACAATGCCTGGGCGGCGAAGGATGAGGAAGGGTCGAGGTTCTCGTATATCTGCCAGGATAGCATGCAGAACAAGGATCGGCATGCGAATGGCTTCACGAGGACGTTGAAGCATTTGAAGGGGGAAGGGGAGAGGGGCCCGAGGAAACCGACGTATGATTGCAAGGGGAGTGTGAGTGTCAAGTTTAGCAGTGGACGGCAGAGTGTGGATGTATACTATCGGCATTATGCGATCCATGCGACGGTTGCGGAGAGAAAGGCTGCACCGAGACCGCCGCCGAAACCTAGAACTCCTGGTGAGCAGAACAGCAGGCCGAAGGAGACGGGTGGGTTGTTGGCGACGTTGCAGGCGGAGAATGTGGCGAGCTCTGCGTTGGCGGCGATGGAGCCCGCGCAGCCGTCGAATATTGGGAGGCCGTTGAAGAGGAAGAGGGATTCTGGAGGGCCACCGATTGTGCAGAGTAAGGATTGGAATCAGGGGATGTCGCTGATGGACCTTCTTCGACAAAGTGATACGGCGAATGCACCACAGCCTCCCCCTGAAGCTGCTAAACCAGCACGGCAGCCTGCGAAAGCTCCTGTAGCGTACGAACTCCCCTCCTGGCAATCACCGCCGCCGCCATTGAATCACCCAGGCCCGACTTCAGGATATCCGGCCCCGTATCCACCGCCTCAGTCTAGGAATAAGCCCACTTCTACGCCGACTCCGCAACAGCGGAAGTCTTCTGCTCAGCGTCCTCAGGCGCAAGGACTCTTCACGACGATGAAGCCTGCAACGTGGACCAATAAGTCCGCCGAGCAAGTTTCGTACGGGCCTATATCTACGCAGCCATCGCCGGTTGTGTTCAAACCGCCGCAGACGACGACGTCGACGAGATTTACGAATCGAGACGCGCATGTTCCCCGTGCGATTAGGAGTTGTAACAATTGCAGGTTGAGGAAGCTGAAGGTACGTCTGCACTGTCAACAGTCAGATCGTTTCCCGGTTTTGGTAACTAACTTGGCAACAGTGTGACGAAGGCCGACCCTGCAGCACCTGCATAAAATCCAACAAGACAGATTGCGATTACGTACCCAACCCCTCCGCATCAACATCATCATCGACGCCAGTCCCCACGCCAGCACAATCCGCACAGCCAGCGCCACCAGCACAGCCCCGGGCACCACAGCCCCCACCAAAAGCCATACAACCCGCAAGACCGGACTTCGCGGCGTCGTCCTCCTCGTGGGGCGATCTATCTCAGCATTCGGGGCCGATAAGCTGGCAGACGCAGAGTGAGAGTTTGGGCCCATCGCAGCAGTGGCAGCCTCCTCAGTCTGGGGATTTGGCGGCGGGGACTATGGCTTATGGGAAGAGTCAGAATCAGGGGCAGAGGGAGGAGAGTCCGGATCCGTGGTTTCCGAAGCGGTGATGTTGAGAGGGGGTTGTGGCATGATCGAGATTGGGAGATGTAGCTTGATAAAATGGCCGTGAGCGAGGCATCACATGAACTTCCAGCAGTGATGATGAATGCAGCGTTTGGAAGACGAACCTGTGGAGCACCTTCATGCCTCGCGTATTGTCTCTGACTGGCTATCCTGATGTTTACCAGACGTTTTGACTTCTCGTCGACTTCCCTCCTGCTTTTGATGTACACTTCGAGGAGAGATGCTCTCTCTTGACAAGATTGACTGATCTTTGACTTTCGACAAGCCTCTGCTAGCCTCGAGTAGATACCTCGCGGGCACAAGTCTTGCTCTGAGAGAGGAATTGTCGAGTAGCCTGTTCTCCAACCTCGAGTCTGTCTATTGGGAATCTCGTCCTTCCTGTGGGATCCCAATCCCAACTTTTCTGGGGGATCCCAATGTACTCAGACAATGGCGTTTCTTCCTCCGACCGTGCAAATAGAAAAGAGCAATCTCTCATGCACTACCAAGCCGCGCAAAGAAAATCAAAGATTTTGCTTACTGGGGTATCATCTCTACATCAAAAACCACAACCTCTTCCAAGTCACCACCGTAAACGCCTCCTTCATATCAAACGCCTTCCTCCGCACACACGCCCTCTCCAAAGAACGCCTCTTCTCAATCAAAACCATCACCACCTTCTCGACCATCTACCCTCTATAATTCTTACACCCAACACTCTTAACCTCCCACATCCCCTTCGCATCCAACACAAGCGCCGTCAACTTCCCACCACTTACACAAGCCGAATCCAAACCCTTCGACCATCGCTTGATCTGCAAGCCCTCTTTACTGTCATGCCCGTAAATGACGACTTGGGGCTTAGGTCGCGCATGTCGTTCTCCCCAGAAATTCTTCCAGAGGGATGTCCAGACATTGTCGTCGTTGTCCTCGTCATCTTGGAAGGAGGTTTGCAGGGCGGTATTGAAGTGTTTGAGCGATTGTTTCCGGAAGATTCGGTCGTTGTACCAGTTCCAGACATCGAACCACGGCTTCTCGTTTTTGCTGGATGCGCGTAGGGCCGACGGGACGTGTGTGCGGCGGTTGATGGAGCGCATGTTCATGATGTAGTAAGGGTCCTGTTTGAAGAAGGGCACACCAGGCACGACGCCGGCGTGGACAACAAGGATGTGTTCGCTGATGGGGGAGTCCTTCTTGTGTGTGGGTTTGGAAGCTTGCGGCAGGGTTGGGATGTGCAGCATCAAGGGCATGGAGCGGAGGTACTCGATGTGGTGTGGTTTGAGCTGCTTGAGCAGGGCGACATCCTTTGCGCGGCCTTTGCTGGATGTCGAACTGAGCGTGTTATGCGCAGATTTGGCGACTTGCAGAATCCGATCCTCGTGGTTGCCTCGCACGCTCGTGGCCTTCAAACGCATCAACTCATCCAGCACACCCACGTTGTCCGGCCCTTTCGAGATAGTGTCCCCAACAAGAACCAAGTGATCACTCTTCTCCTCAAATCCCACCTCCTCCAGCAACTTCACCAACTCCTTCTTACACCCATGCACATCCCCCACAAAGACCAGTCTCCTCTTCCCCTCTGGATCCGCCTCACCTCCCGGTAACAGCCCCTTATCCAGATCCCGCAACCTCACCAGATCCGGATCGATATCACTCCCGCCCTTCGCGATGCCATACGTCCCATTCTCTTGCGCCACGAAGCCCTCTTTATACGCCCAGTCCTCCTCCAACGGCGGGGCCACAAAGTGCTTCCAGGCGTAGTAGAGCAGGAGAGCGGCGAGTAGTGCGATGGCAAACATTCTGCGGAAGCGGCGGGAGGAGACTATGTCGCGGGAGACGTTTGGGCAGGAGCCTTCATCTTCCAAGTCGCAGAAGCCGAGCTCACCGGTGTCGTCTTCGAGGTAGAGGGATTTCTCTTGGTGCTGGTCGGAGAAGCCTTCCTTTTCTTTCCACTGGTTGGAGACTTGCTCAATCAGGGGCCTGCTGTGCTGTTGGTGCAGTCTGGCTTTGTAGGCACTGAGCGACTCCTCCTCGTCGCCGGTACCGGTTCCGCTCGGCATGGTGATGATGAGATGGTTATGACGATGTCCTCCGCTTTGCTTCGCGTGGTGATCACCGTGTCGTCCAGTCTTCTGTTGAGATGTCGCGTGAAGGGAACATCATCCCACCAACTCCTGCTTGCAAGGAAAGATGCAAGGAAAGACGAGGCAAGTAAGGGAGTCACCAGCAGAGTCCAGGCTTCCTGGTTCTTGTGGCTGGGCAAAGAAAGTTTCAAAGACCACGCGTCAGCCACGTGGGCATCCATCGTCGTCTCCACGTCTCCTCACCTCGCCTCTTCTTGCACAAGCACAAACAACATCGATCCACATCCAAGCCCAATGCTTCTGTGTCTGGCTGAAGTTTCTTCCGCCGGTCGACGATGAGGAGGAAAGGGGTCGGACGCTACAGAGCCAGATTCTTCCGATAGTCGAGGCAGGACTCATATGACGGGAGTCTGGATCGAGAAAGTAACCTGGATCACACATCCGCGAGCGAGACTATAAGAAAACCGCGAGAACACAGAATATCTCTTGGCCGCGCGGGATCAAATTCACGAACAAGCAGTATATCTCGCAAGTAAGTAGCACATTTCGTTCCCAAAAGAGTGACCGATCTCTCAAACACAAAAGCCTGAAAATGCAACGCGACTCCCCAGCGTACATGCCGAGAAAGATGCAAATCGGAAACAAAAAAGCATCTAAATACTAGACACAAATCCCTAATCACCAGCCCCGTTCTCCCTTGACGAACCACCAAGACATCGTCTATCCCCCATCTCCGAGCCTTTGAAGAGACCTTGCGATGACCCCTCTAATACGAACAATGAAACGTAACCGGCGCACTCCCATCCGGATTCCCAAACGCCCTGGTCAACTCGGACGACAGCGTCCCCAGATTCCCCGCCGCCGCATTAAACCCCAAATACGTCGGCTGCCAGCCATTCGCATCCGGCGCGCCGTCGGGCTGGCAGCTCCACCCGGAAACCGTGGCCCAGTTCTCGTCGTCGTTGTCGCCGACCAGCGCGTGGTAGATGTTGTCGCAGCCGGCGCCGCCCGCCCAGGGCTCGCCGACGTGGATGTAGTAGGCGTCGCCGAAGGAGACGTCACAGTAGGTTACGCCGGGGGCGGCGGCGCCGTGGGTTGTGGCGGAGTTGGAGCGTTTGGTGATGGAGGTTGCGGGGAGGGCGAGGGCGGTGGTGGCGAGGAGGCTGAGCGTGAGGAGGGTGGCGAGGGGGCTTGTTGTGGTGGGCATTTTGGCGGTAGTGAGGAAGGATTGATGATGTGTCCGAGGAGGTGCTGTTCTTGTGTGACCGGGGACGATTATGAATCGAAGCAGAGATACAGAGGAAATACAAAGGAGACAGGAAAGAGATTAAGGACGAAGACTGTGCGGTGTTCGATGCTGTTGCGATTGCTTGTTGCTGATGAGGGAGCAACATATCCAGACCTGCACCTAGACTCTTTATACCAATCTCCAACCCATCCACAGATCTCCTCATCCCCAACGTCTTCCCACACAATTGGCTCGCTATACCCCACGAGCCGCTTCGTAGTCCCCCAGCAATGCCCAAAAAATTCCAATATAGCCTCGCTACCATCAGCTAAGCCATCCCAAAAGATGAAACCCCCTTCTCAGTATCATACCAGCAACCCTAACTTCAGCATCCAAAGGATTCTCAGGCAGTTTGGCCGTGGATCGTGGAGGGTGTAATGTGGATTGTAGCTGAAAGGGAAATTTCCTCTTTCAGGTCTGCTATTGTCAGCGTTCTTGGGCTTTTAGCGAAGGGCTATGGTATGCGCCTCTTCCTGAGGATTTCGAGAGTAGGTCTCATGTCTAAGGACTAATAAGAAGCGAGACGAAAAGTTGGGAGGAGGTAGATATTGAACAGTCGAAGAAGTAAATGTCAAGGACATGCATGCTACATAGGACCCACCTTCATCGTTCGAACTTCCAACCTCATCCACCACACACCTCCTCGCCCACGAGCACAAAAAGCCCTCCAACCCAAAGCATTCCATCAAACCTGCACTAACAAGCAAAAAATCCAAGCGCCAACCCATCACACGTAAAGAAATATCCGATCCATCCATTCAATACGACTAATCCACTCGACTACTCTAAAAATCCCATGAACCGAGATGAAGCCTTGCTCAATCTCATTACCGAGATTCCCTACCTTACCATCCCTTGCCTTCATCATCCCTTCACCATCCACCAAATACCCACCGAATCGATACTCCATCTACGTTCGATCTTCGAGTGTCTGGGAAAAATTCTGCGGATCAGAAACGTTCCCCTCCTACAAACTGACTCGTTTGCCTGGTACTGGTACATACGTCCGTCCTCGATTTTCGCCCTGCAGCCGTTCGAACTTCGCCGCAGACCCGCCGACTACCACATCCCCGGTCGCCGCACGTGGCTCATGACGACAATGGTCAACATAGCAACAACCATAAAGAGGTCAGTGTGTTTTGGGCGAGGCAGACCCTGAAATGAGTTGGTCGATTTACGATGTCATGGTCAGGCGACTGCAGTGAGAGTCTCAGCAACAGCCGAAGTTTCTAAAGTCTCACTAACGACCCAATAGTCTAACTTCAAGCACAAGAGGACTGGAAAAAGGGGTAGTGCACAGTAGTTAGTAAGTATGTACCCTTTTGTTGTTGTGTGTTCCTCTCACTTCTCACACTACTATTCTGAACTGTGATCTCTTTTTCCTGTCATTACACAAGACCCGACCAGAACGCGTCCGTTTCCATATTGAAGCATCCTTCACCAACGCCCCGCTCACCCAACGATATGAGAAATCAACAAGTCTGCACACGGATAATGTACATACGAGAGCAGACGAACTGCATCCGCCACAAACATCCACATTCGAAACTAGCCCACCTCTTAGAAGATCATGCTCTTGACAGCATCCCTGGATCGATGGCCCCGTCTCGGATTCATAGGAGGCGTATTGGGTCTTGCCTCTAAATCAGCAATAGGAGGAGCAGGCGCTTGACGCTCTGGTGCGCCCTTCACCGGACTGGACGGTACACTCTTCGACTGGACAGGCTTGCGGTCGCTGTGCTTGCGAGCGGGAGCCGGTGGCTTGGTGAAGTCTCGGACTTCGGTCGTCGAGGGAAGGTTCGGATTAAGACCTTCAGCTCTCTCGCGAGCAAGGACAAGGTCCGTCCACGTCGCTGCTTTCTTGCCAGCATCAGGCTTGCCGATGACTTGACTGAGGGCAACCATCCATCCATCCTTGTCACCTCGGCTGTCGGCGTAGAAGTCGATGGTCTCACCATTGGCGAAGCGGATTCGGAATCCCTCTTCGACATACTGGTAACCTTCATCCTCCTCAGCGAAAGCTGACTTGCGACGGCCGTGCTTGGCGGATGGGTTTCCAGACTTTGGATCAGCAACCAGAGTGCTCTTGTCATCGACCAAACGGCTGGCCTTGCTGAGGTTGATCACAGCGCGCTTCTGGTGCGTGTGCTCGTGGTATGCCGTCAGCCGGGATCCTTGAAGACGGAAGAACCGACGACGCCAATGCACGCAATCACCACCTTGTTGGCTGAGATGGCCCTCATGGACGATCTCCTTGACCTCGCTGGCCCTCGACATTTCGCGAATCGCACTGCTCATGCTCTTGGGCATCTCGCCATCAACGGCACTAGCTGGCTTTGGCACGTAGAGTAGTTGAAGCTCCAAGTGACCCACGACATACGGCGGTCGTCGAATTGGACCACCATTCCCACGCTTGCTGCGGACACTGTTGACAACATTCGTGTCACTCTCCAGAGCCCACTCGTTGTAACACGGCACGTCGACAGTCAACTGCCTGCCAAAGCACTGCTTCTCGTGCGCCTTAAGGTTAACGTACGCGCGTGCAAATGCTCCATCCGAATCGTTGACGAGCTCGTGCAGGAGGTCCCATGCTGTTGGCTGTGTTGAAGCGCGCTTGCGTTGTGCTTCGGCTCGAAGTCTGCGGTCTTCGGCCTCTGCTGCCTCTCGCTCTTGACGCTCACGCTCGGCACGCTTCTTGGGGCTGGTCAAGAATCGCGATAGACTGGAAGACTTCTGATGCTTGGGTGTCTTGGAAGGCGACGTAGGCACAGGGGACTGCACTCTCGGCGGTGGAGGCAGCTTTGTCGTCAACGTGAGTTGGAACTCCAGGTCGTTGAGCACCACGAGTTCGAACTCTTGGCCAATTGGCGCAGTCTTGCCCAACTCCAACCTGGCAGTCGTCACGCAGTGCAGTCCGTTGTCGAGCGTCATCTGGAAGTAGAGTCGATCGTTTCTGGGCATGGGAAGATCCAAGTTCTTCACGCCAACAACCTTCACAAACAGCCGGCCGCGTTCGACATCTTCACCAATGTCGTCTTCAAGGCTTCCCGTACCCGCCGCGAAGTCCTCGTTCACGACGCCGAGAGCACTTGGTTGACCTGGTAGGGGTGGGGCAGCAGATGAGGCGTACTGCGCTGCAGATGCTTGCCTCTGACTCTGCCGTCTGGTCTTACCATTCCACGGCTCTGTCTTGAGGAACTGCTCAGCACTGCCCTTCCTCAAGCTCCCCTTGGCGGATCGCGTGCCCCGAGAGGCTGGTCGCGCCTCTCCTGTCGGCGACATTGGCTGGGCATTCTCGTTCGACGACGTAGTTGCTCGGCTTTCGTTTGAGAAGTTTCTGTTGGTGGCGATCACCAGCTTGGTGTTCTGGCGGCACAAGTAACCCTTCTGTGTACGAGGCGACAAGTTAGCACCAGCGTTGCTGCTAGTCTGGGAGAGAAAGAGAGATCCCACCTTCTGATTCTCAATGACTCGGTCAAATTCCTGGTCCAGGCCCAGGCCATCTCCTGCAATGTCTCCCTCAAGGGTAGGAATGTCAAGATTGAGCTTGGCAACCTTGCGACTCTCACCGCGTTGATTGTCTGGACTGCGATCAATCGCGGAGTCAGCCTTGGATTCGTTGCCTTCCGAGGAGTATGTCGTGGCTTCTTGATCTTCCACGTCTGGCTCCGTGACGTCTTCCATTTCAGCTTGATAAGCCTGCGGGATGGGCGGGACAGGATGCTCGGTGCTAACAAGTCGTCGCTGTTCTGCCATCATCCGGAAGTCTGCTGGAGTGGCTGATGGTCGAGCCTTCAATTGACCGTTTGTTCTGATGGTTGCTCTCCGCTCAGGGATCCCTGGACTGTCACGCTGCACTGGCTCCTCTGGAACGTCCGGCTCCTCCAAAGCTGAAACTTCACTTCCAGAGTGATGCAGAACAGAGTCTGGCGTTCCTGGTGGTGAGAAGTCTGCACCATCGTATGTGGGACGCGGCAGATCCTTAATCGCCGGCTTGATCTCTGCGGCAGGCTCAAGGACGGGAGCATTGGCAGTGACATCGAGTTGCTTTGTGTTCTCATTCGATAGCGGTGGAGATGGCGTGATATATTGGTGCATACCAAAGTCGAAGTCATCAGTGCTGAGGTATGCAGGCAAGCCCATGAAGTCGCCTGAGTTCTTCTTGGTGGCTGTTTCAGGCTCCTGCGCAGAATAGTCCTTGACGCTCAGCAACTGCATCGCATCGTGGAGGCTCTCCTTGCCATCGTTCGCTGCCTGTGCCTCTTCTTGAGCGTGGAGAACCGTGCTCTCAGCTTCTGGAGGCTCGATCGAAGAGTATCGACTGGCAGAATCGTCACCGTCGTCGCTTGGAGAGCTGACGTCGTGACGAAGAACAGAAGACTGGCGCTCGTAGTCTTCCAATCGGGAAGGAGACCGTGGTGTTCCATCAAAAGACTCGTCAATGTGTGGAGCAGCGTTCATGTCGATTTCATCGTCGTCGATCGGCTCCTCCTTAATCTGGACCTCCTCAGACTCAGGACGGTCATGAATGTACTCACCCAGGTAGTTATCGCTGGTCTCGCGGCTGTTCTCCCTGGATGGAATTGGGTCGTCTGGATGCATCTTGGCGAGTTCAGTGTATGAAGGACGAGCTGGGCTGTCGTCGCCATTAAGCTCTGAGTAGTCGCACTCCTCATCAAACTCGTACTTGCTGTTTCTGACCTTGCGCAGGATGCTCTCTCGGGAGATCTTGGGAGGCGAGTTGGAGAAGTCGGCAAGGTCGGCGACAGAATCGTCTTCGACCTCTTCTTCATTGACATGGAGATCCACCTTCTCGCCGGTGTCAAGATTGGTGATGGTGAGCTCTTCCGCTACGCCGTGCTCCATCGAGTCCTTGGAAGTTGGGCGTTCGGGGGACTGGCTGTTGAGATGTTCCTGCGCCAGAGAGGATCGACGTGCCATGTTCAGGATCTCCCCCTTGCTGCAAGACGCGCGCTTGGGCGGCGAGGGGAGATGACGTGCAGCATTGGCAGCACGCTCAGCAGCAGCAATGATTCCAGAGTTTCGACGCTCGTTGAGAAGACCGGGCAGTGGTGGGAGAGGCCTGGACTCGCCATCTGAAGTCACACTCTCTGAACGACCCAGAATTGGTCGCTGCGGTGGCGGGGATGAGCCTTCGAAAACATCATCGCCTTCATCAATCAAATCGGTGCGAGCTTCCTCTGGCGACATGCGAGACCAATCTTCTGGCAGGACAACCGGTGTCTTGTCAGCGTTCTCCAGGTCTTCGTCGAAGCTGTCGTCACGATGGATGTCCGCAGAGCTTCCACGCTCGAAGCTGTAATTGGGGTCGAAGTCATCAGAGTCGAAGCTGCTCTCACGCGAGTCAGATGCAGCAGACACTGACGGCTCTGGGGTTGGATTCTCGTATTCATTGATGACAGGCGGATCCTCGTGAAAGGTGACGCTCTTGTTATGGCGATGCAATGCTCGCGGGGTTGGAGCTCGATCGTCGCCATCAGACCAATGTGCGCTAGCCACCTGTTCCAGCGGCATGCCAAACTGGCTGTTACGAGCGAGTGATGACTTGGTAGGTGACGACGTTCCTTCTTTCTGTGGGCTGACTGGCAGTGGCACCTTGGCTGGACTGCTGAGGCTGCTCATGAATGGGATGGCAGTCTCGCTCTCTGTCCGCTTGTGACCTGGCCGACCAGGGCTGCGCACTGGGTTGTTCTCTTTCTTCAGGCTGTCATAGCGAGTGAAGCTGTTGTTGGCGAGATGCTGGCTCAACGGACGATTTGCGCTTGGGCGCTCAACGATGGGCTGGGTATTGGGATCATACTGATCCTTGCTCTCCAAGGCGCGAATGTTGCTGGCCTTGACCTTGCCTGCGTTCCTGAGCTTTTCGATGCTGGCTCGTCGCTTAGGCGAGAGCAAGCCTGGAGACGGCGAGCGCTCTGGCGTGTTCTCCGAGTCCTCGAATCGAGAGGGCGACATGGGGTCTCGGTGTCTCCAGAAGTCGCGCGGAGAGGAGGTGTCCTTGGTGAAGGAGTTCTCGGTGTATGGGGACGACTCGCGTGAGACAATCATCTTCTGTGAGGTAGGTGCGTTAGCGGAGTAAACAACAAAAAGTACATCAGACAGGTAAGTCGCACCTTGGTAGCCTGGTTGTAGGAAGGCGAGTTACGCCGCCGCTCGGTGCTGCCAATCTCAGACAGCGGCCTCGAGGTCGCCGCCGGCTTGTTTGGCGACACGCTGGGCGTCGACTTGCTGATGCGCAGCGGCTGGACCTGGCGCACCATGGTGAGTACAGTTCGGCAGAATCAAATGGCGAATCAGATGAAGCATACGGAATCCATGGCAGCAGCAGCAGCAGCAGCGACAGCAGAAGCCGACTATGACGGCGGAGGTGGAATGAGAGGTGTGGGCGAGTAGTAAGTGCGGGTAAAACTGCGGAATGCGCGGTCGCGCCGTTGAGCCAGTCGAAGGGCGCGGCCAAACAAAGCTCGGACAAGTGAATCTCTGTAGTGTATGTACAGCGGTGGGCGAGGGTGAATGGGAAAGGCAATTCCACGGCGCTGCTCTGAACGAATGTGCGGTAAGGACGTTGGCAATGTCGAGGGAGCAATGTGTGTGCGAGCGACGGCGAGGGTGCAGACGCGCGATGTCTTGTGTATGGCGGTGGGGTTTGCTGTTGCTGTGGAAACGGCGATCCGCCTAAACGATCGTCTGAAACGCCGAGGCCAGATTCGGGAAGGTATACCGAGCAAGAGGCTACCTCCAACTTTTTCTGGCAACAGAGCATGTGATAGATCACCGTGGCAATGCTACGCCTCTCCTCATCACGATGTCCGCACTGGGACGCCAGCGCGCTCGCGAGAGCCTTCAACCTACCATGGCAGCCATCAAGGACTGCTGCCACGCTGCAAAAACGCAGGCCATCTCGCATGGTGCTGTCCGAGAGGGTGGCTCGAGGAGCCCCGAAGACTGCTCCAACTGGGAGGCCAGCCAGACGGACCAGGAACAGCCCTTTTGCGGGTATGAACACGACTGAAGTGCCGAGAAGCTTGCAATACGCGAAGAACAATCTGTCAGCAGCAGAGCGCAGACGGCAACAACCCAAGGCGAGAAGTGGGAAGAAGGATGAGAAGGAGAAGGATCCAATGAGGGCATTGAAGATGCAGCGGCGGTTGGCGAACGTGTCCTATGAGAAGAGGTCGAGAGTGAAGCAGGAGATCATGGAATGGGACAGCTTCGATGAGTTTGATCTACTTCCGGTCATTAAGGAGTCCATCTCCACGCAAGCTTTGGGTGGCATGGCGGATGTATCGCCAACACCGATTCAACGACTCGCGATACCGACACTTCTGGAGATGCCGGATGGCAAGCGGAGGAAGAAGGGGAAGACGATGCTCGAACCAAATAAAGAGATGAAACAGTTCTTGCTCGCTGCAGAGACCGGATCCGGGAAGACACTCGCATACGTACTGCCTATGCTTGACGCCATCAAGCGAGCAGAGGTCATCGAAGCCAGGGACGAGGCTATAGAAGCTGCTGAAGACGAGGAGAAGAAACGTGCACGTGGTCAACTCTATGAGTTAGATTCGCCTGTCGATGAACACTCCAAGGCAGGCAGACCAAAGGCCATTATCCTGCTCCCCACATCCGAGTTGGTCGCGCAAGTGGGTGCTCTGATCAAGAGCCTGGCGCATACTGTCAAGTTCAGATCTGCTATGATCAGTGCTGCATTCTCTGGCACAGTCATTCGCAACCGTCTATTCGCGCCATCTGGCGTCGACGTCGTGATTGCAACACCTCATCTCATCAGCAGCATCACCGAGAGCGACCCCAACATCTTGTCAAAGGTCTCCCATCTTGTCATTGACGAAGCAGACAGCCTGCTTGACCGGTCTTTCAGCCCTATCACGTCTTCAATCATCGACCGTGCCAGTCCCTCGCTACAGCAACTCATCTTCTGCTCGGCCACCATCCCACGCAGCATGGACTCTTACCTCAGCAAGCGCTATCCAGAGACAAAACGCCTCGCCACACCAAATCTCCACGCCATCCCCCGCCGCGTCCAGCTCAGTGTCGTCGACATCGAGAAAGTCCCATACCAAGGAAACCGCGACCTAGCCTGCGCGCAAACAATCTGGGACATCGGCAAAGAAGCCGCCGAAGCAGGCGAAGACCGCCAAAAGAAAATCGTCGTCTTCGTCAACGAACGAGAGAAGACCATCGAACTCGCCAAATACCTTTGCTCCAAAGGCATCGATGCCAACGCCCTGTCTCGGGATAGCGACGACCGCAAACAAGCCGAGATCCTCGCTGCCTTCACAGGAGCTGCAGTCAGCTCTCCTTCCAAACCACCTAAAGACCCTAAACCTTCTTCCTACACTCCAGCAATCAGCGCCGGCGACCTCGCCGAATACTCCCCCAGGCCCACTGCCCGCAAACTCGAAAACACCAAAGTCCTCGTCATGACCGACATTGGCTCTCGCGGCATCGACACCCTCCTCGTGAAACACGTCATCCTCTACGACGTCCCACACACCAGTATCGACTTCATCCATCGTCTTGGCCGTGTGGGGCGTATGGGACGACGAGGAAGAGGCATCGTGTTGGTCGGCAAGCATGATCGGAAGGATGTCGTCAAGGAGATTCGGGAGGGGATGTTCAAGGGGCAGGCATTGATTTAGTGTAGATAAATGTGAAGGTTGGGATGTGATGATACCCTGTACAAATATGTTTAGAGGAGTGTGTATACCATGAGCTGATCTCTCCTCTCGTTGAACCATGTTCAGGACAACAATGTTCCACGGCTTTTCTTTATCCGAACACACCAATATACCACGCAGGGTATATGAAGCTGCAATCTTCTTATTCACAAGTCACTGTCATATCACATCATCAACACATAGAAAGCCTCTCCACTGCCTTTCAATCCCCCAACCTTCTTCATCAAACAGTAACATCCAATCCGATCACAAGTCCCCAAAACACGATAAATGCACCACCCCCTCACAGCTCATTCCCCATCCCAAAACTTCGCCTTCCCATGCTTCCCATCATCGTCCTCCAACCCCCGATACAAATCCACCTTCCAGCTCTTACTAGGATTATTATACCGATGATGATACTTCCCCAACCCGTCCACCTTCTCCAAATCCTTCTCCTTCAACCCACACTCCGTCGCGCGGAAATTCGACGAAATGTAATCCTTATGGATACTCTTCGGGATCACGCTCGTGCCCCGCGAGATCCCCCACTGCAGCACGACCTGCGCGGGCGTGCAGTTGCGTTTCTTGGCGATTTTGCGGATGTGCTTGTTCTCGAGGAGGGGGGTTGGGGGTCCGGAGTCGTCGTAGGTGGGGTTCGTGCCGGCGAGGGGCGAGTAGGCTGTGACGTGGATGCTGTGGTTCTTGTGCCATTCGATCCACTCGTTCTGCTGGAGGTACGGGTGGAGTTCGAACTGGTGCACGGCGGGCGGGACGGAGGTGTGGTTGAGGAGGTCTTGGAGTTGGGCGGGGCTGAAGTTCGCGATACCGATGTGGTGGGTTTTTTGCTTCTGCTGGAGCAGGATCATGGCGCCCCAGGTGTCGCGGTAGGAGATCTTCTTGCCGGAGAAGAGGGTGTCGGCGACCGGCCAGTGCATGAGGTAGAGGTCGAGGTAGGTGAGGCCGAGCTTGTGGAGGGAGGCGTCGAGGCCGGATTCGACCAGGTTGGGGTCGTGTTTGTCGTTCCAGAGCTTGCTGGTGATCCAGAGGTCTTCACGTTGGAGCCCTGTGCGGAGGAGACCGTCACGGATGCCTTTGCCTACTTCGACTTCGTTGCCGTAGATTGCTGCCGCGTCGATGTGGCGGTATCCGGTTTGGATGGCCCAGGAGACGGCCTCGCTTGTGTTCTTCTCTTTCAGGTTCCATGTTCCAAAGCCGAGGAGAGGGATGGCGTTGAGAGTGAGTGGCTCGCTCTGGGATTCGACGGGGGAGATGGGGATCTGTTCTGGTGGTGAGGCATCAGCTAGCACGAGGGCTGCCAATGGCAGCAATGAAATCATCTTGGTCATTTTGATAGACTTGAATGTAGGAGAGACGCAGTAGTGCTCGAGCAGGAGATATCAACAATGCTCCATATTCCCCACCTTGAGGAGTGATGTGATCTCAGATGGATGCCGTCATCGCCAAATCATCCTCCAGCGGATTTGTTGACATTCGGCGCCGAGCTGTCTCAATGTTTGGAGGTTGTCTCTCTGTCGTGTAAGGGCCTACAAGCTCGACCTTGCCGGATAATTTCTGAAGGTGAACATTTCACCTGGGGAAGCCATCGAGAGAAACGTCGGAGGCGATGTTGACCTGAAGCTTGAGCCACTTTGAGAACAGTGCGTCAATCCCGAACTACCCTTAAACCCCTTTCCAGCTTGACTTTGGAGTGCAATAACAATACATCAACCTTTGAACAGGGCGCATCTTCCATACCGGCTGCATAGTACTTGGTTCAAACCGGAAAGACCTCACTGATGGCCCATTATGCTATCAGACTCCATAGTGTCAAGCGCATTCCCTTGCGCTTTCACGACACTTCAAGGCGATTCAAACTTGCTTGCCTGCTTGGTCGCTGGAGAAGACCAACAGAATGCGGAAATTGCATCTTGGAGGCGCCAAGCGGGCGAGAAGCTTCACAAGACATCACGTCAACTCCTTCGAAGAGCTTGATGGCGTTGGATACCACTACAACGAGCATGAAGCTTCAGACGACAAGCGAAGGGCACCGCCAACCCGCCTGGAAGGATTGTATCAGCCCAGTATTGCAGTGTTGTCTTCTTTTGAGTTCAAGCTTATCTTCAAGCAACCCGCCCCCCCCCCCCCCCCCCCCAAAAACAACCAACTTTATGATATCTGGAGATATGGCTCCTTTCTTTTGTGGTCTAGACGCGAGTGAGGCTCTCGGCATGGTTACAGAGGTTTTGGACCTGGCATCTTGGAGTTCCTTGTATGATAACAATCCACTCCTTTTTTGGAGGGGGGGGGTGCGCGGGGGGGGGGGGGGAGCGAGGATTGTGGAGCCCCCTATGAGGGCACGATGGTGATAGCCTCTAGCGACGTACCAAATCCTGCACCACAATCTCTCACGCCCTCTCCAGACACTTGCCGCCTCCCGAATCGACTCCGCCAAATCCAAGTCCGTCCCCCGAGTCAAGCCCAACACAGGACGCTACTACGGTCGATACAGCCAGCACCGCTCTGTAATCAAATCCTGCGCAAGGCTCTACGGTAACGAGCACAGCGCTCGCAATCGCTCCGAGCTCTGCTTCTAGCCCAGCTTCTCAAGCGGCTTCAGCGAGCTCTTCTGCACCAGCTCCAGCTTCAGCTCATGGCTGAGGCGGCCGTTTGACCATGAGATCCCCGAATACTGTCTTCTGCCTTGCTGTGGTCGTAGCTGGGTTTCTCTGAGATTGGACGCTCGAAGGCGAGATTCTCGGGAGCAATGAATAGACATTCATGAGACGGCCTCATATCACGAACGAGAGTATCGCTTGCGGAGCGATGGGATTGATACCTAATGAACGATACGTAACAATCCATGAACTGAACCCAATGCTGCCCGGTCCCTCAAGTTTTATTAGCGCCGAACAAACGTGACTGCATGTGATCTTCACGTGCAAATTGGCATTTTGAAGTTCGTCGCTCCCGCCACGCGCGCCACGATCCGATCGCAGGCGCGTTTGCGGGGAAAGCGCGTGCCAGGCTTCTGCTGCAAAGAATTTCGCGCGCTGGCTCTTTGTTGTCTTTCTTTCTTTCCCCTCGTCACTGACGAGACAGGCCACCACAAGGTGAAGATCAGCCAAGATGAAGTATGTGCTCGTGTCTGGAGGTCAGTATTGCCAATCCACACTTTCAGCACGCTTTCTCACCAAATACAGGCGTCATCAGCGGCGTGGGAAAAGGCATTATCGGTATGGACTCGATGACATGTAACTCCAAACAATATACTGGACCAATGGCTCACACTCGCTCAAGCCTCTTCCGCGGGCCTGCTGCTCAAGACTATGGGTCTGAAAGTCTCCAGCATCAAGATCGATCCCTACATCAATGTCGACGCCGGTCTCATGAACCCACGTGAGCACGGCGAAGTGTACGTCCTCGACGACGGCGGTGAAGTCGACCTCGATCTAGGAAACTACGAGCGATACCTCAACATCACTTTGACTCGCCAGAACAACATCACCCTCGGCAAGATCTACCAGGCAGTCATACAGAAAGAGCGTGATGGTAAATACCTGGGCAAGACCGTGCAGGTCGTCCCACATGTGACTGGCGAGATTGAGGCATGGATCGAGCGGGTCGCCAAGGTGCCTGTGGATGACACCGGTGAAGAGCCAGACGTCTGCATTGTCGAGCTGGGAGGCACAGTCGGCGACATCGAGAGCATGGCTTTCGTCGAGGCACTTACCGAGCTGAGGAGGAAGTGCGGCAAGGACGACTTCATGCAGATCCACGTGTCCTACATCCCGGTGGTTCATGGTGAGCAGAAGACCAAGCCCACGCAGATGGCCATCAAGGCCGTCCGTTCTGCTGGTCTTATCCCAGATCTCATTGCTTGCCGCTGCGAAAAGCCTCTCGAGGCGGCCACCATCGACAAGATTGCACGCTTCTGTCAAGTCAAGAATGAAAGCGTGCTGGCTGTTCGAGACATGCCATCGACGTACCAAGTTCCAATTCTGCTGCACGAACAGCATTTGGTACAGCTGATGACTTCTACTCTGCGACTGGACACTCTGAACATATCATCTGAACTACAAGACAAGGGCATCAGGATCTGGGATACCTGGCGACGCTTGACCCTGGGGTTGGAGCACATTCATGAGGACATCGAGATTGTCCTTGTTGGCAAGTACCTGGACCAACCGGACGCATACTGTTCGGTCATCAAATCTCTCGAGCACGCATCGATGTACTGTCGCAAGAAACTGCGGGTCAAGAACGTCGATGCCGAGCACCTCGAGGCCCACTACAACAAGACTGATCCTGCGTCATACCACAAGGCATGGCACGATGTCTGCACTGCGTCAGGTATCCTCATTCCAGGTGGCTTTGGCAGCAGAGGCACCGAGGGTATGATCGCAGCAGCAAACTGGGCCAGAGAGAACAAGACGCCATACCTTGGCGTCTGTCTTGGCATGCAAATCGCAGTGATCGAGTTTGCGCGTTCAGCTTGCAACGTCCCTCTTCCTCAAGCCACTTCCTACGAGTTCGATGGCTCAGACGGTGACCGTGTCATCGTCGACATGCCTGAGCATAACCCCGGACAGATGGGTGCTACTATGCGTCTGGGAATCAAGCCCACCTACTGGCAACCAGACAGCGAATGGAGCAAGCTGCGCGCTCTCTACGGCCTTTCCAAGGACAGTGTCACCGAGAGACATCGTCATCGGTACGAAGTCAACCCCTCCTACATCGGCCAGCTTGAGGAGAAGGGCATGACGTTCATCGGAAAGGACTCTACCGGCGTGAGAATGGAAGTCATCGAACTGAAGGACCACCCGTGGTTCGTTGGTGTCCAATTCCATCCCGAGTACCTCTCGCGTGTCCTGCATCCTTCCAAGCCTTACCTAGGCTTCATTGCCGCCAGCGCTGGTATGCTCGACGAAGTCATCCGAGGGGGTAGCCCTACTGGACGTCTTTCGCCGACTTCGAGCCTTTACGACGACTTCCAGAATGGCAGTGCCAGCGTGAAGGTCAATGGGCTCGTGAACGGTGCTGAGAAGGCCGCTTTCTGAGCGGAGGCTCTTCATGACTCTATACGAACTTGCATCTAACGGCGTTCTGAGGACCGCGGGCAGCATAGCTTCGGAGTACTGGTTGGGGAACTTGGGATGGATCAGTAGAATGGGTATGGAGAACGAGTTCTGATAGAGATGGCGTGGAGAAAGACAGGATGTAAGTCTATGGAGTGATTGTTGTTATTGTTGATATCCTCTAGAATCAAAAAGACAATTGTGATCCAGGCACTCCTCACTTATTAATCTTACTAATGAGCGAGACATATCGAGAACCCCTAATAACCAACACCACCTCCACCTTACTAATCGCCAAATTAGGAAGTTAGCACGGAAGGATCAAACTTGCCAGGGACTACAGTGGAACCCTATACCAAAGGAATTGGGCTGATGGTCGTCTTGGCAGCGGAAGGACTGCCATAAGAATTACGACAATGTCGTCTCACGTCCGCACTGTCTTCGCTCTCCAAAGAAAGCTGCATAGAGCACGAGTGCAACTGAGCTGAACATCATCATGGCGTCTGCTGGACGTTTCGTCGACACCGTCCCAGCACCTGAGCAAGCGACCACGGTCGAAGTTCTCGTGTTGGGACTCTCGAGGACAGGGACGACGTGTACGTATCGATACCATAGCATTTCCCATTCTTTGAACAGAAGCGCTAACAGAAAGTCCCAGCAATGTCCCACGCCCTCCCCAAACTCGGCTACAAATCGTACCACATGAGCGAAGCCTGCATCAACGCCCGAAAAGGACATGGAAGCCTCATAATGTGGAACGAAGCCATAACAGCGAAATACGGGCCAAGTCCATCTTCCCCTTCTTCTTCAACGACAACCAAAACCCTCCACCCCTACGGCCCCGCCGAATTCGCCAAACTCCTGCACACCTACACCGCCACCGCCGACGCCCCCACCGTCCTCTTCGCCCCCGAACTAATGGCCGCCTACCCCAACGCCAAGCTGATCCTAACAACCCAACCTCGCGGCGTCGACGCCTGGCTGCGGAGCGTCCGCAACAGCTACTACCGCGTCGCAAACTGGGTGGTCTTGGAAAAAATCCTCATGCCGTACGACAAAGCCTTTACCCAGCCTTACGTGACGCTCCTTCGCCGCATCATGGAGATCTGGTGCGGGAACGAACCCTTCGCCGTCGCGCGAGATTTCGACGCGATGCAGGACAGGCTGAGAAGGACGTATCTGGAGCATAATGCGGAGATTTTGGCGGCGGCGAAGGCTCAGGGGCGGGAGGTTTTGGAGTTTGATCCGAGGAAGGGGTGGGAGCCGCTTTGTGGGTTTCTGGGGAAGCAGGTGCCGGAGGGGAGGTATCCGCATGTGAATGAGGGGGAGTATGTGGTGAATTTGCATCGGTATATGGTTCTGAGGAGGCTGTGGAATACGTTTGGGAGGGGAGTGGGGCTTGGGTTGGGGGCTGTGGGGGTTGTTGTTGGGGCTTGGTGGTGGTTGAGACGCTGAGAAGGGGGAGGTTATGGAGTGGGTCGTTTGTTTTGGCAGGCTGTTGAGGGACAGTGGCATTGTATGTGCGTAGCACATGGAGGTAATTTTTGGAGTAGACATGATCTATCAATCGGGATGCCTACCTGCGAACAACAGCGTTCGGCTTGTCGACCATATCCCCTTTTTCCACTCAGCCGCTTTGACGTCTCCTATCAAGGCATGACTTTGGCCCCTCGGCACAGTCAACCCCTTCAACTCCGTTCCTGTCGAAGCCGTCAAGTATCGAATGCAGAGTATAATAAGCACACGGGGAACACCTTTGCTTGAGAACCGGCGAAGATCGAAGATCGACAAAATCCTGTCTCCGCATGCATATGATAATTTGGTATAATGAAAGCATGCAGGTGAATGAATCGCAACAGAGTTCCCGAATCCGATCCCGTTGCGAGGCTGATGATTGATCACTGCCGTCCAACAGGCTTTTTGATATTCCAGGATGTCGTCTGTCAGGGTCATCCTAGACCGCGGAACTGCTCGATCTGCAACCGCGTCCATGCACATGGTGTGTTGCATGACGCAGTGGGTATGTCTATGCTTCTGTTCGTGATGATGAGACGTTTCAGCTGCCCTGGCAGAATGAAGGTGGACCGAGTGGCCGGCGAGGCTGTCTTGATTATTAGTGGAGCCGGCATATAGATGCGTTTCGCCAAAGGGGGAAACGCATTACCTCGTATCTTACTCGTAAGGATTTTGGATGATTTGTGGATTGGCGAGTCATTGTCTACCTGGATGATTGAAGCCGTGATACTTTGCCAGGCGATGTCGTCCACGGTGTCTCACAACGAAGACTACTTTGACGACAAGCCCCCTTCGCCTTTCAGGCACCTCTTCTCGCAAATTCGTCATCTCCAGGTCCAGTCTACGAATCGAAGATACGTCTTCTACGGCACAGCCTCTCCGCTCCATGTCGGCACTTACGAGCCTAATCCAAGGAAAGCATGTCGCATCCCAGCCCAGCCACAAGCGTCCAAAGAAAGCTTGCACGATGCTTGCCCACAGATCCTTCTGAACAGACATGAGAAAGGGCAAGCACGCCGACTGATTCATGACCGACCTGACGACGCCAGTAGATTCTCCCCAGGCCATGCAAGCGCTGGTCCACAGCTACCTCCTGGGTCTTCTAGCAAGATTGTTGGCGAGATTGTGCGTGGTCCTTTCATCAAACGCTGGGACTTGAAGTCGAGGTAGACAGACTGGGGTAGCACCCCGACTGTAAAGAAGCCGTGAAGGCGTAGTCCAGGTCATTGTCCGGCTTGTTGAGTCGACAGCCTTTGGACGGGAGTTGTGCATGCCGTCGGTTGTCGTGCATATACACGACGTCTTGGAGGCAACAGGCAAGAGCTGTATGGAGTCGATGAGGAAAGCGTAAGAGGCGGCTGCTGATTCATGAAAATGTCATTCCGTTTCTCTTCTACGCTACAGATAACGTTTCAAACAGTTGTGCCTCTCCCATCATTAAGCGCTCAAGTTGTTGAGAAGCTAGTACATGCGCCGAGAATATGGCCGCCAGATGCAATGATACTCTTGGTATAATGTTGTTCTTCCTTCGCGGGTTCGTTTCAATCATCAACAGGTTCGGCAGGAAACGCAGGCCACACCGCCGCTGCCGCTGACGATATCCAATCGTCCGCCCACTCGACGCCAAAAGATACACCCATCCGCCCTCGCTAGAGTCGTTCAGCGACGGATAAGGGGAGAAGCCGTGATTAGTTCGCCCTGCCTGGCATGGTGTTCTGCTGGAGGATATGCAATGCTGCCCGACCCCATAAGAAAGAGGAAGCGAGGAAAAAGTCGGCCGTCGAACCAGAATGCGTGAAAGAGCAGCCGTGAGCCATCGGAGACTTCTGTTGCTCCGTCGTCGGATGTGTGTACAACGTTGCACAGTCTCAGATTTCGACGCCCGGCGCGTCGGCAAACATGGACGGGTCCAGCCAGGCATGAGCCCACAAAGTCCCGTATGAAATGTTCAGATCCGCCGTCCGTTGTCTTTCCATCTCCTTCTCTGCTCTTTTCACGCGTTTTGCTTTCTCCTCTTGCCCTTTTTCCGCGCCTTGGTCTTGGGACTGACGCCGCTGGAGCTTGTATGGTCTCTCGGTTCGCTGCCATCATCGCTCTCATCTTCACCTTCTGACGACGATCCTCCCGAGCTCGATGCTTCTTTCTTCGCCTTGCCTTTGCCTTTGCGCGCTTCAGAACCCTTCTTGATGCCGACATTGAGACCCTGTCTTCGCAGAGCCTTGAGCAGACCACTGCTGGCCCGCATTCCTGGAAAGTCTTTCGCTGTGTAGACGCTGAAGATGTCGGTCACGATACTCGCTACGTGGACTGCACCTAGAGTCGTGTTCATTGGATCGACACGAAGGAGCTTGAACTTGAGCCGATACTTGCCAGGAGACCGACAGCTGAGATCAGGAAAGACGAAGAAAGTCCCTGCAATGCCATTCTCGTCCTTGGCTTGGTAGGACGACGCGACCAGCGTACCCATCAAGCGCCGGGTCGAAGGCATGTCTGGATGAGCTGGCGGTAGCTCAGTCTCGTCATCATGACCGTCTGGACTCAACAGAGTACAGTTCAGCGCAAGCATGGCAGTTGGATCCTGCTCGGGCATGCCAGAGCGATCGGTGATCTTCAGCTCAATGATTGGAGGAGGGTCCACGACTCGACGATCGCGCTCGCCAAAACCGCACGCACGCGCAGCAATGGGCTGCTGTCGAATGCCGAGATTGTAGTTCAAGGGTGGCACTTGGCTCACACGAGGCTTCTGCGCTAAAGCTGGGTGATTCGATGGACCAAGAGACGATCGCGGTGAGGCTTCAGAATGCGTGTAGCTTGGAGACGAGTAGCCACTGATGGCTGGGCTGTAGTGCCGAGGTGTGCTTTGGTCGGGATGAACGGGCACTTGAGGATGCGGGTACTGCGCTCGAGGGAACTGCTCTGTTTGATAGCCTTGTGGTGGTTGACGGAATGCCATCGGCGCTTGGTCAAGACAGTGCTGTGGCGCTTGCGGGTACGACGGCGGCTGACTTCGGTATTCCATGGGCGGAACACCGTGACTACTCGGGGGTGCGCCATATGAAGTTTGCTGCGCTGGCACGCGCGCCTGCTGACGTGGAGGTGAAGGTGGATTGGTCGAAAGCAGCTGAGATACAGGTATCGAACGTGTCGCAGTCGTCCTCGAGGGCGAAGCGGTGTCGGTGTGAGGGACCTGCATCGGTGGAAGTTGCACGTTGCGCCTGCCATCGACGAACCCAGACGCGAGGTGCGGTATCGAGTGAATTGACGGTAGCTGTGGACCGGGCGTTTGATCTGGCCCTCCAGCGAATGTCGGCGAAGGATATGACAGAGCTCGCTCTGTCTGTGCCATGTTTTGCGTTCTGTTGTCTATGAATGGCGGCTGGATAGGGGAAGGTCTTCCTGAGTGCGACATCGATGCTCGCGCTGCTGGACTGATCGCCGACCAAAAGTCATCTGATGGCGCTCTTGAAGAGTGCGCTGGTCTCGCTTAGTCGAGTCGATGAATTCGATCTGATATGGCGTTCAGACTCCTCGTGGTGTTGATGAGGGAATGCCGATCAGCAGACCAAGCTTGGAAGCCTGCGTGGAAGGAAAGAATGCCACCACGCCGGCCGATCCTCGTGCTGATATGCAATTATCTTCTCATTCATGCATGCATGATACCGGCTGATGTTCCCTTGGCTCCGGAGCACGGTATTTGAGATGGGACGATCGTTCGTTGCGGTGAATGTCGTGTAGTGAGACCAGTTTCGCCCGGCAAAAATGCTGTGTGAGATGGAGTACCAGAAGATCATGCGTGGAGACTGGGAACGGAAACGGAGTTTCTTCGTCTTTGGCCAAATCAGTGGAGGGCGTGAGGACGTGTAGCACGGAAGCGAACGATGCGGTGCACGACGACGATAGAAAGAGCGGTCGCTTCACAGGGATGCTCCCGTCTACTTAATGTCTTTGGCCGCTACACATACGGGCAAGCTAGTGCAGCCAGAGTCGGATCCAGATACCCTGGTTTCGAGAGCGCTGCACCTGCACAAAGGCGTCATAAGTGCCAGCAACAAGTAGACGAATTCTCGGTAGCGAATGGTGCAAAGTAGCAAGGGTGGTGCAAGGCCAATCGCACGGGCAGGACGTTAGGGACTGTAGTGGCGGCGTCGCCTCTGGCATCTGCCGTATATGCCAGCAGGCGGCGAGCAACCCTAGCAGAGACGCAGTGGACAGACATGGGCTGCGCAGGCGAACTATTTGTGCTGTGGGACCCTAAGAGGCAAGACCTGGTATTTTGCAGTTAACCGCGTTGAAGCTGTATAGCACCCGACTTGTGTCACTCAATGCGGAATAGGGCGAGCATGGTAATTGGCAAAGCTCTACCGCTATCAAGGTCGCCTCACGAACAATAACCGGGTTATCGGCAGCAGGCTGGCCAAGGAACCCGTGGCCGAACTCGCGCTACCAAATCTTAACTTGCTGCAGTGCCACCACGACAAAGCCGCACGCATGAACCGTTGATGAAGTCGCAAGTAGATGTTTGTCGGCAGCAAGAAGATTGCGGCGACGACTTCTCACGATAGCCCGTCCCACTGCGTGGTGGTGGTGCTTCGACAGCCGCCGATCGGCTCGCCGTAGCTTGGCAACCAGGGTGAAGGGTCGGTCTCATGTTGGTTTCGCACTTTACGGCCAGACACCCACCAGCACCCCAGGAAGACTCAAGCTCCATCCAGCAAGGAGTCAACTCCTGCTAACGCAGTCCGAGAAGGGCGAATCCTCCGGTGATTGCGCGGTGAAGACTCGCATGTGCTGATCCACATTCGTCTCCCACCTCTACCAGATTCTGCACATCTTTCCACACACGAGGCCGCGTGTAGCAGGCCCTGGCTTCTGCTCAAGGAGTTTGATGGAGTGCCGGTGAGTCAAGCTCTCGGGTGCATATTTGGACTCGTGATTCTAAAGTTGCCTGGCTGGCCGGGCCTTTCGAAGTTCGCATGGCACGAAGGCAAGTCCACAAACGGTGCCGCTGCACTAGCTCCGGGACAACAGTTCCTGGTCAGCCCCGGCACAGAGCTGAGATCGAAGCGCAACGTGCGTCTTCTCTCACATCAGATCCGCAGAACGTAGGCCAGGATCGGGCTGGGGCTGTCTCGGTTGTAGAGGATTGTGACGAGACAGACAGCCACGACCAGGTGATGGCTGGATCACACGGCCGTATTGGTTGTTGCTTTGATTTCCGATTGCCGTGTTTGCACGCATGCCGCAGGGTCCTTGCTGGATCCGGCAGAAGTGAAGAATACAATCTGGCTTCGGTTGGGGAATCCGGCCTTAGATCCCTGATCCTTGTGAGGGACGGATAAATGTCCATTCATGGGCAGTGTGATTCTTACGTGATGGAGGCCCTTAATCACCGTGGTAATCGTGACGGCACCCACACCATCACCGTCGTTGCACTCACATGTATCGCCGCCACTCTGGTCATTCTCGCCCCGGAATATCACGCCAGAGGCCGCCTGGCGTCAGCCGCAGCCCAGCACAAATACCGGTACACGTCATGAGGTTGCATTGGTGTCTGACGATTGTGCATGCTGTACCAGTATCGCTGGTGGTATCGACCAGATCGCGAGGATCTCCCTGGTGTGCTTCGCTCCGAGTGGACGGGATATTGAGCTTTGCAAACCCGGGATGCAATCGCGCACTGGAGGTGTGGTCGCGAGGTGGGGTTGGTCGCCTTGGCCGGTGCTGCGGTATGGATGGGTGGTGCTGGGGCAGGCATACAACAGTACCACCGTCGACGAAGGTGTTGTTTGGCCTGCCGCGAGAAAGGAGTCGAGACCGGCGGGAGGAGCACCGCGGACACGTGGAAACTCGGGTGGCGTTTGACTTTCAACGGCGCGGAAGCCAAACTGACAACACTCCTCGATGACACCCTCGACCCCCCTCCTCCAAGCGAGCGGCTATGCCTCTCATCACCCTGCACATATCAGGCCTGTCCATGTCCAGTCACCTATCTCATCGTTGATCTACCGGGGAACAGCGGGGTACAAGAGGATGCTGCAGCAGTGGCCCCTGACGCGTGCAGCAGCCCACAACAAGATTCATTCACTTACAGCTCTCAAAGGCGCGAGGCATGGCTCGTTGGAAGGACCGCGAGCGACGCAGTTTCCGATGCGTACATGCGGCTCATGGGCTGGAAATGGCTTCATGTCACGTAGAGCATCGAGCTTTGCATGGTGATTCCTTCACATCGTATTTGGGAGGCTGCTAGCCGCGAAAGTCGCACAACACAGTAACACTTTGTCCTTCAGTTCAAGGTCGCTCGACGACGTTTGCAAAAACCTCTTCTGGATAGTTATTGACGTTCAACTCCAGATGTGCAGACCACGAGCAGTTTCAAACACATCGTTGCTCGAAGCGGCCCGTGGAGTAGCCAATACCTTCGCCTCGCAAGCGAAAATCGAACTTCAACACATGGGCTGGGCTGTGGTGCAGATAGCACGACCATTGTGCCCCTCTTACTAACAACCTTGCCACCCCTGGGTAGCGCCTGTGGCGGGTATCGCGTGCGGACGCTGGATGATGCCGTCAAGACAGTGACGCAAGGCCTTTTAATTCCAGGAGCAAAAGAAAGAATAGAAAGATGACGTCCTGGCCGCAGGTTCGTTCGACTCGTCTGCCGTCGGTCCTCGCACTAAATACCGACAGCACGGTCGCAGTGGAGTGAGTGAAATCGGACGGCTGCATAACACAATTTCCCGTGCGCATGCAGTTACGAAGTGCGAAGTTGTTTTGACAAAAGAGACTCAAGCGTCCATGCTTCTTTCGTTATCACCTGCCCTGAACTCGACACAGCGCTATCCAGTTCCATGGACTAGGAACAATGGGTAGAGACTGGTCCCTAGCCGACGTTCCCGTTGGGAAAGCATTGGAGACACGAGCGCGGGCCGACAATGAGGCGCATTGTGCGGCCGGCCGGCTTTGCTTTGGAAGCGACCAATCCACATTCTGGTTGTTGATGACCGGCTGAACCTCAACAGGCTCCTGCGAGTGCTCGGGATATTTCACTCCAAAGACCAATCACTTGATTCCATTTTGCCCGGCGCAGAAAATGCGAAATTGCAACTCCCCGGCATCTATTGTTCACGAAGTCGGAGAGCCAACCACAATGAGAAACAGTTCTGCTACTGGACTGTGTGTCACGGTCTAAATCTCTACTAGGATGAGACGCAAAGAAGACAATTGACTATCGTCCCCTTTGAGCGCAATGGCAAGGTTGAATCCCGCGACCCCTTGGATACAACCCGCTCCCCGAGCGCTTGGAGAACAGGACGAAGGGAAAGTTTCCTCAACGACGCAGCATCCTTGTTACCAGTGCGGCCTTTCGCAGGACCTTCCATTTTCGTATATTTAATATTGACTGTTGCATCACAGAGAACGCTGCTTCGACACCTCACCTATCACAACTGGGCGCTTGCCTACGAGACTCCATCGAGCTACCCACATCACCCAACCAGACCATCAAACTATGCGCACATGGCTCGTCTTCAGAGGCATCTGACCATCGAGTGCCCAGCGGTCCACTAATTCATTTACAGTACTTCCTACCGGTACCTGATGACAGGACGGATGACATCTTTCACGACCGGCCAGTGGGAAAGACACAAGCCACACAAAATGTGCAAAGAACGTGTCTACACGTGGAGAATTGGTGTAACCTCGAAATATTTCTTGTTTGGCCTAAGACAATTTGCATGCGATCCATTCGATGGCGAAGACCCGCATTTCGAGACATGACGATGAATCTGGCGGCGTGCAGACTTGACCTGGCATCAGGACCAAACATCACACCCGATACCATTACGGTCGCTTTCCCCTTCTGTGGGTGTCGGATAAGCTGGCTCCGGTTCCTGCTGAATTCTGTGCATACGCTCATCTCCGAAGCAATGACTGATGTCCTGTAGGCAAGGTTCAGACATCTGCGCAAACCATTGACTTGCCTGGTATTGCTAACATCAGCTGACGGTAGCATGTAACAGCCTTGTCTGCGCAAACGGAGATGCTGAGCTTGCGAGGCAATGAGCTAATGCTTGATGACTTGCTACCACTTTCAAAGCGATTCGGAACCACTTCGAGGCCGGACCTATTCATCATGTCTGTCGCCCGCATGACAACGCTCAGCAGACTACACCTCGTTCATGTCTTGGTACGTACATGCGGACATCAGCTAGGCTATTGAGACACGGACAAAACACTCAACCAGGATAGCACCAGTTCCAAGAGCAAGTGCATCAACAGGACTCAATATCGATCCTGATACAAACGTGGATGGCCATCATGCAGCCTTCAACACATCAGGCAGTCGACACCTGTGCAATCACCGGCACCTGCTAAGCGAGGCCACGCACCCACGCTTGTCATCACCGTCGTCAGCAAACTTGCTCGGCACATCGGAACAAAAGAGAGAAAGACTTGGACGATCCACACACATGCATTCCGCCGTCCGTCGGCCTACCAGCTGCAGAAGCTGAACAAGGTGAGCTGCAGAGAAGCGTGAAGCTCACCAACCATGGCGCTGGGAACGACAATACTGCACGCCGGAACGCAGGCCAAAAATCCCCGCAAAAGAACAGCGAGACGTGCTGGCCCTTCTTCTTACGCGGACAAGACAAGCGACTGGCTTGGGTTGGAGGTGTCCTCGCTTCCCTGGTGATCGTTTACGAGCCTTGGTGCTTGGTTCCTCTTTCTCCTTCCCCTTCTGTGAGCTGTCACCTTGCTTCGCCATCGGTTCCCGGTTTGCCCACTTCACTCGACCGTATGCTACCTCTACTGTTGCGTACAAGTCATACACGACCCCACAGTAATAGTGACCAACCACGGAAGAGAGCTATTATCCAAGACACAATGCTCCTGCGGCTCGCACTGCTTTCGGACACCCAGTCCCACCGCAAACCAAACACCAAGAACAACACCTGACGCTTGGAGACGGCCGCATGCGTTGACATGTCGGTCGTACACGGAGAAGTACCGTCAGTCTTGTGTCGACGAAATGTGCCTTGGAGAGACAGCTTACAGCACACAGGCATGCACAGCAGCAATGGCACCGCCCGGCCATTCCACCTCATGAAACACAGTACCTTCGCCTCACCAATCGCTCAACCTCGTGATGGCAGACCTGATACCGTGGCACCCGTCGTTCCTCTCCCTCGAACGTCCCTCTCGTTCTCGAAGTCACCGTTGCATACCGCTGCCGTGACAAAACATCAAAGTGACAGCGACGCTACACGAACCCTCCCGCCTCGGTTGTTCAGACATGTGCGAGGGAAACCCGCCTCGCCTTCTCCGACACGAATACACCAAAGCATGAACACGGAACCGGCCTTGACATGTACGTAGGACAGCCACCCGACAACACCGCTTCTCATACTGCTTCGAACACAGAACACGAAGCGAAGCAACATCCCCTTGACATGTACGTAGGACTACCACCCGCCCACGAAACAGGTAAGAGCATACACAAAGACGCATCCATCCGTCCATCCGTGTGTCTGAAACTTGTTTGCGGTCGCTGCACGTGGGACTGAACAGCAATATGCCGAGCAAGATTCGTATCTCGAAACACCTTCGGAAGTCCAGCGGCGAAAAACAGGAAAGACGCATTGAAGCCAGTGTCTCGACCTCATATATCTGCTACGATTGCCAAACTCAAAAGCCTCGCGAATGCAATCGATATCCAAAGAGGAGCGATGATGACGAAGAAGACTGTTTGTATCCTTCCAAATCGCAGGCTACCCGTTCAACTGTCGTCGTTATCGTAATCCTCTACCTGACTGGCCTCCAATAGCTAATCATCATCGTTACTAATACACACACTCATCCATGCATCATTTCAAGGGTTGAGGTTCTCTTCGCTTCGCTTCGCTGAAAACGCAACAAAAAACAAAACAAGGCCCAATGCCTCCAAACTTTCACGCTCCAATCAATCCAACGTAACGCTCTCGTCGTCATCATCATCCCAATCATCACCACTAGTGAAGTCCTCGGACGCCTCGACTGATGCTCGCACGTCCTGCTGCGAGGTGCCTTGCATCGTCCCCACGACGTCCGGCTGCCACAAGCTGAAAATTTCCGTCTCCAGATCTTTGAGTACCACCATCGTCTGAGGAATCTCATCAACTTCCGTCCGTAACTTTATGTTGACTTCGTAGTCCGCGCTCTCCGCCAGTGAGGCCAGCTCTGCTTGGAGTGTCTGCAGGTACGTGCCGACTGTGTAGACGAGCTGGATCGTGGCTTCGAAGCGGGATCGTGGTCTGTCTTTGTTGCAGGCGTCTCGCAGGTAGACGTCGCAGCCTTTGATGAGCTTCCGGGCCTGCCGCGCGCGTTCCGCGTCCAAGTCTGGAGAGTCTGACAATGGGTTGACGAACAGCTTCTCCTGCAGCCATCTGGCAACCTCATCACGAAGTACCTGCTTGGCCCCCAAGAAGGTGGGTGTCCACGACTCCATAGTACCGATGACAGTACGAGGTACCGCCTTGTAGGCATCAGGTAGGATCTTCAACAATTCTCCGTTCGAGCCTTCCCACATCGGCATGACTTTGGTCAAGGTCTGGAAGATCGGGAGCGCATGTTCTTCAGAACGACAGCTTGTGCAGAAATGCATGGCCAGGCTGACCAGCGTCGACAGATGTTCCTCCTCTATGTCGATGTGGCGCAGGAGGCACTGGTGGATTTGTGTCATCATATGTCGGCTTGACTTCACAGAACAGAGCAAGCCAACGAGCTTTCCGGGGGCATTATCTTGCCAAGGACTGCTGAAGCATTAGCATCACTTTCATGCATTGAGTTACAGGATCGGACTTACCAGTCATGTTTGGCCCATCTAGATGCCCGAATCCAATTGAATATGCCCTGGCGGTTACCCGTCGTTGGCTGCTCGTCCAAGCGATCCATTTCGTCTTCGGCAAGAACGAGGCCGTCGGGCCCTTCTGAATGGTAGCCTTCCAATTCCGGGTGTGTCAGAGAAGTAAGCAGATCGACATTGGTGCACAGGACTGTGTAGATGAACTCGTACAAGGCGGATACCTTGCTGGGGTTCGTCTTGAAGTGTTCCGCGACGCCGGGGTACTTCTTCCTAAGAGACCCATCAACAGGCAAGTACAGAAGATCGAACGCCCAATGCCAGTAGCCAGAGTCAAGGACGATTTCAGTCTTGTCCTGGCCAAGTGAAGCTAGACTGGCAGCAAACTTTAGGTAGTCTTCCCAGTCTAACAACGGTGCCCGCGCGGGAATCTTCGTGGGTTCTGCATGAGTTTCGATGAGCGAACGGAAGGCCCGCTCATAGAAGGCCTGGTCGTGGTCTTTTATCTGCTTCAAGCAGAAGATGACAAAGTCGCCGATCAAACTCCGGACTCTCTTGTTGTCGTGCAGTACAATCTGCTCGAACCACTTCTGCGCGGTAATGACGCGGTTGACGAAGAGCACTGCAAAGTCCGGCTGAGCTTGCAGAAGAGACGATAGCAGGCTGATGCATTGGGCCAGTCGTCGTCCTGGGGCAGCATCGCTAACGGCGATCCGCTGAAGGAAAGTCATTGCGACTTCACCCACTTTCTGCAACAGCGAATCTGCGGCGAGCTCTTCGTCCGATGCTAAAGATGCCGCAGAGCCTTCAGTATCACTCGAAACGCCAGACTCTGCCGAAGCAGCCGGCTTGCGGCCAGCAAGTCTCTGGTCCTTGTAGTCATCTCTGTAATGTTCCAGAAGCCAACCGACGAATGCGGCGAAATCGTCGTGGTACAAGTGCGCAATTCGAAATCGCCAGGCATTGCCAATATGGGTCTCTTTCGCCAGACGCGTTGGTGGGGCAACCTTCGGGGGCAGCAGCAAGTGCGTGAGCGGGTCAACGACAGGGCCCGGCAACGCAATTGCCTCCTCTAGAGATGATCGTCTCTCATAGAACAGGACGTAAGCGTTGTCAGCACGCTCATTGCCGTTGTTATAGCGCTGGCCGCCAAAGCATTCTTGCTGAACTTCATGGATGCCATTCTGGACGAGCGATACGTTGCGGTCCTCAAGCTTGACCCAGGTGCGAGAAAACGGCTGAGCAGTGTTGCGTAAAAGTGAGTATGACCAGTAGTGGCCGAGATGAAGCGTGCCCTGGTGGACGATCACTCCCACAAGCTCGAAATTGTCCTCTTCGACTTTTTCTGTTGGGTCGCTCAGATGCGCCGCTTTGTAAGGCGCCATGTCGATCGTTTGTGGAAATTCAAATCGGTCGTTGACCTTGCCTTCAACGCCAAGCATCGCCTCAAATGTGAATCGCTTGAGGCAGAACGTCAAGTTGTCGGGTATCTCCTCTGGACATGCTCGGCGGACGGCATTGACAAGACGACCACCGACTGCGCTGTCACAAGCTTGGCACTTGTATTGGTTCGCGCCTTCCATTGGTTCACCTTGGACAAACTCATCCAAGCTTTCCTGTAGACCGATTTTGTTCTTGATGATAATCGGCAAGTCCACGAATGGCTCTGTCTTGGGCGATACGTGCCCGCAGTCGCCCTTGATTTGAGACAGCTGCTTGCCCGTGTAGAAGCGATTCAAGGCCGCTTTCCACATGGCGTTGGGCATGTTCGCCTCTAGTCGAGCCAGAAGGTCTTCGTAGAAGCCGTGTACGTCCTCCTGGCTGTCAGTCTGAATATTGAGCACTTTGGCAAGCGCCGAAGTGTCCGGAGAACCGCAGTAGCTGTCCTGCATATTTGCAAAAAGCTTCTGGACTTCCATCACCAGAGCTTGCTTCTCCGAGTCGAAGATTGGCACTTCGAAGATAAACTTGCGAAAGTGAACATTTGCGAATAGTTGCTGCAGCAGAGAGTTCATGTAGCAGGTCATGCCCAGGTTCGGCAGTCCGCTGCATTTGGGAGCAGGACGCAACCAAGCAGCAGCGCCGGGAAACTTATCGTGGGGATTGCCAGAGCTGTCCTTCATAGCAATGACTGTGGCATGCAAAAGACTTGCAAAGTCTGCTTCTGACTCGCAAGTGCCTTGAACCAACTTATATGCCCAATCGCGTGTGGAAGTGTCGACCAGCGGCTTCGCCAGAGGGTCGTCATACGGAGGAAAGAGGAAGCGCGTCAGTATTTCTGTGCAGAGGTTCGACAATCCCAAAGCCTTCTTGAAGCACTTGACGATCTGAATGACTTCAGCAAGCAGCCTCAACAGACCGAGCATTGCATGATCGACTATCGGAAGGTCGACAGATTCGATGTGTTGGTAGCGGCGCAGAGTCGATATCAGAAAGTCCATCGTCTCTCGCGCTTTGGCTTCGTTCGAGTCCAAGGCTCTGCTCGACATGATTGCGTCAATGGCGAGAACAAAGAAGTGCATAGCTCGATGTCTGTGGATGAGGGCCTCTGGCAAAAGGCTGAGCAATGTTGTGGCGTAAAAGTCCGCAACATTGTCTGGTTGCCGCTCCTCAACGCAATAGTCCTTGATCAATGCGAGAGCGCTGGGCGGAAAGCAGCGTTCAGGGCAGAGTAGCAGCATGTTCTTGTGCATTTCAGCTGCGCGTGGGTTCCCAATGAAGCACTTCCAGATACTGTTGTCCGTTCTAGAAGCCTGAAAGAGCGTCCTTAATGCTTCGACGAGGAGAAGCGATCGATTCTCGTCAATTTGGCGAGGATACTGGACAGCGAAGTTGCAGATGTCAATCAGCCGGTCGATGAAGGCGGACGGCTCTTCGATCCCTGTGGCTTCCGAAGCATTTGACGGCCTCTCTGTATCATTGTGTTAGTTGGCCATGTATGCTTAGGCTGACTGGATGAACATACCTTGCAAGAACTTTGTCAATGCTGCAAGAACATTCGTGAAAATAGTGTTGTGAAGTGGACGGTTGGTGTCGACTAATACTGCCAAAAGCAAACGAACGCCTTGCAGAATGAATTCGTCGTCGGCCACACCAATCTTCGCGTAGTCTTCTCGATGAACGTTGAGGATATGCAGAGAGTAGGTACCGCGCCATGGGTGTTTGCCGATAGGGAAGAGATCTTGAACTGCTGTCGTCGGTGAGGCCACCTTCTGGCGGGCTTGCGTGGGAGGAGGAATGGTGGAGAGGAAGTGGTGGGCCTGAATCCTGTTAGTAACGAACAGCTGCAAGGTTTCACTCTTATCCTACCGTTTGAGCAACATCATCAGGTCCGTCGAGCAGTCGTTCTAGGTCGTCAAAGTGAGTCAGGACCTCTTTTTCCACGGTACCTGGTGACGTTAATATAATGGCCAGATCGCTATTCATCGTGTGCTTTGGACTGATCAAGATCCCACCTGAAGTCTGAACACCGAGCTGGGCTATCGGTTCCGTCGACTGCGAGTTCGAGTCCAGAGCCTTGCCTCCAACTATGATGCGATTCTCAGTGGCGCCGGTGATGGATGGTAATCTAGCTCGTAGCTCCGAGACGGTTGTCGTATTGTTGGCTTGCAAGCGATACTGCTTTGGCTGAAGTTGACCACCGCCGTAAACTTGTACCATGCACTTGAATAATTCATCAGCAGGTTGCGTTGCTAAGCAGATGTCCGTATCTTGGAGTGGGCTGAAAGACGGTGCAGATTGTCTGCTCCTCCGGAGAACGGCGTCAAGTAGAGAGATCTTCTGGCAAATTGTTGCGGTCCCAACATTCTCCAAGTCGGCAAAATTCTCACAGATGCGGCTGATCTGCTGGCGTGCGAAGTCTGCATGGCACTGAATGGCCGCGACACGATTGTCTTCTTCTGGCTGTCGCAATTGCTGGAACAACAAGTCGCATATCACAAATGTGGCCGGCTGACTTACTTGAGAGGCCCCAACGCTTTCGGCGGCTTGGACAAGCTTCTGCCAGGTCGGAGCTTCCAGCATGTGCATATCGCCATCCGATGCTGCGCTTTTGCTGACTTGGTTTCGAAGCGATGAGCCCAAGAGGTGGATCAGACGTGGGGTCATGAATTGAAGATCCAGCTGAAAGGCCTCCTTCTCGAGGAAATGGGCAATCAAGGCAGTCGATACCTTGCAGAGCTCACTGATAGAACAGAAGTCAGTCAGTGAGGTCCAACAATGATCCCTGGCATCGTTATTGAGGCCCATATCTCCAACGGTGTAGCGGAAAAGCGAGGAATAGACTTGCTCATCGATCACAGTACCAGGCAGTGACATGAGGCGAACAATAAAGTCGAGGCGTGTCTGAAGTCCTGATACACCAGTGACAGTCTGCTGACGGCCATCAGCCTCCCTCCGTGAAGTCACATATTGGCTCAACTCGTCCACGACCGCTTGTATGGGCAACATGTCGAGGAGCTCTTGAGCTTCCTGCGATGACTGAATCCAGGGAAGGAACATTGCAATGATCTCCACACTGGTGGTGGCATGCTCGTTGGCATTGAGCAAATTGGGAATACAGCGAGAGAATATCTGTGCACGCTCGTCCTTGCTGTAGGCTGGGCTTGCGAAGCGACCTAGCTCGGTCCGGGCTGTATTGCGCAGCTGCAACAAGGGTGTCTGATCGTGAACATTGGGGACTCTCATCATGATGTCCATGCTAATGAAAGCAGTCGCCAAGCGGTGCTTGTGATCGTTCAGCTCGCCGCTCTTGATCTGCACCCGTTGGAATAGATCTGTCAATGATTCGACTGCATCTTTACCCAACTTCGAAGGCGGCGTGACGGCATACTTGTTGGCCAGGTACAGCAGATGGTCAAGATCCAGATAGCGACACAGATCAGCAAGCACGGTGAAGGATGCCTTGACGAATTCGGTCTCCACGCTGTTGGTGCAGGCATGCCAGATGATGTCTGATTCAAGGTTTGTGTAGGCGAAAGTGGCAGCCAAGAAACCGATGATGTTCTGACTGTGGTTGACCAGACTGGCGTGTGAATTTGGACCAAAAATGTACTTGGTCAACTCATTCGCACGCATGAACCGTGCGACGTATTGGAGAACCGGATGCTCGAAGTTGTCATGACCAGTGCGATTTGCATTGTACAGTTCCAGCAACTTCTGGCTCAACAACGTAATGCCGCAACTGCGGACATCCATGATGTCGCTGTAGATGAAGGACTTGAGCCTCGCCAGAGTCCAAGCCGTCGTCAGGAGTTCGACCAACGTGGCATGATCGCCACCGCTCACGTTCTGAAGTGACTCCGCAACGCCGGCATCGTGGGTCGACTCCATCATCAAGGCATCGGTTTCGCTTTTGATATAGCTTTCGTACAAAGTAGCGGACTCTGAAGCGTCCGCGGGAGTCGCCAGTCGAGTCAGAAAGAAGGTTGACGACTTGATGGCCAACTCATGAAAGCCGTCGGGGAGCGCGCGTGGGTGCTTTTCGCAAATGACTGGCAAAATGTACAGATGGGCGAGGTCCATGACAGTCCGCTCTTCGGCATCAGATGGTACACCCACGTCGAGGAAGATGCGCAGGATCGCATCGATACCATCCCAAGCATTCGTGATCTCACGATGATTTTGGGCCAGCTTCTTCAGAAGTTCCAAAAGGTGAGTCGACGGCTCGAGGTGCTGGCAAAATTCGGCCTTGCGGCGCTTCCCTTGAGCCACTGGCTTGAAGCCCAAATTTGCGCTGAAGAAGCCCACTACCTGGTTTGCTCTGTAGTAGGTGAGGATCTGCGCTAGGATCAGAACGTAATAGAGAAGATCGAGATGCTGTCTGGTCTTGGAGACCTGGCCAGAGTCCCTCCGTGCGATGGTGCTGTCGACAATCGAGGGAAGGATTCTGAGCACTCTCAAACTCAACTCATAGAGGGCATCCAGAAAGCTATTGACCAATTCCGTGAGTGCCCCAAAACCATGGCGTTGGAATTCTTCAGGCCCGAACAAGTCATCCTCTCGCTCCAGTATAGCGTAGCAGGCTTGGCCAAGCTTGCCAAAGAACTCGTGTTCGTCGATGTACGAATCAAGGATCAGGTCAACGTGATCTCGTGTGACATAGAGATGCTCTGCCAGCCAGCTGCAGAGAGCACGGAAGACGACTCTATCCACGGGCAAAGCACTCGGCGCTCGACCGCACAGCCAGTTGAGTTGCTCTGCAGGGGTCATGTTGACGTCGGGCGCGAGGATGAAGGTCTCGCTGGCGGGCGGCATGGCGCTATCATCGTCCAGCGCAATGGCGTTTTCAAAGCTGTTGCCGACCTCGTCTGGCGGCAAGGCCTCGATGACGACGTCGTCGTCGTTTGAAAGGGGGGATGTCTCGGTCTCCTCGCTCAGTCGCTGGCGTTTGCGCGTGAGATCTGGGTTTGCGTCGGCGGCCTCGTCGCGGGACCAAGTTGGATCCGTGTTTGCCGAGGCCATGGTCATGCGTGGCAGCTACGAAGGTGTTTGTGGGCGGCACATGTCATCAGTCGCAGCGGCGATGCTCTGGAAGGCTGTGGCGGCGATTTCGATCGTGAGGCAGCGCAGGTGAAGGTGCGGCCTGAATGACGTCGTCTGAAGCTGCTGTTCGCCCGTCAGAAATGGTCTGCCGCGCCTGTGATCAACTCCGAAAACGCCTCGAATAATTTTGAAGTGTCGAAGAAGAAGCCGTGGATTTTGGGAAGACGCGTTGTGAAAGTCGAGGCGATTTAACATTCGCGTCTGGAGCTTACTTAGGTTCAACAAGGATTGTCGCTGGCCAAACTCAAAAGCGAGGCCCCGCCGTGACGTGCCGTCCCGCACTAGCGTCTTTCTTTAAGTTGGTGCCTGAGGATGCAGTAGACGTCCAGTCCGACTTCACTTGGAGAGAAAATGTGTGCCAGACAAGAACATCTCGCCATGCCGATCGGTGTTTCCGCCACACTCCATCAACGCAAATGAAAGATGCTAGTAAGGGACACAAACCCATCTACAGAACCGCATCTCCGTTCGCCCAGCCCACAATGTAAAGACCCTGACAGATGCATGTCAAACAAGCATTTGCTGATAATCCCACAACTAGATCCCAGCTCCAACAACCGCAGCATGACGCAGTAACACGGCTTCTCGTCGAAGTGCTGAGACCCATTGGAGCATATCGCACAAATATACCCAAGCAGTCGAAAAAGAAAAGGGCCAAGAAGCGCAAGCGAAAGGCCACTCCTGCAGAGGAGGCAAAAGCGGACGAAGATGGCATGACAGGCGTGGAGATCCCGGGTCTACAACCTCCCAGGATCCAGGAAGATGTGCTGGTTGGGTTTAATGCCGTGACTCGCCATCTGGAGACGCTCTCGACTTTTTCTAGCAAGGCAGCTGCCTCAACGAAGGAGGCAGAGAAGCCACGCCACGTTGCTGCGGTCTTCTTGCTGCGGCCACTGGACGATTTGATCTACTCCCATCTGCCCGCACTCTGTCACACGGCGTCTTTAGCACATGCTGAGCGTCCAGCGACGAGATTGGTATTGCTCGACCCTTCTGTGGAGAAGGCGGTCGCTGCTGCACTCGCACGATCACCGAATGTCAGTGTGCTGGCGATTCTGGAGGCCAGTGATGAAGATGAGGGTAGCGAGGTATTGACTGAGTACGTTCGTAAAGAAGTGAAGGCAATAGACATTCCATGGCTCAAGCAAGCTATGGAAGCGCAGTGGCTCGGCACACAGGTTGATGTACAATAGTAAAGCCCAACACGTCTCTCTCTTGTCTCCGATGTTGTACCAGGCTCTTCCTTCAATTAGGCCCCTTCAGTCGATGTCTACCAAGCTCTTCATGCAATTGAACCGATTCTCAATGTCCTGTCAAGCTCCTCATTCAATCACGTCCAACGCTAGGCGCGCTCGGTATGATTGCCAAACAAAGACTGCATCATAGCCGCCCTGACAAGCCCATACGCATACGTCCGCTCAAGAAGCTCCAATTCCAAAGCCTTCGCATCTTCCTCCTTCTGCAAGTCCTCCGAAGTCATGCCCACAGACATCTTATCATCCGCCATCTGGTCATTCTGGTCCACGAAGAAAGACGTGTCCTCGTCCACATGGTATTGCTTTTGGAAGAATGTCTTTGTGCGGGAAGGCAGCGTTGCCGAAGACTTTGGAGTCGACGGCAGCTGCGCAGTGTCGTACGACAGGCGGCGCATTTGCGGTCGGCGGTTGTTGGTGACTGGCTTCAGGGGTGCCTTTCGCTTGAAGCCGACGCGCGATCCTGCGAGGAGTCCGACACGTGTTGCATGAACTGTCTTGCGTGCCCCCTTCGTTTTGCGTTGCTGAGATACTCCGTTCGCAGCTTGACGGCGGTTGGCATCCTTCTCGAGAAGTCTGTTGATCTTGGCGGTTTCCTCGTACTGCTTGGTGGCAGCTTCGTTCGCAGCCAGTGGCGAGAGAGCAATCTGACTCGATGTTCCCCTGGTGACGCCCGACTTCCAGATGGTTTCACCGTTGCCGAGCTCGGTACACGGCGGGCACACGTACTTTTCAATCAGATCCTGCTCTTTCTTCTTTATGCCGACGCAGCGCAGGTGAAACCAGTCGTCGCAGCCACCATCGCAGCCGATCATAGTACCCTCGTCGAGGCCGCGACAGATGCAGAAGCACTGTTGGTTCTTGTCGAGGTCCTGCAGGTCGTTCGAGGCGTCGCCGTCTTCGTCGAACGGGCCCTGAGAAGATTTGATGAGGGTGCTCATCGCCCCCAGCTCCTCAGGTCTGTCCATCTTTGCGGGATCCGGTGCGCCAGCCTTCGCACCAAGTATGCAAAAGAAGGGAGGGAGGGTGCTGGGGAGACATCGAGGGGCAGAGCGCGGGAAGAGGCGGACTAAAGGACTTGAAATTCCGCGCTAGTCAAACTTTCTTCTGTCGCCGGCGACGCCAGTTCGAGCCTCCGCCTCTGCACCCGGTCGAAAAGAATTATGTCTCGATGATCGATCAACTATCGTCCAAAAAAGACAGGGTAAAAAGGACATGGTTAAAAAAATGGTCTATAGAATTCATATGAAGCAGTATATATATACTGCAAGAGAATGACAAAAAAAACATACCGCACCCGGGTCTTCGCGATCGTCACACCCCCTGGACTTACCGTGCCTACCCTACAAGGGGGTCACACGCATCGCTACTAAGCCGGCACAAGTGCTTCAACGCTCCAGAGGTGGACCCCCGGTGTTGCTCAATGCACTGCCATGACGGTATGTGATAGGCCAGGGGCTTTCTTCGTCATATAACACTTCAATCTGACGGCCAGTCCCGCTTAAGCGAGCGAGGGTCTTGCAGTGTTCCGCACTCTCCTCCGTGGCTTTTGTACTTGATGTCGCGAAGACCGTCTTCTCCATGTTGTCTTGCGCATGTTCGGGATGCACTGCAGCAACATCGCTTTCTTGCGATGATATTTCACGAACGTTTGCGGTTCGACGTCTCTCCACTGCCATTTTGCGACCTGCGGATACTATCGGCGACGAATCGAGGGCAGTCTTCGCCGCATCCAAGGTCGATCATCTTCCAGATGGCGTATTTATCGGCTGTCCTGAAGATGACGACTTGGAGTCGACGGTCTCTCGACCTTCGGAGTGTTTCTACGTATTCCGGAAATGGGAATCGTTCGTCTTCGGCTCGAGGGTCGTGGTCGTCGAATCGTCCAAGTCAAGATCACACTCTGCGCGTGCGTTACGAAATCTCAGGGCGCACATATCCGCAGCATCCCTCCACCATGCAATAATCATACTCGTACATCCTGAACTCTTTCATTCTTGACTATTTCTTACGTCCTGCTGTTGTGTGCGTGGTCTTCTCTTCCGCTCTTCTTTGCGCCATCCTCGGTCTCCCTTGGAGTCATTCTCTTTCTCCCCCCTTTGGCCCCGGTCCACGGAATCAAAGCAATACACGATACGTCGCCAGGCTATGATGAATATGGGAACACCTGCACGAGATGCAAAAGGTTCTTGATGACCTGAGTGAAGTGAGAGAGGCAATGAAAGTAGAGGTGAGGTTGGGCGTAGATTCCGGGAAGAGTGGGTCCGTCGTCCCGTCGGCTTGTGCTATGCAGCAACGTGGACGCTTGACGATGGTGGCATAACATTGTTCCAATACTCAACCTGTTTTAAACGACACCTGCTGAACGACACTGGCAACAGTCAGCTGTACACTGGATATTTGATACACCTCCGGAACCGCATGAAAGATCCGACACCCTCACGACGCGAACACGAAAAGCCCAGCATCCTGCGCTCCACCGCAGCCCCTCGACCCTCGACCCATGGCAAGAAGATGAGGAACTGTAGAGAACCTTGCGCATATAAATGATACGACCTCATTCTCCATGTCCTGGAATCTGCTCGAGCGTTTCATCGAGTCCGAACACTTCAACAGAGACCCGTCGCTCACTGTCGCATACCTTGCGTGAGGCCTCCCCTACTCATCGCTCCACTCACCCAGGACACGCGCTGATGCGATGACAGTCGGTATTCCGAGCACGTCGGTATCCACTATGTGCTCTGCTCCAAGCTGCGAGGCTTCAGCTACGAGGAGATTGAGTTCTTCCTCCCGCAAATATGCCACTTGGTCATCTCCATCGATAATGAATCGATGGCGCTGGAGGAGTTTCTCATAGACCTCTGCGAAGAGTCCGTCAACGGGGCACTGCTTGTGAGGATGCTCCAGTGTAAGGAGAATCATGCGTGCGCTAATATGAAGTAGACATTCTGGCTTCTCCAAACGTACCTTCACGATCTCTCGAGTCAACCCACATCGAACGCCTTCCAGACCTGTCGCCGACTGTACAATAAAGTGCAAAGGATTGTATTTGGAAGCGGAGAACCCTTGAGAAGAGAAAGGATACAAGAGAATGTCCTTCCTGTGACGGTATTGTCGAGTCTGGTGCTGGCTGGAATTGGGTTTCCCCTCCTCCCACAACATGCCGGACCTTTGGCAATTGCTCAAGCAAGGAGACCGCGCCCTATTGAGGATACCATATCAGATGCAGTTCCAAGTGCACAGAAGATTGGGAGGAGCGCAACAGTCACTGGAACCACGACAGCGTCAAAAAAGGGCCGTCCAGAGTCTGCAGACCCAAGGGACCCAGTCCGGCGGAAAACAAGAAGACCAGTGGAAGTAAGGACGAATGGTGTCCACGCGACTGCATCTCAGCCTAGTACACCAGGTCTATCAGAACCTCCAACACAAAGTCGCAAGCCGTCATGGCACTCCCAACGAGCTTCGTTGGGTGTCTCGAAGAGTACGGAGGGCTTCACAAGTACCTCTTCTCTCCCAGATCAGCATTCGAGGAAGTCGAGCAATCCACCCATGAGTTTGCCTGCAGCTCCAGGCGTTCCTCGACGAATAGCAGGCGACATCCCTCGACGACACTCGCAAGTAATGCGCCCTTCAACGCCAGCGACCATGTCGAGGAACGCAAAGATTCGAGCCTTACGACAGAACTATTTCCGAAGCGAAACACTGTTCCTGACTGCACTCGAAGGGATTTCCAACCGTCTTGTCTCAGTGCCTAAACCAGCACGACTGAGTGCATTGCGAGCTGAGCTGGGATTGATCGCTCAGGACCTCCCCGCAGAAGTGGACATTCCATTGATCTGCCCGGCGACTTTGGTAGATGGTACCGCAAGTAAAAGTCGACATCACCGAATCGTAAGGCTGAATCCTGCCGAAGCAACCAGCTTGAACAGTGCAGAAAAGGTGCCATATCTTCTCATGTTAGAAGTTCTGCGGGAAGACTTTGACTTCGACCCCGAGAGCCAGCAGAATCAGGAGCTACTGGCCAAGATTTTGTCAGAGAAAGGCAAGCAAAAGCGGAGACTCTTTGATACCACAGATGCGGCCAGAGAAGCTGCGATCACATCGCCTCAAGAACCGGTACCGAATGACAGCGTTTTGGAACCCACGACGGGAGATTTGTCTAGCGCTTCACTACTACAGGATCTTGAAGAGAACTCGAAGAAGCAGGACAGTCCACGATCTCGGCCTCAGCAAGGAGGCTCACGAGAGCCTCCTCGACTTTCCAGCGGAGTCAGCACCATATCTACTGGCACCAGCCTCACGACACCGCGCAATTCTGATGGACAAGGAAGGGCCAGCAGCGGAACATCACCCTACCTCAGACCCCAGAATCCCACGCAAGCAGACGTCTCAGCACTTGCAGACCATATGCGAACAGCGTCACAAATGCTTGCGCAGTTGGAGCTTAGCGCAGCGAAACGACCCAAAGCGGAAGTTGCGGCCATTCGAGGCAAGATCATCGCGAGCATGCAGTCTCTAGAAGAGCAGAGCTTTTTGTCGGAAGATGTTGCGCAAGGTCCAAGCTTCGAAACCATCATGGCCAAAGCCGGTGCTTCTGCATCGGAGACAGAAGACTTTGTGGAAAGCATGGACGGTGCGACGGACCCAAAGCTCAACACTGGCAAAGGTGCAGATCGAATGGAGAACGATGCCATGACTGGTGGTATTCAGCGAAAGGGGGACCGAGACGATCCTTCTGCTGCCACATTTGGTGAAGCTTGGGAAGAGAAGAAGGAGCGTATCCGGAGATCCTCGCCTTACGGTTGGATTAAGCACTGGGATCTGGTGTCGGTCATTGTCAAGACGGGTGCCGATCTCAGGCAAGAAGCCTTCGCATGCCAACTGATTGAGGTCTGCTCCAAGATCTTTGCCGAGCACAATGTCGATGTGTGGGTCAAAAACATGCGGATTCTGGTGACTGGCGAAACGTCCGGCCTGATCGAGACCATTACCAATGCCGTTTCGCTGCACTCGTTGAAGCGATCTCTGACACTCGCCTCAATTGCGGCAGGTACTAACCCCAAGAAGCGCATAGCCACCCTGCAGGACCACTACACCAAAACCTTCGGTGCCACGGACTCTGCTGCCTACGCCAAAGCCATCGACTGCTTCGTACGCAGCTTGGCAGCATATAGCATCATCAGCTATGTTCTCCAGCTCAAGGACCGACACAACGGCAACATTCTCATCGACTCTTACGGTCATGTCGTTCACATTGACTTTGGATTCATGCTGTCCAACTCACCAGGCAACATGGGATTCGAAGCTGCACCATTCAAGCTCACGTTCGAATACGTGGAACTGCTCGGAGGCGTCGAAGGCGAAGCGTTTTTGAAGTTCAAAGAATACATGAAGGACGCGTTCCAAGCACTACGACGAGAGGCCGAACGCATAGTCACGCTGGTAGAACTCATGGGCAGGGAGAGTAAAATGCCGTGCTACGGTGGCGGACTGGCGAACGTCATCTCAGCTCTGAGGGCACGCTTCGTCCTGGAAAAGAGCAAAGAAGAGGCTCGCGACTGGGTGGAAGATCTGGTTGCGAAGAGTGTCGGCAGCTACTACACTCGACTGTACGATACGTTCCAGTATCGCACGCAAGGGATCTACTAAAAAAGCAGGAGGGATTTTGGGGCGTTGGCTTTCGAGCGATGGACTGCATGCATTTGGATGGGTGTTTGGGTAGATGGGGTTGAATAGAGCCGTCTTGAGGCATCATCTGAATCGATGCGTGTACGATCCTGTAGCTACTTCGTCCTTCGTCTCTCGCAGAGGTGAGACTCGTTTGGCAGACCACTTCCTGTGCAGAACTCAACAGCAACGTGTTGGCCGTGTCACATGCGATCCTGCAGCTCCACCTCCAACCCCGCTGGAGCACGAAGCTTCCACTCTGCGAGCAAAAAGTACGGCGCCGAGCGGAACACTTGCCCTGACCCAAACTGCAACCCATCAAGGTTCGACGTAGAGTTCGAAAGTATCAGGACACGTGCTCCGGTGAGTGAATTGCAGCAAAGAGTTAATCAAAAATTGAGTAACCGCCGGACATGGAAGGCCGCTGGGAAGACGAGGGATGACGCATGTCTGCCGGGCTGTGCTGCCGTGCGCTCACTCAGACTGCATCACCCTTCGAGCAGGCAAGCAAGCAAGCAACTCGAACGAGCCTGAACTTGTGCCACGCTACGCTTGCGACACCTGCTGCGCCTTTGCTGGGTTGTTTCATCTCTCCCTCTTCTACAACTTTCTCCTTCTTTGCTTTCGCCATTGATCGCTGAGTTTGCCTCCTTGACAATTGGACATCTGAGCTGTTGGCTTTTTGACCTCACGCATTGGACACTTTCTTTCGACCGACCGCCAAGATGAAGTCGGTGCATCGCTTGGGCGGGAAGATGATGAAGCGGTCCGCGGACCAGCAGGATGTGGGCGCTGTCATTGCCTCGTTCAAGGCGACGGATGAGATGCTGGATCGCGTGAGTCGAGCATGTCTCTTGGTTGGAGAGCAATTGGCTGACCCAATCCCAGATGATCAAGGACCTCAAGACCTGGCGAAATGGCTGGGATGATATCCTCAAGCTCCAGTACGATGCTTCAGAGGCTTTCGCCAACCTGTACAAACCCATCGAACCTGCAACCTACCCTGAACAACGCCGTAAGCCAGCCGAGACGCCCCAACAGTACATGCAGAAATGCCTCGCCCTGCAGAAGATGTACTCGGACATGAAGCAAGATCTGCAGCAAGAGATCAGCATGATCGATAATAAGCTCATTCGTCCTGTGGATGAGGCGAAGAGGGCCACGAAAGCTCTACAGAAGACGTTGAAGCATCGGGAGAATATGAAGCTGGATTATGAGCGGTACTTGAGCCGTGCGGAGCATGCGAGGAAGAAGGCGGCCAAGTCGCCGAAGGACGAGGCCGCGTTGGAGAAGCACGAGAGTGATTTGACGCAGGCGCAGATTGACTACCAGACGGCAGACGATCAGGTCAAGCAGACGTTTCCGCCTGTTACGGACGCGGTGTGCAGCCTGCTGCCGTATCTGTTGGCGATCCAGGTCCAAGTGCAGACGACGTTGGTGGGACAGATTTATACGAGTCTGGATGCGTACTGCAAGAAGCATGGAATGCCTTCGCCGGCTCCCAGTGATGCGGAGATCATTAGCAGGTGGGATGGGGAGTTTACAGGTCTTCGAAAGGAGCTCGAGGAGGGTATCACCCTTCTCGCTGGTGGCAAGGCGAAGAATCAGGCTATGAACGTGCCGGATAAGGATGGCAGCACATTGACGGGGTTGGGGCTTCGAAACAAGGCTGGTCTGCATTCTACGCATACATCGGACAAGGATGGCAGTACTATGACTGGTCTGGGAATTAGAAACAAGACCATGGGCCTGGCACATCGTGCGAAGGGGGACAGCTCACCGCGCCCTCCGACAAACGGCAGTACATACGGTGGTGGGAGCACTCATCACTACCAAGAGGACGACGAGCTGGCACCACCGAAGCCACCGAGACCAAGCACGGGCTCACCAACGCTCTCCCCCGGCATCTCCATGACCAACAATCCACGCATGCCATCCTACTCCAACAACAACTACGACCAAAAGCCCACCAACTTCATGCCCTCGATGCCATCACAGAACCCACCTCCCTACACGGAATCCGTCAACAGCACTCCACCCTCCCACTACCGCACCCCCGTAAACGGCAACTCCCCAGACCCGTCCCACGCCGCCGGAAATGACTACTTCGACAACAAGAACCCGCGCCCCTCCGCCTCACGAGCCTCCAGCGCCGCCAGCATCGCCGCAGCCGCCAAGAAGAAGCCTCCACCCCCTGTCCCCGTCAAGCGGATCCCTAGTCAGCAAGGCCAGTTCGTTACGGCGTTGTATGATTTTGACGGCCAGAATGATGGGGATTTGTCGTTTCGGGAGGGAGATAAGATTCGCGTGGTGAAGAGGACGGAGAGTACGGATGATTGGTGGGAGGGGGAGTTGAGGGGACGGATGGGGAGTTTTCCGGCGAATTATGTGCAGGTTTGAAAGGGAATTCTTTGATCGAGAGAAGTAGAAGGGGAGTAGGTTGGTCGTACAGGTGATTAGATGAAGTTATAGGGTGGATGTTGCTTTGGGTAGCTCGAAGTAGAGGACGGAGTAGTGACTGAAGGATTGAACTCACGTTTCTGTGAATGATTGGATATTCCTTTGTCTTTGTATTTTGGCAGTACCGTGGTTGTCGTGGTTGGATTATCCGGCAGTTCGCTTTTAATGCAGCCTTCAGGCATGTCATCATGCAGGATTCATGTGCGGCAGCAAGCTCGAGCACGTTTAGCCAAGACGTTTGACAGCTCCACGTCCTACCTAGGTACCATCCAAGCAAACCCACCACAAACTCCACCGAAAGGCCATGTGAGCGATTGATCGATACTCCAAACACCCATTGAACCTCACCGCGCCGCCCTAAACCACGACCCTCCTCCGCCGCTCCACCCCCCGGCTTCTCTCCGCCCGACAATGGCATCCTCCAGCAACATCTCCGAATCATCTCCCCTCCTGCCTTCCGAGAGCAGCTCATCGCGCCCCGTACCACCAGCGAAGCCCGTCCGCAATGTCACCTTCAACCCGCAGGTCTCGACTGCCAGCCCACCCAAGCGACGACCCGCTTTCCCTGCGCAGGCCAACAATGCGAATCCCAGCGTCGGCACTGCAGCCATCTCGACATCGACATCAGATCGGCCAGGTCCTCTCTCCGCTCTTAACAGCAAGCTGAGGAGAAGGAATAGCTCTGGCGCGGCTCTGCAACTCCCTCCATCACATCCAATCTCGAAGATTGGACCGCAGCGGACGACGCGCACGGCGCAGAAACTGAAACTTTTACCGAATCCGGATGTCGCAGAAGACGGGCCTGATGAGGAGAGTGGGAGGGATGTGTATAGTCAATTTACAAGGATAAAAGACCCTACTGCGAGACGCGATGCGGCGCGGTTGGGCAAGGAGGATCGCGCGAAGCTGCCGCGGGTGACGGCGTACTGCACGGCGAGTTCGTACAGGATTGAGGAGTTGATGCGGTTTTTGAAGGGGAGGATGAAGACGAAGAGCACGAGTCCGAAGTTGTTTGATGAGTGTCTTTACACGCCTTATTCATACCGGAAAGAGGGCGGGGGCTCGAGGAGGAGACGGATGAGCAGGGAACAAGAAGAGGAGGAGGAGAGGGAAAGAGAGGGGACGTTGGCGACGGTGCAGTCGCAGCCGCAGAGGAGGTTCTCGGATAGCGCGTTGGAGGTGGACGAGAATGCCGAGAGGAGGAGGGAGGATTTGATCGATTTGAATACTACAGAGGCGAACGAGTCTGCGATCGAGATGGGCGAGTCTAGTCAATCAGCTGCGCTAGATGATACGGTGATATCGACAGAGTCTGCCGAGCAACCCATACAATCGACGCCGGACCTAGACACGACGGTGCACGTACCGGAGGTTTTCCTCTTCGAATACGGCGTCTGTGTGATATGGGGCATGACGCTGAAGGAAGAGCAGCGATTCCTGAAGGAGATCTCCAAGTTCGAACAGGAAAAGCTGAGCAAGGACGATGTGCAGACGGAGGAGTTCAACTTTTACTACACGAGGGAGTATCAGGCGAGGATCTATAATGACTTTATCTCGTTGAGGGAGAAGAGGAACTATATGACCAAGTTGGCGATTAGCCATGCTTTGGCGCAGAGTACGAAGGTGAGTACAGCCGACAACTTTCGGAAGGCTACACTTTTTGGACTGGAAGTGTGCTAATTCGCGATAGACCTCGCTCTACGAAGACCTCGTCGATGCCACCATCTCCACGACCCAGAACATCCCCTCGCAAATCGCCACCACGGGCCGCATCAACCTCACCCGCAAGGAAATCAACATGCAAATCGGCGAGCTCTTCATTTTACGGATCAACATCCACCTGCAAGGATCTGTCCTCGATGCTCCCGAGCTCATGTGGGCGGAACCGCAGCTCGAGCCGGTATATCAGGCTGTGAGGAGTTATCTGGAGATGGACCAGAGAGTTGCACTCTTGCAGGAACGGGTGGGTGTTATTGCGGACTTGTTGGCGGTGTTGAAGGATCAGTTGAGTCATACGCATGGTGAGTTGGCCTTTTATTTGCAACGAAGAATGGCTTTACTAATGATGTGGTTTTGCAGGCGAATATCTCGAGTGGATCGTGATCGTGCTCATCGCGGCAGAGATTCTGGTCGCGGCGATAAATATCGTGGTGGATTTGTATGCTGGTGTCGACTAGGCCGCCCCGTTACTGCTTCTTCGTACACTGAAAGACAGAAGGACATTGTAATGGGTTTTGAAGGTAGATGTTGAGGAATATGTACAAAAATGGGAAAAGAGGGTTGTGTGAATGGGAAGATGTCATCGCTTTCTCAAGCAGATCTGTTGATGGACGGTGATTACTGACTTTACATGAAATGAAGATGCGGTGTTTGACCTCAGGCAGCAGCTTCAAACGACCAGCGTCGATGGATCTTATACGAACAGACCTATCGAAAGAAGTCAGGTCGACGACCAGCAAGCAAGTAACGAGGAGGTAGACCATCGCGATAAACTTTCGGCAATATCGAAGAGCTGAACTGGAGCTGAAATGCCGCGCACCTATTTCAAAAACTTCGTAGGTCCTTTGTTCCCCTCCTGCTCTTTTCCAAGCCAATTTGCAAGGTACATCAGCCATACGGAATCGAATCAACGCGATGGATACTTCCACTTGTAGAGTCGGGAAACGCCCTCGCGCGGTTAACAAGTCGTGTCTGCCTTGTCGTGCTCGCAAGGTTAAGTGCGATGCTAATGTTATTGGACTTCCGTGTAGCAGCTGTACTAGCAGGCAGTGTACCGAGGGTTGTTTGTTGCCGGTGAGGAAAGCGAGGACTAAGTGAGTTGGTGGTTGATTAGACAGGCTTTGAGGTCGAGGGCTGATATCCCTGGGCCTTTGCTAGGAAAGTCGCGAATGTCCTTCCGACTCCTACTAGTCATGTATGTCCGAGCTGCTGCTCCTCCTCTCCAATCGTTGCTAACATCAGGCTGACATCTGGCAAGACCACCGACGTTCGCGATACACCCGACAGTAGCCACTCGCATCCATCGAGGCAATCTTCCATCTCGGATTCTCAGGATGACCAAAGTACACGCCAACAGACTGAGCGAGATCTGCTGTACCTTAACATCCTGGGCGAGGCTGTCAAGGAGCCGAAGAGATCCAGTCGACGTCATCCGGAAGAGGTCCTTACTCCGAGGAATTGTCTTTGGACCAGGCTGCCTCAGTTAGATGAGGTTGACAATGAGTATCTGCTGAGGAAGGGTGTCTTTGACCTTCCTTCCCAACCCTGTTTGTAAGTGCAAAGCTACTTAGTCTTCGGCCTTGTCTCTACTTACAGCAAGCCAACAACAGAGACGCCCTCATCAAAACCTACTTCGAATACGTCCATCCTTTCGCCCCCGTAATCAACAGGGTCGACTTCATCCGCGGCTACCAATCCGGCGACTGCTCCTTACTCCTCTTACGCACCATCCTGACAGCCGCCAGCGTCCACGCTCCCGCAGATGTGCTCTCCGCCTGCGGATTCGCCAGCCGCTCAGATGCACAGGAGTCTTTCTTCACCACGGCCAGGCTGCTGCATGACTTTGCGGTGGAAGATGATCTGCTGATGCTGCAGGGTTCGATCATTCTTTGCATGGTTATACTTGACCATCCGACGGAGTGGGATTTTGGGTATTGGCTGCATAATGCGATTCGGCTGGCTACGAGGCTGGATTTGAGGACTGTGTACGTTCTTTGTTCTATGAATCGGTCTCTTCTGATCTGGTTCGCCCGTGCTGACGTGGACGTGGTAGATGCATTCGAGAAATCAAGTCACGCAAGATTTTGAAAGTGTACAGAAGGATTTGGTGGGCTCTTTACGTACGTTCGCTCTCCCTTTGCTGCGTGCTGTCAGTGCTCTTCGACCTTCGTGCTGACAATACCTACGAAGTCATTGGATGTCTTCCACGTCTACGTCAATACCAGACGTATGCGACTACTCGAAGACGCGACCGGTATCAAGCCCCGCTCGGACGAGGACTGTGAAACGGACGACGACGACTCAAACGCATCTCCCGGCCTGCTTTCAGCGCTCACGCTGCAGCAAAAGATGGCGCCAATCATCCAATCCGACCTGTGTCGTACCGCTGGAGAATGCCTATCCACGGCCATCAACAAGCCGCAGCAGTCTCCACGCAACGTCCTCCAGCCAATGGATACATGGCGCAAGTCTCTCATAACCCGGCTGCATTTGGATGAGAACGCCGGTAACGACTTGTGCTACTTGCATATCCAGGCTATGAGCTACAGGTTTGAGTGCATAGTGTGTCGACTCATACTGCGGCAGCGGTCTCGAAGCGCCGATGGGAAGGAGTGGGCCAAGCAGAGGCTGCGAAGTGCTATACTGGAGCTCGACACGATTGCCATGAGGGTGCTGGCGAGTGGCACTCTCCAGGACTTCCCTATATCTTTGTAAGTGCCATCCATCGCCCTCATCCTCTCTCGTCTATAATCTCCTCAACGCCTGATCTAAACTAACAACGGTCCTCGCCAGCATAACAACCATAACCGCCCTCCTCGCCCTGCACATCGAATTCGCCCTCGACCCCGCCGAAACCGACCTCGTCCGCTCCATGTCCCGCATCTCCATCAGCCAGACCATGCTCGTCCTAACCGAGGGCCAAGAAATCCCCGTCCTCAAGAGAGCCCTCCCGATCTTCGAGGAGATTCTCACGAAGAAGAATCTGTACGTGGTCGGTCACGCACCTCCACTTCCACAGCAGGGGCAAGATGCCGGTGTGGCGGATCAGAGGGTTGGGGAGCTTGGTGATAGTGGGCTGCAGCTGGGTCAGGGGGAGATGGATTCGATGCTTTTTGATGCTGATTTTTTGGGGTTGGATTTTTTGGATGGGTGGTCGGTTGGGCAGGTGGGGTTTTTGGGGCAGTATTGAAGGAGGATTGTGTTTCATGTGGCGATGGGTGGACCTGGCTACGACGTTCAGGTTTGGTCTGCAGTGGATGCTGCGTCCGGGTCTACAATGTACTTTGGGCGATTGCAGCACCAATCGTGGGTTGACGATGCATTTTCTTTCTCATGAGCGAGAGCTTTCTTCAACATCGGAGGATGGAGGAGGGGGTATGTCTCGCGCATGAGAGTGTTGTGGAGGCACAGACCATGCCGCCTACTAATCCGAGAATCCAGCGCCAACTTTTTGCTTCTGCTAAGAAGGAGCCACCGACCTGTCCTTGGGATTCGTTTGCCATCCCCCCGAGAAACAGGTATTTGTAAGGTCACAAATCAAGCGCCGGGTCCCCAAAACAGCGCACAGGAGGACAAACTCGCGGTTCATGCCCCTGGCCTCCTTTTCGAAAGAGATCCGCCACAGGAACCCCGGTAGTCGTCCTCCAACTCATCTCGAATGCACTTGTCATGCTCCTCAACATCAAAAGAACCTCGTCACTCTCCACGAACATCCCGGTATAGGCTTGGTCGAGGACTGAGGAGTCGACGTGTGGATACTCAAGACTAGGGGGTTGATTGGAAATGTATTTGGGGTGGGAGCTTCATTTTGTCGAGAATTTCCTCGTCGGTGACCGTGATTTGCGTTGAGATGGCCATAAGCCGATTGCCAGTTGGTGAAGGGAAGAAGAAAACAGCAGCTGTGTGTAAGTGTTTTTCAGACTGCGCCCGCTATCTTGCGCACACGGCGACACGTTTTTCGTGAGTTGACGATGTGAGGGATGTATGTTGCACTTCTGAGGAGAGAACCTCGGGGTTTTAGAATGGTGGTATTTGCGCGGCGTTATCTTCGGGGATATAGATATGAAATAAAGTAGAGCTAATGCATTTGGTACTGCCAACCTAATCATGGAGTGATAGATTAAGTAGCGAAAACGTGTACCGCTCGACCGTCCATACCTACCAGAAGTCAGTACATCTCTCAACATCACGGCGCTTCCTCTCACGCTGGCAAGATGCTCATGACGCTCAAACAGCTCCCAACCTATACAAAACGGACACAGCGTCTTCGGGCCATTCGCCAGGATTCTCTTCGTTCCCGAAGAGAGTGTTCTCCTTTCTGTGGTATATCTCCACGTTTGGCGACGATCACTGTTGACTGCGCGGGGCTTGAGGTGGCATTGTTGGAAGTAGTTTCGTGGGGAGTTAATGTTCCCCTTTCGCTAGCACGGCTGGTTGGTGTGATAGTAAGTGAATGAGTGAGGGTATGTGTGAAGGGAGAAGTAAAGGCAGAAGTAAGGGGATGAGAAGGGGTAAGTAAAGGCATAGGAAAGAATCATAAATTATGGGCTGGCATCCCGAGAGCCGAAGTCATACTACGCTGCGTTTATACTTGCAATTCTCATGGTCTATTTGCCAACCCGAAGATAGGCTGCAGATACTCTCGTAGGCTTCTTGGCTTTTTACGTTTACTTGGAACTCCACTTGTGCTTTTACTTGTGCGTTCGCTTCTGCCTTTACTTCTGGCTTTGCTGAACTCTTTACTTGACCCTTAACTTATCCCCCTAATCATCCCTCTACTTGACCCTTCACTCAACCCTTACTTTTCGCTTCACATGTTCCCTCACTTGTCCCTTTACTTGTCCCTTTACTTGTCCGCTTACTCGTCCCTTTACATGTCCCTTTGCTTGTCCCTTCACTTATCCCTCTACTTTGACACTGCACTTAACCCTTTACTTTATCCCTTAGTTTTCCCTTCACATGTCCCTTTACTTATCCCTTTACTAAACCACTTACTTGCCCCTCTGCCTATTACCTCACTCTCCGCTTTACTTATCGCTTCGCTTCTGCCCTTACTTGCACCCTTACCTGATAAGATCAGCGAGCTCTATGGAGTGCTTTAAGATCTTGTTGATGTGGCGAATGAAATGTCGAGGTCCTGCTTGGAAAAGTGCTCTGTGTCCCACCGGCAGCTCGCCAACTATCTAATCAAACCTGCGACCGCGGGCGTGGTCATGTTCGGAGTTCGAGAGATAGAACGTATTGTCACATACACCCTGCCTTGAGCGGAGGGTAGAGGAGAGGAAAATCCTGCTCTCACATGAAGTTCTAGTTCCTTCCTGATTCGGAATTAGTGCGCGCTAGCTCGGCTTGGCGCCGGCAACGGTCGTCAGGGTCCAAGACGACAGATTTCAAGCGCGTCTTGCAGCGCGTCTTCCTCTCCAGACAAACACCTCACCATGGATGTGGAGAAGGCCGCTCGCGCCTTCAAGGCGTCGCTTGTTAGCGATCTTCACGCCGAATATGAAGACGACGCCGCCCAGCTCCGGGCGCAATATGAGGAGAGGCTCGCCATCATGAAAGCGCACCTCAATGTGGATATCGAGAACTTGGAGAAGGGGTTGGCCGACGATCCTGTCGCGTGGATGGCGAAGTACTATCCAACGAAGACCTCTACCGCCACCCAAGTCGCGACGGCGAAGAAACGCGACAGGTCCCCGGCGACAAATGGCATCGTCTCAGCCATCGACGGAGCTGCTGACGAGCAACCACCAAAACGTGGCCGTCTCTCCGAGCCAGTGATCCCTGACCATAGCACCGACACACGTCCAAAGCGCACAGTGCGACAGGCGCCGAGCAGGGACTACGAGGACATCACTAATAGCGCACCACTCAACCTTCCAGCACCCACAGCATCAGATGAGCCCACCGACCTGCAATTCGCCGCTTACCTCCTCACCAACCTGTGCAACCCGCACCTGCACGCCATCAACCATCCCTTCCTGAGCCCCGTGTCCGTGGCCAGCTGCCCAGATTACCACGGCACCATCAAGAATCCCATGGATCTCGAGACCATGTCCGTCAAACTGAGCGGCGGCAAGTACAGCTCATCGGAGGAGATGAAGAAGGATTTCGAACTCATGATTCAGAACTGCAATGAGTACAACCCCGTCAACCACCCGATCCGCGACTGCGGCATTCGGCTGAGGCGGTACTTCGAGGAGTGGTGGAATGGGAAGGAGAGGTGGGAGAGGGCTTTTGCGAGGGAGGTGGCGATTAAGCAAGCTGAGAAGGAGTTGGAGGAGGAGGACGACGACGAGGACCATACTGAGGATGGAGAAGAAGATGATGAGGTTGATCCTCTGCTGCTGAACGCGGTACCTACTGGTGATCGTGAGATTGATGCTCAGGCCCAGAAGCGTTTGCGCGAGGAGATCGCGAAGATCAAGGCTAGAGGCGATCGCCGTGAAGCGAGGGAGATAGAGAAGGCGGCTGAGGGCGCAGGAAAGCTTTCCTGATGGTTGAGAGGTGCAAAACAGATCAGGGTGGTTCACTGGGCTATGGAGAAGAGCAGCGCAGGGATGAGGGTGCACACGGGTCTGAACACCAGACGAGAGAGTTCGACGACAACACGTGTGGTGGTAGATCCTGCGATAGCCAGACTCGATTGACGTGAAACTGAGCTCCAATCGTTCCAAAGCTTCATTCACTGTATGTGACCTGCAGCGCCGCCGCATACATTTATTCGAAAGAGTCCGCCGTCCCCTTCCTCTCAATATCCTTCGTGGCATCCCCACCCTTACTCGTCACATACAAAAAGTACGGCTCCTTGAAGTTATCCACGTGATTAAAGAACCGTCCAAACTCATTCTTCTCTTCCTCCTCGCGGAAGATTCGCTGATAGATCTCCCTCTCCTTGAAAGCCTCCAGCTCCTTCTCGTACTTTGAGAACTCCAACTTGTCTCGGCCATGCTTTGTAGCTTGGAGATTGTTGTAGCTGTCGAAGACCGGACGCTCGAGAAGGAGGCCTAGACCGGGGACTTTGGGGATGGAGTAGCGGCTCTCGGTGAATGAGTCGTCCATGGTTTCCATTTTGCCGCCGCTTCGGACCAGCAAGGTGACCATGCCGATCATCTTGCGGATTTGGTGCATCATAAAACTTTGGCCGTGGACTTTGAGACTCAGCCATTCGGTCTTCTCTTCGTCTGCGCCGTCGCCGATTAGGATTGGTTTCTTGTTGGCCACGAATGACTTGATGTGGCGTTTGCTGCTCGGGTCCTTGAAAGTCTTTTGGATGGTGTAGTTGTGGTAGTTCTTGGTACCAACGTACTTGTCCAAGGCCTCCTGTATCCGCTCGATGCGTTTCTCCGGGATGCGGTAGCGGCGCTTTGCTGAGATGTACGCATTACGAAGACGTTTCGTGGCAGCGCGCAGGCGCAAGATGCGTTCGGTAGCGGGATCCGCAGATGGCTGTGCTTCCGCGACAGATTCAGTCACAGACGCTTCAGGGGCACCTTTCTTCTCGGCGCCCTCAGCGGCGTCAACAGCCGGCTCGTTGATGATAATGGCGGCCTCTTCAGTAGTCTCCTCTGCGGGCTCTTGTGCATCATCACGGTTTATACTTTTGCCAGTCTTGACAGGTTGGTCCACGTCAGCATCTGCTTTGGCTGACTTGGCACTGGCTTCTTCCTCGCCTTGCAATGCCTTGACCACATCCCATCTGATATCCTCATCGATCGTTTCCAAGATTGGCTTGATGTCTTCCTCATCGACTCTCTCCCAGAATCCTTTTACCTCTTCTTGACGACTGTCATAGCCCTCTCGATCGCTTACTTCGTCCGCGCAAGCCTCCATCTGCTTGGCAAGCCAGCTACTTGGGTGTGGTGGCAGAAAGGCATGTGACGGTATTAGGTATTCGTACCATCTGCTGTCACAAGCTTGGTAGCATGAGAAGCTGCCGATCGTGCGCTCAATGCCCCACACACGGATCTGCGGGCTGAGCTCGGCGTTGATCCTCTCCACAATGTCGTCGTCTTCGACAATAAGCTTCAAGCTGATCATGTTTCCTGCTGCGTGAACACCCTTGTCTGTTCTGGCGCACCTGACCAGGCTGCTCTTCTTGGGATCTTCTGCGTTGGCCTTGCTGATCGCGCCTGCTTTGACGAACGCTTGAAATAAGTCGCCTTCGATGGTTCGCTCGGTTCCTGATATCTGCATTCCCTTGTAACCAGTTCCAGAATAACCAATGAGCACAGCTACTTTTCGCTTCGGCTTTCGTTCTTCCGCATCAATCTCCTCCTTGGAGAACTGAATGCCCTGTCCTGCAGCACCTTCTCTCAGTCGCCTCTCTTGTGCCTCTTCGTTCTTTTTACGCTTGTCTGGATTGCTCGCGCTTCGGTCAGAGTCAGTCTCACTCACGATATAACATTACTGCGGCAGTGTCTCGACGTACAAATACTCTGCTCTTCCCATATCGCCCTTCTTATGCCGCTTACTGTCGTTACGTCCACCTCGTGACCCGTGTTGCATGTTCTTGTCGTGAAAGTTGCCCTTTCTCTTGTTGCGACGGCCGTAATTGTTGGATCTATCCTCGTCGCCTTCATCTGATCTCTTCTCGCGGGACTTGCTCGACTCCGCAGCGTCTGGACCTGGCGCCGATTGTGCAGCGCCTTCGATGGCGTTTTTCGCATCTTCGAGAATCGCAGTGGAGTGCTCCATATTGACGAGCACTTGTTCATTGAGTGGAGATGGATGTAAGTGGTCCTCGAGCGCAAATTCAGTGAGGTTGGCCGATTCGATTTAAGCTTCAAGCTTGGGCCAGGGCGCCACGCGACGATCTACGCGGAGACGGGACCAGCCGCTGCGACTTCATCAGCAGCGCCTTCCTCCATCCGTTTGCGACTCTCTTTGTCTGGTCATCAGTACCGCTTCACTGCGCGTGCTGAACACACTCTCACACTCACTTCCAAGCTACGCATCATATACACCTCTTCTACTTCAACCACAAACTCGTGCTCCTCGACATCCTCCTCCAGCGTCTGAACATTCCATCAACATGGCTGAACTCGCGACTCAACTCATCCGCACCACGGTGCGGACCTTCTATACCGTCGATCAGATCCTCGTCATCGATGCGCTTGTGATTCACTCCACCCTCTCCGACACCGACCTTGCTGCTGTTCTCAACATGCTGCCGAAAACCCTCAGAAAACATTGTGGCCGCCTGAAGGAAGATGGTCTCCTCAGTATCCACACCCGAGCAGAGCGTCGAATAGACCAGGCGCCCAGCTTCCACGGCAACAATCCACAGACTGGCAAGGAGCGACTGACGAATCGAGACTGGTACTACCTCAACTATCACCGCGCCATCGACAGCATCAAATATAGGATGCACAAGCTGAACAAGCACATCGACAGCTTGGGCATGCCAACGACTGAGAAGAAGGACCTCTCCTGTCCAAGGTGCAAGAGTCAGTACACTGAACTGGAAGTGCTGGACAACCTCGACGAGTCCACGGGCCAGTTCCTCTGCCATCGGTGCAGAAATCCATTAGACGCCATCGAGGAAGAAGAGCGTGCGAACGAGAATGAGAGCATGAAGCGCTTGAATCAACAGTTTGAAAAGCTTCAGCAGCTACTCCAAAGTATCGATGCGGCTGCCGTGCCTGAGAACGACTTCGAGACTGCACTCGGCAAACAGAAGCCGATTCCAAGGACAGATGCTAATCCAGGAGCTAGGACGGAAATTGTCGACGTCAAGAACAAGAATCTGGAGAGCACCAAAGGTCTTGAGCTCAAGCCAGAAAAGATTGCTGTCCAGGTGCAGGACGATGAGGATGTGAAGCGCGAGAATGCGGCAGCGGAGGCTGAGGCGAGGAAAGCAAAGGAAGCACGCGCAAATGCGTTGCCAGAGTGGATATCGAGAAGTACGATTACTCAGGAGATCACGGCGGTGGGAGCGAAGGAGGAGAAGGAACGGCGAGAACGAGAGGCGCATTCCGGCGTTGTCAAAGACGATGACGGTGACGAGAAGAAACCGTCCGTCGACAATGACGACGTCATGGCAGCATACTGGAAGGAGTTGGCGGCAGCCAGGGAGAAAGAAGCGCAAGAAGCTCGTGACGAAGAAGAAGAGGACGATGATGACGAGGAAGACGAGTTCGAGGATGTTGATGTGAATGGTAGCGGCACTCCCGCGAATGGCGCAAACGGTACCGCCGCTACCTCAACTGGCATGAATACGCCTCTGAACGTCGAGAGTAGTAATGCCACGGACGATGAGAGAGAGGCGAAGCGTGCCCGACTCGATGAGCCGTCATCGTCAAATCTGGCGAACGGCGCGAACGGTCAAGCGGAGAAGGCAGCAGAAGATACCCCAGCGGCGAGCGATGCGGATGACGATGAGCTGGAGTTCCAAGATGTCTGAAATCGATCCTGGGGACTTGTTATTGGCGTGGCATCGCGCACTCCACAGCTATCGAATGCCTTTATCAAGAAAACACCGCCATTGACATTGTTGTGTGTCACGGATTGTGTTGAGCCCGAAGCGCCCTACGATGCAACGTCTCGTGCGAACATGTATACCAAAAGGCGTGACTGGGCGTTCGTGTGCGACCGTCAAGATCTTCATGAGCAGAGCGACGAAAGCTATGCGCAAGTTGGTGATCTGCACGACACGCCGTATGACAATTCAATCTTCTACCGAAAGCCGGGTCGCCTATTCCTCCGCCGAGCTAGATACCGCGAGCGGCCTCCCGTGCACCTACGAATTCATCACGAACGCGGCTAGTACCGCTGCGCCAAGCCTTGTCACGAGCACTCGCGGAGCCTCAGACACCTCATCATGCGAGTGGCTAGCTGTTTGTTTTAAAGTGTGGTGGCTGGGCCATAACACGGCTCTTATTGCATGTGGGAGCGTCGACCCGGTTCATCTTTTGTCGCCTCCCGACTGCTCCAAGCAAGCCCACCAATCCGCGGCATGCGTTGCCTTAGCGGCGTCTGGGCTTGCAGTCAGCAGCGCATCTGCATGTGTTACATGTAACTTAATCTTTGATGCACTTCAAGTGTGCCCAATCGCCCAGCGAATCATTACCGTAGCAACGTGGCAATGTGGACATTCGGGAATGTGGAAGCGCACCCTGTGCTGTGCAAGGCTACCGACCCCACGAACGGCGTCGACACGCTACAACGCCGTGTGCGGTCGCTGGGTGGTACGTTCGGGCGTCATCGTTGACCTTAATGCACGGAACAGGAGAACCGCTGTCTCTGCGCCTCGAGATTGAATCGGCCTGTCGGCCGTCTAGCTAGTCTGGAAACGTAGGCGAATATTGCGTACAGCAAACAGCAGAACTTCGGACTGCACTGCTTAGCGGTAATAACCACACCTTCGACAAGATCGTTACGTTCTTGCCGGCTATCATTAAAGTCCGGGTTGTTGGTTTTTAGACATAGCTGGGAGCCTCATTACAACTTCATCCACCTCACTGGTATCTCACGCGGCGTCAGGAATCTGCAACGCACCGCACCCAAAACATCGCGCATCACCTGCCACACGCTCTTTGCTCTCGCTGCTGCACTCACCGCCGAAAAGCCTGGTCTGTCTCTTGCTATCCGCCTCGATGCCCCCGATATAAATCATGCTCTCCCCATCACGTCTCCCTCGTTTCCCGTTCATCTGTTCGTTCTCTACACCAACTGCATATCGTGTAGACGTTCCTCTCGATCTTCATGATGAATCAACAAAACAAACACGTCGCCGATCAATCGTTCAACCAACATGAAACTCATCGCCGGTCCGACACATCACAGGCTTCCACCTCTCTGCCGCTCACAGAAACGAACCTCAAGGCGATGCAAGACGAACACAACAAAAACGTACGCTGTACCTCCCTGTTTGGAGGAGCCCGTCGTCCACTCAGGCACAAACGAGCACTTATTGACAAGCAACATCAGACGCCACAGAGCCATTGCAGCCCAGCCATCCAGGCATGGTTGGCTACACGCGAAGACAAGTTCACGTTTTGGATGAGCAACGGAGGGGAGAGAAGTAATGGTGGAGGACATTGAAGATACATCTACGCCGAGCAAAGAGGCGGATGCCCGTGTTGTAGAATCTTTTGGACCGAGCTTGCCTTCATTGTTTTCTTGACGTATTCGAGAGTGCAGTTAGTTAATCGTCGACCTAATATGTGGGTCAGTCTGATAATGAATTGAATGAGCCATATTGTCTACAGAGAAACCCCTTTGATCGCCATTTAATTCCACTCTTCTTCCGAATTGTATTTTTGCAGCGACTCGCCATCGGTGTAATGGAGGCTTGGACGAGAAGGCCTGCTGGAGAACCCACGACCGGCAAGGTCAGTATTAGCGAGCGCCAAGAGATTCCCAGTCCAGTCGAGAAGGCAAACGACAAGGCAAGCGGTATCTAGCGGGTGGCTGTGGCTGTGGCGTCCACCAAGTAGTTTTTGGAGCCTAGCCTACGGCGTATGCAACGTCGTGGCAACAACCACAGATGCATGCAAGTAGTGCTGCGGACCGATGCTGCCCCAGCAGACGTGTCGTAGACACATCGCACCCTAAGTTCGGTAATTGCAGGTTGCGCTAGCTGCAGCCTCTTGGGCTGGGGATGGACTAGTCGCATAGCTTGTAGCATGGATTAAGGCACAAGTTAGGTACAAATTGCGCTGCAGGTACAGGGCGTTGATAGCAGCGCTAGGCACAATGTTTGGGCACTCGCTGCACGGGCAAATTCTCTGCACGGGCAAACTCTCTGTACGGGCAAACTCCCTGCACGGCGGATGATCCCTTGCAGTCGCCATGCAGCATGTTCGACTTGTCATGGCTACGGGGTGACGCAGCTACCGCGACTTCAGTCGTTAGTTGAGCCACCTTGTTCCTCCGACTCCAGATTCGTGTCGCTGGGTACGCATTCAGCGCTCATGATTCACCTCGCTGAACAAATCTCTGCCCACATGGCCTCCCTCGAAGACAGCGACTCGAGCGACGACGAATGGTCCACCACAGCGATTTGGTTAACATGCCTTTCACATAGCTCTCTTCGCTGACGGAAGAAATCCACCGAAGAATTCGTTTTCACGGCAGGTCGACATCAGGCTATCCTGTGGCTTTTCCCGCTAAGGGCGTACGTCCTGGGCAGCACTACTTTTCGGTTCCCATTTGGCCAACAACCCGAGCTGACTCTCGCACAGCCTTGGCAACAGTACTTCTCAATCCACCTTCCTCCATTGCAAGCAGGCCGTTGATAGTACCTCCACCAGGAGTTGAGATTTTGTCGCGAAGTAGAGCCGGATGCTCGCCTTCGAGCAGAAGTCCTGCGGAGCCTCGTACAGCTTGTACAGCCATGGCGTACGCATCTCCTCGATTCAACCCCATAGAGATAGCACCGGCGGCCATCGATTCAACGACAAGGGCAGCAAAAGCAGGCCCGGAGCCGCAGAGAGCAGTGCAGACGTCCATGGCTGCTGGTGGCACACGACGCACGATTCCGATCCGGGTGAAGATCCAAGTGATAAGGCGATCAGTCTCTTCTGAAAGCGCTGGATCTGAAGTGGCGATGACAGTCATTGACTCTCGAATTGCTGCAGCTACGTTTGGCATCGCGCGTACTATCGTACACTTCTGAACATCTGCAGCCGTCTCACTGTACAATATGTCGTGCATTCCCTGTTCCGTGACTCCAGCACAAACACTGATGAGCAGCTTACCAGCTAGCGCTTTTCGAACGCCATCTGCACCGAGAATTTTGGATACTGCATCTGGCTCGCAAGCTAAGAGAGCGACATCTCCTTGATTGATTGCTGGCAAAGAATCATTCTCTCGCACTGTCACGCGTGCATTGTATTTGCCCAATTCCTTGCGAATCCGTTCTGCAGTTTCACGACTTCGCACGCAAGCATTGAACTTGGTAGGTAACTTTCTCGGCGCAGATTCATCTTTCGTCTGCTGCACAGTTTCCGACCGAGCGGCACCACTAAGAAGATCTTTGTCGGTCTCAGAGAGGTACTCCATAATCCCAGCCAGAATCGCAGTTCCCATGGTCCCGCAGCCAAGGACTGTTAATGTGAGGCCGCCATCGTCAATTTCGGGTTTCGTGTTCAACCATGCGACGTTGGCTTTTCGCTGGATGTCCAAGGTCTGCTGGAGGATCCAGTCGGGTGCCAGGTCTTTTGACATGGTGGTGTTGGGTCGTTGATATGCTTCGGAAAATGTCGAAGGCACGACGTGAAGTCAAGCGAAGCATGTGGAGCCCCACAATTTTGGAAGCGTGGGACCCATGTGCAAAAGCATAGGTACGGCTGAAGAGTGAATGACTTTTTGCGTGGCTGTCAACACAAGGCGTTCGTGATTCTTCCCTTGCACTCCCTAATCAACGAACATTTGACCAAGATGGACCGCCACAATCAGATGGTCTCAAGATGCTAACATCCTCGAGATTGGGTACTTGAAGCCCGCCGCTCCCGCCATTACCGGCAGACGTGATGGAAAGATGCACTGCAATGCCAAACGCGCCCTCCCACTTCCACGACAAGAAGGATTACAGCTCCGAAGCCGGCTAATCGGCTCGTGGACGACGACACCAAGCATTCGTTTAAGAATGCTCCTTGCCCTCTCGTAAACAAAGTCATTATGAATGCCTCAATCACGGGACAGCTCATCCAATGGCGCCGACAGATGCCTTCACGGTAGAAGCAACAGATTCACCCATCGAAGACGCGAGAGACTGGGCTGGCAAGGACGACCCAGACAACCCTCGGAACTACTCACTACTTCGAAAGATCTCATCGACCGCTGCATATAGTGGACTGGCCTTTGTGAGCACTCTTGCGGCGTCGCTGTACAGCTCCGGTATCAACGATGTCAAGGCGACGTTTCATTGTTCTGAAGAGGTCGGCATATTGCCACTTTCACTCTACAATCTTGGGATGGCGTTTGGTCCTCTCATTGGTTCGCCCATGAGTGAGACCGCTGGCCGGAAAGCCGTCGTATTGATCACAACTCCTCTGTTCGCTCTTTTCACTTTGGGAGCTGGGTTCTCTCCAACGGTGGCTGGTCTGATAATTTGTCGCTTCTTGGCAGGAGCAGTGGCGGCTCCAGCTATTGGCAATGCTTCAGCAACTATCACAGACTACACTGCTGGCAGGTACCGAGCGGTCACGATGGGTTTCTACTATACGATACCAACGTTCGGCGCCAACCTTGGTCCTTTGATCGGAGGCTTCATCGTCCAAGCGAAGGGCTGGAGATGGACGCAGTGGACGACCATATTCTTCTTGATCACCTTCTACATTCCAGTTCTGTTCACAAAGGAGACGTACAAGAAGACAATCTTGCAGCGCAGGGCAAACGCGCTGAACATCGAAGGACCACCTACACAGCAGCGCTCATTTCTGGAGTCTGTCCACTACTTCACCACGATCCTCTTCTTGCGACCAGCGCACATGCTCTTCACCGAGCCCATAGTGACGTTTGTCTGCCTATACAGTGGCTTCCTCTTCGGCTTACTTTACGCATTCGTCACAGCTTCGCCATGGATTTACGAGCACTACTATGGATTTGGCACCACTGGCCAGAGCCTGTCATTCATCGGCCTTGTTGTTGGAACGGCCTCAGCTCCCATCCCGCTCTTACTCCTGGATCACTTCATCTACCAGCCCAAGCTGAAGCGCTTCAGGGTGGAGTGTCCAGACGGCGAGCGATTCCCTCCTGAACATCGACTCTACCCAGCCATGATCGCCGCGCCGCTGATGCCAGTCTTCCTCTTCATCTTTGCATGGACCGTCAGACCCGAGATACCATGGATCGTACCCATCATCTTTCAAGGGCTCACAATGACTTCTTCTGTGGTCATCTACGCCCCTTCCAACCTCTTCATGATGGATGCATATGGCCCTTTGTATGGTGCATCTGCTGCGGGCGCTGCCATGCTCAGTAGATACACTCTGAGTGCGGTCTTTCCACTCTTCTCGCTGCAGATGTACAAGGCATTGGGGGTCGGGTGGGCGACTAGTATCTTGGCATTCTGTACTGTGTTGATGGCGCCCATACCTTGGCTTTTCTGGCGGTTTGGGGAAAAGCTTCGGGCGAGGACGAAGTATGAAACGAGTGCCTAGATAGCGACGGTCAGAAATAGTCAGCAAATATGAAGTGAGATCAGGCCAAACACGCACATATGCCACAGGTGACGCGACGGGCCGCGGGCGGTGATGGAATATCTGAGATGTGAAACCAGCTGGTATGACTTTGATGTTGGTATCGGAATAACAAGTGCAGGTAGGAAGGACGAGCACGACATCGACAGGATCAAGCGAAGGCAGCACGTGCCTCCAAAATCATTTGAAGGTATATATGTTGCTTCAAATCCTTAATCAGCGTATCAAAAGAATCACGGTGATTCTCTGTCAAATGCTCAGATGGTCTAGCGGTGATGTCAAGAGATTGGCGGATTCAGTTCCGAAGGCTCGACGACTAGCTATTCCTAGCACACAGTTCGAATGAGGAGGATGGGTAGGCGAAAAAAGTAAAATCATTAGGTTGATTTTCTCTAGGACTCTTCGGCAGAGAGTTCTAGTTCTTTTGCATTTTTGGTAGAGGGCGAGGGTTCGAGTCCTGACCCCTCCTGCTTCTTTTGCGTCGAATTTGGACTTTGGAGGGGAATGATTTGTTGTTGATGCATCGATGCGGAAACTTGGTGTCGACCATCTTTTGCCCTTTATGGAACTTTGAACGCCTTTCCATACTGTACATTGATATCTTCCATGTACTGACCGTCGCTACGCCAGCGCCATGCATGCCCCGTTCCTGCTTTCCATACACACTTCTTACTCCATCTTAACAACCGCACCCAACCCCTTCAGGGTCTCAATGATCTTCTCCGCCTCCTCCTTCGGCACACCCTCCTTCATCAACTTCGGCGCCGCCTCCACAAACTTCTTGCTATCCACCAAGCTCAGTCCCAACATGCTCTTGACCTCCTTGATGACCTTGGGCTTCGCCGCGGCGTCGAAGGATTCGAGTTTGAGGTTGAAGAGCGTCTTCTCTTCTTGCTTGGGGGCGGCTTCTTCGGGCTCTTCTACTGCAGCCGGTGCAGCTGCTTGCGCTGGGCCTGCGGCGGCGAAACCACCGATTGGCATGTCGGGGATGTTGAGGCGGGACTTTTGAGGATGGGTTAGGAGATGTCTTCAGCAATCATGGGGAGTAGTGAATATGATACCTTCAACGATGATACAAGATCCGCAGTCTCAAGAAGGGTCAATTGACTGATCTGATCTACAATGCCCGAGATCTTGGGATTCGTGTTGCTCGGTGCTGCCGCCTCGGTTGACTGCCATCTCCTCGATTCTTGCTGTCTCCTCCGTGCTGGTGCTGTGGCTGCTGCGAATCGGAGCGTGTTGACCTGTGAGGAGCGGAGGCATTGAGCGCATCGTCGCGCGGCGTATTGAGGAGCGAGCGACATGACGGCGGTGTTGATTGAATGAAAGGGAGAAGTCCCAGTTGACGGCTCTTGGGTCTGGTCGTGTGCTTGAGGTCTAAGTGGAGCGGCCGTCGGGGGTTCTGATTGGCTGTGAGGGCGCAAGCGAAAACTTCATGTCTCGATTCGAGACGAACTTCTTTTACTTTTCCACAACCCATACTGGCATTCGCCAGGTAATACGAAACCTCGCCGGCGGAAAGTCATGGAGTGCGTGTGGGACGCATCATTGCTGCGCCTGGGCGAGCAGCTCCCGCCGGAATTGCTGCAAATCATTCAAAACGGCAGCAACGAGCGATATCTGGAGGCTATCACCGAAGCATCACTCGATCCACGATACACATACACGCTCCTGGTTCACTGCGCAGATCTTTTCCCGCACATTTGCGCGAGTCTTCGCATTCAGGGCTCATTCGCTGCCTGTCTGGCCACACTGGGTCGAGTCGTACCTCATGCGTCTCACCTCGCAACGTTCGCGATTCGACTGCTGGAGAACGAGACATATGCCTTAAATTCTTCATCGGATGACGATGACGACCTCCAGTACTTACTGGGCCTGTTGCGTCTGTTGCGGTTCAATGCACGAATATTTCGCAAGTTCGTCAGATCCCATGAGCTGGTAACATGGCTCGGGAGAACAAGCAGACCTGCTACCTACTTGATCATTCGAATCCTCCAAATCGACCTTGAGGCAGCAGATCATTGGCTGGAATCGACTATCAAGCGGTATTTGGGCGAAGACACTTCTGACGGTCACATCGATGGAACTTGGGATGAGCAGATCATTGACTATCGATTCCTTTCTCTCTGGGAGCAGGATCGATATGAAAATGTCCACAACGCCATGGCTGAGGTCAGGCAATCTTCATCTGGTTCCAATCCGTCTCTTGGCAGTATACGAAACATTCTGCGCGACGTTTTCCACCCGTCAACATCACTTCTTGCCGGCGTCTTACTACCTCGGGTAGATGAGCGTCAGACGCCTGGGCCTGGACAACTCGTCGAGACCGATACTGTCAGAAGTAATCTGGCGTCCGTGGCTACTGCTCTGAAGTCGACCAGTCCTACTCTACTTCTGGGCTTGGCTGGTTCTGGAAAGTCGCTTCTCATACAGCATGTAGCTCGAGCTCTGGGCAAGCTCGACAAGATGGTCACACTTCACCTCAACGAGCAGAGTGATGCAAAGCTGCTTCTGGGTGTTTACACAACCGGAGATACTCCAGGCTCATTCATATGGAAACCTGGTGTGCTTACGACCGCAATCCAAGAAGGACGATGGGTTTTTATAGAGGATCTTGATCGCGCGCCAAACGAAGTCCTGGGAACGCTCCTCCCAATCATCGAAAAGCGGCAACTTCTCATTCCAAACCGCAAGGAAACCGTATTTGCTGCTGAGGGCTTCCGCATCATTGCAACTGTTCGGACAACCGTCAACCATAGGGGTGAAGAAACGAAACCCTTGACGCACATGGTCGGTTACCGCCACTGGAACCCGATCTCAATCAACATGCCGACAGTCGTAGAACAAGCAACAATTGCGCGATCTCTCTTCCCGAAGCTTGAAAGGCTGATGCCTCAATTCATTGCGGTATACGAGCGATTGTCTGCGGCGCGGCAGACTTCCATGGCCCAGAGCAAGACAGGTGTCGCCCGCGCAATCACTCCGCGGGATCTTCTCAAATGGTGTCGGCGAGTCTCGTTGCTCCTGGACGGCCGTTCATCATTCACGAGCCATGATGAAGACGCGATCTATCTCGAGGCATTGGACTGCTTTGTGGGCGCTCTTCCCAGTGATTCACTGCGGACAGATCTTGCCGGGATCGCCGCCGAGGAGCTAAGAATAGACCCGCAGCGACGTGACTACCTGCTCTCTGCACGCGAAGTTCAGTATGAGGCGGACAAGGCCAAAATTGTTATTGGCCGCTACTCCTTACCCAAGTCCCGAGTTGGCAAGGTTGCTGAGAGCTCCTTTTCGACCAATCCACATACAACGCGAATGCTGGAGCGAGTTACATCTGCTGTTTTGAATCGCGAGCCTCTTTTGCTGGTTGGTGAGACTGGTGTTGGCAAGACTACAGCAGTCCAGCACCTGGCGAATCATCTTGGCAAGAAGCTTGTTCCGTTCAACCTGTCACAGCAAAGCGAAGCTGGCGACTTACTGGGAGGATTCAAGCCCGTCAATGCCCGAACCCTCATGGTACCGATGAAAGATGAGTTTGACGATCTATTCACGGAAGGATTCAGCTCGTCGAAGAATAAGCAGTTCCTCGAACTTCTTGGCAAGCAGATGGCGAGGAGCAACTGGAAGTCCGTCTGCAAACTTTTCAGGCAAGCATTGGGTATGGTCGACCAACAGCGCGCAGTATCGCCTTCGAGACAGGGCGAGGCTCCGGCCAAGAAGCGCAAGATCGATAGCAAGCGGCCAATCAACTTCACTCGCTGGGATGCGTTCGCTCAGCAACTAGAGAATATTGAGCGGAAATTGTCGAGTGGAAGTGATGCCTTTGCGTTTACTTTCGTGGAAGGCAACATCGTCAAGGCTCTTCGTAACGGCGACTGGGCACTTTTGGATGAGATCAACCTGGCGTCCCCAGATACCCTAGAATCCATTGCGGACCTGTTGGATCCTCAATCGCCGTCACTCTTGTTGACAGAAGCCGGCAACATCGAGCGAGTCGAAGCGCATCCCGAATTTCGTGTCTTTGCTGCCATGAACCCAGCTACTGATGTTGGCAAGAAAGACTTGCCGCCTGGCATCCGTTCGCGCTTCACAGAGTTGTATGTTGAGAGCCCTGATAAAGACCTCAAGAGCTTGCAGAGCATTGTGCGCGCATACCTTCGCCAGGAGGCCGTATCAGATGCGGCCATCGCGTCTGATGTCAGTCACCTTTACCAGAAAATCATCGCCTTGGCAGAACAGAACAAGCTAGTTGATGGTGCTGGACAACGACCCCATTTTTCTCTAAGGACTTTGACAAGGACTCTGAGCTATGCCAAGAACATTCAGCAGATGTGCAGCTTGCGGAGAGCTCTGTATGAAGGCTTTCACATGAGCTTCATGACATTCCTCGATACTGAATCTGCGAGCCTTGTCCAGCCTTTAATCGAGCAACATCTGTTCGGGAAGCGGGTAAATGTGCGAGCAGAGCTGCAAAAAGGACTACGCAAGCCGAGTGACGGTCGCTCACACGCTCAAGGATATCCCGGCAGTAAGCACTGGATACGTCAAGGCAAGGAGGCACTTCAAGAACAGTCGCACTACATCATCACACCCTTTGTACAAAGCAATCTGGAGAACCTAGTCAGAGCAGCGAGTACCAGGCAATTCCCTGTCCTCATCCAGGGACCGACATCGAGCGGAAAGACCAGCATGATTGAGTATCTCGCAAAGCGTACGGGCCACGTCTTCACGCGAATAAACAACCACGAGCACACAGACTTGCAAGAATACCTGGGCACCTACGTTTCTGGCACTGATGGACGACTACAATTCCAAGAGGGCGTACTTGTCAAAGCATTGCGTGAAGGTCATTGGATTGTACTCGATGAGCTCAATCTGGCTCCGACGGATGTGCTCGAAGCACTGAATCGTTTGCTGGATGACAACCGAGAGCTGCTGGTGCCAGAGACTCAAGAAGTCATTCGACCGCATTCTGACTTCATGCTTTTCGCGACTCAAAATCCCGCTGGGCTCTATGGTGGTCGGAAGACACTTTCACGCGCCTTCCGCAACCGCTTCCTCGAGCTGCATTTCGATGACATCCCGGTCAATGAGCTCCAAGAGATCTTGCACCGTCGGACGCAGTTGCCAGAGTCACGTTGCAAGCGAATAGTGACTGTGTATCGGGAGCTATCAGTTTTACGGCAAGAGAACCGGCTCTTCGAGCAGAAGAGCTTTGCAACATTGCGAGATCTGTTCAGATGGGCGTTGCGCCCAAATGACACCATTGAGCAATTGGCGGCCAACGGCTTCATGTTACTTTGTGAACGCGTGCGTAAGCCTGAAGAGCGGTTTGCTCTGAAGTCTGTCATCGAAAAGGTCATGAGCGAGAAAGGCCCTCGCGTGCGCCTAGACGAAGATGTTCTGTACGCCCAGAATTCCTCGGAGATCCAACAACATCGGCAAGAGGCGAATGACCGGAGTGTGGTCTGGACCAGGGCGATGCGCCGCCTGTACGTTTTGGTCTCGAGAGCGATCGCAAACAACGAGCCTGTGCTCCTGGTTGGTGAGACCGGGTGCGGTAAAACCACAGTATGTCAAATGCTTTCGGATGCTTTGAAGAAGGACCTGCATACAGTAAACGCGTATCAGAACACGGAAACGAGCGACCTGATAGGGTCGCAGCGTCCTGTTCGCAACCGTGCAGCTATTGAAGCGGAACTGAGGCAAAAGCTGCTGGCCTCGCCTGCTCTTACGACCTTGAGCGATTCGCAGTCACAACCAACAGATACCCTTCTGAAGGAGTACGAATCAGCGGTCACTGGTCTGGACAAGGATGAAAAGGCTGCATGGCTGCAAAGCCCTGGCCACGCAGACATTACAGCCGCACAAGTGCGCTTCAAGGCGCTGTTCGAGTGGGTTGACGGAAGTCTCGTGAATGCGATGAAGACCGGCGATTTCTTTCTACTTGATGAGATCTCTCTTGCTGATGATTCCGTGCTCGAGAGGATCAACAGCGTACTGGAATCGCAGCGAACGATCATGTTGGCGGAGAAGGGCAGCCTGGACTCGTTCGTCAGTGCTTCACCAGGCTTTCAGTTGTTCGCAACGATGAATCCTGGTGGCGACTATGGCAAGCGGGAGCTATCACCTGCACTTCGAAATCGTTTCACGGAGATATGGGTGCCTTCGCTCTCGGACATGGACGATGTGCTGCAGATCGTTCGAGCCAAGCTCGTTCAAGACGCCCACACGTTTGCGTCGTCGATGGTCGCTTTCGCTGCTTGGTTCAAGTCACGATTTGATACGTCAGCAAGCTCGTCCGTTTCGATTCGAGATACGCTTGCCTGGGTTGAGTTTGTCAATGCATTCGCGCAGCAGGACGTCACTGCAGCCGTAGTGCATGGCGCGGCAATGGTTTACATCGACACTCTGGGAGCGAACCCGGCGGGCTTAATGTCAATCAACATTCAAGGCATACAACATGAGCGTGCTGCTTGTGTTGATGAGCTCTGCCGTTTGTCGAAGGTGGACGCCAAAGCCATATACAGCCAATCTTTCGAGGCTGTTACCACTGGACAGGCCTTCGCGATCGGTCCATTCAAGGTTCCTCGAACGCAGAATGCCACAGCCACGTCCGTCGGCTTCACTTTCGAGCCGCCCACTACCCGATCTAACGCTATGCGTGTCTTGAGAGCACTTCAACTCCGCAAGCCCATTCTACTCGAGGGCAGCCCAGGTGTTGGCAAGACTGCTCTGGTCACGGCCGTTGCTGGTGCGGCTGGGATGCCATTGACGCGCATCAATTTGTCTGATCAAACGGACCTGCTCGATCTATTTGGATCTGATGCACCAGTTGAAGGAGCACAAACCGGTACCTTTGTATGGCGAGATGCCCCGTTCTTGCGTGCCATGAAGAACGGAGAGTGGGTACTTCTTGATGAGATGAACCTGGCCTCGCAGTCTGTCCTTGAGGGTCTCAATGCTTGTCTTGACCACCGAGGAGAAGTATTTGTCCCCGAGCTCGGCCAGACGTTTGCGAGACACCCCAATTTCCGCCTCTTCGCAGCTCAGAATCCACATCATCAGGGAGGTGGTCGAAAGGGTCTGCCGTCGTCCTTCGTCAACCGCTTCACAGTTGTGTATGCGGACTCTTTCAAGAAAGAGGACCTGATGCTGATCTCTCGGCGAATATTTCCAGGTCTTCGAGTGGACTACATCGCGAAGACTGTGTCCTTCGTCACCAAGCTCAACGAGGAAGTCGCAGAGCAGCGCAGATTTGGCTCGACCGGCGGGCCATGGGAATTCAACTTGCGTGATATTGCTCGTTGGCTGGATCTTGCTTCTGCTCGTGAGACTCTGCTACGAGCCGGCACTCCTCGTGATTTCGCCACGATGCTCTGCGGCCAGCGTTTCCGATCCGTGAAAGACAGATCCTGCGTCACTACACTTTTTGGCTCTATCTTCGACGAGTCGACAGCCGTAGCGGATCTTTTCTGTGGCGTAACAACTCAAACGTTGCAAGTTGGACTGGCCTTACTGCCGAGGGGTGAGCACTGGTCAGCGACAGGCTCTTTACCGCAAGATTACTCTGGCCGTGCTCCAAAGCACTGGCGAGCTCTTCAGTCAATGATGCTGTCTATTCAGCGAGGCTGGCCAGTCGTTCTTGCCGGACCTCCTGGTGTTGGAAAGACCACCATGATCGCGCATCTTGCCGCTTGCACCGGCGCCGATGTCGTAACTCTCGGAATGAGCTCAGAGACTGACGCGCTGGACTTGATTGGTGGTTATGAACAATTTGATCCCAATCGGCAATCAACGCAAGCATACATTGCTGTTCGAGCGCGGTTGGAGGCTCTAAGCAAGACATGTATTGCCCAAGGATCACTGGAAGCTGCTCTGAGCCAGCTTGACTCCCTGCAACAGCTGAAATCTTCACCACGCGGCACCGCATGGCTCGGCAAAATCGATCAGTCCCTACCTCCAGAGACCATGTCATCATTGGGACCACTACTGGAAGTACTGCAACGCGGCAACCAAAGCATTGACAAGGCTCGTTTTGAATGGATCGATGGGCCTCTCATCGATGCTCTACGTCAGGGCAAGTGGTTGGTTCTTGATAATGCTAACCTTTGCAGTCCCTCGGTGCTCGACCGTCTGAATTCGCTCCTGGAGCCAAATGGTTCGCTCATCGTGAACGAACATTGTGGTGAGGATGGCGCACCGCGAGTCATCCAACCACACGCCAACTTTCGGATCTTCCTCACTGTCGACCCACGGCTAGGAGAGCTCTCCCGAGCTATGCGAAATCGTGCTGTCGAGTTATACCTCGATCCAACAAGTCCTGAAGTCGATTCTTCAACAGACGGCTTATTTGTTGAATCGGCGATGGCACGACTCTCTGCATTGAGCGCTGCTGGCCTTGCACAACGGAAGCTGAGCAAAGACAGCGCCGCAAGAATCGCCGCAGACCATTTTGCATTAGACGATCGAGTGCTTACAACAAGGCTGCTGCGCCAGCTGAACTCCGGTCTATTGCAGTCTCCCGCACAGGAGACAATGGCCCTCGACTTCGAAGACCACACATTGCCCGAGTCTCAACTCCGCGCATACTACAGTGACATCTCAAGCCAAACGCAGGAGCCTGCTGACTTTGCTTGTGTCCAGGTCAGTCGCCCTGCAACTTATCATGTAAGTATCATAGCTGACGGTAAGGCCTTTCTCCAGACACTTCATCCCCTCAATAACCAACCTCTTGTGCAACAATCTCATCAATCTCTCTCGCGCGCAATGACGATGGCAGCTCGGCACGATCTCGGTACTGAATTCCACGCCGTGGTAAGAATCTTGGCTACACTGAAAGCCGATCGCAAGACCTCTGAAAAGCTCACGCGGTTCTGGCGATTTGTCAAACAGCACGTCAAAGGTGCGGGTGGAAGCACATCACAATGGGTGCCTGTCGAGAGCATTTTGCACTACACACAGGCATGGATCCAAGACGTCACCGCTACATCTACGATTGCCCTTGCTAAAACCAAGACTGCTCTTCGAGGCTTGTTGGCCTTCGTTGAGACGCTGCTGCGAGTCCTTACCTCAGAGTCCCTGGAGCTCGCATCGTTCACTGCCTGCGTGCTGGTCGGCCAAGCTATGGTCACACAAAGCACCTCACTGCAGGGGAATGCTCAATATCTCGGCCAGATTCAGACGGCCATCTCTGATCTCGTTCCAAAGTCATATGGCAACACCGGCTCTGGATTCGTGTCACTGTGGAAGACGTTGAGGATTCCAATGCCTGCGACAATGGATCAGCTCCAGGCGCTTCTCGACTTCGAATCAGTGGTCGACCGCTTCGACCGGATGCTCTCAACCTCTCGACTGTCGTTGCAGCGTCTGGTGGAATTGCGGATCGCGTTTCAGCAAGCTCTCAGCGTCGGTGTCAGCGCTGCTTCAAATCTGAAATCCCTCGCAGAAAAGTTGGTTGCATCGACTCCGGAGATTAACCAGAAGGTCGACGAGGAGAAAGTGCTGCTCATCACACCGCACTTTGTGCAGAGCTTCGAGTCCATGTGCCAACAATTCGCAGTCTTGTCTCTTGAGGCACCATGCATGACTCAGAGGGATGCGGTGCAGCTGGAGGTGTTAGCTCTGCGAAAGACGAGCCACGGACTGTATGGCGATCGTTCAAATTCAGCACAATCGAAGTTACGTCTCCTCGGGCTGAGTGTGCCTACACAGCAACCAGAGGCTGAGGAGAAGTCTGGCCCTGAAGACATCTGCCAGAGTGTCCTCCATTGCTTGAAGACTGTTGAGGACGTCAGCCTGCAGCGAATGTCACTATTCGAGGAGGAAAGCAGAGCTCTCGGGCATGTCGTTGCTTCAAAGGCGCATTGGATGCAAGCTGACACCTTGTCTACACTGGATCGTTGCCTGAGGGATCTTGTTCGCGTCATCCTGGAGAGCCTACTTGAAGGTGGAGATACATCAGCTATGCATGGACATGCTCGCGTCCTGCTTCAGAGCCTACAGGACAACACCGATGTTCAGCAACCACAATCGGAGAGGATTGAAGCGACTGAGCGGTTACCCCTAGGACTGCTGCAGAACGTCGTTCGATACCTGCAAACAAATTCTGGCAAACCTGAGGCAGCAGCTAGCGCCTGGACATGCTTTGCTATCGCCTGCCTTGACATTTTTATCCCGGCTTTGGCCTTCGATCCCGTCCAGGAGGCTGAGTTTAGAAGGACAGTCTACTTCAAAGCCAAGGACGGTCTGCAATCGACGTTGGCAGCTCTAAAAGCTTTCCGAGAAGCCTGGACCGGAGATCACGACTCGCTCAGGGCACGTCTGATTGAAGAAGACATTGCCGCATTAGGGTCTGAGCCCAATGTAATAGCCATCTGCAGACCTGAGACCTCTGAGCTTTCACAACTTTTCGGGGAGTTCCAAGCTTTGTTGAGGAGCTTGCAACCTTTGAAGACAAGCATCGCGGGAGCCCTGGACTTCAGCGCCTGGAACAATGTTCTTGTGACGAGGACGAGACTATCCACGCAGTACCGAGCGTACGCAGATCTGACGAGCCCTGTGGTTGGATTCATTGACTGCCTGGCTGTCGCTCGGCGTCTTGCTCGGCGTGCTGAGAAGGATCAGATTCAATCCCAGTTCACCTCAAGTGCATCTGTCACACCTTTTGCCGGTGCTGCCCTAGACGACTTCCTACCCGAGAAGAAATTTATCGACTTGCAGCAGGCATCGACGTCAAGAGAAGCGCGACTGTTCTGGCTCTCGGCTCTTGCGGTACGTTCGACTGTCGTCCCAACAGCGCGATCATCCCAAGATCTTCGTTCTGCTATTACCCACACTTTCCGAAGCTTTTACGAGGCATGGAAAGTTGAGCTCAGCCGCGAGCAGCGCCATGCGGCTGCGAAGTCCAGCTTGTTCAAATATCGAGGCGGCGATGACGATCAGGATGAGGTCGACCAGCAAGAGCTTGACGAGCTGTTTCCTGACCACGAGACTACTCCGACCCGGAGTCAGGACCATGATATCCAGGATCTTGCACCCCGAATGACTGAGCTGTATCACGCGATACACTCCCCAGACAAAGCTGAAGCGAACGCTTTCCTGCCACTCTTGAAGGAGTGGGCGACATTGTATGGTCATTCTTCGCAATCCCACAAGATCCCAGCCGTCTTGTCTGCCCTTCATGGCCTCTCGACCAAGCTATTCTCGAATCACGCCCCTTCGCGTACGGCCAACATCTACAAAGACGCCAACATCGCTCAAAGCAGGACACTTGTGGCACTGATGAACAAGCTCCAGTCTCGCTTCAATTCTATCCATGATGCATGGCCCGAGCATGCGACACCCATTGAAGTTCTGCGTGGTTGCGATGACATCCTCTCTCTTGGTCACGCAGAACCTCTTGTTCGATATCTGCCATCGGTCGAGAAGCTTCATGCGACAATCAATGAATGGCAGAAAGTCGCTAGCACCGAGTTCTCGGCGAACAATCTGCTCGAAGAGACAACCAGTCTCATCATCGCTTGGAGACAACTCGAGCTGTCCACGTGGGCAGGAATGTTCAATGTCGAAGATGAGAACTGCAAAGCAAGCGCTGCCTCTTGGTGGTACATTGCATACGAGACAATTATTGGTGCGTCTGAGGAGTTGCAGGGCATGGCAGAGGAAGTTCAGAAGTTTTCCTCTCAACTGGTCGAAACGCTCGGTGGCTTCCTGGCCAATTGTGGTCTGGGCGAGTACTCAATCCGCCTCAGCATGCTGGCCGACTTCGAGGCTGCCTTGGCGACGCAAGACGGCACGGACGTCATTCGTGGTGCTCTGAGCAGTCTGATCTCCTTCTACTCCCGGTTCCAACCAGCGATCACCGAACAGCTGCACAAGAAGCGTGCGGAGCTGGAGAAGGCCATCAAGAACGTGATCCAGGTTGCAAGCTGGAAAGACCGAAACATCGAGACATTGAAGAACAGTGCGAAGGCATCGCACAAGAAGTTGTTCCGTACCGTCAAGAAGTACCGTCAGTTGCTCAGTGAGCCAGTCGGACCCATATTGCAGGCTGAGTTCCCGAAGGCAGTCATTGCCCCTGAGAGCGGGACGTTGACTCAGCTTCTACCGAGTCTCATCGCAGAAACGAACAGTGAATCGACCGTACATTCTGTACTGGCAGCCCAATTTTCCGACATGCAGCAGAACATCCGTGAGATTCAGAACACAGCCAATTCATTCAATTCACCTGCAGCCACCACCAAGAAGATACAGAATTTCCTCCAGGACTTAGACGAAGAGAGCACCGAACTTCGCAAAGCGACTCCCAGTACGGCTACAGAAGAGAACAAGACCCTCGTGCAGCATCTAAAGACAAGGAAGCGGCGCCTGCTAGCTGACGTCCTCCGTGACGTTCGACTCATGGGCTTCCAAACCAACATCAGTGAAGATGTTCTGGCTCAACAATCGTCATTGCATCTTGTGCTGGCAAAATCTGCGCCTCTTGGCGACGTCACGGCCGACGAAACGTTCCACCGATTCCTGTATGTCATGCAGTCTGTGAGGGAGAACGCCGGCAAGCACTCGGAGGACCTGACGCCTGCTGAGATTGCTCGCTCTAAAACTCTGCTAGAAAGCATGCTTCAAGTATCGCTTGAGCAGCGACAGTGCCTGCAACGATACTTCAAGGACTTCACGTCGCTCAAGACAACAATGCAGCAGCTCGCTGCTCTGGCCAACAGCGAATCGCCTGGTGTCCGACCAGACTTGGAGAGACCTTTGCTTTTCTTGCAGACTGAGGTTACAGCTGTTCGAAGCGCGCTGCAAACAGCTATTCGCTGCATCGATATCCAGGCTGAGCTTTCAGGATCGGTCTACTCAACTGTCGCCGATGCCCTCATTCAGGAAGCCTCTCGATTGGACCGCATCGAAACTAACCTGGCGAACCTTCCGCCAATCCCTGTTTTCATCGACAATGCCCGAGTGCGAGAGCTGGAGGCACATTTCACATCTTCGAAGAACCTCCTTAGAGCAGTGGCCACCGATAGCATCCAGAAAAACCCCGAGCTCGAACCTGTACTCAGCCAGCTCCTTAATTGGATCCAGCATCCCACTCCGTCTCCGACGCAGGCCAATGGAGTTTCTGCTACATCGGACGAAACCTGGGTGCAAAAGTTCGTGGGCCTCCTCCAGCAGACTGGGGAGCAGGTCAAGAGTCTCAATTTCAGCCATGCGAGTGGAAAAGACAAGAAGGCGTGGCTTCTCGCAGAACAGAAATCCACCAATTCGGCCATTGCATCTATGAGACTGGACTGCATCTCAGATACGTTAGGCAAAGCACTGGAGCGTCTTCACATGGATGTTCACAGCAACGATAAGCTTGCTCACATTGCAGCTTCGGCGCGCGAGACTTATCCCATACTGCAAGCGTATGCCGACGTTACAGGACGACTGATATCCGAGATGTGCGACCTGCACACCATGACGTGTCGGATGGCTCATCGACTTGCACTTTCATTTGTACAATTGGCCAAAGAAGGATTCTGTCAACCTCCTGAAAAGGCGCAAGGTGACCAGAAGGAGTCCGGTCAAGTTGAGAGTGGTACCGGTCTGGGCAATGGAGAAGGTGCTGAGGACATCAGCAAAGATGTCGGTGACGATGAGGACTTGGGAGACTTGGCTCAAGATGCAAATTCGAAGGAGAAGGAAGAAGAGACGCAAGCTGAGAAGGATGCAGTCGATATGGCGGATGAAGAGCTTGAGGGCGAGTTTGATGAGAGCACCGATGCTGACGAGGAAGAAGGGGGAGATGAAGACGGCCAGGAAGATGCTGAGGTTGATGAAGAGGCCGGAAAAGTCGACGAAAAGGATGGTGCTACTGATGAGAAGACATGGGACGACGGCAAGGCAGAAGAGGCTGAGAAAGAAGCCGACAAGGGCAAAGGAACTCGCAGCGAGGATGTTTCTGCTGCTCAAGACGGCGCAAATGAGGAGGATGAGCAGGAGGCCGAGGATGGCGAGCAAGGTGATGATGATGCTGAGATGGGCGCAGAAGTGGAAGATGAGGGTGAGGCTCAGGCGCCTGAACAGGCGGATCCTCATCTACAGGACGAACAGAATCTGGACTTGCCTGAGGACATGAACATGGACGGTGGCAAAGCTGAAGACGAGGACATGGATTCTGGAGATGATTTGGGGGATGCCTTTAGCGAGGCAGATGCCGACGCAGATGTTGACGCTACATCGCCTGACGCCAAAGACGCCGAGATGCAGGACGGGGAAGAAGAGGATCGAGGGGAAGAAAATGGAGAAGCCGTTGACCTGGACAAAGAGGAGGCAGATGAGGCCGCCGAACAGGACGGTGAGGATGCGAACTCCGACGTCAATATGCTGGACATGCCAGATAACCACGACGAGCCTGACGATGGCCTCACGACGGCTGACGCCGGACAAGGCAATGAAGAAGACAAAGCTGCCAAATCCAGTGGTGCGCTTTCGAACGAGCAAGAAATGCAAGACGAGAACGATGCCGAACAAGACAATGGACAGCCTGGCACTGCGGAGGGTCAAAAGCGATCGGAACAGAACGATGCGTCTGGTCAGGTGGAAGTCGGGGCTGACGAACAGGAAGCGCAGCCGTTCCAACAGCTGGGTGACCTTCTGAAGCAGTGGTATGAGCAACATCGAGACATCGAGGCGGCGAAGCAAGACAATGAAGCCGAGCCTGAGTCTCAACAGCAGATGGACATGCAAGATACTCGCTTTGAGCATACGGAGGATGTCGATGCTGAAATGCAAGCGATAGGTGCTGCGTCAGCGGATCAGTCCAGGGCGCTCGACAATCAGAATGCTGTCCCCATCGATAACGAGGAGCCTGAGCCGACCGAGAAGCTTGACAATGCTCTGCCACCTGATCCTGAAGACCAACCAGCGGACGACAATGTGGAGGCTGGCGGTGCGACCGATAGGGGCACCGAAGCTGCATCAAAGCCCGACAAAGCAATGATCGGAGCACCGAACAATCATGATATGGACATCGAGGATGTTCCACGCTCAGAGTCTCCTCAGACCGACATGGAAGACGTCGACGAGCAGCTGACCAACACTCACTTGTCACTGCAGCAGCCAAACTTGATGTCTCTCGAAGACGCGCGCCATCTCTGGACAGAGCACGAAAGCAGGACACGCAATATGGCCGTGGTCCTGACCGAGCATCTGCGCCTGATCCTGCAACCAACGCAAGCCACCAAGATGCGTGGTGACTTCCGCACGGGCAAGAGACTGAACATCAAGAAGATCATTCCTTACATCGCTTCGTCCTACAAGCGCGACAAGATCTGGATGCGGCGATCGATACCCAGCAAGCGCTCCTACCAAATCATGTTGGCGATTGACGATTCCGAGTCGATGAACGAGAGTGAGCGGAAGGGCCTCGCCTTCGATACATTGGCACTCGTCGCCAAGAGCATGTCCATGCTGGAAGTCGGCGAACTATGCATCATCGGCTTTGGCGAGACAATCAATGTCAACCACGACTTCAGCGCACCATTCACGTCAGAAGCCGGCGCCGAAGTCTTCAAGCAATTCAGCTTCTCGCAAACGAAGACCGACGTCCGTCGCCTCCTCGAGAAGTCCATCGACCTCTTCCGCACAGCACGTCTCAAAGCCACCGGCTCAGCAAGCGATCTCTGGCAACTCCAACTCATCATTTCCGACGGCCTCTGTGAAGACCATCCATCCATCCGCCAGCTCGTCCGTCAAGCACACGAAGAGCAGATCATGGTCGTCTTCATCGTCGTTGATGCCACAGCCGAAGAGACGAAAGCAGTCGGACCGAAGCAGAGTATCGTCGATCTTCAGCGGGTGGAGTTTACGAAGGACGCTACCGGGGAGCCGCAGATCAATATGATCAAGTATTTGGACACGTTCCCGTTCAAGTATTATCTGATTGTGAGGGATGTTGTGGAGTTGCCTGGGGTTTTGGCCGGGGCGTTGAGGCAGTGGTTTTCCGAGGTTGTTGAGTCGGGTGGGTAGATAGAGCATTGAGAAAAGGGTGATGTATATTTCTGTATGGTTTCACTTTGTACATGTTACTCACTATTTCATCTTTGAGGCCACCTATCTCGAGGTTCATCGGGTATTCTATTGATCAGCAAGCTGTGTGACATACACCGACCAGTCTTGGTCACTATGAAGAATGCTGTGGCCTCTGTGGCCGACTTGAACTCTCCTGCCCACGCTGGGCAACCCACCAGATACTAAGCGACCGAAATGCTCGCTATCGTCCGTGGCAAGCATCAAAATCTCCTCCTTGGTCAGCTGAAATCGGAAATGCAGATCTTCTAGGCGAGTTCCTTTACCCTCCCGATGGGTAGGGAGACGGTCACGCGTCGAGGAAACTCTCAATAAGTGTTCTGACATCAGTACCGGGCCTAGCCATTCGAATTCTGTAGAGTCCGAGAGGGGTCTCACACAGATTGCGTACGGGCCGCCGACGAGGATGATGTCGCCCTCTTGGACATATTCACTGACAAGGGCGGCTTCGATTCGGGTGTTCGAAAACAGCACCGTTCGTACATGATGGCTCGGGCTCTCAAGCGGCAAATACCTCGAGGACCATATTCTAGACCTTGTGGCTTGAAATCGTATATTTAATTCACCAAAGGAGTCTGTGGAGATTCTGTATGCTCGCTCCAAACCATAGCAGTACCACTCGCAAGGCTTTGAGCTCGCATTGACCTGGGGAAGCATGGAATCTGTGATGCCCAGGGCCTGAAGCAACGCAGAAATGTGACGGAGGGTGCCGCCTGAGGCGAGAATATAGTCCATGAAGTCTAATGCGAGCTGGACAGCATCTTTCTGGTAGTCCGGCACAATAGGGGCGCAGGCCGAAGGCCACTCGACCATGCTCAGAATCCCGTAGACTCGATCTCGTTTGTCCTCGCACTCCAGCTTCCAGAGACGAGTCAGGAGGCCACGAGTCCCTATGCCGCCGATATTGTTCAGGATGCGAATGAGATTGATCATCGGCGTTGCCTCAATGTCGTATGCCACCTTTGGCGATACGTCTTTCTGTTTCAAAAAGTCGTAAATCGCCTGGAGTTTTCGCATGATGTCCCACTCCATCGTATCCTCGCCACAGCAGAAACTGATTGTAGTCGCTGCGTGGAGTTCCTGCACGATCCAGAGTCTGCTCCAGTACGGCCGATTGCCAAACTTGGATATGCTTTCGCAAATGCGATCCAAATCTTTACTCGCAAGCCAATCTTTCGCCCGGTACTCTGCCTCTTGAGGCTCAAGCGTGCCCATAGTCGTTGTCTCCAGTTCATCTGACTCGCGGCATAGATCGAATAGGAAGCGACTGTGGTCGGTCTGTGGCCCGATGCAGGCCACTGTTTTGGTGGCGGATGCAAAAATTCGAGCCATTATGGATACTTGACTACCTTTTTCTTGTGGATCTTCCTGATTTATGCAGACGGAGTCGATCCAGATGTGGCCTTCGTGGTGAAGCCTTGCCTGCCACAATGCGTAATGGCAGTTCTTGCGGACCAAGACCGGGTTTCCGTTTACCAGGATCTGCCTTTGGTCGTGAGGGTCACCCCAAGTGTATGAGATTGCTTGGAAATGTGGTAGGATGTCCGTCTCCAGCTTGAACGTCGACATTGTGTATTGAAGGTCATCCTTCGTCTCCGTCTGTAAAGCCTGAATCAATCTGATCTCTCCTTTCGCGTCTTTCAAAGGTGGATATCGAAATGCGTCCATGGGATGGCTTCGAGCCGCCGAACAGTCCATCGAGATCTGCCGTGTGATACAATTTCGAGTGAGCTGACTCCATTACATGTACTCACTATCTGTGAGTAGCGACTTCGCGGGTGAGCTGGCAGGAGAAAAGCAAGCTCCTCCGCCTGCAGGCTTAGCTTAGAGTTTGACAGACGTGAAGCTATTGATTGACTGCAACTGGAGTCGGTCATCAGAGTGAGATGTTAAGCTTCATAGGGATCTTGAAAGACTATATTAGCAACTTATGTGTCTATTCGTGAGTATTGCAGTCCCTGGCACAAGCAACTCACGGTATCTCATAAGGATCCCTTCCCCCTTCTCTGCGTATCTCAAAATCCGTTTGTGCTTTGATTATCCGCTCTTGACTTCCCCAGCTCTTTCGTCCTTCAGACTCAGCATCCGTATTGCTTGGATGAGATATCTCAACACTGTGCATGATATTCTCTGGACGAAGTCCGAGCGATCGGCTGTCGCTTCCGGAAGCACTCAGCAAAACTCCCTCCTTATGTCCCTTGACGGCGTCCAATGGCACCGCACCATCTCTAACCCTGGTATCTTTCCAGCTACGCCCCGAGCGCCCGGACGAGTACATGTTGTTGTTCGATCTCCACGTCTCTTCGTCAATCTTGTCGAACGGACGCATGAACGTTTTCAAGCAGGGTAGCGAAGCCGCGAGAATGGACCATAGGAGCTCTGCCTGGGTCCAAATAAGGGATGGCACAATGGTCAAAGGGGGATCTGGATCGGTTATGACAGAGGTGACTCTGGACAGATTCAATGCAGCAAAGATGATGTCCACAAGACGAACCCCAAAGACGATTGTGACGGTGATCTTGGCCGACCTTTTGATGAGGATGTCGAGTAGAAGGAATACTGGCACGACGACGAGGAGTGTTTCGGTAATGACGTCGAGAGCGAGGATTATCTGCCAGCGTGCGATCTGCAGTAGAAACCAGTTAGTACTTCTTCGACAGAGAAGAGGTTGAATGCCACACACTCTATTTGGACAAGCAGCATCTTGGCCTGGAATGACTGGAAATGCTGGGTTTGTACAGCCTACCGCCAGCGATAGAATAGAGCCCAGCCCGAATGCCGCAGATGCGGCTACAAGAAACCAGCAGAGGTAGGTATTTCGAGTACGGCCGTTTTCGAAAAGGCGAAGGGTGAGGATCCCTGTCGATATCTTCGATCCGCAATGTGCGAGAATGTAAAGGAACGAGTACGAAGCCGCGTACTGCATGACTGTAAGCATTGATCAATGAAGATGTCAGTCAAACTGCTTACTCTCTGGATATCTTCAATTTGGCCACGGCTGAGCAGCGTCGAGCCCTTCCCCAAACCTTTGCTCAGACCAGCCAGGACTGCAATGTACTGGCCGACTGCGAGGACCGTTGATACCAGAAGAGCCCAATCATCGTAACCGTACATGCCTGGAGTTGTTAGCAATAGCAGGTGTGTTGTTTCTGTGCTTTAAACTCACCATACTTGACAATGAAGCGAATCACGAAAGCGATCACCACATATATGAAGGACAGGAGCGTGATGATGTATAGCCATCCGGAGTGATTTTCGTCAGTGATTTGAGTGAAGTATCGCGTCCCTGGCGTCCAGTTTGAGGTATCTATTTCCGCCATCGTTGTATCATTCGATTCATTCGTTCAAACGTCAATGTTCATTACTGTTGAGAAAATGTGGCATTGGCAGTTGCCAGTCAGTGTCCAAGTACACCTGTGTAAGAAAGAAGGGCTGAAGAGCAGCGACCCGGTCAACATTGAACACCGGTTGGGCTGCCAGAGTGCCAGTGAGATCATGTCTCACATGTCGAATAGACAAGGGAGTAAAGAAATCGGTAAACCTCTTTCGGCCGTTGAAGAAGAACCTGGCCGCCTTGGGAAGAGTCTGCATCGCGGAACGTCGGGTCGGACATGCCACAGATAGGCAATGGAGACCTTTTGCCGAGTATTGAGCTCTTCATTTGAATTCAGGGTGGAAGCCGATCACGCAGTTGCTTGTCTTGCTTGCGTGTCGTCTCGAGAGGATCTCCTTCGTTTCGCGGCAGGCACCGATGTTCGCCGCCTACCTCGCCAATGGAACTCTCTATACCCGCCTGCTATGCGATTCTCATCCAACCCTACCTTAGACATTTCGCTCTTAGCGCGCAGCTAGAGGCATGGGGAAAATGACAGCCTGGGGTGTTCCGCGCGGACGCCACGCTTGAGGAATTGCATACGAGGGACATCCTGGAGGCGTTGGGACATTGACAGTCGCACATTGAACGCATATCGCTCCATCAGACAATCAATTCGTACGCAGCAAGGTCAGTCACGCGTTGACAGGGACGCAGAATTGATGGATCCTTCTCCTGAATGGAGAACATGCGTAGAGTTTTGCCACGTGGGCGGTACCGAGGTACAGGAAACATATTAAAGGCCAAGGCTTTGGCGCGTTTCGCAGGAGAGACATACATATCCGACCTCCGACCAAAATGGCGTGGCTCCATTATCAAGACGCCCCGACATGATTGCCGCGAGGATCTCGGAACTGTCACAGAAGAAGCATGTCGACGCCGTAGAGCAGCGCCCAAGCCCAGATGTGCAAAGCGTGGGAAAGCTTGGAGAAACAACCACGAAGTCTTGAGATAAGGCACACAAGATCCGCGGGAGGCCCGATGACAACATCAACCGGAAGCATTTAAGCGCCTTTGCCGGTGAAGAAAACGCTGGGATGCTGAAAGGATTGGCCTGATCGTCTCGGAGTGAAGCAGTGCCCAAACAAGCGAACAGCAGCACATTCATCTCCAACGAGTGGCAGGTCTTGCGATTTGGACAATAGGTCCACTTTAATAACCTTGTCACTGCTGACGAGCTGGCCAAGGCGTTTCCGGAGCCGACATTTCCCTGGAGAAGGCGAGCTGCCTCTAGTCTGGCACATCCTGGATGGTCCTTTCGAACGAACTGCTATTGGGGCAAATCGTCCAGTATCGGATCAATGGCCGGCTTTCCGCAGGTTAGTACTGTAGGTCCACCACATTAGAGGCAAGAAATCCTGGCGCAAGAGCTCTTGTCGTTGAAGAATGGCGAGACTGTACCAAGCTTCTCCCCCAAGGTAGTACATGCTTCACATCTGCTGCGCAGACTCGGGATCCGTTGTAGGTGTACGACCTTGCAACTCTCTGCTCGTGCCAGATGCTTCCATCAAGACTCTAACCTGAGCCGCGATGCTCTCTCCTGCAAAAGACTCCGGCCACGCGACCGCGATGTCGCCTCCTCCGGAACACCCAAAAATGTTGACCCCTCATACCAGGAGACCGCGCGAAGATGCGCACGAGCTATCAGAACTTTACCACGAGAGCGCGAAGAGCATGCGGACGAATGCGGCACCACAGGAAGACTGGCTTGACACAGACCTTGTCGATCCAGGCAAGGTCACGTCCTTCGACAAATATGACATGACAAGAATGGGGAAACGACAAGAGATGAGGAGAGTGTTCAGACAGTTCTCGATTTTGTCGTTTACATGCGTCATCATGGCTACTTGGGAGTTTCTGTTGACAGCAAATACGCAAGGATTGGTTGATGGTGGGCTCGCTGGGCTTTTCTGGGTGAGTTGAAGCAATAAGATATTCTGGGCGACGGCTGACGGTCTCTGTAGAGCTATTTGTGGACAATAGTAGGCTTTGGGTTGATCATTGCGAGCATGGCAGAGATGGCGAGTATTGCACCAACCAGCGGAGGACAGTACCATTGGTGAGGATATTATATGACTCGGCGGAGACCATGCGTGTTAATCCTTCCTAGGGTATCCGAGTTCGCACCAGCCAAATACCAGAAGTTCCTGAGTTACACCACCGGTTGGCTGTCTTCGATGTCATATCAGGCCGGCAACGCCTCCGGATTCTTCCTAGCCGGGACCGTCATCCAATGTCTGGCCATGGTAAACTATCCATCATATACGGCACCCAACTGGCAGAGCACCCTGTGCGTATTGGCTGTTGTGGTGGTTTCAGCTGTGTTCAACATCTGGGGATCATGGTGCTTCCCAATATTGAACAATATCTCCATGGTGCTTCATATCACTGGCTTCGTCGCTGTGGTAGTGACACTGTGGGTGCTTGCGCCTCATCCACCTGCGAGCGAAGTCTTCCTGCATTTCACCAACGCTGGTGGCTGGTCGACCATACCGTTAAGTTTGATGGTTGGGCAAATCAGTGCAATTGCTTCCCTGGGGTGTTCAGACGCGGCTGCTCATATGAGGTAAGTATTGGAACAGGAAGAAGGCCATACGATTGGGTTCTGACTGTTGCGTACAGCGAAGAAGTGTCTGATGCTGGTCTTTCCGTTCCTCGGTCCATGATGTGGACATTCTACATCAATGGCGGAACCGGTCTGATCTTCCTGGTCTCCATCCTGTTCGCGATCCCGTCCGTCGACGATGCTTTGAACGATCCAACTGGATATCCGTTCTTCTACATGTTCCAGGTCGCCATGCCCGACACCAACGTCGGTACCAAAATTCTCACGGTCATCGCAGTCTGGTGCTTAATGGTCGGCAACGTCTCCTTCACAGCATCCTGTGCACGTCAAGCTTGGTCCTTCGCTCGTGACAAAGGGCTCCCTTTCTCAGGCTGGATATCGAAAATGAATCCCAGGGTGCATGTGCCCGTCAATGCGACGCTGTTGACACTGGCATGTACAGTACTGCTATCACTGATCAACCTGGGCTCCAATGCGGCGTTCAATGCAATCCTCAGCTTGCAACTTTCGTCGCTCATGGCGTCTTATGCCATCTGCATCTCATGCATTGTGTATCGAAAGATCCGCGATCCAGCATCGATACCCAAGGCCAGATGGTCGCTGGGCAAGCTCGGCTTGCCGATTAACATCATTGCCATGTGCTATTCGGTGTTTGCCTGCTTTTGGACGTTCTGGCCAAATTCGACGTAAGTTTGCCTCTTCATCACAAGAATTCTTTGTGCTGACATACGTCTTTCTAGGCCAGTAGACGTCGAGTCCTTCAACTGGGCACCTGTGATCTTCATGGCTGTCATCATCGTGGCAATGATCACATACATCGTCCAAGGTAGGCACGTTTACGACGGCCCGGTGGCATTGGTTAAGAAGTTATGAATGAATTAGGAACGGAATATGTACGGCCGAGCTTGTATGACAAGAAACGAAGACGAATGCCTTACCATCCATACCGGGGGTATCTCTGAAGAAGAAGAAGAACTTTATCATTTCTATTCGCGGAATTTGTCGTGGCCTCAGTCATATCCTGCCCTCTCGTCGGAGACCTTCATAAAGCGCCAGCGCGGCCAAGGTCTTCCCATCGCGGGCTCCTTCTTTCCATAGATCGTGTAATTTGATGACTTTGAGCGTGATCTTCTCGCCTTCATCTCGCAGTCCCGTCAGCTTGCCTCTGAACTCTTCCAGCTCTGATCTTGGCAGTCGTTTCTGGTACAGGAAGAGAGGAATGTACTCGTCGCAGCCTCCCGGCGACGAGAAGCTGCCCTTTGCAATCTCCTCTCCTCTCTGCTCATTCTCCATCGCCAGAGCAGTCATATCCAGCAATTCGCTCGCATCCACCTCCAGCCCCGTCTCTTCTTTGATCTCTTTCGCAGCGCCGCCAGAGAACGTCCCGGCGTCGTCCAGCATTCCAGCCGGGATCTCCGTGAAACTGAGACTTCCTGCCGCTATGCGAGGCTGTGTCGTCAAGATCACATATTTCTCTTCTTCGTTCTCTTGCGGTACGTCGTCTGGCTGCAGGATCAGCAGCATGCCGACTGCCCCTCCACGCATAAAGACTGCTCCCGGCAGCCATTCTCCGTTGTCGTTCTCTACTGTTGTTTGGAGCTTCAAGAATCCCAATCTCTTCTTTTCTCCATGGCCGAACCAGTCCACGCTCTGGACTGTGATACGTTTGAGCTGAAAGGGCGACTTGTGGAATTCATGGCTCGGGTTCGATTGCAGTGAGAGCGAGTGGAAGATCGTTTTGGACCATACTTTGAAGGCTGGAAAATTGAGGAGCTGATCCTTTGTCAAGTCTTGTGGAAGACTGACTTCGCAGGGTGGTTTGGTGTTTAAGAGGGTGAAGGTCGACATTGCGGTGAGGTGGAGAGCTGTTGAGGGGTTGGCTGCAAGAATTGAACGATTTCGCGTCGCAAGGATAACCTTTGAAGATCTGAAAAGTGCTAACGACCTCGCCAGGATTTGCATATCGCTATCGACATCGTTGGAGCCTTGCACAGCCTTCCGGTGCCGATGTCTCGCATAATAGAATCCCAAGCAAATAAACATCTAGCTATATATATTGAACGGGCTTTGTATTTCACCAATCAGCTTGTGTTAAATCAAGTCTCTGTGGTCTAGTGGTATGACGTGTCCTTCACACGGACAAGGGTAAGCTGCACCACACTAGCCCGTGTAGATCCAATCGCTCACATACGTATCGTATTAGTCCCGGGTTCGATCCCCGGCGGGGATATCAGATGAGTACGCTCATGGTGATTCCTGCACCCTCATTTTGGTCGAGTTCAACCCCATATCAATTTTTGGGCAGATATAGCCAGTTCTGGCTTGTAACGTAACGCGCCACAGCGTATGCCAGGGCTGCACGAGGCTGGCAGGTACGCTTTTTGCCCTGCTAAACACTTCGACGACTGTCTCTTATCCAAAGGCGACCTCGATCTTGGGAGAGTCGAAGGTTCTACAGGTCTTGGCGCATCGGCTTACTCGATAGGGCAAGAACGATGACACTTCCCACACACACTCTCTCTCTCAATGCCTTGTCATGGACATGGATTGGTGACTTCAAATGTTCAAGACCTGATGGCTATACTGAGGGACTGATGCAATGGGTATCTGCTGCATCAGCGGGCTTCTAGCTGTTCGCAGCGACTGAGCAATGGAGAATGTACGCCGACGGCACCAATGCTCTGTGGACTGGCTTGTTGACAAAATACCGTATTAAGAGCGGCATTGTCGAGCTTCTCGTAGCATCGAGTACAAATTTGCCCTCATCGTCTGCATCACAACATCAAGTGCCGCCAAGACGCTCGTTTTCGTATTCGTGCCCAGATATCTCGCCTGTGCCAGTTCTTATGTCTACTTATACTCTTTTGTATGCTATGCTTCAGCCTCTGGTGGGACTACACTCTTCTTTTCCAACGTCGTGCTCGAAGAATGCGTATAAAAAGCTCCTGCAGTGTCACAAGAAATTGCGAGTTTTAGCGCGACTGCAACTTCCGCTTTCAGCTCGAGCGTCATTTCGACTCACCCCCACGACTTCAGCTGCCCAGCTTCGTAGGGCCACTGCTGCGAAATTTATCTACATACCCTCTCGGCGCGCGACGATGCCGCAAAGCTTTCGGCTCCTGTAAGCGACGATGACCAGACATGGGAAGTGCGAGACGTGTCGGAGGAGGAAAGTCAAGGTACGTTTGTTGCATTTCTGAATGCTGGAAGACTGCAATCCTTCGATTTTTGGTCCAATGGGAATGTCCTCCGTGTAGCGGAAGATCATGGTTCACATGGCATTGTCCACTTGAGTAATGATCTGGGATTGTTGTTACCGTGTCCCTGGGACGATGATGACAAAATTGCGGGAAGAGGGCGTATATCCATTGCTTGACCAATGCTTAACTCTGTTCTAGTGCGACGAGAAACGGCCCATGTGCGGAGCATGCAGAATCAAACGCCGGCCGTGCCATTACGTTGAACGAGGTTTCATCCACGGTGACAAAAAGCTGCCAGTACAAGTCGGGGTGGTAGAGCTCAATGATGATGCTCAGAACGAGGAGACGAGTATCATGCTACGCCTCAAATATCAATACAAGGCTCAAGAAGGCCACGGGGAATTTTTCACGTTCCAAGCTGTGAGACCTTGCTCCCCTGGCCCTCTTCTACGGGACGCTCGAGCTAAGATCGCCTCGAATCTGGGCTCGATCTTCGGTTATGCAGCACTGAACCTAGCGCCCTTGGGTCCCTGGATCAGGCTCGGCTGGCCGAGCAGCACTGGTACCGGCGAATGTATTGATTTGGCTTCGCAATACGCTCTCGAAACCGTGGTGGCGTTTCAGCATGGCCATTCTGACCTCAGTCTGGCTCGTGCGAGCAAGATCGGCTCGACAGCGCTTCGAAGTCTGCAGTCCAGCATTGAGTTATGTCAGCAGGATGAAGATAAACAAGCTCTTATTCTGGCGGTGATGCTGCATTTTGCTGCAGAAGTAAGTGCAGTGGGCCTGGTGTGACTTCGCCTCTGACGTGTGTCAAAACAGAACTTCGCGGGCATTGCTACATGGCGGTACATACCGCACTTACAAGGGATCTGCTTTCTGCTGAAGGCCTACTTCGAAGATCAGCCAGAGGATCGAGTTGTTCAGGAGGCTGTGAGCTTGATATGCGATCACGAGGTAACATCCATCCCTTCACTCGTTGCGATGCAGTATACGCAACAACCCCATCTGACAAGTCCTGCAGATCACAGCAGCGTTACACTTCGGCCAACCCTCGCAACTCGAGGCCTTTTCCAACCCGCAGTATTCTCTCGATGAGCCACCTCCAATCGATGTCGCCACGCTCATCGTCAACGACCTCCTGATCCGAATCCCACGCACTATATGCGCCCTCAGAGCCTGCCTGCAGGACCAAGACGACATCCAAAAGATGTCTGAAGCATGCACCCTGGCCAAAGCCCTCTACCATTCGGCGAACGCCAGCTGGGTCCAAAAGACAGTTACAGCAACGAGCCGGCCTTCTTCACCCCTTCACAACAAGTCCACGTCTCCAAGCGGCATCACCCTTACCTTCGACTCCATCCCAGCCCTCACTCTCTCAACCCGGTACACCCTTAGCAGACTAATGACCTGCGGCCTCTTGCAAAAGCTAACCACCCACCCCCTCTCCCGCTTCTTCTTCCCCGGCACTTTCGCCCCTGAAGTCGAAGCAGCCGAACTCTCCGCCGCAACATTCATAGCAGAGTGTCTCGATTTCGCCCTGAGACCAAATCCCGCACAAGTGCTCGTCGCGGTCACGATGATCATGCCCTTGGAAGCGTGCGTAGGGACGTGGAGTCGACTTCAGAGGCGCGAGAGAGCCGCTGGTCGATTAGATTCGCTGGAGTTCAAGCATGCGGTCGAAATGCAAGATTGGTGTATCGAGCATTTGCAGCGGTTGTGTTCGAGATGGCGGGCAGGGCCAATTCCGAGGAGAAACATGGAGCAATTGTACGATGTTCTTGTTGGGGGCCCGCTTGTGCCGAGCACGTATGAGTTTCAGGAGAACGGGGTGGCGCTGTCTGGGCGGAGGGATGTGGAATCATAGAAAGGAGAAAAGGTGGTACTGGTGGCAGCTGGTGGAGGGATTGGCGGTCTATGTCGTTACACGGCCTATTTATCATACAATCAGCGGAGTACTGATGTAAATCATCATACAAGACCATCACCAATGTTCAAGTATAGTCCCCCCTCATCTCATTCAGCACAGCCCTCTGCCTCTGTACGCTCATCCTCTCAAACCGATCCACAATCATCGTGAAGGTCCCTCTGCCACCTGTCAGACTCCTCAAATGCTTAAGATACCCCACCATCTCCTTTAGCGGAACCCGCGCCACAATCTGCCGCATCCCATTGCCCACACTCGCTATGTCGGACGTTACGTGCCCGCCAGCGAAGGGGTCTGCAGGAGCGTATATTTTGGAGACGTCGATTTCGTTTGACGATGAGGGCTCTTGATTGTCCTCTGAACCCAGAGAGACAACGCTGCCGCCGCGGGCAGAGGAGATGTCGTGGACGACTGAACCGATGCTTTCTTCATCGACGCTGATAGTGACCATCATAACAGGCTCCATTAGGACGCTGTCACTAGCGCTTGCGCTCTGTTTCAATGCTTTTTGGACCGCTAATCGCGCTGCTGATGATATTGCTGCTGGTGTGGTGTTGGGGAATATGTGTTGAGCCGGGTCGAATGTGATTTGCAATTGAGTGGAGTGAACGGGATAACTGTGTGTCGGACCTCTTGCGAGGGCCGCAGAGACGCCGTTCTGAAGGGCCTGGAGGATGATCTGTATGGGAAGGTGTTCTGGTAGTCCGGGTTCATCTGGATCGATGGATGATCCATCTCCGTGCAGTGTCGGGAAAGACACGCTCAGCACGTTCTTGTCATGCAGCTCCATCGAGTGTGCATTACTGCCCACGTCCTCCTCTAAAAGTGGCTCGGCAGCCACTGAGCAGGCAGCCTTGGAGCTCTTACCTCCCACCTCTCGGTCAAAGACTTCCGTAACCTCAGGACTCGAGGCAGTGATTGCTTCTCTGTATCCAATTTCGATATTGCCAATCCTGGCTTTGGCTTTGAGATCATTAACCAGACGGTCCCTGGCAATCTCGAGATGCAATTCGCCCATTCCAGCAAGGTGGGTCTGTCCACTTTCCTCGTCCAAAGACACGTAGAGACTCGGATCCTCTCGAAGAAGCAAGGCCAGTGATCCTTTGATATGCTTTTCCTCTGATAGACTGTTCGGCTCGACACTGACGAAGAAGACTGGAGGCGGTACATTGATGGGTCGTAGTTGGAGACTGCCAATGGGTAGCGGAGGCCCAGTCTTGGGATTCGCCCCTTGATACGATATCAAAGTGTCTCCAGTCCTGGCAAATCTCAGTCCTGGTATCACTCCAATATGTCCAGCTTGGATGGAGTCGATATCGACTGCCTCGTTGGCATACATTTTCATCAGTCTCTGAGCGCGCTCCATATTCTGCAGATTCGTGTTCCAGAGCGCCGCGTTACGGTTGACCGTGCCAGAGTATACTCGTACATACACGAGGACTCCTCTTTTGGCATCCGCAACCACTTTGAAGGCCAAAGCACATGCTTCCAGTTTTTGCAGCGCCGTTGTTGCTTGATTTTTGCTGAGAGCTCTACCTGATACTTTTGTCTGCGTGGTAGCCTCGTCCACGAGCTTGCCGGAGAGGAAGACGCTCAAGCCGCCTTTCGTACCAGAGCCGAGGCTCACCTCAGGATCAGGTCGTTCTTCAGGGGAAGGGAGGAGATCAACGATCGCATCTAACAAAGGTTGGACTCCAACATTGCGGAAACTTGCTCCAGCATAGATAGGAGCCACTTGTTGTGGGGTTTGCAACACACATCTTCTCAGCGATTCAGTGACATCTCCTGCACTGATAGCAAGATGATCTTCGTCTGCGTCGAGATATTTCTCGACCATCTCATCGTCGTGTTCGGATAAGCGTTCGATGAGCGCAACTCGAGCCGTCTTCAATTCTTCAGCCAGCTTTGCGTCTTCGCCTTGCAGCTTGCTCAAATCAAATGCTTGGATTTCCTTGCCATCGCCACCTTCAACATATCTCAAGCCTCTCAGCCCGACAACATCGCCAACGCCTTGTAGTCGGCCGTCTGCACTCCACCACGGAATGCCGCAGACTGCTGGCCAGGCACCAAGCCTAGCGCCGACTTCCTTAACAGTACGCCCAAATGCAGCGCCATCACGATCCAGCTTGTTCACAAAGACAATCCTAGGAATGGCGTATGCCGCGGCTTGTGCCCACACCTTTTCCGTCTGAGCTTCAACACCGGCAACGCCATCCAGAATGCACACAGCGCCGTCAAGCACTCTCAAAGATCGAAGGACTTCAAATGTAAAATCCGCATGTCCGGGTGTGTCGATCAAGTTGATGTTGTGGGGGATGTGTGACCTTGGCGTCCCTGGAGCGAATGGATGCTGCTTGTTTCCTGGCGATGGCGGCCATGAGAATGAAATGGCTGCAGACTGGATTGTGATGCCTCTGGCTCGCTCGGCAGGAAGGAAGTCAGTCACTGTACTGCCTTCATCGACGTCTCCTAATCTTCGAGTAAAGTTGGCATAGTAGAGCATGCGCTCTGTTGTTGTAGTTTTGCCTGCATCAATGTGGGCTATGATTCCGATGTTTCTCGTCCGTTTGACATCTTGAGCCGCGGTATCTTTAATCGACTGAGATCGATTTGCGGATGTGGTAGTGAAAGTCCTGCTGATTCGAGCCCAGGCAGTGGCACGTGGGAATTGCCGTTTACACAGGCATTGAAACACCATCCCACAACTCCGTGACGCCGTGAAATGCTGGGACTGAACGAAATGATTGATATTTTGATGGAAATGAAAGCTGTTGATAGGTCTCCTGGTTGATATTCATCTGGCCCCCGAACCCGACGCTAGTGAGAAACGAGGGCTCGGCTCGAGCCAGCCGACTGATGATGCAGTTTGCAGCAGCAGCACCTACCTGGCAGCAGCTTGGCCAAGGCTTCCTCGCATACCCGATATCCACCATGCCATTCCGCTCAGCCCGCGATGAGTGACGCCGTCGCCGGCCCCAGCAGCAGCACGAACAATTCCCACACCGGCAAAGCAAAGGTCCCCAACCTGCCCCAGAACCTGCGCTTCCAACGTCGCCAGTCCGAGCGCGCCTTCTACGAGGGTGCCTATCGCGAGGGAACCCCAACCATGGAGTATCCAAGTGGGACCTCGCCCTGGGCCTCCTCGCCAGAAGCCAGCCGCACCAGCATTGGAGGCGACATACCGCGAGAGGACCTGCCGGCTCCAGCGGTGCAAGTGCCTGGCGTCGAAGGAGAGCAGGCAGCTCACGCCAATGGAGCTTACCAGCAGCCACATGAAGGTGGATGGACGCCAGAGCAGTCGCAGGGTCAATGGCAGCAGCAGCACGCGCAGAACCCAGATCAGCAACAGCAGCGTGGACCCGGCGAGGAGAATAGGAGGCCTGCGTCGGCGAGATACCACAATGTCCCGCAGCAGCAACAACAGCAGCAGCAGCAGAGACAGCATATGCCTCAGTACAAGCTACAAGCTAAGATCACTGGATTGGAACGACCAGCGAAGAAGGACCCTATTCTGAAGTTTGACGTTCATGTATGTGATGGCACAGTAGAGACGTTTCACGCCCACAATACTAACAGTCGGTCAGACCAACCTCCCCAAATTCAGGACTACCCAATTCCGCGACATCCGCCGTACACACTCTGAATTCCAAAAGTTCGCTTCTCACCTCCAAGCATCTAACCCCGAAGCCCTCGTACCTGCAGTCCCGCCTGCGTCGACCAGCGCTGGTATTGGCACCGATGAAGATGAAGCTCGGACGAAGTCTAATATGCAGCGGTGGCTGAACGTGGTCTGCTCCAATGACGTTCTAATGAGGGACGAAGAGATGGTCTTCTTTGTGGAGAGCGACTTTGGATACAGCCCTGTCGTCAGAAAGAGGCAGCCTGCAACCGGTGTGAGGAGGAAAGTGCTCAAGCAATTCGCGCCGCCGCCAGATGACACACCTGAGCTTTTGGAGAGTCGACCGGTGGTCAAAGCGTTCTATTTGGGTTCAATGGACAGTCAGCAGAAGATCGACAAGGTTGTCAAGAACAGGAGATGTGAGTGAACTGAGCGAATGGGTAAGGGTAGGATGCTAACAGATCCGCAGCATTGGGTGTCGCAGAGTCTGATCTTGGTACGAAGGTTGCAGCTCTGTCAACGCAAGAAGCGCATGCCGGCCTCGCCAACGCCTATCGCAAGCTTGGCAAGGTTGTACAGAACACTGGCGACTTCCACGCAGCGCAGGGCACAGCAGAAGCAACGACTTTATCCGATCCTCTTGCATATCACAGCAGCGACGCAAATATCGTCAAGGAGACCCTCACCAACCGGCATATCTTACTTCGCGAACTCATCCAAGCACAGCAGTCCACTCGAAGCAAGCTGGCGGCAGCTGATAGACTCAAAGCAAGCTCGAGCGTCAAACGAGACAAGGTCGACGAAGCAATCTCAGCACTCGATGAAGCCAGAAGTCATGAGTCGTATTTGCAGCAGAAGACCCAAAGAGTTACGCAGAATCTGTTGATCGAGAAACGTAAATGGTTCGCCAGGACCGCGGGCGATTTAAGATCTGGTATTCGAGAATATGTCATCCGAGAGATCGAAGCTGAGAGACGCACGCTCGCTACCCTGGAACAAGTGCGCCCAGATGTTCGCAACATCGACGCGTCTGGTGGTCTGAGTAGACTTGGCCGCGAAGCTCATCCTGTTGTTCGACGCTCTAGCATGGCATCGAGCCAAGGCCCCAAGGGTGATGCGTGGTCAGGCGTTCCAAGACGACCAGATGGCTTGAACCGAAGCATCAGCGGCAGTTACGTGCCAGGTGTACCAGGTGCCGTGCCCGAAGAAGGCGAGGAAGAGGAGACGACTGAAGGTGGTACCGGTAGGAAGCGAGCTACGAGCAGCGCGAGCAGTCTCGGGAAGTTGCCTGAGGATGATGATGACGACAGGGTAGATGCACGAAACGCGGCGAGCAGACTGGCCCAGACTACGTTTTAGAAGAGCTGGATGGGTCACTGATATGGAGCGTATAACCAATGTAGATGCGAGAGTCAGTCGAATGGTATGATGTTGCAACAGAGTTCGCATTTGCTTACACTTGCCCGGAAATGTCTATGTATGCGGGAACGAAAGTTTAAAGTAAGAATTCCAGTCAGCACTCTGGTTGATGGATGTGTGCTGACGCAATGCCAGAACCGTACAGCAACACGCTATGGCAATCATGTCTTTTGACTGATGACCTGTTAAAAGTGCGTACTGTATCTACTTTCAAAAGCTCGTGTCGTCCACAGAACCCGTCATCCAAACCTGAAGGCAGCGCAGATGATGTGGCTCACGTACATCAGCTTCGCCGCTGCGGCGACCATCGCAGCTAGTATCATCTACAACCTTTTCTTACACCCTCTTGCCGGCATACCAGGTCCTCTATTAGCTCGTATTACACCCCTCTGGATTTTCTGCCAGTGCAAGAACAATCGTCGCCCAAACCTCGATCTTCAACTCCACCAGCAATATGGCAGCGTCGTGCGTATCTCGCCGAATGAAGTCATCTTCTCGAACCCGGCGTACTTCAAAACCGTCTATGGCGCAGGCAGTTCACGCGCCTGGGGTCGGAGTCCCTTCCTCACCGTGCACAACCAATTCGCCCGCGACTACGACCGCCTGAACATGCTCCTCGAAAGCGACATGGACAAACTCCGTTTCCAACGCCGCGTCTTCGGCCCGGTGTACTCCACAGCCAACGCCCGAAAACACGAAGAGCTCATCGACAACAACGACCGTCGGTTCGCCGCTCGACTGCAAAGTCTTGCTGGCCAAGTCATGGATTTCTACGTCGAGCTCGAGTACCTCGGCGTGGATATCTACTGTGAGATGACGTTTGGGGAGGCGTTTGGAGCGGTGGAACGCGGCGATGACGGGGGACAGATGGAGTCGATGGCGAAACGGTGGAGTTGGATTGGGTATATTGGGTTTATTCCTTGGTTGTGTGCGTTGCAGCATGAGTTGATGAAGAGGAATGTGCCCTTTTCGCAGTTTAGGTGTCCGTTCCCGGTGCATGCGGTATGTCTACATCTGCTCATTTCTGAAATCTAACATTGTAGTATTGTGATTGATGCTGACGATACTGCGCAGTGGGCGGGAAAGAAGATGGCTCAATACGACGTCTCTATAGCATCTCAGTCTGACGAAAAGGCATCCCACTGCGACGTAGCGAAGACCATCTCGACGGAGAAGTTTTTGCCATCAAATGCACACACGGTGCACGATACGTCGGGTACCACCGCACCTCAGGTCCCCACGATTGAAGACACCATCACCCCTTGCATCCTCGACGATCTTCAAATCGTAAGCAAGACCAAGTCTGGCGTTGGACGATCATGGGCTACAGATATGGCCATGACCAACATCGGTGCCGGCATCGACACGACCTCGTGGACTCTAGCTGCTGTCGTCGCCACAGTCGGTTCTAACCCCTCAGCATACGAAAAGCTCCAGACTGAGCTCGAAGATGCCGTCAAATCTGGCTTGATCAAGAAAAACACCCCAGTGCCCTACGACGCCACTCTATCTCTCCCTTATCTACAGGCATGCGTGAACGAAGCTATGCGCCTCTACCCCAACGTCGCCGTCTCCCTAGCCCGAATTGTCCCGCAAGAAGGAATCGTCCTCGACGGGTACTACATCCCACCGAAGTACATTGTGGGCATGAACTCCAAACAACTCGGCCTCAGCGAGGAAGTCTTTGGCGCCGACACCTCGTCCTTCATACCCGAGCGTTGGTTAGAAGCTAGCAAAGAACAGCTGGGCGAGATGGAGAGTCGGAATCTAGGGTTTGGAGGCCCGAGTAGGAAGTGTCCAGGGAAGAATGTGGCTTGGGTGGCTATGGCTAAAATACTAGCGGGGTTGTATTTGAATTTCGAGGTTGAGGTGTTGAACAAGCTTGGTGGTGAGGAGGGGCCGGGTGGGAGGAGGTGGATTGAGTTGGGGAGTTTTCCGACGAAGTGGGAGGGGATGGAGGTGAGGGTGCAGCCTCGATAGGGGGATAGTTGGTTGGTTTGATATGGAGGTCTGGATGGGATGGATATATCTTAGGTCGTGACATTGACCAAAGCACTCGGAAAATCCAGAGCGAAGTCTGCCAATCTAGTCATGTTCACATGTACATCATTCGAGATCACTACAGGAGACCATGGGGAAGAAAACGAGACGTTCAATGGCATCACCCTCGCTCGTACCTGCAGGAGAACGACCTCCTTTAAAGCCCCAGAGTGGTCGCACGGCGATCGAATCCTTTCTCGAGCGCCCAGTCGGCACTGAACAGCAGGAGACAATGAGCACTCGTGAGCGCAAATCTTTACCTTGCCATCCACACTCGGCTGCACGCAACTTTTAAACAGATCATCGAAATATGTAGACAGTTGAAAGGGGGGGGTTTTTTTTTCACCTTTAGTGGTGATCAAATTTGACCAACGCCTTATTGAATCTAGAAGCTGACTTGTCACATTCGGCCACAGGTAATTGAGAAGCCATCCAAAGATTCGGCGTACTTCAGTGGCGTGTAGGGAACGGGCACCCCCCAGTCACCCCTAGGGGTGGTCAGACTGTTTTACCTACTTTTAATATCTTTGCGCGTGTCTTATACATTCGGCCACAGATGCGTGAAAACAAGCGATCCCGTCCGCTCTCGCATATTTAAGCACGTAATCGCCTGATTAGTACTACGGTGGGTGACCCCGTGGGAATACCGGGTGCTGAATGTTTTGCTTTTTGCAATGTGCGTGGCTGAAATCCGGTAAGTGAATGAACTAGCGCTTGGCGTCTTGGCTTTTTGGTCTCGGGCTGATTTCGTGTCGAGAAATACAGATTGAAAACCGTTAGTATGTCATGGAGGATACATCTCTCTCGAACTCATTCAAAGTGTTTTTGGGGTGTTCTTGAGCACTTCGGCTGCCGCTAGATCTGAGCTCCGGAGGCTTCGAAGGAGATGAATGCCAAACAATACGATTACTTCTGCGATCAGCGCAGGGATGCTCGAATTGGAACTACATCGCCCGTTGTGAGAGCGTACAGCGGTACTTGATGATTCTGATACCTTGACAATGGCTTGTAGCGTAGAGATTTGCCGTCATCGAGCGTAGCTGGACACTCGTTGAGGGACGCTGTACTTCTCTTTGCCGTCCATGTCGCACATGAGTCCATTTGAGAATTTGGTACAAGGCCACCGTAATGCTGCTTTCTCCTGTTGTGGTCCATTTTGGAGTTGGATCTCATTACGAGGGCATTGGCCGGAGCGGAGAATTGTATCGCCGGATGAGTGAATGTTCGATGATGCGACCAATCGGGTGCTCCCGCTGTGCCCACTCCAAAAACGCCGACTTCTCGACCCCTTTCCTTCCTCTTAGCACACTCACATATCACGCGCCAATACGAAATGGTACAGCATCATCGTGGAGTACATCCAGCTTACCAGCAGCAGATGCAGCAATGTTCCGTCCTGCCAATTCTCTGGCAAGTGTAGCAGCAGCAAGCCAGCAACTTTCTCTTGCCAGCGCTTAGATAGCACGATTCTCTATGAATAGTCGAAGTCATGAGAACTGCACATCATGTGCATGGCAAGCGTCGGCCCCCCGGATTGCCCCTAGCACAATGGACAGCAAGCGTTTGACGCTCAAGAGATGCACCTGGGAGTTCAGTCTGCTACATCGCCTACGCCGGAATGCGCAGACCTGCGGCACAGGAGCGGCTACGCTTGGTGAGGCGCACCCTCGTGGCCGAATAGCACCATTTGCTGTACATCAGCACAAGGTACTGATTCAATTCCTGTTTCAAATCACAACACTGGATCCTGAAGGCCAATGAATGTGATCGATGCCAATCTCTCGACAGAAGCAGGGTTTGTGAGCCTTCTACATACGTTGCTATTCTTGTCTTGAGTTGGGTATAAGTAACCTAAGATATCTGCGACAATTATTGAGTCCATTCAAAAACAGCGTCGGTCACATCAGTACTACCAACAACAGAACCTTGAGCAATCAACTTCACCTTCTTCAGACACCTAACGAACTGAGCATGCCTACCGACGCCCTCGAACAACTGCAATCACCAGCACAAATCGAACTCCTGGACGCTGTTGACCGGCTCCGATTGGAAGGGTGTGGTGATGGCGAGCTCGATCTCCCCCAGCTCATCGTTTGCGGCGATCAGTCATCTGGCAAGAGTTCTGTTCTGGAAGCCATTTCGCGCGTGAGCTTCCCAGCATCCGACACCTTCTGCACACGCTTTGCTTCTGAGTTGATTCTCCGCAAAGCATCTACTACCGACTTTTCAATCACCTTGATCCCTGCATCAGACCGGCCCGAGGATGAGAAGAGATACATCTCCTCTTACACTGCACCGGCAGAGCTGATGGCCATCGAAGACTTTCCTAAAGTGGTCAAGCTTGCTGGAGAGCACATAGACAGACTGCGGCGGCACGAGAGAAGCAGAAGTGCATTCCTCACGGACAAGCTCGTGGCTCGAATTCGCGGTCCTCATCTTCCTCCTTTGACGTTGGTCGATCTTCCGGGATTGATACACACATCGGGTGACACACAGACATCACAAGACATTGCGGTGGTACGAAAGATACTGAACGACTACATGAGCGACAAGAGCAGTATCATCCTTGCTGTGCTCGCAGCAGATAACAATAAAGCGAATCAAGAAGTCCTACAGCTCGCGAAAAATCACGATCAGATTGGCGAACGAACTTTGGGTATTATCACCAAGCCAGATAAAGTCGACGCGGGTTCAAACAACGAGATTGAGTGGATCAAACGCACTCAGGGCAACGCCTCTTCGCCCCGCCTAGGCTGGCATGTGCTGAAGAACAGATCATTCGAGCACAGAGACGCTACATCCGATCAACGAGATGCCCATGAAACCAAATTCTTCGAAAGTTGCAACTGGTCTGCAGTGCCCAAGGATTGTCGTGGCATTGCATCTTTGAGAACACGCCTCAGCGTGGTGCTCCTCCGCAAGATCCGTGAGTGTCTGCCAGGCATATCGAGAGGCATCGACGATGGTATTCGGTCGGGCAAAATGGTCTTGGAGAAGCTTGGTCAACCACGAACAACGACATCTGAACAACAGAAGTACTTAACCGAGATCAGCTTTAAGCTGATGGAGCTTGTCAAAGGCAGCCTCCAAGGACACTATGGCGGCACGTTCTATGCTGGAGACGATGCAGATGCCATTGCGTCTCGAAAAATCCGATCCAGGCTGCAGGACACTCTTGACAACTTCATGACTTGTATGGGCGCCCGTGGACACCTATTTCTCATCAGAGAGGACAAGGCTGTAGGGCAAAAGTCCAAAGACAGTGCTCCGATTGATCTCTCGGTGACTGCAAATCTCGGAGCTGGAGAGACAGAACCAATCGAGGTATCTCGAAGCGGCTTCCTCCGCAGCACAACAACATACATGAAGCAGAACAGAGGCTGTGATTTGCCGGGGGTTTTGAGCTCAGAAGTCGTGACGCATCTTTTCCACCTTCAATCTTGCCCATGGGAGGCTCTTTCCAACGAGTGCGTCGATCGTTGTTGGACGCAAGTCGGAGACTTTTTTCGCCAAGCTCTGGAACATGTTGCATCGCTGCACACAGCAAACGCCATAATGAACGAGTTCGCAGCCGATCGTCTGGAGTCGATCCGTGATGATCTCTTCAAGAAACTGGGAGAGCTCCTCAAGCCGTACAGGAAAGGCCATTTAATTACTCTGAACAGAGCACAACTCCTAGACATATGTCAACGAAAGTCTCTCGAGTCCGAGCCGAGGGACGACAAGAAAGACAGCAGCGCCTGGTCCAGAGATGAATCCAGTAACGATTTTGCGGCAGCATCACAGGCATTGAACTGCATGCAGGCCTATTACCATGTATGTTTGATCAGATGATTTCTCTTTATGCAGCTCGACTAACCAAACAGATCGCCGGCCTTACTTTCATGGAAACAGTAGCCACTCTTGCCATTGAGAATTGCTTAGTCGATGGCCTGCTGGATCTCTTCACTCCGATGACTGTGCCGGACTTGGGCATCGAAGTCTTGCAGGCCCTTACTGCGGAGCCCACGAGCGTTGCCATTGAGCGACGAAGGAACCAGGAAAAGCTCAAGGTGCTGCGCGACGTAAGCTGTATCATCCGCAAACATTCTGGTCGTGATGGTAAGTCAATTGTTGGGTTGATATCTCTCACAATCGCACTATGTCCAGGCTAATCAATACTAGTATCAACGGACTTTCAATCGGCCCATAGCCCAGAATCTGTTCCTTCGCGCCAAAAATCACAAGCCGATGGCCAAGAGAGAGCAAACACCGTCCATGTCGATATCAAGTGCGAATCAACGCCTGAACCCAAGCCTTTTGCCTTTGCATCGACCGTCATAACGCCTCCACCAACTCCACCGAATGAGCCCGCTAAAGATGGGTGGCGACGTAGATCGTCGCGCAAAAGTCCATCGCCACTATCGCGAGGGAGCTCAAAATCGTCCGCAGCTGCTGGTAAGTGAATCCACATTCGGTCTGTCTTGTCATGTCTTAGTGAAGACATGCCTCTCTAGTTTCATCTCGATCTCAGACATCTTCTTCCGCATACTGACATTGAATAGAGCGCCAGGCTTCTGTAAGCGCCGACGAAGAAGAGGTCTGACAACATCTCTTCTTTCTTGGAGAGGAGCCCGCAAAGTGCCGTCTTCACCCCAGCAGCATGGCCTATTGACAGGCAGGTTCCGGTATGTAGAATAGAGAGCGATCATGTATCGATGTACTTTCCCCGCCTTGGTTCGACCAGGGCTATGTCGCTTACTGTACAGACAAACTTCAAGTTCAAACAAGAAAGATGAGTCGAGCGACAGGGTAGTTTCCGCGTTGTTCTCGCAAGGAATCCATGGTCGCTCACACCACTTCGAAGGATCTGCCCGTATCGAAGTACTGCTTATGAGGAGCAGAGACCGCAGTCTTCTTTGACTCAGGATCGGTTCATCACTCCCGCTACAGCAACCATCCACAAATACGGCTCTGCCTTAGCGACTCGCATTAGACCCTTGTGAGGTCCACTTTCCGCCAGGATTCCACAGCCACAGGTCGAATACAAGACAAAAATGGGCGAAGCAGCAGAGTCTTCCAAATTCTACGGCGCCATCCGTTTCATCGAGCCAGATCTCTCGGTGCCAGCTGAGGAGAGAGCCATCTACGCAGGGCCAGCTGCCAAACTTGCCAAAGATGAAAGCGTGGAGCTCCATGATTTCCGAACATCCACAGACGTGGCCAAGGGTCTCGCCGGTCTCGATGTTCAAGGCTTCACCTACATGAACCATGAATTCTCACTAGGTCGAGACGAGATTCTAGAGGGAACGAATGCAGAAGATATCTATGCCAAAGAAGTCATCGACATGATGCTCAAGTTCACTGGAGCGTCACGAGCGGTCATCCACAACATGACTTTCCGGCGAAAGCTGGCGGTGGCACAAGAGGACTTGTACCACATTCGACGCCGAGGTGACAGGAGCGATACTGAAATTGCAAAGTTGCCGAAAGATCGGGTGCAAGGTAAGGCTGCCTTCGCGAGGCTACACGACTAAAGCTGATACCATACGAGTGACTGGTAGGGGTGGCGACACCAACGAGCCTGCCCGTCATGCACACTGCGATCAGATCCTCGAGTCTTTCCGGGACACCATTCGCATCTGCAGGAAGGACATCACCGAAGCTGCTAAGCCTGCAATTGAAGCGGAAGACATGAGAGCAAGAGGTGCAATTGTCAAAGTCCCGAGATACGCTTCTTACAGCGTCTGGGTAAGCCAGTCTTCCTCTTCAAACGTTTCGACGTACTAATGGCTCTGCAGCGACCTCTGAAAACAGTCAAGCGAGATCCCATTGCCGTGCTCGACTACAGAAGCATCGCCAAGTCCGAGCTGGCCATCACCGACTTTCGTGTGCCCAGTGCAATCACTGAGAACGGCGAATACGTCGTCAAGGCGTGGCTGCACACTCCTCCCAAGAATCCCGGGGCTTTGAAGTGGTACTTCATGTCAGAGCAGAAGCCCGACGAAGTTTGCGTTATCAAGTTCTGCGACTCCGCTTCTGCAGACGATGACAACATTGCAGCGGGCTGTATTCACGCTTCTCCGGCTATCGCTGGCGTTGAGAATGAGGACGTCCGGGAGAGCGTTGAGACAAGGGTGTACTGCTTCTGGGATTGAATGATGAGAGGTCGCCACTATAAGTATTATTCTGTGTATTCGACAACAATCTCCCCTTCACCGCAAGGATGCTCAAAACCATCGACGTACATTCTGAAGAGATCTTCAGAAATCTCGAGAGCACAATTGGCGTCTACCCCTTTCTTTCTTCGCTCACCAATCCTCCTCCAAAGTATCGATTCGTCCACTTTGAGGTGAACCAAGACCCATCTCGCATTAGACTTTTCGATAAGGGCTTTGAAGTCGTCGCGGTCTTCCTTTGCGTAGAATGCACGGTCGAGCACGATGTCGACCTGACGACCAGCGAGAAGGCGTTGGAGTGTCACCTGGAACTCATCAACGGCTTCTTCTGAATACGCCTCGTGTTGACTTGGGTCATAGTCGATGTTGTAGATGCCATGTCGAGAGGCAATGATCTCGTCGATGGAGAGCCGCTGAAAATTCGGATGAGTCCTCAACACTTCTTTTGAAAGCGTTGTCTTTCCAGCTCCTGTTTGTGTTGTTAGAGAAGAGACATCAAAAGACTTGCATATCTTGAACGCGGTGTCATACCGGCTATCCCACATGTCATTAACACGACTGGTCGTTCATCGTCCTCTGACCTCGAAAGATAAGGCGAGAGCCGACTGACGACTGCTTGCGGATCATTGTGTTGTATTACCGTGGTTGCCATTCTGTTCAATAGTAAACTTCATGATGTGGAGGCGACTCCACCTGTTGTTGATGAGTTGCGTGATTGATGGACAGAACAGATGAGTCATCTGACCTTGAGTGACACATAGGTAAGAAGCAACGTGATGAGGCAGACTGGTAAAGAGGAGTTCCCGATTCTATGTCCAACTATCGTTCCAAACCATAAGATCCAGTAGGCGCTGCGACCAGATTCTCGACTTTGCGATTCCCCCTAAACAACGACACCAGATACCTGCTGATCAAGTGTCCGCACATTGACATCCTCCCACAGCATAGGCATTGCCAAGGTTATAACATTGAGGCAGGACGATGCGATCAGCATCAACTTCTGCGTATCGCCATAAGCTTGGTTGATTCCAGTCCTTGTCGGCGAACCGACGGGATAGCCCGACTGAACAGTGATATCAGCATAGATGCTCGCCAATGCCGACTGTGCATCGGCGGGAAGGTACTTTGCAAGCTTCGCTGGGAATATTCCTGTCCACATTGCTGCAGCGATTGTCGAACCAATGGAGCCACCAATGAGAGCGACCATGCCTTCCGTCGCAAGCAGCGCTGGAATGTCCTTGCGTTTCGACACGGCTTGAACCGTCATCTGCTCGCACATGACCAAGGTCGCGCCGCCGAGGGCAATGAAGACCTGGCAAAGCACAATCAACCCCACGGGGCTATTTGGCTGCCGGAATGGAATCATCAAGGCATTGCCCAGTAGAGTCAGGGGGGCACCAAACAAGACTGCGTGCCACTTGATCCTTCCCCAGTACCTGAACATGATTCCCACAATGACTGCCCAAAATGTGCTTCCAATGGTGTAGATGTTTGTGATGTAAGTCGCATCTTGAACAGAGAGATCGAAGACCACAATCAGGAATGAGTAAAAATAGTTGTCCCAGATGTACCAGGCGGTGTAAAGAGATCCCACCATGGCGAAAGTGAAGAACACTGTCCGGTTCTTCAGCAGCGACCAGGGAACAAAGGTAACGGGAGCGAGATACTTCTCATAGAGAGCAAAGCAGACGATCAGTAGTGCCCCAAACACGATGAGACAGATGATCAACGGCGAGCGCCACTGTTCTGCCTGATACGAGTAAATGCTGAACGGTAGCAGGAAGAGCGCGAGTCCGGCGGAGAGTAAGATGAGACCGATGACATCGAATTCGCGGGCGTAGTAGATGAAGGATTCCTTCCACGTTCGGTTTCCCTTTCGTTGTGAGATCATGCCAGCCTTCTTAGCCTGGATATGATAGTACCAGAAAAGACCGAAGAGTGGCTAAAGAGACGTTATCAGTGAGTCAATCGATAGGTTTTGTTCGTAATTATGCACTCACAGCACAGAATATAGGGTACAGGATCGCCCAGATCCCAAAGCCCCATCGAAAGCCAATTCCACCTGGAGCGATGATGTGTTGGGCGGCCGGTCCATATGCCCACATCGTAGCAAGGTATGGGGTTGCCGAGAGGGCGAACATGAGGGCACGGTTCCTCAGAGTGGACGTGTCCACAATGAAGATGTTCATGACAAAGCTGATCATGTTGTAACCGCACGTGTAGAAGACTTGTGCTGCAGCGTACGTCTTCACATCGTTGCAAGCCGCCATGAGGATGAGGCCGAGCGTCACGAAGCCAATTCCAAGACCAAAGCATTGTGTGCGCCCCCAAATGTCAATCAGCTTAGCGAATGGCAGCTTGATGATCCCGCCGATCAAGGAGGATACGATCGTAGTAGTCGCAGTCAAGGAGTGGTATTGAAAGGTGCTCGTGACGTACGGCGTTAGGGTCGATACAATACCGCTGGAGAAGGCGTGCTAACGAGAGGTTAGACCTGTCAGACTGAGTTCAAGACCTTTATAGCGAGTGACTTACCATGAAATTGATGACCCAGATCAGGATGTAGGCTGCGACCAAATGCTTCCAACTCCAAAGCTTCGTGATGGCATCTGCTTCTCTTATCCCACCCTGTAGATGTTCGCTTTCGTTGTCCGATGGAACTTGCAGAGTCGTTTCATGAGCAGCATTCTTTTCGTCAACTGTGACCTGGCCGAGGGAGGGTGTTGGTGTGACCTCAGAGGCCCGCGGCAGGGAATTGAAGCGAGATATTATGCCCATATCTCCAGACAATCACAACTTTAGACTGGGCGCAGAAGATGCAGGCGCCTGGCCTCGCGAGGATTGAGCGTCCTTATGTACATCTTCCCATTGTCGCACCCGCTCGCGGTGGTAAGGAAACCGCTGGGGTGACGATCCTTCCACCACCACACCATTGGAAAAATGTGAGTGCTAACTGCATCGACAGCAATGTCCGTCCTCTCGTCCAGTCGACAGCAGTGCTACGCGAGCACTATCGAGGGCCAGAAAAATCTGATAATCTAATCAGATCATCATGCCACCACCGACCCACGAAGGCGTCCAATAGTTCGCTGGATCAACTGCCGATATTCCGCCAACAGGCAAAGACGAAGGCTTGGCATTGAACTGGTGTGCGGATCCCCTGCTCCGATGGCGGCCAGATGTTGCATTGAACGACAGTCTTTCAGTGACCTAGAATTCGAAGTCGCCATGACAAGATCCAGCTCTCGAGGGGCAATCGATCGCTCTAAGCGCTGATGGAAAGCTGGCGTGAACACCGTTGCCAAGTTTTGATTTTCTTGTGAGATCTGGGAGGCATTCTTGTCGTATGGAACACCGCCAAATGAGCGGGAGTCGCCCACTTCAGCCGGATAGCAACATAGGGAGTACGAAGGTGACCAATTGACCAGATGACAGGCGCAAGAGAGCACGAGTGCAACTCGTCTGTTGTGATTAGGAGAGAGATGAAGCGGCAGGCGTTGAATGCCAAATGCACTGTCTGCTTCCACGTGACCTTCCTTCTATTGCCACGCGCCAGATCCTTCGAAGGATGCCATCATCACTCACCAACACACCCAAAACGCTCAGCATCGAAATGCTAGAGCTTACAGTGACGAATAGCTGCGACACAACATGCGATTCCCTGACTGTCAACATTCATACTTGGGACGCAAGGATCGACCCAGCTTGAAGAATATCACATATACCACGTAGAGGCCTTGACCGGGTGGCTGGAACGTGCCTTGAGCTGGACCTCGAAGCACGCGACAACTGTCTCTTCAGCATGGATTCCGCTGACGACATCAATATTGCGGCACGGATAGACCAGTCCGATGAGGAGAGCCTGAATAGCCACCCATCTAAGTCGTCCACTGCTCAAGGTGATGCATCAAGCAAGTCCGAGTACACCAGCGCATCGAGTCCGGAAGCTTACCCGGAAGAGCAACGAGACGTCGAACGATGGTCAACTCAGATCATAGACGCCCTGGCCGCTTGCGACTTCGACAACCCGATCATGCAGCGCCTTGTCCCGGAATTCAAGTCCGACCGCGAGACCGTCGAAGGCGTGGAGTATCAGCCCAAGTCGAAAGCCGAATACTTTGCAAAGCATCGGAACTGGGCTAAGAACGTTCCGACTCGCACAATGACCGTGCTTCATGTCGTTTCTGACTATCATGAGGATAAGGGGAGAGCTGAGGTCTGGGTGTGGCTTAACATCACCGGTTGGGGCTCTGCCCGGATGTGTGCTGAGAGTGTCAGCTGTTTCAAGTGGCAGCGCAGTCAAGGCATATGGTGGTGTCACCAACATACGGGGTTGAGAGGCACACCTCCTATTCAGGCATCTTACTAGAGCAAGAAGAAACGCTTGGATCTGAACTGCCATGGCCAGAGTGAATTCACTTATGAGAGAAGCGACCGGACGGGACCAAAACGAACATGCAACTCTCCGTAGCTCTGAGTCAACGGAGCACAAAGTAGACAGTATGCGGCCCGACGGTGCTTTGAGATGCTTGGTAGCAACCAGAGAGTACCATCGTGATTGCCACGACAATGCCTTAAATTTGCGGCAACACAGACTTGTGCTGGCGAAAAGAGGGGACAGCGAGGCCAGGCTTCAGAGGAAGACATGCCGATGAATTTTCACAGGAGCAGGTTATGCTACTACCATTGAAGCATCGGTGGAGCTAGCCTTGAGATCATTGCAGTACGAGCGCTTGAAGTCTAGAAACTTTGGCATGGTTTGGTGTTCTATCTACTATGAGATGACGCACTTCATTCGTCTTCAGGCGCTTCACATCACCGGCAAGCTTCCTAGAGGGTGTCACAATAGCCTTGTGTTTTCCAACAAGCTTCAGAGCTTTGCATATCGACTCAAAATCTCTTCATTGACCTTGTAGTGGTCAATCTCGGGCTGACTCTTCCTCTCATCCATTTTCTGAAGCCAGCCTTCTCTAATCTTCTTCGACCAACTTGCCGCAGCTCTCGCGAGATCCGTAGGCTTCTCGAAGGGGATGTGATGGTGGGCACCGGCGATCGAGACTTCAGTAACCTGACCACTCGCAAGACCTCCTCCACCGCCGTGTCCTGTGCCCATGACACCCGCAGTCCACTTTCGATTGGCTGCGCGTTTCTCTCCAAACAGCTCGGACTCCGCACCCCACGCTAGAAGCACTGGTGGGTAGAGGTGTGGTATTGAGTTCCACGTAACTGGTGCTTCAGGACGTCCAAAGCCGGGGATTGGGTTGACATGCTCATCTGGAATATCATCTCCTGGGTTCGCAGGGAAGTTGGCGAGCTTTGGTCTTGGGTGCACCCATATCGACTCTGTGATAGATTTTGGCGTAGCTAGAGTGACGCTTGTCCCGGGTTCTATCTTCCCTAAGCTCCTTCGAGACTTGTCGTTCAGAGAGCTGACGTCCACAAGATCGTGTTGGACTACCTTGTCGACCACCCTTGGATCGTATGATTTGTAGAGGGGGGCCTTGGCGAATGCCTTGCGTGCCTCATCTCGCGATGCCCAAGTAACTCGACGTTTTGCAACAAGCACAGAAGGATAGAACTTGTTGGGAGTAGGCCACTTTATACCTTTCTTGGGCCCATATGCAGGTTCCGTAAGAATGAGACCGGTGAAAAGCCGCGGATGCCAGGTGGAAAGAACTGTCAGGAGTGCGCCGCCCAATGAATGACCGATGCCAATGATAGGAGGGGGCATAAGGTCTTGCAAGTGGTTCATGGTGTGCAGGATGTCGCGAGGGATGTCTAACCAGCTAGGCTCATCTCCGATGGTGTCTCGATTGAGCCAAAATGATTCTCCATATGTGGCGGGATCAATGGCCCAAATGTTTCGGATGCCTGGAAACTGCTGCAGTAAATCGTCGAACAAGGGCTCGAAGGTCTCCTTTGAATTATCAATGCCACCCGCCATAATGAAGGTCACATCACCGCGGATGGACTGGAGATTCGCTTTCGGTGTGTACTGTTTTACGGCGAGTTGCAACTTCGAAGTTTCTTCATCGCGAGTCCCTCGCTCGAAGCTGTTTCAAGTCAGTCACGAAAATTCATCCTGGGCTTCTACTTACCCTCTAATGTGAGAGGCGGGGATGTTATGGGTCGTAATGGTCCACAGCTCTCGGGACATGCTGCTCGATCTGGCGGTCCGGGACGTAATGCTGTTGCAGTGTAAGGGTGTTGCACCAGATCAGTTCAACCCGATATTGGATAACGCATAAAATGTGAAATCGGGGGAAAGCCTTCTTCCGTGACAGTATCACAGTCAAGTTCGGCCCTCGCTGGGAGTATTCCTTTGATAGCATTGTGACGTGCAGGTCGGATAGACCCTGAGTCTTCGAGTCGCGCCAAGGAGTCGCGACCACGTCCACAATAGGCTTGATGTGCATCGGGAGAGTGCTCAACTCAGCTTCGGATTGTTCAACGTAAGCAGGCAGAATCCCACGCAGGCTTCCTAACAAACATTGCCATGGCTTTGACAAGGCTAGATCGCGCATCAGACAGTGCATACATAGCGTTGCTAAGTAGTGTGCACATCCAGGTCAGTAAGTGTTACAAGGGATCAGTATCCCTACGCGAAAATCTCAGCAGCAAATAGTGTTTTCATGCAAACACCCGAGACTTACGATCCGCAAAGGCTGCACATTGGGGTGATGCTCCTCCGTACTCGTATAAAAGGTGCATGTGGAGTGGATGGCGGAAGAGTGAAGAGAAGAAGAGCGTGTCCTGAAATTCGCTCCCACAAGTACATCCGCTAGCGTTCCGCAGCTTCCGCAACAAGCGCTACCAGCCCCTTTTCCTCACTCCGCTCGCACCTTCGCTACAAAGTCAACGCTCAACATAACCACACTTCAAGTCAATCGTCAATCCTCTCCAGTCATCTTACATGCTCACTCACACAATGCCAGGCAGGATCTCTTGCAACGAGGCTACAAGAACACCAGATGAAGGCATACTTGCAGAATGAGACGCAACATTCCTCTCAATGATACTGCCACCAAGTCTCAACTGCTCCGAAGCAGGCGCGAGGCTCTTCCCATCACTCCGCTGAGAGCGCCCATCCGATCATGCGACATACCAGCTGTAACTGCAGGACCACCGATCAGACGGGCCTTCCAGGTGGCTTTGATACGACGTATCGAGTTTCGCGGCTCTATGATCGCTCGCAGACCGCGATTGATCAGTGCGACTGGAAGATCCTCGAGCGCGCGAGACTTGCCGGCAATCTTGTCCACGTTCCGGCGGATCATCTTGTTCGCACCGTTGAAGAATTTGTAAAACCTGTACCCGAGCGAAAGCAGATGGAGCTCGTTGATGCGCGCTTGCAAGATGTTTTTGCTCAGTTCGATGACGAATGATTGGCAGTTGTTGATGAAAGCATCGTATCTGGGGAATGCTTTCTCGATGATGTGTTTGCCTTTGGCCGGTCAGCATTTCATTCCATTTTACCCTCACATTTGTCTTGACACACCGATTTGCTCGATCTGGTCATACGTAACACCGATCTCTTTGGCCTCTTCCTTCATGGCTTGAAACCGTATTGACGAGATCTCCCAGTCTGTCGTTCTGAGCTCGGCAGCCTTCGTGAACGGTACTTTGTGCAGATCGAAGCATTTTGATCCGACTTGAAGGGCCCAGTGCATTGCGGGCTCGAACGCCTTGCCGGTCATCTCGTAAATCTTGCGGTGAAGAGGTGACCGGAAACCTTCGTTGTCTTTGTTCTTGGCGAATCGGAATTCCAAACGGACTGGTCGTGCCGTCGTGCTCGGACTGAGCGCTTTGAGCGCTTCGATACGTGGGCAAATTGGTCCTGAGGTTGGATGCCCAACTGTTTCTGACGAGCAAGGACAATCGTCTGTGGAGGCCATGGTGGTGAGCTTGGAGGCGAGGCATCATGACTGTGGGCGTCTCTTTAAATGAGTGACTTTTCTGTCCTGCTGCGGACTGTTCGCAGCCTGATAAGGTGAGCCAAGCTGGAGGCCGTTGCCCCCACGAGCATTGAACGGAAAGCCACACGTACGGAAGGCCACGTTTGAGGCTGAAAAGCCCTAAATCATGGCATGAGGCACGAATGTGCCTGTCAAAGCCAACATGATCTATCCCATGAAGGCGATGTATGCTGACGTCTCATGTGAATTATGGAGGCTCAGCTTTCGCGCTAATGCTGCTGAGCGTTGGTGAATGTTACACAAGGTACGTCATCCACTAAACATGTCAGTGCTGTTCTGTTCTCTCACTTAGGGTTTGTCTGTCGTCGTTCAGGGCTCAGAAACCCTACAACTCACCTTCAGACAGGACTTGGGCGAATTGAGAACGATCTTTCGTGCCTGCCATGGCCACTTTGGCATGCTCGGATAGCTTCGCGCGTCCCGAACCAGCCTCAGCTAGGGCAGATGGCTGAAGTGTCCGCAGAGCCTCCTTAGGATCACTTGACACCCATAATCTTGCTGTGGCTTAGGGTGGAAAGAGATAAGCTGAAGAATATAGCACATTGGATGTCGCCTTACCAATGCCTGACCTTACTTCGAAAAGTACAACCCAGCAACAACACAGAATGTCTCGAATACTAGCTTTGCCCTTCCAGGCTTGGGCCAGCACGTCCTCCATGATGCGGAGTGTCGTGGAGGCTTCGAATGCGGACGACACTGCCAGGCGAGGGGACAAATGGCGAACGCAGAAGCAAGAAGAGCTGGGGTATGTCGGCATCACAGTAAGCTAGACGAAGACTCATCGCTTTAAAAGTTTTGCATGCTAACACTTCGATCCTAGAGTGCCCTCATAGCAGGAACTGTCTCAGCATCTTTCTCTTGGAGCAATGTCGAACGAGCACCTACAGTGACCTTAGCGTGCTGGTACTCAGCCTTGCTCATGATTCTGATTGGCATAACGACAGCAACGCAATAGCACAACACGCTTCAGAAGATTGCTTTCCTGGGAAATGGTCCCTCGAGGCTTCGGCAACTTCTCCAGCGAGTTATCAGCAAGTCGGAATCACCCTCTGCGGACCCTATTCAGCATTTCATTTGGCAGACGCCCATCATGCTCTTGAATATTGGTATCTTTCTGTACGTCGTCGGGCTCCTAGGGTTGGTATTCAGTCAACCTCTCATTGGTGATTCTGGAAGTCAGAGTGGAGTTGCAGTACGTCCAGTTGGAAAGCTAGATCGCGAACAATGCTAACGTGGCCCAGGTCAAAGTCGTCTTCGCAGTAGCTGCTGCTTTCACAATAGGCTGCTACCTCGTTGCTTGGCTTGGTGTATCCCGTAAACTACAGTCATTCGAGACAGAGGTACAACCAACCAACGGTAGAGTCTGATCAGAATCTGGATTCTTTTCTGAGGTCAATTTCCTTGGCTACAATGGAATTCCTCCGAAAGCTGCGATGAACGACAAATTAGTCGTCGTCTTCCGTGCCAACGACTCTACGAAACATTTTGTCGACATCAGTATGTAAGCCACGACCGAAGTAGGAAGGCACCTGTTACCGTTTTCGGGAGTCACTAGTATGGTTTGAGATTCTCGTACCACTAGTCTTTCGTTAAAAGGGCTTCTTATAGACTAGCTGGCCTGAACAGGCACATACATAGAAGGTTCAGCCGCGGACATGTTCATGTCAATTCCTTGCGATCCGGAGAAAACAAACACACCGCCATGACGATTCCTCATTTACGTCCCAAGCCAGGCTGCCAGATTAAAGTCATCGGCGCAGGTCAGTAGTCCGCAAAATTGGATACCTGTCAATTGCTTACTTTGGCCAGGTCTACCACGAACAGGAACGAACTCGTTTTGCGCCGCAGTTGGAATCTTGCTGGAAGGACCTACGTATCATGCAGGCGCGCAGTATGGCGGAGCTGGCTGTCCGAGTGAGGAGCACATCCTCACCATGATCGATGCAGCAAGATGTGTCGACAAGCCGCCTGCCCAAAAGCAAAAGTCCCTGGCGAGGCTATACAACATCCTCGACGGATATGTCGCCACCAACGACCCACCACTGACTCTCCTCGTGCCCGAGTTGATGCAGATGTATCCAGATGCAAAGGTACTTGCGAAGCAGTCTCAATCCGAAGCGTCAGCTAAAAACAAAACGTGTAGGTCATCTGCACCGTCCGCGAACGAGACTCCTGGGTCAAGAGCTTCCTCATGATCGTCAAGACCGCCCAGCCCACCCTGGCAGGTTTCATTTTCTTCTGGGTGCCTTCAATGCGATATCTACCTCGACTCTCAAAGGCACTGACGCACATCTTCTACGAGCGCTTTGGGGTCGTGGTGAGGGACACCGAAACGGCCATAACGGTCTATGACGGACATCATGCGTGGCTGCAGGAGATTGTGCCCAAGGAGAAATTGGTCTACTACAATGTCAAGGACGGGTGGGAGCCTCTGTGTAGGGCGTTGGATGTGCCTGTCCCGGATGTGCCGTTTCCGCGGCTGAACGATTCGAAGGATTTGGAGGATCATTTCAAGAAGGTGGCCATGACGGGGCTCATGCGGTGGGCGATGGTGTTGGCGGGGATTGTTGGGGTGGGGAGTGTCTTGTATATGTTAATGTGAGTAATAGCAAGCATGTGGATTGTGGTGATATCTCAATATCCCGGCAGCAGGCCCTCCAGACTGCGCCCTGGTAGAGTATCTCAGCCTTGAGAAAGCTTGCCATCATGGAGCTTTCTTCTTGCGATCCTCCAATAGATCGTAGCTTGGCTAGCTGAGATAGATGCGACATCACACCCAGGCTCGTTGAACCGTGAGAGAGGTGATGATTGCATGTGATGAGGCGTTGGAGTGGAAGTCGGGTTTCGAAAGTGACGTCGTCTTCATAGTGGTCCGTGCCCTACAGCAAGTGAAACTCAAAGATCTCGACTTCGCGAAGTGAGCTTCTGGCCTTGCGGACTCGCGATCCGGCAACGATGCTGGCCTCCCAGCGCCTGTCAGGCGCTTCCATCCAGCTCCTACGACATACCCACGGCCTCAACCGATCACAATGGCGCTGTCTCCAGCGCCAATGGCAGCGTCAACTCTCCCGATCCTCGCACCAACCTCCCCTGGTTCAGTATACCAAAATCTCGCGAAGGTGGCAGTCCACGACCGATGCCGCCAAAGACGCAGCTAAGGATGCAGCGAAGAGTGCGTCTGCTACTGCGGCGAAGGAGACGGCGGCACAGACTGCGCAAAAGACTGCACAGTCTGCCAAAGACACGGCCCAAACCGCGAAGGACACCGCTCAAACTGCTGCGAAAGCGACAGCTTCTGGTGGATCGCGAGTAATAGCTTGGATTTACGGCACTGGTCTGGTCCTGATACTTTCGTTTGGATACCTTTACATCACCGATACCCGAGCTAGCGTACACCAATATCTGGTCGTCCCTCTTGTTCGTTTGATCCACTCAGACGCCGAGGAAGCCCACCATGCCGGGATCCGTTATATCAAAGGTCTCTACGACTTCAACTTACACCCACGGGAACGAGGAAACCAAGACCAAGAACTAGGCGACCTGAAGGTGGAAGTGTTTGGGCACATTCTTGATAACCCGATTGGAACATCTGCGGGCATCGACAAGAACGCCGAGGTTCCAGACGCATTGCTTGCCCTCGGACCTGCCTTGGTCGAAGTCGGAGGTGCTACACCTGTACCACAGGAGGGCAACCCAAAGCCACGAGTTTTCAGGATACCAAGTCAGAACGCACTGATCAATCGCTACGGCCTGAACTCTGATGGAGCAGAACACGTGGCGATGCAATTGAGGGAGCGTGTGAGGCAATTTGCGTATAGTCATGGAATGGGTTTGGCACCTGAGAGTGAGCGCATAATCCTGGACGGCGAGGCGGAGGTACCTCCTGGTAGTTTGGTACCTGGAAAGCTGCTGGCAGTGCAGGTGGCAAAGAACAAGACAACACCCGACAACGACATTGCAGCAGTCGCAAGAGACTACGTCGTCTGTGTGGAACGTCTGGCTAAATATGCCGATGTACTTGTGGTCAATGTTTCATCGCCCAATACACCTGGACTGCGAGACTTGCAAGCAACCGCTCCACTTACTGCGATACTGACTGCTGTTGTGGACACTGCGAAATCTGTCGACCGGAAGACGAAGCCTGCAGTCATGGTCAAGGTCTCGCCAGACGAGGACAGTGATTCACAAATCGAGGGCATCTGCACTGCAGTGTGGTCTTCTGGCGTTGACGGCGTGATCGTCGGCAATACAACCAAGAAGAGGCCGGATCCAGTACCGAAAGGCTACATTGTACCAGCCAACGAGGCCCAGGTGTTGACAGAGATCGGCGGTTACTCGGGACCACAGATGTTCCAGCGCACGCTCGATCTTGTGAAGAGATACAGATATAAGCTTGACCAGGGACCGCAAGAAGAAGCATCAGCACCCACGTACCCTTCCCAGGCTCCGCCGATAGATGACACGAAGTCGTCCATCGACGAGAGTGTGAACAGAGATGCAACCCGGCTGAAGCCAGAGACTGCTGAGGCCGAAGAGTCAAGCAAGCAACCTCTTATCAAACTGCCAGAGCGACACACGACTGAAAGCATCGCAGACACTGCAAAGTCAATAGGCGAAGCTGCGAAGACAGATGCTCCTCCGAGCGCCTCGTCTCCTCAAACGCCACCTGCTCTTGCCGAAGGCGAAAAAGGATCGACCAAACAAGCTGCTGAAGGCGCTCTGCAGAAGATCATTTCGGATGACGGCGCGGCCAAGAAGTCTACCCCTGACAGCGCCACTAGCGCGATAGAACCAACAACACCGACAAAGAAGTCGCCCGCAGACTCGCCAGCGAAAGTGATCTTCGCAACTGGAGGCATCACCAACGGCGAGCAGTGCCTCGAGATCCTAAACGCTGGCGCCAGCATCTGCCAGGTCTACACGGCCATGATGTACGGCGGTGTGGGCACCGTCACCAGGATGAAGAGCGAGATGCGAGACGCCATCAAAAAGCAGAACAAGAGTCCGTGAAAAAGTATTGACCTTTCTCCTGTGTACATATCCTACAGAAATCGATTGATAGAACCCCAACAGCAGCGCCCTGACGTGGCGACGGCATCCTTGCAACAACGTTCAAACCTCATCCCCCTCCCATTTCCCACCTTTAACCCCATACCCTCCAACACCAACCAAACTCCCAACCCCCACCGCACCCACAAACCTCACATCTCTCACCCCCCTCACAGCCCCCCAAACCCCACCCTAACCATCCCCCCAATAGAAAACTCATCAACCTCCCCTAACCCCGATTCCCCAACAGTCTCCACGCGCGATCTCTCCACTCGATCGCCTCCCTGCCGCGCATCCGCACGTACAACGCGGGAAGCACGAGGGCCGTGAACGTCAGGGATGCGAGAGCCGTCGTGCGGAGGAGGGTCTGGGGGTTGGGGAGGCGGTGGTGGTTGGTGCCGGCGAGGAGGGTGGTGGTTGTGAGGCCTGCGAGGGCGCCGGTTTGGAAGGCGCGGTGGTGGACGTGCGTTGTTAGGAGGGTGTTGGGCGTAGAGTTGGGTTTCTGCGGTGGGTGGATGGGGGATGAGGGGGAGGTGGGTCATTGTCTTTTTATTTTGTTGGGTGGGTGTTGTTGGAGCAGTGGTTTGTTTTCTTGGGGAGTGGTGTCTGCTGGGTCTCTTTTGGGGGCGACTACTACAATCGCATAGTTATATATACCTTTCTGTGCTGCTCATGCCGGAACATCGTCCTTGAGCGGATGAACATTCAAATTCACGTCCGTACCAATTGGTTCTGTTGACTGCTTGTATGCGGCCGAGACTTGAAGTCGCGAAGGATTCGCACGTGGCGAGCCCCCATTCCCAGACGCTTCATTCCACGGTCCAGATCCTCACGTAGTCACCATTGATGGCTCGAGTGAGGTTAATCAGGAGAGATGGTGTGCGGTCAAGGCTTTGACATATGTTCGTCTGTACTACTAATAGCTATACCCAACCCGACCGCCTCCCCAAAACATTACACACAATCTTTCATTCCATCCACCACGAGAATCGAATGTTTTTTAACCAGACAGGAGAGTCGTTAAGTCATACTCATTCTTTTGATATCCCCCAATCCCAGAATTACGTCCCAAAAGCAGTAGTATGGATCGGTGTGTCGACCGTCTTTCTCGTCCTCGGAGGAGAAGACCTCGAACTCCGTTGCGCCTTCGCCCAGTATCGTGACAATCGCTCATATGTCTTTTGCATCCAATTTTCCTGTGCTTTTTCTTTTCAATTGCTCGCGTCTCGTAGACGTATCTTGGTTCCCATTGCTTCGATTCATTCCTCGTCGAACGCAACCTTCTTTGGTCGTAGAAGAGGTGGTGCATCTTCATCCGGTCGTGTTGTAAACTGCTTTCCACACCCGACTTCCTTCTCTTGGTTCACATTTCTCGGCTGTAGTGTTCGACAACCCTCCTAAGTGTAGTTTGGCGACACAGCACCGCCAGCGGTAGCCTGACCGTGCATGCTGCCGTCGCGCATGACCTCGAGCGTCTGTGGGAAGTAAGGCTCAACGCCCCAATTGCGAAGATATGCACCCGTCTTCTCAATCCTCTTGATCTCTCGCTGCACTCCCCAGCTGTCTCCCTCCTCTTTGAACCTACCCTTCACCACATCGACCATCGCTTCGTCCAACCGGCCATAGAAGGCTCTTCGCTCGCGCAGATCGTCTTCGTCGCCGTTCTCAAGGCCGCCGTGAGAATTGAGATTACCACCGAGCTTCAGCAGTAAGTCGAACGCATACCGTGGTCCGGATGGCAGAGAGGAGAGACGGGTGATGTCGGGCAGGAACTTGAGCATGCAGGCGGAGAAGGATGGCGTGGGGAGGGAGTCGTTGAGGTCATCTTGCAAACGATGCAGGTCGAAGTTAACGATCGTGATCTTGCGGTCGAGCTGGGCGTTCAGGGTTGCTGCAGCGTGAGTGGGTGAGGAAGCATGTGAGGTCGAGTCCATGATCGACGCAATGCTGGCGGGGACATCTAGAGAGAATCGTCAGCACGCAATTCCATATGCGACAATCACTCGACAATGAGTGCTCACCTGGCCGCAACCCTCTCTTGTCGATCCACGCGTGCACATCAGTCCGCTGCCGCTCAAGCGCATCGATGTACGCCTTCAGATCGCCAATCTCATTCTCCAGCGTCTCGATCTTGTCGGAGTAAGGTCGGATAGCTTGGTTGAAAGCTTGCAGGAGGAGATCTGGTGCTGGCTCATTCTTCATCGAAGCGCTAGGAGGCGCATCTGGATATCCTTGGCTTCCACCCATGCTTGCGCTGTACCCGTTGCTCATGTTACCGCCGCTTCGCTGCTGCGGTGGGTAGCTGTTTGAGTGATAGCGATCCTGAGAAGCGACTTCGGTAGGACGGTCTCTGCGTGCGTACATGGCGTCTGCGCCCGCGCCGGTCTCCTTTCCTAGGGGATCACCGAGCTGTGGTGCCGTATTACTCTGGCGCGAGACGGGCAAGGCCTGTTCGTGATCGAGATCGGTGGGGGACTGGACGACGGGGGCGTTGTTGTACTTGTCGTCGTACGAAGCGGAATTGGTCTTGGAGTCGTGGCGCGAGTCGTAGCTGTTGTCTCGGTCGACGTAGGACTGGGAGTTGCTGCGACTTCGAGAGAGGCGCTTGAAGAAGACCATGCTTTCGAAGGAAAAGGGAAGCGGAAGGGAGGCAGAGCGGCGCGAATGCAGGCGCGGCGGTTATAGGTCAGTTGGAAAAGATTGTGGGTGGACGGTTTGGCGAGCCGCTCGTGACGAAGCCTAAGGCGCCGTGGCAGATGGAAATACCGGCAAGAGTGAAGCGAATCAAGCGATGGTGCGTGAGTAGTGAAGGATGTGGGAGTAGAGAGGAGGCTGGACGAGCGTGCGTGTGCGTATGTGCAGCAATTTGGGGGAGGTGTCGTTTGGGGTACGGAGCAGAGCCGGCGACGGAGGAGGTTGGGAGAGTCGGTGTCACGCTACGATTGGCAGCTGAGCTTTGCGGCCCAACTTGATGTTGTACAACAAGTCCCGACAGCTGGTTTCTGCGTCTCTGCCCACTGTTTCCTCATGCAGGTACAGAAGCGGCCGCATTTGTTCATGTGAAAGAGCAACGATATATTCTAATGTCGGCCTCTGATCGGCATTGAAATCGCCCAGCGGGCCGAGGCCTGCGGAAGGAAGATGCGCTTGGACTGCGAGCTGATCCTGTCACGAAGGGAGGCTGGGGACGCTCATCAGTAGTGGCTGGACTTCACCTCTACGACCTCAAGCGAAGATAATATGATCAGGATCCGCTGTGGACGAATTGCCCCTGCCTGCCACGACAAATCTTACGCGGCCCCTGTCCAAGATGGGGAAGCAGAAATTTGGGCATTGCCAGGCCTCCAGGCGAATCTTGGCCCAGGAGAGGCAGTGAAGAGGCCCAAGCACAACCCACATCCAGCTCGTGCTATCGAAATCACAGTGATGGCAAGTCTTTCATGGTGACCATGAAAGGGAAAGGGAAGAGTCAGGAACAGTTCTCAAAGAAACATTACCAGCTAATCGCGACTGAGTACAGAGCCTCCTGCTTGCGTTACCGCTCTTCGCAGCCCTTCAAGAGCAACCCCGTTCATTATCGCAACCGATCAATCCTCTGCGCCCAAAACCAATCCCCCAACCCGCAGGTCCCCAAACGCATTTTCAATCGTCGAGCCATCGCGTCCCTTGTTGAGGTATCCAGAACCTCGCTTAAACTCAATCAATTGTTGAAGTAGACCTCGCCGCACCTCCTGCACTTTGGAAGATGCGTCGTCCATTGCTTCGTCTTGCGCGTACGCCACACGAAGTCCGAGAACTCGTCTGAATCAACAAACTCCTTGACCCACTCGCCGATAGACAACTTGACCTGGCGCGCATTCAGGTGTCTCACCAGCCTGTTGAGCTGACACTGGCAGATCTTGCGATCACCAGCCTCCCCCTGAGTCAGAGCAAACACTCCGTCTTCGCCTTTGGGTGGAGTGAGAGTGAAGTTGTAGGTCAGGTACTCCAAGAATGTGTCGTGAGCCCAAATCGGGCGCTTGAGCAGGAAGTCGAATTGTGGGATGATGTCCACAAACGGGCCCAAGGTGCGGATGTAGTTGTTGACGCAGCATTGCTGCACCACGCTGTCGTCGAAGGTGAATGCTGTGTTCTCGACCAGGAAAATAGGCGCGACCTCCCAGCGGAGTTGCTTGCAGGTGCTGGCGATGCCGGGCAGGTTGTAGGATGCTTTGTTGTGGAGGCAGGTGCCTAGCGAACAGGTCTTTGGCTGCATCTCGATCTTGACGGGATTCGACTCAGGCTCGACGACAGCAAGACGGTAGATCTGGTTGCGAACTTCGGCCGGGAGCTTGGACAGGGTGCCAATGTCGGACATTGGACAGTCTGACATGTCGCGGTCGGCCTTGGTTGGTGCGGCGGGTGAGTTGATGGACAGCTCTGACATGACAACGTCCTCTTCCTCAGGAGCCGGGCATGGGGTCGTCGTACCACCGGCTGAGACGTTGGGGAACCACCGGTCCATCTCGGCGACCTGCTGTTCGCGTGTGCCGCCTCTCTGCCACGCCCTGCTGCTTCGCAGATTCTTGAGCTCGCGTGACGGCTCCTTGAATGGCGACGGTATCGGGATATGTGCGTAGCGGCGGCCATCGTGTGCGACCGGAATGAGGTGCGACGACGATGCGAGGGGGATGGCGGAGTTGAGGGGGATGGCGAGTGGATTCAGCATCCAGCGTGGGGAGTTGAAGCACACGCCGGGGGCGATCTCGGTGCTTTGCCTCATGTTGTGGGTGGGGAAGGGATGCAGTGGGAGCTCCATGGGATGTTGCTGCTTCGGTGGGCGATTTTTGAAAGTGGAAGGGGCGCTTGGGCGCTTGCTGCGTTTGTGTCCTGAAAAGCCGGGAAGTCACTCGCGAAGCTTCACTTTCGCCACTTCACTCGCCCGCTCACTCGCCCACCACGGGATTCACCGCACCTGCCGCTTTCGGGGGGCACGCACACGTGAAACAGCCGCTAGTGAGGTAGCATTGGTGCGCGCCGCCCCTATTTAATCCAGTTGTTTGATCTTTCGACAACACCCGTCGAACAACAACAACGACAACAACTTCTTCCGCTACCACCCTCATCATTCCACTCCAGACCACCACTAACATTCTCAGCCCAGGCTCTACTCAATCACAGACCCCTTCTCTCAATTCACACTCTTCACTTTCGACACAAGATGAACGATGCAGCAACCCTAGAGCATGAGGTTCGAAGTCTGACGAAGCAGGCCTCGCACCTCAAAAGCACAATTGACAAGATCTCTGCACAACAAGCCGACGGTCAAATCGGCCCAGCAACTACCATACATGACCAGCAGCGGCAGCTAGTTACAAAGCTTAAAAAGGTTCACCGCATGTTAGAAGCAAAAAGCAAGATCCTCAAGCGGCGACGTGCCGGTCAAGCCACCCCAGGAGCGTCTGTGGCTCATGACGATAGTGCTGGATTGCTCAAGCACGCAGGCACCTCTGGCGAGACCTCATCTCGATCGTCAAATGCCAGCCAAGAGTCAGCAGATTCAGACGAGTTGAGCAGCAGACGCAAGCGTCGTCGCACGGATGGGGGGGCGGTCGCCCACGGCTCACAAGCCTTTAGAGCATGGAGATGAAGGAGCTCCCGCACCAGCCTCTGTCGAGGTCGACACGCAATCTGCAGCCTCCGATCAGTCGTCCGCAGTGTCTCCTCCTGCTGTCCCAGCCACTGTCACGCAGCGAAGGGCTCCATCTCCCGTCAACACTGAAGCTCCAAATTCGAACAATGCTCCGGCAGGACAAGGTCGCAGTCAACAAGCTCAACTACGTGCCCGCAACCGGCGAATCATCCAAAGCCTCGCTGAAGGCCAGCTTGCTGTGGATGATCCCCTGTATTGGACCATCGTTCGCGAAGGACGATACCTCGTTGAGCTCCACTCTCCAGACTCTATGTGTCATGCAAACTGCCGCAAAAACGGTACTCAGCGACAGAACGGCGAGTCGACTCCAGTCACGACTTTCTTCAAGGGTACTAAAGGCCTGAAACGTCACGTCACCTCCACGCATAAATGGCAGGGATGGGCGGGAATTAGTGAGGCGGAGGTCGTCCGCCTTGGACACAAGAGGAGGTTGTCGGACGACGAGATCGACGCCGTCTTCCACAGGCGGCATGCGCAGTTCCAGGTGGAGGCCTGTCTACCGTACAAGGGCTGTACGTGCACCTTACATCTTCCTCCAGACTCAAACTAATATGGTCACAGACTGAGAATCCAAGACATTCGTGAATCTTATCAGGCTCTTACTTTGAAAAGTCACAACACCATAGTGGGCATACCTGACAACAGGACGACTCGGGGCGGGGAATATCACGGGATTTTGAGGATTGTGTATTATGTGATTCACTTCTATACAAGTTTGTGGCGATGTTGAGATACTCAGACAGATTTGGCTTCGATATATCGAAGCCAGCGAGACACTTTCAGATATCACATGCAATGAAAACTGATAAAAGCATGTGGCACTGCGGCTTACTTGCACTTCTCGTCTCACTCACTTCAAACCGAGCACGTGCGCGACAGAAAGCACAAAAGGGCGCTGTCGCTTCGTTCTGCTTCCTCCAACTTACAATCCACTTCCACTTACCACACCCTTACGTTGCGCCCTCTAGCAACTTTACAACTTCAACCCAACCCCAGCCACACCACATATCAGTCCCTCGGAAGCCGCCTCAAACGATCTGCCAAGTGGCAGTCTGCTTCGCCATGTCGCGCCTCGCAGAGATCGAAGCAGAAGAGGAGTTAACTCACAAGCAACTCAAGCTCTTGGAACATCTTGCCAAGCTCGACCGGGAGAAGAGGAGTCTCCGACACGCGCAACGTGTGGACGACGACGATGAGGACAACATGGATAACAAAGTCAAGCTCGAGCAGCTTGAGAGAGAGGATACAGCTGATGGCGAGGATGAAAGCCAAGAAGGAATGCAGAACAACGACGACGACGTAAGACTCGACCCCCCAAGTCAGAGTGAGTATCAGCTCAATCAGACGAGGCCACAACGTAGGGGTGAGACCTCTCGCCGTGAGCCAACTGCTTCATTTCACCAGCTGCACTATGCGAGAGGCCAACTCGAGCGTGGTGATCGTAGCTACGTTCAGAACAGGGTCGGTCACCAACAGCAAGACACGAACCCTCAGCGCGACTTTGAAGCAGGCAACCATCAGGCACGCATGGGCGACTTCCCTACGCCAGGTCCGCTTCAGCGAACGATGCAGCAGTGGGCTCAGGGAGTGCAAGGTCACGATTCCACGTATGGGTCCATGCAGGAGAATCAACTGGCGAGAGACGAGTCCATTGCTTCAACTGGTATGATCACACCGCAACCGTCTGAGCGTCAGGCATGGAGCCCACCGAACTACCAACAGCACTTGTTCCAGCAGGTTCTTCCTCCCAGTCAAGTTCAACCCACAGAAGAAGCACATCTGGTCCAGCCGCAACAAGCTTTCGGAGTACTGCAGGGAGGAGGTCATGTTGTTCAGCCTCAACCTATTCGGACAGCAGGACAAGATGGCCCAGGGCCGTCTCTCCCAGATGTTGCCACACCGCAGGCATCTCGCAGTAGTGCCCAATACGACCACCATCCAGTGCTCTCGACCCTCATTCTCCTGCCAAACGGTCAAGGATACCGAGAGCTTCGATGCTTCGTCTGTAAGGGAAACATATCCAAGACCGTGCAATTGAGAGACAAGGCGCAGACCCACAAAGGGAAGCCGTCGAAAGGAAAGACACCAGACAGCAAGGTCGACGAGCCTCGATTCTTTTCTGGAATCAGGGGTTTCCAAGGTCATATCCGGTTTTGTCACCCGGCCGAACTGGATGGAAACGGAACCATTACGCCTGCAGACATCTTTGAGAAGTGCAAACATCGCGACCTGAGCCACCAGGAGGTCATTGCTTTGGTGCATCCCAGACGGGGCTACAAGGGCTACAAGATCGAGGCTGTACCTGGCGCGAGCGCCCATGAGGATTCGACGGTGAAACAGAGTCGTCAGCGCGGAGGCAAGACTAAGGTGGGGTCACCCTCTACAAAGGCTCAAATGGCTGGCAAATCCAGTAAAAAGCGCAAGACTCCTCTGGCTAGTGGAGGCAAGCCGATTGTGAAGAGTAACAGTCGGTCAGAGGAGTCGGAGATACCTGTCAAGACAAAGAGAAAGCGCAGAAGCGAGGCTCTTGATTTCGACTCGCGACAGAAGCAGAGGAACCGCAAGTCATGTGTGCTCGACGACGAGTCTGAGGAGAGCGAGAGCGACTCGGAAGATCAGCCTCTTCGGACAGTCACGGAAACACGGAAGAAACGTAAGGCAATTATGGAAGGATCTGTGGGGGAGACGGAGAGAGATTCGACGATGCGCGAGGCTGATAACATGCTTGCGGCACTCAGGGACACGTTTGGCGGGGAGGAGCCAAATCCAGCGGGAAGTGAGATCGGTGCAGGAGAGGGCAAGGACGAAGATTGAGAAGACATATGGACCATGATACCAACGGCACGGCACGGTACAAACTACACTACACTACACACACGGTCTCGAACGGACACTCCCAACACCCACGACACCACGTCCAGAAAAGGCCTCATCAAATAGTGCATCTCGATTGACCACACCACAGTCCCAACATCAGACACCACCACCTCAACATAAGACTCCATCAACACAAATCCAAAATCTCTAATCACCACAAACCATCAGAAAGCAGAAATGTATACTAGCGACCACAGACATAATAGGATCTCAAAAGTCTTGTTCTTAACAAAAGCTGTCTCTTCCCTTCAATTTTCATCACTTCTTATACCCCATTCCTACCAAACTACTTCTTCCCTCCCACTGTCGCCTACTCACCGTTCGTGAACAATATCTCTACCCGCAACATCCGCCAACAAATCCATCGAACAGCGCGCTCCCTTCCAGAGCACTCCCAGAATCTACCCCTGAACCCCTGAACCCCTGAGACAGTCACCCTTCAACCCACCAACAGGAACGAAGAACTTGTCACTCCCCTTCCTCCTCATACTCACGATTATGGGAGCTCTTCTCATACTATAGCACACCCAGAAGCTCATCGATGCCCTAACCGGTGTGCAAGTCGAAGATTCCGTGGCCGCCTTCTTGAATTGTTGTCCAAAGGCATGCTCACAGGTCATGAGACAAAAAAAAAGATTGCCGCGAGGGACTGTTGCAAGACACTTCATGCAGAACTCACGCTCAGAACGCTACAACACAACCCACACCCAACACATCCTCATCTTCATCCTCATCCTCATCCTCATCCACTCAAATCCGAACCCCCAACTCATCCCTCCGATCATCCGTCAACCGTCCCCACTCAAGCAACAACCGAAAGAAGTAAATCTCCATATCCTCCTTCCTGAGGACCTGCTCCGCCCACTCCCTCCCCGCCTCCGCGATCCTCTCCGCAGCCTGCACATGCGGATCCATCTTGACCTCCACAGACCCGCCGGCGATCTTCCCGTCCAAGCCCTGGAAGTACGCCAGAGTGGCCCAGAACCCGTGGCCGCGGAGGTCGAGGGGGATGAAGTGGGCCCAGGCTGTGACTCGGTCGTCCCACCATTCTCGGAAGAGCGCGGCTTTGAAGGGGAGGGAGCGGGATTGTAGAAAGGGGAGGAAGCGGCCTGAGAAGCCGGCGCCGTCGAGGTCGAGGAGGAATTTGTAGGTCCAGTGGTGCTGGAAGTCGGATGGTGGGACGAGTGGGGCGAATTCTTCAGCTTGGTGTTCGCAGTCGGGTCCGGCGCAGCGGGCGATGCTGTCGACTACGTGGATGTCGGCTTTCAGGAGGTCTGTCAGTTCTGAAGAGGGTAGTGTCCAGTATGACAGCTTTCCGCCTCTCTCGGTTGGTAGCAGAAGCGGCTGCGGCGGCGCAGAGTTGTTGATATTATTCGCCAGATGAATGAAGCGCTGGCGGGCCATACCACGCCACTGGCCTCTACCTTGAGACACACCTTCAGATGTTGCACCACGCCAGAAGATTGTGTCGTTCTTTTCGGAGAACGGCCTGTCGGGGTTGTCATCGTTAGGATCATACTTCGCCTTCTCCAGGTAGTTCCAGGCTGACGGATACAGGATGTCGTTGAAGCCGTTTGCCTTTGACTGTGAGAACAGGGGGTACAGCTCGTGCGTGCCTTTGAAGGACGCTGGAGATAGATACAGGCCATGGAGATCCGCAAGATCTGGTTGATGGCAGATATCCCCTGCGACGGTCCAGTTGGAGAGGAATGCTCCAAGCGATTGAGGGTAGGCGCATTCTGTGCAAAAGCTGCCGACATCCCAGTGACGGAGTCGCCGAGCAGGAGAGTTTGGCGGACAGCCCACGCTCCCAAAACGGTGGAAGGAGTACTGCCACGAAATCTCTTCAAGGGGCGAGTCAGGCACCTCATCTTCGGCAATCGCCTTCCACTGCTCTGCGCGACCGTCACTGAATGATGTCCGGGCGTCGTCCCGTCGTTGCTGTTGATTCAGCCTTTTATTCTGCGCAATCTGTCGCATTGGAACGACATCTTCGTAGGGAACGGAGACCCTACACTCATCATTCAGGTTGAAGGCCAGATCCATATCCGGAAGCCATTTAGCAAACTTGCCAATCAACTCGGCCAAGCCGTCTGCCATCCACCTGTGCGTGGGTACGATGTTCGGTGCAACTGTGACTTGGCCATTGCGGATGCTGATGCCTGCTACATCATTCCATTGGTTCGCTATCATTTCCCACGTCCGGTGTCGTATTTGCTGCGGCTCCAAGGCGTAGAATGGGTCCAAGTCATGGTGTATGCTGTCGAAAGAATCGATCACAGTGGAGTTGCGTTCTGTCGCGTAACGATACCAGTGATCAAATCCGGGTGGGGGCTGCTGACCATATCTTTCCTGGTAGTGGGTGACAGTCTCTGCAAGCCCCGTGCTTACAGCCGTTTGGTCGAGGTACATGTGGTGGTACCGCTGCGCCTCGAAAATGAGCATGTCAATCGGGTGGTAGTTGACTTTGCTCTTAGACGTCGCCCACAAGCCAGTCCAGAAGAAGAACAAAATAAGCATCGTCAAGTAGAATGCGGACGGAATCTTGCGGAAGAGTGATGTCGTATAGTTGCCGCTGCTCCCTTCGTGCATCGTTTCGAGATGAAAGTAGGCCATGAAACCAAGTATGGCAAGGGAGACGCCCAAGAATGCTATACCTGTGGAGTGTGGAGGGAATGGGTGACCGTTGGCCCACGCCGATATGGCGACGGCCGTCATAATCGATGTAAAGGTCGTCAATACTGTAGTAGTCATTACACCGACTTGTAAAATCTGGCTCGGTCAGTTCGATATACAAAGGTCCTATCTTCGACGTGACTCACCATAACCATAGCACATAGCACAGTGAACGCAACAACCAAATCCAGCCTCAAAACGCTCCAGAAGTATTGGTGGGGTATCGTCAAAATCCAGATGCGGTCGTTGTCTTGAACGATGTAGTATACAATGCCGGCGAAGAGTAGAAGAGCAGCCGCCGACTACATGTCAAGTTAGTGCTGGCTCATAGCACGTTCACTGGACGACTTACAAGAAACGCATATCCAACCGAAGCAAAACGCAGCGCAACGTTCAGTGATCCTCGCGCGTCTTGTGCTTTTAGTAAATTGTAAATGCAGAAAATGATCGCAACGTCGAGGACAGTCCCAACCCGTTGGAGCTGTGGCACCAGCCAACGAAAGGGCAGTCCTGCTGCGCAGATGAATGTCGAAGCTGGACTTGCAAGCGCATTCATCGCCAAAGTAGAACCCAATATAACCAAAGCTACGGTTGCCACGCAGCTGTACGGGGATCGGGCCATGCTTCGTTCCAGGGCATCGTAAACGCTGGCGTCCAAGTCATCATCATTCGTAGCACGTCTCCTCTTTCGTTGTACAGCCCAGTAGTCCCAGGCTGCAAATACAAGGGGCACTATGGGCTCCCAGCTCGCCCTCGAGCATTGAACGTTTCTCACTACCTCCCTCATCACCTCGACTCTAATGCCGAGCAACGCGACAAGTAGGAGGAATACTATCCGTAACTTGCGCAGACTGCTCGGGTATGCCACATCCTCTGGGCTCGGGCTGGGGTCTCTCGACGCATGCGGTTGCCCGACCTCCGCCAACGGTACCGCCTCATACTGTCCACCTTTGTGTGTCCTGTTACCATCGCGAGGTAGCCACCGACTCAGGCCAATAATCGCACCTCCAGAACAGGCCAAGGTTGCGATCGAGGAGTGGACGGTCTTGTCGAACGCGAAGGTGGTTTTGACGGTGTTTGTCACGACGACGGTGCCGAGGACGAGGCCACTGCAGGGACATAGGTTAGCAAGTGATTACCAACATAAGCGAGGTTGCGACAAGGCTGCCTCACATGAAGGCCGGCCATTTCGCACGGTCCATGACATTGTGGGAGGGCATGTACGACGCAACCTAGTCCTCCGCAAGCCCAAGCATCCGCGGTCGACGTTGTCCGCCTGCCAGGGTTGGCTATGTAACAAGCTTCTCGTCGGTCCAGGTCGCCGAGTAGGGAAATTGCGGGTTTGTTGGTGGGTTCTTGATATCGACTGCTCCTCGTTCGGTAGGCGTGTTGCTGTAGCGCTGTGGGTGAATGTTGTCGGCGGGAGTGGTTGGAATGGCGCCTGTTGGCCGTTTTCACGCCAGCATGCCACCCGGCTCGGCTATCTAGCTCTCGCGTTGGCGCTGTCCGGTCCGGCCCACGTGGCGCCGATCTGGGGAAAGCTTGTTTTGCGCCTGAGGCTTTTGGCAAAGTTTGGTGCGGCTCAAATTGTGAAAGCTTTCTCTGCAAAGTCACAACCACAGACGACAAGCGACGAATTATCTCTTCTCAAGGAGCCTGGAGCCAGTACGATGATCTTTCCGGATTCGAGGTAGCGCGGCGCGGAAGCACTTGATCTTCCTGCGATCACGTATACCAGACCTTGCGACACGAGAACACAACTTCCCGACTATCACTTGTCGCAAACATGCCGAAGAAAGCGATCGACGCGCGCATACCGGCGCTCATACGCAATGGCATGCAAGAGAAGAAGCGCTCATTCTTTGTCATTGTCGGCGACCGCCAGAAAGACGTTATCGTCAACCTGTACCATATCCTCTTGAACCTCGACATCAAGCTCAACAAATCGGTGCTATGGGCATACAAGAACAAGCTGCTGGGCTTCACATCACATCGCAAGAAGCGGGAGAAGAAGATCAAAAAGGAGATCAAGAGAGGCATAAGAGATGCAGACACAGATGACCCGTTCGAGCTGTTCGTTAGTACGCAGAATATTCGATATGTCTACTACAAAGAGACGGAGAAGATCTTGGGTAACACATTCGGTATGTGTATTCTGCAGGATTTCGAGGCCATCACACCGAATCTGCTAGCGAGGACCATCGAAACAGTGGAGGGTGGTGGGCTTGTCATTCTGCTTCTCAAGGGCATGAATAGTCTGAAACAGCTATACACTTTGAGTATGGACATCCACTCAAGATATCGCACAGAGGCTCATGGAGATGTTACGGCAAGATTCAACGAGCGCTTCATTCTGAGTCTCGGGAGCTGCGAGAGCTGTCTTGTCGTGGATGATGAAATGAATGTCCTGCCCATATCAGGCGGGAAGAGCGTTGTTGAGAAACAATTGGAGGAAGACGAGGGCGAAAAAGCGAAGTCGAGATTGGAGCTAGAAGGGATCAAAGAGGATCTTGCGGACACCAAGCCAGTCGGCGACCTCGTGAAGCTGGCAAAGACCGTCGACCAAGCCAAAGCGTTGCTGACTTTCGTGGAGGCGATCGCAGAGAAGACTTTGGCGAGCACGGTCACTTTGACAGCCGGTCGTGGACGTGGAAAGTCCGCAGCTCTGGGCGTAGCCATCGCAGCAGCCGTAGCTCACGGCTACAGCAACATCTTCATCACCTCTCCTTCACCCGAGAACTTGAAGACTCTCTTTGAGTTCGTCTTCAAAGGCTTCGATGCACTTGGCTACACCGACCACGCAGACTACACCATCATCCAATCCACAAATCCCGACTTCAACAAAGCTATCGTCCGAGTGAACGTACACAGACAGCATCGACAAACGATACAATACATCCAACCCCAAGACTCGTACACATTAGGCCAAGCAGAGCTTCTTGTCATTGACGAGGCAGCAGCGATACCTCTACCCCTTGTGCGAAAACTCATGGGCCCGTACCTTGTGTTCATGGCATCGACCATAAACGGATACGAGGGCACTGGTCGGTCTCTGTCTTTGAAGCTAATACAGCAGCTACGAGAGCAGTCAAGAGGCGCTGGGAAGCCCAAGACCGATGAGAAAGTATCGGATCGGTCGAACTCGGTTGGTGACTACACTCCAAGATCGGCACGATCACTACGAGAAATCACGTTGTCAGAACCTATCCGTTATGCGCAAGGAGACGCCGTCGAGAAGTGGCTGAACCGACTCCTCTGCCTCGATGCGACTCTTCCGCAACGATCGAACATCCATGGCACACCTCATCCATCGCAATGCCAGCTGTTGGAGGTAAATCGCGATACACTGTTTTCCTTCCACCCAATCAGCGAAAAGTTCTTGCAGCGAATGATGGCTCTTTACGTGGCTTCGCATTACAAGAATACGCCCAACGATCTCCAGCTCATGTCGGACGCTCCCGCGCATCAACTGTTCGTTCTCGTACCGCCAGTATCAAACGATGCCAAGGAGCTGCCAGAGATTCTCTGTGTTTTGCAAGTGGCACTTGAAGGCCAGATCAGCCGTGAAAGCGTACTGAGCAGTCTATCAAGAGGCCAAAGAGCAGGAGGTGATCTCATCCCATGGCTGGTGAGCCAGCAATTCCAGGACTCTGACTTTGCCGGTCTCAGCGGTGCACGAGTTGTGAGAATTGCAACGAATCCAGACTATGGCAGCATGGGTTACGGCTCAAGAGCAATGCAGCTGCTGACTGAGTTCTATGAGGGCAAGCACATCAACTTGTCTGAATCAGAAGAGCTAACCTCGGTGCACGAGGTAGAGATGGTACGAGTGACCGATGCAGAACTTGAACAGAGCAGTCTCTTGACCGACAATGTCAAAGTACGAGATATCAGATCGATGCCGCCTCTTTTTGCCCGACTATCAGAGCGCAAGCCCGCCAGCTTGGACTACATTGGCGTCTCTTACGGTCTCACCCAGCCGCTGCATAAATTCTGGCAACGATCGAATTTTGTTCCAGTCTATCTACGCCAAACGGCCAACGAGCTCACTGGTGAACATACCTGTGTCATGCTCCGAACACTGGAGTCTGCATCTAGCGACCCAGGTTGGCTTGGAGCTTACGCTAAAGACTTCCACCGCCGATTCTTGAACTTGCTCTCCTACCAGTTCCGCAACTTTGGCGCCGTCCAAGCTCTGGCAATTGATGAAAGCGCCAACAAGGGTATTGCCCTCCTTGACGACGCTGACAAGGCCAAAGCACTTGACAAACAGGCATTGGACGACCTCGTCACTCCATTCGATCTGAAACGTCTCGATTCTTACGCCAACAACATGCTCGACTACCACGCAATCCTCGATCTGATGCCAACGATAGCAATGCAGTACTTTACCGGACGGATGAAAGATCAGAACGGCGTTGGACTGAGCGGCATCCAGAAAGCCTTGATGTGCGCGATAGGTCTTCAGCGCAAGGTACTTGAGGATCTAGAGAAGGAGCTTGGTCTCCAGACAAGTCAGCTGCTCGCCATCTTCGTCAAGGTCGCACGAAAGATCAGCTCGCATTTCCGACAGCTGCAAGAAGGCGCCATCTCCAAGACGATGCCTCAGCAGAACGGCGGCGCGGCGCCTGACGATGAAGATTGGGAGGAAGAAATCGACGCGGAGAAAGTGAGGAAGGGCCTTGCCGATGAATTAGCTGAAGGAGCAGAGGAGTTCGACGAAGCTGAGCGACAGAGGAATCAAGCTATGATCGATTCCCTGCCGCTCGAGAACTATGCCATCCAAAATGGCGAAGCTGGATGGGAGGATGCCGAGCGACAGGTCCGCGAGGCGGAGAAGAAGGGCAGGAAGAGTACAGGCGCTACGGTCGCCGTCAAGACCGGCAAGGGCGAGGAGAAGAAGAGAAAAGCAGGAGAGGCGTTGGCGGAGGCACAAAAAGAAGCTGAGAGGACGAGCGGGAAGAAGATGAAGAAGTCGAAGGGTGGGAAGTAAGATATCCTTGGTAAGAGTATCGATACCCTGTATAAAACCCCCATCTCATTCCCCAAGATCACTCTTTCCTCCTCCCACTCCTCTTCCCGGCCATCTTCCTCTCCCCCCTAACTTCCTCCTCAGCAACCCTCCTCTCACCCTCCAAACTCGCCACACTCTTCTTCAAACTCACCCTCTCCTTCTCCGCCACATTCCTCAACCGATTCCCCCTCTCCTCCAACAACTTCCCATGATCCACCCTCTTCTCCACCGCCCTCCTCTGCCTTCCCGCACACCTCGCACCGATGACCGCAAAATCCCCATCAGCATCGAACCCCTCCTCCTCATACCACACCGGCGCCCTCCCCGCCTTCCGCGCAAGACTCGCGAGATTCTCCCTCTTCGCCGCCTTCCTCGCCTCCGCGGCCCGTGTCGCCGCGGAGTGGATCGGGAGACCCCACACCCACATCTCGTGGTCTTTCTGGCCGCCCAGCTTGGCGTGGAGAGTATAAGGTTCCTCGCCGGGCTGCGCGGGTTCGAGACGGGAGAGTTTGACGAGCGCGTGTTCCGTCCAATCCTGCCACCTCGCGCGGTGGCGGTTGAGCGTGGTGATGAGCGAGAAGATCTCCTCCCGCGTCTTCTGGCACGCCACGCACCAATGCGCGAGGGGTTTCGGGCGCGAAGGGGTTTCCTTGGAAGCACAGGCGAAGAAGCGGCAGGAGGGGAGGGTGAACTCCCTCCCAGCGGCGATGTAAATCGGGATGAACTCGTCCCCGAGCCCGACCTGGCGCAGGGCATACGTGCGGAACGTCTCCAACTTCGGCAACGCGAAGATCTTGTCTTGCTCCGCCGCGTCGAGCAGCACGGAGGGGATTTCGAGGTGCGTGAGGTTCGGCATCGTCGCGAGGACGTCGAAGATCTTGGCGCGGGTGTAGGCGTACGTGCCGACGCCGGCGAAGTCTTCGATTTCCCAGAGGGCGAGGCGGCGGATTCGGGGGAGGGCGGCGGGCGGGATGGCTTGGAGGGCGGGGATGAGGGTCCGGCGTTGGCCGATGTTGATGATGTATTCTGGGAAGGTGATGGTGTTGTTTGCCCAGAAGACGTCGGAGGCTTCGCGTTGGATTTGCTTGTTGACGGCTTTGAGTAGGCCGAAGCCTTGGCGGCGGACGCAGGAGTTCCTGCAGCGTGCGAGATCGGTGGCGTCTGTGCCGAAGGGCTGGCTGTAGGCGCGGCCGTCGGTGTAGTGGAGTAGGGGTGGGGGGATTTGGTTGGAGGCGGCGTGGTTGTGGAATGCGCAGCCTGGCTTGTGGCGTTTGTTGTACAGGGTTGGCTCTGTTAGGGCGTAGGACCAGACTCTATCTCGGATTTCTCGAGGTAGGTCAAAGAGAATCTTGGGGTTGGAGTGGTAGAGGTTGAGGCGAAGGACCTTGACAGCCTTCTTTGGCTTGTCGGTTGTTGCGTCTGTCGTCGCCATGGCACGTCGTTGGCCTTGGGAGTAGATTTGTGTGTGGTGTGAGTGATGAATCTGCCGCAGTACTCACGGGCATATATGTAAAGAGAGTCAATTCGTGTCCAGCTTTGTCGAGTCATCGGCGTCGCCAGGCGTCCCAGGCTGAGCAGTCACTAGCGCCAAAGTTTAATTCCGTCGTGAATGCATTGTGTGGCTGAGCGCGACGCCGTAACCCTTTGGCTCGTGTTAAGCATTTCAATGGCGACCGGTTGAATTAGACTGAGTTCCTTCTGAAGACTCAAGTTAGACTTGCGAGTTTCCAGACATGAATACATGTTCGGCTTGAATTGGTGCAGGAAGTGGTGGGCTTTGGCGATGTTTATCAACACTGTGGTGGTACGGCGTCAATGCGAGAATCTTCCTGTATCAGACATAGTTCCATGTGCTTGGTGTTTCCATCTGTTGGCAGTTATAAGAAGCAAGATTCATCTGGTTTCTCTCGCAGAGGGCCATCTTTCCAAAATTCAGAGGGAGGCATCCTACTACAACTCACAACCAGCTCTGCCGGGAACTTGTGCAGCCAAAACACTCACGTGGCATAGACATCCATCGCGAGAAGAATGTGAGAGTAACTTCTCCGAGGCCATTGTTTGTGGAAGCGTATATGTGCTGGGTAGCAGGTGAGGTTGCTTGCTAAATGTTCAGAAGCCGACAACGAGCAGTCTCAGAGACTTCAAACCTCCTTTTACTCGAGTAGCCAATACAAAGCCATACAACAGACCTGACGTGGAGGGAAACGTTGTTCGAGCCTAGCGTGAGCAGGGCTGGGACAGTCGGCCAGGTACCGCCAACTGCCTCGGCTGGCTTCATCATGTGCGCGAGGTGTGCTAGGGAGGTGAGATCATGAAATCACATGCGGTCGATAAAATGTCGGAGCGAGACGTCTTCCTCTCTCTCTCCTCTCCATCGTCCCTTTTCAGTGTTGTATAGTACGTGTAAGAGTAGCAGCGCACTTGTTTCAATAGCCGCCCGCGTTTAGTCACCGCCCTCCACCGACCCCACGATCTCCAGATCTCACGAGACAAGATGCCTTCCTCAGCAACCAACAACTCCATCCCCAACACCACCGCCAGCCACCGTCTCGAACAACTCTCTGGCCAAATGCGTTCCATAAGCAACGGCGCCTCCGCCACCTCCTTCACCAACGATGTCTGTCCTCAGGCGCCAGAAGACCCTCTCTTCGGTCTGATGGCCGCGTACCGTCGAGACACGGATCCGAAGAAGATTGACTTGGGTATTGGTGCATACCGCGACGACAACGCGAAGCCGTGGGTGTTGCCAGTTGTTAAGCAGGTAGGCAACCTCATTTCACATTTCACTTCAACAATCATTTAATACTCTCCATAGGCAGACAAGCTCCTCCACAACGACCCAGAGCTGAACCACGAGTACCTCCCCATCGCCGGTCTGCCAGACTTCACTTCCGCCTCACAGAAGCTCATCTTGGGCAAGAAGTCGCCTGCAATTCAAGAGAAGCGTGCGGTCGCCGTTCAGACCATCTCAGGCACAGGAGCTGTGCATCTCGGTGCCCTCTTCCTCGCCCGATTCTACAACCCATCAAACTCAGACGCCAAGGCGGTGTACGTGAGCACACCGACATGGGCAAACCACAACCAGATCTTTGGCAATGTCAAGCTTCCTGTCAAGGGCTACCCATACTTCTCCAAGCAGACCAAGGGTCTTGACTTCGACGGCATGATTGGCGCCATTGAGGGCGCTCCAGAAGGAAGCATCATCCTCCTCCACGCTTGCGCACATAACCCTACCGGTGTCGACCCCACACAAGAGCAATGGAAGAAGATTGCGGAAGTCATGAAGGCCAAACACCACTTCCCATTCTTCGACACTGCCTACCAAGGCTTCGCATCCGGTTCGCTAGAGAAGGACGGCTGGGCCATCAACTACTTCGTCGAGCAAGGTTTCGAGCTTCTCATCGCGCAATCGTACGCCAAGAACTTCGGTCTTTACGGTGAGCGTGCTGGCTGTTTCCACTTCATCACTTCGCCTGGCTCTCACGCTGCCGAGACCGTGTCCCGTGTCGGCAGCCAGCTTGCCATCCTTCAGCGCTCGGAGATTTCCAACCCACCCGCATACGGCGCTCGCATCGCGTCTCTGGTTCTGAACGACGACAAGCTCTTCGCGCAGTGGGAAGAGGACCTTCGCACCATGTCTGGCCGTATTATTGAGATGCGCAAGGTCCTCCGCAGCAAGCTCGAGGAGCTGGGCACACCAGGCACCTGGAACCACATTACCGACCAAATTGGCATGTTCTCGTTCACCGGCCTCAACCCAGATCAGGTCAATAAGCTGCGCGAGAAGTTCCACATCTACATGACGCAGAATGGCCGCATTAGCATGGCAGGTCTCAACACGAAGAACATCGATTACTTCGCCAAGTCTGTCGACAGTGTCGTAAAGGAGACTTCATAATCTGAAGTTGAGCGACATGATTCGTATGTGGAGCAGAGGAAGCAAGATGCAGCAAGGCTGAGCTACGTCTTCGGCGGCACGCAGCGATCGTACGAGGAGCATGAATTGTATGATACAATGAATTGAGTTCAAAAAGTCCTCATGGGAGTAGATGGGGAAGGAGCATAGCTTGTCCAAACGACAGCACTTCTAGACTGGGGATCAGCATGCAGATAGCACAAAAAGTCACATCTTCATCACGACAAAAACACGCACCTTTTCTTTTCTCAGATCTTAGCGTTCATCACCTTCCCCGCCATCCCAATCACCCTCAAACAAACAATATTCCCCGTCCACCAAAACACGCCCCTCAACAACGCCACGCCCCGACTCCTCTCATTGAAAATATATGCCCCAGCATACCCCACCCTCACAACCGTATACCACAACCCCAACCCATTCACAACAGAATTCTCCAAACCACCCACATGCGCCAACACAACCGCCGCCACAAGCAAAGGGAAATTCTCAACCGAGTTCGCGTGGCAGTTCTCGACGCGCCGGATTCGGTCGAGTTGGCGCTGGGTGAGTTTTCCTTTGGCTACGGCGCTCGGGCCGTACTTTGTGAGGTCGTCGCGGGGGGAGACATTGTGGTCGATTTTGTGGGCGAGTTTCCAGGGGCGGGAGGAGAGGAGGACTGAGGGTGTTTAGAAGCGTGGGTGGGATTGCGAGGGTGTGGTTCAAGGACTTACTGTAGGCGTAGATGAAGTGGAAGATGAGGTAGGAGGGTCCGAGGGTTGGGGAGGAGGGGGTGAGGCCTAGGAGGGCGGTGAGAGGGGTGGACATGGTGGGTTATTTCGTAGGGATTGGTTTTTGTTGTTGTGAGAAGGAGAAGGAGGAAGAGATTCTGTACACAGCTCACTAGATGTCTAGCAGGCGAGACGTTGCGCCGTGCAGACTGCAAGCCCTTTCGAGCCATTGAGAGCGTCCGGCGCATCTCTGCTACGGCCGAACGGGACAGCGACAGTTGTTACTTGTACGGCGATGTTTCTCGTCCATCGTTCTTTCGAGACAATGGAAGATTCAGAAGCGTAGCAGCTCCTCAACGACAAAAATCAGAATTCAAGATCCAAGAAAGAACCAGACGTTGCAGAGCATTTTAGTATACGACAGAACACCTACCCTCCGTTCCCTCAGCTCCGGAGCGAGCGCGGCTGCTGACCAGGCGCTTTAGCACCTAATCAACCTGCGATCAGTCAGGCACACCGCGCAGTAAGCACAACGCGACCGAATTATAATCTCGACTAGCATCAGGTACCGCATCACGTCACCCTTTCTAGTCCTTCCGTCTGTCCCTCAGAACCCGAACATTCACTCATGCACATGCATCTCGCCTAATCCAACCAATGACACCCTTCTCCGCAAAATCGGACGAAAGCATCCGTGCGCTTGCCTAGAGCCGCACGGCCCGAAACAACGTCACCTCGCGACCTACCCACGGACCCGCAGCGAACATCACTTCATCAACATTCTCCCAAACAACCACCTCGCGCTCCGAACAAGGCAGCCCGTCACGCCAGCCTCGCCTGCGAACTCGGTGGCGAGATTTCCTCGAGCTTAAGCCTAGGATTTGTTTGGCGGCCTTCCACTTACCTCCGAACGTGCCCATCAATCAGTCACTCGCGGCTGAGATCGGGCCAAGTGCGCGAAGCCGCGTCCGGATGTTGACGCTTTGCTATAGGCGCGGAGTCGGGTCCCTTGCAGCTCTCTCTCTCTCGGGGGTGCGCTGTGCTTCTAATGATGAGTGTTCAGACGAGGCTCTAGTCCCTTCTCTGTTTCTTACTACCAACCAAGATGATGCTGATGAGCCGCCGAGAAGAAGCGGGAGAATTCCACCCTCCGCTGGAACCCACTCCGTGCTTCTTGCCTTTTCGTGCGTACTCGCTCGCGCACAGCAGTTGGTCCGCGAAAGAGCGAAAAGGTAGCGTGCTCATCCAACTATGCGCTCGGCGGGTGAGTGGATGCAAGTCAGTCTGTGTGGTCCTTTTCTTTTCGTGTGTGGCTACTCGACATGGCATAGTCTGGTTCCAGATCCCATCGATTCACCAGGACCCAGATCGTTGGGGCGCGTGCTGTGTGAGTCCTTTCGGCTCAGGTAAGATATGTATATCATCGAACGGAGGACGTGCTGCTGCTACTACGACATCCCCCCCAAAGACAGATCCCCCAGGCACGAGGCAGTCTGAGTGAACAGTACCCACCGATCGTGCAGCAGGTTCCAGGTCGAAACAGGACGTTCTCGTCCGAGCTTTGCCTGGATTGATTCTTTTGGGTCTCTATCCAAACAACACCGCCTGTTCGAACACCTACCTTGTTCGAACCAACCAACCATCCCGATACCCGAATCGACTCGACCCAAACGACCTTATTCATCTTCGTACGACCCGTTTCCCAAATCATACTCGCCCGACTGATCGACATTCGGCCTTGCCCCACATGCCTCCCAGGACCACGGACAGGAGCATTACGACTTGTCGTAACTGCAGGTACGTTCCTTGCACAGCCCACTTGATACCACCAACAACCTCACCACTACCGAGCCCGAATCACATGCTGACCAACATCTGGGTAGACGCCGCAAGATTCGTTGCGATCGTGGGCGGCCGCGATGCAATAGATGCAGGGAAAGCGGGTCCACGGTAAGTGCGGATATAGCCCCCATCCCAAGCTGACGGACGGCACAAAGGCAGAGAGGCAAACAAACATTTGATTGTTGACGCCTTTTCGGCGATTCAATTATGCTCTTTGGTCCGAGGGTGGTGGCGTGTCGGCGATGACACTCGCTGCGAGGTGTGGTGGGTATGAGACTTTTAATACCAAGCTCTCTTACACCTCCATCAGGGATCACCGCCGACCACCACCATCCGCGCCGACCACCACCACCACCAGCACCATGTCGCAGGGTTCCAAGAGCACCATGCTGTTGAACAAACTGACAAAGTCCCTTGCAGTGCGTGTACGAGGACCAAGTACCACAGCGCGTAAGGAGCTACCAGTTCGTGAGTACGCATCGCAAAACATCACCTCAAAAACAAGACATGTCGTGCACATTTAAAAAGCTGACCACTTTCCCCACCAACAGCCGAAACCCCGGGCAACGCGCTCCGCGAAGCCTTCGACGCCGGCAGCGGGGACGCTTCGGCAGCCACGGTGCCCATACCGATCGACCGGCTGCAGAGGATCGAGTCGCACGTGGAGAACCTCACGCAGATGATGCAGACCATGCAAGCACGCAGCGGCCGCGCCAGCCGCAGTGGTGTGGGCAGCAGAGGCAGCTCGGCGTCGCGAGGCGCCGCGCCCACGCCTTCCAACGTCTCTGATCTCGGTCTTTCCAGAGTGTCCACCAGCCAGTCTTCGGAGCAAGGCGTCGAGTACCGCTACGTCGATTTGGCTTCCCTGACGACCCTCTGCGACGAGGTCGCCGAGCTGGGCGATGTCTTGAGTCACCAGGCGAGGTTTCTTCTCAACTCCGCTCAGGCTTCGCCTGTCGAGACACCGGGCCAGACCGAAACGCCGACGGAGCGAACGCAGCCCAGCCGGCCTGCCCAAGGTCCTTCGGGCACGCAGCAGAGATCGAACGTTGGCCGAAGCATGTCGGAGACGAGTGCTGGCACGGAAGCGACCACCGCGATGGACCCGATCATGGATTACGAGATCAATCCGCCGAATATCGACTGGGCCTATCTCGACCAAGTGCTGAGGGGCAATGAGGACCAAGAAGAAGGGCCAGGGCCGAGTGGCGAGCGAAGGCAATGATGAAAGCAGTTGCAACAAGAGTTCTTTTCCTGTTTGGTGGTGCAGGGCACTCTGATCGTGCACGCCGCTGCATTTGCGGGCGTTTTTCCAATTCTTAAACATGCTTCTTTCCAATTCTGCATACGCATGGGGGTATAGAGACAAGAAGGCAGCGATTCATCCACATAGAAGACAAAAGCATGTATGCATGTCTCGGCGTTCTCTTCGCTCGCATCAAAAGACTAGATCCCACACCACCAAGAACGAGCAGAAAGCGATGGTCGAATAGAAGACCGCCTGAGCCGTACTGCGCCTCTCACTCGCGCGCTTGAGTTCCTTGTTCCCTCTGCCCAAGTTCTCGGTCGTGGAGAAGGAGTCCTGCACGAGCTGCTCGATCTGTTCGCTCTGTTGCGTGAGGTTGGCGTGGAGGGTGCTGTGCAGTTCGCTGATTTCGAGGATGCTACGTTCGGCGGTGCGGACCTGGTCGAGCTGGTCCTCGTAGTGTTTCAGGAGTTCGGAGTTCTCTTCCGCGAACATTTGGAGTTGTTCTTGCGTGAGTTCTTGCCTGGCTGGGGCGTCGAGGGATCCATTGGCGAGTTCGGCGGAGAAGCGCTTGCGTTTTGTAGAGCTGGCTGATTGTGGTGCGAGGTCATCGTCCTCGTCCTGAGCGCGGGGAACACCGCCGCTGATGGGCGATTTGGCGAGTATCGACTTTGTCTTCTCTACCTCCCTGCTGAGTCGCACATCCATCATCTCGCTCTGCACTCTGCCCGCTTCTTCCAGCTTTCGTTGCAGGAACAGTATGATGCTCTCCCTCACCGCAGTGATCGTCTTCCTAGCCGCCTCGTCCCTTTCCTCTTCAGGCGACTTCGAAGTCTCCGTCCCCCCCGCAGCCCATCGTGAAATCGCACCTAGTCCACTCCGCGCACGCTTCGACAAGGCCACGGAATCTGCAGCCTGGTTTCGTATATCTTCCACCTGTTTGAGCCCTGTTATGGCTCCGTTCAGCTGGCGTAGTAGGAGTTTCGATTGAGCATCGATGGCATCTCGTTCGCTGTCTGAGAGTGGTCTTGCGCGGTCGTTGCTTTCACTGCCGATTTGACGTCTTCGCGAGGGCTGGGCGGCGGAGAGGTAGGCGGGTCTGATCGATCGGAGTTCGCAAGTGAGGTCTGCTATTCGTGCGTTCTGTAGTCATTGTCAGAATGGGTCATAGTTGCAGGTTGCCCTACGCACAATGTTATAGGCTTCCTGCAAGAATGAATTGATGGTCTGGATGTCGTAATCCTTCTTAACGACGGGTTGGGCACCCTTTTCCTTGAGTGATGAGTTGAAGTCTGGGGTGATGTCCGTCATGATTGCGGCGGTCGTTCTGTGGTTTCGTCTACTCCATGCGTGTCGAAAAGCACAGTCGATTTGATAGCTGTCACCGTCACAAGCTCAAGCAGGCGCGAGCTTCCCTCTAGCGACGTCGCCTAACGCAACCAATCAAATGGCTCCATCAAATTCAGTTAAGGTTTCTGGTCCTCCCCAACCCAAATACCACTTCACCTTCTCAGCATTGATCCATCTGAATCATCTTGCCAGTACTCCTTCGATCGATGCCCATCATCGGCGGGCAACATGACCACAGATTTGAAGATGTTGACGATGTGCAAAGACCTTCGGTCCCGCCGTCGTTGCTCTTGCCCGCGAGCTGATGCGATAACGGCCACGGCCTGCGGTCGTTGATGAATGCTATCGGATAGGCGGCACTGGTGTCGTGCATTTCCTGCAGTAACAATGGCATCACTGCTTCTTACTCGCTCGCCATTCGCCCGTGGGCAGTCGCGGCCTAAGGTGACTTTGGAGGTGTTCTATGATCGGCCAAACGCCGTTCTCCACCGCCCTCTCTCGTTCACTTTCCTAAAATGTCTTTTGCCATGTTCGCTCATCTTTGAACGTAAGAATCTGTCATGATCACACAGCATGAGGTTGATTCCAAGGACGAGGAGAAGCCGGACGAGCTTACCATGACCTACGAAGAGAGCAAGGGCGAGATGTGCCACAAGTCAGCCGGCGAGGAGGCGGAGGCTCACTCGGTGCGGAGCTCACACATCTCCATACATTCCCAGCACACGGGCCATGATAGACAAAATGCTGGAGCAGATCCTAGTCCACAAGACCTCGAATCACTACGCACAGCTACCACCAACACGCCGCCATGGTCGGTCTTCACGTTACAACAAAAGCGGGTCATCGTCTTGATGGTTGCGCTTGCCAGCTTCTTCTCACCACTGTCCGCCAACATCTACTTCCCGGCTCTCAACACCCTGGCAGCGGATTTCGGGACTTCAGAAAGCGTCATGAATCTCACGCTAACCACCTACATGATCTTCCAAGGCCTGGCTCCGACCATCTTCGGTGACCTTGCGGACATGGCAGGACGTCGACCAGCGTACATTATTGGATTTGCCATTTACATTGGCGCTTGCATCGGCATTGCATGTTGCAACTCTTTCCCAGCACTGCTGATCCTACGAATGGTCCAATCAAGCGGCTCATCAAGTACCATCGCCCTGGGCTCCGGTGTTGTCGCAGATATCGCCACCAGCGCCGAACGAGGAGTCTGGATGGGCTGGGCCACATCAGGACCCATGGTCGCCCCAGCAATCGCCCCGGTCCTGGGCGGCATCTTCGCCCAATTCCTCGGCTGGCGCTGGATCTTCTGGTTCCTCGTAATCTGCGCCGGCACCTTCATCGTCCCCTTCGTCCTCACCTTCCCAGAAACAGGCCGCAACGTCGTCGGCAACGGCTCCATCCCCCCACAAGGCTGGAACATGTCCCTCATCAACTACATCCAACTCCGCCGCCAACGCACCCTCTCCCACCCCTCCCCCCTCGAACGCACCTCCTCCACCCAAACGAGCCTCAAACCCCACCGCCGCCTCCGCATCCCCAACCCCCTGCACGCCCTCACCGTCCTCCTCGAAAAAGACGTCTCCCTCCTCCTCTTCTACAACTCCATCATCTACTGCGCCTTCTACGACATCATGGCCTCGGCCCCCTCCCTCCTCGCCGAAATCTACCACTTCAACGCCCTCCAAATCGGCCTCTGCTTCCTCCCCATGGGCACCGGCTGCCTGCTCGCCCCCGTCCTCACCGGCAAACTCCTAGACCACAACTTCCACCGCCTCGCCCACCGCCACAAAATCCCCATTCGCGCAGGAAAACCCACCGACCTTCAAAACTACCCCTTGGAAAAATCCCGCATCCAAATCGTCGCCCCCTTCGTCCTCCTCCTCGACCTCGTCCTGCTCTCCTACGGCTGGGTCCTGCACTTCGAAACCCCCCTCGCGGCGCCCCTCGTGCTCATGTTCCTGGCGGGCTTCGCGAGCACGGCGGCGTTTAATGCGATGAGCGTGTTGTTGGTGGACTTACACCCTCTGGCGCCCGCGACGGCGACGGCGGCGAATAATCTGGTGAGGTGTTTGATGGGGGCGGGGGCGACGGGCGTGGTGATTTATATGGTGGAGGCGATGGGGAGGGGGTTGTGTTTTACGTTTGTTGCCGGGGTGGTGGGGGTTTTTAGTCCGATACTTTGGGTGCTGGAGAGGTGGGCGCCGGGGTGGAGGGAGGAGAGGAGGAGGAGGGTGGAGGTTGAGGTCGAGAAGGCGAGGGGTTTGGTTCGTGGTGGTGGGGAGAGCGTAGATAGGGAGAGGAAGATATGAGGTTTTCATCTTCATTCTTCATTCTTCTTCGTGCTTTCTGCAGAGCCATCTCTTTCCATCCCATCGTCCTTCATTATGTTCAGCTACGAACACCAAAGAAGCCACCACCCGCCCATCACTTTAAACCTCCCTTTGCCCTCTTCTTCGAGCAAAAGCAAAAACCTGTCTGCTGAATTCGAATCTCATCAACGCCATATTCCCGTCCGAGAGTGGTATCCGCCGCCTGTTGGTCAAACACTATGCATGCAAACTCGCTAAAAATGCTGGGAGCGACGTTTTGCTTTTTTCCTTCCGTCGTCATCGTTGATTTGTGGTATCTCTCGCTCGTACTTTCTGTTTTTTGCTCGCTCAAATCATCATTGTCACAAGTTCTTCGTCCATCATCATCGCGGCGCGTGCGGCGTGTTCGAAGCGCTGTTACCGCTGCTGTTATTACCGCTGCCCATACCACGGCTGCTGTTGTTGCCAGATCGGTCGAGGCCTGGGTCGCCGAAGATGTGTGGGCCAGGTCCACCTTGTCGGCCGTCCTGGTGTGGTAGCTTGTTCTCACCACCACCATGTCGAGGGTCGCTCGCCCAGATCGGTAGACCTTCTGGGGGAAGAGCCTCGCCGGTTGGCTTGCCCTTACCGTACTCGGCCAGGGATCCGTTAATACCGGTAAGAGCCCAGGCGAAGATAGCCTGGTCGCGAATGGCGCTCATGAAGTCTGATTGCTCTGGGCCGGTCGCGGCTACTGGGTTGCTGGTACGACGAGCGCCTTGAGGACCCAAAGAAGGGGCAAAGGCAGCGCCGAAACCAGCACCTGCTCTTGCATCCAGTGGAGGGAGTACAGGCTCTGGCGCCCAAGGTGCTGCGAACAGTCCGTTTTCGTAGACCGGACGCGATGGGCGATGTGTGGGGTGTGGAATCATCGGTCGTGCCTTCCTCAGACATACGACCAGACCGTCTGACGTGCATGAGATGACAGCCTCCAGCTCGATGTGCTCGGCTGTTGGTTGTACGGGCGAGTTTCTCTCGCGCTCTGGTGAAGGTACCAAGGAAGATGTGGAGGATTGAGCCGCTCGTGACTGGCCAAAGATGGCTTCGTGTGTGTCTGGACCGCGAGTGGAGTCGCCCGATGAATGTCTTGACTCGTCGCTGTCCACGTCCATCCCTGCACCTGGAGACGCTTGCTCATGCTGGAGGTGCACACCTCCATCTTCACTGGACTCTGTCGTCATCTCCTCGTCACTGTCAGAAGACTCACTTGCGGCAGGCTCATCGTCCAGCCGCGGGTCTCTGAACCAGAAGCGCAGGTATGCGATAGAGTCGTTGCCTTTGGCGTTCTCCAAGCACTTTACTGCGTCCTGAAGGCAGTTCTCCGAAATGCAGTAGTAGAAACTCCGTCCGCGCATGGTTTCGGCAGGGATGCCAATGACGTCTTGGAGTCCGCTTGTAGCGTACATGATGGTTAGGGTGCGGGTGAATCTGTTGAGGAAAAGGGCAGCTCTGGGTTCGTGCTGGTGGGGTTTATTCGGCTGGGAGAATTTGGCGGAGAGATGAGACAACATGTGATATCTGGGATCTTTTGGCGATGAGGAGAAGATGCGTCGAACCAGTGGGGCCTCCACGGCTCGTTCTGCAGACCGTTAGCATGCTTGGCCAGATCATGTCAAGGCAATCCACTCACTGTCGCTTTTCAAGCCGCGTCGATAGACACTGGTGCAGACCACCATGACATCGTAGACGACAGTAAAACAGCACTCGCATCCAATCCAGTCTCCATTTCGGTCCTTGATCCGACAGTACGCCAGCACGGCAGCCTTGTCGGAGTCAATGCGCTTCTGGTGGAACTCGCGAGCCACGGGCAACTCGTCGAGGGAGAAGAAGTCCCATGCTGATCGGCTGACAATCTCGTCGGGGGTGTAGCCGAGGATGTCGACAACGGAATCGGAGGAGTAGAGGATGGTGGCATCCTGGGTGAGGTCTGGAAAGTGTGAGATGCAGCACGTCAAGGCTCAATAATGGGGTAGGCTTACCGTGAATCGATATGAAGGTGGTCTCCATACTGCCGGTGGTTGAAGCCCCGGGTGAGGCCGGTGGAAGTTTGCGTGGGTGGTGTAGTCAGCCCTACCGCATGGCAATAGACGGCCGACTACGACGAAGTCTCGACAGCGGTTTCAATGGGATGTCGCGGGGTCGCAGCCAGGAGGATTTAGGATGAACGTGGAAGAGCCTGGTCGGAAGGGAAGGAGCGTTCGTGGCGAAGCGTGGCTGCACTTTAAGCAGGCGAGGCACGTGCGACTCGGTGGTGACGAGTGGATCCGGTCTGGCGACGATGCCGGTCTGGCGACGATGCCGGTCTGGGCGAGCGCTGATGTTGAACTGGATGCGAACTGGCAGCGCTGGCGCAGGGAAAAGGGCTCGCTCGCTCGCGGTCAGGCAAGGTATGTCGAGTATTTTTGCGACGGGCGCGCTAAGGGCACTGGATGGGTGGGACGTCTGCTGTCAGCGCGCAAGGGGCAGCAGCAGCGTTGTGGCCGTCGGGCTGGGGGCTTTGTGTGCGGTATACGGGTGTATGTGTGTGTCTGTATGAGGCCGAGCGCCATTCACTCACTGACTGCTGCGCTTCTGCTCGCCGGCCTCGACCAATCCACGCCGTGTGCCACTGAGGGTCTCGTTCCAGGCGGAAGGGAACCGGCCATGTCCCTGCGCGGTGATGTCACGGCCCATGCACCGCGCCTTCCCTCTTCTGCGCGCTTGGCAGCCGGCCCGCCACGCTAGCTCAATGTTTTGCATAGGCCTCCTGCATGGCTCCTATAGCCAACAACGACACCCGCAACAGCAGCGCTTGGAGTCGTGATGCAGCACCCACACACTGCTACACCCTGACCCTTCGCGTGCGCTTTCTTGACGCGACGCTGCTAGTGTCGCTCCAGCTCGCCTCGCTGCATTGGCGCCGGCTCATCCCAGCGTCCTGCACACTCCCTTGATTGTCCCCCCGCCGCCGCCGCCGTGGGAGGTGGAATCCGCTGCAGAGCGCGCGCTTCCAGGCAGGCAGGCCACTTGCTGCGACACAAGCATTGGGGGGCGTGCAGCCAGCAGCCCCAGTCGACGCCCCGGGTCCAGGGGTCCACCCTCTTCTTCATGTCGCCTGCAGACTGCCTGGCGCCTCATCGTCGATCACAGGCGAGTTGTGTCACGGTTTTTCCTACTCTTTGACGGCTGTTCAACGGCCGTTCATTCTGCTGCGTCCCACCTCTCCATCTGCCCCGAACATCTCCGGCGAGCCCTCTCTCGGCGTTGGTTGGTGCATCACATTCTCACCCATCCTGTCGCCCCCTGTCCTCGTGACCGCACTCCTCATACGATCGTCTTGGCGGCAGCCTCGTTTGGGCCGTGCCCCCAGCCCAAACCCTCGCGCGCGGCTCGTGCGAGTCTCCGGGACTGGGTGCCGAGCCCAACGTCGGTCTTAGAGAGACCCGGCAAGCCGAATCCGACGCGCTCAACATGCCGGGCAATGAGGTGTTTCCCACTTGGATAGCCAGCCAGAGGCTGCCTTTCGACAACGGTTAGAGTGCAGCTCCGCCACAGATGTCATCACCCAGCTAACACGTGTGCTAGAAGACATTGACACGACCGTCTTTGATGCCAAGTTCTACCCTTATGAGACAGAAGACAACGATCAAATCGTCGCTGTTGTTGCGGCTGATACCGTAAGTCGTGGGCTCAGTGCGAAGCTGTTCATATATCTGACATTCAATAGGTCGTTGTTCTCCGTCCAACACAAGGCGCTGACCGCCCGTTTGACATCTTGTGCTGGTTCCAAGACGAGCAGGTAAGACAGGCTCCACTCTCCCCTGATACTTTTAGACTAATCAATCATCAGACACCGCAAGCATGTTACAATAGTTTATGCTGGACAAAGCACCCCTCCACACGAAATCCCATCCTGTGCATTGCAGGCTCTGAACCCAAGCACATCAAGATCCTTGATATTGAAAGTGGACGCCCTATCCGTACTATTGCAGGCCACGGAAGAGAGATCAACGATTTGGCTGTGTCCCCTGTCTGTACCAACCTCATCGCCTCCGCCTCAAATGACAACACTATACGGCTATGGAATATCGGGGAAGAGTACCAGCAGCAGCCATGCGTGGCGCTTTTCGCCGGCGGTGGGCACAAGGCGCCTGTATTGGCAATTCGCTTCCATCCCAATGGCCGCTGGCTGCTTAGTGGCGGCATAGATACAGCTGTCTGTCTGTGGGCTATCCCAAGTGACGCTGAGCTCGACCAAGGCACCGAGAACTCACCTTATCGTGCCACGAAGATTGTCCACTATCCTCATTTCTTCTCCACGGAAGTGCATCCCAACTACGTCGATTGTCTTGCCTTCTACGGAGATCTTATCATTTCCAAAGCAGCACGGGCTGACGATATCAAGGACAACGAGATTCAGATATGGAAGATCGATGGCTTCAATTCCGAGGCCGAAGTCCCTGAAGAGCCGCCCATACCCGTTCCTGGAAACCAGACTCGCTCCTCATTCCCTCACGACAGCCGCTTTCGGGGTTTCCAGCGTCTGCTCACTCTGGACATACCCAACACCTCTCGCTTCTACCACCGTTTTGGTCTTCTCCACGCTCCTGGCATGCGACCAATCCTGGCGATGGGCAACGAGCAGTCAGCCTACAGCTTTTGGGATCTGCAAAGACTAGACGAAGGCATTGATCCCAAAGAGCGGCCGAAACCCAAGAAGACCGCAGGACGAGGGAAAGCCAACGTTCTCAAGGAGTCTTTGACTGTTCTTCCATCCAGCGACGGTGCCCGTGATGGTGCCCGCTCATCCACTCGTATGAGACTCCCAATCCCACATGACTTCGAAGCTGACTTCCTTCCCAGCTGATCTCTCAACAAGCTCCGCCACCGCAGAGCGCGAATGGACCCTCAGTGACCCTTTCAAGAAACTCCCCCCGCACCTCAAGAAGACCGTCGACACGAAGCTTACCAAGAACCACCACTTCGCCACGTCTCAGATCGCTTTCAGCCCGGATGGGACTTGGATGGTGGGTGTGGGTGATCATGGCATGATTTGTCTGTTCCATCGGGATAAGGACGTGGTGGGGAGTGTGCCGGTGCAAGCGAATGGCATTTCAGGGTGAACCTTGGATGATATGCATATGTTGCCGTTTGTCAATGACACGCAGTCTGGAGTGGAGTCCTGCCGAGACCATGGGTTAAGCTCACACTGGAGGCCTTACGCTTTGACGTCCTACACGTGTGGAGCGAACACGAGGTGGATCAGACGCTGTGCTACCTATCTGTGTCAAACGTCAGAGAGACTTGCCTCGCTTCAAGCTTGTACTTGGGGTCCTCGTTCGACGGCAGAGGAACATCGGTAATCTGGAGCGTGACGCTTCTTAGAAGCTGCTGTCGACTCTGGTCCTAAAGTACCTGCTTCGCCGACATTGGATACTTCATCGGGCACAAAGTATTTCATGATTCGCATGCAAAAATACTACCAGCCGTCGAACTTTGAGCCGTCTGTTTTCTCGCAATAGCTGCCATCACAGTCGTTGGATCCCAAACGATACCACACTCGGTGTATCATGTTCATGGTACCCACTTCCAGTCCTCCGAATCTTCATCACTTCCACTATCGCAGGACTCCCGATCCTCTTCCAGTTCAAGCCTATCCAGCATCTCCCACCACATCTCCCAATCCATGAGCAACGCCAACAGTATGGTCTCTCCTTTGATGCTCAACAGCGCAGAGATCTTCTCCACCGCCTCAACGTGCCGGGCAAGCGTCTTCTCGATGAGCAAAGTGTCCCCCTTGATGTGCTGTTCGCCTTTGAACCCGAGCGTGAGCGTCTTGCGAAACTTGAAGACCACCCTGCATTGTTCCGAGATCCACAGATGCACGGTGCGGAGGTGTCGCGCATTCTCAGCCACCACGAATTTCGACCACCTTCGCAGCATGTCTTCCGACGCGGCTTCGAAGTCGTAACGCTCCGATCTGGTATCAGACCTGATGGTGAATGTCGTGTCGGCGTAGAACATTGAAATCGTCTCGCGGCGGATCACAGCACAGGTCTGTAGCAGGGCGGGCAGTTCGTCGACGGGGCGCTCCCATTCGAGCACCCGATAAGTACCCGGCAGCACCATCTTGTAGATTCTGTTTCGGACCTCCACAGGCAGGTCGAGGAAGCGAAAGGGTGCCGCGAACTGCTCCAGAACTTCCATGAGCCTGCAGCAGTTTTGCTTGACTCCGTCAGGGAGTCTCTTCAGAGTCGCCTCGCTGATGCTCGCGCAGATGTGGTCTGCTGCTTCTTTCGTTGTTCGCCTGCCAATGTCTGTGAACCACAATCCGGGGGCCAGGAAAACGTTGAGTTTCCGGAGACGAAGTGAGGCCATCATTCTTGCGTGCCATTCTTTGTAATTTCCCTCGTACAGGTCGCCGCTCAGGGTCAGGTCATTAGGGGTGGGGCCAGTCGGGGCGGGTATGTTGATTTGCAGTCTCCGCATTGTTGAGTCGTTGTTGTGTTTGTGCTGAAGGTGATGGGGGTGGTGGAATTTTTGTGCGGGCTGAGTTGCGTCTCCGAGGTTCGGATGCTTCGTCTTGTTTTGAGGAAGTCACGTTGATCTGGGCAGGAAAGAGCGGATTGCTGAGTCAGGCGTCTTGGCATCACATGCCAGCGTGCGCCTGCTTGTCTCAAATTACTCTACTCGCTACCAAAGGATTTCGTCGCCCTAAAAAGTCTTCATGCACATCTGCCCGCAGTGTGCGCTCTCAAGTCCCAAGCGCCTCATACACATCCGCCATAGCAATCACCCTGACATCGCGCCAAGGCATGCGATAAGCCGTTTCGACCTTTCGTAGCTCTCCCAAGCGCACCAGCCCTTCACCATGGAACATACGCGTGTCGATGTACTTCGCAACCCTCTTGAACACCTCGTCCTGCGCCATCTTGTACGTGACACGATGGCGAGTGAAAACTGTGTTGTCGCGGTGAGTGTGCTCACGAATGAGCACCCATAAATGCGCCAAGAGCAGCATAGCACACATATCTCCGTTGGTTTGGCAGTCGCAGAGTAGTTTGAAAAGCCTGTTGTCTGCGTAGGGTGTTGAGCCGCAGGTGGACTTCTGGCGCATTTGGTCGCGGACGACGAGGAGAATGTCGCCAACGGTGACCAGCTCGTCGAATGGGAGCTTCTGTAGGCTCTGGATCACGAAGCTCATCTTGGCTACGTTCATCGGCTGATTGAGTCGCTTCCCGACCACGATCTCTCGTGGGGATGGGTGGTGGAACTTCGGGTTTTTGGAATCGATACCATGACGCTCCATTCCACCGGCGAGAACCAGGATATGTACAAGCTCATACAAGGCTTTGGTGTAGATTCGGCGAGGTGGAGTCAACGGCGTGTCGAACAGTGGGCCGTAGATCCCCGCTTTTGAGGCCATGCACATCTCCACAATCGCGCTGAGCTCCAGGTTGATGTCATGATAGGGTCGCAATTTCTCCGTCTTGTCAACACAGCATGGTTCCTCTTCCGCGACGCGGTATGTGGTCAAGGGCTTGCCGTCAAGGCCAGGCGCAAGAACTGTCACCACGGCGTCCATGTGGTTATCTGCGCGAAATATATCTTGTGTGAAGTTCGCGGATATCTCTGGATAGTTGCGTGAGACTGAGGCGACAATCTGCCGTTGGAACAATTTGAAGAGTGTGGAGAGCTCGCGAGTTGTATCGCAGAGGTTGGCGAGGTTGTCGAAGCCCCGGGTATGCTCCATGATGCCGAGCTTAACTTCCGCTGGGAGGCTGGTGAAGTCGACCATCTCGTTGAAGTAAAATCGCTTGCGGTCAAGTATTCTCGAGGAAGTCGTATCTGCAAGGAGGTGCTGATCGGGATGCTTGGCTTGGAAGGTTATGGAGTTGCGGGGATGCGGATGATGTGCGTTAAGTGTTGAATGTATTTGCGCAGAAATTTGGAGGCTCACCTATGGTCGAGAGAAACACAATAAGCTGGTAAGCCTATTGTCGACGTGCGATTGTAACCCTCAAGGTTTGTGAAACAATTGCGCGCGGAGCGCACGCGGACGCCACCGCATCTTATACAATACGGCCAGAACTATTGTCGACTCGTATTGTCATCAACTTGGATTACGCATTTTGACAGGGGAAGATGTTATGGTCGGGCACCTGGAGACGGTCTGTAGGAGCCATGCAGCAACAGTACCCAAACCCGATACCTCGTATTTCTGCAGGTGGTCAGGAAATTCAGCTTATTAGTCATAGCATCGCCAAAGTCGTGATCCAAACAGATGTGGATAGTCAACGAATTTGTATGCGACACGTGTGGGCTCTTCTGCGCGGTACAGAGAAGGTCAGGTACAATAGGAAGTCCCACATTGGTAGAGAGGTAAAGGTGAAGTGGGAGTGCCGACCCTTGTCGGGAACCTTAATTTAGAGTTCTGCGCTAGACACGGCCCATCCCGCTGTTACCCCAGCACAACAAGAACCTGGAAACATCAACACAGCAAACGTCACCAAGTATCATCCCAGCACGTCGCCTTTTCATTCACTTGACCTTCGACACGCATACCACTGAGCATGTGATACGACCCTCATTACGACGGCACTCTCTCGTTTGTCCCGCCTGATCGAGTCCGAGCTTTTGAGACAGACCATCACACGGCCGCCTGCATACGCTTCGAAACCATGCCCTTCTCACCGCCCTCGTCTTTGGCCGCATCGCAGCATTTGGACCGTCCGTTCTTGTTCCAGCCGCCTAAGTCTCCTGCATCGGTTACTACCACCCCCTCATCTGCGACCGCGACGGATTATTTCTCCGCGGGCAGCGCTTCTAAAAAGAGACAACGACCCGGGTCTGCCAACAACCACGATTTTCCTCACGCGATCAACACGCCACACTGGGCCCAATGCCCTACCCCGAGCGACAAGCTGTTTGAAAGTGGATTTGGTCAAGACTCGGGGCTTGTCAACGAAAAATACTTGCTAGCTGGCGGCTTCGACACTCCTTCGCTGCAGACAAACGCCAGATTGGAGCAACTCACTGTTCCAGAATATGAATTTAGACGGCGGCTCAGAGACGACGATATGGGTGGCAATATACCTTACCATAGCTCGGTGTTTTCTGGACCTCTGGCACGTGAGCGAAACGGTGTCGCTCGAATGCCATCGACTCCGGATGAGGTCTCGCGAGCGACTTGGACGGGCCTCGCAGTACGATTAGTTGGCAAGGTGTTCAACTTTGGAAGCAATGTTATACGAGGATTCTATGCTGGCGATGGCCAAGGCTACGACATGAAGGACTGCGCCTTGGTGGGATCCGACTTGTTGCAGGAAGGCATCAACAGACGTTCCACTCCAATCCCCGGCGCATGGCAGGACAACGAGTTCTTGGGAGACTTCGAGCAGGACAGTCCAGAGTTCACCGACCGCTCGCCAACCGCCCGGCCGCCGAACAAGCGTCGTCAGACAGATCGGGACACCTGGGTTCTTGTTGGAACGCCCGACCACGAGCCAACGACATCGAGTCCTAAGCGGAAGATATCAAGTAATAGCGTACCGCGGAGCAACCTCGCCCAGCGACCATCTGCGTCTCGAGCATCCAGCAGGCGCAGCATCGCCCCAGTCCCTCGGCGCGCCAATTCCAATATTGCCTCGAACGGCAGCCCTGCTCCGCTTTCAACTGCTCCCACACCCACCCAGCAACCGTCGCACGGAAGGAGAGCTTCATTCGCTTCAACGCGCTCGCCCCAAGGGCGCCCCAGCATAAATGGGCTAGGAATGGCTCATATGAGCCCAGAAGCCGAACGCTACGCCAAGCGTCAAGCCAAATCAGACCGAGCAGCCGAGAAAGCCATCAGCAACATGGGCCGCAGAATGGAAGATCTGATTCGCCAAGCGCAGGAGGCGCTCGGCACCAAGGTTTCTGTGGAGGGCGATATGGAGATGGAAGACGAAGGATTTCTAGACGATGTCTGGTGAGCTGGACATCGCTACACCTCCGCAGAGGCATACGATACGCATGATACCCACAGCACTGAGTTTGCATCAGGAGAAGCTTGAGATACCCTTTTTCGTAGCTTGTAACTGGAGAGAGGCTATACGATGTACATACCACTAAGGCAAGGGATACAGCACTAAGGCGGCAACTGTAATATTGAGACGACGAAACGCAACCCATCAATGACTCTTACATCCAGATCGGCTTCTTGACACTTTCACATCCATCAATCGCTTCCCTGCGTTCACTTGTTACTCAGCTGAATGAATTCCAGGCACCACTCCCTTCACCTTCACTCAACCCTCCATCTACCCCAAATGCGCCGACGCCTCAATCTCAACATGCATCCCCTCAAACGCCAACTTCGCCACCCCAACGCCCGTCAAAATCGGCTGATGCTTCGGAAACCACTTCCTCAAACCCGCCTTCAACGCCCCCTCAACCGCATCATCCATCAGCGTGCAATACACCACCAGCTTGTAAACCTGCTCCATGCCCTTTCCTCCGGCGTCCTTCAGAGTATGGTCGACGTTGTCGAAGGCTTGCTCGACTTCGGCGGTAATGTCGCTGGGGATTGCCACGGTCGTTCTGTCCCAGCCGCCTTGCCCGGAGATGTGGAGGGTGGGGCCTGGTGGGAGGAGGACGGCTTGTTGGTAGTGGGTGTTTTGCAGGGCGCGTTGGCCGAAGCCTGCGTAGGACGAGTAGGTGAGGTGGGACATTGTTTTGAGGTTGGTTTGGTTGGTTTGGATTTTTTGTCGTGCGGACTGCAGGGTTGATTGAGTTGATGTCGATACTAACCTATCTTTTGCGCAGCCTTGGTTGGCCCTTCTTATACACCACGACCAACGACCTCATCGCCACGCACCGCAACTCCTTGCGTCTTGGTTGTTAATCTCTCTCTTGGCGCCATTTGTCAGTTCTGGTCGACTATTGCATCTCAGCTGCAACGACCCTCAACAAGGCGGCTGAGACGACTTTCAAAGGGCTCTTTTCGAAAAACGCAGTGATTCCTCAGCAGACTTGGCATATAACCCTGAATCCTTTGTGGGGAGGGGTCTTGGTATGATTCCAATGTGCCAAGCATGTTTGTAGTTGTATAGATTCGGGTTCGCAATTCGCGTTGAGTCGGGGGAACTTTTTGGGGGTGATGTTTGATGATTGATGGAGAGATATAGCGTTGTGCCTACCGCACGGTGGTGAATGCCTTCTTGCCTCCAGTGAAGCCAAGCAAGACTTCATGGACCTTGACGGGTGCTCGGTTGAAGGTTGGCTGAACATGCCGCTTGCCGGCCGTGGATCCTGGATGTTGCTACGAGATTCCATCCTTCAACAACGATGGACGAAATTACCTCTTTGGATCCCGACGACAGTATTGGCTGCTAGCAAAGGCTTACCAGGCTCAGACGCCCCTTGATCTGGAAATCATCAGGCTCTCTCAAGACCTCGCAACACATGGGAACGGGCTCGTCGAAAACACACACACGGTCTACCCACACGGTCGAAGACTTCTTCAAGAAAAATAAAATGATAACCCAATCTGATCCTCGAGCTACATACAGCCCTCTCGTATACATCATCGCCAACACCCTCGCTTTACACCCCTCTCTCTCTCTCTCTCTCTCTCTCTCTCTCTCTCTCACACACACACACACATGAATTCATCCAGGACTCACCCTCGCAGTCCCTAGACTAAGCGTTCTCATTGCATAGGGTGCAACCTAGGCTGAAAGGCTTAGTAGAGCATCTGACACAGCTATGGACCCCTAGTAGGCAGATTGACCTCTTAGGCCTCCCGCTACTTTGCTTAGGAACGCCGCAGCATTGGCAGCCGTGTTTAGAGCTTTTAGGCCTCCCGATCATCACGGACGGGGTTTCCTGTTATATCCTCAACGATGTGGTCAAGTTGTCAGGGCCGAGAATGATAGGGTTGCGGCTGATCTCGTACGTGTGGTTGTGCTGGACTGGCATCGTCTCGCAATAAAAGGTCTGGATTAAAAGTTCTGTGTGCTTTTCGTTCGAGTATCTTTTCTCTTATCACCTTTACTTGAGCATGTCGCCTATACCGAAAACCGTCCTCTTCGTGGTAAGAAACCATGCCTTCAACACCATCAACGTCTCGTGAATACTCTGCTAACACCACCCCCAACAGCCAGGAGCATGGCACAACCCGCAATGCTTCGCCATCGTCGCCAAACAACTCCGTGACGTCGGCTACGCGACCAAACTAATCTCCCTTCCCTCCACGGGCGCCACTCCCTTCCTCAAAGACTTCAACCCCGACGTCGCCAAAATCCGCGCTCAGATCCAAGCCTCTGCAGACTTAGGCCACGAAATCGTCGTTGTCGTGCACTCCTACGGCGGCATCCCCTCACAAGAAGCAATCCAAGGCCTCGACCTCGCCAGCCGACGACAGCAGGGAGTTCCGGGTGGGGTGGCGCACCTCTTCTTCTGCTGCTCCTTCATCATTCCCGCAGGCCAGTCCCTCGTCAGCGCGTTCGGCGGTCAAGACCTCCCCTGGTATGGTTTCACCGAAGACCGACAAGGCGTCTTCGCGCTCACGCCGGCTGACACGTTCTACAACGACTTGCCAGAGGACCAGGTCGAGTCTTCGGTGGCGATGCTGAAAGACTTCAGTATCAACTGCTCGCATACCGTGTTGAAGTACGCTGCGTGGAGGGACGTACCGAGTACGTATCTGTATTGTACGAAGGGCAATGCGATTCCGATGGAGGTGCAGAGGATGATGGTCGAGGAGTGGGCCGGGAAGCAGCATGGCGTGAAGATCAGGACGGAGACGGTGGAGGCTTCTCACAGTCCGTTCTATTCGGTTCCGGATGCGTTGACGGGGGCGATTAGGAGGGCCGCTGGAGAGGTCGTGTAGGCAATCGTGGGTTTGTTCATTGGCGAATCCATCCAAGGTTGTTACTTGCTCTGCGACCTGTCCTGTTGAGCTTTGCTGTTTGCATTGTTTCATCTATTCGGCTTCCACACCAAATAGCCAACAATGCCCACGGTCACGCACATCACTCCAACGTAGGTATCCACCTCTTCCCGCAGCGCCTCATCGTCGCAATAGGTGTGTAGGAAAAACGAAGCGACCGCAAGTAGCGCCGAGAAGACCAAAGTCGCACACCGCAAATGGACCTTCGTAAAGCCCAACCAGCCATGCGATCTCTTCTGCTGCTGTGTGTAGGCATGCAAGCCGTCAAGCCGATCCTTCCACGGAAGCACATAGACATTGTAGAGAGGCAAGATGATTCGGAAGCAGAACACGGAGACTGTGCTCGCTCCTAGCCAGAAGAACAGCAGTGCCACGTCGCGGAGAGCGGAGAGCCTTTCAAAGTCGATGAGGGGTTCCTGGCCTGGTAGGATTTCCAGATTCTCGAGAGGTATGCAGTTGCCGGTGGCGATCCATCCCCACGAAGCCTTGCTTCGTTCTGGTGAAGCGAATGAGCTCTGGCAGCGTAGTGCACGTAGTATACAGCGGAGGTGGGTGCATCTTGTCGTGGTCCTCGGGAGCGGGAATTTCAATCTGACGCGGTGCCTCTGAGCGAAACCGCACTTGGAGTCGTGGCATCTGAAGAACTTGAATATGTACGCGGAGGAGCCTGTCGAGTAGCCGGGGTCTATGAGGATGGGGACTGAGTGGAATAGTAGGTTTAAGGCATCTTGGGATAAAGGTGGAAGGCTGTCGTGCATGAGAGAGTGTTAAAGGCGCCCATCAAGACCAATCGAGGGCGGGTCGTCTGCGAGGATGCGCTCAAACACCTGGAGTCTTAGTTCACGCGGCAGCTTGAAGAGCGGAAATGATTGTTCGCGGTCTTCGACGTCGTAGAATTCGTCGCAGGCTCGAGCTAGCAAGATGCTTGCAGTCGGAAAGGCTACAGCGGCGAAGAGCTGCCCCCACGCCATACTTTTTGTGGTTGTGGATGCTTCTGTCGATGTTATGTTCGTAGGATGCCAGGCGCAGGAGGATATTGATGAGGTAGGCCAGTTTTTGAGGATGTGGCTCTTGGCTTTACCAATGTCTCCAAGCTGAATGGTGATGACCTCCTATAAGCGAAGGCTTATTCGAAGTCGCGACATTCAGTCTGCAACGCTCTTGCCAGCCTCTTCAGCATCGCCAGCTGCAGACTCCTCCGGATCGTCCAGTGCCTTCACACTAACCTGCACGTCCGATTGTTCCTCCTTGGGCTCCACCTCTGCCTGCGACTCTTCCTCCGTGTGAATGACCGTTGTCTCGCCCTCCTCAGTACTGTCCACCTGGTCCTCCGCCTTGATGGTGTTGGACCGAGTAACGACTGGCAAAGAAGTGTCTTCATCTACGGCCTCCTCACTTTCTTCATCCTTTTGCTTCTCCTCTGGATCATGTAGGACTGTCACCGATCGGTCTAACGTACGCTTGGGCAAAGCATTCTCATCTTCCTCTTCTGCCTCTTCCTGGATGGGATTCGTCACCGACATGTTGCTCGGCTCGCGCGTGTGACGCCTCGTCGTGTTGCCTTGGCTCTGCACCTGACTTCCCGCCGGCTCTTGCTGGAGTGCCTTCTCTTGACCATGCTCACCAGGACGTGGTAGGATACTCGTGGGTCGCGGCCGGTCTATTTGGTCCTCCTCCTTCTCCGAGCTCTCCGCCGGCTCCAGACCCTCAGCCTCTGAAGGAATGGTGTAATTCTCTGGTTGGATGAGATTATACTCGTCACAGACCGTCTTGAAGAAGATGTACAGTCCCGTCAACCGCTCGACCTTCCAGAACATATCGCGATGCTGGAACCAAGCGTGAGCGTAGATGCGGTACACACGCCTGAAGATGTTTGTGATCTCCTTCATTTGCTGCTGCATGAACTTTTCGTTCCCCGACCCCAGTCCCAAACCCAGCCGTGACGGGAACATCTTGCTACTAGTCAAAGATGTAGCCGCCCAGTCCAGGGTGTGGCAGCAATAGTCTATCGCCGAGCAACTCTTAGGTGGATCGTGGACAGCACACAAGTACTGCCACTCGCCGGCTCGCATCTCCGGGCAGGTCTGTGGGCTGCAGGCAGGGCTATCGGCAAACAGGGCGACGATGATCGCGTTGGTCTTCTGGATGAGGAATCGACCAAGCTCGTACAGCCAGATCTCTTTCGATGTGTTGGCGGGCGGTTGGGCTAATTGGCGGGCGAGATCTTGAGTGATGGGTTGGAGTTCGTTGGAATCGGCGGGATGGGTGTGGGCGTAGTGTAGTGCTTTGAGGTGCTCGGTCAGTTGGAAGGCTGAGTCGATCTAAGTGTTGTTGTCAGCATATCTACTACAACTCTCCTCGAATGTGTTACCTCTTGTAATTCTACGAGAGGCGGTCCTTCAGCCATGTCTTCCGCCTTGGTACCAGGCCGTATCCTCCTCGACGCGGCGGCATCCAGGCTGTGTAGTCCAGGCAGCTTGTTGTTGTCCTCGAACAGTGAAATGCCTGGCGATGTTGGTCCAATCTGGTCTTCTGCGATTGGAGGTGGAGATGGCAGGCGTGGTGACGATGAGGGTGATACCGCCGCCATGGTTGTTTGTTTCGCAATGGTGTTGTCGTGAGTGTTCGTTTGAGCCCTTCGCCAAGACCCCTTAACGCCCGCCAAATCAAGTCGTGTCGTGTCTTTGTGCAGCGCTTAAGTTGAGAGCTGTTGTTCCTCTCGAGGAACCCTGCCATGTTCCGGAGTTCGGCAGTGCCCGTTGGCAAGTCCAGCCGAGCAGCGATCTTCTCTACACATCTTGGACGTCTTTCTATCCTTCGACATTCAGCAAGACTTTCATTGACGATGGACGACGAAGAGGATGCACCGCCATTGCTTGTGGCCGCAGATGGCCCCGATGCCCAAGAAGCTACCATTAGCGCCGAGATGGAGGACGTCAAGGTCACCAAGGTGCCTATTACAATCATCACAGGTAGGCTAGCTCCAGGACCTGCATCATGCATTGAGATCGATAAAAGGATATATCAAACCTGGTGTTTACATTTCCCCATATTTGTTGCTGGTCATATCCAATCGAAAAACTTAGAAAGTGGCTGACAACGCAAAGGCTATCTCGGCGCAGGCAAAACCACACTTCTCAACTACATCCTCACTGCTCGCCATGGCAAGAAGATAGCAGTCATATTGAACGGTGGGTGAGTATCAAATATAAGCCATTGATTCAAGAACAACTTCTGATAGTCCTCGCAGAATTTGGTAACAGCAGCGATATCGAGAAATCCCTCACAATCAACCAGGGCGACCAACAAGTCGAAGAATGGCTCGAATTGGCCAACGGCTGCATCTGCTGTTCCGTCAAAGATCAAGGCGTTAACGCCATCGAATCTCTGATGGACCGTCAAGGCACCTTCGACTACATCCTACTGGAGACGACAGGCTTGGCAGATCCGGGCAATATCGCTCCGCTCTTCTGGGTAGACGAAGGACTTGGAAGTGCCATCTACCTGGACGGAATCGTCACGCTCGTCGATGCGAAGAACGTAATCCGTTGCTTGGACAAACCGCAGGGCGAAGAAGCGGTGCATACTGAGGATGAGAATCACAAGGGCCACCTCATGTCTACTGCCCATCTTCAGATTTCCCACGCCGACGTCGTGGTCATCAACAAGGCCGATCTGGTATCTGAAGATCAATTGCAGGCGGTCGAAGCACGCGTCCGATCAATCAACGCTCTGGCCAAAGTTCATGTTACGGATCACAGTCAGGTGCCTCAACTGGAAGGCCTTGTGCTCGGTCTGCATGCGTACGACAACGTGCCCGAAGAAAGTCTAGACTTTAACTCGAAAGGCCACAGCCATCTCGACCCAACAATAGGCACAATGACAATCAGCCTACCAGCACTCGATACCAACAGTCTAGACCCATTAGACGAATGGTTACGAACAGTGCTCTGGGAGAACCAGCTACCAGGCGACAACAACGCCCCAATCTGGGAGATCCACAGAATCAAAGGGCGAATACCACTCACGACCGGAGGCGTGAAAATGCTCCAAGGCGTCCGTGAAATCTTCGAATTCATCGACGCAGCAGTCGACACTGGAAAAGCCGACACCACTTCAATCAAGGAACAACGTGGCAAGATCGTCATCATTGGACGAAACGTTGGCGATGCGAACAGCACAGCTGCCTTTCAGCGGAGCCTGGACGCTGCTGTAAGCACACAAGGCAGCCAATAGACTGGACAGGGGAGGGCATCCCGACGGCCTCATCAAAGGCTCGTTGACACGTGTGGGACAAGCGATTGCCTTGCGCGTGGGATCATAATCGCCCTGTCGCCGCCTTGCCATCCCACTCCCCACCAGGAGCATGTTCCGCCAACTTCCTACATCCTTCGTCCAAGGTTGCCCATTCGCCATACGAGCAAGCACTTCCAAGCAAAGCAAGAGAAACGATTGAACAAAAAAAAAACCGTTGAGAAACCATATTCCCCAGAATTCCACCCCATCCAGCCCTACCAGATTCGTGCGTTTTTCTCTCGAGAAATCTAGACCCTGCATCGCATCATCATGTCTGACATGTGAAAGCACATGTTCGCACGCTGTACGATGATGTCGTTGTTGTCAGCTTGTGGGGGAAGGAATAATCAGAGCCAGAATGCAGTTTGTATTGAAGGGGCTTTTGGGGGACGCATGCGATTATTCCAAAGTGAGTGTGATGAGATTGTTTGGAGCCGGTATGTGGCTGTGCCGCTTTCCATGTGTCGTGGGGATTATTGGGAAGACTGGGAGGAGAGGATATCGCTTGTACAGTGCCATGTACTATCACATGCGTGAGATGTTAAGCATGGCTCAACGTGATGCTTCGACCCGAAATGCCATCTTTTCATCACGACGATCGCGAGAGCGATTGTAGTAGGTACTGAAAAGGACCGAGATGGTAAGCCACATGACTTCACACCGTCCGTCCTGAAAATGAGATGATTTCGACCGATAGTTGCGAAGCAAGGCTGTCAAGACACTACCGCCGCCGATCACCACTCTACTGTACTCACCACAACACCCGTCTATAGTCCATGGCGTCTTCTTGCGCCGTCTCTAACCGTCGAGGTTCCGCGCGTGTACAGGTCGTCGGCGTTGTGGCCTATACAGCACATACACATACCCGAGGTGATGTCTTCTGCTAGAATCGCAAGACTTGGACCGAGGCTAGCTATCGCCATTCTCATAGCCGTGGGTTCTTGGGAATTGAGATCATGTACGTTCTCCGCAGCCGTGGAGTTTGCCTCGGTGATGCGTCTGAAGAACTTCGTACATCGGCTTTGATGGGTACTAGATCTTGGTGCATGTCTGGGGTGGTTGGAAGCCTCGGCGACTTTTGGTCTTCACTCGACCTCACCTTGCGATTTTGGAGGTTGACGAGAGCGTAGCACTTTCGTGTGGCTGAGAGCCGGTGTAGATGCTGGTGAAACGACAGTAGTCTGGGACCTTATCCATTATTGACTCGTCGTATCGTGTGCATCCCGACAACGACATCTGAGTCTTCGATCGGAACTGACAATGTGCTCAAGTGCACTCTTGGTCAGAATGGAGTGTCATCCGGCAGACTGCAGTAAAACAATCCTCAACCATGACGCTGTCAACCAGCATCTTCGATCGCAAGACGTCCTGGCTGTATCAGCATGATCGCGGCCTCCAATCCATCGAACCACAACTCGACGTCCGCTTCATCCTACGGTTCCGTCGAATGCTCCCAAACTCAATTCCAGCCCATTCGTCTCTGCCGACAGAAACAGGCAAGCCGCGAGAGAAGTAGGAACGAGGCTTGTGAAGAACCTGTCGGCAGTCGCTTACCCCATCACAGCAAACCCCAAGAACTTCCAAGCCATCCGGACCAGACAAAAACGAATGAGATGATGAACCTCGTCAAGTTTCGGCACTCGGCTGAATGCCCGGCCTCAAGCCGACGAAGAAAACTGGTGGCGGTGTGGTGGCGGAAATAACTCGCGGCAGGTACGGAATTCTTGTCGCAGGCCACGTGTTGCGAGAACCTGGAGATTAGAGTGTGGAGAGTCAGATCGGATCCTTGGTTTCGAACCCATAGATAAGGGTGTGATGAGAAAGATGTGCCTAGAAGAGAGAAACGCGCTGACATGTGAAAGGCAGCGAATCCTTGGTCTCGCATCAATCAAACATTAAGGAACGAAGTTTTTTGGGTGGAGAGTGGCGTGGAACGGCAGCGTTTGCGAATGGAGGAATTTTTCTGTTTCCGTCGTTGTGGAACACTTCCCTTCTTTGGTTGTTCCTTTTCCAAAATGTCTGGAGTTGGCATTCACCGAAGAAGCAGCGCCTGGGACGAGTAAAAGCTTTGGAACGGCCGCATTGCGGGAGGGCGGATGTAGAGTGTACCTTGTCGCGCAGACAAAGTGGAGTACCCAATACTTGCCGCGTTCCCAACATTCCTCAACGGCGGAAGAGGAGTCGGAGAGAAACGGATGGGGGTGGGTTGTGTTTGCCTTTCTGCCTCGTAGCCGGAAGGGTGACCTCGGTCATCTGGTAACACGATGGAAGCGACGAGCAACACCATTTCTTGCGGGAGTGGCATCAGCAGTCGCGTGATACGGTATTCATTCACTTCGGCGCTGCGGCGAGGTACGTATCTCTCTCGCATGTGGTAGCGGCAGTCTGTTGTACAAAGCCGCATCGGCCTCATCTCTCCGCATTTTCCAAAACTCTCTCTCCACATTGTGCACATGAGCTGATCACGACCACGAAACCCCAATTCTCGCGAGCTCCAACAAAGAGACCCCATGAGTCGCACCGCAGACGGGCGAAGTGAGATGGGGAGGCGCCCCAGCGAATCGAGTGGACGATAGGGCCAACCTTATTTACGCGCGCACATGTTCAGCTGTCTCATTGCTGTTCGCTGCCTTGCCCTCCACCCAGGATGGCCCCTTGCATGGCTCTGTCGTAAGACTGGGAATTGGATTTTCCGTCCAGTTGAACTTTTAGGCTGTGGATCGAGACCCGTGTCAGCCAAAGGCGTGGGGGTGGACGGCCTTCGGTTGGTATTCCAGAAAAGACGACAAGCCACCTTCCACATCGCCCGGCAGTGGCTTGACATGGCGTTTTGCGGCTTGTGGTTCGTGAGATTCCCGGCGGTTGCGATAACTTCCCATCTCTATCTGCCCTTTCTCCTGCAGCTAGGCGGCCAGAACGACCTCTGGATGGGGACGATGTTGTCTGACAGCACAGCTGCCGATGATGTTCCAAATCACGGCCTAAATGAACGGTATGCAATTATTGTGTGATTCCTACAGTAGTGGAGAGGGATCGACGGCCCAAAGCACTGGACCCGTAGATTGGCTTGCAGAGTGCAGACGGCAGCAGCAGTATCTTTCATCAACAAGGTAAAGCGTAGACGAGCTGTAAACCATCTTGCTATCTGCGCGTGTGCGGCGTCGTGGGATGTAGACATGTACCGCGAGGCCTCACCTCCCACATCTTGAAGAAGCAATTTCGTCTCATGGTCAAGTCAACTGCTGGACGAATAGGTATCGTGCGTTGCCTTCTCCTATACGCTCGAGCAGACGAGGACCACAAGCATGATGTCGAAGTCGTTTGCTTGCATGGATGTGGTTGACATATCTTGGGAAATGCTGTTGATGAAGAGGATGGTTGTACAAATTCATCTTCTTCATCGGTATCGGCCTCGTTTGGGACTTTCCCCACGGGCAGTTCCAGAAACGTCATGCACCAGGTCAGGCCATGATTTGACGCAGGCACATGTTGCAATCGTTCCTCCCTGATCACGGCATTGCGAGAACGATTGCTGTTGGCACGGAGTTGCGGCGGGAGGAGACCTGGGGAGTTCCATCATGCGCCTCTCCTTGTTACTACATAGCATATGACTTTCCATCCTCGCCGCCCCGGTCTCAACAGACTCAAATAAGAGCACGTCTAATTTGGCTTGTGATACACACGCTTCGGCTTCGCAATCATCAGACAGTTGATCTGCAGACGAGTCGTGCGGTCCGTTGCGGGAGCCGTTTCCCACCACCTGCGTGTTTCCTGGCGCGGCCTCGGTGTCACAGGCTGTGCAAAGAGCACTGACAATAGTCAATCAAAATTCTCGACCCGATTCCACCAAGCGGTACCCGCAGACGGGCCTGCTAATTATATCGGCAGTGGCAGACGGAGTCTGCAAAGAGAATCTCTGCGCGGACCGAAGAAGCCAGAGTCTGCTCGACCCACTCTTCCGCTCCGCCATTCGGTGCAACTGGGCTGGCCTTTGCAGAAGAGTCGCCGACCAAGGCCGCGCTGCGCTGCTGCGTCGAAACGAGCGCTGTCAGAGGCAGGCGGGCGCGAGACGTGGACGACGAGTCGCTGGCCACGTCGACACGAATCGGCGACCGTCAGACGGCGCTCGCTCGCAGGCCACGCGCAGGCGAGATCTGCTGGTCCCCAGACGACTCTGGGGTCCCCGAACGTGTCGCAACCACGGCCGTGCATCAGCGCCTGCGCCACAGCCTGTCCCTGGCCTTGGGCGGCGGGTGTGGGACGCTGACTGCCTCCATCCCTCGCGCGCAGGGCCGGCGCTCCGCTGGGGGCGAAACTCGTGGATCAGAGCTGGGCGCAAGAGGGCGAGAGGGTGACGCAGACGCAGGAACGGCAAAGGGGCGATAGGCAACGCAGCGCATCCAATAATCCCGGCTTTCATCCTGTGCAGGCAGGGTGGGCGCCCACACGCTGCGCTAGCCCGATCATCATCAACCCCACAGTGCCAGAGGCCAGCGTCGCTGTTTTCCTGCGCTTCCCGACACCTCTTCCAATCTTTTTCTCGCGCCATCGTCACCGTCGCCGCCCTCCCGACACCTCGCCTTCTCTGCTCCTCGTCTGCCTCTGCTCCGCACCCTGGCGCCGTCCACACGTCACCGCCCCCGGATCACCATCCCGCGCATCGGTCGCACGGCATCAGTCCGCCCATAAATCCAAGCCTCGCCCGCCGCCCACGCCCGCTGCCAGGCTTGGCCATTTTCACATGCTCTCGCAGCTGCTGAACCCCGAGCACCACGCAGAGGTTCAGCAACACTCGACGCCCTCCACCGCCGCGCCCCCGCCAGCGCAGTCGCAACCACCTACCACCACCAACGGAGCGTCCTCGCAGTCGTCGTCGCCCACCCCCATGGCCGGTTCCGTAATGACGATGCCGGCGATGGGCGTCGCCATGCAGAACAACGACGAGCACCGCCCCGACCTCCCGCGCCCGTACAAGTGCCCGTTGTGCGATAAGGCCTTCCACCGTCTCGAACATCAGACGCGCCACATCAGAACGCACACGGGCGAGAAACCACATGCCTGCCAGTTCCCTGGCTGCACGAAGCGCTTCAGCAGATCCGACGAATTGACCCGCCATTCTCGCATTCACAACAACCCCAACTCTCGTCGCGGCAACAAGCAGCATGTCGCCGCAGCCGCGGCAGCAGCAGTGCAAGCGGGCATGTACGACAACAACGCCCTACAGCAGCAGATCAATCAGCTGCACCAGATGAACCAAATGAACCCGCTCAGTCAACTCAACCAGATGAACCAGATGAACGTCCAGATGGGCCAGATCACCCCAATGAGCCATCTCAACCAGTCGACTCCGAGCCAGGTCAACCCCATCATGCCACCGCCCCCACCTCAGCAGCAACAGGTGCCACCTCCTCCACCTGCACAGGCCACGCAGTCGGCCCCCAGCTCGCAACTCAACTCGCCAAACGTTTCACCACCTCACTCGTACGCCTCGACGTACTCGAGTACACCAGGGTCCTACATCACTCGCAATGTGAGCGGCGATATTAGCCCCGCAGCGGGCAATGGGTACAACCACAGACCGATGGACATCAACCTGCTTGCGACTGCTGCGTCTCAGGTTGAGCGCGAGAACAGCACCTCGATTCCCAACCAACATCTCTCGCTACCGTCAAGACATAACTACCCATCGCACCCTTACCATCACCCATACCATACAGGCCGGATGCCGTCATTGTCATCATACCACTACTCGTCGAATCCAACTTCTCAGCCAATGTCAAGATCGCATTCGCATGAAGACGACGACCACCGGCCCGCAAAGAAGTCGAGACCAGGCTCTCCTCAATCAACGGCGCCGCCATCGCCGTCATTCTCTCACGCCTCGGCTTCACCCACCCCAGATCATACCCCACTAGCGACACCGTCGCATTCTCCACGACTTCGACCACAATTCTTCCACAATGGTGTGCAATTACCGACTTTGCACCATCTCTCGCTTGCGCATCAGCCACCACCAGCTCTTGCGCCCGTCGAACCATCAGCTGACGGACATCAGCCTTACGTACCAGCACAGCATAGCGGGCTGAGGATTAGTGAGATTATGGAGGCAGGGGATGGTGCGCAGCGTAAACTGCCAATTCCAATGGTAGCCCCGGCGAAAGAATCGAATTACACCGTCAAGGAGCTGGTCAATCCCGGCAGTGGCGCCAGTAGCGGTCAGAGCAGTGCCCGCCAGAGCGAAGCTGGGAACGACCTTCAGGAGCGACTATAGACCGGACCCTGACAATATACACGGAAGGACAGGACAAGCGACTGATAGACTCTACTTCTGTACTGCAACGACACGGGTAACGGCTGGAGACTTTTGTTGCGAGGACGAATTGTTCGACAAGGGATAACGTCTGCTTTTTGCGTTTTTGTATGCGGCGAGGAGTTTCAGCGAATATAGATAGGACACCGGCGAACAATGGGCGAAATGGGGCAAAGAAATGGGGAAATCAACAACCGCAGGGTCGCGAGACTTGCTCGGGTTTGGGCTGCTTGCTTGCTTCCTTTTCTCGATGAAATAGAATGGCGATGGGGATATTATGGCGACAAATCAGGCTCCCAAGATACCAGCGGTCGGACTTTGGCGACTGGCAATTCTGCTTTTACTACTGCGGCGAATGGAATGCTCTGCTCTCTAGTCTACTGCGCGCACGCCATAGTGGTGGTGCCAAATGAATTTTTGTCACAACCCACACAACCACACCAGCTACATCACATGTCTCTCTTTCTCGCTTTCCGCTTCTTCTCTCCACTTTCTCGCCTACGCGTTCTGCTCCACCCTCTTTCTCCACACGATGGAATCGATGAAAGAAGGGTTTTCGATGTGTTTCACGATTACATGATGCATTTGGTCTTCTATCTCTGACAGACACTACAGTACCGAATCGGCTGATGAGAGGCGTGCATCGCATCGCATTGCATACAGACAATAATAATAAGCATCACGATTACACCAATACAATCGATGTCCTTTCCATTGTCAGCTCATCAGCGAGCGAGCGCTGAGGGCTACGTGTTCGCAATGTTGGTTCCAGCAATGCCATCAAATCATCCAATGGCTCCAACAAAACCCCCATGTCTCCGCCATTTCCCGCCGCGCGTGTGCCTTACATGTGAGAACCGCGGATGCTCGGGCGAAGGCAAAGGCCAAGAGGGAAAAAGCTGGGGTTTGGGATGGGGAGTTCGGGACTCTCGGTCGATGTCCGATGGGAGGATGGGATGGGTTGGGATCTTTGCCGGGTCGCTTGGGTTTGGTTTTGTTGGTTTGGAGATTATGAGCGTGCTTTCGTTGAGGATGAGGATGGGATGGGGAGATTAGTTTCGTTTCTCGTACACTACTATCTATGAAGATAAGGAGAAGGAGAAGTCTTTCCGGTGTCAAACAAAGCCTCGCCGGAAACGCATGCCTTTTCCCACGCATCTCCTCCGCGCCGCTTCCAACTTCCCACCCTTCATCTCCAACCCCGGATTTTCATCACTCCTCGCATGTGCGTGCGTGGGGAAATTCTCCATCTGTATCGTCATCGTTGTTTGAGGTCCTGATCCGCCTCTACCTCATGTCATTCCCCCGTCTCGAGCCCTCCCAGCGGAGAATTATCTGCCGTTCCCACAAACAAAAAATGACGACACCTCCCATTCTCATTCCTCGCAGGTAGCCCAGCCTAGACTCCGTCGCGCAATCCATCGATAAGGGAAGGAACGAGACTACCCACGGATTTCCCTTTCCAGTCCTCCGTCACTCAATCAGTCAGTCCGTCAGTCAGCCTAAGGATTTCTTCCGTCACCGCTAAATCTGCTGCTTCTCCACAAAACCCCAGTTTCCGATCATCGCACACATTGGTGTGAAGAGTACGAGCGAGGTTACGCAGGCTGATAGATTAGCCAATTGTTATTGTTGGACTTGGAACTAGTATGTGTGAGTGTGACTAACTGGCTCTCAACGCTTTTGGTCAATGGACGATGGTGCGATTTCGTGATTCTCAACGGTTTTTTGGTGTTGTTTCTTTCGTACAGGTGTTTCTTCCGCGATGTGGTGTGCGTCATGGGGTCGTGAACGTTGTTCAGCTCGTCACATCAGATTGTTGTTGTTGGTATGATGACTGGTTCGAGAAGACTCCTCAACACCCTAACCAGTCCCATCAGCAACAACTTTCCACATCCACATCTCGCTGCTAGTCCGGGTCGACATTGGTCCACTTCCACCTCCATCATTGAATCTCCACTCTGGCAGAAGCGTGGGGTTTCCCCGGACTTTCTCTATCTGCATCGATACACGAAATGCCAAGCCAGACGTGCATATACGTGTGGAGAGATAAGCGTAATCGAGGTAGAGTTTCTCGGACTTCTGCCGTTCGATCGTCATTGTGTCTTCGTTTCGGTGATGGTCGAGGCGAGAAGCGATCGATGTACGTACCGATAACGACATGGGGGAGATGGTCGCTTGGAAGGCTTTGCCGAGGCGGCGGCTATGTGATGTGGGACGTCATGTTGGAGAAATGAGTGAAGGAAGACCTGAGGTATCGTAGTAACGTCGTTTGGTGAGTGAGATACTGTACAGACAGTAAGAGATTGCTCGTGGTAGTGGGTATAGTGCGCCAGCAAATGCGGTCATATCGCGTCCAAAACGTCAGTCATAAAGCCATTCACTCATCTTGGCAGTCCTCCAGCATTATCTCATCGGATTGAATCGACACCTTCCAAGATCGAACCACAGACACGATCCTCAACGGCTGGCCTTCGATGAAAACCATTGATCACTTCGACTTCCTAATCTTCCTCGGCGTGCCCTGAAGCACCTTCCCACCACTCTCCTTCATTTCCTTCAACGCGTCTGTGGTCATCTTCTGTTTCTTCGCGACAGTATTGTGGCGATCACGAATCTCGTCCTCAAACACCTCTATCTCCTTGCGCTTCTCTCTGCGATTCTCCTTCAGCTTCTCGGTGAGGTCGCCGAATCGCTGCAGAAACCACTCTCCGGCTTCCTCCCAGGTCTCGATATTGAGTGACTCGAAGAAGCGGACCTGGTCTTTGTGTGAAAGCCCACCGACGTAATGTAGCTTCTGAGGCAAGTCTTTCCTCGCCTCGTTCTCGTGGAACCTGAACTCGACGGCCATGGGGTCGGAATCGAACGAGGCCTCCTTGAGTTCTTCGTAAGTCTTGTCATACAATTCCGGTTCGACATAGTCCAAGTCCAGCGTAGATTGTGGTGCAGGCTCTTCATGTCGGACAGGTTCCTGGCGGATCTGTGGTCTACCACGGTTCGCAGCGACAACTTGTTGTTTCCCACCCTGTTGCTGCTCGATATACCCTGTCTGTGCGGCAGGCAGAGCATTCCCACTCTTGCGTCTGTGAACGGTCTTTGCATTCGCGGGCTTGCTCTGAAGTTGAGGTGTATTGGACCTGTGGATTTCTGGAACGTGTCGTGGTTGTCCATCTAGTGCGTTGGCTGGGTCAGGACCTCTTGTAGGTGCGTCTCGGATGGCACTTATGGAACCAGGATTGTTGGGCTGCATACTATTGGGTGCCGGACCGCTTTGTGGCTGCGCACGAGCAGCGTTGTGTTGATCGCGGGGCGCAAGTGGTCTCATTCTTGCATAGTTGAAACTACTACTGATCTCGCTGATCAAGGTGTCGGCATTCGTTGTTAGACCGCCTCGCACAGCCTGCGGCACATCGTCCAGCTGTTGAGGCTGCTGCTGCATTTGTTGTGGAGGCTGATGCTGCTGCTGCCAGCCGTGTGGTGGCTGCTCATTGTTAGGGAGCGCCAGTCTGGTTCCTCGGCTTCGGGTCGGTATCTGCGGCGCGGGTTGAGGAGCATAGTATCCCGTGTGGGCTTGGCCAGTGTCGTTGTTCTGATGACTTGCATTGGCGTCCGAAGGAGTCGTCGGGTCCAAGGTGGATGTGGGATACGTATCGCCCTCCGTGTGAGGAAAGTTACCAGTTCGACGAGCTGTGTTCAATGGCTGGATCTGGGAGTTCTGGAGATGCGCTTCGCGTAGAATTTCTTCACTGTCGTCATCGCCATCAGCGGGACCGTCTGCGTCGGATCCCTCACTGCCAACATCCTCATGAAATCCATCGACGCTTTCTTCCTCTTGCGTCTCTTGGGGATCACGTCTGGTCTGACCTGACATGTTAGAAACTTCAGTGCTGCTGTAGTTAGTGCCATAGAGGTCCGGTCGACCATTGAGCTCATCTTGCTCGTATGAGCCTTTGTGGTCAAGGTCGTGTTTCTGATCTCTGATGGCGGTAGTATTTGCCGGTGCTTCATTCTTCAAGGCCTTGGGATCATACTTGAGTGACTTTTTGACTTCCTCTTTCGAGTGTTGAGTCTTCACTTCATGAGGGTGCTGTTGAGGATTCTGTTTCTTGACGTGGTCTGCCATGCCACGGGTGCGTGCCGCCATGGTTTCGGCTGCGTGTATTGAAACAGCCGCCGTCCTTGTCCTTGGTGTTGGTATGGACACCTCGGAGAAATGGTTGTGGCGAAGTGAAGTCGAGAGTAGGTTTGGGAAGTCGCGCTCGAGCTGGTCAGCGCTTGACGCTAGCGACACGCTAAGATCGCGCTGCACGTGCTCCGTCCGTAATCGGTCTCCGTCCATCCTTAGATAAAGAGACTTGACTTGTCACGCAGTCGCATCGCAATTGTTCTCACTAAAGAGAGTAATACCACGAAGAAGCGATCAGATATGGAGACGTCGACACAGGATCCGCAAGGCATCTTTCGCCTCCCGAATGAAGTAACCCAGACCTCCACCTCCGACCAACTCCTCAACGATCTAACAATTCGTAGATTCTCCTCACAATCTTGAGTACTTTCCCAACAAAAGAGCTCCTTGGATTCGCTCCAGTATGCCATCAGTTCCACTCACTCATCCTCCGTCTCATCCACCACCGACTTCAAATCGCAACGACCATCGATGAACACACCCTCTACCTCGAATGTGGGCCACCGGCGGCGAAGTTGACCACGTCAAAAGTGTTCTGTAAGACGTTGGGGACAGATTGCTTCGAAGAATTGAGCAACGACATCCAAAAGACGGGAGGAAGCGTCGGACAAATCGGCCGGATGGGACAACTCTTCACACGATTTCGTCCAGTGAACAAGGAGCCAGACTTCAGATCCGTGCCTAGACCTCATCCTGCTGGTGATATCCCAGGTTCAAATACGTACATGACACCCGAAGCCCTGGCAGCAGCCTGGAAAGGCGACGGGAACGATACTGTGAGCCGTACCGTGTCCGTAGATGCGTCCTTCCTCTTCTCGCAACTGGAGACATTGGCATATCTTGGTAAACTAGGACCACGAGGACTGCTTGTAAAATATGTCGAAGTATGCGATGGCACAATCCGTGTCTGGCGTGACTGGCTGGCTCGGCAATGTGAATTGAAACGTTGGACGGACGGCGAACCCATTGTGATACATCAGGAGCCCGAAAGTCCGATCAGTAAAGGCAAAGCAAGAGCCGATAGTGTGACAAGTTCGATAGAGCCTAGGAAGGATCCAAATATCCTCTGGGTCAACACGAGAGGTGAAGACGTGGGGATCAAGTTCAGGGTGAAAGAGCAGAAATGGCGACGTGAGAATCCAGTCTTGTTCGCCAGCGAGATCGAAGTTCCTGTGAGCTACAAAGTCGATCTGGAAGGCAAGTGCCATCAAACACGAGTGGCTTGACATCGATTGCTAATGATGACCTGCAGAGATCGTTATTCGAACGACTCATCTACTCCTGAAGCTTGAAGAGTCTGCGAGCCAGATTCTCAACGACACCGGCAAGGCGATGATCTTTGGGTCTTACCTTGGATAACGACCATCGACGGGATCAAAGTTCTATGATGTGATGCTACGATCATGTCCACTTATTCGACGCTGGTCGCGCGCTCTCACGAACGTGATGAATGTACACAGCGGTTTATAACAAGGCTCCGGAAATCGTGGACTCAGCTGCTTCTCGACGTCGGACAATCGATGTGCATCATTGCTACCAGAGCATTCAGGCAAACGAATCTTGGAAAGGCAACAGAGCAATCTGCCCACCCATTGAATCCATTTGTGACGGTCTTTAGTGGACTCTTTGGTGGACTCGTCTGCTCCATGATCACAAGTAAACATGGTCTCAAGGTGGATCTGGCCCAGAGTTTGAGAAGCTCCTCGGACAACATTATACCGAGCCATCAACAGGGAGAGCTCCAAAAATCAACAGCGGGCACATATAAACTCTCCCAAACCCACCTGGTCCGACTTGACCAATCCACCAACAACCCACCATGCCAGAACCCAAACGCATAGCCCAAATCGTCCGCCTTAAACGCGAATCCATACCAGCCTACAAAGAATGCCACGCAGCAGTATGGCCCGCAGTCCTCAAACAAATCAAGGACTGCAACATCAGCGATTACTCCATCTATCTCGACGAGACGTCGTTGACGTTGTTCGCCAGCATGAAATATACTGGAAGTGACTTCGAGGGAGATATGGAGAAGATGAAGGCCAACCCGGAGGTGCAGAGGTGGTGGGCTATGACGGACGGGATGCAGGAGAGTTTTGTAGAGGGTAGTACGGGGAGTATGGATCCCAGGGGATGGTGGAGGGAGTTGGAGGAGGTGTTTAGATGTGAGTGAGATATAACAGACGGGACGGAAATGTGTTCGAGTCGCAGGGCACAGAACCTTTCGTTGTATAATGGGTATCAAATCCGCGGCTCCAGGGCCTCTATTGTATTGCTCTCTGAGAGGCATCTATAGTATCTGTAAGGCCAAGACGATATTCCGACTTCACGTTCTGTATGATCGCCATCCATCTTTCTCCGCCTCAGAGTTCGCCTTCTCTTCCACCTTCATCAGCTCAAAGCCTATCCACATGTCAGAGAACCTGCACCCCAACCCCTTTCTCAAACTTGCCGATATTTCTTACTTTCCCTTCGCCCTCCCCGCATTCTCAATCGCGGTATCCCCATCAACAAGCACACACCACCCCTCCCCGCCAACCGTCCCCTCATCAAACCCCCCAATCGCCGCCCCAGGGAAATTCTCCAGAGCATATTTCATCTCCTTATCCGCGTACGTCCCGGGCTGCAACCACACCGCGCTTATCCCACTCTCCTTCGCCTCCTCCAGCAGCTTCGCCGTCACCGGCGGGGGCGTGATCACCGACAGAGCTGTGTCTTTCGGATTGGGCACTTTGGAGGGCGAGGCGACGGTGTTGTAGTCTTTGCCGCGCACGGAGATGGTGCTGCTGGCGGGGTTGAGCGGGATCGCGGGGAGGGAGTGGTCGAGGTACCAGGCGAAGATCTTGTGGCCGAATTTGGCGGGGTTGGAGGAGGCGCCGGCGACGGCGAAGGTGGATGCGGAGAAGAATTTGGCGGCGGCGGCGCGCATGTCAGTGGACTGGGTAGACATTCTTGCGTTTCAGGGGACGGAGAGGAGGGGAGGGGGAGGTGTTGGGGTTTATTTGTGCTGTCAACAAGAGCACGTCATTTCTAGATACCGCGGCTTCGAGGTGATGGGCACGACTATTCATAACCTTCTCCTGTTCACACACGCTACACCTATCACCAGATGAGTGAGCAACCCTCAGACGAGATGCCTCCCTTCCCAGGCCGAACGATCATGTTCGGTCCCTTCAATGTCACATCCCAAGTACCCAGACACCAATCCCTCCCAGCCAACACCACCAGCTAAGAACACGAATTGGTAGGTCTTCCACACAACACCCCATTCCTTCGCGCTCGTAAACCTCAAACCGCTCCTACCGGGCCACATACTCGTCTCACCGCTCCGCGTAAAAGCCCGCCTCAGCGACTTGACCCAAGACGAAATCGCCGACCTCTTCCTCACCGTGACGAGGATTCAGAAAACGCTCGAGAGAGTCTACAAAGCGGACGCGTTCAACGTCGCGGTGCAGGATGGTGAGGCGGCGGGTCAGACGGTTCCGCATGTGCATTGCCATGTGATTCCGAGGACGAAGGGGGATCCTGGGGGAGGGGATAAGGTGCATGAGTGGTTGGAGGGGGAGGAGGGGGATGTTGGGAGGCATCAGAGGGAGTGGCCGAGGGATGAGGATAGGAAACCCAGGGGGAAGGAGGAGATGGAGAGGGAGGCGAGGTGGTTGAGGGAGGAGTTGGAGAAGGATCGTGAGGGTGCGAATTTGTGAGGTGTGGTTGGGGGCACGAGAAGAATCGATGTGTTGCGAACGGCCATGTCCAGCACATTACAGCCTCTATGGAGAAGGACAATGCCATGTCAGGAAACGAACATCCATCTTCATTTACATTCGACGTCTCCCAACCACAGTAATGGCGCCATGGAACCGCCCACAAATCGAATGCTTGACGCTGGAAGCAAGATTCGCTACATGTCCCAGGGATGATCTGTCCGCGCGTACAGATGTTCGAATTCCAGCTTTGACTGCAAGAAACACCGGAAAAATGTACATAAATCAAACGCAACCGACGTTCCTGAGCTTTACATTCTGTGGTTCGACAGCGCTGATGGCTCGAAAGTTGATTACCATCCAGCTCACTGGCACCTCCTCACCTACGGCGAAGGTCGAACTATCATCAACTGCTCGAAACAGCTGTTCATACTCAACATGCTCTCGCAAGAAATTTGTCGACCAGAAACATTTCGCAGCTTTAAAAATGAGACGTTTCCCACACCCGTTTCCCTCAAGCAAGTCCATCCGTACTCACCACCGCAGCGATGAAGGCTCCTACCACCCTCGCTCTCGCAGCCCTCTTGGGCTCGAAAGCGGCTCTTGCTGCGCCAACGCTACATGCAGACGACTACGAGAAGAAAGTGATGTTGGCGAACGCCTACATGATCGAGCAGCGGGAAGGCCTGTGCCTCGAGTGGCGAGTCGAACCGAACGACAGGACCTGGCTGCAGGACACCGTCAAGGGCGGCAAGAAGTACTGGCCCACGATGCAGGCGCGATGCAATTCCTTCCAGATGGAGCAGGGTCCCCGTGACGGCGTGAGTGGTTTTCTCGTTACCCTTCTATCCGATCGTACGTACTGACATGTGTGGCAAAAGGAATACATCGTCTATCCCGCCTCAGGCACGCCTGAAAGCTGCGGCAACTGGCAGGTCAAGGTTCAGAACAACTACGTCTCGCCCATCTGCATGGACGACGCCTCTCGCATGGACATGGAAGACCCAGCGCCCGACCTCAACGACGAACTCCCCGTGAACGTGGATTGGCATGAGCCCCTTTCCAACAACGGCTCCGACCCCGAGCAGCCTAGCATGCAAATCCTCGCGACCGCCTGGCAGGCTGGAGAACCGTACAAGGAGTGTGCGGCCTGGAAGGTCGTTCATCGTGGTTTCGATGGTGTCGCATTTGCGGCTGGCATCGCTCCTGAGTGCTGGAAGTGGAAGGACAGCGCCGAGAAGTTGAACGTAAGTGTATCCTTTTGCTACCTGCTCGGGGCGTCTAGCTGACTCGAATCTCCTCCAGAACTACACGATCATCGCCGGCAAGTTCGGGGCGACTTGCACCTCGTCAAAAGGCTACATCACTCGTCTCGACGGCCACGTTGCTTACGCTCAGTGCGCTTCGACTCCGGACGTCGGCTTCGACAACTCCACTACGGTTTACCCTGACCCGCATGGGCCCGAAGACGGAGGCGAAATCGAAGACGAAGACAAATTCGCAAAGAAGCTTCGCCGTCGCCAGCAGCAACCTTCTGGCCCCGATGTGACCTTCGTGGACCAGGAATGGGTTTCCCGTCATGAGTATTTCCAGAGTTCCGAGTCGTACTGCACCGAATGGGTCATTTCTCATGCCGCAGGCCACAACGATATTCTGATCCCATCATGCCACCACTGGATCGAGGGAGAAATCAACTCCTACTATGTAAGCCCCATCTCCCATCCACCTCCCCCAACAACAAACCCCTCCACTAACAAGACATCTCCAATCACAGCACTACCTCGTCTTCACCGCCCAAGTCTCCGGCGAATGCAAGTCCAACTGGGCCGTCAAAGTCGACGGCCCGGACGTCTGGCCTTACTGTCCCGCCGGCAAAGGCAACGCCAAGGCGACCGGACCCCCCTTCGCTCCTCCCCCCCACCGACCCCAAGAAGTCCTCCGAGCCCAGCATCACGTACGTTCAAGATGACGATGTGCATTTCCCCGGCAACCCGGCGTGCAAGGCGTGGACCATCGATTCCCTCAATGGCACCCGCAAGGTGCTGGTCCCGAGATGTATTGAGCAGGAGGTTGTGTTGGATGCTCCTGAGGTATGGACTCACGTTCCCCTTCCCGATGTAGCGAACCTTTACTGACGGACTGTGTGTGTACAGTACTACACCGTCGCCACGGCCCTCGTCGAAGGCGACTGCCACACGCAATGGGTCGCCAAAACCGCCGGCAACCGCGTCTACCCCGTCTGCGCCTCGGGCAACCAGAAAGCCGACGACGTGAGTGAGATGCCAGAGGAGAAGCACGCCGCCAACGACGATGGCCTCTGTGGTCGCGCGGACAAGCTCACGCCCGAGGAGTTCGGCGCCCTGACTCAGGAGCAGAAGGCCACTGTCCTTTGGTGCAAGGAGGGGCCGCGTCTCCTCGTTGAGGCGGTCTTCAATATGACGCATCATCATGAGTAGGAGGCGAGTGGGCGTGTTGGTAAGTAGTCTTTTGACGGCGAAGTTACATGAGGAGAATACTGAGTTTGAACAGGTTGTCAGTAAGCCGAAACCCATGACAATCTTGCCTGTTTCGATTGTTCAGAATGAATGCTTTTGGGAGCAAGGACGCTGTTTGAGCAGCGTGCCCAGAGAGTCTGACGAGTTTACTGCTAGGCCGACTCTGTCTGTGCCTGCGCCTGCGCACGTGCTAGGTAGTGGCGGCGATTGGAGTATCAGGAGTAATACAGAAAGTCTTGAATTCGTTGCCCTAGTCTCATCGTGCGTGCATGCCCGCGAGACTTCGCGCGGTCTCCCAACTTGCGGTCCTCGAGCCTGATATACAGCATCCGCTCATAGTCCTGCCCAAAACAGCTCCTGGCAGAGTCCCATACACTCCCTCTGAACGCCTCGCCTATGCCCAAGCCCAAGCATCCCTCAATACGCCAGTATCCACACAACCCCATCCCTCATCCCTCGTCCATCTCTCTCACTCAATTCGCCAAAATCATCTTCACCATATCCATATAATTCAGCTCCCCACTACTCGTATCCACGGCCTTGAGCAACTCATCCACCTCATCATCGCTCATCTTCTCGCCCAGGTTCGTCAGGATATAGCGGAACTGCCCCACGCCGATGAAGCCCGTCAGGTCCTTGTCGAAGACCTGGAAGCCGCGGCAGTACTCCTCGGGCTCGCCGGGGTCGCGGAAGCCGTTGGGGCGGTTGAGCACGCGCGTGAAGGAGTCGAAGTCGACTGTTCGCAGACAACAGATACACAGGTTAGTAAAGGCTGGTCTGGTGTTTGTTGGGGGGGGGGGGGGGGTTTCTTGGTATTAGGCGGCACGTACACTCTCCACCGACCTGATGCTCGAGGTCCTTGATCTCCGCGAGGGTTGGGTTCTGGCCGCAGGCGCGCAGCAGGTCGCCGAGCGAGACGAGCTGGACGCGGCCGGTGCCGCGCTTGTCGAAGAGGGAGAAGGCTTCCTTGAAGTTGGTGGATTGCGCCTGGTGGTCCGCCATGATCGCGTTAGTGACTGGACTCCGATATTGAGGGAGAGGGTGTAGTGTTTGTAAGGAAGGAGGGAGGTGTTGCTTATGGGTGGTGTGTGACGGGGTGCCCTCGAGTTGTTGACTTTTCGGCGCGGGCCAATAGGAGAGTGGGGGTTCAGTCACGTACCATTGTAAAGGAGCTGCTTCGTATGGGGTTCGGGTTTGCGGTGTTTCTTCTTGCTTGGATCGAATGTTCTTTTTGGATGCGGCGGTGTTGTTCAACAATGTTGCTTGTGCGGGCAGGAGATGCAGTCCGTGAAGCGGCCGTCGTAGTGGTAAATCAGGAGGGCGCCCTGGCCGCTTGCATGCCCGTGTCGCGTTTCTATGGAAACGTCGCCTGCGCCAAGACTTCTGTCGACTGGCTGAGATCATGTATTCACTTCAGTCACTACTGCTATGAAATACCATGGCAGATACTTCTTGCAATGAAATGCCCACCTACTTTCACTTCTGTCATTGCGTAGTGAAACGAACAGTCATAATGGATGAGAATCTTTGAGCATTACTTCGAGTTGCGAAATCACTTCGTTGCGCTTTACGACTCGATATATGGCGATCGAGATGACCTACCTTGGTGGTTACCTTGAACTTGCCCAAGACGTCTCATCCCGTTGCGAGCAGCTGTTGCAACCTATTCGAGCGGCGGTCCTCGGCTTGGACTCTTCAAGATATGGGAGACGGACAGCGACCTCACGCGTCCGTCCTGGAAGCAACGACGAGCATGCGAAGTGACCTCGAGTCTTCACCTGAAAGACCTCCACTGCACCTCAGTCCTTCGCTCACGAGACATCTCTCGCAACTGACCATCCCAGACCCACGACGTCAACTGGCGGCGAGAAATTTCCGTCTTGCATTCTGCACGAATACATGTGACGGACATGTTCGGCAGCTCGCTCTGCATACCAGCTGTAAGATGGGAGTCGCAGCCGCAACTGATCTCGGTTTCTTGGCTGCGTGCAAGATAGCTGATCGATAGCATCCAGAACCACAGTCTTGGGGTATGTCTATGCGATGACGTTGCTTCGCAACCGACGCTGGCCTGACATGTGTCCACGTCCAGGTCGCACGACATAGCCTGCACGATCGAGGCCTGCGGATTCATGGTCGGTGTTGTCTCATAGCAGAGCTAAGACAATGGCTGGCATCGCCGGTGGCTGATTCGACTATTCTGGTCTGACAGCGCGCGTGGAAGCCATTCGAATAGCCTCGCCGTCGTCGGCTTCACATGCCTACTCGGAGTTTCTTTGTTGTTGCCAGTGAGGCGTGCTTCCATGTTCTTCGAGACCGCTGCATGGTGTTGTGTTTCGTCGGTTGCTCCTCGTCTTTTCGGAATGTCGTTGCGAAAGGTTACCTAGACATCAAAGCCCTAGACATCAAAGCAGTAGTGATGACAACAAGCATTCTTCATCAAACGCATTGGAAATGTAAGCACTCTCTCGCTCCTGTACCTACCGCATTGAGAGCCGGTCGGTATCAGCTCAGCACGCGCCGGAGCCGTCTCCATATCCGACTCCGGCCGGTCGGTTAAGGAGTGAGGGCCGAGTACATGCGAGCCGTACCTTGACTCTTCACACGCCACCTCGGTGTATTCCATCTCAAGGCGAGACACGACCAGGCATCCCACACAGCACTGCCTCCATGCCCAGCAGCAAAAGCATCTGAGTCTCCCTACCAGTGGCGAGCCAGTGTCGCTGGTCGCCTCTGCTGATGTGGATGACCATGCGTAGGACTCGAAAGCGAAGGAGGGTATACACAACCCTTTCCATCAACCAGCATGCCGGCTTCGTCCTATTTGCGAAACAGCTCATGATCTATGCCACACTTATAGGCCGATTGGAGGCCAAGTCTGATGCCCAGCGGTTGCCTATTGGAGGCTGAGTCCGGTTACGTGGGCTGCACCTCGTTAGTGAAGGCATCTTGTAAGCTCTGCCCGCGTGTCGTGGTGCTGTCGGAGGTGTAGTAGACTGAGGAGCGAGGGCGGCGAATAGGATATCACGAGATTCGCTATTCGTGCGATCCTTTGCAGGAGAAAGGTCAGGTGAAGCGTTGCTGGCGGATGGTGCGTTTCAAGCTCAAGCTGCGAGCTTGCTGCACGTCTTCCAGGACAATCACGTGTCAAAGGATGTCACGAAAAGTTAGACAGAAGCCTGGTGAAGTCAGTCGGTGCCGAGATGCGGTATGACCTGGGAATTCCATGCAAGTTCTGACATGCAGCACATCTCCGGCGGTTGACGTTTCTGCTTGAATGGGTAATATGAGATATTGAGCCAAGCAAGCTCTGGTGGCTCGAAGGTCTCGTGACGAAGTCGAAAGAGAGGAGTCGGTATGGGTACGAGGCGAGCCATTGGTGCGCGTGTTGAAAAATAGGTGCACCAAGGCATCACGGCGCATAGGCGCTGGCGAAGCGGTTACACTGCAGTTGACAGGCACTGCATTGAGCGCATGTGCGGTTCATTGCAACAGGACCAGTTCGCATTGACTTCTGTTCATACCTTCGATGAGGCAATTCGAGGCGTTGTTGAGGCGGTTGTGAGGCAGCGAGGCAGTTGAAAAGGCGGCCTCTTGAATGAATCGTCTTCAGGGAGGATCGGGCCGTATCTCGCACGTCCTGCGAACAGCGATCCGCACTGGAGGAAGAGCAGAAGCACACGTGTGGGGTGAAGTATCGCCGATGATTGCAGCGATGGCATGCAGGGAGTTCCCAGAAGGATATCAGTGTCGCCGGTCTGCCTCAACGGTGCCGGAAGGGATAGCCTGTTAATATCGAGTGCGTAGAGTTGCTGTGAACGTGTTTGCAAAGCCTCATAGGGTGACGTCGGCGGTCGGTGTGGCATTGATGCGTTTCATTGCGTGGTAGAAAAGTAGGATGTTGGCGGAGCGCGCTGAGTACCCGGACGAGCCTGGCTCCGGTTGATGGAACGGATACAGCTGCCACGAGAATGTCTCGGACGACGATCACGTTGGAGATGTAGCCGACTTGCGGCGCTCAGCGCGCTGTGGTCGGCGTGCAGCGCGACAGCTGATACTCGCAAAAAGCGTGTTGAGGCCAAAGGTGTGGACGGCGGAGGAGGAGGGCGACGCGGAGTGATTCGTTGGTGGCATCGGGATCTGCCATGCCATCGGCGCGACAGGCGTGCGGCGATGAGTTGGTGTCCGGGATGATAGGCTCGACGCGCCTGCCGCTTGGACGTTGCTGCAGGTGAATGAATGCTCGCCAATCGTCTCGCAGCGCAGGCAGGCCAGTGCCTTCTGCTCCGGCCATCCCAGCACTGCGCTCAGAACCCCAGCGGCATCCCATGGCCCTCTGCGCTGCGCGACTGCGGCTTGGTAACAACGCTCGACCATCCGCCTGACACCGTACCTCCCAGTTCTTCTGCCTCGTTCTCGTCGCCGTCTGATATTTGCCTCCGACACCCGCGGGATGCCCTCCAACATGGCGCCTTCTTCACCACAGCAGAGTCGCGGCCGTCAGTGATATTAGCCGGCTGCTGCACCGCCGTCGCCGCCAGCTCTTCCACCACACACCCATTACACCGCGCAACCACGGGGCCAGGATCTTCTGTCACGCGGATCATCTTGCATCGTTCTGCAGAGAAGCTGTTGTGCGCTGCGACACACGTGGATACGCGACGACATCTGGACCCATTGCGAGCAGATCAGATCAGGGCTAGCGAACAGCGGTAGACGCCATATCAACCGCCCGCGAGCCTCACTTCACCTCACCTCTCAGTCGCCATGGCCCTTCACCAGCTGCACCACCGCCGCGAGTTCAGTGACATGCGAAATGCCTACGGCAGCGACGGATCATTCCATTCCGACCGGGACAGCGACCGCTCATACCAACGATCTCAGTCAAGTAGTGACAAGTCCTATTCCACACAACCAACCATCTATTCGACAGCTTCCTCCAAACGACCTCCACGAGTTCACTACAACACATGCGATCATGAATACGAGTCCCCACCCCGATACTTTGCCGACAGACCACCGCAACAGAGTCCAAGGGCATCGGTAGAGACGTATGCATCGACCGTACCCAGTGAGGAGGACCTCCCACAAGAGTTGCCTGAGTATGAGGTTCCAGAATACACTGCTCGGCCCTACGAGTCACATGCCATTCCTGCGACGCCTTCAGATTTCTCTGAACTGTTCCCATCGCATCGTAGATTGTCAATACGGCACGATGACTCGACACTGGATGGCAACATGAACCTTCGCGTCGATACCGAAGTGACTATGCACGGAGGTCGCCGGTGTGACATGACTCTCTTCCACCTCAGAATGCACGATTTGAAGGACAGAGAGTTCTCGCTTCGACGGTATTGCAGAGATTCTGGTCGCGAGGTCTGTCATTCAGCCCGAAAGCCACAAAAACAGTCAGAACCGAAGAGACCTGGGTTTCAACGGTCTCTGAGCAACGCGTTGAGCAGTATGCGGAGCAAATCCGAGCACAAGACCCCAACATTGGCGGCACTCAAGCGAAACGATTCAGGCTATGCTTCAGCACACTCGTCCATCGACTTTGACCGTGATGACCGTCCAAACACGCATCACGGTGCTCCAAAACCTGAGCAGCCCATCGATCCAAACTCGGTAAAGCTTGAGTTCTCAAACTATGCCCAGGTAGATCTGAGGCGAACGGGAACGAAGGGTAGCAAAAGGTACGACTTTGAGTACTGGGGGACTCACTACTCTTGGAAGAGGGTTGTGCGCAAGGACAGTCAGACCAAGGATGTGTCGTACCACCTTGTGAAGACTGGCCACGAACGAGTGCTCGCTTACATCATGCCTTCGCCACTCACGCTTTCGCAGGCAGAGGAGGAGCAGAACAAAGGCGGATGGGTTCCACCGTGTTCGATGTGGGTTGCAGATGAGAGCATTGTTCGTGGCCAGAAAGATGTCGCTGAGTGAGTATTACCTGACGATCACCGGTGTGACCACAATCTGATATGAGCTACAGCGTCGTTATTGCAACCGGTCTGATGGCGCTCGTGGACGACGCAATCAAGACACGCTTCCACTCGCAAGACTCCAAATCCATGCTGATTCCAAAGCTGGGAGTGGAGTACGTCGGACCCAAGCGACTCATCAACGAAATGTTCAAGCGTGAGGGAAGCGGTCAGCACAGTCGGCAGTCATCAAGCAGCCGGCCGTCCAGCAGTACCGGCCCATCGAGTGCAACTGGCGCACGAGTGACGTCCGGTGCGGTTAGACAGGCCAGTGGTGACCGATGACAGTAAAACTCGGCTTGATCCGGCCCGATGGTCTCAAGAAGTCCCGTGCAGTGGCACGATGCGACACACCACCTCTGGCGGTGAGAGCTTCGCTGGTAGTACAGCCGTTTGTCAATTCAATACCGATCGAAAGAAAACGACGATTTAGCGAGAGCGGTCAAGTTCAGCATGACAACGTGACCGCTCACCTGCGTTGCACCAAGGCTTCATGCACCTGGCCGTCGGGAACGTTGAGCCTCTTGCAACGACATGGCACTGGAGTTTGTTGTTTGGAATTGAGCAGCGTCGAACAGCACGCATAGCATTGCAGATGCATAGCGGGTGGAGCATGACTGTGTCAGGGCGGATAGCATTGAGAATTCATCATCAGCGAAACTTGAAACTTGTTTGCGCGTTTGAACGTGACTGACGGGAAGGGGAGGATGTTTCGAATAGGGGGGGAAAGGTATGCGAGGCTGGGGGCATTTTTGATTACACACACTTTCCGGTCTGTATCATCGAAACGACGGGGTTTGCATGATGAGTAGGAATGAAGAATGGTGTCTCCCACGCAAAACTTGTCCACCAACCACCACCCATCTAGGCTAGCATCGGTAGTTCTGAAGGAGGAGGCGAATATCCCACGCCTTTGGGCTTGAAGCTTTGATCTAGCTTGCGGCCTCCACATCACAAGCAGAGCAATCAACCACACGCTGGTGGGCTCGCCTTCGAAGGAGCCCACAATCCTTGCTGCAGCTTGCATACAAGCCCAACACCGACGGTGCTGGCTGTCTCTGCTCTGCTCTGCTCTGCTTCTGTTGTGTCTGCTGGCACCCGTCGGCTGGCCCGTTTGTCGACAGTACATGTGCAGCGGCCGGGACTGTCAAAAACTGTAGGAACCCGAAGCAGTACCAGACGGGAAGTCCAGGAAGTTTTTGTTTGATTGTGTAACATTAGCCATTTCAGAAAATTAAAAAAAATTAAGGCAAACACGACACTCCCAATTTCCTACCCGCCTCACAAGGTCACAGGTCCTTTTACGAAGAAAAAAAGGGATGCACACACAGTGAGACCCGTCCATCTCGCAGCGCCCGCACAAGTTTGCTGGCTGGATCCAACGACGAACGCACAAGTGGAGCTGGTGCTGGGCCTGCGAGTAGTTGCAGCAACAGATGTGTCGTGCCCACTGCATTGATTCTACTGCAGCTCTGGACGTCATCCGCTGCGTGCTAGCTCCCATTTCCTGTGACTTGACTTGCCTATTCTCTCGACGGGCTGCCGGGGCTTTGGGCTCCTGTGCTTTTCGCTTTCGACCAAGCCGCTTCGACACGTCACGCAGTAGTTCAATGCATCCGACCACCACCACGCCAACGTCCTCTGTCTGTCTGGCTGTCTGGCTGTCTGGCTCTGCCGCTTGCACGTCGTTGGAGGCTTCTTGCATGAACCCTCCCTGGCCCTGCTGGCGCGGATGCAAGACGCCGAGGTGCAAATGGGATGTGGACTCCGGACTGGAGCGATCGATTGGGGATCTTCACGGCTGCCTCTCTTCATGCCTTGAATATGCGTGTCGAACGAAACGGCGCGATGCCCATTGCCGGCCTGAGGTTCGTCCACGTAGGCGTTTCCCGGAGGAGGAGGAGGAGGGGGGGTTCATGTGTTCCTTCGTGCGAGTACTACAACACATCATAGATGTGGATGGATTTGATCAGTGATTGAGTGAGTGATGCATTTCGTCTCGGTTCGGCCCCAGGCATGATGGTGCGCGCCGATCCACTGGAGCCAGCCTACTGCAAACGTGCATGAGAGGTGTGAGCCCATCCTCCATCGTTGCAAAAGCACGGGGTGGGCGGGTAAGGGTCTTCGTTGGTGTTGTTGCGAATGGCTACCCCGTAACCTTACGCTTCGAAAACGGACGGCTGTTTCCCCTTGTTCATCATCAATTAAGTGGGTGTGGCATTTGCTGCTTGCCGTTGTGTGTGCGTGTTCGGCAATCTTTCAAGCAAATCATACCAAACGACGGCCCTTCCTTTTCCCACTTCCCACTCACTCTCCACCACACCTGGGCTTGCTGCGCTTGTCGCTCACCTCTCACGGTTTGAAGGGTGCTCGCAGGTGTGCCCGTCTGACAGCTGTCTTGTGGTGGTTGAAGGGTACGGGAGCATGCTTGCTCTCTCGCAATCGCCCGCCACGTCGTTCGGTCTAACATCAGAGGGAAAACGCAGACGGACGGATAGACGAGAGGGGGGACAAGGCAGGGCCACCAGGTAGCTGGCTGACTGACTGACCGATTGACTGCCCTGTCGGGATATAAAGAGTCTCCATTGCCTTGGAGGCACAGCCAGCAGCTCTTGTTGAGAAATCGGAAGGAAGAAGCACCAGCAGCCAGCAGCCAGCACGACAACACAAAAAGAGACGTATCCTGCGGCTTTAAAGTCGAAACTATCTTGCGTCCTTGATACCCAATTCGCAAGCCCTTGCTTTTTGCTTGCCAGCTGCCAGCGACCTACCTATATTCGGCCTCCTTGTTGTTCCTTTTTCCTATTACAGTCGACACACGCACACACCTTTTGACCTCGTTGCAAGCTCGCCGTCGCCGACATGTCTTCAACTGGTTCCGGTCCTTCACCACCCAATGCCCATGGCGCGGCTCCATCCCCAAACCAGACCAAGCTGATCGGTATGTCCGAGCTTCATCATCGTCAATTGCAACAATGCTAACGTGGAACCTCGCCAGACTTCTGTCGTACCCACGGCTATCGCGCCCCCAACTTTCAGGTCGTCTCCGACCGTCGTGGTAAGTCCTGCACTTCACCATCCATATCTCTCCATCCACTGACACTCCATCCCAGGCGGTCGCACAGCCTGGAGCTGCATGGTCACGATCCAAGGCACCCAGATCCCCGCTCGATTCTGGTACGATGGCCAGTACGTCAACAACGCCAAAGAGGACGCCGCCGAGAAGGCCCTCCAGATGCTCGGCGTCGTCCCATCGCCTCCAGGTCCTCAGGTCCGCCAGCCTCAGCCTGGCCAGATGTACGGCGCCGTCAATAGCCAGTAGACCGCGATCCTCGATCTCGACAGACGAGCTGGCAGATCAGCTCACACACACACACATGAGCGTTTCTCTTTCGGTTTTCCTTTTGAAATTGGATGAATCGGGCGGTACTTGGGTCTTGTGTGTAGGATAGCATTTGGCTGACCATTCTGGAGGCTTTTGGGACGGGATTGGGATGGATGGAGGCCATTGTCGCGAATTGGTGTTGGAGAGAAACTTCTAGCAGGAATGCTTGCTCGACGAGCTAGGGACTGGCGGCTGGGACACACAGGACACACAGGTTTGGGGCATTGGCAGACAGCGAATGGGTTTCATCTTGATGGTGGTGGTCGAGCTTCTCTTTGGGTCAATTGGGATGGTCAGCGGGGGCATAGCGAAAGGACGGGTCTCCAGACAGGCATTCGGCGAATGGGTATCAAATTGTCATCTTGGTCGCTTTCCATTTCTTCTGATCTTGCTCCTGTGTAACGTGACAAGGTCTAGACGGCGGTGTTTGTTTTGCTCCTGAATCTGAACCGTTGCCAAGAGAAGCAGCGGCCTCCTCCGACGGCCTCAGGCACACCTCAGACTTCGCCGACCACAAAAGCCGGCGGGCCAGAATCTCCACCAGGCCAACACCCAAGCCAGCGAACGCCGCGCCCAGCTCTTACTCGATTGTTTTTTGCGCCCCAGAGGTCCTTATCAGATACACATACACCCTAACCTCGCTGATCGCCGCTTCTTCGCCATGCCTGTTGATGATACCCAGTAGGCGGTTCGGGAGCCTCCATCGAGTGGACCACGCCGTGAACCATTGGAGTACGAAATTATAAAGCGTATGCTCTATCGTGACGATGCACACGTTCTTGGTTGTTCAGCAGCGTCGCACCCAATCTCTTCTAGTCTCCGCCATTGGAGTAACTTGACATCTCACTTCAGCTTCCCCGTCGTCGGTCGTCCTTCTGAGCCACCGCTGCAAGTATTCCTGGCTTGGTCGATCTTGAGAAACGAGGCAGAGTGACACCCATTCTTACACTGGACTCCACCCCGACCTCGAGTAACAGTTCATGTGCTGGTGCTACAACCGACCCCACGACTGGAGAAGCCGACAAACAATTGCGTAGGCCACTTCTTCGCGACTCGATCAAGTCAAAGCCGTCATACGGCACCGCCTCAGCCAGCATGTCTTCCTCCACAGACTACGTAAAAGACGATCATCCAGATCAGATCGTCGCCTCCAATGGCACGCGCAAAGAGACCTGGGCGGCCAAGGGTCGTGACTTCGTCAAGGCATTCACTACGAGAGATGGACTGGTCGGCACATACGACTATGCATTCCTCTTCACCCCGAAGCTGCCTTTCATGAAGAGAGAGCGACGAGCAGCGCCATTCTTCGGTCTCAACGACCGCATGCCGGTCTTGCTGGCCCTTTTGCTTGGATTTCAGCACGCTCTGGCTATGCTTGCGGGTATCATCACACCGCCAATCATTCTCTCCGGCGCGGCGAACTTGGGTGGTGACCTTCAATCGTATCTCGTGAGCACGGCGCTCATCGTGTGTGGATGTCTCTCGGCTATCCAGATCACTCGATTCCATATCTGGAAGTCTCCCTACTACATCGGCACTGGCTTGATCTCCGTTGTTGGAGTATCTTTCAGCACCATTCCTGTGGCTACTGGTGCGCTCAGTCAGATGTACGAACGCGGAGTGTGCCCTACCGACGCCGATGGGAATCAACTCCCTTGCCCTCATGGTTATGGTATGATCATCGCGACTCAATGCTGCTGCGCATTGCTGCAAGTCGCGCTGTCCTTTGTGCCTCCGAAGATCTTGAAGAGAGTATTCCCACCCCTCGTTACTGGTCCGACCGTTCTCCTCATCGGCGCAAAGCTCATCGAGACTGGATTTCAGAACTGGGCTGGTGGATCTGGTGACTGTCAATCGCGACCAGAGACTGGTCTTTACAGGCTCTGCCCAACAATAAACGCTCCGCATCCCCTGCCTTGGGGAAGTGCCGAGTTCGTTGGTCTCGGCTTCCTGGTCTTTGTCACTATCATTCTATGCGAGAGATTCGGTGCTCCAATCATGAAGAGTTGCTCTGTCGTCCTGGGCCTTCTCATGGGATGCATCGTTGCAGCGGCTTGCGGGTACTTCGACAAGTCTGGAATCGATGCAGCACCGGTGGCAAGCTTCATCTGGGTGCATACGTTCCCATTGAAGGTATACGGTCCACTGGTTCTACCTCTCCTGGCCGTTTACATCGTCACAACTATGGAGACCATTGGAGATGTCACCGCCACTTGCGATGTTTCCCGCCTGCAAGTAGATGGTGCACTGTTCGACAGTCGCATTCAGGGAGGTGTGTTGGCGGACGGACTCAACGGTATCCTGGCCGGTCTTTGCACCATCACGCCCATGTCGACTTTCGCCCAGAACAACGGTGTCATTGCGCTCACACGGTGCGCGAATCGAAAGGCTGGATATGCCTGTTGCATCTGGCTCATAATTATGGGCGTCTTCGCAAAATTCGCGGCGGCTTTGGTCAGCATCCCAAGTGCTGTCCTAGGTGGAATGACAACCTTCCTCTTCGCTGCGGTAGCAAGCTCCGGTATCCGCATCATCTCGACCATGCCCTTCACCCGCCGCAACAGATTCATCCTGACCGCCTCTCTGGCCGTCGGTCTCGGCGCCACTCTCGTCCCCACCTGGTTCAACTACGTCTTCACCTACAGCGGCGACAACCACGCTCTGATCGGCTTCTTCAACGCCATCGAGCTGGTCATGGAGACGGGATTCGCCGTTACGGGTGTATTGGCTCTCATCCTCAACTTGATCTTGCCTGAGGAGGATGAGGATGAAGATGTCCCTGAATTGACTGCGAATACGGCTGATGATAACGATGATCGGGAGGAGTGGGATCGCATCAATGTTTCGAAGGTTGCGAAGGATGATGAGAATGTGAGGGGTTGAAAAGTTGGTTTCGGGGTTTTATGATGATGGTTCTCGGTATATATACCCTTTGATCTAGTTGTATATGAAGTACATGAATGAAGATATGATCTCGACTTCTCTTCTCTTTTCTTCCATCTGAACTGATCTGGTCGTCGGATGTACTGTTCTGACGAAGTTCCTCTGCTGTTGAGTTGGCTAGGCCTCAACGAGGGTACAGTGGCACTCTCTAAAAATGGGAAAGAGGGTCGACCATGCTCCTCCCTCGCGGGTGGCTCGTGAGTGAATGTTCGGCTCTCCCGAAACAGCAACCCGCCGGAGCTGGCTTCTGGAACGATTTCCCCTCGTCGACCTTTCGCAACGCCCCTCACATTGAGCACCGCCAGTCAAATAAGAGCTCGAATGGTGGATTGTTCGCGTAAGTCTTTCTTGTGAGCCTCTCTTACGTCCCTTCTCCTTCCATATCAGTCCCTCCAGCAGAAGAAACCTGGGTATCTTGAACGCACCGAACGGTCTGGTCTGTTGACCTTGATCGTTGTCTGTTTACCTCCCCTAGCATTGCACTGAAAAGAGAAAGAACACCCTCACCATGGCCACCGAAACAGCCACCAAACCCCCTCCCGCAAAGGAAACCTTCCACTTCATCAACGCCCCCTCCGACGCCATCAACGAAGCCTGCCACGGCCTCACAATCCTCAACCCGACCCTCTCCTACAACCCCTCCTACAAAATCCTCTACCGCGCCGACCTCCCCTCCTTCGCGACCTCGCACGTCACGACCATCGGCTTCGCCGGCGGCGGCCACGAGCCCATGTTCGGCGGCTTCGTCGGCGCGAACTACCTCTCCGCGTACGTCTCCGGCAACATCTTCGCGTCGCCGACCGCCGCGCAGATCTTCGAGGCGATCAAGCTCTGCCAGCCGCAAGATGGGAGCACGAAGAGCAAAGGCACGCTGGTCGTGTGCGGGAACTACACGGGGGATATTCTGAACGCCGGGCTGGCGATCACGAGGGCGCAGGCCGCGGGGTATAAAGTGCACTTCACGCCCGTGGGGGATGATGTCGCTGTGGGCAGGAAGAAAGGCGGCAAGGTCGGACGGAGGGGCCTCAGTGGGCATCTTGTGGCGCTGAAGAGTGCGTGTGCGTTGGCGGAGAGGGGGGAGAGCCTTGAGAGGGTGGCGGGGGTTATGGAGTATGTCGCGGGGAATGTGGGGACGATTGGGGTGGCTTTTGATCGGTATGTTCTTTCTTCATGGTGTGGTATAGGGGGAAGATGTGTTGGAGCTGATGTGTGATCTCTAGGGTGGCTCTGCCGAATGCTACATTGACGGATTTGCAGACGCTTCCGCCAGCTACCATCGAGTTGGGGATGGGAGCGCATGGAGAGCCTGGTTTGCAGCAGATTTCGCCAATACCCTCACCGGAGGCGTTGGTTTCGCAGATGCTGGATTTGCTCCTGGACATCTCGGACAGTGACCGGGCTTTTATCCCGTTCTCGAAATCGTCACATCCTACCAGCGATAATGAAGTCGTCCTTTTATTGAACAGCTTGGGCTCTACTTCGGACGAAGTCCTGGCACGGTTCGCTGAACTGGCAAAGAACGAATTGGAGAAACGAGGGTTTGTGGTTAGGAGACTGACGTTGGGCCCCCTTGTTACCAGCTTGAAGATGAGCGGCTTTGGTATTACGGTTTGGAGACTGCCTCCAGAGAGCGGCGAGGCTCTGGATCGAAAGCAGGCTGTGGAATTGTGGGACTCTCCTGTTGATGTCGTTGCTTGGAGGCAGTAATAATACTAGCTCTCACAACATTCCAAAACTTTGACACCCTGCAACCCACCCTTCGTCATTCGTCCTCCGTTCTTCAAGCCTGCTAAGTATGCTTCTCCAAGATCTTCTCTACCATGCCTCTGCAAATCGGGTGGTAGAAGTCCTTGTTCTTCTCAAACGTCTTCTTCGCCAGAGCCAGATCGCACTTGATCAATTCCCGGAACAGCGGCCTCACGAACTTCATGCGTCCGACTTGTCCTAGCAACTCCGCAGTGGGCTGGTACACGCTCTCGGTGCGTGACTTGAGCCCGATGACGAAGTATCTGCTCACCAGCTCCACGTTCTTTGACTTCGCGAACCCGTATTCTTCGCCCATGAGTTCGACCAACTTCGGAGACAGCGGCTTCGAAAAGGTCTGGATCCTCTCGAGCAAGACAACGCTTTGGTTGGCGGTGAAGTGCTCGACATCTGTCTTTGAAGGTTGGAATCCGCTGTTCTTGCCCTCGTTCAGCGACTCCCACTTTTCGGCCAGATCGTAGCACATATCCGCCAGCTCTGTATCGAAGTTGGGTTTTGGTGGGAAGCCGGCGGTGTAGAACCACTTGTCCCAGTCCACCTCGCTCAGCTTCTTCGATGCTGCTTCGTCTCCTTCGAAAAACGACAGCAGTGTCGCCTTGAATTCGTAGCTGTCGACCGAACGCTCCTTGAATTCCGTGAAGTAGTGCGGGATGAACTTGTCCCACTTCTTGATGCCAACCAATTTCTCGAGGTAGTACAGGAAGTTGAAGCCCTTCTCATATGGCACGCTCGAAAAAGCGTCGTCCGGATCCTTGCCCTTGAGGTCAGGGATCAATTTGGTAAACTCATGGTCTTCGCCAAACTGCTCAATGCTGTCGGACAAAGCCTTCCAGCCGATGATGGCAGAGAAATCACGATGCTTGTCACCGCCGTGGATCGCGGCCTGCAATCGACGCTCGAGGTAGGTGGTCCATCCTTCATTCAGCCAGAAGTGTTCCCAGCTGGCACAGCTCACGAGATTACCCGACCACGAATGGCTCAGCTCGTGCGCAATGACATCGACATTCTGACGGTCACCAGAGACGACTGTGGGTGTTGCAAAAGTGTAGACGGGATTTTCCATTCCACCATAAGGAAAAGAAGGAGGAAGCACTAGTACATTGTAAGTCGTCCAGGCGTAGGGGTAAACGATCTTTTCGGCAGCCTGGATGTAGGCTTCGGTGTCCTTCTCAAATTCCCACTGACTTGCTTGCAATTCCTCTGGGCCAGTCCAGACTGTCGAACGCGGGCCAATGGATGCTGAAGCGAGATCACCGCTGGCGAGAGCGAACAAATACGATGGCATCGGAACCTTCTGGTAGAAAGTGTAAAGCAGAGTTCCTGGCTGGCCATCCTTACCTGGCAGGAAGTCTTTCGCGCCCGTGGGGAGACCTGATGCAAGGACTGGCAATGTAGATCGAATGTTGAATTGGTATGTCGACTTCACATCAGGAGTGTCTTGGCAGGGAAAGAGTGATCGTGCGTGGATAGCCTGGCATTGAGAGAACATGTACGGGTGCTTCTTGTTGCTCGTTTGAGCTGGAGTGAGCCATTGCAAGGCCGTGCAGTCTTTGGTCGTTTGGACTCCAATGCGAACGGTAAGGTTTGGCGAAGCAGCCTCGAGTTGCTTCGAGTTGACACTGATCGTCAGAGGGCTACCATATGGCTCTGTTCGCTTCGAAGCCAGGTCCCACGGTGCTTCGTCTCCTTCAATGTCTACGCCAACGATCTCGAGATGGCTGGTGTCGAGAATGATCTTGTTGTCTCCCTTGGCGAGCTTTTCCAAGGTGAGGTGGACAATACCAGTCAGGCGTTTGGCATCGAAGTCGACATCAAAGTCTGCAACAGTGTGCTTCGTCCTCCAGGCATTGTAATTCGAAAGTGTGTTGGGATCTCGCACAGGATGGATGTTTTCTGCTGCCTCTTTCGCAACAGACTCTGGAGCGGGCCTAATAGCCATTATGGTGAATGCCTTGGAATTAGAAGGTGGCTTTGAAGAAGAGGTGAATGGAGAGCGAATGAAGGAGGCAAAAGACGATCCAAAGGCTCTCCTGCCAAAACCGAACAGCGTGCTCATGTAGCTGCAGTTTAAACACACAAGCTCCTGCCTCGTACGGAGTTCGTGAAAAGCTTAAAGGCTGACAAGTGAAGGAGCTGGTGGGGTTTCCGGTGGGGTTGCAATGGGCAAGCCGTCTGTGCCGTTATGTAAGTCAGTTGGCCGTGGTGATCTTGTTCGGAACGAAGCACGTGAGGTCGATAGAGGCTGGCGATGCGGCCCGTGCGCTCGGCTTGTTTTGACGTCGCGACTCCATCGGCATCCCACGCGTCAGCAGTTGTCTCCCACCTCGCACCACATCACTACAACACCACCGCCGACCGCCGATGCGCTGAACACGAACAAAATCCGACGAAATGGCTCGACCGCGCAATGCGCCGTCTTCAGCGCTTCCTGCTACCAATGCGCCGAAGACTAGACAGGCTTTGAAAGAGAAGACGAATACCGCGCCCCCAGTCTACAGCGATGCGGAACACCTCGTAAAAGATGCCAAACCGAAGAGAGGACGACCGAAGAACGCGCAACAGAGCTCGGACGAACTGGTTATGGGAGGCGGCCTGGGACAGCGAGATGATGCCGAGGACACGATCGAAGTGGCAGTGGTGTCGAAACCGAAAAGAGGAAGACCTCAAAAGGCGCAACCGTCTTCGGACGAGCTGGTGATAAGCCGTGCTGTCAATGAGGACGACTATGCGACTGCGCAGCCCACGAGTCAGCCTGCGACTACCACCGATGAGCTCGCAAAGAGCGACAATGCACCGCAGCCCATGGCCAAAGCGACCCGACGACCAGCACGTACGGCGCGCAAAGTTGTCCACAATGAAGCCCAGAACAAAGTCTTGGAAGGTCTGAAACAGCGTATGGAAGCGACAGCGCGCGGCCAGAAGGGCAAGCAAGCTGCAGCGCCGCCAGTGTCAGATCCTGTACCGGCTTCATCTGACACCCTGATAGCGGCCAAAGGAGCACCATCCAAGGCAGCTGAAGGCAATGCAGAGCGACCTGACTTTTCGCTGTCGCCGTCTCCACCGCCACCAGGAAAGCTCAGTTCTGTAAGAGGGCCGCGCTCGTCAATTGCGCAACCGGGATCTGTCTTGCGAGCTCAAGCCACGCCGGCGATCGAAAGCAGTCTTTTGGCATTGAGGAACTTCAAACGACGACCACGACAGCCGAGCATGCTTCAAATGGTTCAACAACGAACTGCAAGCGCGGCGCCTTCCGTCGCACATACAACAATCGAGACCACCGCCGTTGAAGACTCCAGCATATTTGACCTGGACATGTCTAACGAGGAGGAAGACGACTTTGCACCGGAAGCTGAGGGCACTCCTCTTGTCAAATCAAATCGAAGATCGTCTGTCAGTGCGCATGGGTCGACGAGATCCAAGACGGCGGCATCGAGGACTAGTAGACCCTCTAGAAAACGGAAATCTGATGATGTCGAGGATTCCGTTGTGTCCTCCAAGTCGGCCAAGAGGAGCAAGTCCAAAAAGTCGAATGAGCAAGAGGACATGGTCGCACCAGTGACACAAGTTCCTGCTACACAGACACCGACTGATGATGCTGATGAACCGCAACCGGCACCTCCGTCCGAGATTCACGTCGAGGATTCCTTTTCCATGTCGATGCCAGCAGCAGAGCCACCTTCTCCGAGCGAGCAAGCTTCGGAGAATGACGATGACCTTCTTGTGCCCTCGACCGAACCAGACAAGCAAACAAATGATGACTTTCAAGACGAGGACGATGCTGTTCCAAATGGTATCATGGCAGAGCCACTTAGTAGCAGCCCGCCACCTGTGGACCTCCGGAACGACGATGTCCTCGCCGAGCCCCTCACCCAAGCATCGCCGCCACCGGCCAAGAAGACTTCGAGAGCGAAGACCAAGCCAGTGTTGACCGCGACCCTGCAATCTCTACTACCGAAAAGACGGCAACCCCTTAGACAACGACATCGCAAGAGCGAGTACGACTTCGAGAGTGATGATTACGAAGGCGACACCGCCCTAGACGCCAGCCACCTCGATAACGACGAGGATGAGCTCGGCGGCAGGCTACGACGCCAGACGAAGACGGCACCGAAAAGCAGTAAAGCACAGAGAGGGCGACCAGGCAGAGCCGCAACTGCAACATCGAAGAAAGCCGCGGCCCGAAAACCCTCGACTGCGCCAACCACGAACAAGAAGTCGAATGTGAAAACATACGGTCGACAAGCCACAGCTTCAGACAAGGAAAACGACGACTACGAATCCGGCGGCGAGGCCGAGGAGGAGGAGGAAGGAGACTTCACCCTGCCAGAGGTATCAATGTCCATGGAAGAGGTGGCGACGAGCAAGGAAATCGAAGCGGCGAAGAAGAAGTTTGCGGAGGTGGACGAGTGGGATTTCGAGTTTGAGAGTATGAGCGCGGAGAATCATAGGAGTTCGAGTCCCGCGTGGAGGTAGTCGGTGTTAGTTAGCTCTGTTTGCCCCTGCCTGTTCGTCTTGGACGAGGGAAATGGAGATGGAGATGAAGATGGAGTATTACCTATGAATTCATGAAGAAAGATAGGACATGAAGGGAGTTTCTGTGATGTGGAAATGTACTGCTACTACTCGATTAAACAGACAAACGCATCGCTATCAAACTAAAAAGTCCGCACAAATACAAGGGTGTGGGTGGGTGATGAGTTCGCTGCAGTGAAGCAGCGTTCGCCTTTTTGCCAATTTCTTTCTCTCGCTCTCTTTCGCAGCAACAAGAAGACACACAACAACACTAGACGCCCGCCTGCTGCATATCAATCATCATCGCGTTCGTCGCTATAGTACGCTCTTCTTATCCTCCGCAATTACTTCTTGCCGTACGCCGCATCGATCTCCTTCTTGTACTTGTCCGTCAAGCCCTTGCGGTTGAGCTTCTGAGCGGATGTGACGAGACCCTGGAATCACAAATTAGCATGCATGAACACGAGGAGGAAGGGATGTTTTTCTTGAACTCACATTCTCCGGCGTCCAAGCCTCATCCGCCAGAACCACACCCTCGATGATCTCAAAGCCGGACAGGCCGCCCTTCTTACCAGCGGCCTGCATCTCCTTGAGCACGAGATCGTTGACCTTCTTGTCGCTGCAGAGATCCTCGAGACCGTTGCCGGAAATGCCGTTGTCGTTTGCGAGCTGCTTGAGCGCGGGCTCCGCGGGGACGACGATGGCGATTGGCTTGTTTTGATCCTGGGCAGCGTAAACGCAGATGTTGCCTACCACGTGGCAGGATCGGTAGACCGACTCGAGCTTCTCAAGCGCGATGTACTCGCCGTTGAGTGTCTTGACCAAGTTCTTCTTGCGGTCGATGATTCGAAGCTCGCCTCTCTGGTTGAATTCGCCGATATCACCAGTCTTGAACCAGCCATCTTCGAACGACTCCTTGTTCTCCTTCTCCAGATCAAGATATCCTGCAGTGACGGAATCTCCACGGATCCAGATCTCACCCTGGGGTGGAGTGTTCGTGGAGTAGTAGCCGGCATCAGGGAAGTCCACCAGCTTGACTTCGACTGCACCCGTGACCTCACCGAGTGATTCATCAGTCCACGACAGTGGATCCATGAGAGCACCCATGGCTGAAGTCTCGGTCAAACCATAACCAGAGATCATCGGCGCAATGCACATGGAGATGAATCGCTGTGTCTCTTTGGCCACAGGACCACCGCCGTTCATGCAAATGCGCAGTCTGCCACCAGTCGCCTCGGCGACCTTCTTGAACACCACGTTGTCCACGATGCTCGTGCCGATATGGGAACCTGGCAGGTAGCTTGAGTTGTTCATCATGAAGTTCTTCGCGGTCATGGCTCCCCAGAACATGTTCCTAGAAATCGGATTGAGTTTAGCGACCTTGGCCTGGATACCCTTCTTGACAGTCTCCCAAACGGCAGGCACCCCGACCAAAATCGTTGGCTTGAATTCCGCGATATCACCCTTGCAGTTCTTCATCGACGCGTCGGAGATGGTCTTTGGGTTGCCATAACCCATAGTACCACCCCAGTACAGACATGCTGATTCGAACACAAATTCGAGGATATGTGCCAGTGGAAGGTAGGTGAGCAGGCCATCGCCAGGGCCAAGGTATGGGCCGACAATAACGTCGACACCAGAAATCGCAGCAACCACGTTCTTGTGCGTCAAGAGCACGCCCTTTGGTGTGCCGGTGGATCCGGAGGTGTACATGATACAGCACAAATCTTCTGGACTTGGCGGGGTAGGTTCAACCTTGTTCTCTTCGCCGAGTTTGACCAATTCGCTAAAGCTTCGAATGGTCAGGTGAGGATGCGCCTCCTTGAGCTTCGCGATATCCGATTCGAGCTTCTTAGGGTCGGCGTTGGAGGTGGGAGCATCGTCGTCGTTGTAGACAACGTGCTGGATGTCTTTGGCTTCTTTGAGAGGGTTGATGAGCTTCGTGATGAGATGCGGATCGAGGAAGATGGCCTTGGCGTTGGTCTGGAGCAGGGAGTGTTTCAGGCCTTCCTCACCCAAAGTGTCGTAAGCGGTGACGATGGCCAACGACTGGCTGTGAACACCGTGTGCAGTGGCGAGCCAGTATGGATGAGTAGCAGCGAAGATGTGAACGCGGTCTTTCTTGGGCTCAAGACCCAATGCGCGGTATCCGGCGCCAACTTTGAGGGCGAGCTGCTCATACTCACTGAAAGAGTAGTATTCGTAGCCTGACAGCTCGTAGTATGTCCACTTTTTGTCCACTTCCTGCTCCTTGCCATCGATGACCTTCTTGACCTTCTTGTTCTCCTCGTGCAGTCGTATGAGCTTCCGCTTGCCCAGGGCCTTTGCGTTGCCGTACTTCTGGCTCGATCGTCGTAGGATGTCGTAGATGGTGTTGACGCCAGGCTCAGGTGTTGATTTGAGGGCGTCCTTGGTGCGAATGTTGCGTCGTATGGCGGTCTCGCCTTCCTTCTTCTCACTGACCTCGACGGTGAAGGGCGGGCGCTTGTAGTTCCTCGGCTGAGGCACCAAGGTCTTGAGGTCTTTGCGGCTCATTGCGTCGCCCATTGCTGCGGTATTGTGGGGGTGTCTCGGGGTATCAGGGGTGTGTGTAGTCGTGAAAGCGTGTCGAGGAGTGAGGGTATCAAAGGACATGCACGGGGGCAGAGTCGGGTGGGTGAACAGAAGTGTTGAGGCGTGTGATGGTCAGAAAGAAGAGCAGCGCTACGTCACCCGCTATGGCTGGGCCAATTTTGCCAAGGCTTGTGAGGTCTGGGGAAAGCTCCCAACTGCTTCGAGCCAGACTAACAGGATATATATTCCTCTTTCTTTGCTACACCATCGCCAAATACATGACACTGAGATTGCTACCTGCTTCCAGACAATTGCACGACTACGGCCGACTGCCACACGACCTGGAGGCTTGACTGGCAAACGAAGGCCACGCTGGACGGCACATTCTAAGGTTCCAGGGTCTCATGCGCCAGCCTCCGCCTCATGACCTCGACACTCGTCCGCACTCGCGTCTTTGTTCGCTGAAGGATTCCTATACACATTGCCTTCGTTTCTTCCTCGAGCACGAGAACGAGAGCGACTGAATATCAACAAGTCGCAAGGCTTGCAATACTCTCGTTGTGGGAGCAGAGACACTGTCCCTCCCTCCATGTTCTCACGGCGGAGCTACGGGTGTTGCCACTCCGCGGCCTGCCTGGCAACGTGGACGTAGCGCTTTGCCTGGCGAAAGTTACTTCAGCGAGCCACTCGAGCGCCTATGAATGCTCAGCAACCACATTATCATCACTCTTGAAGACGACGTTGGCTCAGCCTGTCTTCGTAACGCCGCGGAATTGGCATCAAGATGGAAGGCTTGGTGGCCAAGCTTGGAGACGAGATCACCGACGTCGACGAAGGTTGGCTGCCATAGGACCTCTGAACGACGCAGTCACCGCTGACTGAGATGTCCAGAGACTTTCGACCTGTTCTCCCAGACCCTGCCGTCTCACGATCTGGGTATGATCGATGGCAAAGCCGACACAATCGAGCTTACCATCGCTGGCCATGATTTCGGGGTCAAACAGTCGCCTGGTGTTTTGCAATCAAATCGAGCGGGAGGGACGACTGGTGCCGCGATCTGGCAAGTCTCTGTGCGCTTTGCTGAGTGGATGGGATGGTCGAAGAATCCGTTGTTCCAGCACGAAGTCTTGAGCAACGATTCCACTGTCCTTGAACTCGGAGCTGGCATCTCTGGGTTCCTGCCGTGCCTGATCAGTCCTAAAGTCCGCAAAGTGGCTGTCACTGACCAAAATTATGTGCTCAAAGCAACACAGGAGAATGTTGCAGCCAATATCAAGCCCGTCAAACGTCAGCACAAGACGAAAGCAAAGACCACTTCTGTCACCGACTCGTTGTCACACACAAATGTCGACGTCTTTGCTCTTGACTGGGAGAACGATGATGTACATAGCACCCTATCATCTCATGGATTGCCCCGTGGAGTCGATCTTGTCCTGGCTTGCGACTGCATCTTCAACTATGCACTCATTGATCCATTCGTCCAAACATGTGTGGATGTCTGCAAGATGCGGCCGAGCGATGGAAAAGAGGAATCGATGACTGCCACGGTCTGTGTGATTGCTCAACAACTTCGACAGCCAGAAGTGTTCGAACAATGGCTCGAAACTTTCCTCCGATCTTTCCGTGCATGGGGAATGCCAGACGAGCTACTCACCGACGACATCAAGTCTGATAGTGGATTCGTTGTGCATATCGGCGTCTTGAAGGCGGGCACCTAGATATGTGGGAACAGTTACTCCCTCACCGAACCAGCAATTGACGACGAATCACCTTGCTATGGTGGCCGCAAGACAAGGATCTCATACCGAGCAACTGTCGCTCAACGTCAGAGTTACAGCAAATATACTCTGCGCACCGTTCAGCCACGCCTGAAAGACCTCATCCTGGTTGCTCGCAGAAAGCTTTCTTCAGGTGTGGAGGTTGATCTTCATGCACCGGTGAAGTTCAGCGTACGGTATGTATCAATTTCTTGTTTCTTTTGTGACCCGAGTACTGCGTTTATGATGATCTCGACACGAATTTTAGTCCTATCATATCGTGCAGGACAGAAATCAAAGGCCTGTCTGATCGCTCGACATTACTCCAAAACGTCCAGATGACTTCTTCCCCCACGATCGCTAACAAGCACAGCAGTCCATCTCTCTCGGCGGACAGACACGGGATCTTGGTATCGGCAAGTGCGCTTCCTGTGTACGGCATAGGTGGCCCAGCTAATGTGGCCATAGCCCAATCATACTGGTCTTGCATTCCTATTGAACGACTAACGGTCGAATCCGCGGGTATGGCTCATATGGTGGCGGTGAGGCCGCCTGTTGCTCATCGGACATGAGCCTTCGCAAGGACCTACGTGCACCAACAACGACGTGGGAAGTCAACGCCGTTGGAGAACGCCTCAGCACTGCTATGGCGTATCCTCCTAGCTGAGGCTGTCGCTGGATGACGCCGTGTTGATAGCGCTGACAGCGCACACGGGCAAGACGGCACAACTCACGCAAATGCTTATCCAACAAGTCTTCCTTCTCGTGTTGAAGGCGGGACAGCATCGTGATGCCAAAGGGGCGTGCAATATACATAGACGGGAATAGCATTAGCCTTGGGCCTTCACGCCTCAGGCAAACAATTCATCAAGTCCACGTACAAAAAGACGAGGCGAGTTTAACCTTGCATCTGCAGCACTTCGCTCCGCCGGGTAGGCGCTTCGACTTCCCACAGGCAGACACAGCTACCCAGAGCTGTTGTTAGTTGCAGCTTGTACAGGTGTCGTCCTGGTACTGGTTCACCTATTGCCCCCAGTGCTAGACACTGCACTCTCGAACGTTTTGCGAATAGCTAAGAAGTCCACTGCTGGTGGCCTCTGTATGGATGCCCGACGAGGCTGTCTTTGCCAAGCACAGACGAAGACTTTGGTGGAGTGGGATGCCAGCGATGCGTGGGTGTTATGTAGTCAATGGCCACGAGAGGTGACGCCGTACAGGAGCGTGAGCATGTTTGTTGTCGTCGCCTCGTCATTATTTGTTGCAGTGGCACGGGATCTGGGTCTCGTTGGAAGGTTTGTCTGTCGTTCTCCGAAGTTGCTTCCCGTCGGGTACCTAGATTTTAGTGATCCCGTTGGCATGGGTGGGGGAGGTTGAGGAAAGGCAATATTGCAATTTCTAGAAGAAGAGAACATGAAGATGATCTTGAGCAGAAGGACTCTCTGTCAATCATGAATGCCATTCGTTGTTGAGGAAGAGGGATGTGTCGAGCTGAAGAGAAATAGGCCGATTCTTACCCGAAGCCGGACGGGGTTGGATGCTTGCTTGGGTGAGTGAGTGGTGTTGCACGCCCCACCCACTGTTGTCACCTCACTTGGGCGCATTGCATGTGGGCGATTACGGTCGCTGCGAACTGACGGGCGAGGGTGTGAGCGAGAGCAGCTGTCACTCTCGAGGGAGACAGCACGGTACTTGTTGTTGGTCTCTGCTCTAGCGTTCGTTGGCTGAAGACACTGCACGTCTGCGCCTCCTTCGACACACCGCTCGCTCACTCCCCATACATGTACATCACGCGATTGCAACCCCCCTGTGCCGGCCAGACAACTCACCAGCAGAGACACTTGTCGCCGTCTCCCTGACAACCCATTGAACTGGTTCCTCACATGCGACTCGCGGGACATCGGGAATCACCTCACTCCGCCCATCCCTCAGCTTCACCAGCGTCTCACGAACCTCTCTCACCCAGACCGGTCGCGCCCGCATGATCCATGGCTCGTTGCAGACGGAGTTCCACTACACCTCGTCCGTCGTCGCACAAGGTCGTACTCGGCGCCATAATATAGCACCAGCCTGTGGCACAGCTTCCAGCCCATTGCTACGCCGCGAGAACCAATTCGCAGAGAGGCGCAAACGGTCTTCGTGGATTGCAGACAGAAGTACATCCCTCTTCGTCGATTGATTGAGGGAGGGCCTCTGCTCGATTACTCAACGACCCGTGACTCGATCGAATCATGCCGCACCTCTTCTCCTTCAGCCATAATCACAATGCGAACGATGGAGATGCTTCGCTGCAACAGCAAGAGATGGGTGGTGGCGCGGAGGACTTGGCTCACCATAAGCGGTTGAGACGGGGCTCGTTGATTAAGAATGCGCTGAGTTCGCTCAAGAGACATCACGGGGAGGGAAACGATCCAGCGGCATTGCCGGCCACGGCGCCTACAGAGCTGGCTGATATCGCAGAGTACTTTCCTTCGCAGAGACGTCCTAGCCTGCCTGAGGCTGTCTCGTCGAGAAGGGCTATACCGTCTCTGCCTCGACCACAGACGTTCCGTAGGAGGGAGTCTGAGAAGAGGGAGAAGTTGCTTGAGGTTCAGCCCAGTCCCAGCGAGAAGAGAACGTTGAGCGCGGATCGTCGACGAAGTCGTGGTGCGAGTACGAGTCGTCCTGGTCGCCCGTCATCACCGAGACCTGTGCCGGTCCCTTCCGTTTCTGCTCCTAGTGTTACGCAGTCGAATGACTGCGACCCTGTCTCTTCAAGTCAGAGCATACCCGATAATACCAGCTCCTCCCCAAAGCAATCGAGAAAGGACCTCCCGCTACTGGAAATTCCCGACACGATTGATCAGAGTCCACTTCTAGATGAGGACGGAGAAGACATCGACAGCGCCATCGACAAGACGTCCCTACAAGAAGAGTTCGAACGTCGATGGATCCTCAACCTGAGCATGCACTTCCGAGATAAGTCCAACCGAGAAAAGTTCTTCGTGACCTACGCCGAGAGACCGAATCAATGGCGACGCATAACGATATCGCTCGACTATCGTGACGCGCCCGAGGATTCCCTCGAAGCCGATCTTTCCACTTTGCATTTCCAGCGCGACAAGAGCATGCGCATCTACGAAGCGATTCGAGAGTCTTTGCCTGACATTCAGTACTATGATACCGTCACTAACCTCAAGCTCGAGACGACGCCCGAGGATGGACAATTGCATGTCCATGTGCGCGAAGATGCGAATGAGATCATCTCATATCCGCCCATTTCACTCTTCAACCACGTGCAATGCCCGCGGTTCAATGAGAATGCCCTCGATTTCGATTCTCACCTTTCTGGCTTCGTGTACAAAGTTCGACTTGGCGGGCGGGTGGTCATCAAGAAGGAGATTCCTGGGCCCGATACGGTGGATGAGTTTCTTTATGAAGTCAATGCTCTCGATGCTCTTCTCGGGACGCACAATGTCGTTCAGCTGGAAGGACTCGTCACTGATGATCGAGGCGAGCTCGTCAAGGGCTTGCTCATTTCGTATGCTTCGCAGGGCGCTCTCGTGGATATGATCTATGATTTCAGGGGCACGTCACAACTACCTTGGCATCGACGGGAGAAGTGGGCGAAGCAGATTGTAAATGGTCTCGCAGATGTGCATGAGGCAGGCTTTGTGCAGGGCGATTTCACTCTGTCGAATATTGTCATTGACGAGGATGACAATGCGCAGATTATCGATATCAACCGTCGGGGCTGTCCTGTGGGTTGGGAGCCTCCTGAGTTGGGGAGGTTGATTGACAGTGGCCAGCGCATTGGCATGTGCATCGGGGTCAAGACGGATCTGTTCCAGCTTGGGATGGTGCTGTGGGCGCTCGCGGAGGAGGTCGATGAGCCTGAACGGGTGGAGCGACCGCTACCAGATGTCTTTGACGACATTCCTCAGTACTTCCGCGATATGGTCAAGAAGTGTCTCAGCGCACAACCGCAAGGACGAGTGGGAGCGAAACAACTGCTCGGTCTCTTCCCTGAGAATGCTGGCCTGCCCCCGTCCTCTTCACGCCCGTCTGTGGACTTCCAGCACGACATGCAAGTCTCCGACCACAGCGAAGCGACCACGCATCGTTCTGCAAAGGAGTACATCGACCCCGAACTGGCAATGACCATCGATGAAGTCAAAGATTGCCGACGAGGAGAAGCTGGCCCCTCGCAGTACAACTCCGATCAAGTCACCTACGTCAACCCCGACTCGAATCCCGCATCCAGCACCTATCGCTTCGAGAGCTCAGGCTCTTGGGTGATTGGCAGACGAAGTCGTGGGCGTTCGCCCGTCTCGAGCAGACGACGCAGGAGCTCGCCATATGGCAGGACTGCTTCGAGCGCGACGTCGCTTTCGGAACAGTCGCCTTCTGGGCGTGTCGAAAGGCGGTGTTCTGCTACTGAAGGCGCCTCTGAAGATGCCGTCCATTCGGGCGAAACTTCCCCAGCCGCCTTCTACGAACGAAGGCCTCCCTCCCCTCTTACAGACAAACGCCTCACAAACATCCAAGCCTCCGCAACGAACCCCACGGATCTCACGCACACCGACTCCGGCTTCGACGAAATGATGGACTCAGATTTCGATCTGGATCGTTCGCACTTGACCGAGACGGAGACGCCACGGGTGGAGAGGAGGAAAATCTACGTTCCGGAAGACGACGATGAGAGTAGTCGAGAGGATGTCGAGGAGCCGAGGAGGATGTCGCCGTTGAGGAGGGAGGAGAGGAGGATTCAGGTGGGTACGGGTCAGGATCAGGGTCAGAATGAAGCTTTTGTGGGAGGGGAAGAGGAGAAGAGTGGTGGTGGTGGTGAAGATGCATAACGAGCGAGGGATTCTTACGATGTGACGACAGGGATGATGTTTGCATGCCGGTTGATATTGGACAGGACGGCACTTTGGAGTTTTTTGAGGCTGGCTTTTTGGGCCGGTGGATAGGGGAGGATGGTCACTTTCGGAGGGGTTTTGTATGAGAGGTGTAGTAGTAGTAGTAGGGAGTAGTCTTTGGGCTGCTTCGAACTTTTCTTTGTGGATAGTTCTTTTTGAGGATATTCATAATCTTTTGAAGACTTGTTCTTGGTCGGTCGTTGTCGCTTCTTGTTTCCCCACTACTCGTTTTACAGCTCGTCGGGCGTATAGTGGGCTTCTGGTCTTTCTTCTGCACCTTGTCACCCTGCCGATGACTCTCTCAGCCCCATTATCCGCTTGTAGAGATGTCGTGTCCGTCGTTTCTTCTAACCCATGGCAAAGCCTCTCTTCAACCCATAATCTCGCAGTCCTCTTCCCAGCCCTTTCTCGAAAGTGATCCTCGTCCCTTGCCCTCACTCAATCCGTCGCCCCATACCTCTGCCTATACTCCTCCATCCTCTGCACCTCCTCCCCCCTTCCCAACTTCCTCATCCCCTCCACAATATCCTCCAACGTCAAGACCGCCAAAACAGGCACCCCCGTCTCCGTCCTCACCTCCCCAATCGTACTACCCCTCACGCTCCCATCGTCCCCCTCGCCCCGCTTCTCACTCTCACTCGGCATCTTCTCCTGCCTGTCAATCGCCACGATAATCCCCACGAGCTTCCCACCCTGCGACGCGATAATGCTGATGGCCTCGCGGATCGCGGTCCCGGCCGTCATCACATCGTCGATGATCACCACCCTCTTCCCCCTGATGTCCTCCCCGACCATCAACCCCCCTTCCCCGTGATCTTTCACCTCCTTCCGATTAAACGTATACCCGACCTCGCCCCACCGCCCCTCGTCCAGCCCCGCGAGCTTCTCCGCCGTCGTCGCCGCGAGCGGGATGCCTTTGTACGCGGGGCCGAACAGCACGTCGAAGTCGAAGGACGGGTTTTGTTGGGCGTGGGCGTGTAGGGTTTGGGCGTAGGCGGTGGAGATGGCGCGGATTAGGCGCGCTTTGGAGAAGAGGCCGCAGTTGACGAAGTAGGGCGAGATGCGGTGCGATTTTAGTTTGTAGGTGCCGAAGGTGAGGATGTTGGAGGTCAGGGAGAGGGAGATGAGGGACGTTTTCCAGTCTGGGAGGGGGGCGGTCGTGGACATGCTGGGTGGTGCTGTGGTGGTTTGGTGTGGTGAGGTTGTTTGGTTTGTGGTGGGTGAAAGATTTTTGGTTTGGATTGGAATTGGTGAGATTTGATGGAGGGGTCAATGGCAGAATTGATGAGGGGCAGTTTGTTTGGGCGGTGAAGGTCTACGGTGGGCTGGATTGGCGTTCGCCAAGAATTCAACGACTTCAACAGACTAGTTAGAAAGCTGAGCATGGTCGCCTCGCGGACGGAGAGCTACATACTCTTCTCATTTGCGAGCAGTCCTCGTTAGCGGCCATTTTTTGGCGCAGAACAGGATTGCCACAGCCAGGATGATTTCCAGCCCAAAGAACATGGTCGCCATCTCATACCCAATCTTGAAATGAGGAGCCTGGCCAGTGTCGTACACAAACAGCGGCACCCAAGCTTGGAAAGTGAAAGCCGCCGTCTCCACCACTCCGATGATGATAGCACGATGCTCGGCCGAGTGCGAGCATATTTCCTGGAGCCAGGCGATGATTAAGGCTCCCGCGCCCGTCTCGCAGAAAGTGAGCAGCCAGCCGGTCATCATAGCTGGGATGTTGTTCGCAGGCCAGACCGACAGGATTATCGTCCCCGTCATGGCGACCACGCAGGCAGCCACAATCAAAGGCCAACGACGACCGATCGCGTCAGAGACCCACGCGTATATCAGCGTGAAGCAAATCTGCATGCCGTATCCCGCCGACGGGATCACATTGACTTCTTCTGACGTCCAGCGGCCAGTTGCCTTGAGCCATAAGTTCATGTATGAGTAGATGCGGATACCCAGGACGTGGCAAATGAAGATGGAGCAGAATAGGTATATGGGCCACGAGGTCAAGATGCTTCGTACGACTGGCCATGTGAGCTTCTTCATCGGCTCACGACCGCATTTCTCCATGCGGGCTATGCCCATTTGCCGGTCTTCTGGCTTCAGCCAGCGAGCCCGACTCATGGCCGGTTGGTCCGGGATGGCCCAGAAGCCGTAGCAGGCTATGGGGATGCCGATTATGCCTGTGATATGGTTCAGCCAACGTTGTGGGTTTCCAGACCGTCCGAGAGCCGAGCTTACCGTCAAAGATGAATAGCCACTTCCAAGCCGCAATACCATGTGCACCGTCCATGCCCGACAGAAGGCCGGCCTGCAGATAGCCCGAGAACATCTGGGCTGCACTGGACGAAGCCTGGAAGATGCACGATCTCTTCCCGAGTTCCTGAGGTGTATACCAGTGACCTAACAGAGTCATGATGCCCGGATACGATCCAGCTTCCAGGAGACCGATGAAGAAGCGGCACGCATAGAGGGTCTTCACGTCCTTCGCCGCGGCCATCCCCATGACTATGACGCTCCATCCGAGCTCAAGGCACGGCAGCCAGATTGATGGCCGCACTTTCGTGAGCACCAGCTGTGATGGCAGCTGACCCACAATATAACCTACATTCGCGTTATCAGCTTCGAACGCGAGAGGTATGGAGTGGCGAACGCTCACCAATCGTCCAAGAAGTTGTCAGTAAGTTGAGCTGGTTGCCGTGCAGGGTCAAGTCCTCCTTCATGCCCGAGACGTACGCATTGCTGATGTTCGTCTGGTCGAGGTACTTGACAAAGTAGGCAATGCAGCAATAGCTCAGTATCCACCAGTCGATTTTGGCGACGAACTTTCGCTCTTCTGGTGTCTTATCGAGGGAGTCCCAGAGCACGGCAGCGAGGTTCTGTCGCCATGTTCGTTTGCCGATTGTCGAACTTTCGTCGACAGTGGTACTCGTTACTTCGACATCTTGCTTCGACTGAGGGCCGCGGCCTTCGATGTCTGCTGCTTTGTCCGACGACATCTTGGCTGACAATGTGCAGCAATGAACACGGACGTCTCCATCTAGGGGTCTGGGAGAACTCATGATACATATCGAAAAGTCAACCCCTTTTCGGGTGAAAATGGCCAGGATACTGCATCTGCGGTTGGCAGCACGCAACGAATCCGATAGCTCGCGTGCTGTCTCGTTCCCGTAGGGCTCCACAAAGGCTGGAGTGGCCTATCTCCATGTCGTCCAACGAGCCAGGGTTTTCTTCTTGCTGGTTTGTGCCACGCAGATATAGAACCTTTCGGGAGATTTTTGTCGGCCGTGGGTCGACCACAGATCACGCAAATTCCGGCAGCCTTGCGCCACTCGTCGATGCAGGGGGTAATTGCCTATCAATAGCCGATAGGCAAAGAATGTATTCAGATCCAAAGTTCTGCTCCCAAATCATGCGACAAAAGGTGCTAATCCGGATCATCTCCAAGTTTTCAAGACGGTGGCACTTTTATTGAAACAACAGGCATTGGACAAACACGACCACGAAGGATGGGATCCATAGAAACCCATGTCGGCGAGACCCAAGCCAGAGAGATCTACGCCAGCGCCATCCATTTCGACGGCCTCAACATCTGCAACTGGTCTCGTGAGATTTTCCAAAGCTGGCATAACGGCGGCATCACCGGTGTGTCTTGCACCTGTGGTTTGTGGGAAGGCCTCCGTGGTAGCCTGGCCAATTTCGTGCAATGGAAGACATGGTTTGAGCAGCACAGCGATTTGATTGTCCAGGCTCAGAGCGTTGCGGATATTCGCGGGGCTAAGAAAGACGGCAAAACCGCTGTGCTTCTGTCGTGGCAGAATCCGGCGGGCATCGAGGACCAGTTGACGTATCTGAGGGTGTTTCAGGACCTGGGTGTCAGGAAGATGCAGCTCACTTACAATACACAGAACTACTCTGGCGCCGGATACACTGAGCTGCACGACTCTGGGCTCACCGGATTCGGTCGAGAGGTCGTCGACGAGATGGCGAGATTGTGCATCGTTGTTGACTTAAGCCACGTCGGGCCCAAGACCAGCGAGGACGCCATCAACTACTCCCCTACAGACAAACCTCCCTGCTTCTCTCACATTCTTCCCGGTGGGCTCAAAGATCACCCTCGCAACAAGAGCGACCACCTCATCAGGCTCATTGGCTCGAAAGGAGGTTTCGTCGGTCTTTCGCAATTCGGGCCTCACATGAAGAGAGGCAACGACAGCACGGTCGATGACTATGTCGATGCTCTGGACTACGTCATTAGCCTCATCGGCGAAGATCTAGTTGGCATTGGGTCGGATGCTAGTGAAGGTCATGGTCGGCCGTCCGAGTTTATGGCGTGAGTATTCGATGCCCGCCCTGCTCCCTACGAATTATGCGCTGATGCACAAGTAGATGGTGTAACAAAGACAAAGGCTACGCTCGCCAGTTGACGCCATGGGGCAGTCAAAAGGTCGTCAAGCCACTCGGTCTGCTGAAAGACCGCGCAGAGTTGGCCTGTGCAATGGCGAGAAAGGGGTGGAGCGAGGCGAAGATGCGGAAGGTGCTCGGTGAGAATTGGCTGAACTATCTAGAGAGGATCTTTGGCCAATAGTTGCAATGCTGGTATCTGCCTTAGGGTACATGTAGTGATCTGGTAAAATCTCGTTCCACCGTTCTGGAACGCGAGGAACGGAACGAAACGGTACAGGACGCTAGAACGAATCTGAAACGGGCTGCTTGTTTTTGATTAAAGCCTAATCAAAGCTAGTTAGCCCAACTGATGGGCTAGAGTTTCCCTAAACTTGAACGAGCACAGTCTATTTCACACTATATGGTCTCCCCCATCAGCTAAGACTTCTCACTCTCCGACACTCCATTCGTCGGGATCCCGCCTGCATCTATCGGATTCCAAAGCATCCCAGCCCGCGAACCTCCATCAAGCAAGATATCTGTGCCCGTGATGTACGACGCTTCCCTCGAAGCAAGAAATGCAATCACGGCTGCCACATCGTCCGGAGTCGCATGCCTCTTCAATCCGCCACACTGTTTCATCCACTCCATGCCCTCTGGATGACCATTCTCCAACTCTTCATGGCCCATCTTCGTCATGATCGCTGCTGGGGAGACGGTATTGATGCGAGCTCCTTTATCGCCATAGGCCACGACGAAGCCTTCGACTCGCAGATTGTTGGCCCGCTTGGAGATGGGGTAGGCCGCTGTTGTAGCGACGATATTCATCTTCTTCAAGTCATCGTGCTCGAGAAGCTGTGACGATGGGGCTGTGGCGAAATGCTTCTCGAGGGCCGGTGTTGGTGGTGCACCAGCGAGCCAGGTCATGTATGCCGCGATGCTGGATACGCAAATCAGAGAGCTCCCGGGACCTACGTATGGCAAGAACGCATCGATCACATAGGCCGTTCCCAGGATGTTCACGCTGAGGATCTTGTCCGCGGATTCGCCCGACTGTGCTGGTGATATTCCTGACGTGTGGACGATGACATCGAGGGTTCCTGCCGCCGCCGCCTGCTTCGCGAACTCATGGACAGAGCCAGAGTCGGTGACATCGACTTGATGCGTTTCGACTCGGTGGCCTTCGTGTTCAAGAGTCGACTTGGTTGCTTCCAGGCTCTTTTGCGATCGACTTCCAATGACCAGTTTTCTACCGCTCGCAAGTCGTCGCGCAGCTGCTAAACCGCATCCTCCGGCGCCAATGATGACAACTACCGGCTGATGCATCTTGGGTGCAGATCTGTCGATATAGGTTCGGTCAAAGGTTTGGAGCAGCAGGGGGATTTGCTTTTGTTATGCGTTTATCTAACCGTTTAGGAACGGAGCATGTTGCTCTAGGCTCCGACGACGTCCTTGTACGAAGAATCTGACATTCCATCAACTGGCATGATGCAGGGTTACCATTGCAGTCTTCCTAAAAAAGCTCACACGGCGCAGAAATCGCTTACGCATCTGACGAGAGTCGACTCGCATTCCCATGCCGTCGAGGGTCTTACCAGGATGACCGTTCCGCGACCAGTCCGCGTGGAAAAGGATGTTCGTGGTAGCGGCAGGAAGCATTGGACTGGACACGTCGATTCTTGGAGAGCATCCGCTTCTTCTGCTTGGAGGTTCCATCGCTTGTTGATGACTGCGAAGCTTGTGCTTCACTTCGGCTGAACACATACCGCTTTTGGTTCATCTCACGCGGAGGATTGAGACGGTATCGAGGAAGGAAGGAGTCAGCACATCTTTTGGGGGTTATTCGGATGTTTTACCGCCCAGCAAGCATCATTGTGCTCGACCGACTGCTGACTGTGTATGTTGAGCTAATGTCGCACAAGCCTTGCTTGCTTGCTTCACGCATCCATAACGTGGCCAAGGATATCAACAAGCCTACGATGATGCGTTCTGTCAGCATGAATTCTCAGCGCTTGATCCGAGCACTGGGTTCTTCTCAGAACGTCCATTTACGGCATTTGAAGGCAACAATCCCCGAAATGGATATTCTGGAAGATGGCCACATTCAGTGTACCCCGGTGGCATGCCCATTATTATGCTCGCGGTATGGACGACGCATGGTACTTCGTAAGCAGTTCAAGGTCAGTGAAGAGGGGGCCGGTCTGAGCGAGAGGCTCAAGCCTTGCTCAAGCTGGCTCTATCACGAAGCTAAACAACAGTCAAAAGCCTCTTCACATCCATGTTTGGAACCATCTCCTACGAAGGCGAATGTCAGCTCACCGTATGGGATCTGGCATTTCTTTTTCAAAACAGTTGAACATGACTTCAGCACGGTCGAAGTGGTCCTAGGAGAATGACAACTTGCTCAACAAGCCAATGTCCGAGCATATGGACAGTTCGGATCCGAGCCGAAGGACGACGACAATTGAGACCCGCATTGTGGTCTGACACTATCAGAGAAGCGCTTTCGCAGACTTCTCTTCTTCATTTTGCCCATTCGAAATACCTTCTTCCTCGTCTGGTGCTGAAGTCCCAAGAACACTCGGCATCACTTTTTCGAGCCAATCTACGGCTCGACCTACTGGGAAGCAAGGCCGCAGCCATTCAGCATGTCAGCCACCTAAACAATTCTGGAGACTTAATTGACGACGAAGCTCTACTTTCAGGCCTGTACAGCCTGTGAGGAACGGGGCTTACAACCTCGTAGCGAACGACGTCGGCATGTAGCTACTGAGCTTGTTCGCCCTCGGTCACCGACGCCTCGACCTTACGCCGGATGCACAACCACCGACCGAATCTGACAGACTCCCCGACTAACGAGCGAACGTACCTGCTCGTCGCCGAAACTTCTACCTTCGGCTTTGAAGATGATCAAACAAGCTATTCTTGATCGAGTACCTACGGTTGAATGATGCTGACGACATGACGCAACGAGTTCAACTAGATGCACGACGGCGATGAGCCAGAGGGTCCTCGACATGCGATGTCTGGCCATGGCATCAAGTGGGAGAAGGCCATGCTGGTGGCTGGTACAGCACCGAACCCAAGGTTGAGGTCATCTTGATCTGCTGCATTCTCGAGTGTCGGCATGATTCCGCTCCCGCCAGGACACAGCACCCTGTCTCGCCAACGATGGACGCCATAATCGCTACCGGTGGTTACGTGTCGACTTGACTTTGAGTTCGGCTCTTTGGAGATGATGCGTTGTTGGAGGCATGCTGCACTGCTGCGCACGCCCGTTGTCTCAGATTGCACCTCTGTGAACATCGGCTAGAGCGGCCTCGAACGTGTCTTGATCTGCGAGCGTCGAAGGCTCAGCTCCAAAACGTCGGCAACACAGGCAATGCCACGGCTAGGAGACATGCGATTCGGCTTCTTCGCCGACTTCAGGCTTACCGATCCCGTTCGACAGCCAATGTCCTGTCCAAGGCAAGCTGCAGCTGGATAGCAGCAGTAACAGAGGGACGAAGGTTGAAGGGAACACATCGCAAAACTACCACTCCACTACGGACGACTGTCGGAATTGCTTTCATCCCCATCGGCAGAATGCCCCGGGTTCCATAGCGGCAGATTGCATCCACCCATACCGTGCCAAGGCGAAGGCCGCGTCAAGCTCTCTAGAATCTGCGCTCAAGATTCAACCACATGGTCGCACAGGCTTGAAATGAGAGGCTTGTTCGTTAACAGACACCAACCGCGGTTGACCTCATGTCGTGCCCGCAATATGGCGTTGGCCGTCTCTTGCCTTTCCCGGGGATGGTGGACCACACGAACCGACGAGACTTCTTCGAAACACCTCCTCCCCTGGCCGACGACCACGTACCTGCCAAGACGACCACGCACCACTCACATCACATATTTTACTGCTGATGACGACGGCAGGGTCATGGAAACATCCGAAATGCCCTAGGCGTTCTCATCATTGCATGCTGTGGGCCCTTGGTGGGCATCGACGTCTCAACTACTCCATCTCAGAACGCGCGAAGTCGTGGCGATATCGAATCAGAGGCCAGCCATTGTCATGTGTTTGACGGAAAACAGCTAGTCTGTTGGACATTCCAAGCCGTCGATCGATGTTGACTGCTCGCCGCCTTGTTACGCAAGCTGGACTTGCCTCCTGATGCAGTATGGCTCTCCATTCATGGAGGCTGTAGCGGTGCTATAGACATCTTGGCATGTTTGGAAGAAAGAGAACCATCCAGTCTGCGCCCTTGAATTACGCGGCAGCTGGAAGGCTCGACATAGCAGAGGTAGGCTATATCTACTGTCTCCTTACCTCTCACTACAATCTCTTCCATATCCAACACTCACTCACTTCTCTGAACCCGGCCTATCTTTCATACAATGGCTCCCATTCTCTCGCTCCTGACCTTTGGTCTCGTCGCCATCAATGGCGCTCTGGCTCACCCAGGCCACGACGTGAAGGCTGAGGCCGCAGAAAGAGCCCAATGGATCCAAACTCGCAACCCCAAATCCGTCCGCAGCTGTGCCAACAACCTCCGCCGCCGTGGCCACCTCGACGCAGCCATGGTCCGCCGCCAGCAAATGGCCAACAAAGTCCGCGCCAAGCGCAACATCCTCCGCCGCGACTTCGCCGAGTACAACATCTCTCACGCCTCCACCAGCGACGTGACCTTCGGCGACGACGAAACCCTCCTTTTCGCCGATGACTCTTCCTGCGTCCTCCAACCCGAAGTCACCCAAGGCCCCTACTACGTCGACGGCGAGCTCATCCGCAACGACATGTCCGAAGACCAAGCCGGCATCCCACTCTACCTGGACGTCCAACTCATTGACACCTCCTCCTGCAGCCCGGTCCCAGCCGTCTTCGTCGACGCCTGGCACTGCAACGCCACCGGCGTGTATTCCGGCGTCTCCGCCTCCGGCAACGGCAACCAAAACGACACCTCCAACCTCGACAACACCTTCCTGCGCGGCCTGCAACAAACCGACATCAACGGCGTCGTGCAATTCGAATCCATCTTCCCAGGCCACTACACGGGCCGCGCGCCACACATCCACATCCTCTCGCACAACACCAACTCGACGCTGATCCGCACCAACGGCACGATCCTCGCTGCCAACGCCACCACCACCTCCGCCTCGCACGTCGGCCAGATCTTCTTCGACCAGTCCCTCATCGCCGCCGTCGAGGCCAACGCCCCCTACAACACCAACACGCAGGAGCTCACCACCAACGCCGACGACAGCATCCTCGGCGAGGAGGCCGCGGATATGGACCCCTTCGTCGAGTACGTGTATGTCAACCCGGAGGATATCACGGAGGGGGTTTTGGCCTGGATTACCCTCGGCATTGACCCCACGGCTGATGAGGGGATTTCGAGCGCGGCGACGATTTACAAGGATGGGGGTGTGGCGAATGCGAACTCGGGGATGGGTGGTGGACCGGGTGGGAATGGAACTGCGCCTAGTGGTTCGCCGCCTTCTTAGAGAATGTTTTTTGAGGGGAGGGCTATGAAGGAAAAGGGGGAAAGATCGATGATTTCGTGAATCTTCCTTAAGTCGATTTATTGTCTTTTTATTCATGGCGATGTAGAATGGCCTATGAATGAAATCTCCAAGCTGCTACTGCTTCTAACGATATGCTCGAAATCGAAGCTTTCCCTTCTTACTTTCTCGATGCCTCTGCTTCCTTCATCCTTCGTTGCTCTCGTGGGTATCATACAATGTTGAACAACGTCATTACAACCATCATTCCAGGATCCAAGTAAACGCCCCCCGCGCCTTCGCTTGTTGAAATTCAAGATTCTTTCTCCCCAAAGGTGGCCAAAGGCTTGTTGAAGAAAAGCCAGACCAATAGTCCATAACCAAGAAGGCACAGAGAGAAACAAAAAACCCCATCTCCCTCGAGAAAACGAATGCTTCCTAACAAGCCATCCCCGCCGCCGTCGTCCCCCCCATCAAATTCCCCACATCCTCCTTCACCCACTTCAATCTCCTCTTCAACTCCGCCAAACTATAATAAAACGCCAACTCATTCACATCCGGACTGGGAACACCCCCTTTCCCGGCCTGCACGCCTCCCTGTCCCAGGATCCTGTCGACGGGACTGCCACCCACACCAGCCACAGAAGTTGAAGTAGAAGAAGAAGAAGAGTGATGACCATGCCCCTCGATCTCGTCGACGGGCACGCCGAACTCCGAGTAAACGTCGCGGTACTGCAGGCGGGCGCGCACGACGGCGTCGAATTTCCGCTCCATGGACTCGGCGAAGGTGGTGAGGTTGGAGAGTTCGTCGTGCACGGCTTCGCACATGGAGGAGGCGGCGGAGGAGGTCGAGGAGATGTCCGAGGCGAGGGTTAGGTCGGACATGTTGGTGAGGTCGGTGGCGGTGGAGAAGTTGCGGGCCATCATGGGGGCGGTCGGGGCGCCGCCTAGGGTCATGTCCATGGGGTCGAAGGGGGTGGGGAGGACGTCGGTGGGGGGTTGCGTGGTGGTGGCGTGGTCCAGCGGGAAGGTGTATTGGTTTAGGAGGCTGTTTTGGAGGTCCCAGGAGAAGGGGTTGTTGGTCGTGTAAGTTGGGGCTGAGGACCACATGTCTTGGAAGACGTCGCTGGAGTCGGAGTCGGAGGAGGTTGGGGTGAGGTTGTGGGGGAGTTGGTGGTGGTGGTCGAGTTGGGGGGATTGGTCTAGCGACGAGGAAGCCGAGGGGGTGTTGCAGAATGGTATTGGAGAGGAGGCTCTCGAGGAAGGTGAGGCTGGTCTTCGGTCCGCTTTGGTGACCAGGCTGGCTGTGGTCTTTCGGCCCGCGCGCCGGGAGAAGCTGTATTCGCATGACAGGCCTTTCTGCTGACAGCGGGAGCAGTTGGGCTTGTCCTTGGTGCAGCGGACTTTGGCTGTTGAGCATGCATCGCAGCTCTCTTTCAATCGCGGTTGTCTCTTTTGGGCAGGCATTGTGGGTGGTGGGTGAGTGATCGATCAGATCAGATCAATGCAATGGATAGATAGCTAGGACTGTGTAGTCTTTCTTTCTTCGGAAGTATGCCAGAGAGCTGCGAGGCTGAGCAAGGTAGAGAAGCAGGGTGGAGTGATTTTTCGCAAAGCGAAGAGCTGTGAAGAGCAGAATAAAAAAATCCCCATGGCACACCAGATTAATATCCCTCGCCTGCCAATGGCTCTTACCTCAGAATCCGTCCCTACACTACGCACACCCACCAACACAAAGAACATTTTGGAGGGGAGGATCAAATGCGCCGAACGCTGGATAACCCCGGGTTCCGTGTCCCACGAGGACATGCCCGAGCACAGCTGTGCAGCTGCGTGCAGCTCGGGGTGTGGGAGCTGCTGTGTGTCTGCTTCCTCTCAGCTCCCAGCTGAGTCGGGTTGCAGTCTCCGGCGTATCAAATAGTCCGCGGCTTCTAATGCAGGCAGGATGTTGGTTCGATGATGCTCAATGCCCATCTCACCCACGTGTTTGCACCGACACGTTCTGACCAGGTTCCACTCGGCATTCGTCTTCCCTCGCCTGGTACGCTAGGTGTTCGCTTGATCTTCGAGGGTCGCCATCAGATCGAGCATGGAGTGGGGGTATTGTAACAGTTGTCTCTTTGTTCAGCAGTATCGTAGAGCCCTCTCCCTCGCCGGCAAGTCGTAGGAATATCAGACTCGCACGCCTCTCAAGATTTACCCCATGGATCCTTTCCAGCGCACGCAACTCGTCCTCGCTGCTGGCCACTCCATCGCGTGCGCGGCGTATTGTTACTGTGTTGGTCAGCCTCGCCCTTTAAAACGGACGGCCACTTCTGTAAGTTATGAACCGTCTCGTTTCCTCGCTGGAGACATTCGGCTGACAGCGGATCCCTTGAAGGATGATGAGCTGAAGAAACGTAATCTCAATTCGGCTTCAGGTGGGATGAAAGGGAGGGACACTCAAGGCAGAGAGAACGGCCTCTCTGTTGCACTGCGCACCGGACTCGCGCGCGCAACCTGAACTGGTGCAGCGGCTGATCTGGCACCACCACGTTGTGAGCGGCGTTTGAGGGCTGAAGGATTCTGTTGGAGCGTCGGCGCAGGTGTTTAGTTGGTGTGGAGTTTCGAGAGAGGCGAAAGGAAAGGTTGCACAAAGGTCGGAAACCCTAATGGAAATGGGTGCTGGAAATGGCCCGAGATGCTCTCAGGACCGACGTCATGCGTAGATCGACTTTTTGGTGAGACTCCGATAGCTAGTCTCGTCACAATGCAGCAGTATATCTATCGTACACTTTTGATTCATGGCTCGTCAGTAACCTGCGTGGTTCTGCCAGTCTCACCGGCTGCTTCGAGTGCATCAGCGATCAATGCCGTGAAACCATTATCCGTAAGCTTGACCGCTCCAGCTCGCACCAATGCCTGGCTTAGATCGTCCTTCAAATCGTCCAAATCCTCAATGCCGATACACAGTCGAATTATGTCCTCGGGCATGGCGCGCTCTTTGCGCACGGCTGGGTCGATGCTCGCGTGGCTCATGCGGCAAGGCATGGAGATCAGCGAGTTGACGCAGCCGAAAGAGACCGAAATGCCAAATAGCTTGGTAGATTCCACAATGCGCTCTGAAAGTGCGATTGAGCCCGTCTCGAATGACAGCACAGCGCCAGCGCCGCGCGCCTGGGACCAATGTAGCTTGTACTGAGGGTGAGATTTCAAGCCAGGGTAGCGAACCTTGAATCCGTGAGACTCGAGGAAGTTGGCGATAGCATCAGCGTTGGCTTGCTGTTTCTCCATGCGAACAGCAAGCGTCTTGATGCCACGCAGAAGCAGCCAGCTGTCAAATGGCGCCAATCCACAACCAGTCGAGTTGATCATGAAGTAGAACTTGTCGGCGAGTTGTAAATCGTTAACACCAATGACACCGGCCATGACATCGTGGTGTCCGCTCAGATACTTGGTGCCAGACTCATACACGACGTCTGCGCCAAGATCGAGTGGGTTCTGCAGATATGGCGAGAGCATGGTGTTGTCCACCGCAACGATGATTTTGGTGCTGACCTCGTGAGCAATGGTTGAAATGCCCGCAATGTCCACGATCTTGATCAACGGATTGGTGGGTGTCTCGAGCAGGACCATGGTGGTATTCTCGGTGATGGTGCTCTTGACGACATCTAACTTGGTAGTGTCCGCATGGTGCACAATGATGCCGTTGTTCTCCTTCAAGTACGTGAGCAATCTGTTGGTTCCACCATACAGATCATCTCCAGTGACGACCTCGTCGCCAGGCTTCAAGACTCGAGTGATGACATCGAGAGCGCCCATACCTGAACCTGCCACCAGAGCACGGTTGGCATTCATGATCTTGGCCATGTGGCGCTCGAGATGTGTCCGGGTTGGGTTCCCACTGCGAGTGTAGTCATACTCTTGGCCGGGGCCACCTTTGAAGGTCGCCGACTGGTAGATAGGCACGCTGCTGGCATTGTACTGGTCGTTGCTCTCGGTGTAGACCAGCTCAGTGGCCAGAGCATACTTGCGGCCGTTGGAGGGGCTCGACGGAGCGGGCGAAGGTGGCAGATCGTGACCGTCGAGGTCGAGGTGCTTGAAGGCTTTGCCGAGGGCGGAGGAAGAAGTCATTTTGATATTTGGAGTGGTGGTTTTTTTATCAGGGCCAGTGACCTGAAATACGCAGTGTTACCTGGGTAGAATGGCGGGCAAGTCCGATTGAGAGGACTTGAAGTTGGTGGTCGTGGAGGAGTGCAAGTCGTGTGACGTAGAGGAAGAGGTGGTGTGTTGGAGGGGTTTGAGAACCGCCAGTTTCCAGTACTTGATTGGTACTGGTTCGAATTGCTTCTCCTCGTGGTTTTAGGTGTTGATGTTTTGGAGAGCGATGACTGAGAAGTGGAAGAAATCGGCAATTGGCAGTCGACGTGCAAGGGACGGAGCGTCTGACCGATGGCGTGCGCCGGCTTCGCAGACAAAGAAGTGCAGCGGGGAATCGATGACTGAAACTGGCTGCTTTTCAAAAATACTCCGGCAAGCGATGATGTTGATCAGGGCCCTTTATACTAGAAGAGCTACATCATCCTGTGGCATTTCGCCCGTTGTTGGTTTTCTCTTCACAACTTCACGACTTCCTGCACTCTACGGTCTTTACCAACGACCAGGCGCAATTGTTTGCCTTTCTCGTCTCCGAAAATGCCCTTCCGCAATACGTCCGTGTACAGCTCATAGCAAGGGTAGTCTGTTTGGACAAGTCAGCTGATGTCCGGAGAGAAGGATGCAATGGTGAATGCACTCACAGCCGTTCACGAAGTCGATCACTTGCTCTTGGCTCATGCCAGTCCCCTTCTCGGCTCGCATAGCTGCCTCTTGTTGTTCTCTCCAGTGATATACGTAAAGTGTGTCTTCGGCATCACTAATCCATGGTCGTCAGCATTCTCCAATGAACAGCAGTAGGGAGACTCACACGTGCATGAATGCCCCGAATCGATCCGTCAGAGCATCGTACTCTCTCAGTTTCGAGTTTATGAAGAGCACATCTTCAAGCTTCAGGTGTCCTAACCGGCCCTTGTAACTGCCATCGCCCTTTTCTGCTTGCTGTTTTGCATCTTTCCACTTTCGCTCTACTTCATCATCTTTGAGCGCTCTGAATCCAACGCACCACCCTTCGAAGGCTATGACTCCTACTGGCTTCTCACCGGTCTTGTTAACAGTCTCCCACTCAGACTCTGGCCTTCGATCACCAGCGCCATTGAACTGGCTCTTGTCATAGCTCGGGATTTTAATGTTTTCTTTACGGTTGGCGAGGGCTTCGAACAGAGAGACGCCAGTCTGGATATCGTGGGTGGAGGGTACACCTCTGTGTTGAACAAGAGGATTGTCCGGGTGGGACTCTGCCAGAGCTACTTGCGCATCATGCGGGAGGTAGAGGTCGTCGATGGAAAGCACGACTGTGGGAAGCGAGTGAGGCGGGGACGAGAGAGTCTTGCTGAGAGTCGACACCTATTCCAAGGTGAGCTGGTTGATTGCGATACTCGGGTCTCGTGCTATGTACGCCCGTCTACACCTGTGATGAACTCCGAATTACTCATCGCCGTCGACTTACCAACGTCGTCTTGCCGGCACCTTGAACCCCATTCAATCCCAAGAAGAAAGGCGGGGGCGTCTCTCCCCGGCTCTCATACTGCTCACGGTGCAGCCTCAAGCGCTCGAGAATGAAGGGAATGCAGTGCTCTGACTTGTCATCGATGATGTCGGGCATGGTCCGGAAAAGAGACAAGCCAAAAGTGCTCACGTGTGCTGGGAAGACGCGTTTCACGATGACGGCTTTGCATGTGATGATAAGCCGCGGGAGGAAGTTCGTACTGGCAAATGATTTAGAGCCGTAGGCCGACACTCCCCGCAGGGATCAGGGTGTGGAGGCGGGTGTCATATGAACGGAAGATGCGGCTTCGTCCACAACATACATTCTGCTGCTCTTGACGTGGTATGAAGAGCGTGGACATGAGTAAACATATCCGAGGCGATAGCCATGTCTCGATCAGGGCACAACGCGGGAATACGCCATGACATGCTGCAAATGCTGAGCTTCTCGGCAGAACATCAACATTCGAGAGACACAAATGGACGAAGATAGCCACGAACAGCGATCTGGGAGATACAGAAGGGGATACAAATACATAATGATATTCGGCTAGCTGATCGCTTGACGCGGTTAAGAGACTGCACAGGATCTCGCATTCGACTGCTTATCGTTATCGCTTCTACACATCGCTGCAAAGCCACATTGTGTTGTGGATATGATCGCATTGTTTGACCTCGGCATGTGATTTCTGCCGACGACGACCAAGGGTATCGTCGTTCAGGTGAAGGGCTGGCCTTAGCGAACACACAGTACACCTTTCTTCTTCCCCCAGACTCTCCGCACTCTTCTCCAACACCTCAACCTTCCCTATATCACATATCCTCAAAATGGGCGGAGAACAACTAAGATGGGACGGCCAGACCGTCGTGGTGACCGGCGCCGGAGGTGGTCTGGGACGAGCATACTCCCTCTTCTTCGGCAGCAGAGGTGCTAATGTCGTTGTCAACGACTTGGGAGGGAGCTTCAAGGGCGAGGGTGGCAGCCAGACTGTAAGTGTACTACCCACAACCCACCGAAGTACCTTTGTTTGCTGACGCCCGAGTACAGGCCGCGCAAAAGGTGGTGGACGAGATCGTTTCGGCCGGCGGAAAGGCAGTCGCAAACTACGATTCGGTCGAGTACGGCGAGAGGATCATTCAGACGGCCATCGACAACTATGGCCGCATCGACGTGCTCATCAACAATGCGGGCATCCTGCGAGATATCAGCTTCAAGAACATGAAGGATGAGGACTGGGACCTGATCATGAAGGTACACGTTATTGGAGCGTACAAGTGCGCAAGAGCTGCATGGCCACATTTCCGCAAACAAAAGTACGGACGTCTGATCAGCACAGCGTCTGCAGCTGGTCTCTTTGGAAGCTTCGGACAATGCAATTACTCGGCGGCTAAGCTCTCGCAAGTTGGCTTTACCGAAGCTCTGGCGAAGGAGGGTGTCAAGTACAACATCCTGTGCAACACCATTGCGCCTATTGCAGCCTCGCGTATGACTGCGACTGTCATGCCAGAGGAGGTTTTGAACAACCTCAAGCCGGAGTGGATTGTACCACTCGTTGCCGTGCTCACGCACAAGTCCAACACCAGCGAGACTGGCGGTATCTTCGAGCTTGGTGGTGGACACATGGCCAAGTACAGGTGGGAGCGCTCGCGTGGTGCTCTCCTCAAGGCTGATGACACCTTCACTCCCGGCGCCCTTCTCCAGAAATGGAGCGATATCGAGGACTGGACGAACCCACAGCACCCAACTGGACCAAACGACTTCATGACCCTCCTCGAGGACGCACAGAAGCTTCCACCAAACCCTAGAGCCCAGGAGCTCGACTTCAAGGGCAAGGTTGCGGTCGTCACTGGCGGTGGTGCTGGTCTCGGCCGAAGCTACTGCTTGACATTGGCCAAGTACGGTGCGACTGTCGTTGTGAACGACCTCGCAGATCCAGAGCCAGTCGTGCAAGAAATCCAGAAGCTGGGAGGCAAGGCTGTGGGCGTGCGATGCAGCGCCGAAGATGGCGACAAGATCATCAAGACCACGATCGATAACTACGGCCGCGTCGACATTCTCATCAACAATGCTGGTATTCTGCGGGACAAGTCTTTCCACAACATGGAGGATAAGATGTTCCAGCAAGTCCTCGATGTCCATCTTCGCGGCACCTACAAGACCACAAAAGCTGCTTGGCCTTACATGTTGAAGCAGAAGTATGGCCGCATCGTCAACACCACCAGCACATCAGGTATCTACGGCAACTTCGGTCAAGCCAACTACGCTGCCGCCAAGTGTGGTATTCTCGGATTCTCTCGCGCACTTGCACGTGAAGGCCAGAAATACAACATCTATACTAACACCATCGCACCAAACGCCGGCACCAACATGACCCGTACAGTCATGCCAGAAGAGATGGTTCAGGCCTTCAAGCCAGACTACGTCGTACCAATCGTCCTCATCATGGTCTCTGACAAGATGCCAAACCAGCCGACTGGCCGTGTCTTCGAGAGCGGCTCTGGATGGGCTGGTGAGACCAGGTGGCAGCGAACTGGAGGCGCTCAGTTCCCGATCGATGAGAAGCTTCAACCAGAGACTGTCGTTGCTGCGTGGGACAAGATCGTCAACTTCGACGATGGCCGTAGCGACAACCCATCTGATGTCTCGGCAGCCAACGAGAAGATCATGGGCAACTTCGAGAACAGGAAGAACAAGGGTGGTAGCTCCTCTGGTGGTGATGACTGGGTCGCGAAGATCGAGGAGGCCAAGAAGGCAAAGGCTGACGGTACCGAGTTCGCATATGACGAGCGCGATGTCATTCTCTACAGTAAGTTCACAGAAGTGTTCAGACCACTGGACTGTACTAACGATGATTCTTTATAGACCTGGGTATTGGTGCCAAGCGAAGCGATCTACCTCTCGTCTTCGAAGGCCACGACGACTTCCAGGCTGTCCCAACCTTCGGTGTCATCCCACCTTTCAACGCCGAGACTCCATACCAGCTGTCCGACATCGTACCCAACTTCTCTCCAAACATGGTCCTCCACGGCGAGCAATTCCTCGAGATCCGATCATTCCCGATTCCCACTGAAGCGACGCTCGTGGCCTACCCTACTCTTGTCGAAGTGCAGGACAAGGGCAAGTCTGCGGTCGTTGTCCAGGGCAGCATCACCAAGGACAAGAACACTGGCAAGGAGATCTTCTACAACGAGTCGACTGCATTCGTGCGTGGCTCGGGTGGTTTCGGCGGCTCCAAGAACGGCAAGGACCGTGGTGCAGCAAGCAAGGTCCACAGCCCACCAAAGAGACAACCCGACGTCGTTGTCGAGGAGAAGACAAGCGAGGACTTGGCTGCCATCTACAGATTGTCTGGCGACAGGAATCCTCTCCACATCGACCCCGACTTCGCCAAGGTCGGTGGTTTCGACGTGCCCATTCTCCACGGTCTCTGCTCGTTCGGTGTTGCCGGTAAGGCCATCCTGAAGACGTACGGCCAATTCAGGAACATCAAGGTGCGCTTCGCGGGAACTGTACTGCCCGGACAAACGCTCGTGACGGAAATGTGGAAGGAGGGCAATCTTGTCATCTTCCAAGTGAAGGTCAAGGAGACCGGCAAGCCTGCCATCTCAGGTGCCGGCGCAGAACTTGTCGAGGGCGCGAAGCCGAAGTTGTAAAGAAACGCGAGGATGAGTGGAAAGAACAGACGAACGATGACGGAAGATAAAGTCTACGAGCTTCTTGTAAGACGGATTTGATGTTTTTTGAAGATATGGATTGTATAGCGTATGGGAACCTTTTCTACATTTGAGTGTCTCGTCGTTCAAGACATGTTATCCAATGCGGCTGATGAGTGAGTGTGGTTTCACAGAAGACCGTCGCACCGCAGGATCATCTGAGTTTTCGAGGCCTTTGGTACGGGTCCAGGCACGAAGGCTGCAGCGTGTCCACTTTCGCCACTAGTAACAACCGGGAGCTCATTTTCACGATATATAACCATCTTGCATGCTACACTTCATTGTATGCGTTTGACTTTAATGCCAAGAGATTCACATGCAGCTTTGAGGGAGATCTCGCTTCAGCTGCGTCAACAGCCAATGGTTTGAAGCGCGCTAGTCAACCGTTCCTTCGAAGATCTTCAGTCCAGCTTTGGGCTCTGCAACTTCAAACACAACATTGACAACAGACATGGTGACCACACGAAGTGCAGCAGCGGCGCCCCCGCGAGCCATCGTCGACGAGGTGCCGCAGGAACTACACGACCGTGTCTGCAGATTCTGCGATGTGGCGACATTGAAGGTTGTTCAGCTCTTCTTCGACCCATCTTGAAGACTTCGCTAATACCCAAAATGCAGTCTCTCCGCCTCACCACCAAGAGAATCAGCTCCTCCGCCACCAAAGCCCTCTTCAAACACGTCGAAGTGAAGCCGACAGAAGAAAGCTGCCGGAAATGTCTCAACCTCATGGAAGATCGAGAACTCAGTCGTCAAGTCACCAGCATCGCCTTCCACACCTCTCTCAGCCCTGGCTCTTCGTACGGAGATGAAGACGAATACGCGGGTTTGATTCGAGGCCAAAAGGGCGGCCGTCGCCACATCGACGTCTTCTACGAAGCTCTTTCCAACCTCAGCAAGTTCGAGAAACTCAAGCACATCTCAATCAACTTCGCCGAGCGCTGTATCGCGGGTGGCGATTGGATCAATGAGGCCCCCGAGGATATCACGGTTCGATCGAGGGTGCTGAGGGCTTTGACGGAGGACACGGAGTACCCAGAGAAGCTGCACAGTCTGTCGATTCGGAACTTGCAGGATCTCCTGCCGGATGTGATTGCGGAGTCTGGAGGGTGGAAGAAATTGTTAGGCAAGCTCGATTCTTTGGGTCTTTGGATCACGAACGAGGGCGATGAGGCGGCGCCGGAGAGTAATATGGAGTATAAGGAGTTGCACGAATTCTACCGTACGGAGCTGAAGAGAAAGATCCTCGTGCCGGTGAGGGAGCAGTTGAAAGAGCTGAAGTTGTACTCGAACGAGGTCTACTGGGGCCATTATCCTCACTTCGACCTCCAAGATCCCGACATGCACTTCCCCAAACTGGAGACCCTCGCCATAGGCAAGCTGGCCTTCGTGCACGACTGGCAAGTCGACTGGATCCTCTCACACGGGGCCACGCTCAAAGGTCTCATCATAGACGACTGCCCCATCCTGATCGCCGGCCGGGAATTCCAGAAAATGGACAATGCCTACTCCCGCCGCGCGAACAGCATCTCCACCGACGACGACCAAGTCTGCTGGACCAACCCCGTCCGCTGGCACACCCTGTTCCGGCGGTTCAAATACGGCCTACCTCACCTCCGCCACTTCGCCATCCGCACGACGGCCTCCCACTGGGTCGAGCGACCCGACAGCCAAGACGTTGACTCCTTCCGCGATACCTTCGCCCTCGAGAACAATTTGCAAGTCAGCCGCTACTGCCTCTTCGACGCGGGCATTGGGCCCAGTCAAGTCGTCGACATTAGCTATCCGCAGAAGTACGAGAAGGACTGGGATACGTACCCGGGGGCGGAGAGAATGGCGGCTTTCGATCATGGTTGGGAGGACGAGATGGACGAAATGGCGGAGGAGCAGAAGAAGGAGTTTGTCGACGGGGCAAAGTTTCCAGATTGCTGGAGCGAGGACTGGGAGGCTTTGGGGGAGTTGATGGCGGTTGTCGAGGGGAGGAAGTAGATGAGAAGAGGTTGTGGAGGCTTTCTGGTTCTACAGCATACACAACCCTCCGTTCGCACAGGTGACATTCCCCGTCACCCACTTCGCAGAAGGATCACACAGGAACGCCACGATAGGGAAAATATCGTCCACATATCCGATTCGGTCTCCTGCGAGCGTCATGGCTGCGATTTGCTTCTCCGCGGCGGGGATGTCGAGGCCTTTGGCGGTGTTCCACCTGTGACAGTAGATGTAAGCAGAAAGGCATAAGAAAAAGTCGTAGTGAAGAGACGCACATATCCGTCGAAACTGGCCCAGGATTAACCGCATTCGCAGTCCCCTCCAGACTCCTCCCCAACTCCATGGCCATGGACCTCGTAATCGACTCCAGGGCCGCTTTGGAGGCCCCATAGGCGTAATTGAACGGTACAGCTGTCATACACACTGATCAGCACACCTCTTGTAGGCTAGGAACGATCCAACATCAAACTCACCTGTCCTCGCGGCAATACTACTAACATTCACAATCCTCACGCCCCTCCTCAAATGCGGCCGACAGACTTTATACAGCAACAAGGGCAACAACACGTTTGTGTGCATGATCCTGTCGAACGCCTCTGTATCGAGCGCGTCGAGGGGGGTCATCTCGCCGTCCGCCGCGTTGTTCACGATGATATCGATCCCGCCGCCGTCGGGGAAGAAGTTCTGGGCTTCACGGAGGATTTTCTCGGCGGTGGGTTGTGCCGTGCGGCAGTTTGCTTGGATGGCGTGCGCTTTGGCGGACGGGGTTTGGGAGGCGATGAGGGAGAGGGTTTTGTTGGCGCCGGTGGCGGAGGCGTTGTAGGTTATTAGGATGTTTGCCCCGCGTTTGGCGAGTTCGAGGGCGATGGCTTGGCCGATGCCTTTTGGGGGGTTGGTTTATTAGTTGGGTTTGGGGGGAGCTTTTGGTGTTGAGAAGAGGGTACCTCGCGAACCGCCCGTGACGATGGTGTTTTTGCCTTTCAGTGGTGTTGGATCCATGGCGTGTTGTTTTGATCAGGGTTGACAGTGACGTCCAGTCCGGAAAGCAACAGAACGTCTTCAGTATATATCTATCGTCGTGGAGCTCGCCGGCAATGTGCTTCCTAGGGGTCCGTCATATTTCGCATTCTCGTACACCAGACCTACACGTGTAACTTTGTTTCCTGGGCGGTTTCTTTGACGCACTGGGGTTGGCATGCCGGAATTTCCGGTGGTCAGGATGAATGCGTTAGGTTAAGACACTTGAGAGCCTAATGCGGTAGGTAGTCTGCCCAGGGACAAGGGTACGTTAGGCCCTGAGTCCCTGACACCTTGCAACTTCCATGTCGGAACGTGTCCCTGTCGACGCTTTGAGTTGAGTCAAACTATCGGTCTCGTGCGTAAGTATGCTTCATCGAAATGGCGCCACGGAATCCACGGTTGTGTAGACTTTCAAGCCTGCTACACTGACCGTAGCGTCTTGACGATATCAGCAAGGTGACCGATCAAAGGACCTCCTACCAGAACATCAGAAGTAGCGTCCAGGTCCATGATTGTCGATCCGATGGCACAGCCTCCGTGGCAAACGTCCAGAGTTCTCAAGATCCAGTCCGCAAAGCAAGAAGTCTGCAGACCGTGAAAGTTGGTGATATTTCTGCAGACGAGCCACACGCAGATGAACCCCATGGTGAACGGGGCCGTAGCACAGGATCCTGTCGAGTGGGCGTATGGCCATGCCATGAGAATATTGTTGGCCAGCTGTAGCTCTTCGGCGGTGGTGCCGGTGTCTTGCCAGAGACCTGTCTTGAGGAATGTCTGTAGCGTGTTGTATATTCTGGTTGCAACGATGCGGCTCTGCCAGTACAGAACCACTGCAGTCATCTCTCTGGCGGAGGCAAAGGCCATAGCAGTGGGAATGTAAGTTGCGGTTCCCATGTCTGTGTTCGGGGAGAAGACTTTGGTGCGGTTCAAGATCCAACTTTCTGCGGCTGATTCCCGACATTCATAGATGGACTTAGATAGTGCCATTGCTTGCTGCGGAGTATCTGAACTGTACTTCCCACGCAGATGGCGTATCAGAGCGATGAGTCTCGGCAGTCTCACAGACAATTGATGACTGCACACATTCAAGGCTCGAAGGTCGGATGTCATAGGATGAAGATCTGCAGGTTCGGCCACAAGCCAGTGATCAACTTCGAAAGGCGAGGGAGTCCCTTGGAAGCAAGGAATAGCAAACGTCGAGCAAGCAGCGAGGGTCATAGATGCTCGGGCAATCTCACTTCCGGCGGCTGACGGGGCGCTACAAAGCAGCAAGTTGCTGATTCCATTCCAGTGCGTGAAGAACTCAAGGGCGGTTTGGCTTTTCGAACGCATGTCGTCCCGTGAGAGTACATCTACGATCCCAAGTAGGCTGACGGTGCCGATGAGAGTGTCTAGTCCACTTCTTCCATTCCAGGCGCTGAGTTCTTTCCGAACAAGGCCAACTGACTAGGCGTATTTGTTTCGTGCTGAGGTAGTTGGAATAATCGTGTTACTGCCACACCCAGAGCCCATTGATAAGTGGATCAAAGCTTCCGCAGCCTTATCTAGCATTTCACTCTCGCCTATTCGGCTTGGAAGATACACGATCGGAGTGGAATCCATTCCAAGCCTTTCTATGCACTTGATCAAGCGTGAGACACGGGTGTCGACCGCATTGTTTGGCTGGCTGAAGGGAATCAGTCCTTCTGGGTTGATGGGATGGAGAATAGCTTGGCTATTTGTCGCTTTGCTGCGGTCGTGGTCATGGCCATTGGAGAGTCCATCATGATGTCTTGCTCTGCCAATGCGTTTGAAGGAGCACTAAATTTATCAGATCAATTCACTATGCCAAAGCAAGTATAAAAGAGTTCCATACCTTGCATTTGCCGATATGATATGGGCACACGCTGTTAAAGCGACCTTCCATGATCAGAATCGAGGAAAATCGGCGGTCTAGGCGTGGTCATCATCAGGAAAGCCTCACGCCGTATGATAGAGCGCATCGTCTCGAGCTGGGTCGATATGCGGTGGAGAGGTCATTCAGCTGGTGTAGTGTAGATGGAAAGAGCCCTCGGCGTTCACATGCAGGAGGAGCTGGAAACATTCGCTCAAAACTTCCCATCTGAGTCTAGAGTTTCTTTGGGCGCGAACCTTGGATCTCCATTTTGTTGATTCCGCCAGACAAGATTCAACTTCAGGCCTGACCAGACATTGGGTATAGTCCAGCGCCTTTATCCTGTAAGTCTCGCATGATCAATGCAACTCACGTCAAAGAGACGGTCGCTTGGCCGCGGCAAAGGCTAAATGACTTCGCAATCTCATATGGTGCCAATATGGCATTGCCTCCGCAATAGCAACTGCATGTTTCGCAAAGAACCACCTGTGAAGTATCTAGAAAGCCCGCAATTTGGTCGTAAGCAACTTGAAAACTGCAGCCATGTCCTCTTCGCCCAAATGTCAGACACGAGACAGCTGAGCATTTGTTAGTGCCTTCAAATCAGTTTCCACGAGAGACTTCACATACCCACCAACCTTACTACAGGTACCCTTGATCTTTGAAAGCCCTTCTCAAAATCTCTCTAATCACATCCTGCTTCCTCTGGTTATAGTCAATGGTCACCCCGCCGGCATCTCTCGTCTCCTTGGCGGACTCCTCCTTGACGTTGTAATACAACAATCTATCACTTTCGTCCTTCAACAACCACTCCCTGAAAATTCTATGCCTTTGGACTTCAGGACAGTTCGGACCCCACACATGCAAGTTCGCCGATTGCGGTTCAAACCCAGCGAAGAACCGGTGCTCGTGCCAACCCGGTTCTCTGATCAGAAACTGAAACCCTGCGTTCTCCAAGGCCGCGACGTAGGAGTCTTCGTCCGTGGGGTCGGGTACGACCAAATCGATATCAATGACATCCTTGGCCGGCAGACCTGGTATGGAGGTTGAGCCACAATGGTTGACTTCCAACGCAAGAGGTCCCAGAGCAGCAGTAATGCGGTCTTTGAAGATAGCGAAGACCGAAGGCCACGATGGGTTGGGAGCCACAATCTCCAATGGCTGTGTGATTCTACGATGTGCAATGCGTTGCCACGCGGTGGGGTCGTATACGTAGTCTTTCAGAATGGCCTCGGCCGGGATAGCAGACGATGACATGTTGTGCGTTGTTGCTTTGGGTGCTGTCAGAGTGGGCGTGACGATAGCATAAATCAACAATTGGAGAACATGAACTATCTTGCAGACTTTTCTGAGGACCTTGAAGCGATGTTAGCGATGAGTCATCTTCAAGGTTCCGTATAGGTTCGCTCGACTCAGCTCGCTTCCCAGCTTTGGGTTGTTATTGCAAGTATACAACCTTGCGGTGGCATTATTTTTTCATGGAAGAGCCCTCACCGCCAGGATATGGACTTGGCCAGATCGGGACTCCGCAAGGTAGCGCAAGGCATCAACAATTGGGACACCGAGTGACATGATAGCTCCGTCCGGCTCCAGCACAATCTTCGCGTTTCGGGATGTTGTGTCGAACCACAACAGCTGACCAGGTCATCTCAATCGTAGTCTTTAGATTCGACAAGCTCGCGTAGCTCAAAGTCGTATCGAGCCTTGTCCGGGATTGTCTGCCTTTGTCAGTCTTCCGTCTCCACGAGTTGAGCAACATTAACCTATATAGAAAATTTGGAACGCTTATCTCCTACATTCGGCCACAGGCAATTGAGAATTAGCCATCCCGTCCGCTCTGGCATATACAAGCAATTGACCGCCTGATTAGTACTACGGTGGGTGACCACGTGGGAATACCGGGTGCCGAATGTTTCGTACCTTTTGGTCCGCAATCTGATCATTATTTTTGCTGGGCTCTCAGCGAATTTTAAATTCAGCCATCTCTTCGGCACCGTAAAAACGTTTTGCCGATCGCTAGCGTGCGTTTAGTGGAGCTCCCGACCGCACCTCACCTTTTTCTGGACCAGCACATCGAGAATCCCACGACGTCCAACCCGTCTGCCGGATCGCTGCAGAAGACCTACTGTACTTCTGGGCTTGCAGCATCCTGAGCTTTCTTTTTGTTCGATCGACATTGACTTAGGCGATAGGAGTCTGGAGTCTATGACAGCTCTTGCTCTGCGGTTCTTGCTTCGCTCGAAAACACAAGCTTGCCAGATCCTCCTTCAACTATTTCAGCCTTCCCCGCAAGGGTTGTGAAGGGTCTCTTTCGAATGGTTCCGAGGCTAATATAGCTCTGTAGTGAATGTGGCGCTGCATGTCATGCTTCCGCCTTTCTGGTGTTATGTGATGAGGGGCACCCTTCGAGCGCACAAGACCGCCGACGTCAAATCTTCGTAGCTTTGATGATCGATGATGAGAAGGCTGAACTGACAGAATGCGTGTGAAGAATACACATGCCTGACACCGTGTGGCGTGAGACTGGGTCGGCTGCATTTGAGCTGTCAACGACGTTTTTCCTTACGCTCAGCGAGGTCAGAGGGCGCTGTGACTGGAAGACACCTGCACGTGCAAGCTGTGCCATGAGAGCCACTCGCCCTACCTATAAAGGCTGCTTAGCTCTGAGTGGTCAATGCATGCGCCAGATCGCTCTTCCGACGAGTTACAACAGCTACCTTAGCCACAGACACGCGATGTACTCACATCAATCGATGATCTCACATCTGCTTCAGAATCGACAAAACATCGAAAAAAACCGCCGAAGAAGTTGGCGGTACCCCAAAACTCCTTCACTCACCCAAATGCCCTGCGTCCGCTCATACAACCACAATGCCGACAACAAGGCTCAGCTAGCCACTTGCCAATCGAGGACGATTGCGTGCAGATCAATGCAGGAAGCGATACCTGCGAGGCTTTGGGACCGTTTCCTTCCATCATCGCCATGTGAAGCAAATTCGTACAATACCTACAGCGCCTCGGCCAAACAACGCGTCAATCGCTCACTGAACACTGTGCATGGCCACTTTGCTAACACAATCGCCTTTCTGGGCGATGTTGCATGCACAGAATGTGGTGACAGGATCTGGGATACTCTGTGGCTAAGACATGAACGCGCCAAAGTGTAGGCAGTGGCAACAAGTTATGCCCGGCTACCACTGCGTCGAAGAGAACGGTGGCGTACGATCCGGTACGCTACGCCAGCAATCAACCTACCTCGCTTGGCTGTAGGATCCTGCCATAATCTCGGTTGACGCTTATGCCGATCAAGGTATGCTTGCGTCGCTATCGCTTTGTACCCGTGAAAAATGTCATCTTTTGCGGTTCGAATGCCATAGGATGCCTCTATGCCCGCCGAATCTCATAAATGCAATCAGGTACGAGGTGTCTCGTTGACAATGGCACTCATGTACGCGATTTGGAGGTCCAGCCCTCGTAGCCCTGAGTAGTCAGTGACCCGATTGGCATTAGTTCGACGCCTAAAAGATCTAGTGGATTGCCTGGGACTCAATCTCAAATCACCTAAACTCAAGCGCCACATTCGCCGCTATACAAGAGGCTTGCTCAAGAGCCGTATGTACCGGGCTTTCTCTCCGAACCCCTGTCTGCTTTAACCCGACCACTTTTTAAAGCCTCGACAGGCGACCCACTGCTCACATAGTGCTCGCATCGATCGTTGCCACGATCCAACATTCACAGCAGAGTATTCCTCGAGAACCGATCTCAGTCACGAAACAATATCCACCATTCCATCGAAAGTACCCACCGGCTCTCGCCTTTGGCCTATGGCACCCATCGCACCACGACTTCCGCTGCTCACCGTCGCCAGCGAAATGCGTCTGCCCTGAGAATGTCATCACAGGACGCGCGAGAGACTCTACCATCATGGAATGTATTACGATCGAGCGAAGCTCAGCGGTGCTGCAAACTACAGCCGTATAGAATGAGCGAGGAATTCCACAAAGCTGCGACGTGGCCGGGACGTTTGGAGATCTAAGAGCTTCGGGCACATCCTACATACATCACCATAATTCGCGCATGGTTTGCAACGAACCCCCTGAGACCAGTCATCCCTGCCCCTGTCCAGATGTGCGATACCACTCGTTACCGGGCCCGCTCGTTCGCGTGTTACCACCGAGTCGTATCTCCCACCCTGTCACGCGACTCTCGCCCGGCTGTCGTGGGTGCTTCTCCACGTCTGGGCAAACCCCATGTTCTATTGGGACATCTGTCGCGATTGGCATGTGCGCTGTTGGCCAATACGACGGAGGGCTTCTTGCAATAGCTTCTTCGCACATGTCGCGCAAGATGCGGAAGTGACCGCATTTCGTCCACGTTATCAAGTTGGCGTAGCACATTGTGTCTTCGCGAGCGCGGATAGCGACGGCTAGGCTTGAACTCCCGTGAGCCTGCTTCCAATCTCTTTCATTGAGTCTGGACAGTCTCTGGTGTTGTTGAGCGCTGTTCAACGACCTCGTCAGCTTGAGGCCCACATTATAGCACAATTGCTGACCTCGAGCAATCGCGTATTGTCGTTCCTTGTCTTGCCGCCAGGTCGAGGCAACTCTACGCTGTGAACAGGGTGCTTGCACACACAGCGACTGATGAGTATACTTTTGCTGTCGCAGTCGAAACCTCCCAACAGCAGTGCTCTGCCGACTAACAGTAGTAGCTAAGCGCACCGGCATATGCGCGTCTCACACCGGAGTCAACCCGAATGGCTTCAGCTCCACCTGAGTGCAGACTGATGGTGATCCTACCACTTCTCATGGTGGTGCGCCGTTGGTCCGCAAAGATTTTCGTGCATCCAGATTTGCATAACAAGACCTAGATTGTGGAACCTTCATACTAACAGATTTCAACCGCAAATTAAATGATAGTCTCGACTCGCAGGTAGACTCCTGGACAAGAAATTCATTGTGAGAATAATGCAGGCTTGACGTTGCGTTCAGGTTATCATATGTTCAGCCAGCTCGTATTCATCTTCATCGGAATACCTATCTTCAAGTTCAATGGGTGAAGATGCATCGCATTCATGAATATCCTGAAAATTTGTCCCAGCGATGTCGCCGGATCTGTAGACCGGGAAGGGATTACGGTGAGAAGGTTTGTGTGTGAATATGTTCTCTTTAGAGCCTTGAGATTCAGCTTCAGCATCAGCGTCGCGAACTTCGTTAACACATGCAAGCACATTTGAGTATTCTTCGACATTTCTGTTCCAAAAGTGACTTTGAGTACGCGCGCTCTTTGCCCTTGAGAATGTTTACGGCGAGCTATCATCTGGATGTTGTCTCTACTCACTACAAGTTGCGACACTTTTTTGTGATCGACGAGGCTTAGGCGAAGACATTTTATCCACGCTCTACGCATTGATCTCATCGCTTCCGCCCATCACTGTCGGGCAATACAGAAGGACACATGATGCTGGATCATGTGGCCTGCCTCGATTGCCCGAGAAGCTAGCATGGTGATCACACGGGTGCCGACGCCCCTGGTGGCCGAGAGGTCATACCCCTACGGAGCAATACTAATGCAACTCGTCGTCCACCATGGACTTTGCCTGTCGATAATACGGACAGCTGTTGCACCATCTCAAATGACGTCCATCCTCATACATCAGGGGCAGTCTACAGGCCGTTAAAGAGGGCCATCGCAAATATTGCAGATCTGGCAGAACACATCAGCTTTTGCTTTACAAGAAGAGTGCTCCAAACATACAGTAGGAGCGTCCAGCTCATGTAGGAGGTACTGGCACCCGAATCGCCACCGCTGCCTCCAGTACTATTGGAACTGCTGGTCTCATTTGCGCTGCCTGATCCATTGTCGTCGCTTGAAGTCGTATTGCTGGAAGTCGTATTGCCTGTGGAAGTGGAAGTGTTGCCGGCCGCGTCGTTCCTCAGAGTCGCCTGCAGACAGCCCACCGTCTCATTCGTTGCAGGATTGTTGAGGATGAATTGGAAATACGCTTTGGGATCAGACTCGGTGTAGACGTCGTCTGGGATGTCGTTGAAACCGTCTTGTGGCACGGTCTGGTCAGACACGAGAGCTAGTTGACCTGCACTTGCTGGACAGAAGCCGGCGGACTGAGTCGACAAGCACGGGTCTATAGTAGACTTGAATCTTCGTATCGAGTCCACGGAGATGACAAAGTCGATGGTCGCATTGCCCGAATAAGTGCTGGTACCAAAAAGGGAATATGCGATCGTGCGGTTGTCTGGCGTGATCGCAACATCAAAGGTCGTAGCCGTGAGTTGGCTGTCTTCTCCGCAAGTGCTGAAAGAGTCGGAGACAAGTGCTCGCTGGGCACTTGAGAAAGAGGCGTATAGGGCGGCTGCCAACCCGACTGTTCGCATGGTGAGAGACATAGTGTGGATGAATGAAGAGCCAGCTTGACAGGGGTTGATCCTGCTTGAAGGAAGCCGATGTATTTATCTGGTTGAAAAGGAGGTTCAACCAAGCCGCGAAGGATCCCACAAGCGCATTCCGGGCGAAACTAGGGAGCGCCTCTCCCAGAAATGGTTGTGGCGTCAGTGCGGCTGAAGCTGCCGATTGAAGCGCATACCTATACTGTACAATGCTCTTCAGCTATATAGCGGTGAATTATCCAAGGCAAGATCTGTCAACAAAGATGGGCTACCTGTGGTGGTGTTGTTTTGGCTATAGAACCCAGCTACCGGAAAGGGAGGGGTTGGTCTTACTAAGATATTATGTAATTAATGCACTAGAACTAGATAGTGGCATAATGTGGGGCGGGTGACTTCACTTCGACTTCGTCTCCCAATTTCAACGCAGCCTGGCCAATGCATCGCTGTCACAACTCCTATGGGGGCTGCTCCAGGCACCAGTCGTACTCATATTGAGTACGCGCCAGCTTTTACACCGGTCTCCTTTTTCAAACACTTGCCATGGCGAACGGCAGTATGCTTTCTAGTTTGAGAGATCTCTTCAGTGGGTCTCGCAAGGCCCAGCATCCATCTGTCATTCCTATTCTCGGCCAATTTGCAACGACTGCCCACGTCTTGCAAATTGTACCAGAGACCGGTCTTTTGGAGCTTATCATTCCCATGAGAGCCCTGAGACCACGATTTTCGCCAATCATGTCGCAACAGAGCAGTCTCGATATCAGCTTGCCTCCGTCACACTGAACATTGGCGACGGCGAACATCCCAGTCACTTTCTTGACGATGTCGCCGCCTGCGCGAATAGATGGCTTTGCGAGTACCGAAAAGAGATGCCGCAGGAAGATACTGCTTGTGCTCTCGAGGACTCTTTGCGCTCTGCTGTACTTGATGTCACCCGCGAGAGGTCGAGCAGGAGGAAGTCGAGCAACGCTACTCAGCAATTTCCTGTTTTTGTGGTTCGAATAAATCGAACAAGCCCTGGGAAAATCGAGACTGATGCCGAGCTCACGAGCTTTCCACCTTGAGTGTCACAACTCTTGCACTGAGACCACTCTTTTGATGCAATTTAGCTCGACTACATCGAGACTGGAAAGTCGCCTCGGCGACCAGATGCCGCCAAAGACATTTGCAGCAGCGAGCGGCGTCCCTCTTTTTAAAGGGCGAGATTGATGAAAGCATCAATCGTCTTGGTACCTGTACCATCCTTCAGGCAGGGGATCGCCGACGAAAATGCCGCAAAGAGACTGTGTCCTCGCCCACGACTGCCACCTGCCTCGCCATATCTTCTTGATACGGATCGTTTGTTCGCTGCTCCATTCGGTCATTCGGACTGCGTGTCGATACAATAAGTCGTTCGAACCAGAATGTCGACCTTGCAGACGGTACCACGACGCGACGCACACTTGTATCGGGAGAAGCATGTTCAGAGCAGTGAGCGGCTGCGAAGGCCCTGGCCTCATAGCGTAATCGATAGACATAGCTAATGACGTCGCCGCCGAAATCTCCCCTTGCTCGGCATCTGACACGTCCCGGTCAGGAAAGAAGACTCCGCTGACTTTGTGAGCTGTCATCACCGCCTGAACTATGCTGCAGATAAGGAGTCGGTATAAGAAGTATCTGGTAGCAAGTTGGAAGGCTTCTATTGAATCGAATTCCATCGCCATGCCTAACGGAGAGGTATATCGTTCCTCCAGGCGATCGATAACGGAGCTGTTAGCTTCAACAACGTCTTGGATCCAGAAGTCCGCCTCTGTGGTATACAGCTGTTCGGCTAGCTCAACAACATCTGTCATGAGCTCGAGGTCATCTGGATTTTCCCGTAATGTTCTCACTCCGAGAACGAGTCGCGGAAGTTTGATGAGAAGCTCTTCGACCAAGCACAAAGCTTTGCTTACGTCTGGAGGCCCATCGAGAGAGACGTGTGGCCTAACGACATTTTCGAGGGGAGAGACCTGGCCCCAGAGGATGGACGAGATAATCTTCCAGTCCATCAGCAGCCGATCAACACACATCAGAAGCTTCTCTCACCTCATCGACGCATATCATGCTGACGATACTCTGGACCACCTGATTCTTGGTTTGAGTCGCCAAGTTTCCTTCGAGCAGCTTACGAGCTCCTAATAGATGAGGAATATGCCGCCAAGACCCGTGCTCGATAAAGCGCTGCGCCGATTGTCAGAATCGGACCTCCTTGAGTGAGCTACGAACTTACTTCTGCAGACCAATGCAGCATCACTGCCACAAGCAGTCTCTGCTTCTGTTCGTCACTCGTACAAGACTCTATGTCCGATTGCAGGCTCTTGATGGCCATTATCCCGGTCTGTCTCACTCGCCTAAGGCTATGCTGATCATGTCCACTTTGGAATGTGAGCATGCTTTCGAGGGCGTATTGGGACGCGAGTTCCAAGGATGCGTTATCGCCAGGATTGGAAGACCATGCGAACTTTACCCAGATGCCAAAAGGGTTGAGCTGCAGAGCTTTATAGCCAAACACAGACACTCCTCTCGCAACGTGCTCGGTCTGGGGGCATAGCAGAGGAGGCGGCAGTGAAAGCAGCCTTGCCGAATCGAATGTCAGGGATTCCCCTTCGCCCACGGCAGCTCTCTTGTGGCGCTTGCACTTCAGCCTTGCCCCTTTTGTGGCGGTGCGAACTGGTATGTCTATATCACCTATGAGGATATCGCTTGTCTTCGGCTGAATATCGTCCTGCGAGACGAATGTTGAATCCACGACTGGATAACGGCATGGCCGGCGTTTGATGCTACACGCAGAGCAAACCGGCCGTCTCTCGTCACACTGAATCTGCCTGAGCCCCGCGAAATACAATGTGAAGCACTCTTGGCATGCATACCTTGATCTTCCGCCTTCTACACGTCTCGCATTTTCCATGTTTGGTCATCGCGCCGTACCTGTGCTTGCAGGTGTGTGTCTGTTCTGGTAAGCGTTGCGCCAGATGGCATCCAGGTCGCATTCCTTGGGGTCTTGGAAGGACATGGTCATATATAAAGTGGCTGCCCACATCTATCGGCTCGCACACGCAGGCTGCAGACTACTGGAGCTGAAGAGCAGGCGGAGTTTTCCAATCCTTAGGAGAGCTCCGTAGCGCACTTTCGGGACCAAAATGCGAGAAATAGCTCGGTGCAGCTTTACGATTGACGACTTTCAGCAACCACGGTTCTGTCGCCAACACGTCGTGTTAGACATAAACTCTCGACCGCCTCCGTCACCTAGCCACGGCAGTTGACGGCTGCCTCATTTTCCGGACCAGGCTGCCATTCTTGGAACGCCTCAAGGGAGCTACAACCTTTCCCTTTGTCATCAGCTGAAAACATGACCTCCCGCTGCGCTCTCGATTCCGGATCAAGTTACAACACGCGGCAATTTGTACTCTGCTGAAAGCTGACTCACAAGCCTGAATATGCACGAAGCCGATCGGTGTTTAGATCTAGCCAATTTTCGCCCTCCAGGACCGACGGTGAAGAACTTTACGGAGGCTGAGTGGCTGCATCGCTGTCATGTATAGATCGGCAGGAGCGACGGGCATATACGCTCTCGGTGTCTGCCAAAATTGCCGTCTTCGACTATGGAGCTGTCAGTCCAATGCTTTCTACCACAAAGTTCGTGATCATGCCGTTGCAAGAGGCAATTTGGCGACTCTCGGCACCATCGACTCACTTATGTTGCATTGCCCGCGCACATACTCCAGAACATTGGTAATCCAATAACCCAGGCTACCTGTATCCAACCTCTCCCTGAATTTGCCATCGTAGATAACGGCCAGATAACTTTCAGCAGATCGGTCAGCTTGGTCACTGTGGTCTTGACAGCGGCTTGGCAGATTACTCGATGAGCCTGATGGTAGACAACGACGTTGTGGTGGGCATCAGCACATTGCAAGATGAATGCTACGCGTGGAACGGTCAGCATGGAGGCAGCATGCTACGAGAAATTGCTGCCGGCAGGGTCTTCTCGTCTTCTGGACCGAATTGGAGACCTATGTGCCTTTGAAAGATGACTGAAGCCATGAGAAGAGGAAACACTTCGCAGCCGCCGAAACCTTGGGTTGCTTCGACCTGCATAGGATGGGCCCTCTAACTCGGCATCATATCAAGAATCAATACTCCAAGAGGACCACTGTGAGATGGTGTGTCTCCAGCCACAAGCAGTACCAAGAGGAGATCGACAGCAGTGCTCAGGCATTCTGCAGCAAAGCATCAGACCACTATGCAGCCACGCCACTGCGTGTATGAAGCAGAACGTAGCAGTCATCGCAGTCACAGAACGAATATAGAGAGTGGTTTGGAGCTCAAGATCTAGTGAACGCAAGTCCAGCGAGGAGTACGACGCCTGGACCCTTACAGTAGACATCCATGACGTTGCCTGCATGACGAACGCATCATTATCTCCGGAAGGATTATGCGATATAAATGTTGGTTGAGAATATCAGCGTCAAGTCACGTCCAGAACACAATGATATCCGCAAGAAGCCTCGCCAGCCTTGCGTTGGCTATCCCTGCGCTAGCGATACCGCCGCCAGACTTTGGCTTCCCAGAAGCGCCAAACGACACGGCGCTCGCGGTCCGATTCCAGAACCCAAATGTTCTCGTCCAAGAAGCAGCGCTCTATGGCATTGGCATCACACAGAATGCCCCATCCCTAAGCGTCAACACAAGCGACTACCAGTCCCTCGCCGACTACAATGGGAACTATACTGTTCTGATGGTGGACCCAGATGCTTCCTACCCACAGAATCCCAACCGACGTTTTATCCTTCACTGGATGCAGGCGAACTTAGCGCAGTCCAGTAACGCTACCAGCAACGCTACCCTTGGAGGCCGTGCACTGCAGAATTCGACTGCACCGGTCGTTCCGTACATGCGGCCATCCCCACCTACCAACTCGAGTGCCCACCGGTACATTATTTACGCATTCCAGCAGCCATCGAACTTCTCGGTGCCTCCGCAGTGGTCTGGGCTATCAGGGATGAACAGGACAAATTTCAACCTGACCAACTTCATCTCTGATGCCAGACTCGGCACACCGGCAGCGGCGAACTACTTCTACGTCTCGAATCAGACTTCCGTGCCCGCGAACTTCACAGCTGCACCTGGAGGGAGTTACCCAGGCGGTAACGGAGACGCTGTAACGTCTGGCGATCCTTACAGTCAGTCTACAACATCAACCTCGTCAGGGGCTAGCTCTTCGGCAGCCACTTTTACAGGAACCTCCTCTTCAGCAGGCACTACATCAGGAGCCCCTCCAGTAGGAGCCGGTGCGTCGGGGACTAGTCCTGCAGGGACTACTGGCTCCAGCAGTTCTACGAGCAGTGCAGCTGCTGCAGCGATGATCACAGGGGCTGGGAGTCTCTTGGGTGCAGGCATCGTTGGTATGGCGGCCTTTTTGTAGTTTTTTGCCGTGGTGTCATCCTTTGATCAGTATGAGATGAGGCTAGTGTAGGAGTTGATTGATCATAGCTTCAGATAATAACAACCATTCGCTAATGTGCACCGAAAAAGCCACCGCTCATTTCATCATCACAAGCATTGCACAGGAGACCGAAGTGAAGTCGCGAAAAGAGTACCGTTCAAATAAAGTTATCTGATCAAGCCCCTATTCCGGCCTCCTCGCATGTATGAACACATGCGGTTCGGGCCTCGTCTCCTCCTCAGCACAAATCCCAGCATCCTTAGCCCTGGGATGAAACGACTCCTCTTCATGATGCTCGACAACAAACCCAGCCGCCCGAACAGCATCCAAAAGTTTCGGCGTATCCAGACTAGACGAGATGATATCTCGGGCCATCCACCTCGTCGGCCAGTGCTCCTTGTCGACCGGCACAGTGCCGAAGACCAGAAGCCCGCCTGGTCTGAGCCATTTGAATGCGGTTGGGAAGAAGTCCCGGATATCTTGCTGAGACATGCCGATTAAGTGGCTGAAGTACGCGATCTCCGCATCGTATGGCAGCTCAGACGGAGAAGGTTCCCACGCTCTCGAGTCGGAGACATAGAACGTGCCATCAGGGACTTGAGCCCGGGCACTCTCGATCATAGCCGGAGCGGCGTCGACGCCGGTGACTTTATGGCCTGCTTTGACGAGCATCTCGCAAGCTGGTCTGCCCGTGCCGCAGCCGATGTCAACTACTTTAGATCCTTGTGGCAGCTGGGAGATCAGGAGCTTGAGTGAGCGGATGTGGGCTGGAGCATGGTATCCAAAGGCGTCTTGATATGCCGGTCCGATGTTCTGGAAGAGGTCCTCGGCGGTGCGGTATGGGTCTGCGGCATTTGATGAAGAGACCTTTTGGGCCGACATGGTATGCTTCGAACTCTCAGCTAACGAGAAGGGTTGTCTTAGGTGACTTAGAAGTCTCCAATGGTCTCAGAGAAGGTAGCAATCATCGAGCTTTCTCACAGCAATGAAGTGGTTGCTGAGGTACAAAATATCTGTGTCAGCTTATAGCTGTGCCGCGATGACCAAAGTATACAGAAGTCCCCACTGGAGATCAGTTGTTAGTTTTCCACTAAAGGAAGCCTAGCGGCGAGATGGTTTCCTAGTATGGCATCTACAGCCTTCCAGTAGAGGCAAGCCTGGAGAGTAGATCTAGCTGGCAGTGCTGGTTAGAATCGTTTGAAGGTGTTACACATGCCTGACACTCTTTGTGACAGCATCGAAGATTATGTTATGGAGACTTTGACCATCCGGCAGAGGTTTTACTCTTTAAAACAGTAATTGCCTGTGAAAGAATCATCGATCGTCACTCATTCGTTCTTCAGTGCCTTCGAAATCCTAATCCGCATTCTTCGCAACTTTGACTTGTACATCCTCCACCTCCTCCAACGCATTCCCCTCGCCATCTTCTTGCTCTCCGGAACGAGCAACCAGCCTGATCAAGAGGACCATGCAAGGCATTGTCAACGCTAAAACAGCGCAGTTCACAAAGAAAGGTATCCGTTTATCGTTGCCGCTGGCAGAGTTGATGCCGTAGGAGACAGCCTGCGATTCATTAGCAATGATTCATGCGACTGAAAAGCAGCTTGTGCGCAGAACAATTCCAGGCCGTAGTTCGAACTGTCAAAACCGCTTGCAAATGTGCTCGAACCTAAACTTCTTCCACATACCTGACCAGCAGTCTCAAAAGCGCGAAACAGCCCTCCCGTCCGCGACGAGCTCTGCATATCCGTCGCCAAGCACCCAAGACACCAGTACAAGCACAGCTGCGTCCAGTAGCCCGTGACAAAGATGATGAGGTATGGTAGATAAGCTTCCGCCCATCGTCTCGTGTCACTCTTATAGTCCAGAGCGACGGTTCTTTGGCCGCACTTCCCGTACTCGATGCCTATCCAGATGAAACAGGCGATTTGGGGGACGAGCCAGCACAGGAATGAGATCCAGGCTCGGCGGCCTCGGGACCAGCGTTTTGTGTCGAGGAGCTTGCCGTATGCGATTACGAGGGGGATTACGACTGATGCTGTGTGGAGGGGTTAGTTCGTTATGGGGGCAAGGCGGTCGGTTGTGGTACTCACGGACGAGAAGCGATGATAGAGCGCGAGCTCTGACGCTGAAGTGGAGTGACAGGTAAGCTCCCATTGTGCCACCGTAGAAGAAGGAGTAGAAGGCTGGGAAGAACACGAGCCATGTCTCGAAGGGAGTCAGCACACCGTATTGAAACGGAGTTTCTGGACCAGCGACTTGCCTTCTTATGAAACAAATGCTGCTTCAGAGCGCTAAACTCCTGCTTCCAAGAGATGATCTCCGACATTAGGACCTTTGTTCCATCTCGACGTCGTACCTTGTTAGTCTGCGAGAGCAAGAAAGCCTATACGACCCCTGAGTATTCTGCATCCTGTTAGCGGGACCCTGAGCACTCTCGACCGACTTATTCCAATCTTACCGAATCCAACGAAGATGAGGTACGTAGACCAGGCAATGCCTCCGGCTGACGAATCCTTGTAGTTGGTCGAAAAGTTGATCGCTCCGCCAATCACGCTCCCTGAGTTTCGTATGGCTGACCAGATACCTGGGTGAAATACATTAGTATCAATTTGATTATTCTTCAATCGCCGTGACTCACCGAGATAGAACCCTCTATCGTCCTAAGGAGGATACGACAACATCGCCGTAGTCTCTGCAACGTACAAGAAGCCTGAGGCAATGCCACTAATCACCTTCATTTCGTCAACTCAGTTACCAAGTACACGTTTTCGACAAATACCGTACCTGGGACGCAAGAAGATACGCATCAACACTATATCTCGCACTGACATAGTACGCCGACCCCGTCAAGGGCATGACGACCGCCGCAATCATGCAAGACCACTTGATGCCAAACTTGTTGATCAGCGGACCGCCGAACAGCGTCGTAGCACAGCCCATGGCGTAGTTGAGCGCTGTCGCCAGGTTCGCGAGATAAGGGGTCGAAAGACCTCCGCCGCCGAGATTGGTGATAGCGTCGGACATGGCGGGACCTAGAACTGTCAGTATGTTGGAACTGCCTCAAGTCTTTTAGGTGTCTTACCGACGAGTGAGAGTCTGTGAATCGATGTGGTGTTAGTAAGACTTCAAGGCTTCGACAAGGGGAACAACGTACGCTCCGAACAAAACTATCTGAAAAAGGACACTTCGGTAGAACGTCCTAGTGCTCCAATTCGAGAAGTAGGAGTGCTTCACGACCTCAGTCTGAGATCCTACACCAATATCGGCGTTGCCATTCGACTCGAGTCCCGCATCGTCAACCGCAGCACCGCCGACCTTCTTGTCGTGTCCGTCGTCCTTAGTAGCTATAACTTCGTACTTCCTCAACAATCAACAACAAAGAAGGCGAAGCACGTTTTCGAGGTAGGACATCAATCGCTATAACCTATCTATGGAGGTTTCAGTGGACATGGGTTCACTTTGCCCGTGGGCAGCCAAGCCCGATAAGAGATAGCTCGCAGCCAAGGGGTTGGGCCAAGATAGATATCTATGCTCCGAATAGACCACATTTTTTATTCAGTTGCTTGAAACAGTGGGGATAAGCTTCGATAGGATAGATTGATGCAGATACCTTACGGTCCCCCAGATTGCCGGCATGCAGGCTGGGCCGGCCAGGCTGATAAGTTGGCCTATTTCCACTCATCGCCCAAAGGTTCGGCGGAGGTCTGGCACGCCGTTGACGGTTAGTCAATGCATACGACCAGTTTTGGCTGGGGCAATTGAGACGGCAGCTGCTGAAGAAACGGGTTCGTGATCGTCTTTGCTAGATAGCTTGATCTTCGGTCACTGTATCGATTCAATGTCTGGAGTCACTGTGGCGAGGTAGCAGACAGTCGTTCTACTCCAAGTGCTGACAGACCTGCGCTCGACCATCATATCTTCGGCTTACTCCTCTCATCACAGCAAAAAGCCTTCACCGCACTCATCTCACACTTCTCCTTATAAGCCTTCGCCAGCGCACCAACATCGGCAGTTCTCAGCAAACGCTCGACCCGCTCCGGGGTTGCATGAAAGGGCGCCAGCAAGGGCGGATAATTCGCGACCAGCGAAGGCGGTTTCTGTTCGAATTTGAGCGCCTCAAGGACCTTGGGGACGTTGTGGGCTGCGGAGAGCAGGATTCGAGGCATCCCTGTTATTTCGTTAGCTTGAGGTGTGGGATTTTGAAGTATCGTGTTTCTTACCGTGGCCAGCGAAACCGGCAGCCATCCAATGTCCTTCGCGGTTGGGCACGGGGCCCACGAAGGGGAAGGAGTCGATTACGGATGTTTCCACTGGGAGTGGAATCAGCAAGTTGGACTTACTTTGGAACGAAAACGTTCACTTACTTCCAGTCCAGCAACCACCGTCATCAACATCCCTTGCAAGCTCTGGCAGACTTGAAGTCGGCCAGTCCGCAACATCTGAGGTTGGCCAAGATTGGAAGAAGTCGGCGATTCCTGGGACTTGCTTATCTTCTTCATCGTTCGGGAAACAAGCCTCTGGCATGTGGACAGTATATTGTCTCCCTCCGCCGAGAATGACGGCATTATAAGGGGAAGGTAGTTGAAGGTGGTAGTTCTGATGGAGTCAGAAACATCGCTTATCAAAGGGCAAGGAAGGCGTGACTCACGTTCACTGATTGATCCCAGTGTTGAGCACCGGTATGTTTAATGAATCCCTCGGGAGCCTTGATAGCAGCGAGTGTGGCCCTTTCCCCCAGGATGAGCTTGCTGAACTCGGGGAGCAGATGGGAAGCCCATCTGTTGGTTGTGTGGATAACTGTTCGGGCTCGCAATTCTCCTCGATCAGTGGTGATAGTGATCCAGCCGTTAGCATCTCTCTCGGAAATGCTTTTCGCGGGCGTGTGAGCTTGAAGATTCAAATTGCCAGCCTCAAGCACTATTCTGAGGATTGCGTGAACGAACTTGTAAGGCCAGCTTTCCAGGAGTGTCAGCGTGTTCCAACAAGGTGTAACCTACGCAACAACTCACATCTGCCCAGCCGGATGCGTAATCGCAGCAAGAGCGCCCTTCATCTGCGAGAACTCCTCCGCACCGGCAGCATCCTCAATGAGCTTGATAAGCTTGAAAAACTCATCGTCCTCGCCATGATCCTGCCTCATGGCCTCATAATTGCCTCTAAGCCTCGTCCAAGCCTCCTCAGTCATCGCAGCGTCGAAAGTCTCACCAAACTTCAAGCACACTTCCTCGGTAATGCCTTCCTGCTCGGCGAGTTCTTTGAAAGCTGATAGATGTGCCATTTCGTGGCGGATCAACTCGATGGCACCTTCCGCGCCGAATCGCTCCTTCCAGGGAAGATATCGAGAGTATGCGTGGGGTCTTAGTTGACCGCCTGTGGAATTCATGAGTATCTTCTCAACGGGAAGGCAACATTGGAGTTTCATGCACACCATTACGGCCAGTAGCAGATCCACAGATATCACGAGCCTCCAGCATCACCATCTGGGGTTTCTTTGCGCTGCTTTCGGTGTACTTTGAACTCTTTGGTCAGTCTATGACATTTAGGCAATCCGAATATGGAGTCAACCAACCTTATGAATCCAATATGCAGTCGATGCACCAGCATACCCGCTACCAACGATTGCAATATCACATTCTTGCGGCAACTCCTCAGTAGACCTAAAGTCTCGCAGCGGAGACTCCGCAGCTTCAATCCAGTATGATTTCGTGGGGTTGGCAACGGGTAAAACCATGATTCGTAGTTTCGATGGCAATCTCAGTGGTTGTAAAGCACTATGTAAACCTGTCAATACCAAGAACGATGTGAGTTTGGTGTTGTGCATGTGAAGAGGACGCCCCTGAGCACGTATTCGATCGATCCTTGGCCGAGATCTGGCCGCTGATCAAGATCCCTGCTTGCTTAGCCTATCTTGGATATTGATGGAGATAGGCTTGGGATCAGAACAATAGAATGTTGTAATGCAGTCGCTGCTTGAGTATTGTATGATTGCTGTTGCTACATTGGACGAGTCAACAGTGCGTGCATCCGTACCTCAATACAAACCTTCCACGAGCTGCTTCACACGATCAAATACAGGCCCGGACTCCTGTCTGGTGGCCAACTTGGTGATGATCGGAACCTGGTCCTTCCCAACACCCTTCTCGGTCAAGGTCGTCTTCAAGCCCAAGTCTTCTACGAGTTTTAAGACGGCATCGCCAACAGCAACCCCATCCTTCGTGTCGTCGCCACTCTTGGTCAAACCAATATAAGGCGCCATGCGCGCGAGTTGCTCGGCGTCTTCTTTCGAGCTTTCAGCCTTCAACTTGACCACATGTCCAAGCGTCAAACATGAAGTAATTCCGTGTGGAATCTGGTAAGGTGAACCTAGGGCATACCCCAAGGCATGCGAAAGGCCAAGGGCGCCTTTGATATTCAAAGCCAGGAAACCAAGTGATGCGAACGCAGCCAGCTGGAGTCTAGTAATGACATCTTCATCCTTGGGGTTCTGCTTGTACTTGCGCAGGTTGGTGAAAAGCTCTCCAGCTGCATATAGAGCCATCTGGCGACATGGCATTTCGGTCGAGGTTGGATGGTACATGAGCTCCATGGCGTGGTCCATCGAGCGTAGGCCAGTGCTCATGAAGAGCCATTCAGGCGTATCGAGCGCGAACTTGGGGTCGTAAAGAATGACATGTGGAGCTAACTCAGGGTGCGCAACACCTTCAGTGGTGTCAGTCTGGTAACCTCCCCTTCCACTGTTATTGTATCTTACCTGTTTTCATTCCTTCCTCGTTGGTATAGCCAGCACCCAGCGTGCATTCAGCTGCACTAAGAGTAGTTGGAATCGTGATGTGATGCAAGAACTTGCCCTTCTTCTTCTCGCTCAGACGATATGAAATCGCCTTCGCTGAGTCGATAGGAGAACCTCCGCCAACACTTATAATTGTGTCAATGTTCTCATCTTTCAACACCAGTTCTGTCGCCTCGTCTAACTCTTTGACAGGTGCATGCTGACCGATCTTGCTGAAGGTGCTCGCATGCCTTGACCCAAGCTGCTCTTCAACCTGCTTTATCAAAGACGTCTTGTTTGCCAGCGAACTGCCTGTCAGGACGAAGGCTCGGGACGATTCGGTGGGCAGACATTCCAGGAGATAGTCCTTGACCGTGTTTGGGCCATAGTAAAGTCGTTGGAGATGGGTCGGCTTCCATAGCCCTCGGAGCGGGGTTCTCGACGACTCTACAGCAGTTGATTTGTACCGTCTCTGATGAGAGCTGGTTGGCGGAGTTGGTACTGACCTACGGATGTTGTGACGGAATCGAAGATCTTCGACATGATTGCTGCTAGGTATCGATGAGTACTCGACTCGTTGCGTAGATACAGAGGACGACCGCTCGATTGTTCGTGCCCGAGAGAGAGCTGCTGTAGTTGTAGTGAGACCCCGCTGACGCAATGGCAAGGTTCGGGGAAGACTCTGGAGGTAAGGTAAAGACCGCATTGTATGCACTGTGGCCAGTTGGTTATGGCCGTGTCATGCTACATTCCACGTCGCTATGCGTACTGTATCTCGCATGGGTGAAGCTGTTGGAATAGACGTAGATGTGACGGCGATCCGTTGTTGCCGCAACTGAGAAAGAGTGGGGCTCCGTGAGTGACCTACCTGAGGTGAGTGAATGTAGCTTGCCGGCATCCCGCACGGCAGACAAATCGAGTCAGCGCTCCAAGGTCATCAACGCGTCGACATGGTCTCGAGAATGTCAATGTTGTTGCCGAAGAACTTGATGCTGGGAGGACACACTCATGCACTCATCCTGCCAGAAGCGAGGAGCATCATGCGATCCCTGCTCGTCTGACGTCGCCTTCTTCTTCCAGCATCAACAACATCGGAGCAACCACTGCAACAAAACTCTTCATCACCAATCCACCCCGCTACTGGACACGCAGCGCATGACTTCGACGTCAGCCCTTGGAAATCGGAGACTGGGCGACATTGCTCGTCTTCGCGCCTTGCTTCGTGTACATATGCAGCGTCCAGCTGAAGAGGCGTTCGACAAGGACGCCATGCCCAGACACCCACCACTGTTCGCATCCAGTGGCAAGGATTCGGTCCAGGCTGAAGAGATATGCATACAGCTCGTGCCCACGGATCTGTTCCAGCCGCCGCCGGTCTGAGACACAGGTGAGGTGAATGTCGTGCTGCCCACGCGACACATTCCCACATCGGGTCTTCGTCCGAAGCCTATCCAAACCACCCCGTACACCATTCGCACCACCACTCGTCTATCGCTTGGAACTTCTGCTAGAGGCGTGCGCTTCAGAGGTGCTTGCAGCAATCGGACAGGCCCATCCACTCTTATCAAACCGCGGACACACTCGAATGCACGAAAGCGCGGCGGAGTCGTGGGCTAGTGGGTCTTGGATGCTTGGCTAGAAAATTTCTTGCTTGGCCTATGCGTGAGGCAACCGACGGCTATTGAAGGGACCAAAACTCCCGACGCCCTCAATTACGTTACGCCCACTCCCTTAGCAGCCACTCGCCCGTGCTACTTAATCAACAACGGGTCATGGGCGAAAAGATTCTGTAGTGCGACCTCGGGGACACGCCCTACGCTCCGATATCTTCAACGACCGGGTTGCCTGCCGTTCTACCTCCCTCTTTCCCCAATCTATCTCAATCTGGTTCTGTCCTTTGAGACGACCTGTGTATTCGCCAGCTGTTGGATAGGAAGAAACAACCAAGCTTTCTGTATCATCGACAGTTTCCCCCTCCCACGCTACACCATACCTATCGACGATCGACACACGGCAGAAAGTCTCTCATCCACTCGAAAGTGACCTTCTGACGAAAGGCCCAAAGCGACATTCCTATACATCCGACAGACACCCCAGAGCGACGATCATCAACGACATCCAGGTCCGGAATCTGTTACCCAGAGCAGCCTTTGAACCCCCCAGAGCGACGTCCATCGATAACAGCCCTACGCGACACTTTACCCACCGATAGGCCAGAGATCCGTGCGAAAGATACTACAGCCAACAGAGAGTGCCCACAGCAACCACGCCCGAAAGCAGCAACACCACCGCCGTTCAACACCGTAATAAAAAGAGTGAAAGACAGCTTACCCTTCAACCAAGCAGCCCCATCGCTCCCGCCGACGATCCCACCACCCCAATGGCCTTCAGCATGGCCAAGGCCGAGGACTACGGCGCCACCGGCATGCACCGACGAGAGTCCAAGATCCCCTACTCGAAAGAAGACTGCCCGCGCAGCTCACGATCCTCCGAACCCGCCGATGACCTCCTCGAAGCGCTTGGATACACGCAGCAACTGGCGCGGTCCAGGTCGACGTTGAGCGTTACGTTCATGTCGTTTGTGCTGGCTTCGGTGCCCTATGGATTGTCCACGACGTTGATCTACCCCTTGACTGGTGGTGGGCCTTCGTGTATCATCTGGGGCTGGGTTGCTGTGTGTCTGTTCATGATCTGTGTCGCCGCTTCGCTGGGTGAGATCACGTCGGTATGTTTGCACCGTATCTGCTTATGAGTAATGTGCTTTTCTTCTTGCGGGACATGAATCCATGGATGTGGTAGAGCTGTTCTGACTCGTCCCGCCCCTGCTCCCCTATTCAAGAAGAATGTGAGCTTACACCAGCGCAGGTCTACCCCCTGGCTGGTGGTGTCTACTACCAGACCTTCATGCTGTGTCCCGTATGGTGCCGTCAACTCGTCGCATGGCTGACCGGATGGGCATTCGTGCTGGGCAACATCATCATCACGCTCTCCGTCAACTTCGGCACCACGCTTTTCCTCATCGGCTGCGTCAACATCTTCCAGGACGGCCAGGGCAATGGTGTCTTCGCCGCCAACGCATGGCAGACCTATCTCATCTTCCTCGCCATCACGCTTCTTTGCAACGCCATCTCCGCATGGGGCAACAGATGGCTTCCGATGCTGGACACCCTCACCGTCATCGGCACCTTCGTCGGCGTCCTCGCGATCATCTGCTGCACGCTCGCCATCGCCGCCGAAGGCCGACGCAGCGCAGCCTGGGCCTTTGGAGGATTCGAAGTCACATCCGGATGGAATCCCCCTGGCTGGGCGTGGTGCGTTGGAATCCTGCACGGCGCCTACGCCACCTCCGCTACCGGCATGGTGGTCTCGATGTGTGAAGAAGTCGAGAAGCCAGCCACGCAAGTTCCAAAAGCGCTCGTCGGTGCGATTGTTCTGAACATGCTTTGCGGCTTGGTCTTCTTGATCCCGCTGTGCTTCGTTCTCCCGGATATCTCCAGCATTATCAACGATCCCTCTGGTCAGCCGATGCCGGCTATCCTGCGCTCAGCTATTGGCAACGAGGCTGGCGCTTTCGTCCTCACTGTTCCTATCATTATCCTGGGCATCCTTTGCGGAGTCTCCTGCACCACCGCCGCTTCGCGCTGCACGTGGGCTTTTGCTAGGTATGTGTTCCTCCAACCGAGTTAAAGTATCTTCTATACTGACATCCACAACAGAGACGGTGCCATCCCAGGCTCGCGCCTACTAAAGTTCGACCAAGTCAACGACAAGATGGGCATCCCCCTAAACTCGATGCTTCTCAGCATGGTCGTCCAAATCCTGCTCGGTCTCATCTATCTCGGTTCCAGCGCCGCGTTCAACGCATTCAACGGCTCCGGTGTCATCTTCCTCACCCTCAGCTACGTCATCCCAGTCGCGGTGTCGTTCTTCACGGGCAGGAAGACCATCGCCTCGGGTAAATTCAATCTTGGTGCTTTCGGTGTCTTCGCGAATGTTGTCTCGATCGGTGAGTGGCATCAATGTCGTCAAAAAAGAGTCCTCGTGCTAATCTCCCTCTAGCATGGTGTCTCTTCGCCATCCCCCTCTTCTCCATGCCCTCCGCACTCCCCGTGGACATGTCCACCATGAACTACGCCTGCGTCGTCTTCGTCGGCGGATTCGCCATCTCCGGTCTCTGGTATTACATCTGGGGACGCAAGAACTACAGCGGACCCAAGGTGACGGAAGTGACCGAGGAGCTCAGGAGAGCGAGCAGGACCAGTGCGACAATGCATATGTGAGATGTCAGTGTTCGATCTGGGTGTTGTGGAGGAGGTTGTTACTTCTTTGTGTATATACCCCGTTTTTCAGCAGGGCGTTATTTTGCAGAAAGTATCGAATGGAATTGAATGATGTTCGGAATGACAACCAAAAGAAAGATCGAGACCCAAAAACGATGCGAGAGGAAGGAAGAGGAGCCCGGAAGAAGAGGAGAGAGACCAATTCAGCACTTCCCCTCACGAATACGTCGTAAACACAGGCGCGCGCGTATCCCGCGATCGTTGGGCGAGGCCCTCGTATACGAAGACTTCTCGCTTCGACGATCGTATTCGCGACCTCGTGGCGGCAAGGATACGGAGTCAAACGAACCGCATCGTACTTCTCTTCCAGATGTGGTTAGCAAAGCCTTTTCGTTTTGCGCCGTGGAACGTCCAGATCACATCGAGATGTCCAAGGTCTTATCAGCCACAATGTTAGGCCATGTTACTGCTGGCGAACTCCGTTGTATCGTCGTTGGTCGAGGACTGCTGTCGTATTTGAGTCTGAGGTTGAGGGAATGGGAGCTGGATTGTTGAGGAGGAGTGACTGCTCAGGGGCTGCGGTTTGATGGCATCTGCATTTCGAAGCACGCGTTTTGATTTGAATGTGGTGATTGTGCTATCATCTCGAGAGATGCTGCTATGTAGGCGGAAGATCGTAGTTGAAAACTCATGGATGAGATGAAGTGCGATGTTTGCTCCTGCCCTTTGCTGCTGCTCCCCCTGACACATTCGGACTTGCCGCTTCCAAATCTTAACTTCAGCTCACAAATACAACTCTCTGCCCGGAAGACTCTACGAGACTCTTCAGGCGGCCACTGTACGTTCTGGTGGTGTGTGAAAGAAACTCTGCGACAGCCAGGAAACTTCTTGTTTGCAACCGAACGAGACAAGACAGGTCAGAGCAAACAACCCCCAAACCCCCCATAAAATTATTTCATAACAACCACAAGCATCCGACTCCCCACCAACACCATCCACCATGTCCACCCCCCAACCCCAACCAAGACTCCCTCCCGGCATCGAGCACGCCCTCAACGAAGCCCAACGCACAACCCTCCTCGCCCTCCACGGCCGCCTCGACCGCCTCCTACGCGAAGTCCCCCTAACCGCCACCCAAGAAATCCGACCCCGCGGCCTAAACCTCCTCCTCGCCAGCATCGACGCCGCGACAGACCACGCAGGCCGCATGACCCGAGGCTACAGCGACCGCCTCTTCAACTACGGACTGCAAGGCCTCCGTCGCGTGGCGCTCGCCGTGCAGACGTATTTCGCCGTCCCCGCTACAGAGATCCGATTCGCGCGCTGGGACGTCTACCAAGGCCGCCCACCTCGTCCCCCAGACGACGCTAGCGTCAAAGACCGCTGGCGCTGGGCGATCGCCTGGAATCTGGACATGACGAGCAACACGAGCCTGTGTCTCGGCGCGGCGAGCAGTGTGCTCAAGGACTGTACGCTGCGGGGGCCGACGAATGTCGCGTTCCAGACGGAGGAGGATTTCCCTTGCCCGGCGGTGGAGGAGTATGATGCGGCGTGGAGGGAGGAGTTACGGGGGTATGCGGGGCATGCGCTGTTTGCGCTGGCGCAGTTGTTGAAGGCGAGGTTTGGGGGGAGGGAGGTGGGTGTTTTGGGGTATGAGACGGGGTGAGATGTGAGGCCTTCGGACTGGCCCGGGGTGGTTGATCGCGGGGTTTTGGAGTGGTGAGTTCGAGGGATCACGAGGCGTTCAGGGATGGTCGAGCAATATGGTGCTTCTATGATGGGCAAGGAGTGCTGTCAAACTGGCCCAGGGATGTCGGCAACGACCACCCAGGGCCGGAAAGTTGGTCAAACATGCGCCAACAGCATATGGAGACGAGTAAATAAAGCATCAACAAATTTCTTCAGCCTAAATTTCGTCGTCAGTTGTCAACTCAATGTGAAGAACTCCCAGCGTAAGTTGACATTCACTCACCTAGCCAACGCCAAGAAAGCCACATGATTCCAGCTTCACTAGCGTGTCTCCATCATAAGACATCCAAGCAGATCATCGAACCGTTCCCGATGCTAGCAAGAAGAGAAAGCCGCACGAAAGTAGAGACCGAACGAAAAAACGACCCTTTCCATTTCGAAAACGCTCTCTCCCGCTAATCTCATGCACCGCATAATCATACTCACATCCCTCATTCCCCACCCTTTTCCAGAACAAGCTCAAATGCACATAACGACTTCCCGATTCCGAACAAACGCCACGCCATGCCTCTCTCTCTGTCAAAGAACCACACACTCACTTCCACGCACTTAATCCGGCCCAAGGATCCCCTCCCGCTCCCCCTCCGCTAGCCTGCTGCTGCGTCTGCCCGTTCCTCCTCGGATCCTGCGCGTACCCGCCCGCGCCAGAAGGGTACTGGCTCGCTTGCATGGCGCTGTAGTCTTGGCTCGGGGGTGGACCGGGAGGGGGTGGAGGAGGTTGCCAACCTGGTGGGACGTTCTGTCCGCCGTATTGCGGCTGAGATTGAGGTTGCTGTCCGTACTGCGTTGTCGCTGGTTGCTGGTAGTTGTTGTATTGTTGGTTTGGTGGCGGGGAGAAGTATTGCTGGTGTGCTGGTGGGGATATTGCGCCGTAGGAGGTGGGGTTGTACTGGCTGTTTGAGGGCTGTTGCTGTTGTTGCTGGTAGGTTGGGTATGGAGCCGGTGACTGCATGCCGTTGGATTGGTATCGAGGTGTGATCGGCGGGCTAGTGGCTGGGTTGTAGGTTGCTTGTGATCCGTAGCTTGCTTGGGACTGGATGGGGGCCGGCCGCTGAGTAGAATTTCGCTGGTCGCCAAAGCCAGGTGCAGGCGAGTGTCCAGACGGCCCAGTCGTCGGACTGACACTCATACGTTCCATGAGCTCCTTCAGCCTCGCCTGCTCCCTATCAGCACCGCTCCCTTTCGCAGCTTCAATAGCACCAAGGAGCTGGCCTCCTTCTGATCTCCGGTTCTCCACAAAAGAGTCGACATTCTTCTTCAAGCTGTCGACCGTCTCTTTCATCTCATCGTAGAATTGCTGCGCTCTTGATAAGCCAGCCTGCAGATCCTTGTAGGCTTGGTAGACTTTCCGGTATTTGCTCAAGACGGAATTCCGCTGCCGTGAGAAGGCCTCGTACTTGTTCTGCTCGCCTCGGACCCGCTTGTCTTGTAGCAATTCAGAGTACGTCCGTGTCAGTTCCTTCATAAGGGACTGCTGCTTGTGCACAGCCTGCAGGATTCGGTTCTGGTGCGGCCTGAACTTCTCAAGCTCTGACTTGAATAGCTGACTCTCCTGGTTAGTGATGGCCTTCTTGTTGAGGATGAGCACGTTGCTGATATCGTCGTTGTGTATCTAGTATAATCAGTATGGTCACTATGCTTCAGCAATGTACTACTCACCTTCTCCTTAAGATCCTTCAGCACTTGCGCCCGTTCCCTCTTCACCAACTGGAGCTTATTTAGCAACGTCTCAACCCGCTCAATCTGCTCAGCGACAGATTGCCGACTCTCATCGGCAAAGTCGTCGTCCAGCAGGTTGCCCTCATCACCAGCGCCAGGACTCGTCACGCCCTTCTTCCCAGCACCCGCCTTGATCATCGCCCGTTGATACAGCACATCCGCCTCATCAGTCTCGCCGGCCGATCGCATCTCATCGAGATCAGACTCGTACTGCCTGAACGTGCTGTATAGCTGCGCATCACTCGTCGACGCTTCTTCCACCGCAGATCGATAACTTCTCGCATCGGTCCTTAGAGTCTGCGTCAATCGACTGGAAGGCTGCTGTGTCCATTCCGGCCCGTACTTGCTCCTCATCTTCTCGCACACAGACTCCTCCATATCCAGCTGTTTCATGCTGTTGTCTAAAGTGGACATGATGTTCTGTTTGTCGTCTCGTAGTCGATCGAATACCGGCCCGAACGGACTGTGACCCGCCAGTTCTCCGCACCAATTCCGGAAGTCTTCATCTACGCTCAGAGAATCCTGATCGACGGCTCCTTTGAGGATGTTGAGACTACCAGGTAGCTTGAGGTAGTCTAACGAAGTGGCAAGCTCATCATCCGCCGTCTCCACCCTCTCAGCCTCCGCTCGTACCATCTTCGCCTTCTCCTCATCGTACAGACTCGCACTCTCCGTCACCGACATGGGGACGATTCGCTGGAAAATGTCTGGTCCTATGATCCTCTGGATATCCTGGCCCTGGTAGAGCTCACTGACCGGGATCGCTTTTGCCGCAGGCAGCTTCGGTATGCTGGGGAGATTGGTCTCTGAAGGTACGGGCTGGTGGTAGATCATGTCGTTGTCTCGGTTGTACTCGGCCAGTAATTCCTGTATCGACGCGGTCTGCTTCTTCGTCACATCCACCAATATCGAACCCGTTTCCGAACTGAGGTTGCTGTTAGACGGCACACTTCCTGGGAACGCATTCGCACTCCTGCTAGCCTCCTTGCTGGCATTCGCGGCGGCCTGTAGCCGACTAATGGCTTCGCCGTACTTGTTTGCCTCGTAGTCCGCCACGGCCTGGTAGTATTGCGCCACGCTCGCCATGTGATGTTGCTTGATCTGGACGAAAAGTAGCCAGACACGCTCGAACACCGCTCTTGAAACATTCTCCTGCACGCCATCCACGGCCTGAGCATACAAATACGCCGCCTGCGCCGCCAACTTCGCAATCAACCCAGGCTTCTTCTTGTCCACGACCTGCTTCTCAATAAACACCTCTTGCCCCTGCGCCAGCATGATATTGATCAACGTCTTGACCGTCTCCCGACTCAGATCAGTCGAAGGCGCGTGCAGGAAGTTCTCATTGATGTACGTGAACATGCCCGCACTCGCCTGAAACGAATGATACGCCGTCTTCAACCCAGTATCCTCATGCCGATTCTGATTCGCCGCATGACAGCTCAACACCGCCGAGATATTGAAGATGATGCTCGCCTTCTCATACGCCAGCGAGTACTGGCTCGTAGGCTTATGCGTGAATGCATCAAACCACGTGAAGCTGATCTTGATGTGGTTCTCATCCACCGGGAACCGCAAGTCCAGCAGTTCGAGTTGCCCGTAATACCTGTACAGCAAATCCCTCCCTGCCGCGCTGTCCTTACCAGCTCCTCGCATGTCCTGCCGTAGACGGTTGAGCTGCGCGCACTCGTCATTGTATCGCTCGGGGTCATCGCCGTAGGCGCTGCGGATGTGCTGCTTGATGGGTTGCACCCAGTCAATTTCGTTCGTCTGCTTCAGAGGAGTGCTGATCATGGGGACCGCCATGGCTTGCGCGCTGAGCTGCCTGCTTAGCCCAGGCCGTATAGGCAACATTGGGGGGTTTCGTATGCCTCGAGGTCGGTATATGTAGTTCGAATCGCTTTCTTCCAGCCAGGCAATGGGGACCGACCACGTATGCTCTGCGCTGGGACTCTTAATCTGGATCCTTGCTCTTTTCTTCACCGCGCAGCCATGTGATCGCAAGGCACCCGCAAACGAGATGGGATGAGATCCTGTGCGACGTTTGGCGAATTACGTCCCGTCTGCTTCGTCAGGTTGGCCCCAACTCGCTCGTCCAGATTACACTCGGCCAATACGGTGTTTAACTTCGTGGTATGCTGGTGGTGTGGTACAGTGCGCCCAGAAGCGATATGCATGCAGCATGCACAGTTGAGCAGGCGAGTAGTGGAGGTGACGTTGCTGAGCCCCACGATGCTGGAGACTCGGGAAGCTGGCTGAGGTGGCCGCAGGAACCAGGCCTGCATTTAACTATGTACTTTTCTTCTCAACACGGCGTCTACCTCATTCACTTCAGACACACCACCTTCGTCACCGCTTGCGAGTGTGTCGCAGGAAGACGCCCGAGGCTTAGACCGACCACTCAGCGAGGAGACATGCCTTGGTGACTCGACCTTCGAAGCGCCGGCCATGCTCACACACCTCTCGCCAGTCACGCGGCTACTGGCGCTTGTTAAGCGCGACAGGATACTCTATCAATCACTCGCATCGAAAGAACAACGAGACAGTATTGTCTGAGGGAGTAGCAGTCAGATCGAGCAAACATATTTTCAGCGCCTAACACGAAGGCCAGAGTCGAGATTGTCTAATCAAAGACAAACCACGCAAATACTTTACTGTACACACTCTATACAACTCTTCTTTCTCCTTCTTCTCCGCCGCGAAGTGGTCCTTGTCGTACTCGCAAGCACATACGCAGCCGTCGCGGTCATCCAGAACGCCATCTAATAATGCACAGCCATGCAAGCAAAATCCCGCAAAACTCCATTCTGTACAGATCTTTTATTTTTCTTCACACTCATCCAGACCCGGACCCGGATGCCTTCTTCGGCTCGTCGTCTTGCTGCTCGTTGTTCTTTTGTTGAGGCTTGCCGTCTTGATTCGATTCGTCATGTTGGCCGCTGATGTTGTGCCATAGGTTCTTCAAGAAGCCTTCATTCTTGTGGTCTTCGCCTTTCGAGTCAGGGGTCGAGCTTGAGTTACTCGATGCTGGCGGAGCGTGCTTGAGGTTGTTCAAGTTCATGATCCGCTTCGCACTCTTGTCGCCCATCTCGTCTGCCAGCATCTCCAGGATCGTTCGTTGGTTGACAGACAGGTACTTCGGCATCTGGACCTTGAACTCGACTCGCAGGTCGCCATTGTTGCCGCGTCTTGAGCTCAACTTCTCCATACCCATACCAGGCATTGTGATCTTATCACCAGTGCCTGTTCCAGTAGCAACCTTGACCTTGACCTCCCCATCCAGGGTCGGTACAACGATCTCGCCTCCAAGCACCGCGGTGGTCAGCGGTATGCTGGCAGTGTAAAGAATGTCCGATCCATTCCGCGAGAACTTCGAATCAGGCGCCACGCGAATGAAGACGTAAAGATCTCCCTTCTGTGTACTTGCGCTCGGGTTTGCAGCAGTTCCAGTGGGCGGATAATCTCCTTCTCCCATCACTCGCAGCCTCATCCCATCCTCAACACCTCCAGGAATATCCACCGTGACTGTCCTCTTCTCCCTCACAGCGCCATTTCCTCGACAAGTCCCACACTCACTGCCCTTTGGTACCTGCTGACCAGTCCCACCACACGTACCACACGTACTCGCCATCTGGAATCCTCCTTGCATGAAATGCACCCTTGTACCTGTCCCATCGCAGCTCTTACACGCACTCCTGCTCGCCCCCTTCTTCAACCCACTCCCACTACAAGTCTTACACTGCACGAGCGGCGTAATAACAATATCCTTCTGCACACCCTTCGCAGCATCCATAAAACTGATATTCGTCTGCACCTCAATATTCTCCCCCACCATGGCCTCCTCCTGAAATGGCCCTCCTCTCCTCGCCCTCCTCGCCCCACCGGCCCCAAACGCAGAGAACAAATCCTCGAAATTGAACTCCGCTCCAAACCCTCCTCCTGCACCACCAAACCCTCCAAAGCCACTCGCTCCAGCGAATGGGTTTCCACCAGGCCCTGCTCCAGCGCCACCCGATGGATCAAACCCTCCATTCTGATCGAACGCCGCGGAGCCATACTGATCATACATCTCCTTCTTCTTCGAATCACTCAAAATCTCATACGCCGACTGCGCCTCGGCGAACTTCTCCTTCGCTTTGGGGTCTTTGTTCGTATCGGGGTGATACTTCTTCGCCATGCCATAGTAGGCTTTCTTGATCTCGCCCGAAGAGGCTCCTTTCTCCACTCCTAAGGCTTTGTAGGGATCTTTCGTCGCGAGGGATGGAGATGAGGCGTGAAAGCTTCGGCGCTGCTGTTGTGTCCGTTCATGGTTCGTGCGGCTGTGACTTTGTGTTCTGTATCGGTGGTGGTCGCGTGGTGATGTGTCGGCGAAACTGCGCTGATGGTATGCGCACGTCTGCTGGCGGTCTTGCGGGTATCGATGGGTTGGTCGACTCGCTGCGAGGATCCGCAGAGGCGTCGCCGCCTTTGGTATGAGGGCGGGCGATGCTAAGCTCATCGCGAGGATTAGAGGAATCAATTCACCTTGATGAGTTGAACGTGTGTGTTGTGAACTAGAAATGATTAAAACGAGACACGGGATTCGACGAATGTCGTTGGTCGAGGAAAAGTCTCTGCCGAGGATCATCCGAGCAGCCGTCGAGAACATTCCCGACGAGACGGAACTTTTTCACAACACTGTTCTTGTACAGATTTGGGTATTTGATGAATGATGAAATGTCCATATTGTTAATCTATACCACTTCTTCTATCAAGGAGCCACTCAGAACGCCCCGAAACATGCAACCAAGAAGAGCAGCTTTGCTCGATATCGATAACGCCGAAGTGAAGAGCAAGTCCATATCAACAAATCCCACAGCGATGTCGTTGTTGTCATCCTGGACACCAATGTCCTTCGCCAAACGCCCTTGCCCCCGTATGTCCAAGGCTGTTTCTCATAAAGGTCCAAATTATCGGCCGAATTTTAATGTCATCGCAGTGTAGCAATAGCGCATGGTCGACGGCTATGATTGTTTCCTCGAAGTGCTGGGTGCCGAACGCATCCTAAACGTCTTGTCTGCACGCAAGATCAGCAACGTCCCCAAGACAATGCGAATTGTAGAAGGCTGGATCGAGGAGAACACGTCTCTAACGCACCACAGCTGGGGTGTCTCACCTTGGTTCCGCACTTTGTACACCAACTCAACCACGACATCGATTTCGCTCACAGCCGCACCATTGAAGTTCTTCCGTACTGCTAACGCCAATTGATCTTTAGAAACACGCCTCTGGTCCCTCTTTCGCGCCATTGTGGGTGACTGCCGTCCGATTCCAGGGTTCGTGAGGAGAGCCTGACGTAAAGGCGAGGTGAAGGCTGCTGGCGTGGAGAGGTTATGGGAGACACGGTAGGTATTGAGGAGTTGTATCGATGCCCTGTTCCATTCCATCTGGTGAACAGACTCATCAGCACTGTCTCGAAAGGTCGTAGAGATATCCTGCCACTCACTCCTGTTCCTTGACTTGGTTGTGCAGCCTGTCCAACATCCGCATTGATAAGGGCCACCTCTTTCAGACTACTACCGCCATTCTGTTGCGCCGCTGCTCCGTTATTCTTCCTGCTCCTCGCGTGTGCTGCTGCGGCGACCTGACGTTCTCGTACACTGGCAGCATCGGCTTTCGCGTCGAGCGATTTGGCTGGCGGCATGGTTGCGTGTGCTATCTCTGGATACGGTGATCAACAGACTGCGTTGGAGGAAGTTTATCTATCATCGCGACGAGGTCTGTGAAAGAGGATTCGAGAAGCACGACAGTAGTTGAGGATCAAAGAACGATTCACTCGAGCTCGACTTCTCCTCAGCAGACACGCGACTGGACTTGAGCTCGGCTCCGGATCTCTGACGTCGTCCCTGCAGCGGAAGGATCCGTGGCGAGAACTCTATTTCTTTGACCACACCTCGAGGTTGCTTCTGCTGCCATGCTCCGTCAACGCGTGTCGTGGTTTTTGCGATCTTCTCTAAAAATGGGCTGTTCTTCATGACGTCCCGCGGGCTCTGATATTATGTCTTCCTCAATCCCTTTCAAGACTAAATTTCTCATGGTTGGGCACTCAGACCTGTGCAGGCCATTACCGACCGTCAGATATTGTCCTTGTCAAGGTCAATTCGACTGACCTGTTATATCAGCGTGGCATGTGCTCTATATTGTTGAAGCTATGCACATATATATGGTGAAATTGAATGGACAGGTATAAACATTGTTGGCTGCTGGCGAGCTCTGCCAGGCTTCACTCTCTCCTCCCACCGCAAATGATACGATCACATGCAAGCCCAACGCTAGCGTCACGGCCTGAGCGGGACGAAACAATTCCCGCCCTGTGGGGCAGCATGTGCGCTCTCACGCCGGCACAATATTTAAGAGACGAATTCTTCTGTTGCCTCCGTCCCTTCTACAACCACACACCAACATCAAGCAAAGCTATTCGGACATTCCCTTGCCTGCTTCCTCCTTCTCTGGTCATCCAAGCCTCCAGAGCTCAACAAGGCTTCTGCCCTGAGCATTGAAGCTCCTGAGGAGAGTGACGTACAGGAGCTACATCACTACGAAGTTCAGGCTCTTCGACATCTTGACCGAACTTTGCAACCAATTGGTAAGACGTTCTTTTGATTTCGGTGGTCTCTTTGAGCGGTTCAGAGGCTAGACAGCTTTTCACGTGGAGAAGATTATCATCTGAAGCAGGCAGCTGCTATTGTCGATTTGACAATCACAGGCTGCCACTTCAGAAGCATTGGGCAAGCCGCTGGGCTCTTACTTACAGACTTCAAGGTCACTCTACTCATACTCTAACATCAACACACAGCCCCAAAACTGACTTTCAGACTTTGATCCATCCAGACCTCGCTATTCAGCATGGCACATTACCACGGCCTCTCGGCGTCGCGCTGGGCGGATCCTCCTAACAACGACCAGTCGAACTCGCTCCTCAGCTCTACCACTCCAAACTTCCAACTCGACGGAGCCGAGATGGAGATGAAGCGATACCAGACTACTCCACGAATAACGGGCTTGCAAGAGGTGCAGAGGTATATCGTCGGCATGGACGTCTCACATACGAGCGATATGGTCCACATGCATCGTCTCACCAACCAGAACACCCAGGACATCCAAGAGATTCGGATGGTGTTCAAGAACGACATGACTACTCTGGAGCGGAAAATCAGAGAGCTCGAGCTGAGCAAGTCGAGGGACAGCTCTCCTGCGCCAGAGTACACGATGAGGAACTTCGACTACTCTCCGACTGAGGATATGCTGAACAACTTCAGCACTGACGAGCTTGTGAAGGCGTACAGGCTGGAGGCAGATGAGAGGGAGGAGGTGGCTTTGCGACTCCGTCAGCAAGCAGCAGCTCTGGGCGGTGAAGTCTACTCCGTGCCTCAGAGAAAGCTGTTTGAGGAGAATCCGGGCACATCGACGGAGCCAGTGTCAACGCCTGCCGCGTTCGCTTGCTGCGATCAAGCCTACGACTCCATCGAAGAGCTGGTCGACCACGTCCAGAAGACACACTGTAGCTCCCTCCAAACCCAAGCCTCGACGAGTGCAGAGCCTCGGGATACTTTGGCAAACACCCCTACTCATCGTCCAGCTCGTACTGTGCAGATCAAGGCCCCCGAGGAACCCTTGCCAGTGACTCCAGCTAGCAAGGTGGATTCAGTCCTCGAAGGTTCGACCTCGAACAAGGTCAATGAAGCACCACCAAACCCCGCTTCAGCGCCAAAATGGTCTCCAGTCACAGTCCGGAACATGTTACCCATCACTTTCGACATACCAGATCACAAGGAGACCTTCACCTTCCAATTCCTCCACGATAACCTTGGCGGTTCTTTCTGGTCATCGGGATTTTACTTCGAGAGCGGGGACTCCATACTCCCTAGCAAGGCCTACTGGATTCTCGACCACGACCGCGAGCCATTCATCCCACAGTCACTAGGTCAGCATGGTGCAAAGCTTACGGCGTTCTTCAATGAGACGCCAACCGAACACGCGCCAATGCCAGACAACTACATGAACTGTCCGGTCTTCATCAAGGAGGATGGAGCGAATCAGTATCGATATTACGGCAACTACAGCCAGACGCGATACTCCGACAAGGTTGGCTACGACTCGCTGATCGACCACATTCCAGAGCGCACTCTACGTCAATGGGCAGACCACCTCAGTGAGACAGGTCGTCCAGAGTGGGTCACTCGTGCGTTGCAGAAGCACTTCTGGCCTCAGCCTGAATACGAAGGACCCTTCCCAACCGACTCCGCCATCAACACCCCAGCAACAGCAGCCACAGGCGGAGACAGCGGTGCTGGCGGCACTGAGCGTCGTGTCACAAACGCCCTCCACGAATACGCCAAGGAGTCGAAAGACTGGCAGAAGGAATCACGCATGCACACCAGCATGCTCACCTCGGATGCCATCTTCAACGCCTTCAAGAACCCAGACTCGGACGTCGAGCCCGGTCTTCGTCTCTGGTGGGAGTACCTCGAGTGCACCAACTACGACACGGGCTTCTATGACATGCTCGTCAAGATCAAGAAGAACCCCATGAAGCTGGCCAAGCGAAATGGTATCAAGAGGACTGTGGCCCGACCAGCTCCCCCTTCAACCTACACCAATCCCAACCCAACTCCAACCGTGGACGACATCGAAACCCTCCCCACCCTCGACGACACGATCCCCCACGATGACGCCCCCATCGAGCTCGACCCCGTCCACCCACCACCCCCAAACCCCAAGCAACTCCAACGTGAGCAATGGGCCAGTTTCAACCTCACCGAGGCCGAAGCACAGGCCAAGAAGTCCACGACGTTCGTCAAGCCCAGCTTCAATAACCCGCAGCTGAAAAGCGCGAATGCGCATCTGAGGAAGGCGGACATGGAGGCGAAGAAGTCGGCGGCGGTGGCGTTTAGGAAGGATAAGAGTCATACGCATGGGGTGAGGCCGTGGGAGACGAAGGGGAAGGAGAGTGCTGCGGAGACTGCTTCGGGTTGGGGTGGTCAGGCTGCGTCGAATCCTTGGGGGCCGGAGCCGAAGGAGAGCGGTGGGTTGGCGCCGAATCCATCGGAGATCAAGGACAAGGAGGCCAGTGGTGGAGCTCCGGCAGGATGGGATGGCGTGGGCGATATGAAGGCTGCGAAGGAGTTCAACAACGAGGTCCAAGATGGGCGGTCGTTGCGAGTCGGCAAGGGGAAGAACGGTGTTCCTCCCCATGCGAGAGCCAAGTGAAAGACGTGAGAGGAGAGATGTACCATTAGCGGACCAGACGACACGACCATTATGAGATCCAAGAATGACACAAAAGTTGACTTCTTACTTTTTCATCATTGTTAGCTACCTGCGCTGATATATCGTATTCGGCGGTTAGCTACATATAGCGTAATTACTGGCAGAAACGACGGCAACGATTTATGCCGTACCAGTCAGTGTCCCTATCCCAAACTCCTCGTGTATGCACAACGCCTCGATCCCACAGTGTCTCCACCTGACGCCTCATTCTCCCTGCCCAATCGCATTTCACTTGCTCAAAGCCACTCTTACAATCGCAGACCCAGCCTCCTAGGACCGAAGTACAGCAAACCGCCAATGCCCGTGAACGCCAAGCCAATCCACCACAATCTGTCCGCGTTGATCATGTGAGCCATATCAACCGCCTGCTTTTGCTCAAAGTTCAGCTTCCAATTGATTGGCGCCTCTTGACTAAGACCTCTCTTCGATTTGCCCGTCGCAGTGGCGCTTGCGGTAGTGGGGTTCAGGGTCGTAGTAGGAAGCATCTCGGGCGGCGAGTAGACGAGGTACATAGGTTGCATGGGCGTGCCGTCGAATTCGTAGAGGTTCAGGCGAGGGATACCGTGGTAGGGGTCGGTGAGGACTTCGTATTGCTGTGGTTGTGCGATCAGCGTCTACACCTTCCTGGGCTCTGACTCTTGAAATATGCCCTTACCTTGAACAGCTCAGACTGGTTGTATCGTGTGTAAATACCCTTTTCATAGTCACAGGGTTTGCTGAGAAGTTGTCGGCCGTCCACCGCAATTGGTGTCAGACTCAGACTGCCATTCGCATTCATGACCCAACCGCCGTGCTGCCATTGCATGATACCCCCGGGACACGCAGGGTTTTGAGGGTTTGCGATAGCGCGGTAGTAGGCTTCCTCGTAGTGGCCGTCACTCGTGAAGGAGTAGGAAATGCCTGTTCGGTCAGGCTCGATGAATTTGTCGTTGAGCGGGTCGTAGAATCCCTGTGTCTATGTCAGAAGGTGTCGCGTGCCCAACAACTTTGAATTTGACATACCGGTCCAGTGAGTGTCTTGTTTGACTTCGTAGACCAGGTGCCAATGAGGTTAGTCGGCCATGTTTGAGCGTTGGAGAGTGATGCCACGGAGAGGAAGGTGGCCAGGGAGTAGTAGAGCAGCATTGTCGCGGTGGGTGGATACTATCGCCGAATGCGCGGGCAAAGGAGTGTAAAAGCGAGTGACTGGAGTGCGAGCGATAGCGATCTGGTGTGGTGTGTGTCTCGTGGGTGTTGTCTTGTGAGGTTGAAGTTGTTGAAGAGAGGGTCGCGATTGCGACTACTCCCTAGAATAGAATCGGCCGCAGACGGCCGCAATTCCGCGTCGCCACTACGTCGAACTTTGCCAGTCCCGACTACACACGAAACGTTCTACAACATCGGAATGGCTTGCAGCAGGGTGGAAAATCGAATTGTCATGAGACTATGATATCGCCGCGATTCTCTCTCTCAATCCATCCCCGTCGTTTCTTGAGCCCTCAAAGCATTCGCCATACCCGAAATATGGCTTCTCACGGGAAATCAGAAGCGCAGGAAGCCAAGAAGGTGCAGCGTGCTGCCTTCAAGACGAGGCTGTCAGCACTGAGTGACGATGAAGTCAATGTCCAATCCGAGAAAGCGCAAGAAGTCATACTTTCACTCCCTCAGTTTCAACAAGCCAAGCGAGTTGGCATATACTTGTCAATGCCAACAGCCGAAGCACAGACTGACAGACTGGTACGACACGCGCTTGAGAATGACAAGAAAGTCTTCGTGCCTTACATCTATCCTGTTGGAAATGAGAAGGCGAAGAAGAAAATCATGGACATGCTGCGTCTGGAGTCGATCAAAGACTACGAGAGCCTGGAGAGAGACTCCTGGGGCATTCCCAAGCTGCCAAAGGAAGGGAGAGAAGTGAGGGAGAATGCCATGGGCGGTGTTGGTCTTTCACTCAGCAGCGAGGGTGCACACAAGGAAGGCATAGAATTGGCCGGTCTTGACTTGATCGTTGTGCCCGCTGTTGCGTTTGATCGAGACATGAACAGAATGGGGCACGGAGCTGGTTTCTATGACCATTACCTTTCGCGCTTTTGCTCGGGTGGGAAACGCACGAAGCCTTTCCTCGGTGGGTCATATAACGCTGAGCGCAATGCTGCTCCCCAAGCTGACCTGCAGTGCAGTCGGGCTTTGCCTCGCAGAGCAGATCATCGGACCAGGCCAACTGATTATGCAGGAATGGGACTGGAAGGTTGACGCTGTCGCCGTCGGAGATGGGAGCTTGCTGACTTCGGAAGATACCCAATGAGCATTGCATTTCAGCTACATGGGAGTGTTTGGGCTACTCACTTCTGTAGCGTGTTCATCCTCCCCATTCCACCTTCGCATCTCGTCGTTTGAGGCCCTGAGAGGTGGCTGGAGGTGGCTGCGGCCTCTCTCGTTCGTGCTTTGGTGCAAGTCTTCGTCCATGTTCGTCACGTACTCCTTCTTATCTCTCCATCTCAGTCCAGACTCTGAATGAGGCACACATTGTCTCCCTTGAGCAGGATTTGTCCTATAGCTTGTTAGCACACCGTCCTTGTCTATTTCCGCGTCTTTGCTCACCCAGCTCTCTTCTGGCATCCTTCACATCGGCCTCTGTCTGTCCCTTTCCTGGCTGCTTGACCTCCACCGCCTCGTCGATGACGAGGTTCATGAACTCGTCGAATCCTCTGATCTTGCCTTCAATGCGAATGCCCAACTGCTCGAATAGCCAAATCTGCACTGTGTTGCGTTGTTGCAGGAGCTTGAAGATGAAGTTGATGGGAGGAAGAAGGACCTTCCGCTGACCACCACCGCCGCGACCCGTCATGTTTGCTTAGACTTTTGCGTGGAAGATGAAGGAGTTGCTGTGTCTTTCAGTCTCAGACTGGGATGTGGAGAGATCGGTTTGTCGTCGCTGGTGCTCGTGGCGTCGCGTGCTTTATTCGTGGGTTGCCGTTCGCTCGCTGAGTATGGCTTTTTCCGACCCGTAGAAGGCTATTCTGTACTCGTCACAAGGTTTTGTCGCGAAGATGCTGTCGCAGTTGCTTGAAAGTTCATGCGCTCCGCCAAAGCCAAAATCAGCGGGCCGCACCCGCCAACGTCGCTGCCGTGGGTCGTCACAAGCCAACTTTTGCTTCGTTGCTGCGCTGCTCTTTCAATCAACACCCAAGCAAACACGAGACCGCCGTATTTTACCTCTCGCACACCGACCCAATCACTACAACAATCGACTCGGCTCACTCAGCGATGCTCACACCCATATTGAACCTGGAGCGTGACATCTGAAACAACAGCACAACCCCACCACTCGAACCCAGCATGGCGACGGCAGCGACCATGAACGGCGCCCAGCAGGCCTTTGCGCCTGTTCTCTCAGCGCTGGCGACCATGTCTAGCAACGTGGACCGGTCGCAGAAGAGTCAAGCACATACCTACCTCGAGCAGTTCCAGAAGTCCTCAGAGGCCTGGACCTCCACTTTTGCTATACTGCAATCGTATGACGCCACAGACGAGGCGAAGTTGTTTGCGGCAACGACGTTGAAGGGAAAGGTATGGTAAGCTTGTCGGGTTGTGGTTTGGGAGGCTCAACTGATTTCACTAGATTGTTTTCGATTTTCATCAACTGCCCCGCGAATCGCTGCCGCAATTACGAGACACACTGCTCTCAGTGGTAGCAACCTATGCCAAAGGCCCTAAACCCATACGCACACAGCTATGTGTCTGTCTCGCAAACCTGGCCATCCTTATGCTGGATTGGAAGGAGGTCCTGCAAACGGTCGTGTCTGCGTTGGGTAGTGACCAGGCAGGCATATCGTGCGTTTTGGAGTTCTTGCACGTATTGCCAGAAGAGGTGACAGAGGGTCGGAAGATCAATTTGGCAGAAGACGAATTGCAGAAGCGGCAGGTTGAGCTCTTGGAAGAGAATGGACAGCATGTGTTGCGCCTGCTCGTGCAGTATGCATCCTCCTCGCCCGAGGCACAGAAGAACCCGCAGCTCATGGAGTGCATTACATCCTGGATACGAGAGGTCCCACTCAACGACATCGTCAACTCGCCATTGATGGACGTGGTGATGACGGCTGTGCAGTCGGAGACCTCGTTCGATGCAGCAGTGGAGACTTTATGCGCAGTGTTCAAAGAGACACGGGAGGTGGACGAGAACATGGACACGATCAAAGTCTTGTTCCCACGACTCGCTCAGCTCAAGCCTCGGATACAGGCGTGCGCAGATGAGGAAGACTGGGAGACACTAAAGGGCGTCACGCGTGTTTTCGCTGAAGCAGGTGAAGCCTGGGTGATACTCATCGCACGGCAACCGGTTGATTTCCGCCCTCTCGTCGAATCTGTTCTGGAATGTTGTTTGCGCGACAAGGACCGTGAGGCGTTGCACCAAACCTTCAACTTCTGGTATGAACTCAAGCAGTACATCACCTTGGAGCGGTATATGGAGGCACGACTACAGTACGTCGACGTCTACTCAGCTCTCGTCGATATCATGATCCGGCACCTGCAGTATCCTAAGCCAGAGGACGGCAACGACGCCGATCTCTTCGATGGTGACCGAGAAGCTGAGGACCGATTCCGCGAATTCAGACATCAGCTCGGCGACGTGCTCAAAGATTGCTGCGAGGTTATTGGCGTGACAGAATGTCTTCAGAAGAGCTATGTGCTCATCGAGAAGTGGGTTAGCCAATACGGGTCCCAGGCGAGCGCAGGCAACGTACCCAATTGGCAAGAACTTGAGGCTCCGCTGTTTAGCATGCGAGCTATGGGCCGTCAAGTTCCACCAGACGAGAATATCATGCTACCGCGGCTCATTCCTCTCATTGTTCAGATCCCAGAGCAAGAGAAGGTGCGGTTTCAAGCTGTCATGGCGCTGGGTCGATACACTGAGTGGACAGCACAACACCCAGACACTCTGCAAGACCAGCTCAACTTCATCATGGGTGCTTTCCAGCACCCTTCAAAAGAGGTCGTTCGGGCGGCTGCACTGAGCTTCAAATTCTTCTGCAACGACTGTGCCGATCTGCTCAAGGGCTACATGCCGCAAATCCAGCAATTCTACGAGGCAAACCTGGAGGCACTACCATCAACCAGTCAGGAGGAGACCACCGAAGGTGTTGCTTCTGTTCTTGCGAAGCAGCCACTCGAGACACTCTACCAATCGATGAAGCTGTGCTGCGACCCGATTGTGAAGCGCTTGATGAGCATGGCCAATGCTGCAACAGACAAAGAGCAGAAGCTAGCCATTGCAGACCATCTCAACCTCCTTACGATCTTCATACAGTGGGTCACGCCATACGTCGAGCCTTCGAAAGATCATCCGGCGGTGAAGTACTGCGGAGAGATATTTGGCACGCTTGCAACGATCTGCGAAGCCTTCATCGACTTCGTTCCCATCGTTGAGCGCGTGTGTAGGTGTTGGAGGTACATCGTCCTCTCATACCGCATCCACACTGCTCCACTACTACCGCAGCTCGCCGAGAAGTTGTCCGCGGGCTTCACTGCCAGCCGCCAAGGGTGCTTCCTCTGGGCTACTGACAGCATCGTGCGAGAGTTTTCAGACGTTTCTGATTACGTCTCCCGCGAGACCACTGATCAGATCTACGTCTTCTACGAGTCTCAGGCCACCACCTTCCTGCGTGCGCTGAACGACCTTCCACCGGAAGACCTTCCCGATGTCATCGAGGACTTCTTCAGATTGTCGACCGATGTCCTGCTCTACCATCCCAACAAGATCGTGGCATCCTCGCTCATGTCGTCGATTCTATCCGCCGCCTCGACCGCCCTGACGCTTCTCAAGGAAGAGCCGCTGATCGCTACCCTGCACTTCCTGCGCGACTTCTTGGCCTACGGATCGGACGAGGCGCCGCCATCTGGCTTCGACCCCAATGACGGCACCTACAAGCTTCAAGCCAACCCACCTCAAGTAAGGGACACTGTTCGCAAACTCATCGTAGACGAAGGCGAGAACATCGTCCAACGCTGCATGACCGGCATGATGTACACCTTCCCACAAGACTGCTTCCCTGACGCATCAGGCGTGCTGCTCGCCATGTTTCAGCTCATGCCGAGAGAGGTCGGGCAGTGGGTAGCCAAGACCGTGCAGATGCTACCCCAGGGTAGCATTGCACCTCAAGAGCAAGAGCGGTTGTTGAGGAATATCCAGCAGCGAATCGATAGCGGAGAGATTAGGAAAGTGCGCACTTTGCTGCAAGACTTTACCAACAGCTATCGCCGGCGGAATGTCGCGCCAAGAGAGGGCCTGGGTAGATTGGAGGCTACGAAGTTTAGGTTTTCTGGGTAGAGGGCACGAAAAAGCGTATGCGACACGAGGGACGAGAGACGACGGATGAGGAACGAGCGTGGCGTGTGGGGTGTTGTTGAGATGGGATTGCGGTTCTGTGGCGAAACGAATGACTCGGCAGTGTGCCGCAGCTTGCTGTTTCCGGGGTGGATGCGCGGGTGGGATTCATCGTTGCATCGTAAAAAAAGGCATCACGGCCAGGATGGAGGACATCGGCGGTGTGAAGAGCGGTAAAAACTTTAGATTCAGGATTATAGGCACCAGGGCCTGGGCGGAGGGATTATCTAGCTTTAGCTCGAAAGCGAGGGGGTATGTAGAATAGAAGTGAATGAATTTGTGCTTCTTTACTCTTCTTCTTTACATTCTGGTCTTCGGAGTCTTTGCCTGTCCGTACTAATGGAAGAAAAGATAAAGTTCATTCGGCTCAAGACTGTGGTTCACATGATTCTCGCAGCAATTGAAGATCTTCTGCGAAGGAAAGAGGGAGAAAGGAAGAATCGAAGTGGTTTTAGAAACAAGCAGACTCAATCTGCCAACAAATAGTGGGTATCTAGCATTGAATCGTAAAATGTACAGTGGCAAGGATCCGAGCGACTTCGTCGAATGAGCTGCGGTCATTGAATGGCGCAGCGACTGGCAGGGAAGTTCCAACAACCATGATCAGCGACGTCGTCCCGGCTCAGGGACTGAGGACCGTAGTCGTCCAAAGAGATTCGCGGTTCAGATTGCTTGTGACGCTTGGGTGGCAGCGACGAAGGTCTCGCCTTCGGCACGGGCTTCTCTTGGACGACGATAGCATGACCCTGAGAGACGACAGGGTCGTTGAGCATCGTGGCGACAGCTGTGTGAGGGAGGTTATTACTGGACCGCGGTCATCTGTTGAGGAGCTCGAGCGCACTCTTGAATGCCTCGACGACCTTGACATCTGTGGGGGAGCTCAGTATGCATGTCTCTCTCGATGTGAGGCTCAGATACATACAGTGCTGCCGTTTGTTCTCCAGCTCTTCCTCCTCGTGCCCGACGTATGTGAATTGCGTCTTCAATCTGAAATCCAGTGCGTTAGTCTGATGTAGCCGAATCAATGGTAGCAAGTAATGTCTTACCGCTTGTAGCTTCGATCAGTATCTTTCTCGCTGCCGGCTTTCGCCCATGTGTTGAAGTACTTTTCAGCGTTAGTAGATGAAGATTTTGCGTTGTTCAGAATGATACGCACGTTCACGAGAGCAGCGAAGTCATGGAGAATTTGCTGCTCCTTCACACTGAAATCATGCATCTTATCGTGGTATCGTCGTGCAAGGCCGTCCCAGTCGAAACCTTCGATGCGATCTTGCGGCTCATCGTGGCCCTCTGAGTCGGACGCATCGGCCTCTCTTTCTTCGTTCTCTGTTGCAGATGGTTTGGCAGGCTTAGTGCCGGATGCCGATTCCGGACGAGGTATCTGAGAACCCTGCCCAGACCGTGGTAGCTGTTGCGACTGCGTCGGGGTAGTAGATGGCCCCGGTGCCGCTTTCCAAGCCTTCGCCGCATAGGCCTCTGTCTGTGAGTCTGACTGCTTGATCGATTGAGAGTCAATCGAGATGTCATCCTTGCCCTGAGCAAGTGGAGCAAGATCAGCATCAGGTGCCTGGAAGCCTGCAGCAGAATGCGGGTCGTCGTGCATCTCGTCGACGGAACGTTTTCTCGATGCCGACGCTGGAACAGATGGTGGGCCCATCTTCTTGTTCTGCTGCTTTTTCATTGCTGGCGGCGGTGAGCTTGGCGGCGTGTGAGTGACAGACTCGCTTGGACGACCTAGACCTCCAGTCTTGATGTTTTGTGCGTTCTCTTCGCCGCTCATTGTATTTTGGAGTGGTCTAGAAGAAGAGGTGAGGTGGGAAAGTGAGCGGGAAGCCACGGCGCGTCGCGCGTGAGCACGGGCCAAGCGGGATCGCGTCGTCGCATGCTCGCTATCTCATGACGGAACCTCTTCCATCTGCACATTTCTCGACTTCTACTCTGTACCACGCAAGCACCCTCTGACAACCGACGACAGCAAACGTCACCATGTCGCCTATCTGATATTATCAGCCTCATCGTCCAGATCTGCGATCCCCACCCAAGCTACTTCGTCACGATGCTCAGGCAGCATCACTTTCTCGATCTCATAAATTTCTGTGAAGTGGCGGCGACGAAGAAGTGAAGATGGAGTGCGATATATGCATGCGAGACTTCGGGGGCAGGCGACAACCTCTCTGTGTTTCCTGCGCTCATGCGAAACTCTACGGGCCTCGAGTGCAGCAGGCTGGCGCTCTCCTCGAGCGAGAACATTCACACCGACACGCCGATGCAGTGATCCGACCTGGAAATGATGGCGTGTTGGCTGCACTGCCGGAGGATGTTGACTTTGACGCTATCACTGCGGGTATGAAGAAACACAGTCACGATCGAGCCCAAGCCGAGCGCCAGTCGACCGAGAATCGAGTCAACGCCATCGTGAACAAAGCCGAGGAGTTGAAGAGCGAGATGCAGGCTTACAAGAGCAAGACTGAGATGCAAAAGGAGGACCTCGAACGTCGTCGCAAAGTCCTTGCAACTGAACGTCAAGAGCACGAGAAGCAGAAGCCCAGGACCATAGAGCCTGTCCAGACTGTGACCAGCAAGACTTCGCAAAGATTGGAGAGAACACACAACCGGATCGTGGACTGCAGAGTTCTCCTGTGTCGCGAAGCAGCAACCTCGAGCAACCTCCAGCGTCGGAAGGGCGCCAAGGGCAGATCCGAATATACCTTGGGTGGGCTCGTTGTCCCTGACTTGAGGGAACTCAACATCAGAACTCAGCCCTCCAACAAGGCTGCGTCTGTTGGTGGTAGAACAGTCGCAGAACCCCACGACTTGGTCTCTGAAGCACTCGACAACGTGGCCCGTCTTGTCAATCTGACGGCTCACTACCTTTCGGTGCGACTGCCTGCAGAAATCATTCTCCCACACGAGGACTTTCCCCGCGCAGTGATCATGACAGAGAAGTCGTCATACAAGTTCAAGAAAGTGCCATTTCCAGGCGTCTCTGGCAGTCAATCGTCAAGTCCCGCAGCCTCGCGCATCATCGACCAGAATCAGCCAAGACCTAGAATGCTTTGGCTAGATCGGCCGCTATCGCAGCTGGTAAAAGATGACCCGAAGGCGTACGGCCTCTTCGTTGAAGGTGTGACGCTTTTGGCGTGGGACATTGCTTGGCTCTGTAAGACGCAGGGTGTTGAAAGTATCACCACGTTTGAGGACATTTGCTCGATGGGCAAGAACTTGTATCAGCTTCTTGTATCTCCAAGTCGTAAATCAAACCACAAGGGCGCTGATCAAGACGAGAAAGCCAGAGAGGCACGGCTCGGTATTTTCTCACACGGCACAGCAAGGCACAATATTGCCAGTTCCGAGGGTCTCGACCTTTTCAAGGAGTGGAAGATGCCCTCCACGTCTCGGCTGGCCGATAAACTAAGATCATACCTTTTGACTGAGATATCTGGAGCTGAATGGGACCTATTGGAAGAAAGAGAATGGGACGAGGAACGAGAAGACGAGAAGCCAGTACTCGTCGGTGGGTCTAGACGACCTCAAGAATCGAAGCATGTTGCAATGAGTGTTATGACTGTCGCTCCTCGCGAAGATGATGACGCCTCCGATTGGAAGCAAAAGGGCAATAACGGCTGGATGAAAGTTAGAGGAAGGAATCAGGCTTCCTAAACAATATCAATAACGACTCAAGTCTGCATGCGCTACCAATCATTATGGACTACATCGCACATCGGCTGTCAGGTAGGGACGAGAACACATTTCTATTACCCGCTAACCTCTATACCCAAGTAGAATACTACTATTCATCCTCTCACCAACCCCTCCAGCTCCCTCTGCGTCCAGTTCCACAACTCTCCCGCCAATTTCTCATCCTTTCCCTGCGTCGTCGACGGCACCGTCAACTTCCCAATCGGCTCATAGTACCCGCCATTCATCAACTTCCCCTTGTCGCACGTTGCCGCCCAACACTGCGCATAATGCCCCTCCTCGACCGGGGTCCTCCTCCCCAAACTCATCAAAAGCGGCGGCAGCGCCGTCAAAAGCGGCAACCCATCGAACAACCCCGTCATAATGAACCCGGGGTGTACAGACACAGACGTAATGCTCGGGTGATGCTTCGCGATCTCCTTCGAGTACAAAAGCTGCGCGACTTTGGATTGTCCGTATCGCGACCAACGAGGGCCAGGGATCATGCCACCGAGGTTCGCCTGCGAAGTCTTGAGGCTGGCGAAGTCGACGCCGTTGGAGGGCGCTTGTTTGTAGGCTACTGAGGTCAAGTTGACGATGCGGACGTCGGAGCCGGGGTTCTTTGCGGTCTCTTCCATCAGCGGCATCAGCAGCTTCACGAGCAATGCGTGTCCGAGATGGTTCGTCGCAAACTGGATCTCATACCCCTCTGGACTTGTCGACGCGGGCGTTGCCATGATCCCCGCGTTCAGCATCAAGTTATCTAGCCTCTCCGCCTGGGCCTTGAACGTGTTGGCAGCTTCTTGGACGGATGTGAGCGAGGCGATGTCGCATTTTATGAACGTCACGGGGACGTTTGGGCTGGTCTTGCGCACGCGGGCGATGAGCTCGTTGGCTTTGGGTTGGTTTCGTCCGCTGAAGAAGATGTGTGCGGGTTGGTGTTTGGAGAGTTCGAGGATGCTGCCGGCGCCGAGACCTGCGGTTCCACCGGTGATGAAGAGGACCTTGCCTTCGAGGGAGGGGATGTCCTTGGCTGGGTTGAAGGTCTGCGTGGGCATTGTGGTTGTTGGTCGATTGATTGTTGGGAATAGGCGTTTGTTATGTTGTGATTTGTCCTTCGAGTTGAAGCAAAGCTGCTTTCCGAATGCTTGGATGTCTTGAGAGTCTTTATTTTTCAGCTTGTTGTTATTCTGAATACCTCCCATCAACCGTCCCCTCACCTGCCTTATATCCTCTTCAATCGTTACACAACATCCTACTCACCTCTCCCCGACGGGACAACATTCAAAGCACCAACGCACGTTCGCCTGCACTCTCTACTCAATGGCTACGGCCGACCTTTGTCTTCGGGAGAAGACTGCCCGACCTGAAGCAGGATGCGGCAGGCACTGCGAGGCGAATGGGCGACGTCACTCGCTAGCGCCCGTTTTCTACGGCCGAAGGATCAGGCTGGGGTTTCGTCACGCTTGTATGCATGACGGTGCAGACAACCCTTGTGCTTACTCACTCGATATTTAATTTGAATGTCTTGGTATAGATATCGATGTTGGGATGTTTGCGTGACTTCGGCAGACGGAGTTCTGGTTGTTTGGAGCCAGGTACGGTCCTGTTTCTTCGAAGATGCTCAGAAAGTGGTGACTTTACCTTCCCACTTGTCGATCTACATTTTCTTCAGTCGAATGGAGTATTGATTCAGGTGAGCTGGCGATCGCCTTTTTCAGGACGAGAAGCATTTCAGTCATATCTCTTAAGCAATCTCAAGACCACCATGCCCACAACTGCATGACCAGCTGATCAGAATGATAGCCTACAGCGGAGATACACTGAGCAGAATACCCCAAACACTCAACCAATCCGATCTTCCACTCCTTAAGCATCAACCCTTCCTCCTCTGCCTCCCTCACACCCTCACCCCTCCCTCTCCCCCGGACAACTAATATCCACCCCCCACACCCCCCTCCAAGTCCCCTCCGCACTCTCAACAAAAACGCCCGGATTCAGATACTCCCCATACAACAAACACGCATGCCTCAACTCCCCCCCTTTCCCGCTATAAAACCCCTCGGGCACAGGAATCTCCCGCCCGCTCAACGCGCTCAGACACTCGTTTCCCTCGCCGTACCCGTAGCACTGCTCGAAGCATTGTTGGGCGAGTTGCGAGGGGGAGCTGGAGGCTGGTGGGGAAGTAGGAGGCGTGGAGGAGGTTGGTGGAGGTGAAGTCGGCGGAGGGTTTGTAGCCGGAGATGGGGCCGTTGGGGTGGTTGTTGTTCTTGGGGTGGGGGAGGGGGTTGGTTTGCGTGCAGTTTTGGGGGATCGGTTTGCCGATTGGGCCGCCTGCGCGTGGGTTGATGGGGTGGGTTGTTGTTAGGGTTGTGAGGAGGAGGGTGACGAGTGGGAGGTGGATGTCCATTGTTAGTTTGAATGAATGAATGAGAATGCCTTGTTCTTCAGTTTGGAGAGTTGAAGTGCATAGGCGGCGCCCGTCCAGGTCATCGGGATTCTTATAATCGGATATGTGAGAGGCAGGACGGAGGAGATGGGGACCTACGACAACCCTGCTTTAGATCTGTAAGGTGCAGTATTAGGAAATGGTACATGTACCTGCATGACGCTTACGGTGTTGCTCTCATTGTTCCTTTGAATGGTCTTGAAGAGTGCAGGTCATTAGCGGTTCCATTGATTTGCAAAAGAACAACTGCCACTCGTTTACCACTTTCTCTGTTATCTCATTACCGATGGTGTCCCTCCATGAAAACCGTCGTCTCTTTGGCATGTGTGTATGTTCTCGTGGCTGGGAGCTGAATGACGGTGCTGTGCAATGCGTTCATCGCTCGAGTGGCAATATGGGCTTTGTGGTTGTCGATTGGTCGGTAGCAAGTCTAAGACCTTGCTCATGGCCAGGATCCGTAACACTGGGGCCTGCGCCTTGCGTCTCAGATCCTTGCGGCACAGAATATCTTCCCGGTACGAGAACATCTTCCCCGCCAATGTCAGATCGGATTTGCTACTGTGAGTAGGTGCTTGGGCGTTTGATTGATGGCTGAATCAACGACCAGTGAAGTCCTTCGTCGCATCGTCCGCCGTGTTGCCAGCTAGCTTTCCAAGGGGGTTCTGGAGCGCACCACCGGCCGCGTTGCTTCCAGTTTGCTTCAGGTCCTTGACGTCCTATACTACGTCAGTTGTCTTCTCCCGGAACGAGAAGTACACCTGGCCATACCTCCTGATCGGAGTCCGGTACCTTGTTAAGCGCATCTTTAGTCAAGTACGACGCCTTGTTCTGAATAATGTCTCGTCAGTCGTTACTCAGCTCGTTCGATGTAACGAAAACGAACCTCGCCCATTGTCTCGAGAGCCTTCTCCTCCATGGCACGCTTGTACTCCTTCGGTATGCCAAAGACAGCAATGTAACCGGCGAAGATTCCGATCACGACAACAGCCGTAGCTGCGATGTAGACTGGTGTCGAAGGCATGGTGTTGTCTGTCGTTTGGTGGTCTCGGTGTTCCGTTGGTTGATGTATTTGTTACTGTTCGTCGTTTGTGATGCTTCGTTTGAGCCAACTTGTAGGTCTGTGTTTTGGTCCAAGGCGTGTGATGTATTTCTGAATCAAAGTAGCACAGGTTTCCAAGATTTTGAGTTCTTGTGATGCACGCGTAACGCGTTATCCACCTCAGTCTTGCACATGCTGCCCCACCAACTGGTGACGTCGGCGGGGCTTCTTGCAGCTGGTTTCACATGGATGGTCGGTCCAGACCTCTTCGCGTACATACACCATCAACTTTGAAGCATTGTGACCAAGTCAACTGACAAGCAATCTTCCGATCAAGTCATTCGTGAGTGCAATCCCTAGCAGCGGCCACTACAACACCTTCCTCGCCAGGCCACCCCATTGCTTTGAAGAGAGCCACCGACTGACAGTCCCTGCAGTCACAAGCAACCATGTCTTACAACGACGGATACGGTGACGAGCGCCGTGGCGGAGGCGGCTATGGCGGTGACGATTATGGCCGCAATGAGGGACGCGAGGAGTATGGCGAGCGTCGTCAAGAAGGGGGCGGTGGATACGGAGGTGGACGTGACGAGTATGGAGGCGGCAGAGATGAATATGGAAGCGGAGGAGGATACGGTCGTCAGGGCAGAGACGACTACGGCGGCGATCGTCCATCTGGAGGCTTTGGTGGAAACGATTCATACGGAGGGAACGACTCCTATGGATCAGGAGGCGGTGGTGGTGGGTATGGACACCAATCCGATCATGGACGTCCAGAGGGCGCGTATTCGGAGGGTCGTAGGCATGGAGAGGGCCATGGTCAATCGAGCGGGACATCCTATGGTGGTGGAGGTGCCTACGGAGGTGCCTCAAATGACTTCTCGGGCGCTGAGCACGAGGCCCGCCAGCATGCAGGAGACTCTGCCGACTCCAACATGTTCGGCCAGGTTCTTGGAATGCTCTCGGGCAAGCATCAAGAAGTGCAGAACGAGCACTTCGATGAGGACGATGCTGTGAGGCAGCACCAAAACTTCTTCGGCCAGGGCGGTGGCAGCGGAGGCCCAGCGAACTCTGGCAACATGGGCTCTGCTGCTGCCATGCAAGCCTTGCACATGTTCAATCAGGGCGGTTCATCTGGAGGAGGAGGTTCACAGAACCAATTCATCGGTGCAGCTATGGGTGAGTCTCGACGGAAGCCGGATTGGAAGATCATCGCTAACGGCATGGACGTACAGGTCAAGCTGCAAAGCTGTTCGATCAACAGAGCGCTCAGGGCAATGTTAGCTCGGGCACTAGCAAGCAGGACGCCGTCGGCAAGGCGGCTCAAATGGCCCTGAAGATGTACATGAAATCTGAGATGGGGGGTTCTGGGGGAGGCTCCGGTGGTGGTATGGGCTCCCTCATGAACCTGGCGAGCAAGTTCTTGAACAAGTAAGAATGGTGCTGTCCTGATCGTGACATCGAGAACTGCAGCGGCGGCATATGGCTCTTGAAGAGGAAACAATCATCTCGAGATTTTCTATGCGGACCGTGGGATTGGGAACGCGGCAGCTGGTATATAGACTCCAAAAGTTTCAGAAAGTCAGCCGGAGGTTGATCGTGAGAACCACGACGTTGTGCAGCCAATTTTCTTTGCAATTCGGGCCTGGCTCCGAACGGCTAGGAGGGCGGCAATCGTGTAGGTGAATGATGTACATGTAGTTGAAGAAGTGAAGTGGTTGTTGTGAGGAAGTTGGACTTCAACGCTTGGCCTCGTCGCGAGGAAGGCACGGTCGCGCTCTCCACCACCACGGTAGCAGCTGCCCGTCATCAATGCTCACCACCCACGCGCGAAGGAAAGAGCGTCTGCCGCCGGGAAGGAACAGGTCGGCCCTCACGAGATGATATTACCACGCGCTGGAGATGCCCGTCCGTGCCGCGAAGAGCAGCAGCAGCAGCAGCAGCAGCAGCGACAGCCAGCACACCGCGCCCGCCCACGCGCCCCATCGCCCGATGATTATGAAAGGAGCACCACCACCCCCCGACTCCCGCGACGACAACATCTCCTTGGCGCCGACTACCGCACGAGTCGTAGTCAACGGCAGCGTGGCGGCCGTCGACAATAATCATGACGACAGTCCGCCGCCCAAGAGGAGACGGCTGAGCATCCGCACCGCCTCCCACAGTAAACACAACCTCAGCCGCCAGACCACCCTCGACGCCTACGCCTTTGCTAAGGGCAGTGCGCCGCAACCGCCGAGCAAGGTCACCGTCCAACAGCCACACGGCCCCCTACTACAAACCATCAATGGCGTCCGCACAACCCTCGACGCCGACGAGGACGAATTGTTACGACCTTCCCCTAAGCCGGAGCGCATCCCGCAGCGAACCTCTCGATCCCCCCACCCTGCACCACCGCAACAGAAACAGGAGGACAAGCGGACACTGAGATCACAGGACGATGGGCCCAGGTTGAAGAGCGAGTTGGCAACATACTTTCCCAATTACGAGGATGTCATATTCGATGTCGAGCAAGAGGAAGAATTCTTGACGGTGGACACGGCTCTATATATCACGGATGATACGAAGCCTGGCAAACCTGAGAGTGTATCGCCAGCCAAGACCAGCAAGAGTGCAGCCAACGGGCGTAGAACTTCAGTCAATGGCACCGCGCCGTCACCGTTCTCGCCTCCGCGCAGCAGTTCATCCCAGTTCAATGGCAGTCCTATATTGAATCTCGACTTCATGGCCAAGACTCTGCCTGAAAAGCCAGAGGATCCACTCACCGATGAATACTTCCTCAAATCACATCGAAGAGCAGAGCGGAAAGAGAAGCAATCGCGGAACATCGAAAAGGAGAGGGCAATGCATGAAAAGGTGCAGTTGGACAGGTTGTTGGATGGCTTGCAAGGACACGATTGGCTTCGGGTTTTGGGAATCACTGGTGTTACGGATACTGAGGCGAAGAAGTTCGAAGCCAAGCGAGACTACTTCATTGCAGAGGTGCAGGCATTGGTGGACAAGTTTAGGCAATGGCGAGAACAGGAGAAGAAGCAGCGTCTTGTGAAGGAAGCTGCGGCTGCCGCGAGAGAAGCTGAGGAGGAGGGCGACACGACCGAAGGCAGTGTTGAGCCTCCCAGCAGCGACCTCAATGCATCTGCAGCCAGACAACTTCAGCAAGAAACCGTCAACGCCTTGAAATCGTCGGCCAGGCCCTCGGGGAAAGGAAAGGGGCCAGCTCATGCAACATCTCACCCCGGTACGCCCACCACCATACCCGCCAAGCTCATGCTCCCGCCACAACCGCCTTCACCCGAGATGCCCATCACCAGCTTCTACTCGAAACCTCACCTCAGGGATGCAGCACTGGGCAAAGCAAGGCATGGCCGAAATGTGTACGCATTTGGCCAGCCAATTCCAGACCTAGAAGAACAAGAGTTCGAATTGCCGGATGACTACGTTACTGAAGACGCCCTGCGAGCCAACGCCCGGGAAAGGAGGCGGCGCAAAAGGGAAAACGCAGCCAACGCGTCTTCGAAGAAAACTTCATGATTGTTGTTTTTGTATCCTCACTGTTGCATTTGTACTATGCATTGGGCCGGCGAAACGGAGGTGCCATATTAGTAGCCTAGGGAAAGGCGTTCATTCATCTCCTGCCGAACAGGCTTGAGATATCCAGTCAGTCGGTCGACTTTCTCGTATTCAATGTGTAAATAACCCGTTCCAAAAATTGACTCGATTGATCAAGTGGCCTTCACGGCACGATTTCTCAACGTCGAACCTCGATACCTGCTTTGAACGATCTGGTCAGCGTTCTATTACTTGACGGTGTACTGGATGCTACAGAGAGACAACAGAAGGCTGAAGTATTCAGAGTGGAATCTGACTGAAATTTGGCTGTTCATCAGGGCCGTGACGGCTACAGAACAGCGGTTCTTCGGAAATTCCTCATCATGGAAGGGTTTGCAGGGGAAGGAGAGAAGAATTTTGGGTACTTGCCAGAATGGCTGCCGCGAAAGAACGTCGTTGAAGGTGAAGATGGTTGTCTGCAATGTGCAAGTCAGTCGAGGTGGGCGTCCAGGCACTTGGTATGATGTTGCGGCTCGGCGAGGCGTGATGCTGTTCAGAGTGGAGTGATTTGGATGTGTTGTGTTTCGTCAAACTCGGCGAGGAGTCGGAAACCGTGGTAATTGTTGTTCGATGTCGTCCTGGTGGCTCAGAAAACATGGAATGAGTGAAGAGATGGACTCACACTGGTGGGTATCGTCAGCATTCTTTTCTTTGAATGTGTGGTCGATCGAGGATGAGGTGTAGAGAGGAGAAAGGGAAGATCAGTGGCAAAATAGATATACTTGATGTTCCCTCAACATCGCCTGCGGGGACGATTCGAGTTTAGGGGATCAACTGCCTCATCACGGTGCGCTTTCTTTCTGAGAACTGAGGAGGCGAAGACATACCTGGATATTGACCGAATGAACAGCACGCAAGGCTGCAAGCTCCTGTCCCGTTAGATTTCACATGCCAAAAAGCAACCAACCTGGATTTCCTCCTCCCACCCTCCAAACCAGAAGATTAAAAAGAGAAGAAACCACACAAACGAAACGAACACCACACCTTTAAACTACCATGTCACCGCCATCCAAAACAACATCATCGCCCATCCGCAACACACACCCCGAAGCCGGGCCTATCACGGTTTTCGCCAGCCAGTCCACCCGCTCCGAACGCCAAGCCGCAAAACATTCACTCAGGTCAAAAAACATAGAAACAAAAACATACAACACCCGGTATTCCCGTATGGTCACCCACTACAGTACCAATCAGGCGGTCAGTTGTTTGAGTATGCCAGAGCGGACGGGATGGCCTATGTGCAACTGCCTGTGGTCGTATGTGGTGGAAGAGGGATTTGAGATGGTTATGAGGGTTGGCACTGGCACAAGACAAGAGTGCGGGCAGATGATCCGCTGAGACTGGTGTGGTATCTCAGGTGAGTAGTTTCTGTTTCGAGAAAGAGGTTTTACTGGTGAGAAGGGCGGGTAATGTTCCTACTGAAACTACACTGTTCACGACGACGTCGTGTGCGATGATCCTACGACAGGGAGAGACCATTCGCAACTATCTAACCCAACGCTCTTGCCGTCCTTACCTCCTACAGCAGCAGAGGTCTTCGATGTTGCTGCTGGAAACTTACTGCATAAGGCAACTTTTTCGTGCGATGTGTCTCAACGCAGATCTTGCCCTAACAGGAAGTCATCCAGGTGAGTATTCCTGCATGTGATTGATTACTAATGACAACTCTGTAGCATTTGAACGCTGTCTTTACCATTAGCATGACTGACCTGTTCCGGAATGTCGACCCATAGTCTCGCACTCAATTCGAAGTCTTCAGAGCTAGGTATCGCAGCTGCAGCTCTCTTGGTTTGGATGGAGAGGCTACGTATATGACCGTCATTCATCATTCTCCGCTGAAATAATCACATGCAGCCGAACCATGGCATCGAAGAAAGCCTCAGACCTCAAAATCGCCCGCATTGACGTCTACCAAGTCGACCTAGGCTACAGCGGCGAAGTCTACCGCCTCTCCGGTGGTCGAGAGCTCAGCAGCTTCGACGCAACCATCGTTCGAATCACAACACAAACCGGAATTGAAGGCTGGGGAGAAAGCACGCCGTTTGGATCAACATACATCGCCGCGCACCCCTTAGGCATACGAGCCGCAATCGCTGAGCTGGCACCTAAGCTGATCGGTCTCGATCCCCGCCGAACGGACCGCATCGACGATGTTATGGATGCGAATCTTGTCGGCCATGAGTCTGCCAAGTCGGCGCTCAATGTTGCGTGCTGGGATATCTTTGGGAAGTCAGTGGGGTTGCCTGTCTGCGAGCTGCTGGGTGGGAGGACGGATGCACAGATGCCGATTATCTGTTCATTGTCTGCTGGCTCGCCACAAGAAATCGGAGAGGAGCTGGCCTCATTCCGATCAAGAGGGTATACAGCATTCTCAGTCAAGATCGGAGGCAAAGATCCAGCAGAAGACGTCGAGAGGATGAAGACTGCCCTTTCAGGACGAAAGCCCGGTGATTTCTATACAATCGACGCCAACGGCGGCATGACCGTCGAAGGCGCCCTTCGAATGCTTCGCCTCATTCCACAGGATCTAGACTTCGTCCTCGAGCAGCCATGCGGAACATGGAGAGAATGCCTCGCCCTCCGCCGCCGCACCAACGTCCCCATCATCTTCGACGAGCTGGCAACGAACGAAGCCTCGCTCATCCAGATAATCCGCGACGACGCCGCAGAAGGCATCAGCATGAAAATCGCAAAGTGCGGCGGTCTGACCAAAGCTCGTCGCCAGAGAGACCTGTGCGTCGCGGCGGGATACACGATTGGCGTGTTCGACTCTGCTGGCTCGGATATTGCGTTCGCGGCGATTGTACATCTCGCGCAGACGGTTCCTGAGAGGTTCTTGCATTGTGTCTTTGAGTGTCGGGAGATGTCGACGGGGAAGACGGCGGATGGCGAATATACGCATGGTGGAGGGCGTATTCGGGCTCCGGATGCGCCGGGGCTGGGGGTTACGCCGAGGATGGATGTGCTTGGGGAGCCTGTGGCGAGTTATTCGTAGGTCTGTGAGTTGAAGAGATGGTGTTCGAAAGATAAAAGTAGGGAGTTTTGCCTGACAGTTGACCCCTTTTCAGTGCCTCAGCTCGAATCGTCTACATCGTCAGATCAATTTTGGCAATTTTGTGCCGTAGGCGGTAATTGATAACTTGCTGTACCGAGCTGTTCCATTAAGTCATTTTGGTTACATGTAGAAATGGAAGTGCGGTCATGAGGGAGTGGCGTCTGCTCTTTCCCTCAAGTCCCCTTGACAAACGCTGACACCCCAGGAAAGCTCGACGCCTGCTTCAACCTTCCAAGTTCCTCACCAGACACTACTTGGACTGCGACGTCCAACGCCCGAATAGAAGCATCCCGGACACAGAGCTCATCGGCATCAGTAAGAGGTCTATCGTATCTTACCGCCATGCCCGCAATACTTGACGCAAGCCGCATTGGCAAGAAGCCGGTATTGACAGTCACAGAGCGCGTAAGTCAACCAAGGCCACACAGCATGTTGCAGTACTCACCGAACACCACAGCCTTTCACTACAACTACAAGAATCTCCACCTTGGGCGGCGACTTTCTGGTGACGGACACACGCCCAGCATGGCACATCGAGCCGAACCGAGCAGTGGCATTCAAGACGCCAACACACGGCGCGCAAGCATCGTCAGAAGGACCTCTTGGGTGACCTCAACTTCGAGCAATGGGTCGTTATCATGGAGTCAGTACTGAGGAAACTCGGTCTATGGAACATTGTCAAGTACCCGCACCTTGCCCATCTGAAGCTTGACGAAGAGTGGGGAGAAGAATGGTTGAAGGACGACATCTGGGCGGCGAACATCATGCTGATGCACATTCAACCGTCGACTCTGGCTTGATACGACTTACCCCGGCCGATCACCAGCAGCGAGCTGATGCATAAGCTCGGCGAGGGACCAAAAGCATTTTGCTTCCTGGACTTTCCGCGGGAGATCAGAGATGAGATTGTCAGACTGCTCGTCGTCGAGAAGCCATACCCAATACGCCACAGAGCGAACCTTACAGCAGGTTCCGAAAGCCCGTCTACGAGGAGGTTCTTCTTCCACCACGACGAATCATGCTGTTACACGAGGGCGAGGACCGCTGGCCAACTGACGAGGAACCTTCACTATTACAAGTCAATCGTCAGATCCGCCGAGAGGCGTCTGCTATTTACTGGCAAGAGAAAAAATTCTACTTCTACTTCTATGCCATGAACCACACCCTTGACCCTCTTGGACGAGTAGCTGCATGGGCCAAGCGCATGGATACAGACGTCTTGTCCAACCTGCATCACCTCTGATTGGAGGTGAAATGGCACAGGCACATGGAAAGCCGCATCAATGTCAGAGCTCGGCCAAAAAGCGGACTTCATGCCGAGGTGGACGCGTTTGTCGACGAAGGAGAACCATACCCAAAGTCAGAGAAGGCGTTGAAGAGGCACGACGCATACTGTGCGCGGTTGAGCCAGCGTCGAGTCGAGGAGAAATGGGAAAGCAGCGGCATCGTTGAGTTCTTCACAGCAGATGAGAAGGAGTTCAAGATCATGCTTTGGGGTCAGCCAACCAAGTTTGTGGGAGAGCCAGGCGCATATGAGGAGGTGGAGTGCGATTATGATGATCGGGATGCAATGTTAGGCCAATGGTAGTTTGTAGCAGAATGCTGCGAATGAGCGAGAGGGAATGTGTTGGAAGGTTGTGTGGCGACTTGTACGGTTTGTCTCTGGCTCGATCAACATATGTTCAGCATGATTCTGCTACTTCTCGCCCAATAGCTTCTCGGCGTTCCTGTGATAGAGGTCCTCAATCTCTTCCTCGTTGAACAGCTCCTTCACCCCAGAATCCATCTGCCCCATGAGAAGTTCAACCCCATTTGCTCTTGTGAAAGGGAAGTCCGAGCCGTACATCAACCGCGAATGAGGTACACCCGTACCGTACAGAATGCCTCTAATTTGGCTGGGGAAAGCGAAGCCTGCCATGTCGAACCAGATCTGTCGCTTGAAGGCTTCGAGAACTTCGCTCTCAGGTACGCCTGCAATCGTTAGCCCAGACCCCAGAGCCCCGAGCTCGATACAGGAAAATGGAGAAATCTTTGATGCTACTTGTTCAATGACTTACCTATCCAAGGTCCAGGCACAAGCGAACTGAACCCGGTCCACCGCGACAGCAAAGGCGGGAACGCACCACCAAGATGAGGAAGAATGATCTTGATATTCGGACACCGTTTGATCGTGCCTGACATGAAGAGATTGCTCACAACTCTCGCAGTATCGAAGAGGAACTCCAACATCGGCTGCGGCAGCCTCCCAGCAAACGGCGCCGCTTTGACTGGTTGCTGACCGGCAGCCAAAGCCTCTGGCGAGCAGGGGCACATCGGCGTGCTGGGGTGGATGAATATCAGGGCGTGCCGTCTGTTCAGTTCGTCGAACACTGGGTCGAATTCCTTATCGCCGAGGTAGTGGCCATGCGTGTTCGTCTCGAAAACAAATCCATCACATCCCTCTTCAATCGCGCGCGGGATCTCCGCCAAACAGCTCTCGACATCCGGCATGGGCAGAGAAGCAAAATAGCCAAACCGGTCTGGGAGACGTTTCTTCAAATCCGAAGCATACTTGTTGACATCGCGGGAGAGATTTCGTGCTAATTCATCTTTTCCTGGCACGAGATGGGTTCCCGGACTCGAGATTGAGAGGATTGATTTGGAGATGCCCAGCTTGTCCATCAGTTCGAGGTGTTCTTCTGGGCTCCAGCCGGGGAGATAGGGCATGCCATCTGGATTCGCGTGGCCGTGTTCTCGGCAGGCGTCTTGGTAGAAGGATGGGAGGAAGTGGGCGTGGACGTCGATTCTTGAAGGAGGCATGATGCAGAGCAATGAAGAGTTCCAATATGAGCACACCGAGTTTTTCAGAGACGACTTTTTCGTGCTTATATCATGGCAGATGCTGTTCCTCAAACATGAAGTGATGTTCGGCCGGGTGGTACCACAGGTTCAAACCTTCTCGGCTGCTGTGGGACCTACTTGCATCTGCGGTGCATGAAGGGACCGACCGACCGCCATGGTGTCGCACAGCAGACCCCGCGACGCGTATTCGCAGACATTTCCGTGAAAGGGCTGATCTGGTCGTCATGTCTTCTCTGAAGAGTTGTCGCTCGAATGCCGAGATTTCGATGATGAGAAGGAGATGATGCAGGTTGCATTGCTCGTTCGCATTCACCAACACGGCGATCGGTTCAAAATTCTTCCGCGAAAACATCCCTGTCGTTCAGTGACAACAGCAGAACCTCGTCGTCCATTCCGTTTCAAGTTTCCAAGAATACCCCGTTCCTGGCAAATGTTCTTAAACGAAGCTGTATGATCTCAGCTCACGGCACAGTATCCAAACCCACTCGCCGAATCCGCCGAACGAAAGAGGAAAAGAGAACGGAGGAAGCTGCTGCCAGCCACTCGGATTTTACTGACCCGCATCGCGAAAGTTGGGGCTGACTGCGAGAAGAACCACACCCGTCCAAGCCCTTCATGCGGCTAAGACCTTTGGCTTACAACTCCACCGTAGCTTGTGCAGGGCGGCCTGGGATGCGGTGAGGGGATTCCCTGGTATACGCGAGATGATGGCCTTTCCTGGAGATTGGTATATCCTGTTGTGCGACTGCCATGTCAGCCTCAGCGTTATTACGCCTTCAAAGTGTTGCTTAGTAGCTGGAAGAGAAGCATCGGGTTTGCTAAAGTCCATGGCGAGTTCGGGATTGTGAGGACTGTTGCGAGAATCCGGAGACGTTGGTATAAAAGTTGGTTGTTCGACTTTCAGCTGGTCGTGATCCAGCAATCGTTGAAAGATTCAAATCAGCATCGCCAAGATGGCTTCCTTCCTGATCAAAGATGTCCGTGTCTTCGACGGCGAGAACACAATCGAGAATGGATCCGTGTTGGTTGAGAATGGCCACATCTCCAAGGTGTCTTCGAGCACAAGCGACTTCGATGGACCAACGTATTCCAGACCTGGACACACCCTTCTCCCCGGCCTCATTGACACCCACATCCACGCAAATAGCGCCAATGTAGTAGCCCTGCCGCAGGCTTTACGTTTCGGCGTCACAACCGTCTGTCGAGCCCATCACATCTTCTTGCATCCTAATCTGACTCGGTCCACAGGTCTGCGACATGCACAACGAATGGTACAACATCCTGAAGCTCCGAAAGCAGCGAGAAGGAGGCGACTGCGCGGACTTGAAAACGACCAGCTTCGCAGCAACGATTGATATGGGCTGGCCGATGCCCATCGTGCTGATGACGCATGATTCTCCTGAAGTAGGCACCTTTGCGCTTTGGTATAGCGAAAGCGAACTGACGGAGTGTGATGCAGACGAGAGAGGAGATTGCAACTTGGCCGAAGCTGAAGACTCCGGAGGATGGAAGGCAGTATATACAGGATCGTCTGAAGGAAGGGGTAGATTGTAATTGCGGCCTATGGGCGCAGACTCCTCTCCTATGTACATTGACAGCTGACCCATTCCAGATATCAAGCTAATGCACGAATCTGGCACCGTGATGGGCCATGAATTCAACAAGCCCTCCATCGAGCTCCAAAAGGCCGTAATCGACGAGGCACACAAGCACGGCTTGACCGTCGTTGCACACGCCACCTGCCTAGCAGATACTCTCGAGATCCTCGAAGCAGGCGTCGATGGCATGACACATACCTTCATCGATCAGCCGCCAACTCCAGCCTTGATCGAAGCATACAAGAAGAATAACGCTCACTGCAATCCCACCCTTGCAGCGATGGGATCTGGCACGACCGAGGGCAAAGCCACGCAGGAGAAGTTCGCTCATGACGCTCGTATTCAGCATCTGATCGAGAAGAACGAACGGGACCAGATGTGCAAATGCATGTCCTTTGCTCAAAGTAAGGGCGCCACGTGCGAGAATGCATACGAATCCGTCAGGCAGTTGAAGAAGGCTGGCGTTCCCGTCGTCATTGGATCTGACTCTGCTGGGCCGGCTGTTGGTACGGCTTATGGACTTTCGACGCATCAGGAGATGACACTGTTCGTTGAACAGTGTGGTTTCACGCCTGAGGAGGCTCTGAAAGCTGCCACATCTTTGCCAGCCAAGCGGTTCAACTTTTCGGATCGCGGACATATCAAGGAAGGCTTGAGAGCGGATCTTCTGCTGGTGGAAGGCAATCCACTGGAGAACATTGACCATACTATGGACTTGAGAGGTGTCTGGACTGAAGGTCAGCTTTGCAGTGTGTACAACGAAAAGTTTTGAGATCGGGGTAGATCTGGGGTTGTAGTTGTAGCGAGAGAAGTTGAACACGACAGAGCAAACATTTCTTGTGCCATTTCTGTCTGAGTCGAGAATGCAAGATGATTTAGGAGAGAAGTCGTATCTATGCCGCTGTCAATCCACTCGGTGTATCTCCAGGAAAACGCCGAAGTCATTAAATTCGTAAGTCAATCTTGGCCAAGTTGTGGCATCTAGGCATCCAGTCTTTCTTGATCAACCTTTTCCCAGGTCAAGCTGCCAGCGCTGCCCTGAAGATCGTCGTCGCTCGTGTCTCTCACTATTCTTGGTCGCGAGCCTACGCCCATCATCCAAGCGATGAAGCTCGGCGGCATGACGCTGCCGATGATGTCGTATGTTAAGCTCCCGCGACCGACGTGAAGAGTTCTCGATGGTCGTTTTGCAACGAGGGTATCAAACACCTGGTCGTGAAGTGTTCTGAGAGGTGTGGGCTTAAGTCTCGGCGCTGGAACCCCATCTCTTCGTTGCTTCGCCGTGGCGGCGGGTATATCGATGTTTCCCAGCTTGAACCAGGTTGTGTTCACTCCATCCTGCTTAAGCTCAGCGGCGAGTGACGATGTGAATCCCTGGAGAGCTCCGTATACTGTGCTCTCCACGGAGTGCATGGGCGGCTTGAGAGTCGCAGTCATTGACGGTGTCAAGAAGAGAACGTTCGCCTTGTGCTCGATAACCGCAGGAAGTAGGTGTTGAGTGGTTGCAATCGTATGAAGCACTTTAGCATTCAATGCATCGCTCCATTCTTCCGAGCTGATATCTTCTACCCTTGCCGGGTTGGACCGCAAGTCGGGTACGACAACAAGCCCAATGAGGTTGAGTCGGTGTGGTTCCGCGTGGTCGAACGCTCGTTGTTCACTGCCCAGTAGATTTTGGAATCGTGCAAGCTGGTTCTGCGCCATGAACGGATCCACGAGGTCCAATGATAGCGGTATCAGATCTGCCCGTGACTGCGATCGTATAAAGTGCTCCTCTTCGCTGGTATTCGCGACAACATAGACGACAAAGCCCCTCCTCTCGAGGTCCAGGTATAGCGCGTTCGTCAAGGGATTGGTGACCGCACCCGCAACCACCACCACATCTGTCCTCGCACCGCTTTGTGACCTCTTTGCTCTACGCTTCTTCTTCAAGTCTCTGCTCTTCACATATACGAATGCCCCGACGGATCCGGTGACGAAGAAGGCCACGATGGCGGCTGTAAGCGCCTTGTGCTTGTACATCCATCTTTGCGCGAGCTGCCATGTCGTCGGAGGGGGTAGGCGGCGGGCTGGGGGTGCACTGAGGGGTTTTGCGAAGCGTTCCTTGAGGTTGCCGGCTACGAGATCGAAGTGTCTCTCGACATCCGCGGCGATCTCGTTGAACTGGTTGCGCGCCTGCTAATGTCAGCTTGTTCTACTATGCGACAGTCATGAAGCATACGTAGTTGATCAGCTGCTGCGCGTCCGTCATGGTGGCTGTCGTTATGTTTCTTAATGGGCGACGTGGTTGTCGAGGCGCAACAGCTCAAGTTGAGCGCAGCCAATAGCGGGGCACGTCATGGTCAGTGCACTCCCGGCCGGGAGTGAGTGAATGATGCCAAGCAGACAACCGCGAGCTGCCCCTGGCGATTTGTGATCATCTAGTCTATTTCACGATGCGCGCCTGTCCAAACCCTCTCGTATGCTTTCTTCTACTGTCAACGATGTCGCTGATACCACGAACAGGAGATTCATGGCTGCGGAAATACGGACGACTGGAGCTTTTCTCCAATACTCTTCCAAATACCCCACCGACTTCAACGTCATGGAGGTCTAGATGCCATCAGCGGTGCCAACTGTAAAGCACAAGATGATATAGAAATGCAGCCTCCTCGCATTGAGCTGCAGTGGCTGTTAAAAGAACGGTTATAAGTAAAGACTTCAGTTCAAACATTGATCAACGACGACCATGCCGATCAAGCTCTACTTCCTCCAAGCCTCTAGGTCCATCCGTACTGCCTGGCAAATCAATGAGCTTGGACTGGACTACGACGTCAACTTCTCCCCCCGAGAGAACGGAGTTGCTCCCGCAGCTTTCAAGCAGCAGGCCGGCGGATTGGGCAAGTTCCCGACTCTTGAAGATAACGGCGTTATGTACTATGAGAGTGGAAACATATGCGAGTGCGTGAGGGACGAAAAGAGCGTGGAATAGCGAGTCTAACACGAGCAGGTACCTCTCCGATGTGTACGATACCCAGAACCGATTGCTACCTCCGGTAGGCGACCCTGCCCGCTACAAAGTCCTTCAGTGGGTTCACGCCTCGGAAGCGACATATCTCCTCCACGGCCTTGCCGTCCTATACGCGAAGTGGAACCAGAAAGACGGCGATGTCCAGCAAACCATCGCGGGTCTGAGTAAGAACATGATCAACGATCTTAACTACTTGGAGTCGGAACTAGGGAAGAGCAATGGGAAATTCCTGCTTGGCGACAAGTTGACCGCGGCCGACATCATGATGCACTTCTCTGCTCGGTTCATATTGGTCAGGGAACTGGGAACAATGGGAAAGACATGGCCGAAAATTGAAGAGTGGTTGAATAACTCTGAGGCAACAGCATCGTACAAGGCAGCTGTGGAGAAGACCGGGCATAAGTTGTAGCTACAGTGTAATAGCTGCAATGAGATGCATGAGCCTTTTCAATATACCTACCCGGGTGCGACAATTGACGAGGGGACCTTCGACTTTGGTGGCTTCATGCATGTCGTTCCACATGTCATTCCATTTGTTGATCCAGTTGCAGCCAATGCAACAAGGCGTCCGGCGCCGTGTGCTGCCCGCATGGCTGATCGTCGCTGGAGAATGGGTCGGTTGGTAGCCTCGCGCTCTCGTAAGTCCATGTCATGAACATGAAGTGTCCATGCTAACATCTTCTCATACAATGACCGCTGTAATTGCCCTTACCTTCCAAGCGGCGTGTAGAATCTCGCCGCCAACGGCCAGCTTCATGCACTCCTCACTCCGGACTTCACCGTCCAAGGAGATCAACATCCACTACTTTGTCCTGAAACACGGCTCTTCGACTCCTACATCCAAGCTCTTTATCCGCGTGCAGCAGCCATTTGTCGATTCGGATGCCACCGTGACCCGCGGTTTGAAGAACTGGTTTCGACGCTGGCACTGTCTCGAGGAAGACGGACATGATGAGAACCGTCCCTAGCTCTTACGATCAATAATCCCACATCGTAATCTTGAGGCTGATACTGGACTTCATTCTTGGATTGCGGTGCCGGTCAAGAAGGGAAGCTGGCGGTCGAGACATGGTTTACTCCCGAGCTTTACAAACAGCAGGAGTAATGCCATTTGGTCGACCTGGGACGCCTTGTGGGACGGTGAGATTGCTATTCAGGCTTTCAGCAAAGTGGATTCGAACACCTGGCCCATGGTATTGTTGTCGCCCACTCACACGCCGAATTTCAACATCCAACATTCAACACTCAACCGAACTCGTACCATGATCTCGAGCGAGCGTACCCGACGTCCGGCTTGGTGTACACCATCGCACTACCTACGACCCGAACAACGATCTTCAAACGCCACGTGCTCGACGCCTTGCTAAAGTTGGTTGTTTGTAAGCTTCAATTTAAGGCGTTCGCAGGAGCAACAAGCCTGTCAGCCTCGCAACCCGAAGGGCTCTCGACGTTTCGGGGCAGACTAAACCGGTAACATTCTAGCAGGTGCAAGTAACTCATTTCTCCGACATGGCACAGGAATACGCCACTCCTATAGCAAGGATGCGGCTGAACGTCCACAAATTTGGACGATGAACAATCACGCTTTCGCTGTCGATTTCGCTCCTTCTCGCGCTCTTTCGCGTTTGAAAATCGACGGACTATACTTAAGAACCTGGAGGAATGCCGCGAACCTTCGGGATGCGGACTTCCTTCAGCTGCTGGCGAAGACAATCTCAATCCGAGTCATCGGCGGCGTCAGCGAAAACCACGGCTTGATGAGCAAGAACGCTGTGGAAAAGTACAAGATCACCAAGGCTTATACTGGGCGCCTTGAACATGCACGTCGCTCTTGTATACCGCAAACGTCAGTGAACAAATATACGGTGCTGCACACAGCATGCAAAGACAATGTCTCATGGCCACGTGCGGCTGGAAGTTGCACCGCAAGCGTGGCTGGGCTGGGCTGTGGAGGCCACAGCTGAAGGATCACAACACAGCAGCAGATCTGCCTTCCTATCTTTGCATAGCATGGTTAATTTGGGACCACTCCGCCTTCGGTCTCATTGAGACCATGCATCCCGAGATAGGGCCCGGCGATGTTGGAGTCTTTGGAATACGTGTTCTATTCTGCTTTGGTGGACTAAGGCCTCCTATTCTCTAATGGTCTTAGCACCTGTAGAGTACTGACCGACCATCTGGTGACACAGACAACTGAGATGTATAAGAAGAACGCCCACGATCATTGAGGTAGGGACATCATCATCGCAATCCAAACCAGCGCCTTGCAAGTCGAAGTCCGTCGGTCACTGCAAGTTTCTTTCACTTCAAGTCCTAATATACCACAATGCACTACCAAAGCTACATCAGTACTCTCGCCTTTGCTGGCGCCGCTCTCGCCGTCCCAGCACCATGGAGTCCTCCTACCACACCTCCATCATCAAACAACGACAACTCCTACAGTGGCTCAAACAGCAACGGCTCGAGCAGCTCAACATCCGCCAACAACATCCCCTTAATCCAAGCCCTCGAGCTCGCGCCAACAGCCGTCGACCGCATCGCCCTCCTCTCAGAAGCAGACTTCAAATACGACTTCAACAACCCACCCTCCTCCGCCATAACGACAGGCAAAGGCGGGCACACTGTCCGCGCCGACCGCAAAACCTTTCCAGCCCTGATAGGAACCGGCGTCTCCATGACCGTCGGCTTCATCGGCCCCTGCGGCTTCAACACGCCCCACGTCCACCCTCGCAGCTCCGAGATCAACATCATCGTCGAAGGCCGTCTAGGCACCGAGTTCATTGCAGAGAACGGCGCGGATCCGAAGCAAAATACCTTGGAGAAGTACCAGATGACAGTCTTCCCGCAAGGGGCTTTGCACACCGAGTTCAACCCGGACTGCACGGATGCTGTCTTCGTGGCTGGGTTTGCGTCCGAGGATCCTGGTGTCGAGCAGGCGGCTCAGACGCTGTTCAGTCTCGATCCAGAGCTGGTCAAGGCGGACCTCGGTGTTGATGCTATCAATGGACAGGACATTGAGCAGTTCAGACAGATGATCCCGGCGAATGTTGCGCTGGGTGTTGAGAGCTGTCTGAAAAAGTGTGGCATCTCGAAGAGGTAGATCCTGTTTGAATCTGTTTGTCCCTAGCGTTTGGCGCGGTATATTGTGTTGTCGATGGGAAATATTTTGATGATGTTCATAGTGTCTGCATGTGATCAAAAGTTGAGTTCATAGCAGCTCCTCGACTTCTCGCTCCATGAACTCGCTGGTCTCCTGTCATGTTTCACGTTCAAAACTCGGTGCCGACAGGATCTTCTCCGTACAATTTTCATTACCTTAACTTCGTTTCTCTATTTGATGCCCGAGGCTTTGGATATATCAGGTGATCGAAGTCTATGTCTGCCGGAGGCCACCCACTAGCGCCTTTCCAATCAAGCGCACCTGGCCAACCACCCCGCCCTGCCAAAGCAAGCGGAAAGCTGCAAGACCTGACGTCTTCCTTTTCCCAACCAACTTTCTCCCTACCAATCACTCAAACACAACCTACCGAACCGTCATACCGCCAGCAATCATCATGGCCGACGACGAAACCCCTGTCGTCCTATCCCCCGAGTTCGAGAAGGCGGCCAAAGAGGTCAAAACGCTCGCCGAGGAGCCAGATCAGAAGCAGCAACTCAAGGTATTTCCCATGCAATCTGCTTCGAGCAATGTGAGCCTGGCTGACCGAGATGCACAGCTGTACGCCCTCTATAAAATCGGCAGGAAGGAGAAGGCTAGTTCTAGCATGGCCAATATCTTCGTACGTCGCGTGTCGCTCCGTGGATCTGGCGTCTCTGTATTGACTATTTGCCGCTCATAGCGCAGGAGCATGTACAATGCATACAAGGCGGAGACGGAGGTCACAAAGACAGCCGAGGAAGCGCAGAGGAAGTACGTAGAGCTTGTTGAACAGCTCAAGAAAGAGATTGGAACCAAGTGAGGACGTCTGGCACTTGGATGACACCTCCCAAGGCGGCCGATGAACGGCATGAGGATACGGCCGAGATGATTTACATGACACGGTCAGGCATACTTACATAACACGATACGTGACCTTATCAGCCTGCGCTACAAGTCCATGTCGACACAGAAGGCAAGTTGTGATGACGATTGTCGACACTAAAAATGATTTGCTTAGAACGCCCAACCGTGCAGCGATCGACAGCCTTGCCGGTGATACACCGACAGGTTGCAGAAGTGCATTCGAGAGAGACCAATCAGTATGCCAGATCTCGTTGCATTGCTGACAACGCAACGGTGACTCGAATTGGTGGCACATACTGAGCGCTTAACACAAGAGCACGTGCCAGACTTCCGTGCCGCAAATAGCAGAAGTATTTGCAGACGAACGGCCGCACAGCATCATCTTTACGAATATGACTCCCCAAAATGGCCGACCTGTGCCCGAACTGTGCAGCCTTGGACGTCGAAGAACTACTAAAGTACAGGTTATCATCCTTCTACAGTGGTATACCGATCGGTTCGCCGCGAGACATCATCGAAAAGGGCAAATATTGCAACCTCTGCTTCCTGTTTTCCCAAGTACTCCTTGAGGAGTATGGAGAGGCGTTCTTGTCGGAAGAAACTGACCATGTTCAATGCTCTATATCCACCTCGTCAACATGGAAGTTTTACATGGATCAGCGTGACCTCAGCAGCGGCAGAATCGACGGCAAAATCACAGAACCTCACGATATGAAAGCTGCTCCAGATATCGCCGGCCACGAACAAACGAGTTTACGTATCAACATCACCCTCATCGGCCGTGATAAGATTAGGTCGTGCATCGTGAGCCCGGCCGTCGACCCAACAACAAGTCGTTCCAGCAATCAGCTTCGCCAAAGGCTACTCCGGCCTGACGGTATCGACTTCGACCTTGTGAGAAAGTGGTACCGTCTATGTCGCACCGTCCATGCGGAACGATGCTCAAGCCCACATTGGCTCCATGTCGAGCAGTACGATTCGCTCAAGGTCGTTGATGTGGAAAGACGGTGCGTCCAGCTAGCACCTACATCTTGCAGATACGCCGCTTTGAGTTATGTGTGGGGTTCTTCAGAGTCGCATGTCATTCTCGGGGTAGACGAGCACAAACAACTCGTCGAAGAACCTTTCCAGCTGACGATACTGCCGACCGTCGTCGAAGATGCTATTCGAGTAACCAAGGAGCTGGGGCTGAGGTACCTCTGGGTCGATGCACTTTGCATCCCCCAGAAGCCCGCAAACAATCCCGAGAAAGCTCAGCAACTGCAACAGATGAACAGCATATTTAAATCAGCTGAAATCTGCATCATCGCGGCTGGATGCAAGGAAGTTGATGATCACATTCCTGGAGTACACATTCCGAGAGCAGGAACCACTTGGAGAGAGATCAATGGTCGGGTGCTGGCAGTCAGTCAGCCGAAATACGAAGATGAAATCCCGTCGACAACCTGGAATGGAAGAGCCTGGACGTACCAAGAACGCATGCTGTCTCGTCGAACACTCACTTTAGGTCCCACGCAGGCGTTTTGACATGTCAATGCGAAGAGTGGTGTGAAAGCGTGACATTGGAACCGGCCGAGCCTGGTTTTGAGGATTTCAAGTGGAAGAAACTACACGAGACATCCCGGCCGCCTGAACATCTCGTCGAGCTCTTGGTGTATGATTTTTGGGACACATGTGTGGAGAACGATAGCAACGCTCTCGTGGCGTACGGGAAAGTCGTCGAAGAGTACACCATGCGTCGCATTGGCCACGCTGACGATGGACTGAACGCGGTCGCCGGAATACTCGGCACATTGCAGCAGTATTTCACTAAAGATTGGTCCACGCTTCGGTTTGGACTACCTCAGGAAATGTTCGACATGGCTCTTCTTTGGACCGCGAAACATCTTTGCCAGAGGTCAAGTTTATGGACATCGCAGTCCAAGAGACTGCCCAGCTGGAGCTGGACGGGCTGGATGAGCAATGTGGGCGACGGAATGGGGTATTCTTATATGTTGCCGAACTTGGACGTGTCACGGCGGATCCCAATCATGCCCGCCATACGGTGGTACATCCTGGGAGAAGAAGAAGAAGAAGAAGAAGAAGGGACCACGAAGCCAACGCCTCTGCGGATCCCCGATCAATCATTGCCGCTATGGTATTGCAAACGTCGCGGCGTCCCTTGTGGCATTGATCCGACTCGTCTCACCGAAGAGCCACCACCAATGCCAGCAGACTTGCCACCTCGTCCTCGGGGATACTACCTACAATGCCTCACAACCGTCCTCACACTGCACTTAGGCGCCCCACTAGACATGGACACCACAGACGAGGGCTTCCGATGGAAGAAACCATACTCACTCACCGACAAAGCTGGCAAATTCGCCGGCACGAACCTGCTCTCCAACGACGAGGCAGCTGCTGTGCGACAGCAGCAAAACTCTTTGATGGAATTCGTCTTCCTGTCGTACGATCAGAATATGGCCCTTTCCTTTGTGCTTCCTGAGCTTGGCTTTCACAAGGGAGACCTGGAGACGCTGCCGCGGCGGTTGGTTGAGTGGGCGGTTCCGGATAGGCCGGAGGGGGACTGGAGTGTGGTCAATGCGATGTGGATCGAAAGGTTGGAGGGAGGGTATTGTGAGAGACGGATGGTTGGGAATGTTTTGGTGGAGGCGTGGGAGGAGATGGGGCCGAGGACGGAGTGGATCGTGCTGGGTTGAGAGGAGGGAATGGAGATTCTTGGATTTTTGGTTGGGAGAAGCGTGTGATGTCTTGTTTGGGGGATAGTCGATTTACGATGATGACCCGCTCACCATGGCCTGCACACTCTGCCAATCGCTCTTGACCGTCGTCAGATTTTCGTACCCATCCTCTTTGACCCAGATGTCGTCCTCGATCCTCACGCCTCCGACCGCCCAGTACCGGCTCAAAACCTCCTGATCCACGATCCCGTCCCACTTTCCCTCCTTCAACTCCGCTTCCAAAGGGAACTTCCTGAAGTATATTCCCGGCTCGTTGGTGATCACCGCCCCGGCAGGGACCTTGCCGCGAACGCGGAGGTAAGCGAAGTAAGGGTTCGGGTCTTCGTAGTTGGCGTCTCCGCCCGTGTCATGCGTGTCCATACCTAGGTAATGGCCCAATCCATGCGGGAAGAACCTCGTCATGATCTTCGAGTCGAGGATCTGTTCCACGCTCAAAGACTTATTGAAAATGCCTAGGTCCCTGAGACCGGTCGCTCCAACGGTGTGTGCTTTCATGTGGCAGTCTTCCCACTGCACGCCAGCGCGGATGAGTTTCATGGCTTCGCTTTGCATGGACAGGACGAGGTCGTAGATCTCCTTGCTTTCTTTCGTGAACTTGCCGTCGGCGGTGATGGGGAAGGTCCGGGTGATATCCGCGCAGTAGCAGTTCCATTCGCAGCCGGCGTCGAGGAGGATGTTGAGTTTGCCTTCGAGGGGCTGGTCGTTGTGCACGTAGTGCAACGTACTACCCGCCGTTCCGGAGGCGCAGATACAGCCGTAGGCTTGCTCTCGGCAGCCGTTGGCGTGGCAGTGCATGACGAAGACGGCGTTGAGTTCCCGCTCGTTGGAGGCGCGGGTCACGGATGCGAGGACCTGCTCGTGGGCGTAGGAGGAGACGATGTTGGCGTGCCGGATCATGGCGATTTCGTGGGCGTCTTTGACGACGCGGCAGCGTTCGATGGCTTTTCGCGCCCAGGTGTAGTCGATTTGGGGTTGGTATGTGAGTATACCTTCGGACTGGAAAACTGCTAGGTCCGCGCGGTCTTCGATGACCATGACGATGGTTTTTTGCTTTTTGAGCATTTTGACGAGGGATTGGCCGGATTTGAGCTCGTCGGTGGTGAGGACGTTGTCGATGTCGTAGCGGTCGAGAGCTTCTTGGGGGAGGAGTGGCATGCCGGCCCACATAACGTATTCTGGGTCTACGGGTGGGATCCACAGCGTTGACTTGTCTGATACAATGTCGTAGGCGAAGAAACAGTCTGGGAGGTCGCAGCCTGTCACGTAGAAGAAGTGTCGTCGTTGTCTGGCAAGATCTTAGCGATTCCGATGTTTTCCCTCTGGAAGTTTGAACGAACCTGAAGTGAGTTGCTTGGTCGTTGTCCTAGAGACTACTCAGTATAATGCGTAAAGATGCTCTGGAGTATAACAAAGACCATACCTCCGTCATCTTCGTACTCTGTCCTTCAAGATAGATAACACCACTCGTCGGCCCTCCATTTTCAGCAATCCACTTCGCGACTCGCCGTGCATGCTCTTTGGCGGGATACTTTCCAGAGGGCGGCTTTGGCAAATTTGGGTTTGCAATGGGTTTCGGCGCCATGGTGTTTCGGGTCATTGTTGGTTTGTGGTAAAGAAGTTCAGCGCAGCGTGAGAGGTGAGGTCGAGGAAAGCGTTAGTCAGATGAGGCTAACCCTGTGGGGCAGGTGCGCGAAGCCAGTTTCTAAAGCCGAAGCAGAGCGAATGCGCCCTCGTATTGGCGATACAATGTACAACATGCACTTTAAAATACTGTACAACTGCTATCTGCAGACTATTTTCTTCCAAAACCTCCAGCCAGATCCTTGATCTTGTCCAATGCACTCGCATCAGCTGATCGACTTGATCGAGGACTTCTGCTCAGCATGTCATCGAAACCTTGCACACGCGACTTGGGTGGCCCGTATCTTGTATCTGGAAGACTGTACCCGTAGTTAGCATTGGCAGCAGTACCGCGAGCTGGCGGCATCGATGGTGCCTGTCTCAAAGCCGCACGTTTGGCTTCGTGAATGGCCTCAACGTCATCTCGAGCAATGGCAATGGCCTCGCTATCCCCTCTCCGGACTTTGAGTTGGATGCGACCTTGATCGTCGACGGTCGCCGACTCTGGATGAACCCAGACTTTGTTCCCGCCAGGGAGGTCGACCTCGATGTGCTCAGTCATCCGCTGAGTGTTCTCGTAGAATTGCTCGATCGGCGTGTTTTCGAAATCCAGCGCCTTCAAGCGGTTGTCTTGCCAAGCAGCGGAAGTTTGAGTGCTGTCGTCGTTGGCCACAACTCCACCGACACCGAGCTTAGCTCTGGGTTCGGAGCCGTGAGCAGTGTGGCGAGGCCGCACCACGCGGGCGAGCACCGGGGAGCCTTGAGCTTGAGGGCCCCAGAAGGGATGGTTCTCCATGATGGCGTTTGTGCGAATGTGAGATAAGCCAGCAGCGGGATGTGTTGAGGGCGGCGCGTTCGATTCGGAGGATATGTTGGCGAGAGTGTTCTTTAGCCGCTCGGTCTTTGCATTCACTTGGTTCTCCGTCGAATCTTGCACTCCTGTAAGACCGAGGAAGTCGCAAATAGCTGATGTCAGTTCAGAAGCCAGACTCTGAACAGTATGGTCGTCACGCAGCCTCTTCATTTCCGCCTCGTAGTTTGTGACGACGTCTTGCAGAATAGTACTCCTTTGAGATCGGGAAAGCGCTCGTCGCTGGCCCAGGTCGCGGTGTCTTCTCTCTTCATCACGTACTCGTTGTTGCGCCAGTCTTTCGATCATGAACTTCTGGAACTCTCCTTGTCGAGACTTTAGTCGCTTCTCAACATAGATCTCGAATTCTCCTGGCTGCATGCCCGCCAGCCAAGGACTGTCAGACTTCCACCTCTTCCACTGCACCGATCCAGGGTTATCCGGTCTTGCATTCTGCTGGGCAGAAAACACTGCCTCGGGATCCGTGTTGTCTATGTGGTCATCGTATGCGCTGCCGGTCGTAGTCGCCTCGTTGGAGTAGCCTTTTCTCTCGCGTACCACCAAAGGAATGCCCATCTGTCGCCATTTCGCCTCTGTCTGAGTATGGTCTGCTGCGCTCTCGAAATCGGTAATGTGGGCGAAGTTGTCATGCGCCTTGACCCTAATGTGAGGCGTCGATGATCTTGTCGATTTGGCTGGGAGGGCACGTTTGAGACCCCAATCTCCTCGAAATCGCGACGACGCTGGTGACGCTATAGCCTGATACGTTGGATATGGGAGAGTGGCTGAGTCGGATGCGCGATACACTCCAGTTGAGGTGGCCGTCTCCAAAGCGGGCTGGGGGAGAGGTCGCGGTAGGGAGAACAGGCGTGAGGATTGGAGCAGGCGCGCCGTCGGCGAGTTCATCGACTTGGACATGGCCACGAAGCGGCAATGCCAGTCGTGCTGTCTCACCCGATGCTGCGATGGCGATGCGCAATGCAAATGTGTTGTTCAATGGTTCGAGAAAGGTCGAACAGGGATCTGCGGCCAAGCCGGGAGTCCGCTCTCCCATTCTCCGCCCCCACCCCGTGCCCCATCTTCGGTGCAATCAACCCTCCGCCGTCTTTCTCTCACCGACATGTGCCTCACCATTGGTCGAGCAGCATGTCGCCGGCGGTGCAAATAGCTGCCCGGCTATAGTCTTCATTTAAGAGACGTCCCTCTAGACACTAACAGCTGCTTTGTTGTAGCATCACGATGGCTGAACCAAAGGATAGAACTTCGAAAGATGGCTACAAACCCGCAGATTGGTTCTGGGATTCGAGACGAAAAGGGCCATCGCTCACAGGAACCGTGGTGTTTGTACTTACTCGAACGCTGGACCTCCCATTCCAATGGTGGCTTCTCCAGTCAGGCACGGGCATTGCGGTTGTACAGCGCCTAGGAGCAAGCGCTGTACATCAACCAGGCACCACTGCGACATCACTTGGACTCAGTCCGTATCAAACGGCCATCTTTGCCCTGGCTGTGGGAAGTGCTGCGAAGCAAATCTACTGGAAACTCTTTATCGGCGACACCGTCGTTCCAGTACCCTTCTCTCTGGCCATTTCCGCCTACAACACCATTCTGAACAGCCTAAACACGTTACTCGCGCTCTGGTCTGTGACCTCCGAGCAACCGATCGACCAATCCAGTTTGAAAGCGTTCCTCACGACATGTCCTCCAGCGCTGCCTGTTGGTCTGGTCTTGTACTCGGTCGGCCTCTTCACCGAATGGTACTGTGAGATCCAGAGAAAAGAGTTTAAGAAAGACCCCGAGAACAAGGGAAAGCCTTACGCTGGAGGATTGTTCGGTCTCGCTCGCAACATCAACTACGGTGGCTACACTCTCTGGAGATCTGGATACAGCCTGATATGCGGTGGCTGGATCTGGGCCAGCATCATGTGTACTTGGCTGGCCAGTGACTTCGTCAGCCGAGCGATCCCAAGCATGGATGCCTACTGCGAGAAGAGAGTAAGCCATGTCGTCTCGAAGTTGTTGTCGGTTGCTGACTTTGCATTCAGTATGGCGCGCAGTGGGAGCAGGTAAGACGCAAAGTGCCTTACAAGTTGCTGCCGTGGATCTATTGAACACGACATCCGTATGTCAACAATCAATGCGACACTTAGGTCGTGCAACTTACCCACGAGCCAGAACAATCAGTCAACATACCATTTTCTACATCATTCCGCGTCTGACATTGATGGTCATCGTCGTACAAGATGCGTTGTTGCGTGATTTGTTGGCCCAGACGCTCGCTGGTCTCCTGCATGCCCCGACCAAGGCCGTCAGCGGCACCTGCAGTAGTTCATAGCCGTGTCCATGGCAGCTTCTACAAGAGGGTTGTTTCCGACAGCTGTTCCCCCGCAAAGATCTGGCTTTCTGTCTGTCGCGCAGACGGATCGCGTTTGGAGCTCTGGGATATGCACGAGGCTCGAAATGGAACAGGAGGCTTGGAGATGGTTTCAGGGTCTAGATGTGTGGTACGAACGTGTCGATGTGTGATGGAGTGGATTCGACGAGAGGGGAGATGTAGACATGCAGTATGAGTTTAGACATGAGATTCGATGTTTTTAATCGTTCTTGCGAGCAGCAGTTGCCGTGAAAAGTGTCGATGTCTCGAACGTGTCGATCTCGCCTTCTCTCGAGCAAGCAAGCTCGACTGGCCTATCCGCAGCTCTGGCCTGCCCTTCCATCCACCGCATCCCTGCTCTCACTACTGCTCAAACCATGCTGGCGCGGCGCATCTGAAAGACGTCTCGCGAGGCATATACCACCGTCGGCGCTGCCTCTGTCCTCGCTGTCATGTGGACCTCGTCGACGACACCTCGCCTCTGCCCTGCTCGGCTTAATCCTGCACCTCGCCACGTCCACCATCACGCGCAGCACTGATTTTTGAGCAAAGCTAGCGTGAAGACTGCCATTCGCCCTCGACCCTCACTCATGGTGGGGATCGGTGCAAAGAACGGCCTTCGCGCTCCTCAACCACCCACGGCGAGACACTTGACCAACGACTGAGGCATGGAAAATGGAGACTCGCAGACGGTCGCTGTGGTCGAGACAGCTGCGCCAGCCCCATCGCCCCCGCCGCCTCCAGACCCGAACCTAGACGATGCCACGGCTGCTGTGCCATTGCACGCCTCGCCGACTGAGAAGACCGACGATCCGATAGCCTTGGACTGCGAGACATGGAACATCAAATCTGTGTCTGCGCTGGGCGCGTTGCGCATGCTGATCGAGGCATTGGAGCGGCTGGCCGACGCGACTGGAGATGTCCCGCCTACACCACCGGTCTCGAGGCCGTCCACGCCGAGGAGCATGGAGATGAGGAGAATGCATCGCAGGACACCGTCGTCGCTGAAACTGGCACAAGGAGCAGACGGCCTGCCCTCTCTACCCATCGGTAGTCCCGAAGCCCAACCCCACGAACCCATCACCGTGGAAGTCGGCGCCCATGCCGAAGACATCACCCTCCAACACGCCGCGATAGCACGCCGCTTCTTCTCCAAGGTCCCCCCGCCCTTCACCCTCCAACAATACCTCCTCCGCATCCACCACTACTGCCCGCACTCGCCCGGCGTCTACCTCGCCGCAGTCGCCTACATCCACCACCTCTGCGTCTCCGACCTGATGGTGCCCGCCACAAACCGCACCATCCACCGCCTCTCCCTCGCCGCCATCCGCGTCGCAGCAAAAGCTTTGGAGGACAACAAGTGGGCGCAAGAACGCATCGCGAAAGTCGGCGGCGTGAGCAACAACCAGCTCATGAATTTGGAGGTTACATTATGTTTTCTGCTGGACTTTGAGTTATACGTCGATGAGAAGATCATGGCGAGGAGGATGTACATGATGCAACAGGCGGCGAAACATGGAATTGGGGCGAGGGGGCGGTTGAATGATCAGTTCAAGCTGAAGCTGCCGCAGCGTAACAAGGGCGTCAAATGAAGCGAATTGATGATCTCGTGAGGTTCCATTTGCATACAGCCAGTGGCGCTTGTGGACAGGTCGGAGGATGGTTTTCGGAGCGAGATTGAGCAAAAGGATACCCACACTGGCGTCGATTGTTTTCTACGTGTCCTGATCAAATCTTGGGGATTGGAATCACGAGACACAGACAGGGGAGGTTTTGTTTACTCAGCTCTTCTTTACTTACTCATTACTCATACGAAGAGTACGGCAGCATCAACAAGACAGTTTGGACAGTCCAGCGTTCACAAAGCGGAAGACTCACGCCTCAGCATCGAGATCGCATCGTAGGCCTTCGACACCGTCTTGCTCACCTGGACATACTTGTACGATCACTCATGAACTTTGAATCTCACCAAACAACATCTTAGATGGCCACCCTACGGAAGAAGTTGACGAAACCACACATCTAGGCCGCGTCCGGTGCCGGCAAGGCATGACAAGAAGAAAAGTCGCCGCCCTTCGAAAGGACGAGTACCTTCCCATGTCTCGTTGTGAGCAAAAAGCTTCGGTACGACTTCGACTTCAATGTTCGACATCTGCCACTTCGACGAATCTTGTTCGCCGCCATCGGCCTCGATGTCTGATGACTAAGTGACTCCTTCGATACATGTCTTTGTCGGTGCATTCTGCCATCCTGACATTTTCGAAGCATCGACACATGCGGGGACGGAATCCAGATGTCTGTATATAACTCAGCGGGAGTGGGCTGCTCGACGTGTCGCAAGCGCAAGGTAAAGGCAAGTCATGTCCCTAGACTGGTAGCGGTGGTAGCATGATCGATGTCATATCGGCTAACCAAGGTCGATGTAGTGTGACCGCAAGTCGCCCGTCTGTGACCACTGTGCGCGTGGCGGACGGACATGCGTCTATCCACATATATTCGATGTAGTTCATCGAGATAGAAACCAAGCTACCGAGAGTCAGGCTCGGGCGAAGTGGCGGAGTCGAGTGCAACCGAGAATTGAGACCACTACGGCAGCAGCTGTGGGTTCACGGAAAAGCGTCTCTGGAGTGGAGCCGGCACAGAGCTCGAATGCCTCAAGAAGCCGTCAGTTGCATGTACTCGTACAGCAGCCAGGCCAGGCTGAGCCAAGCGCCGAGCTGGCGTTGGACGCACGAAGAACCATCCCAACTTTCGATCTCCATGCCTCGCCGTCACAGGATCTGTACGAGGCGGCATTCAACCGTTTCAATTACGATTTTCTAGACTACTCCAAAGATGCGTATACCAGGCGAGACACTTTCGACCTGATCCCACCCCTCTGCCGGTCGTTGCCGCGGAACAGTCTGCTCTCGATGACCCTCCGAGCGGTATTTCTGGCCAACTTGGCCGCACGTACGCACAGTCCTCACGTTCTGGCAATATCGCAGAAACACTACGTTCAGTCCTTGTCCATGCTGCGCGCGGTTCTCCAAACGCCTGGAGCCATACAGAAAGCGGAAACGGTCTTCGCCTCGTATCTACTCTGGCTGTATGAAGTCATGACCAAGTACGAATCCTACGGCTCGGCAATGGCCCATCATGTAGGCAGCGAGAGTATCATGCAGTCCGTGGCCGAACATGGTTGGGATAGTCTAACGCGATTCTCAAGGACTGGGCTGGGTGCCATGTCCGTGAACTATGGGCTACTCAGACACATTGCATACTTTCAACGCCCGTCTCCGTGGCTGAAGCAGCTTGTGGAGAATTCCAGAACCGGGGACAAGCGAGCCACGTTGGTACAGCTGTGCTACGAATGCACGCGTGTTTGTGCGGATCTGAGGGAGTGTGAATACTTCATTCGTTCCAAGGGATCATCATCACTTCCTGAACGTCTGGATCAAGCGTCTGTGACTGACGCCAAAACCCTCGACGGCCGCTTCCACGCCTGGGAGCTACAGCGAGACATGGAACACCCCCGTCTCAACGTCGACATACGCCCCAAAGAACGCAAAGTCGCCTGGGTCCGAGATCTGTTCTGCGCCGCCGGTGCTCCGAGGCAAATGTGCATCTCTATGCCCGCGGAGGCGTTTCTGGAGTGGAAAATCTACTGGATCTTTCGACTCATCCTCAACTACTGTATAGTAGATCTCGACGACGCGTTGGAATCGTCGGGAAGTGACGCCAACACAGCATCCGCTGCCGTCGTTCGGGTGAGGTCGATTCTGACGCCTGTGGATATCGACGCCGCTGAGGAGGTGATAACCACCCTCACGCACGCAATATCGGCTGCGATCCCCTCCGTTCTAGGCGTCTAGGCACCTTCATGGGCGACTCTGAAGCCGCCCCAAACCTCGACGTCTGAACCCACATCACTTCACATAAATAGTGAAAAAGCCTCCCCTCCTCCCCGCCCCGATCCAGACCCCCTCCGCAGCCTCAGCAGCATCCGAGGCTACCACCTCTACTGGCTGATCTTCAACCTCCTGCGGAGCTTCAATCGTCCTCGCATCCGGAATAAGATGGAGAGCGCGGATGTCCGGTCGTGGTTTGAGCGGTTTTTGTGGGGTTTGTGGTTGGAGTTGGGGATTGCGCAGGCGGAGTGCTATCGGAGGTGGTTTGCAGATGGGCTGGGGACGGGGTGGGCTGTTGTTTATTGAGATGGGAGGGGGTTTTGGTCTGTCATATGTATCATGGCTGCCATGCAGATACGATGAGATGGAGCTGTGGCATCGAAGCAATGTTGAGCTTTTGTTCTGCGCTACTGGACTCGAGCATTCGCAGATTGCATGTGAGCTTGAAAAAGGCGGAACCTTTGTTGTCGTTGGCTGATCGCACGTTCCTAGGCCATAACCCAGAGAACGCTCATATTGCAAGCTGAAGGCCGGCGCTGATTGACGTGATCCACAGTCCATGCAGCCTTCATGTCTCGCTCGTATGACCGCATTTGGACATTACCACAAATGGACGTAGCCACGCCTTGTGATATCAAAATGTGTATCGACACGACACGACGAATGATATTGCAACGGTGTGCTATCCACTCACTTCGTATCTTCAGTCACGCGAGCGCGACGGTTGCTACACTGAGTCCAATAACCGACACGGGCTTGCTGTCTGTATGGTTATTTATGCTGGTCTGCCGCGCTCCACGATGGCGATGGCCTTCGACTACCCACCGACTTGTCCCATGCTTTCACTCCATCCTCAACAGGCACAATGGCTCTAAACGACTACGGAAAGCTAGCCATTGCACAGATTGCTTTCTACGCCCCGGCGTTGCTCTTCCTCAGAAATCGCCAGACACGCGGGATGTTACGTGGGAGAGAAGCATTGTCCGAAATGTGTGATATGTAGAATCTTTGTGCTCGGTGTATGTGGACAAATGCTTAGAGTAATGCAACTCTCGAAAGCTCACGACTAAGGTACCGTTCGAATTTGGATCCTCTGCAGGTATAATCACATTCTGGATAGTAAGAATGTAAGAGGTGATCGAGGGATCTAGTGCAGCCTTCCGTTGTCGGCCAATCCGCCATACACGTCTCTCCTCTGCCAGGTTTGGACAAGCCACGCGCGACACAAATAAGTCATTTACGGGGAGCCGAGCCAATGTAGATCCCTACAATCAGCTGAGATATGGCTGGGACGACACGTCTGCAATTCCAACTCTTCCTCGAGCTGTCCTTCTCAGCGACTATACCACGATGGGGACCGTGACCACGCGGCCATTGAAATTGTGCAGGACAAGCCACGAGTCGACACGAAGGATCCAGAACCTAATATGGACGGTGTCGAATGTCTGTTCGACGAGTGCACCGTACAAGCGGCTCCGATTGACCAAGCTATGTAGCCTGGTTTCCAGCTAGATCGACATCTGACCTGCCGTTTGGGGAAATTCCAGCGAGCCTCGAGCTTGCCGTGATGGTCGTCATTCTGTTGACCGCCCGGACTTCTCGTCTGCATCATACTTCTTTTCCTTCGACTTGGAATGTCAGAGCAGACAATTCCTGCCACGCGACTCCTCTTCCCACGTATCCAGTCTGCAAGCAATGCTTGTCGCCCACGACTCTCCTCGTAAACCTCCTGATCACAATCATTCGGCTCGCGAAGGCCACATCCGGCGATGTCAGAGACTCCTGTCTTACCAACACAACGAGTGGCCTCTACAGTGGTCATCCAGCGATCGGATACGCCAAAATCACAGAATAACTTGGGATTTCATACGCCAAGCCACCGATTGGCGAGCTCAGGTTTGCAGCACCGGAGGCTCTGTTTTCGAAGGATCTATTCGAGGCTGATTCGCAACCGTACGACTGTACTTTTGTGAGCGACAAGAGGGGCAGCGTGCCTGGACAAGACTGGAGCCATGCCGATCGGATCATGGCTCAAGAATCTGCTGATGGATATAATGCTATGAGCGGGGACTGTCTCAAGATGAATATTTGGTCACCCAATTCAGGATACAATCCGAAGGCAGTGATGGTCTGGATTTATGGAGGCGGTTTGTCTTTCGTATGATTCTTGGTTGACGTTTACTACTAACGGCGCAGTCAGGGTTTGAACGAGGATCCATCAACAACCCGGCCTATATAGGTGCGAACCTTGCAGCTAATGAAGATGTCATCGTGGTCTCATTCAAGTATAGTTATCCATTGCCCACTGGGAGCAACTCTGCTGACACTTCACAAGCTTCCGCACGAACATCTTTGGTTTCTCCAACGCGCCTGGCACGGCAACCAACAACGGCCTTCGTGACGTTAGACTAGCTATAGAATGGATCCGAGACAACATCGCCGCCTTTGGAGGCGATGCCAGCCGTATCACCTTGTTTGGCCAGTCGCAGGGTGCGTACCTGATCTCTTACTACGCCTTTGCGTTCTACCAAGATCCTATCGCGCACGCATTCATCCAGCAGTCGGGCTCCGCATGGTCTCCGATCACCCAAAGCACTTCTGAAAAAGCAAGCAGTTGGAAGAATGCTTCTGCGGCGGTGGGTTGTGATCAAACCACATACTTGCAGGTCGTAGAGTGCATGCGGAGCCAGAATCTATCCACTGTCCTCGCAGCATGATCATCTGTGCCTCCGTCTGTCTCTGCGTGGATTCCCTTCCGGCCGGCCATCGATGACGAGTTGGTGTTCGCGAACTACACGCAAAGAATCCTCGAGCATAAGGTTTCTGACAACGTGCGTCTCCCTCGACTTGAAGCACCATTCTCGAAGTTCAAGAGCTCACACGTACTATATAGCCAGTTCTCATGGGCAACAACGACAACGAAGCCGGGTTCTACGTTTTCCGCTACGGTGGCCAAGAGAACTTCAACCTCAGCCAGGCTGCCCAAGATTACATCGGCTACGGACTGTACGTTTGCCCTGGCGCAGTGGAGGCCGCGACGAGGGCCAATGCCGGCTATCCAGTGTACCGCTACGAATACATGGGCGACTGGCCAAACCTAGAACTGTACGCCGGCAGTCGCGCATACCACACCGCCGAGACATCCCTCGTGTTTGGAACCATGGAGGAACTGAGCGGCGATCCGAACGTCGAGCTCAAGGTGACGGTCAGTCGGTATATGCAGCATGCCTGGGCGTCGTTTTCGAAGGATCCGCATCGCGGGCTTGAGGAGCTCGGGTGGCCATTGTATAACCAGAGCGGCGACACGCTCATTCGTCTTGGGCATGCGAAGGAAACGTCAGCAAGCTATGTCTCACCGGCCGCCTTTGATGAGGTGTGCGAGAATTTCGAGTGAGAAGAGCAAGTCCTGTCAGATTTGACCATTCTGACAGACAGGATCGGCTTGGATCTCGGCACTTCCTCTCGGAGTGAATGACATGTTTCCCAGAAAGATGTCTCTGTCTGGGTTTGCGTAAGGACGCAAATGCTTGCTAAAGGAATAATGGAATGCGACCAACAATGCATTTCGAGCAGCGAGAGATCCTAGTGTTATAGGAACAGAATGAGGATAGAACGCTATGCAAGCTTCTACGCATCTAAACGAGCGCCTTGTCAATCTCCCAAGCATTATCCGCCGACGACGCAATCACAATGTCTCACTATCATTAAGTCCGGCTATACTATGGGTAGGGGACACGCACAAATAAGAAATCCCCCAAAGTGTTAGTCAACACGTGCCGCTCGCCAAGCATGGATTCTTTTCCGGGGCGGATCTGTTCCGTGTGCTGTTCAGGCTGTGTGTCTTGGATGGTTACAAATCTCTGAAGCCCCTGACTTGCCTAACTACCGTGATGGGATGAATGCACGGGCTGGCACTACGCAAGACGGACTTATTGCTTGTGATGGATTGGGTTGGTTCAGGAGGATTTCGTGATGTGATGCGATGGCGATGCGATGGTGCGAGCTTTTGGGTATAAAGACGCCTGGACCGCGCGAAAATGGGACTTTGGCTTGGACTGGTGTGCTTCGTCGAGCTTGATCAATAATCAGGATGAGGACTTCTCTCCATAGCGCCCTCGCGCTCGCCACGGTGTCCGCACTCGCACAGTACACGCCCACTGTCCCCGTCGACAACCGCACCCTCTCCGAAATCTATGCTGCCGCACGCCGCGAACACACCTCCAACACCACCCGCCCTTTCCAGGTTTTCTGGGGAGGTGACGCCGGCTCGCAAGGTGATGGCATCCGCTCCGCATGGGCGCAACAGTTCCCGGACATTCCACTCAACCTCACTGTTATCCTGAGCAAGTACGCTGACACCCGGCTCGATGAGGCGTTTTACGAGGGGACCGAAGAACCGCCTGCGGATGTTGTGGCGTTGCAGACGTTGCATGATTTCCCGAGGTGGAAGACGCAGAATCGGTTGGTGTACTATAAACCCAGCAATTTTGAGGATGTGTTGGTGAATGAACGGGATGCTGATGGAGCGTTTTTGGCGTTTGCTGTTTGTGAGTGTGTTCGAAGTGTGGGTGGTTGTGCTGTTCGCTGACTCGGATGTGTGACAGACTCTTTCGGGACAATCTATTTCGACAGTAGCAAGATCTCGGCGGATGAGGTGCCGACTTCGTTCGAATCTTTCGGGGATGCGAAGTGGAAGGGAAAACTGATATTGACTTACCCGAACGACGACGATGCGGTTGCTTACCTGTTCTCGCTGATCGTATCTCGCTATGGATTCTCCTGGCTTCGTGCTCTTGCTGCGAACGATGTGCAATGGGTCCGTGGAACGGGCACGCCGATCTTCGAGCTGGAGCGTCTGCACAACGATACAACATCAACCAGAGCCCTCACATTCTCTGCAGGCAGCGGGATCGAGGCATCATGGGGCGTGTCCAAGGCAGTTGAGCCCCCCGAGAACATCATGTCGTGGCCGCAGACGGCTGCCATCATTGCGGGCACACCCCAGCCGGAGACGGCGAAGCTCTTCATCTCCTGGTTGACTTCGAATGGACAGCAGAATGGCTCGTCGCCATCTTTGTTGACCAGTCTCAATGAGGCGAACGGCGTGAGCCCATACTCTAGCAACACCACCATCTTCAGTGGGTTCAGGACTTTCGAGACGGATCGAGCACAGGTGGAGTGGTGGAAGAATGTGTTCGAGGAGGCCTTGGGGACCCCTCAAGGCCCGGATCCGTTGGCCGTGTATCCAAACCCGTCCGCTTAGAAACAAGAGAGTTTGTTCGCTGAGAGTGCATTGGATCGAGAAAGCTCTGAGACCGAGTGGAACCATCAAGATACTGGCTTGTCACCTCAGAAGCTGCAGGAAGGTCCAAGCACTGTTGGCGAAGCCGTCACGACAGCTGATTTTCTTGAGCTGCACTGTAGTAAACATATACTTTTGCCGAGCAATTACCAATCGACCTAGCCGGCGTCGTCGGCGTCTTCGTTCTTCATGTCAACGCTGTTGGCCTCGTATTCCCGGACAGGGCGCGAAGAGGTCGCCGTGGGACCAGCAATGCACGAAGAAGTTCAGTGAACGTCGTGAATGTTACCCAAGTAGGTTCAGCCACAAGTTGTCCCACGGAGATTTTGTGCCATCCAGCTGGACATGGATTCGCATCCATCCGCACATGACTCCTCTCTCGTTCCACGAGCAATCATGCGTAGAGGTGGCTTGCTTCTTCGATCTTTGTAATAAGAATTGGGGGCCAAAGCAACTGGCGATGTGTGGCGCAGGATGTGAGATTGTCCTTGGTATGTCGATGCGAAAACATACACACTGCCTGCCCGAACCTTCTCAGCCGCATTTGACGGGTGCCCTGCAAACGGACAGACGCCCCTTCCGAATGCGTACAAGACATGACCTCGTCGGATGTACGATGTGGCTTGTGTCGAGGTCACGTTCTGGCGTCCTCAGGCGCTAAAAGGTGCCTAAGGATCATAGCTCCCTCTCAGCCGCAGCCTCAGGCGATGGTTCCCAATACCTTCAGCTGGACAAGGGTGTTGAACAACGGGTATGGGCGAGGCACGGCGCGGGGCCATCGAGTTGGTGAGTGTCGCCTAGCCGTACGAGTCTGCTTCATCTGTGATGTTGCGGCACCAGGTGATGCAAGAGAACAACCAACAAGCCGTGCGTTGCTGGTCATTTCGTTTCCTAGCTCACGATGGCTACCGGGCAGGCGCAGACGGGGAATTGTTTGCTGTCGAAAATAAGGTGGCAATTGCAAGTCGACTGCGGTCCTGAGCGTCCTTGGGATGTGGGCGTGTAGAGGCGGTGGAACGCTGCTGCTCAGAACGGCGAACGCTGGAGGTATATGTGCTTAGTGGGCACTGACAAACACTGTGCGTACACCGTCTCCATGGCGAATTGTCGCCACAGCAAGTGTACGGCAAGCTGGTGGTGCATGGCGCGTGCAGGAGAGACGATTGATGGTTCGGAGGTTTCTCACGGCGGTCAGTGGCTGGGCGAGTGGTCCGTGCGTGAGGCTCAGCGTTGACCGCGCCTCGTTCGTAGCGTGAAACCGCTCCTCCCACTTCACCACCAGCTTCGCATCTCACACACCAAACCCGGCGCTTCGGACATCGTGCTGCCATCCCCAGGACGAGGAAGTCTGCCCCAAGCTCACAAAGACGGTATGCAGTAATCGCAGGTGACGCTCGGCAGCGACACGCGTTCTCAAAAGCCAACACAGCATGTGTTCCTCAGGAAAGAGGACGCCTGCTGCCGCTCACGCGGCCGGTACTACCACCGCGTAGCCTCAGGTCATCTTGGGCTAGTCGGCGCGGACAATCACTACTCCAATCTGCTGCCCTTCCTACTCCGGCACACACCCCAGGATCCGTTCGTCAGAAGGATTGACGCTTTGACTTGAGGTATGGCGGTGCATCGCGAGAATACCTCGCTTGCTATACTGCTGCCATTATGCCGCCCTCATTATGGCATACAGCTGCAGGCGGCTTGGGCGCTGGTATGCCCATTGTTATACGTCCGGCTTCCCGCTGCTACAAGAAAGGTACAGTACTTGCGGTGCAGTTGCTGAACAATACCCTGCATGACACCTGCATGATACTTCATTCATTGTTGAGTTTGCCTACATTACAAGCCCCTTCTTTCGTACATCTGCATCACCGCGAAGCAATCCAACAAGCTCTCTCGCATAGGGCTTAGTACTGCTTCTAAACACAAGCTGCCTGGACGAAGTCTTCCGTCAGCACGTATTCGACTCTCGTCACCTTCTACCGAACATCTACTCGACCATACTAAAGCCGCCCACTACCCTCCACCCTCCGATCGACAACTCGCGGTCAGTCCCGGAACGATTGGCGGTTATCGTCCGAATTTGAGAGCCTTACCCGACATCATTCATCAGCCACCTCTGCCAAGCCAACACCTCAAGTCACGTTGCCAGTAGGCATCAGTGTCCTCAGGATTCGGGCACCTCACAAAACCCCCGACTATTGACCCCCTACTTCCCCCAATATATCAACCACGATGTGTGTCGTTACTAGGAAGACATACGTCCACTCTGACAACCGTCGGGAGGTTGTCGAGAGCCATCGTCTCTGCCACAACGCCATTGGAGAAAGACTATGTGGTCACGTTGAGTTTCGAAGCGAAGAGTCTGTCCGGGTCAAAGAACGCAAGCCAAGCTCCTCAAGTCGGCCATCATCCGCAGACATCATCACCACCAGCGGAGGGGGCCGCGAGCAACACTGGAAACGATTTAAGAGACCTTCTACCAGTAAAAGGAACTCTTCCGGCCGTGACTCGAGGGCCAGCGCATCATCACCCGTGGACAGCGCTGCATCTTCTGCATCTCCTCTGCAGCCTGTATACCAAGAGTTCAGACCACCTTCCACTCAAGAGCCTCCACTTATGTCAGGAGCACTGCCATCAGCTCGCCACTCTGGCACATTGTCGCCTACCACACCCACCCGGCCACCGAATCCCTTCATGTCAGAAGCACCTGGAGGATCAGCAGTCTATGATCGACCACCATCATTGGACATGTCCAGAGCCGAGAACAACGAGCGACCCCCATTGAGCCGACGTGCTTCAATCTCCAGCACGGCAGCTGAAGTTGATGATCCCGAACCAATCCGTCGCCGGCCTTCGACTAGGAAGCACGCGACATTTGATCCAACTCCATCGGGCTCCAAACATCGCTCGACTGACAAAGGGAAATCTCGAGCTCGCACTGATCCCCTGCGAGATGACATGGAACGTGAGCGTCAAAAGCTTCAGAAGGAGCAAGATGATCGCGATGCTCGAATAGCACGAGAGCAACTTGCGGCAACCGATAGGCGGCAGTCTGATCGCCGCTCGAGGGGGAATATACTGCGAGAGCAGGAACAGGCTCAGATCGAGCGCGATATACTTGCGGCAGCCGAAGTACGAAGACGCAGCAACCTCAGCCGTGAAGCCGAAGCTGAAGCCAGGAGGCGTGCCGACGACTTGCGCAAACGTGAAGAGAAACGCGAAGAGGCTTTGCGAGAACGCCATCGACGAGAAGCTGCAGCAACTCTGGAGGCCGAGCGACAAACGCAACGAGATGAAGCATATGCACGACTTGTCGAAGCTGAGCGTTCGGCCATCGATAAAGAGCGAGTAGCAGCAGACGCCCGAAAACGGGAGTCAGCAGAGCGGTATCAGGAGATGCGATCAAGCCCGTTATCCATCGGCAATTATACGTACGCCCCCTCGTCACCAACATCGGCGAGGCAATACACCACCGTCACAACGAGACCTCCGAACGCAATTCATCAATATCCTTCTGCTCGGAGGAACAGCACCATACTCGAGCGAGGGGAGAGGGTCATTGCACGTGAACAAGAACGCGCAATGGGTGCAAGTCAGCGGCTGGCCGAAGCCATGGGCGGCCTTAGCATGGCAGATGAGGAAGAGTTGGATGCCGATGAGTTAGAGAGAGCAGCCAGACGTGCGAGAAGAGAGGCGAGAGAGAGGCGGAGGCAGCAAGGTTACCATTGAGTTGGGGGCGGTCCTTCTTTGGTCGGTGATTAACATGATGTACAAGTACTTCGATAGAACATGTGCTTGTATTCTCATAACCATCTTTTGACAGATCTTTGATGTCGTCGGAAACTTTCATGTGAACGTTGGCGCGATTGCCACATAGAGACTAGTGCATTGCGGCGCTTCCCGACGTCAGGAGCAGCGCGTCGACCTGCTGCAGGCAGCTCCAAAGTTGCTTGCTGGCTTCAACGAACGTCACCTCCTCCCAGGCTGCACAATTCCGCACCAACACATTCGAGTCAACCTTCGGCGTGTGACTCTCCCCAACAATACAATCCGTCACAATGGCCGCAATGATGCCAGGCCCTGGAAGTGGCCCAGGAGGATCAGAGAACCCCTACAACTACGACACTCCAGTGGAAGACGACCTGATTGACCCTGATGATGGTACGACACTTCAGAGATACTTGATTCGCATACAGTGTCTAATGAAATCTGACAGCCACCCTCGACGACCTCGACGACCCCGTCAACACCAACGACCGCGCCCCGCTCACGGGCAACATAACCACGAACCAAGCGCAACAAAACACGCGCGCCGCCTCGAACGCCCAAGGCTTCCTGAACAACGCCCTCCCCGGCGAAGACCGCCGCGCAGCACTGGATACCATCGACGAGTCGGTCTGGGAGACTCTGCGACGGGATTTGCTCGCGGTGTGGGAGAAGATGAGGCAGGTGCTTTGGCCGAAATACTTGCTCGGGGGAATGATGAATAGTGGAGGTGGGATGGGCGGGGAGGGCGAGGGGCCTAGGGATACGCTGGGGCAGATTCGGGGGTTGGTGGGACGGTGGCCGGATGCGGATGCTGTGTTGCAGGGGGGCATGAGTGAGGGGTTGAGGGATTGGGATCTTTGGTATGTATATCTTCGTGCGTGGAGGAGAGGTGGGCGCGTGTGCTGATTTGATGTACAGGGGTCCGCTGCTCTTCTGTCTGCTGCTGTCGTTCTTCCTCAGTCTGAACGCGAGAGATGATCAGAGATCTCTCGTCTTCAGCGGTGTGTTCGCCATGATCTGGATCGCTGAGGCGGTCGTTACGCTGCAGATCAAGCTTTTGGGAGGCAACATGTACGTTGAACCAAGCACATCCAATGGTCGTCAATCGCTGACTCTTCTCCAGCTCCTTCTTCCAATCTGTCTGCATCATCGGCTACACGCTCTTCCCCATGGTCATCGCCTCCCTCCTCAGCGCCCTCCGAGTCCCAATGATCGTCAGAATACCCGTCTACATCGTCCTCGGACTCTGGTCTTTGGCAGCCGGCGTGAGCATTCTCGGGGGAAGTGGCGTGGTCAAGAACAGGGTTTCCCTTGCGGTCTACCCGCTGTTTGTGTTTTACATTGGCGTCGACTGCCTTTGCTTCATCTCGTAGTCTTTGTGGCACAGCATAAGCCGGGATAATAGAATGTCTTTACACCTTTACCTCCCTTGGGAGAAATAGCCTCACCTCGAAAGGCCCGCGCTCGATCCGAACGTCTCCCAAGTTTTTTTCTGATCAGACCCCATCGACAATGCTGCCGATGTCGCGAGTCCTCAGTCTGCGATCAGTACTAGAACTCGGATGGGTACTGCGACCCTTTGCCACACGAGCCGGCATGACGAACCGCCGAGGACTACACGCTGATATTCAAATCCGACAACGCATCTCAAAGTCGAATCACCCAAAATCCACAAGTCGTGTCTCTAACCACCAACGCGACCGACTACGCTACCGCGGCAGGGGTTCTACCCTCATATAAAGAGTTCTCGTTTGTTGACGGTGCGGCGTTTGCGTCCCAGCATTTTGGAGAGTTGGGGAAGGAGTGGGACTTGGCGGTCATATGTGAAAGCTGGTGAGGGTGTAGGATTTGGTGTGAGTGCAGCTGATGATGAAAGATGTGGAAGGGGGGGGGGGGGGGGGCGCGCGTTGCTCGTACTATGGAATGCATGCCGGGGCGAAGAGGTCTTGGGAATAATGGGAGAGGATCAAGGGGAGGAGGTAGTAGAAACATGGATGTGTTCCTTCGCTATCTGAGGATAGTGAAGCTTGGTATCAACCGATCAGGTTGACGTCGTACGGAGCTGCATGATCGCTCGGAGTCCTCCATCAGGTACGCTATCGCGCCCGGTGGGAAAGTCTGAGTGTCGATACTCATGATGGCAGCCGTCTTCCTCCCAGCAACTCAGTCGCTCTTGTCGCCCTCGCCGTTGTCCTCGACTGCGTATGAAAACGTCAGAAAACGTCACACACTCAACATGTAGAACCAGCAAACTCACCATCGCTAGGCGCCTTCTCCTCGGACTTGGCCTTCTTCGCACGACCGGCCTTTCCCTTCTTAGGCTTTGGAGCGTCCTCGTCCTCAGCGCCAGCCTCAGAGGTGACCTTCTTGCGCTTGCCCGCCGCGGCCTTCTTCGGCTTCTCGCCCTCGTCGATACCCGCGCTGCTCAAGGCCTTGGTGACGGCGCGGCCGGTGACGGTCTTGAAGCTCTGCACCTGCACCTTCGGGTCGTAAGCGGCTGCGGCGGCCGCCCAGTCGACCGTGATCTGGATGGTGTGGTTAGCATGTGCATATTTCTGTGAGTGTGGAAGAGGATGGGCGTACGTTGGAGCGGTCGGCAAACAGCCAGCACAAGGCGAAGCGCTTGAGGTCGGCATCGGAGCAGCCTTGGATGGGGTTGGCCATGGTCGCGGATGATGTTGTAGGGAGGTGTGGTTGGTGTATTGAGGCTCGGTCGATATTGCCAATGTCGAGTGTGGTGTGGATGGTTGAGGTTGTTCGTGGTGGAACTGAAGTCGATGTTCGTGTCCGGCGGAATCTGAAAGTTGGTGGACAGGCGGGCTTTTGTAGGACGGGCAGCGGATGAGGAAGTCGCGTCAGGGTCTCAAGTGAACATTCTGAAACGTGGAAACATGCGGAGATTTTCGCGAGTGGTGAAGTGATGGATGTGGAATTTTGATTCACTCTCGTCTGACTACTTGATTTTAAGGCATGTGATGTAGTGTCTCCTGAACTGGTATTGCTAACCAATCTCGCTGCTGGTCCCTCCCCAAGAGTGCAATAGTTGGTGACATCCGCTGAACCAACGTCACCACGAGGGCCGTCTTCGATCCAGAGTCATCCTCCAACTGGTGTGTAGTAGTAGCTGGTTCCTGCCGAAAATCAGACCAAGTTCTCCTCAGAACTCTCGTCGTCCTTCCGCTCAGCCTTGACAGGCGCCTCATCATCGGCATCTACACCACCATCAGTACCATCCTCTCTAAAAGCACATGAAAGAGCCCTCACCCTCCTCGGTCTCAGCCTTGGACTTCTTCGCACCCCTGTCCTTCTTCTTCGGCGACGGCTCACCCTCATCCCCATCCGCCTTGCGCTTGCGTCCCCGCTGCTTCGGCTTAGCAGCGGCAGGATCTCCGTCGCCGTCAATATCGCCGCCGTGCTCCTTGAGCGTCTTGGTGATGACCCAGATGGAACGCTTGAAGCTGTCGGCCTTGCATTTGCCGAACTCGCGGGCGGCCTTGTCGGCGTCGAACTGTAGACACGATTAGCGACGAGGTTGGTCGGTAAGGAGGATTTAACGTGCCTTGACGGTCTCGGTGGCGTTGAGGAAGGCGCATGCCAGACGCTCCATGTCCTCTGGCTTGAGGACCTGGCGGGCGACGGCGAAGGAGAGGTTGGCGGGGATGGTCTGGCCTGGAGGCATCGTTGTGGTGGTGGGCTGTGTTGTCTGCTGTGGTTGTTGTTGTCAGTTGTGATGTGTGTTGGAAAGAGTATGTCGCAATGTAGTGGTTCGGTGTGGCTGTGATTGATGTTGGCTGCTGATCCAAAGTAGAAAGTAAAAGACGGCTTTCCAGAGCGCTAGACCATTGGCAACGACCTCACATGCAAACGAAGTGAAACGAGAAGAAGTGAGGTGAACTCCGCTGGAGAAAACCAAGGATTCCCCTACAAGTGTAATTTCTACACAGCGCTCAACCCCGCCGATCGAGGGCGCTGTCGACAACCTAGCAACTATCAGCCACCAGCAGATAATATGCCCAAACGCCTGATACCATCCGTTGCACCGATCCTATGTCGCTGGAAAGTAGCCCGTAAACCCTGTCAACACATGGCATAACATGATACATCTAGTTGTTATGGTACTTCTTCACCCTTTGTCCACCCTCATATAACGCTCGGTCGATGGCAGCCGCAACAGTCAGCGTGCCACCAATAACGGCACAGACTCCTACCAGGAAGCCAGAGAAAGACTTGGTCCTGGTTTCTCGGTTGATGACCTTCATCGGTGAAATGTCCTGGCGGCAGTTAGCGACGATCGTGGGATCACATCAAGAGAAAGACTTACATAAGAGAAGAACACTCCAGGAATACCGCCTCTTGCATGCAATCGCTCCTTGTGGCCCTCGTCCTTAGCATCTCCGCCCGAAAGTGATCGCTTGTGCGAGGTCACAGAGTACTGGTGAGTTTCGATGCTACCCTCCTCGCCCTTGCCGTATCCGCCCAGTTCGACCATCTCGTGAGGAATGTCCAAGATTGAGCCAGTCGGTCGCCAGTTGAGGGGTAGATAAGCAGTCGAGACGACCTTGACGAAGTACATGAAGTTGTACGCCTTCTCGTCCGTCTTTTGCTCGTGGTCGTCTAGAGGGTTGAGATGATGGTTCGACCAAGCCATGCCTTTGCTACCCACGCGCTTGATCACATCATCTGGCAACTGTGGTCCGAAGCGGAGATGATGAATCTTGTGGGTGAACGTGTGTTGGATGTCTTCCGGCGAATGGAAGAAATTCTCCAAGTCGTGGACGTGCATGTTGCCATTGCTGAAGCTCTTGCCCGGTGCGAAGTGGAAGTTTCCAACGACCTTATTCACTCGGATACCACCTTCAATTCTGCATCCCTCCTTTCTCTGCTCGTCCAGATGCTCGCTGTAGTGCTCCCGCTCGCACTGGTCGACATTCTCCCCTCGGCCAAAGCTCCAGCTGACGCCTGCGTATGCCTCTCTTACTTCAGCACAGGTGTTACAGCACCCTGCCTTTGCTGCGTTCGACGGTGCCGGTGCGCCATAACATTCACCGCAGTAGTCGGGATCCAAGTGTTGTGCCGCCTCTTCCACGCCCAAATCCAGAGCCTTCTTCTCAATCTCACCGCCGCCTTCGCTTTCTGGCCTTAACCGTACCTTGTGCACGCCATGCATCACACCAGTCTGCACCTCTCCACTCACATCCATCACATCCAGGGTGAGCAGCTCACACGGTACGCGGGGGAACGATATGTTCATGTGGATCTCCATCTTCTCTCCTCTCGCTTTGTCGACAATGAGCTCTGGATGTACCGAGATGCGTCGGTAGTCTGCCCATTCTCCCCACACCAAGTACAGGATAAGTAAGAGCGATGCGACGGTAACAATTCCACCTGATGTCGTTCGGATGCGCGCATCTTCGACGGTCTTGGTGAAGGCGTCTAGCTTGGTGAAGCGGTTCTTGGAAGGCATGTTGGCGGTCTATCGAAAGGCGAGGTTCAATGGCAGAGTGTGCAGCCCGAAGGCTGGAGATTCGAAGCTGCGGATGCCAATGCGATTGATTAGTCGTGCAAGGCTGAGGACGCGTGGCAATGTCTTTCTCGGATGCGCAACATATATGGCGGAATCACTCAGGCCAAATTCGAGGCTGGCGAGTCAATATTGCAAGCGAATGGACGAAACGGCCGGATCGAGGGTGAGTGCGGGAAGTTGACAAGTGGACGCTTTCGCAAGCTGACCTGACCCTGCAGCGCCTCCATCTCGGCGGGCGCCCGCCTTGTGCCTGACTAGGATCTACCCGCTGAAGCCAGCACCGGCCACGTTTTCACGAGACGATCAAGTGAATGAACATCAATCCACGTGGTGCAGTCGATTTAGACGGGAGACCCAAGCTGCTCGATAATCCAGCACTAATTCACGAGGCTCAACACGACCGCTGCCACCTTAATGACCGCGTGAAGTCGAGCGACAATTACCCGCGTACGTCATACGAACGAGACGAAGCTCGCCGCCGCAAGCTGCGAACTTCCGACTGCGACACTTCAATGCGATGAGTGCCACCGCCGAGCTCTCCAAGCAGCTCACCGACCTATCCGACTCCCTTCGAACTACCAACACCCTCATCAGCCGGCTAGCCAAGCTCCACTTCCAGCCAGGCTCAGAGCCTCTTGAAGGCGACAGCGGAGTCCGCGTTGAGCTAGCCCAGGACATCCATGATAGTCTGAAGCAGCTGGAGGAAGAGCTTGAGTTTCTACGGCAGGAAGCAGAAGAATACAAGTCAGAGGGGCAGAGGAGGAGAAATAGTACCAGGGACGGCGAGGAAGCGCGCCTCACTGCCAAAGTAGCCAGGCTAGGGGAAGAGCTCATACATTCACGCCAGCAGTTCAGGAACGCCCAGATCACCGCGAAAGTCGCCAGCGACGAAGCGAAGAGGAAGGAACGAGAAGCCGTCTTAGAAGGCTACAGGAAAGAGGCCGAGCAGATAGCGGCAGCCAGTGAGACAACCAACGGATCTACCGCCGGTGACAGGGAGCTGCTTTTCTCTCAAAGAGGCGGTGGGAGAAGGCAGCAGCAGCAGAAACAACTCACGAAGGACGAGGTCCTAGCCAACGCTTCCAGTGACGTTACTGCTGCGCTTCGAAGAACACACGACCTGTTATCCACGGAGCTGTCACGATCGAGGTTCGCCCAGGAAACATTCGACGAGTCGACACAGGCCCTTGAGAAACTTGGAGAAGACTACGACAATCTTGGCTCAGTTCTAAGCAAGGCCGGTGACTTGCTTAGCACTCTCGTCCGGAGCCAAAAGAGCGATACTTGGTACCTCGAGACTACCCTTTACATCGTCGCCACAGTACTTGTCTGGCTAGTCTTTCGACGTCTCATCTACGGGCCTTTTATCAAGCTTCCACTCTTCATCTGGAGCTGGATTAGCTTTGCTCTTTATTGGGTCGTTGGGCGACCACTACTGCTCATTTTCTCAGCCATCGGTCTGGTGAATAGTGGCCCAGCATCGACATCACTGGCACCGTCGGCTTCGATATCATCCTCACGACCACCACTCATTGTTCAACCATCAGCAAAAGGTCGAGGCCAACCTCGTCCCAAAGACGCACCGAAGGGCGGATTTCCCGTTGGCGCAGGTGGTGCTGGTGCAAAGCTAGGCAAAGATCCAGCACTTCAAGGGCACATGTCAGAGCAGGTTGGAAAAATGGCAGAACAGAGCGCGCAACAAGACCGACAGCCGACCGTCAGGGGGGATGGAACCGTGCTTAAAGAACGTGGAGAGGAGCCGCCGAACCCAAAGAAGAAGAATTTCGAAGCTGATGTTGAAGATGCGAAGCAAGAACAGGTGCACAGTCGAGGAGATGGAACCGTTCTGGAAGACCGAGAAGATGTTCCCAAGAACCCAAAGAAGAAGAACTTCCATGCCGACGTTGAGGATGCAAAGCAGGAGCAGGGCCAGAGGAGGAAGAGGGATGAGTTGTGAGGTTGGACTCGATTGTGTTGGTATGTGTGTACGATCCGACTATGCGCTCACTTCACCCTTCGTCATCCTTGAGACCACTGCAATCCAGCCAGTGTGTTCATACACAAGCCTCGTGCTTGCTTACCAGCTGTCACAACTGCCGTTTTCAACTACCCTGGAAGTTCTAGCCAATCAGCTTCGAGTCCCCCTCATCCGAGGCAACGCCGTTATTCACTCACTTCACCTCATCCCATCCCAGTCTTGGCTCCGGCCCTGTATGAGAGACATTAACACGGGACTTGTGAGGAAGTAATTGAAGATTGTTAATGTATCATTACTGTACGCTTCGGAAAATCGACTTGTAGAATTAATATGCCGCTGCTAAACAGACATGGTGTGCACCTATATTACGAGGTAAGCAAGTCATGAAAGAGAAACGTCGTTTTAGCATTGCATTCCCACATTCTTCTCCTCAAACATCCACATCGATAGAAAGCTGACACTCAATTCATCACCAGGTCCACGGCTCCGGCCGCCCCCTACTCCTAACCCACGGCTTCTCCTCGACCTCCGAGATGTGGCACGCCCAAATCCCCACCCTCTCCGCAGCCTTCAAGCTCATCCTCTGGGACATGCGCGGCCACGGCCGCAGCGACTCCCCCTCGGACCCATCCGCGTACAGCGAAGCCCACACGGTCGAAGACATCGGCGCCCTCCTCGACGTCGTCTGCGGGACGACAGGAACCAAAGCCGTCGTCGGCGGACTGAGTCTCGGCGGGTATATGAGTCTGGCGTTTTATCGCATGTATCCCGAGCGGTGTACGGCGCTGTTGATCATCGATACGGGACCGGGGTTTAAGAAGGATGCTGCGAGGGAGGGGTGGAATTCGCATGCGCTCGAACAGGCTGAGGCGTTTGAGAAGGACGGTCTCGCGGTCTTGAGCAGAGAGAGCCCCGAGCGCGCGCAGGTCTCCCATCGGAACGCGAAGGGTCTCGCGCTCGCGGCTAGGGGGATGTTGACTCAGCGGGATTCGAGGATTATTGATTCTCTCTCGAGTATTAGAGTTCCGAGTTTGGTGGTTGTGGGCGCGGATGATGCGCCTTTCCTGGCGGCGAGCGAGTATATGGCGAAGAAGATCCCTCATTCGAGGAAGGTTGTTGTGCCTGAGGCGGGACACGCGGTAAATATTGATAATCCGGGGGGTTTCGAGGAGGCTGTGAGGCCGTTTTTGGAGGGGTTTGGGGGGTTGAGGGCTTCGTTGTGAGGGGGTTGGTGTGTGGCTTTTGAGTGTTGCATGAATTCTACATCAATCTTGAAAGGCCTTTCCATTGTCTTTTAGTCTCTCTTGCAGGGCCACGGCTATACTACCACTTAGCGAGTGTCGAGTTGAACGTGTGGATATCTTGTCGTTGCATTGGAGGCTGGGTAAAAGTGAGCCCATCAGTGAAGCTAGCAATGAAGCGACTAGTCATCTAAGAAGTGAGTCTGTAAGTAAAGTTATCACCAAGGAGGGGAAGGATGTTAAAAGTAAGGCTACAGGTAGAGTTGACTGAAGACGACTATATCCGGAAGTGATCTCAAGAGCAAAGTGAAAAAGTGATCTGAAGTGTAATGTATACTGTGAAGTTGGACTTAGCCAGTGCTATAAAGCTGAGGAGGGCGGTAGCATAATTGCGGTGATCCACCTCGCCAGATCAATCAGCCTGCCCATCCCACTTGGGGTACAGATAGATAACTCGCATGACGTTCCTCCTAGTCGGGCCTGCTAGAAGAGGTCTCAGATTGCCGCCTTGATAAATTGCAGCCAAGTTAGCATGCTCGTCGTAGTAGAACAGCTCAGCGTAATCAAAGTCGTTTTCCTCGTCTGGCTCCTCGTCTATCGCCTGCCATGTGCTATATATCATTATGCTGTCGACGTCCAATGCACCTGCGTCCTTCTCGAAGTTTGTCCAAGGATAGCCAAGATATTCGTATTTGATATAAGACAAGGCCTCCGGAAAGTATCTCTCAGCCTTGTCGCGAGTGGTACATCTAACAACGTTAGCTAGAGTGAAGAACTTCTCTATAGACTGCGTACGCCATGTCAAATCTCTGGTCATGGTTCAAGCCAATGAAGTCGATGTCTGAGTCTCCGTTTTCGTCAATGTCGTCATGAGCCTGGAGCGTGTCAGTCATGCGAAACGATGACGTTCAAGTCCAACCCTTACTGCGCTCGCGCCAGCCAGGTTGTTGCAATGGAACTCGAGCCACTCATCGCGATCGGGGCGTTGGTGTTCGTGCCCTAGGCCCATTGTGTGCCCTATAAAGTGTCAGACTCTAGATTGAATTGTGAGGTATTATATCATTCTAACCTAGCTCATGGGCGCAGTCAACAACTAGCATATCGTGAGTTCGGGCATCGTATCCACGCAGGGTGAGCTTTTCGTAAGGGTTACGTTCGTAATAATCGTATCCGGTCGAGGACGATGAGCTACCTTCACCTCCGCCGTCTTCGATTTTGAACCAGTCTGTAGGGCTCCTAATCTGGTTGCAAGTGACATAGGAGTTCCCTCTGCAGTATGGATGCAGTTGAATGCGCAATCCTGAATATGGGTACAAGGCCAGTTGCCATTTTTCTATGGCTTTCGTTACCACAATCTCCCATTGCCTTGCGGCATCGACGGTATCAAAGCAGTAGAAGATAGGGTAGTAGTTGTATCCCGCCCTGGCAATGGTACATTAATGCACTCCTATTACGACGCTCTGGGACTCACCTACTCATCGAGCCCCCTTCTGGGCCAACCAAACACGCCGTCCCCTGACCAAGGATTGTTAGTCCTCGGCACGCTATAAGAACGCTGTTGGGGAGGGGTCGTGGTGTTTGACTTGCGATGGGAGATTGACATGGGTCGCCCAAAGCAAGAAAATATGATCAAAGCAAGAGCCATCCTCATGATATCGTTGCAAACCATGCTGCCGGCGAATTTGTTGGATGATGTGTGGGAGAAGATTTTTCGGAGAAGATTGGCACTTCTGTAGTTTGGAGAGGCCTCGTCTCTTTATCAACTACCGACAAGCATCATAGAGAAGCAACTGAAAGAAGGCGTTTCAGCCTTGGTTACTACCGTTTTTTGTCCACATCAATCGTCCAACACAAACATTTACGGCGGGGAGTACTGCTTGTCGATGGCACTAGATTTGCAGCATCGGGATGTGGTATGCTGTTAAGGGTGAATGGGAATGGGCTTAGGAAGTACATAGAGTAAGACAAAGCTGCTACCATTGGTGCATTGACACTTGCTGTTGCACGAAGGAACAAGGCAGATCATGCGGCAACGGCTGGAACCTGCTACGGCTTAACTCAAACTGACGTCGAGATTGTAACCTGCTTCCACCTAAATACCACCGACACGCCCAAAATACCACGCATATCAGTCCCAGAGCCGACAGTACAGCGATCCAGTCGACATCACGATATACCTACCATTACCACTACCCATGACTGGCTCGTAACACTATGGTTACTCAGGTTGCTTTGCCGAGCGAAGTTGTCCTCGCGATAGTCGAACTCTTGGACATCGATACCTTTCTCGGCTTCCGCTTGATATGCCGCAGCTACAACAATTTAATAGACTCGCACATGAGCAGCCTCGCCCTTGCCGTAGCACATAATACCTTTCCAACTCAGAAACGGATTTTCGAACCAAATCAGGAAGATGGAGGTCGGAGGAGTACGCTGCGCTGGCTGAAGTGGCCGAGATAAGAACAGCTGGCCGCAATGCTCGTGGAAAGGAGCTCACCTGTTCCCATCTCTGCTGGAAACCCATCCGGAGATGAACTACGACACGGCGTAGCTCATGGCTGGCATATCATCGCTCATCTTGGGCGGATCGTTGGACAAGCAAATAGCCTTGCCGTCGACGATCTTACAACGATAGGTCGGCCTGATCGCACGTCCACACCAAGCGAGCCACCATGGACACCAGACATGGTCGAAAAAGAGGTCCGTGGGCTCGACATCTGCTTCAGAATCTTAAAGTTCGTGCAATCATGGACTCTGAATGAACTCAAGGGATATCAGTTCGTCATGCAGGCACTCATTCTCGATGTGTTCGGACCTCATCACAATAGAGCCTCGTCTAGCGCTGATGTCTGTCGGCTGGACTGCGTGACGTGGTTGATCACCCGTCTTATCCAACTCGGACCCCAGCGATTCTGGCGTCAATGGTGGAAATGCAACCAGAAGGATGCCCATAAATCTCAATATGATACTGGAGACCTAGCCTATGAAATCGACGCTGCTTGGAAGTCGGCCGACCGACCGCTGTCACGCTGGGAACTGGACGGCCCAAGGTTGATCGAGCATCAGATCAATTCCATACTAATGCAAGTTAAATCTGTCGTGGCTGAATCATACTCAACAAGGCTTGAAAGACGCCTTGGCCTCCTACGCGTTCAACGTGGGTACTTCGGTGGATTGTGTTTACGAGTGAAGAGCACGCCCCATGAAAAGCCACAGATACCATTCGTATTTGGCTCTCTTCGCATCAGCCAGCCGTTGAACTGGCAGCTTCTAGCAGAGGATGCCGAGCATCCACTCCAGATTTCAAGCCAGGAGAGGCATCAGCGACGCCAAGAGACGTTTCGACGACCAAAAGAAGAGCGAATGCTGTATTACATCAGTCGGGAGGCAATGGCTTTGTATAGTCCTAGGCTACCGTAGGCAGCTACACGTGATCTAGGATCCAACTTTTAGGAGCCATGGTGCGATCCATTTATAATAACGAAACACCACCCAGCCAAGGAAGTTTTTTATTTGTGTTACCTAGAGGACAGTGTGGACCGACTAGCAAGGGTGTGCTTTATTATTAATGAGCGACTCAACAACAGTAAGTGGAAATTCCAGTCGCACACAAGAGATGCATGTTCACTTCTTCTTAAGACTGAGTCGAATAGCTCTCTGGACACAGTCTTGTGCATTCATAACATATATAATCCATCAAGGGGACATAGGATCGAGAAAGCGTGTTACCACAGCTACACCGGCTGCTCGAGACAGATACATTGGAAGAGTAAATAGTCCTTGGCGACTTCAATCTGTATCACAGCATCGGGGGCGGAGAGAGTTTTGAAGACGAGGGTGACGTATTGTTGGCAGCGTCAAATAATATCCTGCACGTCCGAAAGAGTTAATCCAGTTGTGGTGTCCGGAATTCGCCCATGATTTGTAGTAGGCTCGATTATCTGATTCTTTAGATCTTCCTTGAATTTCGAGATCATGGCTGACCTGAGGTTGGCATCGAATAAACTTTTACTGCTGTCCTGAGGCAGAGGTGACTGCCAATTTGTCCAGACGTTGCCATGGCTGGGGCGCTGCGACGATCTGTCTTGGCGCTCTAAGATATAGAGATTGCAGCAGTAGCAAGAAGGTTTGCTGCAACCTATGTATCGATCATCGTCCAGGAAATGTAGGTCGCTCCAGTAAAAATGCTCGAGTAGCCACACTTCTGCGTGAACGCGTGGTTTGAAATTCTTGTCGGCGTAAGCCTCCCGGAATGCCGAATCAAGGTCAAAACCACGTAGTCGCTGTAGGATCTCTATTCCTCGCTTGAGCTCGAGCTGCTCATCTTCTGTAAACATCCTTGAGAGCACGCTGTGCAGATTGGTGGTTTCGTTTGCTCGTGGGACACCGATCGGTTTTGGCGTCGCTCGCGCAGTGATTTGAACCTCGGCGAAAACCTGCGGTCTTTCGCTCGCATACGATACAAGAGTACGAGAAGAATGGTGCCACGACCCGAGACGACCAATATAATGGCGGAGAAACGACCAAATCGATGGGGATGTTGTCGATGCAACGCGTCGTGACAGAAGTTTGAGTGACTCGCTGTCGCGAAAGTGGTCGGCTTTGGTGCAGAGTTCGAGAGGAGAACTCTCGAGGGATGCCAAATGTGAAAGATCTCGAGCAAGTGGTCCATCCGAACTGTTGAAAACCTCTCGACATTGTTTGAAGAGACCGACAAGGAGCTTTGAGTAGTGCTTCACCCTCTTGGACGCAAAAGCGATGCACTTGTTGCATATTTCCTTTTCAAGGTCATGCGAATCCTTTGCGGAAAGACAATGAGCCCTGCTCAAGAGCTCAATGACTTCCGTCAAATGAGTACGTATTGCCGGAACACATTTGTATGTCGTTGCTAGCCAAAAGACGCAGCCATCTGCCGTCTCTTCGACGGCTATGGAAGTGACGGTATCGCCACCGGGCTCGTAGTCGCACATCCAAGATAGCCGGTCTAAGAAACGTCGAAGAGGTGTGTACAAGGCTTCGTCGAAACTGGATGTGCGCAACGTGCCATGTGTGCGAGGTCCCACACAAGGGCCGAGGATCCTGAGAAGAGCGAGAAGCTCGTAGAAGTTTCGATCATCCCCCATCGATGTTTAGCTTTGGCGACCTGGGATCGACGTTATAGGAATCGAAGACTTGTATCGTGGAAAGGTTCGGGCTTTATATCTATTCTGTAGAGCAGACCACCTCGGCTTATCGGTTGGCATGGCCAAGCTGCGCGTTGAGGTGGATCTGCAGTTCCTGAGCGAATCCGTAAGACTCTAATTTAGAACTTTCAAATGAGCTTTCCATCGAATCCGCCATTCAAGTTCCGTATACAAATTCTGGCCCCCATAGCGCAGGTGGATCGATCCCAGCCTCAGCGAAAGACGCATCTAAAGGGTATGACCACGAATTATCAACCCCATCGACCACCTGGAACGTGGCGTTTTGCTCCTCTATGAACGCTACTTGCTCTACAACTAGGGTCCTTAGCCGAGTCATTTCGTACTCGATGACCCTCTCAAAGGTGGACCTCATTTGCATCGCGATGCCTGGAATCCCAATTTGCCGCAGGTGCTCCATGACCTGCTCGAACCGCTTGCCACTCTTTGGCAGAATCTTCGTCCACCTGTATGATGGTTAGACGAGATGTGGATGTGGGAGTGCAGGAGCTCACATCGTCTCAGACAGAGTCGTTCCAAGCACCAAAGAGGCCCCATACCCAAGGTGTTCGTTGATGTTTCTGTATCGTGAGCCGAGCTCAATCATTGTTCTCACTTCGCCTTTCCAGTATTCGACGTCGTAGCTCGGCGATGATGAAGCCCGGTGGAGCCAAAGGGTAATGGCTATGTCGTCTATCGAGCAGTTGCCCCGTTCTGATCCAAACTGTACGAACACCATGCACAGAAACCTTCGCATCAGCCGAGACTACGAATCATCGTGCCGAAGTTGATGGAATCTGGAGGCGAGATGCACAAAAGGATCATTGGTAGCGATGTGTGCTATCGAGGATCGAACAGCAAACGAAGATGGCTCATCATGCCAACGACATTTTTCCATGTGTATGATGTTTAGCGTTTCCTGATCAGGGCCGGGATACGCCAACAGTCTGGCGAACCTGTCCCTGTCGCGCTGATTGCGTACCTGAATAGAGAAGGGGACGAGTTTGGCGAGCGCAGCATCTCGTCCGAGCAAATCGTAAAGCTGTTGCAATTGGATAGTGATCGAACTTGCTTCACTCTCAAGTGACTGAGAGTATAAGGTCGGAGGAGCCATGGTAGACGGCGCGGAGACCGTACTTGTGTAAATATCATTGAGACTGTCTTGCCATTCTTATATGGCCGGTCTTGTGAGAGTGGGGTGGCTCGAGGGGAATGAGCGGGGAGCTGCATGTATTTGATGCAAGATGGGGATAAAAGTGGGTACTGATGAAAGGCAGTGATGTTGTTGTTGTTATCTGAGTCCGCGGCCGGGTGGACCGGGCTCAACTATCTAGTTTCTTGGCAAGCGTGCTCTACACTCTCGACTGGTGTTCCCAAAGTGCCTTAGCCTACGACACACCCCCTCAGATTTCACTCTGCTTTAGATAACATCTGTGTATCTTAAGGATATTCCTCTTCTAAAGCGTAACCTAGATCTATCCGTGTAGAAAGATCGACTAGGCCTAACTACTTTATAAAGTAATTATTTTTCTCTATTAATAGGGGTTTTATAAAGCTATCTAAAAGTATATCTTTAGTCTAAACCTAGCTTACCGTAACTTTACTATCTTTATAGATTTACCTTAGCTAGAGATTATAGATATCGACGTACTTTAGTTTAGATATTAGCTAAAGTCTTTTTTTCTAGATTAGTCCTACTATTTACTAGTTATTATAGAGAATATAAGGCTATTACTCCGGATTAAACTATATCTACTCGAATAGCCTATATAGACCTATTATCTCCCTCGCTATATATAATAGTAATAAGAGCTCTACTT